ACCAGAAATCGTATGTGAGTTACTCCGTATTCATCAGAGGTATTACACCACACATCGAGGAAACTTAGAGAAGACGAGATTCCTCGGCGAGTTGGCTGAATATAGCACTCGGGATCTGACAAGTCAGTCGGCATTTGCGAGAGATTAACATCAGCTAACTCACAGACCTATCTGCAGCCTCTGCTGTTAAAGAACACGGGATATATACCCCAGGTTCCCGAAGCCTCTTTCGCTTTCCCCTTAAACCGAGTCGGCAATGCCTTCGCAGATCTCCAATCAAATCAGGCTTGGTTTCTCTTTGGCCGGAACGGCGCGGGCAACGAATGTAACTGACTAGTATAGTTGGTCAAACCCACTCCGAGGCCGTTATCTGTCACTTATCATATTCTAGTGTGGCGCACTGCGACTTCAGGGGACTGCACTTGTCCGCTCTAGGCAGGCTGGACTGGGTTCGCAAGCAGGTAAGACACCGTTTGTTCGTTTCGAGATGGCCCAATATGACCGATATTCCGGGGATCAAGGGGCAAATTTTGGCTGATAACCTGAAAGGACCCCGAGCGAGTTCTTCGAGCGACACTAAATAGGATGACCCTTGTTAAGTCGTTCATCCACATCGACGTTTGGGTCGATTTGAGCCCCAAGTATGTCATGATCCCGACCTTTGCTGCATCATGCATGATCCCCCCCATGGTCGACAAGAACGCTGCGTCGATTCGAACTTTGACTAGCGCCGTAGCAGTTCCAACCGATCATAGCATAACCCACCCAGCTGACGACTTCTTGTGTGCTTACCGAACGGCCCTTTCGCAGCAAGCTGAGAAACTTGTGCAGGGACGTCTTGAGCCTAACAGCCATCCAAACACGAGTCAAGTAAAACGAGGGTCTAGATGACGGAGGTGCACCTCGTAGAATTGCTGGTCATAGATGGAGTCTCAACCGATATCAAGAGGGTGCCATGGGAGTCTGTTGTTTTACGTTGTTCGCATTCGCCATGGTTATCCGACCATTACAAGACTACTCCGTATAGACAATCGCAGCACAGAGAGTAGGTGTCAGCGCAGAGAATCGTGGTTGTGCTGTCAGATGCGATTGCCAGAGTGGCATCGAGCACAGATGGTGGGGACCGGCTTCTTTAATCACCTGTTCATGCGCTACTGCTCTCAAGTTGTCTTAAGCATATAACGAGGACTCGAATTAGCTGAGAACCAAGCGGCTTCGAGATAACGGTCAGAATACTATCAGACGATCAAACGCTACCTCAAGAATACTCGTGTCGAGAGCGGTCTGTCGTATATCATACGTAGATCAGATATATCTACTCGGGCGACCGACCTTCACCCTGTCGTCATGCTGGTTCGCATCTGGCAACTCCTTTTAGCACGACTGAAAGGGCCTCGAGAACATGTGTGGCGGCATTTAGTGGACGAGCGACAGGATCGTGGTTCAAGATCGGAGCCAGCCGCAACGCGCGCCGTTGAAATGACGGATCTCATCGATCTCCCATTTTCTGGTCCTTGTTCTTGCTCGGTTCCCCCTGTCAGTTCCTAACTTGGTTCGGTGGTCGAGTTTGCCGGTAACAGTCTCTGACTCGCTGAATTATCCTGGACTTGAAGTGGTACTATCGTTTAGTGGGACCTTTCCGGGTTGACGGGCCAGCGTACGGAGTACTGTGATCGGCTGATGCTCTCGTTGACGGTTGATCAGGGGTGTCTGACAGTGTGGCACTTTGACCATTAGTGCAGATGCAAGATCGGTGCATGAGCCCGTAAGAAGAGGTGGAGTGGCTATCATGACTTGGAAAGTAGTTTTTTTTTTTCCCTCGAGTTGGTACACTTCCTCTCGTAAACCAGTCTACAAACATACTGGTACAATAACACCAGGAAGTAGTGATGGGTGGTCGGTCTCGGATGTCGTCCCATGATAATATTAGCAACTCATGGGGATGATGAAGCGAGGCGGTGCAATGAGCCTGAGGGACCCTGGGATGGAACATAAATAGAGGGATTAATAGTACCCGTCATTCTGAACAGGTTAGGTTCCCTAAAAAGGAGATCCGTTTAGACTTGTCCTAGAAGAAAATCTGGCCCTGAGTTGAAGACGGATACGCAGAGGTAGCCAATTCTTTGCCCAGTGGGAACACCCGTCTGGATGGCTTTCACCGTTATCATCTCTATAGCTGATTGCTCTGAGAGGTGGATCGTTCGGTAGAGATCTTTATGTGATAGCATGTGACGATAAAATGCAAGTCCCTTGGCAGCGTAGAAATCGCGACGATGATAGCTCTCCTATGGATAACAGTCTATCCCACAATCATCGAATCCGCGATGCGAGGAGCGCGACAAGAAGTAACTAACATTGACGAGGGCCAACGGAAGAAAGCTGCAGGTTAGAAAGGGCAGAAGGGAACGAGAGCTGGTCACGGGGTCGGGGCCTAACAAAGGCAGCGGACGAGGAGGGTCAATGACCGCACAAAAGGCCATCTGCCATCCAAGTAACTTATTATTACTTCTTCCCTCCGTTTTTAAAAATTCTTCTGATCAAGTATCAATTTGCCTCGAGATAGGTCTCATCTATTCACTTCTTGTTTGTTAAGAACTTCCCATATTGAACATACATACTCTTCAGGAGATCGGTGACCTTTTTCAAAAAGCGTGGATCTTTGCCACTGTACTAACTAACTGACTTAGGCGGGACTCTTGACAGCTCCAGACCCAGACGGAATAAACTTAAGCTGCCGCATGCTGGCGATTAATCGTCTGAGGAACGATCGACTGGTCTCCTCTTGTCCCTCTAGTCCGCGTCGTGAGCAACCAGTCTAACCGTCTCTGTCTTCCAGGACAGTTCATGTACAAATCGGGTGGACTCAACTCTTACAGCGTTCCATGGAAATACACTGCTGCCATTGCAAGGTACGGGAGCCTAAGAGCTGCACCATGTGTCATTTGAATCATCATTCCGGGGGATTCACCCACGTCACAGGGGCCACTGATGGCAGCGACTGCTACAAGTCTCACAGAGGCTGCAGTGCATAATGAATCATCACCGCTGCAGGTCGTCAGATTATTTATTTAGGTTTGACTACCTGCAGATAGTGAGGGCTTGTTGTTGGAAGAATGCGATCGGAGTCCTCCACCCTGATCGTTGCCAGATCTGGGCCTTTGATGCTACGTGCAGACAACTTGACTGGCTGATTGCTTCAGGGAAGCTGTGTACTCGACTGCTTCTGATATTCAGAGCCGGTGCGCATGCGCTCTGTTACCTACTGCCGTTCTCATCTGCCGTCGAACGTTAGGAGAGATCCAGGGCGTTGGATCTCCGATCTTATCGATTGCCATTCGCTGGGCTCCGTCCGGCCGGATCGCCGACCACAGCCATGCTTGGCCGTATTTACTAGCCACGGATCGCGCACAATCCTATTCTTGCAGGCGACACGGGTTTACCCCTCCCCGTCCCAGGCCAGCAATAAACCATGATCATCCATCTCACCCGCTTTCACGGGACCCACCTATTTTGACCCCCCTGGGCTCTGCAAAGCACTGCGCCCACCTTGGTCTCTCTATGTCCTACGATAGGACAGTCTCGCTTACAGCGCCTCAGCGGGACAATGGATCCGTGGCGGTTCGATGCCAGATCTGGTCAGCATCTGATATCCGTCAAAGCCGGGTGCGCATTACGGGGACAGGGAATGGAATCATATAAAATCGAGGAGTAAGCGGACAATCAATCAATCTATCTATCTATCTATCTATCTATCAACCACTCACTCACTCACTCACTCACTCAATCAATCGACAACAATACCAACACAACACCTGTCTCCCCGGTCAATTTGGCGTCTCGCGGTCCTTTGCCCCTTAAAAAGCCGCTGTTCGCGCGTCAGGACCGACCTTTTCCCGAAACAGCGTAGTTCACGATCTATGGATCTCCATGCCTGATCCGTCCCACTATCGCCGGCCAGCGACTAAGGATGGGGAGCCATTCCACTTTTTTTTCTGATCCTTACGCACCGCGCTGGAGCCAGCAGCCTTAGTATGCCAGCTAATTCTCGGGCTGGATCTGACGGTCTCACGCATCGACAACGGCAGCGCATCTCCGGGAGTCGTACCCTGCGGAGTCAACTTCGGCCTTGCGTGGATGGCGGCCACTCAGCCTCTGGCTAGCACTCGCCCACCTTTTCGTCTTTGGCCTCGTCGACTGTCCTCAATCCTTGGGAGCGGTTCCTTTTTTTCAAGTCAGCATCACGGACCCCTGGTCGTCCCCATCGCGCCTCCACCAAGATACCCGCACATCGCCAATGATCCAAATCCACTCCACATTTCGTAGAAGATCCGCATGTTCGCGTCCTGTAAGACCCCCGTAATTCGCCGTAACATTTGTCACGATGGGCGGGACGAATCGATGATACTCGATCCTCATTCTTAGACGCGGTTCCTGTTCTGGCTTTCCGCTGCTGCAACTGGTCTGCTCTTCTCTCCGTACGGGAGGTGTACAGCGGCGTCAGAAAAAGGGCTAAAGGACACTCACTTCTCCGTACTGGAGACATCTACGCGGGTCGCACTGGGGCGACCATTATTACTTCTGTCAACATCTCCTAGCTGTTGCTGGCGCGCTTCCTCTCCATTCCTTCCTCATATCCTGTCCAGTATCCCGCGCAGCCGTCTACTACATTCCTCACCTCTCTTCCTCTGACCTCCCCCTTCCTCTCGTCTCTTCAACCCTTTCCTTATATCTCCGGACGCTGTTGCTGAGAAGAACGCTCCCAACCCACGCGACACAGCAAGCTATCCCTTGCATCACAGTCCCGCTCGGCCCCTCTCCAGCGTCCATCGCCACAGCCGCTGCTAAAGTCGATCTGATCTGGCCGGCCGCAGCAGAATAGCAACGGAGGTTTCGTCTGGCAGATGCTCCCTCATATGCGAGAAAGAAAACCTGTCGCGATCTAATCTACTTCCCGCACTACGATTCTGCGCCTCGACTTTCCCCGTACACCCTTGAACGGCTATCCGGGCGATCAGTCATCGTGGTCTTGTTGCGACGCCTCACTGTTTGTTTTTTTTTTTTTTTATTATTTCTATTATTATTTATTCTTTTCTTTTCTTCTACGCCACTATCCGCACGGGTTTTTCCTGTCCCCTTTGCATGGACTTGCACGGTGTCACTTTTCTGTTACCGAAAAAGAAAGGGTTTGCGATTCTCCCAACGGCGACGCCTGCAATCAAGACTCGTTTCCACGACGCAGAAAACTTTGGGAGCTACGTTTGGGAACCGGATTGTACGGCAGAAATCACAAGGCCGCGCAACCAACGTCGATAAGAAGAGTCTTGAGTCGGGGGCTGCAGATTGTTCTGAAACATTGTATATTGGATTTAAGAATAGAGCAAGAAATACTGGTGAAAGCGTCTCCGTGGATGAGCTCGGGGAAGACGCTGGCCTATTGATCCCGGATAGACTGGCGGGATGGGGACACTGGGAGCTGGAACAAGGCCCAGGTTTGTGCTCCTTAAGATTCATTGCTGCCAGAATTTCTATTTCTACACTTGGCGACCCGTTGTTTCAGTTTTCAGCTGGAATTCTCCTGAGTCTGCGATTGATTTGTTGAAGGTCGCGCCATCTTTGATGTTAGGATCATCCATGCTAACCGAAATTCCGTCGATTAGAGATTGTCTACCATCAATAGGCTTCCTGGAGTTGGAACAGATCAAAAAAGACGGATCTAGACCTCTCCAGAAATATCCCACCATGGCCACGACAGTTGGGGTGTCAACAGCACCTCTTGTTAGTCCTACGTCCATATATTCCGGCCCACCACCACCTTACTCTTATCCATCATCCACCAGTTCGGCGCCGCTACAGTCAGGATACATATCCCCGCCCGATTCGCGCAGAGCTGTGGAAGACGAGAAGGATCAATCGCATTCCCAACCTCAGAGGCAATCTCTGCCTTCTATACATGAGGCTCTGGGCAATGATAACCCTCTACCATATACTGGGCCTCCCTCCTCTGGCCCGCCTTCACAACCGGCCCATCACGCGCCTCCACCGTTACCTGCCAACCTGATATCGCGGTCCAGCGTGGAAGGTCCTCCAGGTCCTCCCAATCCGTTTTCGAACGGCTCTACATCGGCTCCATACCTGCGAGAACCCGCTTACCCGTACCAAAACGGTCAAGCGGGATTGTCCCAGGCGGAGGCCTCCCGCTCCAGCCTCGCGTCCCTCAATAGCCAAGACTCAAGGAATCCTTCCCTCCCCTCTCTTAGCTCAGGGAAATCTCCAACCCAAAGCTCGAGAACTGGTGCCCCATCTCTTCAAGTTTCCCAGACATCGTCCGCCTACGAGTATAGTGCACAAGGCTCAGTTGGGTCTATGGCCTCGCCTACCACATACTCTCCTTACAACCAGTCCTTTTCATATCAGTCACAACCCTCCAGCGGTACTGGGTCGTATCCTTCTGCTCCATATGATAGTCGGCCTTACACTGGAGTTCCTTGGAAGGCCGGCGCGGCAGAACAACATCGCATGGAAGAAATGAAGAGGAGCCTCGTGACTCGTCCTGCCATGCCGGGTCAACCCCACAGCGATTCCGTCAAGAGACATCTTGATAGTTATGATGTCGAGACTTCTCTCAACGAGGTACGTATCCAGTACGGTCTTTTATTCCGACTTTTCTTTCCCGCAAGAAGAAGCTAATCATAGTAGATCACCGACGTAAGTTCGCGGACGCTGGAGTTCTCGCGTCACTATGCCGCCAGGGCCCATCAGACACAACGCTCTGGTCCAATTTTAGGGTCTCTTCCTTCACTGAACGAGATTGATGAGCTATTGCAGCTCCAGCGTCGTAACCAGGACGCATTGATCCGGATAAGAACCGCGGTCTTGAATCAGGAACATGCTCTCGCAGAGCAAAGACAGCGGCAGGCTTTCAAAACGGACAGTCCCTATGATGATGATCATGGTGGAATGTATCACGATGAATTCAAGGGGGCTGGTGGATTCGCAGGTGCTGACCCCAAAAAGCGACGCGGGGTAGGTCCTTTTTCCTATCTCTCTCTGCCGTTGCATTTTCATTTTTTTGTCTAACTTTTTCTGGTTACAGAAAGCTGCTCCTCCAGGACGTTGTCATAGCTGCAATAGAGCAGAAACCCCCGAGTGGCGCCGTGGTCCGGACGGTGCTCGGACTCTTTGCAACGCTTGCGGTTTGCACTATGCGAAACTCACGCGCAAAATGGGTGCTAATAAGGCTTCTTCTTTGGGTTCGAATCTGAAACCGAAAAGTGGTCTCGACTCGGCATCTCCGACACCTCACTAATAATTTTCTGTCTCATTTTTGGCGTTCTGAAGAGGGTTTAATTTAGAAGCATACGGGCGTTCGTTCAGATCCTTACTTCTTTGGCGGTCAAGTGCCTCAGTATCCCGGATATTGTTGCGGCCCTGCTAAGGGATGCGGCACGGCAACTATGGGTACGAAGGCGCAGAGTGCATTGATGATTCCTGCTTTGCTGGTCCCTGCGTGGCGCCCTTACGTTCTTTGATTTCAAAATTTACCTGTTCCGGTTGTCATTTTGTCGGGGACGTTATCGCGTTACAAGATTCCCCCTGTCCACAGCGGATTTTGTGTGTTTTTTTTTTGCCCCTTATAACTGTGTTCCTGATCTGTTATATCCCCTTCTACGTTGATATGCCTAGCTATTTCTCGTTACCCTACATTCTACCCTGCTGAAATTTTCCACCCTGCATACAAGATCTACTCCTGTGCGCACGTTTCGTCTCGATTCCCCCGTTCTACTTTGACCATTATACCCCACTTAAAGTATTTCTAATTGTTCAGTTCATGAAAAAAAATGTGGCAAATTCTCATGTCCCGCGCCTCCTTGTGTAACTGGAGGCTCTCGGAAGTGATTTTATGATTTTCAAGTACTAGGTGTGCTGGGAGGCAAAAATTAAAATTGGGTTGCCTAGTCAAAAACGTCTGTGTGTCTATCGCCGCTTTTACCGTCGTGATTCAGTCATATCCATATTGTCATTGATTGCATCATATAATATAAATGTTATTTGTCTCAGTTTGTTCAGAGGAATGGTTACTCGTACCATCTGCCTTGACGATGAAAGGGAATGAAATTCTTGAGGCAGGATTCATGACCCTGGCCACGTTCAACGGTCCTGACAAAGTGCATCCAAAATCAAAGCGCAGATGCTACTGCGTGGTCGATCGCTGCAGATCTCCGGGCTCAATCCTTTTCGCCCCAGAGCATCAAGGATCGTCAATGTCAATCGAATTCGATCGTTTTCTTTAGTCGTTTCGTGATCGCGATCATCTTGTTCTAAAACGGAAATGTTCCGCTGCGCCCCTATTCTTCTCACTCGGAGTCACTCCAGCCTTCTGCACTAATTAATCATTGTAAAGTAATTATACGATCAGATTCTCCAAGTCATTTCGGCTCGAAAGTTTGCATACGCTGCTGAGGACACTTTCATCTCTTCCTTTCCGCGGAGATGCGGACGCTTTGGCGCACGGAGATCCACAACCGTATCGATCTGATTCTGATCTCTTTTTTTTTTTGTTTTAATCTCAATTCGGCGGTTAACACTTCCCGCTAATCAACATAGTAGTATTATTACGTTCCTCAACGCGCGGGTGAAAAAAGAATAATGTCTAGAGTCCTACGGTTGAATTTTAATTATTCTCCACCTCTGCGATCTCTGAATCGAACAATAGCCCCGTTCAGTGACGCCCCTGACACGGCTCGAGATTGGATGGCTTCTCTGGGAACGTTTTATTTGTATGCGATTTTGTTCTTCTGCGCCGCCACGCCCTATCATTTTCCCTTCATTCGTTTGCTGCCTGAATGATGACATGGTTCAGGTAAGAGGCACCTCAATAATCATAGTACGAATGCTAGCTGTGACTATCATTAATTAACTACACGCTATCTGATCTCAAGACTCAGAGACTATGATTACTAGCTCTGGGTGTTAGGATTTAGGCTGATTCCCGTGATTCCGTTCGAATAATATCTAGGGTATGTAGTATTATTGATCACTCCTCTACTTTACTTTACGCACACCATGACGGAAAAGTTGGGCGTCCTGTATTACGTATTACGCTGTGAAGTAGCGCAGAAGTTTCAGTGCTCAGCCTTCAAGAGAGGCTGATTCGGTTCGTTCGGTTAGCTAGCTAGCTAAGGAGAAGTTCCCAAAAATAAGCATGCCTGGCGATATAGACGGCAAAGACAGCCGACAAGGTGGTACAGAACAAGCAACAGTATACGCATCCAGAACGTCGCTTCGAACGACAGCAGAGTTCGCGGGAATTATTGGGAACTCAACGAACAACCAGGCTAACAGAATCTAGTTGAAAAAAAAAGGGAGAAAGACCGCTACTTAGTTGGTCACCAATCACGCTTTGACAGATCAGCTCAACACCGTCGCGTCGTCACGAAAAAAAAAGAAGCCTGAACAACGATAGTTCTTCTTCTTCTGAGTACACGAGATTCATCATATGATGTGGCGGTACTGCTGGTTTTCTCGACTGTTTTACTCTTACTCCACTTGGAATCTCAGATCAGATCGATTTATTATTATTATTGATGCTCCAGCACCACACCTGTCAAAATGGGTGGGTGGGTTAGTCTTCCGGCGATCTCGCTTAAAGGCGAACTGCATCACCAAACATCAAAGTCCATCCATACATCATTTCGACCATAAAAGTGAGCGATATAATAATAATGATGATGATGATGATGATGATTACCGGCCCGCTGGACCGCTAGTTGCAGCTCGACCGTTACGGGAAGATCAAACAACCTTTACTATTACTATTATTGTTATTGTGTGCGTCCCTCCTTTCTCTGTAAGATGATTTCACCGACTGCTGGCTGGCCATGTCCCGTGTGGCATATTGTTATGGACCGGGGAAGAATGCAGCCGAGATGAGCAATCCTCGGAAACTTTTTCTGATGTGCCTGAAAATCGCAGCATCGTATCGGAATTCTTACAGAAACCGGGAAAATGTCTGTGTAGTTTGGATCTTGAGCCTAGTCTCAAGTAGGGGAATTCGGGGGTCAAGACAAGCCAACTGTGAAGAAAAGGGGGGTACCTTTCTGGTCTAGTGAGGGGTGACGTTACTGAGATAGAGAGATCAGGGAGATCTTGGCTAAGTATCTGAGTTCTGAACGAACTAGTAGATCCAAGCCCATTCCGCGCCGTTGGAGTTTGAACAACATGGATGGGCGAATACGGCCTTATCCCCGATCAGGAAGGTCAGACCTCCCCCCGTCTCAACTCTTCACATCTGATCCCAGATCGGACCTCTGGACAGCAAGATCCGGGCTTGATCGGCGCCCAAAATCTCTTCACGGAACTGTGCAGCCGGCTGGCGCGCGCGCCAAGGTGAGTTTTACCAGTTGGCCAGATTATTGGAATCGGCAGCTAACCGGGCGTGGCGTGCTCTAGTGAGATATCCGGGATGGAAGATCTCGATCATGGAAGTGGACATGGCTAAACCCTCTTGGGCCGGAAAAAAAATAAAATAAAATTTGAACGGCCAATTGACTTCTCTAGTTTCCTGTCCGGCGATCTCGTGTTTTCTCGGAACCGCCCTCGGGCCTCCTGAGCGGCCATCTCTTCTGCACATCCTAAATCTCCTGGTCCGTGGACGTTGGACGCTTAGTTGGTTACCATCGTCTTTTGTTATGGCCGCCGTTCACATGATCTACGACTGTCCATGGCCTCGGGATTGCCAAGATTACGTCTGGCCATAACCTGTTTCTGATAAGATGGATACAGGTAATAATCATTAATACAGACTGTCTTCCAATGAAAGGTACAGTATCCGAAAGGCAACGTCCTGAAAGTACTCGTTGTAGCGACAATAATACGGTCATAACCCCGCTCGTTCATGGACTATACACTGATTATTGAAGATCAAATGCGGAGGGATGAATACTAGGCTCTTTCGGTCAACTGTCGGATGGAGGCTAGGGAACATAGCCAGCCATGCATGTACTTGGTTCTGTATTACTTGCGCCGGAGATGAACGGAGCTGTATGCTCAGTCCTCTGAAGGCAGAAGCCACCCCGATTAGTTATGTCGTCGGACTTTCGCCGCAGGAACATGAGAGGGTTCGTGCGGCGTGCAGCCTGCAGTTTCCCGGCCAGACCTTACTTTGGAATCTGTCATACGCAGATCTCGTGCAGCTCCATATGCATCTCAGCGCCAGCCATCCGGTGAGACCGCACCGTTGGAAGTGGTCTGTTCTCTGATCTCAAATGCCGGCGACTCGGGAATATGAGCTCTCCAGATACGTACTGTACTGCACATACGAAAGTCATGGACTTGTCTAGAATGTCCTCATCAACCGTCGCTCATCTGGCAGCAACAACTGATGACATTGTAAGCCAGATACGTTGGATTGGACTGAGAGCAACCAAGACTGGCGTCATCAACTGCGTTTCCATATGGACCGCAGAACTGGTCCCTGGCCAGATAGATTCCTTTCACGAAGAGGACGGCTTACTAATACTCTCGCAATCAACGAACTAAATAATGCAACCCAAGACAACGAAGCCTGCACTGTGCAGGGCGGTATAAAATAGTTATGCTTGATCGATCAAATGAGGCTTAGGGAAAGATGCATGGCACAGTGTCACGACGACATTACCTACCTTACCTATCGCAGACATCAAGCCCATACAGAAGCGTAGGAAGATATTTCCCTACCTCACGGACCCTCGCACAGACGCCACCCAAGCCGAGACAGCGGGAGATAGATAACTTCTACCGTTGAAAAGAGGCGACGACTCAGTGTGGGTATTATTCGCATCCCATACTCTATAATCAGCAAATAGTTTCTTGAGCTGGCTCAATTATCCAAATCATGTGACCTGTCAATAGGTACTGCTCCGCACTCCGTAAGTACATACAACAAAGCGCCGCCACGCGAGTCCGACAATAATAATATGTACATCAAATGGACCTTGTCTTTTCGTGGTACATAGCGGGGGGGGGAGTTTGTCGATCTTTGGATCCGCCGATGTCATATCAGACTCCAGCAGCAGCCGCAAATGTGATACTTTATATTACAGTCCCCCTTGACGGGTTTGCACGACGGCTCGTTCCGTGTAACTATACCAACTCTGTCGATTGCCAAGCGCACTAGCTTCTTATCTGACACATCAAACTCCAGGAGGCGTGGGTATGTGCGCTCGAGCTAACGCTCAAAACGGCTTGACGGGGGGGATGGGGGGCGGTATAAATGTCGAAAATGAATGAATAATGATGATATGTACTCCGTACTATTGGTATGCGGCTATGGTCCGAGTGCTCTGTGATATGTACGGAGTAGATAGATAGTTAGTAGTTAGATGTTTGACAGCACTGATCGCCTAACTACCGTAACTGGACAGGTAGTTAAATCGGTAAAGCTTCAATTCTTATGATATTTCCCGAATATGGAAATAATCATCGACCTTGCCACCGGGGTCCAGCCAGATCATATCTCAGATTTAGCATAATAGACTTTTCCATAGTCTCATCTGTTTTAGAGTTAAGGGTGTTAATAGTTACAATCACAGATACCGCGGTTAATTTACGTGATAATAATTTCTCTAAGCGGGGGTCAGCTTTATTTTCTATCATATGATACCTAGTTAGCAGGTACGTATGTACTTGATAAATTGACTAGAACAGTTTTAGGATGATAAATTCGTCGTTGGTAGTAGTAGTGGAATATACTAGATCTACGGTATTATCGAGGTGCATTTAGGGACCAATAGTATAAAAGTAGGCTGTCAATTGTTCATAGCGCGAATCCATGAAGATATGGTATACGTATGATCTAGAAAGCCATAAACCGTCGCTAGTCTATGTGTATATCGGATATAAACTCCTGTAATGCAAAGTAGATTGATGATGTTTGATGACTTCGTTGCATAGTGTAGACAGTAATGCTCAACTTTTATACTATTCTATCTATATCGATATCGGTTCTATATGTGTTCGTTCTATGAAAGGACGTTTTAAGTAGTCTATCGCACATCGGATACATGAGAGCTAATCCTTAGAGCATCCGCAGCTTGCTCACGGGCACGTCTAGTGGATTACATTCTCCAAAGAATAGAGCCCTCGTTTTGCCGCATGCGAAAAATATAACAGCAGTCGTAGAGTCACCATAATAAGTCAGATTCTGTCGTGTCGCGTCAAATGTTTTTGTCACCGGGAAAGGCTTCGTCGATATCTCATGTTGTTATCCTTCTCGCGAAAGGCTGCATTTCCAAGATTGTTCATCATGAAAGTGATCAAAAGGTCATGTTGATGCGTTCCACGTCGTCGTCGTGCACCAGCTGTTAGGTATATGGAGTAGGTCGATATCGCACCTAGTTGGGATGATTACACACGTCAAGACTCTCGGTCTAATCGATCAGTCTCTGAGTTGAGCACTCGATCCTCGGCTGGACCTTCCACAGTTCTTGAACAAAAACCTCCGTCTTCACGGCTGACTGAGAGCCGTGTATTAATCCGACCATATCGGTCGCGCTCATAAAAGTCAAATGTCGTTTGAACTGGTACCCCAGTCATATCAAAAACAGCCGGTTCAACCTTTTTAGACGCCGTATGTAGTTGCCCTCCCTTTCTAGAATATGACCTTCAGGGACCAACCTCGACTGATTACGCGGGCGATGACAAACGCAACAGTCGCCGCTAAATAAAGTATCCCTCCAAAGAGCATAAGACCGCCGTACTCCCCGTGATCACGTTGTTGGATGGCACCAGCGATGGGAATACCAGTCAGTGTTCCGATACTGGTAATCGTGAAGGTTGTCCCGTTCCTCTTGCCATAATCCTCTGTTGCGCACACTTGAGAAATGCACACGGGGGTTAGACTGATAGCTGCTCCGCTCCAGAAGCCAAAAAATACCGCATAGCAGATTATGGCTGCTTCATTGCTCCCGGACGTGTACCACAGAGCTAGTGTCAAGATCGAACATATCGAAGACGTTAGTATCATAACGTTGAACCGGCCTAGTTTGTCGGCAATCAAACCAGGGAAGAAGCGCCCTGGCACTGCGCCAAGATTCAGAAAGATAATCAGAGAATAAGAAAGCGTATCATCTAGGCCGGCGTACACAGCGTATGAGGGGATATATGTGTACGGAATAAAGACTGCGAATTCGACCAGGAAAATTGCAGCGGTTGTCGAAGCATATTTGACATCTCTTAATGCTTTGAAATCGATGGACATACCCGCTTTCTTATTGAGCGGTAGGCGTGTTTTGAGCAAAAGACATGCCACTACACATACGACCGCACTGAAAAGTGCAATGATGCGCATCGCCCACGGGAAGCCAATCTTCGGAGCCGCAAACAGAATGATGATAGGAAAGATGACGCCGCCCAGTCCCCCGGCGGTACACGCAATACCGGTCGCGTAGCCTCTGCGAACATTGAACCAATGGCCGATGGAAGCTATCGCTGGGTTGAACATTGCGCAGGTCGAAATACCCCCGAGCACGCTGAACGATAGGAAGATCTGATAGTATTCTGTTGGAGTGTTAGGTATTTCGATACATGGAAGCATTCTAGGCGGCATCGAAAGCAGGCTGACAGCTAGTGTTGTGGGGATACGTACCAGTGCTGAAGCTCAAGCATATCATCGAAGCAACTATACCGACAGATGCTGGAATAAGAAGATACTTTGCACCGTGTGCATCGAAGATTGGCCCTACAGAGGATAGTCAGATGCCGTGTTCTCTGTTAGATCCGCAAGTTGAATTCAATACAGTTACATACCGACTTGTGCACCGCAAAAATAAAGGAAAAATCCAAAAGCGCCATATATCCAGCCGATACTTGATGCAGAATAACCCTTCAATTGATGGCTTGCCGTCCAAGCATGAAGTACTCCAAGGGTATTCAGCAGGCCCATCCCAGGTAGCATAGCACACCATGAACCGAGCACGACGAGCCATGCTTGCAATCCTCCTTCAGGGTAGTCTTCATTGTCAGAAACTTCCGATGTCCCTGCTGTCTCCAAAGGAACGACCTCCGGAACTTCCTTGGTTGGCATGCGCAGCTCACAAGGGTCGGCATCCCCTTCACGAAGAGATGTCTCCAGCATCGCATAGATTGGCGGTCTAGGAAGACGCCTGCCTCTCTACTTATGATGCTGGCTCCGCTGTAACGGGTACTCGATCGCAACTGCTATAGTCAGGAGCAATAAAAGTTGGCATCGTTGAAGGAGTAACGTCTCTCAGCCCCGTTCCGCCATGGAGTAGCGAAATATGAGATTGCGGCAATTGCAATGCTGAAGTGCGATCATTCTTCTCGACGAGAGGCGTACTGGAGTTGGAGATTCAAAGCGTTGTCCGGTAGTGGATGCTCGGAGGCCGTGGGATGCGAGAACACCGACAGATAAGCTGTAGAGCTTATCAGTTGACGCAATAAATTAATAAGTAACCAAGCCCAACAACAATGTGGGCTTCTTGCATAGTTAACTAATAGGCGATGTGAAAGTATTTCCTTCTCGATTTTGAGTGGCTGAGTTCAGTCCCACGACCAGAAATAAAGAGGCCCTTTTTGTTAGCAACACATAAGTGGGGAACGGAGTTTCATTGTCTTCGATGCGGATACAAAAATGGGGGTGAAAGAACTAGATAGAATAGAAGTCTTGTGTGTGGAATTATATGATAAACTAGGACCACAGTATAAATGGACGTCACTCGGACGCTCTTTTTGCATATTTCTCCCTAGATCTCTAATACTCTGCATAAGACAATAGTAATTACAAACGAACTGTCCAAGCTGCAGTCGATAATCTGGGTTTAAAGTATATTGTCGCGCCAAACACATCTACGCGCCTTAATTCTTACATACATATGTCTAGCACATTCAACCGCCCAGTGGATTGTGATTATAAGGCTACACGGCGAACCTTGAGAGATAGACTAGTCCCTCGCAAGTGCAGTATCAAGCAAAAATCATCAGAATTTATCACATGGTATATTAACTAGGAATGGCGTCTGCTACATAGTTTTGTCCTAATCGATGAGCATTCAATTTGGTCGCTACTGCCTGTGGGACAAGCTAATGTGGTGAATTGTACATTTACTCCTAGAAACGATACGCATCACACTCCTGGATACTGTCCTACGTAATATATTGAAGAATTGCTGCCATTATTCCTACGAAGGTATCCGCGAATACATTTCTGCAGTATTATAAAGTACCTCGGGTTAACTTGCAACAGATTTCTAATGAGGAGCGGCCAATTTTCCGACTGCATCTCTCTAGGGTAAGGTGGAACTTGCAACAGCAAATTCATTGCTCCTGATTTCATACTCCGGCGAGTTAGATAGCAGCAGGCTAAAAGTCCCTGAATACCTATGAAAATGATAATGGCGCGAGTATGAATCCCCATTTCTTTTATCCAAGTCATGGGGTTTTAAAAGAAATAAAGTAAACACATAACCTCGGCCGGGAAATTAGGCATCAAATACAATTTGCCGGAAGACCTCCCCGAGATTCCTCTGAAGTGCTTGGCACTATCCCAGCAAATGACCATGAAATGAAGCCTCAGGGGCACTGTCGTGTATATTTGCAGTCTTGCAGGGGCTCTAACGGAACCGACCTCCTTGCCATCCAAATGTTTCCATGACCGCTGGAACGAAGAAATCGGCATCTTTGTGCGCAATACAAAAAGAAAAAAAAAAAAAAAAAAGAATATGCTCTCTGGAGTTGCGTAGTCCGAGTTCACATTTATCCGGTCTTTATCCTGAATTCTCAGATTAATGCGGAGTCCCCGCATTTCGTCCAGTCTCCCACATGATCAAATCTGTACTTCTTGCTGTCTACAGGTAAGCTGAGCACATAATCTCCATCTTCTACAGGATTCCAAGGAAGAATCTTCCCCACGTATTGGAGTGGAACATTGGAGTGCGTCGGGTTTTACGGGAAGTTGTTATTGCGTATATATATATATATATATATATGCCCACGAATATGGAGCTCGATTCAGTTTATCCTTTATTTCAGACTCCAGTTACTGTATCGTCACAATGCATCAAATTCATTATATCTCTTGGGTTCTATCTAGCTGGGTAGCTGCCACTGCCGCTCTTCCAAGCACTGCTTGGAATTTGAAGTCATTCAAGAGCCTTGTCGCCTTTGGAGACAGCTATACAGATGAATCTCGACTGGATTACTTTGCTAGTCATAATGGCTCCGCACCACCAGTGGGCTGGGTCGACCCAATTGTAAGCAAAAATCTTCTTTTGATCAGCTCATGATTTAGTTCCTTGATTCCATGAACGACCAGTGAAATGGTATGTGTTTTGACAATTGACAAATTACAGAATAACGATACAGCATCTGGTGGCTACATATGGCCGCGGTTTGTCGCAGATTACGCGGGCGTGAACCTATACGACTACGCTGTCGCTGGTGCCGTCTGCTCTAATTTGATAACACCGCGGACATTCTCAACAATAAAAGCGCCATTTCCTTCAGTCCTAGAGTACGAAGTACCCGCCTACATTGCGGATAGCAAATATGTCACACAACCTGGCCAGAAGTTCCTTGACATTCCTGCCCAGGAGACTGTATACTCAATGTGGATCGGCACCAATGATCTAGGAGTTGATGCCTTCCTCTCCGACTCGCAGGTCGCAAATAAGACAATTTCTGATTACATCGAATGCGTATACAGTGCATTTGACCTGATCTATGCCAACGGCGCTAGATACTTCGTTCTGATGAATCTTGCTCCTCTACAGCTCACGCCGTTATACGCCACGCCAGAAAAAAGAGATAATCAATATTGGCCAGACAAGCCGGATAACAGAACTGAGATTAGCTACCGGATGTGGGAGCAAGTCATCCTAGTAAACGAAGTGTACAAGTACCGGACACCTTTTGAGCTTCTTGTCGCGAGAAGATATCCCGGGGCACATTTTGCCGTGATGGATATGTACGGACTAGTAAGTCGCTGTTTTTTCCTTTTTCTTGGACTTGCGCAAGCAAAGTGAAGGGTAGCTAACGCACGATCACAGATCTCTGACATTTATAACAACCCGACTGCATATTTGAACGGTTCTGCACCAGCCAATGTCACCGGCTACATTAATCATTGCAACATCAACGGCACAGATTGTACGAGGATGCCAAGTCCTGACTCTTACTTGTGGTTTGATGAGCTGCATCCGTCGCAGCGAACGGATCAAATTATCGCAGAGAACTTTATAGAAGTCGTTAGAGGGAAGAGCAAGTGGGCGACGTACTGGTGACCTCTGCAACGAACTCTGCATCGATTCCACTACTCGGATGGAAATCCTACAATCGGTGCAATTATTTGACTGCAGGGCCTCGTTGAAGAATCCGTTGATCCGAACACTCGCCCCTGCTATGCCAATCTTCTCGTAGGTATCCCGATACTCGGATGTGCCTTTCCATCATTCCAACGTTTTCAGGACGAGAACGCATCTAGCGTATTCGGAAAACTAGTCTCCAGAGACCTGAAAATATCTTGTGGCACGGTCAGGAGTCGAGAACGGTGAAAAAGTCGAAAGTAGTCTCTCTACGTTAGATGGTGATGATGGCAGTGGTGATTATGATATTGCGTCAACAATCATTCTATCTAAGCAAACACTTAACTAACATTTTCATGTCATTCTCTCCGAACAGATTATAAAAAGGGTCTAAATATGTTATTACAGTCCCTGCGAATGAAGTCTTAACCACTCTGCATTATTCGGCGTATAGAATGAAACGCTAGCTCATAGCCTAGAAAGGCAGGCTTAGCTACCCAATTTTCTTGCAAAACCTTAAGACCAGGCAGAAATGACTTAAGATCTGTCGGAAACCTCCCGTATCTGCCTAATAAGCGAGTACTACGTATTCTATTAGACATCTTCTTTGCATCGACTATCCCTCAACATTTCCAATATGAGGAGGGTACGGCGCTTTATAACCAAATCCGTATTCGGACGACAGTACTCAACGTTCATCACAGAAATTCCGTCAGAGAATATCCATATCATCTTTATTTTTCTTTCGGCGCCGGACCAAATATGCTTGTCTCTGAGTTGTAAACACTTATACGCTTGTTTCCTCTCGTTTCTTAATGCTCGAGGAATAAGCCTGCCTCAGCTTCTTCAACGCGAAAAGCGGCCAACGTTATGCCCTAATGTCGAGATCGAAAAACGGCCTAGAATAAAGCTACTCCGCCAGATTCAAAATAAACGTTGGAGATATTGTGATGAATGCTGGAACCTCCACCCTCGTTCTGCATGGCATAGTCCACGGTTATACCATTTTCCAAAGACATATCCTGGTACTCTACAACTTTATGGACAATTCGATTGCATGCTACTGGCTGGCCAAGTTGATATTTGTCCTTGCCTCACTATCGCATTCCTCGGCAAACTTGACTTGATGGAAAAGCTCAGATCCATCCAATATAAAGACCATATTGGTAATGAACACTACTATAATGAAATTCTGTTCCATGGAAGTGGACTTGGATTCGTCAGACATATTTGCAAGTTCAACAAGCATCCTTTGGCAAAAGTTATAATCGTTTCAGATCTTCAAGTACTCGGCCGGAATTTATATGTGGACACCTTTCATAAATTCGTGCCGATAACATTCCCAGAATTTATCTCACAAGGGTTGTCTTCGGGTATGAAGACTCCTTTAATATGCCCACTCAAGGATACCAGGAAATGGATGAAACAGTTCTTCTTTGAAGCTGGGTCGGACTTTTCAGGTTTTAGTTGTGCTGAAGAATTTGATGTTGTTGACACGGGTAATATATCGATGTATAATCTCCAAATGCGTATCCGCCGGAATCTGGGACTGGACAAATGGCCTGATGAAATATGGCATTGGGATAGTCGCCGCTGATTCTTATCTCTTATATCACTTGCTTCCGACGTGTATATTGATTGAGAGATGGCGAATACAGGCTTTATCCATTGTTGTATTTCCATTTCGTTTCCTTTCCTTTTCTTTTCTTTTTTTACTCGCGAATGCGACGTCGTTTGTTGGTTACGACCGATCTCTAATAGCCGTCACCCACGCAGTATATATTCTGGTATACGACGATTAGATGGACCAGAGCACCAGTCTCTTCGCATTGTCAAGATTGAGGATGTTGAGTTGCGTCTGGAGTCAGCTGAATCTCTTGGCGGTATTATTTGCTGCCGCCGCCACTCGCTGGATTGGGCATTCTCCAGACCATCATCGTATTCAGAGATCTCCTCTCAGCGTTGCAAGTATGTCATACTGGAAGCCGTGAGAACTGCAATATTCCTTCGCTCAATTGAGCCCACAACAGCTCCACGTCCTTCCTCTGACTATGTGGTCCTATCTTAGCTCCGATACCTAAGTACTAACTAATCCTGAAGCAAGATCCGATCTCGTTCGCCCATGGATGCGTTGCATGGACCCGGAGATCGCAACGCTGCCGGGGCCCAAAAGAGAGACATGCTTTTCCCAACTGGATACTTGTACTGTTCTGTGTCAAATGACGATGTTTTTGTCCTGTTGAGTAGATGTGATGTGAAAATCACATTCAGTGTCGGCCCTCAGGCACCAATCCTGTCGGCCAAAAGGAAGAAAAATACTTAATCACCGATTTGGTCACTTCCATCAAGAAGTTCCGCGATGCAATCTACTAGGCTTTTTTATTCAACGGATTCACGAACAGTCCACTAACCTTGAATAAGCCTTGGGTTGACCTCATCGGATCACATTTCGTATACTCCCATCTTTTGGCGAGGATGTCCTTGAAGGCTAAATTCAGCTACTTTCCCGAAGAAGGCTGTGCCCTAGTCCAGTTGATCAGCCATGTATGATTATTATTATTATTCCTCGCGAATGAAGTATAAATCAATTAATGATCGCGTTGGTTGATACCAAGGCTTCCGTGCTGGATTTTACCATAACGGGCGGGTGTCTTCCGATGGCTGCCTATCGTACCACAAGCCTCAAGTTATTGTACCACTTCTGAAGACTATAAAATAAATCTCAGAATACAACTCTGATGCATCATTCCTCACATCTTCATCTACCATCTATTATCTACTCCATCTATTCGAAATACTTTTTGACAGAAGAATCTTTGCAAACAATAACAAAGACAATATACAAGAAGTCTTCTTGCTACGCCCAAGCACGACTATCTCCTTTTCAAAGACTCGAGTCAACTACTGTACTTTCGCTTATTTCTCTCGGGTTATCTCCTTCAAACGGCTTATACTCAAACAACTCTGTTTTTCTCCTGCCTTTCCAAATTAGCAGTCATGTCTGGTTCTATCTATGGCCGCTCTCTTTGCGGATGTGCATACCTGTCCTCGCGTGGCCTGGAATATCTTCCTCAGGTGGACCTCAATGTCCATTCCACTATCTTGTCTTCCACTTGCAGGACTACTCTGACGCAGACCTTTATCAATCCATCGAAACATGAAGCTATCGAGAACGTTTCGTACATGTTTCCCCTGTATGATGGTGTCAGCGTGGTAGCTTTCAGCTGTCACGTCGGAGACCGAGTTCTTCATGGCCTGGTGAAAGAGAGACAGCAAGCCAGTGCTGAATACAATCAAGCCGTTGAATCAGGCCAGACTGCCGGTTTGCTTGAGCAGATGACTGACGCCTCCGATGTCTTCCGGACAAAGCTCGGCAATATCCCCGCCGACAGCAAAGTGGTAGTGGCCATCACTTACGTAGGAGAGCTTCGACAGGATGGACAGACTAATGGTGTCCGGTTCACCATTCCCAGTGTCATTGCTCCTCGATACGGAAATGTCCGAGACGATCAGGGTGCCCAATCGAGCACTTGGTCTGGTCTAGTTCAGCGTGGTGGACTTACGATCACTGTGGACGTGATGATGGAAAAGGGATCTGTGATCCGAGGGCTTCAATCCACGAGCCATCCACTGGCCATAAGTCTAGGCCGGACCTCTCGCAGCCCGGATTCTGTCTTCGAGCCACACCAGGCGTCAGCTACCTTGTCTCTCCGTAAAGGCCAGGTCCTTTTAGAAAGAGACTTCGTCATGGTCGTCAATGCAGAAGGTCAGGATCAACCTGTGGCCTTTCTGGAGACGCATCCATCTATTCCCAACCAAAGAGCACTGATGACATCTCTTGTGCCCAAGTTCGGTCTCCCGGACAACACTCCGGAGATAGTCTTCGTCATCGACAGAAGCGGTAGCATGGCTTCAAACATACCTACCCTGCAGTCTGCGTTGAGGGTCTTCTTGAAGTCCTTGCCCGTTGGCGTCATGTTCAATATCTGCTCATTCGGCAGTTCGTATTCTTTCATGTGGCAACGCAGCAAGGATGTCGATGCTGCTTGCCTGGAGGCAGCTCTCGACTACGTGAACACAATCGCAAGTAACATGGGAGGCACAGAGATGTACCAAGCTGTAGATGCGACGCTGAAAAACCGATTCAAGGACAGGGAGTTAGAGGTACTTCTCCTGACCGACGGCGACATCTGGGAGCAGAATAGTCTCTTTTCTCTCATCAATGAGGCATCTAAAGAGAACACTGTTCGCTTTTTCTCTCTTGGAATCGGAAGCGGTGCATCATCTTCCCTAGTCGAGGGCATTGCACGTGCAGGAAACGGTTTTTCTCAGTTTGTTCTCGAGGACGAAGAGCTTGATAAAAAGGTTATCCGCATGCTCAAGGGAGCCTTGTCTCCTCACATCAACGACTTGTCACTCGAAGTTGAGTATGCTGCCGTCGACAGTGATGATGACTTCGAGATGGTCGATGCAGCAAATACAATCCCCATGGTCGAGTCCACGGAATCTACAAATGAACACTCGAAGGGCGAGAAAGCGATGAAGAAAACCACCGAGCCGATATCCCTTTTCGACAATTCTTATCAAGAACCAGAATTGAAGACGGGAAACGGCAAAATACCCGTCACAGACCGTTTCAAGGACCTTCCTACTATTCCAGTGCCGAATATACTCCAAGCTCCCGGGAAGGTCCCTTCGTTGTTCCCTTTCATCAGGTCGAATATCTATATCATATTTTCGCCAGAAACAGCAGGCAAGACCCCCAAGGACCTCATTTTTCGGGGAACTTCGAAACATGGGTCTTTGTCATTGAGAATCCCCATACAGGACGCCGGGATCGGAGAGACTGTCCACCAACTGGCTGCTAAGAGAGCAGTGTTGGAATTGGAAGAAGGACGTGGCTGGCTGCTCAATGCCAAAACCGCAGATGGGAATTTGGTGAAGGACATGTGTGACAGCAAGTGGGAGAATATCGTCGCTCGCGAATGTGTCCGTCTGGGAACGAAGTTCCAGATAGCCGGACGATGGTGTTCTTTCGTGGCTCTGCAGAATGATAACTCCATGAATACGCCAGTCTCGCAATGCCAAATTTCTTCGACAGAGCATGCTAATGCGTCAACTGCTTTTGGAACACGCGGTGGAGGCTCAGGACGCTTTCTTCATGGAGGCCGTGGAGGTGGGATTCCTCAAGGTAAGTTTCAGCTTATAACATTGCGAATGGCCAATATAGGACGAACAATCCCACTGAACTCATTTGCAAAACAGGACAGCAACATGTGCAAATGGCACAACAGGCGACTCTCCGTCCTCTCGCAAGAGGCACTTACGTTCCTCCGCATGGTCGGGCGGATTTCTGTTCATTTGGAAATAATGGTAAAACCCCTATTCCTGCTTCAAGTTCTTCTGGCACTCCTCTGGTCCGTTGTGCCTCAATTCCAAGAACAACGCTCTTCTCTGGATCATCGACCTTACCTAACAATCATGGAGCTCCCCAGTTTGGTTGCCCATCCAATTCAGGTGGCTTCTTCGGTTCTACTTCTCAGTCTCCGTCACCTCGCATTTCGTCTTTGTTCGGTGGCTCTCCTCAAACATCACAACCCTCTCCCGCAACAAGATTCCCTCCAAGCCAAGGTGTTTCCTTTTTTGGTTCCTCGAATCTATCAAGAAGCCCCTTCGCTTCTCCACCCAATCTAAACACAAACAACCCTTTATCCCCTTCTGGTCAGTCACTGTTCCCCGTGGGCGCACTACTTCATGGTACCCCGCGATCCTCATTCCCTTCTCATGAGAACTTGACAGATACCAATCTGACTGAACATTCAGATCGCTCAGGGAGAGGAATTGTGCCACAGACCGCTTATAGGACTGCAAGGCCCCGATGTGTTGTACGCTCTTGTGATGTCTCGCCATCGGCGCCTTCAGCCCCTGGAGACACGGACAAAGTCCATCAGATCATTGGCCTGCAGGCATTCGAAGGATCCTGGGACTGGACCACTCAACTCCTTCAGATACTCGGTATAGACCATGCAAAGGTTGAGCCTAAGCTCGAGGAAGAGCTGAATGCTGCTTCTGAGAAGTATGGACTTGGAAACCACGAAGATCCTTTTTTCGATAATACCATATCCAGACTCCTGGCCACATTGCTGGTCAGGACATTCTTGGAAGAGAAAGCATCTGACAGGAAAGAAATATGGGAACTTGTCGACAAGAAAGCAGCGAAATGGTTGGAACAGACGCTTCAGAGTATGGGTCCTGATGCAGCGCCTTTCAGAGATTTGAAAGACGTCATTTCCTGTCTGCTCTGAATGAGATTACACCAGATTGTATCAATGTAAATGGGTGGGTAAGAAAGAGACAACATAGAAGGTACGACAAATTAGTCCATTAATCCGCATGTGCTGCGCTGTCAGGGTCGCTCAAATTGATCATAATTCTTAGATATAGCTTAGTTTGGAACAATATATTGAAGATATACCGTATCAATCCTGTCCCAGTATAACCAGTCAGTAGGATAATACATTCTCAACATCACCATAATAAAACAACGTAAGAAGAAGCTTTTGAAATTTCTGAACTTACCATCTTCCCTTTTTACATCCAACACTTTTCAACCTTCCTCTTTCCACAAATCCCCTTTTCTCATACCACTTCCGTAGCCCCTCACCACCTTCCTTACCATTCACTGCGTCCAACGCCATACAAGCGATCACATTACGAACCGGTACTCCACCATCAGGGGCAAGAACCTCATATTCGAGATCACCAGCATGTTCGCGCGCAAGGTGCTTCACCATGCCACCTTGAAGTTTCTCCAAGAGCGCCGAAAGCAGCGCGCTACCCACACCTCGAGAAGTATAATCCTTATGCACGAAGAGCGAGAGCTCTACAGTAGGAGCATATGAGAGCATTGCGCCCCTGAAAGGGGAGAGATACGTGTACCCGATCACGGTCTGTTGCCGTTCGGAAGTATCTCCTGTGCTCTTGACATCATCCACAGCAACCAGGAAGGGCAATCCGCGGTCTGTGAAGTCTCTGAACTTGAAGAACATGGATGATAAAGGTGCAGGGTTCTGAAGAAATGTCGCCACGGTGTTGGTGACATAGTGAGTGTTTATAGCGTGGACTTCGGGTATGTCTGCTTCTGTGGCGGGGCGGATTTGGAAGGACATTGTGGTGTCCCCTTTTGATGTTTGATGTTTGATATAAGTGATTTATTGATTATATCTGGTACATTCTGATTAGCATATTTGGCGGAGACGATCTTAGGGTGTCTTCAGTGTATACCTCACGCCGGACATCTAAAAGCCGCCACCACGTTCACAAGGGCCAATCTGCGTCTCCCAGCCACTTAAACTGATGTTGAGGCGAGGTTGAATTCAATGTTCACAATAATTCAACTTCCTGCGTGTGGAATAAGTCCGGGAGGTCTGGTCATTGACACTATCCTTTATGTGCGTGGGGCTTTGACTCACTTTGGTCCTTTTATCGGCAACGCTAAGATAGAAAATAGAACTTTGAGCGCCGAACTGGAAAAGTAGGAGTTTGCTATAGATTGGAGGGAGAGTAATGCGCAATATTCGAATTACAATCAACAGAGAAAGATATTAATCGTCCATTTAATATCTAGAGCTAATTGAAGCAAATAAAAGAAAGGCGGTTTGCCAAGGGGGACGCCATCGTGTTAAATAGGTACCATCGCTCAAACCAGATAACGCCTAGCCAACCAACCATCAGGAAGTCGAAAGGTACAGCATGTCATCATCTCGCTGCGTGAAACTGCTGGGAAGTAGGGCAAATAAATTACCAGTCCTTGTCCAGGATGCTTTGTACAGAGTGTTGTGATTCATCAAGGTCTATAATCCCGCTTGACTGAACGCTCTGTACGTCCGCAACAGATGAAGCCTGGCCGACCTCGACTGGTTCATCGTCCAACCTTTCCACCGGTCCACCATCCGCTTTGTCAACCTCCTCCCAATCGTCCTCACTTTTCTCATCATCTCTGACAATAACGCGATGGATTGGATCATCCAAGTCAACCTTCTGCTTCTTAGCCTCCGGCTGTCCGTCCAGTGTAGGCTCCTCGGTGGGCGGGTCTGGGAGCTGGGCAGCAAGCGTCTCAGAAGATGGCGAAGACTCACCCTGTGCTTGTGGCTGAGATTCCGACTGCTTCGAGGAAGGAGACAGGTCCTGACTAGTCGGAGGGAAGAGACGACTGCAGAGTTGTTAGTTCATGGTCAGGTGCACCTTATTAATATGGAAGACATACGGTATCACTCTTTCGTAGGCCCGTTCGTCTTTCTCCAGAAAGCAGCAGAAAACAACACGATCCAGTTTCTCGAGGTTGTCCGATTCTTGCAAGAAACTGCGGACCTCGTCGACGGCTGCAAGCGCTGCTTCTTCACTGGGGTATCCGTAGACACCGGTACTCAATGCTGAGAAGGCGATGCTCTTCATCCCACTCTCCACAGCCAACTCCAAGCTACGACGGTAGCAGTTACGGAGCAGAATCTCGTGTCTGTTACCTCCCTTGCTCTTTTCATACTGATAAATCGGGCCGACCGCATGAATGACTTTCTTGCAAGGAAGACGGTAGGCACTCGTGATCTTCGCATCGCCCGTCGCGCAGCCGTTCAGTGTCCGACACTCGCGAAGCAACTCGGGACCTGCAGCGCGGTGGATAGCGCCATCCACTCCTCCGCCACCGAGAAGGGATTCATTGGCGGCATTGACAATGCAATCCACCTGCAGCTTCGTGATATCGTGACGGATTAAGCTGATGGTGTCATTAAAGGCCTGAGATGGTGTGGCCGTAGTAGATGATGCAGGAACCAGATGCTTGAGCCTGTATAGGAGAGAAATGGTTGGAATCTCAGCAAGAGGAATCAAGGACGCCATCGTGGTGGATGTCCTTCAAATCTGACAAGGCAGAGCTTCCCGCAGCACGTCGTTGACTGTAGAGAAGCAACAGACGATGACTTGAGTTACACCAGGAGGGGTGAGATCGGTCACAAAAGACAACGTCTCCTGAGATAGCTTAAAGGCCTGATGATCTCGATGATCTTGTTGATCTCTTTGACCTGGTAACTGGATGTCTGGGCAGATCGTCGGTCTTTGGCGGGGAAAGCTTACTTACTTAGCTCAAGGCTCAAGCTCCCCAGACGCACGTGAAACCGTCTTCTTCACTTGAGAAGTTGAGAACAGTACTATCTATTCAATATCATCATTATCCTCGTTTTCTTCCAGCAACTTGATTTGACTTTCCAGAAAAAGCCAATCACGAGAACTCATAGCCTAGATTTACATATTTTCCACGTCCTTGTCTTCTAAGGTCCGTTCAGATAATTAATCGGCAGCTGTATACAACAACCTGCTTGCGATTATTGTGGTAGAGTATTTCTGCACACCACAAGTAATGATGTTTAAATGTTTGGATCCATTATACAATACACTATTCTGCTATCCCAGTAAATCTTTTCAGCGATCCCCGTATGATTAATTAAATGACTCCGACAATTGATCGTGATAATCCGTATGTTGATGCAAACGAGGCAAACAAGCTGTCCAGATTCAACTCCGAGATGTGAGATCCGTATTATCGATTACGATCAGATCTCAAATATTTGTTGACATTCAATTCCCCCAATGCAGGTCAGAATCCATAGATACTGACACTTCCATAACTATAAAATAGACTCTAAGGAAGACAATCGCTCAATTGCCCTTCCCCTCCACGCCCTCGACTCCCTGCATCATCACTGTCCATCACCGATAATGCCTCCGCCGAGACCGGATATAAGACCAGGCTCCAGCCCACAGCAGAAACCTCGAGTTCTCTCACAAGATGAGCTTTTAAGACGCTCTCTAAGACCGGAGCCTTCAATAGCAACAGCGACGACCCCCATCCCTACCTCCGCCCACTCCGCCGCTCCTCCATCAACATCACAACCCGCTTCCTCCGCCAGACCCTCCTCTATTCTCTCCCGATTCCGAACCAGCTTCTCCCGCCTCCCAGTCCCCGTCCAACGGACGCTCCGAGTCGCTCGTGTCCTCGCTCCCATTGTCCCAATTGGGCTTTTCTTTTCCGAACATGTCCTGCAAGTGATGTGGGTGCGCGGGCCCAGTATGACCCCGTACTTGAACGAGGATTATGCACAGATGCAGACAAAGAGTGATATGGTGCTGGTGAATATGTGGCCATGGGGCGGATGGCCATGGGAGAGGAAAAGGAGGCTGGAGAGGGGGATGGTCGTTACCTTTCGGTATGTCTGGGCCGTTTTGCTGCTTGTCCCTTTTTTTTTTTTTTTTTTTTTTTTTTTTTTTTTTTCAAACACAATTGGGACATCCACTCTGGTCTTTGGTCTCGGTGATTTGGTTTTTGGTGATGCGCTCATGCTAACAATTCATCTTCCGCGCCAGTTCACCCGCGAATCCCGACAATATCGCTATCAAACGTGTCATCGCTCTGCCCGGGGATCGAGTCACGACAAGAGAACCCTGCCCACGGGAATCCCAGATCGTACCGTTCAACCACGTCTGGCTAGAAGGAGACTCGGCCGATCCGAAAAGGTCGTTGGACAGTAATACCTACGGGCCTGTCAGCATCAGTCTGATCACTGGCCGCGTGATCGCAGTTCTATGGCCACGGACGAGGTTGTTACGGTGGTGGGATTGGGAGAATGGCGGCGATAATGGGATTAGCGACGAAAGGAAATCGACGTATGGAACGGCGGTCAGGGAAAGGGTGTTGAAGGAGGCTGTGAAGCTGGAAAAGCCGGTTCTGGAATAGAAATTGTTACCGACATCCTTTCTCTTAACCTCCTAGTACCGCTTTGATGCGGTATTGGGAGGGCACTTTGAGGGTGAACTGGCATTTCTTGGCCATTTCAAGGGGGGGGCATTTGTCTTTCTCGTGTACTTTATAGAATCATAAACCCGCATGCGTTCCTGTAACTATGAATAATACCGAATAAAAGAGAATTCCACTGAATAACGAGAGGCAAGATTCTAGGTAGGGTCACAGAAGCAGGGTAGGAAGAAAAGCATGCGAAACGGGAAAAAATCTTGATTTGCTTGAACTGCTGGAGAATACCGAGATCTATTGACTATTTATGCCCTAGGACCTCATCGTGGGCGATTACTGCTCGGAGCACTGCCTCCGCCAGCGTACTTCTGTGATTCCTATCTGCTTTGATCCTAGATAGGTGGAATCAGGTACCTGATGCTGATGGTCTTATACCCTTTGTGAAGGGTGCTGATGGTATCTGCAGCTCGTCTTTCAATAAAGCAGTTGGGCGCCGACAAAGATGCCATCGGAAGGTCCCTACCCTATGGCCAAAACAACAAGGATTCATCCTGCTTTAATCACCTAACGCCATTCTGTATCCTAACAGCCCCCAAAGCCGATGGAAGGAATCTACATGAGGGATGGTTGCAATCATGCGCTCAAGAATCGGAAACGATACGGACGTCCTCCAGCCGCTCGTCTTGTAACCGATCCATCTCTGATTCGATACTCAGCACCCATCGGTCTCTCTCCACTCGACTTCGTGCTTTGAATACTATTGACCGACCAGGAACACCCAACATGGAGACCTGTCGCAATCGCCGCCGTGCATGTCCTCCTTGCTGGACCTCAGATGTGCGGAAAAGGTCCTTGCGGAGTGGATGCCATATCACGAAGCAGACCGCGGTGTCCTCATCGCAAGTTGTGAAGCCATCTGTCGAAAGATAGATGCGTGGCAATGGATGGCGACCAGGACGGTTGTTGTCAAACGTCTGGTTCGCGTAAAGAAGATCCGACTCGGTCAATAGGCCGGCATAGATGTAACAGTCGCTGAGGTCGAGAGTAGTGTCAAGCTCCTGATGTATATGGGGTATTTCGACACCAGTACTTCTTCGCAGCGTGCTCTTGAAGATCATTAATTTTCCATCTGAGAGGATCACATTACAGCGGGTAAAGGTCGAGTGACGGCGTGGTTTACGATACAATGGTCCGGACATCTAGTGGTTAGAAAGATTAGCTGTCTGTTGTTTCACCCAAGAGTAAGAAATGAACATGTTAAAGGAAAATGAAGAAACACGAAGATATGTATACCTTTATTGCTCGACACCCTATCAAAGCACACAAGTTATAGAGATGCGGGGACGCCTGCGCCCTCCTGACCTCCCACTTCTGTGCGAACTGTCCCAGCATAGACTCCATTTCTTCGTCAATGCCAAGCAGTTCGAGGTTCTGACGCCGTAGTGCTTTGATTTCGGCCGTATCTGCGGCGGTGCGTGCTTTCCAATACCGGACCAATGCATCCAAACGTTTCATCCATTCGTCCCTCGTATGGTTGTCGTAGGCTTGCAGTCGAACTACAAGACCATTGTTCAGTAACAACTCGAAAGTTCTATCGCTGTCGAATTGACTTGTCGCGCCGTCGTCTCTACGCGTATCCCTGACCTCCTGGTGAAACTCAATGTCTGGTCCCTCGCCCACGTTTGCGTCAGCAGGAGAGCTGCCGCGCTGAACATATCTCACTTCCCTTACCCTGCACAAGTTTATGAAACCATCAGCCTGACTTAGATTGTGCAGATTTCGTCGCACATGCGCATATGCTTCTTGGTCATGGTCTCGAACATAGTCCTTATTACCACCGGACAACCACGCAATATCTCCGTTTTCGATCGGATAAGGGTCGATATCGAACTGAATCGGCATTTTCTGTACGATCTCCGAAGATGAGGGTATATTGCCATCCCTCAAGGCAGGCAATTTCGGTGGCGGAGGTGGCGCAGCCTTCGCCGGCTTGCAGAAGAAAAGGTAGTTATCCTGAGTTGAGAAATAGAGTCTTTTGAAAAACATCCTATTGAATCGCTGATGCACACCCTTTTGAGACGTCAGGCGAATTAAAAAACCTTCCACAGGAGGCGGCTCATGGTCCTTTTCTTCATTGCGACCTTTAACGGCGGTCGGATAGTGATGTTTCGGTCGGAGTTCAAGGTCGTGATACATCTGCATCCCCATGGCGCCGAACATTCTACGTTCGTTTGGACCAACCACCCACTCCAATCGATCATAACGTTTCCAAGCAAGACCCATTTTTTCAACCTCAGACCACGACTTTAAGACATCAGACCATTCAGTTCGGCTCTGAAGAAGCTCCAAGCAGGCGTGTGTAATGATCCCGGCTATATCCTCTTCCGTTCCCATTGCCGGTTCTCCCTGGTCTTCTGCCTTATTTTCAGAACCATATCTTTTATCATGGGCACCAAAAGGGTCCTTGATGATGAGGGACACATCAAGGTCGGGAACGTTGATGAGAAGCTTCGATGGCCGACGCCACCCAAGAGTTTGCCGGATAAAAGCGAACCATTCCACAGAATTTGCACCAGATCGAGCTCGTATCATATATAATTTGGTACCGTGTTTGCAGGGCTGATAGATGACGAGCGTCTTATCGAGAGAAGAGTACAGGTTAGCCCTGGTCTGCTTTAAAGTCAGGGGAACCTCGTGGCGGGCTGGTTTGTTGATTTTCGATGTCTGCACTTTCGGGACCACGCGCGTCTTATACATCTGGAGGGTGTACGGTGCATGCTTCTGCTGAGGAGTGTAGCGGCACACAACAAGGTACTCACGCCACTTATCAACAAGATGAGTGTCGATTTTCTGACCGTCGTTTTCAGTGTAATCATCAGGGAGACTTCGGTGATATGCTTGTTCGACGCGGACTAGCATCTTCTCTGCCTTGATAACTTCCCCTTCAAGTGGCTTCCATCTTCGAGGTCGTTTAGAGGCTATACCTTGCACGCGTTGACGGATCCGCTGCTGTTTGTTCAATACGTTGTCATCCAGGTTAAATCGGGCTAGTCTGTTCGATATTGGACTCAGAAGCCACTGGTCAGCCCTAGGATCTTCACAGGTCTCATCAACCTGCGGCATTTGTTGTTGCAGAGAGCGCGGTGGTTCTTCGGAATTGTTTGTTGTCGGGCGAGGCCGCTCATGATGACCCAGCAGGGACGTTGATGAATTCGCATCGCTTACTGACGGCACCGGGCTCAGTCTTTGACGCGCAGAGGGGCGGCCATTTGATTTCAGCTTATTGTCTGAACCATTATGAGGTAGCAAGCGCGCAGTGGCATCGAGATTGCCATGGCGACCAGTGCTGTTGATGTTGGCATTCTCACCATTCCGTGCATCCTCAGCGCTAACATCTGAATCAGGAGCACTTTGAGCAGGTGAGGAGACATGAGCAGGCCCAGAAGACTCTGTCGGCTCATCATTGCTAGATGTGATGACACATTCTTCAGATTGGGATATGTTGTTCATTGGAGTAGATGTGTCGGTGATCCCGGCCCCGGTTGCTAGTTGTTGTAGGTCCTGAGTGGGTACTCTGGATGCATCTTGGGTTTCGTCTGGTCCGGTCTCTTCAGATTCTATAACATCAAGTATAGGAAAGCTGCGCTGTTGGATAGCTGCCAATGAAGCTTCATCCTGTAAAGAACCCAGTCTCTGTTCGCCAGATGAAAGATCCGCAGAGAACGTTGCTCTTCGCGACGAGTAATTCTTGAAAGACAGACCCATTCGATACCATGACTTGCGATGACTGTTCAGCCAACCTTCAGGAATTGGCCCGATGAAGAAACGTCTGGTTGTCTTATGCAAGTGCTCCGCAGAAGCATGGCGCTGTCATGGGATCAGAGATAGTGTCAAACATGTATTTTGTCTGAGAACGTACCAGTTGCTGAGCTGTATACGATCCCGCATCTAGGGCCTCACATTGGCCATGGCATCTCCCCGCATCAACTTGCTGAGGATCGGGCGGTAATTGGGCGGATCCTGGCTGCGAACCCATGGGAGAGGGTGGGCTCTGAAACAGTGCGACTCCTGACTGACAGAGAATAATCCAAGGAATGAATGACTACATATAGGAGTAAACAATAACTAAAACGAGTAGGAAGTGAATACCGGGAATGGCCAGCGATATCCAAACACAGGGTCGCCAGAGCCTCCAGGGCTGTGGCTGAGATCTCTCCGCATTTGGCAGGTATGGGATGAGAACGAGGCACTGTGACGTCATAAGCAGAGTCACGTGCTCGTTTGTCTTGTTTGTCATGTTTGCATGGTTTGAGCTGTCAAAACGGGAAATGAGCCCCGCCATTGGCTTGCGTGTCCCCCCACGTTCCAGGGGCATGATCGACTTGAGACAACTCACCGCGTGGAATACTGTTGCTTAACCCCTCTGCATCTCTGTATCCTCTCCATTAACCACATTTCCCATTCACCTCCTTATCTCGCTTCTTTTTTTTTGACAAGGTCAACAATCTTCAAAATGGCCTCTATTGCTGTGATCCCCGCCGGTGGTACCTGGTTCGACACTCTCCGGAAGTCGTTTGTTGACGTTCCCATTGATACCGCTAACGACGACGGTATCGCTACTACCGAGTTCCTCGAGGCCGCCGAATCTCTGACCACCCTATTCGGTTCGTCATTCAGCCTTTGCGATATGCTGTTTTTCTAGTGTACTTTATCTTAACACTGTTCGACAGATCTGCTCGGCTCTGTCGCATTCTCTCCTGTCAAGAATGACTTGCTAGGAAACATCAAGGTGCTTACCGCCTTTTCGCGAAGATGAGGAATTGTCATTGACTAATCGTACCTAATAGAAAATCAGAGACAGGCAGCTTGCGGCTCCTGAGGAGTCTGCCACGCTGCAGGCCCTCGTCCTGAACGAGTTGAAGACAAAGAAGCACACTGCCACCGAGGGGCTGGTCTGGCTTGTCCGGTATGTCGTCCTGTGTACTGACCGCCCCTGTCCTTGACGGAGCACGAAACTGACCATCTCCATAATAGAGGTCTCGATTTCACCGCTCAATCCCTCCGACACAACATTGACAACCAGTCTGAGGAGCTGGCTACTTCATTCCGTCACGCTTATGGTAACACACTTAAGCCTCACCACTCCTTCGTTGTCAAGCCCATCTTCAGCGCTGCCATGTCAGCAACCCCGTACAGAAAGGACTTCTACCCCAAGCTGGGCGATGAGACCAAGGTCCAAGCCGCATCGCAAGAGTATGTGGCAGCCCTCGAGAAGCGCGTCGCTATCTTGAAGGCTTTCCAGGATCGCAAGGAAGCTAAGTGGTAGACGGATTGTTATGTGATCGAACATCTCAAAGTCATTTTAGAACCATCTTTTATTCAAATCAGCGTTTTGTACAGCGGGCATATGTATGCATGCAAGGTTCGTTCAAGATGATGCGTTATTTGATTCCACTCGCAGTCATACTCAGTGGCGACCGATCATCTCGCTATTTATAGGAGAATCGAGATACGAAAGATCACCCCCGTGATTCATAAAGGAACTAAACTCTTGCTCACTCAGACCAAGATCATAATACTCACATGTAGTAACTTGGTGGAGAAGATTACAGAACCGTAGTCATACGTCTTTGATACAACGGTAAATAATCTGCTCGAGGAATATGAGGACACTGAAATAAGAGGAGTGTCTACGGACTTCCCTAGCCAGGAGTGGGAAATTGCGTTTGTCCATAGGAAGATGTCAAAGTCCCCAACTGGCTCATTATATTACCCCCGTCGTTTCACTATTTTCCCGTTACAGTAGAAGCAAGCTAAAGAACCTAGAAAAACACCCCGGTCGCGATGATTGCTTTTTGTGTGAGATTTCCTGGAAATACATCCAATGTGATTCTCGCTTCGTGCTATAAAATAATATTGTAGTATTGGCCTCCCCCCCGCCCCCGCCCCCGCCCCCGTCTCATAGGGACGGTTTGCAGCTTATTGTAGTGACCTGTTACTGTCCATGTTTACCATACGGCGGTGCAGTGTCTACCTGAACGACCACTCATGTTTCTTGGTTTATGGTACATACTTTTATGTACCTATTCCATCCGTCTTACCTGGAATGAGTAAGTGGCGATCCGATCTATCCGCTTTAGATTCATGCCATATCTAAACATCATGTGGATGGAGTTGTGCCATTTGATCTCCTCATGGCCCTTCACAGTTACCTAGGTGTTCTCTTCCAACTAGACCTGCATGTAAGTATTGAGACTAGGTAGTCATCCTTAAGGCCCAGTCCAGTGTAAAGTCGACAATATCGGGCCTCGACGATGACGCGTTCGTCTCGACAGTAACTATCAATGGAGTGATCTCCAGGCAGGAGTAATTGTAATGCTGCACTTCGTTTGCCAGTGCCAGTTGCGCGGAGAGTCTGTATGTACATGTACATCAGCACCACGATGGAGATCAAGCATTATCTACGTCGTACGGGTGCTGGGGGGTATGAATCTGCTTCCTGGAATACCGTCTTAGCAAAAAGATAAGAGCACCCAGGAAGCCCGATATGCAATGCCGTAAGTCAGTACGTAGTAGAGTAGGTCGGGTTACGGTTATTAATTATTCGGGTCTTGCGTCTCGGGAAGAACGGTCACACACAGTTCTGAATTGATAACCGGCGTAACAAAAAAAAAAATGAAAAATAGATAAAAAATGAAAAATGAAAAATAAACTCGTCTGATAATCAACGGCAAGGACATATGCATGATCCCGCGAATTAAGTTTACCTATCATGTCTTACAATGAGCCGGACGGGAAGAACCTATTATTGAGTGATAAGTATGGCGCCACAAGAATCTATCTACCATAGACACTCTAGGCTTTGGAAATTATACCAACACATCGCCACGCCAGATAAAATCCAGCATCTATCCGAAATGCTCAATATAAGCGAGTTTGTCTAGAGTCCCGTCTCGCTGCATGATTGCCGTCAGTTTCCGGGTAACGCTATCAGGGGCAAATAATGACTACGAATACTTTTACTCCATAAAAAGGTGTCCCAAAGCCACGGAAATAGTCTAGTTGTTTTTAAGCGGTCGGGGCCGGAGATGACAGCGGCGACTTTCAGGGGGGTCGCTTATCTTGACTGAAAGCATATTTTCTCCAAGCGATATACGCTGAGTTTTGAGGAAATTTCTTGCGCCTTCGCCAGGATCAGTTCCTTTCAATTCAGAGTCTGCAATTGGTAAAACATGAAGTCGATGTGTTGGATGGTTGAGAACATCATAGATCTGTCATATTTGAATGCGTTGGAGAATGGGAAGAAATAATTGTTCACGGCTGAATACATTGTGAATTGTTCGATTGACGCGTTATGTCTCACCTCTCAGCCGGGGATCTCTTCCGTAGAGTCGAGGCATCACGTTTATGATTCTTAGGGAGCGGCACTTTCTCATGTGTGGTGGCGGTTATTCACAGCTACATCGAGGAATAATATTAATATGGAGCAAAAGGTGCTACGTGGTCCTATTTATCTGTGCTTCGGGTCCCTCATCTTGAGGCGTCTGAAGGACAAAACAACCGACGTTCTGACTAGGGTCGCCAAAAGCTGGATTTCAGGTGGGAAGCGAAGCGAAGACCAAACTGCTCTGGATGTCTTGGCCACAGGCTCGACAGTCGGTGACTCTTGTTGTTCTCGTCGTTGCATCAGGATGATCACTTGTCGTTAAGGCGATTGATCAACGCATCGAGAGATCTTCTAGAACGGGTGGTCTCTGCAGCCACGAGGAAGCTTCGACGACGATCAGCGATCTCATCTGTGCTTCTCGAAACTCGGACCTTGCTGGTGAAAATCGGGATTGTTGCCCGTTAGGGCGAATGGGTTCAGGCCTCGTCTCTACGAGGACTGTGCGTCAAGCGTGGGAATTTTGTGTGGTTATGAGAATTTAGAGAATATAGAACCGTAACATGGCCGTCTTGAGGCCCACCATCAAGCCTTGTGTCCACTTGTTGCTGGAGTTGGAACTTGGTCGTCCGTCCAAGTACCATCGGCAGAGTTCGACGGGACATTTCGCTCTCCGCTTGGTGTCCGCTCGTTGGCCGTCGAGCCGCTGCTGCCCGTCCCGACTCCCAGGGATTTCTCTTAACTGGGTTATGAGTGGAGTGCGAGTCATGAAACGGTCTCCAAAAGTTGGGTAGCTAACGAATTGGCGAGTTGTACGATTCATTTCACTGGAGTCCTGGACTGACTGGCCCACATAAGGACCATACCGTTTATGGGGCCCAGACAGCAGATCAAATTCTGCTCCCAGAATAATAGTCGAAAAACCCATCATTGGCAGCAACAGGGATAAAGTATCAGGGATGAGGGATAGTAGTAGTAACTAACTTAACGGTAAAAGTAATATGCCATGCCGTACCAATTAAATACCTGGGCAGTTTTGTGGTGCATCCCGGATAACGGGAAGACATCACGGATGGTCCTCGGGAAGACTGGCGGACATAGAGCTATGATGCGGTACGATCGAGGTCATAATAATAATAATAATGATGTTTGAATCGCAACCAGGGACGGAACAGGGTCTGAACCCGTGCGTACGAAGTAAGTCCTCCGTAGAGCAGATGGCTGCCCGCGCAGATCAGTTCCTTTCATGGTAGGATACGGAGCACGGAGGAGAGGTCTGAGTAACTACTACGGAGTAGAGGACCATCACTAAAAGTAAAGATCCAGATCCGATCTCAGGGGACTCGGTCGTGCGGCACTGACACCGACAACGCCGGACGGACAGTGGACGCACTGATATTCTTCACGGAGGATCTAGATTCCTGAAGAAGAATTATTATTGCCGGCTTTGACCACTGCCAGGTACCACGTCGTTAAATAGAGCCAGGATCACGCCCTTCAAACCGGGCTATCGTCAGGGTAGCAGCATCCATGTGGAGGGAAGGATGTCGACCCCTCATTAACTGGGTATTTCAATTTTTTCGACCCATGGAAAGCAAGCCGCTCTCTCCACGAGAACTAGCTTGCCCATCGAGACTGATCCATGGTCGGGTGCTCAATTCAGATCCCCCAATACTGCTATTTTCGCACTGGCTCTATGCTTATACCATAGATTATTTATCCTTCACCCTAAGAGGGCCATGGTTCACAGGAAAACCTGAAACAAGCTAGAAAAGATCGAGCGCACTGGTATAGTTCGTTCAGCCCTGGATCAGCGACAGGCTTACCACAACTGTCATGCAGGTACGCCGCCAGGGCTGGGAAGAAAAAAAGAGTAGTCTGTAGTCTTGCCGTGGCGGTGGCACGCGCTCAGATACTTGCTTCCCAGAGTACCCAGACAAACTGACGGATCGTGCCGGCTGTTGGTACAACTTCTCAAGCCTCGACCATCATTATTGCCGCCCACAGTTGACTAGTTTGCTGTCTTACCATCCATTATCATCATCATCATGCACGTGGTCCCCATAAAGTCGGCAATAACAGACGCCACAGATCAACCGGCTTGTGCAGCCCTGCACCGTCGGCCAGCGTCCCGCGCCCACGGGTGTCTGGATCCAGAAAGGAAGCTGGAATTATCACCGAACGGTTAAAGTTTCAAAAATAATGTTCGTCGTACTGGATGCAGGTGTTGTATCCCCAAGTGTCTAACCTGAATCCGTTACTCTCCGCCGGCTAGAACTCTGGATGGCCTTGTGGTAAAATGTATATCACTTCTCCACCTCCGTCTCTGTTCTCCAAGCTTGCTGAAGCTTGGCAGTCTCTCCCTCATTTCTTATTATTCATCCAGGTCCTCCGACCCCTTTCTCCTACATCTGTCATTCTCTTATATCTAGTCGTCTGGGGATCTATTTCAGAAAAGGGTCCAACTGCTGTTTGGCGAAGACTATGAGCGGGTCCTCATAGCCGGGAGTGATAATGGAGACCAGCGCCGCCGAAAAACCGTCGAGAGGCCTTGGGGGAGCCAGTACGACGATCTTTGTTGTCACGCTCGTACTCTTCGTCATCTCTTTTATATCAGTCTGCTTGCGATGCTTCGTCCGCTTGAGGCTCGTACGGGCCTTTGGGTACGATGATGGGTTGATGATATTAGCACTGGTATGCGCTTGCTCTGACGGAATATCCGAGATAACTGGCGGTTACTAATGTTCATTGGCAGGCGCTGAATATATGGTTCGCGATATGCGGTATGACGGGTTCTTTCTACGGATTTGCAAAACGGTTTACTCAGATCCCCGAGCAAGACATTCGAACAGCGCTCATGGTATGAACCCAACGCCCTGCCACAGTTATAGGCGGACCGCTGATGTTTTTCTTGCAGTGGTGGTGGCTAGGCCAGGTCTCGTATGTCCTTACATGCGTGGTGGCCAAGATATCGATCGCGCTTTCCATCATGCGCTTGACTGTCAAGAGGGTCCATTCGATAGTCCTTTGGGCCGTGATCAGTGTGACGACCATCGTGGGACTGGTCTTCTGGTTAATGTTAACCTTGCAGTGTCGCCCTGTCGCCTTCTTTTGGAACCGGACTGGAAACGGACACTGCTTGTCTTCCGACTCCATCATTACCATGGCCTATGTCTACAGTGTCGAGGCTGCTGTTTGCGACTTCACTGTGGGAATTTTGCCCGTCTTTGTCATCTGGAACCTGCAGATGAACCGTCGGACCAAGTGGGCCGTGGCAGGAATCCTGAGTATGGGTTGTGTGTATGTGGTGTCATTATTCCTTTCATCATGAAGCTTTTGCTGACGGTCTGGACACAGCGCCAGCGCTGCGGTGGTTATCCGCATTCCTTTCCTTCATCACTACAAAGATCCCGACTTTCTACGTAAGGATGCCTTCTCTTTTTCTCCGCAATTGACGGCATTGCCATTGACACATGACTGACGGAGATGAATATCTAGATGCAACAGCTAGCATTTCTATCTGGTCCAATGTCGAAGCCAGTCTCGGAATTACTGCTGGCAGTTTGATCACCCTCCGTCCCCTATTCCGTTTCTTCCGCGACGGCTCTCTCAGTGGCACTCGGAGTGGGAAGAAAACAAAAGACAGCATGCAGCTCTCTGAATTCGGTGCACATGGACCTACTTCGTCTTTCAAAGGTTACAAGGGGCCCGGTTACTGGCGCCCAGACGTTGATCCGGATGAGTCCCATGTGGTCGTCACCACCGGCAACCCAAGTCGAAGGCATTATCGGCAAACCAGCAAGAACAGCAGCCAAGAGGATTTGAATCCCAAGGGAGGAGGAGAAGATTCCCATGGCGTGGCTGTTCAGAAAACCTTTGTTGTTACTTCTGATGAACTGGTATAGGCATCCGAGGGAGTTTGTTTGGCTTTGAGGGAATATGGGTGTACATTGGACATAAAAAAATTAATTCGGGGCAAAACACAAGATATCCATTCATGCAGTTACGCTTATTGAGAACCTGAGCTCTGACAGCCGGTCAAGAAACACTGTGCCCAGCCGCCCATGTAGTCCATATGCACGTTGTAACAGCAGACACGGCATCCTGGACGAACGGGAAGTCTACACCCAACCAGGATTGAGCGATGACATGGGTCCTAGTGCATGGTTATATCTCGGGCACGCGAAGCTTGGAGATGAAGATGCTTAATTCTCCTAAGATCGAGCTCTGAAGCTCTAAGCTATCTAAGCTATCTAAACTCTCTATGCGAAGTACTAGACCTAAAGCAGAAGGAGGCAGGCGATATCCGCTTGGCCTACAGGCCTAAAATACCCCCCTTAATACCTCCTGAAGTTATAGATACTTCCTAATAAAGAAATTAATTAATTATTCTAGTATTTATTATCCTAATCCCCTAAGCTAATATATTTAAGCTTAATTAATACCTTAAATTTATTAAATTTAATCTTATCTAATAATTTAGTGAGCCCGTCAGCTAGGTTAGACTTCTTATTAATCTTATTTAATTTAATTGTTCCTTTAGCTAGGGCATTGCATATAAAGAAGTAGCGATTATCGAGCCATTTAGTAATAGGCCAATATCTCCTATTCTCTACTAGAACTGTGGCATTTATAATATTTATATAAACCTATATAAGATTTGTGTTATTTGCTAATTCTAATCCTAGTCTAATAATTAATTTTTTTATAAATAAGGCTTCCTTTATAGCTAAATCTAAAGCATAGAATTTAGCAATTATAGTGCTTAATATAATAATCTATTACTTCTTACTTAACCAGCTAATAATAGATCTCTTATAAAAGATAATAAAAGCTTTAATTAACTTTTTATTAGGGTTATCTTAATAATTAGCATTAATATAGATTTTAATTCCCTTTTCTAACTAGCTGCCTAATTTAATTTTATAAGAAGGGTATTATCTAAGATAGCGTAGTAGATGCTTAACAGCGCTAATATCTTTATTATTCAAATTATTTACCTTCTTTTAGAGATAGTTAACTGCTTAAATAATATTTGGGTATATCTTTATAGCGAGCTAATTAAGCTTGCCGACTATAATCTAATACTATAATACTATATCTTTATCTATAAGTATCTCTAAAAGCTATATCTTATAAATTAGCTTTATTAATATAGATATCTTCCTAGTATATCTATTATAAAATCCCGATTCCTTTAATATATTAGGGATATATATAGACTGGCTTATAATAATTATATTATTATCTATATTCTGTATAAGCTTATAATCTAAGAAGCGACTAGGTTCCCTAAGAATCTTTATATTAAATTATAAGCTAAGCTTATTAATAAAATAATTAATTCCTTTATTAGTAGTGGCAGCAATTATTATATTATTAATATAAATAATAATATAGTCCTCTATACAGTGAATTAGGATATACAGATCTTTATTAAGCAGTTTAAATCCTATATCTTTTAATTTATCTATAAAGGTTTTGTTCTATAAGAAAGCTAATTAATATAGGCCATACAGAGCTTACTTTAGTAGATAGATATATCTCTTTATCTTCTAGAATCCTATCAGTTGCTATATATAAACTTTACTACTTTTTAAGACTGCGTTTAAATATATTATAATAATATTATATTGCCTCTAGTAAAAACAGTAAATAGCAACTAATATTATAAATATTTTAATTACTGTTTTAGATATAATAGGACTATAATAATATTTATAGTTATCTATTTATTAGAAGTTACTATAGACTATCTATCTAGCTCTATAGCTAGTAATATAGCTATCAGTATTAAACTTAAGGTTATATATCTACTTCCCTAGGAGTATCTTAGTATCCTTTTCCTTTAGATATGGCATTAGTTCCTAAGTATACTTATCTTTAAACTTTTATATTTAGATAACTATAGCTTTATATTAGTTATTATAATATAATAACCTTATTGCCTGCTTATATATTTCTGGTATAAATATATTATAAGCGTATTATTTATTAATTGCTATAGCATAAATATTAAAAGAGATTTTAAACTTCTTCTTCTCCTTTCTCTTAATAGCCTAATATTTAATATCTCTTGCTTAATTATTTTTAAGCTAAGTCTGTAGAGTTCTAATCCTTAAAGATATATAGACTTCTTCTATCTCCAGTTAATATTGTTTAGTAAGTTTAGATAGAGGAAGGGGTAAAGGTAGAGGTTTAATATAGTTAGAACTATTATTAGATTCTATATTATAAAATATTTTATTAGTATTAATAATAGGATCTTCCTATATAGAATTGCTTAGCTATTTATATATTTTGCTAGCTGTAAGTTAGATTACTTTAAGTCCCTATATAATCTATTTAATTTAATATCTGTTTTACTATATAGTCTATAGTATCAGTAATAGCATTATAATCCTATTCTAATTATTCCCCTTAATTATAGGATAAATTATATTAATAATCTTTAAGTTCTAAATTTAATCTATAAGCAATATTATATCTTATCTTATAGGATTATTATTTTTAGGTACTAGCAGTAATATTAGTATAATATCTCTTATAAAATCTTTAAGATCCTTAAAGAAAGTTATATCTCTAGAGCATTTTATTTTGCCTATATTTAGAAATTAGACCTTATAGATATAGCTGTTATTACCTTTATAGCTAATAAGATAGCTAATCCTTATATATAATAATATCTTAAAAGCTTACTTATAATCTTTTTTAGGTATATAAATATAAGCTTTATAACTCTAAATACAAATATATTATAATATTAAATATTTATTTAGAATATTAAAAGCCTTCCTCTACTTTATAATAAGAGTCTTATATTTATTTTATTTAGGAAGTTTATTAGTAATATAGACAGCAGTCTTAACTGCTAAAGGCTATAATAATTAAGATAATTTTAATATAATAATTATTATATAAGATAGGGAGTTAATATATCCCCTATAATATTCTAATATACTATTTACTTTAGGAGTATAGGGAGCAGTTACTTTAATTATTATTCCTTTATTAATTGCCTAATCTCTAAAATTAAAAAATTTATATCTATTATTAATTCTCTAAGCCTTTAAGTAATAGGAGGTAATATTCTTAATACTCTTAGCGAACTAAATAAGTTTATTAGAGGCTTCCTCCTTAATATAAATAAACTATATAAACTATATCTTTATAGTATTATTAATAATAATTAAATAATAGTTATAGCTATATATACTAATTAGCTTAACTAGCTAGAGATCTATATAAAAGAACTCAGCTAGTTTAGGCTATCTTAGTTAGGGGTCTTTTAAGACTAATTGCTTAGCCTTAAATAAATAATAGGCTTTATAGTAGAAGTTATAATTATTATTTATTAGTTCTATATTAGATAGTTTAATATTCTTAATTAATATCTTTAATTTTAGGACTCTAGTATAGACTAATTAATAATATAGAAGTTCTAGTATAATTACTATTATATTAACTGGTTACGCGAGCTTAAGCTATAGGATATTCCCATATTTATAGATATATCTTTTTAATTTATTTATATCTATATCTAATAATCTGTTCTATTTAGCATAGTACTATATCTTATATAATTTTATAACGCTGAGGGTTAATAGTAGACTGTATTTAAGGTTTAGATTATAATATATATAAACCAGGATTATATTGATTTTTTTACTATCTAGCTATAGATCTAGATAAATATTCTCTTTATCTTAATATTATCCTATAATACTATTAGCATAGTTAAAATTATATCTTTTATCTTCTTTAAAGTCCCTATACTTAACAAATTAAGATCTATTATTATATATATTACCTAATAATCCTAAGTCTATAATCTATACTAGGGGTATTGCTGATATTACCTATACTAAAAAGGCAATTCCTATAAATTATTTAAGATTTAGGGGTATAAGGATTATAGCAAGACTTAATAACTATCCTAAATTAGCATTAAAATATTAGATCTTATCCCTAGATTTAAAATTCTCTGGTTTCCTTTTTGCGAGATAAAAATAGGTATTTATATTATAGCCCTAGTAATTATAATATCTATATCTTTTATTTTAAATAGATTTCTTATTGTGTAACTCTTTTATATAATTTATAGGGTCTTTATCTTTAGGCAGGATCTTATTAAAATCCTTTAGTTTATCTTTCTTTAACTTAGGTTTTATTAAAGTTAATAATATCTTATTAGTATTATTAACTGCGGCAAGGTTAATATTATATTATTTTATTATATCTATTGCTTCTCTGCAAAGTTATTAGAATTTAGAGCTTATTATTATCTTAGATTTATCTTTAGGCTAAGAATAGTATTATATTATAATCCAGCTTAATAATTTTTTTTTAAATTTTTTAAAAAGGAGTATAGCAGCATACTATAAAATAATCATAAGGCTTAGATTATTAGTATATTATTAAGTATTATAATAGGCAATAATAAACTATTTAATTAATCTATACTAATAATAGTGAGTTCTTATAGCTGCTTTTTATACTAATCTTAATTCTATATATCTTTTTTTAATTAGAATTGTCTTAATTACGTTAATATATTTATTTATATAGATAGCTTATTATAATATCTATTAAAGTTCTTTAATAATCTCTATATCTAACTATGCTGTTATTTAACTTCTAATAGTAAGAGATATCTTTCTCTATCTAATAAACGCATTATAATCTGTAATTTCTGGATGTAGGATTAATAAATTAATTAGATTTTTATATTTAATTGCGCATAGGATATTTTAGATAAAATATAACTAATTATTAAAGTTTGACTTAATTATTAGTTTTTAAATACTGTTAATTTTCTCTGATATCTTCTCTGGAAGATCAGAATCTTAATAATATATTATTATTTTTAAGGATAACTAGCGGGGTTGTTTAATAAACTATTAGTAAGAGAGATAGATCCTGCAGAAAATAGGTCTAGTTTAAGAATATAGTCTTTACAGTAATTAAAGCTGTTTAAATAATAAGAAATAATAAAAAAATAAAGCTATCTGGGCGTATAACTTCTCGGGCACGCGAAGCTTAGAGATAAAGATGCTTAATTCTCTTAAGATTAAGCTCTAAAGCTTTAAGCTATCTAAGCTATCTAAACTCTCTGTGCGAAGCACTAGACCTAAAGCGAAAGGAGGCAGGCGATATCCGCCTGGCCTACAGGCCCAAATTATATCCTTCTCAAGCACTGTCGGTAGCCCGATAGATCTTCCCGCGTCTGAGCGCACCTTTTGACGAGCACTACTGGCCATGCATATGTCGGACGCTCATCTCCGCATAAAACTCCATCGACCCAAAGTTTCACTAAGCAATCCGAGGCTCCATGTCGGAACAATAACATCGCCGAGGTAAAGTCCTCTGTAGAGTAAGTTGAACCGCAAAACGAGTCGTGCTGAACATGAGTAACCCCGGTATGTAACTTAGTGAACTAGAGAGATTACGATGGCTTGTTTCAAGGCTTGCTGATCACAGTTTCTCGGATAGATTACTGTTTTGTTTAGGAGGATTGCCCTGCTTTGAAAGTATGCTAACAGAGGTACCTATTGGCGCGAGGCCACTCGACCAAAAAGGAGAATCTTCCTGTTTGTTCAGCCTGGATCTGAAATATGCGTAATCGATAGGACGTGAAGTATTATTCTGTTATTACATTTAAGCAGTATCTACATCTATTTGAAGATCAGAGACAAATATTCTGACAGCCAATTGTCCAGTCAATGTGAACAGGCAATAATGTCATCAGATGTGCTCTGACAATAACTATCATGCAACCTTGGATTCGTTATGAGTTTCCTAGATAGCTGGAGTCTTACAGAAGTAGCAGCAAATGCATCCTCCAGCTGGAAGCGACTGCAAATTCAGTTCACAGTTCACAGTCCAGAGTGTGCTAAATAACCGAATTATGAACATAAGGAAGTGACTGAGCGATAGGTAGCCAGGTCGACCGGGAATACATTATTCCGGGCGCGGCAGTGGCTAGGAACTGCCATGTGGCTGATCACGCCAATCGATGCCGAGAATCGACGATTAGTGACCTGCGGCGAAATCATCTTGGGAGCTTTGACATCGTCGAGGTGGCTTCTTCGCAGAACTTGTTGCCGCTTCCTTGTACGGCTCTTTTCTCCCGAGGACGCTTGATCGGTCTTGGTGGGATTTCTTGTTACAATATTATCTTGCTTATGATTTACTGAATCCATTCACTTGTTGCTCCGACCTGCCGTCGCGGTCTCTCGAGTTGCCAACATGTCGGTTTCACCCTCCAGCACCCGTCGCGTGCCACTGCATCTAGAGATATCAATGCGTACTAACAAGACCTACAGGGCGAAACTCGTCGATGATCCCCAGATTCAACATGCCTCCCTTCGGAATCCACTCCCTACTCAGATGCATATCTATGTGCTCCCTTTTACCATCATATGGCCCCTGTTCTTCTCGATCTATCTGAATCCCCAGCGATATGATAAGTACATTCAGGGCCAGGAATGGACCTTTGTCTATTCCGGATCTATTATCACTGTACAATCGTTGTTATGGTTGATGACGAAATGGAGTATCAACATCAGGGCGCTGTTCACCACAACAGGCTCCCGGAGCATCGATTCAGCCCAGCTTATCAAGATTATTCCTGTGACGAACGCCGGAGCCGCGGAGATCTGTGACCTGATCCATGATACCACCGGTGGAAAGAAAACCATCTCCTTTTTGTTCCAGAAGCGCCGTTTCCTTTACTATCCGGAGCGGAAAGCCTTTGCGCCACTATCCTACGTCCTGGATGCAGACCCTAAGCCCCCGATCAGGTTCTTCCAGCAGTCCCGTGGCTTGACCACCAAGACTGAGGTTGATCGTGTTCACCACCACTATGGCGACAATACGTTCGATATTCCGGTTCCAGGCTTCATTGAACTCTGGAAGGAACATGCCGTCGCGCCCTTCTTCGTCTTCCAGATTTTCTGCGTGGGTCTATGGATGCTGGATGAATACTGGTACTACTCCCTTTTCACCTTGTTCATGCTGGTTGCGTTCGAAAGCACTGTTGTCTGGCAACGTCAGCGCACGCTGAACGAGTTCCGCGGCATGAGCATCAAACCTTACGATGTCTGGGTTTTCCGTGAGGGAAAGTGGCAGGAGATCAGCAGCGACAAGTTGCTCCCTGGAGACCTCATGTCAGTGAATCGAACCAAGGAAGACAGTGGCGTTGCCTGTGATATCCTCCTCATTGAGGGTAATGTGATCGTCAATGAAGCTATGCTTTCTGGTGAAAGTACACCCTTGCTGAAGGAGTCTATCCAACTTCGACCTGGTGACGACTTGATCGACCCGGATGGACTTGATAAGAACGCATTTGTCCATGGAGGAACTAAAGTCCTTCAAATCACACACCCAAGCTCCAGCGCACAAGGTGCAGAGAAGCTCCCGGAGACATCCCCCGGGGTCCCTAACCCTCCGGACAACGGTGCTCTGGGCGTGGTTGTTAAGACCGGATTTGAGACCAGTCAGGGAAGTCTGGTTCGCACAATGATCTACTCTACAGAGAGAGTCTCCGCCAACAATGCTGAAGCTCTGCTTTTCATCCTGTTCCTGCTCATCTTCGCCCTGGCTGCTTCTTGGTACGTGTGGCAAGAGGGTGTTCAGAAGGATCGCAAACGGTCCAAGCTTCTGCTTGACTGTGTCCTGATCATCACGAGTGTTGTTCCTCCTGAACTTCCCATGGAGCTGAGTCTGGCTGTCAACACCAGTCTTGCTGCCCTCAGCAAATTCGCCATCTTCTGCACAGAGCCGTTCCGCATTCCCTTCGCTGGCCGCGTCGATGTGGCCTGTTTCGACAAGACTGGAACATTAACTGGCGAAGACCTTGTCGTCGATGGAATTGCTGGGCTTACCCTTGGCCAGAAAGGAGCCCAAGTGGAAGCCAACGGTGGTCACACTGAACTGGCAAAAGCTGAGGGTATTGATGTGTACACTGCACTTGTCCTTGCTTCGGCTCACGCCCTTGTGAAGCTGGATGAGGGAGACATTGTTGGCGATCCAATGGAAAAGGCTACATTGGAATGGCTCGGCTGGGTACTCGGTAAGGATGACATCCTTGTCAGCAAGGGTGTTTCCGCGAAGAGCTCCTCTATTGTTCCAGAATCTGTTCAGATTAAGAGAAGATTCCAATTCTCTTCTGCTCTTAAGCGTCAAAGCACTATCGCGACCGTTACTACCACGGACCGAAAGACTTCAAAGAGGACGAAGGCGACATTCGTCGGTGTTAAGGGAGCACCAGAGACTATCCGGTCCATGCTGGTCAACACGCCTGAGAACTATGAGGAGACCTTCAAGTATTTCACCCGTAACGGAGCTCGTGTCCTCGCCTTGGCCTACAAGTATCTCTCCCCGGAAGCCGAGATCAGCCAGGGACGTGTGAACAATTACACGAGAGAAGAGATTGAGTCAGAATTAACTTTCGCTGGATTCCTTGTTCTTCAGTGCCCTCTGAAGGAAGATGCTGTCAAGGCGGTTCGTATGCTCAACGAGAGCAGCCACCGTGTAGTCATGATTACTGGAGACAACCCACTTACTGCCGTTCACGTCGCAAGGCAGGTGGAAATTGTCGATCGTGACGTGCTCATCCTTGATGCTCCCGAGAATGATACCTCTGGAACGAGACTCGTCTGGCGTAGCGTCGATGACAAGTTCAACCGCGACGTGGACCCCACGCAACCCCTGGACCGTGAAACTCTGGAGACTAAGGATATCTGTGTCACTGGTTATGCCCTGGCCAAGTTCAAAGGTCAAAAAGCTCTTCCGGACCTTCTCCGTCATACTTGGGTATATGCTCGTGTGTCGCCGAAGCAGAAGGAGGAGATTCTTCTTGGACTCAAGGATGCTGGTTACACTACCCTGATGTGCGGTGACGGTACAAATGACGTTGGTGCACTGAAGCAGGCTCATGTCGGTGTCGCTTTGCTGAACGGTTCGCCCGAGGATCTCACCAAGATTGCTGAGCATTACCGGAACACGAAGATGAAGGAAATCTACGAAAAGCAGGTCGCCATGATGCAACGATTCAACCAGCCTGCTCCTCCTGTTCCTGTTCAAATTGCTCACCTCTATCCTCCCGGCCCGAACAACCCGCACTATGAAAAGGCTATTGAGCGAGAAGCCCAGCGGAAAGGTATTACCAACGCTTCTGCTGCTGGTGTTCAGGACACCTCCAAGCCCGAGGCTACCATTGTGTCTCCCGGTGCACAAGCACTGCAGCGGTCGAACCAGAACCTCTCTCCTCAGCAGCAACGCCAGCAGCAGGCCACTGTGGCAGCTGCGGGTCTTGCTGATAAGCTCACTACCTCGATGATGGAGCAGGAGCTCGACGATAGCGAGCCGCCAACGATCAAGCTGGGCGACGCCTCGGTCGCTGCCCCCTTCACTAGCAAGCTTGCTAATGTCGTTGCCATTCCCAACATCATTCGCCAAGGCCGTTGTACCCTCGTCGCTACGATTCAGATGTACAAGATTCTGGCTTTGAACTGCTTGATCAGTGCCTACAGTTTGAGTGTGATCTACCTCGATGGTATCAAGTTCGGAGACGGCCAAGTCACCATTAGCGGTATGCTCATGAGTGTCTGCTTCCTATCCATCTCTCGTGCCAAGGTAAGAACTTGATTATGGCCTGATTCCAGGTTATTTCCTAATGTGAACGATATATGCTAACAATATCTTCAGTCAGTCGAAGGCCTGTCAAAGGAGCGTCCACAACCGAATATCTTCAACGTCTACATCATTGGTTCGGTGCTTGGGCAGTTTGCCATTCACATTGCGACGCTGATCTACCTTTCGAATTATGTCACCAAGATTGAGCCGTATGTCAATTCCATAAACCCATGTCTTCCGGGCAATGACAAACTGATAAAACCTACAGGAAGTCGAATGATGTCGATCTGGAAGGCGAGTTTGAGCCATCTCTGCTCAACAGTGCCGTCTATCTGCTTCAGCTTATCCAACAGATCTCTACATTCTCTATCAACTACCAGGGTCGCCCATTCCGCGAGTCTATCCGCGAGAACAAGGCCATGTACTGGGGTCTGGTGGCTGCCTCGGCTGTTGCCTTCTCTTGCGCTACCGAGTTTGTTCCCGAGATCAACGAGAAGCTGCGCCTGGTGCCATTCAGCAACGAGTTCAAAGTCACGTTGACGGTCCTGATGGTTCTGGACTACGCTGGCTGCTGGATCATTGAGAATGTTCTGAAGCAGCTCTTCAGCGACTTCCGTCCTAAAGACATCGCCATCCGTCGACCAGACCAGCTGCAGCGAGAGGCTGAGCGCAAGAGAAAGGAAGAGGCGGAGGCAGAGGCTGAGAGGGAGAAGCAGCGTAAAGTCTAATGTTGTTATATTACGATGGGTGATGGCAATGTATAGATTGTCTCAATGGTGGGAACAGTATACTGTCTGCCCCCTCACCTGCAGCTTATGAGGGCAGCGGCGGATAGAGATCTCATAAACATGGTGCTTATAGAATCAAGTAGTTGTGTTGACTTATTGCTGAGCCCTGTAATAGATTTTGACGCGCTTTTTTCATGAGAGGATGAGTTTCCATTCCTGATTCTGGGCCACTGTCACTGTGTTGGTTAACGGAGCGGTAGAGAATAATGCTTAGAAGTGTTTGCCACACAATGGCCTTAGAAGGAAAGTTTCTGAGAACCCTATGGACCTTTGCCCCGGTTCAGTGGGAGACGTTGAATAGTTATTCGATGCCGAAAATGATGCGATTCGTGGGACCGATGTTGAAATTCCCCGTTTGGGTGGTTGGCCACTGGACGAACGGGGCCTCTCTTAACAACAACTATTAAGTAAACCGTGACTTTGGAACCAGAACAATCGGTTTAAAAGGTTCATAAATAAAATGGCCTCCTTGAATGTCTGGTATGGCTCTGAAAAAGGTGATGCTCTTGGTTTCCGCTTAATAAATCAGCCATGGGATTGCTCACGACTGACTACTCCGTAACTACTCCACGAACCGTGGATGTGGGGCTTGTAGATGAATAGCTTGTTGCTCTTTATACTCCGTGCGGAGGACTGGGGGTAGCGGCATGTTGGATACCGAGTCGTTATTGTCGCTATTTTTCACATTGCTACGTCTTTCTGAATCTACGGTTTTTTTTTTTTTTTTTTTTTTTTTTTTTTTTTTTTTTTTTTTTTTTTTTTGGCTCATGGCTGTTCCGAACACTGAATATCAAGCAGTACCTGAACCATAACCTCGGGATGATCAGCTGAGTACGTAGCAGAAAGCGCTGTCCAGGCGTTATAAGACTCAAGTGGTGTCGCCTAGCGAGGTGTGTATTGCGCAATGGGTGTTCGACATCACAGGGCACAGGGCACAGCAGGGACGGCAGGTGCTGGGGGTAATCTTGAATCATTCAGCCGGAGATGAGGCGAGAACCAGACCTTTTCCAATCCAGATGTTTACGCTCATGAAGAGCCCAGTAAGCTTATTAGCTAGTAGTAATAATTCCATCGCGTAACTAACTTCCCCCGCCCTGAACGTGATCGTCAACCGAAAGGCATTAAGCTCTGTCACTAACTCTTGTTAGCGGGAGTTGGTTTCGAAGTGTCGTGGGTAGATGTTGTGATGTGGATCTGTAATGGTGAAATTACTCTAGAGCAGAATGATCCCCAAGCCAGTTTCTTTGGAGTTTCCCCTCTGGGGAAGCGGCGATGTGGCCACGGAGGAAAGATACTTAGTTACTACTACTATTTGAAAGTCGAGTGCCGTCGCTATTTCCTTGATGTATAATAATAAATACATAAGCTTGCTCTGCCCTTTCCTCTTCCAGCTGGATCCAAAGTTGACAGTCTTCGTTGTTCTGTTGCTTCTGTTGCACTCAGCCAAACTCCTCGTTACGAACATAGGAATACATACAGCACAGAGTACAGCCTCATTGAATTTGATTAGCAGTGCATAATTTCGAACCAAGATATCCAGAATGGCTACCTATCAAAATGGGAGCGTCCCTCCCGAGATCAACAGGAAGACCTCTACAAGCGAGAAGAATGAGGAGTTTACGGGCATAGAGTCTCTTTCCCACGTTGCAACATACCGCACGCAACCATTCAATTCCCCTCAGGTTATCCCCATACCGACTTCGGTGGCTTCTGGTTTGGGCGTCCCAGTAAGTACTCGTCTATTTTGCAGGCTTCAGACTTGTTTTTGAAAAGTCTTGTGCACTGACTTGCTGATTTGCTTGTAAGACCGCCCTCGGTATTGGCGCTTTCGCGACGACATTGACGACTTTGTCTCTCTCACTGATGGAATGGCGAGGAGTTGACACGAAGAATGTTTTCATTGCGAATTTCTTCTTCCTGGCGGCGATCGGCATGGTCATCACTGCCCAGTGGGAGCTTGTTAGGGGAAATGGATACGGATATGTCGTATTGAGCGCTTTCGGTAGGTTCATCTTAGCTGGTCCATATTTGATCAATATTTCGTTATTTAGATGCTGATGGTCGACCAACAGGCCTCTTTTACGGAGGATATGGTGCTATCATCACACCTGCATTCGGGGTAGAGGCTTCATTTGGCGGCGATACGGCACAGTACTACAATGCCTCCGGTTTCTTTATGATCAGTACGTATTCAATTGATGATATCTGCCCGATGCCATGAAGTGTACGTGATGCTTACAGGTTACTAGTATGGACTGTCCTGAACCTTTTCTTCACTATTGAATCTCTGACGATGTAAGTTTCTGGTTCCCGCCGCAGGAAGCATCTCTTACGCGAGTTCTAATGACCTTGGATAAAATAGCAACATCGCATATGCCGGTATATTTGTCTTCGTCGAGCTAGGCTTTCTCTTCATTGCAGCAGCCTACTTTTCCATTGCGGACGGCCACGAATATGCGGGAATGGTTCTCCAGAAGCTGGGCGGAGCGTGCTGCTTCGTATCAGGAATGTTTGGTTGGTACACCATGGGCCACTTAATGTGTCAGAAAGCCCTCTTCTTCTCCTTCCCACTGGGGGACACCAGCCGATTTTTCGAGAGGCGCAGGAGGGACTAGGTACCTAATTAAGGATAACTGCAGAGCATGTTATTGTGAATTGTTTTCTTGCCATCAAAGGCAGGGTGTTTTCACACGTTGAAAGTGAAAGGATTGACGATAGAGCATTGATTACCTTTAACTATTGGTATAAAAGAGCAGTTTATGTCAGGCCATCGAGCCATTAACCCGCCAATGTTAGAATAGCATCATCCAGTCCGGAATCACAAAACGTATTTTACTAATTGCTCACGATGTATCCAGGCTAGCGGCATGGATTGAAGATTCCCCATTGCATAACTAACATTGTTCAGATAATTAATTACTGATCATGTCCTGAATAGTTACAATTGAGGAAACCTGTGCCGATCCTGACGGCACGATGGCCCACCTTTCCCGTTCTATCAACGCCAAATCAGACCCCGAATCTCGCAATCAACACTAAACTTTGTGCAAGCAATAGTGGCTCTCCGAGTATCTCTTGCACCACCGTTGCGACAGCAAACGGGATTTGATTTCCTCGGGCATCTTTCTGATGAGATATTGGATAGGTGGGACAGGTCCAGAAGACGTGATTGCGCCTAGAAGCACACAATGCATAGAGAGCCAAGGAGAGCGAATAAGGGGCCTGTCTCTGTCCGTATCCCTTTACCGTGAAAGGGAAAATGGATAACATCGGCAAAGCCCTATTGGATACTAGCTATCACGGTCCTTCAGAGGTATATGAGGGGTAAGTAAGAAGATTGGACCCGGCAATAGTAATGGACAATAATGGCGAAGAGGATGAACAGAACTTCACACTCCTGGAAACCGTTCCCTCGGAGATCAAAGCTTAATATCACACCATCAGAGAGGGTTTCTGGAAAAGATGTAGACTCCAACCTGTACTTAAATAGTCCCTGATGGACCGCAGCTTTGCTCAGGCACCATCGAGACACGACGAAGAGCCAGCAAGCAAGCAAGTATATCAGTCATCATGGCGCAGCACAACCCCACCATCCAAACGCTCCAGAACCATGCCCCTCCGAATCCAGCTCCTCCAGCTTCAGACCCGGCGATCTATCAGGAGCACCATGATGCTTTTGCAGCTGAAGGGCAGCCCAAGGGCTCTGCTGCATGGCTGGAGCGGGCTAAGAAAGTCAGCGACATCCTTGCTGTAGATGCAGCTGCTCGAAGCAAGGAGCAGAAGACTCCTAGAGCGGAAATTGCGCTTCTGAAGAGCTCGGGATTGCTCAAGGTTATTGGTGACGCCAAGTATGGTGGAGGTGGTGAGAGCTGGGAGACTGGCTATAAGGTCATCAGGGAGGTTGCTGCTGGTGATGGGTACGTGACTCGAGATATTCTTATACTCCCTGAGAGCAGTGGCTAATATATATGAGCTCCTGATAGATCCATTGGTATGCTATTGGGCTATCACTTGCTGTGGTCTACAACGGCACGCATTGTTGGTACGGACGAACAGAAGGACCGCTTCGAGAAACTTATCATCGAGAACAACTACTTCATTGGAGGTAAGTGGTCGGTTTCTTTCTTTTTCTGGAGATAATTCCCATAGATCCTAATTCAACCAAATCACTAGGCGCCGTGAACCCGCGCGACAATGACTCCCGCGTCACCAAGTCTGGAGATGGTCTCGTCTTCAATGGCTTCAAGAACTTCAACACTGGTGGTGTGATCTCCGACCTTACCGTTCTGGAAGGTGTCTATGAAGACACTGAACATCATATCTTTGCGCTGGTCCCAACACGCCAGCCGGGTATTATTTTCTCGTATAACTGGAACAATATCGGACTACGCTTGTCTGAGTCAGGGTCCGTGAAGATCGAGAACGTCTCTATCCCATGGGACGATGCACTGGGTTGGTCGAAGGAGACGAAGTTGCCCATCCCTGAAGTACTCCAGAACCCATGGGCTACTCTTCTTCTCCCCAGCATTCAACTCGTCTTCTCCAACTTCTACATTGGTATTGCTTGGGGCGCCCTGCGCACCGCTCGTGGCTACACCAACACTCAAACACGTGCTTGGCCATTTTCGCATGACCCAAAGAAGACCCCGGCGGAGGAGCACTATGTGCTGGCGAAGTACGGTAGATACCTCGCTTCTCTCCGTGCAGCCGACGCTCTCGCAGACCGTGCTGCTACCGAGCTTTCCACCCTCTTGAAGGAGCACAGCGCGAAGCGCGATATCACCCCACGACAGCGTGGAGAGGTAGCCGAATGGGCTGCTAGCGTCAAGGTTACGGCAACACACTCTTCCCTCGAAGTTACTGCTGGTGTGTTTGAAGTGACCGGTGCGAGGTCAACCGCAGAGAAGTACGGATTCGATCGCTTCTGGCGTGATGTCCGAACGCATACTCTGCACGATCCAGTTGCGTACAAGGAGACTGAGCTGGGTCGCTACTGGTTGTTGGATGAGGTTCCCAGTCCTTCTTGGTACACTTGAAGCGTGTCTGATATCCTCGACTTTTGTTTTGGGTTCTTTTTGTAAATAGATCGCCTAAGTATTCTATCAGGTGTGCGCTGGTTCAGCGGACTTTTCTTATATAGATCAAATATAGCTATGTTACCACGAATCGCATATTTTATCTTTCCGGTACCTAGGTACTTCTTGAGCATTGTTTTCTTCTGGGTTTTTCCTCTCATCGGACCGGAGTATGTGTATATGTGGTAGTTTAGGTCCTTAGCCTAATGCTCAAGATTTAATAGGGAATAGATAATAGACCGCTTATGATTATAGACTTCTGGGCTTTTTTGAATCCATGCATACTAATGGATGTAATAATCCGTTCTTCTTCCTGAGACTCTCAATTTCGATCTATACATCTTTTTGATGCATGCTAGTGGTAACTAGCCTTACCGCGTTAGTGCCGTTGCCTCACGGAGAAGGCGGCAACGAGCTCGGGCGGAGGACGAACTTATCATGATTGATACCTGAGACTGGCTCATGTTCAGATACCGCCATCTCCCTTTCTCCCGGTTTTGTTCTCTCCGCTCCTCGCGGATCCCCTCCCATGAGCAGATAAAATCATGTCCCGGAGGACGCTTGGCGGTGGCCGCGTCCTGGGCAGTGGGAAGTCCCTATCGCCAGCGGGCCCGACTCCGTCTCCGCAGACGAAGCCCAAAGTCCTGTCGCCCTCCGCCAGCAGCGTATCGCTCAACTCGCAAGCCTCCGCGTCGCAGTTTTCCTCTGAAACCCAGGATATCACATCTCGAATATCTCTTGAAAATGGAGATAACGCCATCTCTGCTGCTCCGGCAGCTTCCGGCGCGAACCTCGTCTGTCCCATCTGTAATGAGGAGATGGTAAGTCCCGCGGCGCGGATAAGTCGGTGTGGGATGACAGGTAGCTAATGAACTTCGCTCAAGGTGACCTTGTTACAACTAAACAGGTATTATTATCGTTTATCCTAATTACAATATACGTTATGATTAATTCTCTTCCCGCAGACACCTCGACGATGTGCATCAGAACCTCGAGGAAGATAGGCAGGATGAGGTTAAGGATTGGTTCAAGGTCCAGATGGAGAAGGCCAAACGGTTTCAACCGCTGGCCGTTTTGAACCAGAAGCTGAAGGGGCTGGACGTCTTTGAGTCGAACGAGGATTACCATGCTTCGTTGGCCGCGCAGAGTAGGCCCCCTGCAAGCAGCGCGGGGCCCGTCGAACCGATAAGGACGCTGGATCCAGATGAAGTTGTGACGAGAGAACATTGGCAACCACGAACACTCAATGATTTCTGCTTGGAGCCTTCGTGCGGGAAGAGACTGAATGCTATCAACGGCTGTGTTAATTGCAGGAAGTGCGGGAAACTGTTTTGTGAGGAGCATACGATGTACCAGATGAAGCTGTCACGTTCAGCGCAACATGAGCCCGTAAGAGGTCTCTGGTGCAGGGTCTGTGAGACTTGCTATAAGTCGCGAGAAGGATACAATGACCATAATGGTGAGTCCTGTGCCAGATGTTCTGATGTGGCGGAACTGACCTCGACTAGGATATGTGAGGGATCTCACGGGCAGCTTCAATGCTATAAGAAAACAGAAAGTGGATAAGAATTTCCTTGAAGTCTCACGTCTCGAGAAGAGATTGACTCGTCTTACTCAACTTCTCGCGACACTACCGGCAGACCAAATTCAGTCCGGAGCGAATAGAAGGTGGTCGCTCGCATGGAACGGCGAGCAACGAAAGGCGATAGAGCAATCGGTTGTCAGTTGGCAAGATGATGCGAGTGTCGCTAGATGTCCTTTTTGTCAACAAGACTTTACGAGTTATACATTTCGAAGGCACCACTGCAGAACCTGCGGGCGGGTGGTATGCGGTGATCCGGAGACTGAATGCTCAGTTGAGGTTGGGTTGAGCGTAGCCAGTCAGTGTCATCCTGTGAAACTGTCTGTCTTTGCCTCTTTGCTGACCTTTGGCAGGAACTGATACTTCGACGGAGAAGTCTAATATCGGCAAAGTCAATGTCGACGTCAGACTCTGCAAAGAGTGTAGGACGACTCTGTTCAAGAGACGTGACTTCGATGCAGACGTCATGCGAACTCCGCCCGACGTACGGGCGTATAACAACTTGGTACAGTTTGAAAGGGGCATACGACTCTTGCTGCCGAAATTCCAGAGATTGCTAGCAGCGTTGCAGTATGTATCCAGAATCTTGAATTCTTGCGTCAGTTACTGAACTTCCCCCCGCAGAGACCCTGACAGGCCCCCTTCAACCGCACAACTTACCGACGCTTCAAAAGTACGGCGACGACTTATTGATTCGTTTGCGCAGTACGACATCGCTGCGAGACGGATTCGAGATATGCCTACTGAGTCTCGCACCCAGCAAAGACTGCAGAAGGCCATCTATCAGCAAGCCAGCAACTTCCTCCACTTGCATATGCTCCCTCTCAAGACTCTTCCGAAAGTTCTTAAACACGCCACCCCTCATGGTCGTCTAGCAAACGGCGTTTCTGATGCTAGCAGCCGTGCAACGCCCGGCTTTGCGAATGGCCGGCCTCAACCATCGGCCCTCGCATCGATCAAATATGGCAGTAACGCCGCCGGCGGCAGCAATGCCAGCGTTATTAGTGATAACAGCAGTGCTATTTCAACCCTAGAAGCAGAGGAAAAGTCGCTTAGAGAGCGGCTGATCGTTCTCGAGGAGCAGAAGTTCTTCGTGTCAGAAATGATAGCGGACGCTAATCGGCGCCGTAAATTCGACGAAGTCAGCAGTCTTGCCATGAACGTGGAAGATCTCAGTCGCGAGATTGACCGGATCAATGGTATGCTAGCTCAGTTGGACTTTGAAGGCGTATATACTGGCGCTCAAAGGGCACAAACCTAGAGCAGCTACCTAATGGTGCATGTATCTTCCCATATGGCGGAACTCGAAATTTGAGCGTTGATCAACAATGCAATGCTCAGCCGTTGTCCAAGTGCAGGATAGGCCTAACAACGTCGGATCTGTCTTGCTGGAGTCTGGGACTACTTAATCTGCTTTACCACAGCCGCTTTATTTCATGCAGCGAGTTGCCCTTTTTAAGCATTCCCGAATAGGTCCCTTTGGCTGGCGTTTCACAGGAAGTTTCATACGGTGTATCATTTGCATGGCATTGGGCGTTCTCTCTCTATTCCTTGCCATTACAGCGCCTACTAGGTTCTAGCCTCAAAGCAAGCATGGTTAGTTCCTTTTTATTATATCTTGTGTCCCGTGATTAGCATATCTAGAACATTTAGGAAACGAATTTTCATCCTATACTTGAGTCATATATCAATGTCCGTGTGGCTTGGCTTGTTAAATGAGGCTAGCTGTTTGCATGCTATATATACTTTACAGTTTGTCTATCGCAGTCGAGCCTTTAATTGATCACTCTCCCTACTGCCTCTGATGGAAATATCGGAGCTTGGGGCCTGAAACAGAAAAGAAAAGAACATCGCTAGTGGATCGCTACATATAATTGAAAAGTAATCCAGGTCCAAACGCTCGACTCTGTTAAGCGGACTAATAGACCAACATATACCCAACATCCTATACCTCCGTAATGGCCTCGTACTACATCTTTGATCAGTCTGAACTCCTTGTCCATCGCATCGTACTAGGCGCCTAACCTCACGTAGTATTCAGGCCTCCCATCACAACATTTATCCCCGACCTACTTAATTGCGACGTTCTAAAACCCGATTAACTCCGTTTCGACAGACACTCCCATTCTGGAGTATCGAAAGGTATCAAGAGCGAATCGAGCCGCTAATGAATCTATTCCATTTAATGCTAAATTTCTTCATATCAATTCCCTAAATCCATCGAAAAAAAAAACGAACCCCGTCTAAAATCATGTCCAGCAAAGTAATCCTCTGCACCGGCGCAAATCAAGGCCTAGGCTTGGCAATCATCCAAGTCGCAGCTCTTCGCTATCCAGAAAATACTTATATCCTCTGCAGTCGCGATCTCTCTGCCGGTCAAGAGGCCGTTCAGAAATTGAGAGATGTTGGCGTCATGGCTGAAATCGATCTGGTTGAGTTAGATGTGATCAATGATCAGCAGATATATGCGGTCGTGGAGCATGTTATGACTAGATATGGGAGGCTGGATGGTAAGTAACTCTTTTACCCCCTTCTGTGTCGTAAACTACCTATCTTTTTGATTACGCCCCCGGTTCAATAACTAATTGACTATGTTCCCCAATGAAAAAACTAGTCCTGATCAACAACGCCGGAATCCTCCGTCGTACTCCCGACGAAAACGCGACCCTGACTACTATCCGAAACACATATAACGAAATCCTCAATTTGAACCTCACATCCGTCGCAGTTATCAGCACTGCGTTTACACCTCTTCTATACAAATCGACCGATCCGAAAGTCATCAACATCACCTCTGGGCTGGGGAGTATCCAGAACGCATTGACGAAGAAAATGGGTCGGTCTGTACCCTACGGGGCGAGTAAGGTGGGGTTGAATGGTCTTACGGCTCATATGCAAGTTGTGGAGAATGATAGGGTACAGGCGGAGGAGGAGGGCTCTCTGGAGGGAAAGGGCAAGTTGAGTGGCCTTGCGGCTCATATGCGAGGCGCGGAGAATGATGGTGTGCAGGAAGGGGATTCTGTGGAGGAGAAAAGCAAGAGTAAGAAGTCGAAGATTAGGTATTTTGCTTGTCAACCAGGGGTATTGAGGACGGCTTTTTCGAATTATTTCCCCCAGGGCAAGGATCCGGTGGATGGGGCGGAGGTTGTGGTGAGGTTATTGGGGGATGATGAGGGGAAGTATGAGGGCGGGTCATATTGGGAATTTGTGAATGGGGAGATGAAGGTTGTTCCTTGGTAAGGTTAACACTGTTGGTTTTGGTTAGAGGGTGGATACGGTTTGGCATAGGAGTGGTTTTTTTTTGTAGATGGGTTAATATAAACCATGAATTTTGAGACCTGTATCTGCGATGGATATAACACGAAGTAAAAAGTATGGAAGCAAAGCCCGAAATAGACGCTGGACTCCAAATACACATAAATAATGAGACTCGTAATCACGTCAGCTCAGAAATCCTAGCATCATAAATAAGCTGAACATTGTAAACATGGCGACTGCACACCACGGCGTTTGACAGCATCTAGTTAGTCTCATCATCGATTTGTTCTCTCACTTCTTCTTCATTGGTGGATGTCGTATTTCTCTCTGTCAACATTTTTACCTGCTCCGTCAACATGGCAACCTGGTTCTTCAGCTCTCTGATCTCCAAGACACTTGTGTCAACGGCGACATTAGGCGTCGTCAAGGAAACCTGGCGTTCCCATTCCTCGTTATCATAGTCGACGGCTTGAGCAGCTTCTTCCCATTCTTCTAAGACGTTGTCGTCCTCCTCACCGCGGCGGCGATTGGCACGGATCCGGTGCGCCTCGCGCTTCTCAAGCCAGGCAATTATGACGATAAGTGGAGCATAAAGAGTTGCCATTACACAGTTGTTGAGGCGCTGATAGGTCTCACGAGGCATCCACCACTCAAATGGGATTATGAGGAAGATAATCTCCACAAGATTGAAGGCTAGATCAAACTAGTTGAGCATTTAGTCATACAATGAGGAGCAAAGAGAGGGCTTACGTGGTATGAAGACGTTCTCATCAGGTGCTCGGACAAATCCCATCGTCTTCTCCGAGAATAGACCCAGGTATTCATCGACCGCGTTATCGGAAACGTCTTCGTAGGCACTGTTGTAGAGCGCAATGAGGACATTCAGAAGCACTACATGCCGTTAGGGGACTAGCGACAGAAGACACAACAGTTAACAAATGGGGAAGGGGGAGGGAAACATACAAACCATGACAACAAAGTTGAACAAGTAATAGAGGATGATGCCAAAGGGAAATGCGAAATCTTCGAAAGTCTCAAATTCTGGACTCTGCATAATACTGTTGGCCATCCCTTGAATGATCGACTTAGTGATAGGTACACCAAGATCCGCTTGGTCCATTCCCATGAATGCTTGAAGAAAGCCAACCAGGACGAAAAAGAGTAATGCGAAGAAGATCAAACTCTCCTTCATCATAACTTTCAGCACAACCAGCATGGCACCGAAGAACTGGAACGTATCCAAGTAAAGCATGAGTCTCATCCAGAACATCGGAGCTGAAAATGCTAAGAAATTGTAGCTCAATTCGTTGAATTTGCGCCTCGTCTCGTCAGTTTCGGACGACGAGCGAGTTAAAGCAATCACCCGAAGGAAGAAGGAAACCGCAAGAAGGGCGTAGAGTGTCGAGTTGAAGGCATTCCAGAATCCGAAGTAGTATCTTCCTACCTTCCAAAACTTGGCAATTTCATCACAGATGAACGCAAGCGTCATTGCATACAAGATACACTCCACGAAGTCCAAGTCACCCGATGGGTTGACTGTATTGATGACACCTGTGTATAGTGCAAGGTAAAGAAGTGAAAAGAATATCTGACACGCATTCTGGTAGATCGGAGCTCGCATGCGATCCGGATCCAAGTGAGCGCGGTAGCTTGTATTGTCCCGTCCCTTGTACTCAACGAAGCTCGTAGGGTCGTTTTCATCTTGCCAGAGCCAGCCATGCCACAGGTACTTGATACATTTCTGATAACCAGAAGAGCCAATTACCCTCAGCGCGCGGAGGTCTACTGCACGTTCTACAACGTTGGAGGGCGCCGTCTCTTCTCCGCCTCGGATAATCGAATACCGTTCGAGAAGGACTTTCAGCAGCAGGTATTCTTGGTCCTCTTCGCTCTCGATTCTGAAATAAATACATTAGCATTGATCAACTATCAGGGGATCGTGATGCATTGGGGACTGCTGCACATACATTTGCTTTGCGATGACTTCGCACGCAAGCGCCCTACAACCGTAGAGTTCAGAATCCCAGAGTTCGGCAGCACCTTGCTTGTTGAACCAACGCAGGCATACGAGAAGACAGTAGACGGCACATGCTCGGTATTCCTCTCCACCTGCTTCCTTGGCCGTCTGGATCACATCCTTTGTGATGATACGACTGTTCGGCTTCACGATCAGATCCTGATCGAGCTCGCAGGGAATCACCTGCTCGATCTGATGCTTCAATCGCAGCGCAACCTTAGTCACCTCCTTGGAAGGCAGAGCAGGAGGGATCTGATCGCTTGTGTATGCAGGGAGCACTGTTTACGTTAATTCTCGATCCTTTGGGACGGAACTTATGACGTACATCGCCGACTTTCCTCGCGGATACGATGAGTCCCTTCGTTGTCCCCATTGAGGACATCTCGCCAATGCACCATTCTTTTTAGAGCCCGGGGTATCAGCTATTGATCAAAGTGAGAGAAAGGCGAAGGCCATTGAGGGAGCAGAGGGCGGGAGTGCGAAGCAAAAGAAAAACAAAAGGCGTGTTTATCAGTTGTGTCCAGTTCATTTCCAGCTGCCAAGGCTCGATCTGGTCCCGCTTAAGTAGCGCCAGCTCGATGCTCCGCGAACTAAGTAGATCGCATTCTTGCCTCCGCGTTCTGCTTGGCTTCATACGAGTACAATCTCGTGGATATCTTTGCTCTTGTCAGGGCCTGGAGAGTCTCTACAGAGCCCTGCCTCTTGCCTAGATTCGTATCTACAGCTATCCTTATGATCATTGAACTCTTAGCAGTCCAGAGGCGCCATTATCGCAAGAGTAACCGTTAACAGTTCTACACCTTGAAGTCACCTTGAGCTCCTTAGCACAGCTGATGGATACGCCAGAGCGACATATATACAGTAGGATTCTAGGAATTACTTCGTATCGTGCACCCAAGGAAGAGTCAATACCGCCGGTTGAGGTACAAAGCCAAACCAGGAACAAAGCAACAGCTGAGGATATGGCATAAAGAACATGGATAGGCTCTGAAAGATCAACCCATTTCTTCCTAAACAGCCCCGGGGACCAACGACAACTTGTCCCGTCTAGAATCCCATTTTCCCTTGATGCAACCCGGATCGAGAACGCACCCACGTCACCAACCCTGTTTTTTCCCATCAAAGTAACAATGCTATGCATGAAATCGTTTCACTTTTTGCCGCCACTCCTCCGTCATGTAGGGAACCCGACAGCCCGCGAAATTTCTCATGTATCCGCATTCAGAAACCGCATAAATCACAACAGAGAAATCGTCGAAAGAGATCGGAAGCCAATTTACTCGGGAACACCCTCGTCGCTCTCCGACATGCTCTCGTCTCCGCTGACTTCCATGTTTTCCCGCTCGCGCTTGTCCATAAGAGCCTGCAGCTCAGCATCATCGTGCTCAGTAACAGCCTTGGGCGCCATCTTGACAATGCAGGCTCCGCCGGATGCCTTGATCTTCGTCTCCATGTTCTTGATCGCCTCTTCGAGGAGCTGGATACCCAGGTTCTTGTCCAGACACTGGCTGGTCAAGACGTATAGCGGAGGAGAGACCAGCTTAACCTTGACCTGGTTCTCAGGGGTGTTGTTGGCCTCGGCCGTGCGGAGAGCCTCCTTGACAGCATCGATACCCTCATAACCGAAGCAGGTAACCTCAACGTCTGCACGAACCTTGGTGGGGTGGGGGGTGAGCTTCTTGCTGATGTACTGCAACAGCTCGTCCTTGACGACCTGACTAGGGAATTCTTCGACGTCGTTCCAGACATCAGGGTTGCTAGAGCCTATTAGCCGTTGATAGTACCACAGAATAGCCTCTGCCACTTACGTGATAGCGAGCTTGAAAGCATCGTGGGCGTGGCCATATTTCCGGTTCAATGGCCAACCGATCGTCTGGTACAGGGTCTCGAGAGGGGTCTTCGTCTTCTCCGCGACATGGCGCATGATCGAGTGGACAGCCTTGCTCTTGTTATACCGCTCCTCACACTTGACAACATCCTCAGCGGACACTCGTCGCTTGGACAGATCGATATAACCTGGAAAGGACGTCAGCCAGATGCCGCTTTTGACATGCCGTGAGATAATTTACCCTTCTCCTTGTCGACACGCAGAACCACGACGACCTCATTGCGGCCAATACGGATGAGCTTCTGGATACTTCGAATACGTCTTCGTGACAGTTCGGAAAGGAGAATCATTCCGTCGATGTTGTCGTATTCCAGCAACTTCACATATGCGCCCATCTCGGCGATCTAGATTTTGTTCACCAAGTCAGAACAGCCCTGGCAGCCTCGAACATGTGCAGGGCAGCCTACCTGTTTCACATTCACCATCACATAGCTATCCACCTCTGGATACTTCTCCTCGTAGAAACGGCAGTTGGTCAACGACATCTTGGCGGGGTTGCGCCTTTCCGAGGCGTGCGGTTGGCGAATTAAAATTTCACACTCGAGGAAGTCAAACGTGACTGAGACGATCTCTGGTCTATTGAGGGCGATAGAGACTGTTGGTGAACGGCGCGCGACACAACCAGGTAAACGGCGTGACGGGGAATTTGCGAGTGGGATGAAGCAGTGTCAAATCGCTTTGTGGCGGCCTCGAGAACCCACTTGGTTTCGCTCCGAAAAGATCACGGGCTGCCATATCGACCACTCGTGCAGTCACGTGGTGATCCCCATCCGTCTCACGATATGTTGGAACGGCATAATCTTGTCTTGATACAATGTCTAGGTTCATCTTGGGCTTTTCAAACATCGATTTGGATTTCCCAGATGGCTTGGATGCTTTGCTCGACCTCTCCCCTCAAAAATGCGGGATTTCTGCTCTAGATTTCCATTTCTCCGGCATTGTTTACGCGCTTATCTTTTGGCTAACTGATACTGGCTACTGTCCCACGCAGTACAGCTGGTTCGTCTGCACAGACTCGCTCCATCACGATATTCCGCATAGATATCGGACCTGCGCTCATGACGGATGGCGGAAATTATGTTCCTCATCGTCCAAGCCAGTTGAGAGCGTCTTCTACTTACTCTGGCGCAGGGATGCCGAACCCTACACCTAGCAGGTCTCATCAGGCCGATGAGCCTCGATCACTTCGCAACCGTATTTTCGAGATCTTTCGTTCTTCACCACAAGCTGGCCCTTCAACAATATCTTCTGAAGAAGCAGAACCCCACGACCTGCGTCCCGGCGAAGAATCAGCTTCTCAGGCCTCGAATGAGCGGACACGCTTGCTGGAGTCATACACACGTCGGGAGAGTGTCTGCGGCACCAGTCCTTGCAATCATGGGACATTTTCTCCTAGGGCTGTGACAGAGCATGGATATGGAGCTGGTAGCGTAAGTTCTCTTCCAGAGGCTCCAGGAGCCGAAGATCACTCAGAACCGGCTACACCACGGACTGGCTCTAGCGGTGTTCAATTCCCTGTTGGCCGTACAGACTCTGTACTAGATAGCCAAGAAATATCAGCGACGAAGAGACTGGCCTTGGAACATGGCGTGAAATATCGCCCTGTTATGTAAGTGCATCCTTGATGTAGTGATCGTCTGCCGTTAGGATTGTTACGGTCCCGTGCAAGGAGCTGACGGAGAGGGACCTTGTAGGTATCTGTCGTACTATATTCCGTTCCTTAACTGGATCAGACAATATCGCTGGTCCTTTTTTCAAGGCGATCTACTTTCGTCGTTGACTCTTGCATCGATTTACATTCCCATGGCCTTGTCTCTATCGTCCAACCTCGCCCATGCGCCCGCCATAAATGGACTCTACTCTTTTGTGATCAGCCCACTCGTTTATGCCTTTTTTGGGAGTAGTCCGCAATTGGTGGTAGGACCAGAGGCTGCTGGGTCTCTGCTTGTCGGGACCATGGTGAAAACTAGTGTCGATCGAGGTCATTCAAACGAAGATGATCTGGTCGCAAGTGCCCGAGTAGTCGGAGTAGTGACCGGCATGGCGGGCTCCATGATCTTGGTTGCCGGACTAACTCGACTAGGATTCCTGGATAACGTCCTCAGCCGACCGTTCCTGAGAGGTTTCATCACGGCCATCGGATTTGTGATATTTGTGGATCAACTAATCCCTGAAATGGGTCTCGCACAAAGGGCAAAGGAGGTCGGTGGTGTCAGTCATGGAAGCACAGTTGAGAAATTGGCCTTCCTAGTTCGGAATGCGAGTTACTCTCATCGTCTGACCTGCGCTGTGGCCTTTGGTAGTTTTGCAGTCATCATGATTTTCCGGTAAGTCTTGATTTGTCTGGCAGGCTGGCAACTCGTATCTAATGACCGCACACTACAGAGTTGTGAAGAGGCGTCTTGAGAAGCGATATCCACAAGTTACCTATTTCCCCGACCGTCTTTTGGTCGTTGTTCTATGCGCCGTCCTCACCTGGCGGCTAGGCTGGGACAAGAAAGGACTTGAGATCCTAGGCGAAACGAAAAGCGTTGGAAACGGGGTGCTGCAATTTGTATGGCCGTTTCGTCTCAGTCATATGAAGCATATACGCACTGCCACGAGTACCTCATTCATCATTGCCCTTCTAGGTTTTTTTGAGTCCTCCGTGGCTGCCAAAGGGTTGGGTGACGGGGCTGCCGATGGTCTCAAGGGAACTAGCGTTAGTCCAAACCGAGAAATGGTTGCACTAGGCCTCGCAAATGTTGTTGGAGGGTGCTTTATGGCTCTCCCCGCATTTGGCGGATATGGTCGAAGCAAGGTGAATGCTTCCACTGGTGGCCGGACCCCGATGAGCAGCATATTTTTGAGTATCATCACCTTTATCGTCATCCAGTTCTTTCTCTCATATTTATATTACCTCCCGGTATGTATCCGAGGCCCTGATAGACGTGGTCAGTACTGACCATCTACAGAAAGCAGTGTTATGTTCGATGATTTCTGTGGTGGCCTATTCTCTGGTCGAAGAATGCCCCCACGATGTGTTTTTCTTCATTCGCATAAGAGGCTGGTCTGAGCTGACGCTCATGGGGCTCATCTTCTTGGTCACCATATTTTACTCGCTGGAGGTCGGGATTGCTTTGGGGATGGGATTATCCATACTTAGTCTTGTTCGTCACTCAACACAGCCTCGGATCCAAATCTTAGGCAAGGTACAAGGCAAGCCTGACCAGTTCGAAAACGCGGAGCTATATCCAGAAAATGTGGTGTTTATCGAAGGCGTTCTCATCGTCAAGATTCCGGAGCCGCTCACTTTTGCAAATACTGGCGATTTGAAGAACCGTCTCCGCAGACTTGAATATTACGGCACGAGTCGAGCTCATCCTGCCCTTCCACGGATCAGACCACCAGAACATAATAAAAACATCATCTTCGATGTCCACGGCGTGACGAGCATTGATGGATCTGGAACGCAGGTTCTAGCAGAAATAGTCAAGGGATACGTCGATCAGGGAGTGCGGGTATTTTTCTGTCGCCTCCCGACCCCCAAAAGCGATGTTTTTCAAAAGTTTGAAAGGAGCGGTATCGTGGATTACTGCGGAGGGAGCGGTCATTTTGTGCCAAGCGTCGAGGAGGCCTTGAGGTTGGCGGAGATGGAGAACGTATTCGAACCCTGATTATGGGGAAAGCAGCGCGCTTAGTCGTTGATGCAAACTATCTTTTTATGATGTATATGATCTCATGCATGCATGCATAAAATCGGGGTACTACGATGGTTTGGGGTTGGATTTGGTGAATTGGATTGTTTTGAACTGATAGCATAAATTTTCCGAGCCGTGCTATACCGTCATTGTTCTTTAAGGGCAATCATATAATCACCCCAAGTCTCCTGTAAGACATCTAAAGATATCAACCACATCACACCTTATACGGCCGTCCAGACGTACTATATCTGGCAGAGGTTATCGGGAATTCTTAAGCTATGAAATCCACAATCTCAACCAGGTCTTTTCTTTGCCAGCCAGAAAGGAGTGAGAGAGAATCCGTGACAACATACGCAGTCTGCATACTTAATAGAGCTAATTTCAGACTGTTTAATACCATTCATTAGGAAAGCAGCTATAGTGTCCGTACAGAACGCAACAGACCCCATCATACCTTAAGAAACACGCATTATCGAATTCGATATGTAGTAAAAGGGTATTACGCTATACACACATAAACTCCGCATGACCTCGCCATCTAAGCCATGACCTTGAGAAAAAGGTTGTCTGGGCTATTATCCCTAATTCTGCTTCTTATGTTCTGGGATGGCCCTGCGGACTAGAGCGCGCAGAATCTCCTCATTTGCTCGTAACAGCAATCGGTTTTTCATTTCTTCCGGATCGTCATCCTCTGTTCTCGAATCCGGATAACCATGATCGGCCACCAGTTTCATTCTTCCCTCTGCGCCAAGGACGAAGGCGCCGCATGCAACTTTGGTCAATTTCACGTAGTCGCTAGGGCCTTTTTCGGCGGACTGGTCGTCTAGACTGAGTTTCATTGCGAGGTGCTTATCGATATATGCACATAATGAACTCAAGAATGGCCTCTGTTGGCTCGGGCCACTCTTGACTTTCTTTACATTCTTTAGTCCTTCAGCAACGAATGTAGAGACGGTGGCTCGAGGCAGATTCAAGTCGAGAGTCCTCAGATTCGGCGCGACGTGTGATGAGAAAGAGAGCGTCAGCTGCGTCTCTTTCAACACTTCCTCAAGAATGCTGTCAGAGGAAGAGGGTCGAGATCTGCTGCGCGTCGGAGACAATACAGAAATATACGTCTCCAAGGCCGTGCACAGGAAACTCGAGGGAAGTCGTAACACAGTACAGTAAGTATCGAAATTCGTTGCCAGAAATGAAATAAGCGTCTGTCTGAGCGAGTTCGGTAGACGTGTAAGCAGTACTGGTAAGTACGTCGACCCTTTTCGGTCATCATGATAGCCATCCGGACCGGCCAGGAGTGCCGCCTTGTAGACGATATTCTCATATTCCAATATCATCAATATCCCAAAGGCATTTTCAGGCGGGACAGATGGCTGTATGTTTTCCGGATCGTCCAGTAAGGACTCATCTTCTTCTCTGAAATGAGACCAAGTCGGCATGACTCGCCAAGCGCATTGTTGTAATGGTCCTGCTTTTAGAAGCGCGTCATCATAGCCCGCTGCCGCGGCACTGACGCCGACTTGGACGCCACGGAGTACGTCTCCAGTGAGTGTTTCCTTCAGTCGGTCCGCGTAAGTCTGTAGAGCAGTCGCATTATCAAGGAGCGTCGGAAACTCCTTGCCGTGATGTAGCGGCGAAAGCCGATGGACTGACCATGACGTGTTCAGGATCTGTTTTGGACTGAACAGCGCCATTGTGAGATATCTATATCTATAGGAGTCATAAACGAATAGAGATCACATTTTCGTCTCCAAAAGAAAATTATCGAGATATGAACATCTTATGGCGGTTCTATGCTCTTGAATAGCCGCTATCCGCCCAGGACGCGCTTGTCCACAACTCTTTGCAAACAGATCAAACATACCTCAAAAACGACAAGGGCTTAGGGCACAGGGCTAGGGCATTCGCATCGGATTGAAACTGGATGTAAGGGTCTGTAGAGGATGAGACGTACGCTTTATGCTCGTACCATGTACGGAAGTACTTGTCCATGTATGCAGCGAGATTAATTTGGCAGTTCCAGGTATAATTTTAGTTTACTGTGCATAATGCGCCGAGTACTTCAGACCAGTATTTGGAGACGATGACTACCTACCTAGGTATAGAATAGAAGAGACATGTCTACTCTTTCTCTAGGTTACATCCATCAACTTATCTTGCCTGGTTTACAAACCTTGCCAATATAAATTCTTGAGGAATCTCACTTTATTCCAATAGCTAGTAATCTCTTATAGACTCGCGGCCCCCATTGACTAACGATCACAACCCAATCCTCCGTATGACAACAAAGCGCTTTCAATTAGGAATCTCGATGTTCTTCTTTTTTTTTACGCAATTCGAATATTCTGATAACCTCACCGTTATAATGTTTCCGGGTCCGACCTACCGACTTCATGCAGATACTATAGTACAGATACGTAAACTTCTTCATCCAATACCGCAACACCGCAAGGGTTTCTAACGATGTTTATTACCTTTCTTTCTACGTTTCTAATACCGCAAGCTTTCGGAATAAGAGGATTTTCAAACACAAAATAAAAAATAAAGGAATAGCTGGTCCTGCCCTGATCAGCATAACTATAACTAGAATCAAACTAGTTGAGAAATCGCCAAAAGATTGGGAGCAAGAGAGCAGAGTGCTCTAGATAGGCGTATTATAGCTCAATTGAGGTTCAAGAAAGGCATAGAACAGCAACCTATACTATATAAAGCAGCGCAGAAGCGCATAAAACAGATTTTACATTCACAACATAGCCCTAGAGGAAGGCCGGGTAGTATACAGAATAGTTAGTGATTATTGAATGTAATAAGAAGCGGTTTAGCCTACCTGAGACATCAAAGAGAACAAGTCAACGTCTATAAGGGGAGGTCAATACTTTAGGAAACAAGATGGCACAAGTTAGCCCTAATACTGAAGCGGGGTCAAATATCCAGGGACCGGGCCACACGAAGGGCCGGCCTCTCCTGACTAAGAAACTATATATGGCAGTAACAAGTCGGTGGCTCCGTCAATGGAGGTAATAATACAGGAAGGAGACCGTAAAGGACGATTCAAAGCCGAATCATATCTAAAACAGGTAAGTCTATGTAGATTAGCCAGGATAGGTCCTGGGCAGTAGAGGATATCCCCAGTCCCATTGGCTAAATTCAGGAGGGATGTGGGTGATCTAAGGGCCATTTAATCCTACGAGGCCAGTCAGAGGAGCTGCTACAGGTGATTAGGCTTGTTTCCGGTGTGATTGAGGCTTTACGAGACGATACGTACGCCGCACAGGACGAATACCGGCTTGAAGCCCCTCCTGGCGTACAACACCCACAAATCCGCAGTCGTCCGTTTTGTGATGGCCTAGACAACCTCCTGAATCCACGGTTACATGATTCCACGTGGAGAATCTGGGGAAAGGTCTCCGTTCCCTGGCTCATGACCGGGGAAGCATCAATCAAGAGGCGAACAGCTCAGCAGTTCGCTGGAAATGCAAGCTGGGAGCGTCTGCCAGTCAGGACCGAGGAACTCGCGTACGGCCGGTCTATTGCAGCCAGTCGACTCACGGGCCCTTGCATGATGCACAATCTGCCCAGTGGCGCTCTCTGCTGAGCTTTGGCGTCAGGGGAAGTGTGATAGACCGGCAGACGCACAGCGCCAGTCGCAAAAGCGGCAAGGAAATCGCTCTAAAACGTGGGGCGGAGCGGAACATGGCGGTGCAAGGATTCCTCGTCTCAGCAGCGGAGTGAAGGAGCAGGAGACAACAGAGCATTCAAGGGGTGGAATGTAAATCCCGGGCGGCGGAACCAAGGGACATAACGGCACCAGTATTCTTTCTCCCTGGAAATACGTTTTGGCTGTCGAAACCCGGCGAGATAAAGATCGGCGGAATTGTGGCTGTGCTGCCAGATAGGGGGTTCTGGAGTTCTGCTGCTGCCATGTCCAGATGATCTCCCAAGTTGCGACACAACGTCCATGGGCACATGACTTCAGATCAGCCGCAACGTCGAGATGGGCTTCTCAGAAACCTTGCGTTCCCAGCTCTCGCGTCTTGTCGTCATGCGCTGCTCCAGGATTCTAGGCACACTGGCCTACGAGCTGTCGAAATCTAGGCACCGGAGAGAGATTAAAACGTATAGACTTTTTGCAAAGAAATCGGTTAACACAGGTGATATCATCGAAACGGAGAGGAACAAAACCTTCCACCAATACTCGCAGTGAACAAGGAACGGAGAAATCGCCCAAAATCCCAAATATCAGACACAAACCTATCCGAAACAAAGAAAAGATCGCCAATTTAAATCCCTCCAGCAGAAGATCGTTACAGTCGTTCACCGTGGCAGTCCGGGTCGGCCTGATATCAGTGAGATCAGTACTCGTCATCGTACGTATACGTTCTCGTTGCGCGTCGGTATTCATCTGGGTGAGCGCTTTCCGCCTTGCTCTTGAGCGCGCTATAAGGAAAGAATGCATCAGTATCTTCTATTGTGCGCTGGAAATGCCCATCTCTGCGGTTCCTGACGGAGGGGCCAGAAACTGGCCTGTGTGCAGCAACGCCGCCAGATGAATAAGGCCGCCAAGAATAGAATTGACAGCGGAGCGCGGCGGGGACAGATCTCCGCGGAGCGGAGCGGAGATCAAAAGGGGGAAGATTGGACTCATCTCTGCTGACACAGAGGGACAATAGCAAACTCACCTAACACGCTTCTGGGTCCATTCAAGATCACGCTTCGTCTCTTTAGCGGTCTTGATACCCTCTGAGAAGTTGGCGCGGACGCCCTTAAGGCGCCGTTGAGCAAGAGCTTGCAGCTCCAGGAGCTCGCGCTGCTTGGCATTGAGTTGACCGGATCTGTTTGCAAGCTCTCGTCAGATATCTGCAATGAATAACAGATCACACGCCGCTCGAAGAACCCAGGAGAACAGATCGCTCTGGTGACGATGCGTCGAAAAGCTTGGGAGAACTTACGCCTGTGCCTGCTTCGCCAGTCCCTTGTCGAGGGGGGTCGGGTCGAAAGCATTGTTCATGCGGTCGCTCAGCATGTCGACAACATCAACTCCGGAGTAAGAGGTCGTGCTCGACTCATAGTCGCCGCTGAGGCTGCCGGCATAGCTGCTGGGCCCCAAACTATAGCCGGAAGTACGGCTGCCTGCCGTGGTGCTGCTGTCGGAGATCTCTGGCGGCGAGCCGGCCACACGACTGACCGGAAACAAGTTGGCGCTCGCCGGAGCCTTCGATGGCATGTTGATGGGGAGAGCAGCAGTGGGCTGATAGTATTGACGTTGAGTGGCCATTGCGGCGGTATTCCCTGCTGAACCGGGGCGGTGACAACGAACGAAGCAGGAAGCTTGAAAGCTGGAATGAGAAATGGGAATTATGCGTCTGATGACAATCAGTGAAAGCCCGGAAGAGCAAACGAGACGACGAGGTGACAAACAAAACGCAGGGAGATCCCACGGCGAGTCAGTCAACTAATGAAGAGAGACAGAAGAAGTGGTAGGAAGGCGACGGGGGGAGTATGAGTGCTTGTCAGGTCGGACTAGGAGCAGCTGGTATAGTCAGAGGGAGCTAGGGTAGCCAGATGAAGATGCTATGGACGGATCGAGAGTGATAGAAAAGGAAGAAGGAGGAAGAGGAGTGTCCAGAGGAAAGAAGCAGGCTTTTATAGCCGTCGACGGAGGGTCTTCTATCCGACGAGAAGGATCTCCGCCGTGATAGCCCTGGCCATGGCCGGGACGTGGACGAGTCGAGGGCTTTCCTGGCGTCTCAAGTCGCATGTCTCCCACCCCCCTATATCCCAATCCTGACCTCCGAGTCCGCCCCCTCCCCCTTCTCCGGAAGCCAATTCGCCCTCTCTGTGTCCCGACCCCGCTCTGGCTCGAAAAAAGATCAGAGGAAAAGGGCCAGCCATCTGCATTATCGGAGCAATCGTCCCCCACTAGGCCTTTTTTCCGCTCTGCCGTGTGGCCGTGCTCCTGTCAATGGGCTCCGAACCCCTCCACCAGGACGGACTAGGAGACCGGTTGATGCCAGCCATGTTGCCTTCTCGCGGGGCATTCTCACGTCTTTTTCCGTCTGTCGGGGCACCTCGTGGCCGTTCCGGATCTGCCTGTCATCTCCTGAGTCTCCGCATCTGTCCCTCGTGTTGGTATCTCTGTCCGCAGAGGAAGACCGGAGGAGATAGTGGGGAGGAAGGATATAGGACGGCGGACTGGATGCTAAGAACCGGTGGGCGCATTGGAACGTGCGAGAGAGGCATTGCGCGATTACGAGGGTTCTAGAAGCTCTTGGGATCCCATTGGACCTCTAAAGAACTTGCCTGCGTGGGCGTTGACTCTTATTTTACCTGGTGTTGTTTATCTTTTACTTACCTTGAGTATTTGCTTGCTACTCTTGTTCGGGCGAGAGCGGGGAGACAAACCGATAGTCAGATCGCTCGTTTTGGTCGACGTGCCTGTGGTCTCAGCATTCTTTCTCTATTTTTTTATTTTTTTTTTTCCTATTCTTTCAAATGCAGAAGATGATTGGCTGAGGCTGGAACCATGCTCAAATAACATTATGAGCTTCGAGGGTTGGTATGGGCAGCGGAGGGTTGTAGATCGTGGATGTTGGACATCTCTGCATGGCACGAACAACCAGGTTGCTCTTTTTGCCTGTCGAGCTCCCGCACCAGGCTGGCGGCCGGGCAGCAGTTCACGGCGGCACAGTATCTTCACCACAGAACAGGAGTCATATCAGCCCAGACTGCGGAAAAGGCTGCCAATCCGTGCCTAGGTTTGCTGATGAATCAGATGAAGAGAATGCCGGCTATGCTGCCGTTTGCCGCATTTCTCTCTTCTCTCTCATAGCAAGTCGCTCCCGTTTGTGCCAGATTTCAAAAGCAGCAACAGAAAAATGAAAACGCCACGAGCAAGAATCAAGCGGTGACAAGCGCTCTAGACGCGCCGACAAGAAGACCTGGACAGTGTCCTTCAGATGCTTCTCCGGCTAAGCCATCTGCTGGTAAGTCGGGTGGGCTCGGCGGGCTGTCAGACATGCTGGAGCGCAGCTGGAAAACCCCCCCTGCTGATCCAGCCAGTGCATCCTCAGTGCCATTGCGTTCAAATTGGGACGAAACTTCAGCCTGAAGGCCTGGCGACGGTGATCTGATCTGCGCCAGACAGGAGCTAAGAAGAAAGTATCTCGATCTGGCGACCGAATGACAGTATCCGAAGCAATCCATGAAATCCTTCCAACAGGACTACCAGACATAGCCTGCCAACCTGACTGTCTCCAGAAATGGCATATCCGAACAATTGGGATTTACTCCCTATGATTCATACTCTTTACGGGACGACTGCCCAGTCGGTTATCACACCCTACCGTTGACCGAATAAGCTTCTCCCACCGCGATTCTCTTCTCTCGGCTGCAGATTTAGCTCCCTCCAGAAGAGCAACGACATGATGATTACTTTTCAGGAAAGCACTCCAAATCACCTGGGAGATAATAATTTCCGATGACGCAGAGCCGAGAGGAGTGACGCAAACTTTCGAAGAACCTTCCATGCCGGCAGAGCGTTCGTCTCGCATCTCGTCGCGAAGCCCGTGTCCAGTCCAGACCGAGAGGACCCGGCGATTCCCAGCGAACCAAACGACTAATTACCCCGTCCAGCCTGCGATTTGTCTTCTGTTGGTTCGTTCAGTGCAGTTGCACCACTACCTGGCCAGACTGTTACTCGACAGTTATCCCCTCTGCGTTGCTGATTAGGCTGGGTCCCCTCCCTCGCCGATGCAGCCTTATTGCGCACTGTTGGGGATTGTCACCAATCTGGAGAAATATCCACGCCCAATGGATCCTCTGCAGTCCCGGAGCTGAGCAGGTGACAGGATGAAAATATGGAGCGGATCCCCGAAAAGGGCCACATTGAAGCGCATCATCTTTGCAGGAGTTAGTATGATGACCCCGGATCATGATCCTCGAGCTTTTGTCCTCCATCATCACACCAAGGCCAGCAAATGTCCCTCCTTCATGGGGTCCCTTTAGTTCTCATTTGCTCCTGCAGAGATTAAAAAGCCGATGGGGTTGCCAGAATTGTCGCCAACCACCACCAAGCGGATTTTCCGTTTCTTCACCGCCACAAGCAAAATCAAGCATTGACAAGACGCCGTCACAACAGTCTCTCCACTTTTGCACGGTGAGACCGTAGAAGAGACGAGACGAGACTTTTGAATCTTGGAACTCCTTCTTCCCCAGAAAGTGTCTAGCGACGCAACTATTCCAAGATCACTAACTCCAAGAATAATATACCAATAGCCTTATCTGTTGCCCGCACCATACTTACTCTACAAGATATGTGGGACCCTCTGCTACACATAATAATATACCATACGCACGGCTATCGTCGCAGAAGAGATAATAGTTAGTTACCAGGTAGGTCGACGCAGCCGTGAGAAACAGCATCACTTTCATCCTCGTCCAATTCTATCCATTCAAGCTGACTAGCCTCTTGACTATATCATCTCTCATATAAGCTAGGAGGAAGTAACCTCAAGACTCAAATTCCATCACCACATAGATGCTCCAATATACTCGAAAACAAAATACTGTAGTGTATACTACTGGTAATACTAACCAACTAGTACATGGCTCCCAGCACCCTCAATTGGGTTATGGATCGATACTTCCGTACTTTTGCATCCTTATAATGTAGATGAGAAGTTAAAATACCCTTCCTTCCCTCCGATACTTCTATTATCTACACAGTAACTATAACTATCCGTGAGGAAATCACCATCTCAAACCCGAAGCGAGGGGGGGGGGGGGGCGCATCCGGGAAAAAATGACTGCCACTTAACACACATACATACATACATACATACATACATACATACATACAACCCAGGAATGCATTACCTTTCTTTCACTTAATAACTTATATCACACTCACATTGATTGTCTATGTCTCCAATATAGAGAGTATGTAAAACACACCCGCCTGTGTATTACACTATTTTACTTATATGACATATTGACATAGCACGATGAGAAAGTTATCATACATATCATTATCATTATCCATCCTTCCCTCAAACTTACCAAGGGCCAACTAACCAACCCCGGAGATGTCCCAGAAAACTACCTAGTTATACCGTACCGTGTTCTAATCGTTAGTCCAGTTAATGTACTAGTTAAGTAAGTTTCTAAACCCATGGAAAATCTTCCCGGATCGTTCCTCTCGCATGGCTTTTTTAGAATGATATTCCCGAAATGAGATTATTAACTAGTTGCTGGATGTTATTTAGTTAGTCAATAGATTATTATGTAGTAGTCATCACTCACTGAAGTGGGGTTGATATTTTGTTTCTATTTATAACTTGCTTGTTAATTATGTATTAACTATGGTTCCATGGTTCTTTGTGTTTTACATCTCATGTTTGGAGCGTGGCTGTGCGTGAGTCCGAACCCCATTGTTTTGAAATTACGGGGAGGAATTAGTTACTACTCTCTGGATAGAGAGACTACAAGAGAGAAAAGGGTAATAATGTATGGGAACAGTAAGAATGGATGAAATAAATATGTGAAATGACCCTTTCCTCTATGGACTCGACACACCACTGGGTATATAAAACATTTCATTTCGTGCAATTCATTCATGCATCAGGGCCCGAGATCCGAAAGGAGCCGGTGACGATGATGAAGATGATGTAATGTACAGGCCCACAGAATGCGCGGCGTAGGGGGAGAAGGTACGGTGCAAGGAGGGGCGGGAAGAGAGGATGGCAGATAAGAGGAGAGCCTGAAAGTTGAGATGCAAACTGATCCTCAACAATCGAAAAAAAGAACTTGCTGTAGGTAGGCTCCCTGGTCCTCTAGCCGTCTCCCTCAACCGTATTCCCCCTTCCCACTACTTCCATGGCGCTTCGAAACTTCACGCCACTCGCCGTCTGGAGGGCGCTTTTTGTTCGACTATTTCCACAGACAGTCCATGCGTGGGTATGATGATGCATGTCCAGTCCATTCCCATGCCTTCCCAAATACCCACGGCATGAAATGCGCCCTTCATCCCGTAAGGCCCACACCGAAAGAGAAACAGGAAACAAACATGATGATTGGAACCCATAGAACCTTTGCGCGCCATTAACCGAGTGATGAACCCCAATGCTGATTGTAAATCTCAAGCCGAGCCGATATCTTCCTTTGTCAGCCGGCAGGCCTCATGGGGCCCTAGAACAGAGTAACCAAACAACGTGTCGATTTGACACTAAGAGGAGGATCCATGGCCCCTAAAATCCAAACCGATTCGGATATTAAGAATCTGGAAGACAGCAAAAAAAAAAGCACTCAGTACCAGAATGAGTCAGGGTCCGAACATATCAACAAACTAATGTCGATTGAAACGTGGAGGATCACAACTCGTGATTGAAGAGAAAAATGACACACAAAGTATATAAAAGTCAAAGGAGTTGACATAAATAAAGCTGCGGGGTATGAGTGGAATGAGAAATGAAATTCAAAAGAAGCGGCGCCATGCCAAAAAGAAAACAGATCAGTACAAGAAGCACAAGACTCCGGACGCTGATGCAGCAAAATGGTATAACAGAGCTGAAAGCGGATACGACGTGGATTCAAGCGCTCATCAAGAAAACAGCCAGAACCGAAAACCGTTTAGAAAAGGCGCCGTTCCCTTCCAAATCCCCCCTCTTGCCAGTCCAAAGCCCCAGCCCAGCCCAGAAAAAAAAAATTTAGTGCGCCATGAGAAAGCGGCATATTAATCCGCTGCTGCTCAGCCGCAGAAAAAACTGCGTGCGAAGAGAGCACCAGCCGAATCACAGATGAATCAATAACCAGACTGCATGTTCTTTTTTTCCTGTTTCAGGTACTACGTTGGATGTCATGTCGAGTTCGACGACGATCCCGAAGCAAGACCTGAGGCGTTGAGGGATCCAGCAATCCCATCATCATCTTGCCGAGTTCATTATGTTTGATCGGCTTCGTCACATAGTCGTTGAAACCGGCACGTGCGGCATCATCGATCTGATCCGTCATAGCATTCGCAGAGAGCGCCATTATCGGAATCTGGGGGAAGTGGTTCTTTTGTTCCCACGCGCGGATCTCCCGACAAGTGTCGTAACCATTTTTGACGGGCATTTGAATGTCGCACTGATACCAGTGTTAAGAGGGTGTGCATAAGAATTGTTAGAAACAGAGAATTACTCACAATGATCAAGGAGTAGTACCCGGGTTCTTTCGAGAAGACCAGCTCAGTACACTCCTCACCGTTTCCAGCCGTCTCAGAGACAACCTTGATCTTATCGAGATACTTCAACATAACCTACAAATCTTAGTCAGACATGCGTATATGGAGGTTATAGTCTGGATGCAACATACCATGCGATTAGTCTCGTCGTCCTCGACGAGCAAGATTCTGTAGCCCTTGTTTCCAATAACTTCTTTCACAATCTTAGACATAGTCTTGAAGTTATTGTTGATTTCTCTGGCCATATCCTGATTACGATCCTTGCTCAGATCGCGTCTGTTCTCCGGATCGAAGATGCTCGAGAATGCAGATGGCTTAACCGGCTTTGGGACTGTGTACACCTTCCTGTCTGCCGCAATGAGCTCCTCGATCTTTGAGTTGATCTGCCGCTTCTGGTAGAGATCCGACATGATAACGATAGCCGGGACATCGTCCTTTTCGCCCTGCAGTACGTACTGCATGACCTCGAAGACATCCTCTACCGATGGCAGACTAAGGACTAGATGGGTCAGAGAAGGGCAGTCGCCCGCATTTACCAGGTCCTTCCAGTCTTCTACGTCCGGTAGAGTGGTTATCGTGGACGGGATCTCATGGGGAATGACTTGCTCGATATGTTGTCTGGCAGCTTCGCGGGCGTTGTCGAGAGGACAGATTATCATGACCGAGTAGGAAGCCGGGAGAGGCGACCCTGACGAGGAATCCCGAGTCTCATTCTTTAGCAGAGTAGACTCCATCCAGCTACTTGGCGTTGGCCTAATGGTGTCACCACTCGTTGATGCCAGCGACCTTGTCCTCTCACGACCAGAGGATTCTGACGAATCAAGAATGCCTTCTTTGGGAGTACCATCCATCTTGATGGGAGGTTCGAGGGCTTGCAACTCGGGAGTCTGAACGGCGGAAGAGCCTTCTGACTGATGGTTAGTCACGGTAATGCCTGGAGACTTCATTGGAGCCTCATGAGTTGGCGAGAGTTCCTGAAGATCAGTTTTAGAATCGCCTGAATCCTTAGACAGCAGGGGGATTCTCTGCTTAGGACTCGAGTTTGAGACAGCTGTAGGTGCTTCGGAGAGACTGGATGACTGCCGTGTAAGTGGCGGCTCGTCTTGCGTAGGCGGAGGAGGCGCATCCACTTTCACGTAGAAGGAGAATTTGGCTCCCTGTCCTTCCCTACTACTAGGAGTCAACTTGCCCCCATGCATCTCAACCAGTTGTTTAGACAGGAACAAGCCAAGTCCACTGCCAGCATGTTGCTGCGAACCGCTGCCTCCAATTTGGCTGAATCTCTGCATCAGACGCTCAGCATCTGCTGCGCTGAAGCCCTTGCCAGTATCCACAACCTCGAAGTACAGCAGAATCTCACTTGATCTGAGAGGCACGGAAGGGTCTCTGTAGATGGAACACCTCGTGTAGATCTCCCCTGACGACGTGAATTTGACGGCATTACCCATGAGGTTGATGAGAACCTGTCGAATCCTAAATCTATCTCCAATGACCATAGCTGGAACATCGACGTCCATCAGATAGTTAATCTCGAGACCCTTATCGATCGCTCTTGATGCGATGGTGTCGATCACGTCCTCAACGACCGACCGGACATGGAACCATGCGTTAACCAAGCTCATCTTTCCAGCCTCGACACGAGAGACATCGAGGATGTTATCAACCAGCTCCCTCAAGTTCGTGGAGCTGTTCTGGATAGTGTCGAGCATTCGTCTCTGGTCATTGTCCAGCTGGGTATCCAGGATGAATGGGATAGTACCCAGAATTCCATTCAGGGGAGTTCTGATCTCGTGGGACATGTTGCTAAAGAACTTGGTCTTCGACTCCATTTCCTTATTGAGCTGCTGCATCGCTTTGTTCAATTCGCGCTCTAACAGCTTGCGATCGTTGATGTCGGTACACGTCCCATACCAGGAAGCTTCTCTGTTCCCGAAGTTGGTCTCGACTTTCACCAACCGAACGAGGTGCCAGCGGAAATCGCCTCCCTTTGAACGAAGTCGAATTTCCGTCGAGTAGAATACGCGGCCGTTCTCGTCTTTCTGAACCTGGACGACTCCGCGTCTCACCAGCTCATCGAGGGCTGGAGTCACGCCGCGCGCGAAACGATGATTAGTGGACTTGTCCGTATCCACATCTTCGTCTGTGGACGCTGACTCTGAAGTTCCCGCGACCCTCTTCTGGAGATCAGGCTGGTCGAGAGCGATTATACCACATTTCTCCAGGTCATCAGGATGGATATGCTTTGTGAACCCTAGGTTCATAGCATCTTCAATTTTCTGTCCGGTATACAGATGCCATTGCTCATTGGCCGAGATGAGGCCGCGGTGCTCAGCAGCCTCAAAGACAACTTGCGGGATGGAATTCGCTAGAGCCCGGTATTTAGCATCCGTCGCGAATCTCTCTCTCTCCTGAGTAGCCTTCAATTCCGCAATATGTTGCTCATGAATGTCAAGGAAAGAGCCAATCCAGTAGAGCAACTCTCCTGTTCCTGAAAGCAGAGGATTTGCACGGAAAATGAACCAGCGATAGGCGGCTTCATCGTTGAATCGCTTAACCCGGACTCTCTCTGTGAACTGCGAGCCAGTACGCAGGGCCTTCTGCCATTCTTTCGAAATATGCTCCCGTTCACTCGAGTGAATATTCTGCCAAGGATCCCTAACTCGCTGCTCGTGTGGTTGGCTTCTTCGGTAAGCGTCGAATTTCGCATTGGTCCATATAACTTCACCCGACTGGGGCTTGGCAAGAAACAGATGAAGAGGCACCGAGTTGAGCATTAATTGCGCAATAGTGTCTGGGAATGGTCGCTGGATATCGCGCTGTAGTTGTGCCATAAGTGAGTTTGTAGACTGATTGCGCGATGTTGCTGACGGCGCCGCAACACCGGGAGGAGGCCTGACGTCCAACGCATTAGATAACGAAGGAAGACCTGTATCGTGAGGGGCGAGCAATTCGACACCGCCACCGCTCCTCGCTCTAGCTCTTACAGGCGATGTGGGGCTCGATGAGATATTCTGCTTGGATCTAGCGGGTTTCGACCGGGTTTGCGTGGGAGGGGCCCCTTGGGGACTGTTCGTCTGGACGATGTTGAAGTAGCTATCGATTGTCTCATTACTCTGCTTGGGAGCAGAGGAAGAGGTGAAGTTCGACCCATCCGCTGACATGGAATTGTTCAACTCAAAGGCAGGCGTGCCAGAAGTCGACATCGCTGGGCTTATCTTTGTCAAGCCGTCATCTGGAGTTGAGAGACTTGCGCGAGCAGACAGTGAACCTTCATCAGTAAGTGCATAGTTCACGTGCCCGCTGAGACCAGCCACGAGCTCCAACTCGCTGCTTGCATCAGAGAACGTTCCACCAAGACCAAGAAGATGGCCGTAGCGCGGGTTCTCAGGGCCGACAGAGATCTGCCTTTCGAGCTGACTGTACTGTTGCGCCAGGCAGAAAGACGCGGTCAAGTGAGGCATAAGGTACGTGAGAGATTGTCTCAAATTCGCCGGATAGGGGACGATTGGTGACAAAAACGATATGATTGCGACGGGGAATCTCAACGTCATAGGAGATTCCTGTTTCGATGATGTTGTATGGAGAAGAGGAATATGGACCACTGACTTGGATCGCTCCTCCACCCCGATAGCCTCAAGAGGTTCCACTTTGGAATAGTCGTGCTTCGGAGGATTTTGCGCAAAAGCTTCCTCATCGACTGTGTGGGTAGAAAAGAACGGATTCTGCTCAGGATGCAACTTAGGAGCAGGGGAAGGTGCCGGAGACTGGGACCAGGGAGACGGGGGCGCCTGTTCATATTCTTCGTAAAGTTCAGTATGTCGATAGACGTCGTCGGGATACAAGAACGACAGGCTGTTCCCCCGAAGGTGCGCATTCTTCGAGTGAAGAGCGGCATGGGGATTGAGACTCGATCCGGCTCCAGGACGTGGGTGCGTGGATCGTGTTGGTGTCTTGGGGACATCTCTTGGGGGTTCAGCAGCCGGCGTGGTCTGATCTTTATCGTCAGGCGTCTGCGGTATTGACTCTCCCTGACCGCGGGGAGACCCCGCCGGATCGTGGGCATACTCGCGTGTCAGGACTGCTGGTTTTGTACGACCGAACAGCCTGACCACGCCAGTCCGCTTGATGAGCGGGTCGGGCTCGACCTCGAGGGCTCTGGGTATCGGGAAGACGACCAGTGGAGAGTTCTGGGTAATCGGGCTGTCCCTTGGTTGATATGGCTGCGTGCCAGGCACCTCCGCGCCGCCAAGGGACTTATCATCGGTGCCGTTGCCATGCGCAGGCGCACGAGCTAAACTGCTATGTGCCCGAGATGCTGCACGGGGTCGCTCGAAATCGCGGGAAACGGTCGTCTTCCCATCCTTTCCAAATCCTGCAAAAGAATGGCGAGCTGCGAGGGGAGGCCGTTTGGCCGTCGATCCAGAACCCACTGCCTTCATCTTCAAGGGAGACACTGAGTCTTCCTGTTTCTTGATCGATTCCACTTGGGAGAGAGTGGCGCTTGCAGATCGGGGATCGACCGACGGCTCAGGAACCGGGTTACTGTCTTCTTGGTGAACTCCATCCGGGTTGAAGGTCGCTTTCTGGCCCCACGGTATGTTTTCGAGGTCCGTCAAATCACCCGGGACGGCAAGCGTTGCCCGTTCCGCGCCATAATGTGTCTGTAGGATGTCCACGACATTAGTCCACCACGCATCCAAGCCTGGGTCCGAATTCAATTTCAGCGTCACGTCGTAAAGACTGGGACTCGGGTACGAGGGATCCTCCGCCACGGTCGTCGCGCCCGGCGGAAGAAACACGTTGCGCGGCACCGATGTCAACGGGGCAGCGGTTTCTCCCTTCTTCGACCTAGATTTCAGATTGCTACCGGGGAAAACCAGAGTGAACGGTTCCTGTAGATGAGCTTCACGATCATTCATGACTGGGAAAGGGTAGGACGGCGTCGGACATTCCTTGGGCGTCTTGAACGGGGTCGTGGCTCTGACCGTATTACTCGACCCGACGGAGTCCGCATAGGAATTCGACGATTGAGCATCCGACGAGGGCAGTGCGCGAGACGGTGATGTTGGTGATGAACCGCCGCTCTTCCTTTCCGACGACTCGGGCGACGACAGATCACGATTCGGAAACGTGTACGATTTTTGCAGTGACTGTTGATAGACGAGAGTCTCCTCCATCCGTCTCCGTAGCTCTTCCAACGTCCGCGCATCGGTGTCCTGCTTCTTCTTATCCGCAACCCTGTCGGGACCGTCGATCCGGCTGTCAAAGTCCTGCTCGAGCATCGGGGTCGACACATTCATGTCCTGTCGATAAGCGAGGGGGGACCTGACATCCTGGGCTCCGGCCACGGGTCCGTCCAGATTCGAAACAGCAGGGCTCTCCAAGTCCTGTCGAGACGGGCGCCGTAGATGTGTATGAGACGCGGCCACAGGCGAGGGTGCCTTGGCCGGCGATGGAAGCGGAGGAGTCTTCATGCTGGGGAGGTCCCCTAACGCTTCTCCCCTCCACCGCCGGTCGCAGAATTAGTAGTCGTCCGTCAGTGCAAGTACACAGGAGTGGAATCGGCCATGCATCTCTCGGGCGGATCTGCAGCGGGGGAAAAGGGGGGGCGGTACAGCCAGAAGGGAGGGAAAAAAAATAAAAATAAAAAAAGAGTTTCGGGACGAAAAGGCAAGAGGACAGCGTATCGCCTCCAGAACTGGAAATGGGGGGGGGTGTTGGTTGTGAGGGGAGGGGGGTTTGGATGCAGATGGATGGGCGAGGGGTGTGTGATGGCGATGTTCCGCAGGCGATGTTTGGTTTGAGTGAGAGTGAGTGAGGGATCGGCTGCGATGCGCTGGAGCAGGCAGACAGGCAGGCTCTGCGTCGGGATCCAGCGAAAAGCGAGAATTGGCCTTCTCTCCCTGGGGTCCGAACCGATGACGTCGACGAGACTGGGGGAAAAAAAGCGGCTCACAAAATTCCCCCCTGGTGGGCGCCAGCTGAGGCTAAATTTGCGATGGCAACGAACGACTGTGGGTGGAAATTATGGTTGATGAAGGGAAAAAAAGGGGGGGGAGGAGGAGGGATGGGGTTATGGTTATCGAAAATAGTGAGGCTCTGACGTGTGGGAGCGACAAGAGACGAGAGAGCGCGCGGAGGGAGAAAAACACAGTGTGTACAGAGTTCACAGGAGGAGCACTGCTACCCGTTCCAAGGCAGCCTGGCTGGTACTTAGTTGGGAGAGGGGCCACGATGGAAAAAAAAAAAAAAAAAACTGTAAAAAGAAAAAAAAAATGAGAGAAAGAGGGTTAGTGATCCTCGTGGTCGACCAGTGGGCTTTTTTGGCTTTCTATTTTTGCTTTCTTTTCTTTTTGAGTTAAGAGGACGTCCAGTCTACCTAGGTGTTTGGGCGGTGCAAAAAAAGCCCAACCGTGGATGAAGAACGAAGGTTAATAATTATTATAATGATAGATAATAATTATCTATTATAATAAGTGCTCATCACTATGGCCAATGCCTCTCTTTTTGTGCTTTTTTTTTTATTTGCCCTCTTTGCTCTGCTGAATTAATGAACTACCAACTAACGAACTGACTACCACATGCTAACCAAGTGTGTTCCGGAGAGAGGGTGAGTCTTGAGAGGAGAAAAAGCAGAAGAGCGGACCGCACTGCGAATCGAGCGATGGGATGCACAAGGTCTGCAACCCGGTAGATAGTGCTTTTCGCTAGTGTCCCGATGAGAGAGAGAGAGAGCCTCTCTACAAGACTTGTGCAAGTTGACCCCCAGACTATTATTATTTATTAATACTGTCTGCTAACTACAATCAAGGTAGGCAACTACTAACTCGTTCACTCACTCACTCAAGTCTTCCCATCGACTTGACACCTGATGGACAGAGTTAACTACTCGAGTGGCCGTGTTCCTACATTTCTGTTCGCTCTATGTAGCTGTCGAGTAACTACGTACCATAGTAATAATAATAATAAATACCATAGTGTCTGCAGTGGAGTTTTCTCGGGGCTGATTATTCCCTCCCACTCTGGCGAACGCGTGGACAGCAATTCGCAGAGAATCCTTTCCCTAAGCAATCTGGCCGGCATCCCAGACAATCGTTGCCGCCGTCTTCTGGTAGGATGTGCGTTCTTCACCGCGTCCGACGGTGCATCACGCCGGGGCGCTGGGCGCTGCGACGATATAAGCGGCTGCTGGCCCCCCCCAGAGCCCCCTTAGCCCTTGCGCGCAACGGCGCCCGGAACGTCACTAAAGCGCCCCCGATCCAGCGGGTAAGCCCCTGTGCATCGACGTCAATGGCGTCCCCCCGACTCCAGAGTCTCGGTACGGTACGCGGGCCTTGATGCCTCTTTGGTTCCCAACTCGCTCCTAAAAGGGTCTCGTCATAGCATATACCAGTAACCATACTGTCCAAGACTCCAAGTATTAATTATTAAGTCAACTAGACTAACTAACTAGTTAATTATTATTAACCCGGGGGTTAATAACTAGTTAACCACGATCGATCCCGGTGGTCAGCATCTCCCGGAAGATGGGGTTGCTTTTCTCTTCATTATTATTGATTCCATATTTATCCTGGGACCCTAAGGGTCAAGGACTCAAGCTGGTCTTAGTGCACCCCAGTGTCTGTCGACTCTGTCCAGTCACTCCAGCCTTCCCAATTGCTCGAACAACACAATAATCATAATAATGAAAATGTATCCGGTGCGGTCTCAGCGTTCCCCCACGCCGTATTATCCCTCAGCCAATACCAGTGTTTCTTGAACTGCAATCGCTTTCCCCGTGCGCCACCAGCCTCTCTCCTCGGCTACAGGAAGATGAAGCAAGGAAAAAGAAGAAAAAAAAAAAAAAAACCAGCGGAGTGGCCGGGAATCCGTTAGGATCGATTCTCCAGGATGGGCAAAGGGGGTGGGAATCCAAGCGACCCGGTGTCTGCCACAAAACATCGCAGTGCACAGCCGAAAGGAGAGGAGCGGATGCGGGGCAAAGGCGTGCAAGGCTGGACGGACAAAACAAAATTCTGATAGTCCGTATCAAGTGGATGCTCACATGCCTCCTCCTGGATTCTTTCTTTCGTCTTTTCGTGCCGACTTCGACTGTTGGCCCGATCGATCAACGGTCATAGGGCCGCTAGTCTCGGTCCGCCAATAGCGCCATGCCTGAGAACATTCGCTGCGTTCGCACACCGCCTTCTCCAGCCAGCGTAACTTGTGACCAGAGTGTTGAGCGTTGAGCAGTATCGCTCAGAAGAAAACCGAGAGAGAGAGAGAAGCTTGACGCAGTGGCAAGCTAATCGTCGAGAATAATATTGGTAGTAGCCTCACTGACTTCGGGGATGGGTACACATTCAGTACACATTCAGAACGCGTTATTGAAGTGGAGCAGAGAAGCGCTTTTTTTTCGTCCATGATGTCAGCTCGTTCTCCCGGACCGATATCTGGCACGTGGAGAGTCCCCGCTGGGCCTCGCACAAAATAATATATAATTATATATCTTGGGCCAACCGGGGGTTGCACCCAACGGTAACTATGATCATAAGTATGCTCGTAGTAAAACATCCGAATCCAAGCTTATTAGTTGTTATTGTATTATTGATCCATGATTATCCTCATTCATTGAAGATCAGTGTAGGAAGACGCTACCATAGTCCGCACTGTCCACGCTGTTCGCGCATGACTTTCCTTTGCTCCCTTGAGTTTGTCGCGGAACTGATCGGTTTGCAGCTTTCCGGTTTCATCTGTCCACTAACGTTACGGAACACTCGATCAGAAAAGCGTCTAGCATGAGAAACCGCAGATGCTGGATGCTGGGGGGTGCCAGGGGAATATCGTTTCTAGCGTATCTAACATATGGCATATCCGGATTTTCACCCTCGACCCTCATTGTTGACTCGACCCGTCTTCCTGCTTGTACCACAGAGTATAATTATCCGCATGTTGTCGCCACCTAAAATGGACCGACAACTTGGTGCCACTAGAACCGAACAGAACAGCATGGTTACGGGGCCCATCGTTTAGATGTAGACGCAGCCCCGGTTTCCCTACGTCAGGGAACTAACCGGTTGTTCTTCGCACATCGACCTGTTGATCCAATGGGACAGCAACGAATCGAAAGATATCTTCCCTTCTCTCATGTGTGGACAGAGGTGGCAGCAAAAGGTAAGCAGGCAGCAGGAGATGACATGGAGAGCAGCTCAGATGCTAGATATGTTGGTGCCACCGCAGAGCATCCACCTGGGGAAGAACCAGGGCTGCACTAGCGGTCTATCCATGGGTTCAAGAACCAGCCAACGTGGCGACGACGACGGTCTGCCCCCGATGCTTTCATTGTCGACGTAGAAGTAGGCCGGCAGCGGAAAAGGCTTGGCAGGCACAGTGCAGCGAGGCTGGAGACGGCTTTCTCGACGAAGCACCGCAAGTAATAATCAGAATCAATCAATCGTGCGCTCCAGACAGCGTCAAGGCCTATTGGCCCGACGCAAGCAGCTGGGAAATAGGGCTGAGGTCGTTTGCTGTAATGGGCAGCGTACAGGAGATAGCAATAACAATGGGATTGTGGGCGTCTCCATGGATAGGGGAGCCTTTTCTTTAACTTAAGCCTTAAGGTAGCTCTCCATGGGTTCTGTCCAATGATCTCACGTGCGGGAGAGTAGTTCTTGAGAACCACGGGCCACAGACTCTACCTATCGGGGAAAGTGACGCAGGGAACACGACGAGATTCCTTTGGGTTCGGGCCTCTGCCTGGCAGAATCAATAGCTTTACTTGCAAGGGAGAGAAAAGGCGAGAGATATAGAATCAGGGAGGACACGGGAGAAGGTAGAGAATTGTTCTTTGCCATACCATAGAGCGGGACTAGGAAACGCGGCCGGCATGTCTTTCCCTTTTTATGTTCTCTCCGAAGGCATTTTGCGGGTTCATCGACGTCATGACATGCAGGTACTGGTTACACGAGAAAGAGGTTTGACTGGTTATTTTGAGACGATGAGTAAGTGGTACTGTATGTCAGATAACTGATAAACTACTATATTATGTAGGAGTTGTTAGCTAGTTACCTAGGTACTTAGAGTAGTTAAAATGAGTGATTTAACGAAACCAAGACAGACAGCTCTAGCCTCTACCTAAGGTAACTTAGGTACTAATTGATGCCTGAGGACAGCAAACTTTACTAGTCCGCCCACATTTGCAGCCTGACATTTCAGGCATACTCAGGCATCCAGCCAGTCAGTCAGTCAATCAGTCAACTCAATCAAACGGGAGAGCCCAGAACGGCCGTCACGTCCAAACGCTTCTCAATCGTCGAACTCGCCAGGCTGCCAGTTCTTCATCCTGATCCCTATCCGCCAACCTCCGCTCAGACAGACAGACACGCTCCGCATCTCGATCTCAGTCAAGGTCATTTTAGATCCCGTCCTTTTGCGGAACCGCTGCGTTGCTGTCTGTGGTCGCTAGACCCCTCCGCCGGGCGCAGACATATCTCGACGAACGCTGGTTAGCGGCATGGTCTGATCCTTTTTCCTCCTCCCGATCGCATCACGAACCCACCAACCGTCGACACGGCAGCTTTGGCTGTCCCCCCTGGTTTTTGCCTCTGACGAGATATCGGCCATGCGTTGAAATACCGATCGAGATTTCTCCAGACCTGCTTGAAATGGAGGAGACCTATATTCTTGGCGAGGACCTGCCGTTGCCGCCTGCACGGCTGTTCGAACGTCTGGCCCAGCTGCCGGGTTATGTCTGGGACCAGACCATCGAGCCGTTTCACTCTACCTATGACAACTGGCATGTCTTTGGGGTTCGACATTCGTCCGATTCGGACGTCTCCACGCCCGTCGCGACGTCCTCAGGACCCTCCAGTTCAGCCCGCAACTCACCCCGAATCGAGTCGCGGCCGGCCTTTCGACACCACTGGCGAAGCAGCTTGAGCGAATCCAGCAGTGAGCTGTCTCTGTCCCGGATCGAAGCAGAGCCAGTATGGGTGCCAGTGGTGGCCCGAATTTCAACCCACGTGGTGAGGTTGGAAAGGGAATTCCACATGATGCGGTCGATTGTTCAGATATCCGACCCGGACTGCCACCATACAATACGTCCCATCGATATGATGCGGCTACCCGGAGAACATGGAGACGGTGGCCCCATCTTGGTCACGATATACGAGTCTCCCGGTGATAACTATCTGAAGGAGATGGTTGCCTTTGGCCCCGCGTGGTATGGGATCTGCGGCAGTAATGACTCCACCCCGGGGGAGCAGGTCTCACTGCCTCTCTTCCTCGACTTTGCAATAGGAGCATGTGATTGTCTGGAGCTACTGCATTATGGGCTGAAGACGATCCATGGAGAGATCCGCGCTGATGCTTTCCATTTCAACCGGGAAACAGGCGCTGTGAAGCTGGTGAATTCGGGAAATGGCGCCCGCGCATTTGATAATGCTCTTAGTGAAGGATGGTCCGCGTTATCGAAAGAGGTTGGCGTGAAGAACAAACTGCAGTTTATCGCTCCAGAGCAGACCGGAAGGATGCCCACAGAGCCGGATAGTCGTACAGATATCTACGCTTTGGGTGTTCTCTTCTGGACAATGCTTGCAGGAAAACCAGCCTTCGACGGGGAGGATCCAGTGGAAGTGGTACAGAATGTTTTGGGCAAGAAACTACCTCCGCTTTCATCCAAGCGGATGGATGTTCCAGACGCGGTTTCTGCAGTCATCCAGAAGATGACGCAAAAGGCAGTCAATGAACGATACCACACGATATCCTCTGTAAAAAGAGACCTGGAAGAGATCTCGAAGCTTCTAGGGGATGGAGATAGTGAAGCCTTGAAGAAGTTCCAGATTGCCCAGCGTGATGTGTCATCCTTCTTCACGCTGCCGTCCGGGCTGTATGGACGAAAAGAAGAACATGATAAGATCGTCAGTGTGGTAGAAAAGGTCTACAAGCGTCAGCAATCTGCATACGTAAAGGCAACCCAGAACAGTGCTCATGGGACCTATCTGGGATCGAACTCTTCAACCGCGGATAGCAGGGTGGACAGCTTCGACATTGACGGGTCGAGCGACTCTGGTTCGTTCAATATAACCGCCTCAAGGAGTAATTCGAATGGTGGGCCTCATCTGGTCCATGTCTCTACACATGAATCGGTCCACAGCACAGAGTCGTCCATCTCCACACAACGACCAGGGCAACTGGCTAACAGGGTAAAAAGCCCAGCCGACTCCCGCGCATCGTTAGACAACAATACCGATCGAGAGAGTCCTCTTTCTAATACGCAAGGGCCGGCAGAGACACTGAATACTCTGACTAGGCAAAAAGCCGTGCCCAAGCTGCGTCGCAGTGGACGTACTGAGGTGATTACCATTTCTGGGATGGCTGGGATCGGGAAGTCGGACCTGTTACATCGAGTGCAGCCCGCAATCCGGAGACTTGGATACGTTTCAATTGCCAAACTAGATCGAGCGCGAAGAATCCCCTATGAGCCCTTCGCAAGGGCTCTGGCCAGTCTCCTCCGCCAGATCTTTTCCGAGCGGGATGTCTCATCCGATTATCACAACAATATTCGGGCGATTTTGCGGCCCGTCTGGTCCACGCTGCATCGTGTTTTAGAACTTCCGGAGCAGCTTATCTCCGCAGGGGGCAAGGATAAGTCATTGTCACCGAAGTTAAGTGTCGCTCAACATATTTTGAAGGAGAACACGAAGCTGGATCCAAACAGACGCGTTACACTTCCTGGCATAGGCCAAGGCCAGACCTCGACTGACTTCTTTTTGGCCCATGCAGCAGCGAAGAACGTGCGCCTGATGGAGACTTTTCTGGAGCTCTTGCGAGCACTGTCTCAGTATAAGATGATCTGCGTGACTCTAGATGATATCCATTATGCAGACGACGAGTCGATGGAGTTGATCATGAACATCCTGAAAGCCAAGGTTCCCTGCGTGATCATATTGAGTGGCCAGAAAGAGAAAATAGAGTCGGCTGATATTAAGTCACTCTTCGACGGGGACAATCCTAATGTAACCAACATCGCCTTGGGCCCGCTTAGTGAGGAAGATATCGTCAATTACGTTGCAGCCACAATGCACCAGGAACCTAATCCAAGTCTGATGCCTCTAGCCGCTGTCATCTTAGAGAAGAGCCAGGGCAATCCCTTCTATGTTCGCATGATGCTGGAGACCTGTTACCGCAAGAACTGTATTTGGTACTCTTGGAGAAATTCGAATTGGGAGTTCGACCTGGACCGCATCTTCACCGAATTCGTGGCTCCACACTATGGACAAGGTCTTGGGACCGAGTTCATCACGAAGCGTCTCCAGGAGATCCCATCTACTGCACGTGCGATCTTGACATGGGCAGCTTTACTCGGCTCTCCGTTCTCATTTTCACTAGTCCGGAAGACCATGAGCGGGGAGTTCATCAGCCCGGAGCAAGAGGACACAGACGACTTGCCATGTCCGAAGGCGACTGGAATTGCGAAACGATCGGATGCTGATATGGTGGTCGGACTTCAATATCTGGTGCAGGCGTATATCATCCTACCGGGAGAGACGGACGATGAATTTAGGTCGGTTACCTTCTGTCTACTTTTGTACTTCGCACACGACTAACTGCTCTATTTATAGGTTTGCCCATGATCGTTTCGCTCAGGCCGTTGCAAATTTGAAAGATGATCGCACACAGGAAAAGATGCATTTTGTCATCGCGCAGGCCATGATGAAGTACTTTAGGAACGCCAAGAATCTCTACGCGAAAGCCCGTCATATCTGCTTTGCATCGCGTCTCATCAAGCGGCGCGTTCCCCATAGAGTTGAGTATAGGAGGGTTCTTCGGGAGGCAGCTGAAACGGCTGCTGCATCCGGTGCCAGACCAACTGCCCTCTGGTATTTCCGCCATTGTCTCGATCTTTTGCAGGAGAAGTGCTGGGACGATCCAAATCCAGACGTCTACTTCGAGGCCAAAAGTCTTCATATCCAGACTGCCGAGATGTTATGGTCGCAGGGTCAGAGCGGTGAAGCCCTGGGCCTGCTCGAAGAAGTCTTCGCTCATGCTAGAGATGGGGTGGACAAATCGAGGGCATGGATCCTGAAAAGTAAAATATATGCCCAGAGTGGAAATCATTACGGTGCCATGAATTCTCTACTCACAGGTCTCGACGAATTGGGCGTGCATCTGCGAGAACCCACTTCGTATGAGGAGTGCGATGCTGCCTATGAAGAATTGAGTAATTACCTGAGACAGGCCGATTTCGATGAAATCCTCGAGAGACCGATAAGTGAGGACCGTACCATCATGGCTATCGGGACTGTCATGTCTGAAGCAATGGCCGTCACTTATTGGGACGACGCCTTGACCTTTTTGAGGATGGCCATCGAGATGGTCAGACTCCACCTCTTCAAAGGCGGTTTCACTCAGATCGCGATCGGCTGTTCCCACTTGGCCATGATCTCTTATAGTCGCTTTAAGGACATAGACCTGGGCGCTAGACTGAGTGACCTCGCATTGGCGTTACTGGAGCGCTATTCCGAGACCTGGACACACAGTCGAGGCTACACGGTTCACAATCTTTACGTCAGTCACCTGAGGGTTCCAATCCGTTCGACGCTGCCGGAACTTGAGACTTCCCTGGAATCCTCTTTTGCCATTGGAGACCCCTTTATGAGCCTAATCAGTCTTTCGTCGATGGCCATGGCACGTTTATATCTCGGTCAGGATATGGCAGAGCTAGAAGCGTTCTGCGATGAAACTCCAGAGGATATTCCCGATTGGATGGATGACACTCGTGGAGGAGCCAGTGTCCTTGCCGTCAGGTATGTTCCGTTGCTCTTTCTCTTCCTTCGTTTCTTTGATTGCTCACGGTCAACTGCAGGCAAGTCGCACGTGCTCTTCAAGGCAAGACATCCTTCCGGTCTCCCGAATATGTGATGTCCGACGAGTACCATAAGACACATGAATATATGGAGTATCTGGATCTGCATGCCACAAACGCAGATCGCCCCCGCGATATTTACATGGGGCTTTCCATGATATCTCTCTATATCTACGGGCATCATGAGAAGGCTGTCGAAGTTGGAACGAACATGATGGACACTATTTCTCGGCTATGGTCTGTGCGTGTCACTCAGGTTGTCTACTTCTATCTTGCGCTATCGCTGCTCAGTCTACACCTCGACTACCCTAACCGTCCCGGGCTGGAAGAAAGCCTGGAGAGGGCGATGGAGTACAAGGCCAAGATCGATTTCTCCCGGAGGGCATGTGACGCAAACTATGGCATGTGGTCCTTGATCTTGGAAGCACTGTTTTACGAAGTCAACAGTGATTATCCCGCAGCCGTTCAGTCGTTCGAGGCAGCTATTGACCATAGCCAAGTCCATGGATGGCCGCTAGAAGAAGCTCTAGCTCTAGAGCTGCAGGGTGACTTCTTGATCCGTCGAGGAGCAAAACGAGCTGCTCGTGCAATGATCCGTGAATCTATTGCCGCTTACACGACAATTAGTGCTTCTGGAAAAGCTGCCCATCTAGCTGAAAAACATGAATGGCTTCTTAAAACTGCCACTACCTCGAGAACCAATGACGCCGGTTGTCAAACTGTGGATTCGCTTATTGATATCCATCGTGACTCTGGCACCGAACCAGTTACGCCACACATGGAAGACGAAAGAAAGCAACAGTGGTTGGAGCAGAATGGCATGACCAGTGGAGAGCGATCCCTCGATATCTCTGGGGTGGGCCTAGACATCATCGACTTGTCGAGCATTCTGGAGTTCAGCCAAGTCATGTCCTCCGAATTGCAGATTGACAAGTTGCTGACAAAGATGATCGAGATCATTCTAGAGTCATGTAGCGGGTCGGACTTTGCCGTCATTGCTACTGACTTCGAGGACATTGGGTTTGCAGTTGCAGCAGCTGGTGACATAGAGAAGGGCCAGCAGGCTTTCCTGGATGGATTACCTTTCTCAGAGGTTGAAGATAAGATGGCGCAGCAGATTTCCCACTATACGCTTCGTACTAGAGAGCAAGTACTGGTTCACAATGTCCTTGAGGATGAACGCTTCTCCAACGTCAGTGAAGCATACCAGGCTCGCTATCCACTTGGGAGATCTGTGATCACTCTGCCTATAGTGCAAGCGGGGGCTCTACTCGGCGTTATCCACATCGAAGGCAAGCCTAACTCCTTTACCCAACGCAATGTCGTTGTGCTCCATCTTCTCTGTAATCAAGTGGGTATCTCTCTCGCGAATGCTCTGCTTTTCCGCAAGGCACGCAAAGTAAGTGCGACCAATGCGGCGATGGTGGAAGCTCAAAAACGAGCTTTGGCGCAAGCCCGCGATGCGGAGGCGAAGGCCAAGGTAGCTGAAGCAGAAGCCAACCATAACGTTAAACTCAAAGAGGACGCCGCAAAGGCCAAGTCTATTTTCCTCGCAAATGTATCGCACGATCTTCGAACACCGATGAACGGAGTGATTGGACTTTCAGAGCTGCTGAAAGGAACCAAATTGGATAAGGAGCAGGACGGCTATGTGGAGTCTATTCGTGTATGCGCGGATACACTACTGACGCTGATCAATGATATCCTGGATTTCTCGAAGCTGGAGGCTGGCAAGATGAAGATCTCGACTGTCCCTCTTAACCTGAGAGAGACGATCACGGAGGTTGTTCGTGCCCTTCGCTACACGCACCGCGACAGGGGCCTCGAGACCATAGAGGATGTCGACAAGGTACCGCCTGATCTGCTGGTACTTGGAGATCCCGTCCGTTTACACCAAATATTCATGAACCTCCTAAGTAACAGCTACAAATTTACCCCTAAGGGCTCTATTACTGTGAGAGCCAAGGTGACCCGTGAGGGTAAGGGCCGAGTTCGCCTGGAATGCTCCGTCTCCGACACGGGTATTGGTATCCCAGAAGAACAGAAGTCACGCCTTTTCAGGCCTTTCTCGCAGGCTGACAGCTCGACTGCACGGTCGTACGGCGGAAGCGGACTCGGCCTGAGTATTTGCAAGGCCATTATCGAGGATGTGCTTGGCGGCGCAATCTGGTTGGATTCTACTCCTGGCGTTGGTACGACGGTAACATTCCATCTCAGTTTCAACAAGGCTCCCAAGGAAGCTGTCGTCAAAGGTGCATGGTCCCAGAACTTTAACCAGATTGAGAGCAAAGTACCGCCCAAGCCTGTAGCGCGGGACCTGACAATGATCCCCCGCAACGAGATTAGGGTCTGTATCGCTGAAGACAATCCTATCAACCAAAAGATTGCTGTGCAATTCGTCAAGGGTTTAGGCCTCGAAAGTGAGGCTTACAGTGATGGCCAGCAAGCGGTCGAGGCTCTGCGCTTGCGTTCGAAAGAAGGCAGGCCTTTCCATCTAGTGTTAATGGACGTACAAATGCCTGTTTTGGATGGCTACAATGCGACACGTGAAATCAGGAAGGACCCTGACCCGAATGTCAATGAGGTCTTAGTGATAGCCATGACCGCCAGTGCTATCGAGGGCGACCGGGAGAAGTGTCTCGAAGCTGGAATGAACAATTATCTCGCCAAGCCAGTTCGATCCGGCGTGCTGAGTGAGATGCTCGACAAGTATCTTGCTCCAGCGCCGGCACAGTCGAGACCTATGAGGCTACCCACTCGAGGGATCAGCAATTCAAATCTCAAAGTCGATGACGTGCCAACTCCAGGCAGCTCTTCCTCATCACGCTCCGGCAGTCAAGTAATAGCATTGACGCCGCCGGAAGAACCAAACTCTTCTAAAAAGGACCTCCGAATAAAACTGGGAAGTATCTCCCATGACCCGCAGCCTCTGTCACCAGATGTCATATGGCCCTCTGAGAGGCAAGGTGATACTACAATCGTGATTGATGATGTCGAGTCCAAGACGTCACCTGAGACTGCAGGTGGCAGCGATGCTAATAATAATGCGTCATAATACCGTCCATAGGCAATCCGCCTTCGATTTTGGGCTGCTGTTGCCTAATAATCATGTCGGATAAGCCTATGTTTACTCGCTTATCTTCCGTCCGACTATAATTTAGGGTATCCCCTAAATTGTTTTATTACCATACCACGCCTAATTCACGTCACTATCCCCTTTTATCTATTCTTTGTTACCCCCTTTTTGTCATATTTCCTCTATATCGCTGCCCCCTACTTTCTCTCCAGCCTTCACTGGATCACCTCACAACATGATGAAAGCACGAATGATGAAATCTCGATATTATTAGGACCAACATTGCAGCGCGAAATATATAGATAGGTCATAGGTCATCGCTTCGGGTCGTTTTTGTCTATCTTTTCTAGGGGTTCATTTGATCGTGGGGTTTGGGATTGAGTGCTTTCTGTTTCCTTTTCCATTGTTGTTATAAATGCGAAAGTTTTCATTGTCTTTTTCTTCCCCTGCCAACTTGAATTCTACATCCCGAGAGCCTTGATGCGCCAGGGTCCACGTGAGCCAAGTCAAAGGGGGAGCAGGGTGGAAGAGGGAGCTTCTGTAATACGCTTATTCTTTATTTCGAAGGGGAAGGCGAGGTGTTAAAGTCACCTCAACCGGGGATACCAGGCAAAAAGAGTATACCCCAGAGCCCGGGATTCGGAAGAAAGCAGGGAAATGACCAAAAAGGGCATTTCAAGAGTTCAAGACAAAAAGGTGAAACCAAAATTCAAAGGCTTAACTTACTTTTTCACTTCACTTACACTTCTAAGGAGTTATTAGATAGGTAGGCTCTTTAATTAGCGGGTTTCTGCTCTTTTTTCTTTTTTGGTTGCCTTTCTTTCTAAGAGATTGAGATCTGTATATAGAAAGGGGTTTATGGGAAATTCTATTTCCTCTAGTTGATTCTTTAGATTTTGTATCTTTCTTTCATCTATTTCGTATAGATGTTTTATTTGTCTATAGACTACGTGGGAAGAGTAGATGTAAATGCTGGGTGTTGAGGCTACTAGTTAACTACTACTACTATTGTTAATAAGCTATCCTGTTGCCGACACATTGGGTGCAGCTGTATAGTATAAATTTCCAATCAGAATACGTGATGTCTCCTGTTCATGCTTTTTAATATATTTGGCGAAGGAGCCGTGGGCCAAATTATCCCAGGTAAGTATAGCATTTTAGAAAACTAAATCAGAATAGAACAGGAAATATGGCAATATGGTATATGCTTCGTATAGGTCGTTTTCAGCTTTGTTTCTTTCTTTCTTTTCCTTTTTTGTGGATCTCGACTACGCCCGTAGCTTAACGACTTAGGTAGAATGACAAAAGGGAGGGGGAAAGAAAAGCTTCTACTTAAGCAGCAACATTGGCTCTCCGACCAAAGATCCGGAGCCGCTTCACGCCACCATCAGGGATGAGGGTCAATTTGACATGGGTGAACACACGAGTATCCTCTCCTCCCACAGCTAGGTCGTCTCCTTCAAAGACGTGCTCTGTATCAGCCTGGGTGGGCTTCTCTCCCTTCACTAGCTCCACCCATCCTGGGTGGTCGTGGCTAGGGTCTTCCTTGCCTTCCACGAGGCCGTGGACTGTGATAGTTCGCGGGAAATTACCGCGGAAATCCTTCGTGTCGACGACCACTTTGCTGACGGATCCAGGTAATCCCAGGCGGATGATCGCCCAGTCGACGTGACCAGGAGCGCGGGACCGTGCGGTTTCCCAGCCATCACCCATGTCTTTGCCCCGGCCTGGGAGGATCAGATTCGAGCATGGAGTGTAGTGCTGGTCTGAAGCAGACAGGGCCAGGCCACCCACCAGTGCCGACGAGAGCTCTTCAACGGTCGAGAGGGCCGTTTCCGATGGAAGTGCGGGAGGGATTGCATGTCCATAGAGTCTCAATCGCGCAAATCCACCATCAGGATACATCAGCAGGCGAACATGCGTGTAAGGCTTAGGACTCTTCGGGTCATAGTCGTTCAGCTTCCACGCCCGTCGCTGAGACGGACCGCACTCCTGCGCTGGCAGGATGGTTGTCCAGCCCTTGTAATCTGCCTTTGCGATCTCCTCGTCCGTTACGCCGCTACCAGAAGGCGCATACGTGCCCTGGAGCTCTGCCTTCTCACCATAGTTCCCAACGAAGTACGCCGTGTCGACCTCGACGCCTTCGATGGCTCCGCTGGCAACTCCTAACTTGATCACCACCCAGTCATACGGGTCTGGGTTGTGCCGCCGCGTCTCCCACCCATCATACCAGGCACCGGTGTGTACGAACACACCGGGTTTGTGGACAGGAGGACCTGGGTTCAGCAAGTTCGGAGCTGCGGCGAAGTAGTCATTGGAGCACGAGAGAACGGTGCTACTGAGAGCGGATGAAGCGAGATTGGTTGTGCGGGCGAAGACGGTGTCGATCTGGTCGGAAGGAATCTGGGTGACTGAGGGAGAGGAAGTGGGAGAAGGCGTGTTGACAATGCTGGATGAAGGCAGCTCGGAGGCCGCTTTGGGCGTAATCGCGGGGATTTCCATGCTGTGCGGGGTCGGAAGGCGGAGATGATTGATCTTGGTTGGGGTCGGCCACTGGAATTCCTGACGGTGTGTACTTATGATTCAGGATAGAACGGCAATCAATTAGCTGGGATTTCCAAACATTGACGGTGTCGAAGGAGAATTGGAACGAAGAGAAGACGAGGAGGGGAAGGAGGAGGTGTTGTTAATGTATCTATCGATAACAGGAACGACTTGTCTTCCCGCCGAGCTTACTTACTCGATCTCATCGAATAATGAACAAGCACCACCCAGAGGGAAGGAAATCCAATAATAGCGCTATGGTAGAAATATTGCTCATCAATTGTGGTTCTTATCAGTCTAAATGATATTGTTCTTGTCTTTTGGACACAAATGGCCCACCGGTACCGGCATTGGCGTCTTAAGTATCGGAGCTCTCCGACGGGCCTGTGCAGACGTCGGAGCTGGGAGATCAACTTAACATTGGCACGAAACAATGAATCTAACTAGAAAAGTATGCATACTGGAACCATCGAGTTCCTAGTATGCAATATCATATCGTTAAGAGCCTCCCTTAATCCTCCCATGATCACGAGCCAGCGAAGCGTCTTTGAAGGACTTCAATTCCCTAGTTTCCATCCTTTTCTTTGTAACCTTCTCTTCTGCGTGACTATTGACTTGAGCATCCGGGGTAAGCGATATCCAGATCAGACCTAGCTCTGATATCTGTCTGCTCTTGGTAGTCGAAGTGTCGTGGTAGTGGTCGAGGATACTGCCTCAGCTTATCTCGATAGTATTCCGCCTGCTCAATAGCACCAATAGTTCTGAGGAAACTTATTGTGTCGAACTGGCCGCTCGGGCAATGCCTCTCTTCATCGAGATTTCGGAGCAGTGATGCAGGTAGCCCTCCCAGTCCACATTCATGGGCAAAACGCACTAACTGTGCGGCAACTTTGACCCAGTGGTAAACTTTCTCGGGATCTATTGTGCCTGCATGTTGACGGAACTCAATCATGCCTGGAGAGCAGTGTTTGCTCCCCGTGCCTGGGTTACCTAGCATATTGGAAAAGCTATATGCAGGCGGGGCTTCGTTGAACAAAGGATCAGACATAGCTATGCCTTGCTGCCAGGTTTCATGTAAAGTAGTATGATCATTGCATCTGTCCAATAAGGTAACCGGGTCTTGCGACTTCTTTGTGAGCTGACTAGGAAGTTGGCAATAATCCGCATACAGTGCACGGTCCACGGGATGAAGCGCATTGAGTTCAACTTCAAACAGGGTAACAAGCTGAGCGAAGTTGCGGAGAGTCTGCAGTGGGAACCCATTATTGATGCAACGGCCGTGTTGTAGTCTGGTAAAACATCCGATCTCCACATGCAGCCCGCAGGTCGAATTAACAATGACCTTGAAATTTTTGCGTAGTATGCGTAGCATATACTCGATCTCTGCAAAAGAGTTCATTCTGGGTTTCTCCTGGGGACGTATAACTGGACTAACGATATCCATGGGACAAAACCCCAAGACGTTGACATGTTCGTCTAGTCGATTGTGAGGCAAAGGTGTGGCTATCATATTCGCTTTGACAGTCCAGCGCCTCGCATCAGGATCACGAGCATCATACTTATTAACCCGGAGAAATGAACCTGCGAAGACCTGAATGACTTTCTCTCGCACCGAAGCGTACGTCGGTTCGATTCCATCTAGAAGAGGTGACTGTCCAGGGTTGCATTTCCGTGGAGTGTAGTCTCCCGGCCTATACCTAACCAGTAGTCCGAATGTCACACGGAAACTGTAGTTGACAGGATAGAATAGGGGCGAAAAGTGCCCGCTCACCTTCTTTCTCTTCCTCATCGTACCAAGCCAGAACAAGCGGTGGGTGTAATTTTGGGATATCAACAAGTGGTAAGATGGATGCTGGCTGGATGCTAGCGTAGTGATGGGCTTATATCATAAAATAAAAGACAAATGCAGAAGACAATAATGAACTTGGGCTCAAAGCACAGTTGACGTTCATGGAGAAAGCAATGTGGGGGTCATGCGAAAAAAAAGAGCTTGAATGACAATAAGCTGGAAGGCTTGTATATTAATCATCTTTGTTGGCGGTTGTGTAAGGATAGCAGCATTCTTTCATCCATGAGATAGTCACAGAATCATGCAACCCCCGGCAGTCTGACCTCCTTGTTCGGTAGTAGTCATTGCCGCCATTCTTGCTATGTCTTCAAAGGCTTCCGCCATGAGCTCGCCCGTCAGAGCGGAACATTCAGCGTACATGTCACAGCGAAGTTCTTGGGCTATCCGATATGCCTGCAAGCTTTGTTAAAATTCTGTTGAGAAGATACACTAAAGGCGCATAGGCATTTGAAGGCTGACAACTTACTTCCTGAGGGTATATAATGCTGGGCCCTTCAACGCGGAGATCTCGCTTTAAACCAATCATTGCCACCGGTATCCGCTCTCCGGTGCCCCTTTGGAAGTATCTGATAACATCCTGGCGCCACTAGACCAGAGCATGAGTCAATCGAACAGAATAGTCATGTTCATGAATTCATCTTTGTTACAAAAGAAGTAACAAGCCAATAAAAGCCCAGACGCTAAAGAGAATTAACTTACAGCTTTCAAGTTTTCCAACGTATCTCTATTCGAGATATCAAACGCCAAAACAACGACATCCGGGTTCAACGTCGTCCAGTGCTGATTTGGGTTGGCAGTATCGTAGCACTCGAGAACGAACCATTTCTTCGAGAACCGTATATCATAGATAAAAGGCTGGTCCTCATCATGTAAAGGATCTAGTGGTTGCGACGCTAACTGGGAGCCTGGCCTCTTTACTCCCGCCTTTAAGCGACTGCGTAGCAAAATCATGCATGTTTAGTTGAATCCGCCAGAGATATATATTTTGAAGCGCGAAAATATTCAAGGCAGGCAAAGAAATACAGAGACAATTTCTGGGCATTTGTTGAACGGAGAGAATATTTCCATTATACTTATGCACAAAGGAAAATGAAAGGAGTAGACATACGTTAAGAAGGTCGATTTACCACAGCCAGGGTCTCCCAGCAAGAGGATTGTTACTGTCTCTCTGTTAACCGCATCCGCCATTGCGAATCATTGAGGTGCGGAGAACAGTTGATGTCAATACACAACCATATTCATGACAAGAAATAGCTGTCCATAGGAGCCAACAGCAACAGGCAGAAATGGTCCAAAAGTTTATAACTAGAAGTAGTAGTAAAGACTCAAAGCTGGATGTCGAAGAGGATGAGGCGGCTACTGATCACGTGGCCATAGATATTTACGGTACCGTATTACGTTACCGTACGAGATAAGATCAGGGCAAGGAAACTTAAAATTTCCATCGATCGAGACCAGCATTTTGAGATACGAACATTGTCTAGGTCGCAGAGAGTCCCGCCACCGGTAGGTGGATGATGTGGAGGCAACACCGAAAGACCACCTTTTTCAGTAGCCTTACAGAAAAATTCTGGAGCTCTACACGACACTCTGCGATCCGGTGGCAGTCTTCAAATCATCGATCTACGACCGTCGCGACAATGTCGAACTTCGGCGAGGCTCTCGCGCCACAGGGTCCTGATTATTCGACCTGGAGCACAGATAGCTTGATCGCCAGGATCACAGAGTTGGAGCGCCAACTGCACGCTCAGACAGTCCAGCTCTCAGCCCCGGCACCCTCAGCTGGTAGCGGTTCTTTGTCTACAGAAACCGTCGCGGGGGTGAATACGAAAGCTACTTCTGAGCCTTCGGTAGCAGCGCCAACGAGCCCCAAGCAGAAAAAGCCGCTTCCTCCGCCTGATGACTTCACGCGCGTGGCCTCGCCGACCAAGCCTGCGAAAGTGGTGCGAGAAATCGATCCCTCGAAATACCATACGCGCTTCATCGCCCTCAAATTTGCCTATCTGGGGCAGCGATATAACGGCTACGAGCATGCGAACGGGAACACGACGCCTTTGCCTACCATAGAGGAGGAATTGTGGAAGGCGCTGCGGAAAACAAGACTCATATTTCCTACGGGAGCTTCCGGCGACGATGATATTGGAGACGGACCTAGGGCTATGCGGCCGTACTCGATCAGCTGGGATGGCTGTGAATATTCTAAGTGTGGCCGGACAGACCGAGGCGTGAGCGCTTTTGGTCAGGTCATCAGCCTTCGAGTACGCAGTGCGCGACCCAAAAAGCCAGTAAAGAGCAAGAGCCCTCCTCCAGAGGTTGAGTCAGCCGGTGTTGCTGCTCGAGACAGCGAAGTCCTTGAAAATGATGCATCCCTACCCGGTCTTGACATCTCAGACGTGGAGAGCGAAGCCGACTCGCAGTGGGATGATGTTTCAAATGAACTACCATACATACACATCTTGAACAATGTGCTTCCAGAGGACATCCGAATACTGGCATGGTGCCCCCATCCGCCTCCTGGATTTGACGCCCGCTTTTCCTGCCGGGAACGTCAGTACAGATACTTCTTCACGCAGCCTGCATTTTCCCCGACTCCAGGACCTGCTGGATTTGCGCGAAACGCAGGCAACCCTTACAGGGAGGGTTGGTTGGATATTGACGCCATGCGAGAGGCCGCGAAGCACTTCGAAGGTGTGCATGATTTCAGAAACTTCTGTAAGCTGGATACCAGCAAGCAGATTGAGAATTTCGAACGTATCATATACCATGCAGATATTGAACTGGTTGACCCCAAGTCGAATCCACTGGGGTATGTTGGGAAGCCGGGGTTCCAGCCCTTTAAAGACGGCGGCAACACTGCCAACGTGGCACAGTCAGAGGATAAGTGGCCGTCCACCCCGCAGGTGTACACTTTCACTCTCCATGGATCAGCCTTCCTCTGGCACCAAGTTCGGCACATGGTGGCCATTCTTTTCCTTGTTGGCCAGGGATTGGAGTCGCCTAGCATCGTCCCCGAACTGCTGGATATCGCAAAGAATCCTCGAAAGCCCGCTTATGACATGGCGTCTGATGCTCCACTGGTGCTGTGGGACTGTATATTCCCTGACGAGTCGAGCGGTAGCCGCGCGGATGCGCTCGAGTGGATTTATGCTGGCGATCCAAGCATCAGTGGATCTCTGACTGGTAAAGGGGACGGCAAATTCGGTCTCGGAGGTATTGTTGATGAATTGTGGTCTGTATGGCGACAGAGGAAGATCGATGAAGTCCTCGCAGGAGCATTGTTGGATCTGGCAGTGAGCCAGGGTGATCAAAGCATTATCCAAGATGGCCCGAATGCAGTTAAGCCTTCTCGCAGTCAGAAAGTCTTCTATGGCGGAAACGAGGCGAGGGCAGGTGGCAAATATGTGCCTGTCATGAAGAGAAGGAAGCTGGACGCAGTGGAGGTCCAAAACGCAAGGTATCTTGCAAGCAGGGAAAGGAGAACAGAGAGGAACCAAGGAGCCGAGCTTGACAATGCATAATGACATGTAATATATGCACCACTTACCTAGAGAATAACCATTCATATCACCAATGGGTTCACGGCCCATCTCAAGTGCGCTATAGATCGCCGCAGTAGAAATTTATCGTTTCAACCGTAGACAGATGCCGACTTTGACTCGTACAGACACTGACGTGTTCCCCGCCATACTTCCTCAAGGATCAACCTTTTAGGTAGCAGATTCTTTTGGACATTTCGTTAACAGAATGCCTAACACTTTCGCGATGGTCAAGCTTCCCACTCACCGGAAACACGACGACGACGTCTGGTTCTCCCTCCACAATAATGGCAAGGTAGAAGCGGACCTCAAATCCCTTGAAAGCCTCATGAATGACAATATCTTGGATCTGCGTTGTTGGAATGAATCTAGTCGCGGAGGTCGAGCAGTATGAGGCTGAAGACGTGGACGTTTGGATCCCGAGTCCACGGATAACAAGCAGCGATTCTTCTGTATATTCGCAAGGGAGTCAGTACTCGCTATGAGTTCCAGTAATTGTGAGGCCGAGCCAAATAGTCTGACCTGTGTATCCTTTCCTGAATACGCCGTATATGACCAATGCGCTTGCGATCGCAATTACCCTCCAGCTGTAAGCGTCTGCTGTCCGACATAACAATGACCCAATTGGGCTTGACCAGATAACCTTCCAAGGAATAATGGGTCCATTATCATAAAAGAATATGGATCGCAACGCCGCCGTATCGATTAATAAGGTGGATATAAAGAGTAAACCACGAATTAAGACTTGAAGGTAAAATGCGAGCTTCGCGGGGAGGGTGCTGCGCGGAGAAGCATTGGAGACCGTAAACGAGACAGTGGTCGTCGAAGGACGACGTACTGTAAGATGTACACCCATTGAGGAGAACGACGGAAGGGCCAAGTATATAGTGAGACACAGGAATTCAACGCTGCGTCTGTTGCTACCTCCTCACAAGGAGAGGGTCTTGCATCGCGCACTTAAGCTCCCCTAAAGTTCCAATGTGCACGGGCATGGGCCTAGAAGCTCCGGAAGCTAAGCGCTGGTCAGATTACAATCATCACGTGCTCCCAGCAGATGTCCCTCTGGCCAGAAGAGCTTCTCCTGCTCAAGATCGTGTACCACTCAGACAAGGCTAATATCTAGGAAGCCTGAAAAAAAAAAAAGCGAATTGTTGTGCCCGGTTTTGTTAGCCCCGCCGTTAAGTTGCACATTCCGTTTTTTAACTATCCTGCAACGCTATTTACCCACGACTACTGATCGGTCTTCGCCTCCACTCCTTCTATCTCCCTCCGGGATCGCACTAGATGACAAGATCACGATCTCGGTCACGATCTCCGCGCATGGAAGAGCGCAGGCGGAGCAGGTCACCGAGGAGAGGACCGGAAGGAGACCGGGAGAGGCCACGAAAGAGTCATGGAGGATTTCGATGGAAGGAAAAGAGACGCGATGATGGTGACAGATACCGTGATGAACGGACGTTAGAGCGTGGATACAGGGATAGAGGCGATCGTGGGCCCTCCCGTCGCGATGGTGATGATGATCGAGCTGGGGACAGGTACAGAGATGGCGACCGCGATCGATTCCGAAGACGCGGTAATGGCTACGACTCCCGTGATAGACCATCCAACCAGGAGAGAGGTCATGATCGTGATGGAAAGAGGGAGAAGAAGGAGAAGAAGGAAAAGGCACCAGCGCCGGCTGCAGCATCATCCGAGGAGTTTATCATCGTTCATGTCAATGACCGTCTAGGAACGAAAGCTGCTATCCCGTGTCTCCCTTCAGACCCGATCAGTGAGTTATGACCACCACAAATAATCATGGCGTCGACGAATCTGACTATTGGCAGAACTCTTCAAGGCCCAAGTGGCTGCACGCATTGGACGAGAACCGCATGAGATTCTGCTCAAGCGGCAAGGGGAACGCCCATTCAAGGATCAGCTCACTTTGGAAGACTACGGTGTGAGCAATGGGGTCCAGTTAGATTTGTGAGCAATTATCCCCTTCCTTTCTATTCTATGCTGCGTGGCACAGGAAACATTGTGGATTGGACTGAAGGCTGACTATGTGGCTGCAGGGAAGTCGACACGGGCGATTGAGAGACTATTCTGGAGCTCCCAGAGTGCCAAGTGACCTATCTAGCGGCTTAAGGCTGCAGGTACACTTCACTCGTAGAAGCACATGGAGATGTACTGTGCTTGTTTCTGTGTTACGATAGCTGCTATCTATGAGGTCTCTGTTTTTCCGAAACGGATGTTTGGCGTCCCGGCTTGCCTTGTGTGTATCTACCAGCAATCCACTTGTAAAGCAGGTATAAATACCAGCTCTGTAACATGGAACAGCTGGCACCCGTCATGTTTTCTTTTTCTGTTTGTTTTTCTGCTTGTGTTTGTTATCGTGTACGGTGTTGGACCGCTGAGATGCATGCTATGCTGCCTTGCTGACCATCTACTCTTTTCTGCGTTGTTGCCATATCTAGCTTTTGCCGGCCGCGGGGTTTTTTTTTTGCGGGCGGTGGAGCGTTTTGCCTGCGAGGCCCGTGACCCCGAGACCAAACCTTGAACAGGCCGGTTCCACTACTTTGGAACAGCCTTTTCCATCGAGACTCACACGACCGACTTTGCTTCTTGACTTCCAATGTCTCGTCGGCTTGCTAGAGCAGGACTTGCCTATCCTCTCTCGCGCTCCCCGCCATGAAATAACGGCTGTGTTGCCCGTCCTCCCTCTTGACCAAATCCCTGCCTGCCTCTCGAAAGCGGCTGTGATCGCCCTACTTTTCCGCCGTCTGCGCACAACGGTCCTCGACCAGCGTTTCTAGCTATCCGCTTTTCTGCCACCCCTCCACACCTCTCCTCCACCTCACAGTCACTTTACCTCCTTCAAGATGGTTCGGAACATTGTCGTCCTGGGAGGAACTTCCCATCCACACCTGACCCAGACGATCTGCAACCACCTCGGAGTACCCCAGGCTAATGTGCTCCTCACGAAATTCTCCGTCGGCGAAACAAGAGTCGAGATTGGGGAATCCGTTCGCGAAAAAGATGTCTATATCATCCAATCTGGCGGTGGTAAAGTCAACGACCACCTGATGGAGCTTCTCATCACCATTTCTGCGTGCAAAACAGCTTCTGCTAGACGGGTGACGGCAGTGCTGCCTCTGTTCCCCTACTCCCGCCAGAGCGACATTCCCTACAATAAGGTCGGAGCTCCTCTTGGAAAGTCGACACTGCCAGCCAAGTCTGATCCTGGAAATTGCTACACATTCGAGAGTACCCCTGCTACCCCGCATCCTGGGAAGGCCGAAAGCGGAAGCCTTGCCAATGGCGTGGATAACCTTCAGAAAGGACTTGTGAAAGCTCAACTCGATGAACATGACTCCATTGTGCCCAACGGAAGTCCCCAGAAGCGCCGTCCAGGCGCAAATGGGATGACTCGCAGTGACACCATCGATTCTGTGAGATCGGAAAGCAGCAATCGCGCCTCTCAGAACGGAAATGCGAACGATGATAACGTGAGTGTCACGTCCACTTCTTCTAGGACAGCCACTTTCCAGCCGCGTCCTGGTTATAGGCAGTGGGTTGCGCAGCCTGGTACACTTGTCGCGGACCTGCTCACCTGTGCCGGTGCCGATCACATCATCACGATGGATCTGCATGATCCCCAGTATCAGGGTTTCTTCGATATTCCGGTCGACAACCTGTATGGCCGACCTCTGCTGAAGAGGTACATTCAACGCAACATCCCCAACTACAAAGAGGCTGTCATTGTCAGTCCTGATGCAGGTGGTGCCAAGCGCGCTACAGCCATTGCAGACTCGATGGGCATGGAGTTCGCGCTCATCCACAAGGTATGTTTTAATATTAACGTGAGCCTTGTTACGAAATCTAACCAACTGTTACAAAGGAACGTCGTCCTATCAGGATCACGGACCGTCAGAACGCAACCATGATGCTGGTCGGAGATGTGAAAGATCGGATAGCAATCCTGCTTGACGACTTAGCTGATACATCGAATACTATCACAAGAGCTGCTAAGCTGCTGAAGAAAGAGGGCGCCTCTCGTGTCTATGCCTTGGTTACCCATGGCATCTTCAGCGGAGACGCCATTGAGCGCATCAACGCCAGCGCGCTGGACAAAGTCGTAGTGACCAACAGTGTCGACCAAGATGAGCACAAGCGGAGATGCCCCAAGCTTGAGGTCTTAGAAGTCGGTCACGTATTCGCTGAGGTAAGATCGTCAACTTCTCGCGCCATTCAGGGACACTAACAGTACATCAGGCCATTCGCCGCGTCCATCACGGCGAGAGTATCAGTGTTCTCTTCCAGTACGATTAGATGAAATTCACATGACACAAAACGGGGGGTTTCTTTGCTATTTTATTTTATCTTTTTGCTCGCTCCGGGGAGAATCAAAAATCACAAACCGGGGTAAAGATGATAGGCCGTTATTGGATGGGCCATCTCTTCTGCATGAGGATCTCAAGATATAGATGTCTCAAACCAGCCTCGCGTAAAACACACAACATTGCATCGACGGGTTATATGGCGCATATCTCGAATGTTCTGTATTTCATTATCTCGGTTATCTGATCCGTTGCTCCGAATGCTTTGCTCGGCGTCAAGATCTTTTCTCTATTTAGGAATAGACGAAACTATTGAAGATTTGGAGTCGCAAAAGTGGAAAAAATTACGAAATTATTATTCCTTTCTACCTAAGGACTAACTTCTTGACCTCCACCTGTTCTCGTGAACGGACATTATTCTCCACGTTACCCGATAGATGACAGAATCATTGACCCTTCTTCAATAATCACATAGATACTTACCGGACAAGAGCCACATGTTTCCGCACGTCATATTTTGACTTTTCACACGATTACAATCGTGATCGTCGTTCAAGCTAGGCGTCAATTCAATTTCCAACACTAATCTTCGTCCCCGCTCCGATCCACATACTTATTCCCCTCTTCCCAAAATATCAATGCCATTCATCCTCTTCTTTTTATTTTAGTCCTTACAGATTCTGATAGAGACGCCAATTGTTAGATAAATAGGGCATTTCGAGTCTATAGATACGAAAGGAAACCCTCCGGCTCTATTCTTTCCCGTACCGAGGTATAGAGGGATTTGAAAAAGAATGCCAGTTTCAACTCCAATGGGGTGAATACATAGCAGCCTTAAAAAGCGTGACTTTGAGGAAGTTTATAGATTTCGTTGGTTTCATCCAACTGCAGTTGTTGTCAATAAATAATACTGGCGGTAAACACCGAGGCTCATGGGTGTTTCGACTTGCGAATCCGTTACCCGCTATCGTGGCTTATATCCGCACTAAACGTGGATGCGACGGCCTCAAAACATCCATGGATTGAAGTCGAAGGAGTGCGGATGACTTGCTATCCAAATACTCTCTTTATTTATTCTTTTGTGCTATGCCTATGGATCACAGGAGGATAAAAGAATCCTTGTTGAGACGCCCTTAATTCGAACTAACCAGTGAGACTCTACACGGGTCTCCCAAAAGAATCGGGTAATCGATACAGAATGATCACATAGTGAAAGCAAGCAGAATGGCTAGATACAGTAGATCACAGATCTGATAACAAAACGTTAAAGCTCGAGTGCGTTCAATTACACTGACACTCGTGTATTGGAGACAGCAGGATAAAATGCAACGGGATTCACAGGCTCAAAACGACGTTCAGAAAACAGAGATATAATTTCCTATCCTGTCCTTCTGGTTTTGTGCAATGCATTCAGAGATCCAAGTGATGTTTCGAATTTCCTGGTCTAGCGTTAGCGAAGTCCACGATACCTGAAGAGGATAATGCCAGTTTACCTGTTCGCGCAACTTCACCCAGGCATAAACCACCGCCGGGGTGAACTGCCGTGTGAAGACAACTTTTGACATCTCCATCTCTTTCTGGTAGAACAGGTCCTCCAGACTCTTTCCGTCCGAGCTACTTCCACCAGCCATATTGCCCAGACCGCCGCCGCCACCCTGACTGAGACCGACAGCATCGAAGAATGTCTTGTAGTCCGCCACTCCGCTCACAGCCAGAGAGACACCCTCAATGTCATCTGCCCTAGACAGCATCAACGTGCCTTCAGGCCAGAGCTTACCAAATTCAGGGTACAGCTTCTTTCGATCCTGCTTGGACAGCTCGGTCCCGAACGAGTTCAGGGTGATGTTGATTGCACGACGATCGGCCTCAAATTCTAACGCTTCAGCCATAACCTCCTGAGTTGGCGTACCCTTGAAATCGGGGTGTGTATTGATGAAATTGTAGAAGTCCTCCAAGTAGTTCTTGTATAGCGTGTTGCGGACGATCTCGATGTTCAATTCGTCGAGGTCCTGGTGGCTGAGACTACCCTTGAAGTACGGAGCCAAGGGGGTTTCGACTAGAACGGAGTTATAAAGTTCTTCGATGTTGGTTGCGACGCTTAGCACTGGCATGGTTTCAAACCAGCCCAGTGCGTGACATCTCTCTAGCAGCTCTCTCGTGTCTCGTTCGTGCAGTGTGCCGGTAATCAACAGCGCGATATTGTCAATCATATATCCGTAGGTTAGGTATTCCATAAACTTCGCAAAGGAACCAGTCGCCTGCGCCTGCACATAGCGGAATTCGGCAACGAGCTTGTCGGTCAACTTGCCGGCGAGAGCAGATGTCGAGGGATTGGGAGGCAACGAGGCAAGGAAATCCCCGTAGGAGGGGGCTAGCTGCAGCTTGACATCTGGAGATCATATCAGTTCCCGAACGGACCCTGAATCAAAACCAAGGAGACTAATGCAGGCAGGACAGGACCAACCATCTATGGACTCGCACTGGGTCAAGTTGCCGTACTGTTGTTGGGTCAGGAGAGCGTTTCGATACCCGCGAACGATCCCCTCGATATATCTGCGGACTCGTCAATAGACCATACGACGTCCACTCGATTTCATGCACATACCCGCCGTTCACGTTGAAGAACAGACCCTCCATGGTGGGCGATGGCAGCTGGGACGTTGATTGTCCAGGTCCAGCTCTCCGCAAGGACAGCGGAAGCTCAAGCGGGCGCGGCGTCCGTTTAGGGCGGCTGACATAAGCAGGACCTCCCACCGCAGCCACTCAGCGTTTTTACACTTAGACTCGCCAGTTCTTGCAAAATTTCCCCGAGAGCAGCGAAAAAAAAAGACGAACGCTCATTGTGCTTCGTCCGACAGGCAGTGCGCACCACCCGCTCTTTGCGCCTTCTCGATCTGTTTGTCTTGCTCGCTGCTTCCCCTTTGTCAATCTTGGAACAGCTGAGAGTCGTCGCTGCCCACCATGACGCTTTTCATCCTTACCGAGACCAGCGCGGGTTATGCCCTGCTCAAGGCCAAGGACAAGAAGCTCCTCAAGAGGGATGATCTTGCCACGGAGACTGAGACGGCCGAAGGTGTTTCGAACCTGTAAGTTATATTTGCGGATCGTGCTCTTTTGTGCTCTCCAGAAAATTCAGTGGGAAGAAAATTTGAGCTCCGTTTGCCTCAATGGGACTATGAGGCGTAAAACTCGTTTGAACTGGCTTTCTGACCGGTCTTATAGTCTTAAGTTGAAGACTTTCCAGAAGTTCGACAGTGCTGCCACCGCTGTCGAGGAAGTTGCATCCATTATCGAGGGCAAGGTCTCCGCTCGTCTCGCGGGCCTTCTCGACTCCATCAAAGATGAGAAGAAGGTTTCTCTCGCGGTCGCTGACCCCAAGCTGGGTAAGAACATCCATTCGAAGTTGGTATTGTAATTTCTATTCCACAGGATGCTGATGATTCCGTGAAGGTTCTGCAATTGGCAAGCTTCCTGGCCTCGACATCCAGCCTATTGCCGACTCCAGCACCGCAGAAATCTATCGCGCCATCCGCGCTCACCTGCCTACACTGATTCCGGGTCTGGTGCCGGAGGACATGTCAGCAATGTCTCTGGGTCTGTCGCACTCTCTTGCTAGACACAAGCTGAAGTTCTCCCCCGATAAGATCGACACCATGATCGTTCAGGCCATCGCCCTGCTCGATGACTTGGACAAGGAATTGAACACTTATGCCATGCGCGTTAAGGAATGGTACGGATGGCACTTCCCGGAACTGGCCAAGATCTTGAACGACAACATCGCGTACGCGAGAGTCGTCCTCAAGATGGGCATGCGCACAAACTGGGAGTCCGTTGACCTGAGCGAGATCCTGCCGGAGGAAATCGAGAATGCGGTCAAGTCTGCGGCAGACCGTTCCATGGGTACTGAGATCAGCCCAGAGGATCTCGAAAACATCCAGGCTTTGGCTGAACAGGTTGTCGGATTCGCTGAATACCGACAGCAGCTGGCTAGTTATCTCACTGCTCGTATGACCGCTATCGCACCTAACCTGACTGCTTTGGTTGGTGAGTTGGTCGGTGCTAGACTTATCGCCCACGCTGGAAGCCTGGTCAACCTCTCGAAGAGCCCCGCCAGTACAATCCAGATTCTGGGAGCGGAGAAGGCGCTGTTCCGTGCCCTGAAGACCAAGCATGACACTCCTAAGTATGGTTTGATCTACCACGCCTCTCTGATTGGACAGGCTACTGGAAAGAACAAGGGTAAGATGGCAAGAATTCTGGCTGCCAAGGCATCTCTTGGTATCCGTGTCGATGCACTGGCCGACTGGGAGGGTGACGAGGTTACCGAGGAGGAGAAGGCCGCTCTGGGAACAGAGGCTAGATTCAACCTTGAAAGGAAGTTGGCTGCTATGGAAGGCAAGCCCCTGAAGCCCAGAGGTGTTGCTATTGCCCCCAACGGCCTCCCCATCCAGCCCAAGAAGTTTGAGCTGAACGAGGCTCGATCCTACAACGTCGACGCAGATGCTGTCACCGGAGAGGCTCCTTCATCTGCCAAGAAGGAGAAGAAGGACAAGAAGAAGAAACTCATTGAGGAAGTCCAGTCGGACAGCGAGTCGGAATCTGACTCTGATGTGGAGATGGAGGACAAGCCTCAGGCCAATGGTGCCGACTCTGACAGCTCTGACGAGTCTGAGGAGGAGTCGAAGAAACACAAGTCCAAGAAGAGCAAGAAGGGTGAAGACGTTGAGAAGCTGGCCGAGAAAGCTGGTCTCAGTGTTAAGCGGTATCTCCGCAAGCTCGAGAGAGGCGAGATCACTTTCGACGCAGCCGGTAACCCTACGGCCATCAGCAAGAAGGACCTGAAGAAGGCTAAGAAGGAGGCCAAGAAAGCTGCCAAGGAGGATGGCAAGAAGCGAAAGAGAACTGAGGAAGAAGACGTCGACAAGTCGGAAAAGAAGAAGAAGAAGAAGAGCAAGGAATAAAAGCACTGCATCATGTCAGCTTTCGTTTCTGTATGATATCATGTTTTGATCTCGCTTTTTTTTTGCTTGAGTTTGTCTTTTCTTTCTGGGTGGCATCATAGAGCGAAATATTCGCTGGTCCGTTCCTGGCGCAGAGGTGCTTGTTGGCATAGGGCGAGTACGATACTTTTGCCGGAAAAATAATCTGTTTATATTTTCTCAATTAAGACATTTTCTTTCACACATTCCTTATTCATACGTAGTCAATTAGTTATCTGCTCAGACTGTTGTATTCCGTGAATATCGTATTGTCGATGTAGTGCTATATTATTCACCGCCTTCTGGCTGTACGCTTTTCTGCCGGCAGATGTTACATTTTCCTGCATAGCCGCCCGGCATGTTCTTGTCGATTCTCCAAGTCCGCCGGATAGATCGAGTTTCTAATAGAAAAAGTCACCATGAGGGTAAGTTCAGTGTTTCCTTATCTTGTTTTCTTGAGATCGCATTGCTGAGGAGAGATTTAGATCGTGGACCCGCAGGCCGCAACCCTCACCAATATCGAGGTGCTTGCATTTCTGACAGAAAATCCCCCAAGACGCCCTCCTAACCCACCACCGAATTCGAGGAATTGGGTTCCAAGTCCCGATTTGAGAGATCACAATACTGTTGTTAAGGAGGTAAGCGCGGATTAGGATTCTCTATGACATTTGACCTTGTTTGTCCACGAAGGAGGCGCCAGGATCGTGGAAGGAACGAGCCCGCATGGACGGTCTATCATCTGAATATGGCATTGCATATTCTCAATGTAGAATGTCTTGTTGCCATTTGCATGATTGGCACACTCTATATTGTTTTTATTCCCTGTGATTTTTCCTTGCTCGGGAGTGAAATAGGGGCACCATCAAGGCGACAATCACTCATGCTTCTCGTGAGAAAATCATGACTAACACATCTACCATTGAACCTCTAGATCCATAACTACGTCCAGCGTCTCTCCCCTCACCTTCTCAAATACCCACGCTACGTCCACGAGGGACTACCCCAACAAGCTGAAACCACCGACCAAGGCGCCCAGATCCCTCCTCCACCGCCTCCTACAGAACCAACCCCTCTCGACCATGCGCTTCGCGAGCTCATCACACGCCTCCAGCCCTACGGTCTCACGAAGGGAGAAGTCCTCACGATCGTGAATCTTGGCGTCGGACTAGACGGCGCTGCTGCTTCCGGCGACCAAGAAGCACAGGCTGAAGATGGCGCAGACGTGGCGATGGCAGATGGTGATGCTGCTGGGGAAGAAGCCGGCGAAGAGGGTCTCGCAGACGAAGATTACGGCGCGCTGGCGCTGCTAGATACTGTGATCGAGGAGCGCGAGGAGAGGTTATCCAACGAGGATGTAGCGCAGATCCTGAAGATTATCAGAGAAACGTTAGGATCGGGACGGAAGTGAACTGGTGGAGTTGATGACGTCCAGGGATAGAATCAGGTCCTCGCTTCTTTTTTGTTTTCTCCTGGCCTATTGTCACCTTTTACATGATCTCCTTGTTATTTTTTGACATTTTTCCCCCTGGTTCTTTCTTGTATACCAGACTTCCTCTGTTTCTTTCGTTGTTCTTTCTTTTTCATCTTTTTTCTTTTCTCTTGTCGGACTATTCTCGATTACAGAGATGGTCCCGACTCCTTGTTATTGATGTCAATAACTCCTTGGATGAGGTTGAGGGGCGCTTGCCATATGGTCTTTTGGCAACGCATAGCATAGCATGGGATAAGGCGTTTTTGACTTTGTGGATAAAATGGACCAGTGTTGTGAAGACGATCAGAAGGTTGACGGTGGCACGTGCCGCCTTTCTCATTTCTGAATAGCTTAATTGGATAGATGCGGTATATTCTGCATAAGTTACGAGAGAGTACTTGTACTACCCGAAGAAGTTGATTAGATAAAGATAAGTTATCGACAAAAGAAGGGATTAAATCATATAGCATTTTTCATGTCTTATCCTACAGAAGAAGAAGAAGAAGCAGCCCATGCTTCTGCTTATAAGTAGTAGCTAAGACAAGGAGTAATACAAAAAGGGTGATATATACAGAAAAAGCTGGAACGGACGAGTCCCAATAAGCGGAAATGCAAACCGCCATACTCACAACGAACGCCTGACCAGAAGACCTTTGCCCCTAGTCTTCTCGATCTATGCATGCAATGACGAAAACAGGGCTGGATATGACATTTGCTGGGGACTTAGTACAGCGAGAGAATACCACCCGGAAAGGAAAAAGGTGGGTCGTATTTTATGCAGGCCAGAGGAAGTGAATAGACTGCGGGTATATATATGTGTGTGGCACGTGTGCTGGGAGGAATAGCTGAGACAGCCCCGATCAGGGCCTTTCGATCCGTGCCTTGCATGTGAAGCAATAGAGCGTCAATAGAGGGATGGAAGAAAATGTTTTGTCGACATCGTATCAGACATCTCGAGGGTTTAGTTTGGCGGTTGTGGCGGGTCAATTTTTGGGGGTCCTTTGCCCGCAATGAGAATTCCGAATTGATTATACACGGGCTTTTCGAGTTGCCCTCCATCCTCCTGACCCCAAGGTCCTTTCTCGTCGTCGAAGACCACCTCTTCATATCCTTCGCATAGCTCCCCGTAATCCAGCCATTCGTCGTTATCGGTCCAAACGCCTCCTCTCCCACCGCGCAGATCCCACCAGTCGCGGCCTCCGAACAGCGAAGACAACGCTGCAACACGGCCACGAGGGCCGCGCATATATTTGCGGAGAAGAGCACGAGCCCAAGGATGATACCACATGTTCGTCCACCATATTTTCCTGAGCTTTTTATCCCCGTTTAGATGGGCAATGGCGGGGATTTCTCGCGAGTGGACGTTGGTCATCAATGGGATATTCTCCCAGGAACGCTTCTTGGGGTCGGGAAGAGTATCCACGGTCGCATTGAAGGGAGGTTTGACGACTTCCCCTTCAGCCGGTTTATATGCAATAAATGGATTTGGTGCATGTTCGTAGATGTCGGAGGGTAGGGGCGTTATACGCTCTCGGGGAACGCCATGACGTTGCTGTATTTTGGACGTCTCGGTGAGATTGTTGTATGTAATCCATTCCACGTCATCGCGAGACTGCAGCATGTTCCAAAAGAGACGAGACTCGTAGTCTAATCCGATTCCAAATTCGTAACGTCGTCCCTGCTCGAGGTTCACCTCGATTCCCGTTAGGTTCGTTGCTTCGGAGATACCAATCTGATTGTACATCCACTCCTTGAATCGATTGCTCGTTCTCCTTCTCTCCAGTTCTCTCACATATTCTTGCTTCCCGAAAAGTTGCCCCAGAACGAACTGGTCACCATATCTATCTCGGCGGCGTCCGATAGACTGCTCTACTTGGGAATAGATCAATCGAAGATCTGCGACCTCGCCAATGATAGCCCCAGATTGGAGATACCGTGGCCGGTTCAGATGCCCATCCGGATGTGTGTCCGTCTTAAGACCATAGGCATCTGGCGGTAGGGTGGACTGAGGCACAGTCACACAGGCCACGTCATGGGTAGGGTTAGGAAAGCACAGCTTCCCTGCTCCAAATACGACTCTTTGCTCATATTTTTGGACGATTTCCTTTATTTCTCCCGTATCAGGATTCTGCACGACCACCACGCCGTATTTCCTTTTCAGCTTTTCGTTATTCTCCTTCAGTAAGTTGTGGAAACGTCGAATCAGAATATCCGGAGGCAATTGGAAAAAGACGTCGAGGCCGTCAACAATCAAAACCAGATCGTTATCGCTCAGGTGTTTGCTGTTGGTGAGGTACGAATTGATACCGCTCACCCTTGCTGCTGTCGCATCATGCTCCGGATACTGGCCATAGAATTCTTTCCCGTACCCGATGAGCGTCGGAGGCGGGTAGTCCAGAATCATAGCCGAAGTGACTGTCTTGCAAAGACTAGAGCTGCGTTTCGTAGCTGGGATCAGGAGATGGAAGGAGGGGTTCGACTTTTTTAAGCTGCTCGGGAGGGTCCCATCTTCATCCACTTGCGGTGCTGAAGGCGAAAGTATCGAGGAATCTTCTGGCCGCTGTGATGAAGCATAATGTGATGGGTGCCTGACCCAGTAGCTTGTCTCTGTCTGTGACTACAAAGTTGTCAGCTGGGCTTGGGGATAGGGCCCTTGACCTCCGGGTCTTATACACTAGGTAGAGCAAGACTGCATCCTGATATGGTCATTCCGAACGTACCTGTCTTGAACCCAATGCGATGAAGAAGAAGATCAGGACTCCTGTAGCTGTCGCTAGAAAAAGGATCTTCGACCTGCGACTCCTGGGACGACGAAGGTAGGCTTGTCGCACCGGGGTTGGGAGGTAGGCCAGCAAGGAGCGCTGGTCCGCTCTGCCTTCCATCGCGAAGGTTGGCATTGACAACGTCAAGAGGGACCGTCTCGGTCAAATGCTGGCCGGGGGAACTGATGTCAGAATCGAGCAGGAGGATACAAAAGGTGTCCCGATTTCAGCAAATCTGCATGACGATCTCCGGCTTCGCATTCCAAAAACAGGCACGATGCTAGTCTTCAAGATGTCGGGGAAAGCGTCGCACGACAGTCCAGGCTCACAACGGACCAGCCATCATAGTTCCGACGTCGTAGATAGGTATAATCGACAGGTGCGCAGCGTCTGAAGCTGGTGAGGAGAGAGGATGATAGAAAAGACCGAGTCGAGCACGGTTCAATCCCAGATGGCAGCCCGTTGCGCAAGCGGCCGACGAGGAAAACGTGCCAGTGGAGCTTAGAGGGCTTCTTCTAATCGTACCTCGACGGTCGCAGTGGAGAGAAAGGGAGAACAGAGCGTCTGCGTGCGCGGAAGAATCGCCCGATGGGTCTGGTAATAATCCTCTAATCATTAATGGCAGCTGATTTGGCTTCCACGACGGCCCTGAAACGTAACGATCTTCTCGTGAGCCGTCAGCGATCGTCAAATCAACCTTCTGGACCGTTTCCTGATTGGGGGCGAATCTAGAGGACACTGTGACCAGACCGCGAGCAGGAAGAAAAAGAAATCAGTCATCTACTTAGGTCACCACGGTATATAACTACCGCTGTCAAAGTCGTTGTGAAAAAAGAGCCTTTATATTGCAGATGGGTTGGCTAACTACTATCTACTCTATAGTACTACTGTACTGGATGTACATACATTATCCCTGTCAGGGTCCAAGATACCCCCTCCTCGTGCGAGAGAATAAGCATCGGATCACAATCATAATAACGATTACTGCAAACAGGCTCTCCGATTCCAGCCAGAGACCATCACCATGCAGCCGAATTTAAGAAACACCGCGTACGGTACTCATGGACACATAATAGACGCGTCATTGGCCGTATACCCATTGGATAGGGAACCGGAGACGGTTAAATCAAGAACCACATAATTAAGACGCGTAGATTATTTCATTTTCTCTAGTTTACACTGTATCTACTACCGTAGAGACTCAGTCCAGGTATATCTCGTCCCGCAATCGCTGTAGATTCCTGAACAGACCTCCCGCAGGCCCTCCGCTGTCACTCTGATCCATCGATGACCGGTTCTTTTTCTGAGAACGCTGACGGCGAAGTTCGTCGCTCCGTCGTTCACGTTCCTTGAGTTGCCGTTCGAGTACTCTGCGTCGATCGTCAACCATGTTTTCCAGCCCGTCAACGAACCGGTTCCGCGCTCTCTCCTCGACGGAGCCCTTCCAGACGGTCGCCAGCTCCCGCATCGTCTCGACACGTTTGCGGGCTGCTTCCAGCCCTGCTTCCCCGCCACCATCGCTGTCGAGAAGCTCGGTGATCTCTGCGCGTAGCTTCCTGGCAATCTCTTGTCCCTTCTCTTCCTGACTATGACTCTCCCAACCGGGTGGTTCCGGCGCCGAGACTGAAATAAACGAAGAGGCAATGGAGAGCTCGGACGGCGGCAGTGGCCATTCCATTGCTTCCCCAAAGAGATGCACTACATCTTCCAGTCGAGATCGAACTTGGCCCAGCGTTCGTAGCTTAATGATGTACTCCGGGTCAGATACTGCTGTCTGCTTCTGCTTCACCTGGTCGTCCTCCGCTTCAGGGAGATCCGTGGTATTCGTGGCCCCTTGGGTGACGTCTGTCTGAGCAAGGTTCTCTACCAACCCTTCCGGGACAAACTTTTGGATATCACCATGCAAAGATTCGGTCAGAGCATCTGACAGCCCGAGTGCCTCTCCTCGTAGAACCTCTACCTCGTAAGCCAGCCGTCCGCTGCTTCTCAAGATCTCGTCCGTCAACTGGGTGAGGATATTGGAGAGCCTCACATTCTGCGCACTCCACTGAGAGAGCAGAGATTGTGTCTGGCTGGACAGCTCCGACAGCGGAACAGAACCAGGAGCTCTCGTGGCATGAGGCTGAGATAAGGCAAGCGTCAGTGGTGGGAGTGCATCATTGATCAAGTCAACGGGATCAAAAGATGGATCCGCGAAATGCTTCAATGTTGGGTCAAGCTGGGAGTGCGAACGCTGGCCTCCTTCCCTGGCTGCAGCTGGGCCCGATCCAGAAGCCTGCGGTATAGCCATTGCAAGATATCCACCTTGATGCTGTTCTTGCTAAATAGTGCGAAGTGCCAGGACCTGACACAAGCGCAGGGGTCCTTTGAATTGATACCGTGAAAGATAAGGATATCACCGGATCTTTATATTGCAATATGAGATGTTGATCCTATCCACGAGCTAATTCTGGCAGGGACTTTCCACGTGGCTCATGTAATGATCATTGTGGCATGGAGGAAGTGTCGGTCTTGGCCGCGGGAGGCTCAGGCACTTGTTTCTTTCCTCTCCGCCCGCGTGTCACTAAAGTACTTAGTTCGTACAGAATACTTAAGAAGTTTGTAACGTTAACATGAACATGGAATAATACCACCACCTACATGGGCGACTAACGGGCGGCTATCGCCATCCATATTCATACAAAGACTGCTGTTATGGACATGTGTGCTAATTCACTGTAGTGTTTTCTCGACCTGGTAGCTGTCGTCCTGCACTCAGCACTCATCGTGTTTACTCTCCATCATTGGCTAGCCAAAAGGTTCTCTCCTACTCGACCATCCATGTCCTGGTTCCTTTGTCGAAGATCATCTTCAGCGCTAGAAATCCAGTTATTTCTCGAGCTACTTTTTCTTTTGTTTCAGCTGCGTTCAGAACACGTCCCATAGATGACATCCTTCGACGTCTGCAGCCTCGTCTGAGAATTGGACTGCAGCCTGCTGGGAACCAGAGATGAACGCTGTGGCATAGCCTCCCCCACACGAGCTCTCTGATTTTTTTTTCTCACTCTGACCTGTCCATCTCGGTTCTTATCCAGCTTGTTATTTTCCCTCATTTTATTTCGATAACCAAGCTGATACTAGTACTTTCCTCTGCTGCCCCAATTGGCTCTTATCCATAAGTATCGCGATTCCAGAGGTTATCAGCATCCACTATGCCACGACGAGACTATATTCGCGACCTCGACGACGTCTTAAGCCCGGGCAAATATGTTTATTTAACCAATATCAGAGCTGGTGCAGATGATGGGGTGCTTTGCTTTACATACCTCAAAGAAGGCCCCAGTATCGACCTAGAAGCATTTGTCACCGGTAAGCGAAGATTACCAACTGTCCTCCATCGATAGGTATCTAATACACCAGCAGATATCTCCTCTTATCCCAAAGATCACAGCTATTTTGTATACACGACGTCAGAAAATGTCCCTCCAGCGGTCACTGCAACCATCCAGGAGGTCCAGGCACGTTCAGAAGGACAGTCGCTTTCCAACTTTCTCAGCCACTTAAGCGACTCCATCGTCGACTCTCTTTCTCCCGATAATTGCTTTAGTACTCAGACATCCGGTCATGATAGTGACACCTCTATCGTGGATGACGATGGTGAATATGACGAGTGGGATGAGCCTCTGGATATCGAGGATCCATTCTCTGACTCTGAACATGTGTGCTCGTCGATGCAAGGAGCCCTGAAATCAAAAATCCGTGCGGACCTTCGTCTCGTCAAGACAGCCGGGTTTAAGGTCGGTGTTCTTGGTGACCTCGATGGCCCAGTGATTATCTCCATTTCGTGCCGAATCGCTAAACTGGGTATCTCGGACGAGGCCATGCAAGCATGGCGTGTCAACCCCCAACAGTATCTGGTTCTATTAATCCGCTACCCATCTGGCTATCAAGAGTTCCAGAAGATCCTTGATGTGGACACCGCTACCGGAAAGTCCTCAGTGGACATGCATGTTGCCTTATGCGATTCATACAAGCCGACGCTCGCCAACGCTGAGCAGATATTTTTTCGTAAATCAAAGAAGACAGACTCTAACGAAAACGGCAATGGCACAAGCAATGGACCCAGACTGGAACCCTCTTTTATCAGTAGGCCGCTTAACACGCTACTCAATGAACGGCTGGTTAAAATCATGAAGTATCGATACACGTTCGCGTTTAACTGGTCCGGTGCAGAGCTCTTTTTCAATGATGAACAGGGCAAGTCTCTCCAATCCGCCGATCCGAGTAACCCGAAATACTTGGCCAAAGAGAAACCGGCGTTGATCACGTCGAATCTCCTGGCTGGAGACCATCTTCTTGAGTCTTCTGGTCAGCTATCTTTCCCCCTCCTTGCCATGCAGTTCACCCTCCGTCACTTTGTGAGGTGTACAGACTTCTGTCTTGTGTGTCATTGCAGGATTGATGCAGATTTCGAAGCTCTAAAGCCCTACGTGTGCTCAAATGATCTCTGCCTGTTTCAGTACTTGTCTCTGGGCTTCGGACCCAGTCTCGAATTCGAAATCATCTCCCAGCCAAACGTAGTTGACCTCTTGGTTAGCTTCACATATGCCAGCGCTACAGGTGGCCGTTTGAGGGACTTTCCAACAGGTCTCGGCATTATGGTCCCCGGTGGTACGGAATGTCTCCAAGATTGCAGTACCGGTGTCATCACATCAGGTAATCCATCAAAAAACCCGAGATTCAGCTCTCAACAGGCTCCACGGCCACACATGGCGAAATTAGACCTACCCAGGATGGATCTCCATTTTCCAGACCCTAGAGAGCGTCCTCCAGTTCGGGTTGGCGACTGGATCGCCATTATTGATCATCATGTCGCAGAGGCAACCCACTTGCACTGTCGAGTTGTCGAAGTAGCTATGTGGCCGCGGGTCAAGCTTTCGGAGCCCATTATGAGAGGGAGCCCCCTTGAAAAGAAAGTAGCGAAGCCGGGGATAGAACAACCGTCACCCGTAGTCTTCGTCGTATACGATACACTATTTGACGATCTCAGTGAGATTCAGAAGCGCCAGGTCATTCCGATGCTACTCGATAACCTTCCTACTGTCATGGAGATGAAAAGTTATTTAACGGAGAGCAAGCATGATTCTGGATTACTGCTTGCATCTTGGAAGGACAGGATCTCCAAATCCTCGCTAGATCTTCTGCGATGGATAGTTGCGTCTAATAGGTCGTGTATTCTAGAAGATGGACGCTCATCCGATGATCCAACTGCTCCCAGTCACGACCAGAATCTAGTTTCTGATATGGAAGGGTACATGCAGTTCCGATTTGCACAAGGAGCTCCTGATAAGGAACAACGGTTTGTGCAGTCAGTGAGCTCTGCCACTTCCAGTCAGAAGATAAAATACCCAACCCTTTTTGCGTGGCATGGAAGTCCCCTTTCGAACTGGCACGGTATTGTCAGAGAAGGTCTCCATTTTAAAGACAGCTTGCATGGACGCGCATTCGGAAACGGCGTGTATCTAAGTCCTGATTTTCACACATCGTACAGTTTCGCTGGCGGACATGGCTGTACGGGATTCAGGCATTGGCCTAAGAGTGTCCTGAAGATCACAGGTGCAATCTCACTAAATGAAGTCGTCAACTGCCCGTCCAAATTTGTGTGCAAGTCGCCGCATCTCGTGGTTAATCAGCTAGACTGGATCCAATCGCGCTATCTCTTCGTCAAATGCGAAACTCTTGGCAATGGAAAGGGACTCCAAGCCCCAAAGATCACACCTTCTACAATCTTCTATCGACAGGACGAACATTTTACAGCCAAAGGGCCTGGGGGTCGCGCCGTCGTGATACCGCTTACTGCCATCAGCAGCAAGCGTCGAGGAGCACTACTGATCGAGGACGAGCCTAACAGTTCTGCCGGCGAAAAGAATTCACAGGGAAAGAGCACTAGGAACAAGAAAGGGAAACCCGAATCTACCAAGTCCACATTTGGTAAAAGGAAAAAGACGACACCAGATGAACCTCAGAATGATGGAGATACGTTAAGCGTCCGAACCGACGACGAAGATCTAGCGTTGCTCCTATCTGATACCGAACCAGAGAAAGAGCATAAGATCGCCAAGGTCGACAAAAGTTCTTCAGTCTCGAAGAACAATGGCACTGGAGAGTCTGGAAGCCTCTCTGATGAACAGACGGACTTCACCCCAGGAACTTTGCTAGCTACGTCTTTGCCGCTGTTGGCAGCTCCCACCTATGCCACAACCATGGCAACTAAAGCACTCCAGCGTGATCTACAGGCGACCTTGAAGGTCCAAGAGCGGACTCCCCCTCACGAGTTGGGTTGGTATATCGGTGCGGAGTTGATCACTACTGTTTATCAGTGGATCGTGGAGCTCCATTCGTTCGATCCAAGTCTCCCCCTTGCCAAAGACCTGAAAGCCGCGGGTCTTCAAAGTGTTGTCCTTGAGCTACGTTTTGGAAAGGATTATCCGATATCACCACCTTTTGTCAGGGTTATCCGTCCCCGTTTTCTTGGGTTCCAGCAAGGGGGAGGCGGCCATGTCACTGCCGGCGGCGCGTTGTGTATGGAACTTCTAACGAACTCAGGCTGGTCAGCAGCCTCTAGCATCGAAAGTGTCCTGCTTCAAGTCCGACTGGCACTCAGCAGCACCGACCCAAAGCCAGCGCGGTTGGAGCGTGGACAGACCAACAAAGACGGAAGGGTGCTAGACTACGGAGTCGGCGAAGCCGTCGAGGCATACCGGAGAGCGTGCCAAACCCACGGATGGGAAATCCCGAAAGACTTTGAACAGTCCAGTAGACTTGGGTTGGAGTATTCGAATGGGATGAAAAATTGAACTGTCACAGGTATCTGGGGATATATTCTTTCTAGCAGCTCTGACAAGTCTCTATGCCTTTTATGAGATACTTCCCAGAATTGTCATCTTACAGTTCCTATCGCTCTACTAATTCAAATACCCCCTTTTTTCCCCTTCAAAAAAATTCCATTGAAGTCCTCCCAGTATGCTTTTCGCTAGTGTCATTCATGTCTTTTTGGCACCCTCTTTGGTCCAGTCGGTTGCACAGATGTAAAGCACACATACATCTCAAAAGCAGATCTGTCCCGATCAGACGCAGTTATTACCATCGTGATAGCCAGATGAGGAGCGGAATCTCGTTACACAAAAATTTAGGAATTGAAACCATAGCTGTATCCTGTCAGACTACAATAAGCATCGTGATTAAGGGCAAGTCTACGCTTCACCACGTTATACGAAAAGGTATGACGTGATGCAGTACTACTTTATAAAATAGACAGTATACTTCCAACCAGGGAGATATTCCTTAGAAGGGTATCAGATTAGTTTCAGTAACTACTAAAAAAGCCAACGCATACATACGTACATACATACACACGTGCAGCGTAGAATAGGGGGATATTGACAGAAGCCAGGAATAAGTACATGGTCCGAAGGAAGCAGATTAGCAAAGTCAGAAAGATTAATGATTCAAAAGAGGGTATCAACATCCATCCATCCATCCTAGCCAGCCATCAATTCACGTAATCAGGAGCGTGAGTTCGGTTCGTAACAAACATGATTCGAATAAGACGTTCAGACGTGACATAATTCAGGTCCAAATTTTTTTGGTATCAAAGTCAATAATAGAGGGTTGATTGCGATACAAGCAGACAAGAGCCGGCTGTCAACTATCCCACGAGTGTGATAGGACAGTTTAGATGTTCTCGACGATGCGTGCATTGATCGCGCGCTGGAAGCCGTCGTCATTGCTAGAGGCTTGTCCACTGCCATACCGGCTGGGTCCTTCGCCAGCGTTGTCGGCTTGCTCGAGCTGTTGCTGGATGGTCTGGTTGGGAGCCGGAAGGAAGATGACCTTGCTGTTGGCGGTCTTGGCCATGGACTGCATAGCCTCGAGATAGCGGATCTGCATGGCCGGGGCAGAGGACAGGATATCAGCCGCCTGGCGCATCAGCTTTGCGGACTCGACTTCCGCCCTGGCGGCGATGACCTTGCTCTCTCCGATACGCTTCGACTGCGCAGCCATGGACAGCGAGTCCTGGAGGTCATCACTGAAGATGATGTCCTTGATGAGCATCGATTCCACCTGGACACCCCAGCCGCTAGCGACGTCTTCGATGATCTCGCCAATTGACTGCGCAATCTCCTCTCGACGCTCGATCACGTCCTGCAAGACACGAGCGCCCACAACATGGCGCAAGGTCGTCTGGGTGCGCTCCACAAGCGCCTGGCGTACGTTGGTAATACCGAAAGCCGCCTTATGCGGAGAGGTGATGTGGTAGTAAATAACGGAGGTCAGGTTGAGGGTGACATTGTCCTTGGTCATGCAGACCTGACGAGGAACCTCGACGATTTGAATCTTGACATCGACCGTGGTGAGCTTCTCACTGAGTGGGTTGATATTGACCAGACCCGGATCAACTGCGCGCTCGAAGCTGTAAATCAAATCCGCGTCAGCATGCTGTCCCTTCATCTCTACTTTCTATCTGAGGTTTTACATACCGTCCAAATTTCGACACCAGACCAACTTCACCCTGCTTAACGTCCTTGAAGGGGTTCGGGCAGCAGAAACAGCATGGAATGGCACCGCAGAAGCCGATAAGACTACCCAGACCATGAACTGATGATCCATCAGTATCAACGGTAGCATTAATCGCGTAAAGGTATGTACAACTCACTCATCCCTGCGTACCAGCCATGTGCCTCTGGGTTCTCCTCCGAATGCTGAATCCTCTGCGCATACCTCGGCTGCAGATCATCGAGTCGCGCAGGCTGCACCTTCACGACATTGTTGGGTCGAAAGCCGACATGGTTGGATTCTGCCACTGCAGCCTTTCCGTTGCTGCTCGTCGCATCTGTAGGGGCAGACATGATGGAAGTGCAGTAGTACGATAGAAGATGCGATATGCTTCACGCGATCGAGAGCTCGACAGCCCTTATAAATGGTAGTCGCGTCGGTAAAGACGGCTGTTTCCTTCTTCCTCGTATTGGAGTAAGACGTGCGGGGTCACGATAACTCGCGCGAAACAGGGGGAGGGTTTCAGATAAAGAAAATATCTGGAAAGCAAACAGCCAGCAGACAGATAAAGTGATGATGATGATGGACAAGTCGATTGACTTCTGGGCAAGAAATCGATGTGATGATCCCGGGGGGATACAAATTGTTAAATAATGCCGAGCTAGGCAGCGGGCTCTTTCTTGCCAACTGCTGTCCTACAGGAACATCCGCCAAGCTCGCAAATGCCTCTAATTACTTCACGATAATCCTTCAAGCTGCTCTTCTGGCTCTCAAGTCTCAAATCCCCCGATCTCAATGGGTCATCCCCAGATTACGAGGCGGAGTTGGACTTGGCGAACTGCTGGACAGACTAAATCAGCCATCTTACCGCACTCAGTCATCGTGATAATGGATGATTTCGATCACGGATGCTACTGTCTCCTGACGTCTCTATAGCAGGCTCAATACGCTGAAGAGTACCTCTAGAATCCTCATACCATACTTTGGTGTCACCATGATAACTACCGGTGCATTATGTCTCTGTACATGCTATTCCGCCTGGATGCTGCTAACACTAACAGAACTGCTCTTTCACCGAGCAATGAATGATCATTATTACAGTACTATCTATTCTCATATCAGCCTCAAATATGACGGAAAGCCTTGCGGGATTTTCGACGTCAATCCTCAGAGTTAGGCCTCCTTTACTCTTTCCGCTTCCTCTGCACTCTGCAGCATCACATCGTCTTTAGTCTTCCTCATGAGGCTCACTAGGAGCCTTTCAAGATCCACCGAACCAAGAGAACTACCAGCACTGCCCCGTTATTATCCGCGCCCGGCATCCCGTCTTGGACAACGGCTGGACGGCTTCTGGAAGAAACCAAACATCGAACCTTTCCACTTTACCTTTGGCCCCCAATCTATGATGAAATGTTCGTCGGGCGCATTGTTCGGATCGGCCTAGTACCACGCGATCATACTCTGGTTGGCATTCTTCGGCGACTCCAGAAACTGATGTTGCTGGTTATTGGGGGTCGATTCCAAGACGGTAAAGTCGGATCTCCCAGCGCTGTTATTCGGTGATGAGGCCAATTCTACTCCGTACTTCGAGTTGCAACAGTTAAACGCCGCCAACTTTCCCGCCTGATCGACGAATACGAGTTCACTGCCTCCGATACTGCGGCGGCTCTTGTCGACTCCTCCCTAACCTGACAGCCAGAAAATGTGGAGAGGCGCAGCAGGGGGATGTTTTCTCGAAGAATAACGGAAAATCGGCACTGCATCGTTTATGCCTCACGTGGTCATCGAGCAATGAGTTAATTAACTAGGTAACCTATCACTAACCTATCACTAACTTCTTAGATAAACGAAAATTAAATTTCCTGAATCTTTCTCCTCGTTGGACCGGTTACGGCTTTTTGCAGATTCATGATCTGGGGCCGTTGCTCAAATTAGAATCTCGTGAGACAGTTAATGTTAATAGAGTCATCTCGATATATCCAACAGCCAAAAGTGAATTGAGCATCTACAGCACAGCCGCCATGAACTTTCTTTTTTTTTCTATTCACGGGGCTGTTGTGTTTAGCTTTCTTTTGTTGTCTTTCTTGGTCGGAGCACAATATAGTTACTAGAACCGACAAGGCTACAGCTATGAAGTAAGTATTATCGTTACATACTGTATTAGTGATTCGTTCCGAGAAACGTTTGTAATCCGTGTATGCATCTTCTTAGAAATTTTCCTATAATATTTGGTACTAGAATAGCAATGCGCCAATTGAAGGACACAGGTCGACTCCTCATATCCACGTCGCCATTTCTTTTGCACCCAAATATTCAGCCCTCCTTAACCAGACATTAACCACTTAACCACTAGAATTATGCTAATTCTGGTCGTGGAACATGTCCCGTATCACGTTATGCATGAGATCGATCGATTAAGAACCGTAACATATTCACCGTATATACAACATTCATATCATATATTATTTACGTATATCCTCAAATATCAACAGGATGCATATAGATCTCTCCAACCAAGCAGATAGAATCTAGTTCAACCTGAAACCACCACTCGTGCGGTTCTGGAAGAAACCATCCGGGTCGTACTTGAGACGGGTCTGAAGAGCGATGTCCTTCGTCCGAATGCGACCCCAGTAGTCCTGTTGGGAATACGCATCGTTCATGAACAATGGACGATAGACATCAGGGAGGAGGCTGTTCTCGATATGCTGATCGACCAAGTCGTGGAGACCGCTGTATAAATCCTGCAGAGCAGCAGAAACCTTGTCGTCGCTACTGGGAAGACTGTATGAGTAGTCCAGCTCAAAAATAATGTAGTCTTGGTCATCGGGTAAATCGATGAGGTCCTGTGAGGAAATCATCTATTAGTATTGAGAGACTTGCGAACGGTGACAAAAGTGGCCGTTCGTGATGTAGCTATTTTTGATGTGATATCTTCCTGAAACATGAAATCGAATCAGAATGGAATATGAGACTTACTCCTCCAAGAGCCTTAGCCTTGCTGGTAATGTTACGGGGCATTGGCTGCAAAGCCATCGTCGAGATCAATCCAGGCACATCGAGAATACCGTTGCCCACATCCACGAAGTGATCATGGTATGACTGCATGACCTCGGCGCCGACAGTCTTGTTGGGCAGAGGAGTCGTCTCTGTTCCAATGAGATATCGTTGTCCGCTGAGAATGTGTGAGTTCGTTGAATGATATAAGACTAAGAGTAGGTCCAACTTACTGAAGAATCGCAAAGTCGTTGAATTTGAGCTAGTTAGCTCGATGTCAGTACGGCTGGTAAACTTGGTCCATGATGAGTAGGACGGCCACATCGACATACCAAGTCATAGTAAGTATCCCATGTCTTAGTAGTATCAACCTCTGGCCCGACAGCCTTGAGACCGTCGAAAACACCCTGCGGTGGAGTAGGACCGTCATAGAACAAAAATACAATCCAACTGTCGATAGCAAGAGCACGTTCATGGGTCACAATGACAGCAGCCTTTTCATCTGGATAGTGCTCGGTGAAGGTGCGTGTCGCTTCAAGCACCTCGGGGGACTTGGAACCAGGGAAGATGTAGTTGCCTCCCCAGACCTGACAACGTTAGAGAGGGCTAGTGACATATATTCTGGACATCTACCTGGCCAATTGGGTGAGTCTGCAATGTGTATGCCGTTACAATACCGAAGTTATTGCCGCCTCCTTTCAGGGCATAGAACAAGTCTGTCGTTTGTCAGCTACTGACATTCTATATCTCTATCTTCATTCCTCTCGTTCCCTTACCTTGATTCTCATCCTTATTAGCATTGACGATCGTAGCATTCGCAAGAACAACCTCGTAATTGACAACGTTGTTCGCTGCCCAGCCATATTGAGAGCTCAAGAAGCTCAAACCACCTTTCACAAATATCAATGTTTAATTCAAAAAAAGAGAATCTGCAACCAGGTTCACCTCCAAGCATGTAACCACCAACGCCGACACCTCCCAAACGACCACCAACAAGTGTGCGACCAGTCCCATCCAAACCCTTCTGGGCATCTTCCCACGACAGGCCTGGTCCGACGACGGCAGTCTCTGTTTCCGCATCATATACCACCTGGTCCAAATTCTGCATTGAGATAAGGATGCCGTTCTGAATACTGGCGAAACCATTATTGGGCATATGACCACCCGATTTGACAGCAAACAAGTCATCCGTGCTATGCAGCGCGCTGATGATATCCGCGACCTCGGCGGCGCTAGACGGAGCCAATATGCAAGAGGGACGCAGGGCCGAACAGGCCGCAGACCAATATTTGGTCAATGTCTCTTCATATTGGACAGAGAGCGGACCATCCACTTCGACGTTCTCGGCTTTGATGGTGTCGCAGAAATCTGCCGCTGTGACACTGTATAAGGCTGCAGATGCTGCAAGCATGTACTTGAACAATGTCGGGACGCCCATGGTGATCCGGCGATTCGAGCTCCGAGTACTTAAGGATGTTGATCGAAGTGAAGTCCTTTATAAAAGAAGAGAATGGATGGATCACTGTACTAGCAAGAATGTACTGAGATATCACACAGAAACGGCCAGCACATCCCACGAGGAACGATTCTGAGGAATAGCACGAGGAGGGAAAATGAACCTCCCTTGTAGCTAGACATGATGTCCCCGGGGGTATATAACATTAGGCATTGGCTTCATCTTGCCCAATATCCCCTGATATACTGAGCTAACCTTAAAAGCTTCAATCCCCGGTACTAATTGACATCGGACAAGTTATGTTCGAGTATTAGAGCTATGGCTCCATGGATTGTATATCCCGCAAGCAATGCCTTTTTGCGTCTCCTCGGTATAATCACAAGCTACTGATTATTGAGACCCTCTGGAGCCGATCCGGCCGTAAGAAATTAGAATAACCCCAGAAAAGAAAGGAGACCAAGAAGCCCGTTTGAATGTATGCGGAGAAGATCGCCGATATGCCAGGGGTAGATCACGGCTAGCAGGAGCAATCACGGCCGCGCATTTCTCATCAACTGGACCTTTCGAGGCATGCTCTACCGCATTTGTCGCGGTAGCAAGGTCTCGAATAAGTCTGGTTCCGAACATCAAGTGGAACCTGTGTTTTCATATGTTTAGAGTGAAGATCCCGACGGATATTTTGAACTACGAGTTACCGTTTGGGATAGCTGCAGAAGTGAGTTGCGGGGTATTAAGCATTCTGTTTATGTCGGACCGAAGAAACAAGAGAAATAGACACCGCGCTAAATATTGCTTGTTTACACTCGTTTCTGCAAGGCATCACAGTCTCCGTCAGCCACTTTGAGAGATGGCAGATAACTACTTACCAGCGAACGTTGGCTCTTCTGTCACGTCTCCTACGCCCGGGTGGTAGAATATCGACGATGATCTTTGATTATCCCACAGGACACACGACAATCCTGGGCCTACTTGTAGATTATGTTCCCCGCGCTCTGGGAATTCATGTCCTGTTTTCTTGGCGTGACTGGATGAAGGGTCAGAAGAGTCTTACGGATGCTAATGCACATACTGGATTGGAATTCATCACCGTCATGAAAACTAAAAGTCATATTCCAGAAAGTCAACTTAAACCAGAGCGATCAGACCATGTATTTAACGAGGGTATGAAGACATCCCAAAAGACTAGTCAATTAGCGAGCCCAGGCGTGAGGGAGCAAGCACAGAAGACTTTCAAGAGAAAATTCGAGCGAGAAGCACGAAGGAACGGGGGATTATTTGCATATGGACATTGGATATATGTCGTGGTGGCACAGAAAAAGGAAGAATGAAATGTAGCTGATCTGACATTAGATTAGTGGAATGCCTGCTAATGTATGTATGTATGTATGTACAGTATAATATGATATAATGCACACCATGCCCCTCGGTGAATATAATAATGCCTCTTTTCTCCTTCTTCTCTTCTCTTACTAGATAACCAACTGGCCTACCAACTGCACATCCAACACACTCTTACCTACATAAATTGTATAATTTCCTTGCTGCAGGATCCAACTCTGACTGTTCACATCCCAGTTGCTGAGATCCCTTCTCATGAGATCGAATGAGAATTCTGCGCTACAGCCGGGCGTGACGGTCTGCTTGTTAAATCCACGCAGGACTCGTGCGGGACCACCGGGGATGCCGATATATAACTGAGCCACTTCTGCTGCAGCGACAGAGCCGGTATTCGTGACGGTGCATTTGACGGTGGTGAGGACGTCCCAGAGAGATGATAAACCGCCCTCTAGAACTCCGGAAGTCGGAGGGAAGGCGCTAGTCTGCGCGCTGGGATCAATTGCTATCTGGAGATTCGAGTAGTTGAACGTCGTGTAGGTGAGGCCGTATCCGAACTCGAATCGAGGGGTAATGTTGGCTGCTATGAAGGCTTTGTAGTCGATATAGACACCTTCCGTGAAGTTATCCTGAGGGTAGAAAAGGTCAACGTCTCCAGGAGGAACGGTCGGGTTGAGCAGGTTGCCATAATCTGACTCGTTCCTAGCAACGGTGTAGGGCAGACGGCCGGATGGTGATTGTTTGCCGTAAACAATTTCAACCAGGGCACGACCGCTGTCTTGTCCAGGAAGGTGCCCGAATATAACGGCTGTCACGTTGGGGTGGTCAATCCAGCGGTCAACAAGTCGAACTCCCGCATTGTGGATGACGACTATTGTATTGTTGCATCGTGCAGCAACGTTCTCGACGAGTCTATCTGAGTACGAATCCCTGAGATCAGGACGATCCCAACCTTCTGAGGACTGTGCGTTGATGAACACCAGACAGGCCTCGCTTCCCTGGTTGACTGAGGGGTTTTGCGAGCTAAAGTCCCATGCAAGGTATGTGCCGTCCTCGTAGGCTTGTCGCTGAAATGCATCGAATGGAGCATCGATATACGATGGGGTAATAGACCCCGAACCCGCGCCTGTGAAAATAGTCCCGTTCAGGGCCACGGCAGGACCAGATTCACCTGCGGCGGCGCTCGACAGGAATATGTATTCCAAGGTAACATCATCAACTGCAGAGCCATTAGGATAGACCAACGAATTGTCTAGTCCCATTTGCCACAAGCTAAAGGTTACGTTATCCATTGTATTTCGTGATGCGGCTACAGCGTCGTAGCCGAATAATGACAAGAGCTTCGGCTTCCGAATAGGGAGAGCTCCATTCACATTCTTAACCAGGACGTGCCCCTCGACAGCACCCTGGAATATAGTAGCTTTGGATGCCGGATCACGGGCATCTGTGATTGCATGAGGGGCAAGAAGATCAACTGGAATTCCATGACCAGGTTCCTCGAACTCGGCATACTTATACCAAGTCGCCACGATTCGGGTAGCCATATCGTCAAGTCGAGATTGCGCAAGAGATCCGTTCTGCACGGCTAAGGAAAGATTACCGTTTTCCCAGTACGTAGAAGACGGCATGGCCATATCAAGACCAGCATCAGCGCTAGCCACGCCCGAATGCTGAGCGGACCAGTCACTGACGACAAAGCCCTGGAATCCCAATTCACCTTTCAGCAACCCGTTCAACGTCTTGCTGTTCTGGCAACCATAGCTATTATTGATGCGGTTGTAACTGCACATGACTGATCCTGCTCCGGCTTTGATTGCATCCTGGAAGGGCCACAAGTAGAGTTCATGTATGGTCTTGTCGTCGACGTTGGTCGATACAGACTGGTTATATGAATCGGAGAGCAGTGTCGGCGGGTTCCGATATGTCTCCTGTTCGTTTCCGATGAAGTGCTTCACACAAGCTATTACCGACTCTTGCAGTCCCCTGATGGTCGGACGAACCAGCGAGCCACTGAGGTAGGGATCGTTGCTGAAACCCTCCCAGTTGCGTCCTCCTTTGGCGATTCTACCCAATGGACCAACGACGGGGCCTAGGACAACATTTGCTCCTTTGCGTTTGAACTCGGCGCCCATGTAGTGCCCTCTTTCGTAAGCTAGGTCACGGTTCCATGTAGCACCTACATGGAGACCTGGTGGATAGCCGTTCACCATATCTGTTGCCCGGACGCCATTTCCAGAGTCTTGTAAACAGAGGCCCGGGAACCCCAGACGAGGCACTGCGCCTGAGTTTCCAGAACAGCCATTAGTCGCCGACGTATATCCGTACGTGATATTGTTCTTCTCGTCGTCGGTCATCTGCGAGACGAGAGCTCTGGCGCGGGAATATGCTTCTGCCCAATCGGCGGTGCCATTTCCTTCAGCTAATTGTGCAACACAATGCAGTCAGTATTTCATTATCAGCGAGGATAGTCTTCGGTAAGGATGAAACTTACGAGTCGGGTATACTGGTTCAGATCGACCATAGGACCAGAAACGTTCCAGATTAGCTGCCTCAGCGCTAACATTTCGAGCGGACACAGCGCCCAAGATATGCGCGGAGGCAGCCAGCGAAAGAATCAACGCATTCATGGTCAACTATAGAGCAGCTAGATAGCTGACTGTGCCTGCTTTTCTCCCTCTTTCTCTTAGACCCTGGATAATCGAAGAAAAGGCGCCCAAGAAATACACAAGAAGCAAGCACAATGCAGCCCTGCGCAACCCAGCACCGAAATCGGGGCCACAATAGCTTATCTTGGAACCATCCATCTTCTTGCAGTTTCTCCGTCTAGGCAAAAATGGAATTGTCCGAGGCTGAAAATCACTGTTGACAATTCCTCTAAAACCCCAAGTATACTAGTAGCATAATACTACATAGTTAGGTTATGCCGTCCCGTGGACCTTTTCGGATCGGCTTAGGCTCCAAATGGAGAACATTGTCCGCACATGGCTCCCCGCAAAGTCAACTGTCCTGGACAATTTCTTGGATAATATGGGGTACGGGTAAACTTCGAGGAAATCCTAACGGATAACTGGGATCCCCGCCTGCAGTTCGATTTCATCGTGCTAGTATAGGATCGGGATCTAGTCGTAACTAGTCAACGCAGGATCGTATTTCCCCCTGTGTTCTGATTCGTCGTCGTGGTGAGGTTCGGCAAAGTATAGCGAAGAAAGGCCTCAGGTGACTCTGGTACATTTATCCTTTTTATTTGCGGCCACATGATTGCTTCGTTAATCTCTTCCATAGCTGTGATAGGTCTAAATGATGCCTCATAAAATGGTCTTGATCCTATCTCGGGCCTGCGAAGTCGGGGTTGTCGTATGAACATGCCTTTTGTGGGTAGTCAGTCGATGGAAAAGTCGCAAGTGCCGCTGTTGCTAATAGTAATAATATTTCTAACAATGATAACTTTTGCCGTTGACAGTCATGAGATGAACAAGATGCATGCAGAATACAGGCAGAATTCGTGAAATGATGTCCGTCTTCTTGGCTTCGGCTTGTGCGACCAAGCTCCATTGCCGCAGATGCGGGCCGTGAACACTGGTAGCTAACTATCGTTAAATGAAACAATTGCGTTCAAAAAAATAATTCGCTTCCTTTCGCGTTGTTGGTACAGGACGTGCTAATGCAGCGACGAGAACAGTCGCTGGTGGTCGAGTCGGTTGAAGGGTCGGGGCGACTATACTCATTTTCACTGTCCTTGCGCTCTACTGCCAATGCACAGCATTGCAGGGCCCGGCGTTGCTACGCTGTCCGTTTACTCTGCAAGTCTCGCCTTGCCAGCTGCCTTGCTTGCTGCCAGATGGCCATGGAGGCCAGCTTGCGTGTCGACTCCGTCAATACGTTGAGTAGTGTTGAGATTCTTCACGACAACGATCTGGAAACAGGTAGCAGAACCCTGGCGCGAAGCAATGGTGGAGTAGGCCAAGAAAAGCTCCCAAATCTGAATTAAAAGCCAATATCAGCTTCTGTCCCAGTAGCAAAATCACAAGACAATCGCAATGTTTACTTACCCTAAACCATCTCTGACCATAAGTAGCTTTGACTTTTTCGGCATTTCCGAGCCAGTTTCTGTACCATCTCCAGAGAGTAGCCGAATAATGAACACCGACAGTGTCAACACTATTTTCAATGTCGAAGTCAGCATCCGTGTACCCTATGAAATCCAACTGTTGATCAGTGCTTACCCCTTAATCTCAAATCCAGCAGCCTCGAGGCAGCTGACGTAGTATGCAAGAGGCGTCGAAGCATCCGCACCACGGAAGATGTGTTTGTTCAAGAACAGTCCCCAGATGAAGTCTTCGTACTGCCAGGCCTTTCTCAGTCCAGAGAGTTGCACGTACATGACACCGTCATCTTCAAGCATGTCATAGCATTGACGGAAGAAGGTTGTAAGTCTGCGAACGCCAACGTGCTCCGCCATCTCCAGCTGCGTGATTTTGTTGAACTTGGTGGTTCGGGGAATCTCACGGTAGTCCATGCACAGTATTTTGCTTTGTTCTTCAGGAATTCCAGCGTTCTTCAGGCCATCGTTACCCCATTCTGTCTGGTTACGGGCGAGTGTGACACCAGTAACCTTTGCACCGTAATTAAGACTCGCGAACCTGGCCAATGTTCCCCAACCGCAGCCGATATCTAAGAGGGTTTCCCCTTCCTTAAGCCCGATCTTCTCACAGACTATCGCCATCTTGTTGTCTTGCAATTCTTCGAGCGTCTCCTCCCTCGTGGTGTCACCGATGATGCCGCTCGTGTAGATCATCCGAGGGCCGAGAAAGTAGGCATAGTGATCATTACCGCTATCGTAGTTGGGACGGACTTGTTCTTCGTCCTGCGACTGAGTGTGGAACAGAACGTCGAGCGCAAACGTAAACAGGATGTAGCGAAAGAGGTCAAGCGTGAAGCCAAATGTGGCCCAATCATGTCGGTATTCCATAGCATTGAGAGTGTCTCCGTTAAAGTCAACATCCCCGTTGAAGTATAGTTCGTAAAAGGTCTGCAATGGGATTTTGTTCTGTCCATGCCACTTTTTCCGGTCCGACTCCTTCTTGAACGTCAAGTAATACTCCACGGGACGGCCCGGCAGCTTGACCTTGTTGTTGAGTGGGCGGCTCTTGGTCGACATCACGGTCCAGAATGCCATGAGGACGGGCACAGTGGTAACCAGACCGACGGCGATGGTCGTCTTGAATCCACCGCCAACCAGGCGTGCCAGGACTGTCGGCACACCCACGAGAGCCACAGCCAACTTGATGTTGGACCAGTTTTCATATCCGGGACCGTCCGCAGGTAAGGGAGCATTGTGAATCGCCGGTGACTTTTTGAAATTACCACTGCCCATCAGCTTGGTCAAATAGAACAATAGGTGGTTCAGAGGCACTTACCTTGGTGATCTTCACTCCAACATCTTCGCTCGTAGCAAACGTGTCTGGCGCAGGGGGGGGAGTCGGTATGAATTCGATATCGGCAGCAAGATGCTTGCCATTTAGCGGTTTGGACGACATCCTCTAAGAAGAACCGTTGACCACGAATTGAAGCTTATCTGGCTTTAAGGACAATGACTTCGCCTTTTCCAAAGGTAGAAACCCCCTTTCGAAGATCCTTGATTGACTGCGAGATTTCCACCAGGGAAGCCAGTCAACATCAATTGACTCGAACGGGATTGAATTGAGCAGTACAATGGTTAATATTGCTTGCCCGGCAATTAGGCAGACACAATATTAAAGTGGGTATCCAATGTTTTTTGTACATAGTTTTCAACGAAAGAATAATAATACTAGAGTCGAAGGTATTATTATTACTGGACCGCCCCACTGCCCAGCCTCTGCCGTCCCCGAGAAAAGAAGGGTTTCAGATCGTCAGTCGATTCACCCGATCATTACCAGATTGGGTAGGAACACAAACAACAAGGTACGGAGTAGTAGGATGGGATGGATCTTATTATCATGTAATTAATCTACGCAGGTTTTGTATTTGGTTAACTAGGTAGCTTATGATTGTCACCCCTTTGCAGTAGGTATTGGCTTCCCCTTGAACTGCTAGCAAGGAAAAAGGAGATTTCTGGTCCTTATTGTTATAAACAGCGTTGGAAAGGAATGTGGTTATACTATTTTGGAGATCTTTTCTGTCGCTTGATAGGGCGAGAGCTTCGTTTCTGAATCAAGAATCAGAGCGACACACTATACCATTTTAGGCAGGGCTGTCAGTGTCTAGCTGATTCGACTGGTCGATCCAAGAATAGCACGGAATAGTAGATAAGAGTAGTATAGTAGTTACTTCCTGCCGGTTTCTCGGATGCCGTTGGGGTGAAGACTTCATCGGTTCTGAACGGTCGAGTCAACCTGAGAAACCGCGTAGAGGGACTCTGGTTCGTCGGATGAAGGGTATTTTATTGTCGAGTCGAAAATACAAGTGCCAAAGACGAGGAAAAGAAAACCCAGGAATGGAGCAGAGCACAGTATGACCGATAACAAAGAAAAATAGGAAGCCAGGCTATATATATCCAAACACACAAACAGAAGCGATTCGAGCGAGGTCGAAAGGGACGAAGGACGGAGAGGAAGCCAGTACTGGACCAGGACGAGGAAACGAGGAATGCAATGTTCAGTATCACAGATTAGAACTCCCGCTAAGAGAAAAGAACAAGTTCACCCAACCGTCGCAACCCACTCCAGCTAGCCGCACACAGAACGGAGGGAAGCAAGTCTTATCTTATGAGGTCGTGGCAAGTGGGACGAACACGGACCAGGGACGCTTCCACGAAAGTTTCCCCCGTGGGCCTCATGACCGATCTAGTTGTTGAGCTTCTCGGCAGTCGCATCTTTGGCCTGTTCCTTCTTCGCACCCAAGTAGGCGCTCAACAGGCCCAGCGACTCCTGGGAGAGGAGGAGGCTGGTGGTGATGGCGGCCTTGCCGCTGGCCACGAGGCCATCTCCGCCGCATTTCTTGTATTCTGAGCCGTACAGTTCGAAGACGTGCTGCTTGATGTCGCCCACGAGCTTGAGGGGGAAGAAGGCACTGTCGACAATGGTGTCCCTGATCTTCTCCGTATCCTCCTTGATGATAGGGAACCTCTGATCGACCTTGTTCAGGCCCTGGTCTCCAAAAGCATCGGCCTTGTTGATGTAGGGAGCGACATATTCATAGGGCTTGGAGAAATAGGGAAGGACGGGCTTTGCGAAGCGGTTGTAACCCTGGTCGGCGAAGTCCAATGACTTGGCGGCGTACTTGTTGCTCTTAAGGGTTGCGATGGAATCTGAAACGACCGGGTAGGATGTCAGGTGCTGTGAGCGAGAAATATGTCAGCAGGACCGAACCAAGAACAGTAACCCGTGATACAATTGGGAGAAGAAGGTACTCACGTTAAGGAATTGAGAATGGATCTTCTCGCCGTTGACTGCGGGTTCGCCCATGGTGCCGTTGTTCACTGCGTGGGGCATGAAGATGGACGTGAGAGCTTTGAAACTGGACGACTGGGAGTTGTCAGCCTTGAGATCTCAGTATCTACGCTGAGCGGTCGGATGAGCAGACAGCGGATCTGGAGGGATGGAAGTGATAAGAGCAATGCGGGCCAGGAGGAGGGAGGAGGACGAGGGGGGTAACTAAGTAGTAGGTAGTTAAGGTAAGTAGGGAAGTTGGTAAGCGGGTGCAGCATGTCCACTTCCCGGTCTGACGTACTTACTTGCTTGTGTGTGCCTAGATAAGATGGCGGTGGTAGTAGTGGTAGTAGTAGTAGTGGTAGTAAGTAGTAGGTAGAGGAAGATACTCGTTGTACTCTCTTGATGTCTGACAGGGATGATGGGAGCACGACAACGTATGACTGAATTATGGCTTTTTTTTTCTCTTCTTTTTTTCTTTTTTCTTTTCAATCTCGACCAGCAGCAACGGGGGACACGAAGGCGGTTAATAACGAGGCGTCAGACCGGGAAGGGAAACCGCAAGCATTCGAGATAAGTCGCAGCTGTCGCGACAGCTTCCTGCGGGCCAATCAGCGATGGTGTGCTGCGTCCGGGAAGTGCCAGGCTGACATGTGATTGTGGGCAGTGGTGGAGCTGATAATAATAATATGGTAGACTGATAACTTAGTCAGTTACTCTACTGTAGTAACTAACTGGTAACTTGTAACTTGTTACTTATAGTAGTACCATAACTAACTACTACTAACCGACTCCAACTAGTTTAATTCAAGGTAGTTACTCGACTTAGTCTGCACTGTTCGTCTCCCGGGCGCAATCTTGGATTGCATTTGCCAGAGGCCAATGCTGAAGCTGGCCCGCACATGCAGAATCTTGTTCAACGGCTTCAAAGGGCCGTCAACTCGTCCTCCAGCAAGCTAATATCTCACCCAGGTATTAGTTATTATATCACCTCTGCCAACATATTCGCCTTCTGCTTCAGTCGAATAAAACTGATGGTGTTGTTGCAGTGGCAAACCGTGGAATCTGATCTGTTATCGAAAGCTTTGATAGAAAAAAGAAGAAGGTGGTGTGTCATTCACATGTGATTGCGGGCCAAGCCAAGCGTTTTCGGCCACCCCCTTTCGGGATGCTTCCTGTCAACCATTCCGTCTAATTATTATATCCCAGCCCCGATCATCGATGGCAAAAGCTTCTGGTTTGATTCTTTCTTTTCTTTCTCCCGGCCGGCCTGGACAATGCTTCCTTCGTACATTCAGACTCTATTCCCAAACATGGTAACACCCTCGATGCAGCGTTCAAATCGATCAGGTTCAAGTTCAACCCTCTCGAGTAGTCTCGTCATGATCACCCGTGTTTGCGTCACGGGCAAAACCTAGCAATTCTGATCCGAAAGTATACGATGCAATAGCTGATCCGCCCGTCGCGCTTAGATATTCAACTGTCTGCACAGCAGGGTCGCTCGAGGCTCTGGCCGCACTGTTTGTTGAAAAAAAGGTGACATGCATCCCTGCTAGTTCACTCCCCCAGTAAGTTGGATCACGTTTCTTGGTTGGGCTAGAGGTTGAGGAGAATAATAATATCCTGCTGGGCGACAAAACGCCATTGCACGGTCACCAGTTATCAACACCCGCGAAGCCGCGTTATTAGCGGAACTGGTGCACTGTGCTACCAATACGAGTCTGTCGCGGATGGGAACAGCTCATCAGTCTGACCTTGTTGGTCCCGACGAGTGTCGCTATCACGAACCAAGCGCCATGGCACTGGCACGGCCGTTGCGGTCGTGATTATCAACTGCCAGGCTGCAAGAAACAAAACAATACATTCTGTCCAATAATGGATAGCCCTATTCATCTAACCCGGACTCCGTACTATGGAGACCAATTAAGGTGTCGGGGCCAGTGGCATGATATATTCGATACATAGTCCGCTAGTCGATCACCCACAGACCAACCTCATCGGCTGTTGTACGGAGTAGATTCCCATGTGAATCTCAGCCGCAAAGGAGCAAAGACTTCTGCGTTTCCCCGCTCGATGCATGCGCTTCAATGATCCATGGAGTAGTAGAAAGAATGAGCTTCAACACCGCGCGCGCATCAGATGGCGAAAGACGGATGCCCCGGGATTACAACGCCGTCAAAGAACGATACATATGCACTCCCCAAGTACATATGTCCAGGATTAAAAAGAAGCTGACGTCGCAGCATTCTTTCGCCACGTCCGCCTAAGATAGTCGGTCGCCGCGTCCTCAACGGAGTCCATGATACCCTCTTGCAGCCTGCCACGAACTATTGACACTCAAGCCCCCAAAACTCAATTCAACAGATAATGCAAGCGGGAAAGATTCCCATCGCTCCAGATGCTCTATTGTCTGCGGGGAGTTCGGATCTAGACCTACCGCACCCCGGTGAAGCAATCCTGGTAACGTTAGATTTATCTTTGCCAGGGCCCAGGGGAAACCCCCAGTGTATATTTCCCCTCCTCCCCAGACCCGTCTAACCCCGCGCTATGACTTCAACCGCAGGTTCGAGTAGGACATTTAACATGCATCACACGGTATCATTGGCCCAGATACGGGGTTACTGAAAGACCGATTTCCAATATCGACAGCCGATGCATGCAATGCATCGCATCACGAAGGACGCAGATAGTTGTCTGGATTCTGCCCCCAACATTTCACTCCAGAACCGCGCACGGGGCTTCTCTCAGAAAGGATCGCCCCCTAGGCGAGAATCGAACGATAGTAGTCGAATGATTTACGACTCTACCAAACCTGGCCAGGCAACCGGACCTTGATGCCTTCCGATCTATATGTTTCTTAGTATGCTGCGCCGCAAAAAGAAAGGCCATCCAATGCAGAAAAAGACATGGGAAAAGAAAGTACAATCAATAGTCAAGAGAATAATCAATACTAGACCTTATTGGAAGCAACTATCTCTATCTATACACATACACGACGTTTGATAAAAAAAGCCTTCCGTTCGGAGAAAAAACAACAAAAAAACAAAAATGATCGGTGACGGGATCGAACCGCCGATTTTCTCCGTGTAAAGGAGACGTCATACCACTAGACCAACCGACCAGTGACAGTCTTCATCTCATTCTGAGATTTGCTTCTTCAGATAATACCATTCCCTCGCCCGATTTCCAATTACTGAGCCATCTACTCCTAACTACCTCAACTAGATCCGATAGTTATTACTTACTTACTTAGTTGATATTAGTTGATAACTAGTATCTACTACAATCTTCAACGACAACTACGGATTTGTAACTATCAATGATTAACTTATCAGAAATCGTTACTCATGATATCCGGGCTGCTGATTTCATCCATAGCTAGCTAGCTAGCTAGCTACCTGGTCACGGGTAGGTAGCTAATTTCTCAGTGAGATTTCCTTGGAAGTTTTCATTCATCTACGTCTGCGAAGAGCTGGAATAGTTGTTGCTGTGTGGGATATGATGTCGAGATGGGGATGTGATAGTAATTGGTGTACCTGGATCGCTGGTTGAGAGAGTGGGTTTTCGGGTCCTCTTTTGGTGACGATACTGTCATGTAGTGTAGTGTGTATATGATGTTGGGCGACGGGATATGAGTGCGTGAGAGTTATTCGAAGATGTGGAATATATACGTGAGCTCATAACAAGTCGTGGCTGTGGTCCTGGTCTATGTGCATGACAAAACGAACCGGGCTGTGGCTTTAAGATATAGTCTGTTTTGGAAGTCTCTGGAAGGCAGGAAATGTGGTTGGTATTTGCTTTTTTCATTTCATTCGAGACAGACGCCAGATCTTAACGGCTTCCCTCATAACAAAAGAAAGATTATCTTCCGGCAAAGTTACCAAGCCCCCCAAGTCCCGGGACTTGGTGGCCATCGAGCACCATCCCTCCAATCCCGTTCTCCAGCCATGGTATAAAAACCCTTTCCCTTTCTAATCATGTCGCTTTTTCCGGATCTTTGTTGCCATGCACGAGAATTGGAGATGCTCGAGGGCTCGTTGCTTCCTCTTCACCTCACCTCGGACCCTGCGCCTTCAAAACGACAACACCCGTAACCCCGGAGTATCCCGTTTAGAAACCTATAACAAGTCAAGTTAGCGCGCTAATTCTGGACTTGCATGAAAGAAAAGCAAGAAAAGGACCCCAACTTACGCAGAGGAGTGAAGAACCATCTGTTCTTGCCGCTGGTGTATCGGTCCTCCAGAGCCTTCTTGATGGTCTTCTTGGCGTCCTCGCGCTGAGAGACCTCCTTGAAGGTGTCCTGGGTGACAACACCCTTGAGGCCCTCGAGCTCGAGAGTGTAGCGAGTGGGCATCAGGTGGTTGTAGTTGACGACCTTGATGAAGGGCTTGATGCGGCTGCGCTTCTCAATCTTCTTCTGTCCCATGCGGCGGGTGACCTTCAGGGGGTAGCGCTCGATACCGGCAACGAGAGCGTAGGAGAAGGGGTGCGACTTGGAACCAGCGTCGTAGGGCTGGATGATGACGACCTGAACGTGCGCGAAAAAGTGCCCATGTCAGCAATTCTGTACGTCTCTTTGAACGTGATGTGAGAAATCAATGTCCTCCACGCAGCCCTGGGCTCCTTATTTCCCTATCGGATATCCTCATTTTCCTTTTTTTGTGCCCCGGCCAGTCCGTAAAACATGTCCGCAGTCGAAGATTCCTCTTTCATAATGGAGAAGAGCTCGTCCATTCCACGTCTTTTCCACCTCTTTTCCCATCCAGCTGATCTCCGCATATGTCCGATCGCCCAAAAAACAAGGGAATTCAAAGGAAGTTGTCGTACCTTCTTGCCGGCATAGCGGCCTCGGGTGATGATGGCCACACGGCCCACTTTCATGACTATTGCAACAGCATCAGTATTGCAAGTTCTCGATAGCAATATAGTCCTGATCGCATTGAACACTCACACTTCATTGTGAAAGTCCCGGTAGGCGGCAGCGAGGTCGTACGGGGGGGTGGTTGTCGATGGAAGTTCGGTCGTTCAGGTGTGGTTCTCCGCGTTCGACGTCTTTTTTCGCTTGTGAGCAGTGGACGGAGGGCGTAGGGCAAGACGATTTGTGTGCGCTCCGATGATTGGCCGGCTTACCGATGGCTGGACGCCAGACTGGAAAGCGAAAGTTTCTCCATTGGGCAAGGCTCCGAAGGCGGAACCTGGCGGGTTTGGCTCACCGCCTTCTGCTCACCGCCTTCAGAACCCGGGGAAAAGAAGGCGCTAGTCTAGCCCGTGATGTATCTCACAGACTACAGTAGATAGCTTTGTTTACCGGGCAACGCCGTCGTTGCTCGTTGCTACGAAAGTTGACCACTATTATTATGGTCCCCCTCGATCTCCATGTGTACGACGGTGGTTCGGCTGGCGTCGTCACCGCCCCATAACCTACCGTACTTTGCTTACTATAAACTCCACTGGCTTGTTTTCCTTATATTCATTGTCAAGGCACGGCCTGCTCGTGAAACTGTTTCAACCGCAGCTTGCAGGAGCAGGATATCTCCTTCCTCGACACGGACAGTCTTGTGTGTCCGGTTGTCCTATTATTGACCTTGGTTTGATCTAACGACCCGTTATGCCCCCAGTTGTGTTGTTTTTAATTGCTTAATCGTCCTTGAAATTGAACAAATCGACATTCCGCCCCGCATTCCAGCAACAACTTTGAAATCACATCGACAGACAGTAAGGGAATCACAGATAAGAATATTACATCATCACCATGCCGTCGCATGAAAGGGAAGGTTCGCGCGACCGCGAACTGGTCGTCAGACATCACCAACACTCGCACTCAGAAAGTGGTCGATCCTCGGTTCCTATGTATGTAAACAGAGGATGATATCCCTCATTTTAAGCTTTTCTTTGGATTGCTTCATCTGAGCCATACTGACATTGAGTGCTTGGAAACACGCAGGTGGGACAGCTCAGATCCAGATAGAGCTCCTCCCCCTCTCCCTCTCAACCCTGGTGGCAGCCCGACTACGCGATCAAATGTATCGCCCAACATCCAGGCTGTTGCAGCAGGTCTAACCGAGAAGATGCGTGAAAATGCTCCCAGTTCATACACGACCAACCCGATGCCGTTGAAGCCAACGTCGCCGGAGAAGTCGCTCATCAAGGGGCAGTATCACAAGCGGATGCAGAGTTTCGCGCAGCAGAGCGGTGACCCTCGAGCGGAGTTTCGCAGCTACCTGGAGAGTCGGTCTCCCGAGAGGCCGTCGCGCGCATCTGTCTTCGATAACGCTGATAAAGCAGTGGAGAAGACTCCCACCCGGCCGGGCTCGTCAAACCGGGACTCAGACAACGAGACTCCGTCATTCCGGATATCCAACCGGTTCCTGTCAAAGCCCATCCTGGGAGAGAATACACCTCCATCTGCTACGATGTTGGCTCTCCAGAACATGAAGCTCCCAGGCGAGAACGAGCCTGCGCCTTCGAATGGCACGAACACATCTGGGGGTAACAGCAGCAGCAGCAATAACAGCAGCAGCTTACCCAGCCAGACGTTCGATGCTCTTTCAACACAGATCTTGAGTCTCACCAGTATTGCAACCAACCTGCAGCGAGAGATGGCCCAGTTGAGCCGCCGTAGCAAGGACAATGCTACGGATCTGATCAGTCTCAAGGCGGCCACTAATGCCCGAGATGAGGACATCAGGAAGAGCCTCCGCGAGCTGGCAAACAACATAAGCTCAAAGCTCCTGGATCCGGAAGCAGCAGGAAGGTCAGCACATTCTACCCACATCTGCCCTGGTTACATGATTGATAATAGAGCATACGACAGTTCCCCAAGCTCAAGGAAAAGCTACACGCTTCCCCGAATACCCACTCCGAATAGTTTTGCCGCCGCCATGGAGAGGGAATTGTGCGGGTCTCCCGCGCCTATCTCGGATGGTTCCGCCAGCATTGCTCTCCTGGAGAAGGTTTTGCGTGAAATGGCTACGCAAGAGGGACAGGAGAAGCTGATCGAGCTTGTGGATGAGATCAAGTCCAGGCCAACGAAGAATGAAGCTGACAAGGACGCCGATAAGACGATAACCAAGATGCTCGAGGAGATTCTTAACCTGGTAAAGGACGAATCTGGAACCCGTGCTCTTGTTCGCTCGAGGGTCGTGGCAGGCCTAAGCGACAATCCTCCTCAACCAGGTAGCCGATCAAGATCTCTCTCCCCCTCTGTCCGGCCAGCCGGCTCCGGACTCGAGGGTAGGATCCAGGTCCATTCCGGAGAAGGCACTCTTGATGGGAACTCGTTGACACCCGGCAACAATGTTCTGCCTGGAGAAATAATGGATCTCCTAAAGAGGCTGAAGAACAGCGTGGTCGAGGGAGGAGGTCTCACCAACGAAGTCAAGGCCCTCGTCCGGGAACTACGTGGTGAGGTTCTGGGGATGGGCAGAGACATCGCCCGAAAGCTCGAAGAAGCTGAGGCTTTGCGAACGGCGGAGGCCGGACAGCCAACGGGCCCAAACAAAGAGGAGATTGCAGCCATCGTGGAAAATAGTCTCGCGGAATTGAGAGAGCACATGACGTACATGATTCGAGAGAACCGAAGAGAATCGTTGTCGTCTGAGGTCTCTCGAGGAAGTGTAGACAGCACTGATGTCTACAACGCGGTGAAGAACGCTCTGTCCGAATTGCCATTGTCGCAACTGGCAGCTTCTGAGCCTCCATCATCTGGAATAGAGAAGGAAGACATACTTGAGGCCGTTAGGGAAGCCTGGGAAACCTACAAGCCAGAGATCGAACTTCAAAATTTCGGATTGGAACGCGACGAGATTCTCGAATGTCTCTCCGAAGGCTTGAAAGCCTACCAGCCGCGACATGAGCCAAGCATCACATACGACCAAATGGTTGCTGCAGTCGAAGCGGGCCTGAAAAGCTTCACACCCCCTATGGTAGACGCTCAACCAAATATCACCAGGGACGACATCATCTTGACCATCCGTGAATGTCTCGAGAGCATCGAACTCCCTTCACCTCAGCCGTCCGACAGAGAGCCTTCCCTCACGCGCGATGATATTCTGGCAGCAGTCTCAGAGGGTATGGCTGGGCACAGTGGTCTCACCCGAGAATTGCTAGAATCAGGAATAACGCGCGACGACGTGCTGGGTGCGGTGACTGATGGTCTTGCTGCTCACCACGCGGCTGTCAAGGACATGGGCTATTCGGAACCACACATCACCAGAGACGACATTGTATACGCAGTAAACGAAGCATTTGCTGCGCAGAACACTGCCCTGACGACCAATGTACAGCCAACTATCTCGCGTGAAGAGATCTTGGAGACAATCGCAGGTGCACTTGCCAATCAACCATCCACGGGCAAGGACATCGAGCTGAACAAGGAGGACCTTCACGAAGCAGTCCGATCAGGCCTTCAGGAAGTCGCCCATGAGACTAAGTTCAACGTTGGCGAGGAAATTCTGGACCGTCTGCACGATGTCCTCGAAGGGATGAAAGATGAGTTCAAACAATATTCCGCTGCAAACGGCCGAGACACAGAGCAGGTACTCGATGCCATGAAAGACGGCCTCGAGGTCCTCCGAGGAGAAATTGAGTCCTACGTTGATCGTGCCTCTGATGTTACAGGCAAGGACGAGATAATCGATACGGTCAAGGAAGGGTTCAGACTACTCCAAGCTGATATGGAGAGGACGATAACCGAAACTGCTGTTAGTGCGATTGGAGGCCACAATCCTGAGACGACAGATCTCCTCGATGCGATGGAGAAAGAGTTTGAGCACCTGCGACAGACCCTCGGCAGTCTCCTGATCCGCAATACCGGGTCGAGTGATAAAGAAGAGATCCTGGACGCAATTCGCGATATCACGGATAACCAGAGAGCACCTGACAGTTCTAGTATCGTCAACCCTCTCAAGGAGGAGTTCGAGCACCTTCGTGAAACTATCGCCATGAGCATGGTGCGGTCAGAACCGTCTGCCGACAAGGACGAGATCCTAAGTGCTATAACTTCTCTCAAGGACGCGTTCCAGACGATGCAAGATGAGACTTCGCAAAGACGGGATGGCAACGAGAGCATCTACTCCAGCACTGGCGAGCTACTTGACGCTTTCCACGATGGAGTCGATGTAATCCGTGCCGACCTGGATAGGATATTGAACAAACCTTCCGAGAACGACAGCAATGAGATTCTGGAGACTTTAAGAGAAGGCATGGCAGGAATAAAGGCAGAGATGGAATCTATTCGCGAGTCACAGAAGGAATTCGAGGAGGCCAATACGAGTCGTGGCAGAGAGCTCATGCTTGCCAACGAGGGCTCCATTGGCAGTGATATTGAGGGCCTGAAAGTGCTCATTACGCAGCTTCAGATCAAGGTCGAGGCTATGGAACCACCTACCGCTGCAGAGCCCGCAGAAGATGCTTTGAAGAGAGAGGACCTGAACGAGGTCTTGGCCGCCGTGCGGGAGGTCCAGGGATCAGTGGCAGAAGCCAGCACCCGGGACCTGCCAATGGATGATACCCTCGCAAAGAAGGAAGACACAGATGCCATCGAAACCTTGCTGCAGAACACGAAGGCCAAGATCGATGAGATCGTTCTCCCGGATCCGGACGAAATCGCCAAGACAGAGCAGCTCTCCGCAGTCGAGGCTCTTCTCAAAGAGACCAAGGAGGCTGTCGATGACTTCGCCGCTCGCATGGAGGCTGAAGGCTCAACCAAAGCCGACATCGGTACCCTCGAGGCTCTCCTGAAGGACATCTGGGCCTCGATTGAAGAAGTCCAGAACAAGGTGAAGCCTTCCGAGGAGTCTTCTGAAGAGGACACGGAGAAGCTTGTTAAAGCGGACCTGCAGACAGTTGAGGCTATGATATTCCAAGTCAAGACCCAGATTGACGAGCTTAAGCTCCCTGATGTAGAGACTCTACCAACAAAGGCTGAGATCCAGGAACTCAACGAGCTTGTTGCCGGTTTTAAGGAGACGGTCGAGGCCGAAAATGAGCTTACTGCGCAAGCCTTCGAGGCACGGAAAGTTGAACACGGTGGCCTTGCGGAGAAGATCGAAGAGGCCAAGTCCGTGGTCGATGAGCTTCGCGAAGAGCTCACCAGTAAGCTCGACGGCAGCAATGGAGGCCTCTATGAACTGAAGACGCTCCTTGAAGGATTAGCGTCTTCCGCAGAGTCATTTAGCACTGTTGAGAGCATTAAGGAGCTTACTGACCTCATTAACAACGAATTTGAGCGAGTGCGCAATGACCACGAGGCCACCAAGGTTGAGACAGAGGAGCGAGATGCGGGGATCATGGTTAAACAGGATGAAGTTCGGGCAGCTATTATCGTTGAGCTTGGCACCAAGATTGACGAGAAGCTGGGCGAAGTCCTTGGCAAGTATGACGAGGCACAATCTACGGTGCAGTCGAAGTTCTCTGAGATCGAAGACCGAGACGCGGCCAACATCGAGGCACTCACGAGCACCAAGGCTGTTGCCGAGGATATCAGACTCGTTATCGGCGCCATGGGCAATAGTGTCAATGAAGCCTGCGAACGGATAACTGAAGACGCCAGGACATTCTTCGAAAAGGTGGATGAATCCTACAAGAAGATGGAAGAGATGCATAACGAGGTGAAGTCAACTCAGGAGCAAGCCAAGGCGGAACTAGAGAAGACATCTGCGTCTACGGACCGGGTTCAGACAGAACTGCAAGAGTATCACCCTCAGATCCTGAACACCATCAAGGATATCTTGTCTATTGTTGGCCAGCATTACGAACATTCTCAGAAGTCCACCGAGGAACTGAAGAATGATCTCTGTACCATCCCTAACGCCATCACTCCGCTACTGCCTGCGTTGCCGCCGCCTGTAGAGATCCCTCCGCCGGAGAAATACGATGACTCTCAAGTGCATGAGAAGCTCGACACCTTGCTTAACCACATCTCAACCGCAAGCGCGTCCACTGCTCAGATGGAGAAGCTTGACGCGATCCAACAGCAGGTGATGGCAGCATCTCAGCAGATGAACGAGATGTTTACTTTCCAGACCAGGCTCATCGAAGAGGATAATGAGAGGAAGAGACGTGAGGCAGACGAAGCCGCCGCCGCTCTCGAAAGGAGCATCGCAGACAAAGTGAAGGTCGAGGCAGAAATTCTGGGTCTCCACGAAGAGAAAGACTCCCTCCTGAGCGTTATCCAAGCGCTCAAGCAGGAAAAGGAAGATCTCACCAAGCAGAATCATAAACTATCCAAGGAGCTCTCCGGTCTCGAAACCGCTTTGGAGATTCGCCATGAAGAAATGCAAGTCATGGAAGACCGGGCCGAATCGCTAGAGAGAAGGATTTTGGAGGGTGTCCTAGACCACGCCAGGAGTCTGCTCATCCGGCCAAGCACCACACGGCACATGAACCTGAAGAGAGTCCCTAGTGCTGCGAGCACTGCCACCAAGGCCAGTCGCGCCAGTACCGTCAACACTTTCAAGGACAACAATAGCATTGTCAGCAGCGGTGTCGGGATGGCTCTGAAGCGACGCAGCGCAGTGAAAACCCGATCCGGATCAACCGTCTCACCTAACCCCGGCAAGGAAAGGCGAATTCTTAGTTTGAGTCATGTTACTGGCAACAGGGGCCTGACCGACCGGCAGAGCATGCTCTCCCAGCTTCCCAACAGTGGGATCAGCAATATGAAACGGAGTCACTCGGTAAAGTCGAACGCCGCATCCCGGAAAGCTTCCTGGGGGGCTCGGAGCTCGACAGGAAACAAAGAGAACGAGATCTTCCACGAAGAGGACGAGAACCAGTCGGGCGACGAGAGTGACACCGGAACTGAGAGACGCACTAGCTATGCGGGCACCTATACTGACAGTATGATGTATGGCACCGGCAGTGCCTTGTCAGCCGACCGCAAGGTCAGCTACGCCAGCTCAACAAACGGACTAGTTGCTGAGCACGAGGGTTCCGTTCTTCCAGATACCCGGGACCACGGGGACGAGAAACAGCATGAGGATCATGAAGCTCATGACGCTGGTGAGGAAAAGGAGGACCAGCACGATGATCACGAGGCCAGTGATAGCGAAGACGATGCGGTCGAACGTGACGGAAATGCCGACTATGCTGACGCTCATTCTACCGTTGGTGACGAGGAGGCTTCTGATGAGCACCCTCGTGGATTCGACGAGAAGGGACTCCCCGAACTGGAACCTCCACCCAAAATCGGAGATCTGGCTCATCAGAATGACAGCGGTCTCGGAACGGACATCCCGAGCGGAGCGAGCGCAAACGGAGACTAAAGGTCTACGTTGTATGCAGTGAAGGTGAAAAGAAATCATCAGTGATAGCACCCACATGTTCCGAAGCCATGGTTATGTTTCTTCGTATATGAGCGTTTCGTTCTGTTTGATGTCGGAAAGTTGAGCGCTGGAGTGTGGAGTGAAACGGGGTTTCTGCTTTCTGGCGTCTCTGTCATTCGTTTGTTGACGAATTTCTTTTGTGTTGCGTTCCTTGATTTGAATTCCCTTTGTTTTTCCCAGATACTCCACGAGGTACATGCAATACGAGTCGATTGATGCTAGATATGCACAGAAAAGAGAATGAGTCCTTTGTAGAAATAATAATGGTCTTGTATAGTTAGTAAATAGAACTAAATAATGACTTAGTCATGAGCAGTCAGCCATGTGACTGGATGAGAATGCTGAGTCAGCCAACCCCAACGCAACGTCATGCGTCCCCAGCGGACCGAAAGGAGCCACGCTCTTCTTCTTGCTCTTCCTCTGTTTATCATCTATTTTATCATCTATCATCCGACTCCCCTCGCCTCTCTGGAAGCTCATCCCTTCAGCTATCGAAGCTGGATGCTCTTGGAGAGCTTCTCTACCCCTCTCTCTCGTTGATCATGGCCTCTGTCTGAGCACCATCTCTCACCAACCCTATGTCGTTTAAGCTTCTCCAACGCCCTATAAGGCTGTAGCACTCTTCCCTTGCCATAGAACTCCACGATCAATCATGTTGGATCCTCTTCCTCCGCCGCCTCAGTGGCTGCGGACCTATACAGAGCCCTGGGCAGCATACCTCAATCTCCCGACGCTAACTGAGCACATCCATGAGGTGATTGGGTCGTTCCTTGTATATCAGTTCATCCACTCCTTCGTATCTCCTCTATTATCCGCACGCCTCTTTCCCAGCATCTATCCGAAGTTCAATCCCCGGACCAAGCTGAACTGGGATGTCCATGTCGTCTCGCTGGTGCAGAGCGTATTGATCAATGTGGTAGCTCTCTGGGTCATGTTCGCCGACCAGGAGCGGAAGGCCATGAACCCTGGGGAACGAGTGTACGGATATACAGGAGGCTGCGGTCTGGTACAGGCACTGGCAGCCGGATACTTCGTCTACGATCTGATCATCAGTACGGTACACTTGGACATCTTTGGAATCGGGATGCTGTTCCATGCAGTCAGTGCCTTGTGGGTCTTCAGTCTCGGATTTGTAAGTTCACCAACGCGTCGTCGTCTGTTCCTTTCATAGCAGATGTAGCACTGGCAAGCAGGCCTTGCGGGTATTATCGAGGTCTAATATGAGTGTGTAGAGACCTTTCATAAATTTCTACGCACCAACTTTCATCCTTTACGAGCTATCGAGCCCGTTCCTCAATATCCATTGGTTCTTGGATAAGGTCAACATGACTGGCAGCAAAGCTCAATGGTACAACGGAATGACCCTGCTGGCTGTTTTCTTTTCATGCCGTATAATCTGGGGCACCTGGCAGTCTGTCTATGTGTATCAGGACATGTGGATGGCTCTGAAGCATACATGGTCCGCGTCGAAGCTGCTTGAGCCTGTCAACATTAGTGCTACGGTTTTCCAGGAGCGTAACGGGACGTTGTGCGTTGACGATACCTGCGCCAGAGCGAACGCGGAAATCTCCAAGTTCGCTCATCACACCGCAGCCGGCGTCCCACAGTGGTTGGTCATCACCTACGTGGTTTCCAACCTGACCCTGAATGCGCTTAATTACTACTGGTTCTCGAAGATGGTCGAGACTGTCCTGAAGCGATTCCGTCAACCTCCCGCCAAGAAGGAGGACGTTCCCAACGTTGTAATCGATGCGGCCGCAACACTAGAAGAGGAAGAGGGTCACTTCGAAAAGACCTCTTCAGCCGTGGATGCGGCTGATAACGAGGAGCTGAGAAGGAGAAAAGCGTGAGCTGAATATAGATCCGATGCGCACGTTGGCTATTCTTATCATCCGGCTGTTGCCCTATTTCTATCCTTTATCCTGTTGCAAACGAGTAACGAGTCAACGCAGCATAAGGTAGATCACGACCATAGAATCCATTCCGCCTTTTGACTCCTCTTTGATTTTTTTGCGCTTCAGTTCTGGCCGCTTGTTCCTAATTCGATGTTCTCAAGCTGGAGTTTCATTGAAGTTTCCTCTCTCCGAACTTGAGCGAAGAACCATCACCGTCTCAGATTACGAGTTGCGTCTTAAAATCAGGAATACGCCCTTAAGTTGCTTTTTTTATATCAAGTGCCTTGCTTTGTATTTGCTAACTCTCGATCTCACGAATTGGTTGAAAGCCTAGAAACATATAACTATGTCAACTTTATATATTCCTCATTTTGCCTAATAGCTGGAAACAGTCGTAAAGGTTCTTAGCAAAAACATATCTCTTACTTTCCTTGACCAGAAAAGGACACATAAAAATGACTTATCGAACAAGACCATGAATCGATAGGAATCCAGGAGCTTAGTTTAGTTTACATTGAATACAAATCCTGCCTATCAACCAAGCAGTCAATCAATCAAACCCATTCATCCATCCATGAGCGACATCCACTCCCTGCGAAACAAACAAGGGTCAGAAAAGAAAAGAGATAAACCGAACCGCAGAACACCGGGTCAATACGTTAAAAAAGAGAACAGCACGGTTTGAAGAATAAATAAAAAGAAAACCCCACCAAGCGCCTCGATTAACCGTCGTCTCTGCTTTTTTTTTCTTTAGTTGTATCTTTTCTTTTTTCCTCTCGTTTTTGTCTTTACTCTGAATCAGGATCGAACTAACTCTCCTGTGTTTTGCGTCTATCTAGCGGCAGCAGCATCTGGCTTGGCTAGCATGTAGCGAACCGCTTCACGAGCGACGGGTGTCTCCCAGACGCTGCTGGTACCACCTCGTCGGAACTCGGGGCCAGAGCCATCCTCGCCGCCGCCACGAGTCGCTTCGCCAAGAATGGTCTCGAGGTCCCTGCGCTGGGAGTTGAGCCAGCGACAGATGAAGGTGGCTGGGTCCTTGCTGAGAGCGGTGTAGAACGCATGCTTGGCCTTGGAGTGTGTAAGGGCCTGGGTGACCAGCGAGAGTTGGTCGTCAAGGGCGTTGATCTGCCTGATAGAGGCCGCGTATTGTGGGTTAGACGTCAAGGCGATCATCTTCTGGCGCAGAGGGTCTTCCACGGCGACGCGGATGTCGTAGACGGTGGGCTTAGGGTCCTTGTGGAAATCCTGGTCCACGCGGATCGTGTAGGAAAGCTTGATGGGCTCCATCGGGCTGGTGTGGGCGCTGGTGCTTTCAGGGATCTGAGGGAAGAACATCTGGTCACGACCAAAGATCTGTAGAGATAATGTCAGCGTATCCCGTCTTCAATATTATCCGGGGAAGGAAATGTCTGCATACCGAACGCAGACGGTGATCACAACGGACTTGTCGCTTCTCCTCGTCTTCTTGCAGTCCCATTGCACGGATATAGTCCCAGATACCGAGGACGATACCACTTCGCGCCTCCTCTTCTGTGTCGAGAACCTCTGCAAGCTCCTTGCTCAGCTTGTACCGTTCCGGGGTCTCGTCGCGGACCAGGCTAATGGTCACGTTGAGATTCTCCTGCGATGCCCGCGAAAATTGCAACGAGTCAAAGTCGGCGGTGGGAGGCAAAGATGTCGCGTTTGGTGGTAGCTGAGGCTTATTCCAGGTGATGGGCTTGACCTCCTCTGGCTTTGCGGATGGCGCCTTGTCAAAATCAATGGTGATAGTCTTGAAGAAATGCGACAGACGCGGCCGTGGTCGCTTGGAGGCGGGCTTCTTGTCCTTCGTGCCCTCCTGTCCATCCTGCTCCATGGCGTCACCGTTCTGGTCCTCCCCTCCCTCGTCATCGCTCTCATCAGGAACCGTAGGATCACTATCATCATCGAGCAGTCTGCCTTCAATTTTCACCTTATAGCGACCGGAACCCGGATTGGCTCCATTCTGCTCGTCCTTCTGCCATGGTTGATTCTCCACAGTGTTTGTAATCCAGACACGCAGAGTTCTGTATCTTTTCACCGTTCTGCTGATCGAGTCTTGGATGTCCAGCCTCTTACGGACCATGGCAGCGTCGAGCCGCTTCTCAACCTCGCGCAGGCTCTTGTACTGCTGCACGCCCTCCCCAATAATCACCTCTTCGACGCCATCGGGGATATTCTTATCTGTCGGCTTCCGGCTCCGTCGCAAGGCCGCATCGTTCGACTGCGCCATGGTGCGCTGAGCGGCAAGGAGTTGAGGGTTGGGGACTGCCTGCGGTGGTAGTGGCACGGGCATCACTGGTGCTGCAACAAGCGCCATGTCAGTTTAAAAGAAAACAGAAAAAAAAGGACGCAACCACGCTAGGTGCGATGCAGGACACTATCATACCTGGGCCTGGGGCACCGCGACGAGGCGTGGCAGGGGAGTGCTGCGCGGCCTGAGGATAGGCCCGGGCATAGTTGGGGGGAATTGGAGCGTTCATGCTGGTCACAAGCGGGTAATCCAAGCCCGCAAAACGACCGGGTCGTGGTCCGTGGAGCTCTTTGTTCCTCAAGCGCGGTCCTTATCGAAACTCTGAGTTGTTGAGTCGGTCTGGTTCGCCGATGGTTCTTGCGCGAGTTTGAAGCGACAAAGTCACGATGGGCGCTTGTTGCGCTCCCGCGCTTTACCCCTTGCGGTAGTCACCTTGCCGTAGGTAACAAAGGACCGGCTTCTGGTCTATCTATGAGCTACTAGTATTCGATTCGATTTCTTTTTTAAGGAATCTGTCTCGTCTACAGGCATAGAATAACAAGTTTTAATCGTCTGATCTCGTGATAAGATCGAATCATTGATGCCTCTACCTACACGTCCGGCTCTTTTTTCGCCGCCTGGTATATCAAGCACCATCCGACCACCTTATGCTCCCAAAGTCATCACATTTCAGAAAATTCGACCAAACAGGGAAGGCCTTTATTCGAGAAGAGAGGCCTGGTTAGTATACAACACTTCCACCACGTTGCTCAGCTTCTCGATCGTCTCCAGCGCGGCATCGTAGCCCCGGTCCCGCTCTGTCTCATCGTACACAATCAAGCAGCCGGCACCCTGGTCCAAGACGCCAATGATGACCTTGTCCAGGATCATCTGCGATAGCTTCCTCTCAACCTGCTGCGTGTCCAGTCCGACCATCTTGGCAATGTGGTCGATCTCGACTCTGCTGAACGGCTCGATCACCTTGATGAGGTTCTGCTCCAGCATCGCATCGTAAAGTCTGCGCAGGTGGTTTCGGATAAAGGTGTCACCACCGAGTTCATACCGGTAGTCTGATAGGGCCTTCTCATATTCCTCCAGCGATCGGTTGGCGTGAGCTCGGGCCACCGCCTTCATGGCCTCCAGTCTAGTACTAGCATACTTAAGAGCCTGTTTGGAGGCCAGCAAGGTAGTCACATCATCCACAGCATTCAACATAATCTTGCACAGCAGCATGTACTGAAGGGCCGCGGTAGCCTTGGTTGCGTCGTCGAGAGAACTGTAACCCTCAAGGGCTTCGATGAAGTATGAGAAGGCAGTGTTGAAGTCCTTGTCCTCCGCGTGGAGCATGCCACTCTGCATATCGAGACCGGCCTGGACCTGCGGAGGGGTGTACACAGAGGCTGCAGATGTTCGTGCAGCTGTGAGCGCAGCACGCGCTTTGGGCTGGTTGCCGAGTGCATGGTAGACACGCGACTCCAGTAGCTGGACCTCCACCAGCATCAACTTGTCATCCAGACGCTTCAGCTCCCGCAACAGAGAGTTAATTAGTGTCAAGGCATCGTAGTATGTCTGCTTCTGCATATAGATCGTGACCAGTCGGGTTTCGAGGTTCTGTCTCAAGAAGGATCGTCGTTCTGACACTGCCCATTCTATGCATGACTTGATGACGTTGATCTGGATATCGAGGGTGTTTGGGATTTCGCTGAAAATGTCGAGTAGCTGACGGACTATATCGTGAATTGTCAGCGTTATGAAAGGGATCAAATGCCCATTTCTGCGGAATAAGTGACTCACCTAGCTTCGCCGTCTTAGCTTTAGCAAACGAGGAGAAGACATCGCGGCTCGTCTTGATGAGTTCTGAGAGCTCCTGTGGCTTCTTGACATCACGGTACAGCTCTCCTAATCCTATCAAGGCTGCCTCGTAGTCGCGCGAAGAGGCTTCCGTCGAACCTGGCCCCTTGGAGAGGATATCCCGGTAGATGCTCTCTGCCTTGGAGGCGTCCTTCTTAGAGATCGCCTTGGCTTCCTCTATCCGCTGGGCGGCTGGTGATGTGGGAGCCATCCTGGGACGAGTACAATTAAACTATAGAGGTGGAAAGGACCAAATGAGTCGACTAGACGGCAAGGAAGGGAAGAGGTCGTGGGGTTGAGAGCTAGAGCTGGAGCTGGTTGAGGTCTGGCGATGTTGCGTATGTCCGCTGGCGGCCTTGGAACTGCGGCAGTCCAGCTCCGCCTTGGCTGGCCAATCACGCTGCAGCCCGCCGAGGCGGTCAATCGCCGTCAAAAAGATCTGGAATTTTTATGTCTTGTCTTTGCACGGAGTATTTTCCGCAACACCCAGAGAGCAGCATGGTGAGTTTTCAATGCAGGATTATTGCTGGCTTCTGTCGTACTGACTGTCTATAAGAAAATCAAGGCTCTTTCTCGCTCCGCTGCCTCGCAGCAGGCTCCTGGCACGACTGTCGCCAGACAGCACAGGAACCTAGATCCCGCCCAGCATCCGTTCGAGAGAGCGCGAGAATATACTCGAGCCCTCAATGCAACTAAAATGGAGCGGATGTTTGCGGCGCCGTTCGTCGGACAGCTAGGAAGCGGTCACGTTGACGGTGTCTACACCATGGCTAAGGATCCCGGTTCTCTCGAGCGTTTCGCAAGTGGAAGCGGTGATGGTGTAGTAAAAGTCTGGGACACCACCAGTCGGGAGGAAATCTGGACGACCCAGGCGCATGAAAATATTGTCAAGGGGATGTGCTGGACGCCCGATCGGAAGATTCTCTCGTGTGCCAGCGACAAGACGGTCAAACTTTTCGACCCGTATAATTCGGCGCCAGAGGCTCCGCCGCTGGCGACTTGGCTGGGCCAGGGTGCCTTTACGAGCATCACGCATCATCGTGATCGTCCATCCTTTGCCGCATCCTCCTCTGTCATTTCAATCTACGACCTTTCGCGACCTTCCTCGACACCTGCGCAGACACTCCACTGGCCTAACGCTACCGATACGATCACGTCAGTCGCTTTTAATCAGACTGAGACTTCCATCCTGGCGTCTACCGCTACAGATCGTTCCGTTATCATGTATGATCTTCGGACAAGCTCACCTCTGGCCAAGGTTGTCCTGAAACTGGCTTCCAACGCACTGGCATGGAACCCAATGGAGGCATTCAATTTCGCCGTCGCAAACGAAGATCACAATGCATACATTTTCGATATGAGGAAGATGGACCGAGCGTTGAACGTGCTCAAGGACCACGTCGCTGCTGTTATGGATGTGGAGTTCAGTCCCACTGGCGAAGAGCTCGTCACTGCTTCCTACGATCGTACGATCCGTCTCTGGAACAGGGCTCAGGGTCATTCGAGAGACATCTACCATACAAAGCGGATGCAACGGTACGTATTTCATTTCGATTCCTTTGCTTTTGGTGTGCATATACTGATCCTGTGCTATAGTGTCTTCTCTGCCAAGTTCACCCCAGACAATCAGTACGTCCTGTCCGGCTCGGATGATGGTAACATTCGAATATGGCGTACAAATGCTTCATCGAGAAGTGGCATCAAGAGTGCCCGCCAGAGACAGAAGTTGGAGTACGACCAGGCTCTGATCAACAGATATTCGCACATGCCGGAGATCCGCAGAATAAGACGTCACAGACGTCTACCGAAGGTTGTCAAGAAGGCAGGCGAGATCAAGAAGGAAGAACTGGCGGCTCTCAAGAGAAGAGAGGAGAACGTTCGCAGACATAGCAAACCCGGTAGCATGCCACGTCGCAGCGAGCGTGAGAAGATGATTCTCACGACGGAACAGTAACCGAGTCTTGCAACTTTGGGGAACAACGACTTGGTTTGAATCCTCTACAATTCAGCGTTCCCTTGTGCCGGTTCCGGTTGCCAACATTGGCGTGAGGATTACCATTTGATCTTTCGTGACTTGCGCTAATTGGGCTCACCCGGAGCCCTCCATATACATTAAAATACGATTATCGGCATAGATCGCCTGGCTCTATGTACAATGGGACAGACTTTCATCTGAACCGCATCATTGTTCCGCGTTGATAATCTCCAGCTCGCTTTCGGACGTCTGGTCTTGTGAGGGAGGCTGCTGCTGCTCAACATTTTCTGCAGCGGACTTGGCTACGGCTGTATCGATGCCGCTTAGGTAGCGAGCAATTCTCTGAACTCCGACGGGCAATGCCGCATACAGATTGACCAACGTGGCAAAAGCAGGGAGCCTGATTACTCCCCCCTTACCATTGTCGACGGCGTAAATGATAGCCTGAGCGACTTGGACTGGTTCGAGGACGGGGGCAAAGAAACGATTAGGTGTTTGAATCCTGTCGAAGAGGGGAGTCGACATCTGCCCGATCTCAACAAGCAACATTTTCACTCTCTCGTGGTCCCCGGATGCTCGCAGCTCAGCCTCCAGGGTTCTGTGAAGGGCACTGAGACCCGCCTTGCTGGCCGAGTAGTCTGAAAGACCCGCGGCAGAAAGCTGGCCCAGTACAGAGCTGACGTTGACAATGGTACCACCGTTCTCTGCTTCCAGCATCCCCGGGAGGAACGTCTGACAGGTATGGAACGGTGCGAGCAAGTTTGTTTGAATCGTCTTCTTGATGGCGCTTGTAGAGAGGGAGAGGAATGGCTGTGCATTAATCCCGGCTGCGGCACAATTGATCAGCACCGTAGGTGTACCGAGCTGCAAGATAGCATGTCAGCGAGATAGAATAACCAAATTCAATGCACATCGATCCAAGTAAATTTCCAGCCCAGAGCACAGCAGTAGTAAATCACATACGTCTTTCTCAATCATCCTCGCAGTCTTCTCTACCTCCTTCCTATCTCCCACATCACACTTATAGTACTCAACGCCCGACAACTCCTCCCACCCCTCAATTTCCGCTACTTCCTTCACATCCAACACAGCAACGCTGACACCACGCATACCATAGATCTGCGCAATCAACTGCCCCAGCCCACTTGCACCCCCCGTGATCACCACGACTTCCTCGCCCAGATCAACGGTACGAGGCAATCCGAACGCGATGCGCTCACTAACCATCTGCGCCCCAGTATAGACCGTCAAAAGGATCGCGTACGAAATCGCAATGATCATAGCCGGGTGTTCGTAAGGCGTAACCTGGGCGCGCAGACAGAGCACCACGATCCAGGCGATGAATGGGTGGAGGAACGTGCGGTTAAGCACCGCTAGGAAGAGGTCGAGGGTGAGGTATTCGTGCCATGCTTTCTGGCGGATTGGTATGGATTTCGAGGTAGAATGGACGGTTGGGATGGAGGACATTGCGATTCTGTCTCTCGCTGCGAGTGCGAGGCCTTGGTTTGTTTTTGTTCCTCTAGTTGAGGGAAGAGAGAGAGGGGAAGGAGAGGATGAAGTTGAGGGTTTGGTTAGAAGGAATATCGTGGATTAGAAGATATAAATGGCCATGGTTTTCTTGGAATGGCTATTTAAATGAAAAATGAAAGAGGATCTGAAGCGCAAGAAAAGGTATGCCGCGGAGAGGTAATAATAATAATAGCTAGGTGAAAGTCGATCCAAGCTCCAAATCACCGATAAGGCGCAGAAGGCCCTCTTAGTGTGACGTGATCTGCACTGAACGGTTAAATGGTTTGGCTAAGGATTCTTTTGGATAACATACCCTTTCCTTTCGCTTTACGCTATTTCTCTGGGAAAGTCTAGATACACAAATGTCCATTCACTATAATAATTTCTGATATTTTCAAAAAAAATAGTTCCTGGTCTACTACCAGATCAATACTCATGATATTTTTTTTTGTTTTCCTGTTCGCAAACCCACCGATCTTTTTAAGTTGGTCCCTGGAAAGGAACCAGTATGAAACCAAACTGCGACACACGCAAAACACACGGTCTGAAGTCTATACGGCATTTTTACCCGGACTTATATATGTCTTTTAGTGTCTGCAATTGAGGCTATCTACACAATGCTAGCATCTTTTTAGGAGATCCTAGCTGCATGCCTGGATCGACTGTTTGTTTGGGCTTTTAATGTCCAGGTGGGCCATGATTTTATACTGCGGGGAGAGCTTATCGTGGCCATATCGGAATATATAATGGCGGCATCCAAAAGCGATAACCAGCAGTTTCACAACCGAGTCCGTGAACCACCAGCCTAGATAACCTCCTTGCAAACGCGAGTATTCGGTGCTGGAATCCAATATTAATAACAATGGCAGAGGCCAATGCCGTGAAGTCGATACAGGCCCTACAAGGTGTTCGACTGGCCGGGACCCCGCCTGACTCTCTATGGAATCTCAGTATCCAGCACCCAGAGGAAGAGAGTCCAAAAGGGGTCATTGCATCAATCACACCATATTCCAGACCAGATATCAATGAAAATAGCGCTCCTGCATCTTACCCTCTCGTTCTACCAGCATTGACGCACCCCCACATCCACTTGGACAAGGCTTTCGTCCACGGCGCTCCAGAATACGCTGATTTGCTTCCCTCAACGGGCTCCTTCCAGGAAGCATTATCATATACAAGCCAGGCTAAAGCGAGATTCACAACACCAGACCTCCTCAGGCGTGGAGGATGGCTAATTGCGGAGTCTGTCGCGTCGGGAGTCACGGCCATGAGAGCGTTCGTCGAGGTCGACAACGCAGTCGAGCTAACTTGTCTGGAAGCCGGTATCAAGCTCAAGAAAACATGGAAAGAGTCCTGCTACGTCCAACTAGTATGCTTCGCTCAGGATCCTCTATTCTCTGGCCCTCACGGGGACGAGAACCGACACCTCATGGAGACTGCTATTCGGAAAACCGAGGTAGAAGTTATCGGCGCAACGCCCTACGTCGAAGCGACAACCGCAGATGCGAAACGGAATATCGAATGGGCAATTGACAGGGCCATAGAACTAGGAAAGCATGTCGACTTCCATCTCGATTACAACCTCGATGCTGGCAAGGAGGCCCTAGTATGGCATGTCGTGTCCACGCTGCACGCGAAGGGCTGGACGACCAAAGCACCCGGGAAAAGAATCATGCTCGGCCATTGCACCAGACTGACACTTTTCTCAAACGAAGAATGGAACCGACTCGCAAGCCAGATCCGGGAATATGGCCTTCCCATCAGCTTCGTCGGGCTTCCAACTAGCGATACATACATGGCTTCTCCGCCCGCTGCGTCGGATAATCCACCGCAGGTCAGACAGCGGGGTACGCTACATGTACCTGACATGATTCGCAAATATGGCCTTGATGCTGTGGTTGGTGTGAATAATGTTGGAAACGCATTCACGCCCTGGGGAGCTCCTGATCCGCTCTCCCTCGCCTGTCTCGGTGTTGGTATCTATCAGAAGGGGACACAGACTGATGCGGAACTACTATACGAATGCGTCTCAATTCGAGCCCGTGCCGCGATAGGCCTGGGAGGGCCTTCATCTGGTTTATCTTTGCGAGAAGGCCAAGACGCAGACCTGCTCATCATATATAACGTCGATGAGACAGGCCTTGGTACCCCAAGGACCAGAAGGACCGTGGCAGAGGTCGTCTGGGATCCTCCAGGGAGAATAAGTAGGGATGTGACCTATGCTGGTCAACTGGCCATGAAACCTTTTGCAGCTGAGAGGGTGGCCTCGAGCCCGGGGACAACTGTGGTCCTTGTGTGATACCACTTTAAGGCCTGGCTGTGCATAGCATGGTGATGGTCTTGCGGTGGGGGGGAAGGCGGGTGGAGATTATCTTGTCAGTGAGTGTCGTAGCGATATCATGATATACTTGCGACGTATGAATACGCATCATAAGCATGCCTACAATTTCAGACTGCTTAGAGTAGAAATGTGGATGTTGCATCCATGCGTAGACAATGATAAATGATACAAAGTACAAGCGTTTATACTTTTTTCATGAACTCAATGACTGATCGAATATACACCTTGTTCAAGGAAAACGAGCAGATGCAAGGCAAGTTTTGGATGTAGCAGAAACCGTCATATCTACAGACACCGTCTCATCTGCTAGGGACTTTTTGAATACATCATTTTCATACACATAGTGCTTCACGCAAAGTATGTTGCGTTATCCCATACCTTCCGCGGGAAACCGAAAAAAATCTTTTTTTTTCTTCCCTCCGTGTCTTGCCTCCAGAAATCCACAAAAAGAACACATCATGGATGAAAGGCCAGTGTCGTAGCTAGACCGTAGAAATAGTTTCCAGAAAAAAAAAAAAGACAAAAAAGAAAGCCGAATTGGAAATGTCCGGAATTGAGCCGAACGCGGGGGTCGAACCCGCAGCCTTGCGGTGACCACGAAGTGTGGATTTTAAGAGCCGCACGCTCTACCGATTGAGCTAGCCCGGCGGCTTGTGATAACCTGGAGCTCAGAAGGTCTTATCACGCACTCCCGCTAACAGCTACCATTCCTGCCATTTCTGCCTTTGCCTTTGCCGGTCCGTGGAGGGCGTAGCTGAATGTCGGACAGGCAGGATCGTCGAGCAACATGTCAAGGTCTTCAGGCGTCATAGGTATGCGGAAACCATTGCCAGCTCGTGGATAGAGTCGGTGTTCTTCTACTTCGTATTCGGACGATTCGGAAGACTCGTCATCGTCTCTCTCCCGAGTAGAGGCTGTTGTCGATTGACCAGTAGGTGGAATATCCGCACTACCGGCGGTACTCTGTCGTATAGCAGTAGTCACCAGTGGTTCGGAGGCCGGGGCTGGAGACGCTGAACTAGCAAATGTCCCTGCCGGCATTTGAGAAGAAACGAGCCTTGACGCTGACAGAGCTTTCAGATTCGATGGGAACATAGGCAAAGCAGGATTGCGATCCGAAATAGTCATGAGCAGGTTGACGAGTCCTGCATGTGAGAGACTGGATAGATATGCTCGTTTCTCAACCGAAGAGAACTGTTCTCCTCCAACTTCAGTTGGTGGAAGCGCACTTGTGATGTGCGAGGAAGGCCATTCAGAATGAATAGTGTTCGTAGAGACCTCATCAGCTGGACGTTGGGTCGGCCTGCATTCGTGACAAAACCACTCCGCTTCCTTTACCGTTATCACATCATTTTCAATCGGCGGATCATGGCAGAACTGATGCCAGGCCCTATTGCATTCGTCGCAGAATACGATCATATTGGTCGACGGGCCGTGGCCCCTCTGGCAATGGATGCAGTTGACATTCATATCCTTTCCTTTGCGATAGACACGTCTTCGCTTCTTAACTGGAGTGTTCTGGGAAACCAGACCATCTGCCGCATTGGGCGACTCTTTGTTTGGCTTTGGAATAGCAGCGGGATTCGACGGCGGCACGTATAAAGAAGGACGATGTACCTGACGGCCAGACTTTGTTTGCGTTGCGACTGGCGTGAAGTCAGTAGACTCGTCTGAGCTGGAATCTCCCGCTTTGATAACTTCTTCATCACTGCCATGATTTCGCCGCCGCTTCTTTGAACCTTTGGCGCTGTTTGTAACTTTTCTGCGCTGACTAGGGGACGCTGTTGCTCTTTGCGTCTTCTTAGTGGATATTCCAGCTGATTGGACAAGAGCACCAGGAGCCACTGGTGGTGTTCGCAACGGCGTCGCTACTGGCGCCTGAGGCTTTGGTGCAATGGCAACAAGCCCTCCTTTTGGTGCGATGTTCTGTGGTAAGAGAGTTGTCTTTTGAGGTACACTGGATGCCGGCTGAGAAGCGGGACCAGTAAAAGGGGGTGTAGGCAGCGATATGATCGCCGAAGAGACCCTCATACCGTCTGGCTTGGTATTTAGACCTGTATTATCACCACTGATTGATGAAGGAGACGGAGTGTGCCAAACCGGGTTCTGCCCCAGAGCATTCGAAGTGTCTCTGATATCTCCGAGGTTATTAGCGTTTATCCGTGTAAGGAGTTCTGCTGTAGAAGGGGACAGCTTCGGGATCCGTGGAACACTAGGAGTAGTTCCTCTCGGCTCTGCGACGCTAGAAGTTGAATCTGAAGCGTGCGCCGTATTGTGTGTTGCTTGTTCTTGAGGTGCATTGGCAGGAGGTAGATGCTGGTCCGCCGCGCTTGCTGCCTGCACCTTGTCTTCTACAGACGAGGTGCCCAGAGTCGGATTCTGCTGTGACATATTCCTTGTTGCAGCTATATGATCCACACGCAAACCAGAACCCCGTACTTGAACATGGATATATCAACAGCTGCCGACCGGGGGAGTTCAAATGGCTGAAGCGATAATGGTCGGATCAAGTCTATATATCGTCACGTGACAGTATCCGTTTCCCCACCCCGATCGAGAACGGCATTACTGCTGCGATGACAACTCCGCTTAATATCAATGCTGCAAGGCTGTTGGTAATCTCTGCATATCAAAAGACTTATATATGTGTGTATTTACACTATGCTCCAGAACATGGCTGTGCAAGTGAAGATTTGCGCATTCCATCTGGCCGGAGATATCATTGTGGTTAACTCCCTCCTTTGATCGGGTTCACAAACGGAGCGTCTATACTCTACGATACCACCCCATCCTTCTTCAATTGACGGATTTCATTTTCACCATATCCTAGAATTCCGCCAAGGACCTCGTCGGTGTGTTGGCCGAGGGTTGGAGGGGGGGTTCTGATACTGGGATTGGCGTGGGAGTACTTAATGGGCGTGTTCACAAGCTTGATGGGGCCGCAGGCTGGATGTTCGATTTCTTGAACCATCCCTCGAGCTTGGACTGTCGAATTATTAGTAAATTCCTGCACTTGTCTGCCTTCTGAAGACTCACCATGCTTGTGGTTTAGTGTGCCTTGGATGTCATTGACGGCAGCATATGGCATACCGCTCCCTTCGAAGATCTCCAGCCATTCTTGCGTTGTCTTCTGTTTCGTGATCTCTTCAATCATGCCGTCAATATCCGCGCGATGTTTTACTCGGACACTGTTCGTGACAAATCGAGGGTCTTCTTTCCACTCTGGGTGACCAAGTCTGTCGCTCAAAACTCCGAACAATCTGTCGTTGCCTCCGCCGAAGAGAATGTCGCCATCGAGTGTCTTGTAGCTTCTGTATGGTACGATAGATGCTAAAAGGCGTCAGCCGGCTTTTGGCAGGGGGTCGGAATTAAGCCACTTACGGTGTGCTGTACCCCATCGTCCTGAATCCTTCTCTCCGGAAATCAATGCGGAGCTCGCCAGGTTCGAGAGAGTGGCCACCTGGCAGTCACTCAGACAAGCATCGATATGCTGGCCTCTACCTGTTCTAACTCTTGCGAGAAGTGCAGCCATGATCGCATTGGAAGTATACAATCCTGTCGTAAGATCTGTGACAGCAACTCCCACTTTTACCGGTGGACCGTCCCTGGATCCTGTGATGTGCATCAAACCCATCTCCGCTTCTACCATAACGTCGTAACCAGCCCTGTTGCTGTATGGGCCAGTTTGTCCATAACCAGTGATACTCGCATAGATCAACTTGGGGTTTATCTTGCTCAGTGTCTCGTAATCCATATTGTACTTCTTCAGGTTGCCAGGAAGATAGTTCTCAACCAATACATCGCATTCCCGCGCAAGCTTGTGTAGGATTTCCACGCCTGCCTTATGGGCAAACGAGAGGCCGACTGATTTCTTGTTCCGATTCACCTTGACGTTGTCAGCTTGATCCTGTGATGTGATTACGAAGGATGCAGTACAGCCAAGTAATATGCACTTTCACCGGGGCCTTCCTTTGACCCTTCCTTATACTTCGCATAGGGCGGTCCCCACGCTCGGGTGTCATCACCTCGGACAGGGTGTTCGATCTTAATAACATCTGCTCTATGGAAATTTGTATGTTGAGCAAATATATTCACGGCTAGTGTCGAAAGTCGGCGGCAGTCTGTTTCGACTGATGCGATGCACCTACCCCAAATCTCCAAGAATCTGCGTACAATAGGGCTTAATAGAAAACGGAGATCAGCATCTTCGCAGACACAGTCCATATGCAATTCAGCCCCCCAAGAAAACTTACACCCGCAAGCACTCTAGTCATGTCCAAAACGCGTATACCCTCCAGTGGAAGCGTACCGTCTGGCAGAGGAATTCCCGTCGATAAGCACCGCCATTGTGCTGTTCGATTCAGACCAAAGGTCGACAGAATTGGCCGCCGCGCGACGGTCCGCAATGCCAGAGAGACACCCATTATTGTTCCAGCAATTAGTCTGGGAATCTCCTCGGATGTAGAATTAACTGCAGCTGCGGGCAGCTTCAATGGTTGCGGAGATCGTAGCGCTACGGCCAGAGCTCCGAGAAAGCCCCACGAAGCCGAGGTCAGCTCCCGCAATCGCACTGCTCACCTTTCCCGGAAGATCCGTCGACGATCGGATGTGTCACTAAATTATATACACTTTCGTCGCCATGTTTACCGGTCTCGTTGAGACGATCGGGAGTGAGTCTCACGGAGCATAGGAATAGACTCGCAGAGTCCCGCAGAGCTGACCATGTTTTAGCGGTCACGTCCCTCGAGCCCCTCGACACCACCGCAAGCGGGGGCGGGGGAACGTCGTTGACAATATCTGACTGCGAGGAGATCCTTACAGATGCGCATCTGGGAGATAGCATCTCTGTGAACGGTATGTAAATGACATGTGATTCTTAAATCTAACATATTAATGTCTGGAAAACGAACTACTTGCTGAGATAAACCATCGCGAATGAAAAGGAACATGTCTCACCGTCACCTCCTTCGATAAGACCTGGTTCAAGGTCGGGGTTGCGCCTGAGACCCTGAGACGCACGAACCTTGGATCCTTACAGACCAACTCGCGCGTCAATCTTGAACGCGCCGTCTCTGCGACGACTCGTATGGGCGGTCACTTCGTCCAGGGCCATGTCGACACCACCGCGAAGATCCTCTCAGTCACCCCAGACGGGAACGCGCTTACGTTCAGACTGCAGCCTCGGGACAAGAGTGTCTTGAGATACATCGTGGAGAAGGGGTTTGTGACGTTGGATGGAGCCAGTCTGACTGTGACCAAGGTCGTCGATGGAGAGGATGGATACTGGGAAGTGATGCTCATCGCGTATACGCAGGAGAAGATTGTCACTGCATCCAAGAAGCCCGGAGAAGAGGTGAATGTCGAGGTCGACCAGGTGGGCAAATACGTTGAGAAGAGTGTCCAGGGCTACTTTGCTGGAAGCGCTGGCGGGGACTTCAACATTCTGGAGAAGATGGTCTCAAGGATCGTTGAAGAAAAGCTCAAGAAATGAAAAGAACTAATGATAATATGGTGCGATGATGAGCAGCGCCTTTGACAAAATTACGTACGGCAAGTGTATGAAATCAAAATTTTTGTTCATCGAATTGTTCAGATATTCTTATTATGCTCTATACATAGAAGAAAGGCCCATTTTCGAGGAACATGCAACGGCGTAGAATATAGAACTCCTTTCCTCTGGTCCCTGAGAGGATAGAATAACTATCACAGGAATAATCCAATCGCAAACCTTTGACAGTCAAATGAAACTCCAACCCCGGCAATGAATGGGATGTGGACGTCCTGGTTCCGCCAGTGACCCTGAAGGTCCCTCATCGGAACGGAATGGGGTCTAACTTCACCACCGCGGTGGGGAAGTCGGCGCAAGAAGAGAATGGGTATACCCAGATCATATACACTGGTCCCAACACGCAGCAGCGCGGTTCGAGAGCATGCAAGGCATAATATCCATATCTTGCCCCGTGTAGACTGAGTGCAGTCACACAGTATTGATGTATGAATCTGGCCGGAAACAGTATTCCAGCGTCACGATTAGCATCCCATCATTATCGAAGGGAGCTGAGAACTAGGAACGAGTCATTCGAATGTGACCTTAGCATCAAACGTTTGACCACCAGTGGCTCTCAATGGTCTCAGATCCTTAGGCTCATTCTTCCATAGACTCGTCGTCACTCCCCTCGTCTTGATCTTCGACTTCCGCATCTTCATCATATTCGTCGCTCTCCCACTCATCCATGTCCTCATCCTCGTCCTCCTCTTCCTCATCGTCACTGACAGCTTCTCCGTTGGCTTTAGCCTTGGCCTTCTCAGCCTTCTTTCTCTCGACATTTTCTCTCTGCTCCTTCTTGCGCTGCTCCTTCTCTTTGATCTTTTTGTCCCAAGCAGCATCCATCTGCTTGATTTCGGACTCGGTCTTGGACTTGAAAGCGTGCCACATAACTCTGCCTCCGCACATGCCTTCTTCGACTTTAGTCAATCTCAGCTTCATACGCGGACCGAGTTCGACTAATTTTACTGCTCGCTTTTCCACACCTGAGTTGGTGGTCATCCTTTCAGGCTTCTTCTCCCCAGCTTTCATACGCTGAAGTTCACGCTTGTTCAGAACCTTCTTCGTCGTAGTGCCTGCCACCTCGACTTCCGCATCCGTGTCGAGCTCCGTCTCACTAGCAGAGGTGTAGCCAGCCGCCGATGGGTCAAGCAGGTAGTCTGCAGCATCATCCAACTTTCCCAGGTTTGGAATAGCCGACTTCTTTTTGTCTTTATGACGCAGTTCAGTCGCATCTAGTCGTCTGATCCGCTTCGGTATACCCGTCTTCCTTGTCGTGATAGCGTAATGTCTCACGTTCAGAACGTACGCGTCCTGACCGTCGCCTGTTGCGGGGCCGAGCTCTCTGTTGACTAGCATAATACGACGAATGGAGGTAAGAGGTGTTGTCTGCGGGGAGATAGGAGGAAAGAGTGACTGAAACACTGTCGTTGCAAGGGATTCGAGGTGCTTTGGCACCTTCGATTTCTCAGTTGCACCGGGGGAGTTGAAATTATTCATGACCAGAAGAGGAGGTGTCTTGTGATCTTGGCCGCCAGTTCTTGGGTGCTTTTGCGCTCTGGCGACGTCTTTGCAGAGTGAATAATTTTCAATCTTGAAATGTAGAGTCGGCCCGCGAGGAGTCAGCGCCAGGCGCATATTTGTGTTCCCTGTGCTAGATTTTGAAAACAGTAGAAAGTGAGTGACTCCCAGTGGACCAGCCATGGTCGTATAGTCCTTCAATTTGTTCGATTTGCGTTCCTAAGAATGCCACTATTAGACAATGTCTACCTGAACAATATCTGCTCCAGGTCTCACCTTCAACCGACTCGCTGTATCAGGCTCCATCATCAACCGCACATCCTTGACCAGCTGGCTAACGCTCGAACCGACTTCTGAAGCGCCAATGCGAATGACCATGGACTTTGGAGATCGGTTCATGGATGCAGCGCCATTTTTGACCGTGCCGGAGCTGGTCTGCACCGGACGGTGAGTGCGCTTCTTGACACGTCTCTTCGCCATGTTTGAACAATAACAAAAGAGACTTAAGAGAAGAATGAAATTGTCCAAGTAATAATGTTGCGACCTGCAACTTTTTCTTCTTGTCGGCGGGAACAAAATTGGGTCGAAGAAGCAGCCCGGATCATCGATTTTGCGGCACGCCAAAATTAATTTTCTCTTTGCTTATCGCCGGTCCACTTCGCCCAAAAATTCCGCGGCGGTTCGACAATCACAATAATGCCGGCGATAAAGAAGAGAAAGGTCGCCCATGAGGGCTCAGCGTCTTCAGCGTCCTCTGAAGCTGGCGATATAGAGTCATCAAGGCCTTCTAGCCCTGTCGAAAATGATACGAATCGCGATCCGGAGCACGACCAGGATGAGGGAGCTACCCCCGCAAAGACCGCTCCTAAGACTTTCAGAGATTTAGGAGTCATCGAACCTCTCTGTGAAGCTTGCGATGCCCTGGGATACAAGGCGCCTACTGCTATTCAGGCTGAGGCTATTCCACTAGCCTTGCAAGGCCGCGACTTGATCGGTCTGGCGGAGACTGGATCAGGAAAGACAGCAGCATTTGCTCTCCCCATTCTTCGTATGGTCGACCAACCCAAACTCCTGTATGGACAGTGACTAACAATGTTGTAGAGGCCTTAATGGAAAAGCCGCAGTCGCTATTCGGCCTGGTACTGGCCCCGACCCGAGAATTGGCGTATCAGATCTCGCAATCCTTTGAAGCTCTGGGTTCGACGATAGCGGTTCGATCCGCAGTCATTGTCGGAGGAATGGATATGGTGCCGCAGGCTATCGCACTCGGAAAGAAACCTCATATCATCGTTGCGACTCCAGGTCGTCTGATGGACCACCTGGAGAACACCAAGGGTTTCTCGCTACGGGGTCTGAAATACCTCGTTATGGATGAGGCCGATCGGCTCCTGGACATGGACTTCGGTCCCATCCTCGATAAGATCCTCAAGGCCCTTCCTAGAGAGCGACGTACCTATCTGTTCTCCGCGACAATGAGCAGCAAGGTTGAGTCTTTGCAGCGTGCTTCGCTCCAGAACCCGCTCCGAGTGTCTATATCCTCGAATAAGTACCAGACAGTCTCGACCCTTCTCCAGTCTTTCTTGTTCCGCCCACACAAACACAAGGATATCTATCTTGTATATCTCCTGAACGAATTCGCCGGTCAGTCCGCCATCATTTTCACGCGCACGGTCAACGAGACACAACGTATCGCTATCCTCCTTCGCGCACTAGGATTCGGTGCCATCCCGCTTCACGGACAACTCTCTCAGTCCGCCCGTCTGGGAGCACTGGGCAAGTTCCGTTCTCGCAGCAGAGATATTCTCGTTGCGACCGATGTTGCGGCCCGTGGTCTGGATATTCCCTCCGTCGATGTCGTCCTGAACTATGATCTTCCACCGGACAGCAAGACGTACATTCACCGAGTTGGTCGAACAGCACGTGCCGGAAAATCTGGACATGCCATTAGTTTGGTAACACAGTACGACATCGAGCTCTGGCTACGTATCGAGAAAGCTCTGGGCAAGAAGCTATCAGAGTACGAGGCCGAAAAGGATGAGGTCATGGTTCTGGCAGACCGAGTGGCGGAAGCGCAGCGACAGGCTATCACAGAGATGAAGGATCTACACGAGAAGAGAGGCACAAGAGGAGCAACATTGAAGGGCAGAAGATTTAAACGTTCTCGTGACGAGATGGATAAGGAGGAAGGCTAAAAAGGTTGCCGCTGAAAAAGTGATTCTTACGATATGTATGGCGTTTATTATTTCGTACGACTGTAATAAGGATTCTACCTGAAAATACCCTTCTATTGCTAGCATGGGGTATTTTATTCCTACCAATTCGACTTCAGACATAGTCAAGCATGATCTACTTTCAATCTGCACGCATCATACTGAGCAAGCCACCCAGCACTAACTTATTGATCACGGAACATAAACAACTAGGAGTCGTTTCCAAGAAGGCTCATCAAAATGTGTACCTTTTTCTACTATTGAATTCCCGGGGTGGAATGACCTGTTTGTTAATAATCCCCGCTTGTATTTACGGCGCCTGAGCATGTAATCTCAAGTTGATCATAGAACTGTTTAAATTGATCTCTATTATATATTTATCTGCGCATCAAATAAGACGTGTCAAAAATTCTGGTATCTTCACTTTTTCCCAAAAAAAGATAGCCGCGATTGCGGGTGACGGGTACCAAAGGGACCCGCACTATCTGCTACAGTCTGCACGTTCCTTCCACCATTATTAGCCCACAAGATAGGTAACCATTCCTCTAGTATATTCCTACCCGCATCAGAAAATTGGAGGAATGGGAAGACACAAATGTGAAAATGGAAGGTTGGTAAGTGCTGATTCATTTAAGACTGTACGATTTCCTTCACAGCACCAGCCTCACGAACAGCATTTGCCACGCGTGTTGCGAGATCGTCTGCTTCAGAGCGGCTGGCTGCTTCGGCATAGACGCGAACAGCATCTTCGGTTCCACTTGCTCGGGCGAAACTTCTGCCCTTATTGTAGCGGGACTGGAGGGAGTCGATCTTGGCCTGGAGTCCAGGAGGAGATTCGAGTTTACGCTCAGCATCATATGCCTTGAAGATAGACCGATCGGCCACCTCAACACGAACCAGGCGAGAGGGAAGATCGGTGTAGGTTGCCAACCATTCCTTGGGGCCCCAGTTCTTATGAGCAAGGATGACCTCCACAAGAAGCATATCCGACAAAGCATCACCGACGGCTTGGTTAATCAGATCGGTAAGGCCATTGAGACAATCAAGCGCGTGCTGCTGCGCGGGGGACTGTGGCTCGCTGTTCTTAATGACCTTCAGTGCATTCTCGGAAAATGTGATCGTTCCGTGTCCGTTGGCTTCGAAGTAGACGCCCACATCGAACCTCAGAGCAGCATGGTGAAGGTGCTTTACGCCAGTGTTCGTGCAGACGGTTGCAACTTTGAGCACCTTCTCAATGTAGTCTGTGCTGGAGCCATTTGCATAAGCTGTCTGGATGACACCGATCTTAAGCTTCTGAGCAATGCCGGCACTACGTGCCAGGTCACCTATGAAGGAGGCCGCCAGGGTAGCGATACGGTCTCCATCAAGAAGTCTGAAAGTGTTGCTCTCATCGATAAAGTAATAAACCAAGCGATCAGCATCGCCATCCAGAGATGCACAACGATCGAGCACACCGGCTTTGGACGATGGCGGAGCACGCTGCTTCGTCTTTACGTAGTCGGCACCGCACTACACGGGTCCTGGTCAGTTCGCTCGCCAGACGTGGTCCCGTGGGAAATACTTACCTCAAAGTTCAGGCTGTCCGGGTTGATAACATTGTCATTAACGATCTTGATGTCAATGCCGCCTTCTGCTGCGCTTGGCAGGTACTTGACTAGTTCTTTGAGCTTAGGTCCACCGACACCATTTGCGCAGTCGACTGTGAGAGACCCCTGGATTTTGACACCCTTCGTAACCCTCTTGAAAGCTTCGGCAAGTTTCTCGTAGTAGCCCTGCTCCGTGGGTTCTCCATACTCGTACTGCGTCCCCAAAGTGTTCTTACATCTCACAATGTAGTGGAGTTGAGGTGTCGTCAAGTACTTCAGATCAGAGAACTCGACCTGAGTAGCAGTGAGTGCAGCATTCAAGACCCCAACGAGCCGAGATCCAGAGGCACGGGTATCGCGAGCGAAGACGACACGCGCAGGATTATCCATGTTGACGTCGATCTCCTTTATGAGTTCATCGTAGGCATCGCCAATGTTTTCAAGCGGCCAGTTGGCCAGCTTAGTTGCATATTTTTCCCACTCCGCCTAAAGCACCATAAGTATGCAATCAAAGTTCCCGTATTTTTCGCAGTACTCACTTCCAACATTTCCCCCTACAGACAGCAGGTGTCAGCCAAATTTCGTCTCTAGCGGAAGCCTGCGTAACTTACCATAGGGTCGATCAACTTGACGCCATTGTCCTCCGCGGGGTTGTGACTCGCGGTGACCATGACACCGATCCATTGTCCATTAAGCTTCTTCGAGCGGAGGCCTGCGAGCAATCCCACTGCAAATACAACAGTGTTAAGCAGATCACTGTTTATCCGTACGGATAGCAAGTTAGCGCATCGATCGCGGGGGGGCGCAGCACACCCAAGGCGGGGTCAATTCAGCGACGGTTGACGCTTACGCTTTCATGCGAAACTACAGGGTATCTCGGATCAGCTCAAGTTTGGTTTTGTATTTTGGTGCTTTTCACTTACTCCTGCAGTACCATATTCAAACACCTTCCCCTCCGGCTTCACATACTTCAAAGCGGCTTCCGAGATAGCCTTTCTAACTTCCGGGGACGCCATTGTGGCGTCGGGATTGGGGATGTGAAAGTTACTTTTTTATCGATTCACCGCGAGGAATTCAGGAGAAGTGAGACCAGAGAGAAAAGAGGAGGGGGGGAAGATGGAGATCTTAAAAAGGAATGGCATAGAGCGTGGAACGGTGTGAGACATCGAGGGCACGTTACAGGCGCACGAGCCACGAGGAGCGCAGCTGGACGAAGGCGGTGAGGACTGCATCCCCGCGGCAGAAAGGACAGCGTTGCATTGTTCATCCTCCAGTATCCACTCGGCACCTGGGGAAGCCTTTTAACTCCAACCGGCCCGAGTGTGCGCTCAGATCGTGGCCGAATCCTGGGCCATAAGCTTATTGCAGCAATCTCTAAACTGGATCTATACAGATATCGGACAAACTCCATCAGTGATAATGATATATGGACTTTATTCGCGCACCGGTCGCTGGACCTAGTGCTCAGCTCAGCAAATAGGATATCATACACCACTAGCAGAGAACTGCTAGAAATTAATCTTGGATATAAAACGATAAAACACGGACAAGATGGAATGACGACTATGTTAAGATTTTAGTCGCTCCCCGGCCATGTCGTCCTGGGCATCTGTAATGAGGAAACTAAATGTAGAAGACGAGTCAGTCGAGAGATCGAGGCAGGCAAGACCGTGGATATATGACTTACGAGTACCACCAGACTGTGGGTAAAACGGTTCCCAGATGCCAAAGGCTATGAGCATCAATAAGTTCGTGCCACGGAGGAAAATCCAGCAACTCAAGACTCATTGCGAGGATGATCCACCCAACAATCATTCCAGGCCAGGCAGTCCAGGACTTAAGCTGTTTCCGGTATCGATAGATACTAAAACCGACCCATAGTATGTTCTGAATGATTCCCACGACAACGTTTGCCGCCATATTATACGTATAATCCCAAGACCAGAAGCTCAGGTAAGAAACATGCATCAGGTACAGGACGCTGCACAAGGTAATCCAGTAGCGTCGCAGACTTGGCTTGTATCGTGGGCTCTCTCGATCGAGACGGAAGATCCGGACGACGGACAGGAAAAGCCCATACATAACGCTGGCGCCGGCCGCAAAATAATCCAGCTTTTCTGTCAACGGGAAATCCCTCGTGTGGAACAGCATGCTAAAAGTCCAGCTTGCCAGGCCACAGTATCCAAATCCAAGATAGTATTTGCGAAGAGGGTATGAAGATGGAATCGACTCCCGAACTTTCGCCATTCCTTGGTGGTGAGCCATGAAGTTGAAGAAGGAGAAAAGGACAGAGAATGGCTCCTGCATGCCCAGGATCCTCCGAAAAGGCCACTTCCCATGAAATTGTACCACTGGCGTCAGCATGGGCGGCTCGCGGGCGACTCTGCGATCGGTGATAATGTGCTGGCAAGTGTAGTCGCATTCGGCGGGACATGTCCATAGCATGAGACGGAGGTATAAGGCTGTAAACAAAGATATCAATGAGCAATGCACATTTTCATGTGGAATTGAGAAGACTTACGCAGGCTTGAGCGGCCATTCTCGCAATTCTCAATTTGGCACACCTTCTGGAAGTTAACAAGAAGCTCAGTGACCCATGCTTGCTATCCGGTTTACCTTGACACATTCTTTAAATTCAGGGAGCCTGTCTCCCAGAGAAGCCGCAGACTGGCCTATTAACAGGGCAAAGATAGTGAAGACCAGAAAGGTCCGCAAATGCCACTTCCCAGCAGTGAGGTGCATAATGAGTTATCCATATGGTAACCAGATCGGTGACGGGCGCGCAGGGAGAATCGCGTTTCGCTTTAAGGCGGAGGAAAACGGCACTTGGGAACAGCGAGTCTTGGCATCTGTCTATAATTAAGGGGTGATGGGGATTCCCCATCGCCTCAACTGAAGGACTGTATTGCGATCAGAGCCCGATGACATCTAATTAGAATAGTTGCATTCCCTCCAGCCGGAGTCGACAACTTATTTTAGATCTTGATTTACGCAACCTTCCTAAGGTAGCAGCATATGGTCTTTGGCTAAAATGCTGCCATCTGCGGGAATCGCCTTACGATGGGAAGATACAACCGCTTCGAATTCACCTCACGAAGGAAGATGAAGCGCTGCATAGTACTATACAAGGCTGGCATCCGCTCGAGTCAGAGCTTGTACAGTAGTTCATTCTTCTTGGATGGAAGCAGGACTGACTGATTATTGTCTAGACCCTGATCTTGGCCCTAATCTGGATCAGGGCTTCTATCATCACATGACGCGTGTCCTCATTGGTTATAGCGCCACTGGCGCCATACCTGTACTAGCGTTGGGAATTTCTAAGGAAACAAAAAAAGTCGCTTAGACGGGCTTGAGGGGCGCATTTTCCATCCGCAGACACCTTTACTTTTCTTTGCGGTTGGTTTTTTCTGTGTTTCATAAGATCCTCTTCCTTTTCGTCTATCATCAGTGTTTGCGCTTCTAGGCGCATTCGGCTTTCAGTCCAATATGGCGCAAAATCAGAACCAGGCTGGACCCGTGATTTCCAGCAGCGCTGAGAGAATGGTCGGCGAAGATCATGCTGAAGTTCGCTATTTTACCAGGTAAGGCTTATTATTCCCGACTATTTCAGAGCGGTTTGCTAACATCAGAATAGCTACGATCATCATGGTAAATATTTCAAGCTTCTTTTGTTTCTCATTCCTGGCTAATCACTTTAATGCTCCGCTCAGGCATTCACGAGGAGATGCTGGTAAGTCTTATCTCCAGGGCAGCTGCCACCACGACTACAGACGCTAATGGCACTATTTTGCTTTTCTAGAAAGATGATGTCCGTACCCGCTCGTACCGTGATTCCATTTATCAGAACCGCCACATTTTCAAGGACAAGGTTGTTCTTGATGTCGGATGTGGAACTGGAATTCTCAGCATGTATGCTTGCGCCTCTGGGTTCTGGGTTTGGAAACGCTGCAGCTACTGACTCCCCTATTCTTCAAGGTTCGCTGTTCGAGCTGGTGCCAAGCATGTAATCGGAGTCGACATGTCCTCGATCATCGAGAAGGCTCGCGAGATCGTCGCCGCGAACGGAATGGCGAACAAGATCACTCTTCTCCAAGGCAAGATGGAAGAAGTCGTTCTTCCCTTCCCTAAAGTCGACATCATCATTTCCGAATGGATGGGCTATTTCCTTCTCTATGAAAGCATGCTGGACACTGTTCTCTACGCTCGTGACAAGTACCTTGTGCCGGGTGGCAAGATCTTCCCAGACAAGGCGACTATCTATCTTGGTGCTATCGAGGATGGCGAATACAAGGACGAAAAGATCGGATGTTCGTGACCGCTGCCTCTTCTTCCTCCCAAGGCTTCTGCTAACCTTTTATAGTCTGGGACAACGTCTACGGATTCGACTACAGCCCTATGAAGGAGATTGCTCTGACGGAACCTCTCGTCGATACGGTTGAGATGAGGGCACTCGTCACCGATCCGTGCCCCGTTCTCACTCTCGATCTCTACACCGTTACTCCTGCCGATCTGGCATTCAAGGTCCCTTTCCAACTCGTGGCAAGGCGAAACGATTTCGTCCACGCCATTATCGCCTGGTTTGATATCGATTTCACCGCATGCCACAAGCCGATCAGCTTCTCGACTGGGCCCCACGCCAAGTACACTCACTGGAAGCAGACCGTCTTTTACATTCGCGACGTCCTCACTGTTGAAGAAAATGAAGTTATTACTGGTCATCTTGAGAACAAGCCGAACGAGAAGAACAAGAGAGATCTCGATATCAAGATCAGTTACAAGCTGCAGACAGAGGACCCCACTCGGTACGCCGAGGGTGACTGCGAATACAGAATGTAAGTGTCAGTGTCTGTTCTCTCTATGTTCTTCACGCTAACTCTTTCCTAGGTGCTGATCTGGCACTTTTATTGTCCGTTCCTTCGGGGAGATGCCACTGTATCTGAGTCCCTGTTTCACTATGGATGAAGTAGCATTGAGAAAATTTGGCTTTCGGTGATTAAATGGTCTTGTTTCCCATTTACTCTTGGGCGTTCGGGAAGGAAGGGGATCGGATCAAGCGGCGTACGATCATTCTTTTAACGGAGGTGAATTTCATAGGGGACGAATTCGGAGCTCCTCGACATTTGCAAATAGATACCCCGAGTCGAAGCTGAATCACACCACCTCCGATACTTAGATTCATGCATATGCATAAAAATAGATTATTTTTGCCGATCTCATAACTCTTTATAGGAAATTCCCAATGAATTAACCGTGTTGAAAAATACATACTACTCTAGCCACCGTAGTTACTATAACTTACTTTTTTGCCTCGGTTCCCGGCGGTGTTTCGAGCTCGGCCCCGCAGCTTGAGAGCTTCCGGCTCAGTGCTTGTACTTCTCGCAAAACCGTGATCAAACCGCCGACAAAAGTTGAACGTCGCAGTTGTATCCTTCTCTGGCACATTTATCGCGTATAGCCAGTGACCGGCTTGAAAGTGTTGCTTTTGCGTTGTGTCTCCTGAGTGTCCGTGTTTTGCAAAATCAAACCCAAGATGTCCGGTCCCGGAGCTGGCCACGAGTTCCCTGCGCAGGAGGTATCCTGGTTGAAGCGCGATGTCTTGCTCTTCGCCAACAGTATAGGCTGTACTGTTGATGAACTGCATTTCCTCTACGTTCGTCACTCGTAGAAATTCAATATCAGATAATGATCGAGTTTCCCTAACTGCTTACCGATATCAGGAACTTCATCCGAACTTCGCAGTTTTCCCGACATATTCGATTATTCTGCGTAAGTTTTTTACAGTATTGCAATCCCGTTCCATGTAATGTGGCTGCTAATCATTCCATGTTCCGCTGATCAGCTTTCAAGCTCACGGATGAGGAAGTCACCGATTTCTATGCGCGCGAAAAGTCGAATCCCATTCCGGGCGTCCCCCAGTTTGACCCTCGCCGCGTGGTAGATGGGCAACGCAAGCTCACTCTGTTCAAGCCTCTTCCCCCGACCAGTGCTGGCAAGAAGTTCGAGCTACGCAACAAGGTCATTGGCGTGTATGACAAGGGAAAGCCCGGTACCGTGCTCGAGACGGAGCAGTCCATTGTCGACAAAGAGTCAGGGGAAGTGTATTCAAAGACCGTTACAAGCAGCTTCTTTGTCGGGCAGGGCAACTGGGGTGGTCCTAAGGGTAAGTCTAGCTTTTCACGCACATCTTTTAATATATGATCTCTCTGACCTGTACGTACGCTTCTCTGCAGGCCCGAGCACCGTAAACTTCCCTCCTCCAGAGGGCAAGAAACCCGATGTTGTCCATGTAGTTCAGAGCACCAAGGAATCAGCTCATCTTTACCGGTAAGTTAAAACCACGTACGTTTCTCTGAACCAGAGAGCGATATGCTGAATCTCTGCACAGTCTCAATGGTGACTACAACCCTCTGCATGCTACGCCAGAGCCAGGCGCGAATATGGGCTTCGGAGGCGTCATCATGCATGGTTTGTTCGCCTGGAACACTGCAGCCCACGGCATTTTAAAGGAGCTCGGCGGTAGTGAACCCCAGAACCTAAAGGAGTTCCAGGCGCGGTTCGCCGCACCCGTGATACCAGGTGATAAACTGACTACAGAAATCTGGAGGACTGGCAGCCTTCAGGACGGATTCGAAGAGATCCGCTTCGTTACGAAGAACCAGAATGGCAAGGTCGTTCTGAGCAATGGCCGTGCATTGCTCCGGGTTGTCGGTCCCAAGAACAAGCTCTAAACTGATCTATGTTTCATCGAGTCTTGTCTGATTGTTCCCTTCCTTGATCTTGTATCGACGATCTTGTAGGTTTCGAAGCGACAGAAGGCATCTGTCTGTATCTGGAAGCCTGCATGTCGCCAGTTGACAAACGAGCTGCTTCAGTGAGATTATATATAGCTTATATCTCGGTTATATATCAGAAATCTAAAAAAAAAAGCAATGAACATATAGTTTACATTTCTGCACAAGTTGATTCCTGTATTAGCTACTTCCGTTTTCCGGATCTGAGCCGTAGTACTGTGAGTGGAAACAAAGATATGAAAGAAAGAAAACGCATATCTAAGAAGTCAAATATCGACCTTACTGAAGCATAGATTTACCTTTAATCAGCTATAATTCATATTCATATAAGGGCATACTGGCTGTCAGAATGCCTATTCGGGACCTGCTCGACACGTGATCTTGGCCTTGATGCCATTAACCCGAAGTGCCGACAATACAACTGTGCAAGAAGCAACCGCCCGTTTTCCGGTTTGTAAAGCATAATTGATGCTAATCCACCAACATGAGCCGATTGTCTCCTCTTAGGGCTGTCCTGTCCAGGAAATATGCGTGGTGAGCTTCATCCTCTAGGCTGTGGTAAGAAGGGAAACCTAACGTGAGGGTACCATCACAGCTCGCCTTTATCCACGAGACAAGGCCCCGTCTGGGTATGTAATGTATATGACATGTTTGTTCTAGATCATAGATACCATCAATGCCTCTCTTAAATAGAAAATATCAGTCTAACCACAGACGCAGGCTTCCACTGGTCGAAGGCTCCAATCGACGTCTTCAGAGTCTATGCTGGACTGGGTGCAGCCCGCAATTTCTGACCCAAAAGCAACTTCGCATTCCCAGACACCTACTATCCCCTTGAGGTCTAGTTATAGTACAAGCAATCTGTGGAACACTAAGGATCCGATACGAAAAATCACCCTGAATACTGAGAAAATCGGTCGTCGCGATCGTACCTAGTAAGTATTCTGTCTACTTGTTTTTGAGGTCAACTTCGAGATTGGGTTCTAAGGCCATCCTAGTCCAACATTCTGGCTCAGGTAATAATGCCTTCACTATTTTACCTTTTCTTGACTAGGACTCATTGGTCTGTTGCAGGGATCATTGTCAGTGTTCTGAGTGCGTCCACCCGGACACGAAGCAACGTATTGTGGACACATTCTCTGTGAGTTTTGTGCTTGATACATTGAGTCTGAAATACCAGGACCTGACCAGCGAGGCAGATACCTGAAGATGTTGACTTCATCGATGTGAGTTATGAAGAAGAAAGTACAAGAATCAAGTGTACGTGTCCACCTGCCCATCTCTCGTGGCGCTTAAACTAAGATTGGGCTACTATAGGGTCGGATGGCCACACAGGTGTCTATCCGTATGCGTTCCTGAAGGAACATCAGTTCGGTTCCAGGAGGACTCCCCTGAACCCGTTGACATTTAGGTATTCCCAATTTCAGTATACTGTGTTACGTATTGACCCTTAACTTTTCCGCAGACCATTCGAGTCGGTAAAGTCCGACTCTAAGACTTTCCCCACGGTTTCCTATGACTCTGTTATGGAAAATGATCAAGGAGTCCTGGAATGGATTGAGCAGATCGTACGTTAGGACCAAACCATTCCTGTTTGCAGTGGAAGAAAGCTCATTCTAGTCAGCACAAATGGGGTTTCTGCTTTGTGAAAGGCGTCCCAATTGACCCAGAGAAGACAAAAACACTCATTGAAAGAATCGCTTTTATCAGGCCTACACATTACGGTGCGTGGTCCTTCCCTCAACCGAAGTGAGACAGGAAACTAAGATCCAGCAGGCGGATTCTGGGACTTCACCTCGGATCTTACATTCAAGGACACCGCGTATACATCAGAGTTCCTGGGTGCTCACACAGATAACACATACTTTACTGATCCCTCGAGGCTGCAGCTATTCCACCTTCTGTCGCATACGCATGGTGAAGGTGGAGCAAGCTTGCTTGTAGATGGATTTAAAGCTGCTGAAGTGCTACTACGAGAAAATCATCAACATGCTGAAATCCTCGGTTGCCTCCAGACGCCTGCTCATTCGAGTGGTAACGAAAGTGTGTGCATCCAACCGGTATACGGGACCCACGTCTTCCATACTATCCCGAGGTCGAGACAGCTCTATATGGTTCGTTGGAACAACTATGACAGGGCGCCGAAGTCAGACTGGAATTTGAAGCAACAGAAAGTTTGGTACGACGCAGCCCGTCACTGGAATGAAATCATCAAGCGTCCAGAAATGGAGATTTGGACACAGCTGGAACCCGGGACTGCTCTCAGTAAGTGACTCACCTTCATGACCGTCGTGTCTGCAGGACGATCCTCTAACAGACGGTCTAGTCTTTGACAATTGGAGAATGCTTCATGGGCGGTCAGAATTTACGGGAAAGCGGAGGATGTGCGGTGGTTATGGTGAGCCTTTTCAAGCTGCTGGATATTGACCAGTGACTTGGTGGACATTCTCAATACTAACGGTTGGCAGTCAATAATGACGATTTCGTGTCCCGACATCGTTTGCTTAAATTTGGCCGTGAGCGGGCTCTGAATACACTTGGAGTTTATCCTGACCCCCTCGATTGGCCACAAGAGGAGTAAAAGTATTTGGCAATGGACAGTTGTACAGTACTATAGAAAAGTGAGAAAAGTGACCATCCGGATAGAGCGGTTGCGATCAACTTTCAAAAAAGAAGCAATGGTAGACATTCTACTCTTTGGCGTCACTAGGAGAACCGTCTCTCTTTAAGGAGGCCGACCACATCATGCTTAAGGGGACGAAAGGTATAGAAAGGCTATGCCTGTAGGATAGAGATCAATAATAGCGAATGTTGGGGTTGAAGAGCTTCTTACGTGAGATGAGGTGATATCACGTGACCACAGGCAGGGCGAGCTTGCGTCGTTGGCTGGACCGCCCAGAGCTCGTCGGCGGTTCTCCAGACAGACAACATCGCCGCAGCATCCCCAGCTTGCACCACTCCATCTTCCGCGTGCATTACCTACACTATTTCCTACGTCTGATTCCTACTTGACTATATCCTGTTCCTTGTCTTTGTTCGTCTGCCCACCCGCACGCCATGTCGACTCTCGAGGATCTCGATGACCTTGAGCGGCGCGAAGACAAGGAGGAGAAGCAGCACCCAGGCGAAGGCGACGGCAAGAAGCCCGAAGGAGATGGCGATGCCGACATGAAGGATGCGGAGGAGAAGAAGGAAGAGGAAGAAGAGCTGCTAGATGAGGAGATCCTGCGATCGAGTACCAGAGATATCGTCAAGCGACGACGGATGCTGGAGAACGAGCTGCGCATCATGAAGAGCGAGTTCCAACGCTTGACACACGAACAGAACACGATGAAGGAGAAGGTGAAGGACAACCAGGAAAAGATTGAGAACAACAGGTACGGTTTTGTTTATAGTCTAAGCTGTTTGCTTGGAGACGCCCTTTATCGATGTCGTCACACAGTGTCCGATGATTAATACTAATATGGTGCTTTTACAGACAACTACCATACCTTGTTGGTAATGTCGTTGAACTGTTAGACCTTGATGTCGAGGCAGAGGCGGCTGAGGAGGGTGCCAATATCGACCTAGACGCCACCCGCGTTGGCAAGTCCGCCGTCATCAAGACATCCACGCGTCAGACCATCTTCCTTCCTCTTATCGGTCTCGTAGACCACGAGAAGCTTAAGCCTGGTGACCTCATCGGTCTAAACAAGGACTCATACCTCGTTCTGGACACGCTGCCAGCCGAATATGACAGCCGAGTCAAGGCTATGGAGGTGGACGAGAAGCCCCAGGAGAAGTACACAGATGTTGGAGGTTTGGACAAGCAGATTGAAGAGCTGGTAGAAGCTATTGTGTGGCCCATGAAGGAAGCTGAGAGATTCAAGAAGATCGGTATCAAGGCACCAAAGGGTATGCTGAGCTCGATTCGTCATACGTATCAAACATGCTAACATCCTGTCTAGGTGCTCTGATGTACGGTCCTCCTGGTACCGGAAAAACACTGCTTGCTCGTGCTTGCGCAGCCCAGACCAACGCCACTTTCCTCAAGCTCGCTGGTCCACAGCTCGTACAGATGTTCATCGGTGATGGTGCCAAGTTGGTGCGGGATTGCTTCGCCCTCGCCAAGGAGAAGGCTCCCTCCATCATCTTCATCGATGAGCTCGACGCTGTCGGTACCAAACGTTTCGACTCAGAAAAGTCCGGAGACCGTGAAGTGCAGCGAACCATGTTGGAACTTCTCAACCAGCTTGATGGTTTCGCATCCGATGACCGGGTGAAGGTGCTAGCAGCTACAAACCGTATCGATGTGCTTGACCCCGCTCTTCTTCGTTCTGGTCGTCTGGACCGTAAGATCGAATTTCCTCTGCCCAACGAGGAGGCGCGTGCACAGATCCTGCGTATCCACTCACGGAAGATGACTGTCGATGATGGTGTCAACTGGGCCGAACTGGCACGCAGCACGGATGAGTTCGGTGGAGCCATGCTCAAGGCTGTCTGTGTCGAGGCCGGTATGATCGCTCTGCGCAAGGGTCAGAATAAGGTCGGACACGAAAACTACGTTGACGCCATTGCGGAGGTACAGGCCAAGAAGAAGGACACGAACATGGGTATCTACGTCTGATATGCGCACGTCTTATGTTTCCCGGCTCGTCATGTACTGTATCCATTGGTAGTCAAACTCTGGCTTTCAGCATCATGGCTCATGGGTCATGTCCCTTCCATCCCGATGTTCCGGGGAGTCTTATAATTCTAAGAATGTTTCGGCAGATAGAAGGCAGACATAATGATATACCTACTATTTAGTCACGTTCCATTACTTTTCTTATCAATGATTAACCAACAAGCAAATCCAGGCATTAATTACTGTTCTTTCATAGAAAGAGAGATATGTGCCATAAAGAAAAGGGATCATCCGCTATGTACATATGACCGTGGAAAATGACAGACTCCGATCTCCAGATAAGCAGGACAGAGCTCTGAAACCAAAAAATATCCACAAACTTTCAGGATGTGTTGTACAAAGGAGAAACAGAGTTGCAGTTAGATAACAGAAAGAAAATGAGAGGTATCTCCATGACAAATCCCAAACCCAAAGCCATAAAACAAAAAAGAAGAATGCGCTGCTGTTTCGCCAGAAAATGAGGGGCTGTGTCCTCTGCCATAAATAAAAACCAAAACCGTGCCAGCCAGGTATCCAGTGCATCAAAGAAAAAAAAACAAAAACACAAATGCGAAAGAATAAACAGGATATTCAAATCCATCAAGCCATAAAACGCCCATCCGGTGAGTGCTTAACGAGCAATGGCATATTTCATGCCATGCCATGCCATGCAGTATACATAGTACAAAGAAACACATCAACAAGATGCATATCGAACAAAGCTGGTCCTCTCTCGAGGGGCGATGCCCTCCTGAGAATCATCCAGAAGGGAAAAAAAGCCATCAGAAGAATTGCTTTGGCCCGATGGGCTCAATGGCACCCGGCCGGTCGCGCTCGATGTGGAACCACCAATCTTTGCCCTTAGTGTGCGAATGGTTCCAGTGACCGGTGCAGCTATCTCGCGCCCACGGAGGCGCATTCGACGATGGGAAGCTAGGTGTCATGGGCGTAATTGGCGTGATGGGAGTATTCGGACTCGTTGCCATTTGCGAACGACCACCAATCGAGCCCCATCCACCGAATCTGGAAGTGGTTGTTGACGCTGGCGATAGCGGCTCTTCTGCTACACTGCTGACGATGCTACCACTGCGGTTACCCCAGGCGTCCACGTTCATACCCATACCAGCAGAGTAAGTTAGCGACTGGTTCGTGGCTAGCAAGTGTCTCCATCCGACCAGTCCACCGTCGACGTCGGCTCCGGGAATATCGGGGCGAAGGATGAATCGTGGAATGGTTGCATCTCTGAAGCTGTTCGGTCCACCTATTCTGCCCATATATGCCGGCATTCTGAACTCGTGAACTGTGATTGGTCCGTCGGTATCGTCGGCACGGTCGACATTGTGTCGCTGGCCCGTAGATTCCACTCGCTCACCGAATACATCAATTTCAAATTCAGACTCATCATCATCCTCTTCAAGCGCATTGTCGGGGACGTAAGAATCGGAGTAGTCTGTAACGATGACTTTCATTCCAGTCTCAGTGTCCTTCGCGGCCATATCGATGAATGTTTGGGCGCGGATACGAGCGGATGTTAGATTGTTTCCGCCGGGAAGAGCGAGTGGCTTCGCGTTAACGGATCCATGGGAACTCCGTGGAAGGCTGTATCTATCAGCAGGAATGAGAGCCTGTCCGCGCTTGATAGGTTGGCAGACCCCTTGGAGGATACCCGCCGGTTGAATATCGGAAGGGGCGCGTAGGGTTTCCAGACGGGGGAACCCTGAATGCACGATACTTTGAGCGAGATGAGAATTCGGCGTCTCGCTGTGCTTCGGTGGTTTCGCAAAAGGAACCGAGTCAAAATTGCTGAGAGCATTGATTGGGTCGGGGCTGGCCACATCCCAATGCAGATGCTTCAGGCTTGCTGATGCCAACAAGGGTTGAAAAACCATGCCCTCGGACTGCAATGTGGGACAGCTACTCGTCTGCACACTAAACCGTTCCAATTGCCTTAGAGAAGCCAGAATCTTCGAGATCGCGAGTAATGATTCGATGTTCAATTCGATGAGTGTTAAGGACTTGAGCCCCTGAGCTTCTTTCCGGGAGGCATATTGTGCTAGCCCAGTATCTGTTACCCCACGAAGGTTTTCGAGACGAAGTGATTCCAAGGGCGGTAGGAACAGTAACGTCCGATCCGTAAATGTATCCGCACCGAAGCAGGAAACGCAAAGGTGACGGAGTGACGGGAGAAGATTGAACATTCGCAAGAAGACTCCATGTCCTACCGGGCTGTTCATATTCAGGGAATGCAGCATAAGTGTCTCTAGGTTGGACCATGACACATGGTTATTGAGGAACTCGAACACTTGCTGCGGTTCCAGCGACTTCTGTGGCGACTGACTCCGGGCTCGATCGGGCGTTTCGATAGTGTCACCCAATATCCAGGTGTGCTCCTTCAGCTTCTTCCGCGTGGACAATGCGTATGTGAGACGGTCGAATTCATAGTAGTAGGGTACTGTGAGGCCAACCAGTCTCTCGAGGTTCGGACACACCATAACAACGGAGGCCACCAAGTCGCGATATTCCTGTAACTGAGCAGCCTGCCTACCGTTCACCAACAGCAGATCTATTTCGGGGACACGAAGCTCGAGAACTAGATTGGCCAGCAATTTCCTCTCTCGTAGTGTCCGTCTCAACAACTTTAGTCGACTCCCTCTCTTCATTCTGTACTTCTTCAATTGCGTGGGGGAATCATTTCCTATGATGTGGATGCGGTTGTATCTAAGACGCAGGTTAGACTTTCTCTCTTCCAGGTTATTTCATTCCAGTGATCTGTCAATGCGCTTACAGTTTACTTCGGACGGCTTTCTCCCATGTCCTGCTGGTTAAGGCAAGAGCGTGCAGATCCCGCTGGAAACATGTTAAACAACCCGATTTCTGCGGGCCGTTATGCTCGAATTCAAGCTGGTTCAGAATGCAGTCGTAAACCTCCTGTGGTAGGCGTCTGAAGACCGGCTCCGTCGGCTTTGGAGGGGGCGTACCAGATTTGAAAGTACGGTAGGAAAAGCCCGGAGATGTGGGCGATGTGGGAGACGTGGGGGAAGTCGGAGAGTAAACAGTTGGGACAGTAGAAGTGCTGAAATTGCTGGAGTATGAAGAGACTGAAGTTGTTCGCGAAGGAACGGAATGTATGGCAACTGTATAGGCGGAATCCTTGTAGGTATGAACAATATGGCTCTCGTGAGGGACAGTATTATAGGGCATAGCAACCCCTTCCGGTCTGCTAGCGATGACACTCATGGTCGATATTCTGGAGCATTTGGTAAGTTGTGAGAGAAAGAATGGTGGGCAGTCCCTGATCGTTCAAAATTGGGAGTGTTAACGAGAGGCTCGATCTCGAGGAGAGAGACAGTTAAGACTCGAGTATCATCGACCACCAGCGCAGCCATGCCGCTACCACTCCAATACCTTTAAGGGAGATGCAAGGGTATGGTAGGGATGGGGCGGCACTTCGACGAGACGATCCTCTCCCCACCGGGGCGATGATCGAAGGCTCTCACCCGTGCTAAAGCCAGCACGCTGTGGAGGGGAGCGGAGGAACTCGTGCGATTTGGCAAGCCATGACGACAGGGAAACTCTGAAGGGGTTAGTCCAGAGGGGCGACAAAGTAAAGAGTATGGACGATGGATCCATCACCGGGAGGCTTTCTGAGCTTCGGGAACTTTTTTTGACAGTACATATCGACACGCCTCCAGCACGCGGGAAACACGTTAGTACCCGCGAGATACTGGAATTCTTTGTTTCTTGCAAGATGACATCAACAATTGCCGGGAATAGATAGTTATTGTGTAGATACAGCATTCTTGATGACCATGGCGGCCGCACGAGATGGACGAGCGACGAAAAGGCGCGATGGAAGACGAACAGACGGTTTGCTTCGTCTGGAGGAGGCGCTTTGCCTGTTTGGGCGTAGGCGGTGGGTCATAAAGGGTTAGCGCCAGGGACAATAACGCTAACCCGTTTCGGGTATTCTTCAACCTCCCCCTTTTTCTGCTCTCTTGCTAGTCACGATAGCGTACCGTTGTTGGCGGTATTGGCATCGGCATCTTAGACACATTGTTATTATTATTCTCCCTTCAGGGTTCTTTTTCTTCCGTTAGACTTCTTCTTTCCGATGGAGAGGGTCCATTATGCACGCAATTCATCGAGGGATCAATCACCCTGCTGGAGGAACTGCAACCCTTGGATCCAGGGTGCGACTATGACACCATTTGGATTCTTGAGAATGAACGATCTCGTGAACTACATTCAGCGCCCTTACAGTTCCAGATGAAACTGGAGAGAGGATCAGCTGTACCGGCCCCCGATCGGCTCGCCAATATCCCTTGTAGGCCAATCAGGCCGCGAGGCTGGCAACGTCTGTGATCTCTACTCCAGATTTAGACCCTTTCTACGCTCACGAAAATAGCAGTCTAGCAGAAGGTCAAAGAGCATACATTAGTTAGTTATTATTATTATTGGCATCGATGATGAGACCCCAGGCATGCTGCACGATTGCCTCACGGCCGATCAAGCCGCCCCTATCCGTCGATTTATCATCCTGGAAACGTTTTGTGACGACCGAATCCCACGCGTCGTTTGTTTTCCAGAATCTCGTGGTCCGGAACTCTAAACACTCCGAGATCTTTTGTTATCAGCGGAGTTGCCAGTATGCGCCGAATCAGAGTCGCACACTCCATTGTTTCAGATAACAGATCGGATGGTGGCCTGCGAGCCACGCAATGGCGTCTTTTGCCGCCTCGTGGACCGCGCGATTTACCGGCATGGCTCACTATAAGACTATATCCAAGGGAGTAGTAAACTACGACTCTAACCAACTTAGAGGGTCTGCTAAAAAAGTACTGTAGTTTGAAGCAGAGCGTCTACCAGTCCAGGAACCCCGTGGTTATTTGGCGGCCGCCATACCAGCCTCCTCTGACCGCAAAATGCTCCGGTCGTGTCATAATAATCCAACCAGATGACTTTTCGACCAGGTCCGCAGTGGGTAGAAGAGAAGACGGGTCTGCTCTTAGCACCGTGCTCTTGACCATAGTCCATACTCGATACAGTACCTAAGCCAAATGGACTCATGGAAATCTTACAGTTCTGGAAAAGCAACATTACTAGGACTGCATGTAAAAAGGAGATCACCAGCAGTATCTGTTATGTAGTAAGTGACCGTGCGCTGAAGTTATCCAACGGCCGCTCCACTCTCTCTCTAATGATCACGGACTACCGAGAATGCTACAGGTACTCGGACGCCGTTGCTCGAGTAGATACTCGGCCGTTTGATTTCGGTGTGTTCCTCCCAACACACAGATCGCACTCCGCAGACGCTTTGGCTGGCTGTGCCAAGGAAGATCTTTCGTGTAACTCGCGAAGTCTAATATCGTCGACTGATTATCGTCCTACGCTCCCCTGCACATGCATCGACAGCAACCCAACTGAAAATGCGGAGGCAATGTTTCGCCATCGCAGGTAGCCCGATGACCTCGAAAAGCTCCTGAAGGTCGTTACCAGAAGTGGATCATCCGGTCCGGCTCGCTTGGGGCGAATTCGCGCCTACGGCTTGCTTAGCGCTGAGGAACGGGATTTCTGGGTCATAGCGTTGGAATTCAGACTGCTCAATCGAGACACCTGCATTGATATATCAAGGTCCCGCCTTCGACGACCACTGAGCTACTTTGATCAACAGTGGGCCTCTTGCACTGCGGACTATCTATTTACTTCCATACTGAAAAGTATTATATTTGGGAGTTCGGTTACACCTACACTCACTGAGATATCTGACCATGATTCCCGAAGACATGAAGTCGTAATTCAAGACGCCAAAATACAATTAATGACAGCGAATCGACGACCTACGTAGTAATTTAACTATCTGACCAGACACAACGAGAAAGACAGTGCGTTATTCTGCTAAATAAACGGTGAGTGGCCCCGCCACTCTACTATCGTTTGGCCAACGCTCAATCTGCTACACACACCTAACCAGGTCAGGCTGAACGCATTATTATTGCATCTCCAGCAGAAATCACCCGGCCAACTTAGCCGAACTACTGGATATTAGTTCATATGGACAGGATTAGGTTGTCATGCAGAATCCATCTGGGGTAAACAGCCCACAGCAACAAGAGCCTCCTTTTGATCCGATATTTATTATTTACTATCGAGCACGGCAAGGACATTCATCTCAACACCCGATGGTCTAGTTAGTTAACATCTATAATAATTACTCAGCAAACAGCTACATACATCCATTCAGAACAGCAAAAGCTCAAGGCAGAAGAACATCACACCTCGAATAACTAAATGCTTAGCTTTAACTTTATCTACAAAAAGAAAACAATAATAATATAGCAATCAACACAGCTCTCACAACAATATCAAGTTAAGGTTACCTAACTACCTAACCCCCTTTCAATTTTTCTTACTAAAAAAACATTCCCACCAGTGGCACGAGATAGCTAGCTACTTTTTTAATCTATGTTTTGTGATTTCCCTTAGACTTCACTAGCTCTCTCCACCCTAGATACTAAATTAGAACAAAATCTCTCAAGTCTCAACTCACGGTCCCTACTTAACTGTCAGGAGTAAGCGCTGAGAGAGTCCGGCTCTATCTAGGGAGAAATAACAATAACAACCACCACCTCAACTACGGTCAACACCAGTCTTCAGGATAGCTAGCAGTAATAATAGCTAACTTAGTTATCTATAGAGTATATTAACCTGAGGGCGTCCGCTGGCAGATTATTCGTCTTTTGCGGTGGGTACTAACTCAAGTCTCTCTCTCTCTCTCTGTTTCTCTGATTCTTTTCAGCAAAGACCCTTTTTTTATATTTAAGGTAAAAGTTAATTGAATTCTATAAGCGGGAGATCTTCGTCGAGCTGAAGATGATCAGACCCGGAACTATTTTTCTCGGAATATACCGGGTCTTTTTTTTATAAGACTGCTGAGGGAAGAGGGTAATAATAGTTAACTAACTACGTATTCGAGAATAATATACGTACGCCCTTCTTCTCCTTACCCCCCTGTTCTACTCGTTTTTTTAGATGGCACGGGAGAAATGTACGATAAAGAACAGGAAGGATATAATTTCCAAGGAAACAAAGTCCAATTAGTACTGTACAATAGATTCGAAAGAATGGTTATATCTAAGCCGAAGGAAAATGAGAAGTTTCTATCTCCATTATGCGCGTGTATATGTAAACTATCTACATAGTTATGTAATTCTGTATGTAACGCAGTAATCACAATCGTAGTCATGCGGCGATTATTGTCTAAGATGAAGATATTATCATAAAATAGAAAAATAGGTCTGAGATAGCTTTCGCTCTTGATTCTTCTTAATTATCCTTTCTATTATTTTAGCATATCTCATCTCATCTTATTTTATTCTTTCTCTCTTATCAAATGTTATCACCACTGCTATTCGTTAATAAACGCCATCAGTCAACGCTCACAGACATACCTGTTGTAAGGAACTGCGGAATGGGCAAAAAAAAAAAAAAAGGAGTGGTTAACTGTGTAATAACAAATTCCCTTGTTTTCCCTCTTCTTTTCGCAGCCTGTTATGGCTTTCGGTTTCACGTTCTCTTCCTTGTTTTATTTTGGTCTGGTCCGCAGGATATTGGAATAGTACCAAGGACATAGGAATCCAGGGCGGGAGCATTCCTGGCTGACATTCCTGGTCCATTCCAGATCTCTTTTTCTAGAAAAGTAAGAAAATTCCATGAAATAATGACCTGGGTCTGGGTCTCGACCTCGACCGGAGCGGGCCGGTCGCGAGAATCCAACGCTGTTCCAAGGGACGAGACAGGCGGGAATTCTGCAAGGAACGGATACAGCCGCCCACGCGCATTGTAAATGACTTCACCAACAATTTGTCCTGGGCAGTGGGGATAAGTCACGAGGTAAATGGCGTTCTCATGATACAAGGCTTTTCTTTCTCAAGGGCCATTTGGTCGGTCGAGGCGCACCATTTCTGGACATGGATCGTGGATTACTCAAGTGACTAGAAGGAAGCAAGAGAATGACTCTGGTCGAGGGTCAATGTGAAATTCAGTATCTAGTTCCTCTAGATGATAACCCAAGACGATAGGCTCCCCGCAGCTGGGCCCGATTCCCGCAGGGCTGTAATGTCGCGAGGTCATGCCGGCGGAGGCGCATGCATCCATAGGGCGACCAAGACGAGGATCAGAAGCTCATCAAGGTCCCATTCAGAAGTAGTCACGACAGGGATCGACACTCAGAAGGGCTGCCGGGTCAGACGTACTGCCCTATAGGCGGGTGCTATCACCAAGTCGCTATCGGTTTCGACACTACAGGCGAGACCTCACAGTGAAACACCTACCATGACAGGATATGTAGATTGTATCACGGAATGTAGCACTGAGCATAAGGCTCAATGCCCCCGGGGCTCGGGACGGTTAAACAAAAAAGGAAGATGAACATCACCAGACATCGTGTGCTGGCTTTCTTGCAGAACGCCTAAAGATCTGGAAACAAATCGGCACAGGACATTGCCCTGAGACTGCTCAAACGCAGTGAATTCATATACCATCGTTGTGTCATGAAAACGAAAACAGTTGCCAGAGGCTGTGTAGACTTCGTCTCTGGTACACAGAAGAACGGGAGCATAAAAATGAGATCGGAAGGACCATGATGAAGGCTTAACTGAAAAGCAAGCTAATGCAGCAAAGGACCAGGGGTAGAACTGGGGTAGTTAAACGGGGAGATACTCAAATAGCAAAATGCAGAGAAGTAAAAAGAAATAGGCAAAAGCAACTCTAAACCGGGAACCCATAGGAACTCTTTCAACGGTCTTAGATAAGGAATCATATGAGCCCACTACCCGAAGGACGAAAAAGGTGCGGCCAGGCGAAAGTGCTGAGAATATGGAACAAGGAAGATGAGGAAACTTTTGTCCGGTCATCGCATGCAAGCTTTATGGTATAGAATGAAAGACCAACCACATGGATTAGGAAAAGGGCGCGTGATGTAGAACACACCTCTCCCCCAGATCTCGCTTATTCCCAAAAAAAGAAGCCTGTGTACAAGAAGCCTGTGTACAAGAGAATGTGCAGATCTCCCACCTAGCAAGCCAAAGACAATCAGACATCGACATTGAAGATGCCAGCTTCGCCTTCGCCACTCTTGACAGCACCGCTTATACGCCGGTCAGAGACGCGTCGGTGATCGGCAGAGCTTCCAACTTGATGTGCGCGGTGCCAGTCTTCCTCTCTGAAATACTCTTCCACGCGCTCGTTCGGTGTCTTTAGATGGTGGTCAATTGAACTTTCATTGACGAAGGTGAAGCCCTTGAAGTTTGCTTGCAAGCCTGGTGACAACGGCGTGCCCGATGGCATGAACCCATTTGCCAGTGCTGCGGCACGGTCGTTCAGAGAGTTGGAGTTTTCAAGAGCCGTGGTGAATTCTGGGTCGAAGTTGGAGGTATCGGTATCAGACTTCAACTTCGGTTTGAACGGAGGGACGACGTCCTTCCGGTTCAAAGCCTCCCAGTCGACGTCGTGGAAGAATGGATGCGCCATGAGCTCCTTTGCATCATCCTTGGCACCGAGTCTATGCTTGGGGTTCCGGTTGAGGAGACCCTTGACAAAGTTCCTTCCCTCGGCGCTGAGGGCATCGCGGGGGAACCGGACCTTGCCGAAGGCGATGTTCTTGTACATCTGCTGAGTGTCTTCAGCGTAGAAAGGGCTCCAACCGCAACACATCTCGAAAACGAGTACACCAAGGGACCAGAAATCAACCATCTTGGTGTAACCTTGCTCGTCCAGCAATACTTCCGGCGCAAGATACTCCGTCGTGCCGCAGAATGTGTTGGTGGTGTCGTTCTTTGTAAGATTCGCCTTTGATAGACCAAAATCGCAGAGTGCGATGTGCCCGTTAGCATCGAGTAAGATGTTCTCTGGCTTCAGATCACGATACACGATGTCATGCTGGTGAAGGTGCTGCAATGCCAGAATCAGTTCCGCAATGTAGAACTTTGCACGAGGCTCAGCAAAGCGGCCCTCCTTTTGCAAGTGCCAGAAGAGCTCACCGCCGGACATGTAGTCCGTGACGAGATAGAGATCTGTAGGCGTCTGGAAAGAGAACTTAAGCCCGACGATGAAGGGCGATGCGGCCATGGCAGTCCTGACAAGAATGTTCCGCTCACCCAAAGTATGAGCGACCTCCTTCTTCTGGATGATGACCTTCTTCGACAGAACCTTCATAGCGTAAATCCGTTTGGTGTCCTTCTTCATGACTTGATACACCTGACCGAATGTACCTTTGCCGATGAGCTTGAGGATCTGGAAGTCATTGGGGCCGACACTTTTCCTTTCCGTCTTCTCGAAGCGCATCTCCAGGTGGATTTCTCCACTGGTATGCGTATTGCCTGCTGCACGAACGACCAGAGGGAACCATCCTTCGAGCCGGCTCTTGTCTTCCTTTAAGTCAAGGCTCAGACGAACATGGCCCAGAAACGCCTCCTGATTATAGCGATCATAAACACAGACATCGATCTCTGACTGTTCACCGAGCACATCACTACGCCAGTCGTTAGTAAATAACTTTTCCGCGAGAGGGTAAGAGTGAAATGGAACATACAAGACAGCCTCGTGATTCCACCGTGGGTCCGTCACTTGTGTCTTGCCTCTGTGGTCGTGGCTGTCCAGCGAACTGTTGTTGCTGCTCTGTCGACTCTTCATCGGGATCGCCATAGGCCGCCCGGCATCATGTTCTGCTTCCTTCTTCGCTTCTTCATCGTCCGGACTCTGAGCACCTTTCGAGATGTATTCATTCCACTCGAACACGCAAACAACGTAGGGATCGGTGCTAGGTCGAAGGCCTCTCGCCTCTGCTATCTTCACGTGAAGTTTTCCTTTGATGGAGCCGACAGGAGGCCCTTCTTCCTGAGAAGCCGACTCGGGAGTGGGAAACGCATCGTTGAGCTTTTCCGTCAATTCCTCCGAGGGGTCTGTTGTGTCCGCCGCCTGTTGACCGGATGGATGTGATGGATCCGAAGTCGATTCCTCGGCCTTTTCCTCCTCCGACTGTCCGTGCTCATTTGACATTGCCCTCGGCGTAAGTGGGGGGGTATTCTTCAGACGCGACTCATTAGCCGCGTTCTCAGTTAGCTTGGCATGGTTCTCAGGATTCTCAAAAGATTTTGAAACGTGTGGCCTTTCATGCTCGAGCAGGGGTACGTCCGTGTCTAGCTCTGATGGGTCAGGAGGGGACGGGTTGGCAAAGCGGGTTCCAAGGACTGGATCGTCCGAGACGCTCGACACAGGTTGACATGTAGGTCCTCGTGACTGGGGTTCAGGAGATCCATTTGAAGAAGAGAGATAGCCCTTGAGAGTGGAATAAACGGAACTCAACCCCTTATCCGGACTAGAGGCACAACCTTCTGCATCTTCCTGATCTCTCTGTAGAAATGAACAGGAGGATGAAAGTGGGGGGGTAGGCAGCGAAGTAGGGCGTGAAATCTCTGGCGGTTCCTCTTTTGCAGGCTGCTGCTGCTGTCTACCGTCTGGCAGAGCTGATGACTTCGCATCAGAGAGCTGGTCACGCTCTGCCATGACAGGCGGAACTGATGGTAAGGAATTCTCGCCAACGATCTCGCCCTCCTTCCGCTGCACCATCTGCGCAATCTGCGCATTCAACTGAATACTCTCCACAGACGCTGGGGTCAAGGAAATTGAAGAGCGTGCTTTGCGAGTACTGGGTGTGTAACCTGAGGAGCCACCAACCTGTGAAAGATATGTGTGCATTATCGACGGCTGACGCTTGTCTGAGGGATCAGGTTGAGGCGTCGAGACCCCAGGAGACGGCGAGCCGCTGGAACCAATTTGATCTTGGCTATCATCATCCTGCACACCCGTGCTGCAGGACCGGTTAGCACAGATGAAATTCATGACAATGCAAGATCCTGAATAAGAAGAGGAGAGGGAGCTGCAATCCAGATGTCTCAAAACCCCAGGTGATGATATAAAGTGATTGGGGCAGCCTGCAGGGAAGATCGGTCGGGAACCCGTTAAGCCAGCTGACGATCCACGCGACAAGAACGTCACAGGCGTGCTGTAAATGCGCCAAGGCTATTTTTGCATGTTGACAGCTCTACACCAACCACAGTGCAGCAGATAGCCGCTGGGTCGAGCAGCAAAGACTTTGGGCTTCACAGCGAGCCCAAACTGGAAAAAAAAAAAGAAAGAAAAAAGATAGAAGGCTCATAGTGTTTTGAAGCAACTGCAGCAGTGATGGCCAAATCGGGTAAAATCGGTATTGTCACGACATGCCAGCAATGGAAGAGAGAAAAGAGTCTTAACTCACTTCAGATGCGACCCTTGCCTCGTCATGTCCGCAGGGACATGTGGGCTCACTCCGGTTGGTGCCGCCATGGCCGCTTTCCCATTAACGTTCCTCCAAAAAGTTCAATGGCCTTCTGTCCGCAATACCCTTCTCAGCACAGTACGGTCCTCCAGATGCCTGCACCGGGGTTGTGAAGAGATGGCGGGGATGTCTGTAGCAGCAGATCTCGCAGCGGCAAGGCCGTGTGTTGAGGCCTTTCGTTGTTGTTGTTGATGTTGATGATGTGTGATGATGATGATGAAGATGATGGAGAAAGAGATCCAGAAGTTTTGCGCGATAACTGTGCTCCCACAAGGATAAAGCACGGCCACTGTCGGCTCCGGGTCTGGGTTCTCGACCAGCGGTGGATTCGGGTACCGATGCTGGTCCGCGCACTAGACGGGAAGGACAGGTCGCTCTCCAAACCACGAATACAAGCAGGACAACGAGTCCGGGAGGGAGATACCTTCAATAGCCGTGATCCTGAAGGCAGATAGAAGACGGTGATGTGATGATTGATGGTTGTTCCCGTGCTGGCGGGCAGTTGGTTAATGATAGGGAACTAGTGTGACGCCCACCGCGGAGGTCACTGGTACGGGGGGGGATAGCGTCGACTTTCGGGGGGAGCCGGCTGAGGCACAGCGGGACGGCGGCTCACACGAACGGCGGAGCAGAATCGTGCTGGTACTTGGCACGGACTGAGAGAAGATCGAAAACAAAACAAAAAAGAAACACAGAGAGGAGGAGAGTAGTAGTATGAGGAGGAAAAGAAGACAAGAAATCGGGAGCGACTTGTCAACTTGTCAAAAACGCTTCGACGGACAGGTTCAGAGGAGCCGAAGTATCAGCGAGAGGCGAAAGTTGCAGCCCGAGTGGAGATACTGGACTTGGTCGATGGAGCCGGTGACGGCCAACGTAGACGAGTGAGCGCGCAGCCGAGGGGGCTTGTGTCCGCCGCAGCCCAGAGGATCACAGCTTCTTCTTCTTCTTCAGCGACAAGGGACACGATTCAGCGCACAGGAGGGGTCCTGGTGGACTGGCGAACGATGCTAGTAGTGTAGCCAAGCACCAGCAAGCGACAAACTGTACATCTTCCACCCAGGGAACCGGACGACTGGTGGCTGTCTTGCAATCTCCCAGGTGTTTCGTGTCGAATAATAATGTCAAATTATGGTATGTATTATTATGTATCAGTGTTTCTGTTCTCACCGTCGTGCTGGGTCGAGTCCTGCTCCTGATTATTTACCTCTCATTCCTCATAAATCTTAGGTATTTCATTAACTACCTAAGTACGAACTCCTACTGACTTATGGTATTCACTACTGGGTATTAGTAACTGAGCACGGTTTGTACTCCGCCCTTCTCGGGTGGGGGTACGTTCTGCTACCGTCATTATCGGCCCCTTTATCATCATTTATCGGACTGGTGTTGGCAACGAGAACTTTGTTTTGGATGAGCCAATTCCGTTGGATGATTAGGAGCCCGAGCATATCCCGTGTAGCCGTGTGCTTTCTTCTTTTCCCGTGCAGACGCATTCCTCGGTCGATAGATGGTATAGAGACTATTTATTATGATTTGATTTCCTATGTTATGTACTCCCTCTCAACCCTCCCTTTCTCACCACCCTCCTCTCTCTACCATCCACTAGAGTACAGAGCAGGGTGGAGACTCTGGGTCAACCAACATGTGGCTACGGAGGTCGTACCAGTATTTTGTCTGTCGATCAACATCCCTGCAGCCTAGTCTGTATGCAATGGATCGATTTGTCTCTCGAGTCTAGGGACAGTTACTTACTTACCAACCCCCGCAGTTGTCCAATAGGCGAAATGAGGCGACCAGTACAGTATCAAAAAAGCAGGACTTTGATCTGGCCTGGCAACGTCGATGGCACCACCAATTTGGAATCTCGGGAGCTAAAGGGAGCAGCCCAGTGCTGTTATACTTCCATTGGCTATCCTGGGAGCTCGATAAGTTTCCCTACCTGGTCAAAGAAGTCTAACCAGTATAATATACATGGCCAGCATGGTCAAAGCTTGCGTCGATCTAACACCCCGCATTTCAGCGGTGCAGTCTACAGGTGTCAAGAATACTTCCGTACGAGGTACAGAGCATGTATATGCGTCTGCGACCTGAACTGTACTCCGGATTCCGGCGCCATTTCGAGTCAGAAAAGGCACGTCACATCCACTAGTCAACTACAGTATTCTGGTCACATCGTGTGCAGGCCAGAGAAACCGATCTTCCAGGGGGGAGGACGTCCGATCAAAACTGTCCTGCTGGCAGTTGTGTGCGGCATACCTCTCCGTCTTTGCTTAAGTTAAGTATGCGATAGCTGGAGGTTCTAGATCTCACACTCTCCGCGGTCAAGGCCCTTGTGCGGCCATGGAATCTCTCAGTCTTGCCTATCAACAACGTGGGAAAAGTGATCCGAGGGCACTGTCCCTGAAAAGGGCATACTGAACCGTCAATCCTGACTGTCCTGAAGACATTGTCGTATGGAAGGGTTATCACTGTTGTTGTTTTGACATCGATAGCCCAGGGTGCCCGTCAAGATGGAGGGTTGCCATAACGTCATTTGCAGGCATGGCCCATGCTGACTACGGGCGATCTGCAAGCTGCAGGTTCTCAGGCCTTCAGATCTGACCCAGGATCAGCGGGCACGTTGGCACGGTCAGGCCCGACCACTAGAGCCCGTATGAACGGGCCTAACAAGCGCCGCGAGGTGAAAATAATAATGCAGTATGTATACATTTCTGTTTATTGTTATACGTTTTTTTTTTTTTTTTTGGCCACTGCATTTCAACAATGTTATTTTCAATGGAGGATATTAATTCGCCGCCATCCATCCAGCCAGCCAGCCAGCCAGTCCATTTCAACGTGCATGCATGCAGTCCCCTTCTGAAGCCTTCTGCATGTGACGGCTGTTTCAGGCGAGACGTGGGAAAGTCGACCAACAGGGCAACTGCTGACGCCTACGGATGGCTGAGAGCCTGAGAGGCTGTGAGTGCTGTCGACGCTCCATAGGGGGGGGGGCAGCAGATCGCCAGTGTCAAATCGCATGCTGATGGTCCACCGGCAGTCTTTGCTGGCGGTTGGTAGCTGGGTTGACCTGCAGAACGAAGATGCAGCGAGTGCCTTAGTGACTACTCGGTGGCAGAGAGATAGCCGCTGGTTGTAAGAAGGTGCAGAGGTGAAAAAAGCATCCAAAAAAGCATCCGAGCCATTCGCAGTGGCCGTGATGCTGACCAGGCCAGTATGGCTCTTATGGAGTGGCTGGAGGAAGTCGGAGCGAGGAGCTGTGACGTAGCTGCCGCTGGAGTTCCGGCGCCAACAGTTCCACTCAGCCCACTTCGCGCGTCCATTCGTCCCGGCACGGGCAACATCGGACGGACGGGGGTCGGAGCACTGCGCTCCAAGGGATTATTTAATTAATTAATTAAATGAATTAATTAAATCAGAGAGCCGAAAGCTGGTTAACTAACTTAACTAACTAGGGCTTCGGTGTTAGGGCAACTGCACAGGCTCGCTACAGTTAAGGCCGGTGCCGTGGATGCATCTATCATCTATCATCTACATCTAACTATCGTGATCGAGAGATATTATTATTAATCGGGCTTGTTGCCATATAGTAATACTAACTACTCTGTTCGAATCCCTCTTATAGTAACATGCAAGGGGTTAAAAATAATTCATTCTTCTCAAACGGAAATTCATCACAGCCGAAGAGAATACCTAGCTCTCAATCTATAATAATACCTTCACATGGATCACAATAATTATCTCATGTGAATATCATAGAGTGGACCTTATCCCTCACAAATCAAGATCCTGTCGGAAGGCCGTGCGTGCGTGAGATCCGAGAAATAAAGCCCTACGTTATTATCATCAGTTACCGACAGCAAAGACAAGGATTAGCGGGTTCTAGAGTAAAGTAGAGCAGAATTAATTATTAACTCATCTTGCATGGAGGGTTGAGATCGATCAGCTGCCCGGTGTCACAATAACAAGGAAACTGTGACGAGCTAGAAAATATCTAGGGTTTCGAGACTTATTACTCTGTCTGCCAGGGATAAGAATAGTAATGTCTCAAGGGAGGCTTGTTCAAGCCCACACCTCAGCGTCAGGGATTTATTTATATTACTACAGCTAGTTTGCTCAGGTAAGTTCCTGTCTAGGGATGTCAACTCGTCCAAGGTAGGACAATCACTATGTGTATGTTCTAATTCGAAAGTCCTACGCGGGTCCCCTGTCGATAGCCAGACACATTGCACTGGTAAATAAATAGACAAGTGAGATCTGGAAAAGTGACTATCTAGATGTTTCTTTCTTTCTCACGGAGCTCAAATCCAGAAGAATCTTTTAGGACACGCGAGACTCGTCCATGTTCAGAGCTAAACAGTGACCTAACTAGTAGTATGGTCAGTCAGTGTAGTTGGTACAATAGTCACTAGGTACCATATCAATACCTACTCTAATGGCTAATGGAAGGACTCGCCACATTGTGATCAATAAAACATAATCTAGGCCCAACATTTGCCCATTCTCTCAGGACATCTTTGAATCAGCGATATCGCTCAAGAGAAAACATCCTGGATCCAAGTTCGACTTGCGAGTGTGACATTGTACGATATATAGTATGACAGTATCAATACTTAAGTATGCAACAGCCATATCGTCGATACACTCTTAAATGAGTTGACGATTCTAGTCATATTTTGCAAACTAAAGCAAAGAGCGATACTATACGATTGTTTGACGAGCCACCGAAGGTGACGAGCTACCGAAGGCTGCTATTGGTGCATATGTATTGATGAGTAGCTTTTAAAACTACAAAATCGTCTCTCCTTACAAGGGATAAATCTGAAATCCGATACGTTTTGTACCTAGTCAAGTATGTCATTCATGTTCCGTGAGACGGGTTCTAACTATGTCCTTGAAGCTCGAATGTTGGCTATCCCCTCTTCAGCTGAAACACAAACATGCGACAATTTTTAAGTTATATGAACCCCGAAGAATAAACTACGGACCATTTTATTTAGAAATCTACGACAATAGGGAATAATATGTTGTTGTTCAGACAAAATGCATGAATCGTTGTATCACGTGACCACGAATCGGTGAAAAGTATTTCCGCCAGACCTTCGCGACTCGCGACAGCGGCAGAAAGTGAATGCAAAGGGGCAGCTGCGATGCGATTAATCGCGGTTGCAACGCCTATTCACCCGCGCCACGACTAGAGCTACGCCAACATGGTCAGGAAGCTCAGGGCAGCCGCGCAAGCGGCAGCGCAGTCTATGAGTCCGTGTTTCTCAGCTTTATTGCCAATGCGATGTGAAAATTGCTAACCCAACAACAGGGACCGCTCCACCAAGCCTGCCCGATGCTTCAGATGAAGAGATGGCCGATGCTCCTCCATCGAGAGAATCTAGCGCTGTTGAAGAACCCAAGGATACTGCGGAAGATGATCCTGATGTCGAACCACAGGCGGAAGGCGACCAGGAAGAGGAGGCCGCAGCAACGCCTGAAAAAGAATCAGAACCGTCGCGGTCGAATACGCCTCAACGTAGCGGCAGAACATCAGCGATTCCGCGCAAACGTCGTTTAGGTCGCCCACCGAAGAATCGCCCGCCGGATTGGGATGTCCAGAATGATTCTGCAGAGAAGCCGCAGATCCACGTCAGCACGCCGGTCAAGAGAAGGCGAGGACGGCCTGCTGCCAGTGGTGGGCGATGGGCTCGAAACAGAGGAGGACCGTCGCATGTCACCCAGGTTCCCATCGACAAGGAAGGAAACATGATGGACGTGATCGATGATGAAGTTGCCCTTCCTGAAGACCCGGAAGGAGAGACCAAGGTGGATAAAATGGGAAATCTCCAAGGTGGCAGAGAATACAGAGTCCGGACATTCACGATCCTGAACCGCGGGGAGCGACAATATATGTTGTCCACGGAACCGGCGCGTTGTATCGGTTTCCGAGACTCTTATCTTTTCTTCCAGAAGCACAAGCTACTTTACAAGATCATCATCGACGACGACGCCAAACGCGATCTCATCGAGAGAGATATCATTCCTCATTCCTACAAAGGACGAGCTATCGGTGTGGTCACTGCGCGATCAGTTTTCAGAGAATTCGGCGCAAAGATCATCATCGGTGGTAGAAAGGTTATTGATGACTATCATGCGCAGGCTGCCAGGGATCGTGGGGATGTCGAAGGAGAAATCGCCGTTCCGGAGGACAAGCTACCACCACCTGGAGAGCCATACAATAAGAATCAATACGTGGCATGGCATGGTGCCAGTAGCGTTTATCACTCCGGAGCTCCGTCAGTTCCTATGCCAAGTGGCAAGATCGTGGATCCTAAGAAGCGAAAGGTAACAGTGACTGGCGACAATTGGATGATTGAACATGCCAGAGAAGCCAGGTTAGTGGAATCCTATGTACGCGTTTTCAATCATTGTGCTAACATATTCTCAAGTCGGTTTAACTCTTCGATCCTTAGCGCACGCAGGGAGAACCTCGAAGGAACTTACGATGTCCACACCAATGTTATGCAATATCCGAAGATTATGCAGCCCTCGCACGCACGCTGGGAACGTCTGCCACCACCTGACACGAAGGTCACCAGCAAACTCATGAAGGGCATGTCTACTCTGCGCCTGACGAATGGCACGAGCGGACATGAGTCCCCGGATAATGCAGAAGCGGACGAGGTTGAGGAGCCAGCTCCGAAAGAGACCATGAGTGACCCTCATTCGATTTTCGCGCCTGTACCTGCTGCCTTCTCCCGTCATCTTGCCATCCACGACATCCACTACGAAAGTGCCCCCTACTCCAACCTTGGCATTCCTGGTCCCGACGGTGACGTGCACGATCTCGGTTCCAACGGGCTCATCAGCATTGCAGACCCGCTGCACCCTGAATTCGTCGGTGCAGATGTACTGGCTGAATTGCCTCCCGAATGTAAGGAGGCACTTGTCGACAGTGCCACACGCGAATGGGAGTGGAAGTCCAAATGGCGCAGCGAAGCAGTCGATGGAGCCCGAACCAGACCCTTGAAGAGTTATGCCTGGTTCCCGTGAGCAATTAACAGAAAAGCAACGGGAACTATAGGCTATGGGGGGTGTATGATAAACCGGACTGGAAGGAAACTTTCCGTCCCATTTTGCTCTTATCGTCGTCGATGTCTTGGGAGAAACATGTACACCAACGAAAAGGGAAAAGAAGAGGCAAAGGGGCCGCCTCTTTTAATGATGTATTTGTCTAGTTTTGCTCGGGTGTAATGCGGGAATGAAATGGTCTCAGCGGGCGGTTTACTGGGAGTTTGATACAGGCCTTGACTGTTTATTAGAATCATTTACGGAAGATCCAACTTTGATGCTGGGTGTATCGAACCAAAATCAACAAATTAGCCTATGATATTCCATTTTCTATCCTTTCAGTCATCGTAGAAATGATGTACTCGGGACCCAGCATACCGCAGGTGAATATGCTGTCTGATTCCGGGGAATCGAAGTGCTCTCATCAGTATCGATGCTGATCCAACAAGTGATAACCTTGGGATATATAGTATAATCCCAATCCTGCCCAGACTTCTTCCAACAACAACAACAACAACAACAACAACAATAATAATATCTCCTAACCCCTGAATCAGAGTATAGATCGTTCCTTGGTTACATAGAGAGGACAGCCATGCACGCATACATCCATATCATGTAAAAGCACAAAAGTACCTTCAATCGAACTACTTACTGAAGAAAGCACAGAGTTATCTGCTTTACCAAAGGTTGTCTATTCCGTAGGACTAGAGGAAGACTACAGAGGATGATTTATCAAATTCTATAGTATATAAATTAGTCGTCGATGATTCGATACTAACTTAGTATTAATAGTTTATCAATACTACTATGTAGTTAGTTAGTAACTACTGATTGCTTGGGAGTGCTGACACTTCCTTATACATATAGTAGGTAGTTAGAGTGTATGGTGGCTAGTATGTATGTATGTTACTATGTATGTATCTTGAAATTCGATCTGTTCGCGGATGCTATGCGGGCTATGTCAGAATATAATTCTCTATTGTGTGATAATGGTATAGTAACTGGTTTATGGCTGCTGCTTATCTTCCTAAAAATATATGTTGTATAGTTATATGGAGAGATGATGTATATACATACAATCTTCAGAGCCCGATCCTCTTGGACGCAATATCTGTCAAGCAAAAGGCAAGGTGTACCAAATAATACCAGTAATACATCCAGGCGGAGAGGAAATGGATTTTTTTTTTCTTCATAAAAGAAAACAAAATGAGTCAACTGACATGAAGGCATTTCTTTCCCCCGAAAATGCCTAGTTAACTTCTACTTTTCTCATTCTGGCTTCGATTGAATGACGTTATTCGCATCCGAGTCTTTCCTACTTCTTCTTCTCTATTGAACTTTTTGTCATCATTCGGGGTAGAGTTAGTTAGTTATTATCTGTTTACTTTCCACCACCATTGGGCGAAAACTCCGTCTCGGAAAAGGTCCGTTTGCCAAGTGAGATTGGGGGTAAGAAGGAGAAGGAGAAGGAGAAAGGAGAGGGGGGGTAATATGACCGCCGAAAGACGGGTGTCAGCGTCGAGGTCGGCTGACTTCTATACTATAAACTTCTCGAAGGAAGGGAGGAGGGGCTGCTGGGTTCTTTGGGGGTGTTCTTTTATCCATCCATCCACCATTCATCCCGTATCGACGCGACGGAGATTAGATATCACATCGAATAATATTAGGATGAACATACGCCGCGGCGGTCCGTCCCGAAGCGGAAACGATGAGGGGTTTTAGTTCATTGATTACCATCTACATACTCTAGAGTAGCAGTGGTGATAGTAATACAGTTCAGCCTCGACCATCCCACTTTGTGACTGCGGGGTCTGTTTCTCGTCTCTTTTATCAATGAGGTGTTTTTTCTCTTTATGTCGGGCAGCAAGGAGAAAGAAAGTTTCTCTTCACTGCATAGCTAGGGAGGAGGAGGAGGGGCTTTCGGCGCTTTTCCAGGTGACTAGAGGTATCTAGTGCTGGGGGTTAATAGGAGGAGCAGGAGGAGGGGTAGAGAAGCTTTGCTTGTGAATCATTATTGAATGCCTCGTGGTCGTTTTACCGACTCCTGCACCACAGCCTTCTAGTACCGGGTTGTACAGTACATCGTACTAACTAACAGTAGCCCAAGAGATCCTCAGGTACTCCTGCGTGACACATAGCTCGGGCTGGCGGATCAAGAGGAAGGGTAGATGATCCAACGAGGGGGCTGGTTTGGATGTCAGTCGCAGTTAAGCGGGTATGTTGCCTTGATGGGATAAAGACGCCGCCCAGTAGGCGGCAATTCGTGAGATGGATGGAGACGTATACACCAGAGCGCTGTAGTAATAATATTCTACTCGAGTACATGCACCAGGCACCCGGTTTATTGCGAATTCTAGTAACATCAGTCGCTTGGGCCTTCAGATAGTACACTATTGCGGTACCCGGCAGTTGACACACTTTTAGTTTGACGATGGCAGACATCTATTCCGTCCAGTGTAAATGAGGGCTGTGTGAGAATTGACTGCGGCCTAGAGCGTGGTTATTTTTAAGGCGCGCACAGATGCAAAACACGATTGATAGGATCAAAAGCTCTGACATGGCGAAGATCCCTCTGCTGACCCAAGCGTTGTCTTGTCCAAGAATCGCACAGCAAAACGCGCGGTTGGGAGGCCGACCCTGCATCACCAAAGTGTGACTTTCCGAGAGTAGCAGCAGCTTAGACAGAGGCCAATAAGGGAAACACCTGTGCGGAGAGGTGAGGACCACTATCTAAAGAATCAATAAGATGCGCCGTGCGGAGTTTCATGGTTGGTTAGTAGGAGGCGGGTTCATCAGCAAGGCGCAGCCACCGTTTTATGAAGATGAAAAGGACTGGCTATCAGAACGATGCTCCATTCAAGTGTCTGATGCTTACCTGAGGTCGATGGCTGGTGGAAACGCCATGTCCCTGAAGCCCTATGAGCAACAGAAATAATTACCAAGGCGTTGGTCAGGCTTGCAGAAGATCGCTTTGTGGCTCCGAGACAGCCAGCACAGTATTGTTATCTACTGGGATCACATCCACTCTCATCCGATTTGAAGGATGCCTTGCGCATTGGAATGGACTCGAAGGTTGCCACCAGCAACAGCGTCTAGACGTGCGGTTTGTCCAGCATGGCTGTGAACCTTGCTGCGCGCCTCTTCTGGTCCACCACAATTTGATCAAGCGCCCACTTGATGCCACGAGGCAGAGTTAGTATTATTACGGACAAGTCGCTGTGGGAGACCAACCTCATTATTATAATTATTGCCACTTCGGTTCCAGGACAAGAACGCGATCGGTGACTGGCCAACCCCTTGCGATTCCGCCATGTCCTTTCCAGAATTCCCCAAGGCTCCAGGAGAAGACTCGCTACCGGCCATTTGGGTGATGTCGAAAGTCCTCGAGACACATTTCAGCACAACTCACATAATGAGTATAATACGCAAATATGATATGTTCCAGCAACATGCCCCGTCGACCACTTCGGCCATGGGCTCACAGCTTGCGTAGTCAGTACGACTGGAGTAGTTACAGACAATCTTGATGCCTGGTTCAATGAAATGTAGCTGGTGACACACCATTACATTGCAGGTATCATGGAGGCATTTCTCCTTTTTTTCTTTGCACAGCGGCATATCTAAATCTGGAGGGGTGCAGACTGGTTCTTGCGAACAACACCAATAACGTCGGGTTTTCTGCCGTTTTGCCGCTTTCTGTATTCTATACATACTGGTTGGCTGGTGGGAATAGAAATACCATAGGCATGGACGATCCGTGACGCATCCAAGACTCCTCGCGCCGCAAACATGCCTCTGTCGACTTCGAGACCTTTCTTCCTGCCCCCAATCTCAGCCCACACTGCAGACGGCGGGGAAGAAAAGTGCCGGGGAATTGATGGAATCTCCAGATGACTCGTGCTGCTCCATGCAGCTGGAGGCATCCAAGACAGCATCGCCTTTCATCTGTATCATTGAGTGCTTCATCTCTCGTTAGACCAAAATGATCTTCTACGGTCAAACACCGTTGCGGTGCCCATCCGCAGCAGTTTTCCTGTGATCCTTGGGTTCTTTAAATTGTAGAGGGGCGAAAATAGGTGTTCCTAGGTCACAATTGGTCCTACAACTGATTATTATTATTGTATTTGATCCAAACCGCAGATTTGTCGAGTATGCTCCGTGTCGCCTCATAGTATCACCGATCGGCCAGCCTGACCAGTGAAGAGATCCATGATGTGACCGTGCGGAGGACCAAAATCGAGCCCGGTGAACTCTGGGTTTGCGATCTCGCACGTCGCAACCGCGGAACTGGCAGGGCCAGACTTCGGTTTGCAGAGAAGGGCCAAGTAGAATAATGATTCTCGCCTGGACTCGCACAGCCGCTGGACGGCCGGTCGGGAACGCTCTGATCGTTCACTGCCAGGTCCATCTTACCAATCCCACAACGGTTGCCGTCAAAGTTTCGACTGTCTGTCTAAGACTCTAAGGCCGACCAGTAGTCACCCTTTTTCTGCCGATGGAGAACGTGTCGGGGGAAAGGTTCTAAACGCAGTAGACTACGTTGGTAGCCTGGTTCCCGTAGAGCAGCAGCAGCAGCAGCAGCAGTAGCAGTACTGGTCAGGAGAAGCCATAATAGTAAATGAATGGATAGTTGATGCGTGCGGTAGTGCTATCCACCAATGCAGCTTTTGTCTAGCAGCCTGTTTTGAGTGATTTAGTCAGAGTCGAGGTAATCCAATCCGGCCGTGGAGATGACTGGAAAGGGAAGAGAGAGAGGGTCGAGTATGGTAAGTATTATTATTATTATGGTAAGTGTTCTGTGTGACTGTGCCTTTGCATCACCGCATCCTCATCCTCATGCTCATGCTCACTGCTTCGTCTGACCTGGGGGGAACACTTACGTCTGTTGCCCCTGGCGGCTCGATGATTATTTTGAATTTGAGCAGTGCTGGTCGCGGAGATTCGTTCCCCTTTCTCACCGCTGTGTCCGGGCAGCGTCATCATCTCAGACAAGAGCGTTACGATCATCCGACAGGCGCCAGACACTACTAGCAGTTGTGCGCGGTGGCCCAGTAAGCCGTCTGGATGTTCGCCCATCCTTGCTGAAAAGCCATCTAGCTGGCCGAGCGCCCACGAGCGGCGTTGGCTTCTAAGCACCAGTAGTGGAGAGTCTTTCGTCGCAGAGGCTGTTTCTCCCTGGGCCCCGATCTTGGACCGTCGTCCCGCGGGCCATGTTCCAGCCTCAGCCCCAGCAACTGGATTTTTTTTTTTTTTACTCTTCTCTTGTTCTGCGCTGGTTCTTTTTTTTTTTTAGTATTTTTTTTCTTTGCTGGCCCTCCTGACTCGCCCCGGCGACACCCACACGGGCAACGGCGCTAGTTCGACGCCAGGACACCGCACACCTCCGCCGCCCAGCGATCATCACCACCTCAACACTTTGAACGGCCCCCTTCGCCGTCTTCCGTCCTCTTCCATCCTCTCTCCATCTCTATCTAGACTATCTTTCTCTCTCCCTCTCTCCCTCTCTCTTCATCCTCAGTGCTATCTCTTCTTACTCCCCCCCCAACCTCTTACGCGCCAACTCTTCCTATCAACGAGCTTTTCACTAAGTGTCGTTGTCGGTCTTCGCAGCGGAACATCCCTCGACGCGATCTCCTTGAAGGATATCTCGTCGGTATTTTCCTGCTGATTCGCTCTCAATCGTCGTCTCCGTCCAGTAACGATCCGGTTTCGTGAAATTGTCGCGTCCTGATCGGAGCATTTGCAGAGTCGACCTTCCCTTTCATCCCTACTCCAAAAAGCGTCTTCGATTGCCACGCCACGGCTCGGCCGTTGGACAGTCTGTTGAATTGAGCGAACCCTTCTCGATGTCATTCTGCTAGAGGGAACGATCAACGCAAGTTACAGAGCCGCGGCTCGTTGAGCGACGCTCACCCAGTTCGGGTTCCGGCGGAAGTGTAGACGGTTGGTATACTACTGTGATCCCTACTCAAGACCAGCAAAAGTGGTTCTTGGATCGAACAGACGTGCTGACTGCAAGTCGCGGACACAGCATCTGGCCGTCTACCTCCCCCGGCCTCGACACGAGCATCCTCCACCATCATGCCGTCCTTCTTCGCCCCAAGCCTTCATGGCTTACCCCCCACGCCACCGCATGTTAACAACGGTGACCAGCCCTACTATCTGACAGGGCCGTCCGCCTTCCCGCCGCGATACACCCAGAGTGGCTGTGAATTTATCGAGCAGTACTCCCAGTCGACGTGTTACGCCAAGCAAGCTTCGCTCAACATGCACGGTCACTCCATGCACCCGATGCGAAGCGGCCGGGATATGGCGTCGACGCAGTCGACAATGGTCCCGCACGGCATGCAGCAAGCGATGTACGGACCTGTCGCTGCCGGTTCCATGCTGCCACCGCTGCGCACCGATGTCCAGCTCCCGCCCGTGGATAGCGCGATCCCGCCTCAGTACCGTCAACAGGACATGTTCATCCGACCCGAACAGCAGCACCCCAAGGACGAAAAAGCGACCGGAGGAGTTGCAGCCTATTTGGACTATGAGATGGACCAGATGTCGGATTTCGTGGCTGAGATGGCCCAGGGAATGTATGCTTTGTACATCACCAAGATCAACCTTTCAGATATTGACTTCGCTCGAAGCGTCTACCCAGGAACTCCGGTGCCACCTCAGTTTAGAAAATACGTCTACCAGATCTTGTCGTCCACTCGCCTCCCCAGTTCCACGATCCTGCTGGGCCTCTTCTACCTGGCTAGCAGGATGCGGATGCTCTCCGCCGCTGGAGTCTACGCGACGGGCAGTGGCCAGGTATATCGCATGCTGACCACAGCTCTCTTGCTGGGCAGCAAGTTCCTTGACGACAACACCTTCCAGAATAGGTCGTGGTCAGAGGTCAGCAACATCCCGGTCTCAGAATTGAACAAGACGGAGCTCGAATGGTTGTTTGCCTTCGAGTGGAAGATCCACGAACGGATCCATAACAAGCAGGATGGCTTCGCGACTTGGCTCTCTCACTGGGAGACTTGGCGTGCCAAAGCCGCCGTAAGGGCTTGTGAGACCCGTCACAAGCTGGCTCCGATCGACACGAATATTCCCAGGCAACATGCGGTCTCGAAACCCTTGATGTCGCCAGAAGGTCCTATTCCGCCGCAGTATCAACGCAGCGCGCATATGGATACTACCTGGCTGAATCCTGCTGCTTCCGAGTATTCACCTCCATCGGCTCCGCACAGCGGTCCAAACACGCCCGATTATTACAGTTTGGGGGCGTGGGCTTATGCTAACCCGCCGCCTCCTTACTCGCGTGCGTGGATTCCCCAGAGTCAGTACATGGCGCAAGCAGGACCCCGATCGCAGCCACCATCGTACCATCACACTCCAGCCTATTCGATCCCGTTGACGCACAGTGTGTGGACCGGTCACGGCTCCTCTTGTGGATGTGTCTACTGCATGAAGCATCATGAAAACTACATGTGCACGAACGCTTTTGGAGCTATGCAGCCTGTTGTTGCAGGCTAGACCACTAGGTCCGAGTTTGCTCTATGGTGCCGCAGTCTGACATCAATCTTCTCGGAATCACTTTTTAATTCATGTTCAACGATGTCGATTTTTTTTTAGCTGTTCGATGATACCGCACCATTTTTGCTCGCCATTGTCGATTCGAATTGCTCGTATATCCATTTGTCGTCGTCTCGGAAAAAGTAATCTTATGTTTCTCTCACGGGCCTCGCGAAAGCTTAAAAAAAGTCAGCAGCAGAGCGGAATGAGCGCCTTTTTTTTTACGGTTCTTATCACCTTTACGACGCAGAAAAAAACAGTCGCCATGTCTCCGGCCTACTATTTTCCCTTTCAATACAAATTCGTTGCGTCCGCGTGATTCTCGAATGCACTACCTAGGTTTACAGACGGACCTTGTCCTTGTCAACATGGGTATGTCGACCAGAGTGCAATCACGACGATTATGATTGTCTTACGCGATTTCTCTTCTTCATTTAACCCCATTATTATTTCTTTCCCCCTTTTTATTTTCAGGCTTTTTTTTTTGCCTAGCATGTGTTGGCGAATGTTATCCATAGATTGTTATATTTTGTTGATTGTGTCAGATCGGGCTACTTCCCTTCTAACCCATCGCTCCGACCAAACTCATGGCGTTAATTCTTATTGTCGATCAGATTGGTGGACCAGGGTATGCACGATTTAGGGGATCGATTCTGTTACGTTTTCGCGCTTCCATGAATTTTCCAATGGCTCTTTTTTTCGTGACGGTTTATTTCTTCAAGAATGGTGTTTTCTGCCATGTGTGTCTTCCCAATCCGCTGCTGAAGTCTCTTCACTTGGCCGCGAGGGATAGAACATTAGGCTGGAATCCTCCCATTTCTCTTATTTTACTTGTCCGCTCTCTCTTAAAACTACCCTTTTGCATTTCGCCCTACTCGCGTTAGCAGTGGTTGGCGGCATTTTTTTTCTTTTACTTATTCCCACGCCAATCGCCCCTTTTCAACGATATGCATTGATTCGAAGTCTTTATTCCCCTACACGAGGCAACAGGCCCGTTGAATTTTCAGATTAACACCACTTGTTTTTTTGTGATGTAAGTAACCAGATTATAAGCGGGAACATCCTGCTCATTTTCATCGGCTCCCCGCCATCCAGCCAGGAGGCGTGAGTGACGCCTTGACTAAAGTGCGAAAAAAATTTCTCTTTCAATGGAACACAGGGCAGCAATTCGCTCATTTATTGCCCTTAGCCTTTTTCTTATCCATTCTTTTCTCTCTCGAGGGCTTCTTATTTATTGTACACCATGTATTATACCATCATCAGCATTATCTTACATTCTACCAACGATTACTTGCAATGAGAAAACAAAGGGCGGTATATACCGGCCCGTCTTTCTATCTTCTATTCAAGCCTTGTTCCAGCTATTAGCTATCTATCGATTATTGATGGTCTACGAATTGCTTCCGTCGTCCTCATTATCACTCGCAGTTGCTTGGCTACCTTCGACCTCTCGCCATGTGCATTAAAAGTAAGTCCACCAAGGAAACTCATATGAAAGATCAAAAAGGCACGTTTGACAGATGCTCTATCGGGAATTGTACGAGAATCTATAAACATGGTTTCCTAACCAGGCTTCCTTTTATCTTTTTATTTTCCTTTTCTCCGCTCACCTCTCCCATCTTAGTCGGATATCTGCAGGAAGGGAATTCTATTCATGGCAAATTCGACAGATGAAGAGAAGAAGAAGAGATCTAATGCAGATTCATAAATGGAAAGCATCGAGTATCAAGCGTGGGGGTCTCAATTGCATGGATGGATCGTTTCGTAGCCGTGATTTTCGTAGCGTGGACGGGTCGGGCGTGAGAAGAAGATCAAGGAGAACGAGGGAGAAATGAACATCAGTAAACAGTCTGCCGGATGCTTTGGCCTTCGCGCTTTTCTTCTTCGAATGTCTCTTCCCCTACTGGGACTCCCTGGTCTGGCTCAGGGACGTCGTTGGGGACTGTTGGTGTTTCATTGTCTCCGTCGCCCAGAACATCGGCCTCCACTTGTCTATTTTCGGCTTTATTGTGCTCGGAGGGCTCTGCATGAGTGTGATAATGATGGTGATGATGGTGGTGGTGATGATGTTGTTCTTGTTGTCGACCGCGCCTGGCTCGGCGTTGGCCACCACTTTCGTCGTCTCCGTCGCCATCGTCCTCTATATAATGAGCAGGATCCTCGACAAATTCGATAGGGTGATCCCCCTCTTCATCAGATGGCACAAGGCTGTTTACACCGCTGTTTGAGCCACCGCCGTCACGGCCGCCTAGGTGACGGAGCGCGAGCCCTCGGGAGGCAGGAGACCGTTCATCGTCGGTATCAGGACGGAGGTGGGAAAGATCACTTCTCTTCTTCTTCTCTATCGGCGGACGTCTGGAGAGAGACGGCCGTCGTGCTCGCCCGTCATCTTCAGACGTACCGGCCGGGCTATCCGGACGGTTTTGGTGTGTGAGGGCAGCCAGCGAGATATACGAGGGCGTTTGGTCTGGAGAAGAGACCATTTCATCGATGGCCTCGCGCTTGTATGCTACTATAGCCAGGTCGCTCTTTTTGCGTCCCGAAAGGCTTCTCGAGACAGAAGCCAGGTTGGCCCTCGTCTTCGTATCCGAAGAGGCTTTAGACCGGTCCTGCTTCTGCGTCTCTTTTCCGGCGTCACTCGTCTCATCACCATCGTCATCATCGCGGAACAAGTCAATCGTGTTTTGTCTCCTCGGCTTGTCTCTCCAGGTCTTCACCAGTCCGTGGTCACAACCGTCCGGGCAACCGCCCCATCTCCGCCGCACGGGTATCGGTCCATCAGACGGAGTGACTGGAGCAGGCTTCAAGCCCTTCTCCGCCAGCTCCAGCTCCCGCTCAAGTTCCTTCTCCTTCTTGAGCTCAGACCACGTGCGCAGTTTGTTCTGGAGCACATATTTGCCGTTGTCTGGGTTCTTTTTCATCACCACGAACTCACAGTGGTTGATGTTCCGCAGGTCCTCGAAATACTCGACGCTGAAGTGATACCACTTCATCAGAAACACGCGGGTCATCAAACCATGGGTGACAAGGATGCAGACACTGGCAAAGTCATCTTCGCCGAACAACCGCCAGAGAGATTCATTAAAACCGCTGACGCGGTCATAGGCATCCGCAGCTGATTCCCCGTTAGGGATCCTGTAGAAGAAATGCCCATAGTCCGCTCTCTCTTGCCACATGCGTTCCATCTCGGCGGAACATGGCTGGAAGTTGCCAAAGTCCTGCTCTCGGAGCCGTGGCTCCTCATACACTTTGATAGTATGTCTCGGAAAAGGCGATGGCGTCGGGTCATCGGACGTCAGCGATTCGAGAATCCCCTCTGTCGTCTCCCGCGTGCGACGATAGGGCGAAGTAAAGAAATGAAGGGTATCATCGGGCCGCAACAGCTCACGCAGCTTGCGGCCAGCTTCTCGTGCTTGTCGATGGCCTTCCGGCGTCAGCTTCACGCGGTGATCCGGCACCGTCTGGTGAATTTCGCGATTCTTATTCCCTTCCGATTGCGCATGGCGAATCAGGATGATCATCTATCTCACGAGCCTCATGTTAGTAACTTGATATTGCGGAGATAAGTTAATGTTGGCCCAAGCAGGCGGTGAAACTTGCCCGAGGTTTGCCCATGGCTAATGCGGGGAGAACAGGATAGGATGATCAGAAGGGTAAAGATGCAACGTCTGCGCGTAGAATGGAAGATTAGATAGGAATTAAGAGGAATATATCAAAGAGAGAAGAAATCCGGATTGCATTTTTCGCCCAACTGATTCATCGTCGGGCCAGGAGGGGGCGATGATGAAACGTCCTAAAGGTCTGCGCAAGTGGCGGTTGGAGACTGCCGGAAAACTCCCAATTCGAGATCGGATAATTGGACAGTTCAGCTTCAACTCCGCAATATTATTAATTGAACAAGCCCGCGGCGTTTGCTCTGCTACATGCAGTGTCTATACAGTGATTCTGCTTGATTGAATCCCCGTGGAGCAGGCACAATTCGCCATGACGGATGCTCTTTATGAGCTGCTGGCTCCATATCTGGATGCAGAGGACACCTCTGCGCGTCCCGCCGCGCCGCAAGATGCGACGACCTCCAAGTATCTCCATCGGCTCTCTACGCTGTCATTGCAGTTATTGAAGGACAGCGAACCTCAGTCTCTCGCTCAGTCTTCACACTCCACATTACTTTCTTTGCAGGCGCTGTCCAATCGATCGCACAAGGCATTCATCACCTCCTCAGATAACCTCTCCGCTCTCCGAACATCTATTCCCCGCGTCGGTCGAGAAGTACATCAACTACGCGATGCGATTCCGAAGCTTGATGAGGAAGCGGTACGCTTCTCGTCTACATACAGCAAGACCGTTGAGAACCCGATCATAGAACGGCGGAAGAAGGCGATGCAATTGGCGCGAAACGTGGACCGACTGTCCGATATCCTGGAGCTGCCGACCTTGCTCTCGACGGCCGTGTCCTCTGCCTCTGCGAGTGCAAATACCGCTGCGCCGTCCAGCACAAACTACTCGTCTGCGTTGGATCTGTATGCCCATATCAAGAGACTGCAGACGTTGTACCCCGACTCCCCTCTCGTCAAGGATGTCGCGTTGCAGGCGGAGGATGCGATGAAGGACATGACGACGAACCTGATCAGCAGTCTCCGGTCGCAGAATATCAGACTTGCTGCCGCTATGAGGACGGTGGGATGGCTGCGTCGTGTGGCACCGGAGTTGGAGGGTCTACGAAAGGACGGCTCTACAGGCGCGAGTGAGGGAGCGTTAGGGGCCATTTTCCTCATCTCCCGGTTAGCCAATCTGGTTTCTACCCTCGAAGCGCTGGATCCTCTGAGGGAGCTCGCAGACCAGGAGACACGGCGGAGAATGCAGAGCAAGGGAAACAAGAGCGATCCGCGGTCTTCTGGGAATACGTGGTCGGGGGGTCATCAGACGGAGAGATATCTCAAGAGGTACATTGAGATTTATCGAGAGCAGACGTTCGCTATAGTGTCGCTGTACAAGAACATCTTCACCCCCGAGCAGTCGGACTCGGGATTCTCTGCTACTACAAATGTGAACCTACGGGCCAAGAGCACCCCGAAGAAACAGTCTGAAAAAGACGACCCCCTCCAGGTCCTTCCTCCGGCGCTGGCAACGCTGCCAATGCATCTCGTTACACTGCTGACGGAGACGCTGCGTACCTATCTGCCCAATGTGCAGGACAAGAGCTCACGAGAGAGTCTCTTGACTCAAGTCCTCTACTGTGCTGGGAGTCTAGGCCGTCTCGGTGGTGACTTTGGTATGATCCTCACCCTTCTCGACGACTCTGAAGAGGGCGAGGAGAGAGACATGACCTATGACTGGGAGGAGGTGATGAGGAAGCATCGGGCGCTTGCTGGACGGCTGGAGCAGCTCACCGGTGGGAGCACGGGTGCTGGGGGGAAGGGCATTTCGCCGATAGCATCCCCTGTGCATTGATATGCATCCATATGGCACCCGTGAGAGAGGCTGGCGTGCAGAGACTCACTGTTTGACATGCTCCCTCCCTCATCTCTCATGTCTTCTGAAGTTCTCATGATGGATTCTCATGCCATCGGCAGCGCTAACTTAGTCTGCCCTAGCGGCGGGTCACGGACACTCGCTCCGCCGCTCAACGACTCCGCAACTTCTGGCTTTCCCCATCTTCAGCTCTCCATCGGATTCTCACCACTTCCCCCCCATCTCCACTCTATCTAGCCTAATGATCTCCTGGAATGTTCGCTTACCTGCTGTAACGAGTACGAGTCTCACGGGAATTTATGCGCTGTGTTGACCTCCCGTCGCTCTTCCTTGTTGAGCACGGATCTGTTAGCCGTTGTTGTTGTTGGGGTCGTCTTTCTTCCTCCCTGGGCATTGAACAGACCTCACCCTGCCTGGGACTATATAGTACATGAGAAACGAGATCAGCGAAGAATAAACACTTGTCTACCAGTCATTCCCTTCGAATCTCCAACCCATGTCGACACTCGCCGCCTCTGCGACTCCCCCGCCGTCGGGGTTGCTCATTGATCCTACCAAACAAGCGGAATACCCCATTCTGTTGGGAGATAAACTCTCTGGGAAAGATGGCACCAAGGAGACTCGTTTCATCAATATCACCTATAACCACAAGAGCAAATCGGCTACCCCACACCAGCGGTCGGTCATCACTCGTTCATCATCCTCGCCAGACATCTATAAGTTGACGGTAACGGACAAGGCCGGGAATGCGGAGCAGACAACATTGACATATTCATATGAAGGAAGCGTGGATCCTGCGTCGCCAGTATCACAATCAGACACACGGAACCTGGTGTTGGTCTTTGATCCAGCACGCAAGGCGTTTATCTTGGAGCCGGTCTCAAGCCAATTGAACTTCAATCTGCGTTCAGCCCCGGGAAAGACGGAAAAACAGGTGTCGGAGCAGTATCCCCAACTGCCGGTTCTTCATGAAGACGACCAACCTTCAGCAGATGAACCGTCGCGGGAGAACGCAAGCGAGGATGAGGATCCCGGAGCTGCTGACGAGAGCAACCCATACGATTTCCGCCATTTCCTTCCCAAGGCCAATGCCGAAGCCGAAAAGAATGCTATTTCTTCCAGCACAACGCCGGATCCCCATAACGTGCCGACCAAGGTCAGCACCCCGTCGCTACCCGCTACCAAGCCGCCAGCGCCATCAATACGCAGAAGCAAACCTCAGACCAACCCTCTACGTCAGCAGAAGCGTGCCCCTAAGCCTGCTCAGACCATCAAGGCTACAGAAGACAAACCCAAACCCGAACCTGCTTCCAAAGCTAAGCCAGATCACTTGGTTTCTGATTCGGCTCCCTCAGATGAGGAACCGAGTCAGCCAACATCCGCCAAACCTGCCGCATCACCGAATTCCAACATCATCATCGATGGAGATCTGATAATTGACATGGGCTCTCCACCACCGTCACGCAAGCCATTCATTGTCAACCCTACTCATTTCTCATCAAATAATACATCTGCCAATGAAGCAGACGATGATGGCGATGATGAGGAAGACATTGAAGATCTCCGCCTTCCATCTCCTGCAAGTCCTTCCAGAAATGCGCAACCCGAACAGGCCAACGATGAGGTCGAGGATGATGATGCGCTGGCGGCAGAAATGGAGGCTGCCTTCGAAGAGAGCGCTCGTGAGGAAGAAGCAAGGCGGCAGCAGCAGCAATATGCAGTAGCCAGCGACGACGAGAGTGAGGTCAGTGAGGAAGAGTAATAAGGTAAACGATGCTTCTCTTGTGTGGTTATCTGCGAGATGTCGTGGTAGATGTGTCTGTCATCCTTTTCTTGATTTAGCGAGCAAGCATAGCGATAGCATACTTCGGAGTTTCTGGTGATAAACGGGAATGTGGTCCCTGCAATCTTTACACGGGATCGAACAGTTATGATACCAAGTCAGTGTCAGTCTATCTCGGTGTTCTACTAGCAACATCTCAGCAATTTAACACGGTTAGAATAACCAAATCATTTCTTGTTCGTATTGTCTCGTAAGCTGGAACGAATATCGGACGCCGGGACCGGAATAACGGACCTTCCGCCCGCGATCTGCTCTTCCTTGCGCCTCGACGACCACCGCGACGAGCTCCAAACACGCTCGTATCTTCACTGAGCCGGGGCCTGTTCTATGACCTCAGGCTGGTGATCCGATGAAAAATCCGCCGGGTTGACTCCATACTGAAGAGCAACTGATCGGTGCCGCTCTGGCTGACTCCTCCGATAGCTCTACCGCTAGTCGTCCTTGCGACGCCCTTCTCGCGGAGACTGAACCCCGAGAGCAATGGTATCAGAGTGATGCGCTATGGTTCCCCTTCTCCGATAACTCTCCGCAAATACAATAGGAGCCTGGCGCGGAGAAAGAGACACAAAACGGGAGCTGTGTCCCCGTACAGACAGGTTGTGTTTCGAACTCACATCCCAGTTCACACCGGACATCCAGCGGCCGTGATAATCGACTCGTCCTCAGAAGCGTTCAATCCGTTCTTCTATCTATCCAGTCGAGAGAAAGAGAGATATTCCACTGGGGATGCCCTTCATGACGTCGTCACCATCTTCATCGCGCCGCCGTGAGCGGCGGCCTGTCCCGGCGCCGTCGAACCCGGTCCTACTTGCGTCGCAGTCGCAATGGCTCTTCACAGACGAAGAGCTTACACGAACACCGTCCCTGCTAGATGGGATGACGATAGAGGCAGAGCATACGAGCCGCAGCAAGGGCGTCAACTTCATAACACAAGTGGGGATCATGTTGAAGCTTCCGCAGCTGACGCTCGCGACGGCCAGTGTATACCTGCACCGATTCTTCGTGCGATACAGCATGGTCGATCTGCCACACCGGCCGGGAATGCACCCTTATCCGATCGCTGCGACATCGCTCTTCCTAGCTACCAAGGTGGAGGAGAATTGTCGGAAGATGAGAGAGATCGTGGTGGCATGCTGTCGGGTGGCGCAGAAGAACCCGAATCTGGTCGTGGACGAACAGTCCAAGGAGTTCTGGAAATGGAGAGATACCATCTTGCACAATGAGGACTTGCTTCTCGAAGCGCTCTGCTTTGACTTGCAGCTGGAGCAGCCATACCGCATCCTCTACGACTTTATTTGTTTCTTTGGGGGGAATGAGAATAAGAATCTTCGCAATGCAGCATGGGCGTTCGTCAACGATTCTACATTTACGGTGCTTTGTCTCCAGTTCACTCCGCGCATCATCGCAGCTAGTGCGCTCTATGCTGCCGCGCTGCATTGCAATGTGGCGTTCGAGGACGACGAGCTGGGACGACCGTGGTGGGAACAGGCCGACGTGGACTTGACGCAGGTACGAAGGGCATGCAATCGCATGGCAGAGCTTTACGAGAACAATGCAATCCATCGACAAGGCCATCGGTACCCAACAGCGCCGGTCCACGGCGGGGAGGATACAGAGAAGACCAGAATCTCATACCGTGGAAGTCCTGCTGCTGGCACTCCATCCGAGAACGACATCAACGGCCGAAAGCGATCAAGAGAGCCAGAAGGACTTCTGAACCATCATGAGTCGCTGAAACCTCCCGTCTCGAACGGAGCGTCATTCGATACATCCGCTTCGGAGAGATCTCCAAAACGACAACGGATAGAGAGAGACGAGTCCAGGAGAGCAGGCCAAGAGAGCCAGTCGCAGAGACCACCACCACATTCGTCCCAAGACTCAAAACCGAACGTCTCATCCTCATCAGATCTCCCTTCTCGAGATCGAGATCGAGACCAAAATGACCATCACCACCACAACTCCCATAACAATCACGATAATCATAACAACCACACTACTTCACAACGTCAACAACATCCTCTACCTCCCATCCCGCCTCCACTAGCCCGCCGCGACAACGAACCAGACACAGATCCCATCCAACAACGCATCGACGACATCGTCAAGCAGAATACCACCACCACCACCACCACTACCACCAGCCGACCTTCTGACCAAGATCGAGACCGAGACCGAGATCGAGACAAGCGTCCCTCAGATACCGCCGAGGCAGGGAAAAGCCCGCCTCGAAACGACCGTAGCGATATCGAAGAAGGCGAAGCAATCGACGAAGAAGACGGTGGAAGCGAAGAGGGCGAGATATGAAGTTCATTAATATCATCAATTATCAATCATCAATCATCAATCGCATGATGGGATGTTTTTTTTTTTAACTTCTTTTTCTTCTTTTATTCGAGCAGCTAGATTTCAAGCAAGTGATCTATCTATATTCTTCGAATGAATGAGAAGATAAATTTCGTTATTATTATTCTTTTTTTCCTGCATGTTAATGTTAAAATAGCTCTCCCGTAGGGAAAAGTATAAGCTTAGCATACTCGGTGATTAAACGAAAGCAGTAGGTTAAGAAAAAGGACTTTTTTTCTCAACTGATTGTCATAGATTGTATAAAGAATACGAATACGAATACGAGAGCCCGGAATCCGAGTAAGAAATAGAGAATAGATAGATATAATGGAGATATAATGGAGCGAAAATAGAGAGATAAATAGGATAGGCAAGGACAATAAAAAAAGACTCGTCAACATTGCGTGGTGAAAAAGCGCCACGAGCTAAAACAGATCACATTACATGTTTCTCATTTCTTCATCCCCTTTTGGATCCTTATTTTGTTTTGTTTTCCCTCCGTCTTCCCAGAAACGTCACCTGTCCTTCTCACATAAAACGTACAACGCGTTCAGTCCATCCCTGGACTTGTCTTCTTTTTTGGGGGGCCTGCTCCTGGCCCGAGGGCGTCAAAATAAATACAGCGAGGGAAAAGAGACGAGCTCCCTCATAAAAACACAGAGAGATATATATGTACAGATAAAATAACCCTCGGACCCCAACAACAGGCTGGAAAAAAAGGTTAAAACATGAGGGAAGAGAAAACGAGGCGGGTATTAAGATGCATGTACACAATTGAGCGGAGCAGAAGCATAACAAGCCTCTGCAATAAGAGTACATCGGAGAATGTTCCGGAAGAGGATGTCGTTGCACAAGAGTGCACAGCGCACATATCGAGAGTGGGGAGATAGAGTTAGAACGGTCGATAAAAAAGCCGAAGAATAACTTGTGACGCCAAAAGCCCCTGGGTGTAATGCAAATGCCGAGAATGACAAAAGGCGCCGTCCAGTCTTGCCCCGCCCCGAAAATATAAACGTATTAAAAAGGAGGTAAAATCCGAAAAATCATACTTGAAACGGTGAGAGCGTTTGTTTTAGAAGTCTCCGAACATTTCATCGAGTTCGTCGACCTCAACGGTTTCCGGGCTCTGCAGCTCACTCCACGAGTCCCGGATCATGTCAAAGTCCATGGTCATTACTCCAAAGGGGCGATTCGCTAGAGGTTTTCTGGCGTCATGTTCACCGAATTGCAGGTCAACCTTTAGGTCAACACCGGAGAAATCATTCTCCAACATGTCGATGGAACGTTTCAGCGCTGTAGCCGTGGCACCATTGGCGTCGCCGGGCACAGACACTGGGCTTGCGCCCCGGGCGCTGGCAGCCATGTTCTGCTGCAGCTTGAGCAGACCAGTAGTCGTACACATCTCGCTGTCCGCATCTATCTCAGAAGGAGCGCTCGTACCAGACGAGATCGAGGATGCAGTGGACGAGAGCGATGGCGACGGAGAAGTGCCAAAGAGCGTCACGGCTGCTGCCTCGTCGAGGTCCTGCTCGGCGGCACGGGAGTCAATCCGCGAAAAGTAGTCACTGTACTGATCCTCCGGAACAGCGCTGGCGCTGGCAGACGAGAGAGGGTCCTCGTCCATTGGCGAGCCGGAAAAGCTGGCGAGCGCGCTACTCAGTTCTGAGGCGGCCTCAGACAGTTGAGGGGCATTACCCTTGGCACCATCCTGGCGCTGCGCTCTCTCTTCCGACGTCCGCTCTCGCACAGAGCTAGCCGTCTGTGTGAATTCCCTCTCATCGCCTTCCAGAGGGGGAGACGCTGCCCGGTGGTTGTGGGCTAACCGGTGCTGGCTGCGACGGTCGGAGAAGCCGTTAGCCGGGACTCCGGAACCACCAGCATTGTGGTGACCAGCCAGATCCATATTGTCGTCCTCGAATTCCGGAGAGGACAGGTCTACCTCCGGGCTGGGACTCCGTTGCCGCGCAAGCGCATCCTCCTCGTCCTGGTCGAGGCTTGAGATACTGGGTGTCATCTGCTTCCCGTCCAAACCAGCAATGATCAGATCATCTGAAGTCTCAGGGAGAGGCTGGTGCGCGCAAGTGGTGAGATAGTAGAACACCTTGCGCGGGTGAACTGGAATAAGCTCCTTTGCAAGTGGGCAGGGCGCCAAAGCAGACCAGGGACGCTTGAGGTAGGCGCTCAAGCGGGACGACAGCAGTGCTGCGGGGTTCGCAGAGCTACACAAGATTGTTAGCCTGTATTTTTGATTTTATAATTTTTTTTTCTTCGCAGGGCGCTAAATGCGAACGAGATAGAAGTTAGAGGGCAAAAAAAATATACGTACTTTGCGACGTTCTCATTGATCGTCGTGAGAACGGCAGCTAGCTCCTTGATGAGGTGCGGTCGATTTCCAGTCTTTTCCAACTGTTCGATCACTGCGACCACGATATCATCGTTGATCCCCTCTGTATCGATCTTCGGGGCGACACCATCGGCGGGCGAAGGCGGTGGAGTGTGCTCGTAGGTACCGCGCCCCGCGCGACCCTGCTCTCCCAACGACTTTCCGTCGCGATAACCAGTTGCTTCAGCGTCCGGCGACTGCGACTCCCGGTCGTGCGACCTCTTCACCTTCTTGGATGGTGGTAGTTGTGCGTCTGTTGGGGCGGGCAACTTGGAGGCGGACGGTGATCGATGTGCGCGGGAGGCGTTCGGGAGGTGAATGCCCAGCGATGGCAGCGATAGGGACTTCCGACGAGTATTATAAGGCATATTCGATTTATTGTTTTCTTTTCCGGAGTGAGTGACAGATGGAGAGGGAGGGATAGTAATACAAAAACAACAAAAAAAGGAGCGTTTTTTTGTATTTCAATTGAACGAATATGTATGGATGTATAGGGATAGGGGAGGAGGGAGAGAGTTGATTGTTGCGAAGGGGCGAAAGGATGGCAGTCAACTGGAGTCGGTGTCCCGGCAGCTGGAGAGAGGCAAGTTTGTTGTGGGTTTCAGCTGGAAAGGCGGGAGAAGAGAGAGCATGCGACCGTTAGTTGTGGCAACGCTGATTCGACGGCGAGAGCGGTATGAACAGGAATGCGACAGGGAGGATCCAACGAGCACAAACAAAGACACTGAGATCCAACCAGCGTGAGGCGATTCCTATCCCAAGTGGGTGCGTCAGTTCAAGTTCAGCCAAGGTTTGCTCCAGCGATGGACCCGTCACACCGCCATGCAGGGGCAATCTGGAGTTGTCGGATAGGCGACGCCTGGCGATGAGAAACAGCGGGTAAGGCGGTCACCAAAGGAGCAGGAAAAGAATAAACAATAATGAGCAGCAAGATAATAATAATAATATATGCTGTCTTCTGCAATGGAACCACAAAACCAGAACCAACTCACCAGATATCACTGACCAACAAGCTATGCAAGAAACCGGGCCGTAGGCTGCACTATGCGTCTATGACGACCGAGACTGCCTGTAAACTTCCCGAGGATACAGAGATAGACCCCCGAGCTAAGGTTCGTAGCTGAGTCGACTGATGTATAGTATTGTACAATAATAAGTTACCACCATATGCTCGAGCTAGGAGACAGAATAATAATAATAATGTCCTCCTGGTGGCGTATAATAATACTGAACAGAGAGAAAGCGACGCGACAGTTTGGGGACCGGGCGTGGAAGATGACGGATGGTGCTGGACGCCAACCTGCAGCTAGCTACTCGACGCTATCCAGAGGATTTAAAAAAAAAAAAAAAGAAAATCGATCTCAGGGAGGCGAACGCCGAACTCTGTGGCCGAGCCTGGCCAGTCGCAGTGGACGAGTTTTTCGGAGGCGGCGTCGTCTTTCCCGGTAAGGAGCCCAAGCGTCGCTCTACACTGTTCTTAGTATAGGGGGAGTTGCGGGCCCTCTGGAGTGCAGTAGTCGCGAAGGAAAAAGAACACGAAAAGAAGGCAGAGGGTGCTCGCCCAGCAAATCGGTCCCCAAGGATGACGATCGCTTGGCCTAGCGGTTCATTCTCGTCGTTGGAGAGCGCACCGGACAGCATCCGCTAGTGGAAGCGCGAGCCACGGCTTCGTCTTGATCCCGCGCCGGTCCAACAGCGGAATGGTTGCTCAAGGCGGCAGGAACTTAGGAAGGGAAAAAAAATGAATCGCTAGTCTCTTTTAGACGAGAAAAAGCCGGCAGAAAATTTGCTGCTTTGCTTTAGAGGATCATTTTTCTGAGCGGTCGAGAGATCAGTAGTGGATGGTTAGCGGCGTGGATCAAAAGGGCTTGCTTGCCACTTACACTGCGTAGCCCAGCAAGACCAAGACCCATGGGGCTGTCTGGAGTAGACTCTAGAGCAGAGTGGAAGGACGCCCTTGGGAGCTAAGTCCAACTATGTCTACCATAGAAACTCGTCACTCAGTAGCAAAATAGTAGGTGAGGCATACGACAGGAGAGACGGGTTGCTTGCGCGGGTCCGAAGATCTCATCTGGCGCATCGAAACTCTCCACGACCGTAACGAAGTGGCATTTGGACATCTTCTCTGAGACGCAGATGACGATAGTAATGATGCCATGAAGTGATTAGCACCGAGTCAAAATGGGACTGACGATGTGAGGGGTTCTTGATCAGACGAATCGAGCACACCTCACGAACCAACCACTAACCATTCTGAAACCGAGGTTCTCGAGGGTATCAGGCAGTGGGTCTAGATAAAGCTGGCCAGAAAAGGGATGGATGGATTATGATGGCCACAATAATAATAGCGATGTTGCTGGCGTTGATGTTGATGGTGATGATGGATGAGGGGGATGTGGAAACACAGAACGTTTCCGGGTGGTTGACGAGCTTCACTAGAGTGCTGCAGCCAGCAAGGGCAGCCGAACAGCGATACAATTATGATTCACAATATTCTCACTAGATAAGTAAGTCAGACTACTCTGTACTCTATTATCTATGCCAATCTGCGATCAGAACTCTCACTATGGGATGTACTGTAATAATAGCGTATCCCTGCCATGTAGGAAGAGTGTTCTAAACCTGGACATTCCATCTCTGTGGGCGCCACATAACTACTACACGCGGGCATCAGTTCTTGGTAAAAAAAGAAACCACAGCCTGCATATCTGCTCTAACTGGACATCGACTCGGTTGGCAGCTGGATGAGCCACCGCAGGCTGCCGTTATGTCTGACGTGCAGCATGCTGATGCAAAAGGCTTGGTTGGATATACACCAGCAAGTCAAGTCATCAGGGATCTCGTATCAAGCCAGCAACAAGCAGGATAAGCTCAGCCCACCTATGGAGTATTATTATGATAGCTTGCCAGCCTTACATGGACTTACATACATCCGCGCCTCCTAACTAATGCAGGAATGCGCCATGACAAACGGAGCTGGGACTGAGCGCAGCTCTCTCTGCATCCTTCCTCCTATCCCATTGAATAGCAGTCACATTCACCCGCGGGGAGAGAAAGACAGACTCTTGTTACACTACGCAATGAAAATAGTCCAGGTAATTGCTCTTTGCACAGGTCCATTACAGTATATCGTCTAGTTTCCTGACGCATATCCTTCTCGTTCCGCGGAGATTTACCTCATCCGTGGGGACTGTTTCTTTCCCGTCCCAACTGGTCAAGGCAATCAACGAAGCTCTGGAGTAATGATAGAGTTAAGCAAACAAAGAAATCCTGATATACGGAGCTCCAAGCAAGAAATGGTGGTGATCGACCTTACCAACCCAGGCAGTCGGACCGGGAGTTTTTCTCCGCGGGTGGAAACGCCGAACCCCGCATTGACGCTTTGTTGTAGAATCTAGATGGCTGCGATCTAAAATACTTCATAGTAGCGACGCTTTGACACGAAAACAGCTTGTAAATCAAAAAACAAAGTACTAAATGCTGTCTTTGGTGATTTGTTTTATCTGCGACGACCTCTCGCATTTTGAAGAAAGTCCTTACTCAAACAGTTAACACCATACCTTTGGCGCCGGAACAAATCACTTTAACAGCTATGTAGTTAAAGGTCGACAGCCCCTTTTTCTCGTAACTGTAAACACTCCTTAGGAGTTCGTTTGTACCGTGCTGAAAGAATTAAGCTTCCACTACCTTAGCATCAGTATCTACAGTACAGCACACAAGAATCACCCAATGGGCCATATTCCACGAATCTAGGAGATTCTACTCTGAACGAGGATATCATGGTCCTTTCGGCAAACGAGTTTAGCCGCCAACTTTCGCGACGTGATATGGTGGATTTCGTGTGGTCGATGGTTTTTAACGGGGGCTGGTGAAGAGCATATTCGTGGTTCGGCGGGTATTATGTCTCCCGGATATATATATATATATATATACTATCAATGACCAACATCCCGCTTGACCCTGTCATGGAACATAAACAAAAACACAAGCATTATTGCTACGGACATCTGTAAGAATGAATATAATAGAATTAAAATAACACAAGACTAGCCAGCATACATTATACCCGGCCGTATCTCTCTATTGACACACAATCTAACATTCTTCTATCGATCAGCATAAATGAAGATAATAGTACACTTTAGGACGTCCAGTCCCGCTCTATCCGTAAGACAAGAATCCCTTTTCTACCGTGATTCAAGAAGTTAGTTCTCATTTTACCTCCTCGATTCTCGTTTCCTTCCTAGGTCTCAGAATGACCCTCCAAGTTGTCCCAAGGTGATATCTCTTGATCTCAACAACCTCCAATCCACTCTTCTCAACAATATCGCCAATGTCCCGATTCCACCAACAGCCGTGTCGATTCGCATGTGCTGGTGCTAGGTTATCCAGGATGTTATTCAACCAGCCGTAATACGACCGACCGTGTTCAAGCAGCAGGATCCGTCCCTGCGCAGGCTCAGTGAGGTCACCAAGATGGCGAAGAAGCGCCACAGGATCAGGCGTGGAGCAGAGGCCCATAGTCTCTAGGACTGTATCGAAGTAGGGCTTTCGGGTTACCGTCGGTGGTGTCTTGCCAGCCGGAGGCGAGGGCGCAATCTGACTTGCATCGCCCACTTGGAATGCCACTTTCTGGAAACCGGGATATAGCTTTTCGAACTTCTTGCGAGCAATCTCGATCATCACTGGGCTGAGATCGACAAACGTAACAGATCGACATCCCTTCAGCTCAGCTTTCCCGTTGGCATCGACTCCCCTTCGTTCGCCTAGGTCGTAGTAATCCATATTTCGTCCAGTTCCACAGCTCACTTCCAGCACGTCTCCGCGTGCCATCTGTACCAGTTCCTTTCGTCTCTTGCCCAACCGCATCACCTTCTCGCCCATCTCAACTTCTGCGTCGTAGCTAGGCGCCGTCTGGTCGTAACGATCGGTCACATCATCCGGGACAGAAAGGGACCGTGACCTGGCCACGTCCTGTCTGTAAGAAGTGTACAGATATCCACAGTAGCTGCTGATTGCGAGAATACCAACGCCAAAAACCGTCATTGCCTTGGGCGACATTGATGTCCCTGATGGCTTGGGAGCAGCAGCAGAAGAAACAGCAGTCAGATGGGGATTCGCGCGTCTCAGATGAGAATGCGCTGTAGGTGGTGCCCTTGGGATAGATAGTCAGAATATGACAGCTGACGATGTAACGGTATACCCTTTTCTTCTTCTAATGCAAGACAACAGAGGGAAAAAAAGCTACAGTCGGAGTAATCAAACATGAATTATATGCTGGGAGTCAGATAAATATGATTTATAAGGACCTCTTCCCCGGCATTTCCGCATAGGAGAGCTTCGACAAATACTAACCTGTGTCTACCCATCGAAGGCAATTTCTTCTCAGGCGCTGGAGTTCGACCATGTAGACGAGGTTTAACTTTATTAGGCCCACGGGGCCCTCCATCTGGCGACGTTGTCATTGTCGAAACTCGAGCTGGATGTTCAATTGGTCGTCCGAGAGAGTTACTCAACACTGAACGTCCAGCTTCTCTGATCAACCACAACAAGAGGCTTCTGACCAGTCCAAAAAGCCTCCGTGTGAGAACAGAATGAGATTAGGTTTTGGTATACAATGAAAGACGTATCTATCGGCTAGATCAATCAACTGTGCCAAAACATCCAAGAGAAAGAAAGCAATGGAAAATACGTACGCAAGAGCCAATTATCACCGAAACCAGCACGTATAACTCGAATATACAAGCTCGAAAACGTATAGTTCTAAACGCGATCGCTCAATTGGACGCAATGGACAACGGTCATGGGTCCCATGTAGAACAGACACTGATCGAGCATAGACTGGAGAGAATGTCTGGCGTGTTGCCGGCCGAGTTCGCAGCCGAAGCCAAGAACGCCCGGGCCGGTCCTTATCGATAAGGCTCGCACTGCGTTGGTTCATCTGCCGATATAAAGATCAAAGGTGTCCCCGCGTGAAACGGAACAGGAGAGGCATTCCGCAAGACTGAGCGATTCGTCTGTTCTCCTAGATACAGGTCCCAATCGCACCCTTGACTGCCGAGAAAATGGTGCACACGCTACCACAATCGGTATTGATTGTAGGAGCAGGGGTATTTGGATGTCAGTAGTGGCCCGTTGTTCCCTCGAAGTCAACTACACAAATAAGCTGCCTTGCTGTCATTCACCTTGTTGTCTGCGTTCTCGTGGTCGATTCTTTCATCGTTCCCTCATACCGTATCGTCCCCTGCACACAGATCTACATATTTTGCCCATCGCCACTCATCGAGATAGAGACAATCAATATACTGATCCAGCGCAGTATCCACGGCCCTCGCTCTATCAAACCGACATCCAGAGTGCCAGGTAACCGTCCTCGAGCAAGCACAGACTATTCCGAACCCACATGGCTCCTCAGTCGACACATCTCGCATCGTGCGCGCCGATTACGCCAATGCAGCCTATGCTAAATTGGCTGCGGATGCCATTGCTCGCTGGCGTACCACTGATTGGGGCAAAGAGGGCCGATATTCTGAGAATGGCCTAGTTCTCGTATATTCGAATGCTGACAGCACCGCTGGGAAGTATGTGCGCAAGAGCTATGAGAACATGAAAGCAATCGAGGCGGACAAGGTTGAGTTCCTGCCGACGAAAGTAGACGTGGAGAGAGTGATGCCAGGATACGGCGTTGGCAACGATGTCGCTGGAGGATATGTGAACTGGGGTTCTGGATGGTCGGACGCAGAGGCAGGAGTGCGATTTACCAGAGAGTTACTTGAGAAAGGAGGAAAGGTGGTATTCAAGACAGGGGAGGTAGAAAGGGTCATCTTCACCGAGGACAAGGAGCAGGCGAATGGGAACGGGAACGGCAAGAAGAGTCAATTGAGAGCTACCGGTGTGCGTCTGAGTGATAACACGACAATCACCGCAGATCTGATCGTCCTGGCGACAGGCGCATGGACTCCTAAGCTCGTGGACCTACGCGGCAAGGCGCAAAGTACCGGGCAAGCCCTCGCATATATTCGCATAACGGACGAGGAAGAGAGACGACTAGCCCAGATGCCGACTCTTTTGAGCTTCTCTACAGGCATGTTTATCATCCCGCCCCGCAAAAATCTCCTCAAGGTTGCTCGCCACGCATATGGATACCTCAATCCGAAACGAGTGCCCGTCCCAGGCCCGAAAGGAGACGCTGGCGCGACCATGGAGGTCAGTCTGCCAGAGACGGATGTCCCATTACCACCTGAAGGTGAAAAGGCCTGCAGAAACGCTTTGCGGGAGATGTTGCCTGCGTTTGCAGATAGACCCTTCTGCAAAACGCGGGTCTGCTGGTATACTGATACGTACGTTCTCTACCCCTATTATTACTCGACACGGACTCCACAACTGACAATCATATTTCCATTAAAATAGCCCCAAGGGCGACTTCATAATCAGCTATCACCCTGACCATCCTGGCCTCTTCATCGCCACAGGTGGAAGCGGCCACGGCTACAAGTTCCTGCCCGTTCTTGGTGAAAAGATCGTCGATGCCATCGAGGGAAACTTGGAAGACGGTCTGCGTGAGCTCTGGGAATGGCCCGCCTTCGCGGAGGGTGAAGAACTGGTGCCGTTCGAGGGATGTGAGGATGGCAGTCGATCCGGACCAAAAGGGCTGAAGTTGATGGAGGAGTTGGTCAAGGGGAAAGCATCGTTATGAGCGAGGGATACTGCGTGACTTTAGCCATTCGAAGTAGATATATAACGGACTGTACATAGGAGATGGATGCCATTAACTGACTGTCAATACTTACCAATACATAGAACATTCCTTTCAAGGGTGACCATTTTCCGCAAGAAGGACAGGAATCGGCGCGACTAGACGGAGACACGAGAACTAGCATGGTGAGACATTACCACCTAGTCTATTGCCTCCCAGTCCAGGAATTCTGTTATCCTTCATTGCCTGCTCCAGTGACGCAAGACGTGCCTCCTTCTCCTTCTTCTCCTCCTCCAGATCCTCCTTCGTCATCACTTCCTCCAAACGTTTCGTCTTAATCAATCTCTCTTTCCCATCAAACATCATCTTCAAGATCTCATCCAGAGTCTTTGGCTTAATAATCTCGAAAATAGACCATGTCATATCATCCGTGAAGAAATACCGCCCTCCAGCTGAAATTAAACCCATGGTTTCCCCTGACTCCGGAGAGTCATGCATGAGGCCTACTGGATTTACAAGACCACATCTTTTCGCAATCTTCGCCCATCTTCCTTTGATGGGAAATGATGCGTAAAAAGGGTCGGTAGTCCATCCTTCAGGGACTTCTCGGTGCTAGGTTTTATTAGACCATATAGTTAGGACGAACCTAGGGTATCAGTTAGATATAACTTACTATTGGAGAGTAGCTCATGGTTACAAGATAGTAATAAGACGAATTTAGTGAATCAGAGATGGTGGCGCAGAAGACTGATAGTTTTATGGTGGGTTAACAGGTAACAGGAACACAATTAAGAGTGATGAAATGTGACATACATAATCTGCCGCGGTGCACAAGTTACCATGGTGAGACGTTCGGAACACTCAACACTTCGCTAACTACTGTGTCGGGCATTTAAAACTACAGCCAATCCAGGTGCCCTACAAAGCGATTGCCGATCTACGAAAACTGTGGCCAAGAGGACATGCTACTTTGAAGAGGATAAAAGATTGGGCCGTATCTGTTTCATTCCGTGCAAATTGTCAGGCCTATTGTAACACTGTTGTATCATTTCAAGAATTGACCAAACCAAGTCATCCCGTCCACGGAAAACCACGATACCAATTTTCTCGACCCTAGCTCCGTCAACCCCTCCGCCGGGAATCGTAAACAACTTAAAAGCTAGTGCGCATAAGCAACACCACATTCAATCAATAAAGACGGTAAAAAAGGAGCCACCGGGAATAATGGAGGCGAAAAACTAGAAGTGAAGATAGAAACGTGCACGGAATAGGGTGGCAAGGGAGATAAATTAGGAGACGGCACCCATTCGACCAGCGCACACGCACCGCTCCTCAAGTCTGCGGGATGTGCGACTTTCTAGTGTAAATCGTTTCTTTTCTCGAAATAGAAGACAACCATCACTCCCCGAATCGCTAAGAACGCCGTGTAAATGCTAGCATCAGGTAATCGTAAACAAGAAAGGGGGATGAGAACAATGAGCTTGGAGATACACTACCCGACCACGAGCTAAGCCATGGGTAGGGACGGAATTATGGGTGCTCTTTCCTCATCAAAGAGACGTATAACGTCGGAAAAGTGTTAATACAAGGGGGGCAGAAATCAAAGAGGAGTTATGGAACGATCCTCCTGTGACCGCGATGCTCCTTCAAAGGACTTTTAGACCTTGCGGAAGTCTGGGGGAACCATGTTAGCATCGAGCCTTGCCGACAAGACTAGTCATCCACATACCGGAAAGCACAGGATAGATCAATTCGAACGCCTGGTAGATCTCTTCACGGACCTTGGCGCCGGTCAATACAATCTTTCCACTGACGAAGATCAGAAGAACAATCTTCGGCTTCATCATGCGGTAGATAAGACCAGGGAACAACTCAGGCTCGTACGAGCTGAAGTTGTGGTGGCGGCTAGCCAAGCCCTCCAGACGAATGGGGAACTTGATGTCACAGGAACCGACGATGTTCTGGATCTTGAAATCCGTGAACTTCGCGTTGAAGCCGAGCTTCTGAATGATACGAGCATACTTCCTCGATGCCAGCTTCGAGTCATCCTCAGATTTCGCACCGGTAACGACCATCTTACCCGAGGCGAAGATCAACGCGGTGGTCTTCGGCTCACGGATACGCATGATCACGGCCGCGAAACGCTATAACAAGAGCATGTTTAGCCATATAATCTATGGCAACACCTGATAGGGTGGGGAGATTTATACCTTTGGATTATACTCGGCATTGCGTGCGTGAAGCGCGATGGTCTTCAGGTCCAAGCGACAATCAAGGTTCACAGTTGCGACAATGTTTCTTGAAAACAATCCAGTTCAGCATTCTGGTAGACCAGAAGAACAGCAAGAGTATACTCACTGCAACGTAGGCACAATGCCGCTCCCCGGATTGTTAGCACCAGGAGTCGCAGCGGGAGTTGCGGGCGTCACCCCATTACCGGCTGCATTCCCTCCTGGCTGCTGACCATTCACGCTGCCGTTCTGGCTACCGTTGGCCAAGATTCCCTCCTTTTCAGACGAAGGCGGTGTCAGATCGCCAGCGCCACCGGGAAAGGACAGAGAGGCCGGAGACGTGAAGGCCTTCGCCTGCTGTGCGGTCGAAGGGTGAGTCGTGAGCGAGTCCATTGTGACGTGCGAGACACTCGAGCTGCTCGAGAGAGAACTGTCACTGAGTAGTCTTGAAGTCGTCGGTGACAGAGTTGTAGTGAACTAGAAGACGGACGTCTGCAGAGGGAAGTCACAGTCAGGACCAGATTCAGGTAACGATGTGTCGCAAATGGGGGGTGTGGCAGGCGATGACAAGGCCAGCCGTCGAGGAATCTCTCAGAAAGCTGCTGAGCCCAGGAGTAATGTCCGCGACGGGGTTTGCCTCGAAGGGTATTTGCAGCCGTAGTAAGGCTTGGGGAAGACGATGGGTTTGTTGGAGGGTGTAGCCAGCGAGGTGGCTTTTTTGGGGGGGGTTTGAAAGAAAAAAAAATTTCTTTCTGATGTGTTGCGCGGTCAACGAGGATGAAGGTGTCCTACCGTTTGTGGGAGATGAACAACTGAATGTCTCCCCTACAGTAACTGTCCGTTCAACCAACGAGTATTCAGTTCGAGATAAAACGATCCCAGGTGATGATAACCAGATCGAGACGATGCCAGAAAGCCTCGCGGCTGATTTGGCGGGAGTCGAGGACCTTTTAAAGGAAAAGGCGGTGGGGAGTTTCCGTCCGAGTGGCGAAGAAGGCGAAAGAGGCCGACCGCCGATGTCACGTTTCCGTAACAGGTAAACACCACACCACGAAACCCACCAAAGCTGGTCTTGTTTTTTTTCAGTTTCTGGATAATTGCACAGGAGAGATGGAGAGAGCAAGGTTGAGAAGATGACTTGGAAGGAGTTATGGATTGTCAAGAGATGTTTTTGGAAGTCTATCTGCGTCTCAAAAAGAGAGTGGCGAAGAGGCGCGCTTTTCTTCTTTTGGTATTGGTAATCTTTTTTTTTTCTTTTTTTCTTTTTTGTTTTTTAAGCGCGACCGTCTTTCAGATCTGAACTGTTATATTCTAAGCCTGGATTTCCCGGAAAGCTGGCGACCTCTGAACGACTTTTGTCGACAGTCGATATCAAGAACTGTCGGAGGGGTAGTAAAGAGGGCGGGGAAGCAGGAATGGGGGGAGGAAGGCGGGCGGGAGGAGGAGTGACGAGCTTCTGGCGTTCCGGGCGGTGCCAAGACCAGTATCAGGATTCCAAAGGGCGAGGCGAAGTGGGAGGATGCGCCTTTATATAGGTGAGTCAGAGCTTGGGGGGAGCTGGCGTCAGGGGTGGCTGGGCCCGGCAAGCCAGCCAAAAGCGGCGAGAGCGCCCATCCCGTTTCCATGGGTTTTGCATCAGCGTAGGGACCGGCCAGCGGTTCGAGGGCGGTATCTGAACCGCTGGCCGGTATCTGGACAGGCCGCCGAGCAAGCAAGCGCCATTCTGCCAGCGCTGGTTCGCTAGCCGCCAGTTCCCCCGGCAGCCGTCGAGGGCCCCCACCAGGCTGAGCCTGCTGCCAATGGCCACTGGCCCCTTGCTTCTGGCCGGTACGGTGTCATCACGCCCATGGACGCCCTCTGACTGGTTGGCCTCCGTGCCCAACTCTTGCGTCTTCGCGCCGGTCCCGCCCACACACGCCCTCCGGCCGCCCAATCGTCGTCCGTCTCCCTTTTCCACACACCTCCTGCGCGCGTCGCCCTTCTGCTCGCCGCTTTAGCCGATGGCAACTGGACAAAAAATCCTTTCGCGCATCCTCTTTCTCTTGCTTTGCGCTCTCTACGGTCGGCCAGAAGCTTCCCTGGCCGGACAGGCGTGTCTCTCCGGAGACAACAGACGACCAGAACACGACATCAACCACCTCAGAACCGAGAATCATGTGCGGAATCGAATACAGCAGAGCGAGGAGAATACATCTGGACAGGTTGCATCTTCGAAAAGGGAGTGGTGGTGGAAAGATCAAGAGATGAAACTGCAGTCGGGGAGGTTCGCGTTTGACATTCAGCACAACCGTTTGGAGCCTTGGCGGTGTTATGGGCTGTGGGTTAGCCTTCCGTCGGCGCTATCTTCCCCCCAAGAGGCCCAATAATGCACTCTGAAAGAGCCTCTGCGCGCTAGATCGATCTACTCGCAAAGAAATGACTCGACAACAGATCTTGAAAGACGAGCTGGGTTGGTAACTATAACTAGTCGCTTCTTTCTCAGCTGCAAGTACGGAGTAGACTAACTACACCGTCTCCTCTCCTTTCTCGTCGCGTTGTTGTCATCGTCCGTTCTTTGGCGCTCGGGTATTAGCATGCTCCGGGCGGCAATGCATTGCACAAACTTGCATTCCGGATAGATACATGCTTGCGTCGGCTTGTGAATGTGCCAGCGTGGTCACATCTCATACAGACTGGTAGAGCAAATTACATTTTACGGCCACATGCGATATTATTAGTTATTGTTATTGCTCGACTATATCCGAATAGCCGGCATGTCACCTGCCAGGTCGCATGCGCGCTGCATTATTTAAACTATTATAGTAAGCACTAAAGCATCAGCCTATCAAGGGGGACAACTATCCAAACTTCAAAGCGAACTATTTCCATCTAGTTCCGGTAATAATGGAAGCACCAGTTTCGCTTTGACCAATATACTATATTACTCTATATGGAATTGGGGATGAACTTTCAATCATGGCATAAAGTGGGGTTGGAATTCGCAGGCCCATAATAATTAGAATAGACAGGTGGTAGTGCTCCTCGAGGGCATGGCAGGCTGCAAATAGAGTGTGATCTCATCAGGTCCATGTAGAAACTACCTAGTTGCTTGGGGAACTTGGTATAGCTTTTTCGAAACAAATAATTCTTGTTGTCTCTTCAACCGGCTGTTCTAGGTAAATTACCCAAGACTGTTCCGTGATCGGCTTGATCCGTCCCATCGGGAAGACGAGGCTGATGGCCTGCATGGCTCGGTTCCTGACCTACGACGACAGTAGATTAGTTAGATGCACTCCAGAAATCCCATAACTTATCTGATGTTGATGAGATTATTATGATATGATATGATTCCGGGGAGAAGACGGTTACCCCCGGAATCAGGCAGATTGCAATCGCCGAGGCTCCAATTGGCCGGGCGGGTAGCCGTGGTTATTCCTCGGTGCAGCTGGCAGCGTTCGCTGACGTCTGGGCCAGCTCCGAACCGGCGCAGAGTGGGGGTCCGATCAGAAATTCATTAACTTCATCTCCTCTTTCTCTCTATTCTGTCCAGGAAGGTATGGATGGTCCTGGTTACCATCGACAGCCGCGATAGTCCCGCCCTTCCACACATCCTTTTACAATGGCATCGAGAGGTGCTGCTTTGCCTCTGTTGAGGCGCGAGCTGTGCGCCTCCTCGCGGACCTTGAGAGGTGGTTCATTCTCCGCCACAGCAAACACTCTGCGCGGACGCACAGCAGGCGTGTCTGCGACTACGAACAGTCGGGACCTTCGCGTCGGTTTCTTAAGCCAGACCGCTCTTCGCGGTCAGACTCGTGCTTTTACGCAGTCGTTACGGCGGAAGTACACAGACGAAGAGGGCAACTGGGATCCTCGGCTAAACGATCGTGAGAGCGACGAAGTCGATGTCTGCATTGTCGGTGGAGGTAAGAAAGACACGACTTTCAAGGTCTGCAATTTTGCGTTGTAGGAGCACTGTTGCTAACGAATTGTGTCTTCGCGCACAAAACAGGCCCAGCTGGACTTGCTGCCGCCATCCGGTTGAAGCAACTCGCAAATGAAGCAGGAAATGAGGAATTCCGAGTTATACTGCTGGAGAAGGCGGGAGAAATTGGCGCTCATATCCTTTCAGGTAATGTCCTGGAGCCGACATCGCTCAATGAACTCTTGCCCGACTGGCTATCGGAGGACAACCCGAACCGATTCGAACATGTAACGCCCGCGAAAAGTGATAAGATGCGCTTCCTGACCAAGACCTCATCATTTCCGATTCCTGCTCCTCCACAGATGAACAACCATGGAAACTACATCATCAGTTTGAGCCAGTTGACCAAGTGGCTGGGCGAGCGTGCGGAGGAACTAGGGGTTGAGGTCTATCCTGGTTTCGCGGCAAGCGAAGTGGTCTACGGAAAGGATGGTTCAGTTAAGGGTGTCGCTACCAATGATCTTGGTTTGAACAGAGAGGGGAAGCCGAAGGATACGTATGAGCGCGGAATGGAGTTCCATGCTCGTGTCACGTTACTCGCGGAAGGATGCCATGGTAGTCTCACGAAACAGGTAATCAAGAAGTACGACCTCAGACGGGATAGCCAGCCACAGACGTACGGAATCGGATTGAAGGAAGTATGGGAGATCCAGCCGGAGAAATTCAAGCCTGGTGAGATTGTCCATTCGATGGGGTACCCGCTGCCCACGGACACTTATGGAGGTGCGTGGATGTACCACTTTGGTGATAACCTCGTCAGCCTGGGTCTTGTGGTTGGATTGGACTATCCCAACCCGTGGCTGTCCCCGTACGGCGAGTTCCAGAAGCTGAAGCACCACCCTCTCTTCAAAGAAGTTCTGGAGGGCGGCAAGTGTATCTCGTACGGTGCTCGCGCTCTGAATGAGGGAGGTTTCCAGTCGATCCCGAAGTGCGCGTTCCCCGGAGGAGCCTTGATCGGTGATACGGCTGGTTTTCTGAATGTGCCGAAGATCAAGGGTACACACACGGCTATCAAGTCCGGTATGCTTGCTGCGGACGCGACGTTTTCCGCTCTGCAAGGAGCCTCGGACGGTACGGTATTCTTGTATGACTATGAAGACAAACTTCGGAAATCATGGATCTGGAAGGAACTGAAGGAGGTCCGCAACATGCGTCCCTCGTTTGGAACCCTCGGTCTCTGGGGAGGCATCATGTACTCGGGACTGGAAGCGTACCTATTCAAGGGAAGGACACCATGGACCCTGAAGCACCACAGTACCGATTCTGCCGCTACAAAGAAGGCGTCGGAGTGCAAGAAGATCGAGTACCCCAAGCCAGACGGAGTTATCAGTTTCGACATCCTGACCAGCGTGAGCCGCACTGGAACGAACCACGAGGAAGACCAGCCTGTCCACCTCCAGGTGGAGGACTGGGATAAGCACACTGATGCTTCCTGGCCCCAGTACAAGGGCATCGAAAATCGGTTCTGCCCTGCAGGTGTCTACGAGTATGTCGAGGATGAGAGCAAGAAGCATGGTGTGCGTTTCCAAATTAATGCGCAGAAGTAAGTACCACATTTCACCCCTACTCTTAACAAAGCAAAAAGCTGACCCACTCTAGCTGCATCCACTGCAAGACCTGTGACATCAAGGTGCCAACGCAGGATATCAACTGGCAGACACCCCAGGGTGGCGAGGGACCGAAATACTTCATGACCTAGTTCTCTTTGGGAGGCAGCATTATTCGTTCAATATTTCTATTATTATCTTTTTTACTATATCCATCGCATCTGCCTGTCCATATTCACAGCTTCTATTCAGACTGGGATCCCGCCGGGGATATATTGTTGTTGCATTGTCAATCGGGCGGAATGGCGAAGAGGAGCACACGGTGCAGAGAGAAAAGAAGAAGAGAGAAAAAAAAAGCGCATCTGTTGTGACAAAGTGCTATGAACAAAATACAATACCCAGTGTATATATAGATGTATTTTTATTTTTACTTTTTATTTTTCTATTTTTGTGTCTTAAGCTTCTATCTGTAGTCTCGCAGCTGGAAATGAATTTTCCGAACGTGAAACACTCCAGTAGTGATATCGGGGCGCGTAGATGGGGGCGAACGTCCCCGCGGGGAGCCGAGCAGCGGAACCGTGGAAATCAAGTGCCTAGAACCAATAATCATATGATGGATCTGGTGAATATACTTGCCATACTAGAATACAGTGTGTTTCGCAGCGTCCCAAAGTAAGAGCAATAATATAATGATAATCCTCAACCCCAGCATATAAGATGCTTTATAGGATCGCGGTTTTCGCCCGGATGATCTTCTCTGGATTTAGATAGTGCAAGGCTAAGTTAGTTAACGCTCTCAGCTTCATCTGGCGGGGCCACGTGGATCGCACCAAGTGAGGCGGTCTTGTTCTTTGCTCTTGGGCTCAGCGCTTCCACCGCCTGAAACATTTCATCTGTTCGCAGCCGCCAGCATCTTTCCCCTCTTTCATCTCCAGTCTCATCGTCAATCCTCATCAACACATCAGCAACGAGGGTGTCTTTGTCGACAGATCCCCCCTGGCAGGCCACCATTTCTGGATCGCGAGAAAGAAGACTTTAAAGACAGACCTTATCCAGCGGTGGATTTTTTCTTCTTCCAGGGCTTCGTTTTTCCTTTGATCTATCGCATACATTCCTGGCAAGCTAGTTTCTTGCGGATCCGCGGTACATCCTCAGGAATTTAACCTCGACTTTGCCAATCATGAGTGAGGTCTCGTCCACACGGCTTTACCTTGGGAACCTTCCCCGCAATGGTACGCAGGTCTTTATCACTTTACCCCAGAATATCATCAATGGCGTTGTATTTTCCTCATCATGAGCATGCCCTCCGACACCGGATGTCCCTGGAGTTCCCGACTCAAAACATGCCTCCCGTGGAAAACCAAAAGGATAGAGATATGCCTCCCAGGTTGCACGACCAAGGGTAAACACAAGCATCATGCTAGATGACACCGGCTGTCGGTGCTGGACCGCCCTGAACAGTCGCACATTTGTCCCTGGACCTTTCTTGTTGATCGATGGAGAGCTAACACTTGCGCGACGCCTCTTGGGCGCTGGGCTTCATTACAGTCACCAAACAGGACATCGAAGAGCATTTCAGCACCCATGGCTCGGGTAAGATCACTGAGATCAAGCTCATGAGTGGCTTCGGTTTCATTGAGTATGAGGATGCAATGGATGCTAGAGATGTTGTACCAGGTAAGCTTCCTTCTGATACCACATTCAGCACATCCAGTGTTACGGATCGCTAGAGTTGTCGGTTGCCCTTTTGCTGACCCAGACACTTGACATATAGCTTTTCGTATGTATAGCTAGCTCCTGCTTAGGATTTCATCTTTTTGACCGTCGCCGTTCTACAGATGGCAGCGATTTTAAGGGTGAGCGTCTCACCGTGCAGTTTGCACGAGGCCCACGTCACAAGGAGACTTTCTCTGGACCACCAGATCGTCCTGTTGCACCGCGACCACGTCGCACCATCTTTCGTATGCAACTCTCTGGCCTTCCAGAGACCAGTTGGCAGGTTAGCAGCCCCTGTCTATTTCTTAACGGAAACCCCTGGATATGATCCCATTTGGTCTCTATGAGCACACCGTTTCGTTCTCTTCTTTCTTTCAGCTCCGGAAGGATGGCCACCCAAGGAATTACCAAGGATTGTGTCGCATGCGGTTGGCAACTTTGGGAGATATGTCTTCGTTTCCAGTCGCATGTTTCGCATGTACCCTTGCTGGCGGCTGGTGGCATACCTCCCAGGACGTGTACTGTTATCCTCATGGACAGATCCTTCCTTGGCCTAGATGGACGCTGGACCCTTTGGACTGGACTTACCTTGGTTTCCGGACTCGTGCACATGGTTCCTTTCCCATTCAATCCATAGGAGGACTCTGGATCTACCCGGCTGGAATTCGACTCACACCCTGGCCTTCTTTAGGATCTGAAAGATTTCGCCCGACAGTCTGGAGTTGATGTCGTCTACTCCGAAACCGGCCGTGACCGTGACGGAAGGGGGTGAGTTGGTTCGCTTCCATTGCTTTTTCTGAGAATATGAGCTGACAAGCGATTGATGTGGAAGCTTCGTCGAATTCGAGTCTGCTGCTGACCTCAAGGCCGCCGTTGAGAAGCTCGACGGTCGTGAGTTCAAAGGTTCTAGAGTAGCCTGTGTTGCTGATGTATGCAATTCCCGTCCCTGCCTTGTTAAAGCTTGGCTGATTGAATTTAGATCCAAGCTCCTGAGGAGCGTCCCTTCCGTGACCCATACCGGTCCCGTTCGCCTCCGCGTCGCGGATATCCGCCTATTGATGATTATGACAGGCGCCCTCCCCATCCCCGTGGCTATAGCCCTCGGACTCACTACCGTGAACGCTCTCCTCCGCCTCTTCCTCGCGACTACTATGATCGTGACGGCTACGGACGTCGCACCCCTCCTCGACCCCGGATAGATGACTATCCTCCTCCCCGTCGCCCTTACGACGACCCTTATGATGCTCGTCCCCCACCACCTCCTCGTCACTATGATGATCCGTACTTGGCAAGGGCGCCATATGGCCGTCCTCGTACCCCGCCTAGGGGTGGTTATGGTGGTTATGATCGTCGTGGCTACTGGTAGAGGCAACTTTTCACATTCGTCTTGTCACCCTCTCGTTTCCCAGCATTGCGTCCATACCCTTTGTGTTATGCATGGCACGTTTTCGTTTGACCTGATTTGCTTTATTACTGGTCTATGGCATGATTCCCCAGCCTTGCGCTTGAAGCTTATTGTTTAGATCGAATACAGAAGCAAGAGTCTGCTTCTTCGTATCACTATTCGTTTCGCCAACATTCGCGATGGCCCGACGACACATAAGGATGAAAAAAGAACTTACCTGTTTTGACAAACGACCTTCCAGCATGGAGGCCTCGCTAGGCGTCTACGTATCTCTGTCTTCCGGATTCCACCATGGATGAGGCGTTGACATTTATCGAATGGCAATACCATTCGTTTCCAATCCCTTCGCTCTTGTGGTTGATAATTTTCACTCTGGGATAAGATAGTATCTTTGGCAATCGGGGCATGCGAAACAGCTATTACAGCAAGGTTGTCCTCATATCCTTGCCTGTGACCCGGGAAAACCTGATGACTCCGCGAAAAAATCAATTAAACATACGAATTTGATTTGGTGTGATGTTACTGATGATGAAATCGACAAGACACGCAGTAACTGCGTTTTGTGTATGTATGTATGTATGATTCAGGCCACGCACGACTTTTTCTTTTCAAGGACCTAAGCAGCACATCGACTTAACCATTCTTTACCGGACCTGACTGGGGCTCCTCTCGCGCCGGTCTCTCTGGGGATTGCGACCTCATCCATCAGTATGTAGGGTTCCGAACTTTCTCTGCTTTTGGTATACTTGCTTGATGCCTATAGCGTACAAACGATAAATAGTACAGAGTACATGTGCACCCAGCAGTACTGTGAGGACAGGGAATATCCGAAAACTTCAGTCTTCGAACGCGTCTCAATCTCATTCTAATGAGTCGGACTGGGCCAAGTCTGAGGAACGGCGCCATACTTGGTGGTGTATCTGGGAATTGGACAGCTTTCTAGGTAGCCTCAGATTTCAGCCATGGATGATTAATCTTTCTAGTTGTCGGACGAGGCTCCCAGTGGATGTCCATGACTGGTTTGATGGTAATAGGTTCACATCACCGTTTCTCCCCAATGACATCGATGAATGGCGCAGGGTGGAGAATCTCTGGCACAGTGATTCTTTTCTGGCTAATCGTATTGTTACACTGCGCTTCTCAATGGAATTGATCAAGACAGCTAGCGACGAGAGCCCTGATCGCTTTCTTTCATACCTCAATGTCGAGCAGTGTGTTGCCATCTGGAGAAAGAGGCTGCCCCGGACGCTCAGACCAGAAGCGCTCCCCGGGCATCTACGTCAGTGCCAGCACCCATTGGGAGAGATAATTTCCACTTTCGTCGCCATCGAGCAGTGAGTTACCGTCTCCTGAGTCTAGGAAAATACTAACTGATCAAATACTGTAGCATCCGAATTCTGATTGTCAGAGTGCAAAAGTTCGGTGATGTCAACGCAACTGCAGCTTCTGATTATTGCCGCAATTATTCGACTTGGCTCCCATCCCCGGTGAAGGCCTCGACGGAGTTTAGTGAATCACGAAGATTCTATGAAGCCATCCTCTCATCAGACGTTATCTGCGATATCGTAAGGAATTGGCCTAGGCACTCTATTTGCCGCACTTGTCCCCTTATTATGTTTGCCCTATGGGCTCCTGCATGCATTCAACTTATGGTCAAGGCGTTCGCCACGTCAACCTGGGAACTCCGCGAAAAGGCATTAATTTCATTCCAAGCACTCCGGTCTGGTATGGAACAATTTGCTGAGTACTGGGGTCTCGGACAAGCAATCCTCCGTATGTTGTTGGTCTCTCATTGCATCGATCCACAGTGGTTGCTAATCATAACTACTTGTTAGAATCCTTCCGCAGATATGAAGATAAACTCAGTCAGATAGGATGTACCAATGGGCGTACAGATATTGGGAAGGAATTCTTACTAGCAAAGAGGCTTTTGTCGCTTCCGGACCACATTGATAATGCTATCATCAATAACACCAATGGATTAGGTGAACTGATGGACAAAAACGAAACCAACTCCGACAATAACGGCCCGCGGCAGATACTAGACTCGGTAGTCACGTCTAACCCGTGGCACACTGGCCTGCATGGGAGTTATGCCAGCGATGTTGAATCCCTAGGCTCCTTTTGTTCGACGTTCTATGTTGATGATTTGCTGGGAAATTATTTTTAATATGTAGAAATAACGCGCATCTTATTAGCACTGCATATTAGGAGAATGGATCTGGTAGTGTCATGAATAAAATAATAGATTACTGTCGCCAAGCCTGTTTGAGATTTTGCTATTTATGATTACGCGCTTTGGCGAGAAAAGCCTATTCTCCTGTGCATGCATACCTGCTCTATCCTAGGCGTTAACGAGACCAGCTCCGACTTGGCAAGAATGTTAAACGCAAAACCACTGGTCTTTCTAAAGGATCGAACCAACTACCTTTTCAAATACATCCAGAAGATTTCAATTTTGTGACACAGGTCAGACATCGGACGTTGTTCGACACCAGCCCCCGAAACACCACGAGCTTTAAAACACCGTTCCAATACAGGAAGAATGTTAATTCCACACAAGGCCACACTCAATATCTGTCGGAAATAAGCATACCCCCAAGCTACGCAAAAGCCACTTAATTTCCATGCGCAACGATTAGAACAGTGCGCATGCCTTAAGTACCTGGCCGATGTCGATTACGTCATGTACCGGTACAATCTGCAAGAGCCTGTCCCGGACTTCAAGATGCAGGACTGAAGGGTGTTTTTGTATTCCGACAAAGACTATGCAGGACCGTGATAAGAAATATGTTGGCAGCACAGTCCACCAGCCAAAATGGACAAGGCACAACTGCAGATACTACAAGGCTTCTGCAATTCAAGTCGGTCTTGGCCCAGCTGACTTTAGACTGGGACACTGTGTTAATGGCCATCAAAACTGCAATCGCGCCCGCCGTGCTCGTTTGTATTATTGAAGCGGACGCATATATCAATTACTTCACCACAAATGCTTACTTGGCTGCGATCATTGCGGCTTCTGCGCTGCCTTCTCTTCCGCGGGCAAAGCTTATCGAGTACAATCTCCAACTCGCATTTACCACAGTCACGGCATATTGCTGGGCATTGCTTGCCGGCTGGTGTGCGCTGCAGGCCAGGAAACACACCACAGATAGCACTGGGCAGCTGGCAGCCTACAACTCCTCAGCTGAAGCCGTGGTCGCCATATTCCTGATAGTTATCATCTGGTGTGTGTTCACCTTAAAGTCTACCTATCCTTCTTGGAACCTCCAATTCACCTTGGCTGGCATCTACGCTGTTGCAGCAATGCCTGCTGTTGCTCGAGTGACTACTATGACAGAAGCCATTGCTAAGACCACCGTAATCCTGGAGGCTTTTCTAGCAGGACAGGCCATCGGCTTTGTCACCGGCCTTGTCATATTCCCGTCGAGTTGCAGAGGGGTATTCAAAAGAGACATAAAAGCCGCCCTAGATGCGTTGGTCGCTGTCATGCAGGCTCAAGGAAAATGCATGGACGATTTCAGGTCAAACAAGATCTCTGCGGAAAGCGAGGAAAGGAGCTCAGCTATCCGTCAGCTTGAGGAGACCCAGCAACAGCTCACAAATATCATTGTCAAGGCTCATGAAGGCGTCAGGTATGCAGAGCGAGAAGTATCTTGGGATCGTCTTAGTGGCTCAGATCTGCAGCATATTGCCTCATTGTTGGTCAACTTGATTCCACCTGCATCTGGTTTAAGCTCCACAGCCCACATGCTGCAGCTGGCCGCAGAAGGGTGCCGTTCGCACAATGGTACTGATGCGATGAATGGTCGTGATGTGGGAAATGATACCTCGGATGACGAGAAGGATTGGCATGATCTTGAGTTACAAATGCACCGGCACTCACTCTCGATATCTGAGGCAATCATCGACGGAGCGGAGCACGGCAAACTCAGGCTCGACCAGACCATCGGCTGTTCTTTGTTCGGCAAAATTCGTGCGCAAGAGACTGATGAAGAGCGCCGGGGGGAACTCATGCGCCCGGGAACGGCCAACTTTCTGAGGTCTTATCGTGACATCTTCTCCAGCTGTAGTGTTTCGCATCAGCAGGACCATGACACTAGAGAGGAAGAGCTGCTTCACAATTACATGCAGAACAGACCACAAGTTGAACATTGGGACCACGCCGCGCCTGAAGCGTATTCCAATACTCTGCGCTATTTTCTATTACTCCATGTAGGCGTGCAAGCTCTAGACTGCTATGAACTCAGTTAGCAACTAATTCTCACAGTTTCAAACCCTACTCTCATCTCTTGGAGACGAACTACTGCCGCTGCTGGTTTTCCTCGAGGACTGCAATACGAAACCCAAGCGACTTCGCCTTCCTCGTGCAAGTCGTATTGTTCGCTTGATCCCCTGGCTCACAACAATGGCCCGTTCGCGATGGCGCCGGCAAGAGAATGCCGATGTTGAAGAGGATGTTAAACTTGGCTCCGCATTCTATAATCAAAGGGACCCCGATCACCTCCCTCCTGTTAACTTGGTTCAGTCTGTTGGAGACGGGATTCGCCAAATCAGCTCCATCCTGCGCACCGACCATGCTGCCTATGGTCTTCGGGGAGTCTGTGCTATCATGACTATCGCGATACTTTCCTTCCTCCGTGACTCTCAGACATTTTACTTTGGACACCAATTTCTCTGGGCCATGTTTGCCATATTACTCTCCATGGGCCGCACTGCTGGATCATCAACCTTTCTTCTATTGTGCCGCATACTGGGGACAATCCTTTCCATGATAGTCTGCTATCTTATCTGGTACATCCCCGATCAAAAAACACCGGGGATTCTCGTTTTGCTCTGGCTCTGGTTCACCGTTATTGGCTACCTCTGTAAGTACTGCAGGGCCCCTCCCGTATCACTTCACTGAGAAAGAACTGAACCATGCTTACTTTCTCTCTGCTAGTTGTTCGATTCCCAAGTTTTTCGAGCATATGGTTCGTAGCCCTTGTAGCCGCAATTGTCATGATAGCCACTGAGCTTCAAGACCGTCGTCTGGGGCAAGAAGCCGTATCGAAATCCGGATTTGCAGTTTACGCGCCATATATCACCTTTCCCTACCGACTTGCTGTTGTGGCTGTCGGCGTTCTCATTGGGTACTTCTGGACAATTGTCCCATATCCACTGTCCGAACACTACGAGCTCCGCCAGGAGGTGGCAAAGTCCATGTACATGCTCGCCAACTTCTACATGTGCATCCGCCAAATAATCTTTGCCCGTATTAACGGCACTGCTGGAGATCCCACTGATAAGATCAGCCCCGCCTTCCACCTGCAAGAAGCTCGCCGCCGTGTCTTCCGCCAGTACCAGACACTGATGAGCAACGGCAAGAAATACTTCCAGTTCCTAGATTGGGAATTCGCTCTCGGTGGACGCTTTCCCAAAAGAGCTTATAGTGAGATTCTGCTCATCATAGAGCGTCTGGGCGGCTACATGACCTTGACCGGATATGCGTCTCGCTCACTAAATCGCTCTTCTGGTCCGTCTCTCTGGTGGACTGCCGACCAGACTGGAACGGTCGAGAGCTATATCGCTCTGGATGGCATCGCTACCAGGCTGATCATCCTGCATTCTGCATTGGCTGGTGGCCATGCCATGCCGCCGCAGCTTAGGAAGTTTGGAATCCCGGACCTGAGGGACTTCCTTAGCAGGGAGATACCCTCTGAAGAAGGATTTGCCGCGGCAGCCCTTATTCGCAGCGTCAACTGGTATATGACTCGGGATCTAAATCGGCTGACGCAGTAAGTAACCGGCCTGGCTTCAATATGTCTCGAACTATAGGCTGATAACAAGTTTCTGGAGCAGGCTAGTTGGGGAGATCGTAGGGGAGCTCGACTTTTCTGTTATTGTTGATCAGGAGAGATTAGCACATTGGAATATCACCTGATATGACGAACTTGTTCCCTCCAGCAGTTGAGCCTGTCCTTTCCAGATCGGCCCAGGGATCCAAATTGAAAGAGGCCGCCTGGCTTGGAGACCACGGTCGACGCCGTACCGTGCAAGCCTCGCCGATGCTGCCTTGTCAGAAAGCAGCGTGTAATCCGTATACCGAGTTAAGCAGGGATGACTGCGTAGTGATTGTTGGATCCGTAGGCATGCGGCCAATGACTCCTTTTGAGTTGATCCTTGTCGCTACAGGGTATTGACTTTACTTTATCAATCACATGCAACGAAGCAAGCATTATATTTAGATACAAATCGCAGACCAAATTAGCGCAGATCTTGCCCCGGCTTCCTTAGATACCTTCAAGCCAGCCACGCGTGAGCCAGGGATTTTTCTAGCTCTCATATCTTGTGTTTTTAGGGTAAGTTCAAGCGGAATGTTATGTTGTTCCTCGAAGGTGCTAAGGTCCGTTTAGCCTTATTCGTAGGCAGCCAATACAATACCACTTATCACAGCCTGTCGGTTAATACTTTGATCATTGATGGTCTCGAACAGGACCAAACACATGGGCGATCTTTTAAGTCGAGATAGGGCTCCTTTCTCTTGTCAAGGATGTTTAGTAATATATTATTATAAAAAAATCACTTTATCCATAATAAGTTTTAGTATTTCCAAAGGGCAAGCGGTTTATATTTAATTTTATACTAGAGATTTATAGTCAAAGCAAGTGCTTTGTATTATAACTAAAGCACCTGTATTATTAACTTGACTACTAAATTAAAAAGTTTAACAAAGCCAAGAAGCTTTGGCAGTAACGTTAAATTTTCTATAGCTATAGTTTTCTTATATTTAAATTAACCATTAGTTATTCTATCTACGTCGGAAGCCTATCGAGCCTAACGACATCCCACCGTGGCAGAAAACCCCACCCCGTTATCCCGTCAGCGCAGAAAAAACATCCCCTCCACCAGTTCCCCGCGGTCATCTCTCGTTACCACTGAGGAACCCTGGAACGAGACACAGTAAAGAGCTACGACACTCTGCTGGCCGGAAGAATTGAACCATTTACTTTTCGCCATTCTAAGTTACGCGCTAGTCTAAGCTCAAAAGGCAGTTCCGGGTCGTGGTATCGGTTCGCTTGCGTCAGAGCTGCATAGTGAGTACGGCTGCGATCCATCTCCCTTTATCGTCACTGGTGTTTGACAGCTTACTCCTGTGTCTTCCTTTTGATATTTCTCATGGTGGTCTAGAGCAACTACTCTCTGTTCTGGGTTTACTCCAGGTTTGCTCGAAACCACATACACACTAGCATACGCAGGCCTTCCGCACCCATTTGCTTATTCTCCCTCTTCCTCTTTTCACTAGGCAATTGATAGTTCATTACCTCTCGCAATGGCTCAAGAATGGAATATCCGTTTCCCGACGCCGCCGGCGGTCATTGATAATATCCACTTGCAAAACATCCAACTGCATCTGCCAATGGGCCCGGATCCGTGGCATCGATCAGGGAAGCCACAACCATGCACGGCATCTATGAAACTCTCATATTCGTCTGCGATCGCTGCTGCGGCCGCTGATGATGTCTCACTCTCCCTCGACTATGGCAAGCTGTACCGTTTCGTGGAACGTGAAGTTCGCGATGGAGGCCGGTCTCAACTCCCCATCAAAGAGATGATGGGGGTGGATCTCAGTCAGAAGGAAGTCACAGGGGAGATACTCCTGGGAGGAGATGTGCGGATTATCGCAGGGCAGATTGCAAACTGCGGTTTGACGTTACTGGACGAGACGGTGGCAGGTGTCCGAAGGATGTCGCATGTTCATCAGAGCCCAACACGACAGAGACGTGGAAGTGAAGCTGGGAGAAGGATGAGCAGTGGAGCAGTCGATGCTCAGGCGCGAGCTCAGGCTGTGGCTCAGGCTGGAGCAGGCGCTGAACTTTTGGACGGAGAATTCGGCCAGTGTGAAGTCTGGCTGCACCTTCCAAACGCGCTGCTACGAGCCGAGGAAGGTCTTAAGTACCGATGCGTTATGGTATGGGGTTACAAGGAGATCCCGGGACGTCAAGAGGATGCTACAGCTAGTGAAAGGCGACCGATGGTTCGGGAACAGGAATTCCGGATCGACGGAATACGGTGTCACTGTATCCTGGGAGTCAATTCACATGAAAGACTCGAGAAGCAAGCGGTCATCGTGTCTCTCGAATTCAGCGGCCCCGGACACCTCCCGTGGGCCAGCACGGTCGTCGAGACATATCCCCAGCTGACCAGAGTGGTCGCTGAGGTGAGGTTCCCCTTCAGGCTTCATCATCTGCTTCTGTACTAATATATCATGCTTCGTTTCCAGCGCGTCGAAGGTACATCATACCAGACTGTCGAGGCTCTCGCGACATTTATCGCACGGATTGTCACCGTGGAGTTTGGCAATGACAGAGTCACGGTCAAGGTGGAAAAGCCCAGCGCGCTCGCTTTTGTCGAGAGGGCCGGCGTGGAGATCACCCGCTCTCGGGCGTTCTTCATCTCGTAGATCATTATCATCCCTGTAAGAGACTATCTAGGGGTGCATGTTTAGGTCGCGCCTGCAAATCATCATCTCCTGAGACCACCGATGGCAGATGGCAGCTCATCCCGGGGTGTACTCGTACTGTTTGTTCAAAGCAGTTAACTGTCCCAGACTCGTGGCTTTGTACAATCTCTGTAATAACTATAATAACTATACTATAGATACAGATCAATCATAATAATAATCATAATTCAGTCCGTCCAGAGCCGGAGCCCCGGAGGCCAATGGGCCCTGCACGTGACGTAATAGGTGCCGATTCCGGGTTAGCGCTCAGGGTTTGCCCCGTGGATCGGTCATCCTCCTTTTAAGGCTTCAGCGACTGGCCGCAGCAACTTTCTTTCTCTGACAGCGCATCTTAACTCTCTCAGCGACTTGTATAGCGTTGGCCTTTATTCGGTCCGTTTCGAATCTAGCAATTGCATCTAGTATACATTACGATTCTTCCTCTATGGGCTTGTCTGTGTCGAACTCGTCCTTGTCCGCTTCCTCGTATATTTCCGGTGGCTGCTTTGCGAACCTGAACCCTTTCTTCCCAGAGAACAACAAGAAGGAATCGAAGGAATCCGCTGTCGCCTCTCCTGCTCTTGCCGTGGGATTTGGAGCAGAAGTCCCTGCCCTCGCACACTCCGGATCGAGGGTTAGCGACGTGATCTGGCTAGGGGTGCTTGGTCCGTCCTGAATAAGGGCGGACGGTAAATTGTCGGGGGCCTCCGAAAGTCTTGCTTGGTAGCGGACATACTTGGGATTCTCTTGACGTGATGTATGGGATTTCCGGAGTTGAAGACATCAAAGCGGGGAATGCTAACCTATATATTTTTTTCAACAGACCATTCTATTTAGACAGACGCGGAAAGACTGTCTGTCTTGTAAATACACCTATGTTCCAGCTGAGGTAAACGTATCAATTGCAGCGGTGAACCCCTGTCTTCGAAGATGTATTCGGATCTTCTTTCGCAAACTGAATCGGCATCGACCAGCGGTCATGATGACCTCTCCGTCGGCGATGTGTTTACCCCACAAGCGGATCTTAATCTCCAGATGGATACTGAAAAAGTTGAGGAAACTGGATTCAATATGCGCACCGACTGTCCAGCGCCCAGGAGGGTTCCTTCAATTATCCCGGAGGAAAAGGGACGTCATCCAAACGGAGCGCCAACTGCGCATCGTGCGAGCGCGAATACCCCGCGAAAGAAGAAGAAGAAACCGCGCGCCATCCAGGAAAATCAGCTTGCCCCTGCTTTGTCGACAGTTCGAGGCTTTACCCCAGCGCCTTCCGGTGATGAAGATTCGGACTTTTCTAACACGGGTTCCTGTGTGATGTCCCCTCGACTGAATCCGCTCCCGGGCAATGCGGATAGCCCGGTGACACGGCCCGCTTCAGCATGTGGTGGAATCAGCGCCTTGAAGCTGCAGCTCGATTCTCTGAGCCTTTCTGGCAGCCGTGTGTCAAGCAAGCTCGGGTCGCAGACCCCGAGTAACGCCAGTGTAAGCTCGGATAGTGACCGGACCGAGGTGATGACCAGCTATGAGGTGCCTCTGGAGGAGGACTTTGTCAGCGCTGACGCCGCTGCGGACGAAGCCCAGACTTCCATGGACGAGGAGGATCTGCGTAAACAGCTATGCAGAAAGATGACGACCAGGGACTTTGAACCATTGATGTGTCTGGGGAAGGGCTCTTTTGGAACTGTGTTGCTCGTGCGCCACAATATCACGGGAAAGCTCTACGCGCAAAAGCAGTTCCGGAAAGCCTCAATTACCGTTCACCGGAAGCTCGTTGAGCAGACAAAGACCGAACGTATGATCCTGGAGAGCGTCAACCGCCATCCGTTCGTTGTGAAACTTTACTACGCCTTCCAAGACCACGAGAAACTCTACCTCATTTTGGAATATGCCCAAGGTGGTGAGCTGTTCACCCACTTGGCAATGGAACGCATGTTCTCAGAAGATGCCGCCGCCTTCTATATGGCTGAGATGGTCCTGGCGCTTGAACATCTCCATCAGAATGTCGGAGTGGTCTACCGTGACCTGAAGCCCGAGAACTGTCTCTTGGACGCCGAAGGTCATCTGCTGCTTACCGACTTCGGATTGAGTAAGGTCGCCGTCAATGAAGATGACCGTTGCAATTCCTCACTTGGAACTATCGAATACATGGCGCCCGAAGTCATACAAGGCAAGCCTTATGGCAAGGCTTGTGATTGGTGGTCGCTGGGTGCTCTGGGATTCGACCTCTTGACTGGTTCGCCGCCATTCAAAGCCAACAACAATGCGAAGATGCAGGAGAAGATCATTAAGCAGAAGCTAGTCCTGCCGTACTTCCTGGGCCCCGATGCGAAGGACCTGCTCACCCGTCTGCTCCGTAAGGAGCCTTCCAAGAGGCTTGGCTACCATATGCCCAAGGACCTGCAGACCATCAAGAAACACCGTTTCTTCCGCAAAATTGACTGGAAGGCTCTTGAGCGACGGGAGCTGGAACCCCCGATCAAGCCTGTCATCACGGATCCTGCGTTGGCAGAGAATTTCTCTACCGACTTCACCGGCCTGACGCTCAGTCCGATGGTGAGCACCAATGATTTCGAAGAGGACGATGTCGGGAAAATGTTGAACATGGTTGGGGCGTCTGGCGGGAAGGACGTGCCTGGTGAAGCTCCGGTCGAGACTGATCCTTTTGGCGGTTTCAGCTTCGTGGCTCCGAGCAGCCTTTTGAATAGTGATGCCGGGCTGACTGCTGCCGGATTCTGACTCCATGGCAGAAGAACTGCTGCTGTGTACGCCTGCTCTCTTAGAGATTATCTCTCTAGCAATTATCTCTGCACAGTCTCTACCGTCAAGCACACTTTCCCTCCCACTCTCATCAAGTTCGTAGACGATTGACTTGAAACGATATCAATCGGTCCATCAGACTAGTCTTCGTAGGTTTCGACTAGTCAGTAGAGCCATCTGATCTGCATGGGAACTCCGTTGCTTGGCGAGTGGTACAACTCCGTTGCTTCCTCCTTCGATTTGACGTCTAGCACGTAGATAGATCATCTCACGCCGTAACAGTATGGACGAGAATGTTGGAAATCCAGACGAATTGCTGGAACCCGAACGGGCATGTCCCGCCCACCGTCACGTGGCTGGTCTGGATTTTCGAGAATTGCGATAAGCAACGAAGGCGAAATCTCTCTGGCGCGATTCTTCGAAGTCCGCACTCCCCACCGCCGTCGCTCTCTTTTCTCCTCCGGCGCTCGCCTCCAGACTCTTGCAGGAAGCGCCCGCTGCCAGTCCACTCGTTTCGCATTCTCTTGAGTTCCGCGCTGGGTCTTGGGGCTCTTGTTCTTCTCCCGTGTGCACCGAACACGCACCCCGCTCACATCTACAGAGGCAGAGAGGAAACACATCCAGCTGGCCCCAGAAAGGACTGGATGCTGCTGGATAATGACTTCATCTCAACCTCCCAGCGACCCCTCCAGCGGGGCCCCTCTTGAGCCTTCCCTGAGTGAGAGTGCGGCGGCGGCGCCGAAATCAGCGCGCACGCGCAGTCTACAGTCGGGCGCAAAGTCTTCTTCGGCGCCAGCTGCTGTGGCGGCGAATGCGAAGGTACCAATTCCCCGGCAGCGATCTGGAGTCGAGGCCCGATATAGTCGTCGAGTCGCGAAGGCGTGCGAATCATGCAGGCAGCGGAAGACCAAGTGTAGCGGTGATACGCCTGTCTGCAGACAATGCCGCGAGCTCAGGGTTTCCTGCCATTATCCCGATGGGATGCGAGAGAAGACGAAGAGGTAAAAGAGATCATACCAAGCTGTGTCGAATCTTCTTTGTGTGTGCTTTCTCTTTTTGACTGACGGGGATTTTGGTCTCTGTAGGCATTTAGAAGAGCTTTCCTCGAAAACTCAAGACTTCGAGCAGCTGTTGAGGGACTTGGAAAACGTAGTCGACGGTCGTGCGGCAGAGAGGATCAAGAGGACGCTGGCTAAGGTTTGAGTCACTCCTCCTTGTGCCATGTTTCGATTTAACACCATACAGCATTCCGAAGATGAAGGATCGGGTCTGCAATCTGCCAGAGCTCAGGAGCAGGCAGAAATTGGCGATCTGTCTCCCGCATCGTCTATAGGTTCGTTGGAGGCAATTGACCGTGTGGAGGAGGATCTCAATCGAGGGGAAGAAGCCAGAGCGACGGGTTATATTGGAAAGAATTCGGAGATCAGCTGGATGCAGAGGTTGCACTTGGAAGCAGAGCAGCGTTCCAAGAAAGAGCCGGGAACAGCAGAGACCGAGGAATTCTCGCTTCCTTCCATGAATTACCATCTTGATGACATGGATATCACTGTGGAGGGACCCGTGGATCTATACTGGATGCCATCACGGCCGCTCGCGAACCAGCTTTTCCAGGACTACTTGAGAACAGTGCACCCCTATTTTCCTATCATCAATCGGCCTCACTTTACCGCGCAGTTTAGGACTTTCTACGAGCAGAATCCTAGGCCCGGTGATAAATGGCTTGCGATTCTGAATCTCATATTTGCCATCGCTGCTAAGCATGCGCATCTCATCCAGGCTTCTTGGCGCGGTGATTCACGCGACCATCTCGTTTATTTTACTCGCGCCAGGATCCTCAGCCTTAATGGGGACGTGCTTTTCAGTCACCCTGATTTGCAACAAGTGCAGGTGGAAGGCTTGATAGCCTTTTACCTGCTTTCTTCTGATCAAATAAACAGGTACGATACTCGCACCCTTTCTTATTTCAATCACCAACTTCACGCAAACATCCTGGGCTGGATCTGACATATGATATATTCAGGGCTTGGAGAATATCTGCCCTAGCTGTGCGCTCCGCTATCGCTCTAGGAATCAACATGAAAAATACCAGTGTAACTACACACAACCTCTCCAAGGAGGCGAGATATCGCGTATGGTGGTCTTTGTACTCATTTGAACATCTACTGGGGATAATGACCGGTCGAGTCACATGCATTCTAGATGGTGTCTCAACGGCTCCATTACCCCTTCCATGGGAAGAGGAACAGCTGAGCAACCAAATTGCAACGGAATTCCTTAGCAACCCTCAACTTCGTGAGGCTAAGATAGGGGGCGCAGTTGCCAGCGACCTTGTTCGGTTGATGCCGCTGAACCCCCCAGGAGGGAAAACAGCTGAGAAACAACCGAAGAAGCGAGATGCTGAGTGGCTGCAAAAGCTCAATCCTGGTTCCTCGCTTTTCTACTTGTACCTTGTTGATCTTACTGTGATTACACAAGAGATCGTCAACAAAGTTTATACCGCAGATGCGGTCAAGGTGCCATGGTCTCATATTGAGAACCGAATTGGAGACCTGAAGGCTCGCATTGATCTCTGGTTTTCATTGCTACCAGAGGCCATGGACTTCACCCATAAGGGAGATGACTCTCCTGAAATCGTACGGTGGAAGTTAGGCCTTGCGCTTCAATACTATAGCGCTCGGATCACGCTCGGTCGTCCATGTCTTTGTCGACGCGACGCTCAATTCTCTGACAAGGAGACTGGCGTCTCATTCAGTCACCGGTTATCCATTGTCTCTCTTGATGCTGCTGCACGAATGCTCGATCTAGTGCCAGACGTGCCCGACCCGATCGCTCTTTATGAGATTTCTCCATGGTGGTCCATCTTACACTGCTTCATGCAGGCTACCACAGTCCTGCTGCTGGAACTCTCCTTTGGATGCGTCCACATCCCTGGACAGGAGATGGATACGCTCAATTCCGCCAAGAAGGCAATACGCTGGCTACATGCGATGTCTAGAAATAGCATCGCTTCTAAGCGAGCCTGGCGTCTGTGCGATGGTACACTCCGGCGGATTGCAACCGGAATGGACTACGATGTAACGGATATGCCGCCTTCGCCAGTCGATGAGCCGGAGCAACCACTGCTTGGAGCTGATAATGTTGCCGGCACTGGTATCGGCGGGTTGGTGCCTCCATCCGTCGTTCCAACGTACGCCGACTGGACTGCTTCTATGGAGCAGAGGCCAATCGTGGCTTCTGAACCTCTACCCCAACCCACCGGGTTGGACTGGCAGCCTCTGCACCCCTCTCTCATGGGAGGCCAGAACGTACCAGGCGCTTTCTACACCACCGAGGCTCCCGTAGCAGGGAGCATTCACTTCCCATACGATCCCATCAGCGGAGAGTTCATCAGGTCATTCTTCCCTAATCCGGAGGAAGAGCCTGAATGGGAACAGTGGGAATGAGCCCATGGTGCTTGTTCATCTTCCGTCTACTGTTGTACAGCCTGGGAAACCGGGCAAAAAAACAGGAATCACAACGGGAAAATCTCGAGCTATTGAGGGCTGGCCCCCTCATTGCTTGCCTATTTACTGATATATCTTTCTGTGTACATTATTTATATGCATGCACATCGGCCCCCCTCCCCTCCTTTCTTTCCCTTCCTTTCCCTGCTACATATGATTGATTATTTTCAATTCTCAGCCTATAACCATGGCGCCCGTTAAAAAAAAGGCCCGTGGGGCAGAACATGGCCTTTTGAAACAACATATCTATCTTTCGAATTTATATACTTTTTTGTGGGCGGGTTGGATGGAGGAGGGGCGGCTTGTGTATATATAAGATTCTTTCCCTTGACGGATAATGTATGTATGAATCATGGCGCAGTACATGAAAGCAGGCGCATATACGACGATCAAATAGCTTAGATAGATATGAAGAACATTGGAATGGAGGGGCAATGTTATTTAGTTACTTACACATCTCTCTTACAGTGCGTCTATCATTGCGCATTCTTTTTTATTTTATTTCGTTTCTAGTAATACATCCTGAACATACCTCTGAAACGAACTCTACCCATCTATACTCGTTCTAATCATACAGTATGATATTCTAATCGTCTACTATCGCATCGTATAAGAAGAAAAGACAACCCCAAAAAAGGACATGAAACGTAGAACCCTTCTGTTAGTGAAGTTTTGTTCAAATCTGAGGGTATATAGCATAGTATAATACAAGATGAGTTATGTAAACGGAAAAGTAGAATACACCGCTTTTTTTCCTTCAAGGGTATCTGAATTGCAGCAGAGTGGGGGAAAAAGCAACTGGAATGCTCAGGAGTATGCAGGATGGAGGAAAAGGAGGAAGGGAGTCATGAGGTATAACTGAGCCATAGGATTTGAAAGGTAACGGTAAGACAGGGTGTGAAGAGCATGATCATCAGGCGAAGACGGTTCTGGCCTTTTGGTCCTTAGCTTTATTCTTGATGATATGTTTGGGGGCCTTCCTCTTTTTTGATAACGGCTCCTTCATTTTTCGGCTTAGGTGGCCTTGGACTTCTCTGTCGATTTCCTTCTCGTAGAGGCGCAGACTGCGGAATTTGTCGATGCAAAAGTCCAGCACTTCAGCAGGAGTTGCGCTCTCTGGAGAGGAGATGGCGTCCGTGGGATTGTTTGCGGTCGACTTCTGGGATTCTTGGAGCCTATATTCCTTGACAGCTGCCTGAGCAATGATGCGGACTGTGTTTAGGTTTGGGATAACGGCCTTCCTCTGGATCTCTGCCAACCTAAGCGGGTTGAAAGCAGGCGCGCCCTTTCTGAAATCGAGTTCGTCGGACGAGTATAGACGGGCAGTGCCACCCTCCTGCAGACGTCTCATCTCGGAATACTCGGGTGAGAGACACCATCGCTCCCATAACTGCTTGCCGGCGGCGCTGCCGTAAATATCTACGACCGCCGTAAGTAGATTATGGAAGGCTACAGACGGGACGTAAGGTAGTATATGTCGACTGCCTGATGGTTTGTACTTGAGTTCTGCCTTCTCCGCGACTTCCCGAAGTGGGCCTGGAAGACTCATGAAGATCTGGTAGTGTCTGTACAAGGCCCTTTCTTGATATCCAGATCGCCTTTGCGGATTAGGCGGGACATTGAATTCACCACTAAGGACTCTTCGTAGGATATCCTTTGCTCGGAAAAGTGAGCTGGTCTTATCGTCGCTGGGAGATGGTCCGCCCTTGTGTTTGGCTGCACGATCCAATCTGAGAACGATAGCCGCGAGAGCAGTGATATTACTCTCACCCCAAGCCTTCGCTTTGTGGTCCCGAAGATACTCAAACATTGTGACTACTCGATCCCATTCTCCCATTGTAATCCGGAAACTGAGGAGAGCTTTGAGAGTATTACGCGAAACAGGTTGAGTCAGTGATTTGACAACCTGGTTGCAGAGCTCTGTATTCCTTGTAGCTGCCGCGAATCGTAATATCGAAGGCGCCAAAGCCTCATCGCCAAAGGACCCGAGAGGGATGGCTGGGCCATCGACATCAGTAGAAAAGAGCAACCATTCCCCAAGACTGAAGGCGCGGGAAGTAGTTGCCAGGTCGAGGACATGCGCCAAGGTCACCAAGGACAACTGCGGAACTGAGGAGCCTCCCGGATTGATTGAGGGGTACTTCCGTTGGCTGAGAAATGCGTTGCCATTGTCGAGCTGCCGGATCTCGTCGAGGAAGCCTTGTATATGTTGCAGCTTACTTGAATCAACGAGTTCCTGTAACCAAGTAAACATGTCGAAAGCAGCTCCAGCATGACGATATTCCGCATAAGACCTGAGGTTATACTCGACCAAACCGATCAGAGCGGCCGAGTCATCGTATAACTGCGGCTTTTCCAACAATTCCAGGTCCTCTTCAGCAGTGGGAGTATTAGAATCCCAAGGCGGCACGATATGAGACTGTGCTCGTAGTAATCGCTCGAGAGCCTGCGGATCAGCCTGTGGATCGATAGCACGGGACTCGATCATCCTCGTTACCGACCAGTTTGACACTCTCGACGGAGGCCTCAGAGCTCCTTTGGGGGAACGTAGAAGCATGGACTGGAGGAAATTCAGATTTTGCAGAATGCTACCTGGGGAATACCCGCGGTAGCCTAGTCCACGATAGACTAGGTTCGCAGCGCCGTCCATCAAGGATTCGATAACCTCTGCACTGATTGTTCGCTTTCCCAGGCCTAGAAACAACCCTCTCTTACTCTTAGCTGACCGGCTGGTCGGCGTGTCCCCCGGACGGTGCCAGAAATCCTCCACATCGATATTTGTATCTGCTACCGAGCGTGGATGAGCAAGAAGAGGTTTCCAGCTGTCGACTTTCCAAGCAAGATCACCCTCACGGGCTTTCATCTGTTGCACAATCCATGTTCCCTCTTTCACGTAGCCTTCCTCCACGCAGCACCACAGAATGAACTCCAACCAGATCTCGGACCCTAATTGCCGAATTCCCATATTGAAAGGAAGAAAAGGCGACTTCTGTCCTACCGCAGCCGCTTTCGCGGATATCTCTGCTTCCTGCACCCTCCACACAGTATCAGACAGAACGTTCATGATATGTGTGGAGAGGAGATGCATTCCAGGCGGGCGGAACAATGCATCCTCATCACTCTGGGCCTTATACTTATAGACCGCATCAGGTATTGAACCGGAATGGTGAAGACGAGCAAGGACCTGGTAGACGTATTGCATGGCGACATTAGACTGCTCAGGAGACACATCTGCAGCCTCGAGAATAATAGATCCCAAACTCTGCCACAGTTCCCGCTTCAATAACCGCGATAGCTCCTGGGCCAATGGCCGTTCCGTCGTCTTATCCAAATCCGTTTCCGAGACAGCCGCATTGAGGCTTTCTCGCTTGATGCGGATTTCAGCGGGCTTAAATTCGAGGAAGTCGCTGGTGAGTTGATCCAATGACGTCTCGGATCCCCAGTCGATATTGGAAGGTAGACGCGACTGAATCGACAGGGCCTCTAGTGATTCCGTCGAGTCAAGGAGCTGGTTAACGAGCGCATGGACGGCCTGCCACCTGCCAAGTTTGAACCCAAGATGCGTAAGGAGATCCAAATTGTTTAGCTTCCTTGCTTGAAACAAGAGAGTAGCTATGGCCTGACTTTGCTCATGGATATCCTGTTGAGCAAGACTGCTCTCCGCCGGTCCAGCATCGTCTGTTGTATTTCCCCGTAGTTCCGCGGGTAGGAAATGATCGAGATATCTGATCCAGGCATTCGGATCTCTGCGCTCCGACGTAGGCACTGGGCAAACCGGTTGCTTATCCAGGACATCTTCACGCAATCGTAAGAGGGTCGTTTGGAGTCCGGAGCCATCTCTCTGGGGATTCCATTGCGCCTGTTGACGACCCCGACTCGTACTCACGAAGTGCGATACCGGGTGGACCGAACGACTCGAGAGATCATAAGGACGAGCGAGGACAGACTTGCGGCCCAGATGTATCGGACGGCCCGCGCGAAGGCACGCTCTCATGACACGGACACGGAGGTAGGCGGGAAGAGAATGTATGGAAGGTGACTTCGCTCGCAAGGACGTCCTGGGCGCATATCCGGAGACTCATATACATCCCATCGTTCGCAATCCAGTTGACAGACAAGTTGGTTGTCAACTGTCAAGGGAAACGATCCGTCCAGCTTCAGCTTTTTGTCCGCAAGATAATTCTTGGGATGAGAAGAAAAGCAGAGCGGCAACTGCGCGCTTAGTCATCTTACATGGACCAATGACTGCAGTGCATTTCTATACAGATTTCTCAACTACCAGTGTTGTTATTGGCTCGAGTGTTACAATATTTACTCTACAAGATCATACAAGGAGTGGAGAATAGAAAGAATAATAAGTGTTCAAAGTGTTGTCTATATTCGTTAAATGAGTGGCATGGACCTATACGGTCCTTTCGTCCTGTCTGGGCATGTATCCAACCGATAAAACTCGCTTCTATATACAAAGAATCTGATTACAACCCCCGTTACATTATAACTGGCCCATCGAGTGTTTATGGAGGTCATGAAAGGGACGTGAAGAAGTTGCGGCGCGAACATCTGTTTCTGTGAAAAGATTTCTTGCGCGGTGCCGGGTGCTGCGGAGTGAGGACTCTATGAGCGGAGGACGGTGATGGTGGCTTTCTGTGCTGTCCAAGGATTGAGGAGAGCTCGAAAAAGCAATTCGGCTTCGTTGAATTAGAGAGCCTTTCTGTCAGGGCACCTCATTGTCGATCATCGGTCATCTTTTCGTGTTTTTATGCGTTGAAGCGTCTGGTCTGGCGAACGGGGGTCCTCTTGAAGCCGAAGTTGCCGAGCTTAGGGACAGCAGACAGCGTCTCGTTCTGAAGGTTGCGAGTAGAGAGAAGGTGCGAAGGAACGGCGCTGGGACCACCAGAGGGCTTGCAAGCTGGTCAGCGTGCGAATCGACGTGATTAACATCAAGAAGCTGGACTTACAACGACAGTGTAGTTGTGACCAACAGTGCCAGTGGGCAGCAGGACACTGCTGAAGACCGGGGTAACGCAAAGCGCAACAGCGCCGAAAACAGTAGCGAGCTTCATCTTCGTTTGACGGTAGACGGAAGTGACCGGGTTTCTCTGAGAGGCAAGGAAGATATTGTATTATGAATCAGATATTGCAGGTGGTGAAGAGAAGCTACTTGGTGCTGGGGAGGGGGATGGGTAAATAGGAAAGCGAGCAGAAACTGCTAGCCTCCATTAGAATAAGAGCTCCATAAGTATCTAGAACCCAGTCAACTTTGCCAGTCATACAGTGCTGGATCGACGCCGTGACGCCCAAGGGAGTAAGATGGTCGTTAGGGCGACGGCCAAAGCGAGAGACATCAGCATCGCAGGCTTCACAGCCCGTCCGAGGAGAGGGATCTACGTGGAAATGCCCTGTCTGGCGGTGTCTGCCTAACTCATGGCAGGTGTTGATATCAGTGCACATCCTTCTTTCAGCCAGTGGATTCGGTCCAGCATCTCTTTTCGACTTGTCGAGCAATCTCTAGTTTGCTCCGTACGGGCCGGCTGCAAGTCCGGGTCCGCCGACGGCAAAGGAACTTGGATGTCCGGAGAGCCGACTATTCAGTCTAGCATCATTGCTAGAAGTTCTAGAGAACGAACCGTCTTGGGAGTGGAACCAAAACTAAACACGGCGCGAATAAAATCGATGTGTTGAACCCGTCGGCGCCACACCGTTGTTCCTTGTAGCCCGAGTCGGTCATCCGTGTTGTGTATGCGAGCCTTGCGAGAATAGAAGCGAGAGATCGTCGGTGGAACCGTTGCAGTCTTTTCTTGCAACATTGAACAAGCACTCTCAACAGGGGCTGGGCTTCGATATGGCAGGGCCTAGATTGATGATCCGCGCACTGCCTTCTCCAGCTTCAGAGCTTCCGGTTCCTTGTTGAGCCTGTTGAGGACCTCATAGTGAAAGCCGCCGCTGGTGTGCCTTTCGTCATCGGAAAAAGATAAAAAAAATTTGCAGGTACCTGAAAACCAAGCTGCCGATAATTCGAATACTAATAATATCTAGCGAGCTTAGGCCCACGACCTGGTTATCAGCGCTGCTGGGCCCTGTCCGATGTTAGTTATCCAATGTGCCACTTATCACGTCAGCAGCTATCTCCTGCTGCCAAATACTCTTGATCAGGGAACGATCGCCTGTTGTACGTGGGCGAGTAATGAGAGCACTCTCAATGGTGTGCTCCCGGTATCACTCATGTAGGGTCCTTGGACCTGATAAATATCAAGGCAGGGTAACGTTTCAGTATTCGATTATCGCAGAAATCATTCGTCCAAGCAGTGAATGGCATTTCACACTTCACAGAGGGCCACAGCGGGATATCGATAAAGCACCAAATGCACATCAGTCAAGATAAGTAAGTGATCAGTAGTGGGTAACTAATCACGCACGTCATCAGCACCGTGGATATCAGAATCTTTCCAATAATAAGTATCCCAGGGTCCTCTGCCAACGGAGAATTTTCCCAAACGGGGAGGCGCCAGGCAAAAGATATATCAATTTTAGACCAAGAGGACAAAACAATAACTGTATACAGGACCGCTAATCATCAATCATAATAAAAAGACAATATAACTACCCATCCTAACATGTACGCCGTCATGATGTAACAGTATAACTGCTTTAACTCTCGTCCATGGGGGTATCGTCATCGGGCTCTACATCGCCACCCAATTCCTGTTCGACTTCGTCTGCAACAAAGCTCTCGTAATCCTCCAAGCTCTTTTGAACGTGCACCTTGAACCGGATGATGTCGTTGAGCATACTCTCTATCCCGGTGTGGAGCTCTTCCCGGAGTGCGTTTGCGCGGAGCGTGAGCTGTTCATATTCGATGTTTGTGTTCATCTCGCGCTGCTCCATCAGTTGAACGCTCTCTGTCAAAGTCGCTCGCATCTTCGCGAGTTCCTTCTCCATCTTTTCGATCTGCGCATCGGAGGCCAGCTTCTGGGTTGTCGTGATCTCCTTGGTCCTTTCGAATTCTTCCTCTGCCGCGCGTCTCCGGTGCTCCAGGGCCTCCACCTCGCTTCGCTTTTCATCCATAGCTTCCTTGATGTTATCGAGCAGGTTACGTCGCTCCAGGTCGTCGTCAATGGCCCGTTTTCGTCTCTCATTGATCTCTTTCTTCAAGGCGTTCAGATTGCTCCGCACGATGCCCCTGAGATCCAGGTTAAGTAGATGTGCTGGATGATAGCCTGTAACCGGGTCGGCAACGAGGCGATCTCCTTCTGGGGAAGTCCGACTCTGGGATCCGCCAAGCTGAGACGAAGAGAAATTGCTCTCGTTAACATTGAGATGAAGCTCGTAGTCCTCGCCTTTCGCGTTAACAGCGGACGCTGGAATAAGACTCGTCTGGTACCCTAGGGTATTATATGTCTTGACAATCTGTTCGAGGTCTTCTAACTTTTGACTGGCTTCTGCTTCCTTCTCCATGACCCGGGCGTGCACCTCTTCCAAACGGCTGAGGGTATCATCAAGACTCTTCTGAAGCCTCTCCCGCTCCGTATTCATGCGGTCGATGTCTTGGATTGTGATACCCTGTCGGTCAACACTTGCCTGAAGACCGGAGCGTTCCTCCTCTGCAGCTTGCAGGTCGGCATCGGTTTTCTTGATCTCCTCGTCCAAGAACTTGATCCGGTTCTCGTACTTGTCAATCTTGCCTTGCACGTTCTGGTTGTAATCCTCGAATTTTCGCTTATCGTCTTCCAGTATCCGGAAATGCTTATCGAGCTTGGGGATGTCCGGTGCGTTCTTTTCCAGCTCCTCAATCTGGTCCCGCAAAGCCCTGTTTTCGGCCTCCAAAACTTTCATCTCTTGCACGTACCGTTCATTTCCTTTCTCGAATTCCGCCGCCATCGCCTCGACATGAGGTACCAGCCGCTTCTCCGCGATCTCGTCATCTTCGTCTTCACCTCCCTGGAGCCAATCGTGATACGCCCCCGTCAAAAATCGGAAGATGATCCGGTCACCGGTAACGTCTACTCCAGCTTCGGCACACGCATCATCGTATTCACCCATATAGAACCTATCCAACATCTGTGCCAGCTGCATCATCCAATGTAGCAAACCAAGAAACGTAGGCCAGTTTTGACCTCCCACTGCCGCAAGTTGCGACTTCGTGATACTTTTCTCGAATGGGTATCGTAGCTGCTTCAGAATCGGCGGTACCTCCGCATCAATGCTCTTTTGAAATTTATAGCTTGGATCAATCCGGTGGTATAGCCACTGAAAGATATAATTGAAGTCCTTCTGCGTAGGCGACCTCAACGTGTTCTGGCCCAATGAATGCTTCATCTCCAGCTCGAAGTTGTTATGTGTCAGGTATTCTAAGATCTCCTGACCGATCCTGGCCTGGAAAGCTCGATCCCGCAGAGGACGAGGGTCTCGTGGCACACCAGCTGGCGCAGGCGCTTGTGTGAAGAAAGATTGATGGCTCATCGGGGCAGCCGTGGAGGGCCGCGAGAACACACTGCTTCTTCGTTGCAGATTCTGAGCTGAATTTAGAGGCAGTGATCCGAGAGCATAGCTTGGACGACCGACGCTCGCGGTTTGGAACATATTCGCTGAAATAGACCGCCGTACAGTCGACAAGCCCATATCCGCACCAAAGCTCCCCCCCGATGACGAGCGCTGGAAATTGGGCTGTTGCGGACGACCCATAGAACCGAGCATCGACGCGCGACCGTGTTGACCGGTATACGGAGGATTCTGGAAACCAATTGAACTGGTTCGTTTCAGCGCGGAGGCGGGCTGAGGAATGGCTGAGAAATTCTGGACGCTCCCAAGAGTCTGCGCCGTTGACTGCGTCAGCATACAGTTAACCTCTGCTTCCACATCTCACATAATCAAGATCAGGAATTCATATTCTCATACCTCTCGAGGGCGCCGAATGCTGAACAAACCGGTGTCCTGCGACATGGTGACAGCAACGCCGCGACGTGCGGCTGACAAGGCAAGAACCAGAAAGAGAAGTCGCGATCCGGTCGCAGTATCGATGTAATTTCCCTGTACCAAAAAAAAGATTCCAAGGGCGCCAGCGATGGGGGTTCCTGGGGTAATGGCGGGGGAGTTTTCTCGGTCTCGAATCTCGATGCGCCAACGCAGAAAGTAAACAAAAGGAGAGTTCTGAAGCAGCCAGGAAAGGAAGGCGGTACCGGCGACGGAGAAACATGATCCCGCATCACGAGACTGTGGGGAAGTTCCCGAGGTAAAAGCGAAAAGGGAAGGTGAGCGGAGCCTCCAACCGGCAGCTCCGCGCGATCTCTCCAAGTCCCGTCTTCGATCGCCTCTGGTATCTCCTCGCCTCGTCTCTGGATATCGACCAGAGCTTTCTGGATGCGTCGTTAGGTGCTCAAGTGTTTGATCCGGTGAAGGCGCAAGTCATCCATCATGGCTCGTGAGGAGCTTGTCTCCTCAGCTGTATGTATCCGATAAGCATATACCAACCCCAACTGCATCGACCGTGGAGCTAACGCTACTTGCTGCTGCTAGGTTACCTGTACGTGGCACGCGCTTCCCTCTGTTCAATTGAAATTGTCGTGATTGTTCTCTTAACAGCCATACAGTTCTTCAGGATCCATCTGTGGCGTCATCACCTCTTGAGAAGCGGATCGCATTTTTGCAGTCAAAGAACTTGACTCAAGAGGAGATTGACTTGGCCTTGGCCCGAGCTGGCGAAGACACCGCTTCTGCTGTTGCCCCAGCATCCACCTCTCAAGGATATGCTCCTTCACAAGCTGTCTATCGACCTCCGCCTCAAGGATATGGCTATCCTCCGTATGGTCAGTGGCAGCCTCCGCCACCGGAGTAAGTTCCGCAGTTGTTGGACATGTTGTAGGATGATAGGACCTCTATTGACCACTTGATAACTAGAGTTCCCAGGAGAGACTGGCGTGACTGGTTTATAATGGCGACAGTGATGGGTGGCGTGGGCTATGGGCTGTACTTCGTTGCGAAGGTAAGTTGTCGGGTTCCTGCTATCCCACCAGAAACAAACTAATGCTTCTACCAAAGCGTTATATTGCTCCTCTCATTGCGCCTCCGCCACCACCGCAGCTTCAGCAGGACAAAGAGAGTATTGACGAACAGTTTTCGCGAGCATTTGCTCTTATTGAGCAACTGTCTACGGATACCGCCAGTCTGAAATCCGCAGAAGAAGTACGCACAGAGCGACTGGATGCAGCCCTTCGGGAGGTTGAAAGTGTGGTCTCAGAATTGAAGACGTCGACTCGTAGAAGGGATGAGGAGACACGCCGGATCAGTGACGAAGTCAGATCTCTGAAAGATGCCATTCCTAAGGCGCTCGAGGGGGCCAGGGAAGGAAATGAGAGTCGACTCAGAGAGCTTGGGACAGAACTTAGAAGTCTGAAGGTTCTTGTAGGAAACAGACTCAGTGCCGGTGCCGGTAGTGGATCAGCCGCCCCTCTCTCCGGACGCACGGTAGGATCAACTCTCCCAAGCGTATCTCTCCCAGCAGTGTCCCTCACAGAGCAGTCAACTGGTTCTTCCACGGCCACGAACGGTGTCGCTCCAGGGCCCCAGGATTCTGCTTCAAGTTCGTTGCCAGCTGCGGTCAGTCCAGCGCCCCGTGAAAACTCCAGCAGCCCTCTTTCCCAGCTTGGTCGATCGGCTTCGATTCCTGCCTGGCAGATGGCTGCTGCCAACAAGTCGAAAAGTGTTCCCCAGTCGTCTCCTAATGCTGCTGGGGCAGACTCTAGCAATGCAAGCAGCCAACAGCAGAGTGCGCCTCCCAGCTGAAGGTAAACATTATATGTCATTTGAAGCACGAGTTGGGCCTTCTTACGCAGTTTCGTTTTTCCGCTATAAAAGATACATGGGACCGAGGATTTTGTCTATTCGTCGATGCTGCGCATATTTGCGTAGCTGTCCTTACTTGCTTTGATGTGCAGCGGCTGTTCAATGATATTGTATGTATGAGTACCTGGTACCTAGGTTTATTTCAATCTGTTACGACACGTCAAGAAATCATCTGTTACTCTCCATTCCAGTAAGAGCTTCAAGTAAGGAATGTCATAGCTTATGTAGATTCATGAACAATTGGATCGTTGAAACCCTAGTTTTTGGATCAATGCAGGTACATAGTTAAAACCTCATCTTCCCTTTGGAGTAAGCGGGGAACCAGACCTTCGGGGCGGAAAGCTTGGCATCATCATCATCCAGATTCCATAGCTACGAATTCCAGTTAGATTATCTCTTGCACAAAAGCAATTTGATCCCACCCCAACGAAACCCAAAAAGGAGCGAAATAATGTCCTATCGCGAGCGCTCCGACTCCTACTCCCATCGCTCTGTGACCCGATCTGCATCCCCAGACTCGCGCCATCACCGTCATCAGCACCACCACGCCTCGCGCTCCCGCTCTCCAGAACAGAGTAGCAGACGAAGCAGACATCATCATCATCATCATCATCATTCACATCACCGTCACAGACATGATCGGCACTCAGAAAAGGCTCGTCGCGAAGCAGCGCCGGTCGAGTTACCGTTCGGAGCGCGACAGCTCTCGAAGCGCGATTTGCCTCTCTTCGAACCAATGTTTGCGATGTATCTTGATATACAGAAGGGGATTATAATGGAAGATTTGAGCGATGAAGAAGTGAAAGGAAGGTGGAAGAGCTTTATTGGGAAATGGTAAGTTCCGGAGTGTGGATGGTCTGGCTTTTACATCGTATCGATGACGCTTAACTCGGGTGTCGCTATATATATCTCCACGATGGTATGAGGAGGGAGAGGAAAGGCTAAAAAAGGCTAACATATTAGGAACCGTGGAGAACTTGCTGAAGGATGGTATGATCCTGTCACGCTCGAGAAAGCGCGCCGCAGCGCTGCAGAGGAACCGCTTCCGTCGCGCGATAACGCAGGTTGGAGACGAACATCGCCAGACTACGATGGAGCGAGTCAGGACGGAAGACCACGGCATACTAGAGATGAAAGGGAAGAAGACGAAGACGAAGATGAGGATTATGGTCCTAAACTTCCGCACCCGGGCATGTCAGTGGTATCAGAAGACCGCATGACCGGAGCAAGGCCTGGTCCAACGATCCCGAATACACAAGATTTAGAGATCAGGAGAGGTGAGCCTACGTCGGTCATCGAAGGGGGAAAAGGATATGGATTGCTAATGATCATCACTAGCGACTGCAATCGCGGACGCAATCGCTGCTCGCGAAGACCGGCAGAAGCAACACCGTGCCGAGATCCGTTCTCATAAAGCCGAGATGCGACATATAAACGATGAAGTCGCTCCTCGTGCCGAACCCGGCACCCATGAACGGCGCATGGAGAAACGGCGGGAAGCTGCAGCTGCAAACCGGGAGTTTGCTCGGACAGTTAGGGGCGGGTCACCCATGGAGGCCGCTCCAGAAGCTGAGCTCATGGGAGGGGACAATGATCTCGATATATTGAAGAAAGAACGAGAGAGGGAGCAGCGGAAAAAGAACGAGCGGGAATTACGAAGAGAGGAAATGATGCGGGCGCGTGCAGCAGAGCGGGAGGAACGACTGCAGAGATATCGGCAAAAAGAAGAAGAGACGATGGGCTGGCTCAAGGCATTAGCAAAGCAAAGATTTGGGTGAAGACCATGGTGGACGTGATGGCTATGTGGCTCCCGTATGGGACGGTTTGGTCGTTCCTCCATTGTATAGGGCGATCGAAGTGGATTTCGCGTGTCAATTAGTCAGGAAGGCAAATAACTAACTAACCACCATCTCGATAACAAATACAAAGGGTGAGACGGACTCAGAAAATGCTCGTCTTTACATGCATGATGGCATGCTCTTCTGGAAAATCTGAGGAATAGTACAACTTCAAGCGATCCTTTAGGCATGAAACAGGGGACGAGTCATCAAAGATCTCATACATTTTATTCTTCATTAAAATTAAATAATTTCCTTGCTCACAGCAGCCATCCACTGGCCGACACGGGTCAACATCTCATGCATGATGGCATCGCATCTCGTACCGTCCCAAGGTCTCTTCCATCGAACCGAGAGATAGACTAGCTTTCGAGGGCATTCTCATTCTAACAATATCAGTGTCCATATACCGAATTCCTGGTCACCACTGGCACGGAGCTGACATGTTTGGTGTCTTAACCGAGAGAAGGCGGTTCACTTTTGGATAATCTCTTTCGAGATATCCGCTTTTTCTTATGTTTGTGCGCTTTACTAGGACTCACGTCTGCGTTCACTGTGCTGCAATTGACAGCCCGCTGAAGACCTAGAGCCGTCGCTACTCGAACTCGGGCAGTAGTCGAGCTGGCCTCCTCAATAATGTCGCTTCTTTTAGTCACTGTACGCAAGCTGTCTGAGACCTGCCCGTTCGAGTCTAGCCCATGGTCGCATGCAGCATGTTCTGTAGCCTTTCCTCTGTAGTTCTCTTTTCCGATGTGATTGGACCCAGCATTGTCTTTAGCGGGCTTGATGATTGTATTATACCCATAGAGAGCGGATGAAGCAGGGGTTTCCGTACGTTGTAAGCGCTGTGGGATAAATTCGGGAGCATCTGGCTTGAGAGAAGATATCTTCGAATGGTCTTTGTCGAGGTCGAGAAAGCTGTTTGAGGCAATATCGAGAATCAAATCTGGTTCCCCATAACCTTCCTCTTGATCTGTACTCAAGTCATCGTGATATAGGGGTTCTCTGTCGCTTCTTACAGAGATCTCGCGCACAGTTTCTGTACCATTACCAGTTTTAGATGATCTTCCACCGGGCCATCCTTTAGCAGGGAGCGTTCCGGTAGATTGTGAATCGCCCGTTTTGCGCTTCTGGATCGAGGATTTCAGGCTAGACTGATGTGACCATAAGCGATAATAGTTCCCTTTTCTCTTCAGGAGCTCCTCATGAGGGCCTTCTTCAACAATATTTCCTGCATCAATGACGAGGATCTTATCTGCGTTGATCACGGTAGAAAGACGGTGTCTGTAAGCATTGGTCAGTTTCGGTACTATAGTTGTGATCCATTGGACATGAGGCTCACGCGATAACTAGGGTTGTGCGTCCAGCAGTGAGTTTCCCTAGACTGTTTTGGATTTGCATCTCTGTGTTGCTGTCCACGCTGCTGGTTGCCTCATCAAGAAGAACTATACTAGGATCTCTGATTATAACCCTTGCTATAGCCACTCTTTGGAGCTCTCCACCAGACAGCTTGACTCCGCGCTCACCAACAAGTGTTCGATACCCGTCAGGAAAACTTAGAAATTTGTCATGTAGTGCAACAGCTTTGCATGCTTCATATATCTCTTCGTCAGTTGCTGAAGGATTGGCATATCTAATGTTATTGATGATAGTGTCGTGAAAAAGTGCTGGATCCTGAGGTACAATGCCGATATTTGCGCGGAGACTGTCCAAAGTGACATCACGGATATCCTGGCCATCAATTGTCACTTTGCCGCTTTCTGGGTCGTAGAAGCGTGAAATCAATTTTAATATAGTTGATTTCCCTCCTCCAGTCTCTCCCACGAGTGCCACGGTCTCACCAGGACGAACACGAAAGCTGACGTCTTTTAGGATCTTTCTCCGGCCGTCATAAGAAAAGCAGACCTTATCAAACGTAATTTCTCCTTGGTCAAGCACTAGTTCCTTAGCCCCTGGGTGATCATGAATGGTTGGTTTCTGTCTCAGCAAACGGACTAGCTCCTCCGCGTCGATCATGTCAAGAGCGAAGTTGCAGAATCCATGGGCGAAAAACCTGAGAGGCCCAGATAACTGAGCCCAATAGCTTAGAAGCATCACAAAACTACCTACAGACTTGCGCCCCTGAGCAACTTGATATGCGGCAAGGAAGCATGCTCCCGTCAAACCGCCAACAAGCAGGAATGACTGTGCTACTGACTCGAAGTTAGACCACAATGTGAACGTCAGTGACGAGTTCATGTGATTCTTGACTGCAGATGAATAATGGTCTTTCTCATAATCGACCCGGTTGAAGTACGAAATTGTCTGCCAATTGGAGGTCGATTCGCAGAGCACATCATATTCCTTCTCCACAGTTGATATCAATTGCCTCTGTTTATCCTTTTGCTTGGCCAAGATCTTACTCGAAGACCATAGGTAGAAGATGAAGACCGCTGCTGTAATCAAAGCCATATAGGCGTCGAACAGATAGTAGAGAATACTCACGGCCAACACAAGATCGACTATCATCGGCCCAATTTGGAATAGGACGGAGTCGACGACATGGCGGATGGATCTCCCACGGCTGACAGTCTGCCACAGGCTGCCAGAATGCTTATTATCATGGAAGTCGCTTGACAACGTCATTATTTTATTGAAGGCTGCAGTACTGATCTCGTGATATGTAAAATTCTCTAATGGCTGCCATAGATACCGTCGGATGGCCGAGACGCCGCCACTGGAATCTAGGAAACGGAGTGCAGCAAAGACCACTATCTCCTTCCAAGGAACCGTTTCTATACAGGAAAATGAGATATTAGGAAATAGAAAGAAATTTGTACTGGACCGTAGAACCTACCCTTTTGTCTGCTCAAGACATTTGTTATTAGACCAAGTTGTATGGGAACAAAGATGTTGAGTACACGGTCGACCACTAAACACAAACCTACACCGCCGTAGAGTAATTGCAGGCGAGGCTTTGTCTTAGGCCAAAAGAACGGAAGAAGAAACTAACTTCATTTAGCTGTCCGAAATGAAAGTTGATGGTCCTATCTATTCTTCAGAGGGACTTACCATGAAATCCTCGAGGACATTAGATTGTTTTTCTGGATCCCCCTTCTTCCCTCTATCATGATGGAGGTCACTTGATCCATCCCCCTCTCCATTAATTGTTTCGTAGTTGTTCACCAATGAACATTGTTGAGGGGATTCCAGATGGTTGGTATCGGCATTTCCAGGGGCCAACAAGGGTGCAGTCTCCTCATCAGTATTCACTCTCCTTGCTCTCCTATTGTGGAAGTCAGAGGAGAAAGAGAAGCAGAGTAGCGAACATAAGACACAGAGGCGCAGTATCTGGATCCACATCATTGTCTTATAATATGTGATTTCCTGTGGAGCGCGAGTAGACAGTCCCAACAGAGCGGCCTCGGTGACCATGTACGTGACCCAAGGACCGTAGAACGGGTACCACGGAGTCGATGCATAGTCGACAAAACCGAAAATCAGTGCAATCCATAGCAAGATTGAACTCAGCGAGAATACCTACGGAGGCTGGGTTTAGTCATCCTCACATCCCATCAAGAAAGATATCTGACTGGTGATTTGAGAGTTCTTACAATATGATCCTGCGGTACAATTCCACGATTGTTGGAGAAGGCAACATAGATGAGGATTACAGAATCTAGACACTTCATTATCAGTTAGCAGGATTTCAAGCAATCTCCATCAACGAGAAACTTATATCAGCTTCAAATGTGAACTCGAAGACAACACTCACGTATGTAGTAAGGACTGTGGAGATCATCCACAGAACAATCTCCCTGCTGCGACCTCTGTGCAGCTTCCCACCATGGTCGTTCTTCCGTAAGGCACTGGCGATGTATGAAATAGCAAAGGAGACTGCTACGACGAGTGGAAGAAAAGAGTGAAGTGTCCGAATTGCGAGCGAAATACCTCCTGCCTGCACCATCTGGGCACTAGCCATTTTGCCGTGGGTTACGGGGTATCATATAAATCGAAGAACTGCCTCTTTTTTAGGCTACTCGTCCTCGACGTCAAGGAACGAATACACTGGCTTCGTGTCTTTGAAGAAGAGCGCGGGCTGCCAGGATCTTAGCTCTTATGTGAACTGTCATACAGTGCGCCAAGTTGAATGTGAGAAATTCTTGAAGAGTCTCGTATGAACGGGATTGTTATTTATCAGCAATTATTTATCGAGATGAGAGAACAAGGTAGAGTGCGCGCTCGATCTGGAGGAGTCTTGCGGGTTATCTGAAGGAAGGTGCGAAACTTCCAAGTTCCCAATCTGGATCCAGGTTGGGCAGCTGGGAGGCCTTTACCGACAAGTGAAAGACAACATAGACTGAGCCTGCCTTCAATGACTCTACATGCGTTTCCACTGCTCATTCACGGTCCAGGGAAGTTGATGGGAACTTCCTAAGTCTGGGGGGTTTTGTTTCTCTGTTGTTTGGTATTATATATCTGCTCGATCACGCACCAAGGTAGGCTTCTTCGTGTTGACTATCTTCCACTCCCCACAGAACTCAACAGGAGACACGTATCACTCCCCAGGATTCACGAAGAAAGCTCTGACGCTGACAAAGGGCCCTTTCTCAGATCCACCTAGTTATGTCAACGAGATGACAATCAATGCTCAGAAGGGGGACGATGCGAAGATCGTCACTGCCTGCTTGATAGCCGCGTCCCCAGGAAGGAAAAACCGCCTCATTTTCGAAAGGATAGGCCAGCACGGAACGATTAAGAAAAACACTATTGGCTCCCTGCATATAATCTAGCGCAGTTTGCACAAGCCACTCATGAATCCAATTTTGACGCCACAATATCACAGAAATTAAGCACAACTATCTTATCCAAGTTCGTATATAGGCGAGAGAGAGTGCATAAACTGAACTACAGAGAGATTGACCGCCCTTGATGTGCATAAAATCATATTGTCTTATTCGCTTGACTGGGTGAGTGGCTCTTTTACCTTCACCAAGCTTGATGTGTTTCACGTCTTGCGTCGTCACCGCTTATTTACATCGGCCAGATAACTATCCACCGCTCTCCTGTGCTGAGCAAGATCACATTTCTGCTGTGATCTCTCGCAGATGGAGAAAGAGTGTACAGACATCGAGTTCACGGAGGGCAAGTGATGCTTGCTGAGCATTCGATTGTGCTGCAGGCAAGAGAACCCCTAGCTTGGTTTTGCAGAGCTTGTAGTTAACAAGTAAATCTGTAGGCTTCCATTTTGGAGGTTTTGCGACCATGACTGGCAATATATAACTACATGGTAGTTAAGCATATCTAATATTTGATAATACAAATCTCCTTTTTTCTTGGCGGCAACCTCTAGATCTTCCTGCCAAGATCTAAACTAGCAACGAGCTTGAGGCCCATGCTGTCGTCGGGACGCGGCACCTCCCCAAGTCCGAAAAATGGTTTGACAACGACATCCACGACCTCCTCAAATAGACGTCCTACCACAGTCTCCTTAAGGTCCTCGCCAGTCTGCCCAAAATCGGGGAACGCATTCAGCTCCAGCAACCAGGCATTTCCAGCGTCATCGACCAGAAAGTCCACGCCGAAGAGCTCGAAAGCATTAGGAAGGGTCTGAAAGTGGACAAGCATACCTCTGGCTGCTGCCTCGAATATCTCACCCGTGATGGCACAGATCTGGTCAAACACGCTGTCTTTCCAGTTCGAAGGTAGCCCAGGTGCGGAGTCTTCGAGGTCCCAGAAGCGTCTTACGCTGCCCTCGTTGGCGCTGCCTCCTTCCTGAAGGCAGGTGTTGGTCAAGTGTCTCGCAAGATCTCTCACCTCATCCTCCTCCTCCCAAGGTGCTTGGTATGGCACTCCAGAGAACAGAGCCAGCATTTCCCTGAATACATAGACCTTCAAAGAACCCGCGGCAAGGACATAGGTGCGGATATGAAACTTCCTGTTGGATGCAGACGGTAAAAGAAGGGGAGGATCGATATAAGGCTGAGCGATGAAATGGCGCAGTTGAGAGGTCACGACTCCCTGTTCATTCTTGGTAGCGTTCTCATCCACCGAAGGCTCAGCTCCAACTTTGGCCTCGTCATCCTCCTCATCAGATTCATCTTCCTCCCACTCTTCAAAAATCGCTTGCAGCTGAGCCTCGCTATTGAAGAGGCGGATTCCCTGTCCTCGATCGCTCATCCCTGGTTTTAGAATCCACCACTCTTTATCTTGCTCAGCCTTGCTCTCATTAGCTTCCAAGCTCTCGCGCAGCTCGTAAGCCTCCATGAGGGCTTCATCGAGAAATTCAGCGTAGTCAACCTCAAAGTCCACGGCTGGTTTCACATGTTTCCGGAGGATACTATCAGGGTGTTTGGAAATCCAATTGGCAACTGTATTGGAAAGGTAATGCTTCCGGATCAGAGCCTTGCGGATGACAAAGGAGTTGATCAATGACGAAGAAGGATGTGCAAGGGCGTGTTCGAAATCCAACTTCTCATATTCCCGGTATTGTAGTACGGGGGCTGAGGAGTCCGGGAGATCGGAAAGGGAGGATATCGCCTGGCAGACTGTTCCTCGTAGTCGATTCCGCAATGCGTTCTCTATCAGTGGCTGTACGTATGGGGAATCTAGTTCCACCAAGTAGTAGAGAGCCGGTGCATGGGTTCCTGATCTAGAAGGAAGAAGGAAACAATCAGAACTATACCTCGCATGTTAAGAGACGGAGTGAAAATGCTCGCAGAAAATGCTCGCAGAAATAAAAGAGCAACAGCGGGATATCTATTATCATATCTAGATATCTATAACGGAGAACGTCCAGGTACTTTAAAACAGCAAGTCGTCAAGATTCGTTGGCCCAAGATTTCCACTCACAACTTGATCTCCCCCTGAGTGAATCCGGGTATATGCATGAAATTGGCCTTGAGAGGAGTAACACTAGTCGCAATCCATTAATACGCGTTACTGAAAGAAGCGCGAGAAGATCCAACATACCTAGTCATCCCTTCCTTCACTGCCCAGCCGTCATTTCCAGGTTGACTCTCCTCCACGCTTCTATACACGTCCGCGAAGTTGGGTGCCCACTTAAAATGCTTATGCTGAATCTTCGACTTCTTTTTCGGCTCACCGTCCGCTGATCCGTTCGCACTGAGTTCCCCAGTTTCGCCGGCCAGTCGAAGCTTGTGCTCCTGAACCTCTGGGCCTTCTCCAGAGGCTTCAGCATCGGTGGCTTGGAAACAGCTGCCGGACGACCATCGGTTATCTAGCATGTTGGTATATAAGATCTTATTCTCACTGACACCTGGCTCTAGCGGAACATTGACGGTGTAGAGATCGACACCATCAGCCCAGTTCTTGCACAGGTACTCAATCAGTCGCACAGAGTGCTTGGACGCCTCTGCAATGACGACGGGATCGTGGTTCCGCGAACTGAAGGCATATGAGAGAGCAATAGCCTTCTTCCCACATACAGCAGCCTCCATAGCGCCTCCAATCGTGCCACTTGATAAAGAGAAGAGTGCAGTCGTGTTACGTCCGTAGTTCGGCCCAGATATGACGACGTCTATAGGGCCCCGATCCTGGAAGTAATGGTACAGTCCGATCTGGACGCAGCTGGCGGGAGTCGAATCGATTAAGATCCACTCGTCGCCATCATCATCTTCGTCGCGCGGTAGGTGGTGTACTGTGCCATCGTCCTGGTGCAATGTACCGGGTCGGAAGTACGTCGGTGTCACTGATGCGCCAACAAGGTGTGCCTTACCGATCCACGAGCGCTGCTGGTGCGGCAGGACGACGGAGACGACATGACCAGCGGACTGAAGATTGTGAATGAGCGAGTGAACGTAGGGCGAAGACTCGTTCGACGGGGGTCCGTCGTCGTTGACAACCTGCACCGCGGGGGAGGGGTCTGTTAGTTACCGCCTCAGACGAAGACAGCCTTGAGCACTTGGGAACGTTCCACGAGGGACGATTGCTCTCGACGAGATAAAGAAAAGCCAAGAGTAACTTACCAGGATATGCATCTCTGCTTGTCCTTTTCAAACTGTACAATGGAGATTGTAACTAGTTACCTGCAAAGTCAGAAACGGCAGTCTCTTTCCCTCTCCGCCTTTTTCTCGACGGACGGCGGAACCAAAAGTGGCTCCACCTTTTATCGATAAATAACTGAGTAGGACAACCAGTTCGCCGGTAAAGAGGCTCGATTCTTCAGTATTGATGCAGGTTATTGGGACGGAAAAATAAAAATGGAAATCACGTAAAAAGATAATGATATTTATAATATGTTCGAGTCACATGGCTGTTCGTAGGGTCTGGAGCAAGCTTTTACCCTGCTGGCGTATTTCTCCAAGGCTTCAATTCACGAATGCCACAACGATGTGGCGGCAGTATTTATAACCAGGATGCAGCCATTGTTTGTTTCAGATAGTTACATACGATACAATCGCATCAAGAAACATACAAACAACTAAGGTTTGTTTATTGAAGTATTTATCGTTTCATTGGGTATCTCACATCCTAATAAGGAAACCATCCAATCTCAAACACATAGAAAATGATGTCCACCAACATGTCTTTTCTCGACACTGGTCGATATCAGTGACCATCTCAATGTCCACCAAACAGGCGACTCCTCCGTCGCTGAATGCCTTGCGCACTTGCACTCTCTAGACTAGTGCCAATGCCGGAGTCTGTGCCCGCTCCTGGACTTTCCCTGATCTGTTGTCCTTCGTCATCTTCATCGTCCGCTTCAGCAGCATGAGGGTCACCTAGAGCCTCATTGTGAGGATCTTCTTCCCGTTTGATCCGTCCTATCCCCTGCTTCGATGATTCCTGATAACCGTCAGAATCGCTATCTGTTGTCTCTTCCTCAGTCTTGATTGGGCGATCGTCACGTTCTTCCTTCTTTATCGACTTCTCTGGTTCCCTTGCACCGGAACCAAGATAGGACGATAGTATTAACCAGGCAATGGCGCTGGATGCCATGGACACACCCCAGAACATCCCACTGAATATGAGGAACGATGTGATCTTCCACCTATACATGAACCAACTGTAACAAGTTAGTATTGTATGTGAAACCACTGACTGCCAGGCGATCATAAGGTACATACCGTAGCCCCGTAAATCTTGCCAGGAACTTTACCTTGGCACTGTAGACCTGCATGCGCTCTGTACTTTGAATCTCCAACCGGAGACTTGCCGGAAGGTTGCGCCATCCTTTTGCAAACTCGACCTGTTCCATCATATCCACTTCCAATGTCTCCGCCTCCCTCCGCCACCCAAACACATAGAAAGGCAACCGCGACACTTTGTGGGCCGTGTCCACGACTGACGATGCGTAGGTAAGTATGGCCGGGCGACGGGAATGCGAAAGCACTTGCGTCGAGGTATTTGCAGCTGTAATTATAGACTTGGAGGGACGCGAATATAGGGAGAGGTCTAGCATGAAGTTGCCGGCAGCGAGGTTGGACGGGGTCCGAGGAAGTTCAAGCGTAACGCTCACGTCGTAAGCCTGCAGGGAGGCCAATTCGGAGTCCAATATGGCAGTTCCCCAAGGGTGTCCATTACTATGTCGAGTTAGCTAACTGCCATTGTTCACCAGTCATGAGCTGCTTGCTCCATGCGCGAGCATAACGCGCTACATACCCGAATTGCAAATGAACATCTCGCTCAAGGCCAATTTGCGGAACAAATCTGAAGTACAATATCCAATACGAGACGGCCGCGATGCCCAGCAGAATTATGGAAGCGCTTGCAAACAGCAGGGAACTCAGGTACGCTCTCTGTGCTTGCTTGGATATCGCGGCGCGAAAGGGGCTTGCTATGAGACCCTGGAGGCCATGAAGTCAGCTGAGGCATAGAAAGGCACTGAGGTTATCATTACCACTGCTCTGGAAATCGAGGAAATATCCTCTTCCTCCTCCTCATCCATTGTGTATGCCGGTCTCCTCATCCTGGCTTCCATGTCACGGTGTTCGCATCGGACAGAGATGGTTGTTTGTCCGGGCCAAAGCTAAATGACGACAAGTCGGGTGCTCCGACGTCACTCCAGTTTTCGGCGCCGATGCTAAACGACCCCAAGAGGTCCTACAACGTAACAACGATAAAGAGTCCTATAACTAGACTAGAAAGCAATCGCATGTATACAGATTGTTACTAACTGATATTTCTTAAGATTAAATTTGCAGAAAGATGTACAATTGTCTATTAAGAGGGGCATCCATATCATTATAGTACAGTCCAACAATTACGCCTATACACTTTTTAACGATCTTTTTCGTGCCATCTCATCACAAATCGAGGAAAGACGTGTCGAATCATTGCGAGAAATCATGCGGATCTCATGCCTTCGGGGCTCGTACTGGCCACGTCGTAGACAACGCACGTTCTCATAATAGTCCACAGCAAAAGAAGATAAAAGTTGGAAAAACATAAACCGTAATTCCGTACCGAACTGGACCAAGGCGCCGGTGTGCAAGTCAAAGATGCTGTTGCAAGTAGCTAACAGCTAGATATGATATGGGAAGGCATTGATGCCTGCGAGGTAATGAGACACGCCCAGCAGACGCTGGAAGTAAATGCTGGTCGAACATACAGACTTCGACGCAGGCGTTTAAGCAAGGGCCCTAGGACTCTGCTGTTGAATGTGCTGGAGAAGAGCATCAAAGAGGCGACCGATCTTTAGGCGATCATAATTAGTTATCCCGTTCTGAAATTTTGATATACTGTGGTAGGTGCTTACCTCGGGAGCTGCCTGTATGAATGGCAGACGGAAGAAAGTATAGCTCCGGTTCTGTAGAAGTTCCTGGAGTGTGATGATCAGGCCCCATGGGTGCGGCCGGTGCACGATAAGGCGCTCAAGCAGCACCCTGATGATCTGCTGACGAATGTCTGACTCTTGCTGCTCAGAGAAGTCCACTCCAAAGAGATGGAGAATAGCAAAGCTGAAATAGTAAGTGTGACTGTTCGGGTATCTCAACTGGTTTGCCATGGCACTCAGCAGGTAGTACCGCGCCTCCGGTTGAAGGACTTTGGCAAGTCTTTCCAGCAAGGCGGAATGAGGCGAGCTGTCAAATACGGCTCGGGTGTTTCCCTTGGAAGCAGCAGCAGACACCGCACTCTGACCAATGTAGAGAACGAGAGCATTAACGAGAACGACGTCAACGTTGATGGGGATCATGAAGAGACCAGTGCCCTTGCTTGGCGGGTTATAGATAGCTTCACAAATCTGCTGAATAGAAGCTTCGGATGCGTTGTTGTTTTGGAGTGCACTGTCAACAACGTTCTTGATGCCGGCCCTCTGGAGAGGAGCAACGATATCCCCAGCGATCTTCGGGGCTTCCCTTATCTCCTCGAGCCGCTCGACTTTGAGACCTTCTCGGAAAGGGTCTGGGAGTTTGTGGAAAGAGGAAGGATAAGCACTGAGAACAAGATTGCGCAGTTGGGCACAATGAGCCGGGATAACGTTGCAGAACTGGAAGTGATTCTCCGCAACGAACTCAGGGAAATCATGATGCAAGATCAAAAGGATACGCAGAACACCCTTGTATAGGTCCTTTGCAACGTATGAAACGTTCGCTGGCTTGAGTTGTTCGCCGATATACGAAAGTAGGGCCTGCATGATCTCACAGTAAGGTCCCCAGCCAGCTTCATCCGGCATGGTCAGCATGCCTGACATGAAAACTCGGTGCGAAACTAGAGACAACCATCCGTAGACAAAGACAGGAGCGTATTTTGGCTGAAGAGAGAGGAACTTGTTGGCGAAGGCGAACATCATATCTTGATGTTGGTCGCTCTGCTGTAGCCCGTTCATCGAGTATTCGCAAAGGATGCTGGAGAACAGCCTGAAGAAGACTCTCTGATTGAAGGCCTCACCACGCATAACCTGATGATGATTGAGGACCAGGACCAGGAGCGAGAGAATAGAGTTAAGGTAAGCTGGCTTGCTGGCCTTGACAGATCCGGTGCTCTCTCCCTGGAACTTGACCAACAAGATAACAAGTTTGGCAAGGGCATCGATGTACAGGAATGCCTCGTCGAGACTACCGTTGGGGTTCTGTAACTCGTGCTCGAACATGGCAACCGAGATATCGATGCTCAGCCTGAAGAATAGGGCTGAATCCTCCTGGTTATTCATAACTTGCCTCTGGTGCATGTCCTTCAGGAAACTGTAGTAGGTCCGATCCGTCGCGCCGGGGAACTTGTAGACACCGATCCATTCACTGAAGATATACTCCATCTGATCGCGTTTCGCCCTCGCCTCATCACCGAGAAGAGAGTCAGCCACCTCAGGAACCCCAGATTCGCGCAGTTTGCGAATGATTTCACTGGCAATTGACAAGCTGGAGTCTTCGACAAGCCACTGATTCATGGCTTCCAAGCTTCCAGAGAAATCAGATCGCAGAGCCGATGGTTCATCATTGAAAAGAACATGGTCCATCAAGTTAGAGAGAAGCTCTAAGGCACTAGTATTCTTCTGCAGAATCAACTTCGTAAGGATCATGTCTACCCGATGGAGGTCGAGCAGTCCTGCATCAATGAGAGCAACTGTGACAGGGACATTGAACATATGTTCGTCGTCCACTTCCGAAAGAATGGCCCACGTGTATCTCGCTACTAGCGAGGACATGTCGCAGATCTTGGCGAGCAAGTGGACCAAGACTTCAATCTCCAGGGAACGCTCAGTTTGGGAATATAATGTCGTACAGATCTTGACAGCGGTCAACCTAGCCAAGTCCTCGCCATTCGGGGAGGAGAGGATGGTGCGCAGCACTTGATTATAAGCCTGCAGGACCGAGCTTTCCCTGCCGAGTTCCTTGATATGTTCTTCGGGAGCATTCCGGGCAGCCAGCTGAAGATCAGAGACAAGAGTATCGATTTTGTCCCTGGGGCTCTGTGCCTCGAGGAAACCGTTTAGCTGCGGCTGGGCACCGACCACACCGGATTGCGGGAGACGGGCATCTTGCTGCGCTTGCGGTGTCTGGTGAGGAACAGCAGGCTGTTCAGCAGGAGTGGAGAGGTTAGGAATAGCCGGGTAAGATTCCTGAAGAACATCTGGCAGCTGTCTACCTGAATCGGTCGAAATACTTTGAAGGTGCGCGGATACTGGTCCTCTTGATTGGCGAGCAAAGTCCTCGTATATTGCGAGCTGTTCTTTGTTGAGGCCTCCAGGAACCTGTCTGTAGGGCTCAGGAATGAACAAGCCCCAGCGATTCATAGAAGGATCGATGAACGGTTCATTCGGACGCGTTGCTCTGTGCCTCCTGCGTGCTTCTAGTTGAGGCTCAATGACCTTCTCAATCTCCGGGATGGCCTTCTCTTCCGCTGCTTTCTCGACGATACCACAGGCAGCATCTAGGTTGTCATTGACGCACATGAGTATTAAGCCTTCTGGCATGGGCTGCTCAGAATACTCCTGTTGGATCATCCGGATGTAGTTTGTCATGCTCATTTTCAGAGGCTCTTTACAAGTCACCAAGGCCAGACTACCAGCAAGTTGGCGGACCATGATTTGAGCGGCGTGACGAACCTTCTCCTCGTCGGGTTCCATAGCGAAATCCTTCGACACCAGCTGAACGGTCGATATCGAAGCAATTGTTATAGAGCGTTCTACAACAGGCGTTATGATTTCAGCAATGGCTCGCTCAACTGCGCTGTGAACGATCTGTCTGAGCACGTTCGGGTCGACCATGCTGCTTGCCGACGATGGGAAGACAAGGATCTTGTCCAAGCTGGGCAGCGATGACATGATGGCAGCTGGCGAGAGCCTCTCGTTCCGCATTCCCTGGTTAATGGCCGCAAGCGACATATCTTCGAATGCTTCCAAGCCCTCGGGGATGTTGGCAGTGGATATGCCATCTTCAGCATGAGCGGCACGGTCTCTGATGCACGTAGAAGGTTCAATGGCCTTGTGATCGAGCTCCAGATCTTTGCAGAGAACCTCGATCTCGAATTTGAGGTTCAACTTGAGCTCAGCAAAGTGATAAAGCTCCAATAGTAGAGCAAGAATGTCCATCAGCCAGGGGTTGGGCGGTCTGAAGATGGTGGATTTAGCCGCCTGGATGAGGACTTTGCAAGTGAAAGGGATCACAACCATGAGGCGTTGTGTATCGAAACCTTCTATAAGAAGCTCTTTGAAATAGATGTTCTTATGCTTGATAGGCTTGTCCTTAGCAATGGTCAGAGACCCTAGCCATGCGCCGAGGTTTTTGAGATGGCTCCGATCAGTTGACGAGTTCAACGTAGACTCGGCGTTCAGCAACCTGATAGCACTGACATAGGTCTCCCTGAGGACCTCGGCCCAGAGCGTCCTATCACCGAGGAGCTCTAAAAGATCAAGATAAAGCTGTTGAAAGTTTGGTTGCAACTTCGCTCTCTCCTCGACAAGATAGGACGCAAACCACTGGTGGTGTTCATCACGAAGAACGTCCTTAAGATCCTTCAGCTTTACCTCGATATTCTGCTCTGACACATTGTTCAAGACGAAGAGGATCTTGTCCTGCACCTCTTCGTCTGGATCCCGATAGATATCAGGACGTAGTGGTGGATCGACATGGAGCGAGCGGAACTTGCGAGACGCGCCGTCAGATGCCATCAGCTCATCGACGTTGCCATTTATGGCCACCTGTCCGTCAGAAACACCATTGAGTCTCGCCAGCTCTGCTTCACTGGCGGCTTGGTTGCCCTGTTCCCGTAGTACCTCCTCTGCCTTTTGTGAGATGGTCGTGCCATGGAGGCTTGGGATTTGGAGCAAGAGGTGGCAAAATCCAACCCATTCCGGGAGACGGGCGATCAGTTGCTCAATCGCTTCGACACCAAACTTGTACATCGGGTCATGTGGCTCATGGTCCCGAACTGCTTCCAAGATCATACCCAAGCCGACTTTAAGAGGGATACCGTCGATCAGCCTGAAGTTGATGATGCCACCGAACATAACGGCGGTCTTGGTCAAGGCCTCCAATGGGTATTCATGGTAACAATGATACTCGTCGATGAGTCCATGAACCATGCAGGCGAACAGATCTTGCTCCGCGGGATCACGTGAATTCTTGTAGCGTCTCATTAACTCGAGTATCTCCCGTAGTGACAGCTCTTCATGGTACATTTTGCCGAACAGTTCCTGCATCTGCTTGTCGATGACTTCAGGCAGTGCGTTTCCGTTCTCGCCATTAGCATCGATAATGTCATCAAATCCCTCTCCATAGTTGATCAATCTAGGATAGGTCTGGATACAGATTCGCTGCACGGGCGTAAGGTTCTCACGGTCGCCGACGTATTCCTCCAGAATTGACAGAAGAGTGAAGACCGTCTTGACAGATAAGCTCACCATTTGCGGAGCTGGCTGTTCCTTTCTCTGGACATGAAGTTCATCCTCGGCCTTGATCCTTAGAAACTTTGACAGGAGACTACCCATATCCATAGGTCCTTTCTGGGCTGCGTTGCGGACCCACTGTTCCAGGTCGAAGGAACCCTTTCGATGGGCCAGAGAGGCAAGATCTATAGCAAGACCATTGGTGAAACCAAGAAGGTAGTCTAGCCAGCCGTACTCAACAGCATGTTCGTAGATGGCGGCAGTAGTCGTCGGATCCTGTGTGAACGTCGTGAAGAGTTGCTCTGCAACCCATTGCCTGTCCTGTTTCCAGACGCCATGGAGCGCAAGTTGATAGCCTTCCTCTTGTTTTAAGAGGAAAACAACGAGGGTACGTAGCACGAAGCTCTGCTGCACGCTTGTCCAAGGCTGCGGCAGAGCCAGCGTCGAACAAAGGAAAACGGGGAGGTCATGCTGGACAACCGACTTAATTAACAGCTGACTTTCAGCAGTCGCCCATGATGCCTGTGAAAACAGGGCCAGATCAAAGATAGCTCTCATGGCATCTAGAGAGCGTAGCGGAGACTTGACAGCGCGTTCGCCACGGAGACGAACAGGCTCCGGACCATCTGCGAACAGATCCGCTTGGAAGGTAGCTCTCAGGTTGGGGATCTGGGTGACATCCACGCCAGATATGATGAATGCCGTCAGGAAAGAAATCTGAGCATCACGATGTTCCCAGTCACCACCCCAGAGTCTTTGGACGTCTAAGGCAGAATCCCCCACTGCTACCGTCAGTAACGCTGAATATAGCTTCGCGAATGGTTCTGCATCAATGCGGAGTCCTTCACGGTCAAACTGCCGCAGAATGGTGGACCAGTTAATCCGTTTCTCGGCGTAGTGTGCCTGGACAGCTTTAAGGAATGTCTCCAGTGAATAGTCCCGGAAATACTGTGACAGAACCATGAAGAGCAGAGCATTGCCGATGTGCTCTTCGCTCCAACTATCCGAACCGGCAGCGGTTATGGCCTCATTCACTGCATCCTGGCTTGAAGTGGCCTTCGGTCCCCTGGAGTGGAGCTGACGTACAAGGACGAGACGAGGATTGATGAAATGCAGCATCTGTAGACCAGATGATATCTCGGGAGGGATATCTGATCCGAGTTTCTGGTATCGCAGACTGGCCGCATATATCAGTTTCGTCTTCACATCTTCATTGAAATTGCGCGGCGGATAGAGGATAAAGCGTTCAATCGTGAGGCCGAGGAACGAAGCGCTGAAGTCCTTGTTAACATCAGATGGCGTAGCCAGACTCTGCAAGAACTGGGGCGTCGAGTTCGTCAAGATCGCATCAGCTAGTATGAGGTCAGCAATCTATCTTTGACAATCATCTTCCAGAGACTGTCGCTCACCTTTTGCACGCAAGTCAGACTTGTTTGCTGTCTTGAAAGCCAGTGCCAAGGAGACCTTTGCCAACGGGTCAAGCTTGAAGTGGTCTAGGAATGTGGAGAGATCGAAGTCTCGAAAGATATCACCATCTGATGTATCTATTGTCTCTGCAATTCTTTGTGCCTGATCCAAATCTTGTGTGGCCTTTTGCATCTCCTGCACTAGAAGGGGGTAGTTTCCGGCATTCTCCACGGCTTTGTTGGTGCCGGGGAAGATCTGAGGAGCGTTGCCAGTCACAAGTCGGCGGAAATATTTGGAAAAAACCTCCATCCCGTTCGAATCCACAAGCTAAGAGCTGTCAGTTCCCTCTAATCTAGCCTTGTTGCAACAGGGATCAGGGTGCGCACCTTATGGATTTGAGCGGCTTTGGTTTCCCACTTCTCTTTCCCTTCTTTTTCGGTGATGGAGTCCAGCAGAAGGAAAACCTGGGCTACCGATATCTTCGTCAGAGAAGACTGGCTTGTGTTTACACCAGATCCTGGCTTATCCGAAGAGAAGCCCGTGGGTGAGTTAACGGTTGGACCCGATGACAACGGCGAGAAGGCTGCACCTCTCGAGGGTCCCGTCCCACCACCGCCCCCGCTGCCTCCTCCGCCCACGGTTGCGGAAGCCAGATGCGACGCTGAAGACGGCGTCAAGGCCCTCGATTTTGGAGAGGAGAGAGACTGGCCCGGCTGGTGTTGCTGCGAGCCAGTTTGAAGGGATGTAAAAGGCGACGGTGTCGAGACCGGGGAAGGGCCGCTACGGCTCCCTGGAAGCCTGTTTGCCGAGTTCAAGATCGACGAGAAGCTAGACGTCAAGGGAGACGTCGTCGAGAAACCTGCACCGGGACTACTCGATTGAGTCGAGCGACGAGCTGATGCTGCGGCGGCGGACGCAGACGAAAGATTCGCGGTTGCGAGCGGCGTCAACCCACGGCGTAGACTGGACTGAGGCGCAGAACCCCAAGGTGACTGTTGAGATCTTGCAGACCTGGTAGAAGAGGACTTATCGGTGCCAGAAGCAATCGATGATTGAGTGGAAGGGGGAGGGGGAGGGAAGGTCATCTAGGAAACGCGATCATTTGATCTGAGGCTGATCGAAGAATTTGATCCGGTAGACGTGGTGACCGACTTGCACGGGTCGATCAGGATGTCGTGCTCAGGATGTTATCCCACCAGATTGCTCTGATCTCGGACAGGGGATGATGCGCGGAGGGGTAGACGGTTGGTCTTTGAGGTGTGCTGGAGGAAGTTCTACACAGGAACGGGCAAAGAGGTGAGGATAGGTTGCAAGGTGGAGATGGCGACCTGGCTGGTCTAACCAGAAGGAGGCTGAAGCTCTGTGGCTCCGACTCGAAGGCGCCCGCGCTCGAGTACACAGTAACGATTTCTTTTCTACGCAGTCACCTACCAAGAGTATTTCTCTATATATAGTGGCACATACAGGGAGCTCTACTCACAATATTGATTTCTTCTACGGGATGATTTTTTTTTTCATTGTGGTTTATGAGGATACCCTAATTTCCAGTGCGATGATTGGGCTGCTGTGCGACGCGGGCAGCCTATCACGTGATACACCCTTGGCATTCTCCCCGGCGACGCCTTTTTTAGCGATGGCGAAGAAACTGGGAGACTCGAGGGTCAAGTTGAACAGGTCGGCGCCATGGCGAATTTTAGTGCACGCTTTAGATATCTACTTCAGCTCAGGCTCAGTGCCTTCCACCTGCCAGACACACCTGCGACGTTGTGGACATTCCTTACCCGGCATTCCAGCAAGCGTTCCAGTACACATCGGACCGGACTCGTGGATTGTAGCCACCCTAGCTCGCCCTCGATTCCATGCTCTTCGCTGGTCCTGTGCGTGCTCCTGATCTAACAAACCGAAAATAGTTGAGGCCAAAAGAGCAACGTAAGCAACTACACACTCTAACTAAGTACAGGACGTTGGCGCCAGTTCAAAAGGGGCACGGCTACCGAAACTTTTCTACGGTCACGATTCCTCTCTCGATTACTGTAAGGTATTCAAACTCAAGGTACCTTAAGAGAAATCCACGTAGATTCTAAGCTCTTACGTCGAGATAACTCGTAGATTGTGTGGTATAAATGGCAGTAGTTTTTCCATCGACGATAGGTATTACTAAACGATGCATGCGTGTATTAACTATATGCATCATAGCAACGAAATAATAAATATAGGACAGAGTATGAACTTTGTCTTAGTTCAGGAACAGCAACACGAACCCTGGGGTTTGCATTTCCCTCATACGGTAAGCAACTAGGTGTTCATCCTGACTGGAAATTCAGTGCGTTCTGTTCCCATAAGTAAATTTAGGACGTCGTTCTATCTTATGGCTATTTCATTGACATGATTTGATGACACCATAAACTAACAAAGGTGGTGATTAGAAATATATTTATCATAATTTGTGTCAAGTAAACACCTGTAGAGGAAGTGGTGTTTTTATGAGGAGACTTGTATGATTGGGAGACGTATGTGGGATCAACCCTCCCCCTAGATCTAGAGTCGAGCAAGCAACCTAGCTACTAGCTAGGAGGTTCAAATCATATTATTGCTTCCTTTCCATTTAGGCTTCGGCAGAATCCAATATGTATATTTTTCACGTCGTTGGTAGATAGTTCGAGCTACTATCATTTTTCTCAGCTTTACTTCGGGGTCGTATTCACAATAGCCTCTTCGTCTTCTGGCACGACTTCCTCTTCCTGATTTCTTCCAATGAATCCTTTTGCGACGTCCCGCTTTTCCAAATATGCAATGAGAACAATGAAAGGTATCGTTAATGCGCCGGTGACTAAACTAGCAATGTATCCCTTCTCAAAGTTCGGCGCATCAGTCACGGGGTAGAATATCAGGGGCCACCATGTCACAAAAGCGAAATCGAAGGAGTTCATGAAACCTGTCGTGATGGCACGCAGCTGAACATCATGACTCGTTACGTCTGCCATCCAGGAATACCAGAGACCTTGCGGAGCGTATGTCGTGCCCAAAAGATAGAATGCGAAAAAGTGTGCAGAGTCAGCGGCGGGATCAGCCACTAGGATAGCACTGCCCACTACAAATGTCAGACCGATGGCGATGGAGCATTCCCAGCGGGACTTGAGCTTGTCTGAAATAATAGCATAAAGTATTGTTCCGACAATTGCAGTAGCGTATACTGCTGTAGGATAGTTGTTCTGTTGGATGACGGTATATCCACGGGATGCCATCCATAGCTGCATGACATTGTTTCCTAAAGATTGGACGCATAATGAATATACTTCCGCAAGTCAGTCCAGCTTACCATAAAAAGTCGTTATTATTTCAACTTACACATAAATATCAGTGGAAGCAGATAAAACTGCCAGCTCAGAAGGACGCGCTTGAATACTGTGATATCCCATGTTTTCTTGGACGTAGCACCGAGTCGTGTTACAGCATGTTCTTTCTGTTCCTCAGTAAGATACCAAGCTGCTCGATGCTCTGGTAGATCTGGGATAAAGACCCATCCTGCTTTCCATTAGATCCTCAATCTCCCGTCTGTCTCTTGGATCTAGGCTTACCAAACAGTGCCACCGGGATGGTCATCACAGAGACAATAATGAAGATCCACTTCCAGGCAGGAAGGCCATGTTTACCGGCCAACGATTTCAACAGGCCAGCTTGGATCCAGCCGCCTGCCATACTACCCAGATGGCCAAAGATACAGAATATCGCAGCTCGAGTGCCCAGCTCTGTCTTTTTATACCAGGAACCCAAAATAAAGTGCGCGCCTACACTGTACAAGACAGTTAGGAGATAACCTCAGATCAGAATTTTCTCATGAGTACCTACTAAGCAATAGCGCTGAACCCTCCTTCAAAAGCATTCAGCACGATTATCTGCCAGGAGTGTTGCATCTTGTATGTAACCAACGTAAGAACACTCCAGGTGAGATTTGCGATCACAAATACATATTTCGGCCGTACGATCGTCAACAAGCTTGTCCCGGGAATCTGGCAGACTGCATAGACGACGAGGTATGCTGTATTCATATAATTGTAATCTTTCCCTTGAAAGTTCAAAGCTTCTTTCATGCCGCTTATATATGCCGATGAGTAGGAAGCACGGGTCACACCAAACAGGAACCAGATTAGGGAGAAGTATGGAAGTAGGGTGATATCCAGTCTTTGGAGCAGCTCTCGATCCTCTTTCTGTGGCCCCCATAACCACACAGCCTGCTTTCTTAGAATGCTCCATGCCATGGTAAAGGATCTCTTTGTCAATTATCAGGGCGCCATGCGAGGAGGATTTTGTCTAGCAACCAGACACACTGTGAAGAAAGTATTTGAAGCTGGATACGAACTACGATTAACGTGGGAAGCGATAAGGGTATCGTGGACCTGCCCGTTTTCTCTGTTGAAATGTGTCACTGCATAATGCGCGAGCAGGGATGGTAGAATATCTGACTCAGATGGCGTGCGCAGTTGCGAGTAGTATTGCTTGGGAGAGAGATAATAAGTATCTGCTGCAGGGCCAAGCACATATAGATTCATGGGATTCCAGATTACTTGGTGGCACAATAAAGATCCGTCTGATGGTTATGAGGCACGTTTCCGAGTCCACGCGATCTCTTGTGTCATCCACACTGATGAGCGCAATCAGACCGTTGGCCTGAGTTACCCAGCCTTACTTACGCAGAGCTGCCCCGCCTTGAACAAGCTAACAGTAGCTTAATCTTAGTCGGCGCAACGTTCTCTTCCCGATTCCCTGGTTGATACTATTAAAGAATAATAGCTTATCCGTGACTTGTAGCTCACCCACGCCCTTCCGGTCGTGGGTGAGCCCTCCCGTATCTTCAATTCCTACCAATCTTCAAAATTTTTCTTTAGGTACCTTTTGTATGGTAACACCATACAAAAGGTACATAAGGCTAAAAATACGATATATCCAATTATCTCAACATTTTATTAGAGGACACCTTTATTTTAACTGATAATATTAGAATATTATTATTGAATAATTTATATTTAAAATTTTTAAAAGCTCTTATTAAAAATAAGAGATATATAAGTATTTAAAGATTTCTCACTAAAAATTTTTTGTATAGGGAAAATAAAAAAAGTAAACGCTTACTTTAATAATTAAGATTTTAATTTCAAATTAAAGCTGTAGGTTCCTATATTGTATTATTTTAATATTATTAATTAAAATAAAGGTGTTCTCTACTAAAATGTTGAGATAATTGGATATATCGTGTTTTTGGCCTTATGTACCTTTTGTATGGTGTTACCATACAAAAGGTACCTAAAATTTTTTTTGAAGATACGGGAGGGCTCACCCACGACGGCAGGAGTGGGTGAGCTAACAGTCACGGATATAGGGCTGATGAGCACCGGTGCCGGAGAAGCTAACTAATATCACTCCACACAGGACGAGGCTCCTGACAAGTGTAACTAGCTATCCTTCTCAACATGTTGAGTAAGAGAGCAGAACAATTGCTAGTTAACTAGCGCCATGTAAGCCATCGTCGGTAAGCAAAGGATTGTCAGGATGAGCACATCAACGGCGTGCAAGTAAGGCGTTATGCAAGCCTGATGTAGGGCCGCAGCGTCGTACCTGACGGACCAGCGCCTATCAGTGTTCAAGATTCTCTCGATCGTCCAGCATCAAGCGCCCCAGCGACAGCCGTGCTCACGTGGAGTATTAAGAACTATGGTAGAGATGATGTTGTCGGATTGGATGTGGGTGAGAAGTGACCAGTGCCGTGAGCCGCCCGGCCGTTGCCCCGAGAGACACCAGGAAGTAAACATGGCCAGCCCACTTCTATCCAGCTCCATTCCACGGTTGCACCGCTTCAACTCCACAGATTCCTGTCCCAATTTAATACGGGTTGTATCTCCAGACCAGCCTGGGAGGGTTTTGTGTGTTGTGCAGCCTTGTTGTTGACTGCCCAAGGCGCCCTTGTTTTCGAACAGTGAGCAGACGCTGGCCGACGGCTCGAAGGGTTATCGATCACAGACAAACAGACAGCAAGCATGCCTGGCACAGTAGCAGAGGGACCGACGGTCTCTCTTTCTTGTTAGTTCCCCAGAGCCTCCGCAGGTCGATTGATGGTGAAGGGAAAGACTAACCGTTGTCTGTACAGTCGCGAATAATTTCTGGGGGAAGGACGATGCGGGCGTTGGACCAATGTTAGAACGCATGCACAATGCGAAAGTGACTTGTGATGAGATGAAGGCATTCTACAACAGTATGTTAACCTCAATTACACCATTGGGAGAAGTGTCTAATGCCACGAAACAGTTCGTGCTGCGATCGAAGACGAATATGCGAGAAAACTTATGTCCCTATGTCGCAAGCCTTTGGGCTCCGCTGAAACCGGTACCCTACGCGCATCACTGGATGTAGTGCGTGGAGAGACAGAGGCAATCGCAAAGGCACACTCTGCAATCGCCGCTCAAATGAAAAGAGAATTGGAGGAACCATTGGCTGCGTTCGCGGGCGGAATGAAAGAGAGACGCAAGATTATACAGAATGGAATCGAACGAATCCTGAAGACCAAGATGCAGCAGACTGCAACCGTAAACAAGGTGAGACCAGTCTTCCAACTACCTATCAAGAGCCTAAGTACTCATTGCTGCTTAGACCAGAGATCGTTTCGAGCAGGACTGTCTGCGAATCAAAGGTTATCTTGCACAAGGACACATGGTGATGGGCCAAGAAGAGCGAAAAAACAAAGCCAAGCTCGAGAAGACCCAGGTCCAACTCGCAGCCAACAGCAGTGAATATGAGGCTGCAGTTAAAGTCCTCGAGGAGACAACGGGTCGTTGGAACAAGGAATGGAAATCTGCATGCGATGTACGTCACGACACACTACATGCGCTGTTGGACCTTATTAAGGCTAACACCAATACAGAAATTCCAGGACCTCGAGGAAGAGCGCTTGGATTTCACCAAAAGCAGCCTTTGGAGCTACGCCAACATCGCTTCGACAGTCTGCGTCAGTGATGATGCTGTAAGTCATGTTCACTTCCGGTTAATCATGTTCCTCTCATGCTCATCCTGTCCTAGTCCTGCGAGAAGATTCGCCTCGCATTGGAGAACTGTGAAGTCGAGAAGGACATCAGCAGCTTTATCAAGGAAAAGGGCACCGGGCAAGAAATCCCGGACCCTCCAAAATACATCAACTTCTGTCGCGGGGACGTCAATGACTCGAGCTCCGAAATTTCAGAGGAAGAGGGCTACTCTGTGGCGCAGTTTCAGCGTACTATCAATCCGGCATTCAGAAGTTCGTCTCCGCAGCCGTCGACATACGAATCTCACCATGACCCGCAGTCAGATCTGGCCGCGCAAATGGGCCATCCTGCTCCTACAACCCCTTCGAGCAGAGAGGCAACTGTCACGCCACAAAAACCAGCACCACAAAAGCCAGCACCACAGCCCCAGCAGGAACATTTACCTCCGCAGCCTGTATCGCAACAGCAAGCACCACAGCAGCCAGCGCCGTTGGACCTTCGCCGCAGTGGGCAGCATGGCCAACTACCACCGAACTACCATCCAGAACAGCACGGGGAGATCGGGAGCGTCCCTCACAATGCGTATCCAACTGACGGTATGACCATGTTCTGTCGTACCGGTCCGCCCTCTGAACGCAGCTCCGGCACAAGTGGTCATCGACCTTCAAGCCGGGACTCACAGAGTGATGTCTCGAACCCAACATCCTTCTCAAGCCAGGAACCGCCGAGTGCTAGACAATCCCCCACGAAGCCTACCAACGGCGTAGCTATGCCGGGAATGACTCCGGAGAAGCAAGTCCAAAAGAAACGGAGTGCTTTCTTCAGCAACAGCCCTTTCCGGCGGAAGAGCAGACACGACAAAGAGCGCCAGTCAATCTCAGTGCAGCCAACTAGGGGAGCATGGGATTCTTCGAGGCAAACTAGCCCAACAAAGGCTGGGCCACCAGTGTCAGCCATGGCCGACATTGAGCACGGTTCCGGGAGCCCTGAGCCAGTTGATCCCAGGGCTAGTTTCCAGCTTAACGTTGGCAACAACGTTTTTGACGTGGCGCCCCCTGATAATACAGCGAAGAAAGGAACCCCTGCCAATAAAGACGCCGAAGATGAAATGGATCCAATTGCTCGCGCCCTGGCGGACCTCAAAGTTGCTGGCAAACAGTCGGCGACTCGTGTCTCCGCTGATCGATATCATGGTATCGCCACGCCGACCCCGTCAGCTCCAAATTCCAGCTACGGAACTGGTGCGATGGCTACACCACCTCCTGCATATAATGATACATCAGCCAAGCGTTTGGATGCACCACAGCCCGCCTTCACGTCTGCACAGATGCAGAAAACCACTCAGAAGTATGTTGGTCAGACTCACAACATGTTGAGGGGGGCGAACAATACTCCTCGCACGGCAGCAAGAGGTGGAGCTTCTCAGGAAGTTCCTCGAGCTAGGTCTCCTGCTGCTAGACGAAGTGCAAGTCCCCAGCCTGCTCCTCGCGTCGAAACACGAATGAGCCAGTATAGTGGAGGCGCTCCCAGCCCAACATCCTATCAGTCCAATAGCATGAATGGCCGTTATTCTCATTCTCCCACAGCCGTTGCAAGTCCAACGAAGCGAGCCAACGAGCGTGGCTACTCCCCTCAGACGTATTCTAGACATGGTTCTCCCAGCAACATGCCCAGAGCAGTTTCGCCGCAGCCTCAGTTTAGACAACAAGCTCGTCCTTCTAGTTCCGGGGGAATGGAACTTCAGCTATCCGGCAACCAGGTGGACCCTTATGGCAGCGGCTATAACTCATATGGTTCCAGAGGGCACGATGGTGGCCGTCCCATGTCGATGTACTATGGCGATTCTGGCAGCCAGAGAACCAGAAGTAGAAGCAAGAGTTTAGTCCCGGCTGAATCTGGACGCCAATATAGCCGTGACGGACGTCCAATTCTCCACTTCGGTAAGCAAATGTTGACCACCCTCTTCCTTCTAATAGGTCACTGATGTGAATTTGTAGCACGAGCAATGTACAGCTATTCTGCTGCTATCCCGGAGGAGCTCGGCTTTTCCAAAGGGGATATTCTTGCCGTTATCCGAATGCAAGATGATGGCTGGTGGGAAGCAGAAGTTACAGGCAGCCGAGGGCGTCCAGGTCTGGTACCGAGTAACTACCTGCAGAACATCTAATGTACGAGCTCCGACTTATGCGCATTCGTGATGCTCATGGCAAGTTCTTGTACAAATATGATTTTTCAATAATCTTTGGGCCGGTCATGATATGGGAACGGAATGACGGTCTTTGGGACATTACTAATTACGAAACTACGATGGAATCTGCCCTTATAGCTGGAATAGTTTTGGACTTGTTTGATTTCCCTCTTGTCAGCGATTTCGATCTTTCGGGGTATCTGATTCGTTCTTCAGCCTGTTCGGTGAAATTTTCCTTTTTGTTCAGTCTTTGCTTCTAAGTCCACTGCTTGTTATTCCCTTTGTTGTTACCTGAAGTCTTGCAACAGCGCCTCTTCAGCACCTTACCTATGATATCATGTTATGAGTTTCTTGTGTCTTGTTAATCATGATTTTTGCAATATAATTAACGTACATGGCCACAAAAATAACTTTCCTTTGTTTTTCTTTCTGTAAATCCACATAATATGCACATAGCGAGCTAGATGGGAGCTAATGTACTAAGTTATACAATATATGTATGCACTGTTGGCATAGTTAGTCTGGTAGGTAGCAACTTTCAATTTCATTCTAATATCCTAACTCGTGCTTTAACTAGTATGAACCCGAAATCTCTGACTAAGAACATGAAGTGAAGGAATGTCGACGGCAGCAATTTCACCCTTCAAGGGAAAGGAAGTTCAAAGTGGGCAGAATTTTCACTGGGCGCTCCCTGGGGGTTACGAGAGGTTATAAGAGCCCGTGCTGACATCTGGACATCTCCCATGCAGTTAACTAAACCGGCATGCGTGTATAGATCCTCCTTCACCTTCGCATCCAGATATCCATATAGCAGGCCGCACACATAGCCACTTGTGTCGATCAAAAATGCCCCCGAATCGCCACGTTGGCAAAAAATACCCTGCACTAGCTTGTTGTCTCTTATCTCCTGGCCCATGACAACCCATTCCTCGCAGACCTTGGAGGTTTCTACTGCGTTGCCGTTCTCATCGTATCGAACATGGCTGTCTCTCCAGTGGCACGTTGCCAGAGTACCATTGCAACGTCCGACTCGAACGTCTGAGGTTCTTCCGACCATAATATAGTAATCTCCTTTCTTCATTTCTCGAATGCCAGCGAACCGAGTTCCTTCATCTCGAAAGGAGATCACAGGTAAGTTTTCCATTCCGGACATATGCCAATAAGGGTAACGAGGCATTCGGTCACACCCGAAGAACTTTTTGATATCAGGCTCTGTGATTTCGACAAAAGCCCAATCAAGGAATCTCGATCCCATGACGCCGAAGCCTGAGGCAAATGTTACATTGCCTATCTTGGCTGGCAGATGCTTCACTGACTGCACGGTCTTCTCGCTAAGCTTGCACTCTCTGTCGAGATCTTTGATGTGTTGCGACTCTCTCTCAGTTACTCCCCGTCCGATGGCTATGTTCTGATCCCTGCGCTCGGTCACATGTTGAAGCTCAGCCATAGCCCTGTCATAGTTCCCCTGTGCTTGTCGCTTTGTCGCCCTTGCATCTTTCGTGGCTGGGTAAACAATCTCAATGTTGGGGTGGTTCCAATCATCGATGGTGATCCCTTTTCTGTCCGCCAGAGTCACTTCATGATTATCAGGCCTGACAACATGGTAATTGGTCAAAATTCCCTGATAGGTGACATTGTTCCTCTTGAAGGTGACGAAGCCACCCATGGTACCCCCGCCTTCGACCCCTTTAATGCCAATGGACATACCACGTTGGAGTCGTCCGACCCCATCCATCAAGTGAAGCATTGGGCGACCATCGCCATCACCACCTCTCTGCGAAGGAGGGGAGCGTGGGGAAGCCGTGTCCCCGGAAAACGGTGATGCATCTCCGGGTAAGAACTCGACTTGCAGAGGTACATCTGGATGAAGGAACCGCCTGACCGCACGCAACATGGAAAACCGAATGTTTGACCAATTGCTGTTGGTCTGGGGCTCTACAAGAACCACGATTGACGCTTCAGCCTTCTGTTTTGATGGGCCGACTTCAAACAGGCAAAGGGTCCTCCAGTTGGCACCGAGCTCCTTTGTTAGGATATCGATGAGATCTCCCTTTGCTTGCTCGTAGGGTCGAACAGTAGGATGCTCTGGCGAAATGGCGAACAGTGACGGCCTGAAGCAGTTTTGCAAGTCGACAATCTCTACGTGGAGATCCACGAGATTCCGGCGAAGCAAGTCCCGAATTTCGTCTCGAGCGTGCCCTGGAACAAGAGGGAATACTGCACCATACCGGTACTCGGTCATTAAGGTAATGGTCGGCCTCTCCCCGCCTGGGTATCCAGGTCTAGTGACTTCGACGACACCGATATCGTATCGGCCATGGAAACCATGTTTCTTAAGGATATCTGCGATAGGCGTATAGTACTCTGATGCCTCTGTCGTTATTGTGCCCCTTGCTGGTCTGGTTGAAATGGGATAGGGTAAAGGATGGTCTACACTCGTAGATCTATATGGGTCTGATCTGTGCAGGTATTGTTCGATGAACATAAACCCCTCTGTCTCGTCTGATTCACGAAGATGGCGTCGCCGTTTTCTCGGCGAATCAGGCCGGGTTGGTATAGTGCTTGACAGCGGAATATCAGGAGTACGTCCAGCCATTATATATTATTAGAGATTCAGGTAGACCAACTATGAGTTCTCCTTTTTGGTCGACCGGCAGAAAGCTATTATAATTTTGAGTTATATATATATATATCTGCAAACTGAAATTCCTAGGAAAGGATATATGGAAAAAAAAAAAAAAAAAAAAAACGATGAGAGAAGGAAGAACAGAGAGGGTGATTGGAGGGTATTTGAGTATCCCAAGATTGATATCAGCATTCACTTGGTTTGTTCATCCAGGAATCTGCCGACATGTTGGTAGTCACTGCCTTGTTGGATGACTACTAGGCAATAAAGAGACTGTAGGTGACTGAAACTTACCTACGCATATGAAGCGGGAACCCTCCAAGGGTCTATGTAGTAATACTGACACAAAGCAATTAGGCAGCAAGTACTGCCAATTCTGGATATGTCTATCCGCTACGGCGAAACCAAACATCTGCTCCCAGAAATAGTGACTATGCTTTTTGAACTAGAGTGACAGCAAAGAGAATACACCACAGGCAGAATATTACTTGGAACTGTAGATCCTTTATCCATCATAGGCACAACAGGCCGCAGAGGTAGACACGATGAGCCTGTCATATTGCCATTTGCAGTAGTTTATTTGGTACTTGGTATGCTATAGAGCCTAGTGTATCCTTGGTTCTTGAATATGGAGTCAAATCAAGCAGGACACAGGTCACCTCACCTCGTCGGTCATGTGATTCTCACCTCGCACGGACCCTTTTAGAGCCTACCTTACCTCGTTGAATTCTAACCCCACCTTATCCCCTAATTATCCCCTAGTTATAACTGTTATCCTCTCCGGGGGGAGACTATAATTAAAGGTCTTACCTAGGAGGGGGTTGCTTTAAGTTCCTCAGCTTATATTGGCCGGTAAGCTTATATCTTATAACCCCAAATACCCTTCTTGGGTTATAACACCCTCCCAATAAGATCTTTACCGGAAATAACCCCCCTTTTAACTATTATACTTACCCGGAGCGAAGAGGGTTACTCCGGGTAAGACCTTTAACTATACTTAACGGGAACTTAACAGGAACTTAATAGGAACTTAACAGGAATAACCCCCGGGAACGGCATAGTGGCTGGTCATGTGACCTTATCTGGGAGGGATTATTATAACAAGGTGAGGTGGGCTTACAAGGCTTGGCGCTTTTTTGGTCCGTGCGAGGTGAGGATCACATGACCGACGAGGTGAGCTGACATGTAGTCACTCAAATCAAGCCTGCTCAGGCTAAGTGACGAAATTGGTATGCTTGTGTGACATTACCATTGGAACCATGGTCGTACTATGCCTACAAATCCCAGCTAGGCAGCGGCCACTAGAATCTGGTGCTTGATCCCGGTCTGTCTAAACCCGCTGGGTTTGCAATCTACTGTGATTATACAGTATATTGACGCTCTTTGTCGAAGGCATAGCAGCCTTGACCATGGCTCTGGCATGGGCTATCTGGAGGTAAGTGCACAAGCAAAGCGAAATATTTATTTGATCAATCCGTGGCCGTACATAGTACTTCTGGCCCGAGCATTCATTCTGGATTCTGAGCTATCTGACTACTGGAAAAAAAGAGCAAAAACTCCGACCCTAGACCGACCAACCAACCCAGACCGTACCTGTCCATTTCCATACCGACAGAAACGTGACATAAAGGAAAACAGGAGACCAGTTGTGGAGTAATGAGGGGCCCATTAAACAGCTTTGTGGGAAATCTGTTGAAGCCGAAAAGAAACAGAGCGTGAAACAAGATGGGGAATCGATGGCAATATGCGTGTTGGATGGATCCCAAGGATCGCGATCCAGAGACAATCAACTAGATACTTTCAGAAAGAAACAGGACCGAGAGTCATCTTCTCGTTGCAAAAAAAAAGGAAAAGCGCAGACCGGCTCCAGAGTGTATGTTAAACCCAGAAGGATCAGTGGTTAGGCGAGATGCATCACGGAAGGAACATGCTTATTTCCCCTTGGTCTTTTTGGTGGCAGGTCCACCAATGCCAGCAACAGGATCCGCCTCTCTCTTCTTGGACGCAGCAGCTAGACCGGTGGGAGTCGGCTGCTTTTTACGCATCCAGCCGTTGAAGGGGCTGATGCGCTTCTCATTCTTGGATTGCGGAGCACTGGGAGTGGCATCCTGGGCGATATGCTTGCTACGCGACCGGAGAGACCGGATGGTAGCACCAGGCGAGGCCGGTGTGGTAACAGATGAGCGAATCGCAGGGGTAACGGCTTCCTTCTGTGCATCGGTTTCCTCATTGCCAGCGTCCACCTCAGGCTCATTGGCGATGTGGCTATCCTCAACGTCGGTCGCTTCCTCTTCCTCCACTGCGTCTGGTCCAGTCTTCTGAGCAGCAGGGAAGAGAACACGAGGCTTAATGGACGAGCGCGTCAAAGGTCGGACACTGGTCAAAGACTCGTCAATCAGATCCGGACGGGCAGCTAGGAGACCCAAGTCGTCATCGTCGTCCTCGTCACCACTGTCCATGTCGACATCTTCATCGAATTTACGGAATATCTTCCTTCCACGGCTAAATTGTTGCTGTTAGTATGTTTTGACAATATAGACAGTGTCTAAACTTACAAGACATAAGTCATCCCATCTTTACGGTCAATAGCATTGTCAACTTCTTTGTCACGTTTGCTTCCATTTGCCTTGCGTCGGCTGGAAGTGCGGGGTGCTGCAGTCTCAGTGATTGCTGGGGCGGCAGGCTTCTTGTAAAACGGATTCTCTTCACTTTCGTCCAGCTGCGGGATTCTATCGCGTGAATCCGTAAAGATCTCAATCTTGCCATGCGTCTCAGTTGACTCTTCTTCAAAACTCTCCAGCGAAAAGCCACTGTACTTCTTGCTCTTCTTGGGACGCGCAGATGTAGAGGCAGTTGGGAACAGAGTTCGTGCAGCACTACTCACGTCCTCGACTGCCTTCTTGCGAGGCGTTTTCATGGGAGTAGGAAGCATGCCGTTGGTCATTGTTGTGCGAGATGCTTCAAACGAGGGTTGTCTGACGCGAGTAGTCTGAGCAGAGCCGAAGAGATCTGAGCTGGAGAGCTCAGTGTTGTCAAGTGAATATGCCGGAATAACTCCTTTGCCCCGGCCCGACGTCTTCTTCCGGGGCGATGTGAAAGTCGATCCAGGTGGTGATAACGTTCCAACGTCCATGTCCCTTTGTTTGTGTTCCTCCATTCTACCCGCCTGACCACGTAACTCTGGCGAACTCGGTGGGGGTGTCGTATGGGTGTCTCTCGATGCTCGTTGACTAGCTATTCTAGCAGAATGACGGGTGCCATATGGTTCCCATGAATCGTATTTTGGGCCATGACGGGGAGCCGGAGGGACGCGAAGCTTCGACGGCGATGGGGGCGGCGGTGTCGTCGCCATTGTGTAGAATACCCTATTCGTCCCTTTACAATTCGTATGGTACTCTCCTCCCTGGACTTTGGAAGACGGCAATCGCAAGAGCAAGTAGTCCTGGGCTTGACAACTGGCACCAACCAGGAAGAAGGGGCAATCAAGGGCGACGCGCAGGACCGTGTGCGACGGGGGTTTCCGGCCAAAGAACGATAAGATAAAATAGATATCCAAGGATAATCTCACGGAGCGTATTGAGAACACTGGATTGAGCAAGGAGAGAGAGTAGAGTAATGAAAGAGAGACGAGAGACGCCCAGGGAGATGCCAACGAGGTGGAATGTTGTTGGGCTTTGACGTCGACCAGCCACCGCTTTCCGCAAATTCGGGAGGCTGTAAGCCGCTTGGTGCGCGAGTCGCCTGGCCCCACCAGCTGGAGACGCGCTTCACGCCCAGATCTGATAGTGGGCGCTGTCAGCTTTATCGCGCAAATTGTTTGACAATAAAGGCTTGCATTCCTTTAATTGAACACAGCACTTGCTATCTATCCTGTCTATCAATCTGCTCTTACTGTCTGTCCAACCTTCTCTCATCCTGCACACGTGCTGCTCTCACCCACGTGGACCACCTCTCCCTGCCCAACATGACAACATTGAGTGCGGCGGAGGAGATGGACAAGCTCCAGCTCTCCGAAGAGGATACCGAAGATCTCTGGGACTCTCCCTCCAAACGACATGCCAAGACCCCAAGGCAGAAAGCACCCAGGGCCCAAGACGTACCGCCAGAACCAGCGCAACCTCGCAATGGCGAGACGCTGTTCGACCTCGAAGAGACACGGGAAGCTGCCTTGCGCAATGAGCTACAGAGTGTTCGCAACATTAATCAGGTAATTGAGGGTCTACTGGAGAGCCTTGATCGCGCAAAAGGAAACATGACGGTATGTCAACTATACATAGTGTAGACCTAGATAACCAGTCACCCGCTGATATTATGCTAGACTGTCTCTCGAACAGTTGATTCTGCTTCCACCCTGCTAAACACGTGGACTCGAATACTTTCACAGACAGAACATAATCAGCGATTGATCCTCAATCCCAACTGGCAAGGTGCCAGTCAAGATATCGCTGATATGGAACATGAAGCTGCTTTGAAACAGCAGGAAGCCGAGAGGAGGGCACGGGAGTTGCAGCAACGAAGAGAAGCTGCTGCCAAAAAGGCAGAAGAAGAGGAGAGGAGAAGGGCAGCGGGCACCTCAACTACGAGAACTACACGAGGAACAACGAGAGGCAGAGTACGCACTGGGCTGGGCCGGACTGCTAGCACTTCCTCTGCTGGCGTAGGATCTAGCGCGACTAGAGGGGCAACAAGAGGTACCACTACAGCGACGCGAAAGCCCAGCACTGGAGGGGTGTCACGAAGCACTGGTCTGCCACGGGGCCGGGGACGAGTATGATTGTATCGAGCATCGATGATTGATGAGATAGACGTGTCCATGAATAAAAAGTTCGTAGTATTGAATAGAGATAACCGTCGATATTCACACATTGCGGAACACCATCTGTATAGAGATTGTTGCTCCAGAGCATCTCGTTTAAGTAAATAGCCATCCGGGTTTGATGTCGAGATCTGACCTCTTTTAAGCTTCGTTTTGGATCGCTGCAACGCGCCAAGCCTCGGTCCGCCTGAGCTCTATCTAGGAAGAAGCGCGCAAGCAGTCCAAGAACGTCAACTCCAAAACATCAGGTCCTCTGTGGATCTCAACGGCAAAATGAACTTCGCTCCATATCAGGATGAGTCGCCCGAGATCGAGCGAGCTATGTCTCCAGCATTCGCTGACAGAGTAAAATCACCCAACCTACGCTCGCCGCGCGCATCACCGACGACCCCGAACTATCCCGGAGGCGGTCTGCCATCCCCAAGTCAATTCGCAGGTGTCGGTGGAGGACAGATCAATGGAGGATATGAGAGAGTGGTGGAAAATGGAAGACTGAGTCTGGATGCCTTTGAGACCAGTTTGCCGATACGGTTAGACTATGAAGCTATGCTGGCATATCTTCTGCTGCCACCAGCCGGCGGGGTCTTTCTGCTGCTGTTCGAACACAAGAGCGACTATGTCCGGTATGTTGATATCGATACGGATAGTTTACGCCTTTAGAACTGATTGCTGATTTTCCAATTAGGTTCCATGCCTGGCAGTCAAGCTTGCTCTTTACCGCTATCTTCGTATGCAACCTCGATGGTCGCCCGAACACACATGACTGACTCGCATCCAGATACTCCATCTCATATTTGCTTGGTCGAGCTTTATATCGTGGCTGATGTTCATCGGCGACATTGTTCTAATCGGCTTCCTCGCTATGCACGCTTATCGAGACGGTAACGGCCCCTCTGAAGCAACATATTGAAAAGCAGAAGTGGCTGACAAGGATCACAGTTGATTCTCTCGAGCATTACGAGGTTCCCTTCTTCGGGCGATTCGCAAACTCCTTCGTTGATGATGAATAAACTTTATGATAGCCATCTTCCTTTACCAATCCACAACCATGTGATCTTGATACCCTTGTTAATCACCTGTTGTGGCTTTCCAGCGCTTGCATGATCAGAAGGCAAACCCCTTCTCTTTATGCCTTTTTTTCTACATGACTGTGTGCGCTACTCTTATTTTTCTCGATGTTGGCGGCCTCATTGTATCGCTATGTTCAGCATCTTTTGGTTCTAAGGCGGTCAGCTCTTTCATGTAACAATACTCTGGCCGCTGGCTCCTTGCAGATTCTCATAAATTTCTCATGAATTATGTACAGCATTTTTCATATGACTAAGCTCATTGTACATGGTAACTATCTTCATGTACTTTCATTTCAATTATCATGATCGCACTGTTACGATATTGATACAGTGTGTTACCTAGCGTGTTTGCTTCATGACAAATATTGTTAAATTACACTACCCATCAGGTCATGTTTTGGCAGATTTCATGACCCAATTACAAAGATTTGAGCTTACATTTCTTACAGTCGTCTTCTGTCTGTAATACCCTTCTATTGCATATAACGTCTAAACATCTGGAACTCCCCTTCCGCAGTCACGAGTCCTGATGAAAGGTTACTGCCTATGCATAACAAACATTAACGATTGCATATTCCTCAACTCTTATATTCACGATTCAGATATGGGGACAGAAAGAAAGTCACTTCCAGACTCTGCTCCTGAACGCATTCACACTCCTGCACCCTCATGCAAGCATTCCTTTTTGGGGTATGTTCGGATCTCTAAACGACATCATCTCGCATGAGCATATCCCTACTTTGGATAATTTTATGCTTGACGACTAAGCAATTTCTCATACAATACCTCATGTGACAAGACAAGAGATCACCGGCATCACATCTCCATTGCGTGCTGAGATCTGGTCCATTGAACCTTCTGCTATGATATGGGCTTTATCGAGCCGGTCGAGCTGTGATATCTTGATTCATTTCCCTCGAATCAACGACTCTGGATCCTTCTCTTTCAAATACGAGTAGGGGCGGCTCTTTCTCCCGTGCTCACTGGCTGCCATCATCGAGGACTTCGTCTCAAAGTCGTCGTCCATCGGTTCTCCCATTCTACTCGAACCATCTCTTACACAAACCAGAGCATCAAAAATGTGCAAAGTCCAAAGAGTCACCAACAGCTGCGGTCATCGCAATGACCACGTCCTACTAGTCTGCCACATCGCGAAGGCGCCATCACCCCCATTGAGTCCTCATCAGTCCGATTTTGACTCGTCTGACCTGTCTATATCAGACCCAGCTTACAATGGGCTCTATGAACGGCGTCACCTCATCGCATGGCCAATTGGTGATCCTAGAGCTCCAAATTCAACCGAGACTACTACTGCGGATAATAAACCTGTGAATAAGGGCTTTCACGCCTGTACGGAGCCGTATTGCATATACGCTTCGATTCGCGAGCTTGATTCACCAAAGGGTTTCAAATGCATGGTTAGCGGTTGTGGACGGGCTGACTAGGTAGATTAGAAATGGATGGGGGGGTGTTTTATTCGTCCTTCTCGTCGGAGGAGGGGGTATGGCTCGACCTGTTTCTCTCCTGATATATGGTTATTTCTTACGAAAGGGGAAATATGATATGCTACATGATTCATGAGGGTAAGTGACAGATATGGCTGGACACCGTCAAGATCTTCATACTAATGAAATATATTTGTGATAGATATGCTTCCAAAAAGAAAAGAAAAGAATCTTACACTTCTGATCCTTTCCCCAGAAAAGGAAATCGTCCCATAAAGGGTTAAACAGCATCGATTACATGCAGACAGAGATATACCTCAACTATGATCCCAGACGCCTCATACCCGCCCGCGCTAACCGAATGAAGCGCGTCAGTCTAGGCGTTTTCTTGTTGCTTTCCCACTATGTCTGGAGTAGAGACGGCCTTTACATTTCGTGTCATGATATTTACGACGGTGTCTGCTTCTTCGGGTCATGTTTATCATTCTTAGATATGTATAGTGTTGGTCTCCTTTCCTTAATTTGTTCCAGTTCAGGGAAGTCCTGAACCGAAACCGAAACCGAAATATTCAGTTCAGAACTCCCTGAAAATAACCCATACCGCCCGTCTAACCGTCCAACCTAAGTAAGATATCGAGCTATTACCTGGGTAAGACTGTAGAAACAGGAGGAGACGGACAAAGTCCCAGATGCTCCCCCCTGGACCCCAACCCTCCTGTGCAGTTCGCGCCTAGTATGAGCCTAGGCTATCGGGATCCCAGTCATGAGCGAGGCCATAGCCTTGGGACCCATAACGTCCTCAAGATTGAGCATAGAATACACCAGCTTGTCCGATTCGCCCTTATCATAAGCAACATCGTCTTGAATTGGCTTCTTGTTCTTGCAGAAAACTCTCAGCTCTTTGCATGCCACATCTCCATTCTTCTTCAAGTATTCCCGCATCACCTCGCCAGCGCTCGTGACAATCCGACTCACTAACCCAAGTTTGCGAGATGCAAGTCCCATGTCACGTGCATTTTGGGCCGAGCCCTCCGCAACCATATGGATGAGAATGACAATGTTTGATATGAAAGACTCATCAGGCATATACGCCGGCGTGAAATATTGGGCAAACTTATGGTGCTCTTTGTCTCGGATCAGCCTGAGTAACTCGATGGAGCGTTTGTGCATGCCGAAGTAATTGTACAATATGACAGGCTCCTCTTCGAATAACTTGGTCTTCAGGAACTTGAGAAGCGGCAGTGTGTCAATGTTGCGGGTATGAGACCACTTTCGGGTAATCATGACTTCTGGATTGACCCTCTGAAGCCCCTTGCTGGCCGAATTAAGCTGCTGCGAAAGCTCGTCCAGGATTCTGTCAATATGTACAATCCCGGCATCTTCCTGAGAACCGCCGACGTACCGGGCAAAGAACAAGTTTGCAACTGCGGTGGTGGGCTTGAGTAAGCGGGCGTTCTTGCCATCAGGGCGATGGATTCCTTTGCTCCGAGAATCGCGGGCGAACCTGGCAGTGGATGAGATGCCTGTAGCCAACTTTAGCCTGTTCAGTGATTCATTGGCGTTCTTTGGCCGCGAACCAACGAAAATATGAGACTCGCCATGGATCTTGATGAAAGCATCCATATCAGGCCATCTCAGGTCTTTGTGCCCTGGAGTATTGATGACGAGGTTGTGCAAGAAGGCCAGTTGTTGAACGTCGTACCATTGGGTGACGAGCTTCTGGCCAACGTACTGCATTCCCATATTGAGGTTAAACAGGATCAAGCCGCAGAGGATCGCGTGCTGCGATAAGAGTGCATGCTTTTCAGGCGGGGGGCCAATGCTGTCGAGTCCCGACCGGACTCGAATGTCTTGGAACGTATCTTCTATGACCCACGCCTTCACGGCTGACTTTATATTCCGAATCTCATCATCGGCCTCTTTTGGCCAAAATTTGGGCTGGGGGTGTGTTCTAGACAATTGCAGGTAGTCATCGATAGTCTTTTGGATGCGAAGTCCAGACATTCGAAGGTCTCCAAATGCACCCAAGGTACTGTGTCGCATGATATGATGAACATCAAGGAATACCTGGGAGGCGAAGCAAAGCCACAGATCAACCGTTTTAGTTTTAGCAAATTCAGCAAGGCCTCGAGTAATCACGTCCTCAGCGGGCATCTGGATTTTGAATGTGTCGAACATGCAAAACTCTGGCAGAATCGAAAGAAGGATGATTTTGTCTTCGTTGAATTTCTCACCCAGAGACATCCGCTCTCTGTCCGCTTTCGGATCATAGATACCGAAGTGGCCTTTTTTGAAGACTGGATGATGATCGTCCTGGAGAACAACTGCGAAAGACTCAAGCAGGACCTTAGTTGGCAAATAGCACCAGTTGGCTACATCAGCCATGTTCTTGTTGTAGGGCAGGCCAATCTCAGCGGATGGTTCCGCAGAAATGCCGCGGGCAAGAACAGCGTAATTGTAGACAACTTTCTGCACATGGTCCTTTTCCCCCGTACGAGAAGTGCGCCAATCAGCCTCCACCTCCTCTGCAAGACCTCGGGCAAGCTGCAAAGCACTGTCGGTGACAACAGCGGCGTTCATAAGGTCGATTTTCTTATCTCGATACTCCGACCAGGTGACGGAAATGAATTGTCGCATGTTGTCCAGGTCTTGAAGTAAACATAGGGTCTTGAAGAACAGCTGACTAAGATATGAATCTGCTGCTTCATTCTCGTCCTCTTCATCAACAGTCACCTTAACGATCTGTTGCGATTCTGCGGGTCTCGATGGGGTTTGCGCAGTATCCCGGGGCTCCTCCACTGTGAGAACAGCAAATTTATTGAGAAACCTCTCAGCATCGGCATCATCACTTTGAGCCTCAGAAGTCGGTGGTGGCTGCTTAGCATCTGGCTTCGAGGGCTGGGTGGTCTTCCATTCAAGAGTCTTGCAGATCTGCTCCAGCGCAGTGATGAAATGAGCATGACGTTCATTGCTCGTGGAGTCGCCCTGGCCCAAGAACCAGCGGGTGACTGCTTTTCTCAATTTGATGGCGCGTTCCGCGATGGTGAGAACTGACTTGGGTACTGCGAAACCAGAACTGGCAATCACCTCGGCAAGCTTTTGCAGATCTTTGGTAGTCGCATTATAATGAAGCGGATCTGCATCGGAGCCGTTGCCTTTGCCTTTGCGTTTACCATTCTTCGCGGTAGAAACGCTGGCCGAGAGGGTAGGTGGTTGATAGCCACATTTGTTGGCTGTCTCCAGTAGCCATGTTGCAAATGTATTGGTATCTGTTTTGTAGCGGGCGTAACTACTCTGCAGGAATTCAGGTAGCATATTGGCGGTTGAAGGCCAAACAAGTGAATAATGGCCACTGGCCTGTCGATAAGACCAGCCTTGCCCCTATGACAGGGAGGAAAGGGATTGAGGATGGCCTATTAATTTACGAGCTGTATGCCGCCTGTTTATCACGCTGAGAGTTTTTGGAACGACGCTGAGCTGGTACCCCGCCTGTTTAAGTACTGGTCACTGGTCACGGGGGTGCCAGCTCGTCGTGGTTCCAAACTCTTGGCGCGGTTTTTACACCACTTCCATAACTGATCATATACCACAAAAATAATTAGGGATTAGGAGATTAGGAGATTAGGGGATTAGGGTTTAGGACCATAGTTAACTAGTTAACTAGTTATAGGCGCGAATATTATGTAAGAATTCAATTACGAGCCCTAGTTAGATACCACAACCATGGTACGTACCGTGGATGGCCAAGGATAGTCAAGGACAAGAGAAGGAAATTTTACTTAGAATGAGCTTGTTTTCTGAGGTATTATTGATTGATGAATTAATAACTCTAGTCTTCAGCAAGTGTGCTATCCAGTAGACCTATGCAGATGTACTCATACATAGATAACAAACACCAAAAGCAAACAGGGGACGGTGGTGGGAATGGTAGAGAAGTCCCTGGTATCTATCCCTGGTGGTATCTCTCTTTTTAAATGATATCCAACTCGTCATCGTCGTCATAATCATTATTATCAGAGGTCTTCGCCAGACTATTCAGGTCTGACGGGCCCCCGAGACTGTCTCGACCTGCTTCCCGAATTCCTTTCGGGGTGATGAAGCGTGTCTTTTTCACTATATTCGAAGGCTTGTCGCCGTCGTGGGCGCGTTTCTTGTGTTCCAGGCGGACATCTTGTGCTCTTAGGCTGCTTAGGTTGAAGTCAGATGATATGGGAGTTGCGGTTTTGTCGTCCTTTGACCCAGTCGAAGCTGGGGTGCCGTCGCTGCGAGATGAAGACGACGGACGATTCTCGCTGACTCGGGCTCGCAGGTACTCTCCACCTATGCCAGTGGCAGCGCCCGATGTCACCAGCCTCTTGATGTTGCGCTCGTTTTGCTGCTCGGCAAGGCGCCTGCGAAGACGCTCTGCTCTACTGTCCTTCCCACGACCCGTCATACCAGCTGCGAGGAAAGGGTCATCAGCATCAATTAAGCTGGCTGCTGATTGACCTCGGTTAAAGAGGTTGGCAGAACCCAAGGAATGATCATAGTCACTATTCATCCTTGGAGCTCGAGCGACATAGAATGTGGATTGAGTCCCAAGGTCGTATTGTGCACCTTCAGGCTTCAACCCATTGCCCCTCTGTCCTGCTCGTCTTTCCCCACCAAAATCACCAGTTCGCGGACCTGATCTCCCTCCTGGCCCAAACATACCAGTTCCATTGTTCACGCCCATCCGCTGTGCCTGTGTACGCCGAATTTGGACATCGATGTGAAAGTCACAAAACTCCGTCTTGCGTGCATCGACCCAGGAGTGGCACGTCTTGCCGTCTTTCCTCACGGCCTTGCAAAACCCAATGTCTTGCGCATATCCAATCTCAAGGATCGTGTCATCTGATGATGAGATAGCCAAGCTAAACCGGTTGGTATCGATTTTGTTCGGGGGAGGGGGCATGATAGTAGGGTTTAGGACGGCGATCAAAATACCCTCGGAGAGCTTGTAGTATCTTGGGAAAGCTGTATCAAAGAGGAAAAGATCGACAGACCATTTGAGATCAGTAAGCGTCATGGCCATATATTTGTTCGTATTGTTCAGACCGTCGTCGAATCGATCGGTCTCTTTAGCAATGTTTTTCGATTCCTTGCGCTCCCTTGGATCAGACTTCGAGGCGACTATACCAAAGACCACATAATCACCATCCACATCTAGCTCAAAATCCGGGGCTTTGACCATCCTTAAGAGCTGGGGGATGGTAATGACCTTCTTGCCTTCGAGCGTCCGACTTAAAAAGGAGTGCGGTAATATGCGACTGGAAAGATGTAAAGAGGAAAATGCCTCGTACTTGGAGGCATCGCCTGCTTTAATTTCGCTCTGTTTCTCTTCGTCAGCGTCACCTGGGACATGAGACTGGTGCGAGTCCGAACGTCCCTGTGATCGTGGTCTTTGTCCCTGGAAGGACTGTGTCTCGCGGGAACCAGAAGAGGGTCGGCTCGAGTCATTCGCATGTATACTAGGCATCGTTTGGCTTCTTTGCCTTGTTGACGTAGACTGATGGAGTGATCTGAGGACATCTTCTCGGCTGAAGCTCTCCACTGGCCGAGACCTAGTGGCAGATCTCGAGGCTGGTTTTGCGTCCGCCGCCGCGGCCTTGAACCGTTCCATTTCTTCCTTGTCGAACTGGAAAGCAGAGCTGCGAGTCTGTTGGGATCTCTCCGCGCGTTCTCGCCGGTCCTTCTCCACAGACCTGCTTTCAGCGATCCTCTCACTGAAACTCTTTGGTCGTGGGGAATCACGGAACGGCGACGAAGCACTTGTAGCACTGGATGAATGAGCAGAACGTGGTGCCACGCCTGCTCGACCGCCATACGCACTCTCTGGCCGACCGGAGACTCTCGAGTTTGGTGGTCGTCGAAGTGATACATCCTTCCCTCTCATCCCCTTGTCTATACCAAGCACAAATCTCCGAGGAGACTCCGGCTCAACAGGCGGTGCAACCTTCCTCGTCGGGGAAAGCGGAACTTGGATTTCATCTTCTGGTTCCTTTCCATGGGCATCCCTTTGTAGCCGGCTAGACGCGCCGACAGCTGAAGACAGTCTCGATGGCACCTCATCCCCTTCAAGGTCTGAACTCGATCGTCCAGTCTTTGCTTGTTTCTGTAGCTTCTTTAGCCTTAGACGAGCCTCGATTGCTGCAAGCTTCAGTTTCAAGGTCTCTTCGTCGTCGTCTTCGTCGTCGTCTTCGTCGCCAACGCTCTCTTGTAACAACCGATGCGACTTGGCCTGCAAGTTTGGCGTCGTAGACGATCGCTTCAAGGGCGACGTTATTCGATTATTCTGCATATCCTGGTACTTTCTCCGACCACTAGGCGAGCTCAGTAAAGCATCACGGGGTGATTTCGGGGGCCACGATGTTTCGCCCACTGCGAGGTGTTATTGCGTTAGTTTAGCATATTCTCAAGAGATAGATAGACACGGCGACGCTGCTCACTTGTGTCATCGCAGACGGACCGCAGATGGGACCCCTCTTGCGCTGTCTTTCCCGGTTGTATTCTCCAATGATCAAGATATTATTTCGTCCCTTATCCGTGCTCCCTTCCCATTATCGCTGGTACAGTAGACGTGCGGGCAAATGAATTTACCCCCTCCACATCCTTGACTGACAGCTTTCGAGCTCGATATAGCCGGACCGTCAAGTCGCGCTCTTATTCCATAAAATCACAAAGGCACAGAGCTATCAGAATTGGTGGAACAGTTTGATTTCAGCGCCGACAATTCAGCGCCTCCTGCGAATGGAGAATGTGGCTTGTCACTTTTCCAGCTGCGGTTTGGTTGGATCGGCTGCGGGGACGGACAAGCGCGTTCCATCGCGTGTCGCGTCGGGAACGTTAATTAATGGGCAGTCTAGATCTACAGTACAATTGTGCATCCAGCGTTGAACACCCAAGCACGTCGCCAATTGCTCCAAGGGTGCATCTTACACACTGTCTTAGCATCCACAAGATCTTATTGTTTACAGATATCACCATGAGAACGAGAGCCAACGGCCCTAAGGGGTCATCAGCAGAAGAGAAGCCGGAGACAGAGCAGCCATCGAAGAAGACATTGACGCCTGCGGAGAGGCCGAGCAAGACATTCGTCCTGCCCTCGAAGGCCAGCAACGATGCGAGATTCCTCACGTTACCGAATCCGAGTACCGGCGAATTGAACCGTTATTTCTTCTGTCCCCAATTGGGCTTGTACGAGTTTACGGTGGTCGCATCTCAGCCGCATATCCCGCGGAGTATCCTCTTCACACATAAGAGAGATAGCACGTCCACCAAAGCGAATGGCGACGAAAAGCGTCCGGCGGGGTCCCTTACCAAGACGGCGGAACTATTAATCGCAACGCCTGTTGACAGTATCTTCTTCATCCTTCCCATACTCTCGCCGCCTGCATCAAAGACAAACTCCGCCAAGGGGCTGTTCCAGCCGCTGGACGATATTCTTGACTCTCAAGATGAAATGCATGACCATCTTCGCTACATCCTCTACAATGAGTCATTTCGAGGTCTTCTAGAGAAGCGGATGGAATCGATCTGCGACACGGTGGAAGCAGGCGATGAGAAGATGTTCCGTCTGAGCGAGGAGAAGCTGCTCAAGGAGCTGATCTCCAAGGCAGAACGCATGGTAGCGCAGGGCCTTCCAACAAGTCTGGAAGAGCGATTTATTCGCCAGGCCTTGGAAACACCACTGATGAGCGTGACGCGCGACGACGTCGTCACGGCTGAAACGAAATCCGACAGCAACACCCCCGCAGCCGAGTCGCAGGATAGACCAGGGCTAGAGAGAGCAGAGACTCAATCTAGCGCAGCGACTGCTGCGATATCGATCTCAACTCCCTTGGATGCTTCCACGCCCGCTACACAGCCTTCGGCCATCCAATCGCCGTCTCCAGACGACAGCATCCCGCGCTTACTTCGTATCCGGACCGCGCTCTCATTCATGCAATCTTCCTACCTTCCTCCTCACATCTCAGCTAAGATTGAAAAGATCCTTACGTCTCCCGAAAGCCCTATTGATTTCAAACCGCTCACAGACGAGCTCAAGCGCATCGCAGACCTGCGCGCGGAAGCGCTCGCCTCGCGCTCCTTCGGAGACTTCAGTCGCAAGCGGTCTGCGGACGACGATGATGTAGACGCGGCCGAATCACGAGCGGAGAAGAAGCGGCGCAAGGAAGAGGAAGAGAAGAAGAAAAAAGCGGGACAGTCGCGTGGGGTTAAAGATTTGAAGAAAGTCGATACTAGCGGGATGAAGAAGATGAGTGATTTCTTTGGTAAAGCGGCTGCTGCTAAGAAGAAATCGTGACCACTCTATTCATGCCTTGGATGGTGATTCGGAAGAATATACTCTCATTGAGAGTGCGGAGTCTACGAGGAACAACGGCACAAGGAAGCCTTCTTTGCGTTTGACACAGGGTCGAACTGCAAAGTGCCGGTATCGCAGCACACGATGTTCCCGGGATATCGGGGGATCGTTTGTTTACGGTATGCTGTCCACTCTGCAGTGACATGATCTGAGTGTTCTACGGCCGCTCGGGACCGAACACTGCAGCCCAAGGAGACTCCAATGATTTTCTGGCAGTCCGTGTGCGTCACGCCTTTACTGGAGACAATGAGATCTAAAGAGACCATTCTAGATCTTGCATCGGTGTCGCCGGAGAGGACATTGCACAGGGGGAACAGTTGCGTGACCGGCTGGAAGCAGATTCCAGCGCAGGAAGAATAAGATGAGCGGTCTATCACGTGTATATACATTTCGCATTGCATGAGAGGATATTGTTGGGTATGCTATTTTGCGGGGTTTGGAGCCAATGTTCCAATTGGACTCTGGGCGCACAGATGATATCTCAGAACTAGAATGGATCTACCAATGAGAAAGACAATAGAAGCAGATTTGGTCGGCTTCTATGGTCATGAATAAGTAGTGTATCAGTACTACAGCCTATGTACTTCATTTAGATTTAGACTTCCACCTGATCGATGGCGGCACCGAAAGCCCTGCATTGATCACGGTTAGCAACATACTCAGTAGTATGATGGGACGGCACATACAGGAAGGATCCGTTAGAGGGTTTACTGATGACCATGGCATGACCCAGCATCTCCTCGCTAATATCGGGGAAGTGCTTAAGGTAGTATTCCTCGCGGAGAGCCTTGGTGACGGCTTCGACCTTGTTCTGCGGCAGCATGTGGACGGTGCAGCCTCCCCATCCTGCACCGGTGAGACGGCTACCCCAGGTCCCAGCGCGGCGGGCAATGGCGCAGATTTCGTCCACCTCGGGACAGCTGCAGTCGTAATCAGTGCGGCACGAGGCCTGGGATTCGTTCAGAAGCTGTCCCAGATAGGTAATGTGCTTCTCATCCAGCTTCTCCGTTCCGGACAGGCAAGCCTTAAAGTCAAGCACGCGGCGAGCCTCCTTGAAGCAATGCAGCGCACGCTGGCGAAGGAGGAATCGCTCCGCCTGCACAGGGAAGGCGGACAGGAATTTAGATTCGAGCTCAGGCACAGTGATGTCGAGAAGCTTAGCAATCTCCTCGCGGGTGTAGCCCTGTTCCTGGGAGAGACGCTCCGCAGCGTCTTGGATGACTGAATCGAGCTGGTACTCGAGAGGGTCCTGCAGACGACCCTCCTTCCGCATGAACTCCTCGTGGAAGTTGCGCAAGCTGTAGCCCAGGGAGCTGCTATCCTTTTCCAGGGTAACGCCGTGCATCTTGGCCAGGACCACCGCGGCCAAGGTACACTCGGCCACGCGCAGGTTGTAGTGTCGCGGGGCTGTCTCGGCCTTGTTTGACGTCACGAAACTCTGGGCCATCAGGAAGGTAATCTCGTGGTCCGCCTTGGGTATCGGAACGTGCTGGACGGCAAACTTGGGGAAGAATTGTGTGTAGAGCAGATAGCCCCGGCGGGAGAAGATGGAGGCAGCCTGGTCCATTCTGGGGGGTTGAAGAGCAAGTCAGTCAATGACCTTCAGACAAATCTCTGGGAACAATGCTTACCCTCCGGAGTAAACACCAACAGCACGCTCAGAAACCACCGCAAGGTCGAGGAGTTCCTGCTTTGAGACGTCGTGCTTGTTGGCCTTCATGGTAGTCAAGGCACTGGAGCAAACAAAGGCAGCACTGCTGGAGATACCACCACCTGGCGGCACGTTGCCGTCGATCAGGAGCTCCAGACTGGATGGGACGAACGAGGATCCCTCATTCTTCTTGCGAAGGAATTGCAGCGCTCCTCTCAAGCCCGCCTTGAAGTAATTGATCCATTCGTGATGCTTGGGGTCAATCTCGACGTCTCTGTCGACGGGGAAGGTGAATTCACGAGTGGGAAACTTCTGAGGATTCGTGTTCGCGATCTTGACGAAAGGCTCCGTCCCTGTTGTCGGGATAGCCTTGGCTGCAATGATCATATCGACGCTGACCGCGGTAGGGAGGACATCGTACAGGGAGTAGTCGATGTGCTCTCCGATGATGTTGACCCGGCCGGGACTCCGGGCGACAAAGTCAGGCCGGTGACCATAAAGCTTTGTAAACTGCGATACCAGACCATGCCAGCGGGCTTTGATCTCTGGCGAAATCGACCGCGCAGATGCGTCGTCTGTCGCATAGATCTCTGCGATGGATTCCGTCTGGGGGACGAGTTCCTGCGGGGTTGCCATGGCGGGGTTGCTTCTGCGCTGGGGATTAGAGAACTATCAAACGCGCTTTGGGGGTAAGGGGATCTATTATTATTATCTGATGTGAGATAGTTATCAAGCAAAACCACCACTGCAAGGCTATGCAGGATCGAAAAGCGTCAGTTATAATGCGGTCGAGCAGAGCGCATGAAAAGACCAGACCACAGGTGACCTCGTGGTACGTAGTATTTCGTTAGGGTCTCCTTACCCACGGGGAACCCCACCAGAGAGTCTTCAGTTCTACGGGCCAGCATGCGACGATGCCACCGTGGAGTCTGGAGCATTGTCAGACCACCGACGAGGGCATTCAAGAGCTATGATCATCATCATCAATCATCGCCATCATGATCATATCCAAGTTGGATGTGGTGGGAACGATAAGATCGCATGAGCACAGGACCGTGCTTTTCCGGATTGCTCCATATTGTCTCCTGCTCTACTGTGGCTGGAGTCCGATTCCCTCCGTCCGGCATACTATTATTATTATTAGTATTTTACGTGGGCTTAGAATTTAGTACAGTAGTACTAGTAGATTGAGAAGCTACGTAGTTAACTTAGTTACTGCTGCCCTGGATTACCATATTCCTGGAATAACCACTCGTGACTCAGGATTTATACTTTCCCCGCAAAGAATCGGGCGATCTCTTGGTGTTTCTTGACTCTGGAGTCTGCATAACAATAATAACAATAATAATGATCATCAAACACCGAGCCCTCACCGAGAACGCTCCGACTGCCGGGCTCTAACAGGCCAATGGCAGCCTTTCTTCCTGCCGCCGTCCGATAATCGGCCCGGGTGCTCGCTTCCGCCTGCCACCAGCCAATGGCAGCGCGGCAAATCGAAGAGTCATGAGCAAAATGAGTCGCCGCTAGACTCGATAATTATTTTTCCCCATTCCTGCCAAAAGACGGCGGCGGCGACTCTTCACTACTGCTCATCGCTGGCCGCTCTTCTCCTTCCTCCATCCTATCCTCCCGGGTTGGCAATCGTCCGTGGTCAAGATGATGCCGTTGAGATCATCCAAGGGTGCTCTGCGCACTCTCCAGGGCCAGCGGTATCTCGCTGCTGGTCGAAGGAGCTTTTCCGCCTCTCCTCTGGCTGCGGCCATCACGCCCCACCGCTCCTCGGCTCAGCGCTCCTCGTCCATTGAGACCTCCAAGCGTGGTCAGAGTACGGCGACGGCGACCGCAGGGTGAGTAGATGATCAGACCGATAACACTGTCAATCCATTGACCCCGTGCTGATGTTGCTTCCACAGTCAAGCCAGACCTGTTCCCAGTCCTGCGTTCAATCAGGATACCCGGCGCAATGAGCCAGCGCCGCTGCAGAACCGTCCTGTGCCCGAGCTGGATGACTCGTATGTTTCCTCGATCCCCTGCCCTCCAGGAGAAGCAGAATGATTAATGGCACTCGTGTGAACAGCTTCATCGGACTCAGTGGTGGAGAGATCTTCCACGAGATGATGCTCCGTCAGGGCGTGAAGCATATCTGTGAGTCATGACTCGTCCTCTATGTTTGGCTCTAGATAGATACGGACTTTCGTGCTAACATTAGAGTCAGTTGGTTACCCCGGTGGTGCAATCCTCCCAGTCTTCGATGCTATCTACAATTCGAAACACTTCGACTTCGTCCTCCCGCGCCATGAACAAGGTGCTGGTCACATGGCCGAGGGTTACGCTAGGGCTTCGGGCAAGCCTGGCGTTGTCCTCGTCACTTCCGGCCCTGGAGCGACAAACGTAATCACTCCCATGCAGGATGCTCTCTCCGATGGTACGCCCATGGTGGTCTTCTGTGGCCAGGTGCCGACAACCGCGATTGGTACCGATGCGTTCCAGGAGGCCGACGTGGTGGGCATCTCTCGGGCATGCACCAAGTGGAATGTCATGGTCAAGAACGTTGCGGAGCTCCCTCGACGGATCAAGGAGGCCTTTGAGATTGCTACCAGCGGCCGTCCTGGCCCCGTCCTCGTTGACCTTCCCAAGGATATCACGGCTGGTATCCTCAGGAAGCCCATCCCCATGGCCAGCACCCTTCCCTCCCACCCCAGCGCAGCCACCCTGGCTGCTCGTGAGCTCAGCAGAAAGGAGCTTGAAAACACCATGACCCGCGTTGCCCGCCTCGTCAACATCGCCGAGAAGCCCATCCTCTACGTTGGCCAGGGTCTGCTGGCTCGTCCGGAGGGCCCGCAGCTTCTCAAGGAGCTGGCTGACAAGGCTTCCATCCCCGTGACGACTACTCTCCAGGGTCTTGGTGGTTTCGATGAGCATGACCCCAAGTCGCTCCACATGCTGGGTATGCACGGTGCTGCGTACGCCAACATGGCCATGCAGGAGGCCGACTTGATCATTGCCCTGGGTGCTCGTTTTGATGACCGTGTGACGGGTAACATTGCCAAGTTCGCGCCTCAGGCCAAGCTGGCCGCATCTGAGGGCCGTGGAGGAATCGTTCACTTCGAGGTCATGCCGAAGAACATCAACAAGGTTGTTGAGGCCACTGAGGCCGTTGAGGGAGACTGTGCGGACAACCTCCGCCTCCTACTCCCTCAGGTCAACCGCGTTGCCAACCGACCGGAGTGGTTTGCCCAGATCAATGACTGGAAGAAGCGTTTCCCTCTCTCTCTGTACGATAAGCAGACCTCTGATGGTCCTATCAAGCCGCAGGCCGTCATCGAGAAACTCTCTGAACTCACGGACCCCATTAAGGACCACACTGTCATCACGACCGGTGTCGGACAGCACCAGATGTGGACCGCACAACATTTCCGCTGGAGATACCCGCGCACCATGATCACTTCCGGCGGGCTTGGAACCATGGGATACGGTCTCCCCGCGGCCATTGGAGCCAAGGTGGCGCGTCCCGAGGCTCTCGTCATTGACATTGATGGTGATGCCTCCTTCAATATGACCCTGACGGAACTGTCGACCGCTGCGCAGTTCAACATCGGAGTCAAGGTGATCGTTCTCAACAATGAAGAGCAGGGAATGGTCACGCAGTGGCAGAACCTGTTCTACGAGGATCGTTACGCCCACACGCACCAGAAGAACCCCGACTTTGTCCTTCTGTCGCAATCTATGGGTGTCCAGGCTCAGCGCTGCACGAAGCCTAATGAGGTCGAGGAGAAGCTGAAGTGGCTCATCGAGAGCGACGGTCCTGCCCTGCTTGAGATTGTCACTGCCCGAAAGGTACCCGTTCTGCCCATGGTGCCGGCTGGAAGTGCCCTGCACGAATTCCTTGTATATGACGAAGGTACGTCTCATATTCTATTCTAACCCCCTTCGATTTAATTTTTTCTTTTGCTAACTTTCTACTGCAGCCAAGGAACAGAAGAGGAAGGAACTGATGAGATCGAGAACCGACCCCTCTCTTCTGCAGTGAAATTTCAATTGAAACATTAGCGGTTTTTCCTTGCTCAACCCGCGGCTCTCCTGGACCGCGGCCCTTTGGTCTTTGATGATGATATTCCGTTGATATCCACGGCGTTTGGCGGGTCAAAAAAGTCGCACTTTTGTGGCTCTGAGAGAAGAAGAAACAACAACCAAAAAAAGAATTATCAGCCGATCTTAAGCACGACAATGTCAACAAGATCTCGGCCTTTTTCAGATCTTTTCCCACATAATCCCCAAGGGCTTGGGTTCGAGTTTCTGCCAACGTTTTTGTAGCACCATCATGTACATAATCTGATTTCCTTACCTGCCTTGGTATCGAACGGTCGCATTTGGAGGAATATAGGAATAGCATTTCCAACGGAGCATTACAAAAAGCATCTTGCATTCAGCAGCGGGTATTGAAACGTTTCTTACAACTTCATCTGCTTTCCTCGTTTCCTTGCACACGGTACTGTAGGCTGTAGATGCGCTATGACGCACTTTCTATGCTCTCCAATAGTAGATCAAATTACGTAGAAGCATGTGTTCACGAAGGCGTAACCCTGGCATTTCACAATCAGCTAGTTAACTACCATATTTGCTAACTAGCATTGAATAATTAATATCTAGTCAGAAGCAACGGCGAACCTCGGCATTGCCCGCACTCGTCACGTGACCATATTCGTCTCGCTGACGTTCTCCGCAGCCGGTCCGTCCCTCATTTGAGAGAGGCAGCTCTCCATTTGGCCACTCCGCATCACTTTCCTGCTACTCACTCCATCCCACCCATTTTCTTCGTCTCTCTAGCTACGACATGAGATGACTTCTCTGGTCATTCAGACCAAGATTATCTGAACTATCTCATTCCGAGTTAACGTCGTGAAAGGATGGCTGCACTTCCGCCTAGGTATACTGCCGCCGGCGGCCGGTCCAGGTCGTCGGATGCTCCCTCGACATCAGGCAACGACGAGATGTTCTCCTCTGGAGCGAACAATGATCGGAACCAAACGTCATCGGAAACGTTTGAGGACTCAGAAACGGTCTTCTTGAATAGACCGTCTTCCGCGGCGCGCGATTCGGATTCGAGAGAGCCGACGCCGGCGGATGTGTCAGAGGCTACGGTCGTATCGCCTGAGGCCTCGCCTACGGTTGTTGATGCTGCGGATGAGGAACCCAAGAAATGTTGGATTTGTTATATGGATGAGACGGAGGATACGCCGTTCAGCTCGGAATGGCGCTCGCCGTGTCCGTGTGCTTTGACGGCTCATGAGTCTTGTTTGCTGGACTGGTTGGCAGATCTGGAGAACCCGAAATCACGCAAGCGGAATGGAGGCGCAGCGAAGATGCTGTGTCCGCAGTGCAAATCGGAAATCGTGATCTCGCGTCCGCGGAGTTACATCGTCGATCTCGTTCGTTCAATGGAGCGGATAGCGGGCAGATTGGTGCTGCCGGGAATGGTATTTACGCTGGCTGGGACCGTCTGGGCTGGATGTTGCGCACATGGCGTCTACTCGCTGTATCTTGTCTTTGGCCCGGAAGATGCTAGACGAATATTCGAGGATAGCGTGGATGGGGCATGGAGTCCGGCCCTGAACCTCGGTCTGCCGCTCATCCCTCTGGCCTTGATATTCTCTAGGACCCGTTACGCGGAGGGTCTCCTACCTGCGATACCTGTGCTGTTTTTTGCCACCCATAGCCCCGGTGGACATGAAGCGGATATTGACCTGTGGCCACCGAGTGCTGCCATGACTTTTGCTGCGTTACCTTACGTCAAGAGTTTCTACAATGCACTGTACGACAGACTCTTTGGAAAGCTTGAGAGAAAGTGGATTGCAGAAGTGCAACCGCGCGCTGGGGAGGCGGAGGACCCCGATATACAGCAGGATCCGGCTAATGCAGCACTGCCACCGCTAGGAGACATTGGCGATGGACAGATTCTTATGGAGATTGATCTTGAGTTGCAGGTTGGCATGGGTGATGACAATGACCAGCCACAAGCGATGCTAGGTCTTGGAGCGGGGAATAATCAGCAAGGTGCTGCCGGTGGACAAGCGGCTCAAGGGGGCCAGAACGGTCAGGGCGGTCCGCTTCTTGGGCGACGCCATGATGACTTGATCCATGATACGAGCAATGTCGCAGACACCATACTTGGCGCCCTCCTCTTCCCAGCCATATCGGCAGGTATGGGTGGAATATTGAAGTACATTCTGCCTAGGTCCTGGACCACGCCGTCCTCTGTCTTGGACCGCGCAAAGCCTGGACTGCTGCAGTCGCGGTGGGGTCGCAGTGTTGTTGGAGGTTGCCTCTTTGTCTTGTTGAAGGATGCCCTGATCCTATACTGCCGCTGGAAGCTAGCGCAGACGCACAGGAAGAGGAGAGTGCTGAACTATGACCGAACAAAGAAGCAGGTGGTAGGGAGATGATGCCCTCAAGATGATATACCCGGGTCAATCTCCCTCTTTTTTTCTTTCTTTCATGATCAAACCGGTGATGATGCATTGTTTGTGGCGTTTCGGGCGGCAATGGTAGCACTATTATATATGTCGGATTTCGAAGCTCTCTTTCCCGGTCATCCTACCCATTGACCGGCTTCTTATGCATTACTGTCGAGGCCTTGTTCTGGTTGAGGCTCTCCCCGGTATTATTGGTAATGGCCATACATACAGGAGTACAGTTATGCGGACCTTGTGGTCAAATTACGCTACACAAAAGCTGGTTCAATAAAAACCAAGCATCTCCAGAAGCAATGATCATTGTACATAGTCTCCGCTTTAATATAAAATCTAACTACTATAATTCAGAACACTCGGTGCTCTCTCTATTATTGCTACTGTCAAATAAGGCGCGTTCCTGGGGTCGCTGACCGCCCACGCGACGATCATCAATGACTTCGGTTGGCCGGCGCTTAATGGACAGCGCTAGTTAGTGTCCGCGGCTAATTTTCTCCCCCAGCGCTCCCCCGATCTGATACCGATTCCCATCCATCCCTAAAGAATACCCTCCGAGCCTCGACTGCGCGTTGCTCGAGCCGAATCTCCGTCCTCTTCCCATAAATCAGTATCGAATACACCGATCCCGCCCGAAGATAGAGTCCAGCAGGGAGTAAGGGTTCAAGACAGACCACAAAAAAAAAGCCAACATGCGGCCACTCACGTTCCTCGCGAACGTGTTCAAGAACCCGATCTCCGCTCCGTCAAGACCGGCGGTGGTTGTCGGACGAGTATGTGATACTGCGACGAATATCCTGAGGAAAACGACGGGCCAGACCACTGCTGCTGTGGTGGGTTTGAGACCATTCTCATCGACGAGCTCGTTGGCAAAGAGGGATAAGGGAATGGCTCCGAAGACTGATAGGCGAGTTAGTATGTTTTTCCCGATCTCCCTTCCCTTCCCTTCTACATTATATATATATATATATATGCCTTTGACATCGAAAAAAGAGAAACAATCAACTAAAACATTTAACAGCTTTAATCCGCTACTTCCTCTGGCACCCTCTCACGCCTCGTCCTCTCCGCTTCTCTCGAACCCGCTACCTCCGCCACTGGACGATCCACCGCGCCTGGAACCTCTACCAAGCCCAGCTCCGTCAGAAGCGCCAGCTCGAGCTCCAGCGACAATGGCAGGCCATGCAGGCGGCGTGCGAGGAGCTGCGGACTGGCGCCGGGGATGGCGGAAAGCTGTTCCGCGTGTCGATGAATAAGAGGGGTGTGTTTACGGATATGTTTCCCATTGAGTATGGACGGATGCAGACGGAGGGGCCGAGTAAGGATGGGTGGAATCATGAGTGGAAGAGGGCGTGAGTTCGGCCTGTGTTGGGGATTGGAGATGGGAAAAGAAATCGAAAAGGCGAAAATCTATGATCGGAGAGACTGCCGTGTCGAGGTCGTATCGTTATCATGATGATAAATGGTGATGGAAAGAGAGAGTCTTGTCAAAGCTACGCAGAATCGTGGCCGCCTTCTCAGAAGAGAAAGATGCGTATTATATGTAACTGTACAATACCTACGTTGTTTCCGTGTTCCTATTTTTTTTTTACGATTTTTATTTCCAAAACATATGTTTATCAATATTGGCTCCTGTTGGAAAGTCATTCTGAGTGCATTACTGGTATCTGAGTGTCTTATCACATCCCGGACGAATTACGACCAAGTTGGTTCCAATCTAAAGCTTTCATTCTAAGATATCCAAAAAAAAAGAAAAGATACAAAAAAGACAGTATATGATCGATAAAAGGAAACTTTAACTTCTATTTTAGTTTAGACAGACGCTTGAAGAGATAACAGACGACAAAACTCATAATAAGCATGTAGATCGAATTAAGGGCAAAAAGAGAAAAGGCGTTGGACATTGTCCAATAGCTTTTTGTTTCCAAGTCCGGAATATTTCAAGTGTGCTTAGCAAGATGTATTTTCTTGCGTATTCTCTGCGTCGACATCTGTCAACCAACGGGCTCATTGCTCCGCACCCTGACGGCAGATTATTGTAAGCCAGGGCCAGGCCCGTTTGAAACTAATTGGTGCGGAAGATAGCAGGAAAGAGCGGTGACCGGACCATAAGCATCAAGGGATCAAAGGACTCGAAAGGCAATAGGGAAAAGAAGGAATGGAGGTATTTCGTCATCAGACATGTGCATCTTCAGAAACAAGAATGTAGAAGAAAAGAGGAAAAGGAGCGGTTCACGGTATGAGCAGAAAAAAAAGATACGACCCGAAAGGACAAAGTAGGCACATAGATGTGTATCTGAAAGAATGGAGAGGCAGCCGTTAATTGGGAAGCGAGCATAGTTCCTCACACATGAGCTGACATGGAAGACCATTTGTGATAAAGGGAAGAAGAACAAGAAGCGTGGAAGGCGAGCATATAAACACACAAAACACCTCCCAAACGCCACTCATGCAACAAAATATGTATCCACAGAACCTACTCGATCACTGCTGTTCCGGTATTCCCGTGAAAGCAGTGAGCGCGCAGGCGAATAAAATGGAGTCAGACAAACACGCTTGCGCTGAGCTACTGAAGCACACACGGAATGTTCGAAGCAGGGACAGGAACGCAGCATGCGCTGGAGGGTATATCCTCTACGTTCATTACTGATGCGAATCGATCAACCGAAGAACAGAGCAGGCGTAAGTTCGAGAGTAGTCGCATAAGATAGGGCGGGTCGGTCATAGGATCGTACAGCATGAACTTTTTTCCTTGTCAAACGTGAGAAGTGCGGCTCGCGTGGCAGCCTCGAAGACATCGTCGACACCCTCGCCAGTCAAGGACGAGCATTCGAGATACTTTCGGGCACCGACCTGCGTCGCCGTATCGCTTCCTTCTTTGGTAGTCACAAAGCGCAGCGATTTCTTTCGCATCTCCTCAATGGCAACTGGGTCTTCACGAAGATCCTTCTTTAGCCCAACAAGAATAACGGGGACGCCGGGACATCGCTCATTGGCTTCCTCGATCCACTGCTCCCTGGAGTTAGATAACGAGGTATGATAACAGGCTACGATGCCTGGTGATTCGATTTCCGTCCACATACCTTATGCTTGACGTTTTCCAGCGAGTCCGGCGTATCTACAGAAAATGCGACCAGAAGCACATGTGCTTTAGAATATGCCAACGGCCGGAGCCGTTCATAGTCTTCTTGACCGGCCGTATCCCATAATGCAAGCTGGACCGACCGGCCATCCACACGGCAATCTGTCACATAGTTCTCAAACACCGTCGGGACCTAACGTAACATGTTAGCAAAGCGTCGTATTTTGTCGGCCCTTGAACCAAGTATCATAGGGAACTGACATAATGCTGTTGCGGAGTGATTGGTTAGCATGGCTGACAAACATATTTTGAGGGGCGCGGGAGTACACATACTGTTGGAAAGTACCCTAGAGTAAACACGCTCAGAAGACTGGTCTTACCACAAGCACCGTCCCCGATAATAACCAGCTTCCTGTATACATCTCAAACGTTAGCGGTTATACTCCACTGATCAAAAGACACATAGTATATGTGTAGACATATCAGACATATCGTGCAAAGAGACCGATTTAAGGGGGCATGCGAGTGACGCGGCGATACCGCCATCGAGAGCTTTTAGGCCGCATCCCGACCGAAGGCAGCACCGAAACAATACTTGGGCACAGGTTTTGGTGATGGTGATCGATGGGGTTGATAAGAGAATATCCATGCCGGCTTCCTCTATAACCACATCTCAAATCACGTACCTTCGCATCACGTTGTCCACCTGTTGTTGCGCCATTGTTGCCAGTAGTTGAAACCTTCGAATCCTATGTCAAGCAGACGGTTTAGACTGGATATCAGCCAACACGTAGCCGACTGGGAGGCCACCGCTCAGATGCAATTGCGGTACGGCAGGCACCGTCGCGATCGAAGAGGGAGGGCCGATGGTGAGTCTGCTGGTTGAGATGCGGCACAGCAGGAATCGTAGACTGTTTATGAAGACACTCTCTGGGGCGCGCTCGATTCCTCTGTGATGTAAATAGGGTCCAGGAGGTCGGGTCGCAACGCGGGTGTCTGATGGTCGGGGGAATCCAACTAGTCACAGGCAGCCAGATAGATCGATGGATCGCAACGAGGGATAGCTGAAATCCGCCACGAACAGAGAAGCGAGAATCGATAGAATAACACGAGTACCCCTGGGGATCGGACTGGGGGAAAAGGGCGTCGAAGATAACCGTTGACTGGGGGTTCGATTCAGCTGAGGATGGGCGGCCTGGGAGCAGCTGGCGTGTCTGAGACTCGGGGGAAACCTGAGACCAGACGGGAAGTGTCTCTGCCGTCGGGATAGACCAGAGGGGCCGGCCACGATATACCAAACACGTCGAAGAGCGACAAGAGTCGAGAGACGCAAGCCTCGAGAGTCGAGCTCCCCGCAACCGCAGTCTTTCAGTCGCGACGAACGGGTCAACTGGTGATCGAGGGCAGATCCAGCCGTTGTTGCTGCTCGGCTGTCACGTCGTTACCGGGTACGGTACGCATACCGTACGCATACCGTACCGGGGGCTCGCTTGCGGCGTCTGCGGCAGCGGCACGACGGCCAGCCAGAGTCTCTCCAGGACGCCCAAGGCCGGCGTCCAAGATCCACCGTCCAAACCCATCTACGTCCCCCAATATCCCGCCCTCTCGTTGCGCCTGCTCAAGAGAACAAAACAGACAGGCTCTTCCAGGCTGCTCATCGACCTTCCCTCGCCGTCCTGTCGCCAGAGTCCCCCTCCGCTCCCCCTCCGACTCCCGGGGCCCGCCCGCCTGGAGCTTTTTACCCCCCCATTTCTTCCTAGCACCTCCGCCCGTTCTAGTCCAATCCCTGGGAGGGGCTTCTCTGCAATTTTGACCAGGACCTCTGAACATCTCGGTTCGTGCCTTGTTCTGTGTCTCGTGAGCTGGACCGGCCTTCTCTCTTTCTCCGTCCGTCTCATCTATGTGCTCTGTGTCGCCGTTCTGACACGCCGTTTCCATATCAAACAGCAGCATGCCGGCGACCTCGAAACGACAAGCCACGGCGTCGAGTCACTCTTCCAAAGAGGCTCCCACACCAGACGCGCGAATGAGTCTGAAATCTATGCTGAAGCCAGCACCTCCTTCTGAGAGCAACAAAAGCAGTCTCAGCCCTGCTTCATCCACCAGCATGCCCACGACGACGACCAGTGATCTGGCAGACCAGGATGCGCCTGCCATGAAACCAAACAACGAGGACCAAACAACAGAGAATGCAGTGCGATCGGTGAATAAGAAGAAGCAGAAGAGAAGGCAGAAAGAAGCTGCTCGGCGTGCAGCGGAGCAGCAGCTTAATAATGGTTATGCGAAGGCAGATCAGAATGGACATGAAATCAGCGACGAAACTTCCTCCAGACACACAGCGCACTACCCCCACAATGTCCTGAGAGAGGTAGATGATGGTGGTCATTACGAGCCTGCCCATGGCGAAGTGTATTTCTACGAGGATGAGAACGGAGTCGTGCATCAGCAAGGGCATGAATCACACGATGAGGATGAACATGACCAAACTCGGCCATCAACATCTAAGAAATCCAAAAAGAAGAAAGGGAAGAAAGGTCGTTCTGACTCTCATAATCTGGTCGAAGAAAGTTCAACCTCTCTCTCTGCAACATCACGTGGCCCGCCATCTTCTATATCGAATGCCGCCCTACGATCTGCTCAGAAAGTATCGAAAGACCGCATTTGGAACACTTCAACCCAGGAAGAGCGTGAAAATATCAAGACCTTTTGGCTGGAACTAGGCGAGGAAGAGCGACGCCAGCTGGTCAAAGTTGAGAAGGACGCGGTCTTGAAGAAGATGAAAGAGCAGCAGAAGCATTCATGCAGCTGCACTGTCTGTGGTAGAAAACGAACCGCGATCGAGGAGGAACTAGAGGTGCTTTACGATGCGTACTACGAAGAGCTCGAACAGTATGCGAACAACAACCAAGGTTCCTTCGAGAATGGCGCCCCTATCGTACCTCCTCCGCGACTCTATCAGCCTCCTCTGCGCTCGTTCGACCATCATAGTCATATGACAGGGCATCACCACCCTTCTCGCGGCAGAGTGCACGAGTTGCCTGACGATGATGAAGAACTAGAGGAGGAATATGATGAAGATGATGAAGACGATGATGAGCCCTATAGCGACGAGGAGCTGGAAGACGAAGCAACTCGAAGCGCCCGTGCGGATTTCTTCGCGTTTGGAAACAGTCTTACAGTGAAAGGTACGAGTCTCTCGAATTAAGCCCTATGGCACTCATACATCTCTAAACTAACATTCTATCGATAGATGGAATCCTCACAGTCGCAGACGATTTGCTCAAAAACGACGGTAAACACTTCATCGACATGATGGAGCAGTTGGCCGAGCGTCGAATGCAGCGAGAGGAAGATACCCAATACAGGCTTGCCTCGGCACATCAGTCCCTTCACGCTGGTCATAATCATGGCCCTCTCGATGAGGAAGATTACGATGATGAGGAAGATGAGGAATATGATAGTCAGGACGAGGAAGAGTATGAGGATGACGAAATGGTCCGCGACATCAATCTTCTACCCAGTTTCGAATGGATGTTAACAGATACTTAGGATGCCATGACCGAGGAACAGCGTATGGAGGAGGGAAGACGAATGTTCCAGATATTCGCCGCTCGGATGTTTGAGCAGCGCGTACTAACTGCATATCGAGAGAAAGTAGCAGAGCAGCGTCAGCAAAAGCTCCTTCAAGAATTAATGGAAGAGCAGACACTGACCGAGCAACGCAATGCAAAGAAGGCAAGGGAGGCCCAGAAAAAGAAGGATAAGAAGAGACAGCAGAAACTAGCCAAAGAGGAAGAGCGGGCTCGCCGAGAAGCTGAGAGGGCCGCAGAAGAAGCCGCAGCCAGAGCGCTTGAAGAGAAGAAGCAGGAAGAACAGCGACGAAAGCGCGAAGAGCAACGGAAGAAAAAGGAAGCGGAGAAGAAGGCGCAAGAAGAAGAACGTTTGCGCAAGGAAGCAGAGAAGCAGAAACGGCTTCAGGAGGAAAGAGAGCGACAGGCAGAAGCTGAGCGTAAGCAACGCGAGCAGAAGGAACGGGAACGGAAGAAGCGAGAAGAGGCCAAGAGAAAAGAACGGGAAGAGCGTGAAGCTCGAGAGAGGAAGACCAGGGAAGAGCGCGAGCGAAAGGCTCGAGAGGAACAAGCGAAGAAGGACAAGGAGACTGCTTCGAAGGCAGAAATGGAGGCCAGAGAGCGCGCAAAACGAGAAGGACAACCCGGACAGCAGACCCAAGCATCTGCAAAACGGACGTCGCAGTCAGGCCCTATTCCTATACCGCCAGGTTTGCAGCATCCTCAAGGTCTTCATTCTCCGCATTTCCAAATCGCCACCCCTGTTGTTCCCAAAGCTCCGACGCCCATGCGCGCTCGTCAGCCATCGCAACAGGGATCTCATACATCTTCTCCAAGGTCTCAACCCGCCGGTACGGAACTTTCCCAGACGCCAGTATCTCCACATACAGCTCCGTCAGTGACTTCGAGCGCCGCTTCATTCAAAGGTTCCGGACCACAACCAGTTCTTCATCATCCTCAGCCGTCAGCGCCGCTGTCTCCTCTTGGAAGAGGACCGCCGCTTGGTTTTCCTGGTGTCAACGGGTTGCCGTCTAATCCACCCGGTTTGGCACCACGTCCGTTTATGGGCCATGATATACCTATGTATCCGCCTTCGTCTGGCCCTATGGGCGGCCAGTTCAGGGGTTTCCCAGCACCGAATGGCATTACGGTGCCTCCCGGTGTCAACGGGAGTCGCCCAGTGCCCCCCGGGCGTGGATTTCCTCTGGATCCAGGCCATGGACTTCCTTTTTACGGCCAGCAGCCGATTGGCGGTTCCCTTCCTACACAAGGCATCCGGTCACAGGCTCATTCTCGACAAACCTCTGGCTCATTTGACAGGCCGTCTCTTGATTCACAGACGCAGACTCAGCCTATCTCGCGTCCGTCTGCGATTAAGAGACCATCTAGTACCAGCCCTCGTGATCAGCAGAAGGAAGGAGCACCGCCGTCTCATTCTGACATCGACGATCTCAGTGCTCACCTGGGCAGCAGCGCGCTACTCAATGATTCGGATGCCCCATTCACATCAAACCTTTCCCAGTCGCTTCCGGGTGTCAGCGCCATTCCGGGACCATTCCAAGGTCCTGCGCGTGCGAGCTTTGGGGGATCGCCGTTCTTCGCGGATCCTCTTAGCGGTAAGTGTCCAAGTCGATATACGCCTTCCAAAGAGATGTACTGACAACTCCTGGTAGCACCCAAACACCCGAGCCTCCCCGGTAGTTCAAGCACCTGGGCGCCGCAGTTACCCTTCGGGACTGCTTTCCCAGGAGCTCAATCATGGGGAGCTGGACCAGGTTAGTCAACCGCTGTGTTGGTTGTCGTGCATAAAATGCTAACAGGAAATAGGGAGCGGTTGGACAAGTAACGCATTTGGGATTGGTGGACATCATCGCGCTCATACGTCTCGTCCTGTCACTATTCGGCTGCTTGTCATCCAGGCTTGCAAGCAGCTTAATACATTGAGTCCTACGTCCAAGGGAACAGCAGGCTTCCACCATGTCAACCGAATCTTGACGCAGGTTGATCAACTGAGACCTCCGAACGAGCCTCCAATTTCTCTGGCGGAAATGTTGGACATCTGTGATACGGAAGGCAACCACCAGAACGGTGGTGGCACTTTCATCATCAAAGATGAAGGTGAGAACGGCAAGTCTGTAAAATTCGAGCCAGACAACAACAGTTCTCTACCGGGGCATCGGGGCAGTATCGTCCCTGGAGATATCGGTAGCCCAGTCCCTAGCCACAGCCTGCCCGCATTTGGCGGTATTGGCACAGCTGGGAGGCAGTTTTCTTCACCGACGGCGGGCTTCTAAGCTTATTCTTATTCACCACAGCTGATCTGGCTGCTTTTCTTTCTCATGCATTTCGGTTGCTTGTCTGGTTTTGTTTTCCGGAGCACCGTGGCGTCGTCATCCTGAGTTTACCTCTGTTCTGTTCTGTTCGATTACTCTAGTTGTCTGGTTCCTGCGTCTTCCTTCCTAATCTTGTTATGTATGCCCATTCACAGTTATGCAGCGATTCCCATGGAGAAGCGTAAACTCCGTGATCAGCAATTGCATGTCCTGATATTCACGAATCATCATACTACCTGTACGAAGGGCGTACGCGTTTGTCTTCTTCCTCGACCCCCGTATCGAGTGCTTTGTTCTCTATGCTTTACCCTGATGTCCCCGTGTATTGTATGTAGCCCGGAAGAGGCTACGCTCTGTTTTGTCGAGTTTCTCTTGCTTTGTTCCTTTTTTTTTGCAGGAAAAAAAGGGGCAGGGCTTTTTCTTTACTCCTCATGAAGCCAATGACAAATGAACATTGATACAGGGCACTCAGACAACCAGATATGGGATGGTTGTTCTAGGATGCCTTTACTTCTCATCTTCCATTTTGCACTTCCGATGTCCCTTTGCGTATTCTCCACGTAAATTGCTTGGGGAGGTAGTATACCTAAATATTCTGTAATAGTGGCGTGTTGTGGAGGTAGATAAGAGGCGGATAAGACATACTTGCATCAAATGCGTCTCGCTAGAAGGAGGAAGGTGAGATGAACATCGTACATTGATACTTGAAGAGGCTGGTATAATTGCGATCGCATTATATTCAATGCATAGTACACTGCTAGTATAAAATACCTAGGTTCTGGAAAAAGAGGGGAAAAGGAAAAAGAAAAAAGGGTCTTTGGTTGGCTCTGTTAGAATATCATTCACGCTGCATTTTACATCGCTGTCATCTTCTGCCTGCTCTCCTCTCTACCGTCACCCGTCATAACATACACGATGCATATACGGATTATTTCAACTTACTTCCTCCCGCGCTCCTCTTTCTCTCCACTGGTGTGCATGCGTTCATCACGTCCGCGCCTCAGTGATGACTCCTTCGTATTCTCTCGATCGGATATACTCCAGAGTGCGCTCGAAGTGGCGTTTCGGGGCCTCCAGGCTGGCATTGGCTTCGCCTTGGTTGGTCTGCAGGTTCGAGTGGATCAGTTCGATGAGACCGTTGAGGTACTTGACCGTGACGGTTTCGTTGCCTTGATCAAAATAGTACACGTATCGGTTGAGGATCTCGACGAAGAGTTCAACGGATACGGCAGTGTCCATGCAAGCGTCGGCGACGCGGAGAGCGCGCTGGAGACATTCAAGAACGCGCTTGCCATCGCGGTAGAGCTGTACAGGTTAGTCCAGTCCGGTTTTAGTTTGGTGAGATCTATAGCAAAAAGAGAAAAAAAAAAGGAATGGAGAAGCGACTTACGTTCTTGGGATCTTCCTCTCTCTGGGCGTCCTCAACGAGCCACCATAGGTGGCTTGCCAGATATACCGCCCGGCATTGATCGGGCTTCTTGAGCAGTTTGCTTCCGTGCAAGGCAGCTTTCGTGATCAGAGTGTCGTAATTTTCCTTGGAGAATCCTCTCGTTCGACTAAGAGCGCCCGCGATGATGCAGACTGCTTGGAACTGTGCTCTCGAATCGCTGATAGCGTCTTCATAGATTGTGAACGCTTGGGCAAAGAACTCGTAGCTGAACTCTTCGAAGCCGGTCTGGTCGGCAATCTCACCACACATTACGAACAGCCGAAGAGCAAGATCGGCACAGCCGGGGTTCACCCTCTGGTAGAGGTTACTAACACATTGGTGCATGAATCGGTACAGAGTCGAAGACTGGCCCTGCCAGTTGTCATCGAAATGCTCCCGGGATTTCAACTTGCGAGCTAGCCGCAACGAAGCTGTGATGATGGCTGGTGTAGTATAACGGATGCGTTCGCCACCATCTGTATACGCCTTGCGGGTTGCCTGGAGGAGCTGTATGGAATCCGTCAGAATTGTTCACATACACGTTGTCTCGTTGCTATGCTCACTTTCAATTGGGTATCATTATCAGGCCCCTGGATCAGGTGCACCAGCCTGGCAAGCCATCCTTGTTCCTCGATCGTCTCGTCCGTCTCCCCTCCACGACGCTGTGATGACAATCCGGGATATCCCACCGGTTGCTGCGTGCCTTCTTTGATCAGAACCCTCAGCACCTGTAGAACCCTGTCCAGATTCTCGGATGTAGTGATCAGAGTCTTGTTGCGCAAGATACTGCGGGCAACCTCGGCTGCCACCGACCTGCGCGTAGAATAAGACTGCGATAAGAGAAGGGGTATATAGTTGGGCAAGGTGAGTGCTGTGAAAATGGAGTGATATGATCGGAGGGGAGAAAGGAGGAGGCTCAAAATATTCTGCTGTGCTGGTGTCGAGTGAAGGTCGGCATGGTCGGCATACTCAGCCGTCTTCTGGATGGCATATTCAAGGACTTGATCGACATATTCTATTGACATAGTGAGCAAAGCTGTCAGCTGAGCACAATCAGAACCTTATGTTTGTCCTTACCTAGACGATCGGGATAAATGTTCCTATAAGCTGTTAGTAAGGGCAGATCGTGCGGATTTTGGATTGTGACTTACAGAGCAAGGTTAACGAGAGATACCAACAATGCGAGAGCATCCTGTATTGGCAAGCCCCGAGTCTTAATCAAATTGACAACCTGCTCGTAGAATATCTCGTACAGCTTGATGTCGCCCGGAATACCCGTTTTCGTTACACCGGTCACTCCGTTCGTCGTTGCCTTTTCCTCAGAGGGCTTTTCGGATTCGTCCGGTGCTTCAGATTGCTCTTCGGCCTTCGCACCATTTTCCTGGATAGCACCAGACTCTGCGCTCTCGTCACCCTTCGCCTTCTCGGACACCTTTAATTTCTCCAGAAGCTTGGTGACAGCTTCCTCCTCGGCCTTCTGTTTGGTTGCAGGGTCCTCCGTTGTTTCTGACTCTCTAGCAGCGTAAGATGATAGCCGGTCCATGAGTCCAATGACGATCTTCTTCATATCCACATGCGGATTAAGCCTCGCGATAGCAGAGAGCATGAGATCCAGAGTGTGGAGGTGGTACTCATCAGGGAACACCTTTGTGATAACTAGAGACACGATTTAGTATCCAAAATACCCGAACAGCAAGTGATATTTACCTTCAAGGAGGTACTCCTGTGCCAAAACATCACGACATTGAACCACCTGTTCCAGGAGAGGTTGCAGAATAACCGACTTGTAGGTTTCTAAGTCAACCAACTGACTCAAGCGGACGATGTTGCTGCCAACCAGCAATTCCAATTCCCGTCTCTCCTGCGTTCTCTGCTCCCGTTCCCTAGAGGGACCCTGATGCTGTAGTCTGACCCATAACTTGTTCATTTCCACGAAATTCGTCAGGATAAAGTTGATCGAGTCCTGCAAGTTGCCTTCTGGGCCATCTCCTGATCCGGTAGGTAGATGATCCCGCGCCTGTCCAGAGAGATAGTATCTCAGGAACAGACCCCGGATGGGGTGCTGCACACCGCGGCTCATCTCCATCATATCCTTCATAATCTCCTTGACCGGGGCATCTTCCACCGACATGTAGACCGTCCCCACCGTGATCATGAGATACAGACGAGGGATGATGTTGCCCGCATATTGGACCAGCTCGTAGAGGTCGGCGAGGTGATTCACGGGGTGGCTTTCGCGCAGGTAGACGGACAGGTGTCGCAACGCATCAAAGACGGCCATGTAGAGCTCGTAGTATTGTTTCGGGCCCAAACTGGGCGTTCGTAGTTCCGAGACCAAGGTAGATCTATTCCATGGACAGACTGTCAGTAAGCAATCGCGCAATCTGGCTGCCTGCTGTCCGACCGGCTGCTTCCCACTCACCCGCATTTGAGCGCATCCATCAGCTTTCCTGGAGTCTCTAAGCATTTTCGCATCATATGCGACTGCTGCCGTACCACTCCCAGAGCCTCCTCGAGCAGGCGGCTCTGTTCCTCGGAAGTGGAAGTGGTGGTAGCCATTGTAGCTGGGAGGGGACCTCCGGGAGGGGAACACGCTCGGGATCACTTCAATGACGGTTGCGCAAGACGGAGAAAGGATTGAGGAGACCGCAGTTTACCAGGTCACCATGCTAGTGAATTGAAAGAAGCAGAAGAGGCGGAGCGGACATGCGATAATCACTGGCTATGATCTGGATCCGGGGTCGGGAAGTTGCACGAGCTCTGATAGTAACTTTAGAACGCCCAGCAGCGGCTCCCGCGCTAGCCTCGTCCCCGACCTCATTCATTAGTAGGTATCTTACGCTTCCCCTGTGAACTAATGCACCTATAGCAAGTATTCTCACTGACAATATATCCAAATATATGTTCCGAATAGTTACCATCGAGTCAAATCAATCCTCAAGCAGAGAAGGTGGTTCATGCTGTCCAGGCGGGCGGATTTACTAGAGAAGGGGCGATAGTACTCCATTACGTATTATGTGATAGTTGGAGACTTGAGACTGATAATTCAAGGCTGAAGATGTTCTTTTAGCCGCTCAGCGGATGGAAATATCGCTGTTTTTAATCATTAAATCGGTTATTTGATTGACATTGCTTATTCGTTAAGCGAGGTTTCTATCTAAAGTAATCATACACCATGGCAATCTATGTTCTTTGCTGTCAAAATAAGATATCTATCACCGTCCCCCAATTGCGTTTTTCAATCTGGACCAACATTCAATCCATTAATCCGTAGTGATTCGTAAAGAAATATCAAGCGCCGTGCATATGCAACCGCCTCCATGGTCCGTATGTGCAGGAAGGCATTTTCATAATATGTATCATGTGGATCGTCAATATGTCACGTCGTCGTTTATCAATAGCCGCCCTCGTACTGAGGCCTGGACATAGCAGGGACGGTGTCCGGGGCAGCGGAAGTCTGCGGCTGAGGACGCAGAGGTGGAAGGTCGACAGGAGATGAGCTGTTCAGAGACCGAACTCCAAGAGATGCGCGAGTGGTATTCCAGCTTCGGACTTCGAACTTGTGGGCGCCAGTTGCATTGGTCGAGCCTTCACCGTCGTAGAAACCGCGAGTCTTGAGAGAGGTAGCATTCCAGTTTCTGACCTCCAGGTTGTCCACGGTCGAGTTGTAGAGGCCGCGAGCTTTCAGAGAAGTAGCGTTCGCGCTTCTGACCTCCAGAGTACTCGCAGTCCAGTTAGCAGCCTCTTCGCCTTCGCCTCGAGCCATCTTGGGAACATAAACAGGAACCCGGTACGTGCTGTTCCAGCTCCTGGCGCGGACGTTTGTGGTCCAGTTAGCTGCGGGTCCGTCCGTCCATGTGCTTCGAATGTGAAGCGGACTGGAAGAGCCTGATGTCTCGTTCTGGCTGCGGCTCTTAAGGCTGTTCCAGGAGGAACCGTTCACAGATTCAGCGGAACGCGCCAATCTCCGTATGGGGGCGGCTTCATTTGATGTTGCGTTGAATGCTCTGCGGGCTTTACGAGCGTAGCCCACTGGCTGCGTACTGTTCCAGTACGGCAAAGGCGTTGGAGTCGGTGAGATCGTCACGTACTTCGTGGTAGCGACCGTCTTGGTCTCAATCACAGGTGAAGTGGTCTGAGAGCTTCCATCGACAGCAACGACGGAATATCTCTTCTCAAGAGATGCGTCGTTCTGCTGGTTCGCAACTGGGACAGCGGCTGAGAGTGATGAAATGGCCAGAAGCACCGCAGCGGTATTGAAATACATGTTCAACTCGATAATTGGTGTATAGAATCAAGGAAATAAGACCAAGTGAACAACAAGAGAGAAAGAAAGAAAAGAAATTCAGTGCACTCAAGATCAATGCACCACTGGACTAAAGTTCTTCAGTAGATCTCTTGTGGACGAATCTGCCAGAGATCAAATTAGTTGGCAATGGGACGAAGGGAAGAGATCCCAGCCTCTGATATAGCTACAATCAAATGTGCGATGGCTGGGGGGCTTTGCCAGCTGTTTCCCTCATCGCCGTGGAGATCCATCCGCTCGGTGGGTTTGTTTTGTCGTCTGGAGGCTGGGAAACAAAGCTATCAGCGAGACCATCGTTGGCCCAGCCACGACTCCCCGCTAGGTATCCATCGCCTCATGGAACACCAAGGGCTAACTAGTCATTGGCAGATACCTAGACTAGGCCATGTGCTTTTCCTGTCTAGATATCGCCTATCGCATTGCAACCTGATGCCCGATGATCGAGACGAGAAGTCGACGATGTGCAGGCTGTGGCGGCGATTTAAAGTGTGGCTGGACACCGACAGCTGCGCCCCTGAAAATCATCTCCAGACAGCTCGCTCTTCCATCACGCTGAGTTGTCTAGATAGACTAAATTAGTAACTATCTTCTAGACTAACTAGGTAGTTAAGACTTGACATCATCTGCTACTATAATAACCCCAAAGGGACCCCGCTTTCTGCCGTCCTGAGTTCTCCAAACCTGCAAGGCAGGTGAAATCCCTACAGCCACCGCTCCATCGACACAGGGCCTGGAAGGCCTCTACCGTCCTGGAATTATTACTCTGAAATCGAGACTTCTGTGAAACTGAGCAATAAACACTGTTCCAAAAAGAAATCACATTGCGAGATCTTCTACTCTAACCAGCCCGCACCCCATCCCTGCACTGGCCCATCCAGCGCATCTCTGGTTGAGATTCCAAGATAATGCCGTGACGTGCGTAGGCTCATCGTAGATCGTGATGATCATTGTTCCATTGATTAATTTTCGGTCTCCCATCAAGTTTCGAAGCAGACTAACGCTTTCGGCTTTGAATCCATCGTGGAACCTACTGATACCCGAGCTATCGTCGCTTTTGCCAGACACCCATTCGTGTGCAAACCAGGTTTGTTGCCAATGCTTCTCTTTGGCATAGAGCAGTCTTCTCAACGGATTTGCGGCAATCACAGAGCCGCTCGCGCATCCCAACAAGGCAGATGGGTGCCAAGAGCTGCATTGCGCCAGCGCAGTCACAGTACTGGGCAATCTTGCTACAGCTGTCGTTGAAAAGAAGCGTCGGACAGCCAGCAGCCGTGCGAAATCATTCTCGTCACTCGAGAAGAAAGCTTGAAGGAACGGAGAGTATGAGAGCTGTGCGGAGCCCATCCGCATTCGGGTGGTCTCTACCGTATCCTTTTGATGGTCCAGAAGAGACGATAGTCGTGTCTCTCCATCCATGGACGTGGTCGCCACGAGATGTGCATGTGTTGGATAGGCGGAGTCGACGCTCAGAACGTAAGTTGTATGATACCGCTGGTAGATGTAAGGCAGCGCTTCCGTCCCCGGCTTTTCATCCTGGGCGGGCAAGATGCTCCATACTGCGAGGAAACCATTTGCGCAACCGACAGCAATATCCGTAGGAGACAACCAAGTCATACATGTACAGATCGTTGAAGGAGGCTTCGACTCAAAGGCGGGCGAATGCATCTTGTCTATGCTGGTGTTAGTCTGAGACACTTTCGCGTATATCCCTCCGTTGTACTCACAGAATTCGGTCGAATCTGGATTCCGACTCAGCTTGATATCAAGTACTCTTACCCTACCGTCCGCCCATACGCCGGCCAGAAGCCCAAGGTTCTTAGAGACGTCTTCATCATCTTCCTCCCTGCTCTGGCGTGGCATCTGACACCAGTGTATGCGCCTTAGATCGCCCCAATCGGTACATATAACCATCCGCAGCTTAGGTCGTACACTCGTGTCAAGTTCCCTTGTAAATGAATCACCTTTCCTGGCCTTGAACGCCCAAATCTGCAAGGCCGCAGGTGTTCCCTCTGAAGGTGTAAACGCTGGGGCACCCTTTGGCTCTGTTGGTTTGGGATATGCGTCCTTCTGTTCCTGAGTTATGGGCACAACAATAGCCAGATATTGTGTGAGACCAGATTGGTTCGGTGCCCAGGCCAGACATTGGATTTTATTCCCCAGATTAAGAATCCACCCTTCTCTCATCTTCTTCTTCCCAGAAGATTTGTCAGAAGCGGCTGATGCGCGGGAAGAAGACGCTCGAGATTCAGAATCTTCGGAAGTTGCTGCTCCTTTCTTGTTCCGAGCTTTGGCTTCACCCCATGCATCACCGAAATTAAGTACCTCGAACTGTCCCAACTCGTATGTCTTCCTGGCATCGGTCGGACCAACCATAACAGTGTGTTTCCGTTGACCTGCGCGCGGTAGATATTGGCTCCGCGCATCCTCCTCCTGGATCTTCTCAACGCGCTGTCTTTTTCGGAATCTCCCACCAATATCTTCCTGGTAATACCAGTCCCACCCAGTAGTTGCCTCTCTTTCTGCATCATCTGGGTGGATACCGAATGTAGGCCCGTATCCATAACTGGACATCGTCTGGGCTTCATCCAAAGACGTGCGAGTTGGAAAACCAGAGTCAATACCACGAAACCATCGATCTCTGGCATACGCCATTGCCAGACGGTCACGATCGTCTGTTCCGAAAACCAACTTGATATGGGTAGACTTGCCAACGTGCTCGGTAGCGTTCCAGATACCGCGAGAATGCGTATCTTCTGGGCGAACATCGACTGCGCCATCTGGTTTCCTCTTCTTCGATCGAAAGTTCCTCGCTGAGACCACTTTTCGAACAGGTCTCTCATCACCATCAATCATTTCTTCGTCTTCGTCGAACACTTCAGTTCCAGGAGGTGAGGTCCCAACATCGGCCTCTGTATTGTCGTCGTCCTCCTCATCTTCATAGTTTTCAACATCGTCTCCCGATTCGGCAAAGTCTTCATCTGAAGAGTCATCTCGCGCTGCCCTCCTTTCTCCTTTACTCGCTGACCTCTTCTCTTGGTCCTCGGAGCCAGACTCTCCGCTGATTCCGGCGAGTTCGAACGGATCATCCGTATATTTGGTTCTTGCACCAGATAGGCGACCAGATCTGCGCGCGCGAGCCATTTGGAGTCAGGACACGTCAAACCTACCTCACGCACATACGATGCGCGACACTTGCTCTGAAAGATTCGATTAGATACGAAAGAGAGAATCGCTTATATCCCCAGAAAAACAAGACCATCGCATACCCCAGGGATGGACACGAACAACTGCAAAGAGAAAACAAGATCGCTGCCGATCTCAGATCAAGTCTGCTTCTATACTAGAGTATTCATTGAGACGGACAACACAATGTCCATTTGACTTGCGTCCAAGGTGTTATAGCAATGCAACACCCTCTCGATGTGGTTGGCGGAGCAAATAAAAGACGCTCTGATCTTAGCCGCGGTCGTATAAATTACGTGCCTTGTTAAATCCGTTACAGATTCTGGTATGACGCTCCATACAGTACATACATACAGTACAACTACCAGATCAGCAATTCTTGCACCCCAGTGATTTAATTAGTACTTTAGTGGTTGTCTGTGCTCACTATCTCATCTGGCATTCTGTACAGATACAAATCAAACAGACGCACCTTCTATCTGTGGTCGTACCTATGGGGTTTAATTAATCGACAGTCTGTTTTGTTACCTCCCGTACTGGCGTTACTACTGTCGTTACACGAACCATGCTATTGCTATCTAATCTGAGCCCGCCTTCGAGCGGGGCACAAGAGAGAGAAAGGGATACTCAGCATCATCTGACAGCCATTGATATTTGTTTCTCTCTCCAATGTCCTTACGGTCGTTCTAATCGCTTCAACCCTCATTACTACAACGATTTCGTATTCCCGGCCTCCCGTCTAAATATCTAACTCCGTCACGAATCAGCTGTCTCTCAGCCAGTGACGTAAAGCATGCCCGCGCACTCCCCAGCCCAGCCCGGTGTCCTCCACCATTATGTATGAATATGCCACCTTGATTATGCTCAATCTGCATTGGCGCGCGCTGATAGAGATGAATTTGCCTAACTTCTACAGTCACCAAGGCTAGTCGCTTTTGAACATGGATCCAAGCCAAGCACCAAGCCACACAGTCTGCTCTTCATTGGCGGCTTAACGGACGGCCTGGGTACCGTTCGCTATGTACAGGATCTCGTCGCGGCTCTGGAGCCAACAGAATGGTCCGTTTTTAACCTGCTGCTCTCTTCATCTTATACGGGATGGGGAATGAGCAGTCTGGACAAAGACGTCGAGGAGATTGCGCAGTGCGTGAATTACGTACGGGAATATAAATCCTCTCACCCTGCTGCCTCGGATGGGACCAGGAAGATCGTTATCATGGGCCATTCCACCGGTAGCCAGGATGTCCTGCACTACCTCTATACATCCAACCCAATTCCTCCCAACCCCGACTTTGATGATGGTCTGAAACACATCGTCCGACCTGAAGTGGACGGTGCTATTCTCCAGGCCCCTGTTTCGGACCGCGAGGCTATCCTTCATTCCTTGACGACGGGGACGGAGAAAGATGTACCCAATGTATTGGTCGGCTGTTATGATCAGCTTGTTAGTATGGCAAAATTGATGCCGTATACCCCAAACAAAGTTGAGACCGTCCTGCCACTCTCCATGACTGCTCAACTTGGCTATCCTGCAGACACGCCCATCAGCAGCATAAGATTCCTGAGCCTGGTTAGCCCTGATAGTCCGGAAAACCCTCGCGAGGACGACCTGTTCAGTTCGGATCTCACTGATAAGCGCCTGCAAGAAACGTTTGGGGCGATTCCGTCAAAAGGTCTACTCAAGACCAAGTTGCTTGTTTTGTATTCAGGCAACGACGAGCACACGCCTCCATCGGTGGACAAAGAGAAGCTGCTCCAAAGATGGAAGAACGCAGCTAATGCCGAAAAGGAGATCTGGGACTCTGAGCATAGCGGAGTCGTTCCAGGAGCTAGCCATGCTCTGAGTGGTGACGATGAGGATGAACCTAGGCGCGACTTGAGCGCAAGGGTTGCCGGCTATCTAAAGGCAATTTAAAGATATCTGATATCTCATAACCCTTAGCTGCGGTCATTCCTAAGACTCCTAAAGTGGCCATATGGCTTTGAGAAATGCATAAAAATTCCGTGGACTTTCTTCGTTCCCATCAAATCAATTAAGCATAATATACAGACTAATTCCTTCGAAACGGCATCCTTACTACCGTCCAGTATTAGGAAGGAAGTGAACTCCATCAGGGTATAGCATACACGACGACCGACCAAAGTAATTCCAAGTGTAAACGAGAACAAATACGAGGTCCTAATGCGTTTAGACCTTCAGCCACAGGGTAAACACGCCTTTCAGGTATTCGGCAATCTCGTCTCCTCCCAACTTGCTCTCTCCGTAAAGTCGGTCGACGAAGGTAATCGGGCACTCTTCCACCTTGTAACCCATGGCCTTTGCGCGGACCATCATCTCCATCTGGAAAGAGTATCCCTTACTCTCAGTGCTGGTGATAACCTTTTCCAGCACCTGCTTCTTGTACAGACGGAAACTGCCCGTGAGATCGCTGACACCGGGCATCAACATCACATCCGCGATCAAGTTCGCCGTACGCGAGGTGAATTTACGGAACAGGTCCCAACCGTACACGCCTCCCCGCAGAGGTCCTCGACTGGCATATCGCGTCCCGGTGACGATATCGGCGTTGGTTTCCTTCTGGATCTTGATCATTTCCGGGATAAACTTGGGGTGGTGACTGAAATCGGCATCCATAATGATGACGAAGTTGCCAGACGCGAACTGCAGACCATGCACATAGGCGGTTCCGAGGCCAAGCTTACCCGCGCGAGGCTTTAGAATAATGTGTTCCTCGCCGTAGAGCTTCTGGAGTTGTTTGGCGATCTCGAGAGTTCCATCGGGGGAGCCATCGTCGACTACAATGATCTCCCAGTCGAGATTGCTGTAACCCACGACAATCATTAGATAAATTGTATTTATGGAAACAATGATAATAAACAAAAAATGAATACTCACTTCTCGTTGAAAGTTCTCTGGATCAGCCAGGTAATGATAGGGAGATTCCTGCGCTCATTGTAGGTGGGAAGGATCACAGAGTACTTGTTCTTGGTGTCTGCCATTTTGTCTTATATTCCAGTATTTCGAAAATAAATGAAAGACCCCTTTTGCACTGAGAAAATGAAAGAATGGATGGCAAACGGAGTTGAACCGGAGCTTGTTGCTGTCTCTTAGAATGTACTGTACAGAGGCCAGCTCAACCGATCCAGGAGACATACTCACCGCCTTAGGCAGAATGAAGCTTCTCCGTCATGTCTCCGCCTATCAATTATCGCAGAGGGACAATCCATCTATCATCTATCACGTTGCGGCCATCATAGATCCTCCACCACAATTTGGAAGAGGGCGTAATTTGTGATGTCCCTATTTTGAATGGAATTAATAAATGCGTGTGTATAAGTGAATTCCACTCAATATGGAGCCAAAGACCTCCAGACATCGTCGCAACATCTCCAGCAGATGTAAGCATCCAAACCTTCCAAGATAGCTATGGCAGCCAGCTTGCCTCCGCTCTGTACCAGGCTGTTGCGTTGCTTCTCCTATGTACTTGAGGATATTGACTGGGTTTCAGCTTCTCGTCCTCGCAGTTCGACCAAAGGCCCCCTGGAAGCCACGGACGAGTAAGCTTGTACTCCTGACGCTTGCTTTTATGACAGTGATGATTGACACTGACAATTAAATTGCCAGTCCTCTTAGCGGAGCAGAAAGTCCCAACTCTCCTCTCCGGTCTCGTATTCAATCTCCGACCAGCCCTGAGCCTTCCAGAAGCCCCCTGGGCCCGTTGGATAACTATGATTCGATTCAAACACAGCTTGACCATATACTGAAGGAAGATGTCAGCGCACTGAAAAAGGACCTCTCCTTTTTGCAACGAGCGGAAATTTACCATCCTCTCTCACAACTCGAGATTCCTCCCGCCTTTCGCGCAGCTTTTACCACACCTTCTCCCGGCGAAGACTTGCCCGCTTTGCTCAAGACCCTTGACAAGCTATTGAACGAAGGCCACTTTCTCCTTGCTGCACATCTGTGCGGCACGTTGTTGACATCCCATTTTGTTTCGCCGACAGATAGCAATACCATTTTTACGCTATTTTACATACGCTTGGCATGTTTGGAACTGACGGGCAACGGTATTCTCGCGGCCCAGGAGTCTAAGGCGTTGGAGGACCTTAATTCTTCTTTCTACTATGTCAGCCCAGATCTTGAGATCACAGGCCAGCCACGCGATCAGACACAGAAGCCTCGTCCAAGGCATATCGCACCATGGCCGCTGCGCGTGCTCGCAGTCAGACTGCAGAGCATTGGATTTGGAGACGCTCGCCGGGGCATTGCAGGCCTTTACGAGATCGGTCTGGAGGCACGACAGGAGATTATGCGCCCAGGAATAGAAAAAGCCGAGAAGCAGGTCTGGAAAGATCGATTGGCTGATTTAGGTCTGAGGAGCGTGAATGCGCTCATCGAAATGGGCGACTTGGATGCCGCTCGACGTTCACTAGAGAGTCTGAAAGGGCCCGGGCCTGAGAGTGATACCGAGAAACTGAGAAGAGCTTTCCTGAACATACGAATTGGCGATGTCGGGACCGCGAGGGACATTCTGAATGAGTCGACCCAACTTGGTGAAGGGATTCTGAACCCTCTGCTAGACATGGCGGAAGGTCGCTACGACGACGCCGTGGCTGGGTGGAAGTCTCTGCTAGAGAAAAGCACTAGCAAGGACCAGGAAGCCATGTTCACAAACAACCTGGCAGTTTGTCTACTCTATATTGGGAAGCTGAACGAGGTCAGTTCTCACTTCTCGTCAGCCATCGAAAGCGAGAATCCTATGCTAACCTGTTTACAGTCCCGCGGCCTTCTCGAGTCCCTAATTTCTGGCAACAATTCCTTCCAGAGCCTGACATTTAATCTAGCCACGATCTACGAACTCTGCTCTGACAAGTCGCGCAACCTCAAGCTGCGCCTGGCAGATGAGGTTGCGAAACAGCCTCACACGGGGGATACCAACATTGACAGACCAAACGCAGACTTCAAGCTCTGAGACACACGGACGTCAGTAGATATGGCGAGTCTCGGGACGATGTGTTAAGAATCTCAGTTCATGATGAAAGCATAATGATGTACGATTAACGATCCGCAGAAACTCCAGGCGCTAGCCCTCAAGTTTGAATCCAAATACAGCCATGTGCTCATAGCACCGTTTTCCCGTGTACCATCTAGTATGTTGACGGTAGGCCTCCTGTACGCCTTTCGGATGCTTGCATGCCGCCTAACGCCTTGCTTCCCAAAAACGAACGCCTCAAACTTCTTTGATCGGCTCCAGCCTCCTCGACTTGGGCCGCTTTATGATGATTTTATTCCCCTCCTTCTCCCAGCCTAGCTTTTCCTTTTCCACTAGTTTCTCCCACGTCCAGCCCTCTCCGTCACCAGTGCATCCCACTACGATCCAATTGAGGTCGACATTCATATACGCACTCCCGACAGCCTTCAGCGCATGCCTTCGGACTCTATCGACTGCCCAGTTGGTCACTCTGCGCATGTACCCATCAAGGCCCTTCCTTGCTCTCCAGAACGCCACCCAGTCGTCATGCATCAATGCGGACAATACGCGGTCGACCAAGTCCGATCGGAAGCCGTAGCGCGCCCTGGCCCGGGAGCGAAGCTCATATGCGGCCCCCATGTCCGCCTGTCGACAAGCATAATCGAGAGCGAGATAGGAGGTGAACTCGGACAGTTCCGACGGCTCAAGAGGATGGGTTGGTGTATGGAGCTTGTCAAGGAGATAGCGGAGCGACGGGAAGTATGACGGAGGATGCTGGGCCATGATCGAGAGCCGGATGGAGAAGACATGAACTCGCTGGGAGAAGGGAACTGGGATTGTAGACGCTGTCGCGAGAATAGCCTCCCGGAGCTTACGCAAGGAGAGGAGGATCCTGGAGAGCTCGATCGCAGGCGGAGGACTCGACCTTGCTGCGCTTCCTTTCATGGGAGCTCCCGAGCGTGCGGGTGGAAGGGATGCGGGGGGATTCTTGGTGGCATCGTCGGAGGCACTGGTAGGAAGCGAATCGAACGCGGCATCCAAGTCCTTGTTATGACGATCGCAGAATTCCATATACCTGTCCACGATCTTCTGGAAGTACTCTACCTGCGCCTGATGGTCAAGGAGCCTGGAGAGAGCACGAGAGCAAGGGTCAGAGCAGCGGAGGCGGGGGAATTGGGGACTGTTGTATATCTTCACACGTACTGCTTGTCACCCTTGGAGACAAAGCCCACGCTCTCCAGAGGATCAACAGAGACCGGCTTTAACCGGCTGGCAGCGGCCTTTCCAGGCGGGACATATTTCGCCATGATCAAACATCAGATGGTCGTCTGAACGAGAGATCCTCGCGCGTTCCTGAGCTTCCCCAACATCTCCCGCCAGTTTGCAGTGTTTGCAGCGGAGCTTTCAACGCCTCCCGCGATGTTGGGATGCCTTCAACACTTTTTTTTGTTCCATGTATAGATATGTTTTAGACTTCTTTTTTTTTTCTTCTTGTTCTTCTTATTCCGCTGTTTGCCGTCGATATGTCTACCCGTCAACGCCGGCCTGCTGACTCCCAGCCAGAGCAGGGTAATGGCAAACCCGTCGACCTGCTCTCGACCGCTTCAGCCGTCGCAGAGAAACCGCCCAAGGTGATCCGGAAGCTCCTCCACTGGGACGACCTGGCGCCCTGGCAGCGCGACAACCATCATATCCATACAGGCTATCGACCGGCGTCGTTCTCTTTTCTGGTGTCTTTCCAATCGCTGGCCTATCTCCACAATGAGACTGTCAATATCTACAGCCATCTGCTGCCGTCACTGCTCGCGATTCCCTCGGCCTTCTGGCTTTACCGTACTCTCACTCCACGCTACGAGACTGCCACGCAAGCTGATATAATCGCGTTTTCATGCTTCTTCGCTGGAGCTGCCTTCTGTCTCGGGATGTCAGCAACCTACCATACCATCTCTAACCATTCTCCGTTCGTTGCGCGCGTGGGAAACGCCTTTGACTATGTCGGGATCGTCGGGCTTATCGTGGGCAGCTTCATTCCCAGTGTCTACTACGGCTTCTACTGCCACCCAAAACTGCAGGACCTGTACTGGAGCATGATCATCTTGATTGGATTAGGCTGCGCCTGCGTATCCGTCATGCCCCGGTTCCGCACACCAGAACTGCGACCCTTCCGAGCAGCCATGTTCGTCGGGATGGGGCTGTCGGCCATCTTCCCGGTGATGCACGGATTGAAGATATTCGGTCCAGAACAGATGGCTCGGCAGATGGGGCTCTTCTGGATGCTGCTCCAGGGATTCCTGTATATCTTGGGAGCAGCAATCTACGCCGCGCGAATTCCGGAACGTCTAAAACCGGGCCGGTTCGATCTTCTGGGAAGCTCGCACCAGATCTTCCATGTGCTCGTTGTCCTGGCTGCAGTGTCACATCTGACGGGACTCTTAAAGGCTTTTGATTATCGACACAGCGGGTTGGCAGAGAGTTGCTCGTAGACCGATAAACAGCATCCGCGGTAACTACCGTAGTATGTCGAATTTAGGACTTGGAAGTCATGTAAATAACGAGATCGTTGCTGTACCATAATAGAATCTTTGCACGTATGTCATGAACTGCAAAAGCTACGGCTTCAACGCGGCATCTCACGTTGGATATCATGGCTGATACAACAATAATGAATCCATCTGGAAATGCCCCCATTCGGCATCCTGATTGGTCATACAATTGAGCCTCGGCAAATTCGCAATCCGGGGTACTCAATTTCGATAACCAAAACTGATAGTTAAGCTCCGACCGGCCCTGCCACATACTCTTTCTGTATCCAGAACCCTCAATCTTATATTAATCCACACATCTGGATCATCTTATATTTCCTCAGAAATATTCTCTTCTAACTCGAAAGTAACTCAAGGAAAAATGGCCCCTCAAGACCGCCTTTCCCAAATTAACAAGCATCTCAACTACCCCCAAGGCCTGCTGGCAGGCCAGGTAGCCATCATCACCGGTGCAGGACAGGGCATTGGCGCAGAGGCTGCTCGATTATTTGCCAATGAGGGTGCTAAGGTGGTCGTGGCGGATATTGATGCTGGTGAGTATAGTTTCTTTTTTTTCCATTATTTGTTAGTGAAGCAGAACTGGAGTAGAGTCGACATGTTCATGTACTGTATTATCTTGCCTGTATATTTTGAGTCTTCGAGAAACAATGCATCGCAAATTGGCATTTGACCCAGATCCTTCATGGGGGCATTGGATAAATAAAACCTCATTTATTCACACTTCCCCATTCGTTCTCCAGACAAGGCAAACTCGGTAGCGAACGCCATCAACAGCGCAGAGGCAGGCCGCGCCATCGCCGTCGTGGGCGATGTGACGGATTCCAAATACATCGAGACATTGGTAGCCAAAGCGGCTGAGTTCGGTAATGGCAAGATCCATATCATCGTCAACAATGCGGGATTTACGTGGGATGGAGTTATTCATAAGGTGAGGTTTTGCAGTCATATATTTGACTGTCTGTGAAGCGCATATTATTCTGACTATTGGAGAAATCTTACAGATGACAGATAAGCAATGGGAGACTATGCTGGCTGTTCACAATACGGCGCCTTTCAAGCTCGTGCGGGCTGCGGCGCCATATTTCCGTGTCAAGGATAAGGAGCCACGGGTGATTATCAATATCAGCAGCACGAGCGGTATTCATGGGAATGCGTACGTTCTCTTCTTCTTCTTATTTTCCATTTGTTCATTGATTTAGTATTACTCGCTGACTGATACCTATTTGATTTAGAGGCCAAGTCAACTACGCTCTCGCCAAAGCCGGTGTCGTCGGACTTACAAAAACCATCGCCAAAGAATGGGGTCCTGCATTCGGCGTGCGCGCCAACACTATTGCCTTTGGCCACGTTACGACCCGATTGACTGCCGCCAAAGAGGACGGTGCATTCATCACCGCCCCGGACGGTACGAAAGTCCCGCTGGGTATTCCTGGAAAGCAACTTGCAGCCCGCAAGGGTGGTTCTGGAGATGCGGCAAAGGCCCCCGCTCAAGAGTATCCCGATATCCCGCTGGGTAGGCCAGCGAGTCCAGAGGAAGCGGCCCGGTCGATTGTGGGCGTGGCGAGCCCGTGGTTTTCTTATGTGAATGGACAGACTATCATGGTTACGGGGGGAAGGAATATGTGAGGTTGTATATAGTACATATATTCTAACCATGATATCTCAATGAGATGGCTGTTAGCTATCTTGATTTTTTCAGGGAGGACTGATGGGTAGTCATACCGACTATATGTATAGTATACAGTGGTTAGCATGGCAGTAGGTACTAATTGCTTTGCTTTTGATGCCCTATCAAGCTATAAATACACATTGCAGAATCAGCATGAGGTCGCCCTGATAATCACATATCAATTTGCAATAATGATAATGTCGATCATCAGATAGCAAAATCAAAGCCAGATATGAGCCTTTTCGAGCCCATTCCACTGTTCCGTCTTAACTAAGTGGTTTTACAAGGAAAAGACACCGCAGCCCTTCCACTCACTTCCATCAGCAAGCTATCCACAGAAGCCTTGCCCAATCCTCCAGCTCATTTCGCGTGAAGATGATATCCTGCTCCGGGGCATTTCGTGGTGGTCTTCCGAAAACCCTATCGAACTCCAGGCGCAAGGGAGCACCATGACACATAGATGCAGACGATTGATCGATCTTAATATCAGCAACCTTAATAGGAGATACCGTAGGGGAGCCGAGACGGGGACTGCGTCTTGTAAGTTGAACATTAGGGATCCATTTCTCTATCTTCGCTCTTTTGGAGGTCGGCTGGATCCAAATGACAAGGACAATAAGCACGTCCCCCGCAGAGTTCTCAATCCACCATCTTGCGTCACTGCGTAGCCGCGCGAGAGATCCCGATAATCCTGCTTCAATAACTATATTTGGCCAATCTGCCTTACTTGGTCTAAGTTTCTCATTTTGCCAGGCGGAGTCACCCTCCTTCTTAGAATTATTTCTACCCCTTATGGCTGTTGCATTGATCGCAACGAACTCATCCCAGCCGACTCCCATCTGAAATACTTGGGCTTGCATTCGCTGGCCCAGCGTCGCATGAGCCTTCTCATGTGCTCGAGTAGGGAGTTTTATAATTAGGGTCTCAATGTCGCCAAAGTAGGAGAAGGCGGCTCCGCGTCCAAGGTCGACGCGACGTTCCTCAATCCTCGCAAATTTGTCCGATGTGATATGGTGGAAAGAGAGATATTGGTCTTGACTTCCTTTGTCCAATTTTTGTTTCTTTGCAGCAACAGCTCTTTTTAAGGCGTTCGTGCCTTTATACTCCGCCGGTGGATATTCTTCTATCAGGGCAATTTGTGAGGATGGAGAGATAGATAATGTGGGGTCTTGAGGCATGTTTCTCCTGGTTGCAGAGGTTGCATAAGTTTCGGTAGTATTCATAGCCGACGTGAGACGACTGGATCAGGCAGCAGTATAGTGATGCAGACCGAAAGGAAGAGAACCGTGGGTCAAGAAAGGTGTCGGCGCACAGAGCGTATGTATGTACAGGTCATCTGTCAATCATCCGTTTGGAGGAGGCTCTTAGAGAACCTGGTGTGCTTTCTCCTGATATCTCTCAAGAAATGAAACTTATTGACACTTTGGGTGTCTGTCCAAATAATCCTGAAGGTAAGGAACCGCTCCTCGGTTACAGACGATCCAGAATGTACATAAAATTGCCATCTGGTGGATGGACTTAGCTTTGTCAGGATCTGCCTTTGGTTCCTTGACTTTTTTCCTTTTTAGGATCCTAATTATCGGATAGGACCTACTAGATCACTAGGATCCAGATCATTTTAGATAATAATAATGAATACCACTGCTCACCCTCAGCAGCCCCCTTCACCCGCACCGGGAGATTCACGACAATTTTATCTAGTTTGAATATTAGAAACGAATCACATAAAGGATAACTAGCTTGCCCATTATGGCTGCCGTTGCCGTTGTTATTGATTCTTTGTATAATTAGGAGATAAATATCGGTTCAACCCTTCCCCCGTAGATCTAGAGTCAGGCAGATAATTCAAGCAATTAGCTAGATGGTTCAAATCAGACCATGCTTCTGTGCCATTTAGGATTCGACAAAAGGCAAGGGCAAGGAAATGTGGCCAGAATAAGAAGAGAGAATGCCAGAGATAGATGAATGCAAGAAAAGGAAGCGGGGTCAAGATGCACCTTATAGTTCGAGTAAAACGAAAAAAAAAACCGCAGTTCAAGTGAAGTTATGCTATCGATGACAGTAACTGTAGGACAGTACCATGCTTCCTTATTCACCCTGCAGAAGAACTGCTCTGATGAATGCCATCCATACCAGTTCAACAGCAAGTTCCCACAGGTATGGAACCATGACTGCAGAGGAAAGGCGCTGGATATAGAGAAGATGACTGTGATTGATCGTAACTATTCAGCTATCCGCGAACCGGTCCGATCTGATTTCAGCCGGAATACCCCAGCTCGCTATGAGACTTGTGGGGTAATTTGTGGCGGGGTAGTGTAGCATATACACAGAGACATATGTACACATGTGTATATACTTAGGTAAATATACGTATAAAACTAGTTACTACGTAGGTCTATGTATGTATATGACTGTATAAATAGGTAGTAGATAAATCAGTTAATATACATGATATATATTTAGTTATGTTGCAGTGTCAAGGTACTCATTATATTACCACTTAAGCCTAACTCACCTCTTATATTATTGATGATTGTTACCTCTCCGGTACATATGTGTACGCATATGTAGAAGTATATTATGCTACACTGGATAAATCACATGCGTCCGCCAGGCATGACGTGTCACTCTCCTCGACGAATCCTCATTGACACGCACCCTACAGAGAGTTTTATGGGATTGCTACATTGAAGAGGGTCATGCAAAAAGATTCACCGGTTCCCTCCTGGGGATAGGTTCGTTCATTCAGCAGCACCAGTATGTGTATCTGAACTTTGCCTATGTACACGTGGATTTCCACCAGTGGTCTGGCTAGACACACACAGCTGCAATTCCATTTGGACATTGAAAACGTGAATTTTCCCTGGGCCGACAGAGCTGGCGTCGACCCCCTGTATGCATCACAATAAAACGAGCTTCAAGAAGGCCTGACCTGGTGCATGAAGTTGGTAGGGAAAAGAAAGAAAGATTAAGAATTGTCCAAAAAAAAGAAGTTTTTTTCAGAATCGTGGGTATATGGTATATAAGAAAGAGAACGGAGGCTGCTCAGATCATACATCATCTTTCCCGCTGACAACCAGAAACTCCATGCCAAATGCTGCAACACTGACCCTCGTTCCTTTGGGTATTTGGAAAACTTCGCACGTCGTGGGATCCCGCAGTGCTGTAATAACCGAACGCCAAACTTGCATCTCCTGCAAATTCTTTTGGGGGAAAAAAAGCTAAACAGAAATGCCTCAAAACAGGAAAAGCCCACCCAGGTAAAGATAATAATAACACAGATATCAATATGTAGCCTTGAAAGCAAACCCGCTCACAAGTGGGAGCGTGACAAAGTGAAGTGAAGTGGTAAGTCTAAGTATATATCCGGCCAGTCCAGGGACTGTAAGGGTTTCCATGGACAACTTCGTTGCCCATCATTAACAGATGGACCGGCAAGCCAAGTATGATATGTCCGGGTTGAAGAGAAAAGAGACCAGGTTAGGTTGGGTGACCGTCCAAGAAAAAAATGAAAACCAATGCCTTTTCGATGGAAAAGACACTTTTTGAGTGGCGGTAATGTTGAAATCGTGAAGTATTGGACTTTTTTTGGGGGTGGTACTGGAAAAAGGCGCCCAATGATTAGATAGAGTAGTATGTGATGTTGAGGTTCGAGTGCAGAAATAAACCGTATACTTCGTGACTGCGTAACGTTGATGTGCCCAAAGCCATGTCGAAGGTGTAATATTTTGTTTTTAATAAGCCTCGACGACCGGTCCAGCAGGTCGGTTCGGAACCAGGGACTTTTCTGTCACGTCGGTCAACTGACCGATGGAACCCCAGTACTGGGGGGGAGCAATGTATCTGTAGCCGTTGGACTGCATCTCCGACTCATCGTCAGACGAAGACGACACCGATGAGATGGTGTCGTCGTCCGTCAGAGAAGTGTCCGAGACGGCAGAATCGGAGTACTCCACGTCATAAGCTTGGGCTGGCGGCGTCAGCGGCAGCTGGGCGTAGTTCATGAAGCCCACGGCAGGCTCCTCCGTGTAGGCGATCTTCGGTCCAGCCGGTACACAAGAACTGTAGGAAGTGGTAGTGAAGGCGGGGCACTCCATGATCAACGTCCGCAACTCCGGGATGGTAATCCGCTTGACGGGGTCGCATTCAAAGATGCGTCTCAGGATGTAGTTCAACTCCGGGGTCAAGGGCAGAATGGTCCGGAGGAACTCTGGGTCCTTGAGGAAAGCCCGGAAGGTTGAGTCCTCTGGGGAAGCACGCTTCCACGGATTGCGGCCACAGGTCAGGTTCACCAAGATGACACCTAGGCTCCAAACATCATTAGGGGCCGAGGCATAGCAAGACATGGGTCTCGGGTTGGTTTGCTGACATTCTGCACGTTTCAAGTTAGTTAGTTTCTGTTTTGCAGCAATAAAATGTCGCAGAATCAAGCGAAGTGCTGGCACGTACCTGGCGACATGTAGAAGGTGGAACCGCAGCCAAAGTCCGACGTATAATAGTCCGTGGTAGCCAGGCCAAAATCGGCCAGCTTGACGGTCATCCCGTGGTCGGTGACCAGAATGTTTTCCGGCTTCAAGTCGCGGTGATAGATTCCGATGGAATGGCAGAACTGAACGGCATCCAAGGTCTGTAGGAAAGCACGTTTGGCCAGCGGGTCATTCCCGACGAAGTGGCCGCGCTCAGTGATACTGGAGAACAAGTCGCCCTCGGGACAGAATTCAATCACGACGAAAGTACAATCCACGGAATCCATGATGCGGACCAGGGAGACCACATTGGGATGTTGGCTAGCCAGATGGTGCAGCTTGATCTCGCGCTGCTGGAACTTGCGCTGTCTGGAGTCGAGTCCGGTCTTGTTGAGGGCCTTGACAGCATAGGGGACGTTGGTGTGGATGTCAATGGCGGTGTAGACCACGCCATAGGCTCCGACACCCAGGATGCTGGTGAGCTCCAGCCGGTTGGCCAAGAGCAGTCCTAAACGGTCCTCGGGGGCATAGCAGCGCGCGATAGGAGACGGCGGGGGAGTTGGAAGGGTAGTAGGGTACATGCTAGCGTTGAGAAGGGGGAAAAAAAAGAGGAAGGGGAATAGGCGCGCAAGTGGGATGATGAACTGTCACCCAAGCGAAACCAGACGATCCAATCCGGGACGGGAAGGGCCTCTTTTTCTTTTCCTGTGGATGGAAACTCCGGGTAAAGGGTCCGTGGCAAGTCGGAAGAATAGTCCTGGTACAGCAATCCAAATAAATAATAGGATAGTCGGTGGTAGCAGTAGCAGTGGTAATAGTAGGTTTTTCCTCTGGGATGTGATCTGCGTCCTTCTTTGTTGGTCCAATGGGTCTGATTGATATATGTGATATCACCACTCAGTCGACGAGTCCTCTCCGGGAGCAAAGGTAGATTATTTATTATCAAGAAACTCCGGATCCTCTCACGGCGTAATTAACAAACACGGAAAGGGTGGGCGAACAGACGAGGTGGCTTCGAGGGGGGATGGGTACGAAGACACGCCCGCTGTTGGGACAGACAAGAGTCTGGGGAGGATGAGAGAGGATCGAGGGAGCAAAGAAGGATGTTGTAGGAGTCGCGTGGAGAAGAGAAGGAGAAAGGAAGAAGAGGGCGAGTTGAAGTAAGTCGGGCACCCTCGATGCTTAGTATGATGGACATCAGCAGGAAGAAGAATCCTCCCAGAAGCACAGCGTGGAGCAGGACGCGCAGGCTACAAATAGGAAAGAAAGGAGGAGAAGGGGCGGTCCACAGCCTGCGCCCTCAACCGTCGCAGGCCTGGACTGGTTTAGAGGAGTTTTAGTTTAGTGGATGGAGAGGAAGAAGAGAAGAATGAGTGATGAGTAGTTTAGTGAGTTAGAAAAGAGGGAGCAAGACTGACTTGACGGGGGGCGAAACCAGCAAGCAACAGGGCGGATCTCGACGCCGGAGGGGGGTTTTGGGCGGTGGCGCGAGGAAAGTGCGTGGCGGTAAGCAAGAGTCGGTGTCCGTCTTCTATTAATATTAATATTCTTGCTCCATCTTGCTTTGTTATCGAGTGGCTCACAGCCGCGTGCATCGAAGGGAGAAGTGCGTGGCGGCTGCGAACGGTGTGGATTGGAACTAACCAGCCTCTCCAACCCCCATCAACATCCCCAATCGAACACAGTCAGTTAGTTGATTCATCAATCATTATCATCATTATCCATTAAAACTATCCATTGAAACTATCCATAACTAACACACACCACACACCAACAAGAAGGAAAAACACCAACAAGAATCAACTTCCCCCAAGGCCACCAACCGCCGTTGGGATGTGACCAGTTCCAACGCCACATCCACGACGGCCGCCTGACCTGCAGAAATCGCCGTGCGTGCCAGAGTTGGTCGATGACTCGATGACTAGATGCTCTAGTTCCATAGCGTCCACTCGCTTCCCAACTTCCAAGTTCCCAGGCACCAGAGTCTCCACGGGCAAATTAAAAATAATCTCCTCTCCGTCTTCGTGTTCGCTCTCCCACAGTCCAGACCCCGTCTCCACGGCACGGCTGGGACTGGGAGGCGAGCTAAAGCAAAGCCACCCCATGCGCATACTCAAGTGGATTTCATACATGGGAAACTCTATCATCGTTTTCTATACTGTACTCGCACTCGATGACTTCAGCATCTAGACAACTGACGGCTTGTCCGCATTTCGAACCCTCTTGGCTTCGCTGACCTTCCTGTGGTCCGGACCAACAGGTCGGGAAACGAATCGTAGCCTCAGGACGATCGGGAGCATTCAACCAGGCAAGAAACAAGGGAATTCTTGTGCTCACTGCTCATGGTCCAGTCAGGGTCCCTAGTCTACGGTGCTAGTTCGATGGCTGTTGAGTCGACCGTCGACTCATTATTATTCCCATGTCCGTCCCCGTTGAAACAAATAATGGTCTACCTATGGTAGATAGTTAATAATATACCCTAGACGGTGTGGATGAAGAACTTCATCAACGCCGGGGTGGCGATGACCCTGGTTGGTCTATCGTTTATTCTCTTTCTCTTTTCATATCATCATCACCGTCACGGTCACCCTCATCCTGGTCAACCCCATCCCATCCCCTTCCGGGGGGCAGGTTAATCGATGATATACTTCGTATCAGCCCGTGGGGTCCCTAGCGGTCTGATTCGTCGCACCCGACTCGCTGGCCGTGTGACGATCGGACCAGTCCATCGACGTATGCGGCGAGGCGCAGAGAGACAGTGGGAAAGCCTGTCTATCTAGCCGGGTCTGCCTTGACCTTGGACAGGACGACAGGACGACAGACAGGCAAAGTGAGGCGGACTCGCTCGCTCCCCACAGCGTTCGAGAAGAACGGAATGGCCGCTGTGGCCCTTGAACCCTTGATGCCCAGTGGCAGTTGATTGGTTTGTCTCCCATCCTGCCACGTTACGTCCTAAACGGCGCAGCCTCGAGGTTTCGCATCGTCCGGCAATACCATAATCTGTCTCAAGTGCATTCCACAGCCTGGTCGGTCCACGGACATGGCTGGATGTACCTGGCACAGAACGGCCGAGGTGCTGTGCCTCTCACACGAACACGTCTGCGCTGCGTTTCGAGGGAGTTCGCATTCGACCAGGATCCACCAGTACAGGATCTTTGCAACGGATACACCAACCTACAGTGCCAGGGTAAATGTCCCTCTACCGAATAGACCATATCTTATTGTCTGGTAACTCTGGTGCGTGCGCCGTGCACGGCCCACGGTGCCCCAGCCTTTCCGCTCGGATGGCTTGTTCTCTGTTCTCGAACAGATTGTTCCTCCATCCATGATCCAACAGAATAAGCGAGTGGACCGGCGGCTGCGGATGTAATGATCCTGACGCTTTCGATAGAGCATTCCCCCTGTCGATAAGCCCGTACGGCATCGTTAACTGAGATCGGTTCCCTTTTCTTTCTTTCTTGCCGGCAGATAGCCAGAGTATCCATTCCGACTCTAGTCACATCTCATACACAATAGAGCCCTCCTGAAATTCAGGGGAGCGCTCGACGTTCAGCTGACAGGCAGCAGATCGATCCCGGCCCCTGGCGCTTCCTTTCTAAATTCTCACACAAATAGTGCGCTGATGGTGGGTCATCCCAAGTGGATAGTCGTGAGGCGTTCGGAAAATAACTGCCCAGTGCGCAATCCCCAGGCGAGAAGAGTAATTACTGACTGGTTCGAGATACTAGAGTAGTCAATCGCCCTCCGCAAAAAAAAAAGAGGAACCAAACACGCGAACGGCTGTCGCTTGTACTCTACTCCGTACTCCGTATAGTGAGTAGTTCGCCTTCAGCTGCGTCTCGAAGACCGTGGCGAAAGAAATGATGCCCGTTATTGGGATATGACCTACTGATCGGCTTGCGAGAGTATCTGCTCTATCCGATCATGACGTTGCTGCTCCGCCTCTGTTACCGACTCGCAAAGATGCCAGGCTAAAGACATCACTGTGCCACTGATCTGCTGCGCGGTAGTACAAAAAGTACGAACGGGGAGCGATCCTGCGTCCCGTACGAGGGTTCGCAGTCACCGATGACATCTTCCTGCCTCCATCTAGAAGGAAAGGGATGTATCAACATGGACTTCGTAGTGTCTTGCCGCCCGGAACATCGATTCCACCGTGTTCCCTGCAGTAACTCGGCACGCAATAATAGACTCGTACTTGACGACAGACAGGCAGCCTCTTTGATCCCTGATCACAGCTGAGCGCTTCCAGACAGCCCCTAGATAGCGTTCTTGTCCAGGGGTTCTCCCATTCCATCGAAGATCGCTGAGATCACTAGTCTAACGGGATTGTCTTACATCGCTAACCGCCGTGACAACAATAGAGGAAGATACATCACAAACTCACCACCTGCAGCTGGCCCTGACAACGAAATTGACTTTGCGCATACTTTCAAAGGCGCCTTTGTTCTATCTGTCTGGTCTAATCAACGCATCGGTAGAAGGTCTATGCTCGAGCGTCAATTAATCGCGTGGCAGGTGTCTATCAACCATTACAGGGCAACCGGAAAGAAACGCACCTCCTGACCGCTGTAGGCTTATCCCCAGTTGGATCCAATGGTCAATGGAAAATGTTACTGCGATCTTTTGTCGACGTCAAAATGTCAATCGTCCACGTCTCGTACCATAGATTGCCACATCTGGTGGGTTTACTATCTAATCAACTTACATCCCATGAAATCGAAGGCGCATACGCATCCGATCACCTGATTCGAGTCGTCCAGTGATCTATCTGTCTTTGCTGTCATTCTTCTCTTCCTGCCACGCTGGTGACAGTTAAGATCAAAACAAATAGTGTCTACCTAATTTGTCGAGGGGAGCAACTAGTTTGGGTATGCATCTCCCCCGCTGCCTGAGAATTAAACATGCACTACTCGTGATTAGTCTCGAATCTCGATTTCCTCTTCGGTCCAAGGCGCATCCTCAATGGGGTTGAAAAAAACGCACTAGTGAATCTTCAACTCGACGAGTACAAAGACAAACGCCCAGGTGGCCGTTGAATCTAGCCAGAATCTCTCTAGAGTATCTTCGGCGGCCAGTACACGTGTCGACGAACTGGCCGACACACGGAGCCGCGAACATACAGAGAGAGAGCACAGAGCATGATATGTGCACACGGCACACCGCCAGACTGGCGGTGGACAGTGAACAATCTGCACTGAACAACGAAACTTAACTCCAACCTCAGGTCGGATCGGCCGTCTACGGTTTCAATTCAGTCTAGCGCGAGCGGCTACGTTCCTCTCCATCGGAGCTCCTGCTCTTGCGGTTTGTTCTCTTCTACTTTGGACTGCAGCTCTGCGCTCTCCACTTTACCTACTAGCATCGATCACCGACTCCAAGTCGGGGTCGAGTCGAGCCTTTTTCTTTCGTTCGATCTGTCGGTCTCCTCCCCGGCGCATTGGGGAATAGACGATCTTGGAGATGCAGAACAGCTAGCGAGGCTTGGTCAGGGCGGACCCAGCTGGGTACCTACGTAACCTGCCTGCCCGATACGTACCTGCTGAAGTACTATACCGTGAGATTATACTTCCAGCTACGGACGTGTACATGTATCAACTCCACAGTAAGACCTCCGTACATGAAAGTCCTGTACATGCCCATGTACATAAATACATCCATCTGGGAGATGAGTACCTGATATCAAGCGACCAATTGGGTGTTTCCGCTTTCCATGAGCATGGTATTGGGCTGAGATTAACGTTCTTCTACCATAACTGGGCCAAGTCGAGGAATTGATCATTCGTTCATCTAACAGCCGACTCCGCCAGGCCACCTGCTTACGGTCAATGAACTGACTGCAGCCATACTCTGCAGAAGAAGAATATAGTTTTATTCTGCACGCTGCGCATCCCCCCCCCCATATAAACAAACCGGCAAGATACAATATTCATACCTACTGCATATATACACATGCACATACCATGCATCACAGTACGTAAAAGCAGCTCCTAATGCATAGTTTTCTGCTTTCGTTTTCCAGTTCCCAATACCTATCTCCCTAACCTCTGGGAATGGAAAAGAACAAAAAAGAAAGAAAAGGCCTTCTCAGCTCTAGACCCAGGCATCGCATTGATATTACCACTGTACACGTGTATAGGAGTGATATCTCCCCATTAGTGAACGGGCTACATGAAAATCAGGATTTGATCAGTCTCTGGGTTTCTGGACGTTGATCATGATATTGAAGCCCATGATTTACTGGATTTTTTTAACTTTGCATTCCAGGACTATATACCTATACTATGAATAATAAGAATTAACACCGATAATAAGTAAATCAGGCCGAGCAATAATTCTTCCGGGGGACCAAATCAGTTACATGTACTGTATCTATCATCTCTTTTGAACATATCTGCTATATAACATTCGTATTTTTTGCTATTAGTCAGTCATTTTACGAAGATATTAACTAAAAAGAGGACCGTGAGTCTTGGAAGTAATATATAGTTAGAGATACACTCTACCTTAAACATTCAAATAAGAAAAAAAGAGAAAGGAAGGAAGGGGAGGGGAAATGAATCTTCATATTCCGCTGCTTGGAGTATAGTTGCAATCTAAATTGAGCGGATCCAGTTATTCTGGTCCCGATAGATGGATATATGTATATATCTTCATATTATACAATATCATCGCCGACGTGAATCCATTCATCAACCCATCAACTCATCCACATATTCATATATTCATTCATTCATGATTCATTCATTCATACATACATATATACAATTATAATATACTCAACCCCTCTCTTTCCCAGCAAGTTCCTCCGTCGCCATCTCATCAGAACTAACACTTGCACCATCATTCTTATCCTTCTTCTCTTCAACAGGATGTCTATCCAACGATTCATACCATTGGATCACGGAACCGATCAAGAAGGCCCACGAACCCCAGAACGTGGCGAGAGTGGATTGGTACTCGACACCGGAGTTGGCGCTCGCGGGACCGAGAGCGCCGCATAGCTGGAGGGGGGGGAGGTTAGTTTGTATATGATATGATGTGATATGATATGGTTTCATGGTTAGGCCTTGGGGGGGGTGAGGGGGAGGTTAAGGAACGAACCGTAAAGCCAATCCCTCCGACAAAGTTCCAGGCGCCAATGTGCCAACCTAGGATGTTGGGGGCGGGGATGTACCATTTCTTTTGTGTTTCGATGGTGAAGAGGAGACTGGAGTGGAGATTTAAAGTTAGTTAGTTATGTACATATGTACTTTCGTTGATATCATTGAGCGTGGTATTTAGTATATGGCTTTGTCCGCGACATACCCGCTGGTAATGAAGAGAGAACCGCCAACAATCTGCGGCACCCAGTAAACGCCATTCGTGACGCGTTGACTCATATGGTTAATAATGCCCGGAAGGCCCGTGAAGCCAGCAATCCAGAAGATAGTAGCCCCGATCAGCTGCGCCAGGGAGGCGAGAAAGCCAAGTTCATGCAGATAATGCGTCTTCAATTCCGTCCAGGACGGAAACCAGGTGAATGTCCTATCCCCGGCGGCATCGACGGTCGTCCACGAAGAGTGTCCTCTGCGCCGTCCGCTGCCCACGAAAACACGCCGGTCCGCGTGATGATGACGGCATTTGTCCTCAGATGCGGGCTTGACGACGGTAATCGCCTCTGCGGTCTCTTCCCGGAGCACCTGTTCCAAGGCCCAGCCGAAACAACCCGCGGTGTTCTCGTTGACGGCCTCGAGCATCAGGAGCACGCTGCCGATTTCGAAGGTGGTCGCGCCGATAAAAGCCGTCACGCCACCGGCCGTCAGGGACTCATTGGGGAATGCAGAGCTGGGATCTTCCAGCGGTAGCCAGACGAAGAAGGCGTTGATCACCCAGATCACGGATCCGAGGGTAAAGACGACCGCGACCAGGTACGAGACGTTCCAATAGGGAAACACACTGAACATGCGCCAGATGCCCTGGAGCACGGAGCGGAATTCGTTCGTCTTCCGCGGAGCCTGATAGCGTGGCTTCGTTGTTGGATCTTTCTCATCATGATATCGTACCTGCAAGGCATGTCGGCCCTTGCGGTTATCGCGAGATCGCCACAGGTACTGGATCTGGTCGGCTTCAGCGCGTGGTGGTTGTTGTTGTTGTTTCTTGCGATCTTGCTCGATCGTTTCCTCTTCGCCTTCGGGTCTCTTTCTCTCAGTCTCGCCTTCCAAGGCGTACTTCTCCGTTGGTTTGAAGACCGCATGAGTAGGGTTCAGAAACGAAAAGGGCGCATTGATATGAGAGCGCTGTAGTTCGAGATCAGCATAATCCCGCAGCGGCTCGCGCTCGGGGCGAAATGCCCGTTTACTCAAAGGCATCTGAGATGTCTGATTGCTGTCGTTGTATATCTTCTCGCATCAACAGCCATGTCCTTATGTAGTATTACTACTCCGGGGTATGCGGGAATGCATGGTTCGATACCCCTTTAAAAAAAGAACCTTTTGCTTTTTCCAGCCAGAATAGGGAGAAATAGTGTGATGATATCTTGATGGGAATCATGGCTGTCAACCAAACAGGCTTTCTTAGGCGCCCACGCTAGGGCCCGCGCTGACGTCGCCGGGAACGGAACTTTTGAGCGTTTTGATAGAAGATATTTCAGGAATGGATTGCTATTGTAGATGATGATTATTATTTTTTGAAATACTCTGGATTATCAGATTCTATTTATCATTTAAGGGTATCGATGATGCCTGCGCTGTAATTCAATTGAAGACGAATATACGGTAGTTAGCCAGAAGTTGATAACGGTTCAACGATGATGCAATAACAATAAGATACATCCTATGTTACGTTAACAAACATAACAGGTTGATGGCAAAACTTGGATGTCTGGTGGCGATGATCTATCTGGTTTCGAGTGTTCTCTTTTTGTTGTTTTAACAAATCCTATGCGTGTCTCCATTTCTTGTCTTCTGGTGATTGATAGTTATATTTCTGTCTCTATATAACAGATATTGATCAATCAGTTCCCCTTATATCGAATTTTATACTCTATGATATCTGCAATGTGTCCTACAAGACATATCCATATACCGGGACAGAAATGACTGGATCATTCTTCTGGTAATCTATTTTCTCGACTGGACGGCAAAATTAGATACAAATCCGCCGTAGCCGTCTTGCCAAGTGAAAATGAAAGGGTCATGGTATAATTAAGTATTTACAGTTATTGTCAACTGCATGCCATCCTAAGACAGATCTAAGATCGAATGATATAACACGACACCATAGCGTCCAAGGCCGATATACATGGATAGAGCTGAAGAAGCTCCTCTAAATAACCACTCGAGAGTCGTGCACGTCAACTATGTCTATCAGAGTAAATAAGTTAATTCTTGGGCCGCGCGATGAATGGGTGTTTGAGTGCCTCCATCGGAGTGCATCGTCTCTCTGGATTGATATTCAAGCACCGATCCAGCAGATCCACAAAATGCGCAAGTTCTTTCGCTTCTGCATCCCCGAGTCCCCGCGTGTCCTTTCCCATCAGCCGCGTTTTCAGGTCGCGCGTTGGCTTCTTAAAGTCAAGGATTTTGGTGACAATTCGTCCAGTTGTCTTGTCTTGCTCTTCGCTTCTAAAGTTTAGAAGATCGTCAAAGTGAAGGTGGGTAAGACTGCCTCTTCGCAGCAGCTTAGGAGGGATCTTTCCACGGCACTCCATGATGGACCGCAGCATCTGGTTGTTGTTGCGCCCAGTAAAGAGAATCTTGCCGGTGTACAATTCATACAAGGTACAACCGATCGACCACACGTCGATAGAGTAATCGTACGGCATACCAAGGATGATCTCAGGTGCTCGGTAGAATCGACTCACGAGATACGGAGTGATCTCGTTCTCGGTGGCTGGCGATGCTGATCCCAAGTCGCACACTTTCAGCACGTTCCGGTGTTCATTCACCAACAGATTATCAGGCTTCAGATCCGCATGGAGAATGCCGCATTTGCGAAGCAGACTCAACCCAAGGAACATCTGCTGAGCATAGGCTCGGATCGCCCGCAAGTTGAGACCAACGTCTCGTCCGAACTTCTTCAGAACTTCGCGAAGGTTCATGCTGAGGTTCTCAAACACCATACACAAATGGCCCTTGTGATCAAAGTACCTCTCAAACCTGATAATGTGCTTCTTGTCGTCTGGATCCGCAGCCTGGAGCTGCTCCAAGATTGCGATCTCCTTCATACCCGCCTTTTTCATGGTGTCATTGTTGCGGATAATCTTGATGGCAACAAGCTTCCCTGTCTTTGAATCTGTCGCACGTACCACTGATGAAAACATACCCTTTCCAAGATTCTGCTGGATGTGATATCGGCCGTTGATTAACTCACCCAACCTCACATTATAATAGCCTTCTGGGTCATCCCAATTGTCCATCATGCTCATGTCCAGCTCTTGAGGCTGCGGAACGGCGGTTGCAGTGGCATGTACAGGCCGCGAAGTCTCTTGAGACTCTTCAGCGAACATATCATCGTCGTCCTCGGCAAACATGTCAAAAGGGTCTCTCTCTTTTACCGGTGCAGCTGGTGGTGGCACCGCACCGGGAGCATCAGGCATGAGCACGTCCTGTTTTGCGGTTCTAGTCTCATCGTAGGCGGTAGAGGAAACTTCGTCACCGAAATGCCTTTGATCATGTCGCTGCTTCTCCTCTCTCATATCAACGGTTGGATCGTAATCGGCGGCAGAAGGGTCATCTCCATCCACGCCGTCAGTGGGAACGACTCCGTTGGCCAAGTTCTCATCCTTCGAGAGATTAATCTCAGGAGACGGAGCCCTAGTCTCATTTGGTGTCACCGACGACGACAATTGCGGGGAAACTATAATCGCACATTAGTAACTGCACCCCTAAATGTAAGGGGGCCGACCAAAACCTACCAGACGCCACTTGGCTGGCACTTTCCGTACTCGGAGTTGAGGGATCTGTTTCAGCCCCAATACGCAGTGCCTGAAGCTGCAAAGGAGTCGCCTGACTTCTATACTTAGCTTTAATAGCTTCACGCCGTCTCCGGCGTTCTTCTAGACGAGCAGCCTCATCTGTTGGCTCGGATAATTGCGGCTCTGGCTCTTCGTGAGTCTTTTCCGTAGCTGGAGCATCAACACTGGAGGCAAACAGTCAGCCAAATTCCATCTGAAAATAAAAATGCAGGCAAACATACATAGTCACTTTACGGGGACGAGCATCGGTAGAATCCTGCTGCTGCACCTGATTCTCTCGAGTTTCAGCCTCTTTTCCAGATTCTTGAGCGACGACTGGGGTCTTGCCCCGTTCGCTCACTGACTGTTCAGTAGAATCCCTCCTTCCCCCGGCCTGTCGGACCGAAAAATCATTTTTCCTCGGTTCCATTTCGTCACCGGAATACTGCTTCGGCTTCCTCACGTCTCGATACGGTGACCGGCTACGCGTTCTGTGGCGCTTGTCCCGAGGCCTGTCATAATCGTCGGTGTATCGCAGGCTGCCACCGTATCCTTGCTCTCGATCGTAGTCATGGTAAGGCCTGCGGCGTCGGTCGCGGTAACCTCGATCGTACGACCGGTCATCGTAGTATCTGTCGTCGTATCTCGACTCGTACCGTCGCGGAGGAGGGGGAGGAGGTGCATGCCGGACGCGCCTGTCGTCATAAAAATCATCGTCACGTCTACGCTTCTCCCCTCTGAAATCGCGATAGGGCGAGGAAGGGGAGCGCGAGCGCGTTCTCGACCTCGATCTCGTCCTCGATCTCCGTGGGCGCGGCGACCGGGTCAGTGAGGCAGGAGATCTGGGCGCCGATGATAAAGATGGTCTGGTGGGACGGTCAACGCTGGTGCCATTAAGAGAAGTTTGCGACGTAGTTGCCTTCGTCTCCGAACCTGATTCGATGATCTCACCCTCGGAAGGGGTCGATGGAGACCTCGACCTGTGAGAATCCATGACGGCGATGGTCTAGACAGTCGATGCAGAAGATAATATGGCCCTTGCTGGAGCTTTGTAGTCGAAAGAAGAAAACAGCGTGCACGGTTAGCAGCAGATCGCAACGACTAATGGGGCTGGGTGGTATGAAGAAGTTCCAACCGGCTAGAGATGTCTGCCTTTTGCTCCGCTACCGGGACAGCACTTATCGTCCTGCATACATCGGATGCCGTACCAAGCTCTCTTCCTGGATAGCAAGGAGGTATCACGCGCTAGAGACGACTCGAACCGCGTGAATTGAGCTGGTCGTCCGGACGTGTCGAGAAGCTCGTTAGTTCGGCTGGAGGTGAAGTAAACGCAATGGACCGAAGTTGGCGGTGTCCGATTAGAGATTTTGCGCTTGGCCCGATCTGGCACTAGCGCAGACGGAAAGAAAAGGGAGGGGCAAAAATGGGAAAAGAGGAAACTGATCTTCTTCTGATAAGCAAGTTCTCTGCTCCATTTTTTCTGCTTCCTCCGGGCGAATCTCTGTCCTCACAGCTTTTATTCGATCATCGGTGCCTGGACGATCTCGATCACAATGGGTGGTGGTTCCAGAGAAGGTAAGGGAATCTCTCTACTAGCTACTGTCTACATATCATCCATACTGACTCATTTCTCCAAATGCAGGCGGCAAGGCCAAGCCCCTCAAGGCTCCCAAGAAGCAGCAGAAGGAACTGGACGAAGATGAAATCGCGTTCAGAGAGAAGCAGAAGGCTGGTAAGTGGAGGAACACCCTCTTTATCTATTGCAAGAGGTTCATTCTCGAGTCTTTCTGGGCATTTTCACTGACAGATCTTGTCTACGCACAGAGGCCAAGGCCAAGAAGGAACTGATGGAAAAGGCCAAGGGCAAGGGTCCCCTGAATATTGGAACCCAGGGTATCAAGAAATCCGGCAAGAAATAAATTTCTTTACCACATCACACATCCCGACCGCACGCACACTATCCGAGCACCGACGATGAGACTTGGGACGTTCTAGTTCGTGCGGAAGATGGCTATCATTTGCGGGGCGATAAGAAAAAAGGGAATTATGAGATATCAACGAGCTTCATGTACATCATTCGGCGTTTTCATCGGATCAGTCACTTACCCGAGCGAGTCAAATGCGCATGGATAATATATTTTATGCTATATATACCTGCGACATCAGATGTCACGCATCTGTGGCATTTCTGCGTCGCTAGGTTTCACGCATAACTGTATCAGGTCTATATATATATACTAACTGGTCAAGTGTAGACTAACTCGTAGACATTATCTATATCTAAGGTGGGAAAGGAGCGCAAGAAGGACGTAGCTGGAGTCTGGAGTGCTATCTAACCGAAGGAACGTTGATGGAGAGTGGGTATCGCGAGAAGCAATGAGGATATCATGCGCGGGAAGAAGATGCTAAGCACGCTAGGAAAGACATGACACAACGACATCAAGGACAGGAACATAATAATCACCAATCAATGGACAAATATGTACCGACTGGCAGTGGTTTGCAGGACAGATGATGGCCCAGCCAACATGAAAATGAATATGGACAGAGATAAAGAAAAATAGTGGTCGCATCGCTGGGAATAAATATAGAAAGGCCGAGCTTCAACTAGTCATACGTTTGACCCATAAGCTCGACCCACTTTCATAGACGCATTCCTCGTCGCGTTTCTTCCAAGCTCGTAGGATCTTCAAACCAAGGTCGTGCTCCTCCTTGTTGATCTCGGCGAGCTCATCGTTGAGACTGGAGACAGTCTTCTTGATTTCATTTCTCGCGGCTAGATCATACACAGTGGAAGTCGGTTGCACAGCCTGGGTCAATTCGTGGATGATAGCGTTGATGCTAATGCGACGGCGCTTAAGCTCTTCTCGCTTTGCCTCCAGCATGTCGATGCGACTTTGATATTTGACTTCAATGGGAGCCATCGGCAAAGACTTGTATTTGTCCGCCTGGAATTCAGAAGGTGTTGGTTTCCTGGTTGTGCTCTTGATGGAGGCTGCCGAACTGGGAACCGGGCGGCGTCTTCCCATCACTGAAGAGGGCATTTCAGAGACAGGTCGCGTGTTGCTCGTACCGGTCACTGGTGGAGTCACGACGTCTCTGGCCATCATTGGTGTTGGGGCGATGGCTGACTTGGTAACCGCATTATTATCTGTCCTGAACGGGCTAGGAGATCCTTCACTGAGATGCTTATCAGGGGACTTCGCAGGAGGGTCAGGGAGGCGGCTACTAGAAGCCTGGGCTTCCAACCCTCCCCCGGCAGTTTGTGTCTTCTGTTTATCGGACTTAAAAGGCACATGGGTTTTCTTGAGCTTCTTGGGCATTCCCCCGCTTGTAATAGTAGTGACTGTGCGTGGTTCGAATCCAAGACTAGCCGAGAAGTGACGGTCCGTTGGCTTGCTATCCTTCTGGTGATCATTGCGTTTCTCCGCCGCTCGGTTTGGATCCTTGTTTCTTCCAAAGAAGCTGTGGTGATGCATCGCCGGAGACGCTTGTTCGGAATTGCCAATCTCCCTCGCCATGGCGCCTCCCGCGTAGATATCCGACTTTGTCTTTTCCGGCGCTTGTCTTGCCGTCTTGCGCAGGATAGGTATTTGACTACTGAACCTGGTTCCCTTCTGCGGAGACTCCACCGGCTGTCTTGCTTCCTCTTCCAGAGAGGATACGTCAGAATCTGGTCGTCTCTGGTTGGCGGCTCCCTGGGCAGGAGAATCGGGAGGTGAGATCTCTGGTGTTCCATTTGCCTCGGAATATCCACTGGAATAGCGTATATCGCTATAAGCGGACTGCTGGCGCGAATGATGCCCTGCCACATCCCTCTCCAGGTCTTCGGAGTCGTAGTTCCTGTATGCGGGATGATCGGGATAGGGCGTCCATGCATCTGGATCCTCCTCCTCACTAGTCAGGATGTCAGCTTACACCAAGCCACTTATTTTTCCCCTTTCCCAGTTATGACTTACACTGGTAGTGGCGGAAGACTCTTCAGGCTCTTGTTGGTCGAGTTATCATGCAAAGCTCCCGGAATGCGCGGCATAGCCTTCAGACTCTGTTGATTCAGAGTCGTTCCTATGAGTTTGGGACTTCCAATAACTGGTTCCCGTGGGCGGCTGAAAGCCTTTTTCCACATGATGCGCTATGAAAACAACGTGTGGGTTTGGTGTTAATCTGTAATAATAACTATGGTCGCGTCCTGGAGAGAAAGGGGGCGATAAGCAACCTCGTGGTCGAGAAGAGATAAAAAAAAACAGTCCAGGCTTGCAAACGGACAATAGATACAAGGGAAATTACAAGAGCAAGGACTAGAGTATAACTGTATATCACGTACCCCAAAATAAAATAAAAAGCAAGACTGCAAGATTCTGTAGGGGTCAATTATTCATTATGCTGCGAAGCAGGGGAACGAAGAGAGAGAAGCTCATGAAAAACAGTGACTGCTAATTAATCGACTGCAGGCAGTTAAAATGACAAGGGTGTCAGCTCATTTCAGGAGGGCGCCAGCAACAAGATGACAAGCGAAGGAGGGTCGCGTTAGTTATCGCTATGACAACAGGACTAAGATAGTTAATTAGTTGGTTGCTCGACGACGACTGACTGCAACCCACTGCAAGATACAGACAGAATATCTAGTCGTCGAAAGGAGAGAACAAGATCAACCAGCTGGAAAGAGAATGGAGGGGATATTAACTGGTCACAGACCAGCGCATAATGCGCAAAGACCGCAAGCTGGGCTGATATTCATCTCGGGGAGCACAGCCTCCAGGGAGATCCCTCCATCATTATTGATTAACTAGATTGACGCCGGACCGTTTCAGATTGCGGCCCTAAAAGTATGGCAGAAACGATGGCTCTTGCTTGACCGCATCACGTGGTTCCTGATCAGAGTCCAGACGTCCAATGGCGGGGAGCATAAGCTGACCTCCGCAGCAGTAGCTTATTATTGCTTTCCAGATATCTCACCTACAACCACAGCTGAACTGTTCAGCTAGGTCCAACAGCATTCGAAATGGCCACAGGTGAGAACTTGGATGATATATACAGCTATTTGCCTCGTCTATACTGACAGGATATATCCAGAAGAGCAAGTCCCACCACCTCCAGCGGAAGCGTAAGTGTCCATCAGCCGATAACATACTATACCACCATCACGAGGCTCTCGAAACTGACATCGAACCAATATACAACAGCATGTCTATAGCTTCGCCAATTAACCTGGTCCTCCTCTCCCTCTTCATCCTTGTTCTCTACTATCACTTCCGCCCCAAGTCCCAAGTGACGCTACCCAAAGGCCCACCTCCCGTTGTTTTCCGCACCTTCACTCCCTCTACGCTGCTACCTTTCAATGGTGTAGATGGCGCGCCAGTATATCTAGCTGTGCGAGGCCGCGTGTTTGACGTGACACCCGGAAAAAACTTCTACGGACCGGTATGGGAAATCACCCCTCTGGCACTGTCCCGTTAGTTACTGGAGAGGGAACCACAAAAATTGCTGACAAGACACCGATGATGCATGTAGGGTGGCCCGTACGAGAACTTTGCTGGACGTGATGCCTCTCGTGGACTGGCCTGCCAGAGCTTTGATGAGGAGATGCTCACCCAGGATCTGAAGGGACCCTTGGATGACCTTGCGGACCTGAATGAGGAGCAGCTCGAGAATCTGCGTAGTTGGGAGGAGCGGTTCCTTGAGAAGTACCTTGTGGTCGGCAAGCTGGTTGCTGAGGGTGATCCCGAAGCGCCCTCTTCTTGATTGCGAAAATCTTCGGAGTCAATGCAGAATTGGGCTGAGCAATTGGCCAGGGCCGCGAGGCTGTAGCTTGGGCTCTCGAATCTCATATTTTGTTTCTACCTCAAATTTACGATTCACGTCCCTTGAAATGCGCATTATCAAATCTCTCAGTTTTTGATACAGTTAACAGGAAAACAGGTTGAAACAGAATAACAGGCGATGGTACTTGGTCGTGATGGAACACTCCAAGACAAAATTAGCATGAAATATCGTAGTCATCATCACAAGGCAAGCACGTCTTGCCATCCCCTATTTTATCAACCACCACAACCACCGGATATCATCCTCTGAATGAGTAGTATCACCATCACCTATAGTCTTGCAGACGTTTAGAGTTCCGAATGCGCCTTCTCGCTGGCTTCATAAGCCTTGTCCTTGGCCTCAGAGACCTTCTCCTTCACGTTCTCAGCAGCTTTCTCAGCAGCTTCCTGACCCTGTGCTCTTCCGCTCGAAGCGCCAATCTTCAGCTGGTCCAAGATCCACTGGCCGGTCTCACGGAGTCTGGCATAGATCGTCCCCTGCGGGGAGCTAGTTCCGTACCGGAAGTACTGGGCATTACGTCTAGCAGCGGCGCGCAGTTCGTTTGTGCTGGCGCCCTGGTAGGTTGGGATGCCATAAGAGTCAAGGTAGGCCTTGAGCTCTGAGCGGGACCAAGTGTCGAAAGTGGTGTCCTTGATCGCATCGGTGGCTTGAGCGAGATACGAGGTTGCAGAGGCATAGCTATCACCTCCGGTTTTGGAAGCACTGGCGTAAGCCTCCTGCGCCTGCTTCACGAGCTCATCACGGGTGACGCCGGCACGGTCAGCGGCTTTCTTGTTCACTGAAGACAGGTATTTCCTGGCAGCGAGTTAGTAATCTGCGCAATAAAACGAACCAAAAGAGTACCTACTTCAAGTTATCCGTAGTCCAAGTGTCGAAGGTCCAGGCATTGTAGCCAGTGGAAGCCTTGTGCTTGTGCAGTCTCACCTGAGCCAGGAGCTCGTCCCGCTTGCCGCGCTGAGGAACCGGGACACCTCGAGCATCCAGGTAAGCCTTCAGACGGGAGTCAGACCAGGTCTTGATAGCCGAGTCGAAAGCGTCTTCCGCCTTCAATTTGGCATCCTCAGTTGCTCTAGCATACTCGTTTCCAGCCTTGGACGTGGCGGCACCAATCACGCTCGCAACAGAGGACGAAGCCGTCGCGGAAGCAGTAGATGCCTGGCTAACCAGCGAAGCGCGGTGCTTGCGGGCAAGGGCAATCAGCTCATTGCGCTTAGAGCCCTGTGGAACCTTGACACCGTGCTCATCCAGGAACTTCTTCAAGTCAGAGTCGGACCAAGCGTTGAAAAGAGCATCACTCAAGGTAGCCTGAGCGGCTTCGGCTGAAGCAGAAGCTGATGAGGCAATGCTCTTCGCCTGCTGACTTGCCAGGCGCGAGTTGCGACGGACCGAGGCAATCAGCTTGTCACGAGTGGTGGGCTGAGGAACCGGCCATCCTCGCTCATCCAGCCATTCTTTGAGTTCGGACTCGCTCCAGTGTTCGTACAGCCAGTTACCCGGATACGCGGCGGTCTCACCAAGCTTCTTCGCAATTTTCTCGTAGTTCTCACGGGCCGTTTTGATCAGAACATCACGAGTCCGCGGCTGGGGAGCAGGGATTCCATGACGGTCCAGGAACGCTTTCAGTTGTGAGTCCGACCAGCTGCGATATAGTTAGCATCGCGACTCTTCTGAGCAGAGAGGGCGGCAGTCGTACGTGTCAAAGATCCATTCCTTCACGTTGTGAGCGTGGTATCCGGTGTGAGCCGAGGCCTGTGCAAGAGGGATCTGAACCTTGGATTCCCAATTGGACTTGACCAAGTTCTCGAGATCCCTGCGGTCCGCAGGAGTCGGGTAGGGGATGTCTACGCATGGTTAGTTCGTATCTATCAACTGTTCATTAACGATTTCAAGCATACCGTGATCCGAGAGCCATCGTTCCAATTCTGTCTCGTGCCATTTGTTGTATGCTGTAACTTGTGTCAGCCAGGATATCCATGCAAGCTGCGACAGGAGCTCCCGCTTCAGACGAGTTCGCGCCCGGAGCTACTACCGTCAAGGACTTACCAGCTTTGCTGAACCAGTTGCTCGCTCCAACCGCCTCAGCGGTCGCGAGCACAAACACGAGGCCCGTGGCCCAGTTTAGCTTCATTTTTGGTGTCCTCGTCGTGTCCTAGAGCTCTGAAGACAGGATACCGTTTGAGCTGTGGTGAGAGAAAGAGAGATGGGGGGTCAGTCTAGATCGAAACAAGGGGTGATTTTATTAGAGGTTTCAGCGGGGAATGCTCAGACTTACCAAGAGAGACGATCCGAGAAATGGAAAGTAAAAGGGAAAAGAAAAAGACCTGTTGTCTCAGTTGAATAGCGTGGTGAAGCTCAAGTGGGAGCCAGAAGTGTCAATATACGGGTCTGATGGTGATGATGCCGGGTGACGTATTCGGCCTGCTGCTTTCATCGGCGCATCAAGACCAGACCAGACAAGACAAGACCAGAGAACAAGCAAGATTCAGATCATGCCAAACGACATCTCAGCCTTTTCCCGGAGCTGGACGGCTGAGCAGTCTTGGCTCGGCCAGAATTCCCCAGAATACCCAGGGGATCTTCATTTTCAACGGAAATCGCCTGTCATCCCATATCATTGGCGTCATATCAGCTATGTAGTTCCAGCAAGCACTGAGGATCTCATGGTAGGATCTTAGATCATAGTAGGGCGCTTAAGCCACGCCCCGGGACTTGGCGCCCCATAGCCCGCTGAGCGTTCCAGCCACAATATAGTATTAGACTACCATATCATGGCCCGTAGACCCTCGAGAGTTGGCAGGAAACGCTACTTTCTAGCTGTATTGGAGGTGCAGGTCCTCGCTGGGCCTTTATTGTGTCTATCGTCTTCCCAAGTCCGCCAGACCGACTTGTCACCTCGGTTGAACTGGCAATGCGTTGTCAGACGCGACCAAAGTAGAGTAGCGAGATCACGAGACCGCGACTCCAGATAAGATCAGCGGATTGGAGACCGCCATCAACCTCCTCAAGCTGCATCCCAGCAGCTCCAGGTTAGCTTGGACCATCGAAACCTAGACGCGTCCAGGCAATCGATGACAAGCGGAGCATAGTCGGTGATTATCCGTTGTCCTTTTGCCTTCCAAGATGGATCCGCTCCCGTCGCGTTGCGCGGAGCTGGCATCACCCAGCTATACCAACTTCACCATCTCTGTGTACGGCGACACCACCCCATATGGCTCAGATGGCATCGACTGACAGCTGCTAGGGTGATCCTGGTCGGGATCCTGGTCTCCTACCTTCCGCAGCACTACCGTATCATCTCGCTGCGGAGCTCCTTTGGCATCTCACCCTACTTTGTCCTTCTGGGTACGACTTCAGGGACGTTTGCGTTTGCCAACATCCTGGTACTGCCATTGAGTTCACAGGATGTAGCCTGTTGCAAGGCAATTAGTGGGATAGCCTGCTTCGCCGGTCTGTTGGGGATCTTCCAGGCTGGAGCCCAATGGCTCTGTTTCTTCATCATGTAAGAAATTGACACTCGTGCAGACCGCTGGACACCTCCCATATTGCTAACTGTCTGAATGAAGCCTTGTTTTATTTGTAGTCTACTTCCCGCGCGCTACCTCCGCAACCTCACCGACTCATTCCGCCGCGACGGACCAGAGAGAACCGACACGCCGTGGAAAAACCTCACGGCTCAATGCAGAACCGACGTACCGCACCGCCCAGATCGTGACATTTATCTGTATCTACCATGCCATCGTTGTTGCGATAGTCTCGGTCGTACTCTCATTCACGCGACCATCCGCCCTCCAAGCATGGGCCGACATCATGGGCATCTTGGCCGCTATTCTCGCTTCCCTCCAATACTTCCCCCAGATCTATACGACTCTCCGCCTGCGACACGTGGGAAGTCTCAGTATACCGATGATGTGCATCCAGACACCTGGAAGCTTCGTGTGGGCGGCGAGTCTTGCAGCCAGATATGGAATGGACGGCTGGAGCACGTGGGGATTATACATCGTGACAGCGCTGCTGCAGGGCTCGTTGCTGTTCATGGCAATGTACTTTGAGTACATCTCCCCCAAGGAGACTCGAGATGACGGAGAGCAAACCCAGACCGATGCTGCGGACGGTACACACAACCATGGAACAGAACCCTCAGAAGAAACACCACTGTTGGAATCCCCATAATAGTATCTTTTTGGATACCCATCAAGAAAAATCAGGAACAATATCACTTAGTATAGATTATACCTTGTACCAGGCAATCTTCTTCTACAGCACTAGTATAGTATACCACCGCCAAAATCATACCCAGTTACAGTACACGAGTAATTCACCCAACAACCCAAGCTGGATATCAGCCCATATCCCCATTTTCTTCGTGCTCGTACCAATAGATAGATACCAATACTACCTAAAAGTACAGATAGAACGATAACTATACCATAGATAGCGGATCCACCAGTGGACCCGAATCGGGAGAACAGGAAGTATATCTGCTTATGACGTCATGACTGTTTAAACCCAGTCCGCGGAGCATATGCATTTTATCGAATTATTCAGTTAAATATAATATAAATACTCCAACTAGTTCTAAACCAGTTGATTTAGATAAGAAGAAGAAGAAGAAGAATAGCTTAATCCCAAGCCCACGCCGTCTTTAGTCTACATTCTGTATGCACAACACAACACCATATTAACGTAATGTAAGTTATAACCAGTAACTAGTAACTAGTAACTAGAGTATGTACCATATACATTCTAACAAAAACAGAAAACGAAACCCAATACCACCCTTCAAGAGATTGGATTAAAAAAAAACCTTTAGTACTGGTACTAATAATACTGATACACTACTCCGGCCTCTCCTCCTTCCAAAACCCCTTTTCCACCTTCCCCCCATCCCCAATCCTATTATAAGACTTATCATACCTCTGATCCATCTCCTGATTATGCTTCTTCACATCATCGGGAACATCAGGCTTGAGTTCGCCTCTCTCGTCGACGTTGGGCGATTGCTTGCCGTCGTTCAGTGTCGGATGGGCTTTGTTGGAGGGGATGGGCGGGGCCGTGGATGATGTCGAGGTGCCGGGTTCGCGGGAGGGTTTTTGAGAAGAGGCGGATTCGGGAGAGGGTGCGGAGCCGGGTTGGGATTCATTGGTTTTCTGGCGTGGTTGTGTAGAGGGGGAGGGGGATCCTGTGTTGTTGGTGTTGCTAGAAGTGGATTTGGAGACGTTGGGTGGTGGTGGGCCTGGGGGTTTTAGTTAGTTAGTCTTTCCTTTCTTTTTTTTTTCTTTCTCGAGTTTGTATATTATATTAAGATGACCGACATACCCGGATGCTCCAAGTTTCTCGTCGGACTCGGATCCTGGCCAGTTTTCGTCGGGCCTCGTGGCTCGTCACCCCCGCCATAGGCTTCATGAGAATACGATCTCCGCGAGGGCAGCGGGACAGCAGTTCGGAAGAGGTTCGAGACTAGCTTCGTCGTCGAGCTAGCAGCCCTGGTAGCTGGGCCGGTGCGGAGGAAAGGGTTCATTATGTTTGATTCCGTGTAGAAAGAGGATTCAGAAGGGAAAGAAAAGGAGAGAGCGTGACGGTCCCTCCTCGCTCGTAGTATATATGTATGGGATCGGAATTGCGTCCGGAGGGAGATGTGGCAAATGCGGGAGATTCCCAGTATGTATGGATTTCCAAAGATGCTCTCCTTCTTTGTGAGAGTTATATACTTATTCAAAGATGGTCGCGTATTTGACGGATATCAATTAATGGAAAATGTATTGATTGATCAAATGGATGTCAAGTACGAAGAATGGTTCAATGGCGATACTTCGAATTTAACTACTCTTCCTTAATAAGAACTCGTCATTAGAGGGTCCGCGATATGCTTGAGTACTTCAACTTCATTGCCCAGTTCTGGTGGCGTTGGTCAGGTTCGTTGGTAGGGTACGATGACGTTGAAGCCGGTCATCGGGAAGTCACTGTTTTGCGCGATCACTCGGGAGAGCAAGCCGTGATGCAAAAGCAAAGATGCCTGACGATCTTTTCGAGTCTCTGCCAATCGTTCCTCAGTCGGACGGAAAATGCGATCATGGACGCGGAGAATAATATTAATAACTGGGCTGTCGTATGAACGGAAGATTTCTCGTGAAGATGAAATGATCCAATAAATTATACTCCCTAAATGCTTTTCCAAGTACTAGTGCAACGTAAAAGAATATTGATCTCTCAGATCTTCGTTCCTGGAATCATTGGGCCAATGTCATTCCCAAGGCAGACCGGGATGCGTCTGTCTGGCCAAAAAAAAAAGAACAAAACAAAGCCAACATTTAGTTATAATGCCACGGTCCCCTTTCTCCCATAACAACGCCGAATATTCGCCATGGCAATATATACACAAGGTAGCAGAAGACGATTCAAGAGAGAAAAAAATCCATCTGCAAGATAAATAGCTCCTGTAAGATCAGAAAGACAACAGAATCAAAGACGCGTAGAGCTGAACGCGCTTGCTGGTGGTATAGACAGAGAACAGATGCCAACGAAGAAAAAAGCAGTCATATCCACATGATAGACGAGATCCTTGGACCCTCAAAAAAACGCCGATGCCCTAATTGGAAACAAGTGTCGTAAATCCAGATCAAATCGCAGACTTAGTCGGTCAGTGATTCGCAATAACATGTGCTCTGATAAGAACCTTGCGCTGATGATGTTGACGACGCCGCGGCGTCTCGTTTAACTGCTATTGTCGTCGTCTGTGCCGGTTCAACTTCGTCGATCGCGATCTGGAATTGGTTGATGGGGCCCGAAACTTCTCCATCGTCTAGCACCTGCATCTGTACACAGTATGGTTGCTGTGCATTGGGGCTATCCCGCTTCTCTTCAATTTTGATTCTGCGCGGGTAGTCGCCGACATAATCCCGCTTGAGCTTAGCTTTACCGGAATTGGTCGGGGAAGCTGTTGTTGTGGGCGTGGAAACCAGCGACGTAGCGTCCGAGGCGGCATCCTGAGTGGTCTGGTTGAGATACATGAAGAACTCCATGGCCGTGCCATTCCACCAGCAGAACCACGGCTTATCCCCCGCAGACGCGACCGTCTTGCGAGACCATTGGGCAGCCAACAGTTCGGCTCCAGCAACGGAGCGCTTCGAGGCGGCAGTCGGCGTGGGAAACGTATTCTCGTCGACAATGACCAGTTTATCGAATTGCGTGTTGAAGAACAAGGCTGGACCAAGCTGGGTGTCCTCCTTGTCCAGCATCAGATGCAGAGGAAAGACAGGGTTAGAGAATACGGGCGCTTGAGCCCCGTACGTGAAAGTCCCGCTGATGGGTTCTTCCTGGAAGGTGATGGACGACTGTGAGACCTTGCCGTCCACCTCGACTTCTAGAGAGCCCTGGCTCATGCAGCCCCAGGTGGGCCAGAAAGAGGAGCTTGGCATGCAGAACTTGGACTGATTCTTCACGCTGGCCGGAATCTGAAACTTGCCAGTGGGTAGCGGTAAGAGGTTGGCCGGGACCGTCGCCAGAGGAGTCGCATCCATCTGTGATGTAGCCGTCACCGTCACCACCGAAGCGGGCTTCAGGCTTAGAGAAGAACTTGCACTGGCTGCCCCGCTCTGCTCACCCTTTCTGGCACCCAGTACACCACCGATGACACCGCCAATCGCAGCTCCAATGATTAGAACGGCCGCAATGAGAACGAACATCCAGATTGGGACCCCAAAACACGTCCTCTGTGTGCCCTTGCGCTTTACTTTCTCCTCAAAACTGTCCACTTGGGGTTCGCTCTGTGCGGCAGCTGGAGGCGGAGGCGACGGGGGCGGCGGCGGCGGTGGTGGTCGAGCAGCTGGCTCACCTGGCAGCAGCGTTCTGGACGACGACACTCCCGACACTGCCAACTCTGCCGGGTCCCAATCATGATCGTGCATGTCTCGTTCTCGATTGGCACTGGCGATACTGGCTGGTCCCATACCGATCTTGGGCGGGATTCCGTCGGGATAACGAGAATACGGCGGTAACTGTTCCAAATGTCCATCGGGGCCGATTATATCACCGACATCGTCATCTGCTCGTCCCGGTGGACGTTGATACGGCTGCGAATGGCCGGGAAACCCGACCGGGGGAATGTCAGCGTCCATGCCCTCCTCGGGCAAGATGTTCTGCGGGTACATGGCATAGGGATGCTGGGGAGCATTGGCCCCAATCAACGGTCGATCTACCCCTCGTACCGTCGACGCGGTTGTCACACTGGGGGAGCGACTCACACCCAGCTGGGGATACATCGCATAGGGGTGGCTGGGCCCGGTGGCCCCGGTATACGGGCTCTGAGCGCGAGGCATGGAGAAGTGGGAAGAGGTACTGAGACTGCGTCTAGCAATTGTCGGGGTCGAGACGCCGGAGGACACGGTAGCTGTCGAGTTGCGGTTCACCGTCATGCCACCCTTCTGGGGGAGGCTGGATCGATGGGGAACATCATCCAAGGAGGATCGGGCATTGTCGTCAAAGGGATTGACTTCTGGCGGGGGTGCAACGTCGGTGGTCAACGAGGGCTTCGAGCGTAGAGGCGCGTAATTGTTGGAGCGGAGGGTGATCGAGGAGTCGTGCGAGGAGATGGAGGGATTGCGGTGGATCCGGTCGGAGTCGGGAGGATCGAGAGGATCGAGGGAGAACTCGTCGGAGAAGACATTGGGATTCGAGAAACGGGTGGACAGCGATCGACGCGAGAGGGAGTCCCGATGGTCCTGAGTCCCGGTGGACGACTGGGAGGAACGATAACGAGAGCGCTCGCGCTGTTCTCGCGATGGTACACGCCCAGCCATGGCGCTGCTCAGCCCTGTCGGGCCTGCTCCTTCCCTTCTGCTCTCTCACTCAAGGACCACGTCGAGAGATCGATGGATCGAGTCGCTGGCCAGGCGATAGAAGCGAGCTGACACGGAGGGTGGAATCGAGAAGCAGGGTCGCGAGAGAGAAGGAGGAAACAGACGGAGGGGAGAGACAGAAGTTGGCACAACGACCAGGACGAGGTTTGGAGGGAGAGCAAAGGGCAGGAGAAAGGGCAGGATTGGGGCAAAAGAGAGTCGTCGGGAGAGAGAGAGAGAAGGGCGGACCGACCGGTCGGAGTGTCAGACTCGACGGGAACGAACTAAAAGTAAAGAATTGATGAACAGTTCCTGGGCCAGACCAACTAGGTAGACTCGGTTACTCCCCACCCAACAGTCCAGCAAGAAAGATCTGGAGCACTTTTCAATATAATAATAATAATGTATTATCTAAATGTTGTTTCCTGATTGCCTTTCGACTGGATCGAGAGTCCTGGCAGAGAGATCGATGGGGAGCAGTAGTGACGAGAGGGGAAAGGGTCTGAAACAGATGGCGGTGGTTTTTTAGTGGTCGCCAAGAACGGATATCACAGTCACTTCAACAGTTCAACTAGTCGAGATAGTCGATAGTCGACGCTAACAGGGCATTAACTCAGTAAACTATGCCCCCTCGCAGGATAGTGCAGTGGTTAGTGCACCCGGACCATCTCTGCGACAGGCTCACATTCATCTCATCCAACCGTCCCTGGAGAGTTTATCGATTAATATTATCGATCAGGGAAGCGGAGGATGAGATGCACGAGGAAGTAGTACTACTAACTAATCAACTGACTAACTAACCAAGTAAATTATTAACTATGATGCAGTCTGGAGTAGTATGTATGTATAAACAAACCTGTCTTCCACATGGCTCCTATCATCCGCAAACTCCCCCCTGGCCATCTCCCATTAATATTATTGCCCACTGCCGCCGCCGCTACGGATCAGCCACCCGGGCGCCAGTCAAAGGTCGAGCTCGTCCTCTGTCAAGACAAGATACAGCCCTGCAACTAGAGAATCTATCTATCTGGACCTTTCTCTCTCTTTTTCTTTTGATTTTCAAATTTTTACCTTTTTTTTTCTAGTTTCCTGGCTGGCATGACCGATGCATTAGTGGAAAATATTAAATAGTTAGTCCGTCCCCCAGACCCTTCTGGCTCTCTCTCTCTCTCTCTCTCTCTCTCTCTCTCTCTGTCTTTTTTTGATAGACTTTCCGCTTCTGGTGCGGACGCCGGGAAGCTTTCCAACATTCCCTGGATCCTGTCACTTTCCGCTAACCTTCATTTGTCCGGGCTTCTTCTTTCATCCTCTCTCTCTCGTTGGTTCTTCAACAGGCAATTTATAACGAGCGGGATGAAGACAACAAAAAAAAAAAAAAATCAAAATCAAAATCAATAATACTAAAACCTGTACATCTCTACTTTTTAATCAGAAGATAATTCTTTCCATATAGTAGTGTATATTATTCCTAACATTTAAAAAAGAAAAAAAAAGGGAAAAGAAAAGAAAAAATCAAGTTTTTTTGACGGACCTCCGAATCCACGACGGAACAAACGGAAACAAAAACGGAATGTTCACCATCTCTCTTAAGTATACTACTACTGAATCGCGCGCAAGTTAACTCTTTTCCTCTATCTCCAGGCCGCCAAAGAACAGAGATATGGTAAATTTTAACTCTTATATCGAGCCAAGAAAATGAGAAGAAAAAGCACTAAGAAGAAGTGGATGTAAAACTACCTTTGCATATCCACCTGATCCATATTGTATATGTACTGTACCTATCTATCTGCCAGGATAACAGCAACACTACAGACGGACATAGCTATGGCATACGAGGCACAACTCATCCAGTGTAAAATTGTATTAATAGAACAGAACAGAGACTTCTCACTCTTTCTGTCTTAAAATTTTTTTCTTCTTATGATCCCTGTCTGCTGCTAGATGTGATCCCCGGGTTTCTCGGGGTATATATTCGCGAAGAAACAACCACCGGATAATTTACATCTGGTCTGGAACCAACCAACCCCAGATGTTGTGGATGCCCCAGTGTTGTTTAATGGAGGATATCCCAATTCTGGCCGAAACTCATCCACTAAGTAAGGAGATAAGTCCCGACCAGGTAAATTTGGGACGTGCAAGAGACACCTCTCACTTTCACGGTGATTCTCGAACAGGGTGGCCGCCATGGTCTAACTGGCTTTCTCATGGTATTATTTCCCCGACCGCCATCAGATATTCTTCCCCAATATTCCCCCGCAAAGCTGGGGTCTCCTCCGGCGGGGGAGGTCAAAACGCAACCAATGACCTGCATAGGGGAGTGTAAACTAGAAGAGCATGGTTTGATTCCACCAATCGAGTCGAGTCAATGGCCAATATATCTAATGCTGAGGATTTAATCATCAGGGACTAATAGACGCCATCATTTGATGCATTCGTACGTCCAGTGGACGCCATTGGCTTCAGGTACTTCTGTCTTCGCTTCACAATGGCCCGAAATACAGCTAGCTACATGTTCTATAATACCAGATATCAATCCCAGAGATGGAGAGTCAGTTCCGTTGACTGATTATTCTGCAGTGGTAGATAGGGTCAAATAAAATTTATGAAATTACTGCGAAACGGACGTCAAAAAGGTTTCAATCCCCCGTTTACTTGTATCGCCGGTCACCATGGGTCCATATAAGCGGAGAATCGCCGTGGCGGATGATTCAGTCACGTCTGCGGTCCATCTTACTCTACGACAGTCCCTCATACCCAATTTCCTAGGTAGGGATATAGCATCCATAGAGTCCATTTGTCGGCTCTAACCACGTCTTTACGACGAAACTGATCAAATCGAGCTTCCAGTTACTATCCTCTTCTTCCTATGGGGCTTTGGCTATGGCTTACTGGATGTCTTGAACTCCCATTTCCAAAGCACCCTCAACATTACGGCCAGCAAGTCCAGCGGTCTCCAGGCGGCTTATTTCGGCGCGTACTTCATCTGTCCGTTGACCATCTCGGGATGGATTGTCAGAAGATTCGGCTTTCGCATCACATTTATGACCGGTCTTGCGGTCCTCGCGGTTGGATGCCTTCTATTCTGGCCAAGCGGCGTCAAAAAGTCATTTGGGGGTTTCTGTGGTAGCATGTTTGTGAGTGTTATGAAATCGGCTCTCTCTGCGTTGATCTATCTAATGATGGACAAGGTAGTTGGCGCCGGGCTGTCAACTCTTGAAACAGCAGCAGATCCGTAAGTCCAGCATACAGAGGTTGGCATAGCGTATAAGGTTGTTGACCATGTAGCTTTCTCTCTATTTGCGGCCCACCACGATATAGCGAAATCAGACTGAACCTCGCCCAAGCAGTCCAAGGGGTCGGAACATTTGTAGCGCCACTTCTCGCTTCTCGTGTCTTCTTTGCACACACCGTGGATACGAATGCTGGACTCAAAAATGTGCAATGGGTCTATCTGGGAGTAGCCTGCTTCGTTGCACTGCTGATTATCCTGTTTCTTCTCGCCCCCTTCCCTGAAATCACCGACGCCGACCAGCAGGCAGTTGAAATGCAGATCGGAGAGCATATCGCGGATCCTGGCCCTTTCAAAAAGCAATACAATCTTTTCTTAGGGGTATGGAGCCAGTTCTGCTATGTGGGAGCCCAGGTCGCAGTTGCAGGATACTTCATCAACTTTGCCCAAGAAGCTGGACGTTCCAGCTCTGAAGCTGGTAAGTGTTCCATCTGAGTGAAGCGCAATTTGGCTCCTTGTTGATGATTGGGATTAGCGGACCTTCTTGCTGTCGCCCAGGGCCTCTATGCATTCAATCGTTTCCTAGCCAGCGGGTTGATGATGATGAAGGCATTCAAGCCTCGCTATATGCTCGCGGTATACCTCTTCTTATGCTTCGTTTTCTCGGTAGCCGCGATGAACACATCTGGAACGACGTCTATTGCCCTCTTCATTCTGGTGTTCTGTTTTGAATCCGTGAGTGGACCACATAACACAAACTCTTCTGATGAACATATGCTGATTGGGATCTTCCCAGTGCTGCTTCGCAACGATTTTCACTTTGGCCCTGCGAGGTCTTGGGCGTCACACGAAACGAGGAGGCTCGCTTCTCGTGGCAGCAATCTCTGGAGGTACTGTCTTTCCTCCTATGATGGGAGCTGTGGTTGTAAGTACAGGACCTAATTCAACCCTGCCCGCCAAAGCCATCTACTGATTGCTCTTATCCTGCAGACTAACCGTAATGCTCATGTTGCCCTTGCTATTCCCATGATGGGCTATATCTTGGCTTGGGTCTTCCCCATCTATGTGAACTTCTTCAATAAAGAGAGCATGGATCTCCATCGGGACACCGATCTGAACGTCCACCATCCAGCTGAGAAACCGCTTGAGCTGGAACGAGGCACCAGCATCGCAGACAAACAAGGGGCCTCGACTGTAGAGCATACAGAGCAGGTATCCCGCTGATAGTTTCGCATGCATAGCTGGAGTAGAACCCAGGAAAGATAGCTGATGCAAGCACAATGTAGACTCTTGAACAGAAATGTTCAGGTGCTCGGTACTTCCCTGCGCAACCTTAGTATATCAGAGAGCCTGACCTGGCCTTTCTCCCCCCAGCCAGCTGTGCCACTTTGGACATCCGGCCTGACGCGCAAGTACCAGGCCCAGGCACGTCTGTCCAATTCCTCGGTGCTGAGGGTTGAAGCCCATGACTCACATAGGAGATCAATGGCACGTAGGACGAGGCCAAGAGACTCTTCCCTCTCTTTGGCCAGGGAAGCATTGGACTTCTTGCTTAAGGACTCCTTCCTTTCGCCGTTGGATTCCCTATGCAAAGAAAACGCCTTCATGAGGTATGCTCGTGCGGCATCCGCCGTATGTATTTGTGAATCCACTCTTTTACCCTGAGCATTGGATTTTCGTATGGCTTCCAGGTCCACGCCCCAGAGAGGAGGCATCTCCCCGGAATCTTCCCGGGCGGTGTTTTGAGAATCCCCGGGGCATGGGCGGATGTCAGAGACAGAAGTAGTTCCGTCTTCCGGCTTTCCATCCATGGGATTATAGTCCCATCTCTTTAATACTCTAATCGCTCTTCCCAAAACTTTCACCACTGGTAACCCCTCTCCCCAACCTTCTTCTTCTGCACTGTTCCCACTCTCAAGGCCCAGACTGACGGCTTTGCTGCGACTGTTGGCACTAACCACAGCTTGCGCGAGACTCAGCCTGCTTGAGATGGGCTGCTCAGGCATTGTATACTTGAGCACAGTCACTGCAAATGCAAGGACAAGCGGTGCTCTGTTTGTGAGTACTACTGTCTCTGACAGCTCTTCCTCCGTCGCCGACGAGTCCGGGAGAGAGAGGTTAGATTCAGTCTGAAAAGGTGTTGTCTCAGCGTCAGGATCATCTTTCTTTGCCTTCTTGGTTGGTGTAGTGTCTGAGCTACTTGGCGCTGCGCGTTTCTTGGAGTTGCGTTTCGCAGCATTCAGCACCTTCTTGGCTGTTTTGTCATCTTTGAAGATCGTCTGGAGTGTCTGTAGTTCGGATCGCCCAATTTCATCAGGACTGCGAGCGTTAGACTTGTTTATCGTCAATATGGAAGTTGAGCTCTTTACTTGCTGAGACCGGCTTTCTGGAGCTCTTTCACTTTGCTCATTGCCACCGCCAGCGGTACCTTTGCATCCTGGGAAAGGAATCGTAATAACAATTGCAGTTCTACGGCAGCCATCCTCTTACTTATCAAAAGTCTTTCATAAGATATACGGCATTAACAGGTCGAACCTGTGCCTGGAAAATCCCAAGGTTGTAGATGGCGAAGTTGCGAGATTGAAGGGACGTTGCTTCATACTGTGCTGAAATTCCCCGTAGGCGCCTAGACTGTGTCGAGTAAGTCCGCTATCTCCACCCGAACTGACCTCCGCGTCCAGGCTCAAAGAACGCCCATACTAACCACCACTTCCCCCGCGAAGCTATTTCGACAGCAGTTGTTGCTATTGCGGCTTGGTCGCGATGCCAGACGACTCGAAGACGAAGGTCTTCCCCGAGCTCTCGGCCAAACTCTCGGCGCCCAGCAAGAAATCGTTATTTGAACGCCAGAAAGCCGAAGCGGAAGCAAAGCGCGCCCGAGAACAAGCTGAGACGGCCGCTGTCCTGGAGGATTTTGTGAAATCCTTCGACGAAGATGCAGATACGCCAAGCACGAATCGTCCTCCAGGAGGAGGAAGACTGAATACATTCGGACACCCGGGGCCAGGAGGGTTCGGAGGAGGTCCTGCGAAACGGCACTTTACGAGCTCTGGTCCACGGAGCAGTGGGCCAGGCAGTCTGGGACCGCCTCCTCCATCGCTTTCGAGGAAACGCAATCATGAAGGCTTTCAACCCTTACATAGGGAACGTGATTCTGCTCAAGGGCTATTTGCTTTCGAAAACTCAGGATCCGGCGCGCGGGACGCGGCGGCTGCTTTTCGAACATCCGACGATGAGGAAGAGAGGACCACAGAAACAAAGGAGGCTGAGAGGGCAGCTGCGAAACCGACATTATACCTAGCTTCACTACCACCGGGAACATCGCCGGCCGTGGTAAAGGCGTTGATTCCATCAGTTCTCGCCGTCGACAATGTCAAAATCATGCCCCAGGCCGGCCAAACTCCAACGGAGCGGAAGTCATGGTCAGCTATCGTCACCCTTGCGAAGGAGTCAGCTGCCAGCGATATAGATACCACTGTGAGCACACTGCAAAATAAATATCTCGGCTGGGGCTTCTACCTCTCTATCTCGCGACATCTCTCGTCCGCCGCAATCAGCTCTGGCATGCCTGTAACTGTTGGTCTATCATCATCCAGCTCTCTCCCCTTTGGCGCGAAACAGGTCAATCAGAACCAAGTTGGAAGTTTGAACCGTGCTCCCCCTCCAGGGCCGCACCGCGGTGCATTTGCACCTCCTGCGTCGTACGGTCCGTCCTACGGAAGAAGTGGCCCGGCTCTGCAAGTGGACGTTAAACCTCCATCTGACCTAAAGCAACTTCGGTTGATTCACAAAACGTTGGAAAATCTGCTGAATTATGGCCCTGAATTCGAAGCTCTGCTTATGAGCCGGCCCGAGGTCCAGAAAAACGAGAAGTGGGCTTGGCTGTGGAATCCCCGAAGCACCGGTGGTATATGGTATCGGTGGAAGCTATGGGATATTCTAACAAATTCTGGAAATAAGGGAGCTCGTCGGCACCCTGTCATGGGAGTGACTCCGCCGTCGCTGCTTTTCGAGGGCGGTCCTAGCTGGGTCCCCCCTGAGAAAGCGATTCGCTTCGAGTATACTACGCAGATGGACGAGTTCGTCTCCGATGACGATTATAATTCCTCTGAAGATGAGTACTCGGATGCGGAAGACGACAAACGACATGCTGCTGATGGTCTAGGAGGTCCTAGTGATGGATTGGGCTTCATGAACCCTCTCCAGAAGGCTAAACTAACGCATCTGCTGGCGAGGCTGCCCACCACGAACGCCAAGCTACGAAGAGGAGATATCGCTCGCGTAACTGCCTTTGCTATTGAGCATGCTGGCGCGGGTGCAGATGAAGTTGTGGAGATGATCGTCACCAACGTCCTGAATCCTTTGGCATACACTGGAGCAAATCCTGATCATCTCGCTGAGAGAGGCGCTGCAAAGGGCGAGGCTGAAGCCAGCAGGGTTTATGATAACACATCCCAGGAGAACCGGTCGTCATCTAAAGACAAACTCGACACATCAGCCGCCAAACTTGTTGGGCTCTACGTGGTATCCGATATTCTTTCGTCTTCATCTACTAGCGGCGTCCGCCACGCGTGGCGTTACCGACAGCTTTTCGAATCTGCGCTCAGATCACACCAAGTCTTTGAGCATCTGGGAAGGCTGGAGAAAGACCTTGGTTGGGGTCGACTAAAGGCAGAAAAATGGAAGCGGAGTGTTGGTATAATACTGAACCTGTGGGAAGGATGGTGTGTTTTCCCACAAACAAGCCAAGAGCACTTTGTCCAGGTCTTTGAGAATCCGCCTCCCACTGAGGAAGAGCTGGCCAAGGAGAGGGAGAAGGCAGAGGCAGAGAAAGCCGCCAGTGCTCCTGGAACAAAGGGTAAGAGTCGGTGGAAGGCCGTCGAGGAAGATGTCTCTTCTGGTAAATTCGACCCGACCAAGCCTGTTGAGGCCGAGGGGACTAAGATGGATATCGATCAAGGGGGCGCTCTCATAGCTAATCAAGATGGCAACCTCGATGGCGAACCTATGAGTGACATCGATGGTGTGCCCATGGAAGATAGTGATCTGGAGGATCCGGACGGGGACGAGATGGAAGAGGACATCGCCATGGAGGGAGATGGTTCTCAGGCGCAGGAAAAGCCAGCCATGTCTGACAGACCGCCTGAGAAGCAGCCTGGGCCAGAAGCTCAACCTCCGACGCGAAAACCGCGCCCAAAGGCAGAGGATATGTTTGCAGACTCAGATTCCGAATGAACGGAATCAGCGGTCTTTCTTGTCTTGTACTATAAATATTGTGCCTCGCGTTGCCACATAAGTAGAATCTACGGAGGCTGTAACGATGAAATGAAATGGGTCCGACAAACTCGAGTGTTTATTATCCAGATCTATCTAAGTACTATTCAGGACATGTATCAAAGTAAGGCATGGGGCAAGACCACAAATCCCCTGTATAGAAAGACACATGCAGAGCGCAGAGCTAGCCAAAAGACCTATTATACTTGTTAATGAATGTCCAGTCAACAGAACAGATGCGAAATAACAAGTACGAAAGTGATTGCAAGTCAGAGAACAAAAGGTACAACTCCACGGGTGTGTGAGTCAGAAGTTATCGTTTAGAAAATTAAACATCATGCAAAGAGAATCATAACACTTGTTGTTGTTTGTTATCACTCACCTATTACGATTAGTTATCATCTGGCTCAGGTAAGCCCTGGGTGTTAGTTAAGAATCGAGTTTGCTGCTCTAATGCTGCCAGGGTCTCTCCGTTGCAAGGGAGGTAGGTCATCTTCAGAGCAAGCATAACATCATCATTGAAGGTAGCAGCAAGCCTCAACAGTCTGAGAATAGCACTGCCATATCTGCAGCTGTCCTGTACGACCATCAAAAAGAGAAAAACCAGGAGTAGTGAGAAGGATGAAGAAATATTCGAGAGTTACTGTGGTGGAAAGAAAGAGAAATTCGGAGAGAAAAATTTAGGCGCCGGCGGTCAAACTGGCTCACTCTATGAGATCCCCCACCACGCCCGACTGCCCCACAACCTCCTCTCAGCCGCGAGTGTTGAAATAATACATCAACAATCGCTCTCGACTCGGTGCAGACAAGCTCTCGCTGGTACTTTGTGTTCGTCCCGGTCTCCTGGAGATATCTATTCAAGATGGGTGGTAAGTGCTCACTCTTTTCATATTTCAGACGGCTTGCAGACGCCCAGGCCACCAGGGCTGCTACGCCCGTCCTGCCCCTCCCTGCCCGGCTGCGCATGTTGCGCTTCGAGAGGACTCTGATATAGGATGAAAGCTAACGTTTCTCTGTTGTGCAGACTTCGTTTCTATCGCTCGTATGTATCCGAGGTCCTCTCAGTCATTGATGACATGCATCTGTGGCCCGATCGAAGCGCATTGATGTTCCTAACATATATCCGTCTACATTGCAGAGCAGTTCGTCCAGTTCTACTACAAGACGTTCGATGAGAACCGGGCGGGTCTCGCGGCTCTCTACGTGAGTCAAGCCAGGAGATATGGTATTAGGTAGTTGCTGACGGAGGATATGCACACAGCGCGACCAGTCTATGCTCACCTTCGAGACGTCCTCGGTCCAGGGTACCGCTGGTATCGTCGAGAAGCTGACCGTAAGTATTCCTTTCGAGTGCTTAGAGTGACAAGAGTCTAACGGGTTACAGAGCTTGCCTTTCGAGAAGGTCGTTCACCAAGTGACTACCCTCGATGCCCAGCCCTCTAGTGAGACCGGTGGTATCCTGGTCATGGTCACTGGTGCCCTGCTGGTATGTCAAGAATCCGGTTGCACTGGTTCATATACCCGACGGTTCACATCGTGTATACTAACTACTGTTGGTTGGAAACGTTAGGTCGACCAGGAGCAGAAGCCCATGAGCTACACCCAGTCTTTCCAGCTTCTGCCCGACGGCGCTGGCAGCTACTTTGTCTTCAATGACATCTTCCGTCTTATTTACTCCGCCGCATAGACACTAGGTTACGATGATACCAATATCTTGAGAGGGTTGGAGATATACTATAGGGACAGTCCTAGCAAATGCCGGGGTTGCGATCATTAAAACGACCACCCTGACCTCTGAAAGCATGGGTGTTTGTGAGAAGAGACTGGCTTGCATCTTACACCCCTCGCCTCTGTCCTGGTCTAGGTTTACATCAAGGGGCGGAGGCTTGACGGACATACTTGAAGATCTACTGCGCTGCATCTGTTTCGCTAGGAGCTATTATTTCTAAAGTCAAGAAATGACGACCAGGGACCAATTTACTTTCTAACCAAGAACGCCATTGTCCTCTAGCACATCTAGTCTGTAATTATTGATCTCTAGAATAATTTTATCGTAAGATCCACTTTTAGGCTCCAGAGTTCTCTGCAGCTTACCAGCGTGGTGGTGGTTTTATGAAAAGCAACCCCGTTCCCCCTAGTCGCACTAAAACAGCCAAACTCGAAACGTACGACCCCCGATGCCCCCGGAGCTTCTGGACAAGAAAAAAGCGCGAAGCAAAGACGCCCAAAGAAGAGGTCCTTGCAAGTGAGACTCGAATCAGTGTCGCCGTTCCTGCCGGGAGTGCCGCTTGTCCCGATTTCGAGTAGCTGCTTCTGCTGAGCTGACAGGTCCGTAGTCTAGAGAGCAACTCCAAACGTTCCACGTCAGAAGAAAAAAAGATCTCCATCAGTCTCAAGGACAGAGCATCATCTTCGAAAGCTTCTAATCAAGACAAGGATCGTCTCTGTGCGACATAGCTGCTGTCTGTTGCTCTTTGTTGCTCTACATACCAATCCGGGGCTCAACGCCTTATTTCTCGCTGCCGCCTTACTGACGCCCAGACTCCGAACCGCCGAACCTCCCACGTTGTTTATCTTCTGGGTGCTGACGACTGGTCCACGCCAGTGAATCCTCTCCAATTCACAACCACGCATAGACAACCCTGCGTGCTGCATTCAGCTTTTCAGCAGATTTGCCTGCGAAATCGAACTTCACGAAATTTAACGACAGTCACGACTCCCATATTCTCACCCGAGAGTAACGACGAGCAAGCCATCTGTGCCTTTCCACGCAGTAGGACGCGAGTCGTTCAACAGTGACTGCGCTGTTGGTTTAGAAGAGACGGTCAGGAGCCTATATCTGGTACTGCGATCTGTGATCCAGTATTCAAAATGACGCTTGCTGAGGAGTTCCGCTCCAGGAATTTCAGTAAGTTTCCACTTGCGCCTGCATCGCTCGCTGAGCAGCATTGAATTAGAGCTAATACCATCTGTTAGGCATCTATGGACAATGGTTCGTGAGCATCTATTTCCCCTCTCCCTACGTCCTTTGTATACCATACCATATCAGACCTCGCGCGCACCGGTCGAACAGCTCGAGCTGCCATTGCCCCAGTTCATGGCATACAACGTGGAACCTTTGGTCGGCTTTTGCGCAGGAAGAGTCGCGATCTAATTCCCCAGTTGGGCGGGATTATTCTCCTCTGGACGCGACAGCCTTACTATCTCTTACTCGTCATTCACGGATCTGAAAGTTTACTGATTATAAACCATACAGGACCGGCGTGTTATGCATTATCTTGTGCTTTGCGCTTGGAATCGCCAACATCTTCTCCTTCAACGCGCTACGAATCGTCTTCAGTATAGTATGCCTGTAAGTTTTTGATCTCTGCGTTCGCTGTCTCGCTCGCTAAGATTGAGATACTCAGTATCTGTTCATTCCTGATCATCTTCATCGAAATTCCCTTCTTGCTGAGGATCTGTCCTACGTCCTCTAAATTTGACGCCTTTATCAGACGATTCACCACGATTTGGATGCGCGCAGTGGTGTACTTGGCGATGAGTATTGTTCAGTGGATGAGTCTCTTCTCGGGCGCGTCGAGCTTGATCGCAGCCGCCGTTTTCCTCCTCATAGCATCTCTTTTCTACGCCCTGGCCGGACTCAAGAGCCAAGAATTTGTTGGCAGCAAGACATTAGGGGGCCAGGGACTTGTGCAGATGATTGTCTGAAGAGAAACGGGGAGTGAGAAACATGATGGGCGAGGCTTGTTCTTTTGAATTCCCGGTTCCGCTATTCTATCGGTGCAGTGAGCAAAACGCTCGATACCACGATGAAATCATTTTACATAGGAAGTGAAAATGTCGAGCGATGAGGAGAAGCTTAAAGCTTAGTTTCGTGGGAATTGGTAGGTATGAAGTCGGTAACGACTGCAAATGGTGCGAAAAGTTGTTCAATTAGTTGACAGCCGGTTTTGCCCTGCTAGAGGTATGGTACATTAGTCTTTTTTTTTTTCTTATGATGATGCGTGGATGGCCTCTGTATTTCTATGTCTCGTGTCAATCTTATCACTGCTTTGTTCTGGTGTAGTTAATAGCCGCAGATCGCTTCAGTCAGTTATTATCGATTCCGCGCCGTATGCCAATCCACCATGCGATGCGAACCTATCAAATGTTATTTCTCAAAAGCAGTGCTCAGATCAGCATCCATGTCAATTGCGCATTATTCATTCGTAGCATATTCCCGAGCTAATCCATTCTCGATGTAGAGTATGAACACTGGTGTGCGCACCATCTTGATAGTTAGATCAAAGTAGGCCTCTCCACGACCAACGGGACAAAAAGGCATTAAGTTACATCAGACGCAACATTTATTTCCCTTCCACTTTCCTTTTTCTTCGCAGAAACAATCCTTTTCAAAACATTTACAGTGGAGCAGTCAGTAGTCAGTCATTTGCCTTCGTTACCTAAGGTAGTTTAAAGTAGAGTATGGTAGGTAAGCTAAGCGATGAACGATATACCATACGTCATAATAAAAAAACTTCCAAGGTCTAGTCTAAACCATGAGAAGATGGGGGGGGGGGTTCTTTCCTTTCCCCTTTATTTCTTCTTTTTTTTGTCTTATTGGAAATGTTATGACTGTATTGTTTCTGTTTGAAAAAGTTATTTTATTTTATATAATGTATGCTGAAAAGTATTCTTCGCATTGCGTCGTGTTAAATTGGGAACTCTCGTAATTAACTACTACTTATGTACTTACATGACGGGCAATATACCGCTCTAACACCATAACGACTAGGAACGAGTAGAGTATTATTATTTCATCATGAGGCGCAGTCATCCAAGAATAACCAAGTCGGAATATGTAAAACCAGGGTTAGTTTATAGTAGTAGTTTCTTCGGGAAAAACTGACGTAGGCTAAGACTCGATGTCAGGTGGTTCCTGCGGGGTAAGTATGTACCATAGTAAGTACAGTAGTAGGTATACATGTGTTATTACGTGGTGATAGATCTTGGGCATTGTCCACGGAAGAGGATTGGACGATGAGGGGTAATATTGATCGATACGAGATTGCTGTTGGATTGTTGGTATTAGTGACGACGAGATCTGGTGATTAGGACGCGTGAGATACTACTCGATCGGGATGTGTATGTGTACCTGACATGGATTTGATATGTTTGGGGAAGGGGGGGGCTTTTTTGCGCTCGGGAATATCGTTTTAGAAGTGAGGGGGTATAGTGATTCAATTGGTGAATACTAGTGCTGGGTTTTGATAATGTAGTATCAGTTTATATGGCTTGGACTTCATCCACAAGCTGCAGATGTAAAAATGCGGGGTTGAGGCTGGTGTGCTTTGTTCAACGCCGCCGCGGAACCTATTATCGCGGGGCATATTTCTAGTGGTGATATCTCCCACGTAATTGGTACAAGGGGACGCTCTTTTTTTCAAGTTTTGGCCTCTTGGACAGTCTTGTGACGTGGTAGTTGCTGAGAGTGTCAGTATGTAATTGTTGGGATGTATCTAGAATATCGAGTGATACTTTGACTATCCAGTGAGGAGAGAACTCCACTCAATTGCCTTGTGGAGAGATGCGTGCAATATTGAAGTGGAATCGGCGGAACTGTTCCCCTGTCTATCCTGTACGAGTTAATTTCAAGATCCTTTCGGACAAATCCGTTACTGTTTGTGAGATTCTCAAGTTCGGGCGGATTTGTGGAATCATACTGTAGCCGAGTAAAAGGAAAAACAAGAATCTGCTGCGAAACAAGTTCAACGGTCTGAGGCAATAATGGGTGTTAAAGCCCCAGCCCGTTCTATGGTAAGTACCATAATGCTCAGTGATCCACCACTGGCGGTTACTGTCGCAGAATTGCAGAGGGAGAGCTTACTGCCGGCGGTTGGTTGGTGGAGGCCATTCCTGTGGGGAAGATCGATGATGTGACTCTTTCTGTAAGATGGTTCGAGCCCACCAGATTCATTGCTCGCGTTTCCTCTTTTTTAGGGCGTGGCGGATAAGGAGCAGCTGATGAGGAAGAAAAAAGAAAAAACGATCCGGAAGGGGGCTGAGCAGTGAGAGAAGAATGCCTCAAGGAACAGGTAAGTATCTCCAATTCTCGATACACATAGAAAGTTCGCATGCGGAGGTCCCTAACAATAATGCTAATGCCGGTCAAACTTGACCGCCAGCGAGACATACCCCATCCCTAGCTAGCTAGCATTAGTTACTGACTGGCTCATATCAGCAGGAACATGGCGGTACAAAGTGCGCGCGCCAACTGTAAGGATCCCTAAAAAATGTAGAGTCTCGAACAGTTGTCACGATATCGAACGGCCACGTGAAGACCGGCTGTGCAGCTTCATCTGCCATCATCTCGGCCATGGTCTGGACTGACAGAATAGATACTCAATCGGGCTACGTTGCCCCAGTGGTGAGGACTGATAAAAAGGGGTCCGGTGCAGGAGGTAAACCTTATGAACAACAGAGGATTTTCATTCGAGCAGGCCCGTCCGGATTGAGCTGCGTGATTTGATGCAGCGTCTCCAGTGTGTCCTTTTCTCCACGGGTGTATGATGGAGTAGAAAAGAAAGAAAGCAAAAAGATCGATACGATGAGATAAATGTCGCAGTGAGAGAAAAAAAAGGCTCGCTCAAAAGTTGTCACCGCTGGAAGTCGACAATAGTTCAGTTGTACTCTAGAATGCTCGATAGAATCTCAATCATGACTTCAGCGGGCCAATGGGCCGGACGCCAACGGTAATCGGCTAATGCCACGGCGGGCCTCTTGTTGGCTTCCCCCCGGCGCTGCGGAGGTGCGTCAGAGAGCGTCAAGCAAGTGCCCGCAGTGGGCCGTGGCAACAGCCCGACGGCAGGCGGTCAAAGGGCACCAGGGCTTACTGCCACAGCCACAACCCCGTCACATCATATTTCTATCCGGCTGCTGCTGCTGCTACTTGGTTTCAAGTCACCGCCTACTCCGTACAAGAAGTTGCACCTCCCTTATCTATAATCATCACTCTCCATTTCCGCTTTCTTACCATCCCCTCCCTCTTCCCCTCGGAAAACATCACATTTCTAAGAGTCCTCGTGGCCAATTGACGTCCACTTCGAGCTTGTGATTGTAGCTCTACCTACTGGTCCTACCACTACCACTGTAATACCATCCGTTGACCAGGTAAGCAAATGAGTCTGCTTTGTGTTATCTGCTCCTCCTTGGCATGGCCGTCCCATATGAACGCTCGCATTCCCTGGGTTTCTCCAAATCCCTTTCATGGTGATCTGGGATGTTCTCAAAGGCGGTCGACTCCGTGCTGCAGTAGAACTGCCCTTGCACAGTGCTGGCGCGGCTCCTGCATTGTCCGTTGGTCATTGCCTGCGCCTAGCCCAACCCACGTTGCCTGCATGGTGCAAGATGCCCTGTCGTGACTTGTACATGGCAGAATATTTATTCTCAACCAACCGTATCACAGTGGAGGTGAGATCAAAAGTTGGGTTCCTTCAATTGGATTCGAACAAGAAGCCGGGGATGACGAGGAAAGCATGGTAGATCTAGCATGCTATAGCAACCCTTGAGACGACATCCGGGCTCCCCAGCCTGCTGGGGGGAGCTAAGAGGAGCAGCTGAATGCCAAAGTTCGATTGACATCAGCCCTCGTTCAAGTGACTAATATATACTTGTCCATAGCGTTTTTTCTCTTTTCCCCCTTGCTATTGACGGTCCAGTACCGTTCATAATCGACCTCATATACCGCCATCATGACTACACAAACGGCACCGGTAATCCCGCCTCGACCGTCAAAGTCACCAAATGCTCATGCCATCTCTGCCACCTCCAATATACCAAAGATTCCACCGCGTCCCGTAAATCGGCGCGTCGAACGATCCGTTTCCCCCGCGCGAGATAGCTATGCTCCCTCACCGTTGAACGAGATGCCCAACGGGCCGAACATGAGTCGCGTCGGAAGCGACCACTCTCATCGTCCCCCGAGCGTGACAATACCGTCCCTTGGCCAGGAGGGCATTGAGTATGCGGAGTTGGATAACCTGGCCGCAGAGCAGCAACATCAGGCGGCGATGGAGACGAGGAACGTCGGCAGTGATCTCAAGCTGCATGCTCCCAAGCCCTCCTTGCCCACGTCTAGCGCCAAGGCCAAGGTCCAGGCTGTCACTCGCACCGATTCTCAGCAGGCTGCTGCAGCGGGTTTTGGCAGGTCTGACGACGACTCAGATCGCCGTCCCCGTTCTCTATATTCAAAGAATAGCGGTTCTCGCGCACAATCGACAGCATCCAACGGGACAGAACGTCGCTCCTCTGTCACGGATGAACAGGGCATCCCAGAAATCGGGCAGAGGGTCCCGATGTATCCCAACGCGGGTGATGTGCAGGCACCATCCCCAAGCCCATATATTTACCCTGCTGGCCAAGGATCAGCCGTTTCTGTAGGGTCTGGTGGTTCCCTACGTACGGGCCGCAACCACCAACGCACCAAGAGTGGCCGAGAGCTCTCCGCACCGCCGGGAAGCTATGGCCTTCACGGCCATGGCATGCCGCCAAGTGATAAGTTCGAGAAAGCCTGGTATGAGAAGCACCCGGACGAGTTGGCTCGTGAAGAGCAGGGCCAGTACGGTCCCGGCATTGGGGAGCCGCGTCCGGATTGGGCGCTGAGCAGTGACGACTTGAATAAGATTGTGCGCGGCTCCGCGGTCAGGGGATCTGGTCTTGGTAAGTACATACATACATACACATACTGACGACTCGCCATCTTTGGGACGCGAACTGACCGCTCCTAGGCACTTCCCCTGCAGTAACCGGAACCCCAGAGGAAGAGTTGGGGTACATTGCAACAGACGAATATACCTCCCGCCTGGCATCCCCGCCGCCGCTAGCTCAGCGGGACTCTCAGCCTTCTGTCAAATCCGGTCTACGGGATATGAGCCTGCCTCCGTCCGATGCAGAGTCCTCGCAGCGGAAGGACAGTACGCACTCGAGAGCCAGCAGTGAAGCCGGTGTCATCCATGTCGATGACCTGCATCATCAACTGCACCACCCGGATGGTTATTCCCACACTCCCGTCCCAGAGGACCGAAGTCGCACTCCTCTAGGCGAGGATCAGGAGTACGATGAGCCCATCCTTGCTGCGGACGAAATTCGCCCGGACTCCGCATTTTTGCATCCTGCCGTTTCCCCCACGGTTGATAGGAGGGGAAGTGCAGAGATTGAGAGAAGTCGGACTCCTAGCGCCTCGAACAGCAGACCCGGAAGCAGACCGGGAAGCAGACCAACCAGCCTCCACGGTGCCATTCCCGGTCTCTCCAGATTTAACTCTTATGACCGTGAAGATGTTTCGACTCCTCTCGAGGATGTCGATGAGTACGAGCCGCTTTTCCCGGAAGAAGATAGCAAGCAAGAGAGACCACTTTCCACTGCTGACCGCTTCAAGCGCCGTCCAGATGTCTCGAAGCATAGGTTTCCTAGTGAAGATATCTGGGAGGACACACCCAACAGCCTGCAATTATCTGCAACGGTATCGACTCCTGATCTTCCTAAGGAGGAATCACCCAGCACCTTTGAGACCCCCGAGCAAGAGGCTGCTCGGAAGGAGCAAACGGAACAGATTGACTCCCACAAGGTGGCATCGCATATCTTGGAGAAAGGCCACGAAAGCCCCGCCACACGACCGGCTATGGTCAAGCAACGTTTCCCCAGCCAGGATATCTGGGAAGACGCGCCTGATAGCCAGCAACTTGTGGCGACGATAGAGCCTCACGAAGAAGAGGAAGCAGATGTCTCGTCTAAGCCGTCCATCCCGCCGCGTCCACAGAAGCGTCCGCAACAGGCCCCCTCAGTCGACTTGTCGCGAAAGCCCCCGGCCATCCCCGACAAACCTAAGCCACAGATTCCAGCTCGGCCTGCAAGACCTCTTGCACGAGGATCATCTGACTCTCTGACCAAGGTGACTTCCGCCGGCTCTAACGGCTCTAATGGAAGTACTGAAGAGTCTAAAAACGGTGCCCAGCCCGTACCAAAGGCCAAGCCCGCCATCCCGGCTCGACCTGTGGGAGGCAAGATTGCTGCACTCAAGGCAGGTTTCCTGTCAGACCTGAACTCGCGCCTTCAATTAGGGCCGCAACTGCCACCAAAGCCTCAGGAAAAGAAGGACGAGGAAGCTCCCGCTCCAAAAGGACCTCTGAGTGACGCACGGAAAGGAAGAGCCCGCGGGCCAGCAAGGAGGAAGCCGGCCGCAGCTGCCAGCACAGAGAATAAGTTGCCCTCAATACCGGAAATTAGAATTACTACAGCTTGGAATGTGTGGCAAACCGACGACAGCGGAAATCTGGTTGTGGGTCAACCCGAGGCAGAGAAGACTGAGGAGACTCCATCCAAAGCTCCTGATGCCTCGGAGTCCGCCGATACAACGATGGCACCGCCCATTGCAAGAAACACGGCGGGAGAACCAGCGGATCCTGGAGCGGGAGAGGTGAAGGAGACTCCAGAAAAGGCCCAACGCGAACCTGAAGTCACTTCAAGCAACCGAGTACCGGTATACACTGATGTCTCGAAACCAATTGAGCCAAATCTACCTCTGGTAGGGGAGACTAGTGTTTCTCCCGCTTCGAGTGAGGAGGTTGCTGCTGCTTCAACCGAACCGGCCGTGGAGCCGTCAATACACCGAGACGAGGCTGAAGCGGCTTCTGCCGCTCTTGCTGAGACTTCCATTGAAGGCAAGTCATCTACTGACGCAGTCCCGGATGCTGAGACGAAGGAGTCCGTTACAACTGCGGATGACGAGAAGAAAGAGTCGGCGGCTGAGGCAAATGCTAGCGAATAGAAGCGCTGGCGTCTCATCGGTGAATTATCAACCTTTGTTTCTGGTCCTTGATTCCTGGTCTTATTTTGGCTTTCTCAGGCCTCGGTCGAGTCTGGCTGAATTAATATATAATGGTATTGCTAGTGGCCACAGAGATAGTGATTTGGGATGTCGTGATGTGCTACTGAAATTATAATCAATCATGGATCCCCGTAATCCCTGTGGAAGTGAAGTGAAAGATTTTCTATGCAATGTGAGAATAAGCGCGTAGTATTGTAGTCGACGTCGTAAAACATCCAGGCATCCTCTGCGCTGCTTATCCGATTACTCTATCCGAAGTGGGGCTATGCTTTTCATTTTCTTGACGTAGACTGCTTGTGCAGGGACGCTCCATGCTCCTACCATACATCTGAGCGATATTGACTTGCAATTGAACCAATATAGACCTTTTGCTTCCGCATATATACCACTTTGATCCGGCAGATCCAGCCTACCGATAGAGTTAAGGAGACGTTAACCATCCGCGTATCATCATGCCCACCACGATCAAGCAGTGGGTGACCGCCCAGGATGGACTGGACAATCTACGAATGACTGAGGCAGATATGCCCGTTCCAGGAGACAAGGAGGTTCTGGTAGAGATCCATGCTGTTTCGCTCAATTATCGGGATACTGAAGGTTGGTAGCTTGCTTTTCTTCGTGTTTGTTCCGATTCTTTCTTTCCTCTGGGATGCCGCTTGATAAGCATTACAATTGAATGTTTGGAGTACTACTTGGGCATGTTACAAGTTGGAGAGGAATAATATTTGATTATTATTATTTTTATTTTTTTGACAACGTTCTTTATATCCTGCAGCATGGCATTTCTTGTCTTGATATAATACAGAAAACACGCTTAACCACTCTCCACAGTCTCAATGGGCCTATACAACCACCACCGCGACATCAAGGACAAACCCACCGTCGTCCCCTGCTCCGACATGTGCGGCATCATCACCGCCATCGGACCGGGCGTCTCAGCCTGGAAAGTCGGGGACCGGGTCCTTTCCACCTTCAACCAGACCCATCTATCCGGCCAGATCACCTCCAAGCACATGCCGTACGGTCTGGGATTCCCGTTGCCTGGCGTGTTGACTACGCATCGTGTCTTTCCGGAATACGGCCTCGTGAAAGCGCCCGAGTATCTGACTGACGAGGAGGCGAGTACGTTGCCGATTGCGGCTGTTACGGCGTGGATGTCGATCAATGGCATGAGGCCTATGGGGAAGAGTGGTGGAGAGGGAGAGATTGTGCTGTTGCAGGGTACGGGAGGGGTGGCGATTGCTGGATTGCAGATTGCAAAGGCGAGTGGTGCGAAAGGTGTGTTAATCTTCTTTTTCTCTCTCTTTTTTTCTTTTCTGTTTTTCTTAAGAAACAACTCTAACAAAAAGACGACGGAGGGGGGGAAATAGTAATAATCCTCTCCTCCTCCGACTCCAAGCTCTCACAAGCCAAATCCCTCGGCGCCGACTACACAATCAACTACCGTACCCAACCCGACTGGGAGAACGAAGTCATGAACCTCACCTCCGACAATGGCGCCGACATCATCCTCGAGACCGGCGGGGCGGGCACGCTCCGTAAATCCTTCGACTGTATCGCATGGGGCGGTCTCATTAACTCTATCGGCTACTTATCCGGCAAGCAAGACGAGCCAGGAGATAGGACGAATGTCAACCTCCTCGCGCTTCGAAGGACCGTCACGCTGAAGGGGATTATTAATGGGCCGAAAGATCGGTTCGAGGAAATGTTGTCGTTTTATGAGAAGCATCAGATTCGACCCGTTGTGAATCGGGTGTTTGGATTTGAGGAGGGGAAGGAGGCGTTGAAGTTTTTGTATAGTGGTGGGCATTTTGGGAAGGTTGTTGTTAGGGTTAAGTGAATTTGAAGGTGGTGGGGGAGACTTTTGTATATAGGTTATGAGGCCAGGGTGTGGGGGGTATATACTCTCGTCATATAGGAATGATTCTCGTTAACTTCGAAAAATCCTATGATAATGATTCCCATATGCAGATATCTTTTCTTTTATTTCACCAACCCCTCCAACGAGGATAGATATCAACAATCCTATCTTTCTCAACTCCCGGCTTCTCCGAGTCCACCACGAGGAAAAAGCCAAAGCCGGCCGCTGCAATGCAGCAGTGATTAGGCCAGATGAGGAGCTTTTCGCCTACTTTCAAAGGCCGCATGTTATCTTTTGGACCTTCCCAAGACAGGATACCATGCTCCTGACTCACACGGTTGACGATCCATCCGGTCTTGTTTCCTTCCGGTTCGTACCATGAAGACAATTGTCTTGTCTCTTGGTCTGTGTGCGTCCAGGGAGTTATCACTCCCCATCCAGGGTAGCTTCTGCATGGTTCCCGACCCAGACAGAGCGAGCCACATGCGATCAGGGCCTCGTAGCGAGCGCGATGCGGGTACAGACTGGCTACTTCTGCTAGAATCCTCAGGGCGATGTCGTCGAATGAAAGGTTCGAGGTCGATGGTCGCGCGTGCGCAGCGAGCTGTTGCAGATCAAGTGTGACGTACGCGCCAGCATGGAGTTCCACGTCGTGAGACTCTTTGACCTTGTTAATTAGTTCTTTGGTTCTAATTACTGCAGGAGTCGCCGCTTCGGGAGAGACGAGGTTCTGTGCAGTAGTCGCTGTCGGTGTGGCACCGACTGAGATCGTAAATCGCTTGGATGAGTCTTGGGAATATATCTTTGCAGCCTGTTGAGTAGCCGTCTCGCACCGCTCGATCTCTTTTGCCAGATAGTCGAGAGCCTCTGAAGTGGTATCCGAACCGTAGCTGCTGCCCATATGACTGTAGAAACCCCGAAGGAAAATACGCGATGGGCTCTCTGTCTCCTTGGCCTGTACGGCCTTCAGCAGGGTTTCCAGCTGCGGGGACTCGGGCGAGAGTCCAGCGCGATTGTAGCCGGTATCCAGTTTGATGAAGACACCAAGCGAATATCCCGTGAGTTCATGGTATCGGTCAAGATACGGGAGAATGTCGACACTGTCGATAATGACAGTGATGCTGTTCGCTCCGAGAGCCTTTCCCAGCGTGGCCAGTCTCTCGAAGGAAGAGGGCCGCACAGGGACTCCATAGATCAACTATACAACCGTTAGACTGGATGATTTTTTTTTTTTTGCTTGTCAATGGATTGTTTGTCATTTACATCGGCTGGTCGGCCCTTGTTCTTGCATTCTTCAAGGAATGGACGCAGTTGCTCTGCCTCGGCCAAAGTCGACACCACCAGACGCACCGTCTCTGATTTCTCTCCCACTTGTAGTCGAGTAAGCTCCGTTGTCTGGGAGAGGTTAGTATCAGCATACGCAGACTTACTGATGGTATCTGTAACCAGAATCATGATCCAACGCTGGTTTCTTTACCCGGGGGGGATATATCAAAACAGTCAACGGATACATTCAGATAAAACTCACTTTATGAGTCTTCACATGGCTTCGAAAATGCACGCCTAATGCCTCTGCCGCATCGAGCATAAGCTGACAGTTTCGTCGTGCCACTGCCACATCTATGACTGCAGCAGGAGGCTCGATTTCCTCCAGCAGCTTTCCCACAAACTGTGTCCTGAGATCCTCAATCGAGGCATTGGGATAATTGGTCACTCCTGACATGGTTGGGTATGGTGGAATTGCGGTGCTGTCGAGCTCTGCGGGGGTGTGTTCAGATGGCGGGGTCTGTCTGTCTGTCTTTCGTTAAATTAAAATGAATGGAGGTTGTTTTTCCGGGAGGAGAGAAATGGGAAGAATCTCAGATAGGAACAAGAGATAGCAACAAGAGTAATATAGAGAATGGCTATTATCAGTGCCAAGTAACCACTGTACAATTAACCCCGCCTCTCCAAGACGTGGATTATCTATACCGCAAATATTTCCCGGTCGGGACGGCCGATGTTGCTAACTAACTAATAACTAATTAGTTAAGTTAGTTACATCGTTGTCTTCTCTACAAGTGAGTCTGTGGAACCAGATAAGATAACGGCGGGACTCGGGGAACATGTAGAAATACGAGGTTTTACCTGATATCATATACCATATATAGTTAACTTAGGCTATTGATCTTTTTGTTCTCATCTCATCTCATCTCATCTCAAGGCCCTGTTGCGTGTTTCCATTCGATCTGTGCAGTTTTAAGATGTTACTGATCGGATGAAGTCGTCTTTGTTGGGTTCCGTTATGCGTTTTCTCGACTCACATAGGTATAAGGGCGCAATTCGAATTTAGGCGGCTAGACTCACTGTTGGTTAGAGTATTAATTGCTGCTGGCGATGCTGGAGATGCCGCGAATTATTATTTAATATTCTGTCCCCGTCGTCAGGATTCTAGGCCGTTTCTAGTGTAAAAAAAGAAAACTCGCCGGGTTCCACTTTACTTTGCTACGCCTCCAAGTGCTGTGCTGGTGCATGATGATTATTACCGACCCCGGAAGTTGCTCAGTCAGTCTCTGATCGCATGTCCTACCTAACTGTACGACTTCAAATCAACCCACGTCCATCCCATGCAGTCGCTCTCGCTTGTCCGGCTTTGATCAAGTAGCTGGTATGTCTCTTGAAAATGGGAAATGGCCCAGGTTGAGAAAAGAAGAAGAAGAAGATGGCGAGAAGGATGTCCGTCTTCTGACCGCGTCTTCAAGTCGTTTCCTTAATCTGCCCCCGGAATTGCGATATGAGATTTATAAATTCGTCTTCTCCTCAACGATACTGAATTTCTACTTCAGAATAAATACAAATAGACACAAGACCTTCAAGAGATTAGCGCTTCTTCTCACCTGTCGTCAGGTCCATTCGGAGATCGGGTCGCTATGGGTGCGCCTCGCTCTGTTCAATTTCGAGCGCATCGATGTTATGATGGAGACCCTAGCTAAGCTGCCGGAGGCAACGTTATCACAAGTCCGGTACGCTCGAACCTTGGGAAACAGCGCCATTCTCCATACCCCGGTAGTCGATCACGATGACCATAATGACGACGGGTTCGACGATGTCAGTATCAGCAACTCGGAAATGGTACTTCCGTGGGAATGCAGCATCACGCTAGCAATGAAGCTTCTGCCAACATTACGTCTCCGCCGACTGACTATTCTGACGCCCTATACCGGTGAACTTGCGTATAAGGGAGTCGAAGATCTCGTCCAGGAGGGATCCGGATGGAGGGAATTGTATTTCGTCACGCGTGATTCGACCATATTCGGATACGAAGGGGAGGAAGATTTCGAAGATGCCTGCGTGCGCCTGCCCCAGCCCGCGGTCTGGAATAGCATTCTCAGGAGCCGGGACGGCATATGCTCGGAAGGGTCCGTTACCATCTATCGTACTCTCACGCCAAACCCCGCACCGGGGACAGTCATGAAGCGAAATTTGAGACAAGCCTTTGAGCAGGAGGTACCCTCCGACGACGACGAGTGGGACGAGTATGGTGAAGAGGAGGACTTATACATCATGTCCGAAGCGGAGAGGACGAAGGAAGTGCTCGTCATCGTCAAACGTGGGCCTCACGTAAATATTGGCGTCCAAAGCAAACCCGAGTGGCTCTTTGGGAAGACCTGGGCACACGTGCAACAACGGAATCCGAATCCCTCGCGTGAACACGCTGAGCACACATGTCTGGAAGAGCTCGATTGGGACGAGGACTGGGTATGTCCATATGGTTGCTTTCGCGGCGAAAATGGATGGGATTACTGTTGGCACCTGCTATCCGATGTGGAGGCCCAGATAGTCGGGATACCATGAGCGGACAGGGAGCCATATAATGACTTATGCATACTGACATCTACGGTTTTCATTTTTGACCATCTGGCGACGTGGACATGTGGGATAGGACTTTTTCTTCTTCCTCTTTTCTTCTTCTTCTGCTTCCGTTAACGATATTTGAGTACATTTATGCAGAACAGGCAACCAGGAACACGCTACCGATGTTATACTTTCATCTATTTCGCGGAGATTCGGCATTATAGGGATTAGGTTGGCATGGAATCCCATAATGTATCCTATATTTCTAGTGTGTGGTCCACGAATCTGAGTGACTTGCTCTCCGCTTGTCGTCTATCCTATGCCTTGCTTTCGAAACTGGCATCCCTAGCTAGGATCAAACTCATGACTACTGCTAAAGAGAGGCAGAGACACTGAGAATCATGGCTAGGTTTTTCAGGCTTGGCCATATATATTGAAAATAGCACCACGGATGAATTAGTGGTATCAGAAACTTCAACGCGCATTCTCTCTCCTTGGATATGTACGCGACCTTGTATCTACAGTAGCTACGCGTCGTGGATTTATATGCACCTTCATGTCGCATGATCTTCCAAAATTACTATCATAGACCATGTCGGTAAATTCTCTGCATTTAAGAGGGGAAGAAGAAAAAAAAGATCCTATCGGGGAGAGATTGGTATTATTGAAATACCAAAAAAGAAATCCAGATGATGTTCTCCCAATCGGGGAATCGAACCCCGGGCTGCCGTGTGAAAGACGGCGATGTTAGCCACTACACCAATTGGGATGTTGTGTGATTGTGGATCCGAACCTATGATATAAGACCCCATTGTCTGCACAAGATCGTAAAAATGCATCCATTTGAGATTACTGGTATTTTCACCTATACACTTTAAGGTATAGATGTTCGGTACATCAGATGACTATATTATATATCCGATAGTTCTATCCCTCCTAGCACGAAATAAGGGCGCATGTGCGCCTCGTTGTTGCGAAGAAGTTTTCTGCTTTAATTCTACTGGGGGTAGGGCATGGATATATATATATATGTTGCTCCGCTGTAACAGGTAAATATGCTATAGAATGCACTTTATAGACAGGATTACCAAGTTTTCGGCGACACATAGGTATTGAACCAAAGTGATTTCATGAGACATAATCCATAACTTATCATTATACCTTGAAGCCCGCATGGGACTGCACTTGCCGACAGAAAACGTGTCCGGCGTTCGTAAGAACAAACCCAAATGCTAGCCATGTTACGGTCATCATTGTCACCATAGACCATATGAGTACTGGTCTACTTGGCGCCTGACCAGGCTCATTAGGCGTTTACTATATCACTATCCAGTCAGTACGCCCCATTACTAGAAGGAACAGGAGATAAACCGACCTTCTGGATCCGTAGAATAGCCTTCCCGAAATTCTTGCCTTCGAAAATACCAACCAACGCCTCGGCCCCGTGGTCGATTCCTGCTGTTTCATCGATGCGAACCTTGAAAGTACCGTCCTTTATCCACTGCCCTAGTTTCATCTGATGCTCTTCTGCCCACCTAGGACCCATGTTTGCATCCGAAACGATAAACCCTCGCATCTCGAGTCTTTTTCGGAAGATGTGGATGAGATTCTTGAGCGGATACTGTTTCTCAGGTGGTAGGTTATATTGCGATATCATGCCGCATGTTACGATGCGGCCAAAGCTGTTCAATGCATCAAGGGCCGCTTCCAGCTGCTCGCCTCCGACGTTATCATAGTAGATATCGATACCTTCGGGAGCCAGGCGCTTCAAAGCATCCAGTGGCTTCTCCTTCTTATAGTTGAACCCGCCATCGAAGCCCAGGTCATTGAGGATATAGTTCAGCTTGTCGTCGGAGCCTACGCTGCCGATAACCTTCAGACCTTCGTGCTTGGCAAGCTGTCCCACGATCTGTCCAACGGCGCCGCTAGCGGAAGAGACAAAGATGGTTTCTCCCTTCTTCGGTTTTCCAATCTCATACAGGGACGAGTAGGCCGTTAAGCCAGATGAACCCAGCGCACCCAGGAAAACCCGGAGATCCTCGATGCCGAACGGGTTGCTGAGAAGCTTGATGGTTCTGGCCTGGAACGAATCGCCAGGAGCATTTGCATATTCCTGAATAGGGAAGAATCCAGTAACCAAATCACCCTCTTTGAACTGGCTATTGCTCGATTGCAGCACCTTGACTAGAGAACGGGTTGTGATAGGCTCTCCGGTCTTGAACGCGGGGAAATATGACTCGACTTCTGGAGGTCGCATACGTCCGCGCATGTACGGATCAAGACTCGAGTAGAGAACCTGGACGACGATACCGTCTGGTGGTGGTGGTGCCGAGATATCGAAAGGAACATCTTCCACGGCCACATGCTCTCCTACTACAGGGAATCCGGTGGGGATCTTTTTGTACAAGAGCGCGCGGACTGTGGGAACCATTGTGAAGATTTTGAAGGAATAATACCTATGACAGATCCAGGTAGCTTGAAGAGAACAAGTAAAGGGAGGGGATTAAGAAGTAGAGTCGTTCATTTCATGCTGGCGGGGAACCATGTAAGACATGTTTTGTAATCAGTAGTTTGAAGTGATTAGTTAACTAACTACCTGCTAGTCAAGTAACTACTGTAAGAGGGGAAGCCGAGGCACATCCTGCCCTATTGGTCACTGCTTGAGTATCGTATGATCGTATCACACCACGCCCATTGACGTGCAGCAGAATTTAAATCCTCTTCCAACTGATAAAACCTTGGGAGTTCCTAGTGCAACATAAAGTCAGGATTGAGAGCTACGATCCCTATCCTATCCAGAGAATAGGTAACGACCCAAATCCCAAAGAAACCATGTACGATTTTTCAAAGCGTGATAATAAATACCAAGCATGAAGGGCGGACAAAAATCAATAATGAAGAGACATCCCCAGTGCTTCAGGCCGCCTAGTCCCAGTAAAAATTAGAGAAACCAGCGGAATTCTGGACTATCGGGGCCGTTTCTCAGCCTCTCTGTCGGTACATCTCGAGCATCAATCTTCACTCCAGCCTGTCGATCTCTTCTCTTGTTATCTAGCCACATATAGATCCCGAGTAACGCAGCCAATAATGCACCGGTTGCCCCAAACGCAGCAATCGTGATGAGTGCTGGCATGTATTTTGGTTTATCCTTGGATCTGAAGACGTTGCTACTTACCAACCCCATCAGATTGGCAAGAGGCACACCGATACTCGTCAGTAAGACCCGTCTGCCCTCGTGGGCGACGTTATTGTTGTACCAAGTACTCAAGAGTACCGATGGCGCGGAAGTGCCCCATGTCATCATGAAAGTAGCATAATACGCAAGTCTGATCTGAGCTTGCACGTCGTTGATTGAGGCATAGATCATAAAACCTGCAAAAGTGAACAGGAACCCAAGGACTATGAAGACGGACCGGATTCGGGTGGCATCCGAAGCAAAGGCTAGGACAAGAAGCATGACAGCGCCTGTGATGTTGGGTGCCACGGTGTAAAGGTTAGTCTTAACGGTCGGATATCCCAGCCGCTGCACGATTTGAGGCATAAACAATGACACTCCTTGCAGAGGAACACCCAAACAGATCTCGATCGCCAGAAATGCATAGGTAGTCGGATGTTTGAAAATGACGAGAGCTTCGCGCAAGTTGAACTTCTCGTTGACAACAGAGCTCGAATCAACCTGAATGCGATGATATGCCAACCTCTTCTCATCTTCGTTGAGGAATTTCGCCTCAGCAGCGCTGCGTGGAAGATACCAAAAGGCGAAAATGGAGAAGAGGACCGAAGATGCTCCTTCAATGATAAAAAGGTAGCGCCAGCCCTCAATTCTCGTATCCCTGATTTGAAATACACCGAAGGCCAAGAGACCCGAGAATGCATTGGCGATGTTCGAAGCCGCATAGAAGATGGCGAGGCGTCGAGCAAGTTCCCCACGGCGATAGAAAGTGGTCAAGTAGTAAATCACAAGCGGGAAAAAGGCCGCCTCTGACATGCCCAGAAACCATCGGAGCGTGAAGATCCCACCAAAATTCCTGGTCGCTGCTCCCAACATTGTGAATGATCCGAAAGAAAACATGAGTATGGGAAGCGTGCGGTTAGCACCAAAGTGCTTTCCTAGCATTGCTATCGGTGGCGCAAAGACAACATAAGGAACAAAGAATATCGACAGGATAAGGTTATATTGATTAGGCTTGAAGTTTAGATCTATCGATATCCCAGTCAGAACCAAATGGTTGTGATCAGAAGCGCAGTGTGTCTTTGAAGCTTACCGTCACTGAGCCCATCAGTTTGAGCATTACTAAGATTCCCTTTATCAAGCGCATTGAATAGATACATGGTAGCGATGATCGGTAATAGTCTGATGTCAAACTTCCGGCAAAGAGAACGCTCAGCCTGGTGGTCAATCACACGCGCGACATCGTGGATGATGCCTGCTTGGCCGACTCCGCTATCGATCTTGTCAATGTCATGGTAGCTTGTCTTAGAGACCGCATCCTTTGTGACATCATCTGCCACTGAATGATCTTCTTGACTGGAGACCATGGCCGTGACTGAATGATCTCGTTGATATTCTGGACGGAATCTTCCAGCGCCAGCTGTACGACGATGGGAGAACATCTCAATGCTTGGCTATATAACAGTCTGATTAGACTGCTGTTATCATGCCAAGGAGCGAAGCAAGAGAGGCCCAAGCCCAGATAACAAGGCGATAGGGTTACATTATTATCTGGAATCCCGACAGAAACTCCGCATTCCAGTACCAAGAACGGCAAGAATGATTGGCGCGGGGAATCCTCGTCGCTGTAAGGAAATTCTGGGGATGATCACCTTCTGCAGACTGTTGTGGGATAATGACCTTTCTCTCGCCGCATGTCAGAGCTGGTGTTACATACAATAAACAGAGAGCCCGAAGAGACAGTTCCGGGAGGGACCTTTGATGTTCCTAAACCATGCTTTTGAGCTCTGTCGGTCTTCTGTATCGCGATTATCAAGGCAGATCTTAACAGATAAGGAACCAGAGCCAGATAACCAAAAGACCGAAGGTGAAATGGGCTTCCACTTCCAAAAGAACGGCTAACTGGTCGAGGGAGCAAGCTTATCTCGAATACGGGAAACCCCGCGCCCCCAAGCGCATCAATAATGACTTTGAATGACTTCACCCCACAGCAACGGCTTATATCGCCATCTTCCTGGAAATTCAGCTTTGCGAGGCACGGGATATAAGGGATGAAGGGATGCAGGAAGGCAGGAGTAAAAATGCTGCAGCTTACCTATCCTGCGATACCTCCAGTAGCAATGGTGTATCCCAGATTACCAGAAACTGTCCGATCTTGGAGTCGTGGCACCTCGCGACAAGGTTAATAAGCCAGACCGGGATATCGATTTGAGTTTCTCCATTATTTACTATCGACTAACCGATGGACATGAAACGTGGGATATCATTAACATCACAGAGATCCAACCAATACATTACTTCCTCGCCGTGACATCTGCAGACAACGGCATCAGTTCCCCATTCTTGATCCAAACATCCAACTTATGAGCCAAGCGTTCTTTGGTATCGACGAACATATGCTGCCAACCGAAGAGATGGAGGCCTTGATCGCCGCCCCCTAATGTGGAAATCTCCTCTCGAGACGCGAGCCATCGCTCGCGAAGGCCGGGCCATTCTTCATCCATTCTTGAACCCACAAATTCTACTTCATCCTGTGCATTTGCGAGAGGGAAGGCATAGCTTTTGTGGGCAGCAAAGAAGGACAGAGATAGCCTATCATGATCCGCAGCAAGGAATTCTTCTATATGTGCCGCATTCTCTTCGCACGAGGAGTCTTCATGAAGGCTTGTTCGCACAGGATCTGAAGTGTAGTGAGATGATAAGCGTGCGATGTAATCTGCGGACGCACCCTGGATGCTATTACCCATCACGACAGGATGGGGCCTTGACTGATTCGGCAAACTATAAAGGTCGTCAAGCGTCACTTGTCTGACCTTCCAATCGACAGGCTCGAGCCGCGTGTCGCAGCGAGTCTCTTGATCTTCCTTGTTACCTGTATGGTGGAGATCTGCTAGGAACACATTGAAATGGATTCCTGTAACTCGTCAGCAGTCTGAAAACATTTGGTGCTATATAGCAAACAGACTATCATACCATGTGGACAGAAGTGCCGGTCAATCATGACGAAGGTCTGTTCCTCTCGAGCAAGTTCGTTGCGGAGAAGGATATAACCGGGATAGCAAGCCGCCGCTGTCAACCCTTTGGCAGACTTTTGGACTGTTCCGAGCAGCAGTCTGAGTGGACCGTTAGATATGTTCGCTTCAAGACAGTACACCAGAATGGATCACCTTGCCATGTTACTTGATGGAGAGTATCTCACCGAAAGGGACTGCAGCCAGGCGCAGCTGAAATCGGATAGCCACATCTGAAGAGCTCTGAGCTCCAGCGCCATTCTCTCAAGCTTTGCTTTCTTATATTCCACGTTTTTGAAATTCCAGGACTGCTCCATCAACTCATATCCGCGGCTGACTGCACCTTCCGGATATAGACGAGCGCCGACGACGTCCCTGGAACAAAAGAATGTCTTGTACTTTGAGAGGATATAGGAAAAAACAATGAATCGAACCACAAGCCTACCATCGAGGAGGTCCCATCGCGTTTGAAGAGGGGAGACATCACTTTCGAAGTCATCAATGGAAGGAGTGGCTCCGGACGAGGGGCTCCTTGGTGGACTTGAAGGGGGAACCCCAATGTTCCACTCATAGGCGGAATGGAGGGGACCGTGTCTTCCAGCACCATGGAGCCAATTTTGCTTTGTGTGATCGAGCTCAAGAGGGAGTCCTGCCAGATTCAAGCACGAGAGCTGATTGCTAAGAAGCCCAGGGTCTTCGAGGTCGGGGTTCTCGGGGCTCTCGGGGCTCTCGAGAGAGGCGGGGGTTAAGTTCCCGTTATTCAAGACAGTGATAAAAGGGACGCCTTTCTGGCTCTCCCCGGAAGGCTCGATGCTGCCGTATAAACCCTCGCGGTTTCGCGGGAAGAAAGGCTCTGTCCATCCCAAGACGCCGAGTATATGTTCAGATGTGTCCTCTTTGGCCCCTAAACCGAGCCTCGTTGGATGAACTCGGTCATATGTGAGTGCCGCGCAGAGTTTCTTTGCTCGCTCACGTGTTTCTTCCAACGATTGGATATACTTGTTGATCCACAAGGGGATCCTTGGTGTCCCGACAGTTTGGTCGAGTATCAGTTGGCGGTGCACTGAGAAGACTTCAAGCAACATCCCTGCTCGAAGATGACATGCTGTATCTCCTCCGTGTGCATCGAAGGCCATGAAACCAACTGACTGTGGACCATTGTTGGTCCCCAGGAGGAGGCCGCGGAACAACTCGAGTGCTTCAATAGCGTCTGAAGCGCCTCGAACCAAGTCTGTTAAGAATGCAGGGTAGAGGAGCCTCCTGTGAGAGCGAATCCGCTGCTCGAACGCGGGAAAGAGGAAGTCGGCCATTTGAATGATATCAATGCTAACGGACGAAGCAGAAAGACTCGCAAAGGAAACATAGAAGAGGATATCATGGAAAATAGGGTCTTTGATATCCGCTCAGACCCTGATTCTGTAAGTATTTCCCTACTAAATACCTCCTTGCCTGAGCAATCACCTCGTGGAATATCCAGAGCCCCGGGAAACCTAGATCTCTTTGACCCGAACTTTGCGGAGCAAAGGACTGCCTGGCCCCTAACGAACAGAAGTCCCCGAAGGGACGGGTTGAATCTGACTGTAAGTGGAGCCCTGAAAGTAATCTATGTCGATTGTCACTCAGGTAACTGATTTGGTATAATCTCCACTCACACCGGTTCGAGTACGTAACTTGACATGTCACGGGCCAATCGAGGTGTTACAAGAAGCGCGCAGAAGCTTGCTTTCACCAAGGAAGTATAATTTCTCATGAGAATTGTTGTTATCTGTTAGCTGGAGAGGAGTTTCCCGAAGCGACAGAATACTCGAGAACCGCCAATGGAGGACTGATCGCAGCCCGGTAACGAAGAAAGAAAGGTTTCAACGACACTCAATTCGAGTTTCCAATTGACATATTTTCTGTGCAAGCTGAACGGTACTATCCACAGGGGCTAAATCATCCTCCTTTCGCCTTGGTGTTAAGTTGTCTCGCAAGCTCTGCGGAACGCTGTCGAGTGGAAGTCCAAGCAGCGGGACGAAGTCTTCAGGACCTGTACGGCCAGACAATGGGCCAAGAACTCGGGATTCAGAACTACAAAAGAACGAATTATTGAGCAATATCGTTTGATATTTCGGGGACTACGCCACCAATAATCCTTTCCAGCCCTGTGTGCTTTCTTTTTCATTAGTGGAGTGGCTTATTCATGACAGTGGTGTACGTAAATTACGAAACCCTGCCGATGGAGTCACTTCATTGAGGAATCACGTATCCACACAGACGGACTAACTTGAGGGCCTTGGCCTTGTGAAAGGGATCCCCCATACGGGTTTTGAAGAAGCAGCACAGATAGCCGGGAGATCGGTGTCTGAATCGCTCCGCTTGAACTACTCCAACGTCTGATATCAACGCAAAAGCGTTGCCCAGGACTTCATTACAGCTCACGGCAATCGTCCGGCTTTAGCTCAAGGTTGTATGATAACTCCACTCTCGGGCTTGTGCGGATGCCAAGTGTTGTTCCTGAAGGTTGAGTATCACGAGCACAATTGATCAGGAAAACCTCGGAATAAGAGACATCAATAATAGCCGCATGGTTCCAGTACGTTCCTTGGAATCTGCTCCCATTAGTGGAGCAGAACATGGTCTTCAACTTCGCTTGAAGGGGCCTGATGATCTCTGATCAAAGTTATGCGATTATCAGATAACTATAACGGCAGCATCGCCGTTAGAGTGGGACTAAGCGGGATCCACTTCTGACGCTTATGTCGACAGGGACATCCTGGGAAACTTATCCATCCGAAGATGCTTTGGACTCTAAAGAGAAGAGAGCTAGGCAGACTGATCTACCAGTTCAATGGGGATATTCACTCGAATTCCCACAGAGTGACGCCATGATGGAATGACTGATGGAATCCGTCTACGGCGGTAAATGAACTATCGGGCCAAGAAATAATGGACTACCATGGAACTATCATACAGTCGTCGGGCATCTGCAAATATGCTATAGCCCTTAACCTAGTGTCAGCCTTGAGGTAAGTCCCCTATTAGAACACGGAGTTTGTTTTCTGGATAGTTATTCATTTAGGAAGTCAATGAAATTGTCTAAAAGTCCGAAGGAAAAGATGGTTTGTTTTACCGAGGAGCACAAACTATCGGCAGGGTCCGGCCCATTTCCGACAGAGGCAGGGATATTGACTGTCGAAGAGTATATAGTACTTGAAGAATTATGAACTAATTTCTCGACTAGCTATTATACTCGGCCCGCGTGTCCCACCCCAAGCTCCCCAGAGGATCCAATTCTCCACGGCCGAGACATCTGTTCCCGCCTGATCGGCACGCCACATGTTCGAACCACTTCACGCTCAGCGTGCTCGAAAAATCATTATTCACGGTAAATAGGGATGATCAGCATGGCCCCCGATCGAGGTGGCCAGCGACACGTCCTGTCAGCCTGGAGTCCTTTGCAAGGACATCTCTTAGGTTCGATCCATGCCGGCCACTTTCCGTCCTTGTGGGAATCTGTCCGGACGATACGGCTAATCACACAAAATTTCTCATCCTGGGAGACCTACTTGGTGCTTTGAGGGGGTTCTGCATATGGTATGGTGTCCAATCATTCTATTTGGTGACGATTCAATATACAATTACTGCTAAAAGAAGAAAAGGGAAAAAAAAGGGAAGTTTCTGATGAACTACTATTCCCTAAGTATGGGACGGATGAGGCTGCCTAAAGAAGCATCCGGCATATCTTGAATCTACTAGAACGGCACCTTACGTGCGTTAGACATTCTAACTGAGAATACCCTCAGCGAAGCAGACATTCAAGGATGGTCTCATCTCCCAAGTTGCGCCACACTTTGACCAGTTTCAGGCCTGCCTGCTGGACTAGAGCCTGATATTCAAGCTTCGTCCGCTGCTTGGCGTTCAAACATGTGTATACCTGCAGATCTAGCCTGCTGGTGGGTGCGTCTCCCCAGTTTGCCAACAACGGCTCAGGTGCTACGAAGTGTGGCTCGCTGTTAGATCCTTTCTCGGCTGTGGTGCTGTCATCTGCGGACCGATATGTGGGACAGACAACGTGCTCACAAATTAGCAGCTTGCTCTGTGCAGACATCGAGGAAGTACAGCCACTAAGGATCTTGATGGCTTCTGCGTCCGGCCAGTCGTGAATGACATGGCGCAGGAAGTAGATATCCGCACCCTTAACAGGGGCGGACTTGAAGAAGTCCAGTTCCATGAACTCCGCACGACCCGACTTCAAGATGTCAGGGAAGTTTTGTTCAAGGTTCTAAAGTAACGAGTCGAAGTTAATATTTTGGTCCTCATGCAGGGAAGGATACCAGGTCCACGGGAGTCATGCAGTTACCTTTTGGAACTCAGGTCCAGTATCCGGAATATCCTGCACCGTCAGTCGTAGGTCCGGGTTGGCTTGAAGGATGGGGAACGTCGCGGCCCCAATTCCACCCCCGACATCTACGATTTTGGCGCCTTTCTGAGATCCCCAGGGGTACACTGCAATCTCGTCGTCAATTGTCTCCTTTTTCGGTAAAGAGACGCTAGGTCGACTTACAGCTGAGGTATTGACCAAGATTGAATCCTTTCCCGGCCATGGCCTTCTTCGCCCTTATTCCTATATCCTGTCTTTCAGTCGCAACATACTGGAAGTATGTGAGCGACGTATTGTAGGCAATGTTGAAAGGAGCCTTGTTTGCTTCCGTGGAGTCCTTGTACTCAGGAAGGGTAAGTGCTTCCCATGACTTGCATGAGGAAACGCGAGCTTCGTCGGCGCTGGAATAGCATTATCAGTATCGCCCCTGTGGTTATATCCCCGCTGGCAGACATACCAATGCCCGACAATTGCTCTCTTTCCTTCAGGTTTGAACCTCGCAGAGAGTGCATTGTTAGCAAACCTGTTCGGTGCTGTCTCTTCGAAGATGTATGAGTTGCACAGGTTCCTCAAGAAACGGCCGAGTTTGTCAGCATTCAAACCCGCCTGAGCAGCAATTTCGTCTATATGACGGTCGGTGTCGCCGATCAAGTTGGGGACATCCGCTTGACAGGCGACCAGAAGAGCGGTCTCATCATGATACTGAATCAAAGATATTAGTCTCGACTATGACCACTATTCTACGAAAGCCAAGTATCTTACTCCGTATATGATATCGTTGAGGAAGGTGTTCGGATCAAGGAGAGCCCTGAGCATCTGCGCCGAGGACGAAACAGTCCTCAGAGCTTGTGCCAAATGGGGGTCATTCCTGCTGTAGATCGGATGGGGTTCGTTGGTCTTCAATGTCAGAGGAGGATCTCCATTCTCAGTAACGTTCTTCTTGATAATATCTATAGAAGAATTGATGAGGTCTCGAAGCTGCTCGAGCTCTTGAACTGGATTCTTCTCGGTTGCCATTATGCGGAAATGATATCAACAACCAACGGAGGAATTTTAAGACTGGAAGAAAGCTTTTCTCTTCAACTCCCTCAAAAGGACGACTCCGTTGGTTTATCTAGAAATCTGCTACTCAATATCGTGGTCCCTTGAGCATTCGTACGGCTACAACTCAAATCACCACACGGTCAAACTGTGACCAACAGTACGACCCATTGAAGCGGATCAGAACCCGCACACATTTTACATTCTGGTGATCTCAAGACCGATCGGGATTCTCCAACTGGCGATCTCCGGACGCAATAAGTCTCATGTAGAGAGCCTCCCCTCCTTGGCGGAGCCTACCTTGGCAAGACTGAAAAAATAGCCGGTGGGTGGAACTAAATCGTGCTAAGAGGGACTTGGGGCTGAGAGTCCTGTCAACATGCCCTAATCAATCTTTCTCCATCATGAAGATTCTCAGCCGTGTGTCATGCTCATAGATTGCACGGACGAAAAAAGAAAAATGATCACCATTGATGTTTACCTTATTCTAACATCCTCCGAAATCGGGCAACTGCACGATGCAGCCACCCTGCTTCACAACGTCGATTCCTTCTTCAGTTTCTCTGTTAAAGTTGACAGCCCTGAGATAGCGGAGTGGAGGCCTACAGCCCGTCTCTCTTGTATTGGTACCGTATTACTAGGAGAGTATGGCGGGTTCCATTCTAGCACATTTTGAGGCCACAACCAAACCTTGATGGTCCCCGAGGAGATGTGTCCTGCTAAATGGATCTACCTAGTATGTGTGCCTCACGACAGGGTTTTAGGTACACAAGAGCCGGGTCACGGAAACTTCTCGATATCTCAACGTGATGTTTTGTCGTGGATACTTGGGAGTGGCCATCTTCAGCATTGCGGAGTCATACTTGCTTACGAATAACAGTGAGCATAGTGATCACTTCTCTGATGAACTGCAGGGTATCCCCTGCATTCAGTGCTTAATATTGACGGTCAGTATCAGTAGATCCTTGTCTTACATGAATTATACAGCTTTCTATAACCTCGACTGGGATCGTTCCTGTTCATCCTCGCAGACCCAATTTCATTTGCTCTAAACAGACATTGGACGAGAAAATCCAAAATGAATTTGACATCAACAAGTGACAGAGTATCTGTGGTGTCTTATCTAGATTCGACAGTAAATGAAGATGAACTGTCAAGTCAGACGCCCGTGTACACTTTGATCTTCTCAATTTTGAAGATCCGGTTCACTCTGCTGCTCCTGATTCTTGGGGCCATTGCAGTTTTGCATTCAAGAAAAAGGGCAAACGCGTTCCACTACAAGCATATCGATGGCAGAAAGATGAAGATCCTTGACAAAGATACTAGGTATCTCCGTTTCACTCATGGGTAAGCATATCCCGACCGCGTTGTACCGACACTCTGGATCGTGAGCTTATTCTCGACCCACAGGAAGGAGCTCTCTCAAGAGGGAGAACAAAAGAGCGGACCAGACCCGTATCTTGTCAAGAACAAATCGAAGATCGAACTGGTGTTGTTCAGTCCTAATCAGGTTCGCGACTTCTTCGAAAAGGATGCTAGATGTAAGTTCTGAGTGCAGCCTGGAGATACGGGGTGCTGATTTTCGCCCCCCTAGACCATGAGAAGAAACAGGATGCCAATATGGGCCAGTATTTCCTAAGGTATAGAAACCGTGTCCTTTCCTCTCATACTCTGATCGGGAGGGAGCTGACGCGCATTTGATCCATAGGAGTCTAGGCCAGTGTGTTGGCGTCCAGAACGGAGAGAGATGGCACAAAACTCGCAGACATCTCGAAGCTCATTTTTCGGCTGGAGAAGCAGCTTCGATGATCCTTGAGTTCCAGAAGGCCCTTACGGACTGGGCAACAAAGCTGCCCGGCGACTCCGCAGCCACACCTACTTCTCCGAGTACCTTCCTCGCAGACAGTGTTGCGGCATGCAGAAAACTGCCCTTCCGTATGATTTCCATGTCTCTGTACGGTGACATGCTTACTGACGAGGTAAGAAATTCACTCCTGGGATGGGGAGAATATCAGAAGTTCGCACGGTAGCTGATGCTCCTTCTATTGTAGGTCTTTGAGAGATTGTGGCACTTGAACAAGATCCATGAGAAAGTGACTGCTCATACCTTCTTCGGAACCTGGGAGAACATGCGGTTTTACCGTTACCTGCCTACAGCTGCCAACCGAGCACTGCACGCGTATGAGGATGGTTGGAAAGAATTCAACTTGGATGTGATCGGGGAGGCAAGGAAGGTAGGCGTGAACATCGGATTCCAACCACCGGGCCTTATCAGCTGATTTCATATAAAGTCGGGTACGCCTTGTCGTGCAGAACGGATGTTCCAAGCCGTTGAGCGCGGTGAGATGACCACAGATATGGTAAGCCAAAACCGATGGATTTGTCTCCCGACATCGACTGACTAGTTGTCAGTTCCTACAATCGCTGGACGAGATCCTTTTCACCAACATTGATGTCACATCCGCTCAATTTGCGTACGCATTGATCAATATAGGGCGGACACCGAACTCCCAGCAGCGTCTATACGAGGAGGTGAAAGCCATCGAAAGCGACGAGACGAAGATCGCAGAGTTTGTCAGAAGAGAAGACACGTTCCTTCACAAGACTTACCTCGAGATTCTCCGTAATAACCCGCCAGTCTGTGAGTATACCTTGGGAGTCTGTACCATTCTAATCGCTGCTGATAATCGACGCCTCAGGGTTCTCTCTCCCCGAGACAACCGCCGTAGAGAAACGCATAGATGGCTTTCTCATTCCAGCCGGAACTACCGTGATCATCGATACCCAGCGACTCAACAAAACGTCTCCCATCTGGGGAGAGGATGGTTATTCCTTCCGTCCAGAGCGATGGGATAAAATCACTAGCCGAGAGGCCCGTTATAGTATGCTGGGATACGGAATGGGCCCGCGAAAGTGCCTGGGCAAAAACGTCGCCAACGTGATCATAAAACAGTTCTTGGTGGCTGTTATGCAGCACTTCGAGCTGAACACTGGTGACGGTGCCACCCACATCAAGAGAGATAGGTTTACTTGTATGCCGGAACAGGTGGTCGAGTTCCGGCAGAGAAAGATAGTGCAAGAGTAGAGCACTGAATATCGCATGCAACGACTCTTACGCACCAATGTATATATGATGATGCCTTTTGGGATAAGGTGAAAAAGAGGATGATTTCTTTGGATCTAGGATATGTCGGTTGGATTGAGATGAGTCTCGAGGGTTTAATAATGGCAGGAGATGATGCGAACTGTATCACTTTCGGGCAGTGTACTATCTTTTTTCGTTGGGTCTGCTGCCACTCCCCTCGTCTGCAACGTTAGGTAGAGAGATTCGCCAATTAACAAAATTACATAAAAATGATCGCTATATAGAAAGCTGAATATTCGGTCCAAAGCCGGAATCGGAGTCTCCCGTGTAGGTACTCGGAAACAGTGCACACTGCGTCTCTCCGGCTCGGGTCGATAAAGTTCCCTCAGGTATGTAATTATTGTGAACCGTCTCTATACTCTACGTGTAGAACGGGTTCGGAGTAGTTTCTCGAAGCGGATGACAGTAAATGAATAGCGGTGGATCTCGATGTCGGATGGCGTCTTATTATGGTTGAAAATAGTGACGATCCGCTCGGTCTTCCCCGTGCCGTGGCTTGATCAACCGTTAGCATGAGGTTTGTTCGCAGCACGTTCGCGGAAGCCAAGGGAAGGCGTGGATCCCATATTGCACCGTGTCTTGGCAAATTGTGGGCGCGATCGCTTATTTTACCTGCATCTTTGCGAATAATGAGCTGCTCTGCTCTAGTGATGAAGGACCTTGTGCAGATATGGGGTGGTGGAGTGTCCTCGCTTAAGACATGCAATGACCTTAAGAACGAAGTGATTCCGCTGTATGTAAGTAGAGTATGTGGAGGTTAAATGGCATTGCTTATTCCAGTATCTGAATTGGCCTTGATTGTGTATCTTGGGTTTTTTTGGCATCAGGGAACTTCTCGTAGATCCATGCAAGTATGTAGTTCAATCAGCTAACATAGATAGCCGACACGTATTCACCTGGCTTACGGACGAAAGATATTCAACTCTACCTTGTCTTTGGAAGGTTATTTCATGATGGTATGACTTGTCGTTCTTAGTTGCCGTCACGATCCACCGGCTCATGGTTGACACGCGCATAGGAACAGCTTGGAACTGTACCTGTTTAAGCGCAGCTCCGATGCAGGAATCCCGTCCCGGTTAATGACCCAGGCTGAAAAATAGAGCCTTTTGTCTTTCACAGAGACGATCATCCCACTAGAGCCCACCGTCTTGGACGGGGGAACTTCCTTGCTGGGGCTGGACTGGATCAGATAAGATTCCGGGACGAGAGAAATTATTGACCCTTTTTCTCCGTCATGGATGGGATGGGGCCGATTTTTATCTGATAATCAGTGCTGTTGATCAGTGGGGATATCGAACAGGTACCGACGAACCAGAAAGCTGCCCGTTCACGGTTGACAGGGTTCTTAACAACATCGTCCGCACACTGCCGTCCCTTTGGACCATTCATCTCTCCACGGGCGGAGGTCATTTCCGGCTCAGTCGAAGGGCAAAGGGAGGCAATCGCTATGCATTTCCTGTCATAGTGCAGATATCACGCTATGGAACGTTCTCTTTGACCGGATCAAGTATACTGCGCCGCAGGATTGCGTCCGAAAAACGGAGGAAACGCAGCTCGATATCCAAAGGTCTCATGGGCTGCAGGAATTCCGTGCTTTTCTCCTCGCTATATCTACACCCGAGAAGTGCAATTGAGGTTGCGAAGAATGGATAGGTGCCGGTAAATTCCGAGATTGATAACCGTACAGATAACACCTTCTGCGATTGTATATGCTTATTTCTTGAAAGAATCATGGTCTGATTGTTTGAAGATCCCAGATCTTATGAATGACTATTATGCATCGGGTAAAAAAGAACTGATCATGGTCTGTTGTAGGTAGACTTTCACATGCAACATGCTTGGTTCCTGAAGGAATATACTTCGGCCATCTCTCAGACTTGAATTAGGCTATCGGGTGCCGGCCATACAGCCCAATAACTGCAGCAAAGAATTGGTGATCTAGTATGTGCCGATCTCAATATCATGCGTAGTTCCCTTCGGGCAGATCTCCGTTACTGGAAGGCTGCTTACCACAATGTAACCATGTCCCACCCAATTTCTCGTGCCTCTCTGGATGAAATGCATATAAAGGGAGCTTTGGATCCGTAGTTTCGTTTCGTTTCGTTTCTCACTCCGATCAGCTCAGCTCAGCTCAGTCGCTCATTCCTCAAAACCAGGCAGCTGACAGCTGTCAATTCCTTCGTTTCGACGATCAAGCCATCGAGCTAGCTGTTCATCAAAATGAAGTTTTTCTCCTTTGCCCTTATGGGGCTCATCGCCTCGTCCTTTGCCGCTCCAGAAGCTACCACGACAACCTCGAGCGCGACGGTTACTACCTCTCACAAGCCAAACCTTGCAGAGCCCATTGCCAACGACAACTCACCCGTTGACGCTTTCGTCCAGTGTCTCTGGCCCGTCAGCGACCGCATCGTGGGCGAGCTTGGAGGGCTGTCCGACCTCAGCTTCAACAAGCTCATCGATGAAATCCACTGGGAGGTCATCTGGTGGGGTGACCCATCCAAGTGGGCGCCCGACCTTTTGGGAATTGGAATCAACGCAACTTTCGTTGCTGCCTGTCTCCTGGAAACCGTGGGAGAAGGGGTCGCTCTGACCACTACCGACCTGCTGAACGAGTTCTTGAAGACATTCGACCTCATTCCTCGAAACGCAAGCAACACTGCCGTGCCTGGCCTCAGGAGATAGAAAGGCTAGCCTTGTCCATGCATCACCGTCGGTAACTGTCGAACCTGGGATTGATCGATGGGGGAAACCGTTTCTTCTCGATGCGCGTCACCGCCTAAACACCACATTCGACACGGAGCTCGAGTGGGTGGCCACTGAGTTTACGGGTAGACTATCATGGGATACGACGAGGAGTAGGATATAATTTCTTTGATCGTGTCTATATATATTATACTTTATGTCTATGTTAGTACATAATAAACTCTGCTTCTTCAATGCCACAGGAAATATTTGATTCTCACTTGGAACGGTATCTCGAGCGTACAGTAACGACGAGGCAATAAGTCCGTATCCGGAACGATAGAATACAGATGCTGTTAACGAGATCCTGGTGATAAAGAAATGATACCATATCGCGCGCCTGACAATACTGTGCGAGCTTCCATGACAACAGGTCACTGACTGCACAAACCGCTGTTCATTATCAGGGACACTTGATGCAAATCATAACTGCAAGTACCGTTCCATATCAGAAAATAGATTCTGGTCGTAAGTAATTATCATCACCCAAAAAGCAGAGGAGCTTCCGGAAGGTGACTGACGCTTGAAGGGTCGAATTCCTCAAAACGCGGAAAAGGCACTTTTGGGAAAACAATGCGGACTCGTTCCCGCGGGCCGGCACTCACCGATTCCGCCGTGTCCTCTGCATGTGTCTTGCGATAGTTGTCTGTTTCCACAACCAGCTATTCAAGTCCCTTTGTGCTCGTGGACTCGTGGTCTAGTGGTACTCGTCTTCGAAATGTCTGTCTCGAAGGCTTGAGACCATCAAAGCCAGCTCTTCGAGATCTGCCCTATGCTGGGGTTTGCCTCGGGTGTTTCGGAAGCTTGTGTAAGGGGGAAATGCTATTGAGAACTTGATGAGGAATTTCTGTACGAGTACAAAAGAGCACTCTTACAGAGAAACACAGGTTTGTGGAGAAGTGCGAAATCTCGGTCAAGGCGCCAACCGGTCAATTTCCGGTCATGCGATTGACGAGGGTCATCACGACATGTCACCTATTCGGCACATAATAATGGCAAGATTATAATGGCAAGGAGAAATGGTTTGGCCAAAGAACCATTTCTTTGACATAATTCTTTGACATAGCTATCGGGCCTAGAACCAGTGACCTGACCGAATCAATAACCCAAAGCATCATCCATCCGGATATTGTCCTAGTTTAGCGTGCTCGTATGCAGAGGCTTACTGCTTCGTGTCACCAAACGGGCAGTGGCAGCATCAGCATCAGCAAGGAGAGCTAATAATGTCTTCCACGTACTGTCTCAGTGTGCTGGAGATGGCCAACCAGGTTGGAGTATCAACACATCTCTCTCGAGAGCTCTCCTTACAGATCTAGGATAGTGTTACTGACGCCCAAGATCTTCTGAGACGAGCTTCCCAAGCAATGGAGACACTACTTGCTGTCTAAGGTTAGCTCCTACTGCAGACCCCTGTTTCTCGAACTGTTCTCAAAGAAGACGAGAAGACGGTCGATGCAGGAGGACGTTGTACGGAACTGGAATGCAGCTCTACCTATCATTGCGAGGGCCTCGTCATCTGTGACCTTGGGAGCAGTCTATTTTCGGACGTGTCAACACAATACCTGCTCAAACAATGACTATTTGCGCAGTCCCGAAAGCCATCATCTCACGTTCGGAGCATGAGGGATGTCGCGACCCAATTGATGCGTAATCCAAAATCCCCAGCTTGCGTCTGCCAATGTCGTGACCATGATATCCTTCGGCTGAAATGATCGGCGCTATCGAGACCTTAACAGTGCTTAAACGGAAACTAAGATAACTCTAAGAAGGGGGAGCGGGAAATGATCGACAAGTAGCCGCGTGTCGGAATCCAGCACGTTAGCAGCGAAAGTGGAGGGAAGCGCCCTGGCAGCCTCTCATACACACCCCCAGATGGACGTGCTCTGTAGGACAGCTTTCGCAATCTCCATCGTGGGGACGTTATTGAATCTCCAGAACTGCCAACTCGGGCATCTCGTTCTGACCTACCCAGATCAGTGTCGGATCTACAAAAGTCCGACTACTCTTCACCCTCTGACGTTGAAAGAGCTCTGGGCCTTATTCAGATGCTCACTTCATGAGTAGCTAGCACTGTTGAGCGCGAATTCATGTTGTCAAATGGGAAGCTTTCATTACGCCGGAGACCATACTATGTTGAGTTCTTTCCCCTGAAGAAACCTGAATATACCTCGGGGCTTTAGAGCTGACCATTGTACATACAGGTAAACAAAACAGGGGAGGAATTTATAGTTGTGGCTGAGACTCCCCAATATGGATAACTTGTCGGAGCTTAGCCATGTTTGGGACAAAAAGAACGAACGTCAACTCCGGATCGACAGCGAGTGGAAATCCACAGTTTCGCAATGCTAGAAATTGGTCCTTCTAAGCTGTATCCCGTCAAGTATGAGAGAGCTTCCAGACCTTTAGGGCATGGATGCCATGCGGATCCCGCAGGTGTGGGAACACTGACGACAGCATCCCGGTAGAGGTGATGCTGGAGTGTCATAGCTGCATTCAATATTGTGGAAAGGCGGGAAATTGAGTCTGGACTTGAGATCTTGAAACGGGATAGCTCTCGAGATCGATGCTATAAAGAGGGCCTCGAATCCCTCCATAATCCTGCTTCTCTCCATCAGACAAGAACATTCGCTCAAGAGCAAAAGACAATCGTTCTATTCAACCACCAGTACTCGTTTCAAAATGAAGGTCTCCGCCCTCATCTCCGGCTTTATGGTGGCCGGTCTGGCCGTTGGAGCGGCTCTCCCGGTCGACAGCGGTATGTTCTTCTCCTGAATGCATATCTTGAGAAAAATCAGTTACTGACTGTATCAGACAACGGCCTCATCACGCGTGATGGCCCCTCGCCTCCTCCTCAGGGACCTCCTCCTCACCACCCGCCTGAGAAGCGTGACGACAACAAAGCGCCTCCACCAAAGAAGCCTGAGCCGAAGAAGCCTGCGCCCCCTCAGAAGCGTGATGATGGAAACCCGCCTCCTCCTCAGGGACCTCCTCCTCACCACCCGCCTGAGAAGCGTGACGACAATAAAGCGCCTCCACCAAAGAAGCCTGAGCCGAAGAAGCCTGCGCCCCCTCAGAAGCGTGATGATGGAAACCCGCCTCCTCCTCAGGGACCTCCTCCTCACCACCCGCCTGAGAAGCGTGATGACAACAAGGCGCCTCCACCACCGAAGAAGCCTGAGCCGAAGAAGCCTGCGCCCCCTCAGAAGCGTGATGATGGAAACCCGCCGCCTCCCCAGGGCCCTCCTCCTCATCACCCCCCTGAGAAGCGTGGCGATGATGGAAAGGCCCCTCCACCAAAGCCTCAGCCTCCTCAGAGCCCTCCTTCTAAGAACCCCCCCAACAAGCGCGGTGATGATGGACAGGCTCCTCCCCCTCAGAAGCCTAACGGAAAGGCACCCCCCCCTCCCCCTGCCACTCAGAACTAAAGGGTTGCGGCATAAGCGGGTTCTACATCTAGCACCGATCCTACAGTCTTGAAGAAAGGGAAATCTCTCGAGATAGTCAGCTAGCATTGTCTGATCGAGTGAGATAAGCCGGCTGTTCATCGAGTACTGTGAAGGAAACAGGCTTTCATTTCTTTATGTCCTGCGTCCAACTGCTATCACTCTTTGTATTATTCGATATTGGTTCGAACTATTATGTTCGGGCTGAACTTTTTACTCTAATAGTTTTATCAAATCAATGCTTGGTCGACCATTTAAACCATATTGTGCCTCTCTAGAGCATATTTGAGGGATCAAAACATTCATTGTAGATACTCCGTAGTCGGATTAAGTTTCCTTCGGGACATGACCGGGATAGTTATACCTTGGGATTAATCCAATGGGAATTGAGTATCTAGATATACTTAGGAGATACTAGAAAAGGTTTCATCTATTGGTTGGGGCTTATTTTGGTTTAGCTTTTTCCCGGCATGAAGCAGGAACATCATTTTCAAATAAACAAAACAAGCTCCTTTCAATAATTGACCTTTAGAACTATAGCTAATACGAAAGTAGGATAGTTATGTCGAAAATATGCCCGCATAAGTGCTCTGGATGGCTATAACTTTTAAGGCAACTTGGTACGGCCCAGGGGTAGATCTTCATCTTAGCGCGGAGATTCCCGGCACTAGTCTAGGGGTAAATATAGCAAGCTTGGCGATGAGAGCTATATTTAGTGTGAGGTGTATCGTCAGCTCTACCATAGATAGCGGGACTATGTAAGTCTATCCACACCGTCTGCGAAGCGGGAAAACAGAGAAAGAGGGAATGCATCTGCGATTGCTTGATATCCGGCGACATTGGGATGAAGGTGGTCTCCAGAGTCATACCAAGGAGCGAGCTGCGAGGGGTTGTTGGGATCTCGTACTATTTCATCGAAATCGATGACCGCGTCGAATACGCCGCTGCTCCTGATCCATGCGTTTAGGCGCTGCCTTGTCTGTTCGCGCACCGGGCTCGAATAGGGCTGTATCACGGATGAGTTCGCGGGTGTTCCGAAAGGGGTGATTGTGGCTGCGAAGATTGGTATTTCGAACACATGGACGCGAGCAGCGATTTGTTCATACGCGCCAATGAGCCGATCGCCAATGAGCGTTTGATTGACTGGGTCCGCGTCCGCGACGCCGATGTCGTTGACGCCTTCGAAGATCATCGCATACTTGATACCGGATTGCGCAAGAACATCTCGGTCGACTCGGCTGATTACGTTTGGTCCGAGGCCATCATGCAGGATGCGGTTCCCTCCTGCTGCCTGGTTGAGCACTGCTATGGACGATGTACTTGGGTTGCTCTGCATCTTTGCGAGTACAAGGTCAGGCCAGCTGCGTATGGTCAGCCAATCTTGTTATGATATCTATTAATCACCGAGCGCTAGAAAGGCGATATAATATCCCAGTGAGGAAAGAAACACGCGTACCGGTTGTTCATGTTGGTATCGCTACCACGACCATCAGTGATACTGTCTCCTATGATAGCAAACCCGCTCGATTCTTGCGAAACCCATCCCTCAATGGCACTGAGGAAATACCTATGATGATGATGATTCTTTTCATCAGCTAAAAGAGATTATTTTCTCAAGTATCACGGATATCTCCTCACCAGTGCTCAACACTCTGTACTGAAGGGCCCGTAATATTCGCAGCGTCTACCTGATTACCGAACGCCATCCACGAAGTCGTGCGACTACCTGGATGTGAGGTGATGTGGCCTCCTTGTTGTCCTTGTTCAAGGTATATGCTGACAGTAAGCATCGATTGCGGCTCGACTCTGAACTCCAGCGGATCTGACACGACGAGACCAGCATCTGGAATGATAATTCCCGGCTGCCCATCGAAAGTGACTATCTTGAGCGTCTCGGGCTCAATGGCACTGCTACCTGCTCTACCTCCCGCTGGCAAGCCCACAGTTACATTGGTTATTGTAAGGTCGTCTATGCCGAAAGCATTCGAGATGCGTATGCGGATGAGATCCGCGCCAATGGAGCTATGAATGGTTTGTCTTATGGTGGAGTTGAAGAATACAGTGCTTGTTCCATTCTATACCTCAAGTCAACACATGAGCTAATCAGCAGACGGCGAGTACTCACAAACGGAGGATCAGGCAAGTTAGCTGGTTCCGTCAACTGTGGCATAGACGTCCAGATATCCACCCAATGCGAGTTATGAGATGCATGATCGTTTGCTCTGTCAAAGAGGCCATGGGGCAATCCCTCCGCGACTCTAGAAAGAATCAAGGCGCCGACCGCAGCAGTGCGGCATAGAGAAGGAAGGTTGCTCATAAGCATTATGAGTTGCATTTGCTAGATACTACGACCGATTCTAATCTACCAAAGACAACCGGTTCCCCTAGTCTACCTTATATACGTGATCAAGCAGGACTCACTATATTTGCTCTTCTTTGACATTGTTTGCCTAAATTGATCTCTCCATCAAAGATTGGCATTGCACCTATGTTAGACAAACGAATGGCATGACTGCACGGCTAATCTGGATAAATTCAACCTCACATCGCAAGGTCCGATTCCAAATGTTAAGACAATCTGACCTGGATGCCCCGGAAGATCCAAGGAGGTCTGAATCGAAGGTTCTACCCCGCATGGAGTGGTGGACCTTTTGGGGTATATCCGGGGAATGCCCGCACATGAGATCATAGGCGTTTAGTGGATAATCCCACGAATAAGATCTCCAAGATAACCTAGAAGAGGATTTCTCCTCACTGTTGCCCAGGCGGTGATCTGGAAATGCTGATTTGCTGTTCGATATCGTCTTTTTGGTTCTCCGCATAGTAGTTAAAGGTATCTATCTATTTACGGTTTACTCAAGTTAGTCAACTATGCTCTTGGTGGATAGTTATCGCCAGGCCACCCTTAGTTATCAGTATGTCTGCTCCTTGAGCGAAGAACTGATCAGCCCTATAGTTAGACAAGCTGGGTATTCAATTAAAAGGCAGAAGTTTGGCCGTTGTCTAGCTTTGTAACAGTTGGTGGAAGCGTATTGTAGCTCTCCGAGGCACTGAAGGGTGCTACAAGCTTTTGAGACTGTGAGAAACCGCGTGTCAACAAAAAGAAAACAAACACTCTTAAGAGGCTCAGAATCAACAGTGTCTTATCCAGAGCGTTCGACAGCTCACAGTGAAGGGCTTCGAGTGTTTGTCAGAGTCGCTTAAGTCGTACAGTCAGCGCGGGGCTGAGAGACCTCTTATCACCGCTAAACGCCGAGATATAAATGTATCAAGCAGACCCGGCTCCGTCATCTTCATAACAAGAACTTGTCGAGCTTCTCACCAGCTCAAAGGAACAGAAAATTATTCAGTCAGACATTCGCTAATTGAGACATAATGCCTGCTGCACTACGTCAAGGAAGTACCGCTGTCATCACCGGCGCCGCCTCTGGCGTTGGTTTCGCAATCGCTAAACTTCTCCGGGAGAAGGGTCTGAACCTTGCTCTAGTCGATCTTGATACTACCAGCTTGAACAAAGCCAAGGATGTCTTGGTGGGTTTGAATTCGAGTCTGAAGACGGAGATATATGCGATGGATGTGACCGATAAGGCTGCTTGGGCGGACCTCGTGAAGAAGGTGACCGGGACATTTGGAGAAGTGGATCTGTTGATTTTGAATGCTGGGAAGAGTTTCAAAGCAGCTGGTCAGCAGGAAGGAGGGAGATTAAAGGCTTGGGAAGATCTTGATTACTGGAATAAGGTACAGTGCCCCCCCTTTTTTTCGTCTTTTCATATCTACTGCACTAGCGAATATTAACACCGTCACCTAAGACTCTGAACACCAACGTCTATGGCTACCTGAACGGAATTGCCGCCTTCCTTCCTATCCTGACCTCATCGGGGAACAAATCACCAAAGTCCATCGTCCTTACCGGATCCAAACAGGGAATCACCAACCCTCCCGGCGCAGCTAACCCTGCATACAACGCATCCAAAGCCACCGTGAAGCACATCGCAGAACACCTCGCATACGACCTACGAGCTTCACCAGAGACATCTCACATATCAGTACACCTGCTAATCCCAGGCTGGGCATACACCGGCCTGATGGGGAACGTTGGCCCGACGAAAGATGAAGAGGTCAAGAAACCAGCAGGTGCCTGGTACCCTAGCCAGGTTGCTGATTATTTCAGCAAGGCTTTTGAAAAGAATTCCTTCTACATCCTCTGTCCTGATGGAGAAACGGATAGGGCTCTCGACCAGGCTAGGATGAGATGGGCTGCTGATGATGTGATCGAAGATAGACCGCCGCTGTCTCGGTGGGAGGATAGCTGGAAAGTTAAGGCTGAGGAGTGGATTCAGGCTGATGCGAAGAAGAGGAGAGAGAATGCTTGAATTATAGCACTCTGCGAGAACGGGTGATCCTATCCGACTAAATAGGGACTATGATAATACAAAAAAAAATGAACTTGCTGATTGTGGTATACGTCTTCACATTACTCGCGTACTCCCCGGTTGCTACCAGTTCCCCTTTCAAATTCAACTTTTAGCGGCACTGTCTCAGCTGTTGGGAAGCAACTTTGAGCCGAAGGATAGCAACAGAACAGAACGTCCCATATCGGAAGTTTCGAACTTGGAAGTGGGGAAATTGTAGCTTCCCCCCTACCTACATACCTCTGCCACCCACCTCAACGGTGCAATCGCGCTCTACATGGTTAAAGCTTACAGGATTCCACAGATAGAGTTATCTTGAAGTGCTTTAATCTTGTCTATAGAGAAGAAAATATGCTCTTTGCCGCGCGTATGCAATGCCTGATCCATGCACTAAGTTGGAGGGTTGCAGTTACCTCATGAGGACCCTGGGGATGACAGACAGACATAAAAGCGGGCTCATCCTCCCTCTGCATCCAGTTTCATGTTACGTCTACTGCAATTGCTTTCAAGGGAAACTCATACAAGGGTATCGCCTTCAGAAGATGGAGAATTTTACATCGAAAGAAGACATTGCATGATGCACCGAACTTCATTTTTATCATTTCTAGTCAACGTTAAATATCTCACTTCAGACACCCCTCAAGTGAGTCGACTTTTCACCCTAGTTACACAAGCTGTTTGGCAACAGGAATCATTATATAGGAGGCCATGGCTTGCGGCTTCCGCATGAGCGGCAACTCCTTCCCTGATGATCCATCCCAGTGCAACGGATCAGTTGCACTACCGAAGAGCCACGGACTTCTCATGAGATTCACGTTATTCTCCATACGATGGAAGCCTGGCAGGAGCTTTCATTTAAGAGGAATATCCAGTTATGTGGATCACTTCCATATTATTTGAATTCCGGGGCGTAACCGACTACGCCTTCAGGTCGACAACACAGCGGATGCAGTCACCCTGCTTCATCTGTTCGAAGGCGGTGTTGATGTTGGCCAGGGGCTCACGGTGCGTGATGAACTCATCGACCTTCAGCTTGCCGTTCAGGTAGTCGTCAACAAGGTCAGGAAGCTGGCTACGGCCCTTGATACCACCAAAAGCGCATCCCCTCCAGACACGTCCGGTAACCAGCTGGAATGCTATTTAGGCAAGTGAAGTTAGCGCCTTGGTCTTTCTCTTATAGTCCAATGGTCAAACTTACGTCTAGTGGAGATCTCCTGGCCAGCAGCAGCAACACCAATGATGATGCTCTGACCCCAGCCCTTGTGGCAGGCCTCGAGGGCAGCACGCATGACACCAACGTTGCCAGTGCAGTCGAAGGTGTAGTCACAGCCGCCATCAGTCATCTCAATCAGCTTCTCCTGAATGCTCTTTCCGTCGAGCTTGGTCGGGTTAACGAAGTCGGTAGCACCGAACTTGCGGGCCCAGGCCTCCTTGCTATCGTTTACATCGACAACAATGATCTTACCAGCCTTGTTCTTCACGGCACCTTGGATGACAGAGAGACCGACACATCCGGCACCGAAGACGGCGACATTGGAACCTTCCTCAACCTTGGCGGTAACAACGGCGGCACCGTAACCGGTGGTGATACCACAGCCGAGCAAGCAGGTTCGGTCAGTGGGGGCCTTGGGAGTAATGGCAACGACAGAGATATCGGCAACGACGGTGTACTGCGTGAAGGTGGAGGTACCCATGAAGTGCAGGATGTCCTTGCCACGGGCCCTGAAGCGGGTGGTGCCATCGGGCATGACACCGCGACCCTGGGTAGCCCGGATCTTACCGCAAAGGTTGGTCTTTCCAGACTTGCAGAACTTGCACTCGCCGCACTCGGGAGTGCTACGCAATGTTAGCTAGCTGCATTTCAGTTGCGGATCCCCAATGGGACGTACTAGAGAGCGACGACATGGTCACCGGGCTTCACGGAGGTGACACCCTCGCCAACAGATTCGACGATACCGGCACCCTCGTGGCCGAGGATAACAGGGAAAGCACCCTCGGGGTCCTTTCCAGAGAGCGTGTACGCATCTGCGGGAAAAGGGTTAGTATATGACAACATACTACCGGGGCCGGCGTCTTCGTTAAATGGAAGAAACTCACCTGTGTGGCAGACACCAGTGTGTAGGATCTGGATACGGACTTCGTGAGCCTTGGGAGGAGCGACTTCAACGTCCTCGATGGACAGAGGCTCGCCAGCAGCCCAGGCGATGGCAGCCTATTCTATCTCAGTTTTTGTTCTCTCTAGCTGGGAGCGCGCCGTTGTGCCTGGAGCCTCGAGTGGTCCCCTTCAAGCAGTCTTACCTTGCAGGTGATGGTCTATGATGAGATCATGTTAGCCGTTAGGATCTCCCAACTTCATGGGACGTGCCCAAGCTCAACTGGAGGATATGGGTAGGATGTTCACGTCATGCTTACCTTTCCGACAGTGTCAGCCATTTTGCTTCTGGAGGACTATCTTGACCAAGGATGGAGATATACAAGTTGCTGACTGGAGAGGGGGGAACGGGGATTATAATATATGGAAAGAAGAAAAAACTAAAGTAGCGCTTTGAACCTCAAGAGGACACTCTTATAAATCCACTCTAGCCGTCAAAAGCCGACAGGAAGTCGGATCCGTTGTGGAGGGGATGAGGAGAGCGCGAGGAGTATCGAGGAGGGGGGAGGGGAAGAAGAGCGCGCCTCGGGTGGGGTGGGGTGAGGGGCGGGCGTCATGGCCATTGGAATCATACAAAAAGCGCATCGCTGCCAGAAGACGGTGGACAGATCACTACCGCAGAGTACACACGCCATACATTCGGTCCAAACTTCCCCTCACAGTCCGCAGAATCCAAGGGAACGATAGACATCGGAGAAGGTCAATCTATCTGACTGCTGATTAAGCAGACTGAAGCCGACAGGAAGTCGGATCCGTTGTGGAGGGGATGAGGAGAGCGCGAGGAGTATCGAGGAGGGGGGAGGGGAAGAAGAGCGCGCCTCGGGTGGGGTGGGGTGAGGGGCGGGCGTCATGGCCATTGGAATCATACAAAAAGCGCATCGCTGCCAGAAGACGGTGGACAGATCACTACCGCAGAGTACACACGCCATACATTCGGTCCAAACTTCCCCTCACAGTCCGCAGAATCCAAGGGAACGATAGACATCGGAGAAGGTCAATCTATCTGACTGCTGATTAAGCAGACTGATGCCTTCGGAGATTGGCAGCGGGGTTTGACGGCGATTCGTCGTCATTTCTCGTCTGGGCGTCATCTATCGTCTGGGCGTCACGCTTTCGCACGGATTGGGAGAAAGATCTCGAATAAAGCTCAGTACTACTACATATACCAGAAGGCGCTACTGTAAATCGTATCATATCCTAACTATCTAGAGCGCTATCTACCATCGCTGGGCCAGCAAGAAGGCTTCCATCGCTTCTTCGTGACAAAACGAGTAACGTTTTCCGGCCTTGATTTCGCCATTTACTATCCCCATAGAGTTATGAGAATCAAGGACCTCAGCTGAGGGCATCATCGCAGGACGAAGATAAGGAGAATAATAGACAGGATAGCATTAGAGTAGATAATGACGCTACGCAACCTCTGATTCTTCGAGGGTTGATTCTTAGTATCATTATTAACTTCGCATATAGAGTATTCGAGTGATGCCTGGGCGGTGAGGATTAAGTCTCCGAAACTAGGCCGGCACGGGACTAGAGTCTATAGTTTGATCCGGAAGATTAGAAATCACAAGCCCGATCACCTAAGCCCTTCTAGGTTCGCCGACACCTACTTTATTTGGCGACTGATACAGGGCAGAGCACTTATTATTATTATTATCGCTGAGACGCAGCCATGCAAAATCGATCCGAAGGGACCAGGCAAGGGAAGATTGATTGCGATCATAGAAATAACATAACATCAGTTCAACCTTCCTGACGCCCAGAATGCCTGCGACCAGCGAGCACCGCGGCCAAAGCCGTGCTCGTATCCTCAAAATACCACTAATTTCTACTGTACACATGAAAGACAGAAAAGGACTGCGTAAGCCGTCCTGACTCTTCTTCTTTATCCTGACTCTCTGGGAGGAGCATGACTTCACGATCGTCAAACCTGAAGCATCAGATCATTGATTGGGGTGTCAAGAAATGGGGGTTAAGACCGGTTGTCTATCGTACGCGTTGCCGAAGTTTTGGAAATGGAAAAAAAAAACCATTGACTAGCCAAACATTGATGGACGGGCCTTTTTGGAATGTGAGGAGAAGCCGTTTACCGGCCAGGGAGCTGACCGCCCTGCATCATGGCAGCGTTCTGCTCCTGGAAGCGCTCGCCCAGTCGGGCGGAACTCTTGAGGTGCTTGTCGACGCAGCGAAGGACGCAGCTCTCCTCACGGGAGACGAGCGACTTGGTAGTGAAGTCATTGACGCAGTCGTCGAAGCAACGCTGGACGAGTCTGGAGTACATCTAGAGAAAAAAAAGAGGTTGTATCAGCAAGTGTTGATCGATTATTTGCAATGTGTTCTTCGAGTCCCCGGTAAAGTCGGAGATGACGGGAAACGAAGAGACAGCGACGAAGTCTGAATCGATTGAGAGGGGGAGATGAAAAGGGTCGATAGGAAAAAAGGGACGTCAGCCAGCATACAGTCATGAACTCCTTCATCTGCTTCTTCTCCATGCGAGATGCAAGCTCGCGCTGCTCCGAGGCGTTGAGGCTATTTCACCATCAGCATTGTCCAACCAGAAGGCCAACCAGAAGGATGGAGGGAACGATTACTTACGCATCCATTGTGGTAAATGGTACAGGACGAGGATGCTTCAGTTCCAAGTTGTGGTGGATAGGACAATGGTGTTCTTTGCACGGCCACCCAATTGACGCTGTCTTGGTGTCCGCAGCTCAAGACAGAGCTTCCTCCGCAAGCTCTTCATGGGCCACGGTCACGTGAAGTCACGTGTGCAACAACTGGTCCCTGCGGCATCCTGAACAAGACTTCCGCTCATAATATGAGACATTAAAGCAGAGAAAGCCAGGCTGATGGGGGATGCTTCTCTCTGTCTCTACGATGCATGGGTACAGCCTCCTCGAGAGCATAGTTCCGTGTTTTAGGGCAAGGAACACCTCCAAAGACAAGGTGCTCACCTTGAAGAAGATTTTCCAGATTGTTGTTTCCCTCCATTCGACCCTTCTCGGTTCCAGCCGTGTTTGTTGGTGTCAGCAACTGCTCAATGAGTCACTACTTGTTGGGTATGACTGGTGGAGAGGGTCGGTACAGCGGTCAGGGGGTAGTCTACACTGCAGTCATTACGGATGATGGTCTTGCTGCTGACCTGGAGATACTAGTAAGGTGTCTCGATGGACATGCCCAGCAAGGCAAAGCTTGAATTCCAGAACCCTGGGATCATAGAAAAGAGCAGCCACTGGAGTGATGGATGTATTCCTGGTACTTAAGGAGCGAACGCCGACAGATTAAGCGAGGATGTTCCTGGACTAGCTTACTTGTAGACCCAACCCGATCTCTATCTTGCCCTCCACATTGAAATGCGGCTCGGGCACGGTAGTGGCCAGTGTGTAGAGTAAACGAGACACTAGGTAACTAGACGGGTGGAAAATAATAATATTGACCAGTACTAGTTAGTACAGTCTCTATGTCTGGAACTGCCTGCACGACCGGATGATTTGAGGAACCATGGGTTGCTCGTGGAGGACGGAGCGGAATAGAAGGCAGAAGGGAAATTGAAAGGAGACTCCTGAAAGATGAGCTACGGAAACACACAGGATTCCATGGTGCCGTAGACGTTGAAAGGGCAAAGGCAAAGACCCTGGCGGGAATGTATACGGGTCCTGGGCCATCTCCACCGTCATTATCACTAGAGCAAAAAGTATTTTTCGAACGAGGCTCACCACATCCCGAGGATCATGACGAGGACGCCGTTCGCAAGTGGAGAGAACCAGAGACGCAAGCAAGAATAGTCTGCTGGAACAACGGTCGCATCTAATAATTATTTGTCTGATCGTCTGGCTGCCAGGCACCGTTGGGGCCTTGCTGAGGGGCACCGGCTGGGCGACCCGGCAGCGTTCCGTCTGCGTACCTAGGTAGGAAACTCCCCAGAGTTCTAGACAAGAGAGAAGCCCCAGATAGGCGGCCACTTGAAGTAGCGGACGATCCTCGTCCTTCATTTCAATCTCAGATTCCAGATCTCTTTAATCCAACTTTCTCCATCACACTACTATCTACTATCTACGTACTACTGGCGATCCTTGATGAATGCTGTTGTTTTTGTTCTGGCGCAGCCCTTTGTTCAACGCCTGTCTGCGGTGACCATCTTTCTAACGGTCTTGCCGGGCACCTCAGTTCAACTCTTCACAGCCCGGCTTCTGTGACAGACTGCCTGCCGTCGCCCTTCCATCCACTCCAGCATCTCTCCCCCCGCAACAACTCTTCGCCTGCATCGCAGTCGCACCGCCCAATCCGTCCCTATCCCCTTTAGCCCCTCTGGATGCGCATTTAATCGTGATTGATCGCACCGTCATCGCTTCCCTCGCTTAACTCCACCTTCGTTGCCGCAGTCCAGGCGCGGCTCTCTACCGCTGCCTAGCTCCCGTGCTATTTTGGGACTGCAACCGGCCAGCCTCCCCAGACCTGCACGACCTGACTGCGAGAAAACCGACAAGAACACCAGAGGGCCTTTAACCGATACTCTGCCTCTTCGATCGTTAAGAACACACCTGCAACCCGCCCTTCTCTGGGCTTATCGATCAGCTGCCCCGGTTATACGATGACAACGGGTGACTCGCACCAGATGTCGCATCCGGCGCAAGTCCAGCAGCTTCAGCTGAGAGATGCTCATCCTCCCTCGTCCAACCCAGTCGCACCCTCTCCGCCATCCAAGAGGGACCTAGCATCATGGTGGAGGCAGTTCAAGCGAAACGCAAAAAAGGAGGAGGAAAAAGGTAGGCTCCTGGGTCCCCATTGACATGGTCATTTCGTGCTTGCTGCTGCTGTTTCTACTGCACCATTCCCGATCAGTTCCGTCATGTAACTGCGCTAGCGTTCACTCTTGACCTTATCCCCATCCGTTGATCTCAATGAATATCTCTTCAATAGACGCGGATGCGAGCCATGTTCAACGATGGCGTTCCATCCGACCCCGCGCTACACCCACCCCGTTCATCGCGTACAAAGAACTTGCGGAGTGCCCATCCCTCTTTGCGACTGTTGTCCCAACCCGATAATGATGCTTGGTTTTTCATTCTGTCTCGTGTACTTGGTTGCCTGCATGCTTTATATATCTGTTGTGCAGCAGGAGACTAACTTTCCTGGTGGCAGTTCAACCTCGTGGGATATTCGGAGTCCCGCTTAACGTGAGCATCAAATATGCAAATGTCGCCATTTCCTTGACGAACGACCATGGAGAGAGCTTTATCTACGGATACGTTCCTATAGTGGTGGCTAAGTGTGGAGTTTATTTGAAGGAGAAAGGTGAGCACACCCGCTCTTCCATACAACTCCATCGCACAGATCTGACATCTCGAACTCAGCCACCGATGTCGAAGGTATTTTCCGCCTGAACGGTTCTGCAAAACGTATCAAGGATCTCCAAGAGATTTTCGATTCCCCGGAACGGTACGGAAAAGGACTAGACTGGACCGGATATACGGTACACGATGCCGCCAATATTCTCCGTCGTTATCTCAACCAGCTGCCCGAACCTATCGTCCCTCTGGAGTTTTACGAACGTTTCAGGGAACCACTGCGGAATCATCAAGCTCAGGCGGTTGGTGATATCGAGGCTGCGGAGTACGACACTGGCGACTTTGATCACGATAAGGCGGTAGCTACATATCAACAATTGATCAGAGAGCTGCCTCCGCTTAACAAGCAGCTGCTTCTCTACATTCTGGATCTACTGGCTGTTTTCGCGTCCAAGTCAGAGCAGAACCGCATGACTTCTGCCAACCTGTCGGCGATCTTTCAGCCCGGTCTGCTGTCGCATCCACAGCACGATATGGCGCCGCAGGAATACAAGCTCAGCCAAGATATCCTCATCTTCCTGATCGAGAACCAGGACCACTTCTTATTCGGAATGAACGGAACCGCTGCAGATGAACAGACGGTCAAAGATGTGGAATCCGGTCTGGCCCCCAAGCCATCACACTCGACTGTCAGGCGATCGGTTTCTAGCGCTAGTGGTGGAGCCGAAAGCCTGCGGAAATACGAGACTATGAGAAGGAATGTCTCGGTTTCTTCAAAGAACTCCCGCACATCGAACAATGCCTCTAACCCAGCTACTCCAACTTCCTTGGGCGGTGGTATGCACCGCAGCAATACTGTACCCTCCAAGAAATCTCCTGCCTTGCCGCCGTCCAGACTGGGCAGGGGTGCTGAGCCATCGACACCTACTCCCGCTGGCTTGACTCCTCCGGTTCAATCCTACCAGGCCTCACGATCTAGCAGTCGGGCTGCTTCTCCTAACCCTGCCGCTAAACAAAGCACAGCGAGCAGCGAAGGGTCTGTTGCGACAACACCGACCTCTGCGTATATTCATACCTCTACCCATGGCCCAGTGCCCGTGAGTGCGGCAGACAAGGTAGTAACTGCTGAGAAGCCTCGTCTACAGGCTGGTCTTCCCACAGGCATGTCATCACCACCAACAGCTGTCACTCCCACTAAGGAACGAAAATTATCCAACCTTTTCACAAAGTCGCCTCCACCGGCTGGTGAACAGAAAGAGCCCCGTCAGCCCAATCGTCTGAAGAAGAAGCGTATTCCGGGAAGCGCCAGTGAGAGCGCACAGAGCTCCTCTCACTCGCTTCACGCTATGTCTGCCGACCCCTCAACCATTGGTTTCATCGCCCAGTCTCTCACTCAGTCTCTCAACCACCAGACGGATAGCCATGAAAATACTGGTTCGAATACCAGGCTACCTGCTGTACCTGCTTCATCGCACGGCGAAACAACGCAGCAGGCCAACAAAGAGACCAAGCCGGAGGACTCGGCCCCTATAGATGAAACACATAATTATCAACAGCATCAGCATCAGCCGTCCGACCACACTCTGAAGCCTCCATCCAGGACTCCCTCCATGCATTCTCGATCCTCATTCACCGATCATTCTGACTTCGACCAGCTCGATGAAGCATCGAAGACGGAGAAGAAGGACAACAGACGAAGCCGGCTATTCCATCGTTCTAAGAGAAATAGTGACCAGATTGGTCAGGGCTTTGGTTCACCTCCACAGCTTGGCGTCAACGCGGGAGCAGAGTTCAGCACGAGCTCTATTGGGAGCTCCAACCGACTCAGGCAAGGCTCCGTGGTGGACTCGCAGCAGTTTGGAAGCGAGTCTTCCCACCCGGTACGTGCCACGAGTGACATGAGTAGCAGCTTTGACAACTTGAAAGATTCTTCTCAAGCCTCCGAGCCAGAGAAGAGGAGTCTCTTCGAAAAGTTCAAAGCTAAAGTTTCCATGGTGAAGGATGGAGTGAAGGACTGGGATGCTGAGAGGGAGCGAGCAAAGAGTCCCCCGCAGTCTGACACCGAAAAGTCCGTTTCTACGCAGAACTCATTCTACGGAAACAAGGAAAATAGAAGTTCCAAACACATTTTAACTGAAGGCCCCCGAGAAACCCCCGAAGCCTTCCAACAATCCCCTGTTTCTTCTGCGTTGCCACTGTCTGGCCCACCCCCGGTCATTCCTGAGGAGCCTCCATCACCTGAAATTCCGAAACGGTCTCTGCAGCAGGAGCGGCAACAAACTGATGCTGTCACTTCGCAAGAGACGAAGGCAAAGGAAGAGGTCTCGACCGCCCCTGTTGCAGAACAGAACGGAGATCAGAAAGATGTTGCCGCTGCACCAGAGGCAGCTCCTGCATCCTAGTTGCCTACCGTTGCTCGAAGCCTCCGTCAGCCGAACCTGGCTCTTTCCACTTTCATTCCTGGATATGCGGTCAGACAGACATCGATCTTACAACAGCTTAACACGGTCTACCCTGTTCGGAGAGGAGTATACGGAAGAGATGTGCTACAATACAGACTCTCTAGATTCGCTCGGTCTATTTATCGCGGTTTATTTCACGGAGTGATTTTTTTTTTTTTGCCTGCTTTGGGGAAATTGGTTGGAATGAGAACGCACGTGATCATTTTGGTGCGGGCGTTATCATGGAAACCCTAATGAGGCTCTATGTTATTTCTTCTATTCGTGGGAGTTCCCCTTTTATTTTCTTATTTTCCTGTTGTGTGGAGCACCATTTAATACCTTGTTGTACCGTTTGGGAGCTTGCTTCTCAGGGAGCCTTTTCCTCTGTCTTAGCAAATGGATCCTGAACGAGTTGCTAAAGGAGGATGCTCCAGGTTAGGAGTACACAGGTTTCTCTCCATGTCTTTCTGGCCTTTTATTGTTGTGGGCTTGCTGATATTTCCTCATACCCTTTGCCCTGGCCTCTACCTCTTCATTACCGCCTTATCATCCTTCTGTAGGAATTGCCTTGTTTCTTGTCCTGTTAGGTCATTGCTTTTTTCGAAATGGTTGCTTTGGGAAAAAGGGACGGCGGAAAAGAAATGGAAAAAAAGCTAACAAAGAGTCGAGGGATTATTCCAAGATTTGGCCGCAAGCGGTTATCAAACAGAAGCCCCACAGCCGCAGCCAATCCACTATCTTGGGTGGGTGAGTCAGTGGTGTGTTTTTGCTCAGTGATTGCTTGATATTGTAATGGCCCTTCTTCCCCTAGCTATGACTTTGATTTCCCCATTTCTTTTCATCTTTTTGTTTTCTCGAACACATGTGAACGAACGAGTCTATGATATCATGAATTCAATTTGTACTATTTTGCTCCCCATGTAGTTCATAGCTTAGTGTGTTCTGGGGATCTCTTAAGTTAGCCTATTTACGACTCTTTCCGGGTTACCTATTCAGAGAAAATAAAAGAAGTCACTATGCATAAGATGCAAGATACATTTCAATCCATTAAGCAAGTCAAATCTATGTACAGATACAGGTAGGGATATAGAGACAACTATAAAAAAACGGGCAGCCTCAAGACCAACCTCCGGTCGTTCATCTGAGGAGAAATAACGCTTCCTTCCTTCCTTCTTTCTCTCTCTAGTTATTATTCCATTTCCGACGGATGATGGGTATTAAAAGGAAAAGGCGTCTTTCCTTTTTTCAGGTTTCATTTTGAGAAATAACAGGAAAATGCATGTTTAGAATCTACTTTCAGTTCGACTTTTCATGCTGCTCCTCCTCGGGCGCTGTGAATGATAATCGCTTTCCATAGAGTAGAGGTGTCCGACTGATGAGCGATCCGACTGCGAAGCCGATATACGCACCGGTGAGGATCGTGATCGGGTAGGCTTGCCAGGGGCGGTCCCTAGAATTGGGTAAATAGAGTTGTTAGAAAGGAATATCCCGAAAGAAAAAAAAATAAAATAAAATAAAATAAAATAAAATGAAAAAAAAAAAATAAAAATAGAGAAGTCTAGTGAGGGAAAGATAATAAATAAATAACATACCAATCTAATGGGATAGGGATGGCGCCCAACCAGGCGCCTACGCCGGTACCTAGAGCTCCGCCCCAGACTGCATCTGCTGGTCTTGCGAATGCGTAGACTTCTTTCCAGACGGCGCCGTCGACACCGTAGACATAGATGAGCGCCGTTGAGGAGAGGAGGGACATGTGCATTGCGCAGAGGATGGTGTGCGGAGAATGGGTGGTCAATGGGCCGCCGAACAGCACGAGAAGAATTGCGAGGACGGGTGTTCCCAGGAGGAAGGTGAGGGTTAGGGAGAGGAGAGCAGCCTGTATTTGTTCATAGAGTTAGTGGTTTTTTTTTTTTCTTGTTGTAAATCGCGAATTGAAGTTATAGGTTGTTCATCTTCATCGTCTTGCTTTCTTGCACATCTAGCGGGAGTAGCTCCCGATAAAACAAACGAGTCAGAGGTAAATAGAAAGAAGAAACATACCGTCAATCTCGACCCAATACCATCTCCCTTTCCATGTCCATGATGCTTCCGCCGATATCCCACTTTCCCAGACTTAACAACACCTGTTCCCGCAGGTCCATGTGTTCCGGAAACAGCTCTCCTTTCCGTGCCTTCAACTCCGCCTTCACCAGCCGCTGTCACAGTTGAAGTCACAATCGTGCCCTTGGCAGGAAGACAAGTGACCACATATACAACCTGTGCCACTGCCAGCAGGGGCACCTGGGTAATCATCTCTGACACAGGATCTGCCATCATAGACGGGAACCGGAGCGCGTAGAGCGCCAGCAGCAGCGCCGGGTGGACGTGCGCATATGTCTGCGCAGCCGGGATGGGTAGAATATCCACTGGAGGGGGGGAAGGCTTCTGTACTGGCCCTGACACTGGCGACGAGGTCTGCGATTGACTGTGGTGCGCACCGGTAGTCGTCGTTGTCATGGTCGCTGCGGAGGAAGCGGAGGAGCCAGGGCGCGGAGGGGAGGGAGAGGGAGGCGTTGTTGTCATCTTGGAATGGAATATCGGAGCCAGTTGGTTATTGTTAGTTTTTTTCGACAGATCTAGTTGCGCGTAGTAATTCCCAATGGCTCTCGATATTTGAGAGGATTGCGCGTCTTGACTGGTGGCTCCTGGAGATCTTCTCCGGAAGAGCAGGAAATTAGTTATCGTCGTTCCTCTGTCGGCGTGTAGGGATGTTTGTCCTGTTTGGCTGCCTCTCGGCATCAGCGATATGGAAGAATGTTGATCGGTCTAGAAGTTCTCGAGAAGAAGTATAACTTAATGATCGACAAGAGCACACACTGTTAACGGTTAATAAATAATAATGGGATTATACTATTAATTTCTCTTGTTTCCGCTGTAACCGCGCGCCAGCTTCCTCTTCCAGACAATGGGATCTATAGAACAAACCATTTGATTTATATTCTGGGTCAAATATAAATTACCAGGGATATTAGAAAACCAGACAAGAACTTTTTTTTGAACTGCGTCATTAAACAACTCTATTTGTCTGCCGCTCTCCGGGTTATCACCTAAGGGTATTTGTGGAGATGAATATGCGTCCAACGCACAAAGAAAGGAAAAACACAACAAAGGGTCCACATGAGAGATCGTTACTATATAGACAGAGAAGATGAAGAAAGCCAAAGCCGCCCATTGCAATGATGCTGGGTTTAACACAACATCTTGGGAAGGTAACAAAAAAAGATGCAGAGTGCAGTGCAGATCGGGTAATTCTGCACTACTAGAAATCCCGTCTCAGAGGGGGAAATAGAAACATAGGAAAACAAATATGACATGTCCACGGGCAAGGTTCGAGTAAATGACCGTAGGAAGAAAGAAGTATATGTATATAGCAAGGAGGTTCATGAGCAAACAGATATCATGGTTGTGCGCTGATCGTGTCGAGAGGGAAGATAGTACAGTAGACATGCTTGCCCAAGAGCGAAGGTGCCTAGAAATACCACGCTGGAAACAGAATTCAGGGCCTTGGGGAATCACTGAAAAGCTCGCTTGCTCCATGAATTACACACGCTAAGGAAACTGGACACAAAACGGAAGAAGAGTCATCAGGCCATCCAATGGTTGCCGCAGCGAATAACTGTGGCTAGATCATGTCAGCCGCTGGCTGTCGCTGTTCAATGTCCAGATTAGATTTCATATGAGGATCGCTCCCGGCGTAGGGATCAGAATTCTCGCTATCACTGTCGTAGCGGTCTGGTGACCTCTCCTCTGCAGGGGTCGTAGACCTGGAAGGGCCCATAGCGCGCCGGAACCGAAGCACCTCCTGTGCATCTGGGCTCGGGATGGGATAGGCAGTCCCAGAAGTCAACGAGCCTACAGCTACACGCTGCAGATGTCGTATATCGTCCTGGAGCTGAGACACCTGAGTTTCCAATGTTCTGCGCGCCGTTTGTTCTCGTCGGATGAGGGTGATGAGTGCACTGTACTGCTCTACAGTGATACCGTTCATGTCAGCGAGCGAAGTAGTGGACGGCGCATGCCACATTGGACTTCGAGCCTGGACATTAGGACGTAGTGTATTGGTACTCGCCGGCCGCCCTTCGCCAACGCCACACGTGGAGCTTCGGCCAGAACCATCGCTGCCGCCCGACTGATAGGACATGGAAAGCTGGCCGGCGGGATAAGAGCCCTTGTGATCCGGTTTCGAGTTTTTCCGACGGTTGTCTTTGCCTTGTAATTTCGCAATGGCCAATTCTAAATCGAGCAACTTCACCTCCAGAGTAATCACTCTTTGTTCCAGCGTGATGCTGTCATCATTGGGCATTGACCCTATTAGGTTCTCAAAGTTGTAGTGGGCGCTCTCGGCTTCAGTATCCGGCTCAGTCTCATCGGCCTCTGAAGGCGCGATCTCTCTCTCTTCCACGACTGCTGATGCACCCGTCTGAGGTCTCGAAGTAATAACTTGAGGTACATCCGCACCTAGAAAACTGGTTCGCCAAGATTTCCTCTCATCATTCCCCTGTATCCACTGGACGGGGGACATCTCATGCGCCTTAGCCATTTCCCGAAGGGCGGTCGCGCTTCGCGAGCGCCTTTTATCTTCAAGTTTTTGCTTGCGCCGCAGATCATCAAGAATCCTTCTTGCTTCTGACGGTTGCTCTGTACCGCCGGCCGCGCCGTCTGATCGGGTAAACGTGCTGACTACCTCACGGGCATCTTCGTCAGAAAGTATCAAACTTGGTAAGGTGGCTCTGCGACGTGGACGTGGCTGCTTATCGATACGGCCAGTGTTCTCCGTGAGGGTACCGTCGCTAGATTCAATGCCATGGTGAAAATGACCGGCCCCAGCTATTAATGATGCTGACCGATCCGCCCGGAAAGATTCAGGGACTGTGACAAATGTAGCACCTTCTGGCCCGTGGTCAGGCGATACGCTTCCATTCCTCCCAATATGTAACTCTGTAAAATGGGTATCGAATCCATTGGCGTCACTCCCGCGCTTTCTCCCAAATATTTTCCGCATAACAGTCTTCAAAGCACTCCCCCGCCGTCGTTGTAGATTGGACTCTCTAGATATCGAACTCGAGATTGAGTCTTGTTGATTGTGGTAGGACATGGTCGGGCCTTGGATCTGCCGTCGGGAGTTTGATGTTGCGGAAGATTGGGATTGACGAATTTGTCGAAGGTTAGACACTGAAGGGCGTTTGAGGCTCTGTGGCCCGAATCCATCGGGCCCTTCTCGAGGTATGGGAATCGGATCCGATATCTTGATATCGCCGCGACGAATGGCGACGCTGGGGTGGCTTCGAACAATGCCGTGTGAGGTGCTTGGGCTTCGTAAAGCCATATCGTATAGGAGACGATAACCAAGGGTTGATCGCACAAATAAAAAAAAGGTTTCTGTTTGCTCAAGGAATGTAATCTCGTGATAACAGGCTACAGTTGGCAACACGATTCCATAGTCATGTAAGTCCCCAGCGGACGAAGCTATAAGTAACAATCCACCCGTGGCCAAATCACTTGGAAGATCACGGAAAGGAAACGAGTGTATGAGAATGAATAATGGGTATGCTTCCACCTTTCAGCCGGCCTGACTATCGCCGCAATACAAGCGCACAGGCAATTTGATCGCTTAATTGAGTGCCAGTGGGAGTGGTAGGTGTTGCCGGGTGCGCATGTTATGGTTATGAATCGGCCCGACAATGAACAGTCGGAATCCTAGACACACCAGCGGCCATATCCACGAGCTGCGCAGGCGTGAGGCTGGGTCGACTGGCAGGCGTCTATGGTACTGGGTGACTAGCCAGCGGTCATTTTGTGAAATCCAGATAGGCCAAAGACGATTTGAAAGGAGGAGAAAAAGAAATACGCCGGGAGCGCAGGTCCAGATGTACGATCTGCAAGCATCACAAGGGTTCGATCTCCGTGCCGGGATCCCTCCACTCCCTGGACACGGTCAAAAACCGCTATGCCAATAATAATAGAGGGGCACAGATGACCTACTACTCTATGGTACTGCAGCGAAAGAGAGTTCGACCCTCAGTTCCTCGCGGCGGGAGCAGATCGACCAGCGCCATCCAGCACGGGGAACCACCGCACGAGCTGGAATGGACTACTGCGAACTTCGCAGCCGCCGAAGACCAGCAAATGGAAAGCTGAGTGGTCGAAGGCGCGATGACCGGATGATAATCGTCGCTAAGTGGGCCGGCGAACGAACGGGCGTTTTGGTCACGGCCCCTGCATCAAAGCACGGTTGGAGGACCGAGATAATGAACAATTGTCTCCTTAGCGAGCAGCAGCCTATGAGTATGCCCATCCATCGGCCCCCAGCAAGCCATTATTATTCTGGCCCGTAATATGTACCATGATGTTCGACAGGATCGCATGGGTATCTGCTCTTTTCTCCGGGAATGCCCATCTAATGGCGTACCATACGGCCCGGTCGAGCTCCTAACCAGGGATCCAGGGGTGCGGAGTGCTATTCCAAGACACGAATGATACGCGATATGCCAGACCCCCAGATGAGCTTGGCGAGTGGCTGAAACGACGCTTCACGAGGCCGGTTCCCATATGGCCACATGGCAGACTCCCGGCAGATGCATGCGATGAGCTCCGACCGAGTTAGAAGTTTCGATCAATCGGAACTTTCGTACAGTGTACGAGTCGCTTTTTGACTGCTTTCATAGCGATAATAAATCGCAAGCGACAAGGCCTGAAGCCGCAGAGCGTCCAAGAGATTCCTGATGGGCTTGTCAAAGTTCGTGGCGTATCATCCGCGATACCTAACGACAGTAAGCTGCTTGGGTCCGCTGCCGAATAGTTAATAGTCTCTATTTAGGTAACTTAGGTAAAAAAGTATGGGCATTTACTCAGATAAGGGAGCCGTGGACGGTGCAAACATCCACCTCCTGAGAATCTTATCCCCCGAACCCGGTCGACAATTCAATCGGAAAGCTGCTAGCTGGTCCTAGAGGAAAGCTACTGGCCATCGAGGTGGTGAGTGGTCAGTAATGATCAGTATAGCTTTCTGGAAGACCCGCCAGCAGCTTGACAGGCCGGCTCGATCCGTCATGAAGTCGCTTCGGACCTTCGGCTCCCGCACTGTCCATGCTCTAGAGTCTGACTCTGATCAGGACCGGCAGCTGTCAGCGTCAGCCACTGATAGTCGTTACTCCGTACCATTGGAAATCCAGGACGGAGCTGCCAACTACCATTGGAACCCTGAAGGAATCCAATAGTAGTATCAGGGGGGGAAGAAATACCATTGACCATATGCATTTTGACCGGACATTGCCACGGGAAAAACAAGAAGGAGCTTCGCTCTTAGACAGTGGAAATGGAGTGAGTCGTGGGTCCATGCCATTACTGAAACATCCTTTTCCCCACGACGGCGGCGCATGGAGCAGGAACAGCCCGTCCCCCTTACTCTAGTCAGGGACACTGCGTATTTCCGGCTTGTTGCCTCCACAGAAGAAAAATGAGATGAGTGACAACGTTGAACGTTGTGAACTTCCAGCGCTAGACCCCAGTCTCTTTTTGTCCTGTGGCTTGTAATGATTTTATACCGGACCATATGTGCTTCCAAAACCTAGAGTAATTCTCCTGTTGGATGACATGAAAGGCCGAGTAATAATACTCTACTCCGTAGTCTATTCCAGTATTTTTTTCCGAAATCGTTTGTTAGGGCCCCGGACTTTTTGGACCAGTGTCTGCCGCCGCATTTTGATACCGTTGGAACAACGGTCGCCGTAGCCAACACTCAGGATTCCACAACAAAAAAACGGTGGAAGCTATCTAGTTTGATTTGGATGGGGCTCAACGGCCCGCCAGTACGGTTTTGACGTTCCCTAGATGCAGGAGCTGTGAGTCCGCAACTGGTACTCTGACTCCGTATTATCAGTGTTTAACCCCTTTCACTCTCGAATTGTGGAAGTTTGCTACACCGATGCACTCCGGAGCCGCGAAGGCTAGGATGGTCATCCAAGTGGTGACAATAATGTTTGAGTCCTCGTGCGATGGTCCCCGCAGCGCGTCGTGCACAGCGAGGTCCTGGCTTGTGTGCACTACTCCACTACTGGCAGACACTGCCTAGGGGGCCCGTGCAATATGTACTTTCTAGCTTGATATGGAAAATTTCCACATTCCACTAGGTTGCAGGTTCGTTATCTTACTGCAGTGGGATAGTGATTTGGAGGCGCTCAAGAATATGCATGAAATTGAGTTCGTCACAGTTCCGAGGTAGGGTGCAACGGAGGTTCCGTATCACTAAAGCTGCCTGCTATTCGGATTTATGTTTGGATAATATGTCGTAGCTGCACTCAGGATGTTATGATTGGCGTTCCGGGCATTGATTTTCGTACCTTGAACCGAGTAAGCTCGAGCGTACCAATGGGTTGATCAGCTGCGCTGATGGCAATAGACGGCGCGAGGAGCGATACAGAACTGCTGGTACGAAGCAGTGATGAATGGGCCACCACTAATTCCTGGATATCTCGCAGTCATTTTCTCCCCAGAGGCTGAGCATCCCAAGATACCTGGCAATTAGTTAAGATCTTGTTTAGCCGTTACGCAGATCAGGCAACGCTCATCTCTTGATGATCTCCCAGCAGTCTAAGATATGGACAGGCTTTCAGGAGCTTTGTAACATCTCCCCAGCATCAGGGTACCGTAGGTCGGCATTCTCTTCAAGGAAGTCCATCCAGCGTTTCAAAAAGCCACTTCCACTGTAAAAGAGCACCAGAGATTAGCCTTCTTTGTCTATATCGGAGGAGCAGACTCCGTTGTTGGGGAATTCTCGGCGTCATCAAAGAGAAGAAATGAAATATTCATCTGGACACTTACCGACTGATTGTTTCCGAGTCACCGCAGACGCATAAATGACGTTTGGGGCGAGTCATCGCGACTGTTTGCGATTGGCATTAGCAAGACCACCTTATGTCTTAGCTGACGCAGGTACCCTCTCCGCTTGGTCCATACAGGCCGATCACCTATTCCTGGACTACGATCACATAGTGCCAGGAGAGAGCAGAGACCGCACCTCGACCAAAACTTTTTTTTTTTTTTCAGGGAATGAGTGGGACTTACCATTCAACCTCCGCTTCTCTCCAAGGAATCCAACCTCATGCTCTGGGTTGCTCCGGACAAGACTAACAACGACGGCTTCCTTCTCTCGTCCCTGGAACCCATCCACACTACCTAATTCAATTCCAGGATATTTCTCTTTGAGAATTTGAGACAGGACAGCCAGCTGTCCATTGTACGGTGTCACGACAGCGATGTCTTCCGGCTTAACCCCTGCTTCGATAAGATTGCCGACGTGTCTAGAAACGACTGCAGCTTCCATTTCATTGCTTTTGCTCTCCCCTAACAGTGCCTCCTTCTTTCCGAGCTCCTCATCTTCAGTCTTCTCCGGAAAGTCGCCACCTTGAGTGTCCCAAAACACAAGGGGCTCTCTCGTGTCGTCCGTGTCCTTCACATCGTATGGCAGATCCTTCAATAGCCGGCTCCTAACTGAGTCTGCAGCTACAAGTTTAGACTCGTACAACTCGTCTGATGGAAACCTCATGATCTTGTCGTGCATGCGATATTGAATAGTTAACATTCTTTTAATACCAGAACCGTGAAGAGAGAGTAGCCGATCAAATAAAGTCGTTTCTAGGGAGATTCCTGGTAATGACTTTGGTTCGTTCTCTCCGTCCTCAACTTTGTTGTCTTTTGTCTTGGACTTTGTGGCCGACTTTTGTATTGAGGATTTCACAGTAGGTGGCAGCTGCAAATGATCACCAGCCAGAACCAACTTCGAAGCCGATAAAAGCGGAACCCAACATTGAGCTTCGAGAGCCTGACTGGCTTCGTCAATGATGACAACATCAAATTTCTGATTCTTCAGTTGGTAACCTCCCGCTCCATGTAGAGTCGCCAGCGTTACTTTACTCCCTCTGACAAGATTGTCGACACACTTGGACTCACGTTCCCTGTACTCCTTTCGCAGCTCCTTGAGATCTCCGTAAATAGCCCGTCGCTCTCTACCGTTTCTCGTCTTCCGTATACTAGCTTGCTTATCATTAATTTCTTTGCGCACATCTTTCACGATTTCCGCAGCTTCTGACGTCTGAGTAAGCACTTCGAGAGAATGGTCTAACACGGAAGGCAAAAGGCGCGCTGGGTGACCAATCCTAACGATCGGTATCTTATGTGGCGCGAGCCGCTCAACAATATTGTCGACGGAGATATTGGAGGGTCCACAGACGAGCACGCGCAAGTTCCGTTGAACCATCTGACGGATGAGCTCTATCAGGGTGTGCGTTTTTCCAGTTCCAGGCGGTCCATGTATGAGTGAAATCTCCTTCGAGGCAAGCGCGAATCGGATAGCTTCCTTCTGGGAGTCGTTTAAGGTAGGGTCGTGAAACTGCACCGTGCCCAGGGAGTCGATGTCGACAGAAGAAGGCGAAGTATGGCCAAAAGCCATCCTCATGAAATAAGTATATTCTGACTCGGCCATCTTCTCCATTTTCTGCATGGTCTGGTTCATGCTGGAGACAATCAGCGCCTAGGCCTAGTATACTCCTTGCAGTTCTGGACTCACCGTCTGTATGTGACGTCGTTGGCCAATTTTATACTGCATATCTTCGTCAGTCATGATATCGGTCATAGAAAGCGAGTCCTACAAGCACAGCATGACAACAAACATACAGCCACAGCTTTTTGCCCCAGAGCTCTTCCACGCCTTCATCATCCTCTTTCGGACGGCCTCCGCTTCCTGATTGACCAAAAGCGATCCATACGCTTCGCTCACCAACTCTCGTGACAACGCCTTCAATCCCTTGTGCGGCATTAGACTTCGTACCATCCTTGTCTTTATCTTTCCCTGATTTCCTGGTACCCCCCGCAGAAGTATCGCTGACTCGAACGACATCACCGACTCTGATTCCATGGGCCCCTAGTCGAGCTTCCCCGCTCGCATCTGTCTGTCCACCAGCCGTCTTAGAATTCGAGGACATTGCGGGGTCTGCTGTAAATTCTCCAACAAGGCGACCTCCCATTCCTGTCTGGCATTGTGCCAGGATGATTCCAGTTAATGCATATCCTGTCGCTTGTAGTGTTCGACGCGTTGAAGCGGAGGCGGAGGCAGCTTTGCTAGCAAGTGCGGACGATGAGACTTCAGCTTCGTGCTCTTTCAACAGGAGCTGCTGTTGCGTTTGGGCGAATAGCGGTATCGATACTGGAGAAGCCGGAGCCATTTTGACTATAATGAGCAGCTAATGCTGCAGTATGCACAAAATATTGAAAGGGGCGATAACAGTCGAGTTTGTAATTACACAGATCTTGCCCACCTCGACGGTGGGGAACTAACCGGCAGAACCGACATTCAAATACTCACCGCCTAGAACACCGCCTAGAAAGTTGTAGATCTCGCACGGCGCCCTCCCCATTCTCCAACGCCATATATTGTTACCACAACAAAGGTTCATTTGTCAGTCAGGGCTCCAGATGACACAGTAGTACAGAGCTAGTCCACATTTATCCAGCTGGAGACTCCCTATTCGGACCATGGAGAGGCTCCATGGAGTTTTCAAAGAAGATCCCTCCCCGCTAAAGCCAGAAAGCGGGGTTTTTGCAACACCCTCCATCTCTCGCCTTATGGAGTTGTCAGGTACTGAATATACTTGTATGTACAACGAAAGAAGAGATGGCTATATGGTTTACATCAGCACCTTACGGGATTAAAGCTCTGTATATACTTGTGAATAATTATTCAAATAGAGAGAACATTCATTTGGCTAACCACACAGAGTTGACTAGGTACAATCCATTCAGTAGAACAATCAACAACTAGCTTCGCATTCCAGAATATTCGATAGTTGGCTCAAGCAGCAGCTTCCACCGTTGCTTTCTCACCAAACTTGATGTAAGTGTTAGAAAGTTGCTTGCGGACATGCTATATATACCAATTAGCTCTTGTTTCTATAAGCACTCCCAAATGCGGGGAAAAACTCACCTCTCCTGCCTTGACCGGCCCAGATTTAGCTGGGTTTTCAGCAGTGATACAGCTCTCAAGGACAGAGATAGTGGCGTCGTAGTCGACACCGAAAAAGAAGGGGACGGAGAACCGCTCTTCTCCGGTTAGGTTTGTTGCACGGTGAAGAGTCGATCTGAAGATGCCGTTTGTCCTAATTTTTGATTAATATGGACGTATTTTTTTTCCCTGAGACGGAATATATTCTTACCAGAAAGCAAAGAAGTCACCAATGTTGATGACAAACGTTCCAGGAATCGGGGGCGCTGCAACCCACTGGCCTTTGACGTTGAGAACTTGTAGCGCTGGAACCTTATCTTGAGAGAGGATAGTGAAGCATTCGTAGTCCTTCTTGGGATTAGCTGCTAATTCCGTTTCTTCTCGGAGATATAGATAGTCATACCGTGTGGGTGTCAATACCCGCGACCTCCTCACCAGGTACAGGCTGAGGAGGATAATGCATCAGGCGGGAGATGCAGCCCGGATGTTTCACGATACCATCGAAATAATCTTCCGGAAGCTGCAAGGCAAGAGCAAAAATCTTCATCATGCGACGACTGAGCTCAAGGATTTCCTGGAAGTAGGCAAGGTAGGTTTTCTTGAAGCCTGGCAAATGCTCTTCCTTAGGCCATTGGTTGCCTCCATATAGACTGTAGTGGTCTGGAGGCAGGACGTCATCGGGGCCCTTCTGGCTGTCGCCGGCAATTTCGTATCCGATGTCAAAGGCTTCCGACAGGTTTCCAGCCGGTTTGTCGCTGAGCTCCTCGTCTGAGTGCTCTCCATAGAGAGGGCTGAAACCGCGGAATTTCTAGAGGCAACTCAGAACTGGTCGAGGACTGACGGGAGAAGAAAGTAGTGAGTCTTACCTGCGAATTTCCTATGTAACTCTCCATCTTCTTATCCTCCGGAAGAGCGAAGTAGTCGTGTGCCGCTTCGTGGACTTTGCGAATGAGGTCTTCCTGAACACCGTGGTTCTATACAATATATCCCAAAGTCAGATAAATCCACATGGATGGTAGTTCTGATACCGCTAGTCAGACCTTGATGTAGAAGAACCCAACACGCGAGCAAGCATCGTAAATCTGCTTTGCTAGCTCCTTTCGTTCCTCGATATTGGGACTCGACATGGGAGCAAGATCGATAATAGGAATGTTGTCAAAGTCTCCCTGGACAATGTCCTTCTGGATGGCGATATCGCCGAAGCGAGTCTTGAGAGTGGTGCTCATGATGATCGTACTGGAAATCCCGGAAGGATATGGAATGAGAGAAACCGAGTATAGCGATGCAAGGAAATTATACCTTAACACTCGTCTTTGCTTGGAATTTAAATCTGTTTCTGCGCAGTCAGTGTCGCCGTTATATATCTACCCCGGTCCTCTATGTACGCCCCCCACTTTTGCGATATCGTACTGAATGTACTCACTTCCGTCTTGCTCGCAACAGGAACTTAAACTCAAGAAAAAACCGAAGGGGGTTTCCCTATCAGAGTAATAGTAAGATACAAGAAAGTCCAGGTTCTTGCTGGTACTCAGAATATTAACCTAAAGAGGAAGCCAAGCGGAGACGCCTTGCGAACAATTATTGTCTGGCAGATAAAGCTTTATCGCATGGGAATCTGAGTCCCCACTTGTCAAAATCCATATCTTATCTAAGCTTATACCTACCGTGGATAGCCAAAACTGTTCATTGGTGGTTGCAAAGTTCAAACAGAGAAAGAAACTTGACTTTTCATTTATTAATTCCAGAGAGACAAAGCAATAGCCAGCTTATCTCTTCGGCAATAGTCAATATTATCCAACAAAAGAATAGTTGATCTCTGTCCGCGCATGCCGCTAAATTACACCAGCGCTGACGATACTGATGACAATGTGGAGTTCAGATCCTCGTAACAGTATTGTGCAAAGCACAGAGTGCAATCCACTGGGAGCGTGAATGAGGTCTTCGCGAGAATAGCACACCCAAGACATGTCGCCCAGTTGTCATCGTCCGCCTGCTCGGCCATGGCGACGCCATTGCCAATCATTGCGTCTGTTTCATCTGTCGTATACCAGAGTTTGTAGGTGGACTGTCCACTATTATAGGTCATATTTACATTGGGAATATAGATGATTGTTAGTTTGTCGCTCTCTGTGCATCCGAAGAAGGTCGGTCGCGTGTTCAGTCCCTCGGCGAGGAAGATGTCAACAGAGGGGATGTAAGGCATCTTGGTCAGGTTGCGATTGGTACTCTGGACGTAGGTAGTCAGGATCTCAGATCCATTGGGGTAGTTCGCGGATGTATCGGCAGAGTTGTCATTGACGATAAGCACATCGACATCCCGGTAAGATTGCAGGAATGGCCAGATAGGATCATTCTGGTTCGCTTCGCCGCCATCGGCAAGGTACAACTCCTGCTGAGTCCAGACAGCATCAGCGGAATTGGCGATTCCGCTCGGGCTATTGTATCCGTAGAATGGGTTGGGATAGACAGCATACTCATCACGCGTGACGAATTCATGAGTCTTGTTCACAATTACGGAGAGGTCCTGCGCCAAGGATGTGTAGTTGTCTCCAGTTGAATTGCCAACCGTGACCGGTATGCAGACATTATTGAATAAGTTGGAAGAGGTACCCAGGACATAGCCGATGTTGTCGTAGTTGGTGATGCAAGAGCCATTACTCGGCTGCCCGCCGGACAGGGACGTACCGAGATACTCCGTAGGGGTAAATGCGCTTACGTCGCTATCCCATGATCCAAACTCATAGGGAGTGAATTCATAGATTGTGGCATTCGGTCCAGGGGTGCAGTCGCCTTCCCAGGTCTTCACGCCAAGCGCGAGAATTATGGGGAAGGGCGCCTCGAAGTCAGTGAAATTAGACAGGCCTGAAACGGACGACAGAGTGATGTCGACGCCTCCATCAGTGCCGTAAAAAAGCTGATAAGAAAGCAACCGACCCCACGGATCAGTTAAGGTCGGGGGGAAGCCTGCGGCTGCCTTCGCCTCGATATCGGAAGCGATATCTGCATAAGCAACTGCAACTAGCAAGTTTTCGGGAACCAGAAGGCTGTCCTGGAAAGCTTGTTCCCATAGACCCTGCTTTAATGAGGTGATGGTTGGATAATTGTTTCCAATAATAGAGGACAATAGCCAAGCACCACCGGACAGGCCTGACTGATATGTCAGAGCTTGATATAGGCCACTGGTGCTAATATTGCTGTCTCGCTCATCAAATCCCTGAATTACACCTGCACCGACCAGGAGGGACCTATATCCGCCACCACTGACGGCCAATCCCAGCTAGAATTCTAGTCAGCAGCGAATGATATTCTTGAAGATGCAGATCGAGACTCACCGTTGGCAAGGTGCCATTGACCACAAATCCAGGATTGGTCTTTGACAACCAGGAACTCAACGCTTTGTCAGCTTTCTGCTTTCGCTGAGAGACGTAGGATGCCTCGTTGCTGTTCAGACTATCGGCAGGCCGGACCAGAGACGAAGAAGGACAAGAGATCGGTGTCGGCGCGTATGATCCAGCGACAGCCTGAGAAAGAAACAGCAAAGTCGTCACAGCGGAGACGACAAAGGATCCCATGTTGGCTGATGCAAGGCACACTGCAGGTAACCCTCTTTCATGGATACCCTCAACACCGGAAGCTGACCTGGCGAATATATAGCCATGCGAGACATTGCGCGGGGACAGTGATCGACAAGACCAATCATTTGTCGTTTAGCAGAACCACTGTTGTTCATTAGCACCAAGCGAGAGACACGGCTCCCACGAGTGCAGTAGAATGTTCTCTATGGTATCGTGGGGCATATAGGCGGCGCTGTCCATAAGATCAACACGCCCGTTGGCCCAGTTCGGATATTTCATGGTCCGTCCGTCGCATTCCAGAGAAACGCCGGCATAAAGCTGATCGGTCATTTATTATTTTTTTTTTCGACGCCCAGCAGTGCCTCATGGTGGGGTCGGTTGATAGCCTCAATTCCGTATCTGCAGCAGGAAGAGACTAGAAGATCAGAGCCGTCCACGTGGGTTTGTAGGGGCCCAGGAAGTCATTAATAATGATAGTGAAAATAGGACAGGTACAGGCGGGTCACCTCCCGAGTCAAACGCATAAAAATGAAGCTATTAATAACCTGCATAGGGCCGCCTACTCAGTAGAGTAAGTAAGTACGGTATGAAGATAACTATCCTACCGTTTAGATCCCGCTAACCTGCGAATTGCTAACCGTAAACCAATAATACCCAGAAAACACGGATATAGCGCAGAAACTAACTTACTGGTACATATCTACGGAGTACTCAAAAAAGAGCCTAGTTTGCCAAGATCTATCCGGTGAGTCCGGTCTTCTGCCGTCAACTCCGGTCAAGATCTCAGGTTTGTGAGCGACCAACACTCAGCGGATGGCAGGAGTTAGGTACTCTTATATGCCCGAGGCTAAAGACGCACAGGCTCTGTATGAACTAATGATGTTGCTCTTTAGACGAAGATTAAGCCACCTAATAATGTCCCTTAACAGCAGCACGGCTGCAAAGCAGCGACAATACACGTCGTGTTGTTGTATAAATTAATTGTGCCTGGATCGTCTATCGCTGTGCCTGGGAATGGCTGTCCCGTCACTGATGCGGGGAACCGACCCAAGGTACTGGGACATGAATTCCTTATCTAGATAGATCAGGATTAGCATCGAAACCAGGATCAGCGGTTATCCATGATGTCTAATCCATCCTGCTTTACTTCCTAATTTCCCTATCTCCACATGCCTCTGGTAAACTGACGATAAGGGTCGAATAGCTAAGTAGGGCTGGCTACCATGTGCACATAATTAGGACGGAAATGCGTCGTACAGATTCGCTGCAATTTGCACTGACTGTATTGCTGTACAGTACACAGAAGGGGAAGCTGCGTAAAGAAGCCATCCACAGACAGCGGGAGGTAAGACACCAACTGCTATCTGAATCGTTGACCAAATACCGCCACGACACTCCTGGAGAGAGATAGCTCAGTGTGCAGAATGTAGAAACATATGCTTCACCGTAAGCATGTGTAAGGTCTGTTCAACTATTGTGAATGGCTGGGATTCAACCGCAGAGGGGAAAACCGGCTAGAATTCACTGTAAGTGAAGCCTTCAAGAAATTGCACCGACCGGAAATGATGTCATATAGGGAGGTGCTCACAGAAAGTACTGTGGAGATACTACATAGGCGCCAGAGGGGAGGATACATAAAGCACGAAGAAGCAGAAGGTCCCAATTGTTAGTTTGGTAGGGTATTGATGAGATGGTGCCACCCAGGAAGAGACTAGACAGAGAGGGAAAGATGAAGACGGCGAGAGGCAAACTTGCGAATGGATTCTTCGCTGTTCGACAAAAAAGTGGCCCATAGAATCCTTCAGGTACGAGACTTCGTGATGCATCTGTGGCCGAGGAATGGGAAGTCGTTGCTCTTTACAGAGACGTATCCCGGGCCCATGACGATCTGCTCCGCGGTGGATTCATATTCATGGTCGTCTAGGAGGTAGACTTGAAAGGAATGAATACCACGCAGGGCCGAAAACACCTGGAAAAAGCGTCGCAGATATCCGTTTCTCTCACTTCGAATGAGAGGCGAACCCAGTGTCCCAAGATCCACGATGGTGAGCGAGAGCCGGTCCATGCAAAAGTGTTCCTTGAAGAAACGAAGGAGGATCGACCAGGAAAGCTGCAAGGAACGCTCAAGCTTCGGAGCCGGACTGCCAAAAGATCGATGAGAAGGCGGAAACTTGACGATCAAATAACGTATCTTTGCCAGAGTTGCATTCGAGAAGGGGTGCAAGAACCTCATCATCTGGTCAGGGTTCTCCTGAATGAACGCAAAGCGGTTGCTGGTATAGAAAATCCCGGACGCGTCTTCGTACATCTCCCGGTTGACAAGGAAGTACGGAAGCGGTGACCTAAAGCAGGAACAGGTCGAGGAGAGAGCAGTCTGTCCGTAGGAGCAAAAGCAAGTGGCTCCGGTCATAGAGCAAGTTCCACAACACATCAGATAGCTGGTATCCTGTGCACGTTCGCACTTGTGGCTTTGAAACGTAGTGAGTCCGGCGCATGCCTTGGAGCTATGTATGAATGGATCCCAACGGACAACTAGGAGATGACGCCAGACCATAAGCTGTAGCTCCTTCGGAAGCTTTAGGAACGGAAATGGTTCGGATGTATCCTTAACAACTGTAGTTGCGTACTCAGCTGCATCTCTCGCCACGGAAATGACACTGGGTAGAGGCAGCGCATTGAAGTAGAATGAGCACCCAGCGAGGGCCGGGAAGTCTTCAAGGTTCTCGACAACCGCCATGGCAGTCTCGGGATCCTTGACTCGACACTTGATGCTGAAGTACCTGAGTCTAGGCATCCCAGTGGCGATAACCTGGGAGAAAGAGCGCCACAGGTTAAGACATGCACGATGACAGTCGACCTCCACCATGTCCGCCTTAATGGTCCTGTTATCGTAGGTCTGCAGATCGACGTGAATCGAGCGGATGTGCTTTAGACCGCGAGCAGCCGAAATACGAAACGTCACAAGATCGGATCGACGGCGCAGAAAGACTGTGAACTTGTTCTTGCTGTAGAATGTTGAGAAGGCGTCACGGTAGACCGCGTGTGAAACCAGAAATATATCAAGAGGCAATGGCGGATGGTCACAGTTTCTCGCGCCAAAAGTGGTGTTCCAGTTTCCAACCATATCCCTTTTGTCAGGGTACTCCAAGCAGGCAGAGCGGTTGTGATTCTTGGACCTCCCCTTTTCATAGACCACGTCGACTGGGCACGACCTGACAAGACCATAATACTCGTAGATGCGAACCCTGACCTTTTCTGGGAGATCGAGAAAGGTCTTTGAGGCGGCCATCGAGACTGCTGGGCCAGCTTCGACACAGGGATCTTCAAACGCCATATCGGCCATGTCCACGTCGAAGTCCGTGTCGAAGTAGTCCTCGTCGAAGTCGGATTCGATGGCCGCGTCGACCATGTCAGTGTCACTGAAGAGCTCCATCGTGAAAATACGAAAGGACTACCCCTTAAATGCGTGTCAGCTAGGGACCCTCAACACGACAATTTCCTTCTGATGCCTCACTTACTAAGTGGGTGTGTTTCAAGATAGCCCTTTTGACAAACAATGGCGCATGGGAGGCATGCGGGAGACGGTGGCAGGATAGGGAGAGGTCAACAGAAAAACGAACGGAGAAGACGGTAGTCCCATATAAAATCGGTGGGATGGGTAGAACAAGCGAACAATGGCAAGCGAGCAGTGAATAGCAGGCGATGTGAAGGGCATCACGGAGGCCACCGGCCAGTAACACCAGGGGACTCTTTGAAGAGACATTGGCCGCAAAGCTGCCTACAACATGCCAGCCAGGGCTCTATCACTGCTTTTCCACCTTAACCTCCCCAATAGCAAAGGATTTCTCATCCAGGGTCTCTTTCTTTCCCACAATGATGCCACGATTCCCTTTTGGAATCAATCCTTTTATTTCGCTCTTGCAAAGGCCTTTTCCAGCAACCTCGCACTCCCCACACCTTCTTCCCACAGGCAAGCAGACTGTCTGTCCCAAGCCAACAAGAAGCTTGTTGATCTCATGCCACTTATCCTTTGGTAGCCAGGATTCTAACGCCTTGCGAGTCTCTTCAGGGTTCTTGCTCTTCTGCCACCCCCACAGATTCGTGATACGATGGACATGGACATCGACTCCGATCCCTTCGTGCTTGCCCCACGCCGCACTCATGCAGAGATAAGCCATCTTGGGACCAACTCCCGGGAGCTTCATGAGCTTTTCAGCCGTGTCTGGGATATCTGAGTTATACTCATCGCGAAGGATAATAGCAGCGGCCTTGATATATTTGGTCTTATTGTTGTGAAAGCCAACGGTACGAATGAGTTCGTTAAGGCGCTCTGGAGAGACGGCAAGAATATTCTCGAGATTCAGTGTGCTATCCTTAGCCGCTACCTGGTCCTTACCTTCATCATCCTCTGCCTTGATGATTGGGGACGCTACAGGAGCGGTTTTCTGTTCTCCCAGCTCGGTGTGCAGCCGCTGCATGGCCACAGCAGTGACAGTGTCTTTAGTCTGGGAAGACAGCATGAGAGCGACGAGAGTCTGGAATCTCCTATCTCGAGGAGATGAACCTCGCCAGTACAGCTCAGCGCAACCCATGGTATCAACCGGGGCCGTGGGATTTTCTTCTCTCATTTTCTTGACTATTGAATAGATAGTCTCCCAGTTGGAAGGCGGCTGGACTACAACCGAACCATCTGTGGCAGTCACTTTACGCGCTGGCATGCGACGTGCTTTGGCGCCATTTGAGCTGGCCTTTGGAGTCTCCTGCTTTACGATAACCTTGCGAGGAGACCTGGTAGAAGCTGCTCTGGTCTTCCGTCGTTTGGCTGCAGGGGCCAATAGGTCTTCGATATCATCCGTATTTGCAGAGGAGAGCGAGGAGCCATCATCGTCACTGATTAGAGCTTCTTGTTTTGGCGGAAGATCAGAGCTGATATCCCCAGCGGAGTTTTCAGAAAATGCAAAGCTCTGCAAGGCATTAGAGGTAAGGGCACTGCGAGTGCGTCTTTTCCCAGGCGGAGACAGTGCCTGTAGCACTTTTGTAGTGTCCTTTGCGATCCGTGAGGTGCGCATATTGGTGGTTGAACTTTTCGAGATAGATTTTGCCCCCTGATTTAGAAGCACGCAGATTGGTAGAAGCATCCGCAGCCACGCGAGCGGAGCCTGCGGAAAGCTGAACTCGACCCACGGCAGCTTTCCTAGCCTCGGCACGCCGTGTTCACGGGAACAACGAGAGGCGCGCAGTCTGCCTTTACTTATTCCTCCCGAAGCCGATGGGAGGCATCAGAGACGGACCTCATCCTTCCAGCTATCACCTCACTAGGTCGTTTATCTCACCCGTCGCGAAAAAGGACAACATCAAGGCTCAGTGAGGCAGTTGGAGTCCCGCTTCAGTCATGGCGTCATCGCAATCCGCCCCCTCCTCCGCAACAACGCAGCGTCTTCTGCGCGAGCTGAAGGACTACGCGAAAAACCCAAATGAGGTATTACTGCATCTCCGTCCCGTAGACGACGAGGATCTGCTACATTGGGAGGCAGTCCTGAAAGGAGTCAAGGGGACTCCGTATGAAGGTGAGTTTGAGAGAAAACGTTCCGATCTCGGATAGATGTCCCAGCAAAACGCATATGCCATCACGTTGCCTCTATTCTCATTCTAATATACACTCATAACCATAATGATCATGATCAAAGTTAACAACCTCACTCTCTCCCAGGCGGCCTCTGGCACCTCTCCATCTCAATCCCGCCTAACTACCCTCTCTCCCCGCCGACGATCAAGTTCACAACGCGCATTTCCCATCCCAACATCTCCTTCACCAACGGCGATATCTGCCTCACCCTCCTAACAACCGAGCATTGGAGTCCCGTCTACACGCTATCCAGCACCCTATCTGCCATCCACCAGTTGCTCACGGACCCGCAACCCGATTCCCCGCTGAACGTGGACGTTGCCGCCCTGCTCAGAGACGGTGATATTCCCGGATGGGAGAGCATCGTCCGTTACTGGACTGAGGAGGAAAGATGGCAAGGTCAGGGGAACGCGGCGCGGTAGTAGATAGCGGTCAGTGAGCTTCGAGGGGAGATGGGTCTCTTGAGTACGATTGTTGACGGCCTGAACTATCTGATGATGAGTGTTACAGATGTATAACTAGTGAACAGTGCACAGAAGGAACCATTCTGTATTATGATGGATACCCGAACGGGAAATTAGCGGGTAAATACGAGACGACGAAATTTGCAGCCATACTACGATTTTCACATGGACATATGTATTTGAATTCTGAAACCAAGAGATAGATACTCCCACAGTCTAAAACTGCAAGAGATATTTCAAATTTGATTTGTTTCCCTTTTCAATGCATTATGTAGTAATAGCAGACTATATCAATTTAGCTGCTAGGACAAACAAACTGCCAAACGGCCCTGTGCCGCGTAGGTATGATATCATACGCAACGAACAACGACAACAACAACAACAACAACAATAATAATAATAAGGCAATAATAATCTCAGAAAATGCTGATGATATGATATGGTATAAAGGAGAGACGTGACATGGTCGTAGAAGAACTTCCAATGCTTTGAACGCTGCAGATGATGTATGATAAGGACCGGATATGGAGAAGAGCAAGAATGCTCATGTTGCTTCCCAGGATGAAGAGAGAGAGCGAGAAAAAAACAAAAAAAAAAACAAAATCAAAATATCCCCATGCAAAAGAACGCCGCTTTTTTTATGCACTAGTTCAGGAAAAAAAGGAGGTTGATTTAAGATGTTCAAGCGTAAGGTTGAATGGGCTTAGAGAGCCATGGCCACAGCCATAGCACCACCAAGCATCACCAATGCCTCTCTCTTAAGGTTCATAGAGGTGGCTGCAACGTTCTGCTGCAGACTGGGACCTCCCGTAGCGGCAGCAGTGGCAGCTACTGCCTCGGTTGGGTGAACGACAGTCACCGCAGTGACAGTGCTCAGGCTGCCGTTGGGAAGAGTGGTGGTGCTCTTGTAGGTTGAAGTGTAGGGTTTCTGAGTCGTGGACGGGCTCGACGAAGCTGAGGTCACGGCTGAGCTGGAGATGGAGCTGGAGCTTGAAGAGGTCGTCGACGTCACGAAGCTCGAGGAAGCAGTGGATGCTGCTGCAGCGGACGAGCTGGAGGCCGACGTAGACGTAGTGTCCGTCTTTGTGGTTGCCGCTGTCGTCTTGGGAGCAGAGGACGAGGCCTGGCTGGACGACGGAGTCTCGCTGGTAGACGAGTCACTCGAAGAGCTCTCGCTGGACGAGCTCGCACTGGAAGAAGGAGTCTGGCTGGAAGTCGGCTCGGCAGCGGACGAGGAAGAGTCAGATGAAGAGGTAGAGTCGGATGAAGTCGTAGAGTCAGACGAAGACGTAGCTGCGATTGGAGTGGCCGAAGAAGTTGGCTGAGGGCTGGTAGGATCCTGAGAAGCAGCAGTGGTCGACGTCTTGGTAGCGGCAGTCGAGTTGCTCTCAGCGCGACGCTGGGCCAGATGGAGGAGCACTGTTGCAAGAGGTGCGTCCTCCTTGTGGAGGGCTTCTACAGCTTTGCTGTCATGGTGGAAGACGCCATGGCGAAACTTGTCGGACAGAGTATGAATGGCTTCATGGATTGAATTCTCGTCGATGCTGTGTAGGAGTTCCTGGAATGACGCATCTGGCTCTCCTGCCTCATCGACCTCCGCCTGGGGCTCAGCAGCCACGGCTGCCAAGGCAGCGGAGGAGAAGACCGAGAGAAGGAGGAACTTCTTGAAAGAAACCATCTCTGATAAAGGGATTCCGTGCAGAGAGAGAATCCTCGCCAGAAGATGAGGGTGGCAGCAGCTGAAGAAAAGGACAAAGAGGAGCGTGAAGCGTCAAAGATGAGACGCTCTGGTGAATTGTACAGCCTGAGGAATGTTGTGGCCGTTTCCGTAGGTTCCGCTGGTTGGAGCTGTCTGCCAGCTTAAGAGGGAAACAAAGGCACAAACAACTGCACAGGTGTCACAATGGCCTTGTTTGCACTACAAAAGAGACGGTATAGGGGTTAATAGCGAGGCCAGGATATGAAGCAAAAGAAAAAAAAGATAGCCGTTGATCCTGGCGGCGATGGACAAGACTATTTAGGCGGCGGTGGAGAGACTCAGGATGTCGACAACGTATCAACCAGCTTAGGCCCGAATGGCCGGCCTGGATCTACTAGGACGACGCTATTAGCAGCTTCTTTTTTCTTGGATTTTCCATCATCCGATCCACCCTGGACAAGGCCGGTCCCGTCTATCTATCCTATCCCGTACAGATCCCGGACAACGTTGCTGACTCCGATCGATGATGTCCCGTTGATGTATTAATTGTTATCTGCAGACAGCATATGAGCGACAGAACCATTACGGTGTGTATAGTGACTATCTTTACGAGTTGGCTTGATTGATATTTTTGCTATTAACAGCGGTGATGTTATCCTCGGGGTGTGTTTATAGATAGAACCTTTTTTCGCCTTCCTTCTCGTACCCGAAGGCCGCATTCCGTGGTTTCGTCCTGAGTAGACCGGTTCAACCGTGGTGGGCAGTCCGATGCTTCCAACTTGTTCCAGCTGCTGGATCAGGGCCCAGCCTATCACCGAATCCGATCGTCCTGAGTGTGCGACGGTTGAGCAGAGACATTCTTAACTCAGTCCGTCCTCTCATCACGGACGGAGATTCTAAACTTATATCACTGGGGGTGTGCTCTGTCCGCAGCATGAACCAGCCCGTGTGTTTGGCTAACTGTCGAGCGATTCAAACTGAGACATCGCCTGAGCTGCGCCGCCTTTGGTGTTCCCCGCGCAGCGGAGCCAACTATTCTAGTGGATAGTAGTCGATTATTCTAGTGCGAACTGCTGCGCCTTACGACGATGGAAGACGTCATCCTCTGCGACGCATCATCCGGCTTGACCAGCAGCGCAGACAAGTTGGAGAGACCATGAAACAGGGAGCATCTAATCGTGTCTGAAGTAGGATCGAGTACAGCAGAGTCAGCAAAATCCATTGTGTGATTGTTGTGAGAGAGCAGACAATAATAATCCTCACAGCACATTATTGCCAATCAAGCACGCCACACTGAAAGCAGATGTGTCAAAGATTCAGAGTTGCCGAAAGCGAAGAAAGCGAAGAAAGCGAAGCCACAGAACGACAGGAATGTGGATGATTCGTGCGGAGTCGATGCCGCCCGAGAGAGGGAAAAGTTGGCGGTGGCAGACACGAGATCCACAGGCCAAGTTTTGATCCCTGGAGCCGCGCTTGGGCTTCTCACATCTCTCTCCCACAGCTGCACGAATCTCCAAAATCCACCTGCACCATCACAGTACTATCGTATGATATGACAGATGGAGAGGCAGCTCATTGACATCTCGGACAATAAATTTGGCGTGGTTGATATTATTCGATGCTATATCCGATCATAGTTGAATGATTTATCCCAAACTAATTACCCGATGCAGATGTCGCTTAACTCGGTTCCAATCTTTAAACACTAAAAATTACTTAACTATTCTCTGGCTCAGGAACGTATTAATAAGTTTTTGCCATCTCTGAATCAAGAGTTCATTCAGTTCGGTAAACTAAGAAGATTTTCCCCAAGTCTAGGAAAAATGGACTTCCCAATTGAGTTTGTCTTCGAGATTACCATGCATATACGATGTAACTTCTGATGCTTTTCTCCGCAAGTAAGACCTCGTATGATGTGGAGCACGGAAAATTCACAACGAGAAGCAGGCCAAAACTGTAGAAAAGGAGCAATAGGGCATATATATAAATCAAAGCAATGTGTCCTCTATCTCTGCGAAAATATTCCTTGATCCTGGGAGCTTTCTTCACTAATCTATCAAATATCTCATCTAGATACATCCCGGTCTCGCTGCATGATGGCATGCAGTGGCTGAAGCCACGAGGCTTGCGATACGGGGTTCTTCGTTCAGCCGTTCAGCCAGGTTTCAGATTTTAGGCCCTATGTATTTCACTGTCCTTCCTTTAGGCCAATTCTATTTAGTTAGCATTAGTTCTGATCTAAGACGACCCTACGCATATACGTACTCCATTATTAGGAACCTAGAAGCAACTTGCAGGTGTTCTTGAATAGCCATTTGAGGCCTTTGTTTTCAGGCATCATTTCTGCCCGAGTAGTTAACTGGTTGGTAACCAACTATACGATTAATAACTAATCTATTCCAACAAATCATCTCATAAACCGAGGGCAGCACGGATTTATTAGGTTCTTTCGATAGCTATCGAATGCCACAACTATGACTACGCGCTCAAGTCCTCAACGCAGCTTGAAGAACACATGGTTCAAAGATTCGATCCACTTTCTCAAGCTGGGAGCTCATGCCTGGGAGCAGGTCCTTAAAGATATCCCTCCTCCTCTGAAGTAAAAACTTTTGATATCAAGACCATAAAGAACCGAGCCAATTAAGTACTGGGATCCCGCATAATTATCGGACCATCATTGCTACCCCGACAGCCTTGCTTGGCGGCATATAGATATAGGTAGGCGAAGTCAGCGTATGATTCCATGGATGACGGATCTTGCTAAATAAAGGTCACATGACTGCACTGGGAGATCCTAGACTTCCTTGTTTTAAGGGACTATAATCCCGAGGCTGCTGCAGCAGAAGAGAGGAGAGAAGGTTTTGGCCAAAGATATTGGCGTCCAAGTGACTGTCTTTCAGAGGTTATATCTATCTTTAAACAGCATATTTTCTCTGTGCCGCGACGGGGTGATCAGGGTTATATTGGTTGTTGACTGGTGTGATGCCAAGTGAGTTAGTTCTATTATATTCACTCCTTCAGGTGAAAGCTGTATACATAATATACTAATAGCTCCTGGTTTTATAGTTATGAAGTCCCATTATCGCAAGTAGTCGATCTACCGTCGCATAATCTTCAAAGCATAATCTACTGCGTTAGACTTCTATTCGAGGTCAAAGACTACATATACCCACACGTTACTATAGTTGTTCAGCATAATATGAAAATGCCCCAAATAATGACCTGATACTGCGCCATGAATTGGCTTTCATTTTACACGCGATAAGAATCCGTCTAAATAAAAGTCTATTTAATAAGCAACAGCCACAGCCTGTAAGTTCTAATAACTCTTTCTATTCATAAATAAAAGCTTACCAGTAACAATTCAGGTTTTAATATTATCATTTGTTGCCCCCAAATATGGTCGAATCTTAGAAGCCTATATTAAGGACTAGTTTAGGGTTAAAGTGGCATATAGCCGTTTGTATAGTTTTGAGCAAAACTCTACAGCTCCTTTTAAACTATTTTACCGCTAGTTTTTAGGTCAGCCTATTGGTGTGCAACCGTCAGAACCAAGACCGCAACCAGGTTTCTGGTGATGCGATGAAGAAATGGTGAATTTTGCTCTTGTGAACTTCTTGCAGGCAGTTTGCCTTAAAGTCCCAGGCGTATGCTCCCGCTGGGTTCCAACAAGGTTCTCAATGCGGGCAAATTTTGGCCAGAGTGGCTATACAGCCATATTCTGGATGGAGGCCTCTGCATATTTGGAGAGCCAGAAAAGATAAATGCACTTTAAATCTTTCAATAGAGATATTGCCCTACCAGCAGTACAATTTCAAGAGGCATCCCAAATATGCGCGTGGCTAAAGCAAACATATCGCCCTGCAAGTGGAGATATTGGAAGGTACGTGAAGCTTATATAATAAAAGAATATAGGTAGAATACTGATATAATAACCGTTACCTTAGAATCTTCCTTGTCTCCCAGAATAGGATACAAATATACTTGACGCTGGGTACTCTTGATAGAAGGTACCTGAGGTATCTGACCTATAGGCGGCAGACCTTACAATTCCTGCGACTCAGTCGCTATGGCCTATGGGAGATAACTAGTGCTAAATGACCTCGGGATATGGAAGCACTTGCTGAGATCGTCTTAGCGTTCGTCCTTAAAGTTGGGGATGGCAAGTAGATGCGACAGCCGTCGCAGTATGTTTGACTCCCGAAGTATGGAACGAGATCATCTGGCATGTCGCTGGCAAATTGGCATTTTGAATCTCGATAATGTACAGCTACGAGCTGGGTAGGTCGTTAGAGTCGAGCTATTTCCAAAGTACCTAGTTCTTTTTCTGTGCCTAGCCTACCTAGGTACCTAGGTAACTCTTGGAGATTAGGAGACATAGTAACTTGATCATAAACTCTCGATTCGCTAGATGGGATAATACGAGTATTCTTCTAGAACCTCAAAATTAATGCGCAAGCAACAGAAGTGCGATTACGATCCAGTAATATCAAACCCAGGAAGCCCCCGTTGGCGGATATAGACAGTAACTATGGCGGGGCGGGGGAAATTCACGTAAGCAAAGAGGTAGATCTCGATGTCGAATCAAGCTCACATAAAGTTTCAGCCCTAAGAGGATCGTTAACGCCCCTTCTATTATTGGCGGGCTGAGTTATACAATATATCTTGTCCATCGTGCAATTCTCTACATGGCCACGATTTAAGATCTGTATTACGAGTGATAAAAATACTTTCTTGAGAGAAATGAATGGGGCGAAATCGGGAAGATCAGGAGACTTGAGGATAAGTCTGTGATTCTTGGCAGCAGGCCGTTGGCTAAGCCTAAGGTAGCTCGTGGTGGTTATGCCCTATGTATGTACCTAGGTACGTAGAGTTTAGGTATATGCTAGTCAGACATGGAAGGATGGACTAGAAATAGCCAGAACCCTAGCACGATACTCTCTCTGGTAAATCTCGGAGAAATTTGAAGAATGCAGCTGTGAGGGAGAGATGCAGAAAGATTGGTGCTCCTGCGGAAACCCGCAGTTTGCTATGTGCACGGCACACGCACTTGCCACGAGGATGAGCTCCACGACTCCAGTATCCAAGGGCGTCGAGTGTTATCGTTGCGCCGTATCGGCTATCGTATTATGTATGAACTGGACGGTTAGTATTCTGAGATCGCTCGACGCAAAGAAATGAATCAGAATACGACTGTCAGTTTGCTCCTATCTAGAATATATTTGAATTATGTACGGAATTCATTTCCAAAAAGTGGACCCGAACACCTCGAAAACATTACGCCTTCCAGTCTATATTCATTGTCCATCGTTGCTGTGATTGTAGCTATCCTGAGTAGGATCAGGATATCGCCATTCCCACATTTGCTGATCAGACAGCATATCTGCATCCTCCGTCCATAGGAAGCTCGACCAGTCGTCCCGTTCAGGATCCGCATATTCCAGACAGTCGAATGCATTATCTGGAAAGGAAAAGTCCCCCGACATCTGCGAGTCGGTAGGATACCCTGAAGGAAAAGGACTTGATGCCGAGGTGGACATGTCTGAGAGCATAGGTGCGGACGGAGGATCGATCTGGAACGGTTCTGTTGTCCCACTCGTAGTCAAATTCTGGCGGGCACTTTCATCTGCGTTGATAGATTCTGGTTGATCTTGCGATGAAGCGCCGCCTGCTATAGGATTACCGGCATTCTGGGTCTGCTCGGTTGGTGATGAGGCATTTTTAGGGCGTGGTGCAATGGGTACGAATGTAGTACTGGCTGGACGATGCCTGCTCGTTGCCTTCTAAGAAAGACATCAGTATCTTCGAATTTGCTCGGTTAATTAATCTCCTCTGCCTTTGTACTTTCGATGATTGCATTTCGGTTTCACGACGGAGTCTCGAATGCTCTTCTGGCTCCTTGCAGGGGCTGCTGCGGCATATAGAGCAGACTGCAAATGGACGGCCTTTCTTGTTTATACGAATCAACGGTCGGTCTGGCCTGTTTGTTAGTATGGGAAAGATGGAAAGTAAAAAAAAGGAAGGAAATCGTCGAAGTTGCAGCTGTTGTCTTACCATGGTGTTTGCAGGTTGATACGCGATGACCGCGGAGGCAAGCCTCGCAAGCCCACTTCTGACCGTCGATTATCATCTCGTGTTATTGAGATTCAGCCATCATGAGGCTTGAGCAGTACTTGATTTATAGGTTTACTCCAACAAAGAAAACTGGATTGTGCGATTGTAAAAAAAAAGGAACTGAGGGGGAAGCGGCGCCAGCTCCGCAGATTGCTTTAGTAGATCCGCAGGTGCTGTGGAAATAAGACTCGGGACGGGTTCGCTGTCGTCCAGCTGCAAGCTGTTTAAGTAACGGGTCTGCTAATGTGAGTAATAATAATACAAAAAACACGGACCCAGATGGTTTTCGTTTATAGTCTTGGTCTCTCATGTTACGTTGGTTCTGTTCGAAACGTCATGCTAGTTACAGCAAGCGCTTCTCTCAGTGTCTGTCCCGTTACGCCGAAAACATGGTTTTTTACCCATTTGCTGCCTTCCATTTGCTCCCTTGTACAGGGACCTCACGTCGATTGTAGAGCTTTTTTTTTATTTTTTCTTTTCCCGAAGCTGGTGCGAAAAGTTAGAATTCTGGGAACAGGTGGCGGTGCCAGCTGGTGCGTGAGGGATTTTTCCATGGCCTCAGGGGCTTCAGAGAGCTGTGAAGCTGCCTCGGCGGGCACGATAGTAGTGTGAGCGTCAGCCTGGGCGTCGTCCAGATACGGCATCGCTAGGGGTCTCTCGAATCGCTGGATAATTAGCATTTTGCACGTTACTGGTAGCTTCGACGGATGTAAAATTACCTGCCCGCATCGCACACCTCGAGAATGGGAAGAGTGCGCGATTTTGCCCCGGCGCATAGCCCCTTTTGGCACGCTCGACCCATCACCGCATCTCTAGCTGTTGAAAGTCAGTCAAAATAATGGCTCAAGTGCCTAAAGCATTTTTGGCTGCGAAGCAATGCTGACCGACGGGGACCGCACCATATTCCCGTGGCTTCTCCCAAGTTGTGGTTTCTACAAATCCCTCATAGATTTCTCAGCCACACCTTGAAACCGCGATCTGCGTCATGGCGCGCAGCATCACCCTGGAGCCTGGGCAGGGCGACCGATCAGCGGTAAGAATAATGAGACTTGATCATCCAGAACCAGGAAGAACAAGGAGCAGGAAGAACAAAGCCGCGACGTGGGAAAAAGTGAGGTCGAGATTTGATTGTACTGCAGCTGCGCTCGGTTCACTATGGGGCGGTGTAGCTCGATCGCGGTTGCCCTATTCCAGTCGTCATATCACAAACTAGTCTGCTACTGTAATTTTTATCGTGGCCTTTCTTCTTCCTCTTCAGCTCTCTCTCTACGCTTTCAAGGTGTAACTTCAACGCCAAAAGGAGAGCTTTAACACGCTGGCATGCATGAGCAGCTCGATGGCTCCTCATTGCCGCGACCGTAGTAAAAGCAATAACAAGGTGGAATGTCGGCATTTATTACACGATAAGCCACAGTCCATGATAACAAGTAGAGGTAGTTATCTACCACGCAAGCCTGAATCCTGGATTTATTGTATTAAATGCAGTCTGCGCATCGAAAACAAAAATTTAGCAGCTTGTTAAGCCGTGAATATCACAGATGCGGCAGACGCGTCTAGCAAGCATGCAACCTCATTATCGTTTCTGTTTAGACAAGGTATTACCTTGGCCAATTCTCCACCAGCCCGTATTCAAATAATAATTACCGAGATTGGAGCGGATAACAGTTGGTATGAAAGTGCCTATTTTTGACTAAACCCCTTTTCATGCTAAGGGTTTCTAGCGTCGTCCGTGGAACGGCGTCAAAAGTGCACCCTGGCGTTGCGGCGTATCGCATCCCATCTCAGCTTTGGTGCGCTTAAAGAAATAGAGCCGTCCAATTGCACTCTTGACAACGCGACAGACTTTGTAATCTGTTATCCACGATTCGATATGAGATCCATGACAGCTGACTACGACATATTTACTAAGTTTATACGGCTGTTGACTTATTCGATGTACCTGTCTTCTCCCCGAACCTACCGCGCAGACCAGCTGGTTCAAAATTGGTGGACACTTTCTGGAAAAGGGTGAACCAGCTGGAGAGACTAAAAGAACCAGGCTTCGCCTGATCTATTATTGAGTCCGATGTTAACCATAAATCAGAAGAGATGTCCTGGTAAGCGTTTCTGCCACGCTTGGACGTGCTGGTTGGATCCTAGCACTGCGACTCTGTCCTGCATAAGGAGTGATCTCTCATCGAGCTTACCCGATATAGCAGCCATCCCTAGATGCTATATTCAAAGTATGAACGAACGAAACATGAACCTAGCAGTCTTGGTGACAGAACAGAAAAGGTATAGTCTATTTCATGTCCAAATACTATGTACTACTATGTACAACTGGGCCGCTAAATAGCTCAAAGCTCAGAAGCCAATGAAATCAGGCCTATACATCAGAGGCCGGGGACGCAGGTAGGTAGTCAGATACTCCAGATTCCTGACTAAATTGATGGAATCTTATCTTACGTCTCACAATGAGAACCTAACCTTAAAGAGACCGCAAATCAAGCGTGTATCGCTCGCTATTTGCCAGCCCTACCAGATTACCCATGCAGGTTGCTCTCATTCAACGCGTGTCGGCATTGAGTGACGGGGTCTGGCACGAAAGCTCTTGCGCCATATCGAATTATACTTTGAAGCTAGTTGTAAATCAAGGAGTCTAGCAAATGGCAGCAGGGTTGTTACATACTTCCGCTTTCCTTGCGTCTAAGAATTAAACCAGATAAATACTCGCGTTATTCCAGAAGTCATCATATCTATTTATCGTAGCTGCTTAACACAGGGTATATCAAACCCCACTGTCGATCTCGAGTCACGTTGATTGAAGATAGAAAATGCGAAACAAATCTGGACACTGCAACTAACTAACTACACATGAATTCATTCAATACTGATTTATTTATTATTAATCTAGTCACTCGTTCTGAATTCATAAACAGGAATCGGGCAAAAACAAACCCCTCCGCCAAGAACAACGGCGCAGTCTTGGCAGGGCGCTTCCATTATCTCCGATGCCCTACTTAACTCCTACAATATTAAATACGCAAAAGGCTCTAACTAGTCGGAAGAATCAATTACCCCAATCACCCCAGTAATCTCCTTCATTCCCAACTAGAGTAGATAAATCGGGCTTTAGCAAGTTCGGACATAGGCGTAATTACTCTAGATTTGTAAGCCACGAAAAAGCACAATTGATTGTTCTACATTAGTGTCGGTAAAGCCAAGAAGACGAGCCGAACTCTAAGTCAAATAGAGCTATGACGAGTAGACTTAATTGGTTAGATGGTAAAGAAGCTATGCTTGGTGACCGTTGGCGTTGGCTGAAACTTGTTAAAGTGAGGAGAGAAGAGTGGAGGTACTTGTTGTTATGTAGTTCTTGTCTTGTATTATTGCATAGAGTATGCATAAATTGGTTAGTCTTGATAATCAAACTCCAGTTAACTTATTATTGTTATCGAACAGTCAACTTCTTTATCAGCAATCTGCGAGAAACAGTGGGTCTAACAAGCGATATAAATATTGCGGGGTATTTCTTTTCATCTCAGATGATTTCGTTTCAACATACTGGAAGTTCCTACGAACAAACTACAACCAATCCTTCTCTATACATCATAATATCCCACATCGATCCAACAAGCAAGATTCAAAAATGTCCACATATCTAATCACCGGCGCATCTCGCGGATTAGGATATACCATCGTATCCCTCCTCGCCACGCAGCCAGAGTCCGAAGTCGCAACCATCTTCGCAGCTGCGCGCAAGGATAATTCCACTCAACTGAAAGAGCTCAGAGAGAAGTATCCCTCACGGGTGAAATTCGTCCAGCTAGACGTGAGCGACGACAAGAGTGTCGAAGAGGCGGCGCGTTCTGTGCAGCGGGAATTGAACGGTGAAGGCATTGATGTGCTCATTAATAATGCTGGAATCATGCCTTGGATACAGGGAGGGGTGGAAAATATGTATGCGAGAGTTTTTTTCGAGTCGAGTCGAGTCCTATTTATTTCATGACAAAAATAAAAGGATAGGAAACCTCTGTACATGATATCAGTGAATCTAATAATCTAATCTTAGGGAGGATCTAAATGACACATTCAACACCAACGTTACCGGAGTTCATCGCGTGACGAGGCAATTCCTCCCATTGCTGCGCAAGGGCCAGCAGAAGAAAGTGCTCAATATGTAAGTTGAAAAGTACTTCTATCTTGATCATGGGATACACACCGAAGCTAACATGAGCTGATCAAGTTCCTCATCCGTCGGATCAATTACCATGGCTCCGCAGTTCCAGAAGATGCTGACGCCGTCATATAAAATCACCAAGGCGGCTCTGAACTCGATGACGGCCGAGTATGGACTAACGTTCGCTAAGGAGGGGTTCACGTTCGTTGCAGTAAGCCCCGGTGTGAGTACCTCCCTTTCCATACCTTGCCATGAGAGCGGCTGTTCTGTTCTGTTCAAACAGTTAATATTTGGCGCAGTATCTCAATACAGACCTTGGTGGAAGCGCAGCCGATCTGCCAGTCGAAGTTGGTGCGAGGGAGGTTATCCGAATCAGCAAGGAAGTCAGTAAAGAAGACACTGGGAAGTTTCTCGATATTCACGTTCCTGGATGGGACCCGAAGGGAGGCCCGAATACGTATACAGGCGGTGTTCTTCCGTGGTGATGCTCTGGGAGAGCAATGAGGGCAATTTAGCTCCCTTTACTTACTGGCTCGGGTTGCTGCAACTCTAGGTTAGAAATCCGATTCCACAACTGGAATTGACAATAGCGTAAATACTACAATAAATCAATGCCAACAGAAAAGGGAAAAAAAAGAAATAAAAGAAAATCCGAAACGTCAAACTAAATCAATACCGCGCCTAATGCCCATTCCGGCAAATTCATACGACACAGAAAATAGCTTGTGCGGTTATGGACGAAGCACGCACCCCCCACCTAAACAATACTTAATACTTAATCCTTCAAAAGCCCACCGCCCTTATATCCCATAAGAAGTAACAAAGTCCCCTCCCCTCCTACTTATCTCCTTGACTCTCGATAATAAATTTCAGAAAAAAGACCCCTTATCCCTCCCTCATTCCCGAAATAAATCCCCGAAAATAAACCCCAACCATCCAATTCCATCTCGAGACCTCATGGTCTAGCACTCACTAACTAACTAATCAACTAACCCACAGAAGGTTTAGGTGGCTAACTCTACGTAAGCATACTACGTATACACACCCAAATATACCCCATTAGAGGATTACGCAGGGGGAAAATGAAAATGAAAATGAAAAAAAAAGCTTGTTCTGTTTTAAGGTGTGAGTGTTAATTATTATTATGCGCTATTTTACCACCTTTTCTTTTCTTTCTGTTCGATCCCTCCTTTTCGTGGAATGTTATTGTTTTGTTTTTCATCCGATATCCTCCTGATCTTGATGGAGACGGGTGTACATCCACGATGGCGTCTATAGTGACCTACCGATGAGATGATCGAGTCATCCTGTCTAGATACGGGCCATTGACTCGACTTGACTGCTGGATGATATCTGACCCTATGTACTCCAGCTTATACCCAACTATCTGATCTACCTGGTATGAAGCATGTCGTTTGTTTGATATTGAAAGGTTAGGCGCTGACGAGGCCTCTAGATTTAAACCATCGCGAAAGAACGAGGGTGTCAGTCTTCGATGGCGACTCAGCTGTCCACGATCTGTTCGACTATCTACTCCGGCATTCTCGAACCTGGCGCACCACGCTGCGTACCAGACGATTGACCGGCTCACGAGAGATAACCGGTTCAAGGAACACTGCTCCAGCGATGCAACGCCGTCGTGACTTGACTTGTTGTCGATGACTACTTCTACAGTGCAGCATTACACGCATCGAAATCGTGATGAAGATTCAAGTTCGAATTACTACTCTACACGAAGACGAGTGACAGAAAAAAGAAAATGACAGATAACCGAGGGGAATAAAACCTGGCTAGCCAGCCAACCTCCGGATCCAACTGTACAGCGGATTCACATGAAGACTTCCAATTGTCGACCTGCGCTTCAGAGCCGACTGTGTGGGTTAATCTACCATACAAATCCAAACCTAACCTTCTAATGCTATGAAATCCCAAATGGAGAAAAAGAGTCCCGAATTGTGTCCGTGGGAAGGAAAAAAGATGAAACACTTGGTTTCCAGACTATTTCCAGTCTAGATCAAGATCATGGAGGCACCAAAGAAGGTGGAAATGGTCACAACAAGACCGCAGACAATGGGCGCCAGAGTCATCTCCGGAGCGCGGAGACCAGCGGCGGCACCCTTGGAGCTGGAGGAAGAACCGCTGGAGCTGCTGCCGGAAGAGGTACCAGTGGAGTAAGAGCCGCCAGAGCCAGAGCCCGGGGCGGCAGTGCCGGTGGAAGTGGCACCACTTCCGCCGGCGTTCTGGCTGCCGGAACCGCTGAAACCAACACCCTTACCGGCACCCTGGGTCATGTACTTCTTGGCGGCATCGGGGATAGCAGGAAGAGCGTCAGTGCTGTCGACGTTCCAGGCGGGGGCCTGTTTGGCAGGGCAAGGGTTGGCACCACCGGTCTTGTTGTAGCCACCGTCACCCTGGGGGTTGGGGGTCTTCTTGAAAGCAGACTGCAGGGCAGTGAAGTCAGGACGCTCAGTGACGCTGTTACCGTCGATGGTGACCAGACCATAGTTGCTACCCTCGTTGGAGTACTCGTACACGAGACCACCAGAGTAGACGGCTGTCATCTGGGTCGAGTACAGCGAACCGACTTCCTGGAACTCACGCTTGTTGGTGTTGCAACCGTATTCCGAGAGGAAGAGAGGCAGGCCGTAGTGGGAGAACGTCTGGACCTTCTGAGACCAACCAGACTGAGTGAAAGAGGAGGGGTCACACCACGAGTAGTCGTTGAAGGCGAAGAAGCTGCTGCGCTCATCGTCGGTACCGCAGTTCATGTACTCAGCCATCTGAAGACGGTTGGTGTCGATATCGGCCTATGGATCTCACATGTTAGCGTCGTCTTGGGGGGTTTGATCGAGATTTTTTCTTTCGTGACACCACATACAGCAGAGTAACCAACAGGAACATCACGCAAGTGTCTCTCACGGAGGTACTGGCGGATATCACGGGTGACGGCCTTGACATAGGGAGCGGCCGAGGAGGAAGGTCCATCGTTGATGACCTCGTTACCGGAGAAGAAAGCGAGAGTGTTGGGGTACTGGGCGAATTCCTCGACGGTCGCAAAGACATTCTGCAGATAGACGGCGTTGTACGAGGTCTCGGGGTCGGCCCGGTTGAGCGAGTACTTGGGAGTGTTGACATCGAGGACGAGGTAGATGCCAGCATCAGCCAACGCCTGCATACACTCATCGTGGCTCTTGGAGTTGTCGACGGAGTAGACACGGACGGTGTTCACGCCCAGCTCTTGGAACTTGGCGATATCGCGCTTGCAAGTGGTCGGCTCCGCGATGGGGTCCTCCAGCTTGGAGGAGCCACCGGGCTGGTAGTCGACACCACGGATGTAGAAGCGGTTGTCACCCTGGAAGAAAGCGTTTCCTTTGACGGTGATCGGGGTGACACTGTCACGGGCCTGGATCTGCTGGGGCAGGGCCATGACGGCCGAGGCGCCCACGGCGACGGCGGCCGCCATCGAAGCAACAGTAGCCTTCATGATGATGGATGTCGAGACAGGAGATCAAAGATGGAATCGGGACGGCTCCGGAAAGAACGGCAGACGAGTCGTCAAGAAAGTTACGAAGTGGCTGTTATTATATGAGCGACAGACGATGTGGATTTGCTGGCAAAAAACGACAGAAAAGCGAAAAGAGAAAAAAAAAAGATATGGCTGGGACAAAGAAGAGCGAATTGAATCCAAAGGGGTCGGAGATTGAAAAAGAACCGGAACGAATGACGGTTTTGATTCCTGTCAGAGGAGGGGGAGGGGGTTGGTATGAAGGAGGAGAGAAATCGAGGCAGGGAGGAATGAGCGAGGGAGGATGGGATTAAAGAGGAGGGACACACAGCATGATTGATTCCAGGAAGGGGCCGTGGTGGACTGTCACGACTCAAGCCACATCCCTCTTGGCCTCCGCAACGCTTTGATTTCTTCTCTCCTGACGGTGGACCATCGATCATTATTATTGTCCAGTGTCTGGAGAGGGGATGTTGCAACAACAGTATGGTACAGTACCATACCCGGGATGGCAGATGAGTCCTGAGCGGAGGTATGTACCAATGCCGCCAGACAGCGCGGGCGGAGGTACTTCCCGTGCACCTCCACCGGGGCGTAAAAACGGCGTATTATTGTTACTGTTCAAAATAGGATCAGCCCGATCGGCCCAGCAGATCACGGACGGGTTGGCCTGTGGGAGAGGAGACAGTCGGAGAGTCCCTTTCTCGGTGGCGTGCAAGGGCTCGTCTCCCAAACGGGCTGCTGGATTCCCGTCTGGGCGAATGTCAAGCCTCCACTGTCCGCCAGGAACAGGGAACGATGGGCAAGTCGGCGCCATCTGAGTTGTCAATCGTCCATTGTTATTTATTATTGTTCGTTCCCGCCGTGGAGCCCTTGGCACGTCTTTGCCCGATCGGGATACACCATCGCCTGTGCCTTTTCCCGCCCGGAGTGACGCGTCATCAACTCAAGACTGCTGCCACTGTCATTTATCTATGGTATTATCTAGTTAACTATTCTTCATTTCTAACTATGCTACTCTACAGGATGCCTCAGGAGGATTATTCTAGTACTCTATTCTAGTCTGGAGTAACTACCTCGAATCTAACCGTGGCAGTTGGAATTATGCGAGTTTGATACATCGGCCAGGATGCCTGTCTGGCAGCAGACAGCCTCCAATCGTCATGGGCATCTGAAAATCTGCATGTCCATCTATAGCAAGCTGCATCTAACCAACTAACTAACCGACCTCTGAACAGGTTGTTCTGGCAATCCAATGCTTCTGTCCCAGTTGATCCCCGCACCGCTCCCAGTTATGTTGACGTATTATCATAACAGCTGTCATGACTCCATCCCCAGCCCTCTTGAATCTGGATGGATCCTGCATGACAATTACGATGGGGCATGGTATATGGTAATATTTCCTTATCCCACACACTGCAACAATTATAATCCCGCGCTGCGGATGTAGAATCCTGTCGATGGCGGTCGCCGGCTAAAAATAACTTCTCGGGATTTTGTCGTGTCTGGACTTTCTTGGTTCTCTGGTTCTTGGTTCTTGGCTCTTGTCGCGTGTCTCAGACTTTCAGCAACACTGCAATTGGCTCTACCAATGAGTATTCCGCACTGCTCAGAAACACGAACAAAATCCGGCTCAGCCCTCGGCCAATTTCGTTCAATCCTGGACGGTCCGTTGAGACAGCATCCGAGAAGTCTTGCTGGACGCCAGAAACTAAACCAGGCTCTCGATTGCCCACGGGAGAGGTGAAAGCGTCGATCACTCCAACTCTTGGCAGACTCGAGACTTCCCGAAATATTATTTAACTCCACTCCGTTTCAGGGATCAATGGTCCCACTGTCATCTTCTAGATAGAGACTTTAGATTCTAGAAGATGTACTCTCTACACTGGAGGAAGTGTCAGCACTATCCATCTTCCGCTCAGTCCATGGCTGAGCGAAGTCAACGGGATAGAGAACAAAAAAGTAATATCTGCAAATCGGTAACTAGTCGATCGGAATTATCTTACTCCCTGTACAGATTGTATATATACACTCTTCTTTTTTGAGTGCGGTTTATTGAATATTGCCGGCAGAAGACTGCATCTGAGTGCAACGTACTCTATGTTACACCAGTAGGCGAAGTTCTCCTCCCCGCTGCAACGTAGACCGCCATGGAGCTCGCCAAACCGCGGTGAAGCATCAGGCCCCTAGCACTCTTGTATAATCATTGCTTTCTATGTGAAGATTTCAGTATACCTGATCTATCTATAGAACGCGTCAGTTTTATCTTTTTTCACATAGCTGTCAAGATGCTTGACACTTGCAACAGATCAACTTAGCCCCCATAGCCTTTCGAACACCACTACTTAACATCGACACAAAATGTCTACCACCGACAAAGCACTAGAGATCATCTCTTCAGCGAATCTTTCGCCAACTGAACATCTCCTTTTGAAAGGCTTCGTCAATGAAGCTGTAGACTCGGAAATTGCTGCAAAGTATTTGATTTCAAGAATCATCCAAGATAATCGAGAAGATATAGAAGCCAGTCTGCGTGACTTCAAAAGTGACTGGAGAAAGTTGGCAACGAGGAGTAAAAAAATCTTTCAATTTGACTAGATATTGCTTTCTTTTGCTGAATTGTTGTAGCAAGCGCTTTTGACCCAATTCCTAAACGTCTGGCCGCTTTGGTTCGTCTTAGAGATGGTCCTAGATGCTCCGTCACCAAGGAGCCGCGCAGCAGCTCGATGGTTACCACAGAGCCCGCATATGTGATCCCTCCTTCGTTGCTTCATGATCTTGAAAAAGAGGAAGAGGTGAACTACGCTTTGTAACCCCTTCAGGTTGTGACGTCTTACAAATGTACTGTACATAGGGACGTCTGTTCCTGATGCTCGAAGCGCATATATCACCGCCCTATGTTGAAAAACTGCGGATTCAACTTTCCAATCAAGAAGGAAACGATGAAGATGCCTTGCGAAATCTCTGGCTTCTGACACCAAGCGTCCACAAGGCTTTCCGCGAAGGTCACGTAGCTGTAACGGTAGCATATCGACAACTTGGCGATGCGAAATCGATGGACGAACAGAGCCCGGACGCCACGGTAAGTGATACCATACAAAAAAGCCACAAAACCTCTGCTAAAATTCTCATACATAGTATAAGCTAGCGACCATGTATCCCGAAGAGATCCTAGGTCTTCTCCTCGGAGACGGAACTGCACTTGAGCAGACAAGACGCTTTCAATTCTCCACACCCGATGCTGAGACTCTACCGATACCAAACTTCTTTCTTTTTGGGATTCATCGCCGATTCGCCAAAGCACTACACCTCTTTTACATTGAGGATAAAATCCCTCGTGGTTGGCCTCAACCACCCCGAGGTACGTAGAGCAGCTTCTTATGCTGTTACTCTGAATTGATTAATAAACGTATTAGACTTCTTTGCATTTGACTTTCCCATTCTTCGACAAACTTTCCACCGCTTCTGGCTTTACATACCGTCACGCGCACGCCGCCAGTGCTATATACTGCTCCAAAAAATCGGGAGATGGCTCTATGGCCCTACGATGGCGGTGCACGTGCATCGGCTGCCATTTGGCCTGATTCTGAAACAGTGCGTTCGTACTCATCAGAACGAACCTGTTTCATTCAGGCTAGTTGAACAGTACACATCTATACCAGCACCTCGCGTAGTCGATGTCGGCGAGTACAACGGCACAACATATCTAGTTGTGACCCGGCTACGTGGACAGATGCTTCACGAAGTCCCCCATCTATTATCATATGCGGAGCGCGACCTCCTCGCAGACACCCTCACATCTTACATTTCCCAATTACGACAAATCCCCAATCCTACTCAATTCTTATTTTGCAACGCCCTAGGAGGACCGGTTTTCGATCACCGCATCCCCAACGGAACCGGAGGACCATTCAACTCCGAATCTGAGTTCAACGACCATCTAACAAGCCATCTCAAATGCACATCAGCCGAAGCTCTCGGCGAAGAGAACGTTCAGCGGGGCCATCGCTCGTGCTTTACGCATTGTGATTTCTATCCTACTAACCTTCTCGTTGATCGTGGACGGTTAAGTGGTATTATCGATTGGGAATGCGCAGGTTATATGCCTGAGTATTGGGAGTTTACTAAGGCGATGTATGGGACTCTTCGAGATCCTGTTTTGGAAAGTATTTTTCGACGTGCGTTTGGATATCGCTATGAATCGGAGCTCGCGGTGGAGAGAAAGCTGTGGCGGTATACTCCGTTTGGGGTGTAGGGTTGAATGAGGAGTGGATGAAATGGATCTATATTGATTTTGATATGGTAGTAGCGGATTGTATTTTATGTGATCATTCAAGGCGTTTTTAAAGGGCAAACTCATCTCGTTCAGGCAGCAATTACTAAATACAGCGCTAATCGAATGATGTTCTGAGAACAGAGAGAATTGATTCTGGTAAATACAATTCTCAGAAAAAAATGAATATTGGACATGATTGAGATTCAGCTGTACCTCTTAGACAAGAAAACTGACAGGAAATATTGACAAGTGGCGAATTAGAATCAGATTGCTAGTTAGGGACGAGAACCATGAAGTAGTCATAGTAGATTCCCCCCGCCCTCCAATTCCACCAAAGAAAAATTGTATTCTAAATAAGCACCAGTAGCTGAAATTAAGCATGAGGTCCGCAAAATTATGCTTCTCGATCTCCTAGGTGAACTGTTTTCGGGAGGAGTCTGCACCCTCGGGGATAGATGCTTGATAAAATTCCAGCGATTAGGCGTCGCGCCATATGATCTTCCTCACCTTGGTGAAGCTCTTCAGGTCCTCGCTAACATCCTGCCGGGACATAGAGGGCGACTCCACATCGTGCAGGTGCACATCCTCCAGCACATCTTTATTACATTGCTGCAGTAACATTCGGAATTTCTCGCGTGTGAAAGCAATGCGCCGTAGTTTGAGAGTCCTCAGATGTACCCACGTTGTTTTCCCTAGTGGCAGGACAAAAGCTGCAGGGCGGTAACCATCAATGCACAAAAAAGACAGTTCAAGCTCCTGCAGTGAGGCCACATTACACAGAGCGTTTGTTAAGAGTCCCACAGATTCAATGTCGTCCTCGATGTCGTCCCTGTCCTTATATGCTTGCTCGATATGGACACGAATCGACTTCGTATCTTTCAGAATATCACCAATGCGAACAAGACATTCTGGGGACATCTGGAATGCCCTGGGATCAAAGATAGCCTCATATATATCCAAGCAAAACTTTGCGGGATGCACAGACAACATTTCCATAGTATCAAAGATGTCGGCGATCAGCTTCCAAGGAGTTGCAATATTTGGACCAAATTCCGATCCGGACCACATAGACGCTGGTATGTAACCCGATTCCCAAGCCAGAACCAGGTGTCCTTTCTCATCGACGTGTCCTTCTTCTTGAACAGAGTCGTCTATGCTGATTTGTTGAAGGTTGTTCAGCCGTTTGAGGATCTCAGAAAGCAGCATGACCGGCTTACGCTCCTGCTGGTCACAGTACAACTTCTGGTAGTTCTGATGACTCTGCTGCAATAACTTCAAGTTCTGGTCAATGTGATCGATATCGTAGTCTCCATCTCCGACTGCGTCCCATGTCGACAAAATCCGACTGCGTTCTTCTTCTATCTCTTCGAATATTTTTCCAGTCGTAGAATCATGCCATATTACTATCATAGAGAGTTCTAGGGCGTAGGCACGGGAACGGACAAAAAGTGAGAAGTCCTCTAGCATTGCAGGATCGTAACACGGGAGAGCTATCGTGACATGAGTAATGGATCCTGCAATACTCGGGTTCTGGGATAGTCTCTCCAGCCGCTGTAAACAAGTGCTCGAAAACTGAACTGTGATTTTGCTGAATAAAAGCGGGATCACCAGTCTGGCGAATCGTCTGCACGTAAGGCGAATATTAGCCCAAGCATAAAAGCGGCGATACCGGTAGTCAGGCCTGTCAAGTTTCTGGAGGCACATGAGGAGTATCTCTGTTGGCAAATCTTGAAGCGACATTTTCTATCGTCTCTGAGAAAACGCAGGAGAGTTATTTTATGACGTTGATACTGTGTGGTGGAAGAGAGAGAGAAAGAGAGATGTGAATTTCAATGTGAGGTGTAGTGATTTAAAAGCGCTGGGTCAGATAGACGCGTATTGAAAGTGTTGCTGGGCTTCAAGCCTGGTTCTTTGTTATGAGTTGGAGCACATATTGCTCTTGCCGACTGCAGAAACAATATTCTCTCCTCAGTCAAGCGAAGAAGATACATCGATAGCACCAGACGAAGTCTTTTCTAGGGTCTCATGCACCTAGGAAGCTTGTGTTCAAGTTCTGCCGTATTTGTCGTAGACTCACTCTACTGAAGCGATAAGCAGAGCCTCTTGGTTAGATAGGAGATGGGGAAACCAATCGTGTAGGTAGCGGAATAATCTGAATTCAAGGGAAGAGTGAAATTGTTACTATAGAAATTAAAAAAAGTAATCGAGATAAATCGTGCTAGTTATTTCATATGCATTGTGAAAGACAGCTGAATCCTATCAAGTACTTTCTTTTAAATAGAAGATCAATAGCTTAGACGTTTGAATGATACCCCGCAGCGGAAATGAAGGTGATATGAGAGATCATTCACTATCTGGTCGAGAGTATCGTCATTAGCTGCCCGTCACCTTTTGTAGAACAGATAGCATATTTTGATAGTGGCTCTCGCAACTCTTGAAAAAAAAAAAAGTAGTTACGGCTATAAAAGAGACGGGGACAAGAAACCTTATATAACTAGTCCTGTTAGGCTCACATTGACTTTCAGGAACGTGGGATCCTCGGAACTTTGGATTCTCATAGTTCATCCCACCACGGATTTCCACCCTTTAAGCCCAGAGTACGCAGTAACTGTCAAGTACTGTACATTTGACACTTTTTCGGGACACGCGCGGGTGAGAATCATGAGGCGATCCACCGTGAAAACAATTTGTCGCCTGCTGTCCACTGCATAAAATAAAGGAAACCAAACCCATAATAATTGATGGGTCTATGTTGTGTAACTCCAGATCTCTGGATCTACTTCGGCAAGCGGCATAGCGCTGTGGCACCGAATACGTGGGAACTTGGAAGGGTTCCATTGGGTATGGAGGTACGGATATCAAAAACCTAAAGAAGCATGTTAATTAAATGCTGAACCGATGCGGTAATCGAGATGGCGCTAGAGGGAATAGCTCTGAAGAGTAGCGGATTGTTGTTGGGATGTATCATTCCTAGCACCGGATAGAGTACAAGCTAGGATCTCGCTTCTGACGTCAAGCGCCATGGCGATGCAAGCCACCCCTAAGAGAACCAAGGACTGTCAAAAGCCATATCACTGATCGACCTTCTCAGTTGCTTTCTAGCCTTCAGCTATGATGTGCAACCAAGCCCACATGTTCTTCCCAGATTTGAGCGCTGCATGCGGACAAGTAAGAAAGAGGGCCGTGGCTTGGCAGCGTGGCTTCCATGCCAGCATTCTTTCTCCTAAAATGACTTCAGTCTGCGGAAAACCTCATCTTCATTTTCTCTTCCCTCTTCATATTCTTACTCGATCGACGGCCTCGACTACACTGTTGGGCGGTCACTATGAGCGGGGAAGCAGCTGGTTATTACAACGGGGGGTATGAGCAACCTCAAGCTCAGCCCCCGCCGCAACCTGAGTATGCAGCTCCAGATTCGAAGAAAGAGGAATACCCCCCTCAGTACACAGCAGGCGCGCCTCCTCCATCGTACGAAGAAGTGTTCAAGATCGAGAAGCCAAAATTCAATGATATATGGGCAGGACTCTTGGTTGGTGTCTTTCGACATATGCGACCAGAGCTTTTCTAATAGATATTATGAACAGTTCATCGCAAGCTTCCTGGGGTTTGTTGCAGTGTCTGGTTACACGATCCACAGGTATGCCAAGTACAAAGGCTTCAATGGCGACGGTATCTACGACTCATCGAATACCTTCTCGCTGGATACCAACACACTGGTCTTGTTTGTCTTCGTCCTCTGTATCGCCTTAGCCTTTTCCTGGGCCTACTTCCTGGGTGCTCGATACTTCACGAAACTTTTTATCTGGGTCACAGGCATTCTCAACATCGTCTTTGCCATTGGAACTGCTATTTACTATCTCGTGCGACACCAATGGGGCGCCGGTATCGTCTTCCTGATTTTCGGCGTCTTCGCCATCATATGCTTCGTCAGCTGGATTCCCCGCATTCCATTCAGCGCTCTGATGCTGCAAACTTCCATCGACGTCGCTCGGAGCACCGGACACGTCTTTTTCGTGAGCCTTGTCGGTAGCATCGTGGCCGTCGCGTTCTCTGCTTGGTTCTCTGTGACGCTAGTCGCCATCTATGTGTCGTTTGAACCATCCAGCAATGGGGATAATCCAGCCTGTTCCAGTGGTGGCTGCAGCAGAGCCAAGGTGATTGGTCTGATAGTTTATATTACGTTCGCCATGTACTGGTTCAGCGAGTGGCTCAAGAACACAGTTCATACAACGATTGCTGGTGTCTATGGCTCGTGGTATTACTACAGTCGGGCACCTGGCGGTCTGCCCAGAGGCGCTACTCGCGGTGCCTTCAAGCGGGCGACAACCTATTCTTTCGGTAGCATCAGTTTCGGAAGTCTGATTATTGCCTTCATTCATATGCTCCGTCAGGCGTGTTCCGTGGCCCAGCAACAGGAAGCCCAGGACGGAAACATTGTCGGGAGCATCTTCGCCTGGATCCTCAGTTGTTTCATCGGGTTCCTGGACTGGCTTGTGACCTTCTTCAATCGTTATGCCTTCTGCCACATCGCTTTATACGGAAAGGCCTATATACCATCCGCGAAGGACACCTGGACGATGATGAAGGACCGTGGAATGGACGCTCTTGTTCAGGACTGCCTCATCGGCCCTGTGCTGACCATGGGCTCCGTCTTCGTTGCCTACCTCTGTGCGTTGTTCTCCTACCTGTACCTGCAATTCACCCACCCTGCATACAACAGTGGTGGGAACTTCACGGCAGTGATTATGGCTTTCTCCTTCGTTATCGGCTTGCAGATCTGCCAGATCTTGCTGACGCCAATTGGGAGCGGCGTGGACACCATCTTCGTCGCAATGGGATGGGATCCACAGGTTATGATGCGCGACCACCCTGACCTCTATGATCGAATGGTCCATTTGTACCCCCGAGTGCAACAGTACATTCACGCATAATCATTGGTGTTTCTCCGATGAAAAGGGCCTGGAGCTTTTGAAATAGCCTTGCAAAGCTCCTTAGTATCTATAATAATACCAAGATCGTTTCTTTTCTTGAACTTGGACTCTTCTTGATTAGTCGTCTAACGTAATGCTACAATTATGATGGCACATGGACCAGTAGATATTGTTGCGCAAAGTTGAGCCTCGGCGGTGCAGGGAGCGTTTCCCCCGCACTCTGGTGGTTGATCGGCGCTATGCAGATGGCTTGGTTCTAGTCATCTTTTCCAGGCCAATGAGGGGATATTTCCCCGGATTCTGTGTGCATTTACTGGACAATGCTCTTCATGCTCTAGAGCATTGGACGGTCGAGCCTCGAGTCGAACCGAGGTTCACACTTCGGTTTGAAGACTCTGAGACTTTCCCTCAAAACCAAAAGCTAGAGTTGTGACAATAGTTGCTCTATCTATATACTGCATCGCAAAACTTCTTCACCATCTGGCCGGCAGGATTGAAAACCGAACCTGGTTAACTGGCAGCGATTATAGACGAGGAGATGGATATATTCGCATCTGAAAAGACCGCTGAGATAATCGACAGGGTGCAACGGGCGTGGAGGCAAACGACAGAGTCGTGTTCTCCTCAAACAATCGAGTTTGTTGGAACACTTATCGTCCAAATCCTGTTCTTCTGGGTCTTATGCTCCATCTACCTGTCCCTGGATGCCTGGGCCCCGTCATTCTCGCACCGTCATAAACTACAACCGATCCCGCGACAACCTTCGAAGCGAGATATATTACAGTGTGCGAGGGTAGTGGCACGGAATCAGATAATGTCTGCAGCATTCCATATCGGCCAACTTTATATCGCCAGCCATACCAGACTAAATCCATCATCTTATCGCGTTGAATCATCGTTCCCCCCATTCTCCGAGATCGCAGTGGATCTGACTGGCTGTCTCCTCATGCGCGAAATCATGTTCTACTACGTTCATCGTATCTTTCATAATCCAAAGCTTTACGGACCCATCCACAAGCAACATCATCGCTTCACAGCACCTATTGCCCTTGCAGCGCAGTACGCGCATCCCTTCGAACATCTCGTGGCAAACGTACTCCCAATCTCACTGCCGCCACAGCTACTAGGAAGCCATATCCTTACCTTCTGGATATTCCTCGCATATGAGCTTTTTGAGACTGCGACGGTGCATAGTGGATACGATTTCTTCTACAGCCTTGCGAGGACGCATGATTTGCATCATGAGAAGTTTAATTTGAATTATGGGACTATTGGGTTGTTGGATTGGTTTCATGGGACGGATAGATTGAAGGCTAAGAAGAGAGTGGATTAGGGGGTGATTCTATGCTATTTAGCAATAAAGAGGGGGGCTTGATATGAGACTATGCGATGTTACGAGGACATGTCGATTTGATAATGGCATTAACTATCGTTTTATTTGATCAGTCAAGCAAAAGCTAGGCTCGTTTCCATAGCACACTCTACGTTCTTGAGCATCCTACCAGCCTCTAAGGAAAGTGGCCCCTTCAAAATGTCAGCACTTCAAACATACAGGATTTGAAGTGATAACGATCCATAGGTTTCATAGTCAACATATGGTCTAGTTATCCCGTCTCTCCGCATCTGTACAGTGACGTCTGGCCCATTCATCTGTCTTCAAATTCACACTGCAGAAGGACACTTTATTCCCTTCTAACCCCTCTTTTCCCTCTGCCCTCCTTCTTTTCTCTTCTTTATTCTATGCTCCTAGAAACTTTGCGTGCCCCGGTTACCGCTATGCCCAAGCAAAATTATAATTCTTCAATGGCCTGTCTATAACTGGCATGTGGTTATACCACTGATTAGAAGTTTCTTATATATCTGAGGCCAGAATCGAAGTCCATAAAGCCTACCAATCTATGGAACCAATCCGTGGCCGAGTCTAGTCGTGGAAGTTGGCTATTCAGAAGTACAACGTAAACTGGAATCAGATGTCAATTGGTGAATGACAGAATCTACTGGTGATGTTAAGTCTGCTATTACAATTGCTCTCAATCAACATGCCAGACATCGAACAATGCATGGAGCGCTTCAGGAACCCATTATGGAACTAGCTCCTCATCAAGGCACACACCATTTCAAAGGGCTAGTTCAGTAAGAAAGGGTTTATGGGTAAATACCAACACGTCCGCAAGATAGTAAGTCTCATTTTTTTTCCGCGTCGATGGTCTGCTAGTCACTCATTGTTTAAAAAAAGCAGGAGCGGAGCACCTAGAAGTTTGCGAACAGGCATATGATATAAACGCAGATGTCCATCAACCTAGAGATTAAAAACGTGTCTAATTCATACTTAAACCGCCAAATTCAAATGAGACCTACAATCCGAAGCGGCCCTCTTCGGGACTCGCTGGAGCTTCTACTGTCTTCATCACGTCCTGCAGGACTACCATAATAAGCCACGAATGGCGAACCCCGAAGACACGTCGAAGGTGCTCTCCAGGGCAAGTTCTCTTCGATTGTTGACGCTTTCTCATGGCTAACACGCGATCATATAGTATAGGAACGTCTGGTCAAGATTCGCCCGAGCCGCCAGCCATTACGCCATCTCTGGGTCGGCACGGTTGGATTATCTACACCCAGCGACCGCCGGACAACCATTATTGTAAGTTCCAGCAGGCCGACCTTAAAGCGCGTTGACCTACGCCATACCAACTCTCATATCAACGTCAGGGTAACAACTTTTCAAGGCAACCCTACGGTCACAACTTCCAAAGACAACCCGACGAGCACGGCGATGGCACTGACCGTAGAGAAAGAGACTGAAGCGACCATCGCCCAGGGTGCATATAGAAAATTGAACTGGAAGAAATGGCTAAAATGGAAGAAAGGAGATAACAATTTGCCAATGGCACGGTACTGAGAGAGTATATCGAAATGTACTATCCCAGAATGGCAGAGCTGTGCAAAATACCAACCCAGATCCTCTGGTGATTAAATCCGACCATCTATTTCTTCGACTACCGTCTGGCGTTGAAAGAGATATCACTTTTACCATTCATAAGTTGAAGAAGTTCGCGCAGGACGTATGGGAAGTAGAGTTCGAAGTCTGATTGATCAGGACACGGTGAGCGATGATAATAATATGGCATATTGAATGACGAACGGGCAAAACTAACGCGACTAGTTGATTCACAGATACCAACGGTCTATAGGGTACTAGGGTCTCTAGGATAAGGCGCTCTGCCGCTAGATACATCTCATTAGCCTCCACTTTAGGACTATTCTAACACTAGTTTTGGCCCCCAAAGCTTGTGTTGCTTATATCCTCCCTTTACGACGAGGATCATCTTGGCTCTAAAGCCAAGCCACGTTCCACTGTGGGTTGTCTGAGCCCTCTCGTGCTTTAGCGTACGAAGTCCTTGCCATTCTGGTCAAATGCTTCCACTACCCGACGATGGTCTACAGAGGAAAGCTAGGGCTGGGGTATGCATTGACCTGACTGTATGTAGGATGCCTTAGACGGAGAATGATGGACCAGTTGACTTTACCGAATTCCCCAGTAGATATACTTCCCCCGCCTATTTCAAACGATGAGAGAGCCACGTCTCATGCAAGGCTCCCAGTGGTACTTGCCGAAGCTACTGACAACAGACTCTTCATCTGCGCTCCAAGCCACAATCAAAGCTTGTATGGTGAGAATACAGAAACGGCCTAAATTACGGCAGAAGGCCTAGCATTGCGTGCTACCAACGAAGTGCTTGGTTTATACCGACGAAATTGCTGAAGATGGCTAGTACAGTCGTCTTTATTTGGAGTGCACCGCTAGCCCTACAGTAATCAAGTAACCAGATCGAGCTGGACTTCTTTACATTTATTTGATCCACATCGTCTTCAGGCCCCGTTTTCTCTTATTCTGATCACGTACTTACTTTCTTAGGAAAGCCATGCGAGCCGCGTTATTTTAGTTCAGACACATGTAAGATGTCAACTCTACTTACAGCACAGCAAAACTTCAACCTTGAAGCCTTTCCTGGAGAGGCGGAGCCATATATAGAATGACAATGCTAAGCTACGGCAACCAGTACAAGAACGTTGTATAAGCCAGCAGGACCCTACTTCTCCGGCTGGTCTACTTGATTCATCAATTGTGAGAATCGGAGAAATTACAGCAATTCCAACCTTGGTCCTCGTCGAGTTCCAACAACCACTATGCGTGTCATCAATACTTTGGCTCTACTGAGCGCACCGTTGATCCTACCTGTAGTAAGTACTTAACCAGTCAATTTTCTTCTCTTTTTTTGCCCCTGGAAATTGTCATTGATACTTACAATACTCTTTAGCTTGCTCAGGTATCAGAGGACTCGTCCGCCATGTTCCCTCTCAGCAACAACACCGAGTTCTCTTTCGTCTTGGAGAGCGTCCTGTCGCTCAGCAATAATCAGGGTGCTCAGATAGGCGAGGTCTTGCGAGCGGCAAGCCAAATCGTCCCCGGTGACTTTGAGAGCTGGTATAAAGAATTCCTGTTCTTGGGTGACTCCATTCATGCTAAGGCCATCGCTATCAACGCCTCGCGCTTCCCAGCCTCAGCTCGATCAGCTTACTTTCGCTCATCCACTTACTACCGCTATGCTCCGTTCTTCCTGCATGCGAATGCGAGTGATCCACGAATCAATGAGATGGGAGCTCTCTCTGTTGCGGACTTCGACAAAGCTGCAGCCCTGCTTCCTCAGCCTGCCATCAAGGCCAATCTCTCGGCCTCTAGTCCCAACGTCCCGAACGGTCATTTCTCTGTACCTGTCAGGTTCTTCAAAGGACAGTCAAGCAATAAGCGACTGCCGACAATCATCGTCGGAACTGGATACGATGGTACACAGGAGGACTTATTCCACGAGACGGGCGTTGAGATCCTCGCCCGCGGTTGGAACATCATTACCTACGAAGGGCCCGGCCAGCCAACCGTTCTCCGCGAGCAGAATCTCGGCTTCATCCCAGACTGGTGGAACGTTGTCACGCCTGTCGTAGACTACCTAGCCACTCGCAGCGACGTCGACATGAACCGGGTTGCGCTGACGGGCGTTTCCTTCGGCGGCCAACTTGCTCCACTCGCTGCATCCCACGAGCCTCGTCTGTCTGCGGTGCTATCTATCGACGGCTTGAGTGACATGTATTCAGTTTTCGAAAGCCAGTTCGACCCTGCGCTATTGGACCTCTACAACACTGGCCATTATGCCGAGTTCGACGAGGCCCTCATTTCCACGATACACAACACCTCTATGCCAACTCAGTTGCGTTGGATCCTCGCCCAATCGTTGTTCACTTTCAACACAGACAGTCCTTCCGACTGGTGGCGGCGTTTGCCCGCGTACGCCGCTAATGAAACTGTCCTCGCCAATATCAAATTCCCTGCTTTCATTGGAAAAGGCGAAGATGATAGCACTGCACCGAACCAGCCCGAGGAAATGTTCAAGTGGCTGGGAAGTAGAGGTGCCTTCAACCTCTTCCGCACGGATCTTGGTGCTGGCGAACACTGTCAGCTCGGTGCCGAAGCCCAGTTGGCCCAAGTCACGCTGGACTGGTTGGCCGATGTCTGGGACAATGTTAAGTTGCCGGCGAATTTGACCAGCGGTACGTATTGAGTTCTTTTCCTGCAAGAATCAGAGGGGGTTAGAGGTGTGAAGTACTACACCTGATGATGCTATTAAGGGAGTCGAAACGGCTTGAGATGAGGGCAAGAAGTCCGTTTGTATCAATTAGGGGAACTTTTCACCGACTTAAATAGATCAAGAATCAGTTATTCTGGCCTAGTGGAGTCCTCCAAAGGTCCATAACTGTACTATCGATAAAAGGGTACAAATACTATGGAGGTGGGCTTCATGCCCATTCTGCATAGATACACCTATCATTTCCTATCAGATTTGATCACATGATCAAAGAAAGGCAGACAGAACCAAACAAAACAGATCACCAAACAGATCACCGGCCATCCCCAAAGATAACCATCTCCGGACGTAGGTCCGCGATGTCAAGGCTCACTCGGTCCGCCTCCTGGTCGGTGAACCGCCTTGGCCGGATGACGTGCTGTAGGCTGGTCTCCTCAGGTGATACCAGAGGAAACCCCCCAAACCAGAAGAGCTCACGATCCGCTCCCTGGTAGTAAGGGGCGTGGAGGTCAAACCAGCCTACAGCCGACACCGGCTCAAGGTGCGCCGTTGCATAGCTTCGGAAAAGAAACGCCGTGCTCAGGAGCATCGTCGCCACAGTTGCTTCCATACCACGGGTGAATTGGTCGAATAGGTCCTTCAGCTCAGGAGTCTCAGTGAATCGTTCAGGCCGGAAAGAGCGTGCGTCCGGGAACAAGTGTGGATCCTGGAACAATATCTTCGCACTGAAACGGACATGTGTGCCTTGCGGGATCTTCCATGTGATGGGGCCATCTTGATACTCCCAACTGGTCCGATTCTCATAACGAATGATGCAGTTATCCATGGCATCGCTCAGGCGTAACGCTTCACGAACGCAGGAATTCAGATACGGCAGCCTAATAAGTTCATGAAGTACTGGCCTCAGTGTATGACCTTCCATGATGGAGCTTAGCTCGTGTCGCAGCACTGAGAGACGAGCACTGTCATGAAAAAGCTGATTGAAGAGTACAGTCAATGCTCGGCTAAGACGAACAGACATATCCAGAACAAGATCGTTATCGCTCATCCAGCGGTACGTTGGGGGTCTCTGCATCATACGATTGAAGTCATTCAGAATATATTGAGAAGCGTGTTGAGTGAAACCGTCTATGGCGACTGGCGGATTCCTGATACCATTGAATAGACACTATGGAAAGAGAAGAACAAGTAAGCCCATATTTATGAAGTATAGCTGCGGCGGTATTGTCAACTCACCCTGATGACTGTCACATCACTTGGTGTCCTGGGCCCGCAGATAGCTCCGACTTTCCTCGCAATGCTTCGAAAGAACGACCTAATACCACTGACATACCAGGGCTCCTGTGTAAAAAGCGGGTATCCGTATCCTTGAAGGCCATATCCATCTGCCGGAGTGGGGTCTTGTTTTAAATAGCAAGCTTTCATCACCGCTGGACAAATATCAGTGCCTCGTAGATCGCAAGAAATTGAAAGGAGACAATCCTACCTGCAGCAAGACTGAAGAACACCATATGCATTCGGAGAGGGTTGTTGACTGCCTGAGCTTGATCAAGATTATGCAAAAAGCCAGCGTATTTTTGAAGAATCAGAGGCTCAAGTGGAAACAGTCTATCTGGTGCAAGGTAATCGTTTCTGATATGAGCGGCTGGTATCATCTGTAACTGAGAGGGTCTTATCACGATATCCTCGTCAGGGTAACTAGGCCAGTCGAAATCACGACGTCCAAGAAGGTATCGATGATAGACAGAAGCATCGGCGATGGAGACAGTGTGCGGCGAGATACGTATGATCTTGCCCTTTCTGTCGTGCAGCAGTTCGACCATCTGTAAATACCTTCCGAAGCGGCGCCAGTCCTGAAAGAATTCATATCTATCGATATGTCAGTAAATTTCCGCGAAGACCATAGAATTGAGGCAGCAGTTTTCCCAATATTGTTACTCCAGTCTTTCAGATACGACATCCATGGAGTATACCGGAACGCTCACTATCAAGAAGAGGCGAAACTGACTTCCCATCCTCAGGGGTAGACTTACAATCCGGTAGCTTTGGCAAACCAAGGACCGGGAATCCCAGTAAGGTTCGATAAATAGACACGGTAGAAGACCTTGCAGAGTATCATGAGCACACAGAAGGCCAGGACAATCAGCAAAAAAATGAAAACGGCCAAAGGAGAATTCTCAAGGAGCCCCATCGCGCCTGTCGATGCTTGGACTTGGAGATGTTTAGAGATGTAAGGCAAGCTGGCAGACTTAATGAGAACCAATATCCGATAGATCTCCAAAGGGCGACAGCAGATCCTGATAGAGTCGCTGAGAGATTCAGGAGATATGTTCAGGAGAGTCGTGACTGCCAAAAAAAGAAAACATAAACATGTTTTCACATCGATGTTATAACTTGACAACACTTCAGCGCACGTGATCGTTATATCTGGTTATTCTTTGCTTCCAAACTGTAGAACCCCTGGTTTTTCTTTTATATGTGCATAGTCGGCTAGTGCAGTTGCAGGCTCAATGATCTGACCTATCCGCACTAACGTGACCACCCTGAATCTCACTGTTTTATGAGCATCATGAGAGCAGGCTATCGATATATAGCACGCTGAAAATTGTCGATATCCAAATCGCTGGAGTCCTGGACAACCATGGGCTGGAGATGTGGCAACAGGTATTGCATCTGTGAACCACAGAAACCGAGAGTCGAAACGCCATCCCTTGTCCACTGCAAAGAGAGCTGGTTGCTATTAATTCAAAAACCAAACTGATTAAATGGAATTATATAAGGATATCATTTGAATGTGAGCTATACATGAGTATCTTGTTGTAACCAATGATAACATAGTCTATCAAAGGCTTCGTGCTGTTCCATGAGGGCAAGAGGGATAGAAAGGGCAACATGACTTGGTAACATATACGAGTATGAGTTGAAAGCAACCAAAGGATAGAATGCAACATGGTGAGCCCAAGAAGTGGGAGGTATCGGATATAAACCAAAAATTTTACCACAACAGTGGCGGGCGTCACATGAATCTCTAAAGTCCAAGATTTACACGCCTGCCAAGTGATAATGCACAAGGATCAATGACGCCAGTATGTATATGAACCAACAAAGAAGTCTACTCACAGCAAACATCCCACAACCGCCGTCTCATACCGTCAAAGGCTGCCGTCCAGCACTTTATGAGCGGAAACCTGCAAAACTACACTTCCTGAATGTAGTTTGCGGGAACACTCTTTGTTTGCCCACCTCTCTCGACATCAGCCCATCCATTACCGCTATCTCGATTGATCAAGACGAAACGGTCACCTTCAACCATGCTCCATTCCGCGTCGCTACGGGCCTCGTAATCATATAGCGCCTCGACATATTGCAGTTTCTTAGCACCTCTCTTGGGCGCGACGGCAGGACCAACACGCTTCGTTGCTACGCTTCCTGCTTGCGACGCCGACGAGTTGGAATATGTCGAGGCGGGACGATCAGCCAGACCAGGACTAGCAGATGGGACGGGAGAGGATGGTGGAAAAATCTCGACATACGAGGCAGGGACCAGGCCCTCTTGAGAACCGGCACGAACGCTTATCCAGCCGGAGCCATCTGCTACAGGTTAGATAATACGACCGGAGATAGTTGAAAGGGATTTACCATCTGGTTCGACTAGGGCCACATCTTGGCCTTCTCCAACACTGATTTCACCTTCGCCATTCGCTTGGTATTGGTAAAGCATTCTTCCCCTTGGCTCACTGGACTTGAGCGAGGTACCAAGGACAGAGCCTGAGCCGTTGGCGGGAGGAGCGTACTGCGCAGGCGGGGGTGCTACGACTCGGCTTCTTTTCACCGGAGCAGGTTTATTGATCGAAGCTGAGGATGTAGAAAGTTCTGGCTTGGTAGTTGATGCAGAGATGGACCTCGTCGCACTAGCCGCGTAACCGGAACTCAGGGAGTTCATGGTGTCTCGTCGGCTTAGTGACGGCATATCAGAGGCACTATCGGGCGACGCAGTCTCATAGACAGGCTTAGCATTGGCCGCCTCTTGTCGCTCCGCCTTGAGTTTTTTCTTTTCCTCTTTTGTTTGCTCTCCGGGGCACTCGGCCGGCACCTTCATTTGACACTTGCTGTGGCAAGTGTATCCGCAATCACGGCAGTCAAAGCCTTTGGCTGACAGTCCCCAAATGCGCTCACCACAAAGATCACAGTTGGTGGGTATCTTGAATGTCTGGGATCTGAAATTGTGATTCTTCGCTCCAAGTGACACGTCGCCGACTGCAGAAATGATCGTCGACATCTCAACCTCTGATGTGAGGCGCCTGCGATCTACCTCATGTAATGCGTCTTGGAGGAAGAACATAGACTTTACAGCCTCGACCTCATCCCTGTTGTCCTTTCCTTGCCTCACATTCTGCCTGACTCGCCTTGCGCTCTCGACTTCCCGTCGCTTCGAGTCAACCTCCATCTTTAGCTCTCTTACTTGTCCTTTGCTCTTAGTTAGCAGATTACGGAGGAAGACCTTCGCTGCTTCATCCGTCACGATGGCGTCGTCGTCGTGCCAGACAGGACTTGGCTCAAAAGCCATGTCCGGAGGATCCTGCCATTGAGTGACATTGTGACGCATGAACATGAGGGAGTCGAGCCGCGGTTCGTTACGAGGTATCTCATTAGACAGGTTTTTGATGTGTTCCGTACTCCTCGAGAGCGATGACAGCTCCAGCTGTGCTGCCAAAGACCACAATGTGTCCAACTTTGCAACCCTTGTCTCGTTCAGGTCTTGAAGGCTCTGATCAAACCCGTTAGTTCGGTCGCTGAGTTAGAAACAAGGAAAAAGTGCCTTACATCCAACACCTCCGGCACGTACTCGTTATAGTACTTTTCCTTCAGCTTATTCGTCACATTGATGCTGATGAGGTAGGTATTCTACGAAATCTCCGTTAGAGCGACCAAAAGAAGAAAACAACAACAACACAATCATAATAATCATAATAATGCTCCGAAGAATGAGCAACGCACAATGACGCACCTTAACGTTATTCATCTCCAGGATCTGTTGTTGATATGCATTCTGCGCTTTGGCTTTTCCATGATCAAAGGAAGATTCCATCTTCTTGCGTCTGTTCTCGACTTCCTGGCACGCGGCATCGTACTTCCCTTTGACCTTCTTCAGGTCGCCGTACGACGCATCCCGTTCTTTCTCGAGTTTCGCATAGTAGTCTGCGTGGCATTTCCGGAGGTCTTCATATTGAACTGCTGCGACTTTGAGGGGTTCTGCAACCTGTGCCACCAACTCCGTCCCGAATCTGTCGCGCTCCGCAGCATGAGCCTCGACGGCCGTCAGTTGGGCCGACCATGTCGTCAAGGAAGCGCATTCAAGAGAACCCGGAGTCATGCTCGGGGTATCTCCTACGCTCAGACTGCTCGACTTCTTCGCCTTTCGATCCGAGTATTTCTTACACAAAGCAGTCAGCTTCGTGGCATATTCCTTCTCGATAGCGCTTCTTTCTCGATAGAATTGTTGTATCTCATCCAACCACGAAATTCCGCTAGAGACCTAGAGTTCCTCTTCTCAGCCATCATTCTCCGGAGGGGTTCGGGGGGTCGAAGCAATTCAGTGATTGCGGTCTGGGAAGGCGTACCCATGCGTTAATTGGTTTGAATGCATCCTGATTGCAAAGACTGTTAGACCACAGATAGAAAGCATTGAACCTGTATGAAAATACCTTCAACTCCGCCCCAAATTGGGGGGTGATATTGGACTGCGCCATGCCTAGTTGGAGCCTGTTTGTATCTTGAATCACAAGCGCATGGGAGGTATGAACCAGCTGGAAGTAAGTGGAAGGCTAATGCTGGCAGGCGGTCAGTAGAGGCGTCATCGGCCCCCTGATCTGCAGCAAGATCTGCTCTCTTGTTGACACGGCGCAAGCACGGTGATGTGTAGGATTCAGAGGATAATACTTGATTGCGGCGGTTCCTTAGAGTATCCACGCGTGAATGCTGGGGAGCCATTACGCCAGCGGGGGAGGCTGTCCGTTTCGCTGGCGACTAAGTATGACCATACCAAGACAAGCCTGGCCGCGTGTCTGCCAGGAAGCTGTGGCGCCCCTTACCGTACCAAAACCAAACTTACAGCCCTGCCGCTCGTTTGTTGCCCCAAAGCAGCTTAGAGTCCCCGCGGTGCAACACCAAGTGCTCAGGGACCGCGAGCTCTTTTTGATTGTCGTCAGGTTCTCTCCATTCACACTCCCTTTGCTCCCTTTTGTCCTGGTCAAGCTCTTCGCCTTGCCTCTGGTAGTGCGGGATAGACCAGTGACAACTGCATTTGCTGGCTCTCAAGATATCTTCGGTGGATACGCGAGCTCTGCATTCTCCTTGCAACACTCTACCCCGCCGTCTTTCTGCTGATATTTCAGCTCGCCACCACAACTCTTTTCCCTCACACGATCACGACCTATTAGCTGTCTTTTGCTAGATATAATCTACCACAATTGCAGAGATGGCCTCAGAACAGGCAGCTGAGGTCCCGAAGACTGGGAATTCTCTGGAGGATCGCATCTCCCAGCCGGACGACGCGACCTCCGGTGCGCCGCAAGCTTCGAACACCTCAACATCTTGGGCCGACGAGGTGGCCTCTTCGACGCAAAATGATGATGCTGGTGCGGCGAACAAGACACAGGACACTTCTATTCCACAGACTGATGGTGCGCCCTCCGCGTTGGGTGGCACCGATCTTCACGAACCGGAATACAATGTCAATGTCAAGCTGAGTGATCTGCAAGCGGATCCAAACAACCCTTTATTCTCTATCAAGACTTTCGAGGAGCTTGGATTGTGAGTGCGCCTTCTCCTCAGTGTGTGATTTTCCCTCTAATGTCTGTTTTCTAGGGAGCCGGCTATTCTCCGTGGTCTGACCATGATGAACTTCCGGAAGCCTTCGAAGATCCAGGAACGTGCCCTTCCTCTTCTGCTCAACAACCCACCGACGAACATGATCGGACAGTCTCAGTCGGGTACTGGTAAAACGGCTGCTTTCGTCTTGAATATTCTCAGCCGCTTGGACCTCAGCACCCCGGAAATGCAGAAGAGCCCTCAGGCATTGGTCCTTGCTCCCAGTCGAGAGCTTGCCCGTCAGATCGTCGGTGTTATCCAGGTCATGGGCTCCTTCGTCGAGGGCTTGGTTGTCGGTACTGCTGTCCCGGCTGACACGCACAGCCGTCCGTCCAGACTTGAATGTTCCGTGGTCGTTGGTACGCCCGGAACGGTCATGGACCAGATCAAGAAACGTATCTTCCTGACACAGCGCCTGAAGGTCCTTGTCCTTGATGAGGCAGACAACATGCTTGATCTGCAGGGTATGGGCGATCAGTGTATCCGCGTCAAACAGTTCGTGCATCCTGGGCCTTATTTTCACCTTGTACTTGCTGACCTGATTTAGGTTGCTTCCGAAGACAGTTCAAGTCGTCCTCTTCTCTGCCACCTTCCCTACCCATGTTCATCGCTACGCGTCTAAGTTCGCCCCCGGCGCCAACGAAATAACACTTGAGCACGAGGACTTGACTGTGGAAGGCATTAAACAGCTGTACCTTGACTGTGAGAGCGACGAAGACAAGTACAACGTTCTTGTGAAGTTGTACGGTCTTCTCACAATTGGATCTTCTATTATCTTTGTCAAGGTGAGTTAATTTCTCGAGAGATAAATCGTATGTTACTCATGTTTCACTAGACCCGTCAATCGGCGCAGGAAATCGAGAAGCGCATGACTGCGGAAGGTCATACTGTCGTCTCGCTCACTGGTGGTGTCGAAGGATCAAAGCGTGATGACACCATTGACAAGTTCCGAAGTGGTGAGGCTAAGGTTCTGATCACGACCAACGTCCTTGCCCGTGGAATCGACGTTTCAACCGTCTCCATGGTCATCAACTATGTGAGTATTCTGCTATTTCAGGACATCTGCCTTCTTGAAGCTAACTTCCCGTAGGATATTCCGGAGCTACACGATCCCACATCCCGCCAGCGCAAGGCCGACTGTCAGACTTACCTGCACCGTATCGGTCGCACGGGTCGTTTCGGTCGTGTCGGAGTCTCCATCTCCTTCGTTGCGAACAGGGAAGAGTGGCAGATGCTCATGGCCATTCAGGATTTCTTCAAGACCGATATTACCCGCATCGACACCCGTGACTGGGACGAGGTCGAAGAGATCATCAAAAAGACTATCAAGAATCCTCGATCCCATGCAAACTACAGCCAAGAGCAATAAATCAAGTGTTGTCTCTCCGGCTTCTCCTTCAAAAGGATAAAAAATAATAAAAACGCAACGTTACTGTCGGATATGGTTGAGGTTGCGGCAGTCCCTGCCATGCTGCTGAAGCACAATATGTGATTTGGGATAATGCTGCATGCGGTCTGGATGAGGTCTGCCAGACGTAAGGAGGTGCTTACTGCGAGGTCGTTTGATATGATATGATCGTGACCGACGCCAAAGGCGATATTTACAGTGGTACGCGATGTAATGAGCAATGTTGTAAGACCTCGAGATTGTTTCTAATTCAACGAGAGATGAAAAGAAAAGAGATCATGATAGATACCATGCTATTCCAATATGCCTCGAGTGTTCTCTGAAATCAAGACCATTTCTAAGAAATCCGACACAACTCCAGAAACTATTGACCACGAACTTATTTCAGAAGCATAGCCTTTATACACAGATTCTATATTGGGCCTCTTCATATTCTGGCGTCTCGATACCGCCAACAGCTTCATCCGTGGAAGGGAAACCATAGCAAATGGGCATCGAGAACCATAGGCAGGTAGACTTTACTAGCCGCAACTATACAGTTAGATATTAGATGTGAATCTTGAGCCTCTTGCTGTGGACTAATTCTAACGAGTAAATCTTTAACAAGGCATAAGAACAGAGAAAAGGCTAACATCTTTTGTTCACCCAAAGTAGATGCATCAGCGTTAGCCAGTCAGAATCTCTTGGCGACTTTCGTATATTATTTTTCCCCCCTAAACATTTGCGAGCGGAGCCTCGCTTAAATATAAACGATTTCAATGAAATATAGGTGTATCCAGGATAATATGGATGTCGATGCGGTCGGAGACTCCCTACCTACCTGGGGAGCTGCTGCCCCTATTCTCCCACTCCCACGCCTTTGCATTAGCGAGGCCACCCATGGAGACATGTAGCATGAGCTTTCTGCAGAATCCAAGCATCAGATTGCTTCAGCCTGTCATGAAACCCTGAATCAAACAGCAGCCAAGTAAGATTCATGTCCCATAGAACCGATCACCAAAGTCTCCTAAACCGGGAACGATGCGTCTTTTGAGAAGTCAGTCATAGCAAATATAACGGAGACAGGAACGACAAAAACCTACTTCTTCTCATCCAAATCGCTATCGACAGCAGCTGTGACGACTGTGACGTCAGGGAATTGCTTCCCAATGACCCCTAACCCATGCGTTGATGCGATAACATTGACAAAAATAATGTTTGATTCGGGGACGCCTTGTTCTTTGATAATACTGATGGCTTTGCATGCCGAGCCTCCGGTGGCGAGCATCGGTTCGAGGAGTAGGATCACTTCAAAGAACACAAGTATTAGTTTATCCTATATTACATTCCTTTGAAGCCGTCTGGAGATGGCGTACTTCTCTCCCTTATATCGTTGGGAAATTTCGAATACATATGCGTAGGAAGCGCGGTTTCTTCGTCACGCTGGATGAGGATCTTGCCGAAGTTTAAGGAACCGCTGTACGCATTTAGTTAGCTGCAGTCGCGAAGTTAACTGTGGATATGAAATAGCTATAATATCAAGTGCGATGTGTAAAGTTTTAAACGTACTTCCAGCAATCTCTCAGGGCCTGTTCCAAACTAGCTCCTGCACGCAGTATACTCACACCGCAGACACCCTTCGTAGGTCTTGTCCCGGCATAGGTAGCTCCGGTTGGAGTCGTGACTGAGATTAGTTCTGACGGTACGAGATTCAACGCTGTGTGCGATTATAGTGGTTAGCCAGGCGCTGATGTTGCCAAACCTGTAGCTGGAAAAAGGTTGAGGGTTTATTGAAAGATATACCTTCAAATAATATCATTCTAGATACCTGTTCCACGGCTTTGTGAAAGGTATGCCCGTCTGTTCGAGCATCCCGAATGGTGGTCATCCAAGATCGCAGCAAGGGAGTACATCGAAGAACAACGACATTCGAAGTGTACTGGCTTCCATTTTCGAAAATATTGCTATTTTCCTGATCATGCGGGGCAGTCCCGGATGACGAAGACCCGTCTACTTCTTGGTGCATTCTGATCTTTCTCTGTCCCAAAGTTCCCTTTGGAGAAGCTCTTCGTAAGGACTAGCCAGGTCGATATATTCTTAGAAAATAAGGTAGGAAGTCGTATCTCACGTGCCCCACAAGATAGCAGGACCAGATACTGACCGGACAGCTGGCCTAGCAGAATGAGACTGATCTACCATTGCGGGGAACACCGTCGGTCGGTCCACTTGAACGATATGCGTGACTGAGATACTTGCAAACAACAAACTTGCTACCAAGGCACTGTTCTGTTGTCCCTCTTGATGCCATTATCAATGTGACGGAATGTCGTTATCTATTATTTGCGGGGCTCTCCACACCGGTTATCTATGCTCCTTATCAATAGATAAGGCCGAGCTACAATAATCTGTACAGCTACCACAAAGCCTAGATAGAGATAGGAAGAGTCGCGACTTGAGCATTATTCTCGTGTTCATAACTGAGAAAGATTCAAGTGTGGCAGATCATGTCTATGTGGTTACGGGGGACACGATCGCAACACCGTCCATGTGTCGGTTCCTAGCCTTTGGCTTACGCGATACTTAAGGTAGCAAAACAGTAGGTAGTTGTCAAATTAGAAAGTCCGAATATGTAGTATATAAATTCTATCTATTTCGAATCACCAGTCCCGAATAATCGGTCACCGATGTCACCTATCCCAGGCACAATGAACCCCTTCTCGTCAATGCCTTCATCAATGGCACCCACCACGAAGTCTGTCCCTTCTGGCCATACAGCAGCCGCTCTCTCAAGGCCAGTTTTGCTAGCAAGGATGCAAACAAAGGTAATATGTTCAACTCCCCAGTCTCTGAGAGCAATGGGTCAGCACTTGGTCTCAGATTTCGATATAAAAACGGAAACCATAGGGGTGGCATTACCTCAAGATCTCAATGACAGCTTCTGAAGTGCCACCTGTTGCAACCAGCGGATCCACTATGTATACTCGCTTGATATCTGGATTGGTGTTCGGAAGCTTGTTATAATATTCGACTGGCTGCAGGGACGCTCGCTCGCGGAACATGCCGATGTGGTAAACGACAACGTCTGCGTCTGGGGAGAATTGTGACAAGAATGCATCGCACATCGCTAACCCAGAGCGTAAGACAACTATCAACCCAACCTTCTCTGTGGGGTTCGCATCTTTAGTTGCTTCGACGGCCAGGATGCGTGAAATCTCAGCGGTGGTAATTCGTACGCCAGCACTGTTCACCTTACGGTCGCGAAGATGGTTGACCTTGGTCTGGACAAACGGATTGGATGAGACGCGAACGTTTCCTGGAAGAGAGGACGAGTCGGCAATCATTGCCGTCGTTCCTGGTACTGGACTCGGCATGATGGCTGGCGATATTGAAATGATGGACGAGAGGCTCAATGATGGAGTCGCACGACGTACTCAGTATGTTTTTCAAATATGATGGGACTGCAATCAGCGATCAGAGTTATATTACAATAGCTGAGATGTCAAGAGGCCAAGGCTAGACGATAAGACGAGCTGATTACTCTATCTGGAAATCAGGATTGAGGGGTAAATTGTTTATCAGTGCTGATAAGCGGGGTCCAAACCGAGCCGATAAGAGATCAACAGTTCAACGTCAAGTATTTTCTGCTTTGATAGCAAGTCCAAAGCTGGTGAGCTAATTCCATTGTTCACCCCTTATACATCCAGTTAGTTTTGTCGAGTGCTGGCTGACAATAGTCCAACATGGAGAATGTTGCGCTGTTCTTTCCCCGCAACTAACCGACCTATCCTCTCTCTGTCCGAAGTGCAACTTGTCCATTCCCACGTCGTTACTATCCTCTGTCTCGCTATTGCAAGTCTTGCCATTAGCGTTTTCCTTCAACAGCCACAACTTCAGTCTCCCCTTCATCACCGCTTCTGTGATTGTCAGATTATTCAGAGGTTGCTACCACTATGGAAGCCATCAACTACCTCCTGTCCCTGGAAAGTGTTAGGGAAAGAGCAAACAAGGTGTATAGCATTGCTGTGGATGGAAAACTTAGGAGCTTCGATTACCATGAAGACCGCATGGCCGACGCAGCGGATTTCGTTGCGTCTCTGATCATGGTATTGTCCATATGGCTCTAGTTTCTGTGTACAATAGCTGATGTGAATAGCGCGATTTTGGGCCAGATCGCTTCCATGAAATCCCTCCCCATGGCAGGTGGCAGCACTTCGAGGCGGGTAATGTTCCTCGCGTCACAGAAATTTTGGACGAGTGGAAAGCAGACGGGCAGGACAGTACAGAATGTGCACGACGTCTGGTAGATATGTTTCTTGTCTCTGTGCTGTTGGATGCCGGTGCTGGTAATACCTGGGCATTCGTGGAACCAGGAAGCAATATGCGCCTGTCGAGAAGTGAGGGACTCGCAGTAGCAAGCTTGTATATGTTCAAAAAGGGTCTATTCACGAACAATAAAAGCGGAAACCTAGTGAAAGTTGATGGTACGTTAAACGTCTAAATTTCACAGTCGAAAGACCTTTTCTGATTCTTGCCCACAGGTACAGGGCTACAGAACTTGACAGGGGAGCAGCTTGCAGAAGGCATGCAAGCAACTTCGCAAAACCCCCTTGTTGGAACTCAAGACCGCGCGGCGCTTCTACAAAGATTGGGTAAATCACTTATGAATTTGCCAGAGATTTTCGGCTCGGAAGGACGGCCTGGAAACATTGTTGGTATGAATCCACCACTCTTTCCCGCTTCATTCGCTCAATATGTGCCTAACTTATATGACCATGCAGACTTTATTCTATCAAAGGGGAAGACAGTTGATATTCGCGAGCTGTGGGATACCCTTCAGAAATTATTGATACCCATCTGGCCGTCAAATAGAACCATGATTGACGGGCATCCCATCGGTGATGCGTGGCCTCTAAGCACCCTAGGTGCCACTATCGGCGACAAAAATCCGCCAGCAGATGTGATACAACCGTTTCATAAACTCACACAATGGCTTACCTATTCTCTAACTGTCCCTATGCAGCGTCTACTGGGCGTGACCTGGGAAAATCACGATCTTATGACGGGCTTGCCAGAATATCGCAACGGTGGTCTTTTCGTGGATATGGGTGTTCTTTCCCTCAAATCTGAGGTAGTTAATGCTTCCACGAAAGACGAAAAGTCAGGGCTATGTTCGTTTGATACTGCGGACGATGTAATCGTGGAATGGAGAGCCATGACTGTGGCACTTTTGGACAGGATAGCTCCTTTGGTTGTTCAGCGCTTGGCAAAAGCAACAAATCAAGCGGACTTGTCTCTTAGCATGGCCCAGATCCTCGAGGCAGGAACCTGGAAGGCTGGGAGAGAGTTGGCAGCGAAACACAGACCAGACACGAGGTCCAGTCCTATTCTAGTTGAGAGTGACGGAACCGTGTTCTAGTGCTACTACACATGAGTCCTTTACGTAGGTAGCTATTTCTGGCAATAGTATACTATATTTACAGCTCCCTTCATCTGGTAATGAGAATTCGTTTTCTTCAATTGGCGCTTTATTATCTATCTCAGATAGCCCGTATTTTCATGAAGAACGGCTGGCTCAGACACAACTGTTGACATGTGTTGTCAAGGATTAAGGCAAGCCTGCCTGAGAGCCTGAAAATTGCCGTATCGGGCAATAGTCTCCACATTGCCAGCTAAGACAGAATATGCAAGCTACAGGTATTAGGTAGGTACCTAGGCTACCTAGCCAGCATCTTACGAGATAGATATATCAGAGCCTGAGTTGGACTGATTGCACTATCGCCCCAAAAACTCACTTTAACGGACCATGGGACGGAGAGTGAAGCGCAATGTGGAGCAATGATAGAGCTCAGATTACTAGCAAAGAAAGTTCTCCTGGCAAGCTTTATCGGAGCTAGATAAGTGTGAGATCCGATAAGAAGCGGAGATAGCGTCACATGCCCTGAGGGGAAGCCATATCGTGGAACCCGCCGGCTATCAGCATACCAGCTACTAGTATTACTCCGCTAACTAACGATGACACGACTTCTTCCTTCACTCGTTTCTTATTTCTAGACAGACTGAGGTAACATCACCGTAGATTTCCTCGTCACTTCTTCGTATTCCTCCACTATATCCTCAGATCCTTGGAGGCCTTCCCTCCTCTCTCATTGCCCTCCCCTCACCGCTATCTTCTCTGCATCTGTGAACACAAGTATCATCATGTTGGACACCGATTCGAACACCGATGCTACGAACGGCGAGTCGCCAGCCGCTCAGTGGCCAAATCCTACAAAGTCAAGATACAGTAAACACATCACAGTAAGTCTGATCCAGTCTTCATAGGGATGACAGACAGTGCTCATGCTCTCCAAGTTAACCACCTATCCCGGTCAAAGCGGGGTCGATCCCGTGCCCCTTGAATGGGGAGCCAAAGATGCCAAAACACGCGGTCCTATAATCGTCTCGCGAAATGGCAATATGCTGAAGCGTCGCAATGCCATGGGTGCTCATGGTGGCAGCTACAGTATCTACAATGCTCTGGCCATCGCCGCTGGTGACCTTCCTCCTGATTTTCGCCCGGACTTCCGCAACACGGAGCCGACGTTCAACTTTCCCTGGCAACCGGCATGGGCAGATCCTACCAAGATCGTCTCAATGGACCCCTTCGGTCACGACATCGTCAACCAGTTCAGAGAATATCTCGACGCTGGATGGGATATCCGCCCAACCATGGCTATAACGCGAGCCCACATGCGACTGGCAGAGATCAGTGAGGCTGTCCATAAGGGCAAGTTAGAAGTCGACGGCACGATTGTGGTTAACGCCGACGGCGATGTCCGTGTAACAAAGGTCGCTGTGGAACCAGTCTGGTATCTGCCTGGGGTGGCGGAGCGATTCGGTGTCGATGAGGGAACATTACGAAGGACACTGTTTGAACACACCGGTGGAAGCTACCCAGAACTGATCACACGCCCTGATGTAAAGATCTTCCTGCCTCCGATTGGTGGTCTTACTGTCTATATCTTTGGACCCCCTGAGCGTGTCTCAGACGAGAATATCCGCCTAGCACTACGTATCCATGACGAGTGCAACGGTAGTGATGTCTTCCAATCGGACATTTGCACATGCAGACCGTACCTCGCGTTCGGTATCCAAGAAGCTATAAGAGAAGCACAAAACGGTGGAAGCGGAGTAGTCATCTACTTCCGCAAGGAGGGTCGTGCTCTGGGTGAAGTGGTCAAGTACTTGGTTTACAACTCACGAAAACGCGGCGGTGACACAGCCGATAAATATTTCCAGCGGACAGAAAATATCGCTGGTGTGCGAGACGTAAGTTCTATACTCCGTTAACCATGGTTTTCATATCACTGATGTATTTGCTAGATGCGCTTTCAAGCTTTGATGCCCGATATTCTTCACTGGCTGGGTATCAAGAAGATCGATCGCATGCTGTCCATGTCGAATATGAAACATGATGCTATCGTGCAATCAGGGATCAAGATATACGAGCGCATTCCTATTCCTGAAGACATGATTCCTGAGGACTCGAGAGTCGAGATTGATGCTAAGATCAATGCTGGATACTTCACGACGGGTAAACAATACACGATGGAGGAGCTTGCCCAGGTCAAGGGTAGAGGCTGGGAGAAGTGGGAGGATGTCACGGTAAGCAGATCCAAAAGACTTGGTTTTCTTATTCTTCTAACATTTCATCTAGCACTGAGTGTTGTCACTTGAACAATGATACACGATCGATGCAATGCCATCATTACCCAATCTGGCGGGAATGGCCTCCCATTGTTCCTAGTGGGGATGGAATCTTCTTCTACGATATCCTACATATTGATTTCCATCGGGATAACATTTATTTCATAATTCATAAATTGCTGTTGGTTATCAATTTACCGCATTTCAGTCTCTGTTTATTAATCTCCATGGATGCTCGTAGTTTTTCAGGAACTGGATGACGTCATAGGTTCGATGCTTATCTCTTCTCCAAACAGGAGTAAGATAAGTAAGATAAGCCACCTTATCTCCGCCTTAACTCCAGCGGTCTCGTTACTGCAACTGACATGAATAAAGATGGTAAACTGGTCAAGTGTGCAAGCAATCGTAGGGAAATTACGAGATCCTGAAGTGGCCATATTCGTTTTTCTTTTTTCCTTTGCGAAACGCACATGGTAGTAATATGCAGGCAGTGGACCTGATTTCTTTGCAGTAAATGCATCTTATACAGCAGACTGGAGCTGCAGATAACAATGGACCTATGTTCCTCAATCCTGAAACTCCTGCCACTTAACCATCCTCTCTCTCAAATCTAACTTCTCCCCATCAACAACAAATGTCCCATCACCTCGATGATGAAACATTTTCCCACCTTCCCTCCCCTTCTTCTCATCCGGATTACTCCACGCTTTAACAGCCCTTAGTACCCATAGATTATATGCCCCAACCAACTTAGTATCCTCCACCACACACTCCACATTCGCAATAACAGAAGCATTCCCCACCAGCGGCGCCTTCACCTTACTCGCACGAAGAGCTTCCAACCCGAACTTAGTCCATTTATATACCTCCTCGCCAGAACAATTCCCAATATCCACTACCGTTTCCGCCATATCAACGCTCGGGATCGCGAGAACGCACTCCTTATTCTGCTTCAGGAGAGAGTAGCTTGCGTCCCAGGGGCCTATGCAAGCTCCGATCAGAGCAGGGCCAGAGTGCTGGATCATCATGTGGAAGCCAATCGTCATGATATTATGTGTGCCATCTTTTAAAGAACCGGTCGTTACGAGCAGGACGGGCCCGGGTTCGATGAGGCGGTAGACGTGGTCGAGGCGGTAGGATGTGAGCTTGGTATGTGTTTCTGGCTGGTCGTGCTCTTGCTCTCCTTTTGAGGATTTGGTTTGTTGTTCGGAGTCGGCATGAGAAGTTGTAGAGACACGGCGCTTTTTGGGCGGCATTTCTTTTTGTTTTTTTTTTTTTTTTTTTTTTTTTTGTAGAGTGAGAAATTGTTGTGGTTTTTAATCTCTGTTAAACTCGATGATATGAACAATAGAACGAGGTCGTTACTAGCTGGCCATATGTCAAGGAACTATAGTCATAGCCAGTCGAATATTTTGTGTCTAGAAAGGGTAGTAGGAAAAGAGGAATCTCAGGCGAAAATGCCCAAACAATGCACCTGGGATTCCAGAAGGTCTCTGCATAACATCATAGTCGTAAGCTACCACCTTTCCCCGCAAAGCCGCAAGTTTTAGTCAGCGTCATGTCTCCACACAACAATATCATCACTTTTGTTTTCTTTTAATTGAAAGCAAAACACTACTATGAGGGGTAATGCGAGATGTAGAGAGTTTAGAATGCTAAGGATTATTAGAATGTGATGCTTTATACTTCATAGTGGAAAATTGGAAGGGGCATTCGAATTCCATGAAAGAGAACTGTATCGGGATAATCATGTCATGTCATCCTGATGGGCGTTACAAATTAAATCCTAAACCAAGCTTACCTTTGAATAAATGTCACAGTTCTTACAAGCTCCCGTATGACATCAAAGGAATGTATATCCGCCTAAAGGTTTAATCTAAAAGTTGTTATCAGTTATACTGGGTACTGGTTCTGTACCTGATATTGATAAGATCATCAACAAAAGGAATATATATTCGAGGGCACACCGGATGTCTCACGTCAGACGAAACCAGCATAACTAGTTGTTAGAGGAGGGACTGCTATTTCTCATATGCAATAGATAGTTCTAGATATATTTCTGATCTGATCTTCTGTGTGGCTGCTAGTCCATGTCGAGGTGGCGACGAATTTGCCTGTGGTTCCGCGGAGAAGAAGTGATGTTCTCTCTTCAGGAACTAATTGACTAGAACAGATAAAGGCAAAAAGTAATCAAGGATTTGCCACTAACTATCGATAGTGCTTAGCCAAGATCTGTATATATGACACGTAGGAGAACTAGATGTCCGTGCTTAGATGGCGATGGCTACCTAGTAGGTATTATTACCCAGTCATCGCCATCAACCCCGCTTCCACAGTCCGCTTAAGCAACGCAACACGAGGTACGGATAGGCACATACGTTCCGGGAAGGTGACAGCTACTCGGCCCTGTAGAATCCTGGATGGTATGTCTGCTGGACTCTCCAACTTCAGCCTCCTTTCACAGATGACGAACTGGATCACAGGAGTCCCGACTGTCCGGACCCGCATGGCCCTTCCTGGTTGTCATAAAGGTTACAGAGCTGGATGTCTTACCTACAGATGGGCGGGTGCCTTTTCATATCGGCCGATGCTGACGGTCGTGGCCACGGTCCCGGCAAGCGGGGGAGGGGTTTGTCGATTGGATGCCCGGCCTGTACTCATTGGAATGTTTGAGCAAGTGGCTGGGCAGCTGAAGACCAAGAGCAAAATCTCTTGCTCTCTAACCCGCAGGGACCAAACGGTTCGTCCGGGTCAACCCTAAGTGCTCACAAGTGGCCCATTGACTACCTAGTCTATGTCAAAGTTGGCTTCCGCTGCGTCCGAATAAGACACGGGCCACATGAAGGCCTACTCTGATCGAGAAGAACTGTATTAAGATCTGACCACCCGACTAACTGTGACGGCAATGTTAACTTGTCCAGTACATACCCTGCATGGAACGCCAGACGTCGTCGTATTTGACACTAACGTAACCAGCTTCCAGAGCTTCGGGAAACTTAACTATGCCAGCTGAGTGGGCTCTTCTAGAGTCAACATAGGTTACTCGTTTCTTTGCTGACTCCAGCCCTTATACTCTCCCGCTCGCAGGGTCTTACGTTAGTGGCGTCTCTTCGTGGAACAATCTTTCGGCCGCTGGTGAGGTCTGCAGACCGGTATACCGATGCGTGCGGGTGAGATATGGTTGTGTGAAGCATCCGGAATAATCTCATAATGTCTTTCTGAGGAATGGTATTAGTAGAGTGTTCTTAAAACCACTTGGAACGTGCTTATTTTGTACTCTGTTTATTTAAAGTCCGAGGATCATAGACGGCGCTAGGTGAATAGACCGACGACACGATGCTTCCGCCCTTGCCGGGAGCATCTGTAAATGACTGACGTCGCATTGACCAGTACCTATCTAGTAGTACCTTCACTGGAGTAGTAGCTGATCGCGATCGCTCTCACATGTCCCCGGAATACTCATTCCGGGTTCGAGATTCATGGGTCAGATGGCGCTGGAGACCTCTGTGCCTTTAGTTATCTAGCGCGTAAGGATCTCAGGGGCTAACTAAGTTGCCAAAAAGTACGTGTATTTCCCCAGAGAGGATCATTATCCGTTATTCAGAAACTCCAGGACTTTACCCAAGGAGCGAGGATCCGCGCAGATGTGAGGAATCCATGCAAAACATACGCGTGAGGCGGGGCTTTGGCAGCAGGGTATCATCTAGCGCTCAAGCATCGCGACATGGATCTTGGCTTCCAGTGTTGGGCACAACATGACGTTCAAAAAAAAAAAAAAAAAAAAAAAAAAAAAAAAACACATTGAGATCCGCAGGTTGGAAATCCCAGGATCATCTTTTGAGGCATTCGATTGAGGCTCTTAGAAAAAGTACGACAATGCCCATCCCCTTGATCTTATGTCTACAGTTATACGACAAAAGTTTGAGACTAACCCTCCGTAAGGTCCAACTAATTTCCAACTCTTTGATTTCTACATAATGCAGACAATATCGAATTGTTTCACATTTTCAAAAGTAATACTTCAGTTGAAAATGGCATGGTTTCTCCAAAGTTATCTAGTTAGGGCCCTGGAAACGTAATAGTAGTGTGAACGGATGGTTTCAACTTTCACTTGGAAGTGTATATACGGCCATCTTCATATAATTAGGTTGTGGACTCCAGGTCAACACTAATATCGTCACCTACAGACGCCGTGGCAGACCTGTGTAACCCGTCGGCGACTTCCCCGGTCGCACATGGCGGGGGTTTACACGGGGAAGATAGCACAGCGCACAGATGCATCATGTCCACTGAGATTTCGGAAATCAAGTGAAGGGACGCCGGAACTTCTGGATGGCTGCCGACAAAAGTCCTAGTACGAATCGTTCCTACATGCTGCCCTTGAAGAGGTCCACCATCAGGTTAGTAGCTGTGGAAAGTGTTGACCTGTATGCCGGCCAAGCGAGACTGACCTTATATACTGTCCTCCCAGATAGTGACCTATTGAATCTGGGTATGCTATTGAAGTCTGCGATCTCCATATTTCGAGGGAGGTGATGCCAATTGCAGAAAATCACGAGGGTTAAGCGGGAGCACATAACCAATGTTTCTTGCAACTCTCACCTTGATAGATACGCTCGACACGAGAATATCTTTGCAGTATGCCCTCTAGTCCACTTGAAGGTACCGCCAGAGAGGTGTGGCCGGAGACGATGCCCCAATGGACATGGTCACCGTTAGAGACAAGGCTGTGGTCCGGGATAAGAGAATCGGGGGACTAGAATCACCCCTCCTCTTGGTACTAGCTCGGCCAACATACTGCCTCCAACAGTTAATGCTGGCCTTGAGCATTATTGGCCAAATGCGGTATTGCGGTGCTAGCTAATGCTTCTAGGTTGCTGGACTACTCGCAATACGCCTGCGCGGCCGACAATCAAGTGGCCCATCTGAATCTACCGTGACAGCGCCATCGATTACCTTCAGCCAATCTGGAACAAGATGTCAGAAAGCTAATACAGAGAAGATGAATCAGTAGGCACTCAGGACCATTACCTGATCCTCCAAGCCTCCACTCGGTCGTCTGGAAATGTCATACCACGGTCTATGTTCACTGACAGAGCGTTTCCAAACACCGGCCCTTGTCGAACTAAGACTTCAAGGTTGGCGAGGTGTTACTTTCTTGGAATGGATAAACTGCCTCGATTGCTGGGAAAGGGTCTTTAGCCGCTCAGGCCCGGCACGACGGTCTGGCCAGGACGTATGACACAGTCCTCCATTCGTGCAATGTGCATGCTAGAACTGTACCTTCGACCGAGCGGGCAAGATCCAACAAGGTCCTGACAGTATTTAGGCCATGGCCTCTCTCCAACCGATATACAGTAGTCTTTGGACCGTAACCACCAGTAGATGAGGTATCGTCAATTCTTCGTCTAAGACCGTCAGCAACGTATTTGTTATCTTCGTGTTCGAGCACCCATATAGTTACTATCAACCACTGTTCACTATTAATGGAATCTTATTCTATGAACTCTCCGTCGAGCTCGTCGACAATTGCGTCGCTTCCATTCGGGATGGGAGAGCCTTTCGACACGGCTTCAGACTCATCCAATCCAAGCTCGCCCACTGTATGTTCTCCAGTTGATTCAGAAAGCTATCCGAGTCGCACATCGAAACTGATATGCGATATCAGCAGATGATGTACCATGGTGGCCTACATGGGACATATGACATGATGTCTCTCAATCATGTGCAGTCTGCAGTGTTTGCTCCGGCAAATCCAAAGATCCCAGTCCAGTATGCCGGACAAACCACATCGCATGAGCGAGATCGCAGAAAAAAGGCCAGTCCGTCAGAAAAGCCCGAAATGATCACCAACATGCATCTAGTATGTCTCCAACCATCCTTGCCTTCGTGTCTTCCCCCAATGTAGTCGGCTGACTTGTGTGTCCGGCAAAGCAGCGGCGTCGCGCACAAAACCGTGCTTCGCAGCGAGCATTCCGCGAACGCAAAGAGAAACATGTCAAAGGTCTCGAGAACCAATTGCGGGATCTACATGAGAAACATCAGGCCCTTATTCACTCGTATTCGCGGCAGGCAGACGAGGTTCGACGACTGAACGAGAGGATCAAGTCGCTCCTCGTAGAACTTGATATATTGCGGACCAACGAGACGTCTCTCAGCGAGTCGTTGTTTCCCGATAAATTCGACGTTGTTTCTTACCCCCAGGCTCTATACGCGGCGCCAGAACCATATTACGACATGAAGCTCAATGCGACAAACTTGAGATTTGGCTACCCCGCCGAGTCACTATGAGTGACGAACTTCAATGGTCACTTCCTTTCCTCTTTTCACGGATTTGTTCAGTATATTTTGCACCTCTGTTCACAATATCCTCCTCGCATAGCAGAGGCGTTCTAGGTCATGAACTCCGCTCCGATCGATGAGGTCGGGCATGGTAGCATAGATGGTTGATAATTTTATCATCAAAGTTGACTGGTACTGATCTCTCCTTTTTTTTTCTTAAGGGTATTTTGCTTACTGTTGTCCTCTGTGTTTCCGTCAGGCATTCTATCTCGGGTTGAACTATGAGACCTCGCTTGCTGATAACGGAGCCGTACTTCGTTCTGCATCGACTCACTGCGCGATAATACTATAGTAAAAATTATGTATTTTTCTTGGCTGGTCATAAAGTTTGTCTTCTACTGGTCCAGGTACATCTCCAGTATCATGAATTCCTTGGTCGATCCCATGATCATAGCCGACGGGCAAGAAATAAAATCTACCTCTGCCATCCATGTACTATTGAACAAGAATATAAATCCCTATCGACAGCATGAAAGGATCCATGGAGACCATCGACCTATCAAAGACAAGGACAAAGGTCTGGGCGTCAGTCGTCAACTTTTACCCCGAACATGAACCCTGGCACAAGTACCATACTTTCCCAGGGGGCAGCAGGCTATAATTTTTCAGAGCATCAACAGCTTCCCTATTGAGACTTATTAGCTCTGGATCAAGCAAGGGGTTTGGTTTGAGTTTCCAAGGGTTGTATGTTCTCATTCTATAGGCCGGTGAACGATCTGCTAAGATAAGGTCTATCGGCGCAACAACTCCCAGCCCTACCAGTAGGAAACACACAGAACAAACGTCCCATGCCCCACTGGAGTACTTCCCTACCAAATATCCAGGGTCGATCGGCATCTAATCGGCATCTACCCCTGTACTGCCAACAGTGAGAATAACCACGCGAGCGGGGGTTGGCAATAGGGCTTACTGATCAGGAGTTTGCTTCCCCTTGCACGAGGCACGCAGTCCAGAGTGCTCAGTGCTTTGTGTGGGAAATGTTTCATCATGGTGCTTGGTTTGTGAAGGCTTATTCTACCAGTTGGAAAGAGAAGCAAGGTATAGCCTGTTGAATGCCTGACAGTTGGCCTGCGCCATCGCAAAAGGTGGGTGGCTCCCAGAGGATGTACAAGGCCTGATGCAGACATCCAGCTTCAAGATAGCTCTGGTTTAGTAATAGGGACGGGATAGACTTGGAATAGCTCGAACTGCTTGATCAGCAAAGCTGGACCTCAAATCTTGCTTGGTAAGTATGTCCTTTTGAGTCCAGTGAGATGTGATCGACATATTGCTTTTGCTGTAGCGCTTAGCTGGTCCCTGATCTGTATTGCGCCTTTTCTTCTTTTTCTCTTTTTTCTTTTTTCTTTTTTTCTTTTTTTGCCAATTTCATGTTAGGTTTCGCTTCGGGATCCTTCATCTCAGCTACGCTAGATGGCATCTATCTTTTGAGGATATCAAGTCATAGTCCCTACCTGCTATCAGTAGTTAAAACCAGCACTAATGCATCACATAGGACTACATATCTCCAGATCGTGTAAATATTCATGGGACTATCTCATGGTTCTCGATGGCATATAGCTCTGTACACCTACACGCACAAATTTGCTTGCTTTTCTCCGCGGGATGACCAGCTAGATGAGATTCTCTCAGACTAATTATGTCTATGCCAGTCATGTGAACAGTTCCCGGGAATCCGGTAAGCAGAGACGGGATTTTGCATTCTGCTAGATCTTTATTGGCTCAGTCCAACAGACTACAGATACCGTATATCAGGCTAAGCGTCTTACTTATAAGATTTTAGTCTCGTGCGGCTGTTATGCGGGTGATCATCAAATGCGGGACGTGCCACGTTTGCAGAGGTCTCCTGTTGACTTTTTGGGACTCCGATATGCTTTCGGAAAGAAAGCAGAGCTCCGGAGATATGAGGTTGTATCTGCAAATCTATCAGTACATGACAGCACGAGCATTAGATGGGAAATCGTGATTTTTCAAATCGAGGACTATCCACGTCTCGCACATCACTATAGGTTTGCTTCATTATCAGAAATACAAGGAGTTAATATCAATATAATTTTATCTCGCAATCACTCCGGAACTCCTCGCTAGGATAAACCGCTACTGTATGGTATCGATGATCGATTCCTTATCTTCATTGACTTACTCGCAAAGGAATATACACTAGTAATACTCTTCGATCAGTAGTAGGGTGGTCTTATCTTATCAAGTGGTTACATTTAGTCCTAATTCACGCCCTTATTAGGGGCTTATATCCGTACGCGTGCTTGCAGTGTGCACAGTACATTTCGATCTTTTAGGTGAAGACTTACCACCGGTCCTGGCCTTTGGCTGCCACAGATCTGAGGCACTAGTGGAGTAATCGCAATTGTGGTACGCAAGTCCATGACCTCGCTTTTACGGCACCGAGTGTCAGTGTGCAAGAGAAAAAACAATGCATAGGTACTCTTCTTTCTAATTATTTCTTCGCGTAATCCACTGCAGCTCACGTATTGAGTTCTTATTTGAGGATAACATGCATCTCCCTGGTACCTGATGCACTATTCAATGGCAAGTTCATTAATATCTCAAAACAAACTGCAACTCGATTGAAGCAGATTAATATGAGCGTCGATACCGTTGCATTCGAAAAGTGATATTCATATGCTGTTAGCAGAATACACAAGAATAGATTGGATAAAGTCTCTGATCCAGGCCGGACCAACAAGGAGTTCTCCTTTTTCGTCAACTGGCTTAAAGTCGTCGTGAAGTACTAACTTGAAGGTTACCTAGGTATGTACCATGTCAACGTAGAAATAATTCCTATGCTTGGCCGAGTAACCAAGCTTACAGGATACATTGACAGAATCCGCTACCATTCCCCATGCATCATTCGACAGCGTTGACCTTATCACACAGTGCGAACTCCGGTTCTCGCGCGAACCATTCCCGAGGTTCGAGTGCTTGAAGCTTCCCCGGATGGGCCTCAGAAAGTTCCGGCCCTTATCCGTCAGGTGCGGAGATCATCTAACCAGAAATGGCTAGCCTGGCTCATCTCCATGAGCTCACCAGTCATTATCCCTTAGAGCAAGCTACGACGTGCTACCTTACTGACCGCTTCCCAACATCTCGACAATCTCCTAACAACTGGGGTCGTTGAGATATCCATTTTTCATTCATCTCCACTGCATTCACCTCGTTGATCGAGGTAAACATTCTAATTGTAGCCCCGTGCTGGGCTTCGTTTGAGTTCAATCTCCTCGGATCACTTAGCGGCTGGCTGCTATCATGACCAGAGGAATGCCACGAAGGTTAGTATGCTGGATATAATCCTTCGAGTCTCGAATAGTATAGTAACTGATGGATTTCCTTGTTGAAGTCAGCCTTTGCGGCTAGGAAAATGGGACGCATCGGATGACGTACCTGCGCTAGCCGATGGCGAGAAATCACCGTTAGTCAATAACGCAGACATGGGCATCAACGACGGAGAGCCATGGAGCCCAACTATAGTCTCACGTTCCAGAGTGCACAGGAGATGGTCTAAGCTCCTTTGGTTTACAAAGTGGGCAACAGTGATTGCCATCATTGGATACCTTTCGGTCAAGAACTCTGTGTTGTCGGGTATGGATATCATCTTCCTGCATCCGCCCTTTATCTGACAATGATGAATAGGAATAATACAGAACAGTGGTCTACAGGCCAATGCTCCGTCTGTATGCGATGCTGCAGAATGCGTGCACGCCGCATCCGAAATCCTATATAACCTCCATCCAAATTATAAGAACATTGATCCATGTGAGGATTTTGAGCAATATGTCTGTGGAGGATGGCAAGAGAGTCACGACATGCGTTCTGATCAGGGATCCCTATTTGCCGGGACCATAATGGCTGAAAATGCCCAGAGCCGTGTTCGCCACATCTTGGAATCATCCGAAGTCCCGGGAGACTCGAAATCTGCGAGCATCAAGTCTAGCGCCGATTCAGAGATTTTTGAAGAGCTGAAGACTGCATACAATGCTTGTATAGATGAATGTACTGTTGCGGAACGTGGAGTCAAGCCTTTGGAAGATGTCCTATCTCAAATTGAGAAAACCTATCCTACCGGGAAGTCTTCAAGCAGTGACCCAAGGGAGAACCTCACCGAGGTCATACAGTACCTGGTTGAGATCGGGGTCGAGGCACTCGTTTCTCCCTATGTTTCTGTAAGATAATTTGCGAAATAATTTGTGAGACTTATCTGACTTCTCTCATAGGCAGATGATCGCGATCCGGATTCCGTGGCGATCTTCGTTACACCTCCGCGAGAAATCGGGCTTCCCACCAGGGAGTACTACAATAATACCAAGACTGTGGAGGACTACAAATCAGTTGTAGAGAGGGTCCTTGCGGGATTTCACGCCTTGTTCTCCCCTGATGGGACACCTTCACCGCTGGATAGCAGCGTGCTCTCTCAGTTGAGTAACGATATTATCACGTTCGAGACTAAACTCGCCAATGCAACGCCCGATACTCAAACACAGGAAGATGTCACACAATATTACAATCCGCGTACCATCAAGCAGACACATTCACTACTGCCGGAAATCTCGTTTTCCGACATCATCTCTAGTCTCGCCCCCGAGGGTTTCCAAACCGACCGTCTGATTGTGGGATCGCCTTCCTATATGAAGGACCTCTCTGCTATCTTACAGGAAACACCAAGGGCGACGATCCAGTCTTTTCTCAAGTGGAAGGTTATCCAGGCCTTTTCGACCGATGTTGAGGATCCCATACTGCAGCCACTCCGGGAGTTTAATAATCGACTCCAAGGCAAGGACCCTCAAGCAAAGGAAGAGAGATGGCGCAAATGCGTCAGGGCGATGGATAATGGCCTACCCTGGATTCTAAGTCGTTTCTATGTCCTTGACGCTTTTCCGGAAGAATCGAAGAAGCTTGGTGACCAGATTGTATCGGACATAAAGGAACGATTTATATTCACTTTGGATCAGACTCAGTGGATGACGGCGGAAGTGAGGAAATTGGGTATTCAGAAGGTAGAAAATATCGTTCAGAAGATTGGCTACCCGACTCAGAGCCCCAACGTGTTGGATCCCGAAAACATAAAGGGTTATTACCAGGGACTTAAATTGTCTGATGGGAAGTTCTTCGAGAACCAGTTGAACATCGCAAAGTTCGACGTGCGAAAGCAGTGGTCGAAGTTGGGCAAGCCTACAGACCGCGGGGAATGGGGTATGAGTGTGCCGACCGTCAATGCCTACTACAATCCTCCTGGCAACGAGATCGTCTTCCCAGCCGGTATCATGCAGAAACCAGTGTTCTATGGCCCTTCTGCACCACTATATTTGTCTTATGGCGCCTTTGGAGCTGTAAGCGGACACGAGCTATCCCATGGTAAGTTTGGCTCCTCTTATGCCCAAAAGAGCCGTTAGGGAGAGAACCTTTAGCTGATTTCTCCAAGCTTTCGATTCCACGGGAAGACACTACGACCAGACAGGAAACTACACGGACTGGTGGGACAAGAAGACTGTTGAAGAGTTCGAGAAACGAGCGCAATGCTTTATTGACCAATACTCGAATTTCACTGTCCCAGGACCGGAACCAGACTCAGAGCCACTGCATGTTAACGGCCGACTTACACTAGGCGAGAACATCGCGGATGCTGGTGGCTTGACAGCGGCGTATCACGCATGGCAGAAGAGAGATTCTGCTTCGCCTGACCCGAAACTTCCAGGACTGGGTGACTTCACCAAGGAGCAACTGTTCTTTGTTTCGTACGCGAATTGGTGGTGCAGCAAGACAACAAGAGAAGCGGCTGTGCGTGCGATCTACAGCGATCCACACGCTCCTAAGCCAGCGAGAATCATTGTGAGTAACTATCTGGAGAGATTCTCTCATTACTGTACAGACTATCTGTGCGGCTATCATGACATGGACCAGCTGACACTAGAATACTCAGGGCACCATGGCCAATTCTCGGGAGTTCAAAGAGGCTTTTAGCTGTCCGAAGAAGGAGCCGGTCTGTAAGCTTTGGTGATTAGAACATGTCGAATACTCTTCCAGAACTATCGTTCTTTTAGTTCATTCTAGTCTGTATCTACATGAGCAAACCTTGATAATGGCAAAGCACCGGAACGATATTGATTCTCTCTTGCAGGTGCATACCTCACTCCGGTAGTAGCTGCTTCAGTTTGGCTCTTGCTATTTCAGGTAACGACCATGTCTGAATCTAAGGCGCAGAGAGGAAACTGAAGTAATATGCGCTGAACCAACCGCCCCATATTTCTTTTCACGTAGTATGTACTCCGTAGTTACTACCGAGATCCATCGCTCTTGTGGGCGTTCAAGATGGATACCATACTCTGAAGGGACAATTTTCTACTTCCGTCACCGATATTGCGCAAATAGATCAAGTGCTTCATATTTCCTTCGGTGGCGGCGACAGGTGGCTCAGTAGCTGCCTAGACTGCGTAGAAAATAGAACATGTCCATGCTTACCCCACAGTTATTTCTAGCACCTTTCTCTGCTGGCGCTAAAACATAGACCAAAAATAGAGTGACTATCTCATGTCTTCTCTTCATAGTAGTCTCCCTTCCCCTATATATGCTTTTGTCGTTGGATACGACTTGGTTCCAAGTGTCCATTCGCGGCAGAGGCACGCTCCTCATTTCGCTCGATGAGATGGAATGTGCGGGTTAATCCCGGGATATATATATATATATATATATATTTGCAAACAGGAGGGCGATGGCGCGTTATGCTTCTCTAATTGTTCTATATCATTTGTCATGTTCCGAGTCTACGGATAACTATACAGCACTTTGAGGCTTACTGGTACCAGAGCCGTGGGTAGTTCTATTATTCATAGAGAGGGTATCTGGATATTATTGCGCGGATATCACAGATGCGATATTACCTGGTTCGGGGAACGGGAAGGGATGAGATGAGGGGACCTCCTTACTTAGGAGACGAGAACAGGTCCCCGAGGGCGGGGATCAAGTAGATACAGTAATACATACTCAGTCGAGTGGATTAGTTACCATAGAGTTTGTTGTCAGATGTCCTTTTGACCGGTTAGTTATAGATAGTTCGAGTTTTGAGTTCTGGGTTCCGTCCCGAATACATGGCTCAACGTCTTCCCTTTTTTTTTCTCCACCAGACAATGGTATGGTCTCTACTCCGTATGACCGTGGAAATCATCGCGGATCTTTTTTTAAGGTTCAACGAGGGAGCTAAGATGTGTCGATCTCCAGATGTGACGTATTGTACGCTTCGACGGGTGGAAAAGTGAAACTCGGAGATGGATACTTGAGTTTTTCGTCTGTCGATATTAGACTATCCGCTTGTTTGACCTATCAGTCTCCTTGAGCTCTATGGTACGGAGTACATGCATACGGAGCGCTTCGCAGTGGTGTCAGCCTTAGCTTGTTTCGTACAGTTTGGCCATGTGCTCGCTGGCAGCGGATCAGATCCGATCTGGTCCGATTCTGTTAGTGCAATAAAATAACACGGTGGGTGGGTGTCTCTGACCGTGTTAAGCGAGATTATTGCGATCGCTGGGATTATCGACCACGGAGAATTATTATTATTGTACCTCGGGACACACGTATTGACAGTGCGAAGAGCCTCATATCAAGAATAATAACAGTACGTCATTCGCACATGACGCCACCTGTACCCATTACGCTAGTCAGTTACTGAGTAGAATCGTAGATAGATAGAGTATGACATATCAATTCCGCTCAGAAGGTGCCGTGTGATGGATATTTGAGAACATCCAGCGGCTAGCCTTTACATGGGTGAGAGTGCGAGAGAACAGAATCCAAGTTCTCTGGAGAGGCTTTTACTCGAGACCCCTTTTTTGGGCACCATTGACTTCATGCTGCAATAATAGTGGTTAATAATAATGACAGTCTGGACTCTGGACTCTGCTTGCGTGACCTTTGAAGGCGGTTACTCCGTAGTCCGTACTTATTATTCTTAGTCCCTCCATGGTTTCGGAGCCGGCCCACTCTTTGAACTTGGGAATAGATAGCTTTGATCTTACCTAGGTCCTAGGGTGGAAAGTGGGGGACGCTTTGTGAATAGTAAAAAAAAATAGGCCGGTCGTCTCAGTTGCACCAAACTTCTTTAGCAGATAGCCTGATCCCGAGCATCCGGGTACATTCTGCCTCTGCACACGCGGTCGGGACCGTCCTGGACCTCCCATGTCGGTCGGATGCTTCCTGCTGGACGTTCAGTCAATAATATCTTCTATCATAGCTTTGCAGTCAACCTCGTACTGTTGTTGTGGGGAGATTGAATTTCTCGAGAGTTGATTTCGAGATAAGAGTTATCAAACTTCCAATCCCGTCATCTGCGGATGAGGCTGTTGATTATTCCGTGATGGATTAGAAGACTATGATTGGTTGGACCAGCAGATTGGAGACGAAGAGTCTTGTTTATCAGGTTGCGGATAACTCTACTGTTATTTGTATGTAACAGCAGGTCCTAGTCGATCACACGGGTCTGAGTCTCGAGTTTCTTGGTGCAGTTAGTCTTAGACATAAGCGAAGCTTCAGAAAAGCAGCATCGCCGTTTAAGCAGACTGCCACAGGCCAAGACGAGCATCGCAATTCTCCCGGATGCCCCCGAGAGACAAGGATATTAATATTATTAACTGACACTGTTAACTAACTATGACCTCTTTAATGCTACCACCGACAATGACGACATGGTTCATTGTGAACGTCACCCAGAGAGCTCAAGCGCAAAGTACCATACACATAGATAGCGTACTCGGTAGATATGGTATGTACATACAACAGGCGTTGCTTCCGCCTCGCTTTGCTTGCTTGCTTGCTTGATGTAAGGTATATCTAGTGGATGGATCGTCCCCCTCGAGACAGCCCATCGATCTCTCTCGCCTGCTGGTATAGGAGGTCGCTAAGGCGCTTGGGGCCCGATGCAGCTCGCCTGTTCCGCGTGGCCCTAAGGACAGCCTAAGTCGAACTAAATCCAACTAAAGGCACACCTAAAGTCAACCGTCAGGCCATCACCGCCAACCAGCGCGTTCAGCTTCCTCGCGCGACGTGCCCGCGATCCTCGGACGAGTCTAGGACAGAAAACGGTTTCCGCCAGACTAACCAGCCTCGCCTGAGGGCCGATGGGTTCCCCAGCCCAGGAGGATCATCAATCACGCCCGGAGAATCGTGTGTGCTCGTCCTTCTTTGGCTATCCATCCATCATCGCCGCCCTTCCAATCCCCCCCTTTCGTACCTGTCACCTTATATCCTGTCCTGACGAGCTGGCGGGAGCTTGAGGGCGGTGTTACTACTCTACCTGGACAGGTCAACAATCCCGCACTCCTGCCACCCGCTTCTCTTGACAGCTTCTGGAGCTTCAGAGAGCATCGACACCGCAACAGGCCCCGGACAGGCATACCCTTCGATCAAAGCACACAAAAGAGAAGGTCCATTGATTCCCAACGCCCTTCATTGACTGCTGCTACACAGACGATGCAGACTGTTTGATGCTCACCGTTGCGGCGCAAGAAAGGCCATTTTCAATCATACTGCGCATGCTTAGTTTGGATATGTCGTGTCACACGAACGAACTGGCATTCAGTCCCGGCCACGCCCATATCCTTTGAGTCCGAATTCCCTTTAAGCCTCGGTTTTTGTGCCAAAGTCTCTTGGTCCGCGTCGATCCTTCACAGTAGCGGTCAACAGCGAGAACGCAATTTCGACAGAGAAATGGGGCCTCCCTCGTTCCTACATAATGATATCCCCTTGCGACCATCGAACCAAGGCGCTGGCGAGCCTCTTTCTCGATTTCAGGCCGGAACAGGCCTGGGGCGTGTATCGACGACAGTAGCAGGAAATGCTGCGTACGACGGGCAGTCGAGTCTTCGACGAGCCCATACGGTGGCCCAAGGGCCAAACACACCAAAGACAAATCTCGGACGTCGGGGAAAAGAACGTGCACAGTCACTCCTGCGTGTGAAGAATAGCGCTGAAATGCTATGGCAGCGCTCTACTAAACGATCGAATAATGTACCTGAGAGTGTGCCGGAAAGTTCTCCAACCGGCCGGGAAGGGAAACATTTCACAGTGGGAAATGTTGGCAACAATGGAAGACTGTACTTGAGGTATGGCGGTTTTATTCATGGAAGCTGGCTTCGAACCCGGCACGTATATAAGGCAAAGCTAACATGCGCGGGTGGTCTAGGCCGATCATTACGCCTGTCCAGAAAGGCGCACCGAATCCCTTTTCGCGTTCTCCCATCAACCCATCGGACAGCATGCTCACCGCGCAGGATGGGTTTCTTGATATTGAAAGAGATGCCAGACACAGTATGTGGTCGATCTCTCAACTGTCGGAGCTACATCCGGGGTTGGGAAATTTCGGACAGCCACCTCATGAGCAGGCACCGCTCGCGGGTGACAATCGCCACAAAAAATCGCATTCATGCTCTACTATAGAAGAACGCCGATCATCCTCGAACGAGCGTCCGGGTGAGCTCCGAATCGTGATCGACCGATCCGACGATCGACCCAGATCAAACGAGGAGAAGGGTGTGCCAACGTTGGAAATTCCAATTCCACATTATCGACTGGGCAGGCCACAGTTCAACTCTGAGGGCTCTGCCGCGCTACGAAGTTCTGCCTACACCAGGACCTCCGTATCAGATAACTTCAGAGAGTCTGCTGTACTTGAGGATGAGCCCTCATCCAATATCCCGCAACCTGTATCGGAAACCGGCGAGCGAAATGAACGGCATTCGTTTGGATACGGGCGTCCTCTTTCTTTCACCACGTCCATGTTCTCCGGCGCAGTGGCGTTGAGTAGAAACTCTGCTTCTCACCACTCAGTCTTCTACAAGCTGAAGGAGCCTATTGAGCCCTTCATCTTCGATGGTCTCGCCGTGACCATGGACGACCCGTCCGTGGTTCGATATCTTCCAGGAACCAAAGACATCAGCGCAGCGACACCAGCTCGAATTGTTGCACAGATCACGTCAGAGTCCTTCATGGACTATGAGCTCGTGTCTGATTTCTTTTTAACTTTTCGCTCCTACCTCTCGTCTAGCAACCTCCTTTCCCTTTTGCTGGCCCGCCTACAATGGGCCATCAATCGATTGCAGGATGACGGTCGAATAATTAGGATCCGAGCATTTGCTGCTTTAAGGCATTGGATCCTGAATTACTTCGCCGATGACTTCGTGCTTGATCGGGATCTTCGCGTGCAGTTCTGCGATAGGATCAACTCGATGTATGATGCCGTGAAAGATCGAGATGTCCGAAGTACCAGCGACTTGAAAATTCTCGTAGATTTAAAGCGATGCTGGAACGGCAGATGCTCTGTTTACTGGGATATGCCCGACTCAGCGCCGGACAACAACCTAGACAGTCCCGTGGTTCCAGGAGGCGTGGTGGGGAGTCGAGACATAAACAAGACCTCTCTCGATGATATTGAAGAGCTCTTTTTTGACTCTACGCTTCTACATGAGCTTCCTGAAGGGCACTACTGCCAATCTGTGCACCCAAAGACTACTACAAATCAATCCCAACCTACGCAAACTTCCCATAGCCGAAACGCCTCTGCGACAACAGCACGAGATACAGCGGTTTCTCCATCTGATGGAAATTCTGTTCAGGTGGTCTCCTGTTCATTTCCTTCCATCACCCCGAAACGTTCGTCTTCATCAGATGTGAGCAACGTGAGCATCCCACATCCCGTACCGGTACTCACTACAAACCTGCCTTCGAGTCCTGGTGACCATAAGTCTCCGATTGCGCCTCATCGTCGTCCTGTCCATGCTCATTTCCACAAGCGCAGCGGAAGTTTCTCTGACTCTGTGCGCGACGACAGAGCACCTCTACGAATGGGGAGCAACGATGCTCAGGGTCAATCGTTCATGACTCTGGCTCCGTACGCAAGCGGTTTGATCAGGGGAAACCTCTTCGGGCCTTCGGATCCTCGCATAGAAGGAGTGTCTCCTCCTTCACCGACTTTCTTTGCTCCCTCAACCGATGTTTCTCATGCCGTGTCTCATGACTCACCAGACGTTCCAAAGCCCACTGGATCTAGTCAGGGCGTACGGACAATCATTGGCTCAATCCGACGAGTGCTCAACAGCAGACAAGGCAGTCAATGGCCACTTACGCAAAGCAGAAGTTTGAGTCCAATGCCGCCTTTGCGCGGCCGGACGTCTACCTTGCCCATGAATGTCGCGTTTGGGTCTGAGCTATACAAGAATAGAAAGTCATCAGCCGTTGGGAAGTGTTCGTTGCGTGTCGATCTGCTATGTGATGATGTGCTGAAGCAGTACCGTGATGCTGTGGGTTACAGTGCGGAAAAGGACATCCAGGAAAGCGGAGCTACAGCTCCAGCACATGCTAACGACACGAAAGAGCCCGCTTTGCAGCCTGGTTCTCAGATGCTGCAAGCCGAAGGACATGACACAGACACCAGGCACAGTCTGGTGACCATGGGGAGCAAGTCGATCGTCATTGTGGATGACACGGGGGTCGATATCCCTGTGATGTCCGGGGCCGTCCCTCCGACTTCTGCAAGTACTCAGCAGGGTCAGGGGCAACATATGAGAAGTGGCCACTCCGATGCTACGTCAAAAACCATAAATTTGGATCGTGCATGGTATTCGTCCGGCCAAGCAGACGAGTATGCGGCGCCGCTCCAATATAGGGGCAGCGGCTCTGACGCTGCATCTAAGACTTCGAGGTACTCGGGAGGCTCTGAGTTGTTCGCACCTAGAAGCTCCCTTTCCTCGATTCGCAGACTGTCAGGCTGGAGAAAGAGTGGATCCATGTCGAATCGTCTACGCAAATATGCTTCTTATCAGAGTGTAGTGTCACGGTACCGTCATGAGGTCGACAATGATGTGGCTAGTTCAGCATCTGGCGAGACCGATGCTCAAGGTGACTATGAGAAACCTTATGCGCGTCTGCTTCGCAGGCGTCCAGGCGGAGACCTACGGAAAGTGCAAAACATCCATGATCTCGAATCACTGCCGCGTCCCCATTCTTTCCAGTCCGGGACCTCGCGTACAGAATCTCTCTCCGCATCCACCACTGGCACGCGCTCCCACACTTTTGGTAGCCAACAGACTTTTCCGCAAAGACAGAGATTTTCGCTCATCGAGACTCACTCCTCTCAGAATATGCGGCCGTCGTTCGAGGCCGTCGTGGCCGAGTTCTCTCATATCCCTGACGATGACGATGGAGGTGTCGAGTCAGCATTGCTTAAGTTGGAAGGGAAGTGGAATGACTCATCTACTGACACAGGTGGAAGCCCAATGCGCCCAGAGCGAGGAGAGGCACCCTCTTCCGAGTCAGAGTGGACGCACAATCAAACCCATAGCGGCCTTGCTAGCAACCAGGAAAGCTTTATTGAGCAGCGCCATACTCTCTCAGAGGGCAATAGTTCACATACAGTGCTAGATCAGCCCTCTGTTCATGGCCCATATTCCGAATCGGTTGCTGAATCTGAGGATTCCTATTGCTCTATTCCTCTTCTCGAGAGGGGTCTAAGCGATGAATCTATGAAGAAGCCTCCCTTGAGACCTGTGAAGCATGTCGTTACAGCCCACAAACAGTCCAGCTCGGATACACGCCAGGACACTCATGAACCTGAATCATCACATCCGTCAATAGATGTGGTTGAGGAGACTGAAAGTCTAAGGCGTATTCCTCGCGGCTCGACCATTCCCAGCTCTCCTGCTGCGGTCTATGTGAAGGAGGAAGATTGCCTCTCGGAATTGTCTTCTGAGATATCCGTCGATATCATTGATCCAGAAGAGGCAGTCGAGAAACCTCACCGTCTCCCTTCGACAGGATCACACGGCCAAACAATTTCAGCGCTTGAGATTCCTCCTCACCCTCTCGCTCATCCCCCGTCTCCTCCGATGACTATCCAGCAGCCTAACTCCAGGGTATCACTTCCAGAGATCTCCCACCCGCTGTCGTTCCAATCAAAACCGCTTACTCCCGACCCCTCCCCCACGCATAAAAATGCTGGCGGAGGCAATGACAGAGCAATTGACTTCAACCAGCTGTCTAGCAATGTTATTCTCAATTCCGAGAGAGGTGACGCGAAGATGAACCCAACAGACTTGATGGCAGCGGCGCATATTCCGTTCATTCTTGCATACGACTCTCAACTCATTGCTGAGCAGTTAACTATTGTGGAGCAAGCGGCCCTAAGTGAGATTGATTGGAAGGATCTTGTTGATATGCGATGGAGCGGTAACTCACCTGTGTCGCTGAGTTGGGTGCAGTTCCTTTCCGAACAAGACAAGAAAGGCATTGATCTTGTTGTTGGCCGATTCAATCTCATGGTGAAATGGGTGCTTTCAGAGATTATCCTCACACAGGATCTCCAAGAGCGAGTGCGGGTAATTACAAAATTTATCCACATCGCAGCCCATGCTAGGAGGATTTGCAACTATTCTACGATGCTCCAGATTACAATCGCTCTATCTTCCATAGATTGTACCCGGCTTCGACGAACATGGGAGCTAGTGGCTGCGCAGGATAAGGACCTTCTCCGGGAGATGGAGTCCCTGATACAGCCAGTTCGCAATTTCCATGAACTTCGAGTAGAGATGGAGACTGCGAACCTACAGGAAGGCTGTGTACCTTTTGTTGGTGAGTGCTACTCATATGCCATGCTTTTTATTTTTTCTATTCTAATCTGATTCGTAGGCCTCTACGTGCATGATCTCACGTACAATGCCCAGAAACCGGCGCAGATTGCGAGCACGCGCGACGGTGACCCGTTGGTCAACTTTGAGCGATATCGCACTGCTGCCAAGATCATCAAAAGCCTCCTTCGGCTTATTGATGCTAGCACAAAATATGCATTCGAGCCAGCCTGCGGCGTGATCGAGCGGTGTCTCTGGATTGCCGCTCTCCCTGACGACCAGATCCAGATGAGAAGCAGCAAACTGGATTGAAATTACGAATACCCATTCTGAATGAGCATAATCGACATGTAAATGGTTTCATGCATCTTGGGCGGCTATCTGTTTTCTTCCCTGCACGTATATAATAATACCTACACAGTGCATGTCTTTTTTCTGTATATGAGATTTACCCCGCGATGTACTCAATGTTTATCGAATGATACCAGAACTGGGCCTTGCTTTGACGGCTTTTGCTATCGAGTTGTTTTTCTGTACATTATATCCCGTGGTTTCGCTTTGGATATCCCTGTGCGTATGCTATTCTGTTGATTCAGATATAGTGCGGCATTTTGGTTGATCATAATAAAGAAGCACTTAGCGTGGAGTTCTGTTGTTTCCTCACCAAATTTGCGGTGAGTGGCGATCTGAGTATCTGACCCCTTTTTTTTGAGCGAGCTTAGCATGATAGAATGCTTGTGAATACAATATGTCAGGCGATACGCTCTCTGATGGTTCTCTCTTGTAGAAAAAGAGTCCGATGAGACTGCATAAACGATAGTTATACTGCAGTGTCGGAGAATCTTCACTGCGTGCGTCATTGGGCGACCCCGAAAGCTGCATTCTATGGCGGCGCTGATCTACGTAGTCCCCAGAGCACATCTTCCCCGACCGTCCATGGTGGATTGTCGCATGTTGAGCGACTTCCCCTGGAAAGAAAAAATTATCGCCAAATCTGCCTTGTGCAAAGGGCCTTCTCTCTATCCCGTCTCCGCTTTGTCTCATGGAGCAACATCCGGCGCGACGCTCTCGTCTCCGTCTTTGATGTCCCGCACCACCACCAGCCTCATTCGAACTTCACCATAGCCATGGACGTTGCGGACCCGCCTCACGGGAATTCGCCCGAATTTGAAGATGAGGATCATGCGCTCGATGCGTCTAATATCCGGAATTCAAGAACGCTTCCTGATGATCTACCGACCTCCCTCGATGACCGCCGCTCCGTGCCCGTCTTCCCATCGGAGACGGAGATGTACGATGGTTGGCAAGGTGGGCATTCCTCGTCCGCAGAGACTCAAAGAGTCCTGTCGCATCATAAGATGGATTGTCTGGCCATTTTCGATGACTGACTCGCAATGCTTTTGTTGTTACAGGTCAATCACAATTCCTCACGACACCCATTGCTGCCAAACCTCTTACCTTCAACCTCACCCTGGACGACCACTCACACGATGATGAACATGACGCGCGAGGTCAATATACGCGACGTTATGCTGAAGATGATGCCGCATCAACGACCACCGCGCGTATTGAGGATAGCGATGCCCGGTTGATGGAGATGCTGGCGGCTCAGGCAGCCCATCGGGAAGTGGAAACGATCGGGACGGATGAAGATGATATCGTGGCAGACGAGAAGCTTTCCGATGAGAAGAAAAGAGAAATCCTTCAGAAGAGTCTGAATATGGCTGCTAGCAATGGGGATGTGGAACGTGTGCGGAAAATCCTGGAAGGAAAGGCGAAGGACTATGTGGATGTTAATATGCCAGATGAGGAGGGGACAGTGCCGTTGATATATGCGAGTTGCTTTGTGAGTTCTTTCAGCCGTGTGGGCCGGGGTACATTGGCTTTTTGCTGTCGTGCTGACTGCGATGTAGGGTCATCTCGATGTCGTATCCGCGCTTCTGGACTCGGGCGCTTTTGTTGACAAGCAGGATCGCAACCAATGGAGCGCTCTCATGTGGGCAATGACGAACCGCCACAAGACTATTGCGAAGATTCTTCTCGACCATGGTGCATCGCCAGATATCAAGTCGTCCTCTGGAGGCACGGCTTTCGATTTCGCCCAACCGGGAACGGAAATTTCCGACTACTTACATGACAATGGCTACCACTTTGGATCTACGGCAATAGAAGATGACTTTTATGATTCTGGTTTCGGGCAGGGCCGATTCGAAGAGGAGATTGCCGAGAACGAAATGAAGCGGCGAATGATGATGGAGGAGAGCGCCATCAATCTCGAAGTCGATCTATCTAGTCTCGGTCTGGACGAGAAGTTTGAGGTACGTTGGCCACTGATTGAGGAAGATGTTTATCTGTAGGCGCCAAAACTGATATGTTTTATAACAATAGGCAGTCGACGACGATCTGGAGGATGACCAGCAGGAATTCGTCTGGGACAGATGTCTGAACGATCAGATGTTTGTCTTCCAGGAGAATGAGCTAGATAATATCCTAGATATCATCATCACGCATATGACACCTCAGCGCTCGCCATCTCAGAAGCCGGTGCCGGCTAACTTATTGTTTCTCAGCGCACGTTATGCTCATTACCACGCTAGCCCTGAGCTTCTAGCGAAACTGCTGACGTCTGCAACTGAGAGAATTAACGATGTCGTTGAGCGGCATCAGTGGGATATGACGATTCTCGCGTTCTGGATATCCAATGCGACATTATTGCTTCATTATCTGAAGAAAGACATGGGCCTGGTAGAGTCTACGGTGCAGTTCCAGTTGCATCTCGCGGAGCTCATCAACGAGATATTCATTCTGATCATCCGGGACGCTGAGCGGCGGATGAATAAAGTCTTGGACCAAGCGATGCTGGACCATGAGACGATACCTGGGTTTGAAGATGTCCATTTCCAGAATGAGTGGAAACTCTTCCGCTCAAAGTCCAAAGCAAAACCGCCTGAGCCAGCCGAGAAGCGTTTCCGGCCTCCGTCTCCGAAACGACGGGCTCAGATATCGCCTCGCAACGTCACGTCGTTGCTCTCATCGACCCTGTTCGTCCTCGACCTCTACGATGTCCACTCTGTTATCACCACTCAGATATTGTCACAGCTCCTGTATTGGCTGGGAGCAGAACTCTTCAACCGCATAATGACGACGAAAAAGTATCTCGCGCGAACAAAGGCTATGCAGATTCGAATGAACGTGTCCGCGTTGGAGGACTGGGCCAGGACAAATAATCGGCAGCCGGAGCATTACGAGAATGGGTCCACGACCTGCACTGGAGAGAGTACCATCGAGGCAGCTCGAAGGCATTTGGCACCTGTTATCCAGCTACTGCAGTGGCTACAATGTTTCTCCTCTCTGGGGGACGATTTCGAGTCTCTCGTCACTACCTTGCTCCAGCTCCAGCAGCTGACGCCGGCTCAACTCATCCATGCTGTGAAGTGTTATCGACCGGAGGTCGGAGAGAAGGGCCTCACGAAGTCGGCCATGAAGTTCCTCATTGATCTACAGAATGACCCAGAGCTTCTCTTTCGAGAACACCAGAAACTGCAAGAAGCGAAACCCGCCTCGAAGTCGGAAACGGACCAGAGTGATATCCCTCCAGTGACACCGGTAAATGAACAACCGTCTATCCCACTTAACCCCAGCATCCTCATGACTCCCGCCGGTAAGGACACCGTTGGTAGTCCTGGAGTCACATCCCCAGCGGCCTCCTCCATCAATGCCTCTCCCCGACCAGGTTCCACCAGATTCGAAACTGAGCGCAACCTACTCCTCTTGGACCCTTCATTAACCCTTCCTTTCTCTCTACCCACCAGCACGGATATGCTGATCACCTACGGCGCCGGATGGGGAGGTACCAACCGCGAGCGCGCCCGCAAATATATCCCGACCGTACCACCAGAGGTGCTGAATAGGTTTGATCGCTGAACCGTCTTGGAAGAAGGAGGCGAGAGAAAGGACAAAGGTAGCCTTAATTATACTTCTTTTTCTTTTTCGCCTTCGACTGAACGGCCGTTGCATCATAGTCTTTTCATACACATATTCATTCTATATACCATGAAGCAGTAAAGTGCACGGGGAATAGGATTAGGAGGTATTGTCTTCGGGCTGACCGCTCTAGCGAGACTAGTGCTGGTAACTATACTTATTCAATAAATAAAAAGAAAGATTCATCATCTTGATTTGATAACGGTATTATATTTGTTTAGAAGTCGTCTCTGACGAAGACATGTGAATCATGCGCGGTGGAGCTGCTTTCTAGATTTCAGACTTCGTAAATTCGAGCATACGCCCGTTGGTTTCATTCCCGTAGAACACCTACATCATGTCACAGGATAACAGATGGCAGCCGTTTAACCACGAAGCGTATGGGGTATCGGGGACGAGAGACTGCACACATTACGAGGTGAGCGTCGTATGAAGAATCGAGGTAGCTATATAGAGACTATAACGAATGTAATAATATATCAACGCATCTAGTCTGCTCACGGCCCAATTTTCCTTGACAGCACATCGATATGACTTCACCTCCTTCCTCTGTTGCCACATACGTGAATGGAGAATGCTGGGTTCAGAGGAGTTCTGTTGATTGTTGCTAGTCCCCCAAACTCGCTCTGTCCGGGGAACTAACTAGAGTCTATCAGGCCGCGGTTTGTTAACACTTGTATGGTTGGCTTGGAGATGCTGGAAGTCTCGAGAAGTGGCGCGCGCGGCCTATCAATATTCCCGCCTTGTCTGGCCTTCTATATAACTATAACCGGGTGACTTGATTAATCAGAGCGAGCATGGGTCGAGTATTAGATTTATTTGATTTGGACACAAGAAGACTCTCTATACAGGTGATGGAGTGGTTGGGGAAGAAGTGAACATAATTGTAACCTTGTATCTATCTATAGATAGTTTGCACTTCTTTCCAAAAGTGACTTATTCTGGGTATATTAAATCTGGATTGTCTATCTGGAGCCGTATCGCATATATGCTGGGGGCGTGCTTAAGCCACACAACAGGCTCTTACAAATATAACTGACGTGCAATAAATGGGGTATGGGAATCGATGCAAGGTTATACGCAATATCGAAAACAAAACAGCAAATCTAGTCCTGCAATTGGAGGATCTCTGCAATAATATATAGTCCGTCAGTCCTAGCACAGCAGAATAGAGTCACAGGTCAGTCCTTACCGGTCAAAAACTCCTCAAAGCTCACAGTGATGTAGCCGTCTCGGTCGTCATCGTAACGTTTGAAAACTTCAGTCATGCGCCTCAAACTCATACAGCTCTGTATGAAGAGGTCGAAGCTCAGACCAGGCTTGCCTGGTAGCAGCCCTGGTCCGTTTCTCCTTCGTCCTTTGCTTTCGAACGTAGAGAATAATACGCCCACAAATGATTCACTGAGACGATACCCGAATGCGACCAGTGCCTTCTCGAATTCCCCTAGGCTGATGCGTCCACTACGGTCTTCATCGAACCGGTCAAAAATGTCTCTCCAAGCGGCAAGATATCGCCAGAGCGATACAAACTCGTCGAATCTGATCGTGCCGTTGCCATCTTTATCGAACATTCTGACCATCATCTTCACCGTGTTTGGATCGAACGCCGTGTAGTCTCCATTGACCAGGGCAGAACCCAGCTCTGCCTCGGTGAGAGCTCCCGAATGAGACACGTTCGCTGCGCGGAATAGAGGATACAACTGCTTAGGATCCTCGTTTGGCGTCGTTAGAGGAGGATTGGGCGAGTGAGGAGGACGCGAAACATGAGGCGGCCTATTCTGCGCAGGCCTAGGAGGTGGGGGACCGTAACCATAGTTCTGTGGTGGTGGAGAGTGAATGCCATAGTTATAGTGTCCTGTTGCAGCGCCCGGTGACGGTTTTCTGGGATAATGATGCTGTGTCGCTTGCGGGGGAGGATGAGGGCCTTGAGAAGGGATCGCGGGAGAGACGCGTTGCGGTGGGTGGCCAGGCGGTGCGCTATGTGAGGATGCTCGAGGTCTATGTTGATGAGACGCCTGCATGGCGCCTATCATCTGTGCCACCTATATAGGACGGTGTGTCGTCAGTCGTGAGTCCGTCGACTGCTGCCAATAGGCGCGGAGAACAAGACGAGTGGAAGATGAAATGCAGTTGCCTACTTGTTCTGGTTCCGCATGCCTATCCAGAATTATGCTGTCAGCTTGCTATTCCATTAAAATATCTGTCAAATCCTGGAAAAGAGCTTGAGACTTACGCTGGGAGCGCATCCGGGTTGTAGGAGCTGTTGTACGCCATCTCGCGAACTACCAGCGTGTATGTTCGCGGGGTCGTCTCTGAACTTCAGCGCAGTGCGGTAGATGGTGTTATTGTTCTATTTATGACATGTACAAGAGAACAGAAAAGGGAATTCTGCGTCAGTGCTTTATGGTGTCGATGCTGATCTTTGCGCTTGCAAGTTCGCTCGTCGTCGGGGTGCCCGTCCGTTACAGCTCGTTCGCAAGCTTGGCGTTTGTTGGTGGGGCTAGATGCCCAAAACCCATACTAGGAAAAAAGGAGAACTAGTAAACGATCAGTATTGAATGCTATTCACATATTCACCATTGTCTCTTCGGTTATACGTTCTGATTCGGACGTGGAATCCTTTGCGATTTTTTGCTTGGAAAGAAAGGAAGACCCCGCGCAGCAAAGTCCCTCCGCGCGTTTGCAAAGACGCAGCCTTACGACGACTGGCCGTAAGTTGTGGAGCTGCACAGCTCCATAAGAAATCCGATTCGATAGTGGCAAATGCTTCTCCAAAGTCCGCGATTGTGTATAATTATAGATCGGACTGCGCCCGAGGAGCTCTAGTAGTTATCGAAAGTTGCTTTATCCTGACTCATTGATACTTCTCCACTCTCAGCTGGCTCTTCTTCACATAGATCAGGGCAACAGTCTGCGCATCAATTGCTGTGATTAGAGCAGGCATCAATGGCAACCTCGGCGATTCATCATGACCTGCTGGCAGTATCCGACATGCCTCCATTTCACGGGAATTGATGACAAGCATAGATAGAGAATCTGGTAATACCTCCTCAGTCCTGGAGCTTGCTAGCCTGAGATGCTCCCTGCGATCTGTTCTACCTCGGCAGCCTGGGGCTTGAGAACTTCGATAATCTCCTTCCAAGCCTTTTCCTTCAACATTTCTCCCTCTGTACCGGTCGTGAGCGTCCTAGATTCGCTGGACCCCCGTTAGCTAGCTGTGTTAGCAATTGATTCAATGGCCACTCACTCAAGATATCCATCACTCCTCCAGCATTTCCCATGAGATTCCACACCTTGGTAGGTAGCGCTCACGAGCGACCGACTGCCTTCCTCTGGAGTGCGAGCAAAGAGCTTGTAGAGCAGCCATGTTGCCCATCTCTCGTAGAACCTGTTGAACTGCCGACCCAGGCTGGACCCGCAGAATCCTGGGCTGACAGAGTTCACAATAACCTGGAGAGTACCATCGTCGTTCCTCGTCAGTCGCGCAATGTTCTTGATGGCATATTCTAGGAGAAGCTTTGAGATTCCATATTGCTTGCCACCGCTGAATCTCTTTGGGTCGTTGAGATGCTCGAGGAGTCTCCCATCGGTCCTTAGACTCTCAGCCTTGACACGCGTGAACTGGTAACTAGACGTGATCGTCAAATGTGCAGGTTCCGAATCGGAAGTGCTCTCTCGCAGTTTCGGAAGAAGCAGCAGCGCTAGCAGCGCAGTCGATAAGGCGTTGACTTGCAGAGTCTCCTCCCATCCATCGCTCGAGACATTGTAAGCACGATGAAATAGGCCAGCATTAAGTACTGCGATATCTAATCGAGGGAGCTCCTTACGCGCTCGTTCGGCAAACTCGACGACACTTTGGAAGCTGTTCATGTCGAGGAGCCATGCTTGTACTGCGCCAGGACGATTTGTCCGTTTCTCCAGCTCAGCCTTGGCTTGATTGCATCGGTCAATATTCCGACCACCTATGATCAAGGTGGAGACACCCAGGTTGAGAAACTTGATCGCTGCTTCGAAACCCAGCCCTGACGTCGCACCCGTCAAGAGGATGGTCTTACCCGCAAACGAGACTGATGTCGGTTCTGCGGGCGGATTGAGGCGAGACTTGACAAGATTGATGAGTGCAGACATAGCTAAGAAATTGGGATATCATGAAGCAGTTCAGCAGTGTAGATAACCAGCAGTACAAGTAGTAGGTAACGGGCGCCTTCTGTGATGAGAAAGAACAGTGTAAACTGAGCAGAGAGAAGATAGAAGGAGAGCTATCTACAAAACTCCCTATATATTGAGAGATAATAGAAGAGTCAGGCAACTAGAGTATGGACATTGCACAATTGATGAAACAATGCAGGTTGATCTAGAATACTTCTGCAACAAGTGCCGGACATTTGACGTAGGATGATCCTTGTGCTCCACTCGTTGTGGCACTTCCCGTCGCGGCTTTGCGTGGGTCGGGCCGCCTCTTGCTCGACAGTTAATAACAATCGATTGCTGTTCACTGAAAGAGTTAATGACCTCAGATGGCGGAATTGTCTAGTTGAAAGATGAATACTCTGCAGTCATCATAAATAACTAAGCCTGATTACAATAAAGCTAAGACAGCCAATTTGCGATCGTCCTTGCGATTATATATATATGTAAGACGTCAGACCAATTGGACACATACAAATCTGCTAATGCAAGAAGGAATTCTATCCAGTTCCTTTCATAGACGCTATTCACCTATCTATCGTCTGCAGCATGCTACATTGAATACCTTTATTTTGAGACTTCTCCCCTACATCTTATGTCTATCAAAAATTAAACAATCCTACGTATTTATCCTGTCCCAATCTCAGTACTTATCGGTATGCGATCACACGATCTCACAGTATAAACTTAGAAGAACCTGGCTCCTTACATCTGCATATACCTACTCTGCTGGTCTGAGGATTGGGTTCACCTAAGAAATCCATCAACGACCCATGAAATGCCATGACTATGGATAGTCGTTTCCACGTTCTGTCGAATCTAATTGCTAGATTGATTGATTTACTTGCTTAACTCTGGTTCTCAGGTCGATTTGAACCCATATATATCTCTACAGCATACAAAGAATCTAGCGATATAGTAGGTTCTGTCCTGTAAGTAGGATACCGAGAAACCTACTACAAACGGATGATTGACAGGTCACTTGGACGTACGCTTTGTGCGCCAACACAGTTCCTTGAGCCTATTTGCAATTCGTTTCGAGGCTAGTAGTCAAGTCGATGAATACTCGATCAAGAACTACAAGCCAAACCAGAAAGGCACCTGGACTCCGGAGCAGAGTGGATTGTCGGTACAACGGCATCACACTATCGTCGATCAGCCTGATCTAGATGCTAGCATTTTGGGTCCATGCGTGCTTGCGAGATTTTCATATTCTGATCAAATATATACTCCCATGGCTCCTGATAAGGCAACCAGAGAAGCAAATTAGGTAGATACTGTTATGCCTTTCTTGGAAATAGCCCAAGGTCATCTATTGGAAGGTTCCGGGGAAGTTTGTCAACTACGCCAGAATGAGGGTCCTGCCTTCCTCATCGTCGCCTAACATTGCTATGATGTTATTTGCGAAAGGTCTTATCATTTGCGGTGCTCTATATCATTCATGTTTCCTTTCCTTTTCTATCGTTAGGTTCTCATAATTCATACATCGAGTCACTCTTATTATATACATTTTCTCTTCTATAAGCCAAGGTCATCAACAAGATTTACATAATTTATCTCTCTAGCAGCGATATAGACAAAAATGGCAACCACAACCTTGCGGAATAACTCGAACGAAAATGGCTCGTCAGCATGTTCTCCCTCCTTCCCTGAACTCGCAAAGATGGACGGATGGGATTTGACGCACAGAATGGAGCAAACAACTACCGAGGATCTTTGGGCAAGATTTCCACATGTGAGCCAAGATCATGCTTCTTTTCCTCTTCTTTCCTTAGCTTCAAGCTGACATCTCACCAGGAAGATGATTTGTTGACTTGGTCCACGGTGCCTAGAACCAAATTCCTACAAATAAAGAAGCGTTTGCATGCGATTCGCGGACTGTATCCGTGAGTACATTCTCGAACAGGAACTGTATTATTGCATAACTCTAACACACGTCTACAGGAAGGTCAAAAAGTTACTTCACAGAATGCCGGATCCGAACTATGCCAAGGTCGCGTTCTCTGTTGCAAGGTTACAGGAACATGTCAGAGATGTGGAGACGGCAAATAGAAACATGGCAGTGCATGTTGATGAGCTAGAGATAACTCTTTGTGATGAACGCCGTCGGTTTCAACAGGAGCTCGAGTCTCAGCGGAAGACTTTCCAGGAGAGGGAGCAGTGTTTGATCGACCAGCTCCTTTTTGATTGTGAGATTTGTCCCAGTGAAGACTCATGATTCGCATCACGATGGGCTGCGGTTGGTAATTAAATCTGTTTCTTCCCATGTATGCAGCAGGCTTCTTTCATGGATGGCATTCGAAGTACCTATCATGGTAGGTCGATGGGGTGAGGTCTTATACCGATGTATTTATGTGTTTTCGCAACGATTTTCGGAGTTGAGCATATACTTTTTGATGCATGTCCAGTATGAACAGTTCCATTGGGATCTATAGAATTGTCTAGACATACTTATATATTGCCAGGGATAATATAATAGGATAGACAAGACAAGAACATTGGACCAAGTCTAGACCACCAAACGGAAAATAGCTCACCATTCCCGATCCTGAGAATGCTATAAAAAAGACCAAAACATCGTCCTCATAGGAGTTCGTGTAGCTACAGCCACACACACACAGTAGCTCGCTCCTCTTCTACCTCTCACAAGATTCGTCACAGAATGCTTTTAGACAATCATATTAGCGAATGACTGTTCCAGTAGTTCGTCCTCATTGACTGCGGCTAGTTTCCGAGAAAGGCTCCATGTCTTCTCTGATTTGTGGGAGACATGTTCGACGCTTGCCTGCTCGTGTACCCCGCAGATGAACTGCTCTCAGACCCTGATGAGGAAGCTTTGGCAGATTTCTATCGTAGCTGGATATATACTCTTTCGTGGATCGTACTAGGTTATTCGATATGTCGTGCTGATATAGAAGTCGATGGTGCTTGATTCTTCAATAATAATGTCCAGTGACAGTACTATATGTACATTCTTTATACTTTATTCTCCATTTCCGTATATACGCAATGGTTTAGTTGGGCTGTGAAGGACGGAGGGAACGCGGTAGAGACGACACTGATAAAGCTAGCTTAACTATACCGTACAACAAGCTATTGAGGCCTCTGACCGTTCTTTTCGGGTTCAACGTGAGAGAAGATTTAACGCAGCAAAGAGATATTGCCGACTATGACTATTGGAAGTTGATCTGGCAAGATTAGCCCAGGCCTTTTGTTTTGTCGGTGTCGTATCAGGTTGGTCGGTCCTCTATGTTCAACCTAGTATCTTCAAGACCCTTGTTTGGGTCGGATACGATGAGGAGGCTCTGTACGATTGTCTGCTCATAGGTTTACTCCGTACTCCCTACCTATATCTGTTGGGAAGGAGTTCCCTAGCACCAGCGCTATGATAGGTATGTGGAGACATCCAATCGTTTGCCATGATCCATGATCTGACCATTCGGGGATCTGGAGATAGAACAGCTAAGCCTGAGTAATAATGGTACTGTGCCGATCGACTTCCCTATCTACCTTAGTCTTTAGATGCATCCTGCATTAAGTCGCTCTGACTACGGAGTAAGTATTCAGACGGAGATCAGTTCTCGTTGTATCCGGTCCAATCAAACTGCTTGTTTCTGACCAGACAAGTACCGATGCCAACCGAGCCTGAAACATTTGAAAGTAAGAAAGTCGAGGGGATCGGATCACGAACTATTACTCTTCAACCAGCGCTATTTCCTTACTGATGGAGCAGTTCTTTGGAGTGAAAAATGGCTCTCTGGTCGGCAAGATCGATGCCCGCGTCCTCGCGGAGAAACAAACAGTGCAAACACATTTACTTAGTGGGCGATATGCGAGCACGGCAGATCGCGATTTGTCCCCCTCTTTATTATTATTACTATTGACGACGATGGTGATGGCACAGCTGGGATGACGTGCTCGTTGAATGAGAACAGGTGGATATTATTATTAAGATAACCAGCATAAACTTTAGCATCGTCAGGTTGCTTGAGTTGTTTCTGCATCGTCCTTTTGTCCCGTTTGTTCCAGATCGGCTCTTTTCCGTCTCTAATTAGCACCCGGAAGTCGCCGCACTGCGACAAGTTCCACGAGGTCAGTCTGGGATCCTGAACTTGCTAGACGGGGTAAATAGATTCGATTCGATCGTCAAGTATATTTTCCCACGGGGCCGTCCGCATTATGGCTGTAGCCCCAGCTAAGGTTTCTGTACATACGCCTTCGAGTACTCGGACGTGGCGGACTCATTTCCCGGATGGAGATCTCTGGGTATTCGGCTACGGGTACGTCTCTTCTTGTTGTTATGAGTAACAAATCCACGTGGATCCTTTATAATAATACACAGATCCTATTTGTGTCTTCTTATTATTATACTTTCTTTGTTATTATTATTCTGGACTTGAAACATTGGGTTAGCTGATCCCCCGGCCGCAGGAGTTTGATATGGAAACCACCCCCGCATTTTGGTACGTGCAGCCTTCTCACCCTTCGCCTGGGGTCTTCTTAGGTATCTACAACGTACCCAGCGAAATAGCTTCGCCTGTTTCAATAAGTTGGGCTCATTTAGATATCTCATCCTATCCCATGCACACATGTTATATGCAATTTGCGGTGGAAATGCAGCACGGTATTGATTGATTGGTCGTATCAGATAAAAGAGTCCCCGGTCATCTCAATGGGTATGTGCGGAGGTTTTGGCAGGTGAGTAGATCGTATATGAGCCAGAATGGGCTGTTTTTCGCTAATCCGATATCCTTGTTAAGGCTAGGTAAGGGTTACCCCATTTGCCGGCACTCACTCCTTGCTTCTTTGCAGCTATATCCAAATATTATCCAGGAATATGCAGTTACATGTTTCACGGATAAGTGTTTGCATAAGGATCTTTGCTTATTCTTACAACGACCATTTGAGAACCCTGACAAAATTTGTTTAGTGCGGATCATCGGGGTACCCCTGAGGCTCCCGGGCGCGTGGTGACAGTCATCGAACGATCTTTTTGGGAGACCTTGAATGATCCAGTATGTAATCCTCCTCGTCAAGTTCCCTTATGGTCTTTTGTGTTTCCATTTAGTCCATCTCAAAGTTGGTAGATGCATGCATCCGTGGATCTGTTGTCTTATCTTAGACCCAGCCATGGCCAAACCATGCTCGAAGCCGCATTTTTCTCTTTGACACATTCTTGCTCACAGATCCTTTAGCAAGCCTATCTCGAAACCTCCCCGGATTCCGCTGTCTGGGGTGTTGCCTACCACATTCCTGCTTCCCACGCGGAGGAAGTCCACGACTACCTAGACATTCGCGAGATCAACGGCTATACAGTACACTACACTCCATTCTACCCCGTTGCTCCTGAATCTTCCGGTGAAAATGGACTCGCTGGCGCCGGCGTCCCCATGACCTGCATGGTCTACATCGGCCTTCCCACAAACACACAGTTCCTTCGAGATCCTGCGGAGCGCGACCCAGATGCCGTCGCACGCGTTATCAGTGTGAGCCACGGACAAAGTGGCAAGAACACGGAATACCTCTACCTTCTAGAGAAGGCGCTCGAAGGAATCGGTCTAGGTAGCGCGGACGGTCACGTCACAGACCTCGTGAAACGGGTGAGAGCGCTCGAAGAGAAGAAGCTGGCCGACGAGGAGGAAGAGGAGGCTGAGCGCAAGACGAAGAAAGCGTTTGAGCCAGGAAAGACAGAGACGCAGTCTCATGCAGAGTTTCCACGGGCAGAGTAATCTGACTCCCAGCATGGACCCTGAATATCGCAACCATATTTGGATGCTTTAGACTTTCACATAGAAGACAAACAACGAAGCTACGGTTTTCGATAGACTGGGGATTTGAAGAAAACAGGAACTGGAATCGTACCACGTAAAGAGAGATCTTCGTCATCATGAGACAAGTGCTTTTGTTGTAACGGCGCGTACACCGTTTGACATAATGAAAATGATAAAGCAAATGCCCACTGGCCCTTATTGTGGATGCATCATGAGCTTGAAACAGATTTTTTGATGGCCTAGGGGGAATAAAGTTCATCACATTCGAAGCACTTGCAATCTCCCAAACAAACAAACGATGCGTCCCGATAGAAACATGAGATCCTTCATCTGCATTCATTATGATCATTCCCAGACTGTAAGCCTTGCAAGAGATAGAAAAGACAACTTCGATCCATCCAGCACTCAGATTGTAACCGGCAGGTCAAATCATCCAGGAACACACCATCGCGTCTCATCGATCCATACTGCTAGAAGACTTCCTGGCCCGGTGATTGACGTGCAAGGGACTTACTGGCTATATCCTCCTTGGGTCGGGGTCAGCTCTGATTCCTCATCTCGAGACGGAGTTCTGCATGATCGAGCAGGATTTACCTACCTTGTCCGTAACCACCTATGAAAGATAGTTTAGCTGCTGCATTCGCATTACAACATTCAGGAACCACTTACCATAACTACCACCTTCCGCGCGATTGTACCCGCCACGATTGTAACCGCCACTGTTACCATCTGTGCGGTTGTAACCGCCGCGACCATGGAAACCGCCGTCGTTGCGGGGTCCGGTACGCTCAGAGGCCTTGTCGACCCTGATAATGCGGCCATCAAATCTGATAGATGTGTCAATTCAATATCAATCTGATTATATTCGACTACGGGGATGCTGTATGTCCGTCGACTTACTCTTGATTTGTCATAGCATTCATCGCGGCATCTGCATCTTCAGGGTTTGTGAAGCGGACGAACCCGAATCCGCGGCTGCGGTTCGTGTCACGGTCTTTCACAACGATCTGTACCATGGCGAGGAATCGAGTCAGATTCCACGGAAACGAAGCACATCAATGAGTAAGACGTATTAGAACAACTGACGGCTTCCTCGATCGCTCCATGCTTCTCAAATCCCTGCCGCAGGGTCTCATCGGTTGTGTGCCAAGCGAGGCCGCTTCATTCCATACGTTATCAGTCAAAGAGAGACATCAAGTGAGCAGAAAGCAAGGAAAAAATGAAGACAAACCCGACAAAGAGCTTGGACATATTGATGTCCGGAGGGGGTTCTTTCGGAGAGAAATAGAAGGACTGTCGTAGATGTGTCAGTAGATGTTAAGCCTCAAACTCGATAGATCTTTCTGTTGATCTCGAGAAGAAGAGTCTAGGCCAAAGGTCGATCTGCTAGCACGGCAGGTGAGCGCACAGCAGTCTTTCTTTATTCGAGCTTCGCGACGAGATCGATCGCCACGAAAGATATTTGTAACTTTGACATGTAGGAAGGTAAGGGGTTTACATTTTTTTGGATTTTCCGTCAAAGCTAGTCAGATATCAAAGTCTGATCGTATCGTTGTGTGTTGTCAGACAACGCTGGACTAAGTCTGCAGCGGATGCAGATGGACAGATGTGCCGGAGGTCCAAATCAGAAATGGATGGTGGGAGGAGAAGAGGCTGCCGTGGATAAAGGAGGGGTCGCGACAAGATAAAGCCCAGGAACGAAAAGAACGAGGAGCCGGCCACGGGTGTTATGGGCAAAAGACCTCTAAGACGACCTAAGGGCACGCCTGGTGAGAGGATTGGAGAGAACCGGTGCGCTAACACCGGCTGACGCACACTTCATCCCCAATCAATCCCAAGATCGATTCCTCTTGTTCTGGAGACTGGGCCGCTGTCATGGACGGTGGACAGCGGTGGAGTAGACATAAGAGGGGCTGCGATGGCTAGACGAGCAGAGTCCAGCGCCGTACATCTAGAGCTTGGAGACCCTGGGCGAACGATGGATGGGATGTGCATGATATACACTAAAATGTACTAATCTGAAACCCTATAACGAAGTGCTCGGACCGGCCTCGGCAAGAACCTGTACCTAGCCTGTACATGGACTCATGGAGTGATATGACTTTACCGGGGACTGTTCTGGAGAGCCAACTCGAGTCGCTATTCTGTGTATCCAGTCGTAGACAGTGAAGATATTCTGCGAACTTGTACGAAATCCAAGCTTCTCGAGCCTTTTCCAGACGACGAGGAATCAACCGAGGGGACCCAGTTGCGGTATGCTTATTGCAGGTGGTGATGTTCTCTAGTGATCGAGTCCAGGCAGATGCCCGCAGCCTTTTAAGTATCTAATCCGAGCTAAAGGACCCTGGCATGAGTTTTCCTGCAGCAGCTCCTCCGGGGCCACTGAGAACTTGAGAAGGACAGCCAGTTTCGTGGTCACCCATCATTGTCCATCTCGGCCGGAACGTACCGCAGCGCAAGCGTAGATCCCTCGACATCCGATGTGGATGGGATTGAAGATGCGGCAAATCCTTGCGGCGAATGCTGACGGCTGCAGGGCAGACCCAGTAGATAGTGTAGCCTTTGCGGCAGGGACTACATTGGAGCTCTCCGCCTATATCTTGGAGCGACAACCGTGTTCTGCTGGAGCTCTGACCAAATGATCGAGTTAACTATTATCATGAATCTCTCAACGGGGCAAAGCTGTTGAGAATTGCCGGCTAAGCTGCGGAGCTTAGCGGATCACCTGAACTTGCAGCGATGCGCGCCTAACGGTCATCTCCCCAAACGACGCGGTTGGCCATTCTTCTGGTTTACTTTTCCGCCAATGCTAGAGCTATCGATCCGTTGCAGGCTTGCAGTATATCAAAGGCGATCGTCAGAGCAACGAGCCCTTTATCCCTCAATCAAACAAGGTTGATCTCCGCTTCTTGGAACCAACTGGGGTTCGCCCCAATGCCACTCGTCTCTTGCATCATGGGGATCGTTGCGACATTTCCATCAATGGCGGACATATGGTAAGATAGAACCGTTATCAGATGTTTCACGATAGGACCACATGCTGGCTACTGCTCAAAGGCCGTTTTTGTCGGTCTCTAGGCGATTGATCGAGCCCGTCGTCCACGCGATCGCCGCGATGCAGCTTCAACAGTCGCTCTGAACACTTGAAACGTCAGCTTCTATAACATGGTACCATCTGCATTGGTGGGGGCCTCCAGCACAATGACTCGTCACGAATTTGCATGAGTGATCTGAGTCGTGATACGGTCACTGGCTTCCTCTTCAGACGCAGATCGATACATTGCTGTTGACCGTTACCGATGTGATCTGATTTCGGCTGAGCCATGATAAGTCCATTGCTCGTATTGTTTTCAATGCTCGTGGGATGAATGGCATTCGTGTAGTCGCCTGCTGGAAACGGTGGTAAACAGAGCTTGACAGTCAAGTGTGAGCGGGACTGGTTAGCGACGACGCAGTTGCCCAATTTAGCTTCCTTATGCTTACCTACCTTGTACACCAGAGCAATCATACGGGTTACCTAGCAATGATGATAGAAATGAAGACACAATAACCTTCATCTGGGCCGATCTCTTTGTTCGGAGATAGATCAGAAGTGCCTCGTTTGAATGACTTTCTTAAGCTCGAGCCAGATTCTTGCTTGGACAGAGCTGGTTCATATATCGAAAGCCTGAGATATGGCTGGTATTGACAAAACCTCCTACATATTTAAATGGCTCTCTGAAACCGAGGTGCCTTCTGGCCTACACACAAAACGCACGTCTGATGACTTTAACGGAACGAGAGCTCCGATACGGGAGTGCAATGCCCCAGAGGAAGTGCAGAACCAGAACAAAACATCGCACGAGCTGATACAACAACAGCGCTCTGAAAATATCCATGCAAATCCGTTGCAGTTTCCATGTAACAGAGCCCCCTTGGTTGATGTCATGCAGAATCAGGCTGACCAGATCAGACAGTGACCAGGTAGACCATGGTCTTAATACTTTCCGTGCGCGTAACCCACATGATTCTCCAAATGCCAGGTTCTATCATACTCCCGATGTATATGACCGTGGAGGGAACAGGACAACTTCAATTTGTCAAGGCAACCTTTTAGGGATTCAAGGAAATTCAGTGCAAAAAAGTCGACGCGTGATTTCGGACGACGAAGTTGTCCTCCATTCTCCTGTAACCGAGAAAGTACAGGGCCTTACATTAGAATTGGGTTCGAAAACAGCTAATACTAAAAGAAGAAGGATTGTCGAAAAGAAATATGAAAGGAAGTCTCGAGCAAAAACTAGACCGGATCGATATCAACCGAAGGCGACAACAATTCCCCAGCGGATTGCATCCACTTCAAGACAAAGGAATAACAAACCAAGAAGAAAAAGAAGAAGACATACGCAGATCAGCGAAGACTTCAATGCTGCTAATGTCACAACTGACCGTCTAACGGTAAGACAATTAGAACAGTCGTTCTGTGCTATACATTTCTGATTCTTTTTACTCAGGTACAACCCGGTCACAGAATGGGCATATTCGGGAAAGGCAGAACATCCACCCCTGTGAAACCGCGAGATCGTACGCACACCTTGTATATCCGGATTGCATAATGTGCACATCTAACATTTACCATTAGTCCCGGATCTCACATTTTCAGAAATGAACTTCCTCCACAAACGCGGACATCGAGATGATCACAGAGATAAACAAGCGACAGAGGAGCGATATCTTCAGCCAAGCCCAGCAGAAAGGTCATACAGAAAAATATCACAATATTTTTCCACAGCTGTCCGACCTGTCGACACACAGGCTGCCAGACAGAAGAACTGCAAAGAAAATGGTCAAGAGATTCATTGTCATGAGATTGCGACCTCAGGGATTCACCGTCCACAAATTATGACAACTTCACCGCTGTCGAGGAAAAGCAACTTAGTCAATCTAACAACTATTCTCGGTTACTTCCCGACAGAACAACTAACACGAACACCCGCTGCTCTCAGAAGATGTCAATGGACCCCGACTCTTCAGTTATCTGTCCTTATCCAGACAGGGAGGCAGCAGCTCACTCTCAAGAACTGGATCCGTCTCTGTTGACATACGTGACTGGGATTCTCTTGAATGAGTCAAACCCTCGAAATGATGAAAGATACGCAGTTGCTGAGGATAAGAAGGCGTACTACAATCTAGAGGATCTGAAGAAGCTCTCCGAACATCGAGAACACTTGCAAAGTCTCCAGGACGACACTTCTGGTACTGAGAAACTGGTGGTCGACCTAGGGAACAGACAGTATTCCATGAACACCAGAAGCAAACATCATCCCGGAAATTATAGAAGCACGCATCCAAACCACGCTGAGCTGTTGTCAAGGGGCCATCCTCAGAACAATCTCTCACACGAAAGGTCTACGGAGTTTTCTGTTCATGTGAGCCCGACGAACCGTTCTGCGTCACAGGTGATGCTAGCTGAGAAGATCACCGGCAAGTCACCATGGTCGGTGGGCGAAGGAGAATTGCCATTTGACCACTGCAAACCACCAGCCACATATTACATTAGTAATTCGGATGCCAAAGAGGTTGGAGATAGAGAGATCGAAAAGGGCGATGAGTGTTTTAGTCAACACCAAGGACCCACTGGATCGCTTGACCTCCAGACAGAATATGCTATCAGTGCTAGCATTCCAAGTGTCGATGACATTTTGTTTAATCTATACGGAAATTCACACACCGTCGAAGAAATCCTTGATATGAAGAACGAGGAATTCGACAAATGGGAGTTTCAGGATGAGTTACCAGGCTTCCTGACACTTTCTCCAGGGTCTCGCGCTGGAGTCGCACATGGATCTCACGATAAGTTTCTGTCAGATATTCCGTTTGCACAGCCCATACTGGGTTCGACACTTCGTGGTGCCATCTCGAAAGAACCTCGATATTTCCTGCCGGAAGTATCACGCCCATATACAAGTCAGTTACCGACGTGGGACTCCTCTTTTCCGCTGGCTGCAGACTCCCTTCATAAAAGCCCGCACATGCAAGACTTAGCAACACAGCATTCGGCTCTTTTGGAACAGACACACCATTCTAGTTCTCTCAAGAACACAACTGAGAGGGATTGCGGACCTCCGGCGTTTTGGCGACAGAATAGGCTGTATTGAGAGAGCTTCAATTGAGATCCTGATGCCATGTCTGGTACCTTGAAAGGCTTTGGGATTATGGGTATTAGACTAGCAGGACTTTCTGGTTTTAATAAATTGCACGATTAGATTGATATGGGAATTGGTCCACACAAACTGGCGTTTGCAATACTTTTGTATTATCACATACTATGCTCGTCAAGACAGACAGCCTCTTTTCTGATTCTCTGGTACATAATGTGTATTGCGTCAGGGAACGGAAGAAAAAGTCAGAGAAGATCACCAATATACGAGATAACTGCTCCATATCCGGGAATCCAGCCCTATTCTTTGGTCCTAATTCCATGTCCGCGAACCGGCTACGAATGGCAGATGGGCCCCGGTTTCAGGCAACTCCTGCATTGAAACCCGAAATTAGGAAACACTGGCCTTATTTATGACATGCTCGCTTTATCGACCTTTTACAGAACAAGAGCATATATACAGTTTCGAAGAGAAATGATGCACGCTGCAGCCTCGTCGCCAGAGAATTCAAGAGCCTGAAAGTAATGGCACACGGGACCCAGAAATCGCCAAACTAAATCCCGCTCCCGGAATTGCTCAGTTTATCCCCACTCTTCAAACCTACTACATATGAGAAGTACATAGGTAGAACCCTTTGAGGTTGAAAAGCCGATTTCAAAATCAGAGCATTGGAAAAAGAGAAAATCAAAGATAAAAAGTTCCCTCCTAAGAAACACATGAGCATAGTCCTAAGTGTATTTCCTGTGGACTCAGACATCTCTTATCAAAGAATAATAGCATAATTCCATAGATTAGGAAGATATCTTCTGCGTTAGACTGTCTGTTATCCAGTATTTAGCGCTAACTGAGTAGAAGCAGGGCACGGCCCTTGTGTGGGAATGAAGTGTACGTACATAGTTCCCTATCAGCCTGGCCAATGGTTGCCTTTTTGATAGATGTCTCCGGAAAGTAAAACCAATTATTCGGGAACGGTATCTATGTGCAGTAAAAATAATAAGGGTGGGCTGGTAGGTCGCATGAGAGTGAGATTGAGGAATTTCCATGCCGTTCCTGGCCCTGTACATAGCCTGTGACAGGGAAAATGTACAGTACCAGCTCTCGGAACCTTTGCTGGATTCACTAGACGCTTCTGTATGTTCCGCCCTAATCCTAGATTATCCTGTATTTTGGGAGAAAAAAAAAATAAAAATTCTTTGCTTAGGGACCTTGCGTGGAGACTCCCTTAGGGACATTGTCTGATGAAATGAATCGAACTAAAGTCTGTCAAAAGTACGAGAACCGCAATGCGAAGAAGTCGACAATGGAGCGGTGTGCAGCAAAAGCCTCAATTCTAACCACCTAGCCTGATGTGATTGGGGCTTTCGAGCTCCAGGGAACAGAGAAAGTGGGTGATTGATAGTCGGTACTTTTGTCGGATGACACGGGACGGTGTTCCGGTTCCCGAAGTGGTTCTCAATGATAGATATGGTCTTCCAGACGACCCGACACAGTGGAAGCGAAATTGAGCAACCTGAGCGTCGGGAGCCTTGACCCAGTAAGTATGGGAGACCCGGAGCCTTGGGATTCCCAGCCCACGTCTTGTCTACTCCGTATTGTGCTTCTAAAACCCCGCACTGGCGTATCGAAAGACATATTGTTGCGTGGTACGCATCTTCCACATGTGGAGCGCAGCAAGTTCCAGTTCCTTTTGCTGTCATAGTTATCCAATTTGTCAGTGGAGTACCGATATCAAGCTGCCTTGGATTCGGTGATCAGTATGAGAGGTAGACTTCTGATGGATGCAACAAAGGTATAGTCTTCGGGTGACGGGTCGAGTACCAAGAGTATAATGATTACCGGCAATATGGTATGATTCTGCCATGAAAATGAGCTATTGCATAGTAGGAACTATGAATCACCTTTTCAAAAATGAGGCTCTTTCATGTAGGTGTTGGGCGACCCAAGAAACTGGAAATTGAGGCGGTGAAACCGTCCTCTTGGGCCCCATATCAGACTTTCGGAGAGTTTAAAGTTTGGGAAGGACACTATAAAGGAACCAGTCGTGCATTTATTCACACTAGTCTGCCTAAGACAGTATGAGCTTTCAGCTATTATAAGGGTCTGGAATGCTGAAACCTTGTCACAAATCCAATAACGGCAAGTTTCTTGACAGAGCCTCTGCAAATCCAAGCACTATGTGTCCGGTGAGTCCGGCACAACGGTAAGTGGATTTTAGACCCCGCCTTCATATATCGGATTAAGCTATTCCCCCTGCACGGCTGACGGCCCGTGATTATTATGCAGTAGTCCGCGGAGTTACGCATGCTTCCGGGCAAATGAGGCGTCAAGAAGGCATTGGTAGGAAGTTTAATGTCCCGGAGATAGACGGTCTGACGCTGCTTTCCAGGGAAACTGATGTCTCTGTCTCAAGACAGTAACCGGTTGCCTTAGATTCAAGGATGCTGGGCTGATTCGTATCATGTTGCGAGCCAAAGGGACATATGTTAGAGTCTACCCTGACATCTCAGCCAAATCATGGGCGCAGGTCACCTACTGCAAGTGGTAACTAGAGCCCCGAGTAGCTCTACATGACCCAATATGGACAACCATGTACCAAGTAACACACTAGATAGCCCTTCCACCCTAATACACACTGAGCTCCGATCCATGTGGAAACATGTCTTCGATGTCGTCCGCATACTAACCTCCAGGATTGACATGGAGCACTGTGGCATGATATTCAGCCATAAATGGAAGACTGTGTCCATATTTCCTCTGAGAAAAGCAAATAACTCTATGTCCAGTTTCGCGAATATCCAGTTAGACACAATAACGAGCATCCTTATCTTAACACAAAACTTATGCGATCTGTCCACAAGAAACTGAGTCATAATTCTGGAAACAGAGGTCAGCGAGATAATAGAAACGTTGAGGTCAGTTAGTAGCAAGGTCTCCTAGTCAGTATGATGCCTCTTTCTCAGATAGATCGTTTCTTCAAATCGCTGAACCATATTCCAGATCGCATTCCTAGAGAGTTGCTGTCCTCACGCACCATGCACCGTGATACTGGAAACACCAGGCTCACCAAGGAGCTTCTTGAGGAGCAAGAAGCACTCTTTAGAAGCGTAAGCTGTATACACGGTATCATCATGTCTATGAGCTGACGGTTTTTCAAACAGAATCAGGGGAATGATCACAGCTGGGTCGACAAAGTCATAAATGATGAGCGAGTGTGTCTCTTCCATTCGCAGCTCGGGATGGCCATGTCTCATTATCAAGATCCGTCATCCCGAGCTGCGAATGAAACGGGTGCACTCGCTCATAGGAAAGATGAAGGGCAGAGCTCAGATTCCCTGAAGTTGTTTAGACCAAGGCAGGAGTTGTTCCAGGAGAGTCCATTGGAGCGTTTCTTGGCCCCTGACGGTTGTAGTGACCCCTCATATTTTGCCAGACCTGCTCTAGCGGAGATGGGTATACCGTTTGGGAGCTCCGAGACAATTGAAGTGCGGAAGAGAGCTGCAAAAGAAAACGCTGAGAGAGTAGCCAAAATGGCAAAGCATACCAGCGAGAAGTGAGGCCGCTCTTTGGAAGGATTGAAAAGCATAGTGATATTTTGCTGGCCATTCTGCAACTTATTATGCCAGGACTGGTCTGATTTAACAGCATGGGATTGATAGATCAGTTCAAGACCGGATGTCTGATGGGGCCCTGAGGTTGTTCCAGAATAACCATTGCATCACGTGTCCCTGTTTGTCTGTTTCTAATCAGATAGATAAAAGGCCCCTGCATTTAACACCACCCATGAAGCTCTCTTCTCTCAGTACCTACCAGTCGAAGTCAACATTCATGCAAGATGTTAGGTTTGTCTTGGTTCTAGTTGATTTCAATGTATAATTCCTAGCCTCCAACGCATGGTCAAATAGGGCCGCGAAGGTCTGCAGTGCTTGGAAACTTCAACTGGATTGGAAGAGCTGCTTTGATTAATTCTGCAAATGTATATTTGCGCAAGCACGATGCTTCTAAGACTTATGAACATTTAGGACTTCATCCACCCGCGTAAAACCGTACGCCAGATCCCATCGCTCATGGCGAAAACTTCTATGAACGGTTGAATATTCCCTACAGGGATAATCACAATGATGACGCAGCCTCAACAGCTCCAGTGCCTTTGAAAGCAGCTTTGTTTGTCACGACAATCTCCACGGGGTATTTCCATTCCATGAACTTTGTCCATCCTGCAGGGACAACCCGTTAGTGAAGCGATTCTAACTCTCGAGGGGCTTTATTTGCAATGCAATGGGAACATACCCCAATAGGCGCATCGCCTACCCATGTATTTCCCAATAAACGGAACTAGGACCATCGTCAACAGCAATTCCAGTTGCTGGATACTTTCTTTCCATTCCTCGTCTGCATCCGAATAGTCGTCGTCTGACAGCGACCCGACGTCGGAACCGCTGGTGGACTCAGAAGGCAATGAAGCTACCTCATCATCTGAGTTAGAGTGATATGTGTTGTAGTTTGAGGAGACCATATAAGCCGAGGCGGAGGGGGAGTATCCCGGGGATGGGCCGGAGGTAGACATGGTGATAGTGGTGTAGCAAGAAGCTGAGCAGTGGGGAGAAGGCAACGAGGATTCGTGTTTGAATGACGGATCAGACACCGCGGCAGCCGCCCTACCGCCCGCAAATGAATTCGAGCATGAGCAGACTCTTGTTTGTGCAGGTAGATCCCGAACGAAGCCAGCAGTGAGCTCGATGTTGATGTCTCCTCACGACGTCAAGCGCGAAGCCACGTGATTACAAGATTACGGTAATACGATTACTCCTGCCTTTTTGGCCCAAAGAGATCACGTGAGAGGGACGGGCGATAAACCGATTGCCATCGCAGTCCAGGAGATTCGAGTCATCGAGTGAGAAGTATCCTTCAGTCTTGTTCTCCTTGTTCGCCGTGCCTCTTCGCATACGGATCCTATCATCGATCGTGCTGGTTGTTGTTCGCATCTCTCAGTGCAAACCAATATGGCGGAAACTGTACGTCACACCCTCTCCCTTTTGCCGATTGAGCCTCCCACATTTTCTTTAAACCCACGCCTCTCATAATAATACTACTACCCCTCGGCAACACCACGCTTGCGTTGCCACCATACCCACTTCCCGGGCTCTCGTGTCTCTAGCAGGTGGTTGCGCTCAACCTAACCAGCACCAGACGGCTCTTCACTTACTCTTGTGCCCTTTACTGACTCATTTTCTTGCCCGGTGAAGGAAGTTCAGACCGCGCCTCCGAAACACCGCAAGTCCGTAGCCTTTAGCGAAGGTGCAACAATCATGGATGCCAACGGCGAGATCAGAGAAGCCAGCCATGCTGAGGATAAGGTGACGGCTGAGAAGCATTCTGCTGGTGAGTTTTGTTCTTTTATCTCGCCCCAAATCATGTGCGTCGGATTTCTCTAACGTCGATGCGAAGGACCAGCGTCGCCGGACAAGGACGTCGATGAAGTGACAGAGCTTTTCAAGGGTCTGTCAAAAAAGAAAAAGACGAAGAAGCCCAAGGAAGAGTCTGCAGAGGGCGAGGAGGCCGCACCAGCTGCCGATGGAGAGCTGGACCTCAGCGCCTTGAAGAAGAAGAAGACCAAGAAGGTCAAGAAGGTTGATGATTTCGAGGCCAAGCTCGCTGAAGCCGGTGTCGCGGAGGAGGGTGCAGAGGAAAAGGCTGAGGAGGTACCGGAAGGTGACCTCGAGGCTGGAACTGGTATCTGGCAACACGACTCGACACAAGCGATCCCTTACCAGCTGCTCGTCAAGCGCTTCTTCTCCCTCATCCAGAGTCACCACCCCGATCTGCTGTCCAGCGGTTCCAAATCATACAAGATTCCCCCGCCTCAGTGTCTGCGTGAAGGTAACCGTCGTACCATTTTCGCCAATATCGCCGATATCTGCAAGCGTATGAAGCGTTCGGACGACCACGTTATGCAGTTCCTGTTCGCCGAATTGGGTACCAGCGGAAGTGTGGACGGAAGCAGACGTCTGGTTATCAAGGGTCGTTTCCAGCAGAAGCAGATCGAGAACGTTCTTCGAAGATACATCGGTATGCTAACGCTCCTTTGTCTAACTTCCCCAAGATAATCAGAAGCTAACAAGTTTGATTCATAGTTGAATACGTTACCTGCAAGACCTGCCGCAGTCCCGACACTGAGCTCAACAAGGGTGAAAACCGTCTCTACTTCGTTACCTGCAACTCTTGCGGATCCCGTCGTTCCGTTACGGCCATCAAGACTGGTTTCCGTGGACAGGTCGGTCGCAGAAAGAGACAGGGTTAAGCTTGTCGCTTGCTCTTCGATTTTCTTTCGCTTGGAGATGGTGTGGCCAGTTTCTATCATATTTTTGGGTGTTCTCTCGCGTGCACTTTTTACCAAGCATTTGTGGTGGACTGGGAACGGACTGAACGAATGATTCCGAGGTTGATGTCAAGCCTGATGACGCTCAAAAATTTTTATCATGAGGGTGTGGAGAATCGGAATCGTTGAACAAAATGTAAGACATGGGAATGGAAATAACGGTATGGCAAAGTGGATGACAATGGATAAGAATTAGATTCACTCCCATTCAGTTCAGCAGCTCAATGGGGTACCTGCGAGCTGTTTTCTTTCTATTTGCGTCTTCATATCATACTTCCTTTCTCCTCCAGCCTCTTTTCAGTGGAAGTGTATAGGAGGATACCATGTTACATGAGATTTGAAGCCGATGCATGATTATGATCTCTGTCCATATTCTCTAGTGTAGTTCTCCTATTCGAAATAGAACTTGTCTCCCCGGGGATTTGCCGAAGATCGCCATGATCCTCTTGGGCCCATAGAAACACGACGAGAGGGGGGGGAATAAGAAACGTGCTGCATTTTTTATTTCTGGTCTATTAGCCTAGTGCTCAATATATCCCGAAAGTACTTGTCGACTGAAATCAAGCAGCATCCTTCAGGCGACGGTTGTAGAATAAAAATAGAGTTAGGGCTTTGTTTTCTTAGTGATTGTTGAGAGCTTGTTCGAAGTTCTGAAGTGTCTCAGCTGAAATCGACTCGTGTCCAGTTCCTGTCAATACTATTGGAGAGTCCCTAGTTCTATGACTCGCAATGTTGGATATCAATCTTTTACTAGAACGCAAGGATAATAAATACCGAAGCTGGTTTTCTGAATGAGAGTGTCATATATAGACGGGTATATAGAAAGTGGTAAAACAGATAGTTCTCGAAATACAAAAAGATATCGTCACGAATCATAAAGAGTCATATAGGATATGAAAGGCATGAAGAGAAAGTAGATTTCCGCGAAAAAAAAAAGTAATATCCAGCGCCCCTCCTAAAAATATCAGTTGCAATAATTCCTTCCACACTTTTTTTCTTCTTCTCCCGGTTGCGGAAGAACAATGTTCATCCTCGAGATCAACCACTGTATGCTTGTAACTGCGCAGCGAAGACTTTCATGTTTCTTGTCTGTATGTAAACGGACCCGGGACCAATAAATCTGCAAGCAAGACCTTCTTTCGAACTAACGGCCGAGATAATACCACCAGAAGCGACGCGCTCCATCTTAAACTTGCAGTTCCAAGCCACGACATGACCGTTGTCGATATAATAGGACTCTCCCTCGACAAGCTAGCATCAATTGAATCAGTATGAATAAGAACGGCTCCGAATACGTGGAATCAAATCCAACTTACATCTTTCTTGATAATCGCACCGAAACTCTGTAACCAGACAAGACCAACCCCAGAAATTTTGTATATGAAGAAACCCACACCAGAGAACATACCCTTGGAGAGATCCTGAGATTCATGATCTTTCTTGATGGCAGAAGTTGCCGCTAGGAAAGAATGCTTCCCAATTCTCCATTCTTCAGAGCCGCTGAAACGAAGCACAGTGATGTCGCCGAGTGTAGATGGGGCAAGAAGCAGTTCTCCAGGTCCGGTATATTCAGATACGGTTAAACTGAAACCCGCGAGTAGTTTTAGTACGCCCAAATTAACACTACCTTTGAGCGTTATCGTCGGGGACATCGCAATCATGGCTCCTGTCGTCCCGCAGTCAGATTAGAAGGCAAATAAGTCAACACACAACAGAAGTCCAATCTTACCTGGTTTTGCCGATATTGGACATCCAGCCGCCAATTGCAAGGTTAGGAGGGAGTTACTATCCCGATGGCTAATCCTATAGCTTCCACCATTGAAAGTTCCCACGTCGTCTTGTGCAGTAGATACGGCACCTGTGAATTGTCCAAACGGCGGTGCACCGCCAGGCATTTGCTGCATTTTCATACTGATGGATGGCGATCTAGGCGGTGGGGAAATCGATGTTGTTGAGTACGATGCATCATTCGATGCATGTGCAGTAATCTCGGTGGATGGCGGACTCACAGATGGTGGTGGAGGGGGATATGCACCGTTCAACGGAGATGCATGCGTCGGCGGCGGTGGATAACTAAAGTTTGGAGGAGGAAATCCTGGAGAGGCTTGCGGATATCCCGATGAAGCTTGAGGAGGAAATCTTGGGGAGGCTTGAGGAGGCGGCGGAAATGCTAACATTGTTAGGAGATTCTCCAATACTTGGGTCGTGTCACGGTAACAGTATAAGCACTTACTTCCGGAACTGGGAGGCGCTGGCTAATAATGAGTATACAACATCACTTGGCTGGCAGATCGCGAAGATAACACGACTTACGTGAGAAGTGAGGCACCTGAGTATATGTTGCCATGGTGGATGTAGAATTTGCTTCCTGAGATATCGCAAGAACGAAGCCTGCGTAGCCTGCGCAGCAATACCTGCGAAGATAGAACTTCACACCAAATAGCTGCAGATCAGCAGCGAATGGACCAACGGATGTGGAATAACTAGGCGATATATATATAACTGATACAGGAACAACTGAAAGAGAGAAAAGGTGGGGTACACAAAGTCAGTGCTTCTGCATCAAGCAACAAGCTCGCTATAGCAGTCCCTCCAAAGTGGTCTAGAGGTTGGGGTCAGAACATGTAGAACAAGCCTGATGATGGAAAGATATTCAACAAGGACTTGAAGCGCAAGGCGGAAGCCATTCGCTTTATCATTGCGTCCCCAAAATCGGACAGCTACAGGAGCCTAGCAAATCAACAAGGCTGACTGCTAGATGGCCTCTGAATAGACCCTGGCAGGCGGTTAATAGAGGCACGAGAGCGACCGATCGCAAGCCAGCGGGGAGTTGATCGATCCTGATGAGGCTGTTGGGCAGTGTGATTGGCCCTGGAGTTAGCGCTCACAATGCCCTAAAGCAACGCTCTCACCAATAATCACATTGATTGTCTCCGCACCAAGAAACAGATGTGACCGATGCATGCTGGGCGTTGTGAAACAACTCCAGGGGCTAACGGCGGAGAGAGGCAGAGATCAAGCTTGTCGATGGGCCCCTAATAGATTGGCAGTGTGCAACAGCTATTCTTGTAAGTACGCGTCGAAGATCGTAGCAAGGAGCGCTAATCCCAAGCAGCCTTTTATAGACCTAGAGTGACTGTCAGCAACAGACACGGTCTTTGTCATTGCATTTTCCATTACCTTCGACATTTCGACTGCTTAACTGAGTAGCCTTACACCGAGTACGGAGTATGTGCCCACCATGATAACTCTTGTTTAATATATTACGACGCTCAGATGTCCGTCCGATCTCCGCGTACAATAAATAGTACAATAGAGACCAGTATTGCAAGAACCTGCATTGAATCATTTATTCCGGCCTCGAATGTAGGAGAGCTATATAATTTTCCTCCTGTCCTGCCCGTCTCGCCCAATCGCTAGCGGTGTAGCCCTCGCTATCCTTCTTGCGTATGTCACAGCCCCTACTCACTAATAAGGAGGCTATAGATGCCCGACCTTCTTTGAAGGCTAGCATCAGCGCAGTCATTCCATCATCTGTAGTCTGTGCGTCCATATTAGCACCCTTTACGATCAGAAATTCTGCCAATTCTATATATCCCTCGGACACTGCTGATAGGAGCGGAGTCATTCCGTTAATGCCTGGAGTGTCAATGTCGGCCCCCTTGTCGAGAAGAAGCGCGACCACGTCGAGACGATTATTTATTGCCGCCCTGTTCAGTGCAGTCTCTTCCATGTTGGGGCGTGCATTGAGGTCCGCACCGTATTGCAGAAGTAACCCCGTGATCTTGACCGAGCGCTCAGCGGCAAGCATTAATGGAGTCACTGTTCTCAACTCTGCATTCGCATCGGCCCCATTCTGCAGCAGTTTAAGAACAGCTCTCTCATCGTCCTCCACAATCATGTCGATCAAGAGGGTTGTACTGCGTATGATATTCGCGGCACGGTCTGCATTTAGTCTGGCATTTATATCTGCCCCATGTCGACACATTATCCGTAGTGCTGTGTCTGATTCACTCCTGGTCGCTATACGCATTGCTGTGTGAAGAAATGGCTGACACAGCATACCAACTGCTGTCCATCTGGTCACCAGCCAGTATAATAATGACTCGTGCTGATGTCCCGTGAGCCATTCTAAACATAACACCATCGATTTCCCGGATATTTCTTGCTCAAAAACCTCATAGTCACCTTCGGTAAGCCAATGCAGCACTGCGAGTCGTCCTGTTTCCACTTCTGTTTCCGAGTTTTCATCCTCTGTCCCTCCGTTTATAATGTCTTCTTGGATACCAAGCGCCACAAGGGTATCTAAAAATGACTGCTTGCGTAGCCGCTTCGCCATATGCCACGCAACCCACCCGAGTTGTTGGGAGAAATTATCCCAGTAAGAAGACTCCTTTTCACACAATACCCAATTTGATGGGCGGTGTGCGGCTATATCGTGGAAACGTTCTGTCCACGGATCGTATTTTATGGCTGTTGAGACGCGCTTGAAGCCTTCGGCGCGGATATTACTATCTGGGCTCAGCATTGCCCGGCAACAGAGATAGCCCATCTCGTCAGCTGAACGTTCAAATTCCGTTCCTCCTGAACGTTCGCAGAACCATTGAAGCAAGGAAAATGCTTCACTCCATTCGCCAGCTGCGATGTATTTTTCGACCTGCTGCCTGACGGGGGGTGAATCTGCAGAAAGTTCAGGTAATATTCCTCGTCTCCGCAATGCTGGCACTATGCACAATAAAGCATCTTGCCGACTTCCTAGGTGATTGGCCTCGAAGCAACGAACTAATTGTTCTATTCGGCTGCTGTGAGCGACGAAACTGACTCCGTTTGGCAAGATTCCCGTCTCCCCGCCTAACTCCGAAAGTAAACCAAATGCTGAATTCAGAAAGTATATGTAGATATCCTGCGCTGTCATCAAATGTAAAGGGTTGTGTGTCCTCATGGCGAGAATACTCCATGTTGTGGCCCCGGCTGCTGGAGTAATACGGTATCCGAACATTCCTCGAGATAATGGGATTGAGTGTGAAAGAACCAGTAGTGCTGGCGTATGCCTGAGAATCCATTTATAGTAGACCAGCAAAGTTTCTTCTTCTGAGGCTTCTTGGTGATCCTGTCCGATTATTCGATAGAATGGCCCTTCCCACGGAATGTCATGGTCTGAATAGAGCAGAGACCATGTCCATAACCCAACTATTGCTTCTAACACCGCTGCATCAACTTCCCAATGCATACTGCCGTCTGTTTTGCGCAGATGTATATCATATTTTTCCACAACAGAACCGTCCGGTCTATCGGCTGCTTGAGATTGCAAAGATATACCGAATTTATAGGAACTAAGGCGCTTATTTGACCATGAAGACACAAGCTCCATTGTCTCTTGAATGGCATTTCTGAGGTTGATCGCGACGTTTCGAGTTGGGATATCGTCCCAAGCAGAGTCACGCTCTTTCTTTTCAGAATGAGTGAGAGCCGCAAGATGTGCTCTGGTTTCAATGATTTGCCGGCCTTGACCTTCTTTCGTATCAGAATTTCGGGAACTTGACTGTCGATGGGGCTGATCGACCTGTCCAGAGACGAGAAAAGATTTTATATTCTCCAGGTGGAAAGAGAAGCAGTCTAACTCTTGATTCCTGATAGAATTCAGCCTCCGTTCTTCGCTGGAAAGGAGGTTATCATCAAGGTCGGTTCTTTGCGTGCGAAGACTTGTCCGGATGATAGCCATTAAGAGCGTTGATCCCAGCTGCGCGAGAGTGATTGACGAGTGCAAACCTCGAAGACCGACAAACTGGCAGACGAATCCAGCCGTAGTCAAGAAAACTGCTGTCAGAAGCCAAGTATCCTTGTTGCGGTAATTGTCATTTCTCAAAGATTTGATATATGGTAGCTCCTTAGTTGAGCAACCATCACCCCTTTCCCGCATTCCTAGAAAAGCCCCAAAAACTTGGTCTCCGACCTGTTGACCACCTTGCTGCAGCCAATATATCTTACACTTCTTTTGGGGATGGTAGTAGTACTCTGTCGATGACCGCTCGATCGTGAAAGCGCACAGGAACATTCCGACACAAAGTAGAGATGTGCCAATGAAGAAAAGAGGGAAGGCATAGTCCGCGACTGCCTTTCCATCCTTTTTGAAGTGTTGTGGAAACATGAATACGGTAAGGGCGGCAAACACAATGATACCTAGAATAGTGTATTTAGCAATGGGGTATTTCCATCAAGAAATAAACCTGTAAGAAGTTACCTATTTGCAGGATAGATCCAACCAGTGCGGCGGTGTAAAACCAAAATTGACTCCTCCGCTTTATACCCATGTTCAAAGACAAGTTCGGAATATCAAACTCGAATGGGTCTTCACTGCCGGCATCCGCCAGATGTCCATTCCAGATTCCTTTTTTCACGGCGCCACGAAGGGTTGCAAGTTGGGTCTTACCATGGTTTGTGGAAAGATCATCTTCCCATGCCACAACTTCCAGAATCTTGGGTCTCCCAAAGACCCTTGAAATGCCTCCATCATTGAATAGCTCAGCTGTCGTCTCAGATACACATGATAAGAGCTCATGCTCTGCTTCCCCGGGGCCCTCATGCGCCCTCCCAATGAAAGCGCGGAGGCTAGAATTCCCACATACTCGGATCACAGACACAACAGCAGTAAGGATTCCCAAGGGGGCCAACGCAAAGATATAATTATCTAGCACATTGAGTGACTCTGAAAGAAATTGCTTTGTCACTTGTTCTCCAAACAAACTGATAAGCGGGGCCTAAAATAGAGATCAGTACGGTTTTATGGTGCGAATCTGCTGGCTGTTTACCAAATCCGTTGCAAGGTTATTTGTAAAATCGTCCCAATCGTCTGCAAAGACACCTGGTATCAGGCAGGGTATTAATAGAAGAAAGAGCGCTCTCATCGTGTCTGAAAGAGAAGACAGACTGGAGATAAAGCAGTTACCACCGGCGTCTTCCTGACTATGGGATGATCATGATAAAGGGAGCTAAATAAATACAACATGGCGCTGACACGGTGGGCCAGAAAATCCAGGTTCTGTACGCTGTTTGTGGGCGTCAAGATTGTGAGCTGAAACTGGCTGTGCCACGATGATGCCCAGTTCCCTGCATAGGTTCAACCCAATGCGGGATGTGCCGCAGCCTTCCCTGCGACGTGCCATATCTCCCACTTGGTGCTGGCGCTTAGAGGACCGATTTTATAGGATGAAACATATGCCGATGATCAGCTTGGTGTTGTTAGTAGAGCTGGCGGGGCTATACCCAGAAGATGCACCATAATAACGGGCGCTCTACGGGGCGCGATTAGTATTTTCCCCAAGCGCCAATGAACATTGCCAGTATTTGTTGTGATCGGATCTTCCATATAATACTTATCGAGACGATCTACAGATGTATCTAGCATCTAGGAGAACAACCGGTTTACTCACCAGTTAGACGCAAGTGTCTTATGTGAGTCATCGGCCTATCTAAAGTGTGCATACACGCAGCTTCCACAACAACAACCGAGAGTGATCGGTTACTGCGGCCCATGGACATCAAGGAATCCCAGAAATTAAGCAATAGTCATCAATATTTATCAGTCTGTGTTCTGTACCAACTGAGCCAAATATGGCCCACACTAGACACAGCGGAGAACCCAATTCAAAAACCGCCAACGCCATTGCATGTGAAATCCCAGTGCTACCCTGTTCCAGCACATTGTAACAACCCATTCTGAGTGCGAGGAGATAATAACCTCACCATAAGAAGTTTAGAAGATGCCATTAACAATGTTTGAACCAATTGTAGCACCAGCACCGAATATAGCTAGATAACTTGTCAGTTGATCCGAACTCAAAAGGAAAAGCCATCCATAACAAAAACGTACCAGCATTGCCCATTTTCTTTCCAAACTTCTTCCCCTGCTCTTCGAACTTACTTGGCTTTTTGCCATCCGGTCCCGGAGCAGGCGAACCCGACTGGCTCACTTCGAGAGGCAAGTTGCCATAGTTTGTAGGCTGGGGTGCAATGACTGGAGGTCCGGCCTTCTCATTGAGAACACTCACATAGCTCCGAGGGAAGATACCCTCGAGGCCGGTCCGCTCGTTACGACCGCGCCACCCTGTAATACACGTTAATAATAATCCTCCAGGAGATGGGTTTAGTGGATGAAGTCATACAGTCATTGTTCATGTGCTCGAGAACTTGGATACGGTCGTGAGGCTGAAGGGCTAGATCTCCGGCGTCGGTAGGAGTGTATGCATACAAGGCTGAGGCCGTCGAAAGAACCGCAGGTGTCTGGGCATACGCAGGCGGAGGAGGCGCCGAAGTAGGATATTGATTAGGAGTAGGGGCCTTTTCATTCAGGCTAGTATTGGCAAATTGGTTCGTAGGAGGAGAGTAGGCTGCAACTGGAGGTTGGGCAGGCGCCGGAGTAGGTTGCGCGATGGGAGCAATATTGCGAGCATTATTGTCAAGCTGAGTCTGCCCAGGCAGCTGGGAGAGAATCGAGGACAGTTGTTGCGGAGTAATTACGGAAGAATCTGCGAGGAACTCCAACTCCTAATTCCAATGGTAAGCCATATATCCACACGAGGACCGCAGAATCGATAACTGGGGGGTTAGAGGGAAGACGAACTGCTCGGATGGTGCGGAGCGACCGATTGGTCATTGCCTTTGAGAGGTTGCTCTGCATCGCCATGGCGTGGGGATCAAACGATGAATTCGGGAGCCAGACTGATATTCGATGATAGGAGAGAACGGTGGAAGAGGAGATTCAGTCTGGAGGAAACTGGGTAGGACAATCCAGGAGATCAGGATATTCCGCAGCGGAGGTGGAGATGGAGGACGATGGTTCAGCCTAAGGTATCCGAAGAGATGTCTTATCTATGATACAGAAGAACTGCAGCCATAAGCAAGTAGATGCCTGCTACCAAAGTCAAAGACACTCTTAACACTCGAAGTGCTACAGTGTCAACGGTACCTTTTGGGTGTTGATGCAAGGAAAATAAAGCCAAATCACAACTGGAGAGTGGCAGTGTCTTGCTGGAGATCCAACGGGGCGCAGCAGTGGGAGGCTAAATGGCGTACCAGATCTGTAGCTGGGCTGTAGCTTCTGGGCACTTTAACCATACAATGGTACTTCGGAGGTACTTAGCGGGTACTTTAGGCTTGGCTGCTTGGCGCCTTGTCACGCCGAATTCCGCGGTTCCGATGCTGACACATCAGAGATTATTGGGATGTAGTTACCTAGGTAGTCAGTTAACTTACATATATCAAGATAATATATAGGATTCTTGATCATTGTTCCAAAGATAACTGTCTCACCTCCACCAGAAGGATCTTATCACACTAATAGGCTCTGTTCTAATCTAGAATAACCACTATGGTTGCTATTCCCGGTCATCCCCATGTTGATATTAACAGGTACCTACCTAGGTAATTTAGGATATGATATCTACTTGTGATGATATCTCGCCTGTACTCTTGGCCAAACGCACATATGATTCTGCTTTTCTGAATATGCAGGACATTCTACCAGGGCCTTCAGAGGCTCATATTGTGGGAGCTTTCCCTGAGGGCTCGTGAACGACAGTGTTTGCGATGACTCTCGGCGTCATGGCGATGTGAATTTTCACAATGTGTGAAGACCTGAGACACGCCTTTTCTTTCCCCTCTTCTTAACTTGCCTAAGTCATGTCCTAACCACCCAATCGCCTTGGTTTGATCTTGAATTTTTACTATTGGAACGTCTTTGAAAGCTGCGGCGTCTTGGTTCTTCCTCGGCTACGATTTCATTGTCTGCCACTCTTTCATCAATCTCTGTTTGCCGTAAATCGGGAGTTTCCTTTCTAAAAGTATGGCTTCTCGATCTCGAGTGTCTGAAGAAATTCAAGCTGGTATTTATCTCGAGGACTTGCCTTCTCGTCGCCGAGAAGATGATGATGGAGCGAGCTCGAGTTCTATGAAGAACTTCAGTCGCCCGTTCAGTTCTCGGTCTCACATCGTTCCCATCCATGACCCTGAAAGTTCAAATATTGAAATCCCCAAGGCATCAGTTCCTCCGCGTTTTAGGGTTACTGACAGTTCCTCCACCCTCTATGCGGGCACCAACCCTAGCGAGTTCGGGGCGTCTTCCTATGGGTATACCAGAAGCACTCGCTCCGGCCGTAGCCGCAGACAGAGCATCGAGGAAGAGAACGATAGAAGAGCTGCTTTGGACGCATGGCAGACTACTCGTCCTCGTTCCACCCTGGGGTTCACTCCTTCTCAGCTACCCGACATGTCCTCTGCGCAAGGTCTTTCGCCGGGTCAAATCAAGGAGCTCGATTGGATAAATAGACATGAAAAGCGGAAACAGAAAGATGTTCCGTTGCTGTACAGACGCCATGAAATGGTTATTGAAGAGCCTCCGGATGGTGGCTGTCTTGCGTGGGCCCATGCTGTTTGTGGCTTCATTCTGACTATGAATACTCAGTATGTCAACCTCTGTAACATCAATAAGACCAAGCTAACCTTGTTCAGGGGATTGAATATGGCAAGCTATATCCATTGTCTTAATAACAAGAAGATACAACTAACAGGCCATAGGCGTTTGGAGTCTTTCAGTCATACTATGAGAGAAGCCTTCTGCAGAATGATTCTCACTCCAAGATCGCATGGATTGGCTCTTTCCAGATATTTGCCACGTTCTTCATGGCCATTGTCACAGCCCCCCTGACGAGTAGAGGATACTTCCGGGCCTGCTTCACTGGTGGCAGCTTTCTCCAATTTTTGTCCCTCATGCTCGTCAGCGCTTGTACAAAGTGGTGGCAGATATTCCTCCTTCAGGGTGTCCTCAGCGGCGTAGGAATGGGGCTAGTGTTCCATTCTGGTATCGTACTCATAACCACATATTTCACGACGAGACTCGGTACTGCAACCGCTATTGCTGCGTCAGGCTCTAGTGTCGGTAAGATCATAATTTCTTCCGGTTCTAATCCAATTGCTGAATCATAATATAGGAGGGATCGTCTTTCCATTGCTTGCGTCTCACACGTTGCCCCATCTTGGATTCGGATGGACTATGCGCAGTATGTTCTCTGTTTTCCCCATATATTGACCGCGCTAAAGTAGGTATAGTCATTGCCTTTGTAAACCTGTTTACCATGGTCCCGGTCAACGTTATTGTACGTGAGCGTGCTGGTCCTCCAAGCCCAACGAAGTATGCGATCAATTGGAGCATCCTGGCAAGCCTTCCATTCGCTCTAATGGCGGTCGGTATGTATAACAGTATTATCTGAGAGGAAATGCATTTACTTACCTTCATAGGAATGTTTTTCGCTTTTTGGGGCATCTACTTCGGATTCTACTTTGTAAGATGGCCCGCTCCCCAATGTACTTGTGTTTAGAAACGAGCTGACGGCATGGTTTGAATCCAGATCGTCGCTTTCGGCCAAGACATATTGCATATGACCAGCATAAAATCTGTCAATCTCCTCGTCGCTATGAATGCTTCGAACTTCGTCGGTCGCTTCATCCCAAACATCATTAGTGACGCGTGTATTGGTCCCATGAATACTCTGATTCCCGCCAGTGTTCTTTCCTCAATATTCATTTTCACCTGGGTTGGCGCCAACACAGAGACCGCGCTTTACATCGTGGCCTGCTTCTACGGGTTCTTCAGCGCAGGCATTCAGAGTCTGTACGTCACCACGATCTTCAGCTTCTCGGGAACGGACCGCAAGAAGCTCAGCCTCAGGATGGCTCTGGTTTTCGTACTGATCAGCCTCGCTTCGCTGACGGGCGCTCCTCTTGGAGGCCACCTGGTGACCACAAACGACGGCAAGTACCTCACTGCGCAGCTCTTTGCGGGTGTCAATATTGCGCTTGGGGCTCTGTTTTTCCTGCTGGCTCGCCTGGCCAAGCAAGGCTGCGCAGCGATGAGGGTCTGAGGCACCGCATGGCACATACTGCGGATTGTAAGGGGAGTTGGGGGAGGGGATATGGGGCAATCTGAATCAAGTATGCAGTAGGTTGTTTAGTTCTTTCTCTTGGGAATCCATGAACTTTTTATGTGAGATTGTGCATTGGAGCCCACCTCCGCATCTTGCTATTATATTTTTTTTAGAGTTATTCAAATGCAACTGGCAACCCTTGCCGTGCAGTGATATTCAAATTGAACTGACATAGATTGTAGTCACAGCGGCTACCAGCGTACTATGTAGCTAAATCCTGATTACGTCTATTTGCAAAAATATATACAGGATATAGTCAAGGCAGCTGGTCTATTTACTATATTTGCACAGCTTGTATACAAACTCTGCTGTATCTTGCTTGATTCTGTAGTGCCCCACCCAGCTCTGGAGGAAGCGCAAGGAGAAGCAGACAGGAATGAGCATATTTCCATAGAGAGATGCTATTTGTTCACTCTGATAACTCGTTCAATCATATCATTGCCATAAGTATATTCAGACACGTGTAGCACAGAATTCTTAGACTAAAAATCTACCCCGTATTTACATGAACAGAACTACGATAAACTCAAACAATATATAGCGTAGTGACTCTACTCATTCTATCCGCGGACGAAATAGGTATATCTCCTACAACCGATGTATATCCAGGCCCCGAACTGCCTATAACCTAGCCGCTAGAGGAAAGATCAGTTGGTACTTCGACTCTTTCTTTCTAATCCAGCTCTTAGTATCTGGCGTTAACCTCGATTTCTCTACTATCCTTGCATAATCTGCTATGCGTTATCAATCCCTTCGTTCCAATGTCGCACTATTAGGATGGGAGGAACTAAAAGTGCACCGCTAACATCTCCGTATGGACTTGTCTTATATAGGAAATAGAAGTATTTTGCATTAGTTAAAAGAACATCTTACGAATATAAAGAATATAGTCTAAATAACAACCAATCATATATATTTGAACTTGACTCGGGTCACGCGAGCACTGCTGGCGTGGCATCTTGATGATGCAACGAGAACTTTCAGTTTATATTGATTACTCTCATATCACACATCCATCCTTCAGAACCAGAGGAATCTTTTTATTCTGAAAGGCCTCGTAACTAAGCATAGGTTGGCGATTACAAGCTTACCAAGCACTGTGACTTGTCGGACATAACTAAGTAGTTAAGCGTTCGCCCCCGAGGTCGGCCATAACAGACTATACCCCATACGTGCTAGCGCGATGACTCCCCCAAACTCCGCCGCTCAGGGCTCGAGAAGCTTCTGTGTCATCGATATAAATCTCGCCCAATCTCGACGTTGCTTGATTTCTCAAACAACTATCTCCCGTGATCAACCCTCGCAGCAACCTTCTCCATTCACCACCCTCCTTACCTAGTGCAAGAAGGCTTGCGGAACGTACACGTTCATCCGGACACCTTCAGAACTCCCATTACCCCTCCAAAGGCCTCTCGCTGCATACACGCCACACACCGCCACCGCTCGGTACTCTGTCTCACTACAATCTCTGCAATACCATCTTGAAATCGAAATCAGACAAAATGAGTGATTGGGACTCTGTTACCCGTATTGGAAGCAAGAACCGTGGAGGTCCGGTTACCCGTGAGACGGTCGTGAAGGGCAAGAGTGCGCTGAACGCTGCTCAGCGCTCTGGCCTGATCATTGGAACCGAGAAGAAGTACGCTACTGGCAATGCTGTATGTTTTCCCCGGTGCATGTTATCTCCATTTAACAAAAGGCTATGTACTAACGTAGTATGATTAGGCTGCTCGTTCTGGTGCCGGAGAGGGCCAGCACTTGACGAAGGTTGACCGCAGCGATGACATTGTCAAGCCCAAGACCGTGGGAATCAAGGTCGGTGAGGCGATCAAGAAGCGCCGGAATGAGGAGCCATACAAGATGACACAGAAGGAACTCGCCACCAAGTGCAACACGACACCGGGTGTCGTCGCGGACTTCGAACGGGGTACTGCCACTCCCGACCAGAAAGTCCTCGCTGCGATGGAGCGTGTGCTCAACGTCAAGTTGAGAGGTAACGACATCGGAGCGGAGAAGTTCCCCAAGAAGAAGTAAAGCATTCTTCCAGCTGAGCCCGGGTACTTCCCTCTTGGGCGCATTTTTCTTCGCTTTTTCTTCTCTTCTGGTTTTGGTGTCGTTCACGTGGTGCAACGATGACTCTTCACGGATTTGCCAGTCGAAATGAGCGTCGACATTGTGCAATGGTTTTCCTTAAAAAAGACTACATTTAGTGATTTTTCATACAGCGCGGGCATGCGAATGACCTGGTTTTCAACCGTTGATGGTGGAAAAGTGGGGTGTGGAGCGCCCATCATGACGACACATGTTTTATTCCCCTTTTTTTTGCGAGGCATCATCGCGAGGCTTATGATAACGCTTCCATGACCTTGGTTTTTAGGGCTTTTTTTTTTCCGGTGGTGCTTTGGTTTGATAGATTCGGCTTTTGCCATAGAACAATCCAACATAAAGACATGCATGCGGGAACTATCCTTGTAAATTTCCATGACCGTTGACCTAAGTGGCTACTAGTACTGTAGTATCGAAGAAGTGGAGAAGATATAGATCTGCCGGAGGCTTGGTTCTTTTTTTCATTGTACCTGCTCTATCTAGCCCTGACGCCTAGGTTAGCTGCTCAGGCAGCTCTATAGCCATGCCCTGATCGCCTATACCATGGCTCCATTTGGCACAGTTCCCTCCCCATATTTCCCCGTTCCTCAAACAGGTAGAGAGAGATCAAACAGTGTTTAATGATGAAAAGGTCAGGAGAAAAATAAAAAGAGAATAATCTCATCTCATATTAGACACAAAAAGACAGGACAATGATACCAACTCCGAGTTGTGATGTAAATAGAAACGAACCGGGAAAAAGCCCCATTTCCCCTGGTAATTTAGAAAACTCTTAAGGTCATCCGTCCCGTGTACTCTTTTTTTTCTTTCTTTCTGCTCTTAGAAGAAAAAGAAGAAGGTACCTGCTCTCGTTTGTCGTGAATACATGCAATACACTGTGCCAGACATTTTTTTCAGATCTGAACGACCGAAAACTCTTTTGGCTCCCCGTGGGAGCCTGACCCGTCTATAGTTTTTTCTTGTTTTTTTCCCCGTCTTTTAAGAAAATTCACCGTCTCAGCTGCTCTCGCTCAACTTCGTACATGAAATCGAAGTAAGGCTTGTCGAAGTGGTGGACACGGACGTAACCATCCTCTCCACCAGAGGCGTAGGAGGTACCGGCGGGGTGGACGGCGATGGTGTTCAGGGGACCGAAGTGGCCACGTACACGGCCGATCTCGTCTTCGAAGATCTTGTGATAGAATCGAGCCTCGAATTTACCCTGACGGGCGGAGGTCGTTGTGACTTCCATAGCGGCCTGACCACCACCAAGGATCACGAAGTCCTTCTTGGGCGTGATGGAAGCGGTGTTGAGAGGGGTATCAGAGGGGTAGGTCTTCAGGATTGCGAGATTGCGCGCAGACAAGATCTATTTTGCCTTGTTAGTCTCCTGTCATGAATCCGTGATTGAAAGCTATAGCATGCCGTACCTTTGCACTCTTATCTTTCGAAGCAGTAATGAAGTATGTGCGGTCGGCGGAGAATTGGATATCGCTAACCAGCATGTCGAACTCGTGCGCCTGGACATTCTCCAGTTGCTCTCCAGTCTATTTATCCTGATGTTAGTTTTTCCCTATCAAATAGCCCCGAAACTTTTGAGATCCGAGTAAATGGTCTCTCGTACCTTCGCATCATACTGGCTGACGCTGCCATCTTCGTGTCCGGCAATGATGTACTTGTTCAGGTAACTCCATCCTGCGACAGTGGCCTTGCTCTCCTCACAGGTGATCTTCAGGCTGGGCTCGTCGGTCTGGTCCTCCAGGTTTTCGCCATATTGGATGTCGTATACAACGATCGTTCCCAAGTAACCCATACGCTTCTCCGTCACAGCAAGCAACCGGCTCCCATCCGGGGAGAACTCAACCCGCTTAACCGCCGTAGGGAAATCCCAGACCTTAACACAGTCACCAGTCTTGACATTCCATAGTCGAACCGTGTTGTCTGCTGCACCACTCGCCAGCAGAACAGTATCAGGGCTGACATCCACCGTCCAGATAGCACCCTGGTGGCCTTGGTAGGTTCCAAGTCGTTCACCGTTGGCGGAAAACCAGGCGCAAAGAATCTTGTCCTTCGCGGCCGAAAAAATCAGATCGCCATCGCGGTTATATTTGATCTGGTTCAGGGACCGTTCCTATAGGCGAAAAACAAGTGTTAGTCTCCAGGTCCTTTTTTAAAGAGCGCATCGGGCGGGGGTTGACGGACATGGCCCTGCAGCAAAATAGGCCTCATGTTGGCCTGATCGGAATCTGATGGATATTAGAGCAGCTGGACACAACTGCTCTCTGGTATTCGTGAAGAGAAAACTATCTCTTGATCCGCGGACGTTGATAGAAAGGGTGGCGGGGAATATGGCGGGCTCGTCGTCGTCGACAGCAAACGGCCTGATGATTTTCATCGCACAGTTCCCGGCTGCGCGCCAAGACTTTGATACAGTGTTGCCGCCTGTTTTGAAACGGTATTACCGGATATATAGAACCTCCGGTATTTAGGGTCCAGCCCTGAAAGACCGCCCAGTCCGGAAAGCTCCCAAGGTCACGCCGCGGGAGAGAGCAAAAAAAAGTTAGGTGGACGGGAAAAGCAGTAAGGCAGAACGAGCAAAGGGGAATAGTGCTGGGAATAGTGCTGGGAATAATATGACTCCTTGGATTCCGGTGAAGGAGGCATTATTGTAGCTCGCTAGGTTACTAAACAGGGTGTTATTCGGGATTCTCCCAGTGTACGTACTTTTTCCATACACTTCGTCCATTCACCCAGCCAGCAGCCTGAGCTCCGGCTACTCGTGTCAATGCTCCGCATAGGCTCTTCCGCGTCTGCTATCAGATCCCCGAATCAGCAGCTCATGTTCCCTTTGGCCGCCCTTTGCACAGCGTCACCCCGCTGTGCCGCAAAGGGTCCTCTGTCATGTGCTCGCGCATCTAAATTGCAGGCCTTTTATTCTACTCGCAAGGCCGCTTCTGTCTCTTCTTCCGTACTTGCATCTCGAACTCTACGGGTCGGGCGTGGGGTTACTTCCCTCAGTTATCGCGTACTCCGTTCGGGAAACCTCTCCGCAGCTTATCTTTCCGCGGGAAACTCAGGATCAGCAGCGGGGTTGGGTTTTTCTGCTCGTTCGAAAAGAGCTTTTTCTTCGACAAGCATCGTCATGGCGGGCACAAAGATTGACGGTACGGCCATTGCCAAAGATATTCGCGAGAGGTTGAAGGCGGAGATCGCGAAGACCCAGGAGATCAACCCCAGGTTCAAGCCCAGCTTGGTGATCTTCCAAGGTATGTCATCTATATGCAAACACTCCTGAATTACATGGAAACTGATCTGTGTACAAAATAGTGGGCGACAGGTCTGATTCGAGTATGCTTACCGTTACGCTCCTCGTGACAATGGTTTGTGACTAACCTGACGCAGGTACCTATGTGCGCATGAAGTTGAAGGCCGCAGAAGAGGTAGGTCAATGTCAATGCTTCCATGCGTATCTACTGCTAACAGATATGTTTACTAGGCCAACATTCAATGCAAGATTGTCAACTTCCCCGAGTCGATCACGCAGCCTGAAATCCTTCAAGAGATCACCAAGGCCAACAATGACCCCGACGTGCATGGAATCCTGGTGCAGCTGCCCCTTCCCCAGCATCTCTCGGAGCACGCAGTCACCTCCGCTGTCGCAGATGAGAAGGATGTCGATGGCTTTGGCGCCATCAACATTGGTGAGCTGGCCAAGCGGGGAGGGCACCCTCTCTTCGTTCCCTGCACTCCACAGGGTGTGATGGAACTGTTGAGAGTGAGCGGGGTTGACCCTGCCGGCAAGGAAGCAGTGGTTCTGGGTCGTAGCGACATTGTCGGAAGCCCAGTCAGTTATCTGCTGAAAAACGCAGATGCTACCGTCACTGTCTGCCACTCCAAGACCAAGGACTTGAAGGATATCCTCAGGCGCGCAGACATCGTCGTGGCTGCCATTGGCAAGCCCGAGTTTGTTAAGGGAGAATGGCTCAAGCCCGGTGCCGTCGTTATCGATGTTGGTACCAACTACAAGGCCGACCCCTCCAAGAAATCCGGTCAAAGACTGGTCGGTGATGTCGACTTCGAATCTGCCGTCGAGGTCGCCTCTCAGATTACCCCGGTCCCTGGTGGTGTTGGACCGATGACGGTGGCCATGCTGATGCAGAACGTGGTCAACGCTGCCAAAGCGTACTTCAACAAGCAAAAGGACAGACATATCACGCCATTGCCCCTCAAGCTGGTCAAGCCTGTGCCTTCTGATATCGCAATCTCTCGAGCACAATACCCCAAGCCCATCACCCAGATCGCCGCTGAAATAGGAGTCGCTTCCCATGAGCTGGAGCCGTATGGCCATACAAAAGCCAAGATTAGCCTCCAGACTCTCGACCGCCTGGCCCATCGTCGCAATGGACGATACATTGTGGTCTGCGGTATCACCCCTACTCCTCTGGGAGAGGGCAAGTCGACAACCACAATGGGTCTCACCCAGGCTCTGGGAGCACACCTGAACAGAATCGCGTTCGCCAACGTGAGACAACCCAGCCAGGGACCGACTTTCGGTATCAAGGGAGGTGCAGCTGGTGGAGGCTACAGTCAAGTTATTCCCATGGACGAATTCAACCTACACTTGACGGGAGATATCCACGCCATTACTGCTGCCAACAACCTGTTGGCTGCCGCCATCGAGACCCGTATGTTCCACGAGGCCACCCAGAAGGATGGTCCTCTGTACAGGCGTCTTGTTCCTGCCAAGAAGGGCAAGCGTGAATTCCAGCCGATCATGTTCCGAAGATTGAAGAAGCTTGGTATTGACAAGACGAACCCTGATGACCTTACTGAGGAGGAAATCCGCCGCTTCGCTCGTTTGGATATCGACCCTGAGACCATTACTTGGCGACGAGTCCTCGATGTCAATGACCGACACCTGCGAGGAGTCACCGTGGGTCAAGCTCCTACTGAGAAGGGTCTGAACCGCGAGACGGGCTTTGACATCTCTGTCGCCAGTGAGTGTATGGCTATCCTTGCCCTCAGCAACGACCTACGCGACATGCGTGAGCGTCTGGGACGCATGGTCGTTGCGACATCGAGAAACGGTGACCCCGTCACGTGTGACGACATTGGTGCCGGTGGTGCTCTTACTGCCTTGATGAAGGACGCTATCAAGCCCAACCTTATGCAGAGTCTGGAGGGCACTCCGGTGTTGGTCCACGCTGGACCTTTTGCCAACATCAGTATTGGCGCCAGCTCAGTCGTTGCTGACAAGCTGGCTCTCAAGCTTGCTGGTACGGAACCTGAAGAGGATCATGATGCCAAGACTGGTTTCGTCGTGACTGAGGCAGGGTTCGACTTCACTATGGGTGGTGAGCGCTTCTTCAACATTAAGTGCAGGTCGTCCGGTCTCGTCCCTGATACCGTTGTGATCGTGGCTACGGTCCGTGCCCTGAAGGTCCACGGTGGTGGCCCCGACATCTCTCCCGGTGCTCCGCTACCGGAGGTCTACCGCACCGAGAACGTTGACATTCTCAGGAAGGGCTGTATCAACCTCAAGAAGCACATCCAGAACGCCAAGCAATACGGTGTTCCCGTCGTTGTTGCGATCAACAAATTTGACACCGACACAGAGGCTGAAATCGCTGTCATCCGCGAGGAGGCCATCGCAGCCGGTGCGGAAGACGCCATCCCGGCCAACCACTGGGCTGAAGGAGGCGCTGGCGCAGTTGACTTGGCCAAGGGCGTCATTGCTGCAAGCTCGAAGCCCAAGGACTTCAAGCTTCTCTACGAGCTTGGCAACACGGTGCAGGAACGCATTGAGCGTATCGCACAGTCCATGTATGGCGCTGAGAAGGTTGAGTTCAGCGAGCTGGCGCAGAAGAAGGTCGACACCTATACGAAGCAGGGCTTTGGAAACCTTCCGATCTGTATCGCGAAGACCCAGTACTCACTCAGTCACGACCCGGCTCTGAAGGGAGCCCCCACGGGCTTTACGGTTCCCATCCGGGACGTCAGACTGGCCGTGGGAGCCGGTTATCTGTAAGCTTTCCCCTCCATTAATAATCGCTCGTTTGTGCTGTTTGCTTCCGATGCTGACCATCCTCCCAGTTATGCTCTGGCTGCCGATATCCAGACGATCCCCGGCTTGCCGACCGCCCCCGGATATCTGAACGTGGATGTGGATACGGAGACCGGCGAGATCGACGGTCTTTTCTAGGTTTCTCACCGCCACAGCTCATCCAGTTCCTATTCCTTCTCTTTGATTGGCCTGCTTACAAAAGCTTTGTTATATCCCTTGCTCTCTCTTATGAGCGTGCTACTTGTTTCAACACATTCCATAGACGCATATATGCGCAAAAGCGGCGTCTTAACGACACCTTATGATATCCCAACATGGACGGTTTCCAAAAAAGACGATTTTCAACACGAAACGGGGGGGTTTGATGATGTGCATACATATATACCATTTGGGCTTCGAGAAATCCTCGATATATGTATCTCGTTCAACGAACGGATTTCAGATGCGGACGATCAACCGTCCCATCATGTTAGATAGCAGATATAATACATTCCGTGCCGAAGGCCGAGATTATACCGAATTGTATATATTCCGGGTAGATATACTTTATTTCGGGGCAGTGAGATGGTTTCCCGCGGAAAACCTCCGAGATGCGCAAGCACGGAGCATATCAAAAAGCTTAACTCCGAGCATAGAGCCTCTTCGCGCCACGAGCATCGACAATAATACTAATCGGGGTCTTTATGATTGCATGAACCGGCTGGACGAGCGGAAGTTACCCTGACAAGCAGACAGACGATGACGCTGTAACCGCCGAAGCCGGCGGACAGAGCAAAGCCCCACCGTCCGCCATCGCAGTAAAAAAAAAAAAAAAGGCGACGAGGAAAGCTATCGGCTCAAGAATCTTCCCCTACTCAGGCGTGTGTTTTATTCCCTTGCAACCCGTTCAGCGAGAATCCAATCCCCTTGTTTTCCAGTTGCAGCAGCCTAAAAAGCAATCATCCGGGAGCGCCGCTCAGCCAGAGGAGACATCCGCCTGTCATCATCCAGTCCCGGCACCGAACGGTTCGCTGCCCGACTCCACTGCCCGTCCATCCAGCCGAGATTCATCCCTCGGGTACGCGCGAAAAAAAGCAGACAGGACAAGACAGCTCAGAGCACGAAACAAGTCCCCAGCGATCCATCCAAAGAGCATTGCTTGCTTATCAAGATGAACTCCGTTCGGCTAGTCTCCGCCACCGCGCGACGCTCGTTGCCCCTCCCTCGTACCGTTTCTTCTACCCCTCGACGCTTCCTCTCTTCCTCCATTTCTTCTCCTGCTCCCCTCTCAACGACCTCAGCTTTCTCCGGTCTCACTTCTCGTACCGTCCGCGACGCTCGTGTCTCTGCTTCTGCCAGCTGGACTGCTTCCACCTCTTATACCGTAAACCAGACGCGCACCATGGCTTCCGGACAGAAGATCAAGGTTAAGAACCCAGTTGTTGAACTGGATGGAGATGAGGTAGGTTCAGGATCTCTCCCATTTTTCCCTGTGTGATGTACATATATATATATATATATATATGTGTGTGTATATGCATACACTAGAGGAAAGCAAAGGCTCCATGACCTCGGACATGAGGAAACTATCGGTTGACGTTTTCGTCCGTTACTGCGGCTTGCGGGGAAACACGGAGGACTGCCTTGTTGTCACTCCCAACCGAGGAATTATTCGCAAGATGCGAAGACACCTGTATGTCTTGATGGATCACATGGCTAACGGATGCCCCTTTGGGTAATTGAATCTAGATGACCAGGATCATCTGGCAAGATATCAGAGAGAAGGTACGTCTGCTGCCAATTACATCCTCCCCGTCCCTGACATGCGGCCCGTTCTCCCCCGAGAAGATCGCGGCTCCGCATCCAGGGCGGAGTTAATTGAACCCTTGGCTAACTCTCTCTCTACAGCTGATCCTGCCGTAAGTACTCTATAACTCGACGTCGATATTTGGAGAGTCTTCGTTGCCGAGGTGTGATGCTAAGACTGGGGGTGCAGTTACCTGGACATCGATCTCAAGTACTACGACTTGGTATGTGACCATTGGACCGGTGTTGTCGCGCAAGAATAGCCCACTGACCATTATCAGGGTCTTGAGTACCGTGACAAGACCGATGACAAGGTCACCATCGAGTCCGCTGAGGCCATCAAGAAGTATGGTGTTGGTGTCAAGTGTGCCACCATCACTCCTGATGAGGCTCGTGTTGAGGAGTTCAAGCTGAAGAAGAGTAAGTCCTATTCATCAAGATTCCGGAACCAGTCTACTGGTCTGAACGACAATACTAATGCAATGCAGTGTGGCTCTCTCCCAACGGTACTATCCGTAACATCCTGTAAGTTTGATATGCCAAACTATGATGGAAAACTTGGGAGGCTTACACCAGTATAGCGGTGGAACCGTCTTCCGTGAGCCCATTGTCATTCCCCGCATTCCTCGTCTCGTCCCTGGCTGGACGAAACCCATCATCATCGGTCGTCACGCTTTCGGTGACCAGTACCGTGCTACCGACCGTCTGATCCCCGGCCCCGGTAAGCTTGAGCTGGTCTACACCCCTGCTGGCGGCAAGCCCGAGAGCATTGAGGTGTACGACTTCAAGGGCGCTGGTATTGCCCAGACCCAGTACAACACTGACGAGTCCATCCGTGGCTTCGCTCATGCCTCCTTCAAGCTGGCTCTCCTCAAGGGCCTGCCCCTCTACATGAGCACCAAGAACACTATCCTGAAGAAGTACGATGGCCGCTTCAAGGACATCTTCCAGGAGATCTACGACAACGAGTACAAGCAGGCGTTCGAGGAGAAGAAGATCTGGTACGAGCACCGTCTGATTGACGACATGGTCGCCCAGATGATCAAGAGCGAGGGTGGCTTCGTCATTGCCATGAAGAGTGAGTCTCTTATCCATCTTTGAGATTGGATATCCGTGCTAATGTGTGCTCTTCAGACTACGACGGTGATGTCCAGTCCGACATCGTCGCTCAGGGTTTCGGTTCCCTCGGTCTGATGACCTCCACCCTCACTACCCCTGATGGCACGGCATTCGAGTCTGAGGCTGCCCACGGCACCGTCACTCGTCACTACCGTGAGCACCAGAAGGGTCGTGAGACCTCCACCAACCCCATTGCGTCCATCTTCGCCTGGACCCGTGGTCTGATCCAGCGTGGTCAGCTGGACGGTACTCCCGACGTTGTCACCTTCGCCGAGGCGCTTGAGGCTGCCTGTATCGAGGTTGTCAACGACGAGGGTATCATGACCAAGGACCTTGCTCTGGCCTGCGGCCGCAAGGAGCGTGAGGCCTGGGTCACCACCAAGGAGTACATGGCTGCCGTTGAGAAGAGACTCAAGGCTAACCTGGCCAAGGCTAAGCTGTAAACTCGTTGATTGGTTTTCTTTCCGTTGGCAGGTGCCTGTGGCCGTCAGATGCAGGCAGAGCGTTCTAGTTACTTGACGTGCGAGGACTAGATGGAAGACTACTGCATGTAATTGCTACTGGGTTAGTCTTGGCTCTCCACTACTTAGATTTCTTTCAGGTTCAGATTACCTGTGGTATGAACTGTACATAGCCCATAGATCGCTATCTATTTTGGTGCTTCCTGGCGTGCCTTTGGAGACAGCGCTCGGGGAAGCCCAGGGGTAGTTTCACTAAAAAGCACGAAACGATGATGAGCATGCGGATGAGCGCTGCGTGGCCCTAGGTAGCTGCGGACACTTGACTCCTTTGAATCAATGCCTGCCATATGAACGAACATGTCCCACTTCTCATTATACTTTTTCTTCCATATACTGTAGTTGTCCATGCATTCTGTATGTTGCTTTGTAAATCATATGCACAGATACCTGACCGGTACCCCGCTAAACCTGCAGCGTCAGCCGTCTATCATGGGGCAATACCACATTATCAAACACCAAACGTTTGAGCAGTTGGCCCATTTGACGACCGGCTAAACGTGTATCCGGGAGCACCAAAACCACTACACGAGTCTTAAATACTACTTCTTGAGAACACGCATAGATATATGTACACGATGCCCCACTTCGTGTCTGGACATTACAACCTGGATACTTCCAAGTACAGGGGAATTTCAATAATATTCCCTAGATACATACCCCTTGTCAAAGAATAATTAGGCTTAAAAACCCGATCCTGGAGAGGTAGCACCATATGTATGTTTCCCCACTGATTTACGGGGTGTCTAAATAACATGTCTTTATGATTAAGTTTTTTTTTTTTTGTCCTTTGATATATCTAGTTTTGATCTTAGTTACTTATTTATGCTCTTACGGCAAAATCCCCTGTAAGAAGTGCCATTGGAATATGCAATAACTACTATCTATAAGATATCGTACATTTAGAATCCCTTCTATGAGGATGATGGATGTGGGGCATTCAGCTATGATGTCATCGGCGGGGTGGTTTGGGGAGAGCCTTCTCTCCTCCTCGAGAGTAAGTTAGATACTTGGAGTACCTAGTTACACCATTATTAATTATGGTATACAGTTGTCGAAATGCAGTGTTCAGTAAAGGCACCAGCGTCTCAGGCTATTCAGTTCGGGGGAGTGATCTTCGAATCCTCATGCAGGACCGGTGCAGTACTGAAACCTCGAGTCTCCTTTTGAGAGAATATAGATGATTGTCGAAACAATGTTATTAGTAATGCAGTAAGAGGTAACTAACTACTTCAACAATCAAGAGGATCGAGTCCCACGTCTTGTGGTGAAGCGACTCTACTTACGCTGAACAGCCGTCTCCACATAAGGCTCCGTTGTGAAAACTCATGAGGAAGATAGTGAGGGGCAGCGCGTCGCGACTTCGAGCTAGAGCTCGCAGATCTCGCGGGGCAGAGAGGCTAATTACTATAGGTAGATTCCCCTTTCCACTTTTCTTGTTCACCCCGTTCCTGATGCTGGCGTGCCTTGAGCCACTGTGCGACTCATGGATCATCACTACTGAAGACAGGCATTGGATACTGTAAAACCGGAAAGGAAAATCTCCCCTCACCAATTTGTAACACCGAAATAGCAATTGTCTTCAACGATCAGGGACGGCCGTGCTCTTCTCATCCCGCAATGGCATCTATCAATTTCTCCACTTTCAGCAATATCATCAACGGGGAGACGCGCTCCAGTGCCCAAATCAGCCACGGAATCGACCCATCTACCAAGAAACCACTCTGGGATGTTCCCGTTGCGACTGCAGATGATGTGAACGAAGCAGTTGCTGCTGCGAAGAAAGCGTATCCGGCTTGGTCGCGGACGCCATGGAGTGAGAGGGCAAAACTTCTCTCGCGGGCTAAGGAGGCCCTGCTGGCGAGAAAGGATGAGATGGCGCATTTGATTATGCAGGAGGGTGGTAAACCGGTACGATCGAACCTAGAAGCTGAGGAGGTTAGTAGATGTGCTGATGCAAATTGGATATAGATTCAATTCGGAGCCCTGGAGGTGGACCATGCGGTGGGATTTTTGGACTTTCATTGTAAGTGTGAATTTCCAATATCCAGGAATGAAAAGCAAAATACTGATTATCTCCGTCTAAAGCGAACCATCCCGAACTGGAAGCCAAAGTCACTCATGAGGATGATGAACTGAGACTGACTCTTCGCTACGTCCCAATTGGCGTCGTAGCTGCAATCTGTCCCTGGAACTATCCGCTGGTCCTTGCCATGGGGAAGATTGGCGCTGCTCTAATCACAGGAAACTGTGTCATCACGAAACCTTCTCCATTTACCCCCTACAGCATCTTGAAATTCACCGAGATGGTGAAAGACATTTTCCCTCCGGGTGTCATCCAGGTTCTGAATGGTGATGATAAAATGGGGCCGCTACTGTGCGACCATCCCGATGTTGATAAAATCAGCTTTACTGGATCTATCTCAACGGGGAAGAAGATCATGGCCTCAGCAGCGAAGACCCTCAAGCGCGTTACGCTGGAACTCGGTGGGAATAATGCCAGTATCATCTGTCCGGATGTGGATGTTCCTTACGTCGCTTCGCAAGTGGCTCTAGGCTCGTTCTTCAATTCCGGACAAATTTGCGTCGCTAGTAAGCGACTCTATGTGCACGAGGACATCTATCAGGAATTCCTGAAAGCGCTGACTGACGTGGTCAAGTCATGGAAGGTCAGTTCGTCTGCACCGGATTCAGGCAACATGCTAGGACCGGTGCAGAATGAGATGCAGTATAATATTGTCAAGCAGTTTTTCTTGGATGCCCATAACAATGGGTACAGATTTGCTCTTGGAAGTGCGGATATAAAGGACGAGGATGGCTTTGTTATCAACCCTGCTATTATTGACAGACCGCCTGACGACTCGAAGATTGTGAAGGAGGAGCCGTTCGGTAAGAAATATTCCTACCACCCTCATTCTGTTACAGTGAACACAAAGAATCTGACGTAAAAAACAAGGCCCCATTGTTCCCGTCCTATCCTGGAAGACCGAAGAAGAGGCCATTCGACGCGCAAACGACACCAACACTGGACTTGGAGGTGCAGTGTGGTCTAGCGATCTCGACCGCGCCCACCGGATAGCCGACCAGATCGAGGCTGGTGCTATCTGGATTAATTCGTTCGAGAAGCCCCATCCGCTTGGTTACCTTGCCGGCCACAAGGAGAGTGGCATTGGTGGAGAATGGGGAACCGCTGGATTGATTTCCTACTGTAACACGAAAGTGATTCACTATTACAAGAATTCCGTGGCGCCAGGAAAGGCAGGTAAATAAGAATTCAAGCGAGGATTGGTGACGAGGCGGTTGTCTTGGACGTGTTGACATGAGCTACATATTGAGGAGTTATTATCTAGTTAATTGGTAATGGATAAGATTATAATTAACGATAAGTATCTCTACACATTCGATTCCACAATTCATATATCCATTTTCAACAATACTACAACGATGCCGTATATTTGCTGTCATCTTTAAATGCCAAGGCGTTGCTTGAAATAATGAGAAGGGGTGAAATCCATTCCATTGTTGCTACATTGACAGTAAACTAAACAGTCCACATGACATGACTCGAGCAGACCCCCACTCTAAGCTGAAACACTATCTAACCAACTTCCAAAAAGAACTCAGATACATCCAAATGCCATCCATATGCACGATAAACAATTAGAACCTGTCAGTAGTTCAATTGCTCATCCAATTCAATTCTCCGAATAACTAAACTCCAAATATGTCCAAGCGGGATCTCTCATCTCTGCCCGCGCCAACTATCCCATCATCCAAAGTCATTCTCCACATCTCCAGCTCAACACGCATCAAAGCCCCCATCTCACGAATCTGGAATACTTTAATCGACACGTCCACATGGTCAGAATGGAACTCATTCATTCCACACGTCACAATCAGGGAGCAGCCGCGATCGGATCCCAGCATAGGCGACGCGGCGGCAGCAGCATCATCATCATCATCTCACCCTGATGAAAGCAACGAATATGGTAATAACGACAATTTAAATAATAAAAATAAGAAGAAGAATCTATCTCCCATCCTCAACCCCGGTACAAAAGCGACGTTTCACGTGCTCATGGATCCAAAGAACCCCGGACGTACGACACAAGTACATCTTGTTATTTCGGATTTCCAGCCCCCTTCTCCAGACGCTGGTTCTGAAGTGGGGGGACGCATTGCGAGGATTGTTTGGTCTAGTGATTACGGCAGTGGCTTCAAAGGTGCTGTTTCATCGTGGTTCTTGTATGCGGAAAGGGTGCATGAGATTCAGGAGCTGGATGGGGAAGAGAGAGGATGGATTGAGGTTCGGACTTGGGAGGCGCAGAGGGGGGTGTTGGCTTATGTGGTGAGGTATTTGTATGGGGGGTTTTTGAAAGGGTGTTTCGAGAGGTGGGTTGGTGATTTGAAGGTGTTTGTTGAGAGAGATGGGTGAATAATGGGGGGTTGGGTGTGGTGGTAGTAGTATATCCGAGATTCGTGATTAGCGATCATTCAGATGCTATATGGAGTAACTATAGTATTGGCACTATCGATCTATCTAGTAGGATTTTTCAAACCCAGCAAGGAGAGGTATCGAACTGCTTTCTGTCTCCATATGAGTATGAGGTAGGATACTATTCCAAACCCGGTATCTTGACATGGTTATATGTACTCCCATCATCTTTATCTATGCTGATCCATTCACATTTTCTATCTACGTCGGAATGGCTATTAATTGAGTGCTCCCAGACATAATCTACAATACTTACCCGAAAACTCCATATCGGATCCTTTCGGTGCGCTATCAAAATCTAGACGGCAGACCGACCGCATGTGACTATATGAGAAGCCCTCGAATTAGAGACCGGATTGCAAATAAGCGAGATAACGGAACTAACCGAGCGAATACGGAGTACATGTGGTTTTTGAATAGAGAAGGGAGAAGAAGATCATCCGTCGTGCCGTGTTTCTTATCGTGATCACTTGTTTGCCAAGTGCGGAGGCAGCAAGACGAACCTACTGGTAGTCTGGTACATACATCAGCCCTAGGGGCTCTTTCGCCAAGTCGCCGCTCTCTAGGTACGTACAGTACATGGCCTCTTCGTACCTTTTACTACCGAGTAATACTTCGGGCACTGATTTACCTGGTCTATTGGCGACATGGTTCGTCCGGGGTCAAGGCCAAAGCTCTCCCTATCGAACGGTAATTCGCTGCAGATATCAGACAGGATCGTCAATGTCAAGATAACAGGTGCATGGATTTCCAAGAGAAGCTTGTTTATAGTCAAATGCATGCAGGTCCAAAGGGTCGCCGCCTCACTGCCTACAGCACCTCGATGCTTTGTGTGTACTGCGCCAGAAAGATTCGAAGAAGATCATTTCAAAAGGACTGGTCCAGATCCGGACGGCCATTCAGATTAGGCGACCTACTTTATCCCACATATAGTTCTCAACGGTTTTCAGATCCCAGGGCTGACTACTATGTATCACATATTCAAGGAGCCTCTACTTCTCGCCACGTTGAGAAACTAAAATTAATCTCATACTAATCCATGTCTCGAATTAACGTCCTGTTCACTTTGACTGTGCGGCCGCTTTTATGATTGAAAGTCTCTATTTGGTCTGGTGTAAATACGGCGCGGACGGAAATTGTCCCTGGCCGACGGGTCTGTGCGCGTTCTACCAGCAAAATTGAGGTCTTGGCCATTAATGGTGATGGTCAAGTCTCCGCCCTGCTGTCCAAACTAACTGCCGGATTGCCCCTTAGGATTCATGCAGGGCTTCCTTCGGGCGTCACTATCTGCTCTATACTCAAGCTAGACACTTACCGGAGATTGCGCTTCAGCACAGGCCAGGTGATATCACTGCACTTGGCTGCACGCCAAATGGCCAAGGAACGTTTTAGCGCCTGGAAGATAAGAGGAACGGGTGATTAGCTAGGGTCTTCAGGGCTTTTCCGGCCTTTGCGGGCGCTTCAACCCCTGGTGATCATGGTATAGATAAACAGACAAAAGCATAGGTGGAAGTTCGCATCGACGTTTCCTTTACATGTTCATGTTCCACAACCAAGGATGGTTACTGCGGACGGCGACACTCCGCGCGGCCAATAGAACCCTGGGTCCAGTCGCCTACGAAGTAGATATTTTCATATTAGGTTCGAACTGTTCTGAGCTTGAACCCAACTGAGTGGTACGCGGCCCGCAAGTCGGCTCGACCCCGAATAAGGCGTATATTGGCATCGGCGATGGACATGCCATATTTTACCGCCGTAATGACCTCCTGGATTTTCTGTACTGCAGGCCGCGTCATGATTGTTTTTTGGTGAGGTTCTTTAGTCGAGCAGTTAACAGGAGAAGCCAGTCTCGTGAGCGCATAATGACGATCAGCCGTATTGTCCATTCCTGCAGATTGGGTGTCTGCCTTTACGGCGGACGATCAGTGGGGGCGGCCGCGAAAAAAAAAATCGTCGAGAATGAATAATAACGTACGGAGTATAGTTAGTTAGCGCCTCGAAATGGCCGGCAGATCTCGAGAGCACTGACAGGGCGGAGATGAGTTTGACAACTTTGATGAGTTCGAGCTTCGCTGGCCGGATCGAGCTTTCTCGATTCAGATAACCGGCTTCTCTTGGCAGAGGGGCGCGATGTGATTGATGTTCTTCGTTGGTCCAATTCAGCCTTCTCTCGACTCTTTTCGTCTCTTTTCTGCTGGAGATTGGGTTGGTGGCTTAACGCAAGTGACATCGTTCCACCAGGCGTCCATTCGAGGCTCGATCCAATGCTTGTTGGTGACTGCTGGCACGCTGTCTAGGCCCGCATTCTCAACGGCCCGGCGCCAGTAGAACGAGGAATGGCCTTAATATGCTCGTGCCTGGATGAGCAGGAAGCTGCGTAATTGAAGTATGGGCGAGGGGAGATGATGGAGATGATGGAGACGACGGAGTGCGTTGCGGGGAAAAGAAGTGCAGTAGGGAGGAAGATGGATGATGCGTTGAGCAGAGAAAGCGACTTGCGAGGTGAAGTCAAAAAGCGCCTGCTGTCTCGACTGACTTGACTTATCTATCCAGGTTTCTGCTTCCGCCCTAACGAACGCCCAGCCTATCTGTGCCCCTGGTTCCTTACGACCTTTTTTTTTTCCTGCTTTATCTGGGGATTTTCCACATTTACTGAGCATCAGGGCTTTTTTTCTCTTTTCTTCTTCTCCAGCTTGACGATATAACTCCGTCTACGCGCGGCCAGCTTACGCCAAAGCTGGCCAGTCTCTACTTATCTGGTTCTGGATCCGGATACCCTGTGGCGGTTCCTCTCCGCCAGCGCCGAACTTCACCCACACCAGCAAACGCATGCTTGCCACCTTCGATTTAAATCGATAATTCTTTTCACTTTCAGACGATGCAGTTTGTCGTCTTTCAGAGCATTTCTCCGTGTTTCCTGCCGTGTCATTCTGACTGACGCATCGCTCTTTCAACCCAACTGGCATATAATACAATAACTAATTATTGCTGCCGCGGGCCTCTTATGTCATATGTTGATTCGCCTGCCTGTGACGCCTACATACTATTACTTCATCGCTGCCTTGCTTGATTCGAAGCTTTGCTGGAGACAAAAGAGCACTGTGGTCCTCTTCTGGTTATTGTTTTAATACTCTAATTATTATTTTCGCCAATATATACTTGGCTCCATCGATGGCGGCAAAACATCCGCCAGTCCAGCTAGCGCTGCAAACCAGTCCTGATGGGAAATTGCAACTACCACAGCATGCACCACTATCACATCTAACGCCTCCCGGGACACCAACTAATGAAGGTGTCAAGGGTTCTCCACGGTTGGTAGACGGTTGCACTCGTCCATATGAGTCGCCTCCACCACTCGACAACTGCCTGGAAGCTGGAAAGATCGAGCGCTCCTCAAAACGTCTTCCGGTCCCTCTGGAGTTCCTGCAGGATTTGGAGTTACGGCGAGATGCATCGGGAAGGCTCATGGAGTATGGTCGTGGCGCATGGAGCGTCGTTTACATGGCCCTGTCTCGTTCGTCATCGCAGACATCCGGGTCAACGCCGCCAGCATCCCCAGCGACTGCAAACCGCGTGCTGGCTGTGAAAACACCTATACGTCGGGACGCTCATTCCATTCTCCAGGCGGAGGCGCTGACACTAACCCATCTCAACCGTACTCCTGGTCATGAGCGTCATATTATACAGTTCCATGGCTATATTTCCAGCTCCCATTCCATTGTTATGAGTGCCGTGCCTTTGGCACTGTCGACATATATCGAATATAGAGCTTCCACGGCTCGACAAAATTTCTCCACACGAACTATGTTCGATCCTGTCTTGGGAATCTCGCAGTGGCGGGATCTCTCAAAAAAGCTGATCGAAAGTCTCGACTGGATGCATAATCATGCTCACGTCGTTCACGGAGATATAAAACCACACAACATCTTGCTCCGTCCCCGCCAAAACGAAGAGGATGACAACGATGATTGTTTCCCTTATGACCCTATCTTTGTCGATTTTTCCTCCTCTCATGTTTTCTCGCCAGACGCCATGTTTAAGAGCCCATCGACGGCGATGTCTGCGTTGACGCCTCCCTTTACGGCCCCTGAGTTGCTCTCTGTCTCGTCACTGAAGTCTCCAGGTGTGATCTCTACGACGGCATCTGATGTTTTCTCACTTGCTGTGACCCTTCTAGCTGTCGCAACAGGGGATCTGCTCTTATACCCTGGCCTCAACAGCATGCAGAGGCTTGCTATGTCGCGGGATGGCCATCGAGTGCTCGACTATGTCCGATCAGGGCCGAATGGCTCCCGTGTTCCTCGGAACGGACTTGTGGAGAAGACGCTTAAGCCAGCTGTCTCTAAGGACCCCAATGACCGAATCAATGCTCAGGACTGGCTGTCCCTGGTTGATTCATGATCGTGAAGTGGGATGCTGGTTGGTGTTGTGTTCTAGCACGAGGTCTTGTTTTGGTCATCTTCCTGCGCTTCTCTGGTGTATTATTTACCTTATTTATCTTGCCTCTTTATACTTGCGGATACTAGAGATACCCGGAATGAAATAGTTTGGTTGTGTGTGTGGTTGATTGGCAGTCTTGTTAGACACTTATCTCGTATAAGATCCACATGTTCCCATATGATGTCTTCGAGCTTAGTGTGTGTGTTGTCAGAAGTCATATTGGAAGCCGTCGGTCTTGTCGGCTGCGCTTCTGCGAATTACTTGCACCAAGATGATAGGCGATGTTCCTTGATACTCTAGACCGTTCAGCAAAACTGGCTTTAACCATGCTATCGTAGAGAATGCTCTTCTTGCTTGGAGTGTTTCAACATTCAGACTGAACGGATGGGAAATGCACCCACCCCGCAGCGTTCCTTCACAATGTTTACACTGGCTTTGTGCCATCATTTGTGTTCTTCCTTTTTGGGAAGCAATGACCCGCCACCTCTTCCTTACAAGAAGTGAGCTTCACTTTTCTTCCCCCTAAGACTTTCTTCCTCCTAAGACTCACACACATATTGGCTTCATTCTTTCTACTCAGATCATCTACAACAATTATCTTGATAGCTCTCTACTCGATCGCTTCCAAATCGTCCAGCTGCTACACTCGTTCCAGAATATCTTCACCAGTGACCCTTCATGACTGAATTCAACGTCTTCCATAGAAACTACATATCGCCCAGTGAGAGAGGCAGAATATTACCCTTGGTGCTCTTGAACGTCTGGTATGGCCGTACCCTTAATCTGCACATAGATGTTCTACCCAGGCCGCCGGGATGTCAAGACTTCGTTGTCCGAAATTTCAGGGAGCAAGACCCTACCCATCCGGCATTAATTGACTGGACAAATACGCAGATTTACCAGCTAGCTCTCCCACCGTTGAGTCCTCAGCATCAGTGGTTCTTTCACCAACCAGAGCAAATAACATCGTGTCCGGAGGTCATCCAGCACCCCTTGTCACTCAATACCAGCAGAGGACGATCACCTTCAGACCCCGGCTTGTGGCAGTATCGCGAACCTGACTTTGAAGTCCCCTACACATACCAGCCTAGACAGTTTCTTCGAGAAGTAAACGAAAGTATTGAAAGCGGTGGAGAGAAGCGTCTTTCTCGCGTCTTCCCACAGGGGTGGTGCACTTACAACTTTTGGGCAGTCGACGTTTCTCCAGAGTTGGCAGATTCTGGTGTTCAAACCCCAAACATCGAAGTTCTTGAAACTAGTGACTGGGACAGACAATCCAGACCTGACAAGGTTTCTGACGTTACGAACTTCTCAATAACTACTACCGAGAGAGAGGAGTCCTCTACCAACGAATCACCGAAAGAGGAGTCAGAAATAGACCCTTCATCTTCGCAGGCCCCTAGTCCATTTCTTTCGAAGTCTCCTGAAGGCGTGCCACTGGCAACTGAGAAGCTTGATACAGTGCCACTCGCAGGTTACGGGCTGACTTTCTTTGGCTATCACGAGCCAATTTCTCCACTTGCTAGTCCTCAAAGTCACGAGTTGGTGTCCAGTATACCGCATCTACTTGCTCCTGGCGGTACACAGGCATTTGAAGGACTTTGGCGACCTCCAACTGCGCCTGTTTCATCGAGTGGACAAAGGTTGTGGCAAGGCATCGCGTCCATAGAACAGGACAGTCAGAGCAACAGCTCAGATACCCTTTCTGGCCAGTTCTAAGGCAACAGCAGCCCAACGTCCAAGGATCACAATGCAGTATTATATTCCTACCGATGTTGCCCCTCCAGTTCAGGGAATGATGCCATATCCTACTCAGCCATTTCCTCGATTCTTTGTGATTCGCCCTGACCATACTGCTGTTCCCTTAGTAGCACTTGACGAGCTACCATCTTGGCTACAAGTTGGAAATTGGAATTGGAGCGACCCGATGTTGTTTCAATCGATGGGCCCAGCGAGCCTTGTCCCCGTACCTCGAATTGGAGAATACGACGTTGTTTGTTATCATTGCTGTTCGAACTTGGACATTATCCAAAGAAGTGTTTCAGAGGAGAGCGACAAGTCTAGTCCCCATACAGATGATCGAAAGTCTTGCTTAACGTACCCTGGCGCTCTGCCTTCCCCAGCCCGACATCGCTACCAGGTCCGACCTACATCTGCCCTCAGTCTACCACACAGCACAGCCGGAGGTCTACCTTATCGTTCTTGCAATTCGAATCCCAAGTTATGCATCGTTGACACTGCAGAGGCTCTTAATCCAGAGGCCACAGTCTTTGACCCAACATATGCCACGAGACCCGAAGTACCTCGACATGATGATCCTTTGCTTATTGTAAAATCTTTACCTACCACTGTGTCCTCTTCACCAACCACCGCATTCAGTTTTGAAAGTGTCAGTACCCGCTCTCATGGACAAAGTTCGCTGTCGACCAGCAGCATGGACGCCGCAGTTGCACGCCTCAGGGAGATTATAGGCATCGGCGAGAAAGATGTGATAAGCTTTCCAAATTCAGGTACAACTTCACCCGGCTCAGCGCCTGTGAAGGCCTCTAATACCCTTTCTACGAATCCCATGCATGTTTCTGGCAATGGAAATCTAAGACCTCGCTCGTCCACTGAAGATACAAATCGCATTTCTGAGGAGAAGTCAGCATCTGGAGAACGTCCTTCCTTGGTACATGGAAAGTCTAATGGCAGTTGGAAAGGAAACAATGGCACTGCTCGAGGTCGCCGGGGTCGCAAGAGATCCCCAAAGAAGGAGAGAACGCATGGTGAAACTGGCACTGAAATAGACAACTCTCAAGGTAGCCAGCAAAGTTCTCCTGTTAAAAAACATGCAAAGAAAGCGAATGCAGCCCAGAACAAGACCAACTCGGCATATGGAAGTCGGTACTGGCACATGATGACGATGCCGAACTGGCGCGATAAGACTCCACAGAGGTAGTTTGGGTCCATGGCAAAGGTTATTGATGGGGGCTTTTCTCTCTATGCCTTCACTTTCTTTCTCCCTATTTACAGCGAATTGTCCTTATTGATCCAGGAGCGTTTTGTTTCACCTTTTTTTCGGATGGGCACTGGTTTCTTTATCTTTCTCTTTGATGTACCTAGGGTAGACAAAAAATGGGACTTTTTCTCTTTCTCTCTCTCACTCGGTCTCTGATTGCATCTGCACTGTAGTTTACCGAGCATCGCAAAACTGGACATACTTAGATCTGGCACTCGATCTGTAGAGCCCTACCCTTGATTGCAAACACAATCGTTGAACGTACATTTTCTCCTGTATGCAAGATCATCTAATCCGAAACAAAAATGGGGGTATAATGTACATGAATATAGATAAAAGCAACCAGTGAATACATATGCTTTAAAGAAGACAAAGCTTTGTATATCTATAGTCCATTGATGCAACATGAATGGGGTACGGCGAAAAAAGACAACTGCGTCATCACAATACATCCACCTTCCCAGAAGCTTTGCCGGCCTTAAAGTTGAATGAGAGGATGGCTGATTGCCAGTCCGTCATGGAACCACCCAGAATGGTGTTTATGCGTCGCGTGGAAGTAGCCTTGGCTGGCCATTTGCTATATTCCAAGATAAGGTCCCATAGAACAAGTAGAGGAACGCTGCGTATCCTTACGTCGCTCAGATCGTAATCGAGGATTTCTTGGTAAGTGTATATCGGGTCCGTCTCCTGAGGATTTGAGCCTTTGACCGAACCGTCAAAGTCCTTCTTCAGTCTCTTGGAAGCCAGTGCCGCCAAACTTGGGACTGCCTTGACAATGTCATTAATGGGTCGTTCCGGAAACAGGGCATTCAGAAATTCGTTGACAGAAAGCGAATTGCGCATTCCGACCACGGAGAGGATCTCCTCGGTGACATCTGTCAAGTCATGCTTCTCGCGGCCCCTTTCCATGCTTTCTAGGGCTTTCACCAACGGTGAATCGCGGTTCGGTTCGAAATATATCATAGTACATGGTGCTCCCACAGGATAGATTTCATCGTGTTTGATATGCAGTGGTTCGAAGGGACGGCGGTCCCAAAGAAGGACAGCATCATCGAGACTCCCAGTCTTCAAAGCTGCTCGCATTTCGTCTATATAGAGATCGGCTCGTTCATGTACCACGTAGTCAAGCTCCTCGCGCATCTTAGCCCAGTCCGCTCTCATTAAAGCAATTTTGGAGTCCAAATCTTTGAGTGTCTGCGGATCTGTCTGGGGATTTGCTGCTGCTCGAGCTAGCTCTCTCTCCATTTCATCGATTTCACCCTGTTTCTCTGTTAACTGGATCCGACCAAACCAACGCCGATTATCCTGGTTCAGTTGAACCTGGTATCGTTTATAATGTTGATGCAGCGCAGTGAGCCTCTTGTCCTTCCCGGGAGGGGAGCCTGATGCCTTCAATTCTGCTTCGCGTTGTTTGACTAGTTCCAAGACCTCGATGTATTTCTGCTGCCACTCGTGTCTAACACGAGGCACATGCGGAGCTGGCTTCTTGCCCGGATCGGCACTCACGGGGGCCATCAGGATCGGTGGGTGTTCCCGCCCTTCGATCACTTCGACCTTCTGCTCGGCAGCTCTCTCAGCAGCGCGACTAGCGCTCTTTGTCATTAAATCCCACGTCCTCAGTCTAGTCCAGGCTCCACCGTCGGTGGTATTTGCAACGCTGAATGCTACTTTGCCGATCGCCTCCGTCAGCAGTGCAGGCCTTTTGCGATCAAAGACGCTTCGCGGCATTACTAGATGACCCTCCTCCGTCGGCATCAAAGCAAGGATCCTAGCCATGCCATAACGGTGGAACTGCAGTCCCCTTAGAGCCTTTGACATGAAGTGGGCCCATTCTCGAGACGGGGTGAAATGGCTGCCCTTCGGGACGAAGTAGGTCAAATTTGCAAGGACCAACAGACTGTCATTTATGACACCGTCCGCAGTATTTGGTGGAGGCACCGGCAAGTGTTGCGCGAATATCGTGTTCCAGTGATCCTCATTAACCCAGTTATGCTGAATCTCGATGATTTTGTAGGACGGATTATTAGCGGCAAGCTGATTCAGCATGTCCCCGTATATTGGGAGTTCGGATTCGAATAATAAATGTTGTCTTGGTTTCAAGAAATTATTGACTTTGGAAGACCAGAAGCCGTCACCAGGCAAGAGGTCAACAATATCCGTGGGCTTGTTCCTCAGCAGATAGGGGGATAGTTGTTTAAGGACATCATCTGCATGGACATTGGTAATTAGATATGACCTTTGTAGAAGTTGTCGCATCACGGGCAGCTCTTACCACAGAGTTTCTCACTCACGATATGTGATCGCGGAAGTCTCTTCCCTGCTTGCTGCTTGTACAAGATTTGGTAGAGATGTTCCGTAAGAGGATACTTCGGAGAGCGCGCCCATTTCGATGGCTTAGGCATTTTTATAGCGAACAGGCCCTGATCTCGAGCAGATCGTATCCCCAGTTCTCCGCGTAGGACGCCGGAGTACCAGCCGCCCCAAACGAAGACGCGTGCACAGTGTTAGGGAGACAGCTTTGTTATCTGAAGAATCGCAAGTTCTCCAGTCTGCTCCACGATTGCCTCAGTTGGCTCAAACTGGGCCGTGGTGAGCGCTGCAGCTGTTCGTTTGTCGCAAGTTATCGCGGTCGACAAGAAAAGTCCGGGGCTTTTCTGGATGTTCTCGAAGCTCCGCCGATGGGCTCCACTGCGGGAAACCGACGTCGTCCCTCCAGAGTCCAGATCAACAACCAGCAGCGTTAACAACTCTCGGCACACTCGTCGAAATATGTTCTTGGAGCGCATCTCCAGTGTCCCGGAGACTGTGCAGCTCTGTGTTTTTTGCCTCTGCTTCCAGGGTCCTCGGTTGACGGTGTCTACCACGAGACTCTGATGAATTGGCGGCAGCCTGGATGCTATGCGCCTCGACACCTTCATGCTGTCCCGCTGAATTACTGCTCGAAGAGAATCCGGTGATATAGTCTGTGTGCTTCTGATTAAGACTCTGAACGGCCTGGTAGAGCTCTCTTTCGTTACCTACTACCACTGTCGATTGCTCCCTAGAGCTCCGCGCGGTACCCCGCTGCAATGGCTTCACAGCAGCCTGCCTTTGCGGGCAGTGACTTCTCAGTCCCGGTGAGCGTGGAACAAATTACCCGGATGGCCCAGGATTATGAATATAACCCAATGATACCCCTTCGATATTGGTTGCGGTCAGCAGCATCTCTTCTCAAAGAGGTTGGACCCCCGTTGTTGCTATGTTCCCAGTACCTGTTCCTCCCAATGTCTAATGGTTTCCTATCTTACAGGCCAGTATCTATGAAAGCGAAGGTCACGATGAACAGGCGTACTTGTTGCTCTTCAGACATGCGCAGCTTGTGCTGGTACACCTTGCAGACCACCCCGAAGCGAAGTCACCGAACAACCGCAAGGCGCTGATTCAGGCAGAGAGAGATGTGAAACAGAATCTCAAGAAGCTGGAATTCTTGAAACCGCGCATCAACAAACGTTACGAGCGGTATACCCAATTGATGGAGCAACGCCAGACTAGAAAATCGACACCGACACCACTGAGCGATACCGTGCCTTCACAGAATCAACTACCGCCTGATCCCGCCCTCACCCGGGTTCCACAACCATTAGAAGCAGGGGAGAATAGAGAGCTGGCTGTCAGGTTGGCACAGAAGGAGCTAGACCGGAGGGCAACTGTGCGGAATGCATCCCGTCAGATATCGAGTCAAGAAGGCCAAGAGCGACGGATAGCTGGGGCGTGGGATGACTGGGGGCAAGGAGTCAACAGGAGTGGTCGAGGAGCGGATGATGATCTTAGCAGGCGAATTCAGGAAGTGAGAATGAACATCGACCATCAGGCAATCAACAGGCCGCATTCTGCGAGGAATGACCACGTCCAGAACACCATCCGAAGGCCCTCCGCTCAAGCTTCACAGTCCACATACAAGTACCCGTCTGTCCCCAAGCATCGGCAGCCTGATGTATATCCGGTCCCTACGGAGCCGCACAAATCCGACAGTGAGCTATCTGCGCCTCCTGAGCGCCCGCCGAAGGAGACTATCCATCAGGCACAGCCCGCAGTGCCTGACCTGCCTCCTCGTCCTGGCAAACTATCGTCGCCGCCCCCCTTGCCAGAGAAAGGAACACCGGTTGCAGGCGCTGCTGCTTCGCAATCCGATTTAAACCCCTCGACATTTACATTCAAACCGTCTGCTTATCTCGAGAACGGGACTCCCTTACGCACGGTCTTCCTTCCACCAACTCTTCGTACTCGTTTCTTATCCTTGGCGTCCGACAATACTCGCAGGAATTTGGAAACCTGCGGTATTCTCTGTGGGACTTTGATTTCAAACGCGCTATTCGTTTCTAAACTTCTTATTCCTGAACAAGAATCAACGTCTGATACATGTGAGACGGTCAATGAATCCGCCGTTTTCGATTACTGTGACTCTGAAGACCTCATGGTACTTGGCTGGATCCACACTCACCCAACTCAGACTTGTTTCATGAGTTCTAGAGACTTACATACCCACAGTGGTTACCAGGTGATGCTTCCGGAGAGCATCGCCATCGTCTGCGCTCCTAGCAAAGATCCAGACTGGGGCGTCTTCAGACTTACAGACCCTCCGGGGCTGAAGTCGATCCTGAGCTGTACACAGACAGGTCTTTTCCATCCGCATGCCCAAACAAATATCTACACTGATGCATTACGTCCTGGACATGTATTCGAAGCAAAGGGATTGGAGTTTGAGGTTGTTGATTTGCGTCCCAGGTAGTACCGATTTTTCTTCCCCGATATTGATACTAAATACCACTGTGTCTCCTTCATGTTATTCTAGTACATAAATACCCTTCCGCCAACCGTGTGCTGGTTTCGTTACGGTCTCTCAACACAGCATTTTCGCACTTTTACTGTCTATTCTGTTTCTATAGACACATTGAGCGGCGTCACGTGTTATGTTATGATATTGCCAGTCGAGTACTATGAGGAAATGCATACTATATTTAAATATTTCCACCAGACGATCAATCAATGGACTCGCTGTTCAGGTAAAGGTCGCTGTTGCAAAACACTTTTGCCTGCGAGTGTCGTCCATTCTTTAAACTTGCCTTCGTTACCGAGCACTTGCTCGTCGGCAATGCTGACCTGTGAACGATCTGGAAGAGCCGGGGGTAGCAAATCCGCCGCATTCTCAGCGGCGTCTCTGCTCCTCTGGGTCTTTCGGTCTTACAGTGTGAAGCGCAGTGGTGATAAAATGCCAAACCCAATATGCTTCATGCATGTTGGGAGTCGCTGAATTGCGGGTGAGCTCTAGCCGTTTCACAGGCTCAAGAATCTCATCCTTCCAATCTTGACCTGCGAGGTCATCTGGTCCATACCTTAGGTAGATCGCCGTCGTGTCCCTTTCCACCTTAACCCGTTTCTTGGCGCGAGATACTGATGATATCTGCTCTTGCGTGATACGGCGCTTCTGGCCGTGTCCTCGCTTGCTTGCTTTTCGAGGAGTCACCTTGCTTGTTGATCTGCGCAGGCTTTGATACCGTAAGCCTTATAAGAACAGGTATAACTAACTCATGCCAATCGATAATGTCTCCAGTTATACCTCCCACCATGGCATATTGTTGTTTATTGTCTCTCTCAAAATCTCTGAACGATTCTTCCAGAAAGCGTGTGAACCTTTGGTGGCCCCGGAGATGATAACTTGGTAAAAGTCCATAGCTGGGGTCGTAATGGCTATCTGAGATTTGGATCTGGAAGAAGCTAAGCTCTGGAGCGCTGAAGCGCACCAAAACCCAGAGAGAAAACGTAGCCATCGAACAAAAAACTAAAACCGACGGCTGCTCACACGTTAAGTAGTCGCACACTACAACAGGAGAAAGAGCATAATCTTGATGACGGGCCGGCGTAGATCACGCATGACCTCGTGGTTATAGTTATATGCGCTGACCAACCTCCTAAGTAGTGGGCAGAATCCGCAACGCATCGCGAAACCGGGGAATCTCCTCTGGCACTGCCGCCGCGGTCCGCGTGAGTAACAATTCCCAATCCTCCCGGGTCACGCAGTCCTCCCAAAGATTATCCAGGGCCCGCTTGAACTGGATGGAGACCTCATCCGTGCCGGCCTGTCGCCGTACGGTATCCAGTTCGATTGGGACGGTAAAGTGGTGATTCAACGCAAGCTCGTACTTATCCAGCACCGGACGATCGAATATTAGAGAAAGGAGGTAAAGTAGAAGTGTTATTTACGTGACCGTGGACACTCTGAACCTCGTTCCATATAGAAGCCATAAGAACGATATTGACAAAGTAATGGACGGATTTAGATCGAGATTCAATGGTTATTAAGTTAGAAATAATCAACGGTGATTATGAGGATGAGATGAAGTTGCAGACTTGAAGTAGATTGTTGCGATATATTCCATTCGAAGCCATTTTTTTGAACAGTTGTTCTTTCCAAATGATGTCTTTCCATGTAGCTATTGGTTATTGTATGTATGTATATATTGTCTGAAAGCTCTGCAGGTGATGACTTGAAACATAGCCACAACAGTTCTAAATAAGCTCGTCAGCGAATGCGGCAAATCCTCTTAGTATGTGTTGCGCTCAGGAAACCAGCAGGCCAATCTTTGGAGTGGGTATTATATTGTGAGGTGGTTTGTATTCGATTGTCATGACAACGGACTTCACATCATTGCCTCGTTGATGGATGAAAAAGGAATCAGGCCTTGAGGGTCGCGAACTCGACTGGGGGTCTTTTTCTGGCTTGTCGTCTAACGAGTTTGCATGATTTTCTATCAAGACTCCATTTCCCAGTCGGAAGTGCTCTCGAGCAGCGGTGATTTTGCACAACTCATCAATGATATTGTCCTCAAGGCGGACTCTCCTTTCCATCTCCGAGATGCCCCAGGATTGTTGTATTCCCCGGAAGGCATATCTTTTGGTCGCACATTCCAAATCTAAGAAGCCACTGTCACTGTTGTTCGTATCAGACTTAGATTGTGTATCGGACGACATATTGACTGCAGCTGGACGAGACAATCCCCATCTCATTGCTAATGATACGAAATTGTCCATCACTTCGTGCTCTAATGCGTGCGTTTCCAACACTGACATCAAGCATTGCTCTTGCACTATCCCAGTTAAGGGTGTCAAAGTCAAAGCAATAAGGAAATCAACCAAACTAATACTGACAATCTCATTGTTCGTAGTAGAGAATGTTATTAAGAAGTACTTACTGAGTGCAAGAAAGACATTCGTTGTGCTTCCTATTGGCCCATTACTGGCACCAAGGGTGTGTGCCTTGCTTGTTTCTGAAGGATACCTATATACGTAGAATGTTAATGAGAGTGAAACCCAGCTCAATAGAGATCGTATGCTTCGGGGGAGTTGAAGCTCGCATTCTAAATTTCGGTGACTGGTCTGTATCGAGAAAGTCGCGTCCTTGGGTTGAGAAACAATTCATGTGTGCGTTGTATGTGGCGACTCCAATGATTGCTCTTGAAGTTGATTCGATGCCTGTTGTTTGTGAGTTCATCTCTAGCGAACAAGTACTCGTCACCAGCACTGCGCATAAGTGTGAACTCGACGCTGGTGTGAGCCCCCCCCCCTCCGCCGGGGCCTCTTCAAGCATGGCGGCCGTTATTATGAAGGCCTTCGCGGCCCTCCACAGTCGCACCCGGATATGTGTGCCATACCCTCACTGTCCCCCTTCCCCCCTCACCACGATGTTGAGGAGGAACAGCCCCCCCAGCAACCGTCTCCATCACCTTTACAGTGGTATCGAGCCACTGAAAACCCATTTTGAAAGTGTCGTCTTGGTATCACAATTGTTGTGTTGGTCAGACCGTGTCGTCGTCAACAACTCTCCACCTCTGATACTCAAGGCAAGCTTTTGATTGTTCATATTGCTTGCTATTGGCATTATAATGCGGTAATCGGCGAGTACCGTTAAGTATAACGTCTTGACCACAACGTACCATAATCGAGGAGATAGAATCTCGTCGTCCCCAATAGTGGACTATCTCATGTTAGTCCCTGCATCTGGGTTCGTTTGCTCAAAACTTACCAAAGAAGTGGTTCGAATGATGTAGTCCGGTTGGCCACAGGCTAGGAGATCAGCTTCTAGCTGCCGCAAAGCAAATGCCATGATGAAGCAAGAGTAATAAGCAGAAGAGATTTGAAGGGACGAAGGATGCTTCACGAAAAAGAATAAACGAAGGAAGCGCTCAGGCAGAGAAGAAGGGGAATTCTATACCTATCTAGCTGCTTTGTTACCCGACCCACGCCGAAATCACCTGTTGAGCAAGCGAAAGCGTAGATCAGCCTAGGACTGTTGATATTGAATAGAGTGGGAAAGGCGAATGGGAGAGGTTGGACTTGGAGATCTCACTGTACAAACTTCTGCTTTGGATATGCACGAGTCTTGGATTCATGCATAAGACTCTCGGAGTATGTATCAGAATAATAACGGGATAATAGTTCTCTTATATATAATGTAACGGAAGTGGACTGCACGACTTGACCAAAAAGGAGAACTCCTTAGAGGTCTGGCCCCTAGGTCTGATATAGTGTTTTCGGTTTCTGTGCACATCGGGATAGTGTTGATAAGTTCTGACAGACTTCTATTCCGTCACTTCCAAAGATTTATCATTTCCATGCATCTGTTCGGTCTGCGGTCCAAAAATGCTGATAAAATTCTCGGCGAATCGTCCTCAGAGGACATCATCGAAACATCCGAATTGTCGAAGGGCACGAGAATCTGTTGACCTGAAAGAAGAGTACCCAGAACATAAAATGATACTGGCCGCTCTGTCTGTCCATAGAAAAGGGAATGATATGGGCAACTTCGATCTGTTCGAGGCGCCAATTACTTACGGAGCCCCCCAGCTCCTCGGTGGCCTGACGGCCCAACTTCCGGTCGGGGGTATCGATGATGCGAGAGTCCAATATCCTGCATTGGGTCATCGCTGGTCGGACTTCCCTCGTATTAGCGGACATTGGGATCTCGATCTCTTAGTATGGGTGGAGATCATAAATTGGGACGGGATGTTTCAGTATCTGTAGAATAATATTACGCGACTTGATGCATTATGATGTTAATGAGAGCGAAAACAGATCGTCTTGTCATCAACAACTCTCCATCTCTGCCGTTCTTGTGTCATCAAAGTTCTTGAATGCATGTCTTTTTGACTCAGGAATGCAATATCGGAATCGTTGCGACGCTTGCGACCACCGCTGGGAGGTTCATCTGCACTTGATTCGGCCTCTAATTCCTCAGGGGAGGAATCACGATCAACGGTATCATGGACATTGTTCACTATACAATCAGCACAATCCGGGGAGGGGAAGGAGCAATATAACAACTCACCCAACGGACACTGTCCATTTTGATCCCGGTTATTGTGATAGTTGGGTTTTTTGAACCCAACTGTTCTGGGCAGTATAATATATAGAGGCAACTGATGTCTCAAGATGACAGGGCGCTAGCTATAGAAGATAAATATGGATTCAAAACGCCCTAGAACTAAGTAGAAGCAATTCACGCGACTGGCGCGCGACCGCAGCACTGAGCGCTTTTCTTCTTTTATACAAAGATTGACTAAGTAACCAACAGCCAAACAAGCTAAATTTTTTTAGAAAATAAATTCAAAGAAAAATTGAATCTTAAAATTTCTAATCTAGAAATCAGCTAGGCGGTTCAAATCAGGCCATGCTTCCGCGCTTTGGACGACAGATACCAACGTCTCAAATTCTCAAATATATAATAGTAAGACACGGCGCCGAGATCTGCTTTCCGCTACTGGAGACGAACATTATTCCATTTTCTGCCATATAAGAGAGTGAGTAGGAGATATGATAGAGGGTATCGAGGATCAGGATCAGGAGCGATGGATGCTACGCCTTAAATCATGAAAGGATAGAGAGGGTATATATGTGAATATTTCTCCCATCTTCTGGCGGCGAATCCAGTCCATAATATTCATAGCAGGCGCCGAAGTGATCCACGGCAATGAAGGGAATCAGTGAAAGGGACTTGTGCGATACACTGAGAGCAGTCAGGAGATTACAAGATATATACAACACGGTGAATGAATTTCCCAAGTCATCCGTATGCATTTGGTAAGTGACCTGAGACAGTTGTGATCGGTGGTTCCACACTGATTTTATGCTCTGCTTATCTTTGCAGACAGGGGACCTGTATAAATTTTTGTACAACCGTATCCCGACAGAATTATCAGCGTCTCGGCATAATGCATTCAATAATAATATAGAACGTGTACATACATCGACGATCGTCATGGTCCCCACACAGCTGGATCCCGCACCACTAAACGTTAGTTTCTTGAGCCAACATGAGCGAATTCCAACGTCAAGTATTTCTCCTTTTTCTCAAAAGTACAAAAAAACAAGGATATTTGATGGGAGAAGATAATATATGTTGACTTTTAGAAAGTAGCCTGTATTGGAAGCCGGTCATAAGTATTCATCATGAGAGAGATCGTGATAATATACATGATATCACTATATAGTACAGAGAGCGCCCGAGAGAAAGACAGGACTTAGTGCCCAGAACTCCATATCCCGGTCCAATTCATGCCATCACAGGTTTACTCCTCGGGCTCGTAGTAGTCGCCGCCGGTGCGGGAACCACCCTTGCGGCCAGCCTCGCGGGCACGAGGATCACCGGGCTGGAAGGAACCGCCAGAGGCGTGGCCACCCTTGGAAGCGATTTCTCGCTATTGTTTGAAATGTCAGACTCAAGTCTCTTGTGTATTGAATAGGGGATATCAGAAATCATTCTTCAATACATACCTGCTTCTCCTCGTCCATGTTATGGAAGCCTCCCTGGTGGCTGTGCTGACCTCCTTTACGGGCAATGTTCTCAACCTCCTCGTGGGGGCGGTTGGCGAAGTTGCCAGGGTTGCTCTGAGCAGCGCCGGAGTGAGTTGGGGCCATTGTGATTTGTTGTTTTGGTTTTCGTAGAAAGTCGTGAGTATAGATCGATTTCGATGTCTCGATGATAGTGGTAGAAGATCCGATTTGCTTTGCTTGTGTCTGTGGAAGCCGAATCGGAGAGCGCAGAGTTCAACATCCTTTTATGTCTTTGCCTCCAGGAGACGAGATCCGGATGCTGTCATGATGGCGTTTCCTCTACGTCAGCAGCAGTGCTGTCATGGCGAACACATTAATAATTGTTACGCAAAAGGATCCTCTGTCTGCAAGGGACATCCATGGGTCAGTATATTTCAGAGACTGCCAATGGTCTATCAAGAACTTGTGCAAACAGATCCCAGAACTGATTCAGACCATGGTGTTCAGATGCTGAATCTCTGGCCAGGGGAGATGTCGATCTGAGCGTCGAATCAAGCCTAGAACGAGTTGTCGCCAGCCATTCTACAAGTTTCAAGATCGCAGACTGGGGAAGTGGACCTTATGGATGATCTCCCCCTGGAATAATAGCTGGTGGTAATATCAACGTGATCTACATTCGAGACATCTGAGATTTTCTCCGTACCTTGACCTGGGGACGTGCTCAACAGGGACGAATCTTACATCATGGGAAAGATTATCTTGAATATAACAGCTTCTTGTCTGATACAATATCCCCTGTCGAGATGTTGCATCTTCTCCTTTTGATGATGATCGGTCTGTCTGACCTGACGGGGAATGACCTCAGAGCGGGTCGCTCACTGCCCGGTTCGTTGCACGACGCTTTTGAAATGCTGAATGGCTGGAAATAAAACTGTCCATTCAGCAATAACTGCTATTGCGTGATAATTCCAAATATTCCATCTTTACCGTACCAGTAGAGCGAAGGATCGGATGTCATCAAGTTTCAAGCTACTATGAACCTAGGGTACTACCATAGTTTCTAGAAATCGTTTGCGGATCTCTCCGTGGATCTCTCCAACTTCTCAGGAATTATCCTGATACTAGAAATAGGTAGAGATCCATCAGTATCCAGCCTGGGAACAGAACTGCCGAGAATATCAGCTGGTGAGCTCAATATATATATGGCGTTTAGATAAATATAACACCACCATAGAATAGAGTACCGAAGCCGTAGAGGAGAGTGCTTGCGTAGTGACTTCGACATGATTCTACCATACTAGATATCAAGCGTTGAAGGCAGCAGAATCGTGTGAACGTCGATACTTCACCAGGCCAAGAGTCAATCCTCCGCTGCTTCAGCGGAAACAGTCATGGCGGGGGGTGGAGCGGAGAGGGCGATAAGTAGCCAACATAACGGGCGCGTTATCGATAGGACTCGTAATATGGACACCGCCAGAACTCACCACCGTCGATTGAATCTATCCTACTGCGTTTCAGGGATTCTAACATCTTGCTCAGAGCCACCATTGGCAACTATCCCACTTCGTTTACCTGATTATCCCGTCGAACGACCTCGCCAGTCCGCATGTCCTCTCCCCAGGGAGGCGGTCCGTCGCCTCCTCCACAGAGTCTCTCCACGACGACCACATCACGGTCCGCATCCCACTCGCCACATCCTGCTTCCTCGGCCTCACGAACTCAATCTGCGGCCTCATACTTCTCCTACCCCGTCACGCATGTCGTTTCGGGTCTCTACCGTCGTCTGACGGACTCTCCAACCTCCACCCAGAAACCCCGCAATGCCGCAGACAGCATGACTTCACCGCTCATGACCGACTTCACAACGGTCTTCAACCCCAAACGCTCCACGTCGCCCTTCCAACCCCCTCCGCTCACACCGCTCACACTCGCAGCGACTGGAAACACAGCACCTCTGCTCTCCCGTGCGCTGGCGGAGGAGATCAGGTTGCTCGTACCGCCGCGTCTGCAGCTCGTCGACACATGGCGGCTGGCGTATAGTCTCGAGCGGGATGGGTCATCGCTGGCGACTCTCTACGAGCACTGCAGGCAGTACTCGCACCGTAGCCAACGCGCAGGATATGTCCTAGTCGTTCGCGACTCATCCACCGGCGGAGCGGTGTTTGGTGCCTATCTGACTGATGCACCGCATCCAGCACCACACTACTACGGCACCGGAGAATGCTTCCTCTGGCGGGCCAGTGTGCTAGCGTCCACACCACTGGTGTCGTCTAAGCCTGGAGATAACGGTCCCATGACTGAAGAGATGCTGGAAAGGGCCGGATTGCCTCCGCCGCCCAGCGCGGATACCACCAATGCTAATCGCAGCACGACGTTGCGAGGCACGAGCACAAACGGAGCTGGGAAGGCAGGAAAATCGTCCAAGGACGACTCACTCCTCTCGCCCCCGGGAGACGGTTTAGGTAGCAGGCTTGGAACTGCCGCATCAATGCGCAGTGATACCAGCACGTCGGAGCGGATCCGCTTCAAGGCGTTCCCGTATAGCGGAGAGAATGACTACATGATATTTTGCGAGACTGGATTCCTGAGCGTTGGCGGAGGGTAAGTTTCAAATCCCCCCTGATTCCAATCCATGCATCCAGCTAACAGTACGATAACAGTGACGGTCACTTCGGCCTCTGGCTCGACGGCAGTGTCGAAAAGGGCGTCAGCGCCTCATGCCAGACCTTCGGAAACGAGCCACTCTCAGACGAAGGGACCAAATTTGACGTCCTCGGCGTCGAGGTGTGGTACGTTGGAGCATGATGATGTCGATGACTTCCACAAGGGATTTGCAGAAGACCCCAAATTAATGGGATCGAGCATTCACATTAAGTCCCCGCTGCGCGTCCGCTTCTGTAGAATGCTTGGGCGCATTATTTTTTCTGTATAGGAATACCCTCTCCCTTGTTATTCTTACCCCACGTCTTCACTCCTACTTTCATATTTCCTTAACACCTCCCCAACCTTCTCTCCCCCCTCTCGTTTGAGGGCTAAAAGGAGCTTTTACTACTTTAGCGTGACGGCTAAAAAAGTCTGCGAAGTACGTAGTAACTGATGAAGATTTAAGAACCTGGCGTTTCATCATCTTGGAAGATGTTTTGGGCCTTTTTTTACATACTCCTAGGAGGAACGAAGATAAATAGTTTAGGGGCTTTCTATACAAAGTCTACGAATCAATGGGAATATTTCCTTGGTATTGCTATTTTTCTGCTACCTACTAGGTAAATTGCTATGGCATGTGAAATGTAAAGCATACTTCGCCGTGTTGATATTTTCATCTTTCTCCATGGGCAGGCATGAAATGATATGCCCCTTCTTTCCGGACCGAAACCTGGTCGAAGAAAGTGGACGCCAAACGTAATTCAATAACAATAGATCCCGGGATAATACTAGAGAAAAGGACAATGCAGTTACTGGGAAAGCAACCAGAACCATGGAACGATGTAATTCGCACCCACTGGTGGACTACCAACGTTGTTGACGATTAAAAAACCTAGGAGACTAAAATAAACAACAGGGGTATGAGTTATCCGTACACGATGGGCAAAAGGGCAAGATAAGAAAGAAGAAAAGGAAAATCGTGCTTCATCCACATAGAAGACGTCAAAAGTCTCTCCAGCGCCAGTCAGTAACCACCATTAGTAAGGAGAATTGACAATGTCGTCGCGTCCCAATCGGTTGTAGCTCCTTCTGGTAGGTCTGACGGGTGTGGCAATACTCTCTCGGGTCGGCTTTCTGAAGCTCTTCTTGGCGACCATGTTGACCTCGTTCGGCAGGGCAACGATAACGTTCTTGTCAGAGCCGAATCTGAAGTTGTCCGCCATGACATTCTCTGCATAGCGCTTGATGGTGTAAGGGTCCTTGCGACCTGCAAGCACCTTCTTCAGGTTCCATGTGATGATGAAGGGACCCGTAGCAGTAACGATGGACGTCTCATTCGTGTCTACACCGGTGTTAAAGCGAGCGGGAGTGAAGGACAACGGCGCCTTGGTTTCGTGCTGGAATTGCGCGACATGGGCAGGCTGCAGGCCCAGACGACGGGGCTGCGGCTTCGAATCCTTGGCAAAGGAGCGCTCAAAGCCGAGCTTGCCTTCGTTTTTACCATCCTTCTGCAATGCGTCGATCAGAAGAAGATAGGTACGGCAAGTTGCAAGAACCCAGCGGCCATCAGCAGAGACATCCAGACCGATGATGGGCTCACCAAGAGCTGGGATGTGTGTCTTGGCGTTGATACCGAGTCGATCGAACATGCGAATATCTCCCTTATTCGACGCAACCGCAATGTATCCCTTCTCGGTTGTAGCAGTAGCAGAGAAGTCGTTCTTGCTGACGTACTGCTTGAGATCGGATTCAACAAGCTTATTGCCGGCCAGACGAGGATCGATACGGTACAAGGCGTTCTTCGAGATACCGATGAAGCGTTGGGCAGAAGTCATTTGCGAGAATTTCTGATTAGGGAGTTAGCAACATGTTAGATATATGTGTACAGAAAGATTACTCACAGTCTCTGGTGCGAAGCTGGTGACGGGAATGTCTTCATGGACCTTCCATTCATCCACCACCTTACCGTACTCCAGGTCCATCCGGTAGAGCGAGTTAGGCTCATCAGCATTCTGAAGGATCATGTTTGAGTCTTCCGCGTGGAGCATGACCTTCTTCGGGCTGAAGAGCTTCCCTTTGGGGGTCTCGACCTTGGAGATGTTGGTAGAGAACTCAAGGTTGTTATTAGGAGTGTGCTTGAAGACACCAATCTTCGAACCTCGCACAACGAATGATCGATCATGCTTGTAGCCTACGGCAAGCTGGGAGTTGACGTTGCCATCCTGGTCACGGGTAACAACGTCGTCTTCCTCCTCATCCGTGTCATAGTGCTCACTGCGCTGACCCTCGTCCTCCTCCTCCTCTTCTTCCTCTTGCTCAACTTCATCCTCTGCCTGTTCCTGCTCTTCCGGAGTGTCTTCCATTGTGAGATCCTGGAAAGCATCCAGAACGTACTCCCTGTCATTGTCCTTGACCTTTACCCACTTCATCTCGTTCAGCTGCTCCCACAGTGCCTGCATGAGACCTTCCTGGAATCGTTCTTCCGTAGGCTGATCCTTGAATCGCAGCAGCCATGAATACGCCGAGCCGTCTTCCGTGTAGTGGTTGAATATGAAGGATAGGTACTCGAAATTGAAGACGGGGTTGATGTCCGCGACGACAGGTTGACCCAGCCATTCCTTGTCCTTTCCACTTATCTGCAGCCAGTATTGCCATGTTCCAATCTCTGAGACCGTAGCTGTCACCTCTTGGTCTTGCAGAACGAAGGTGCCTGACGGGAAATCAAACAAGTGAAGCTCGGCGGTCTCCTTGGCGAGGATTTCTTTCGCTTCAGGGGGCCCAGCAGCAGGCGGTGCTGCTGTAGGTTCATCCGCAGTATGAGCCTTAATCTGTCCCTTGGACTGGGCATATTCGACATCGCGTGCCATGACGGCGGCAGATTCTCCAGACGTTGGGGAACGCGTGCGAGGGGACTTGACAGTGGGAGAAGAAATAGGACTAGCAGAAGGGATAGGATGTTCTTCTTCAAAAGAAAACTGCTTCAGCTCCTGCTCTGTCGCCTTCTGCGCACTTCTCTTGTACTTTCGCTCGTACTGGCACTGGACTGCAGCGAGTTCGAATGTCGCTACCTTATCGGAAGAAATCGAAGAGTCACAGATGAATTCGAAGAGATCGCCGGGGTCTCCGCTCAAATCCCTCCAAGCCAAGACCTTTTCGCCTCCCTCTCTCACTTCAGAGCGGAAATGCAGGCTCTGATCAAGCAGGAAGACTTTCTCGTCCTTGTCCAGAATGTCCGCGGCGCCCTGCTCGTCCTCGTCGTCCGCAAGTTCCTCTTCTCCTTCCTCATAGGCTCTCTGAACAACTAGCTGATACTGAAACTCTTGTCCGGTCCTTCGAATGCTGGCCGCGGCGTCCTTGAAGATAAGTTCAGAGTATCCCTTGGGGGAGAGTGGCCGAACGAGATAAAGCTGGCCCTGGGGTATCTCGATGATGGACTCCTTGGAAGTGTCTCCAAAGAGAAATTTACTCACTAAACAATGTGCAGAATGTTAGCTGTGTGATTCGGGTGCAGGACGGCACAGCTCTCTCCTATGTGGCGCAATGGTGCATCCCTATGCTTTGTGCTTGAGGGGTGAATGGTGGGGCAGAGATGAAGCAACTTACCGTTTCGGAGCATAAACATGGTGACAGATTGCCCTTGCAAGCAGCGGATCACTGGCAGGCGGGGTGTACAGAGTTGTTGTAGAAGGAATGGCAGGCGGATGCAGACTTATGCTGCCAGATGCATCACCTGAAGGTGTTTGTGAGGAAGAAGAAACGTGATGGATTTTTTCCTGGCACCCGTGAACTTTTCTCTCCCGCTCTTGTTGTCCAGCAACGGTTGCCTTGAGCCATGACGCAAAATACGGCTGTGGCGGCCATCTCGAGTGTGGCGGTGCACCTGTCATACCAGTGGCGACTTTAATACCAGATTGGGCCGTCTATCACTTCACCAGCTGTGAACTGATTTACTCATGCATTGAATAATTATAGAACATGGGTAATGTTGCTGTCCATGTCCTAGGATAATGTTAGATAGAATGAATCTACCTTTTTCCTCTTTGTGGAGAGGTTGTTCTCGGTATCAGAGGTGAAGCACAAGACATATACATTGCAGGTGCAGACCCTGGAGCAAAACCATTGCCAGTGATCGCCAGTGCTGATAGCTCTGTCCAATTGCGATTGGTCCTTGCTGTTTCCTATGATGTATCATCGTTGATCTTCGTCAGAGAACAACCCTACCCAGAAAGCAGTTAACCTTGCCCGACTCGGCAGTATTCTGGCAATGGACGAGTACTCCATGGCCATCTTGCGTCGAAAGCCGGAAAGCTGGTATCAACATCAGAGGGATATGTTCGCATACACTACTTTAGCAGGCCTAGGAAAGGTGCGGACGGGCGTGCCCTTTACCCAGGTAAAGGGTAGTATATCGCCCCCATTTGATCTCACGAGAATGGTATTATAGTGAATTGCTGAGTGGATCATTCATGGATCGCCCTTCCAGTTGGACTCTGTCGTCTGCTCAGCGGAAGGTTGTTCCTGGTCCACGCTCTCCTCCGGCTGTTTGCTCTCCGGGGTATCATTGCCCTCTTCCGATTTATTCGCTTCTCCCTTCAGAACACCACCTTTTCTTTTAGGGATGACTTGCATAAAAGCCTCTCCCCAGTCACCCAGCTCCAGCCATCGTAGCATAATCTCGACCACATGGTTCGTCGCTAACACGGAGCGACTCGCCATCTGGATGTATTCGCCGATTGGCAGCTTGGCTGTCTTGATGCCCTTTTCCACCGCTGTCTTATAACAGATACCTTTATGTCGGTTCTTATCCACCAATCCTCCAATAATGTATGTACTGTACGGTTTCAACTCCGTGAGGGTATCCGGACTATCACTGCTGAGGTAGATGACCTCTCCATCTTCGGGCTTCATGTCTGCGTGTTTCGCAAGAACGCCGTCCAATTTGCCTCCTTCAGGTCCCTGCATCCATTCATTTGCCTTCTCGGCCACATGAGCAAAATCCTCCTCAAAGAAACGCACACCCTTCCAATTGAGATGCGATTTCGAGAGCACGGTTTCAAAACGCTCCTTGAGAAGCTTATCGAATGACGAGATAACGAGATGACTGCGATAGGGTGACCGGTGATTATCAGAGTAGGATCGTGTCAGCTGGGATGCGAGTGAAATGCGCTCCTTATCCAGCATGAGTTCGTCATAGCCGCAGTCGATGACAAAGGTGATGGGCAGTAGAGTCGACCGGAGATGTTTCAGCTTCAGTTTCGGTTCTGGCTTTGGGGCACCATTCTGGACCGCTTCGATGGCGGCGGCTCTCCTCTTTTCTCTCTTTGCGACCAGCTTCTCTTTCCGCTTCGCTCGGCGCGAATCACGCTCCGCTTCCCATTTCTGTTTGCGCCGTAGCTTCTTCAATTGATTCTTCGACATCCCAGGAGTGGCTCCCGGAATCCCAGCCAATCCATCATTAGTGTCTGGTGTAACATCCTTATTGCCTGTCGTAGGAGTTCCCGTTCTCGACTCATCTTCACTGGCAATATCATTTTCACCGGCCTCAACGGCGCCAGTCATGACAGGACCCAGTTCCGCATCCATGAGGGACGATTCGGGTTCGTCACGGTCAATCTTCTGTATTTTTCTCGGCCGCTCTTCTTCCTCCATAGCCATGTTTGCGTCGTTGCAATGACCAGAAGATAAGAAAATTCGAGTCCGTCGCGGTGGGGAGACACTCGTTGATATGTCCTGCACAAAATCTCGCGGCAGCCAATAATGACGTGGGGAAAGTCGAAAAATAATCCCCATCCCGCAATGGGCATCACGTGATGCTGATCGTCCAACTTCCACTCCTCACGATATCCGAGACCGTTTAACACCCTTCGACTCGCATTGAAGGCCGCGTTCACAGCTCATCAGCCGCCAAGATGCCTCAGGATTTGCCTCCCGTCGGAGGCTATGCGCCTGTCCAGTACAAGGTACGTTTGAGTTTTCTGCTGAGATGTCAATTGAGGGTCAGGTCAGGTTCAGAAGGAAGAGCATTGCTAATCCAAGCTTTATGATTGACAGCGCAACCTTCCCGCTCGTGGCTTCAGGCCTGTCTACTACCTGGTCGGAATGCACTTGATCATGGCCTACGGCTACTACAAGCTCTTCTACGGTATTCGTGAACAGAAGTATGAACCGTTCCCTCGTTCCATCCTCTCCGCCCGGTCCGCCCTATCCGTACAGCATATGGCATTGAGGACCATTGGGCCTCTGCCAGTGGCCCGAAGCATAATCATCTCTTAATGTTTTTCAATGCCAGTCAGAGATGACAGAGGAATTTGATCGCTAACACCGTGATCATAGTGAGCTCGCCCGCGAGAAGATGTGGTCGCGTATCCACCTGATCCCTCTCCTCCAGGCCGAGGAGGACCGCGACCAGGCCCGAAGATACTTTGCCGACAAGGCTCGTGAGAAGGAGCTGCTTGGTACCGAGACCAAGGTCTACAACAGCGACAGGTACGAAGTCACCCGCTCTATTATCTATAGCCCTCGTTGCCTGATCATCGGAAACTAACGCATGTTTTCAACAAACAGATTCATCCGTCCCACCTTCGCATACACCCCTAGCAACCTCTCCAAGTAGAGGGAACCAGCGTAAATAGTGTGCAACTTTTGCGCAGTGAACGGATTGCCCTCTACGCGCAGCCAGACTTCCCGCGATTGAGCCTGTATCTCTATTGTTTTAGGGGGCATTATGTGAATGATACGGGAGGGATTCACTTCGATTCTACCCACAGGATGATCGGCGTCTAGATTCTAACAGAAAAACGGAGAGATCTTCTTCTCGGAGCATGTGTGCTGGTTGTATATAAGGCCGAGTAATATTGGCTTAGCAAGGAATTCGATTGTTTTTGACAGTTTTAGAATACATCTACGTGATCGTTTCATATACTGACGAGGAAAATATGGCCTATTGTTTAGTAGATTTTTTTTTCTATATATCTCAATCGAGACCTTCCTCCACACCCGCACAGGAAGGCACATGGGATCTATTTTCAATGGAGTTGGCTTGCTTCAAATGACAAGGAAGAAGGCAGGGAAAGGAAAGGAAAAGATCGCTGATGATAGATGCAGGTAGATGCAAACTCAAGAAGACATCGCTTGGTTAGGAAAATCGTCTTTTCTTTTCGCACATCAAAATAAGGACGTCCGTACATCTTCCCGAAGCCACAACCGCAGGCTAGAATCAAGTATTTCCACATTCGAATAGACTAACCGAACATGTCCGCCACCCCTGATAGATCAGGACCGTCGTCGATGTTGACTTTTGTGTTCTGCTGCCCGTCCATTTCATTCGTCATGTACCTCTCCTGCATAGCGCTGCGTGCTTTCCGTCTGTCTTCCCGCGTGCCAAAGATCTTGCCTTGTTCGGAGATGCTGACGCCGCGCAAACCTTCTAGAAGGTCGAGAACGAGGGCGCGTTGCTGGCGCGCAGAGGTTGATCGGATCAGGGCAGCCTCAGTGCTTGCCACTCGTTGTTCGGTCATTCCGGGAAGACTGAGCATGACGGCCCGGGGAGTTTGGCTGCTGGACCCGTACAGCAGCCAGATGGAGGCAATGAGCTGCGCTAGATCTTTCTGCATGTCAACGAAATAGGGTTCGTGTACGGAAGTAATACACGCAGTTAGAACTTCAGAGCAGATGAACTCTCGGATGGTCACCGCTGTGGGACTGTTCAGCGGAGGGGCGAAGTCTTGCAGGATGGACCGGATAACACGCGTGATGATGCTGCAGCATCTCGTGTCGCGCATGCGCAAAGCGTGGGTGCAGAAAAGAATGACGGGTTCTAAAATAGGAGTCGAAGAGAGCACGAAGTGGCGGATAGAGTCTGAGAGAGGTGGAGCTGCACCTGGATCGCTTGCTTCAGGCTCGTCCGGATCTGAGATCTGTTAGTAAGACGAAGGTTGACCGCCTGATTACACAGGGAACTTACCACCTCTCTGGGGATCAAGAAGGCTTGCAACCATGATCACCGCAGAATAGGTTAGTTGCCGGAGAATGCTCTCATCTTTCATCTCCTCCGTGAGATCACCCTCCACAAGGCCAGCTTTTCGTTGTTCGATGACTTCCCACTCAGCAGTGACTTTTTTATCAATCTGCGTGAAAAGCGTGGAAAGCATCGGAGGTAAGAACTGTGGTCGAAATCTCACTGGGCAGTCATCAATCAAGCAGCGTGAGATATTCAGGAGGACGGAGAATTGGTGTGACGAGAGGTGTGTGGAATCCTTGAATAAGGCTTCCGATAACGGTCCTGGGAGCTCTGCAAATCCGTAGAAATGCTCCCGAAGCCTGCTCATGCTGAACAGCATCGAGTAACACGTTTCTCGGACCGCTCGTACTTTGCCGCGCACAGATGACGCAAATCCCTCGAGCGTGGATCTTGACGATGCGATTCTAGCATAAAATTCATCCCTGCTGCCAACTGATATACCAGCTTGCCAGAACCGATCTGTGAGTATTCGCCCTACAACTGCTCGAACTTCTTCCGGGAGACCGCCCCAGTTCGCCGGATTGTGGAAGGCATGAGCATGGCTGAGGAATACATTAGTACATACACGCTTACATGCAAAGATTACTTCACATACCTGACAAGCTGCAAGAGCGTCGGTAAAATAATAGGAATGGTATCGTGCCATAGTTTACAAGCAAGCTCGTATGCAGGATCGGTCTTCTTAAGTTTCTCGGTCGATACTGCAAGCATCGTCTTCGTGCCGCGCAATGGTAGTGCCTGGTAGACATGTTAAATCGGATATTCCTGTCGTCTATGAGAATTGACCTTACTTGAAACTTAGCCGACATCTCTTCCTGGATTTGCTTTCCTTCGCTTTCTAGAGGCACTGTAGACCAGTCCTCTATTTTCTGTGCTTGCTTGGCTTGCATGTATGGGCCGACTCTGTCCAATCCGAGAAGATTGCAGAATCCACCAAAAGAAGAGCTCATGGATTTGAACTCTTCGTTTTGCCAGGCCTGTCGTACTGGATCTATAAATGCCTGTAGTCGAGTCTCCCGGAGATATGGGTCGACATTGCTTGCTCGTTGCCTGTACCTGTTAGGAGAGAAAAGTGAATGTGAGATAGTAGCAAGATAACTTACATGATTATAAGCAGCACCGAAGTCAGCTCAGTTTGCAATTTGTCATCCATCCGGTTGGCTGCCGCAATCTCTTTGATCTTTGGCTCCAACAAGTCGTAGAATGTCTTTCCAGGAGTCAGCTGAAGGCTGCCGAAAAAAGTAGGGGAAGTGATACGTACAGAGAAGTAGTCAGCATAACGCATTGCAAGTCGGCGCAATTCATGGCTCGCGAGACCATGCAATTCTCTAACAGACTCGGAATAAGCTGGGTACTCAGGGCGGTCGGGAAGATGCGTCATCAATATATGTTCCAGCACTTTAAGGGCGAAGCTCGGAGTCTTATCGAGCGCTCTCGATGATATATCGACAACTAATTTGATAATGCGTTGCTTTATAACCGGGTCCTGGAATGGAAGTTAGATCGAAATGTAACATTGAAACTCTCACATCTACAAACCTCGAAATTCCTCTGCATCAAACTGAGCGACCAAGACTCCAAGGCAGATTCCAGCTCTCTCCGTTGTTGTTCCTAGAGCGGACGTTAACATTTATTAGCCCTTGCGAAACAAATGGAATACATACATCCTGCTGAGGAAGCTTTCCGTGCGCTGACACCCATTTCCCGTAGCCCTTGAGGGTTGCTTCCACCACTGCAAATTGGGTGTCTGCCCGCATCAATGGCATCGATGTCTTCGTGAAGCTTTCGACTGGAAAGTATTAGCCGTAGTCTACGCCGCATAGTGAGTAATCTTACCGCTGAAAGGTGGGACTCCATCGTAGAGATTGTTCAACGTGAAGTCAACGCGAGTCAAAATGTGAGGCAGAGCGTCATGGGGCCTCTTCTGCACTATTGTCTCAATAACTGAAGAGCAATACCTCCTGTAATTCCCGACAAAAGCATGTCTTTCAGGCACGGTATCGATATCCTCGTTGAGAAAAATAACAGTCGGGTTATCCGAATCCTCAGGCAGATTCTCCCAGCGCACAAGTCTCTCCATGCAGATCTCCAGCAACGGGGCGATTAGGCTTATGACGACATCCATGTTCCCAACTCTGTCCGTTGCAAGGAGCCGAGACCATGTATGCAGGACCGGGATCGAAACGGTGAGACTCTGATGACGCAGAACAATAAGCAAAAGTTGAAAAAAAGAGGGGAAATCCAGGGCGTATGCTCCCTGAAGATCGAATCCCTTCTCTTCAAGGAATCCAGCAATATAGGATAGCAACTGCCGTAGAGTCAGCGATATACAATTCTACTAAACATTCTTTTTCGTTTCCTACCTCAGACAGCTTTTTCGATGTCGTGTATCTGGTGTCGTCGATGTCATTAGCATCGACAATTGACCACTCATACACCTTCTGCAAGAGAACCAGATGATCTGTCTGGAACATAATGTGGACAAGAGGCTGGAACTCTTCGATCTCCACATTTGATCTGCTGTACAGCGCATGCAATGCTTCGACAGCGGCCTTCGGATGATTAGCAATAAATCTTCACTGCGCAATATTTCCAGCTCTTACCATTCGGACTTCGTCATCCTGGCAAGCCAAAGCACGACAGACTGTTGCAACAGAGTTGGAAGAAATGACAGCTTTGGGTATGGACCAAGCCAACGCGGACCTGAGAGTCGCAAGCGCTTTGAGTGCACAGTCTTTGGCTTCTCTGGAGGACTGCAGATTTTGGATACAACTCTCGAGGAACTCGCATGTCCTAGCAAGCCATCCTTCAGTGCCGTATCGAAGTTCGACATGGCGCCCTCTTTCCGGATAGACCTCCTCAAATACAGACAAAGGCGTGAAGATCTCCACCAGCGCTCGGTTCAAGTCCGTTCCTCGTAAGGAAGAAATGGTATCTTCACGATAGAAGATATCTTCTGACAGGGTCTCGAGAACTGATAGAACAAATTCCTTGTGCAGTAAAGTAGCACCCCATAGCTTTACCAAAACTTCATCCATCCCGAGCCAGTCGACCGCCCAGCTTCTCTTCGCAATCTCTGCCCATAATTGCGCAACCTTGTTGCGGATATAAGTAGGATCTTGAGGCCTGATCAACTCCCCAAGCTCCAAGATCATGGTTCGCACGTCTGTGAGCTGCTCGCCCGACAGCGAGAAGCCGGAGGAGCGCAAAGTATGCTCGAGCAGTGATAGTCCGAAATATCGAACCAACGGCTGGCTCTCTGTCTGAGATGCCAACAAAAATCCATTACGAGCTGCAGATTTGTCCTGTTTCTGGGACTCTAGAAACGCTGAAGCTTGCTTGCGTAATTCGTTTGTTGAGGTCGGGCTGTGGATGAGTTCCAGTGCGCGAACAATGTCAGCCATGCCGCCCTCGCCGTTGGCGGTCATCCTGGAAGCCTGCCCTTCTGGGGTTGAATGAACTTTTTTAAAGCTTCTTTCTTTCTGTCAACTCGTATTGTGAGACGTCAGGTGCATGGTCCGCCTCGCGCACGATGAAGAGGCGTTAGGCAAAGTTGGAACTTAGCAGGCGGACACGACGGAGTCAGCCATCAGGCAGATGCCCAACCTTCACTAGTCATGAATGGTTTCTTTCTCCTTAATCTAAATAACTCTCCAGCTGACCTAGTGAATAATAACCCCGCGTCCTGTCACTGTTGCGCTGTTGGAGTTCTTGGGATTATTTGGCGCGCGACTGGAGATCACGGGAACGCGGTTGGCATTTCCTTTCCGGACTTGTGATTTGTGAGAATTTTCCGCTCGCAGCATAACTTTCGCCGCTCCAGCGTCAGAAGTTAGTAGTTAAGTCCTTCAACACACCGCTTCCTTCATACTGGATCTTATTATCTGTGTATTTGGTCGCTATCTTACACCCACTAACTATTGCCACCAGCCCACTTTATTCTCTCAATAGTTGCTCCTTTTAATGACACATCTAGTGTGCTTGTTGATCGTGTGACCGTCTAGAAGGCGTCCTGGTATGCAGATCATGCCAAACTAGGGAGATCCCCTTGTGTAATTACTTTCCTGCGCTTCCATGGCTCTGGTTCCTGGCGCTAGGAATTCCTCCCTAGGCGGCTAGTCTTTGCGCAATCGGAAGAGCTTAATTGTAAAAGAGACCGTATTAGCCGCGCTCATTGTTTACCTCGATGATGGACAATATGCATACATTAGTTAATCTTATTTCTCAAAACTTCAACCTACCACCTGTGGTTCTCATACATAACTGCAGCGACTTCAAGTCATTGTCAGTAATCAACAATTGCTTGTACATGGTTACTATGAAGCAGTTTAGACACGCAAATTTGACTTTCCTACTCTTCCTTATATGAATATAAATAGAGACTGTAGATACAAGAGAATGATGTGGTTCAGCCTCCCAGTGGGAACTATACCGTACGGGTTAAGAAAAATATCTCAAATCCTGATGACCTGGGCATCATGAACATGGTTGCGGTTATCATAGTTCGTAACGTCGTCGAGTACAGACGCAATCTGTTCGAGAACGGTATCTGCACTATTGTTAGAAGAGTATGTCGCGGTAGGGGAAAATGCCGAACTGGAGACCACCTGAAACTCTACTGTAGATTATTGAATCTGACCCTGTCCTCTCATTTTTGCCCGAGCAGGACTAGTTCACGTTCTCGAATGTAGATGACCGTGGTGCTAGTTCAATAGAAGTCGTGGCCCGAGTCTTCCGGAGGGGAACAAAGACCATGGCCCGTGATCTGAGCCATGACCACAGGATCTTACTTGGAAGAGTACCTAGATAGTCCAACAATAAGGCTCGAACATGTTTCCATCACAGAAACACAGAAACAGTGAAGGAACCGTGCAGTGTAGCAGTGTGACAGGACTAGTGATGATTCGTTTAAACTACAAGACCCGAAAGCACGCCAATGACAAAATCCTCTAGATGTCCTCGAATGCAGTGCTGCAAAATCAATACGCGCGTTATTATCAGGGTACCCGCTAGCATTCGGTCCTCACATCACGGTACATGTACTCTTCTGGCATTGTTCCAAATATCCTTCCTCATCAGCGTTACTTATGGCCTCACCAGCTTTCCGCTTGACACCTTGGATTTTTATGTCCTGTTCCCCTTCACCGTGCCACCATCTGAGTCTCTGTATAACCACAGTCTCAATTTCTTGGCTATCGATGGACCACTTGCCACCGCTTACAGTGACAGTCGTGTCTGTAGCGGGGAAATGGAACTCAGGGAGATATATCTCTGTTGGTGCATGTTCTGCCGTGGCAGATTCAGCCACAAGGGAGAGAGTAAAGGTACAATTGCGGAGGTCAAAACCATGGGCGGATAGAGTACCATGAGTGAAAATGGGGCTTGGACGTATATAGGCTTCTGCAGCGCGGAAACCTGGTTTGTCCTCTGGAGAGGTCTGAGAGCGGTTGGAAGTCATCGACTGAGAAGTCAAAGCCCGACGAAGATTTTTGGGTGTCACCGACTGAGTGTCATTGTTACTTTGACTTTGGGAATAAGCCGGAGAACTTCTGTCGATGGAAGTTGTGGATTCGTTCCTGCGATGAGATATTTGTGGAACGGGAAGCTCGAGATCGTCATGAGAGAAGATAGACAGGTCTTCCCCGTTCCAGTGATCGCCCCATTGATGATTATTCTATAACGGCGGTCAGTAATACTTCATCATTCAAGAATCGAGTCGCTGATGATACCTGTGTCATGTATAGCCACAATGTAAACCCGTTAGACTGGCTACCCTCCAACGCGAAATGATTTGCATCCATCGCACTTGTCTGGCTGGTATAATCTCCTGTTTTATATGCATATTTATCATCCATGTCATAAGGGATTCCGATTTCGGTGAAAACGAGCGGATGTTCACCCATGTAGTCGAAGCTTTCATCTCGAAGGAATTTGAGCTGGTCTCGCAAACAGTTCCTGATAGCGGTCTCCCCAATCTTGACTGCAAAAGCAGGAGTCAGATACTTCCCCCGAAGGACGCCAATAACATCCACGTTGTAGAATCGGTTCCTGGACCAGTCAGTGAATAGTCTAGCGGAGTGAGAAGACGACATCCAGAGACGAACCAGTGTTTAGTTAAGAGAGTCAGGCCATCGTAGTAATGGACTGCATGGACCATGTTGGGGTCATCGTCCGCTGTTCCCTTCACGTTAGGGGGGATCTCCATGACCGGAGGCTGGCAGAACATGATCGCTTCAGGCCAGACGCTTCTAATAGCATCTCGATAAGCTCTGTAGTGGTCCATGAAGTAGGTGTTTGTGAACTTGTCATAGTTCAGCTCTTCACCAGTCTTAGGATGTTTACCGAAGTAGTCCGCCCTGAGTAATTTATCAGTGGTAGGATCCCACACGCCGTGTTGAGCCCACAGGCATTCTCCCAATCTCCAAGAAGGATCTCTCTTCCAGCCGTAGAAGCTGTCGTCGTAGTCAGCAGGCAACCAGACAGACTCCCCTTCCGGGTCGACTAGTTCCCGACCAGTCTGGTGAGGTCCGAAGCTACCAAAGGCCCAAGTAGTCTCCTCACAGGCTCTCCCGGAGCCAGTGAGAATAGCTTGGAATGGTGTGGGCGATGTGCCAAGCTGGAGTTGCTGGTCGGGGGGTACAATGGATATGTCTTGCACACCGATGAGTCCCCTGTGTGGCTCGTTCATGCTTTCCCATCCAATTACAACTTCGCTTTCGAGATCACCAGCCTCGTGGATCTTCTCTGCAAGACGCTTGCACGATGCAATGAAGTGACCCTGGAGATAGTCCTGGATATTCTGTCCGTCTATAATTGCTTTAGGGGCGAAGTCTCTTCCGGCCCAAAATAGTGTGAATATTGTCTGGCACGCTAAGCGTGTGTAATTTGTACTCCATATCATCTTTGGGAACTCTGCAGGATTATCCCATGTGTTTTGTACGAGAGCGGCTTGCGTCTTATTGAAGGCTTGGGGATTCAGACCAGCTGCATACAATGTCCACATGGGGGCTCCGGAGCCCCCGGACAATCTGGACCACTTTCAAGCGTCAGCAGTGCTGTCTGCAATACTGCAGGCAACTATAATCAAACCTACCACATCCTGATGAGGATCCATGAATACGTAGAATCCATAGCGCTTCGCTATGCGAAGAACTTCGATCGTGAAGCTGATCCACTCGTCATCGTATATTCCTGGACCGGCATGTTCGATTGCCTCCCAAGTGAATATGTATCGAATGGTATTGTATCCCCATTTTCGCAATTTGCTAAAGTGATGGTGTGCATCCTCTAGAGAAAACGGACGACCGACGAAGGAAACGTTATCTGCATCGAAGAAGTCCTGGGAGACGTAGGAGGGGATCTCAGGATGCTTTGGGTATTTGGCATCTCCAGCGACATTGATGCCTCGCAGGGTGATCTCACGGTTCTGAGAGTCGCGGAACCTGTGTCCGTCTATCTTCAGTCGTAAACCAGTCATCAGGACGATTGGTTAAAAGAAATTGTTGAACCAGGGGAGTTCGTCGGCCGAGATAGTACTTGGAGCTGGTTCCGAAAGGGCGGAGACCTTGAGCGCCCGAGAGCACAGCGGTATGTAGCACCTGACCAGCGGTGACTACTTGATACGAGGCGGCAGAATCAGATATATGAATAGGAACTAGAGCGATGAATACGAGAGCACATTCATGGCCGCAAGCATAATCCACATTCAGGAGACGAAGTAGATGGATCGTGAGATCCGGCTCCGACTGATACGATAAGAGACACCGCCCGCTCTGACGTATCGCTAGTAAGTTCTCCACAGACCACGAATTCGCCCTGCACAGGATACACGCTGCAATTCTCTGCACGCCAGAGCCAACGAAACTGTGCCAGACGCAGGCCATGACTGTCATCTTGAACCGGCAATAACTGGCGTATTTAGAATGTCTGGCAAGGCAGCGCTCAAAGCAGTCAGGACTGCGCTGGATTCGAAAGACTTTGAGCTTGCGGCCCAGAAAGCGAGTGAGCTTGTCCAGCAAGAACCACAGAACTACCATGCGTATGTGAGGCATGATATGATGATGGCGCGCGTATATACTAACTGCAATTGCTGGCTAGACATGTTTTTCTCGGCCTCGCCTATGATAAACTGAACAAGAATGACGAAGCAGAGAAAGCCTACCGCGCAGCGACGAAACTGAAAGACAGCGACAAGACCGCATGGCAGGGCCTCGTGAACCTATACGAGAAACAAGGAAGCCACAAGCTAGATGCATACCGCGAGGCGACTGTGAAGCTTGCTCAGATCTATGCCGATGCGTACGCAGTATCCCTACCCCGCTTTGGCCATCCTTCCCCCCACCGTCTGAACATTGCTGATAGATACTATCGTTTCTAGTGGTGATCGTGACCGATGTCAAGAGGTAGTCGATAAATATACCACGCTGGCAAGGAAGAAGGGGACTCGTTCCCAACACAAGCAGGCGCTGGAGCTTCAACTCCCCACCAGCAGCCTTTACGATCTCTTGGAGGGCAGGCTACCGCATCCTTCACAGACTTATCTCCGTCTCATAGAAATCGCAGAGTCAGAGGAGAAAGAGTTCATTAACCGAGAAATCGGCGAGAGACGGACACGGCTAGGCGCACGTATTGACCAGGTGACGCAAGAAGTCAAGCATGAAGCCTTCCAACGGAATGAGCTCGATCAGCTCTACAGGGGTATTATTGACTGGTCAAACGATGATGAGGTCCGCCGCAGGTATGAGGAGAAGCTTCTGCAACGTGCCTATGATTTCCTTACCGTTCTGCCGGCGGACAAAAAACAAGGAAAGCGAGAGGAAGTATTGAAGATGGCTCAGGATATGGTTATTATCAAGCACCCTTTTGATCTTGCCTGGAAGATTGTACTTGAATGGCAAGATGTCGAGGACTTCTCAGCCTGGGATCTTGGCTTGCTAAAGGAGTACATCGAGTTCTTCCCCGAGGACGGGCTCAGCAAAGTTTTACAGGGCTTCCTCACAAGCGACATCTCTCCTTTTCCCAAGGAAACCGTTGCTAATGACAAGGAGACACAAGAGAAAATCGCAGAAGCCAATGGAGAAATCAACGGAGAGATAAACGGGGAAACAAGTGGTGAAATTGCTGCACAGGATCGCCTCATCCTCATGGCTGAAGGACTTGATCTCGCTTCAACCTCCATTATCGCCCATCGGATTGTGAGCGAACTCTATCTGACTTTGGAGGAATATCAAAGCGCTGTAGATGTTGCGCGGAAGGGATTAAGGAATATTAATGATGTGGTCAAACTGACTGGATTGGGTCTTCCGAATACGACCGATGCGGTCAACATCACACTAGCGAACGCTTTGATCTCCTACCAGTCGCCTAGGAATCATCCGGAAGCCAAGCAGATCTTCGAAGGCATCTTAAAAAGGAAGCCGACATCGACAAGTTGTCTTCTGGGCATTGGGTTGATCCTCGAAGTCGACGAAGACTTTGCCGAAGCTGTTGATTTCCTGGAACGAGCTTTACAACGAGATACGGCCAATATCAAAATCAAAGGTGAGCTATCGTGGTGCAGGGCACTTAATGGAGAATTGGAGGTCGGGTTACAGGGGCTCGAGGATGTCTTGGCAGAGATTCAGAGCTCCAAGGAGCAGAATCGAGATTTCAAGGCCGAGATCCTGTATCGGATCGGCTACTGCAAATGGGAGTTGGACCCATCACCTTCTGCACGGAAAGATCGAAATGGAGCATACGCTAGCTTTCTAGCATCCATACAGGCAAACATGAACTACGCACCGGCCTACACAAGCCTCGGCATTTTCTATGCAGACTACAAGAGAGACAAAAACCGAGCGCGACGCTGCTTTCACAAAGCATTCGAATTGTCATCATCGGAAGTCGAGGCTGCCGAACGGCTGGCGAGAGCTTTTGCGGACCAGAAGGAGTGGGATCTCGTTGAGGCTGTAGCACAGCGTGTCGTCGATTCTGGAAAGGCAAAACCCGCACCGGGATCGAAGAGGAAAGGCTATAGCTGGCCGTATGCAGCACTTGGAACAGTACAGATTAACAAGCAACAGTATTCCAAGAGTATCGTCTCTTTCCAAGCTTCGCTGAGGATATCTCCTCAGGATTACCATTCCTGGGTGGGCCTCGGAGAGAGTTACCACAATTCGGGTCGGTATATAGCGTCCACAAAGGCCTTCGAGCACGCTCAGACGCTCGAAGACAAGCTCTCAGAGTCTGACAAGGAAAACATCTGGTTTGCTCGGTATATGTTGGCCAATGTGAAACGCGAACTTGGCCAATATGAAGAAGCGATTACGAGATATGAAGAAGTGCTTAAGATACGGCCAAATGAATTTGGGGTGTCGATAGCGCTCCTACAGACCCTTACTGAAAGCTCTTGGGCGTGTGTGGACTCTGCCCTTTTTCATGAGGCTGCTGAGCTTGCATGCAAGGCTATCGGGGTTGCTACATCAATTGCCAACGAGAGGCCCGCTGTCTTCAATTTATGGAAATCGGTCGGAGATGCCTGCGCTATCTTCTCATATGTGAAGTTAAAGGCCTCCCTTTTGTCCTTCCATGACGTAACGGCCCTGCTAGCAATCAATCTGGACGAGACAGCTTTCGACATTCTTTCTGACATAGACGAGCTTGGCGGAGATTATTCGTCAGTTTTCGGTTTCGAAGAAGACGGCGCCTCCGCACAGTCAAATGCATGCCTATACGCAACAATACTCGCCTACAAGCGAGCAGTTTCAGTCTCTGCCGACGATGTCCATGCTCAAGCGGTGGGCTGGTACAATCTGGGATGGGCGGAGTATCGAGCATATAAATGCCTGTCCTCCGGCCCAAGTAAGAGAGGAAAGAAGGTTCCACGAAGGTTTTTGAAGGCAGCTATTCGTTGCTTTAAGAGGGCCATAGAATTGGAAGCTGGAAACTCAGAGTTCTGGAACTCTTTGGGCGTGGTGACAACGAATTTGAGCCCAAAGGTTGCCCAGCACTCATTTGTTAGAAGTCTCCATCTGGACGACAAGAGCGCCCAAGTATGGACGAACCTAGGCGCATTCTATCTCCTGCACAACGACGTGCAGCTTGCAAACGAGGCTTTCACCCGCGCACAATCGGCTGATCCGGATTATGCGCACGCATGGATTGGCCAAGGATTTCTTGCCCTTCTGTTTGGCGATCCAAGAGAAGCTAGAGGATTGTTCGAACATGCCTTTGAAATCTCCCCGGCCTCCTCCGTCCTGGCCAAGCGTCAATATACCCTTAGTCTGTTCGACCATCTTCTCACAGACACATCTTTGTCAAATGAGATATCGGAGCTTATCCAGCCATTCTTCGCGCTTCATCAACTTCACTGCCAGGTTCCCACTGATCTAGCTTTCGAGCACCTCGGCGCACTTGTAGCCGAGCGCATTGGCGAGTATTCGGTAGCCGAGACTAATCTTCAAGCTGTGTGCTCGGGCGTCGAAGCTGAATATGAAGAGACTGAGTCAGTATCTGCACAGTTGCGTTTCGCGCAAGCTAATGCAGATGCTGCTCGTACACATCTCGCCCGTTACGAACTTGAAGAGGCAGTGGAGAAGGCCGATACCGCGCTGAACCTGTCCGACGACGAGGACGCCCAGAAGCTAGATCCCGAGGGTACCCGCAAGTTGAGACTGTCTGCACACTTGACGGCGGGACTGGCGCACTACTACCTGAAATCCATGGATCAGGCAATTGATATGTTCCGCGATGCGTTGAAAGAGGCAGATAATTCACCGGAGGTTGTGTGTCTCCTTGCGCAGGTCCTCTGGGCCAAGGGTGGCGAAGAGGAAAAGAACGTGGCGCGCGAGCAACTGTTTGATTGTATCGAATCTCATCCGGACCATGTTGGAGCCACCACGCTACTTGGCGTCATTGCTCTGCTTGATGCTGATGATGATGCGATCGACGCCGTCGAAGCTGACCTGCAAAGCATGAGGACAAGGGATGATGTCGGGATCCACGAACGTGCAAAAGTCGTCAAACTGTTGACTGTTATGTCAGCATTGGGACTCACAGGTGATCCAAACTTGTCAGAGGAGATGAGGCAGATCGGAGAGGCTACATCATCAGTGATGTTGACTCCCGGTCAACCTGAGGGCTGGATACAACTCGGAGCTGCTTCAGGAGAACTGTATCCCGCAGAGATGGCCGTGAAGACGGCTCTGCAGAATATCCCCCCTAGAGGCAAATTGGAAGCTGCAGATCTTAGTCTGGCATATGCAAGGACGGGTCGCGTTGGAGACTCGTTCAGATCAATCATGGTGGCGCCATGGAGAAAGGATGGGTGGGACGAGCTTGGACATGCTCTCTCTGGTTCTGCGTAGTTACGGTTCAATGAGGTGTATGTGATCATGACCGTAGACAATGTATGTACTATAAGAATACCAAAATAGAGTAACATAAAAATCATAATATTCTATTTTATAATCGTCGTTTCCCTCTATAACTAGATATATGTATTAACTCGTAATCTCAAATGCGATTTTCGCGATATAAAACCTGGGTATCATAAATCCATCTCACATACGCCGTAAAAGTTTACTCCATTTATTCTTCCATCCTATCATCACCATTCTGACCCTCCACCTGCATCTCCTCAAGGCGCGCCACTAACCTTCCCTTTAAACCCTCTTTCCAAGCCTTATCGGCCGCTTCAACCTTCCCTCCAAGCAAAGTCACGCACTCAGGCTCCAAAAGAACCATCCCTCTCGCAACAGTCGCATTCTTCAGCACCATCTTCGCCCCAATAGGCAATTTCCCAATACCAATACCATCAATTGCTTTCAATTCGATGGCAGTAACATTCGTCCCTGCCGCATCCTGCAATACGAGACGATGAGGTCCGTTTCCCGCAGTGTTTGAGCCCGGATCAGCAGTGGTGCGATTAACCGTTGCATTTGCTCCATTCGCGTTCGAGCTCCCGTTCGTGGTGGATCGATCATGCTCCTCTGTGGGCGTATCATCCACGTTGACAGTTCGGATGATCTCTCGGCCGCGAATAGCTTCTCCCCGCTCGACGCGCTCGATGGCCTCGACTTGGCTCCAGAGACTAGAGCCGATATCGTCTATATCTAGGACTTGTACCGGTACGGGACCCAAGATCCGACGTTCTTGGACGGCTGGATCGGATATGTCGGCAGGGAGGAGGGCGGAGGAGTCTGATCTCGAGAGTGACTCGGTGAAATCGGACGCGAGGATGCGGAAGAGCGCGGTTTGAGTCAGTGCGGAAAGAGGGATTGTGCGCTGTGAGGCGTTCACGGAGGTGAGGAATTGGCTGAGCCACCGTTCGGAGACGGTGAGGGATTTGGTGTTTTGGAGGTGCGTGAGGATGTGCGAGTGAGCTTGGTTGATCGACATGGTGTGGGATTGGGCGATGGAGGGGGTTGTGTTCGTAAGTGGCGTGTTCGAGTAGAATTGATTTGTTTGTAGCACATCAAGACATGGTATATGCTGGGAAGTACTAAAATATAGAAACGGTCATACAGAGAATCCCTCCCTAGACTCTCAGCTAGAGGAAGATACTTGCTTGACAAAGATGTCGCAGATTGCAAAAAGACGTGCCTGAAATCCGGGGAAAGCACAGACCACAGCTTAACCGCCAGCTGCGACGTCGACTCGTCAGTGTCAACTCCTCACTTCTTCTTCACTTCCCTCTGCGCTTTTGATTCTCCTTGTGTCCATTCAGCATGTCGACGATATCATCTCCGCGTCCATCTATTGCCTCATCTCGCGCACACTCGCCCACGCCGTCATCCTCGCGCCGTCCGTCCGTCGAGATCCCCAATGCCAGCCTAGGCGGCTACCTCAGCACGAATTCCACATCCTCCACCGCTCGTGGAGTTTCTCCATCCGCTCCTCAGCGCCGGAATCGCGCCGCGCTCCGTGACTATTATAATCTTAAACCTCCTGGACCAGATGCCGCAGGCCCCGGGGGTTTTCGCTCGCGCAGCATCCCCCGAACCACCGATGCGGGCGACATTTCAAACACCGCGTCGGTGACGCCGAACACGGAGCTCGATAACCCGAATTTCGATGCGCAGAAATACATTGACCAGCTCCTTGCGACATCGTCACTTTCGACGGTGCTCAAGGCAGAGAATTCCCTCGTCGGGGACATCAAGACGCTAGATGGCGAGCGCAAGGCGCTCGTGTACGATAATTACTCTAAACTTATTCGAGCTGTTGAGACCATCGGGGCAATGCGAAAGAGCATGGAAGAGCGTGGAGCTCCGTTGACTATGACGAAGACGCTTGGGCCGGCTGTGGCATTTGTTGCGGAGACGGCCAGTGGGCTTATCAGGGAGGGGGAGGAACAGAGAAGGAGGGTAGCGGCCGCTCGGGAGGATGATGGCAAGCGAGATCAGCAGGAGACAGTAAAGTGGGTTTTGGGTACGCCGGAGAGATTGAAGGCCTTTCTTGCAGAAGGGAGGAGGGAGGACGCGGAGAAGGATTGGAGCGAGATTGAGGCGCTGCTGAAGAAGTGGGAAGGAGTAAAGGGGGTTGCAGAAGTTAGATCTGCCTGCGAGGAGATCATGAAAGAGCAGCCACAGCAGAAGCAAGAAGAAGAGAAAGAAGGGGAGAAAGAGAAGGAGAGCAAGGATTGAATAGGCGGACTCCTAGAGGTTTTTATAACCAGTTCACCAACCATCCGACTTGACACGATCGATGCTCGTGCGGCGCAAGAGTCGACCACAGTACCTTCCATTACTAGAGGACTTGGTATGGCTACTGAGTCCTACCCCAAGGAGGCTCACTACACGACAGACCAAAATTCGTCCTATGAACAGACGGCAGGCTTCGCACGTCGCTGCAAGAGATCGTCTCCGCCAAATCAGCCATTCACTAGAGTTCCTCAGGTACATCGAAGTGCTCTAGGATAGCGATCGTGTCTTCCACCTAGCACGTTCACGTGTCTGTCAAATAACTAGGGCTCCATTGTCCTGACATGAACTATATCAGTACCAATCTCGAAGAATAGTCAGGTCAGAGACCAAATAATCGAACCATATCCAGCATGGTCTTCCATCCGTCCACATAACTCCAAATCCAAAGTATCCACAAGAAATCGTAGCTCGGTCAATCAGTTTAAACCCTTCCATCCCAAAGCTTCCCTGCTCGAATACAAACTGGCTTTCAGTCCGTACTGATTCGTACTCTTGATATCCAGATACGTATACGCATCACACTTGTAGTAGATCGGCCGGGTCGACCCTCTATCAACCAGACCTAACTCGACCAACCTCTCCAACACGCGCTTCACATCCTTCTTATCATCATAATCGCGTGTGTAGATCGCCACCAACCTACCTCCTTGGGATCCATTATCCGTCGCGACTTTCGCAGCGACTCCCAGCTCATCATTTGCCGTTGCCTGCGCGACAGCAGCCCAGACCTCATCGACGTAATCCGCCGTTGGGAACAGCATCCATTTCCCTGATATAACCCCCGTCTCACGCGCGAGAGCAAAAAGCGACGCTTCGAGACTCCGACGCAGCGGAACGAGTTTACGCCCCAGAGCCGCGTTCGATTTAGGTTTCGTAGTAGAAGACTTGGTCTTCGACGTCGTCGTCTTATGATGTTCCACTTCAAGAGCTGCTTTCCTGTCCTCGTAATTCCGAAGAAGCTCTGTTCCGCGCGCCACCAGAGTCGAAACAGAGCCAATATGCGGATTATCACGAGGGTTGTAAATGTAAATCCAAGGGCCCACAGGAGCAGCCGCTTTAGTGGTAGACGGTGGAAGCCGCGAGAGAAATTCCTCGACCGATTCCGTCGGTTGACGAGTCCTTCTTGGATTCGTGCTAACAGTCTGTGAGTGTTCTGAAGTATCGGGTTCGAATTTGCCTGCGAGTGATTCCGCGTTGCGCTGTTCGGAGGTGGCTTTCGCTTTCGTTTTCTCTTCCGCATCTACAGCAGCGCGAACAGCGGCTTTCTGGGCTCGGTACTGGATAGTAGCGAGAGATCGTGGATGGACCGTTTCCCAGTAATGAACTACGTCGAAGTCGGAGACGAGGTCTTCGAGACGTTCCTTTTCGTCGGAATCGCCTATTCGTTCGCTGGTCAGTATATCATGTCCAATGTTTAGATCTTTGGTCTATGCTTTTGCCTGCAGGAGCTTCAAGCTGTGCTATGAGAGCCATGGGACGAGAGCGGACCGTACCGTAAAAGCTAGATTCATCAGACAAGACATTATGAAGATCGGCCGTCGTTTCGGATCCAGAGTCAGTGGACATGGATTCAGCACGCCTCTTCCGCGATTGTGCCATGGCTTATGTGTTCAATAAAGACATATATCTAGTGTATAGAGAAGGAGAGTTTTCTTTGTTTTCCTGTCATGAGCTTTTTGGAGAAAACATGGTGATATCACACGCACGTCCGGGCTTGTCTGGAGAAAGAAGCGGATACTTAACTAAGACTACATTATTAAACGGGGCCGCTTAAGCGGGTCTGTTGAAGATCATGGAAGCTGGCGGGACATTTTAGTTAGAACACCAGCTAAGGCTTCATTATCTATGCTAGTTTCAGCCTGTAGGCATCCGGAGGCTCCGTCTTTATTTGATCAGATGATGGTGAAGCTCCTGTGTTGAAACAAAGGATTTTCAGTGCGGTACTTACCTACACTCTGTACTTGATAAGCAGGCCGACAAAATCCACGATATTAAAAGGTGAAACAATGAACTATCGGAACATTGCAGCGCGCAATGTCCTGTCCAATCGGACCATGAACCGATTCGAGATGCGATCTACAGCTCAAAAAACTACTGGTACTGTATATTGGAATAGAACGAGAAATCTCCATGCTACCCCTCTTACTAGAGCTACTTAAGCACGCATAGACAATTGCATTAACTGATTATCATACAGCACTTGAATTCTTCAAACTGTAGCCGCCACCAAAAAGCTCGCAAAAGCAACAAAATCCACCAAGACGGACCGGATGCGATGAACACGAAGCCACTTAGCCAGAATCTTCGTGCTGTGGCCCTTGCTATTATCCTCAACAATATCTTTGATCTTGTACATCACCAACGGCACGAACGTGAAGTGCGCCAGGGAGAATAGAACGCCACTCCAGTACCATCGCGTGGCATTCAGGCTGCGAAGCTTCTCGCCTTGCAGGACGATATTGGCAACAGATGTACCCACAGTCACTGTATGCAGGGTGCCAAGAATCCACAGTGCCCTGGGAAGGAGGATTTTCCAATAGGTAGGAAGGATGGCGTTCGCCTTGTCTTCATGTAGTGGTTGTTGGAAGTTGGATAGGAAGAGATCTTGATCGACTGCGAACCAGACGGCGGCGGTGCTGCTCACGAGGGGAGCTACACGGAGGAGCTTGAGCGGGTCGAAGAAGGCGCCAGATGCCATTTGAGCGATTAGCGGTTGTATTGTGGATGTGCAGGAATGCTTCAACTATATGTTCCAAATCTGTTCTGAAGAGGACGCCAGCTCCCTGAATATCTGTGAAGTTGTACTGTGGTCTGGTAAAGGGACAGCGTGATATCGGATGATGCTGCTGACCGGCTCGGGGCAAAATGGCCCCCACGTGGAATCCAGGATCCGACCATATAACTATACTGACCCAAGGCTTGTTTGTCATCGAATATGATAGAAAGCTATAGATTAATACGAGGCTTTTGGTAACTATCATTCGTATCTCTAAGATTTATTTGCTGAGATTGAAAGGTATTGGACGTCGTGGATGTCGGAAGGAATATTAAAAGGAAGGGAGCAAAGGGGATTAGAAACAGATCATTCTCCAGGTGGAGCTTCCTTCAGCTTCCAGCTCTTCCAGATAGTGTTGTGACCGGTTCAAATGCACTTGTCTTCGTCCCAAATGGACAGGATTACTGTCGTAGACGGGTAGGCTTTGATCAGTTCCTCTGGAACAGCCACGGGAGGTAGATCGGTCAGTGTCTGCGAACGTTACGGTAAATCATTTAACTAGCATGCTGATTCCGACTGGCATCCTCCATGTACAGTACATACTTGTGCCATACTACTGAGTACTCCTTAAACGAGAACAGGGAAAATAAAACGAATCGCATAGTCACCCAGTAGTAAGTAGACTACAGTACTTAGCTGGCCCCGGACGCGCAAAGACTACTAAATATAAGCACCCCACTCACCGCCCACATTTCCGCCTGTCGTTTTTTGGGATCGTTTTCCTGTTCCTATCAGTGCTGGTGATAGGCCAAGGCTATTATCGAAAAGTTCATTTCAGAAATATCACTGTTTTCTACTTATTTGAAGTCATCTCAAATTCCCTGTTCTCAATACTGCCCGTTGTGTCATCCTCAATCCACCCCTCTCCTCTCAATTTTTTCAACCAAACTTTAAATATATCTTGCAATTTACCGCGCGAGGGGTTGCTCCCATTATTGTCCCAACATCAATCTATATACAGACCACACAAACCAACAAAGTCTCAATCCCAGACATGGTCGAAGAATCCATTCTCCACCCCAAATCTTCAACAACAATCTTTCTAGACCAACCACCAAGTTGTCTACAATTCTGCCCACAGGACCCTAGTTATTTTGTCGTGGGCACCTACTTCCTATCCGAAACGAAGGATGAAGAAGGAAATGTGACAGCGCAGAGGAAGACTGGAAGTCTCCAGTTGTGGAAGCTGGATCCGGTTTCTAGAAATCTGTAGGTGTATATTATGTCTTATCTATTTTTTCTCTCTGCACTAAATGTGATTATTGGGCTTTACCGATTGAACTAACAACATCTATCCAGGACACACATCCAGACTGTACCACTCCCATACGCAGTCTTCGATCTTCACTTCCACCCTAGGGATCCAACACTGCTAGGAATCGCATCTAGTGCGGCTTCAGTTGCTTTCTTCCGCGTCTCCAGGACCACAGGGGAGCAATGTGACCCTCGAATCCAACATATCCGAACGATAGATGTCCACGAAGACTCCAGTGTCCCCGCACTCTTCCTAGCTTGGTCTCCAGAAAAGTTCCTCCCTGGGAAAGCAGAAGCATTTGCCGTCACGTACTCAGATGGACGAACATCCGTCTTCGAAACGAAGGATGATGACCTTACGGAAGCAGAATTCACGGAACACCAGTTCCAACCAAAGCAGAAGATTGAAGTTTGGTTCGTTGCTTTAGGTACTTTTCAAGAAGATTGCCACAATGACAAGTTCTCCTCGTTCCTTTTCACTGGAGATGATTTCGGAACACTGCGGACTATCCGATTCGCTGCGAGTGAGGATGAAGGAAAGACAGAAGACGATGCAGCTTCTCTGCCTCCAACTTTGCTGGACTATACTGATCGAGCTAGACATCATACTGCGGGTGTTACTTCTATTCTTCCGCTTCCCGTCCCATTGTTTCAAGGAGCCCCGCTCATCCTGACAGGTAGTTACGATGAGTATCTCCGCGTATACCACGCTACGCAGAGAGGTAATGTTCTTGCAGAGTTGTGTCTTGGTGGAGGTGTTTGGAGGTTACAGATATTACGTTCCTCCACATCGTCAGAGAAGACCTTCTCTGCTTTAGTACTTGCTAGTTGCATGCATACGGGGACGAGGCTGCTGCGGGTCTCTTGCAATAGATGGGATGAGGGAGATTGGAGCATTGAAGTATTGGCTAAATTTACGGAGCATGAGAGTATGAACTACGCTTCGGATGTGTGGCGGGGGAAGAATCTTGATGAATCAGAACTGCTCATCGTCTCGAGCAGCTTCTATGATCGGAGGGTTTGTGTTTGGGGCGCAGACTTGTAGTCTTGCTACTTGAACATTAATCCACGCCTGCGCATGCCTTCAATCTTCCGCTGACTCGGAGAAACGCCAGAAAGGCGAGCTGAATGCAAGGCGCAGTCCAGACACTACCAAGCTTACTGAAATATGTCGACATGAGCATAGAAGGGACTGTGAAATCATTAATCCGAAGTCATGTCGCTTGATATGATCAACATGCTGCGAAAACAACCATAGAGTACAACATCCCGAACCGAGCTTAAAGAAAAGAAAACCGGACCAACAGCAGCAAGATTCGCTTTAAACAATGGTCTCCAGTTCTCTTGCGTATCCAATCGTGTTCTCGATGACTGTACCGCTCGCGACAAGAATATCCTTCTCGGAGCGCTGTCCAGGGATGGCCTGGGCGCCCTCCTCGGCTTCCTGAGGGAAGTATATCCGGCCATCACGCAGAACCCAGCCTCGCTCCTGTGCAAACTCTGCAACAGCACCCTCAGAATCGAGGAAGAGCAAGTTCTTGGCGTTGGAGATGGGGAGGGATGGGTATGCCTTTTCCGAGCAGTCGGCGATCTCTCTGCGGATGGTGCCAACAAGGATCTATCAAAGACATCAGCACATGTCCCATAATAGGATATATATAGAAACCAGTATATAGACGGTACAAACAAACTCACATTCGAGAACAACCCGAAATCCTCCGTCGGGACTCTCTCCGACTTCGTCTCCCTCCACACCTTATCGTAGCTTCCCTCCATCAGACTTCTCTCCAACTCCACCGGATACTTGATGTATGGGTCATCCTCGATCGACTTTCCCTTCAAACTAGCCTCAACAATCAACCCCTCCAACACAATGTGGAAATCTGTGTTATTCCCCATGCTCAGCAGCAGGAGTAGATAAAGACCCGTAATCTTGCTTCGCTGGCTCGAGCTCAGATCCAGACCCTTTCCGCCTGCTGACGCCTCAATAAGTCTCTCTGCATCGTAGAACGGCTGCAGCTGCTGGTAGTACCGCGTGAAGGAAGGGGCGTCAGCCCGTCGGATGGAAGTGATGGCGCCGAGTTCGAGAATGTGTCGAGCCTGCGAGAGCAGCTGTGGTGGCGTGGAGGGCGTAGGGACCAGCGCATTCTGCTGGAGAAGAGCGCGCTTAGCTTGACTGAGCAGAGAGAAAGCTTGGTCGAGCTGTTGTTTGCTTAGGCTCGTTTCGAGTTGTGAGATGACGGGGCGGAGATCGGCCATGGTGGTATTCGTTGGTATCTCTAGAGCGGACAAAGGGAGGAAATGCTAAAAAAGAAGAAACGGAAACAAGAGCTTAAGCCGAACTGTCTATGGAAGGAATAGCTCTGGCGAAGGAATGAAGAGTATGCGGTACGGTAGTGAAAGATGTGGTTGTCTAACTAGTCTCGAGTGGTCGCCAACACTGGGCAGCAGCTTCATGACGGAAGCTCCAGCCACGGACGCTGCTCGTCCGGGAGGGGATGTTCTTCCGCTCCGTTCGTCACGTGGGTTATAGATGTCTCGCATCTGCACGTCAACATATATCATAATTTATTTGATGTGGCATATTCTTCCAGATTTATTGTTGCCAATAAGTCCGAATTCTTATCTTTACATATTCAACTCCACGCATCCAATGTGGGTCGACCATTCACGTGGGAATCCTGTTACCCTATCATCTAAAATATATATCACCTAGCATGCAAGGTTAATTGCATTTACATACTTGATGACATAACTTCTGTGTCCATTGGGCAAGACTATATACCTCCATATAACTCTATTTTGATATCTAGAATGAAAAAGGACATTCTGTACTATATAAAGTGAATAGAATCCACCACCACCGCGAATCATAAAATTTCTTGGGGGTACTTAATGAGCGAAACGGAAATCAAGTCTACATCAAGGAGTCAGCGATCATATCTTGAGCGAAAACCTGAATTTCAATTGTGACGTACCTCTTATTTCCCTCATCTTTGTTAGAGGCTAGATAGGCGTCTCTCTCTTCCGACGACATGGCATCCCATTTCTCTGCTCGAGTCCTGCGGAGATGAGTTAGTGATTGTTCGAAAGGTATTATTGGATAGGTTCTAAACTTACTTGTTTCGCCAGATGTAATAGAACTTGGCTGCCACGAAGAGGAAAGCACTCCAGACAGTGAGACCAATAAGAACCTTGTTGCCGGTTCGGTAAAGAGGCTTGTCATTGTTGCGGTAGATCTATATGAGATGAGTGTTAGCTTTGTTTACGACAGAGAGAGCATGGTGAAGGCGCGGAAACTTACGTTATTGGCGATAATGTTGCTTGCTTGGACAGTCATATTGTACATGGCGGATGCGACGGTTCGCGTACGCACAGAGCCGGCGTTTCGGGAAGTAATGGCTACGATGATAGCGTGAACATAAGGACTTCCGATGAGGAGAATCAGGACAACCCATCTCGCCCACGGACTCTCATTCGCAGGAAGGACTTCGAGGGCAATGAGCAGAGCCAAGTTCCAGACTTCAGCAATTACACCAAGTAGCAAGCGCTGGTTGACGCGCTCTGACACCCATGTGATGATCAGAAGGTTGATAATGAATATAACGTAAGCCGGGATTGTAAGCAGGTTCGTCTTGAAAGTTCCGAAGCCGAGAGACTTTAGTTCAAGCGAGATGTAGTTCTGCGCTGGTGCTGGAGGAATACACCATGTGAGACCGATAAGGTAGATGGGCCACATATCGTAGTCGCAAAGAGCTTCCCATAGAAGCTTCGGGGTGACAGCTTGTCTGTTGTGCATGGAGCCCTTGCTAGGGTCATCGCGGAGAACTCGATTTACCATGATCTTTTCTTCTCTTTCATTGAACCATCCCTTTTTGCCTCTGAACCGACCGGCGGTTTGAGTAGGCGACGGAGGCATCCAGATTGCGGCTATGATAGCAATGACACCAGTGATGAGCCCTTCGTAGGCGAACAAATAGCGCCAGCCACCGGTGCCGTCAGAGTTGCGGATATGCAAAAAGCCATATGCGAGGAAAGCGCTGACAATGGACGTCGCCTCGTAAGTTGTCCAGAACCAACTCAGTCGAACGGGCAATTCTTTTGATGTGTACCAGTACGACAGAAACAGGATAGTATCTGGAATGCTAGGTTATGTCAGCTTGGAAAGTTTCGATATTATTTATTGGTAAACTCACAATCCTCCTTCGAAGACACCCAAGAGAGCACGGCAAGCAAAGAAGGAACTCCTTCCGGAGAGGAAGGCCTGCATGCTTGCAACGAGACTCCAGCAAAGCATCTGGATTGGAATCCATCGGTCTGGACCAAGTTTCTTCGAGATCAATTGCGATGGAAGTTCAGCAAACAGGAAGCAAATATAGAAGATCGTTTGTCCTGTGTTGTAGTCATTGGTGTTCATGTGAAGCTCATCCAGCAGATTGCCTGATAGAGCCTGCACGATGTTTCCTCGATCAAGCTGGAGCGCAAAGAAAGTAACGCATGCGAACGTAGCGACGCGCAGGTCGATCTACTATCATTAACATCTGCAAAAGACAGTAGACTCTTTTCTGCATACATACCTTTCTCACTACTTTCTTCTCTTCGTGCTCTTCCCATTCGAAGTCCGGATCCCACCGGTGAAATCCTTCATATGTCGGGATGGGCTTGTAAAACCGCACATCTTCAGTCGTCTCGAAAGCAGCCCCTTCCTTGACTCTTCTTGGCCTGTCTTGTTCCCCTAAAGAGCCCGACGACGAGTAACCCGTCGTCACTGCAACACCTTCCGGCTCTTTTCCACTCTGGGTCTGGGCCTCAGATGTAGTCCACCCTGCCTTGGAGTCTTCCACGCCCATGATGATTGGCTGGTAGCTGCTAAGGTGACTTCCGTCCTTCTATGGGTGCGTACTGGACAGGGTAGTCAACATCTGCAGCGGGATGCCTTGCTATTTGAATGATCGAAGATCGGTTCGGCTCTCCTCGCTGTAGACTCTTAGATCTAAATGGAGCCCAGACCAGTCACACGTGGAGCCGTTCGCTAAGGCCGCGTGGGATATTCTCTTGTTATTATGGTGACATAGTGGACCCTTTCCTAAGTCTGAACTGAAGGACTCCGTCTTGAGGCCTTGACCACCCACTGCGAGGCGTCTATTCCAGTAACTGTCGGCTGGATGACCCCCAACAGAGAAACAGATCTAACTTCCAACTTTCTCGGAGCAAGACCATTGCAGGAATCCCCAATAATTGCTTCATGGAGTCTCCATTCCGGAACAGGGACTTTGCGTCAGATTGGCGCTTTTACCCGCTATCCAGAAAAGACCATAATGAACATCGCAGCGGCGAGGTTCCGGCGCGCAATGTTGCCGCGCTGCCACATCTGCAAGAAAAGCACGCCAGCAAAGGAGAACTGACGTTATTCAAAGCGAGTCAAAGCGCAGTACATAGGCAAGGATGCGGCTTAAGGTAGCGGCCGGCGCGATCACGCAAGCTCGTCGACATTGACGTTATCTCCAGTGCATGCAGAATCCACCTGTCCAACCATGCCGAAAGAGATGCTCTCGAAACGAGGTCCAACTAACTGAACCTATCCCAGCTTCAAGCATGGGCCGTGCGAATAATAAAAGACATCGAGGCTTGCGCAGGCTCAAACATTTGGGTTTGTTTGATCTTGTACAGAAAACATGGGAGGCCATGTATGATGATGACTCAGCATTTAGGTACTTAACTAGTTAACTAGTAGTTAGTTACCTAACTATATCCCTAACAGGTAGTCAACAACAACAACCACCAATCGATCTGTTGACTACCTGGAAAGAATGTCCTTCATGTTAAAAAGTGACTGTACTAAAGTTGAACAGTATCCGGTCGAAATATGCATTAGAAAACGTTCAATCATCAATTTGGCGCTCCGCCCTGGTCGCGTGGCGCGGAGATTTTGACGTTCTCCTTGTTCTGCATCTGCTCGCGCAACATCGCAACTGGAGCACGCCATACCTCTTGTACCTTCAGTACGGACTGCTTCCCATTCTGCGTCTATCTTTACCTCCTCTGGCAGGTCTCTTGCATGAGATTCGATACTCGTGCACATGAGATAAGTTATTTTGCAGAATGTCTCTCCACTGAGTTGGACATCTGACGCGGAAGTTTTATGCGCTTTCCGTCGAATCGAGATACCACTATAGGTCAACGACCAGTATGGGGTCATTGCTGTTTTATTTTTCTACTATTATGCTAGCATCCTCATGCACTTTCGAATTTATACCAGGTGAGTGCGCTTAATGACATATAATCGGAATGTTATGTATGCATCTAACACTTACTGGCAATATAGATCATAGTCTACAAACACGATAAGCCGTTGAATCTGATCTAATCTATTTATTGATAACAGATAGAAAAGCCAATACATTCTTGACACAATCACATTTAGCCGGATATCTTGCGTCAACAGACACCATCCGCTAGCACGCCATTACTGGGATGTATCGCGAGTCATGGTTCCAATCGGATTCTAAATCATACTTTAACTATCTGACTTCGCAGCATCGATAATCTCGATACCCCACCTTAACTACTAGAATTATTGAACGGAAAATATTGTGGAAAAAGGAAGCCACGTTGCTACCCCGCAGCAAATTACATGTACTGCACGGCACGAGACATCCGATATCGTGGATACAATAAGTAGAGCTGGCTAGGGCCTAAAATCCAAGCATCCCCAGAGCTTCTCCATACCATAGTCGCTATCAGAATCACACCAGATCTGAATAAGTCATGGCTCCCTCCGCGGTTGAGACGCTCCCTGTCCGGGCTGCACCCGTGAGCAAGGCAAAGCACGACGCATCATGGAATAAGGAAGGCCTCATCGGATACGGTGAGGCATATATCCACGACAAGGAGATCAAGGGCACAGAGAACCAGGCCCCGGCATCTTTCCCCAACTACCTTCCAGTGTGGGATAATGAAACCGAGAGGTAAGCGTCAAGATTCCCGCCTACATGAAACAAAACGGAGGGCATTAGAATCATATGCCAACATTTTTACAGATACCCTCCCCTGGAGCCTTTCGAGCACTACGACCATGGAAAGGATGCTGACCTTTCCTTCCCTGACCTCCTCCCCAAGGGAAAGGCCGAGGTTGATGAGCTCACTCCGGGTATCGGTTCTGAAGTCCGCGGCGTTCAGCTGAGTCAATTGTCAAAAGCAGGAAAGGACCAGTTGGCGTTGTATGTAGCCCAGAGAAAGGTCGTCGGTATGTGCGGGATCATTCCCTTTATATCTACTTTTGCATCAGAGACTGACAATCATACGTAGCCTTCCGTGACCAGGATTTTGCTCATCTTCCTATTGACAAGGCCGTCGAATTCGGCGGCTACTTCGGCCGTCACCATATTCATCAAACCTCTGGCGCTCCTAAGGGTTTCCCTGAAGTCCATCTTGTTCACCGTGGAGCCGAGGACCGAAGCGGTTCTGAGTTCCTGGAAAGTCACACAAACTCCGTGACATGGCACTCTGATGTGACCTTCGAAAAACAACCCCCCGGCACTACATTCCTGTACCTGCTTGACGGTCCTACTAGCGGTGGTGACACGCTCTTCACCAACATGGCGCTGGCCTACCGCCGCCTGTCTCCGGAGTTCCGCAAGAGACTTCACGGCCTGAGAGCTGTCCACTCCGGTATTGAGCAGGTCAACAACAGTATTGCTCGAGGAGGCATTGCTCGTCGTGAACCCATCACCTCCGAGCACCCGATTGTCCGCACTCACCCGGTCACCGGCGAGAAGGCTCTCTTCGTTAACCCGCAATGTAAGACGAGCGTCCTAAAATCCTGATTAGAGATTTTGTTTCCTGACTTTTGACAGTCACCCGCTACATTGTTGGCTACAAGAAGGAGGAATCCGACTTCCTTCTGCAGTTCCTTTTCAACCATATCGCCCTGTCTCAGGACATCCAGGCTCGCGTGAGGTGGAGGCCTGGAACCGTTGTCGTTTGGGACGTACGTGTTCCGTGCTCGCACACACCTGTTGTTTACAAATATGCTAACCTGCAATTACAGAACCGTGTCACCGCCCACTCGGCCCTCTACGACTGGGAAGACGGACAGAGACGCCATCTGGCTCGTATCACTCCGCAGGCGGAGGCTCCTTACGAGACTCCTTTCGAGGCCTAAATATCGAGCAAAGCATCCACGAACAGATCTTTGATAGTACCAGGGTAGGCGATGAGTCACGATATAGTCAGCTCGTTACAATTCTCCTATTCAGAAAATGAAAGTAAATCTCGAAATGCATAGTGAGGGTGTTGAGAAGTGAGAAGTTGTGGAATGCAGTCGGGCGGTAGTTCTGTGGTATTTACCTTTTATCTAGTATTAGAAAAGACTTCAATGCCTATTGAAGGACATATCTCCACACACACATTCGAGTACGTGGCGTTGTAAGATACCATAATATTAAGTCTGTCAGTTGTAACTACCAAAGACTACTACTACTACTAGTGTGTCTAAGGGCACTAAAATTAATTATTAGGTTGTATAAGAATCACTCCAGTACTAATATACAGTAGGCCGTTGTGACTATGTATGTACATACGTACTTAGTAGTGCAACTATCCTGCCGAATTTTCACACAACGCCCATTACGCCTAGCGTCGATCTCTGCCGCTGAGGTATCATCACCATTCATGATCTGACATCTGCTGCTCCTCGGAGGAGCTTCCAATGCGAAGCTCGTAATAGGGACAAGCACGGTCGGGTATGCACTGAAACTCTGTTAGGTGAGCATTCCGAGTTATTAGGCGGAGATGTACGTAGATATGTTCTCACTTCTTGATCTCTCTTTTAAAACTGAATATTTGCTTCACTTCTGGTAAAGAGAGTGTGATGTTTCTGAAAGTCGAATAGAGGGCACAGAGAAGACTTCGGCCATGCACGGAAGATACACAAAGACTTGATAGAGGACTTCCGATAGGGGTGGAATTGAATTCTCTGTGGCTAAGAAGCAGAAAGGTACAGAAGGACTTTCAAAGATGTAGGACCAGGCGCTAAGTCGTGTTATTTTCGCCTATCTCTCACCTAGGCACTGTCCCTACTACTTATTTTTGCAGGAACACCACTTCACTCCCCTATACAAGTCGAATCACGCGTGCTTCCCATCCAACCTACTCAAGAACCCGACCTTCCACTCACGAAAACTCCTAGCAGAAGCCGGTAACATCTCATTACTCCGATTTAGCGTAGAAGCTATATCCTGATAAGTATCCCGAGGAAGATACAGCTCCTCCAAAGACATTGATGCCGGCTTCCCTTGTTCGGGTTCGAGGATTTTTTCAACGTCCGAGATATGTTGAAAGAATGCTTTCATTGCTCGCTGTGAGGTCACGCTGTGGTTTGGACTGATGCTGGAGTAGCGAATGTCTGGGTTGAAGATCCAGAGCTTTGTATCGAAAAGAATGAAAGTGTTAGCTGTGTAATTCTCCGGGGGTGTTGATTTGGTTTAGAAGATCGGGGGGGAAGGAAACGTACTAGGTGTCCGTTATTTCCTCCGCAATGAATAACGAAGCGTCTTACGCCTTCTCTTTCGATCATTTCTAGGAGCTGCGCGCCGACTATCGTCTCCTTCGGGTATGTTTCGAGATTTGAGGGTTCAGACCCCGCCTCCTGGGCGATCGAGGTTGGTTCTTGCTGCACGGCTATACATGTTTTGAAAAGTCTCCAGCCATTAGCAGTGACGTCTTCCGTGCCTATTGTTGCACCACAGGCTTCACATTCTACGTAGACTCGGGTCCTAGCGTTTCCAGTGTGCGGAAGACGCTCATTTTGTGACTATTATGAAATAAAAATGTTAGCTTTCTATGGACTAGCTGTAGGAAAGCAAAGTTGATCTAAAGTCAAACATGAATTTCATTGCAGATATCAATGGCTGAGATAATTACTATATCAGATATACCGGCGGTGTCCATCTAACGGGCCCATTCATGTACCTCGTCTTAATCCTGTGGATCCCATGTCTCTGGGCAGGTTGTGAAAAGAAGAAATCCAACAGTGAAAGAGATGAGGCGGTAAATACTCGATCCATAGGAACAATCCATCACAATCTCTGAGGCGTGAAGCTGCAGAGAGACCAAAGGAGGAAATCCATCTCCGCAAAGAGGATACTCCGCCAGTGGTTCGCAACAGCTACTCACCTCGAAATTGTGACAGATGTGATGTACCTGGAACGAGAATATTTATGGATTGATTGATTTCGGGCAATTGTATCGGAGGCCAGATCATGGAAGTGGAGGAGGCCTCCTTCTTGTTGCCCATGGTATGATAGTGGAAGCAGAGAAGTTTTGATGTAACGCGGAATACGGCAAGCAGCGCTATATGACATGGTTATAGATTCAGGTATCATAGTACACGGAACATGGAGGACCCATAGAAGTGAAGGACAATGGTCAACTGGGTACCTTTCTCTTACCTTTCTCAGACCATTACAATCCACTTCAGCAACTAGGAATGAAGCAACATCAACGAGAACCGTCCCAGGGCTCGCTGAGATCTGGTTCGCGGCTCCATAGCCTTTCAGGACTGCATTAGAATCCTCTATTGACTTGTGGTCATGACCTTCATGTGGATCTGGCTTGTGACAGTGCCAAAAGTCCATCATTTCAGCCCAGTTCCCACTAGGAAGATCTTTCCATGTCCATCCTTCAGTATGTTCTCCGGGGTCCAAGATCACTGCACTGCACTCGCGACACCGCACAAGGGCAGATGTAGACATGTCCGCTGCCGTCCAGGGGATAAAGTCATCCACGAATTCATCCTTTGTCAAACCAGGAACTTCGTCCTTATCCACCTGCATACGGAATGAGAATTCCATCCTGTTCGTGCCATCAATAGCCGCGGGTTTTCCCGAGAAAGCATGTGCCGGAAACCGCAGGCCTGATCGAGAACTCTCGCTGACCCTCGCGGGAAGCTTCATTGTCTCCATTTCTCCCCCGACGGACACTGTGACTGCGCGCCGCGACTCGGACAGCGAGATCTCTGGCTTGAGCGTGCCACCATCCTGACTTATATAGCTACCTGCAGGAAGAGAAACGTAGAAGGTGAGCTGTCGAATATTGGGCAGAAGCTCCGCGTGCAGGTGGATGGGAGTGTCAGAGTCAGAAGACATCCTCTGATAGAATAGTGACTGCCGGCGTGACCCTTATGTTAGTATTGTGTCAACATATTTCTCTCAGCACGGTCATCGATGAATACTTTGGTTGTTCATCGCAGATCTGAAAGATGTTGTTCGTTCAAACCGTCAAAGCTCCTTCAAGATGGAGCTTGTCTGGTGCAAACGCTGCAAACAATATTTGATCTAACCAAGATTGGGCCAACCAGATCAATCAGGTGCCCAGGTGTGCTACAAACCATCGCCCAGAGATATTTCTTATTTGCGCCTGGATCATTATCTTCACTAGGGTATGCATGCTTGCAAGCGCTCGTACAATCTGCGTGTACATACTCGGAGTATCTGAGCATGTCGGTTGTTATTATAACGGGAAAGTGCACCATGGCATTTGACATTGGCTCAGCAAGACAGTCCAGAGGATCCTATTCTATACTTATGTTCTGTTCCCTTCTTTGCATCTCTAATCCTAGGTTTCGACATTAAGATGGCCAATATAGACTCTGAACTGCTAGTGCATGGTAGGAGACGATTGCAAAAAGAAATGAAGCCTTTTTCTTCATGATTATAAATAAGTGGAGAGTAACTGTTAATACAGAGGTTAAAGAATGAAAGCCTCCAAGAGTATCTCTCAAGTTCATTAAGTAGTTGCGAACGTGTTCACATGATACCCAGCAACATTATGAGCTCGTGTCTCAAGATTCAAAACGACCCATAGAAGACTTTTAAACAAATCCACCCCAACCATCGAATTCGTCTGCAAACTTAACTGCCGCCTTGAGGTAGAACTCATCAGGGTCTCCCCAGGTCTGTGCAGCCTCCTTGTATGCTCGGATAGCCTTGACATAGTGAGCATCAGTGGAGTGAGGGCCCTTTACAGCCTTATGGCTGGCCCATTTCCAATCTCTACCCTTGAGATCGTAGTCGGTGATCCTGTCGAGCTTTATCTCCGGTCGAAGTTGGGAGATATAGACAGCAATAGTGATTAGCCACCACTGTCGGACAAGAGGTATATGGAACGCAGAAGGGATTAACGGCAGGAGGATCCTGACTGCATGGGAAGTGGTCAGGAGGTGAACCAAGAAGAAATCGTATCGTGCTGTGGAATTTTCGCGCGTAGCGACCAGCATCGCGGCCGCGGCTTCCTGGCTTTCGCGGAACTGCTTCACAGGATCTTGGATCTCCCATGCGTTCCAGTGATCAAGTAGGGCAGCTTCACGGTCACGGAAGAGAATTTGCGTATTCTGGGCACCCGGAGAGCCGAACAAGCCGTGAAAGCGCTTATCGGTGCGGACTTTCTCGAGAATACTGAGAGGGGAGGTTGAATGATAGGAAGCCTCCGCCTTTGAATAAGATGGATCGTCGAGATACTTATGGATATCACTATAGCAAGTTGCTGTCATTGCAAGAGCTTCCATCGCGACTTCTCGATTAGACATCTCCAAGGCATATCCGAGATGGATCAGAGGATGGCCCACTAGCGACTGTCAACAATCAATTCCTTATGACAATGTATAGGGGCGGGAAAGCGTACGGTCAGCGAGAACAGAATTTATCAATGGTTCCTTTCCAGAGAAAAGAAACTCATGAATCACCCGCTTCCAGTCGTATCCATAGCGGACGAGTTCATCTTCAAAGAAATCCACGTAGGCTCGTTGATACCTTACCGCACACGGTGAGTATAGGACATTCCGAAGGATAGAATACTGACACTTACTCTCGATTCCCAAGGAAATCCCGCCAGTCATCGGTGCTAATCTCTCCAGGGGAATCCGTCCACGGGTCCAGCTGCTTTGCCTCCTCTTCATAGATGCGGTTTAAGTCGTCTGCATCAGCGCCCAAAAGGTACGAAGAGCTCAAAATCTAGGGCCAACCTTGTCAGAAGACATAAGGACATAAGGACATACTCATCTCGAGTAGACGGCTGTTCTTACATGTGGAGTATGGTTGTGGAAGCGTCTCTCATTGAACAGAATGGCATTGTTGGCATGATTCAGTCTGAGTAGGTGCTTGAGAGCCCGTGCCGGCTTCTCCTGCGCCGTCTCTATTTCATGGATCTTGACTGAGTGGATATCGATTGCCCGTCCGCGAGTCCCAGCCAGCAGCTTGGGAAAAGTAAACGAAAACGACAACATTGTTGTCCGGTTTGTTGAGTACTAGCGAAACGATCTATTATACGGATGATCGACGCAAGTTTGATGGGGAAATGAGGAGCGTATCGCCACAACTGCGAGACACAGCCAGCCTTTAATAACCAAGACTTGTCGTTACCAACGCGGGGAAGCTTTATAAAAGACAATTCTTATGCATGGAAATCAATAATAATGATTTAATACCGTGAACCCCGCTCGTCCAGATCAGCATCGAACCCTCCATGTGACACGGCGGTTTTTTGGTTGGGGAAGAACAGCGTATTGGAAGCGAAACCGTCGAATATTACGGAGGTCTCGGTACGGAATTCAAAACAGCTATGACGCAGGCAGACAAAACAAGCAAACTCTGTTATGTAAGCGGTCTGCCTGTCAAAGCAGGAATAGCTCATTATTATTATTTTTATTCTTATTCGAGAAATAGACAAGACTGCTTAAGCAAAGGCTCACAGTGGAGGGGAAGAAGACATGTTAGAATATGTGCATAAGTGGAACACTGCAGATCAGATTGCCAGTCAAGTGAGATATTGGTCAGGATGATGATCTTGATGATGATGTGGCGATGTGGTGATGATTGATTAACCATTGTTTTCCCTACGCACCTAGCTGAAATAATTGTACTTATAAGGCTGGATAGTTGTGTTTTGAGATATTTAAATTGCTAGGCATATTAAAAGTTACAGTATTGTGATTGTCCGATCTAGTTGGTGCCTTAGGCCCTCAGGCAGTCGAGAAGCGACGTCCTCCTCGTGATCCTAAGAAATATGAGGATCTAATAACTCGACAGCCCTCGATGGCCAGTTCCGTTCCGTGTTCCACCAAATTGAGAAGCTGATCATCAAACTCCATGACCGGGTGCTGCGCATCAGTCAGCTCCTGCATAATCCTGATGTATCACTCAGCATCTTTGGGATGTCCGCAATGGTATCGTTTACGAAACGGGCTGTTTGTTTGCATTGTCTCAATTGCTCGGTGATGCTGTTCCTCGCGTATAGCAACCTCGCAGAGGGGCCCTTAGCTGGGTTGGTGGACTTGACAAGCTCCGATTGTCTTCCATGCTCACATTCTCATTGCTAACCGGCTAGATAAGCCCTGCGTGTTCCTGTGGCACGAAATTAAGCAAGAGTACTTACAGTTGTCAGACGTTCAGAGATATCAGCCTCAATCCATTTACTCGGGAACGCCGATGTGGAAAGATGCGTAGCTACAGACTACCAACTCCACAGAACCTTGTCAGTGTTCTCGCCAGGATTGGAACAGGACAATTCTCGATCTAGACTTGGATCTGGCCACGCGAAGCTGTTCAGGAACCACGTGGTTTTGCCGCTACTTCGTATAGCGCACCGACAAAATCTCCTAGCGAGAACCGAACGCTCGATAGTATTACGCCTCCCTGCCATCTCGTTCGTCCGTCGGCTGTTCCGGCCAATCTCTCTATAACCACCTCTGTAAACATCAAAACATACACGATCACGCCTCTTTCTCGATTATCGTTACCCCGATTTGGACTGTTTCGCTTCCATCTGAAGAAAATGCGGAGAACTGGATATTTACAATTCCGGGGAGTTCTCCGGGCGAGAGGGGCGTACCTGAAAGAGTATAAAATGGTAGCTCTATACGTCGGGTTGTCCTAGACCAGCTGCCTTGAGAAAAGTTGTCCTTCGTTCATATTATCTACCTTTTCTCTCCAAAATGCGGTGGACAGCTTTGCTGCTGTCACTAGCTGCCAGTGCAGTGGCCTTGCCTCGACCTGAACGCAGATCGCAGCCAGCCGATGTATGCTTGCGTCCGGACGAAGTGCTCGACCTGCTGCTTCGAGTACCAGAGTCTATTCCTTTCTGTCGCGACCTGATCGATATTCCGCTCCGTGGAACCACTACGAAGATCAATTCGTTCGTTCCGCCCCCGGCAACTTCGACAGTCACTCAGACAATCCATGATCGTGGTCCTCCCCTCAAGACGACCAAGACGGTCACGCAAACAATCGACTCGACCATCACGGAGCACATCACCGACTTGCAAACCCAATATGTCACAGCTACTCAGACAAGTCTTGTTCCTGTTACCGTCACTGATACCCAGACGTCAACCATCACTACCGTGTCTACAACCTTCGTCACCGATCCTGCATACGAGACCATCACTCTGTCTTTCAGTAGCTTTACGACAGATCCTGTCACTGAGACTATCACCAACTTTGCCACTGCCACTCTCACGGACTCAACCACTCAAACCTTTACGGAGACGTATACGAATACAATTACAGACTACTCCACAGCTACTGTCACCGACTATATCACGGCCACGGCAACTGACTCTGTCACTGACACATTTACCAATTTCCTTACTGAAAGCGTCACCAACTATCATACAGAGACACTTACACTTTCCTTTACCGATACCATCACAGCTACTGAGACAAATACAATCGCTTCAACTACTACGGACAGTGTCGGGGCTCTCACTTTCGTGGGCGTTCCTGATGTGATTTCCCAGACGGAGACAGACACTGTTACAAACTCAGTGTTTACCACTGATATTGAGACCACAACAGTCATTACCACGACGATAGTTACGGACGGGACTCTGGTCACCACGACTGCTGTTGCAACTATCGCTGTCGCAAAGCGTGGAGATACACTCATCAACAGAGAACCCCTTCGTGTTGCAGCGTATCCGACACCCTCTCCTCTGAGGACCATTCCTGTGGCGGCTCTCTCAACCGCATGCTCTGCATTGAAGATCCCGGCGGTCTCGACCGTGATTATCACTGAGACTCTACCACAGCCCACTGTATGTTTTCTCCATGAAATCCTCGTTGCTTCCTCGTAGTCCTAACATTGTTATACAGACAACGACCACTGTCACTACGCACCTTCCGTCGAATGGGATACAAACTGTCTATGTCACGAGATATCTCAATGCCTATGTGACACATTTCCTCACTGCCGTATCGACCATTCTCAAGACCAATACTGCAATCACCGATGTGCCTTCGACAACTACCCTTGACGCCACGACGTTCGTTACTGCGACCAGCACCACTATTGAAACTGAGGTCCCGACTATCACTGTCACAGATAATCAATTCACAACAGTAACTGAATTCTCAACGACGGATGTGACTGCAGATGTTACCTCCTCGACCACTTTGGATGTCACTGCTTCGGACACTGTCACTGTCACTCAATCTACGACTACGGATGTGACCTCTACCACAACGAATGATGTAACTTTAACCAACACTATAACAGCGACAACAAGCTTGACCGTCAGCCCGACTGTCACGCAAACGGTCGATGTGACTGCTACTCCCACTGTCTCGGTGACAGCCACCGCAACAGAGACTACAACGGTAGATGTCACTTCCGTTTCAACTATCACCTCAACCGAATGGTTGACTGTCACTGTTCCCTCGCCGACAACGGTGCAAGCCACTGTTTCGGCTACCGTTGATATCACTAGCACAGTGCTGAGCACTACCAGCGTTGACCTCACTGTCACCCAGACTGTCTCAACCATCAGCACCACCACGGTGACAGCGACCGCATCCGCCACGCCCACGAATTTGCTACAGAATGGAGGCTTTGAAAGTAGTTATCAAAGCGGCTCTATTGCGCCTTGGACATATACCTCCGGCGGCAATGGAAAACTGGCTTTCGTGGCCGGATATAACAGTGCCGTCGCCGTCGATCTCTATGTCTCGGGTGCCGGTTCATCATACTCCGCAATCTCCCAGACTGTGGCCACGGTTCCTGGACATCTCTACACCTTGGCCTTCAACTACTATGTGATAGGAGGTAATCCGGTCTCAGCTCTTACGTGCGGCGCTAACAATAGCATTGGCACATCATACACGGTCAACCTTGGCACCGCGGCCAAGAATGTTTGGCGTACGGCTAGCATCAGTGTGCCTGCCACTTCAGGGACTACAACGGTTACTTGCAGGGTTAGCAGTTCCATAGTAGCCTCAGCGTACCTTGACAATGTGAGCCTGATCTACTGAAGACAAGGAGGGAGTGTGCCGTACGCTCTGTGATGAATGATGCAGTTCAATTAGAGTTATGAATTGATCGGCTTCAACCTCTAGAACAGGGAATATGTACATACCAAACACTCATACATATATATATACAGTACATAATCTGAACATCCCATTCGTCGTATTTTAAAAAGTGCACGGAAACAAATACTCATTGAACAGCCTCGCATATGCCTAGTAGCAGGCTTGATTTTCGATTTAAGAAGAGGAACCGAGGGGTGTTAATTCCATATTTATCTCCTAAGTATATAACGAACCAGCTAAAAACCGTGATATAATAGGTCTCCCTGCATGTGGCAACAACATACCTAACCCTCCACTTTAGTATATTTGGAAAAAGGATTCACATCTTACATAAAAAAAAAGCCAATATTGATCTTTCTTTATTGATAGAGATAAAATAGAAATAACCAAAAAATGACCCAGGACAATGAATAATATACACATCCCATACACCTATCTTATCTTGATCCTCACTTCTTATAGTTTTATTTCTCAGCTGTGTCCATTTCCGTTGTAGAAGCTTTCGGTTCCGCATACACAGGCACACCGCTCAATGTCTGCGGGAACTCGTCCACGTTGATTCTTGGTCCTGTGAAGTTCTTTCTACCGTCGACGATCCATTGGATGACGGATATGACGATGATAATACCAAATGCAACGACGCAGTAGTCTGGAAGTGAAATTTGTGGTTAGTATTATATATAGGGGGCTTTTTTCGGAGATATACAACACTGGATAGAAAGTTGAGGGGGGTATGGACTTACTCATGCCGCTTCCTGTGGTGGGGATCGAAGGAGGGAAGAGGAAGAGGATAGTCGTGAGGGAGATGTATGCTAGGGAGATCTGTTTTGTTGCTGTTAGAAAAAACTGTGTATCTGGATTGGGAGGGTTATTGTATGTATATGGAAAGTAAAGCGTACCATATTGGCTACCCAGGCAAAGACGGGATTAAGCTTCCATGGTCGGGGTGGGAGCATTTTCCGTCCACGGATGCAGTTTATGGCAATTGGGATTCCGTAGGATAGGTCAAGGGCGACTACGGAAGCGGAAACGATTGCATTGAAGGCGCTGTATAGATAGACATCAGTAAAGAGTTACGCGAGGGCAGGGTAAATGCTATGCTGTATAGAGTCGGTCATCTTACCTTGAAGAGCCGAGGAAGATCAAGCCGAAGATAATGACCAGTGCGGTGGTTATGTAAAGAGCATTCAGGGGAAGTCCGAGCCTAGGATGGACTCGGGAGAAAAAGGTCGATGCGGGAAGACCGCCATCTCTGTTGTCGATTTAATTATTAGAATTTGTGCTCAGGCACAATGCGGGACGAGGTGGCTTACCTGGCAAATGCATAGATCATACGGCTGCTAGTAGTCATGATACTAATAGTTGCGAAGAGCATGCACACGAGCGGAATGCTAATCCATGTGTCAGAACAGAACATCAGATGGATAACGATGATAGCTTCTGTACTTACACCAACAAGCAAATAGCGCCAGCATTGCTGTTCGTTGCGTTCTTCAAGATTTGCAGCAACGGTCCGGCAGAAGAATTGATGACTCCCTCGATATCGCCGGCCACGAAGAGCAGTACGATTAGGAAGATGGCACCCGTGAAGGTACCGATTCCAACACAAGCGACCATGATCTTTGGTCCTTCGGTCGAAGCATTTGGTATTTCTGTTGTTGATCAGAGCCCGTTCGTCCGTATTACATTGCAGGGGTTACTACCTTCAATCATATGCGCAACTGCGTCCTGGGCACAAGTCAGCTCTGGAAGGGAAAGAATTCAGCATTCATGTAACTTACAAATCCAGTGACGCCCAGTCCTCCTTGAAGGAGCTAGAATGCATGTCAGTGATGTCTTTCGTAAACTTAACATGAGAAGCAACATACTCCCAGTAGCCAAGCAATACCGTCAGGCCCTAAAAAAACGTTAGGAAGATCATCACCCAGATGGGGACAGATATGAAACATACAGCCTGTCTGGTTCATGAATTCCGTAAAGACAAACCTGGGACAGTCAATATCTCCCTAAATGAAAAGCCACCATTGATATTCTACGTACTTTCCGGAGTTATAGTTCGGTGATGCGCATGCGAGTACGGTGATCGAGATGATCACGAAACCGGTAATCGACCACGTAACTATATTGATGTCAGAAATGCAGGTTTGAAAGCACGGGGCAGTGGAATGCATACAAGCTCCTCTTGTGACCCACGGCAAGGCCGAGTTCATGAAAGCGTTTACGCAGAAGGCGGCAATGTTGTAACCAATGTAAATGAGGAACTGGTGCCAGCGCTGCGCTTCGTATGCCTGGATCGCAAGTCAGTCAAGCACCTGTGATCAGCCAGAAGGAATTTCATACTGGATTCATCAGAGAAATAACACCAACGATCAACTGGCTTCCCAGTAGACCACCGGTAGCCACGAGAGCGACCTAAAGAATTAGTACACGGCTCCTGCACGTACGGCACACTGTAGCTTACCCAGCCAGCGACATTGACCCAGCCAGTGATCCATGACAGGATAGGCACCCACTTCTCCCAGGAAACTTCGATCGTTAGACCCATCATCGACGTATACCCGAATTCTATACTTACTAACTGTACAGGAAAGAAAGGTTAGTACACAATAAATCCCAGACCAATATCGAAGCAAGATTGATACGTACCTGCGACCCAATGGTATTGTCCTCCAGCTCTGTAGCCCCCGTCAGCACATCCCCCGACTTCAATCTGTAACAGTTCGGACAAACTCACGTGGGATATGCAGACAGGAACTCCGCCAGGGACGCTGCCATGCACAAATTACACACTCCAGCAGTAACAAGACCTATTCATCATGGAACGATCAGTCAACCATCCATCCATCCGATAACCACCAAAAAGAAGGACCAAATCGTCTCGCATTTCCTTACCCCACACGACACTGGTGCTTCCACCCGAGGTAAGACTGAGCGACAGACTCGCTGAAAGCGCAGTCCATGACTGTGTTGTATAAGCATTCAATTAGCGACGATTCCATCGAACTCAATTATAGCAACTCCCGCAATGGAGGTCTCTTCTGGAGCTTGCAAGATATTCGAAGTCGGTCGACATACGTTCAGGATCGCAAAAGCCAGACCCAGCATTGACCTTTAACGCCACATCAGTACAAGATGATTACCCCACTGATATATATGTGTCTCTCTAACAACTTACAGCGTTGAGAAATTCCGCTTCAGCTCAGCCTTGTGGCCCATCTGAGCCAGCTGGGCATCATCATCGGCTGGAGTGTCCTTCATGGTATAGAACTGCGCGGACCGATCACGAATACAGGAAAATACACTATAAAAAGGAGATGAAGAAGAAACCACGAGCTACCTCCCAGACCTTCTTCCTTTACAAAACGAGATGTCAGGTCAGGTCAGGCCAGCTGGACAGCAAAAACCCGGGGTACGCAAAGCAAAGCTTACGAAGGAAAAGCAAGAGTGCAGCTCACACGACATATGAGGAACGATTACACTCTCTCTACTACGCTATGCTGCCTACGGGACGAACCTGAACGCGGAGAAAACGATAACCAGCCGTCGTGGGTCGCGGGGAAAGGAAACGACCCATCCAGAGAGAGGGCTCGTGCGAGATACAACAACAGATTACTACTTGATATGGGGTAATAAGAATATAAATCTATCCCGTCGCATTTGCTCTGAGCTCAGAGAAGATCAGATAGACTTGCGCGTGCGTATTACGATGCTGAGTGTTCATTCGACAACATCACCGAGCATACGGAGATGGTGGCCAGTGAGCAGAGTTGGAGGGCGATAATAAGGAACGCGCCGAGGGGATCGGCAGCGGGGCCAGGAAAGCTTCTTAGACAGACTAATTCGCATACGTTATCGGCATGACCTGAAGGGAGGAGTTTGTGATATGTTTCGCCGGAAAGTGAGGACAACTAGCTGGAAAGGGGAAGATCAGACTACGCCGTATCATTCCCTCCGTTACACCGGTGTCTCATTCGAATCGAACGGAGCATTTCTGTTCTTCTTCTCCACCGGTTCCGAACCGAGATCGCAGGCCGAGTCGGCTTGCTTGGAGAATACTCGGGAGATTCACCCCGTCAGCTGCTGACGATAAGAGCTACAGATAAGGGCAGTTGTTATTATAAGACATAACATGCATGACAGGATTCTTCTGGAATTGTTCTCCCGATGATAGCGGGATGCTGTTCCTGATTGGCATTACTTTATTTCATCTTCATCACATATCTGCATGGCAGTCATGGCATTCGTGTGAACATGACCAGAAACATAGCCTCAAAATCATCTATCTCGTATAAACCTATGGCACAAAAGTACTAATTTTCTCTAAAAAAAAAAAATAAGAACATGTACAGTACAATGCTGGTTATGACATATAGTGCGACCGTATCACATCCGTTACAGCCGTGGCTTTTTCCGCACCTTGCGCACACCGCGCAACATCGACTCATTGAGAATGAACAAGTGCTTCCTCCAATAATAAGACATGAAAAGGCATGCTATGCATCTTCTATATAGCGCGTAGCCGGCCGCAGTTGGCGGGCTGATGGCATTCAATCAACATCATCACCGTTAGTCTTTAAATGATCCGTCCGGACAACGTAATCGTCCTGGTCTTCACCGCGGACCCCGTCTGAGGTAGGGTCGTCATCTTCCCCAACATCGTCGTAGGAGCGTGGGAAGGAGGCGCCATTAGCAAGTCCCGGTCCCGGGCTGTCAAGAGACGAGTCCGAATCGCCTGCTCCTACGGACAGGTGTTTCCCTTTCCCTTTTCCACTGACGCTATTCTTTCCCTTGCTTCGGATGGAAAGATTGTCGCTCATGCTACGCATAGGGAACAAAGGGTATCGTCCCTTGCCTTTGCTGCCCCTGTTTTCTGCGTAAGCGCCGTTCACTACAGTACCGCTTTCAGATATCTCATCGCCCGTGCTGAGACCATCCACAGCATCTGCAATCGTTCGAGGGGGGATCTTTGAGGGCTGTGCAGCTACGGCGGAGTCTTTCTTCTGTACATCCGTGGACTCGAACATGCGGCGGACCCGCTCAAAGTGCTCCAGTTCCTTGGCGCTATTGACAGTTAGCATCGGTATACATATCAAGCATACCCTACGAAAACATACCTCACACTAGGCACGAGCTCATTCTGTGCCTCAATGAAGTCCTCCTCGGTCACCATCACCGCCACATCCTCTGGCGTAGCAAGGTGGTCGAAGAAGTATGCCGTACTTACGGGGCCACCAGGGAGGGCTTTGATCTTCTCATCAACGGCAGTGGCTTGTCGAGTGATGGCCTTGAGCATAGCATCGGAACAAAGCGCGTAGAGATCTGCACCTGTATAGGTGAAAGGCAACCGTTCTGCAACACGGGAGAGAGACACGTCCGGGTGGAGGTTGAATTTCCGGGTAAGAGCCTCCAGAATAGTGGCTTGCTTGTCGTGAGTGTCTGACACACCCAAATACAACATCTTGTCGAATCGTCCGGGTCGCAGGAGCGCAGCATCAAGCAGATCCGGTCGGTTGGTCGCACCGATCACGAAGACACCACCGCCGCCCTCGTCACCACCACTCATGCCGTCCAATTCAGCGAGTAGCTGACTGACAATGCGGTCCATCACACCACCACTATCACCCTGGTTGCCTCGCTTGGGAGCTACAGAGTCCAGCTCATCGAAGAAGACGACGCAAGGACGAGCGTCCCGTGCACGCTGGAACACGCGTCGCACATTCGCTTCGGATTCACCGATGTACATGTTGAGCAGTTCGGGGCCCTTGACTGAGAAGAAGTTCAACGAGAACTCAGTGGCGATAGCTTTCGCCAGGAGGGTCTTTCCAGTACCAGGAGGACCGTAGAAGAGAATACCACTACGCTTCTTCATGCCCTTGGCGAACAGCTCTGGGCGCTCCAGTGGCAGCTGGATTGTTTCCATCACAGCATCTTTGATATTGGTCAGTCCTCCAACATCGTCCCAGGTAACGTTCGGAATCTTAGGAGCTCCAATAGCATCAGCAAAGTTCTTCCTGGCCGCATCAACAGCAGTGTCGAAATCAGCCTTGGTCACGCATCGCGCAGCATCGCCGCCGGAGACAACTATATCCCTAGGGCCCACTATCGATGACGGATCCTGCTTGGTTGCTGACTGGACTAAGTCCTCCAATCGAGCAGTCCTAGAAGCCGACGCTCTTTCTACGACATCCACTAAGTCTCCAGCGACAAGCGCGGCCGTCTTCACAGCAACTGAGGCGAGGTCAACGTCGGGGGAAATCTGAATGCCGCGATCAGCAACCGCATTTCGAAGGATGCCTTCTCTCTCTTTCTCTTCCGGCGCAGTCATCTCGAGCTCATGCGTAAAGAGACTGCGTATTCCTTCTGGGATCTTCTCGACATCGGTGGTAGTTGCAATGAGAACCCTCGAATCAGCAACGATTTCCTTCATCGCAGTTACCATTCTGTCGGCAGTCAAGACCTCGATATGTCTGATCAGAAGCGCCGTGCAATTTGCGCCGCAGGTGAATGCCCGTTCCGCCCTCGCCTTCAGATATGCTTCTGTCTTGACATCCCCGCCGTTCGCACCGCCTTCCGTCAAAATGTCATAGGCATCTATCGTGAACGTGTGGAGACCGATATCAGCGCAAGCTCGACTTGCAATGGTCGCTTTTCCGATGTTTCTCTGGGTGGATGTGAGGAGGATCACGACCGGCTTCATTCCCAGTTGAATGGCACGGGGGCTAGTCGCAGCAGCCATCAAGTCGCGCATTCGTTGCTGCAGAACAGGGATGAATGCTTTGGGGACCTCCGTAACCAGACCATGAGATGTAGGGAGGCGGCCACTTGACTTAGGGATAGGCTTCACTCCAAGCCAGTATTCCCAGGCATTGTCAAGCGTGCCGGGTACCCTGCTGGTCTCACTTCCCGCTTGAACCATCCTGGTGCTGGATGAATCAATCGCCGCAACCCCTCCCCAATCTTCACCATCTTCCTGTTCTTCCGAACTCGCAGGGACAACTTGTCCTACGCGTAGCCATGCCACACCAACCTTTCTTGCACCCGCGTCGGGCTGGTGAGCTTCCGGCGTGTATCCCAACTTAGCCGTAAGATCATCCTCCAGGTTACCACCGTCTGCATTCTTAGTAGCCGAGAAAACGGTTCTCCCTAGACCTTCGTCAACTGTGATCCCAATGAGATCGCCACTCTTCAGGAGTCTCCGTTTTGTTTCAAAGTAACGTTTTAGCCCCGCAAACAAGGCCGGCTGCAAGGCACGATCCATCGACAGTGGTGTAGATATCTTAAGCAAGGTGACCTCCTTGGCGACTGGTGGAGCTTTTGGTACGCTGGCCCTGGACTGCGTTAAGCCAGGTCGCGTGGCCCCGTGAGGGTGAGAGCCTGCTAGTCGTGAAAGCCTAAGGTACTTCGGATTCTCCAGATTGTATAGCAGTACCGGCGGAACGAACACGGTCGGTGTAAGGCCCCGCGAGGGAAAATGGGCGATGCTAGTTCCTCGGTCACCTGAATGGTGCATCGCATACCGAGGCTTAGGAGAGGGGAGTCCGGGAAGGCCAAACACTTTGACAACGCGCCAGTTGCCTGCTTCCTCCTCCTGGTCACCAAGACTTCCGAATTTCAAGGAGGCAAACATATTCAGCTGCGGCTCCTCAGAAGCCTCGACTCTGATCCAGTCTCCGGAGAAGCAGCCAATCTTGACGAGAGTGCTAATGTCCACGAAGACGAAGGAATCGGTATCATCATCTTCCCGGGGTCTGGGATGTAAGGCTTCATTTGGTATACGATTAAGCAAGCATTCGGCCCTGAATACTTTTCCACCGCCATGACCGGGGCGCATTGTCCCTGATGTGAAGCTGGACATCACAGAATTAGGAGTATGAACCCCATCAGTGAAGCGCATCCCCGGGCGTGGAGTGGCGGATGTCATGGCGGACAACGTGCCAGAAGGCTGTTGCGGCAATTGTGGTGCTGAGAGAGAGATCATGTCTTCAAGAGAATCTTCCGAGGAGTCGCTTGCGCCGCCAACAGAGCCTTCTGTTTCCGAGTCGTCAGGAGGAGACGTGCTCTCCATTTCTGTGCCACTCTCGGTTTGTTTGTCCTCTGCTGCAGAGTAGAACTGCTCATTCGACGTGTCCTCTGCTTCTTCAACAGGCGTGTCCTTCAGTAGACCGGACCCGGAAAGCTTTTGCGATCGCTCGTGGCGCCGCGCCTGCACCAAGACGATCTTGGTCTTCGGCAACAGTAGACCTTGGGATACCGGTTCACAGAACGAGATCTTCGCAGGCGGGGGTGGTGTATGGGTTATTGGGTGGGAAGGGAGCGGAAGAGGCAATATATCTCCAGTATGGAGTATCTTTTGCGTTGATAGAGCCTCACGAACAGCCGCTGTAAGCCGTTCCTCCGCCTCAGCAGCTGCCTTCTTCGTGTACCTCTTCTTCACATCCAGGGCCTTTCCACCTTTATTCCAGATCCCGTTGACGCCGTATGCGTTGGTATCGAATCCTCCTCCGAACTTACTCTGGACATCATCGAGAGCCCGGAGCATATTCCGCTCCACTGTAACGTACACCGTATCGAGGTGCAACGGAACGACATCGAGGATGCGAATCTCGATAGGTCGCGAATGTACAAAATGCCGCGTCGGATCCAGCACCTCCAACGCATGAGCAAATGACTGCAGTGAGCTTGCGGATGCGGGGAACAAGACGGTTGAATGCGAGACCGGCGCGGTCTGCGATCGCTCCGTGGATTGGATTCGCACTGGAATAATCGTCCATGGGATATCCTCGATGGCAGAATAGTTAGGTGTATAAGGCGATATGGCCACGTGAAGGATCTGCTGCTGTTTCTGCGGGTCCATGCCAGCCTCTTCACAGCTTCATCAGTATAGTTGCTCCGAATAGTTCGTTGATCCGTGACTTACCGGCCAGATCCAAGCCTGGGAATAGATCCGTCACCAGGTCATCAGACAGTATTCCTACATCACCGCGGAAGTGCTGATCCAGGACGAGATGCGCACTGATGGGAGCTCTGTCGCGCAACCGCCTCCTGGTGGCCTTCCGCCTTCTCCGTCTAGGCTGGTTCAGCAGATGCCCGTCACGTTCCGCGTCCATCTTGAGGTCCAGACACCGGGGGCACTTCCAACTCCAGACTGTCTCCTTGAACAGTTGCAGAGGGAGACCGATGACTCAAGAGAACACCTCCAAGACAGAGCTGAGGAGAATAATAATAATTCCAATTGAGAAGAGGCGAGCTGACGGTGGGGAGAATCAACTGCTTGCGGGTCTGGGGTCAACAGGCTATTGAACTATTCCGAAGTCCGCATACCGCCCGTGCATTCTGCCGCCGCCGAACCGAGGTTCGCTTTTGCTTCGTGTCCGATCAGCACAGGGGAATACCTGTCTGTCTGGAGAGAAAATAATGAAGAAGTTATTTGTACAGTGGCAAGCTGCCAGGGAAATAAAATCAGAGGAGAAAGTCGGTGTGCGAAAGGCAAGTGAGATGCCTCTCTCTCTCATCCTGCTTTCCCCCTCATTTGTCTCTCCTTCTCCGCGTGGCCGTTTTGCGGAGAAGCCATCGGCTCTCCAATTAATTAAGACGCTTTAGCATTATTGCACCAACCATCTTCAGCTGATTAGCTGACACGAGTATCTTCAAAGGTTGTTTTAGCTACATAAAGCACATGATAGATCTTCGTGCTGCGGTTTAACCAAGATGTGTCGTCCATACTTGACAATATCGAGTTGTTTCACTCCTGTTGATGATAGGTCGAATTCTCACAGTGCGCATTCATAATGGTGATTGTTTGTCCCTTTATACCATCGGAAATAGCATATGGTTGGCTGATATAAATTATACAGATGACAGAAAATAGATCTAGAGTACTTCATTACTGTTCCTGAGCTACGAAGTACATATCTCAGATCCCCAGCCATAAAAGCCTTGCCCAACGATCAAGATCGTTCCGCGTAAAGACCACATCCCCCTCACCAGCTCTCTGTGCTGGTCTTCCGACAAGCTTATCAAACTCCAAACGCAAAGGGGCGCCACTGATCACGGATGTTGTGGAAGATTGGTCAATGGAAATCTCAGCGGTCATAATCATGGATCCGCTTGATTGGTTAAGACAGGGACTGCGTCTTGCGAGTGGCGGCTGACTTGGGATCCATTTCTCGATCTTAACTGACGTGGTGGACGGGTTGAGCCAGATGACAAGAACGAGGTATACCTGCCCGCGAGAGTTCTCGATCCACCACCTTGCGTCCGTACGTAGACGCTGGAGATTCTCCGAATATCCCGCCTCAATAACGAAGTGCGGCCAACTGCCATGGTTTGTTCTAATCAGCTTATTGCGGAACGCGGAGTCGCCCTCTTTCGAGGAACTGTTACCGCCCCTGAACTTTGTAGCGTTGATTTGGTAGAACTCTCCATGATCAAGGCGCATATTTCCCCGCAAGCGGAGGAGAACCTCGTTCGCAAATTCGGAGTGAGCTGCCTCGTGCGCTTCAGTAGGTACTTTGATTATCAACGTCTCGATATCTCCGAAGTAGGTAAAAGCGACTCCTTTTCCACCAAGGTGGATCCTGCGGCTTTCAATGGTCTCAAAGTCCCCTAGGCTGACATGGCGAAAAGAAAGGTACTGGTCTTGACCTCCATTGTCCAGGTGTTCGTATCTTTCTGCAATTGCTCGTTCCAGGGCTTGCGGCCCTCTGTATTCAGCTGGCGGATACTGCTCCGTCAGGGCGAGTTCAGAGGATGGCGACATGGGAAACGGCCAAGGTGCGGTTTCGTTTGAAGTTCTTCTGATTGCAGGCGTGGGTGATGTATCGCGGTCTCCATAGCTCCTCGATCTCGTGGACTGCGAGCTGAGAGTGGCGTAGTAGAGGATGAGAACCAGGTTAAAGTGACAAGGCAGAGTACCGTGGACACAAGATAAGAACCAGGTTGAAGTGACCGGGCAGAGTACCGTGGACACAAGACGAGAACCAGGTTGAAGTGACGAGGCAGAGTACCGCAGACAGAAGAAGTGAGATTGAGATGACCACTTAGTGCACCGCGGAGAGAGGAAGAGAAGAAAAGGATATGAGGTCAAGGCGATGATTTATAGTGCTAGAGGAACAAAGGAATGATACTGTCAATGACAGTAGCCGTAACCACAATGCAGTGAATTCCATATTCACCCCAAAAGGACTGCTTCAATCCAATTTCCTTGACCGCAAACCAGCTGTTGCTTCACCCATATCTTTCTAGAAGAAGGCATTCACTAGCTTGGCAATGGGAAATCGGCCATCCTTCCACGACTGGGCCAAAACGTGATGAACTATGGGTTATTAGACTACCTAGACTAGGCATCAGGGGACATATTAGAATTTCGCTCACCAGCCACGTTGCGGGTTTCAATCTCGAGAATCGGGCTTTTCGTGGAGCACCAACAGAGGAGCCGCGGAATATATCATGTTCAATGACGTTTATATAGCCCGATCAGTTCAGATAGGCGGTAAGAGAGCATATCTGACCAAAACACCAGTCTGGTTAGCATTTGTTATATGCGTTGCGCCCAACTCCCTGACCATATCCAGCTTAGAAGCTATTAAATCAACAACAATCAGCATCGTTGCTAGAGTAAGCTTTGCTGCCATTACCTTGGCTAGTCCTACGGCACCGGGGCCGAATATAACAACTGTTTGTCCTTATTTACTTCCGGGGAAGAACTGAGAAAGAATTGGAAACAACAATCATCAGTGGTTGGATGTAATCCAAGAACAGCACGATTGGTGTATGTATGCACGAAGGCTGGTTAATCTGTGATATGGAACTTGATAAACAACAGACTAGTTGTGGTTTATCTCGTAAAGTATACGTGATTTTGGTATTTTCTAGCTAATCCATCAGATGGTGTAAATATCTAGATATCTGTTAGATCCTCCATACAGATTACTAAATAAAAAATGTATGTATGGTAATGTCTCGCTGTATTGAAGAAATAGCAGAATCGACGTGACGACACCTGATACTAGAAGAGGAACATTCCTTGGAGCTCTTCTGGTGGTAGCTCCGTAGGCGCCCAAGGTCAAGAAACGATACTCTAGAAGCTCATTGGACGCCCTATGGCCAATCCATCCCATGGATACGACCATATAAGTCCAAGGAACTTCTCTATCAGAGTACATAGTTAATGTCTGAGACCGCTCTCAGTTCCACTTCCGCGGCTCGACAAAATCTAGTGCCCGAATTGAGAACTCGGGATCTGGAGTTTAGTAGGTTAAGGGCTATGTCATGGGTTTGATATTATTGGATGTCCTGGTACGGGAAACCATGGATATGGGATAGACTTAGCATTAGGTATATCCCAGGCCTTCGAAAGTGTGTATAGTACTCTCGTGCTGGCGTACGGGGAGGGACTAGTAGTAGGTAGGATGTCTCGATGACACCTTGGAAAGTTCATTATGGACCCCACCTCAGTGAATCCTACAGAATCGGGACTCTTGTACCATACTAACTATTCCTCGAGGAGAATTTTATCAAAGTGGATTAGCTGATCTAGCTTAATGCGTACGTGTCAATTATCAGTACCTAGGGTTTCTGTTCGACCTCTTTACCCGTGATAGCCGCGTCCGCGGAACGGAGTATATAATCAGGCAGCCATATATTTCACCATTGTTGCATGACGTACGTCAGGTCAAAGAGCCCTATTTGGTTTGGGTTTTAGCTATCGTTTTAACAAACAAGTAGCCTTTCTACTTTGCAGTTACGATCAATTGCGCAATCGTCCATAGGATTCGAGCCTTGAGCGCGTATACACGCATGGACGCCAAGGGCGGCCGCTTTACCTTCGATTAGAAATTCGAAATCGAAATGTCTACCAATGAGAAGTTAGAGTTCTCGATCTGTCTGTGTGGCCGCGAACATCTATGAGGGAGAGCTGAGCAGAGTTCATTCTATGACGGCCCCATGGACACGGGTCTGTTATATCAAGGGCGTTCGAATGAGGAATGGCTTGTGACCTTCCTTGGCAGGATTGTGACTCGTAGCGGTAGGTTCTGTGAGTCCTGACTCCTCCGTACGAATCCAAGGACAGACACGAATCGACAATTATTAAGGTTCCTCGCACTGCATGGTACGACCTTGTGATCTCGACGCGGGAAGTTGATATCTTTCCCCCTGTGCTGATCAGAGTTGCGTTCACGTGAAATCTATGTGCTCTAATTAGTGATTACCATTTCCTCAAACTGGCTAGTTCACCCAGCGGAGGAAGGATCCTTGGTCCCCTTTCGTGCAATGGATGGAATAGTAATAATATTAATTAATCGCCACCGGTTTCCTACTACTTGCCAGAAACTGGCCGGGCACGAGGCTCTCCAGGGGCAGACTTCGCTAATTCCGGTTGCACTTCGGTGGCTGAGACATTATCCCGGTAGCGTAACTGGAAGTGATCGCATGGCGGCGGAGAATTCTGAACTTTTTTTTTTCTGTCTCGGAGTCAAGCGTATCATCGTGCCACAAGCTTTTTAAGGATGATGAGTTGCTGCATCTTCCACGGGCACGCAGGAAGAGCACCGGATCACCGACGTAACCAGTGTTGCCAGCAGTCGTGGTTGGTTCTCGATGCTGAGATGGTCGGTGTAAGTTGAAGCTACAACACCACACGCTGAATTTTTGAGCCTCAAACGCACGAGCCGTGACGTTGGCAATGACTTCTCGATCGAGCTAAATAATAGAGGATAAATAGCGCGTTGGATGGCCCTAACAGATGGCAGTTGTTGTCAGTTGAATACGGAAGACTCATCAACGGGAGAGACTGGGCCGGTCCACCGCCAAGCCCCGTCGTGGGGGCGGGGATGGTATTGTAAAGCATCGTCAGACAGGCGCAGCTCACCATTCAGTTGTGCGACCTTGACCGCGAGATGGCCGCTTGGCTGAGCCCGCGATGCGCAGGAAATGGCGGAGAGGCGGCTGTTAACCTTGGTAATCGGCGGTTTCAACGGGGCGGTACAAGAACGGGATCTGGATTCCCAACTTGCCTGTGCCTGTAGCCGAACTGCCCGTCGACGGAACGCGCACGATTCTACTCCGTCGAGCCTCTCATTGGCGTTTCCCCTGAGAGTTGATAGTGATGGGCTGCAAGTGTCGCAAGAACAGGGAGTTTCGATGCGGCTCTTGCTTCAACCTGGTGGACATGTGTACTCCGTATCTACATCTACTAACGTTAGACTACAGGATCATGGATGATGCATCTCTGTACAAGTACAGAGAACAGGCACCCACGACTCCTTTCAGCACACCACTCTCTACTAGATTAGTTATTATCCATAGGTCTTGTTGGGAACAACTGTTCTTTCGAAATTATTAACTAGTTCCCGACAATAATTCTCTAATTTATTGCATTACTGTACTCCGTACTACTGGTAATAATAATACCATACATAATAATTATTGTGAGTGAAGCGGAACCCGTCGGATGAAACCGCGTCCGTTCCCCGACCCCCAATCGGGTTTAGCGCGTATCTAACGGGCTGCTCCGTAATCAGCGGGGCTCATCCAGAAAGGAGAACCAATGATATCTCCCCAATGGCTGCGAAGCCGTTCCTGTCCGGGCCTAGCGCTCTCGTCTATCAGGCAGACATCGAAGACGCCGCAGCGCAGACATCAGCGCCGACGATGGACTGACTGCAAGGCCAGATCAAAGAACCTCCATCGTCCGCTCCCTCATCGACGCTTGCTTTCGCGTCTCTTTAATCTCTGCTATGGTCCATTATCGCAAGGCATCAATTATTACTTCAACTCAGTGAAAACCCATCTCGATTCTGGTGGACACCACAGCGTCCTCGGTTTGTTATACAGAACTTCAACACCCCCCTCCCTCCGGGTGACGGCTTCCATCTCAACATCGGGTGCATAGCCACCTTTACGCCTTCATTCTGCGCCCTCCTGGTTGTGACGGTACAATCAGCCCCCCGATTCCCTTTTCGTCTCCGAAAGCTCGTCTGTCGATCGTGTCTCGACTCGAATCGTCCCTTCCCAATATCGCCCCGATCAGAAGAACGATTGGTCTGGGGGCCCGCTGGATACCAGAGGTGGATGCTTTGGGTGATTGAGAGGGTGAGTCTATAAGAAAAACCGGTCCGTCAAGACAAGCTGGAGGGATTTTTTACCCTCTTTATGCTTCCCGTTCGGGCTGCACACACACCTTGGATGACTGTCCCGTGAAGACGTTGCGTCTGACTCGTTCCCCAGGATCCTTCTGAATCACCGGAACAGCCTGTCCGCTCCAGATTCTGGAATAGCTCTGCACTTCCGGTGAGTCACTGAGTGATCTAGCCATTGTCGAACAATCTGCCCGTTCTCCCCGCTAACCTACCTGCCCCTGGTTCCGCTCTTAGATCCATATCCATATCATTGTACCCAGTGATTGCCCGCAGCCGCAGCCATGTCCGCGCCCCAGGCTCAGCAGTCCCATGTTCACCCTCGTCGCCGTCCATTAAAGACCGCTGTACCCTCCCTCCCGTCCTCTTCAGACCGTCAGGACTCTGCATCGCCATGCCCTAGTATGCGTCTGAGGAAGGCAGAGACTTTCCACTCACCTACGTCGCCGTCTGAGGACCGTGACCCCGTTCTCAGCATCCCGTCGTTGCCTCGACGGTCCCCTACATGCCTGCGGTCGCTCGAGGCCATCGCCGCCGGTGAACAGCGTATGGCTGGTATCTTGGACCGCTTCAATTTGGACTCCCTCTCCGCATCCACCAAGACCCACGACGACGACCTTCCTGTCCCGAGAGGTATTCTACAGGCTCACGTTGGGCGGACTGACGCAATGGACACGCTCCCGGTCCGCACGCACGGTCTGCTCTCGCCGCCAATGGACCAGCCGGAAAAGGCCCCCAGACACCGCCAGCAACTGTCCGACAGCGGCTTGGGTTCTTCCATCAGCAGCAGCGCGGCACTCTACCCATCTGGCCGTAGCGGGCAAGGTGCGTTGATTTCACCGGACACCTATGCTTCCAATGATATTAACCTATTGCCAGTCAAAGCAGGTCACATGTCTGTAGAAGGTTGGAAGCGTGGCTCTACCGAAAGCTTTAAAATGCAGCAGTCTGCCATTACCAGTTCCATCTCCTCTGATATCACAGCTCCCGAACGCTCCCAGTTGAGCTTGTCTGCATGCAAGCGGATTGAACGTTATGTCCTTATCCCGATTCTGAAAGAAGACAAGTTGAAACCATTCCACGACCTCGTCAAGAGTGTTCCCCAGCGGATCGCCAATAAAGAGATTGCCTGTCTCCGTGACCTCGAAAAGACCCTTCTGTGGTTAGCACCGGTAAGTGAATCTCGGAATAGGGGCGTCTGGGGCACTGCTTATTTTTCGCGCTTGAAGCAATTCTCTCGTTTTTCCAAGGCGTCATATCTCGGTTTCTGCGAGTTTTCGATCCAGTGCATTCATACGGCAGTCGGGCATCTTAACGATCGCGAGCAACGACTACCAACCGACCGACCTTACACTAACGGCTACTTTCTCGACCTCGTTGCACAGATTAGACAGTACGCAGCTATGATGGCGGCTTCTAGAGAGAGGGCCCGCGCCCGCCGGGCTTCGGCGCAACCCTCGGAGGAGGTGAATGATGACCACGCCGGCGAACGCCTCACTCTCGAGGGTGGTCTGTCTCAAAACGGACGGCCAGCTGAGCTGGTCTGCCATAAGGATGGCAAGGCTGTGTCTCTCCGTACAGGAAAACCCTATGAAGAAAATTCCGTTCCTACGTTTAAGCGGTCTCTGAGCACCGAGACTCTTGACGATGGGGTAGTCCGTTCCATGGCCCGCCGCAAGAAGAATGCACCTCCCATGGATATCAACCAAAAGTGCAAAGACTGTGACAAGGTCTTCAAGAGACCATGTGATCTCACGTAAGTGCAAATCTCCCATTCTCCGTTGTGAAGCGAGCTAACGTATTCTAGGAAACACGAAAAGACGCATAGTCGTCCGTGGAAGTGTTCCGAGCCTTCGTGCAAGTACTTCGAACTCGGATGGCCCACCGAGAAGGAGAGAGATCGCCATGTTAATGACAAACACTCTACCACTCCAGCTCTGTACAAGTGCAGCTTCTCACCATGCACATACCAGTCTAAGCGCGAGAGCAACTGCAAACAGCACATGGAGAAAGCGCATGGATGGGTTTATGTCCGCTCGAAAAACAACGGGAAGACCGGGAAGAAGGGATCAACTCCCTCGTCCATCCCGCAGACGCCTAGCGTCCCACAGACGCCTAGTATGGCTACACCAATCTCCAATCTCACTGACCACCTGCCCACACCCATGACTGGTCCCGCGCCCTCTCCGTTTGAACCAGTAATGAGTTACCCCATCGACCCTCCGTTCTCCTTCGCGGATCCGCCTTCTGCCTCGAATGAAGACTTCCAGCTTTTCCCGGATAACAGCCCGTATGAGGATCCGACTGGCGCTGGTCTTGATGACTTCGGTCCTTTCACTTCGTCAGACTTCGAAGCTTTCCGCGCTCAACTGGAGGCTGCACCTCGCAATGAGCTTCTCCAGCCCACGGATATCCACCGGCCATCGTTTGACTCTACTGGCACGGCCACCGACTCGATGGGCGCGCCTGGGATCTTCGATGATTCTCCTCTGACGTCCACCGATAGCAGCATTAACTTTGACATCGACTGGAGCAACATTTCATCGGGTAACATGGACGGGGATTTCACTGCTATGAACATGCAGCTGCTGACACCCGACGGCTCTGTCGAGGCGCACGGCATGAATTCGTTTTCTCGAAACCCTTCCATCTGTAATGCTTCCCCTCTTATGCCTCAAGAGTGCAAGATCTCCTCCCTGTCTCCCGGTGGCCAAGGCAATCTGATGCTCTATTCCCCGTACTCTAGCAACGTCGATGCGGCTTTCACGGATCTTTATAACTGTGGCTGGAGCGAAAAGCCCATGAATGATTTTACTCTCTACGAGAACGGTGCCAATGCAGGTGGTAATTTTGCAGGAGGAGCAGCCAGGCCCTATGATCTGCACACTGCACATGAATCGAACCAGATGTTCCCTCCACTGAACACAGCCAACAATGAGCGGCTTGGAGACCATTCCTGGGCGGGACAATGCTTCGCAACTTCTAATTTCAACAACGGTATGATGGATCTGGACGACTATTTGGGTTAGCGAGTCTCCAGCTTACATACATTAACTGTCTATTCTTATGGCCACCCTTATTCTTCTTTTCTTTTCTTCTCTTCTCTTTTCTTTTTAGCGCGGGCGGCGTCCCGACACTTCTTGTCTGTTTTCTATAGCTTACTATTACTTATTTCTGCATGATGAATGAGATCTGAGCGCGGTTTACATGTCGCGCTACCCCCCTTCTGCTATGAATTCATTTTGATGGGGCAACTCTGTGGTTTTGATTGCGCTGTGTCGTTCAGTGTTGGGTTCCTTGATGGTTTGCTTGAGCCGACCTCTCAGCTCATGTAATGTGGAGAAAAGAGAATGAATACTCTAGCTCGTATGAATCAGTCTGGACAGAGAGAGATAGCAATTGATATTCCATAGCAAGGTTTCTCTTCCATGTACGGAGTACTGTAGCGTAGGTTCAGTCAGCCATTGTGGATTGCTAACTCAGGTCAACTTCCTTCTAGATCGTAGTCAATTCCGCACAATTGTTTTATTTTCTCCTGCTAAGCACGCCCTTCCCCGCGCTCTGTAGATAGATCAGCGTTATCGTGAATTGCAAGCTAAGGGTTATCTGCCCCTCGGATTCTGGATGGACTTCCCATTTCGGGACGAGTACGGTGGAGCCCAACATTTACCGCGGGCCATGGAGACTTGCTAGCAATGATAAGACTTCATTATTATATGGTAGAACAGCCCGGACAGCGGCAGATGACACAGACAATAAAAAGAGGTGCTGCATGTTATCTCCCAGACATTCCTGTTCAGGTTGGTCCAAGCGGCTGTCATGGGGCTGTTCAATGAATACCTTGTACGAATTGTTTGGTGTCAAAGTACCCTAGAAGTACTGTTATTCAGTCAAATGGGCAATCTGCCGGCCACAACCGGCAGAATCATAACAAAGAATAATAACTTCAATTCCACAATAGGAAAGTGCATGCGGGTCTCGTTTCGTCGACAGTGATATAAAGGGCTCAGTTCTCTCTCCCGCAAGTCTTCTGCCAATGTGCTCAACTCCTGTAGCTACAGCAGTGAACAACAACCATGAATCTGGATACGACCTCGATAGCAGGCTGGACCATCTACCATGATGGGGATGATGACAAAGCTGCAGTCCCCCAAAAGTCGAGCACGATTCCTCACCCGTTAGGTACGTTGGTTGTGTTACTCGTATGTACATCTAGGTTGCCTACTGACTGTCGATCCAGATCAGCTCTCAGTGACAGAGATTCCCATCGTGGCGCAATTGATCCGCCAATATGCGAGCCCCAAGAAAGTCAAGTTCAACTGCATCACGCTACGAGAGCCATTAAAGAAGGAGTATGCTGCTTTCCGTCGTGGAGAGAGCCCCCATCCCGATAGACGCGCGTTTTCGATAGTTCTGGAGCAAGGGACCTGCAATGTCGCAGAGGTCATTGTTAACCTGACTACAAGCTGCGTTGAACAATGGAAGATTGTGAAGGACGTGATGCCTACATTGACTCTTGAGGACCTCGATGTGACGGAGCGTGTGGCAAAGAGTGACACCCGTGTGATCGAGGCCTGCGAGGCGATTGGCATTACGGATATGTCCAGGGTCTTCTTCGACGCGTGGGCCATCGGTATCGATGAGCGCTGGGGATTCGAGCGTCGCTTGCAACAGGGTCTTGCCTACTATAGGAATTCCGCCAATGATAACCAATATGCTCATCCGCTTGACTTTGCCGTGGTGGTGGACACGGAAACAGAGGAAGTCCTCAGCGTGGACATACGACTTGTCAATGGGGAACGGACCAGGATTCCTTTGGATGAACACAATTACCTCCCTGAGTTCATTGGCAGGTCTTACAAGATGGACCAATTGAAGCCCATAAATATCACACAGCCAGAAGGCGTTTCTTTCCAGATGAAGGGAAATGAACTGTCGTGGGCTGGATACAAAATGCACATTGGGTTCAACTATCGTGAAGGCATTGTCATCTCTGATGTCCGAATCGATGACCCATACGAGAACCGTGAACGCGCCCTCTTCAACAGGATCAGCGTTGCTGAGATGGTTGTCCCTTACGGTTCTCCCGACGCCCCTCACCATAAGAAACATGCTTTCGACGTCGGAGAGTATGGCAGCGGTCTGATGACCAATTCACTCCAGTTGGGTTGCGACTGCAAGGGTACTATCCATTACCTTGATGCTGTCCTGTCGACAGCAAAGGGTGAGGCTGCTATTGTCAAGAATGCAGTCTGCATTCACGAAGAAGACAATGGTCTGCTGTATAAGCATACCGACTTCCGCGATGGAAGCGTGATCTCAGCGCGCGACCGCAAGCTCATTATCTCGCAGATCATCACTGCTGCAAACTACGACTATGCGTTCTATCACATCTTTTCCCTGGACGGAACCTACAAGCTTGAAGTCAAGCTGACTGGCATGCTCAACACCTATTGTATGCATCCTACAGAACAAGCTGCCCCCTATGGCACTGAAGTTGCTAGAAACATCACTGCACAGAACCACCAGCACATTTTCTCGCTCAGGATCGATCCTGAAATAGACGGTCCGAACAACACAGTCATTCAGAGCGACGCTGTCGCTGGTGACGAGCCTGTTGGGTCTCATGGGAACCGATACGGCAATGCTTTCTACAGCAAGAAGACGCCCCTGAAAACATCCCTTGAAGGGGCCGTCGACTACTGCCACGAAACAAGCCGCTCGTGGGATATTGTCAATCCCAACATAATAAATCCCATCTGCAAGAAACCAGTCGCTTACAAGATCATCAACAACCAATGCCCTGGTCTGCTAGCTAAACCCGGAAGCACAGTCTACAAGCGCGCAGGATTTGCCCGCAAATCCCTCTGGGTTCTCCCCTACCGAGACTACGAACTATATCCAGCCGGCGACTACGTCTGCCAATCGACCGGAGAGGACAACTATCCCGGAAACGAGAACATCGTCGACTGGGCCTCCAGGAACGAGTCTATCGAAAACACAGATATCGTATGCTACATGCAGTTCGGCTTGACACATTTCCCGCGCACGGAAGACTTCCCCATTATGCCAACGGAACCGGTGAGTATAATGCTACGGGCGTCGAATTTCTTCCAGAAGAACCCGGCCTTGTGGGTTCCGCCCTCGAGTGTTTCTGTGGATAATGTCTCGAGAGATGCTTTTCCCTCTTCGAAATCGTGCTGTGTGGTGGATAAGTTGGGTGGTCAGGCGAAGCTGTGAGAGCAACGTTGTGATCTTTTCATGACGGTGCATATTCCATAGCATAAACGCAGCTTTGTGTATTGTTATCAGACTTCTGAAAAGCTTAGCTTCATGCAATCAATGAATCAAAATTCTCAACTTCATCGAGTTACTTTAGCCCCCCAGACCTAGGTACCCAAGAACCACAGATCGCACTGTATACTATATACAGGTCTCGATCGAGATCCCGCTGATCGAACAGAAGTCCAGAAATTCAGTAAATTGATATAGTTAGATCACCTGCTAACTATGAGTAAAGCTCTCCTTGCCAAGTTATTATTACTTCCAAGAGGCCAATCTCCTCCGAAATTTCCCCACTCGATCGGGTAATGCAATAATGGGGCGGGATTTCGTGCTGCTTAGTTTAACTTAGTAGATTTCACCCCTCCTGTCAAATTGTATGCACATAGTGAAGTTGGCACGGATCTCTTTTCGCTTAACTACTCGTGTTTAAATTTCATGTGGGATTTTCAGTTGTGTCATATGCGTGCCTTCAGTAAGAGACGATTGTCCTTTTATGTTGATACAAATTTCCTCATCTGCCATTCACCAATAGTCTTAACTTTTTGATAGAGGCTAGTCGTGGTGCTTGAATTAAAATATCCTCTAATTGTACTGTGTCATTTTTTGCATTTGTTGAATATATCACTGGTGAGTGTGCGGGGTTGAGATTGGGGACTTGATATATTGAAGTGCGGGGAACGTACAGTACCTGGAAACAATCAGACATTATCGAATTGGGTGATAAGAAAGAAAAGGAAAAAGAAGAATGTTTTCTCCAGATTCAGAAAGAGAAATCTATGGGGTTCGCGACGTCGCGACGTCTTTTGGTGATGACTTCGACGCGGAGTCTGTGGTGCAGCCGAACGAAGTGCAGCCATTGTTGCAGCCAGACACGGAACCGCAAACCTGGAAGGCTCCAAAGGGGTTTATCTGGATTGAACTGGGTATGTATCGATGAATATGGCCTTAGAAGCTTTATCTGGGATAGTTAAAGTGCTGATTTTATATCTAGCCATCTTCGCCAATGTTTTCCTTTCCGGGTTCGACGGCACAATAACAGCATCAACGTACGCTCTTATCAGTTCAGAGTTCCATGCTGCGAATACAGCGTCCTGGTTGACAACTTCGTATCTGATTACCAGTACGGCGTTCCAGCCTCTGTATGGCAGGTTCTCTGATATTTTCGGGCGACGAGTGTGCTTTTTCACCTCTACTATCATGTTCATGCTGGGTTGTGTGGGCAGTGGGCTGGCTAAGGATATCATCTTCTTGAACGCTATGAGAGCTCTGGCTGGAATCGGTGGTGGCGGGCTTATGACTATGGGTAAGGACTGTGAGCTGGTTGTTATGATTCAAAGCAAATCTGATCCATGTTCTCAGCTACAATCATCAACTCCGACATGATCCCGTTTCGAGAACGAGGCTTGTACCAAGCTGCTCAGAACGTCCTGCATGGTTTCGGGTCAATATGCGGTGCTTCCTTTGGTGGTACGATTGCAGACACAATAGGTTGGCGCTGGTGCTTTCTTCTCCAGGTTCCTGTCTCCATCGTTGCTCTCGCGGTTGGGAACAAGGTGATCAAAGTGTCATCGGATACCGGATTAACAGGCGTCAAACCCGGTTTTCGTGGTGTGTGGAAACGTATCGATCTATCGGGTTCCCTGCTTCTCGTCTTGGGGCTTTCTACTCAGCTTGTTGGACTAAGTCTGGGTGGTAATGAGCTACCGTGGGATAGTCCATGGGTGGTGCTGTCTTTCGTGACAAGTTTCTTATTCCTGGCCCTATTCATCCTGGTCGAGGCGAAGACGACTACAGTCCCGATTATTCCCCTCAAGATGCTGCGCGGCGTTCTGCCAGTCTCTACGCAGATTGCGAATGTTTTCGTCGGGATGGCGGCATATGCTGTAAGGATTGTCCCTCATTTCCTGTTTCTAATTATTAGAGATCCTGACTCTAGCGCAGTTCCTTTTCACGTTGCCTCTGTTGTTTCAGGTCATCCTTCTGGACTCGGCAACTAAAGCAGGGGCACGGCTTGTTATTCCCTCTCTATCGACGCCCGTGGGTGGTTTGATTTCAGGCATCATCATGTCCCGCTGGGGCCATCTGGCGCACCTCGTCCGTGCGGGTGCTTTCTTGATGTTCCTGGGAAACACGCTCGTCATGTTATTGAGATTCAACGATGCTTCATGGAAGTATATTGTTTACCTCATTCCAGCTAATCTCGGACAGGGAATTGTCTACCCAGGTATTCTCTTCACGTTCCTCGCAGCGTTCGACCATGCAGGTGCGTTCCTCCTCCCCAAGCCTCCTTTTTCTTTTCGTTTCTGCAGAAGAATCATTTTCCTCACCTTGTTTCCAGATCACGCCGTTTCGGCCTCGACCGTCTACCTGATCCGCTCCCTCGGAACGGTATGGGGCGTCGCCATCACATCTGCCATCGTGCAAAGTACACTGAAATCAGGCCTTCCAGCGGCCCTGAGTGGAATACCAGACAAATGGAAAGTAAACCCATCCCATATCCGGAAATTAACATCAAGATACCTATCATCTATGAATGGCCGCTGATCAAATGACTTTGTTTTTTTTGGATAGGTTATCGAAGATATCAGACACTCCGTATCTGCAATCCACACCCTCCCGCCTGATGTCCAGATGGCCGCTCGGCTGGTCTACTATGATGGAATCAGATTATCTTTCGCAGTATCTGCGGGGTTTGGCGCTGTTGCGACGATAGCCGCTCTGTTTGCCAAGGGAAGAGGCTTGGATCGCTCAAACAGCGCCTAAGGGACCGGTTGACGTTCGGCCTTGACTGCGGCGACGTGCCTAGCCGACGGATTCTTTAGTTTGATGGCCGGGTTGTGGTCCCTTTGCTCTTAGTGTGGATTAGAGGTTGGGGTTTGGCTTCATTGGAAAGAGGAACCGACAGTTAGAACAAGATAGAATAGAGGTTTAGAGAGCGGGGAATAGGTGCTGAACGTAGTTATCAAGTGGAAAGATATTTTATGTGTTTCCATCTTCTTTGCGTGCCATCGGTAGTTATTATTATCCTTATTACCAAGTTAAATGAATGGTCTCATCCTGCCATAGCACAGGGCTTACAGCTCGGCGTAGTTCCAAAACGCTCTCCTCTAATCACCCTAATCCCTAATTATTTTGTGGTATATGATCAGTTATGGAAGTGGTGTAAAAACCGCGCTAAGAGTTTGGAACCACGACGAGCTGGCACCCCCATAGCACAGATCAAACATGGCGTGGCTGATTTCTAATCCTCAAGCTGGTGGATTGTAGGCAGACGAATTCTCAAGTGGCTTGGTCTATGGACAATATTAAATAATTAGGGCTTATCTGCATAAGTTGCGTTGGTTATTGTGTAACCTGCCAGATCCCTCAGACTTGGCCCCCTCTTGGATGATAGATTGAAGGTTAGAGTCAAATAATATAAGAGTTATTATTATTTTCTGTGTCCTATAACTTGATCATTTTAATCACTCGTGTCAGAAAGGGGCGGCATCTAAGTCACTATATTTACTGTATTATTCTAGAGTAGGTAGTAATTATTAACTAGAATAAGAATAAGACGATATTGGCCTGTTTCTATTCTTGTTCCAGACCAGATATTCTAGAACGGCATCAGCCACGCTCAGCCTTACAGACTGGGCCCATTATTATTCCTGGAGCCCAAGAAGTTAAACGGTTCCCCATCTGTCCGTAGGACCGTTACACATCGATGATTGTGAAACAAACCAATCCAGTGTAATTTATTTTAGGGTCCGCATTCACACGCATGACTGATTGTAATCTAGTATGTAGACTAATTATTTTTATGGTATTACTTACCGGTTGGTTTTGTGAAGGCTCCGGTGTCTCTGCGAGACTCTTAGCATTTATGCTGAACCATTCTATCGCGATGGAGGTCCCGTTCCCGTCGCACTTGGACACGACGACCCTTGGAACGATCTTGAGCCTGTTCAACTTTGGGTCGTAGTGTCAGTTAAAGTGGAGAGAGATTTTCCGCAGCTAATGATGGCGGAGACTCAGAATGGCTGAAATGATGCCGTCCGAATGGACGCGTCAACTGCAGCCGTGGCCTGGAGACTAGCAGATACTAAAGACGGTTTAAGGCGTGGACAAGACGATCTGAGAGTCTGCTGAAAGGCAGATCGATAGTTAGAGTAGATAGATGATGGAGTTCCAGGACGAGCAGAAAGTAATTTATTTCATTTTAGTGTCTTCTTTTTGGGAGCTTGTGGGGGAAAAAAAAGCTGCAGCTCGTAAACTATTCTTGTTGTCTTGGCTGTTGTAACTCTCGACTTCTTCTTGTCTTCCTGGTCTCTTTTTTTTCAACTGATATAAGACGAGAAAAAGAAGGAGACTGGCGAAAGGAATTCATTGATGATTCATTTCATTAACCGGCAGCTGATTTGATTTATTCAACTAACTGAGGTCGCGTGTCATCCCCACGACGTCATCTGAAAGGAAGTCTTTCCCGCCAGTCCGTTCGATCCCAAAATTCAACTTCCCACCCATCGACTTTCCCTGTCTGCACATTAATATAATCCGCCACCGCTCCGGAAGCCGTTCGTTGTCGGCGTCTCGAGAAGATGTCGAGGCGCGATGATCTCACCATCAGTGCAGATAATGCTGCGAATGGTGATACCCGACAAAAGCCGCTCGACAGCGCGATAGCTTTCAACAGCCCGCAGCCCGCACCGCCGCCAGGACAGATCCTGACTGGAAAACAAGAGCACTGTCCGTGGCATCCGATTTCCGTTCGATTTTACTTCTTAACTGACCATCAACAGACCTGAAACGCGAACTGATCAGCCGGCAGGTCAGCAGCGAGATCGCGGAGCTGAACTCCCCCACCGCCTTGCGGCGATTCGGTGCACCGTTCAAGTCGGAATTCGGAGAGATTGCTCCTGTCGACTCAGATCTACCCATCTTGCGATATATATTCGTTAACCATGTGCGGAACTTCCCGTTCCTCGACCAGGCCAGGGAGAAGGAGTTCTGGCAGGATAAGCTGCAGGTGGTGCGTCCGCCGTTCGATTGACTTGGAGCTCCGCAGCGGTCCCAGCGTGACTGACATCTATGCTAGTTCCTCGAGTCGTTCGCCAACAAGCACGTTTCCTCTTCCGAAGACCGTCTGGAGGAGACAAAACGGAGAAAGTTGGCGCGAAAATGTGAAAAGCTGATCGAGCTGATGATGGTATCGGGTATTCCGACGGCCTCGGGCTACGAAGAACGGATACGCTTTGCGGAGATGGAAGTTGTGGATCGCGGGGCCAACGAACAGGGACTGTTGGTCAATATCCCCGATGGGCACTTTATCAATGGATGGGACGTCAACGTGGCTGGTGTGAGGTCGACCTCTATCAGACGCACGGTGAGACATCATCGGCATGCGGTACGTAGGAACTGACATTGTTCGTATGAGACACTGCTGATTTCCGTAGGAATTCATCCTTAGAGTCCGTCGCGAGGGAAAGTCCGACGTCTACGTCGCAAAGAGATACGGAGATTTCGCGAAGCTACACAAGAGGTTGCGGACAGAACTGCCGGGAAAGATCCTACCGCCACTGCCCAGGAAGAACAAAACATCCACTTCTACTAGCTGGTTCAGCACCGCTGATGATGATGCCTCTTCGCTGTCCTCAATCTCAACGCAGGACCCGGGGCCGGCGGATGAGAGCTCGATCGCTGGTGCAGATGGCCGTAGCCTGGCCCCCGGAGGCCACAGCCGGTCTGCCTCTAAATCCACTATAGGGTCCAGCCTCGGATCTGCTCTGGGAAGGTCGCCGAAATCGCCTCGCGCGTCAGGAGAGCTGTCGAGAGATGATGTCGTCCTCTATAGAGAGGAACAACGGGTGTCTCTACGAGCCTTCTTGCGTACTCTGCTGCAGAATAAGCGCATAGCGGATTCGAAGGCAATGGCGGAATTTCTCACCAGAGAACCGATCAGTCTTAACGAAGAAGACCTGGTCGATATTCAGCGTCGGAAGGACGCGGATGCATTGCGGATAGAGGAGCAGAGGAGGTTCTATGAAATTGCAAGGCAGCGTGCGGCTGAACTGGACGTCTACATGGAGAGGTTCCGCAGAGATATTGTGGAGAGCAGTAAGTTCTCGTGATTCTGTTCGAGAGTGCCAGGCTAACTTTCGTAGACGGGTTGACAAGGCTGTTCTCGGAGATCCGAGAGAAAAATACGATAGCAGAGTTGAGCCCTGAGTATCAAAAATTCGCCGAATGGCTCCGTATCGAGTATGTGAAGAGCGTCACTCCGTTGATTCTGTTCTGACCATTCAATTCCAGAGTTGCTGCCACGATATATCATCTTTTCCTTGCCGAAGATAACTCCCCAGAGCTATTCGCCCAGGCAAAGAGAATTCACTCGCTCATCCCTTATACCCTGATGAAGAACGTCATCCGCATCGCAAACCCTGCGGCAGTCATGTCTGGTGTCCTGGATCTCTTCCTAGCTCAACCGTTCGGTTCACGATCGCTTTTACAGCGGATATTTGCCATGACTTTGCATGACGGCATCAAGGCTTTCCAAAAGGCGATAGATGAAATGGTAGCAAAGATCGACGACCCGGTCCTGACGCAGAAACTGAAAGCTTTCACGGATGCGGACGAACAGCTGAAGAACGAAATCCGACAGGAGGCGGCAGCGGAGGACGTGGACATAGTCGTTGCCGTTCTGAGGTCCGAGCTCATAGAACCGGCCCTCACTCCAGAACAGGTTGGCAAAGTGTTCAATTCCTATGTGGCGTGGAATCATGCCGTTGAAAATGTGAGCTAGATTGCCCTGGTATATTGATAACAATAGACTGACTGGTCAGGTCGATCTCGAGATGAAGCAGGGCGCGCAGTGGTTTGCACACCTGAAGCAATTGTTGAAACTCTATACGAGACAGCGCGACAAGGCCATGATGTTGAGCATTATTGAAGAGGTATGTTCTGCGTTTATTGGAAATGTAGTCCGAAACTAATCTCTTCTTGCAGCCGGTCACTCTTCAATTATTCCGCGACCTCTTCACAATATTTTATGAACCTCTGGTGCGCGTCTACAAATCTGCGAATGTGTACAACAGTATCACAGACTTTGCGCGTTTCGCCGATGATGCTATAGCAACTATCGAAAAGGCTCAACGGCAGGACGTCTCTGCTGACCCGAACCAGACCGTTCAGTCTTTTATCGACCTATGTGCTCGTCACCAAGATAGCTTTTACAAGTTTGTTCACGAGGTTCACATTCATGACAACGGGCTATTTGGATCCCTGATGGCATGGGTGGAAGATATCTTGGAGTTCCTTCGCAAGGGTCCTAAAGGCGGAAAGCTCGACATGAACGCTCTTTTCCGAGGAGCTATAGATGTTGGACGGATTGACAAGGAAGTTGCCATCCAAGAGATCAATTCCCTCGTCAAGTGGCAAGAGGATAGAAAGAAGTGGCACAACGACAAGACTAGACAGAAGATGGCTGCAGAAGGCACCGGCAGTGACTCTGTACCCGGAAGCGCAACCTTCCGAAGTAGTGACTTTGGCTTGGACGAGGTATGGTCATCCTCCCTACACCTTTTTATATCCAACTAACATGTCTCTAGGCTGATCTCGAAGATCTCGCCATCTCCGACGACGAGTCCGACGAATCAGACGAGAACGCAGACGATGATCTCGACCCTATTGCCGCTGAGCGGAAACGCCGAGCGAAGAAACGAGATCATCTCCGACGTGCCGCCGGCGAACCCGTCAAGCCGGAAGTGAAGGAGGTCCTGAAACTACAGGATCCATTCGTGTCGATGCTAAGAATTGTTCTTGCGGATTAAACACAGACAGCAGTCGCTGGGCGATTGCAGACGACTCTTTTCCAGCGAGTTTCCGGTTCTAGTTGGTCTTTGTGTGAGATACGATTTGACCAGATGGTCATTATGAGTATCCGTCTGTATGTTTTAAGAGCTCTTTTAGTTCCCTTGAACCTGTTGACTGTGGGAGTATCTTATCCCACTTGTGCATCATTAGAAGCCTATAGATATGTGCGCTACATGAAGGTTTTTCTGCGTTTGGGATCGAACAGTATCTTATTTCTCGAAGTGGATTATATACCACTAAAGTTCTCCCAGATTTAAATCACGATAATGACAAGGACCGTATATAAATAATACACAACGAAACCAAACCAAACCAAAAAGAAAAAGACACCTCAAACCTGCATCTCCACACTCTTCGCATGTTTCTCCACCCCACCAACCACCGAACCAGCCAACGAAGGCGACTTAGGCTCAATACCAGTAGACTCTTCGAATCCATCAACTACAAGGAACGGCTCATCGACACCTAAACCAGGAGGAGGGAAAATGTAGCATGTAGCAGTCATGACGGTGAAACTCATCGCGATCCCAACTATGAATGTGAGATTATAGAGCTTGATCCAGCCGGCGAAAGAGGGTGTTGTCCAATTATTCACGGATCCAGCGAGGCCGGCTGTTAACAACATGTTAGAATATAGTTCGACAGTAATGTGTGTGTATATATTTAATAGGGAGGCCACCTACGAAGTAATGGCCACATGCCAGCGACGAAAGCGACAGGACCGCGCCAATTAAAGCCGCGATTGTACCAGTATATGGAGGAAGGGTTACCAGTGTAGAGGTCCTTGAGCTTGAGCTTGTGACGACGAACAAGATGGTAATCTGCTAGGAGGACGCCTCTGGATGGGGGGGTGAAGATGTGGTTAGTTTATTTTATTTATCTTTATGAGTATGATGATGCTAGAGAGAGAGAGAAAGAGGAGTTTGATTGCTTACGTTAATGGAGCCATGAATACACCGAAGCCAGAGAGGACGGAGAGGAACTTTGTTGCTGTGGATAGAAGTTGCCATGGTCTATGTGTATCGTCGATTTGTTAGTGTTTGTTCTTGTTCTTTTGGAAGGTTAGAGGGAAGAAGAATAGGTCATGACGTACTGAGTGAGGATTCCTATGGCTGCCATGATGTAGCTACCGCGGACGATATTGATGTATTTTGGACATAGACCGGCCATGTCCATTCCCGTGGAGACGGAGTTTAGAACAACGGAGATCTAGGGATTCGATGTTGTCGAGTTAGTGTTCCACACTTTATGATATTCTTTTTCGGGTAAAAGGGATTCCTCACCGATAGTTGAGTCGAGACCATGCCCACTGATGCAAAGAAAACGCCTGCTCTCGATCTGGGGCTCGAGTGATAATATTCTTGGATATCCGCCAACAGATAGATTGGATTCCAGACGACATCTCCGCCTAGTATATCTTTTGCTGCGCTCGTGACGACGATTCCAATAACTGCTGTCACCGTGATGGTTATAGGAGCCGCGACAAGTTGAGACAGTGTCGGTGCGAGACGTCGATTGGCATAACGGGTCCAGTCGGACTGGCCCAGTGTTCCGGCACCCCAGGCGCCCATGATCGCCGTGATACCGTACATGACGCCCCAGCCGACGGGGATCGTGGTTGGAGTATGGTTGAACATCTCTCCGGGGCCGTGGGCATTTACTACTGCCCTGTTTGAGAGGATAGATGTCAGTCGTACATTCGATTATAGTTAGTTAGTCGGTTTGCGCAGAATGACTTACCAGATAAGGATACCAAGACATGACGCGGCAAATAGGACGAACGAAATGGCAAATGGTATCTGCAGACGTTCCGGTGGGATCAAAACCAACGGGATGAATGCTGCGTACCAGATGACCATTCCGATGAAGTCCTTGGTCAGGATGTGGGAGCTTTCAGCGAAGAAGTTCTTCATGTGTGCGAACCCTTGATGTAAAGTTAGTACTAATACTTCATCTCAAATATAGTATCGAATCATCCTGAAATATCATACCTGGGATGATGGCGCCTATGAGCACTCTTGTAGCTTGTCCTCCCCTAGTTGTGCTGTTAGACTTCTATTTTAACGCTGGGTACCGGATGTGAACAATACCAGTAGGATTGCATCCCAAACCACATGCAGGCAACGAATATTCGGATTATAACCGGAACTGTGACCGTCAGAGATGATCCTGGATGTGATGACCGCAGGAGAAACCTACAATAAGACCCGCGCATGCCCCAGGAGAACCTCGATGCGACCGTAAATCCGATATGGTGTTTCTCGCCCATCCATCCACAAGCAACAGCCAAAAGACCGGTGATGACACCACCAGCCGCCTTTGAGGTTCTATCAGTTATCCCAGTTGTATTATTGTACATACGAAGGGCTTCACACATACCGCACATCCTATTGCTTGTCGTGGACTTAGACCGAAGGCCAGTAATGTGCTGCCTGTCGACCATGCAGAAATACAAGAACCTGAAACGGTCCAGTATCCTGAAAAAAATGGACTGCATTAGCTGGTATTTCACAAATATTCACGATTTCACCGCGTGACGAACCGAAATATCCCCATATTCCCCAGGTACGACGCTCCGGCGGGATGGGGATCAGATCCCTATTACACCAAGTGGTGTTTTCATAGTAACTGTCCTCATCGATTGGGCTGGGATTTATTATTAGCCATGCACATATCTCTGATAATGAGGTGTTTATTCAACATGGGATATAACATACACAGTCAACTTGTTCTTTACTTCCTTCCAGTTGACCATGATGCCGGACTGACTATGCGCGATCACGTCGCCAGCAAGGCACAGTCAAGAGAGAGATATTAGACCGAACAAGACAGTGAAGGAAGAATGGTCGTGTCGATCGATCCAGGGTCTCTGAACTGCATATAAGGCGGACGTGCGTAGATTATCGTCGGCTTTGCCCATCTAATAGTCTGGACTCCCTTCGACTTGACCCCGGTCTCCCCTCGTTTAGCATTCAGCGGGAGCTGCAGCTCTCTCCAACGTCGGCTAAGACCGCCTCCAGGTGGGTGAGCTTAACTAGATTTTTGACGGACTTGAAGCCTCCAATGGATGGTCGGCGATGAGCTTGAATAGCAGGTTGGTTGCCAGTTGGCCGATCTGAGTGCGTGTGCTAGTGCCCATTTTAACTTGGCCGATCGATAATCCTCTTCTGGTATGGGACAGGTATTAGGCCAAGAAATGGATGCGTGTTTTCTTATTCTTGATAATGTGTTTCATAGATAGGGTTAAACTGAATACCCAAGAAGCCTCCTGATAACGACGCTCAAGGGATCCATCCATCATCAGTAGCGACCTCAGACAACTCAATGAATGAGATGGCCTCGTTGGCCACAAGCACTACTATCAGCTGGAGATTCGGGGCTGGCCAGAGAGTGTATCAAGAGTTTCGGACAGAGATCGTCTCAATTGGTGGATTGAACGTCGTGTAGATAGATAACGGTGCACGGAACTAACTAACGGCTCGTTAAGTATTTACCCCTCATTGCAGCTTTCAAGCCATCCGAGGCATTGCCAATTGGATTGTCGGGTCAAATTGGAATAATGTTCTTTTCTTTTTCTTCTTCCATGGGAATTCTGGTAGATGGGAATCCTACAGTTGTATCTTCCCCCATGTTTGTTTCTGTTTGGGTGCATTCAGCTCCGATAGCGATATACAGCGGTGGTACGCAGTAGCTATCTACTGCAACGATATCCACCTATGCTCAGGCTGGAGAAACATTGCACAGAGTCAAGGTATGCTCTTCAAGGAGATAATTCCTGGGTAAGTCTCGTGGTTTGTCTTAGATCAATCGTCGCATCATCTTCTAGGATATGTATCTTCTAGGTTGCAAAGAAAGCACTGGATCGTCTCTCCGCAGTGGGACTTGCTAAAGCCGCCACCCGAGTTTCCATAGTGACGGATGCGACAACCGGTGGGACTCTACGACTTTCTCTACTGCGCATCCATCCATCTGCTCTCTGGTAATTATTTACCGCCGTGAAATGAAATATAACATGACGAGTATTCGACACGATGTTTCGCAACAGGGGTAGTATCACTCCTCGTTCGCCTCGTGTGGTGGCGCCCTTGCGTGGCCGGTTTATCGAAGGCGAATGGCACTGCAACTGCGAGCCGCGACTCTTCGCAGCTCATTTCCAGACGAAAAACCAAGGCCCCAACCACGGGCGATGGTGTATGTAGAGCATAAGTCCACGGGGTATTGTTTTAATCATACTGACTCGAATGTTAGTCTATACATGCCAGAAACCTCAGGGTGAACGTTGCAACTTCTTCCTGTGGGACGACGATGCGAAGGTCCGCGAAGACAAGCTTAGCTTGTCGCATTCGGTATCGGAGCCGGATCAGACTCCTCAGACACCATCCAAGACAGTCAATAAGAGCGGAGGTCTGCTCACCCCGGCATCCGCGTGGAGGAGACATGATGCGCCCCGGACAAATCTAGGAACGCCATCCAAGGTTCGAAAGTCGAGAGAAATCTCGGACGATGAATATTTTAGCTGGGATGAGGGTCTTGATGACGAGGTTCAGGGCATGCTGGATCGGCCGGCTCAGCCCAAGTTCTCTCCTGAAACGCCGCGGAAGACACCACGAACGGCGCTCTTCACATCGCCTGGGAAGAAGAAGTTATCAGAGACAGCAAGCGCCAGCAGCAATGCATACTCCGATCCGTTTACTTCCTTCGCTCAGGATACTCATCTTGCGACGCCGCAATCACAAGCCCCGTCCCAGCTAGGTAGCGTTCCGCCATCGTCGATGGAGATATCCGCGACGCCCACGCCTAGCAGATATACCAATGTCCTATCTACAGACAACAATCCTGATGTTTCCGAACTAGCCACGACCACACTCGCAATCCTTGATAGCCATGATGTGGTGATGCCACGGAAGGCAAAGGAGGCCCTGGTTGAATTGCTGAATAGGCATGATCTGAGGACACGAGGCATTATTCGAGGCAGAGAAATATCGCGGCTTGCGCTTAAGAAGAAGGACGAACAGATCAAGCAGCTAAATGAGAGGATTTCAGGCTTGGAGGCTGAAAGAGAGATGAACAGAAGTGCAGTTGCCGGTTTGAAACAGCAACCGGAATGATACGTCCACTGTTCTTGAACCAGTAGACTTTTTTTTTGGCAGCGTTTTGGATTCAGCCTAGATACCCTTGCAGATGACAGTGTAAGTATTGGCGAATTTTTTTCTATTGTTCTTTGTTTATAATTTCTTCTGCCTGTTATGGTTTCAGTTTGATACAGTACTCCCGAGTGTCATCAGGTGCTGGATTGTTTTATCCAGTGCAAAAGTACGCTATTCCAATAATCATATCTCTCTCATGTATATATAAAATAAGGAGAAATGTCTACTAAACTACATATGCGTCTATACATGGCGGCAATCGGAAACAACTTTGATATTTAGGTTGAACAAGAACAATCCTTATCTTATCGTGACAATGTCACGTGGGTCCAAAAGATCTAAAAAGTAATTATTCCGCATCGGAAGAGAAGCGCTTAATGACCCCTCAATAATAGCAGCAGATCTCGAAAACTACTAACAGGAAAGCCCCAGAATTTCTCTCTATGAACTGGTACCGTTTCCGGTCTAGATTCATCCTCACCGCATAATCCTAGAGCGACTTTCTGGCCCGTCAAATGGACTCGCGCGCTGACCCGTCCAAACCTCACGAGAGCGAACTCTCCGCGATGTTTCGACCCCCCGTGAACCGCGCCATGCGCGTGCTTGACCGGTCTTTCTTTCGAAAAACAATTCCCATCTCTGCTGCGACCGTCCTCAAGACGTCAGATATTTCCCGGGTCCGGAACGAGCTGTTGCGCAGTCGTGACCTTCTTGCGGTGCCGCGACTGAATCCGATTCGTGTTGCGCAAGGGGATAATGCCGATCAGAAGAAGTGTGTTTTGCTACGGGAGGGAGTTAAGCATGATGGTGAGGATCTTCTGCCCCCGCTGGATTTGGTGGGTTAGGTAGACTGATAGATAGCCTGGCAGATCCTGCGACGTGGTCTCCGACGATAAATCAGCTGCTCGAGAAGGGAACAGTAGGCTTGGGACCTTATGACTTGGAACTGGATTATGATTACTGGACTTACTGTAGGAACAAGTGGTCGCTTTATATCCGTTTCCATGCGCTAACTTGACTAGCTGATATAATTCAATCTGTGCTTCCCGAAGACGATCTAGGAGAGATCCCGGTTGGATACACGCAGGTTGGACATGTTGGTAAGTTGCGTGTTGTTGATTTTGTTGGGAGTTTCGAAGATATGCTGACTGTTTAGCGCACCTGAATCTACGCGAACAATATCTTCCTCACAAGCATCTGATCGCGGAGATTCTGAAGGATAAGAACAAGTCGGTGCGCACGGTGATTAACAAAACGGAGGATGTCGGATCTCATAGCGTCTTCCGCACCTTCCCATTTGAATTACTGGCGGGCGACAACGACCTAAATGTCGTTGTCCACGAGCAGGACTGCGAGTTTCATTTCGACTATGCTCGGGTCTACTGGAACAGCCGTCTGGAAACGGAGCACCGAAGGCTGGTGGATAAGTTCCGGGAAGGGGATATGGTCTGCGACGTGATGGCGGGAGTTGGGCCATTTGCAGTTCCAGCAGGCAAGAAGAAGATATTCGTCTGGGCGAACGACCTCAACCCGCACGGCTACGAGGTTATGGTCGATGCCGTTAAAAGGAACAAAGTGGACAAGTTTGTGACGCCGTTCAACTTGGACGGCCGGGAATTCATCCAGAAGTCCGCAAAGGATCTTCTCGCAGAGGGACCGGTGACGGTCACTGTTGAGCCTAAGGCGAAACGACAAAAGAAGACCGAGGATGGCAAGGGTGCTGCGCCTGCTCCCGAGCCGGTCGAATATGTCCGACCTACGACTTTCGACCACTACGTGATGAACCTACCTGCCACAGCTATTGAATTTCTGGATGCATTTGTGGGCGTCTACGCAGGTCATGAGGATCAGTTTTCTCCTCACACATCGCGTTCGCTGCCCATGGTCCACGTCTACTGCTTCTCAGGCAACTCGGACAACGAGCTCGACGACCATATCGACATCTGCAAGCGGATCTCTGAGCGGATCGGCTACACCATCACTCCGGACGACAAGGTTGGCGGATCTGGCAACCAAGACGTGGAACTAGCGATCCATAACGTTCGTCTAGTCAGTCCAAACAAGCAGATGTTCTGCGCCAGCTTCCGTCTGCCCAAGGAGGTCGCGTTTAAGAAGGTATAGAAAAAAACAGCATGCACAATAAACGTACATGCGAATTGCATATACCGGGGGCGTTGCGGTGCATTTAGCATATTCCAGGCATACTATTGTATATGCGGAAGACAAAAATAAAAGTCGAGTTTGATACCCTTGTAAATGGTTGTGTAGAATATTGGTCCACTGGATCATGTATTCGGAATTTATTTCTATATGTCATCTTTTTTTTTTTATTTGAGATAAAATCACATCTCCAGCATTATTACCAACGATGCTCCTGGCACCTACTTGCATTGAAGTAGATTGATATCTAGATCATCATCTGTCGTCCCGGTTGGACGGGCCCTGCCAAGACCGAGACTCCAACCCCCAAACCTTCCTCAGAGCCTCTCGGAGGCGGAACCTCGAAACATCGCGCCATCTCCGAATCGCCGCCTCCAACTCTCTTCGAGAAAGTCGCAACTCAACTCAACTCGACTCGACTCGAATCTACTCACGCGCCTGTTCATCGAGTCCACCTGGTATTAATAATCCGGCAGCTATATCCCAAACACGCATCTTCTCTCGCGCGAAAAACCCCGCCTTTAATCTTCAGCGCAGACCATCAGTCGTTCGTTCGTCCATCGTTCAAAAGAAAAAGGAGATCGGAATAATATCCACCCCAAAATGAGCGTCAACCTCCCCCCTCCTACGCACCGCAAGCGTGTCGTTCCGCAAGGCGAGCTGGAAGCTGCGTCGACGCTGAAACTCGGTGCGGACCAGAACACGCATACGTTGTCGCTGTCGGAAGCGAGACTGGTTATTAATAAGGTGTTGGAGAATAAGAGGAGGGGTGGGAAGAAGTATGATGAGCCGGAGTAAGTGGTTCCATCACATCACATTGTGTCGTGTTGGCTTTGGGGTTTTTTCTTGTTTGGTGGGGAACTATTTTTTGCTAATTATGTTGCTTTCTTCTGGATAGGAATCTTACGAAGACGCTGGATTATCTAGAAGTGTTTTCGCGATTCAAGGATGAAGAGAACATCAAGGCCGTGGAGCGTTTGCTGAACTCGCATACGGAGTTGGAGATGTTTGAGCGGTCGCAGTTGGGTATGTTCTCGTATATTATATTACCTGTTGAGGCCAGGCTCTTACGGGGTCGGATTTGGGTATGATATATATATATATATGAAGAACAGCTGAGCTAATGATATGGGGTAACTATAGGAAGTCTGTGCTGCGACAACGCGGAAGAAGCCAAGTCGCTCATTCCCAGTCTCCAGAACAAGATCACCGATAACGAGTTGCAGGAGTTGTTGGATGAGCTGACGAAGTTGAGAAACTTTGTTGAGTAGGGGGAATAATTCTGTAGATGAGGTTTTGGCAGCTTTTAAAGAAAAGCATACATAGCATGGAGTTCAGGTGTTTCTTGGGTGGAAAAAATGAATGAAAAGAAAGAAAGATCAAAATGAATGGAGGTCAGATACCATGCATTATGATCCTGTTTATCGCAGTGTATTCTACTACATATTCCCTTTTGATGCAATATCAAGTGTCATGTCGAAGACAGATGTCGCCGTAAGGGCGCAGGCGCGGCACTTGCTTTGAGTTACGTATGTAGCATTGCTGGATGATCTCGAACATCGCAGCTGGCATATTGGCATGTGTTTGCTGCCTTGAGCGTTCGTTCAAAGGTCTTCCTCTGGATAAAAGTGGCTTGTATCAACGCTGTGGACTGCATCTGTATCCTAGATGAAGGGTGGATATAATAATCAATCAGCAATCGAGGCAATTTACCCCGTATCAGAGTAAGCTCCGGCCAACCAGTGGCGTGAGCTGGGACGCCCTCAAGATCCCACCATCTGTAATTCTGTATGTATTTTCGTATCGCCCGTGCGTCTTTGAAACTTCAGTCCTACTGTGGAGCTCTAGAAAGTGCTTCTTGTGGAAAATTATCTCTCCACATATGTATTTCCATCAACCAGTTTCACAGTGGCATCTTCATACTCTCACATACAGAGGGACGAGACAGTGATCTGGATGGGGTTCGAACCAATACAAATAACAGATCAGGTAGTCATAGTTGAAAGTTGCACCTGAACCTGTCAACTTCATGCGATTATATTCTTTCTTTTCTTTTTCTTTTCTTCTTTTTTTATACTTTTTTACTTTTTTCTGACTGCGTCATGAGGGTGGGGGATTTCCAGCTGGCATGTGAAAGATCCCTTCGGGTTTTTTTTAGCTCTGTCAGCACGGTCAATCATGCAGTTAATCTACATTGGGCGACAGTAATAATAATATAATAATAATCATAATAATCATAATAATACTCACACGGCCAGTTGCCCGACGAGGAGAAGCGAAGGCCAGCAGTTCTGGAGAACTCCACAGCGATCATCGCCAGGGCGGTGAACTGGGAGCGACCCCGGCCAATGAGGGCGAAGATATTGGGGATTGACCCCAGACGCTCGACGCCGGAGCGGGGAAAACGAACTGCCGGCTGGAGATCGGGACACGTGCGGTACGCTATGCCGCATTCGGACGGATCGACGCTATATGATTGGCTGCGAGAACAGCTTATCGCTTGTCTCTGATTGGACGGCCATTTATCGACCTTCAAGATGCCCTCTGTTCTGCTCCCTTCGAGGGTCAAGGCGGCCAGGAGATATAGCAGGAGGGCATGTCCATCGCTCGCACAGAGATCCCGATGAGTATATCTCGCATTTTCGCACGAGAAAGAGCATTCCGAGAGAGCACCGCGGCGACTGTCGCCCAACAAGCCGCAGTCCGGAGGCAGATTTCGCTGTACGTAATACTAAACGTCGACCCGCGCGGCCGGGAGGCTCCAGGCCGGAAATCCAATCAGGCGGGCGTGGCTTATCTCGTTCCTGAAGTCGGAATGCTCAGGACTGGCGGCGAGGGCGGAATCTGTTACGTTTGGAAACCAGCGGACGAGATGATCGTATGGAGAGACCCGGAAGAAGTCATGGATTCTGTTATTAATCGACGGTATATTATCGTTGTAGACGGAAGCGTTGGAGGCGTCAGGAGCAGAGGACGAGCCTCTTCTTTTTCTCTCTTTCTTTCTGCCTCTTCTCTCTCCAGGGAGGAAGGAATCGAGCGAACACGACTGAATTATATTGCCTTCAAGGACAAAGAGTGAATAGCGTCAAGAACGGTCGCGTGTCCGCTCCGCCAAGGAGGACCAGGAATGACGGAGAGATCCCACCGACATCTCATCCTGCTGCAATCACTAGGCCTAGCAGGTTCCCCAAGACCGTGAATAATAATCGGATAAGAGAAAAACCGTTGGTTTCCATTTATCGTTTCCATCAATAATAATCAGCCATCAATCAATCAATCAATCAATCAATTAACAAACCCTCCGTTCCGCCCCAGCAGGGTTCGTTATCTGGGCGCGAGATCGCTCTGCATCCCCGGTGATAAGCTGCACGGGGTTCAGTCTTGATATCAGTCCAGAGCAAAACCGTCTCGGATCCATTGGCCCATCTGGCTCCAGTTCGATAACCCCGGATAACCAAGTGCTATACCGGGAAGGTGATTCACGCACACTCGATACGTGACATAATCGCCCGTCGGATCTCCCTATCGTCAATCCCTCCTATCGTTCCCCCATATCAACATCCTGGGGGCGCCGCCATGGCCACGGTCATCACTATTCAACCGACCTCAGCCGGCCCTGCTGCTGGCCCGGTGGACACTTCGCCCACCTCTCTTCAGCAGAGCCGTGATCTCTTCCGACATCGTGCCCAGCAGATGAGTTCGGCCTCGTCCTCAGCCTCCGATTCCGCCTCTACCATTACCGCCTTGACGTCCCTCAGCAGCATCTCTCGCGGTCCGAGTCGGGATGGGGCCAGTTGTGACGCCTGTCTTCGAAGAAAGAGCCGATGCGCCATGAACGAAATGGTCAACAAATGCTACTCATGCGAGTTCCACCGTCAGGACTGCACCTTCACCTTGTCCAGCAGCAGCATCACCAGCAGTACCGCCGCCGGAGAAGCCCAATCGAGAAAGAGGAAGCTGGACGAGACGACTGCGATCGACCAGGAATCAACCAAGAGGTATGGCACGCCTCTTGCGGGAACTGACCCCGGAGGATGATCCAACATCATCATTCCCCGGTCGCATGGGAGCCCGTCCGGCAGAGTATCGCCATCAGGCAAGCTAATGGTACTGTATAGATCATCAAAGGACCGCCCGACATCTAGCGCCGAGATGCCACGACCACATTCGAGTGCAGCCTCCTTAGCGTCCCCGAGGCCATCCTATCAGTCGAACCAACATATCGGTATGACCACGGAACTCGAGCCTGCTCTCTTGGAGCATCTTCCCCTGGACCAGAACGATGAGACGCTGCTGGCCACCTCGCGGGTGCGGAAGTTCGCTGAAGATGGCGTCTTTATGCGCCTGCTTGATGTCCCGCCGTCAGCTGTCTCTCTTTCAGTCTCTGTCGACACGGTCGAGAACATGGTTGCTCCGTATGGGCCGACGTTGGTGGAGAAGTACTTCCAGCGCGTACATCCTACGTTTCCCATCCTGATCGAGGACGCCTTCCGCCAAGCATATAGGTCCAGAAGGGGCCTCTCCCCTCTCCTGCTGGCTGCAGTCTATGTGATCGCGTTGAAGTTTGTGGATCTGGGGTCAGGTTCACAGCCGGCACGACGACCGGACGCCAATCGTCTCGAAAGCACCGCGATGAAACTACTCAACGAAGCCCTCCCCCGTGCGAACACTGCCACCATGCAAGCCGGTCTACTCCTGATGCAGAGGTCGAATCTTAATACTTCTTCGCTGAACGCTCAGCTGGTAAATGCGGCGTTCGAGCTTGGTCTACACCAGGATTGCTCCAACTGGAAGATGGAAGAGAGGGAGAAGGGGCTGAGGAAGCGACTAGCCTGGGCTCTGTACCTGCAGGATAAGTGGTCATCCTTGGTTCACGGCCGGCCATCCCACATCTTCTCCGCAAACTGGACGGTTAAGGATCTGACGGAGCAGGACTTCTTGGACGCCTTTCCGGCAGTGAAGCGGGAAGACGGGTCTGCTGTTGGTCACGGTCCTCTCCTCTTCTGCCAGTTCGTGGTACTCACCTCTATCCTCTCCGATATCCTCGATAGCTTCTACACTCTCAGAGCCACCGAGATCTTTAACGCCTCGGGCATCAACCAGACACGGATTATTCTGGAGAGGGCTAAGCCGGTGCAAATCCGTCTGAAGGAGTGGTTCTCGCGTCTTCCCTCGCCGCTGAAAATGGACTCGAGCCTTGGTCTCACTGACACCATTTCCGAAGAAGCAGCCTGTAATGGCGCATTGCATCTGGCGTACTTTGCCACGGAGATCACACTGCATCGTTGCATCGTGCGCTCTCTGAAGCCAGAGACTGCCGATCCATATCTTTCACACATCTGCCGTTCCGCCGCGAAGACACGACTCATCTCCGCGATGGATTTTGTCAACCGTCTTCGACCGGCACACTTCAAATCGTTTTGGCCTGCGGCTTCTCGAACCAACTTCGCCCTCATCGGATCTTTTGGCGTTCTCCTCGAGGTCACCGCTCCCACGAAGGAGGAAGCGGAATTTTACAGCACCAGACTTGCCGAATACCGCTGGACATTGAGTGTTAGCAGCAAGAATGCAGGGTTCCTGCACTTTGCCGTGGAGAGCCTCGATGTCGCACGGGGCTTAGTCAAGAACGTCCCTGAGAAGCCCGGTATTGAGGAGCTGATGGCCAACTCCGCCAAGACGGCCATCCAACACCGTAATTCCCAGCGTGATGGGACTATGTCCGATGCACAGGCTGCTCTCGACGGGGATCGTGGGGGCTCCGCATCCGTCGTTTCGGGCCTAGCATCTCCAGCAACCTCTGTATCGGACGAGGACGATATGCATGATTCGTACGTATGAGGTCGCTTTACGAACTGCATGTCCGTTTATGTTTTTTTTTTTTCCTTTTTTTTATGAGCATCCGGGTTGTTCCATGAGTTCACACGATATGATACCTCTTCTTTTGTCGTTATTGCAAGCGTCGAGTCTCTTGGTTATACCTTTCTTCCTTTTGGATTGCATCGACCGATAGTGGGCTCCGCATCCTGAACACACTGTTATGTTACTAAGTCATAATCGTTTCTCTGTTACATGGGACGGAATCTGTGTACATACTTTATGATTCGTTTCTTGCATTTTTGTGTGAGGAAAGGCACCCTGGCTGCTTTGCGTCCCGTACGCCACTCAACGAGTATCCTCATATCGATGGAATGAACAGCATTATATTGCTTATATTGCCTCATATTCTTTCTGGCTGACACCATCCTGGATGGTATGACGTGCTGCCACTGCTGGTATTGCGTAGGAAAGCCCCATGTTGATGAACTACGACCTGAACCAGTTAAGTGTTCCTCCGTGCCTCTACCTGATGACCGTGAGCTTCCATACCGGAATACCTTGGGAGAAACAAAGATAAAATCGTAACTAGCAGTAAATAAGAGATAAGAGTTGAAAGTTAATCGCCCATACCCTTAAGGTCCTCGTTGGTTCGGGGGGAAGCTTAACTCACTAAGTAGTTCACCGCCAAGAGATGGCCCAGGCAATTCGAACCTTAAGTAACCCCAGGGCGGACAACGACATTGTTCATTTTCCATCAAGCACATCGTCGAACCATCCAGGTTATATCAACTCTGCTGTCGAATATTTCTGTTTATCACTGGACGCCGCTCGAGCCAACCATTGGACTGGTCTGAAGCATTCAGTCCCGGGCCTACGGACCACCTGCGCTCGAACCACCCATTGGATCCCGAACTAGGACAGGCTAGAGCACTCGACAGCACCTGTGTATCTACTCCGTACTACGTATCACTGGATACGTGCTCGAACCTGTAGACCCTTCGTTGGTCATTGTTTCGCTGGAAAGGACCAAGTGCACGTCACAGCTACACTCCAACGATGCAAATCGCCGAGATCCTATCCGATCTCACATCTCTACGAGCATGCGTACGTCTCCCTAACCCCCTAATTCTATCGTATTCCCTTTTTCTACACTATAATCCAAATCGATAAATGATGATCTAGCACAACATCAAATCAGGTCACATTATCCCATCCCTCCTCCCCCAAACAAAAACTAATCAATTAAATAATAAAACACCCGAACTCAATCTAACCAATCACCATTCCATGTCCAGGGCCACAACGAAGCAATGGCACTAGTGACCGTCCACAAGAACGGTGACAATGCAGAGAGCAGGGCAAAGTCAGAAGAGAACCAAAACCCTGATCTGCAAAGAGCAAAGGATCTGATTGATTTGCATTATAACGTTAAGATGAAGCATGTGCGCGGTCAGCAGCCGGGGATGGTGGATGAGGGGTTGCGAAAGGCGAGGGATGATGTTAATAGGGTTTTGAGAGAGTTGTGAGTGGTGAGGGAATTCGTGTTTTCTTTTTGGGAGGGGGAGGTTGGACTCTTGTACTATATTTTTTTTTATTCGAGATGAGATATGGTTCTTCTCGTGGTGTTTTGATATGTGTAATTTTATGTACTATGCAAAAAGATAACCTACTCGGAGTGGTTAACTCAAGGCATAATGATCTACGGAGTATACACCGAGAAGACTCCTCCACAGCAGAATTTGAACTTCCTGGAAATCATTCTTTACTTAACTTGATAGAAATAACTAGTCAATTACCATCTCCCCATTTACAAAGCGATGCATCCTCCTACTTACAATGGGCGGACCGGCCCGATTTCCCCGCGGACTCCGGCACGCGACTTTGACCTTCCGCGCAACTGTTGGGATCTTTTGAAGCTTCCGACAATCAGTGTTAAAGCCCAGCCAGCCACGGCTTCTCAATTCTTCTGCGCGTTCCAAACCTTTCTCATCGTACCTCTTGTTCCACACCTGGTCGATTTCTCTTTGCAGGCTGGGGACCTGTAAACCCCCTTGTCGTCCAAGATGGCAACCAGCGTAGACGCCAAGCTGCTGAAGCAGACCAAGTTTCCGCCCGAGTTTAGCAAGAAGGTGGATATGACCAAGGTCAATATTGAGGTTATGAAGAAGTGAGTTTTTCATGGGCAGTCATGTTGACATGGGAATTTTTTGGTCTAACTGAGACTTTGGGCTACAGATGGATTGCAGGCAAGATCATTGAGATCCTCGGCAATGAAGATGACGTCGTTATTGAGCTCTGCTTCAACCTTCTCGAAGGCTCGCGCTTCGTAAGTTATTATTATTGGTCTTGTGCCTATTGCTATGCGTAGAGCGCGCTAATGTTTCCTGTTTCATTCTGCAGCCCGATATCAAATCGCTACAGATCCAACTCACTGGGTTCCTGGACAAGGATACTCCGAAGTTCTGCAAAGACCTGTGGAACTTATGTCTCAGTGCCCAAGAGAACCCTCAAGGCGTTCCCAAAGAACTGCTGGAAGCAAAGAAGCTTGAATTGAGACAAGAGAAGGTATGAAGGTGTTATTGTCCGTGTATGGCGAGCGTGCTGACCTGTGGTTAGCTTGAAGCAGAGATGGCTGCCGAGGAAGCCCGACGACGGAAAGAACAAGAGCGATCCCGCGAACAAGAAATCGAAAGTATCAGGCAGAGGGAACGCGCAGACCGTGGCGGTAGAGGTCCCCCACCTGGAGGTCGTTCAGGTCGCGATTTTGGCAGAAGAGGTTTCAGAGACTCCCGCTCACCTCCGCCCAGGCGACGCAGTCCGCCCCGATATAGAGAAGGCCGGCCAAGGCGGGAATTTGATTCGTATGTTCCTCCGCGTTCCCGGCGAGGACGTCGCCCCTCCAGGTCGATCTCGCGTTCAGTGTCTCGCTCTGCTTCTTCGTCGCGTTCTCCACCCCCGCGTCGATCACGCTATGGGGGAAGAGACAGGTCCAGAGACAGGAGGCGGAGGCCTTCAATCAGTAGCTCTCGTTCCCCGGATAGGAGGGACACTAGGAAGTCGCGCAGACGCAGTTCGGATGCCGGTGATGATCGAGCTAGATCCGTTACTCGCAGTATTTCACCTCGCTCACGTTCTCCCAGGCGAGACCGAAGGAGGGATCGATCGACCACTTCCCGCAGCGTTTCGAGGTCGCCTACGCCCAAAGACAATCGTCGCAGGAAGCATTCGTCTGTATCAAGGTCCAGATCTAGGTCGCGGACCAGATCCGTCGCCCGCTCACCGTCTGACTCTCAGGGCCCCGGTGGGAGGGGTAGCCGCTGGAGGAGATCTCCATCTTACGATTCCAGAGCCTATAGAAGAGATGCACGCACTGATGTTGGCAAGCGCCGTAGATCCCGTGATGATCGCCGTTTGAGCCGCAGCAGAGACCGGTCTCGCGACCGTCGACGTCGAAGCCCAAGTCGAAGCAGGAGCAGAAGCCGTAGTCGAGGTCGCACTCGCACTATCAGTGCCAGCCCACGACGTGATCGTTCGCGCAGTCGCAGTCGCAGCCGCACTCCCAGGGGGGACAGGAAGAGACGGCGGTCCATTGAAAGATATGCCCCAGCAGCCCGAAGACGGCGCAACACCTCTTCGGTTTCCGTACCCACTGAGAAGCGACAGAGAATGGCTGATTCAGAAGAGGAGACCGCAAAGCGGTCACCTTCCCCCGCAGGCCGTCGAAGTTCGAAGGACGAGCAGGATCCGGGAAAGACCTCAAGCCCTGACCAGGTGGGTAGATGAGACCTGACCTCGAAATAACAATCCTGGTCGTCCATGTACAGTCATCTACCACCCAACTTGTTTTTGCTTACGGTGGTCTTCCTGTCCACTAACACCTATCATGGCGGTATAGGCAAAACGGCAACAACAGAATCCCGTTGGCTCGCGGCTCTCTGCTACGAAAATTCGTGAGAAATTGCTTCGGGAGAAGTTAACCGCCATGCGTCGTACAAGTGCTAGCGAAAAGCCTCAGCAAGCAGCGACATCCAAAGAATAATTCTTTTTTCATTTAGGTAGGTGTAAGCATCAGGAAACAGGAGCCATGGGAGTTGCGGTCCTTGGCACAAAAGCAAAGGAGTTTATCTCGGGGAGAAAGCCAAGCGTCGATTCCATCGAAAGTGCATTTTTCTTTCTTCTCCTTTTGGTTTTAGTTAATCAAATAAAATAATGAATCTCTTCCTTCCTCCCTTCCTTCCAGCTTTTTACTCCATGCTTCCTAGTCTGTACATCTCAGTAACTTAGTAGTTAAACTTCTACATGATGCGGATACTTATAGTTCCCGCGCCACCACAACCGAGTATATATATATATATATATAACTTCCTACGCCGAAAATAAACCTGTCACTCTCCGAGTCTACGAACACACACACGCACACACACACACATATATATATATAAGCCCCTCTGATCATATTGAACCCACTAAGCACCCTGCCAACCACGGTACCCTAATCACGAGTCGTCTATATCTATTAAGGAGTCTTCCGTATAAAGCTAAGATTCAAACCGGAGAAATAGGAGATAAAGCCCAGTCCGCTTTATTATTATTTCCAGCCCATTAGTTAATTAACTGAGATTATGAAGTGAACGTAGCTGTCAAGTTCTTCAATGCAAAGTGTACAATTGCTGTTTACTTCAAGAAAAAAAAAACAAATTGCTCCATCTATCTAGAAGAGACTGGGTCCATCGAAGCGAAGAAAACAGATAGCTGGGTATATTATGTATAATGTTATATACGGCACTCCATCGGTCACGTAGGAGTGCACGTAAAATGTCAATTAAGTACAAAATTGAACGTAAAGCTAGATACAAGATGGCCTCCGCTCAAGTTTTAACTCCTCCCTTCGTTCCATTTGGTGGAAGCGTCGCCCGCCACTGACTGGAGAGATGAAGAATGGGCCAGGGGAAAAGGCAGAATCTATTTACTCTTGATTTATATTTTGACATCTTGGAAGAAACCGTTCGTTCGTTAGCTGAGTCGAGAAGAAAGAAAAGGAGTTTTAGTCCTTTTAGTTCGACTTCTGCTGGCAGGTGCAGCTGGTGCTGCTCTCCATCTCGCTGGAGCCAACGACGGTCTTACCGCCGCGGTAGATAACGCTGGAGGACTCGGTCACGCTAGAGCTGGTGGTCGAAGTAGAGCCGCCAACGGGGATGCTGGGGGTGCCAGTGGCGTTGGGCAGGCTGGGGACGTTGTTGTCGCTGTTGTTGTTGGTGATGCCAGAAACACCGCTGGGGACGCTGCTGGCGACGCTCTTCAGAGTGGGAACGGAAGCGCTGGGAACGCCAGACACGGCCGGCGCAGACACAACAGGAACGTTGGGAACGACAACAGATGAGGCACTGGGCACCTTGACAGCGGGAGCAGACGCAACAGGAACGTCGGGGACAACGGTAGAGGCGCTGGGCACGTTGACAGCAGGGGCAGAGACACTGGGAACAGGCTTGACATTGCTAACCATGGAGGCGGTTGGCACCTTCACGGCGCTGGCACTGGGGAGAGCAGGCACGGAGGTAGCGGTACCGGTGGTGGACGTGATCTTGCTGGTAGCGGTACGAGTGGTCCAGTTGATAAGAGCGATCTTGACGTCGATATCAATGTCGATGTTAACGGAGCCGGAAAGAAGAGCAGACAGCTCGGCGACGGCATCTGCAGACAGAGAGAGAACATCCTCACCCGCAGCAGCCACAGCAATCGCGCCACGGAGGACAGCACTAAGGGAGGTGCCGACGCTGCTCTCCAGGAAAGCAGTGATTTTGGAGATTTCGTCAACAGCGAGAGTAACAACGCTGTCAACCTCGGAGCCAATGTTGAGCCAGAAGAGCAGAATTCCCTTAAGCTCAGCGGTAAGCTGGCAGTCGACACTAGCAAGCCAAGCAGTCAGAGCAACCCGGGCATCCACGCTCAGGGTCTTGGCCAGTCCACCCTGGACAGCAACCTGGAGAGAGGCCTTGATATCAGCGTCGACCTTTGCGGAGACGTCGGCAGACAGGAAGGCTCCCAGAGAAGCCTGAGCGGCAATAGACAGAGCACCACCGGCCTCGACGTGGGCAGAGATGGAAGCACCGACGGAGAGGGAGGACAGGGCGGTCTCGACGAGGTCCTCAATGGCGACAACAGCACCTTCAATAGTGCCGCTGAGCCAGTTGAGAACAGTTGTCTTCAGCTCAACCGAGAGAGCGCAGTCAGCACTGGAAACGTAGGCCTGAAGAGCGGCCTTGACATCCGCAGACAATCCAAGAGACAGACCACCAGCGGCACCGAGGTGAAGACCAGCCTTGACATTGGCATCAAGGCCAACTGCTGAGGAAAGGAAAGCAGCAAGAGACGCCTGAGCAGAGACACCAATGACTGCGTGCTTCTTAACATCGGCAGCAGTGACGACACCGTCGAGAGTGACAGTAAGGCCGCCCTGGGCAGCAACCTGGGCAGTCGCCGGGACATACATAGACAAACCGGCAACGACGTCCACGGAGACAGTCAGAGAGTCGTCACCCGTGCACCAATCCATCACGGCAGTCTTGAGAGAAGCATCGAAGAATACAGCAGACGAGCCGCTCAGCCAAGCGTGCAGCTGTGCCTTAGCACCGGCATCGAACAGACCAGCCTTGAGGCCGAGGGCGCATCCCTCCAAGGCAGCGGCTCCCTTCGCTCCAAGGCCACTGACGGTGTGGATGCCGAGCAGGCCGTTGACAAAGGGAGTGAGGTCGGCCTCGATATCAGCGACCACATCAGCGACCACGTTGGTGAGCTGAACACCCCTCCGGTCAAAGGCCAGGTTGGTAGGGAGAGCGAGAGCATAGGTCGCCAAGGTGGCGAGGAGGACGATGCTTGAACGCATGGTGATTAGGCTGTACGTTTGAAATTAAAAAAATGTAAGGATAGACTGTCTATGTTCAAGGGTAAAGAACGAGTGAAATGCCCTTGGCGAAAGACCAAAAAAGAGAGACTGAGGTGGGAAAATGGTTGGTGACCTGGAAACGATGTCCAAGAGCTGTTGGACAGGTTATATACTCACTAGCCCCTGAACAACAGCAGGCTGCTTGATTCCAGGGACCATGCTCTTTGGACGTTTCGGCCTACTACCAGTGCTCTCGTCTGGAAGACCCCAGGGGCTGAGAACTTGCCAAGCAGCCAAGTCAACAACAGATGGGGCGAAGCGGAGCAGCTTCCGACGTGGATAGCTTAAACTCTAGGGTAACGGTCAATTGCAATTGGAGGTGGATCGAAGAAAGGGGACCGTATTGAGATGGTGGATTGCCGGTCTTATTCTAGTTCCATGACTGATGCAAGATGTAGTTAGATGCTTTTTGACAAGTGCTGATTGCATGTCTCCGGTAACGATGACACCAGTTTTGCAGATATCTGATAACTTGGACCAAAATTTAGGATCATATGGCTGGAGAAAGACAAGCAGGCGTGTTGGTAGCTTGGCCTTAACAGGATCCAGCAAAAAGGCATAAGTTCCATGAGAGCTCTCTAGATCGAGACGGAAATGGCACCAAATAAAAACGTGGAAATTGAATAGAACGGTAATCGAACCCGAAGACATCCATGATTGGACATGATGAATGGAGATAGGTGTCATGATCCACAGATCGCCGCAGCTTAACTTGCTTGGTGGGTATGCTTTGGCTCCGGCTTCCGGGTGTCCGTTGGTCTGTTGGTAGTTCGCCTTTTAGAGTGAAACTGGGAGATTAAAATAACCGGAAATTTCAATAGCTTAATCAAGGATTCTAAGTGCCCTGATTTTATAACGGCACCTGGGAAAGGGCCAGTAATCGCTCCACGTGGGAACGAGCGAAGGAGAGAAAATGCACAATATTGAGGTTAAAAAGGAGAGTACCTGCAAGATATTGACGGTACGAACAACGAGAAACATCACCACAGGCTTGGTCAGTCAGTTCACATCGCCTAAATGCGTTCGATTTTGGGAGGTGGAGGTGTTGTTCACTGAGGCTGAAATTGGGACGATTTTAGAGCATCCGGCAAAGAATAGTTGTGTCAACGGCCTTGGAAACGACAAGCAGCTACAGGTCGGGTGTCAGCCTCTTATGCTCAAGGCGAAGCTAAATGTGTCCGTTTTTGTCTGGAACCGATTCCGTGATTCCGGATTCCCAACCGAGGGCACTGTTCTGATAGTGGTCCGTCCGATGGAGTAAGCCTCATCAGGAAATCGCCTAACGTTGCCATGTTTTGCCATACTACTGCATCAGTGCATGACGGTGGTTTGCAGAGGCCTGCATAGAACGTTCATAGATTCATATGAGCAGTCATTTATCGTTCACGACTGCCCTGCAAGTGATAGGTCTGATACCAGAATCGTAATGGTCACATTTGTGAAGAACCTACCCCGTACGTAGTTACCGAAGGGAGGCAGAGTCGGCGCTAGTGATTCTCAGCTGCCCAAAGTACACCTCTGGCTCAGAGAGATATATCGTTAGGACACCTCGTAAACATTACCGAAAAGAGCATGCTGTTGAACCTGGTAGTGTTGGAAAAGACGGGACCGTGATAGCCGGCTCTTCCATCTAATCCTGTTGACAGCTCCGTGGCTCGTACGGATAAGTCTTACTCGGAGATAGATGGATGCAAAAACTGACATAAGCACGTATATGTGCATCTGCTGATTCGCAAAGATGAATCGTACCTTGAAGACTCGAGTTATCCTGCAGTCTGGAAACGAAGCTCACAATGTTAGATACTTGATGCTCTTGAAGAGTTGCGTTGACGTCTGGAGAGGAACCCATGTTCACGTGATAGTTCGATGACTCAGCGAGAGTGGCTGACTCAGCATGCCGTCCTGTTGCTCTGGCAACGACTGTTGATGTCCGCTCTCACGTGACCAGTACTCGCGCCAGTTCATCTCGGGCTTCGTGTTTTAGATATCAGGATGTTCGACACCTGAACGAGTCAACACAGAACCAAACAGCAACGACATTTCGCATACGGGCCTCAATGCGCTAGCTAGCGCATGAGGGTTACTAACATGGCGATGGCACCCTCTCCGACACCACTCGCATCGAATTACAGCAACAGTCTCCGCCGACGACCCTCATCGCAGCACATGTCCCGCTCAACGCTCTCACGATCCCTCTCCCGGAGAACTTCGCCTGCGACCGGATATGCTCCGACATCCATATCGAGGCAATTCAGTTCCGGCGACAGCTCGGATGATGAGGTTCCGGAACCGAAGTTCAGCGCCTCTGTTAAGGCCTTGTTAGAGGAAGACGACATGCGCCTGGATGCTTCCCCTCGTCGGAACGAGAAGGGCAGAGAGTTCTTCAACGATAGTCGTCCGTCCGTATCGACAACATCTCGACTGGAGAGGGAATCTCGAACTGCCTCCCCTCATGAGCATTCAACGGGTAGTCCTGCTCCTCGAGTAGTCCGTGTCGCTTCTGGCCCCCGAGCTTCGCAGAGACGGGAAAGTTCCCTCCTGCAACATGAGAGCGGGGAAATCGACCGGAGAGACTATGGAAATGATCTCATTACTCCAGCTCCACGGACTCGCAGTGTTCGCATAACTGGGTCCCGAAGCCACACCCGGTCACCTACGTCCAACTCTCCGTCATATAGAAAGTCAGCGGAGAAAGAAGTAGGTGAAGATCACAAAAGCACGGACTATGCGATTGAAGAGCGAAAATTGCGTTTCGACGAAGAACCAGCGCCTCGTATTGGTACTTCTAGTATTCTTCGTACGCGGAATGGCGATGAGTTTGGCATCCACAGCTCGTTACGAGTCAAGCGAGTGGGAAGGCTTACTGGTTCTTTCTTGAATGGCCCTGCGAGGCGAGGAGTGCTGCGAAGGCAAAGCGAGGAGAACAATGAGTCGGAGCCAACAGTAGACGACAGACGCAGCCCTGACGGGGGACGAAGAGACTCAAACCACAGTGCGAGCGACAACGTCGCAGAGTTACAAAGCAAGCCCCGTAAAAGTCCATCACCGAAGCTATCCTGGGTTGATCCCACCCCGCAGCCAGCAGTCGACGATTCGAACCCTGCACAAACCGGGAACGGCGAAGGCCCCTTCTCGAGGCCTTCTTCGCCCAAATCCTATGGATCTCGCTCGAAATCAACCCCAGGAACAGGCTCTGAGACATCCTCCAAAATGTCAAGCGCGAAAGAGCAACCGATATTCAGAGTGCCCCCTCCAACTCTACCTTCAACAGACGACCAGGAGAACGACCCGCCGCCGACGTTTAAGCGGGTGAAGTCGCAAGGTTTTAGCTTGCTGGACAAACCTGAGAAGTTCTCCGTTATATATGACGAGGACCAAAAGCATGTTGAAAAGACGCCCGCGACTGTTTCACCTAGAAAGGCGCTGACTTCTCGAAGCAACAATACCCCCCACCGACCTGCTCCCCCGCCGCCAAAAATGTCCGTCCTCGAGACTGCAACAGCCACTGGCGGAGCTGCAACTGCCTCCCAGTCTAGAAAGAAGCGTAGTCAGGTATCAATTAACCACAAGCCGTTCACTCGCATGGACTGCATCGGCCGTGGTGGAAGCTCCAGGGTCTACCGTGTGATGGCAGAAAACTACAAGATATTTGCTCTCAAGAGAGTGAATATCGAGGACGTCGATCCGGTAACCCTCTCCGGCTATAAAGGAGAGATTGACCTTTTGAAGAAGCTCGAAAATGTGGACCGTGTGGTCCGACTATTTGACTGGGAGCTAAACTCGGATAAGCATACATTGAGTGTCCTGATGGAGATTGGCGAGTCAGACTTGGAAAAGATTCTCACATATCGGCTGAATGCTGAGGATGCGGTCTTGGACATCAGCTTCACTCGATACTACTGGAAGGAGATGCTTGAGTGCGTCCAGGCAGTGCACAACTTCAATGTGGTTCACTCAGACCTGAAACCTGCGAACTTTCTCCTTGTCCAGGGGAGACTGAAGTTGATCGATTTTGGAATCGCAAATGCCATCCAGGACGACACTGTCAATGTCCATCGTGAACAACAAGTGGGGACGCCCAATTACATGTCCCCAGAAGCTCTAATCGACTCCAACGCTGCCAACGGTCTGCCGGCAAGTGTTGGTAAGATGATGAAGCTGGGTAAACCTAGCGACGTCTGGAGTCTTGGTTGTATTCTGTACAAGATGGTGTACGGGCAACCGCCCTTCGCACGGATAGCCAAATATTATGAACGAATCATGGCGATTCCGAACCCGAAAGTGCAAATCGAATTCCCGGCGTATGGCGTAGGAGCTGTGCCGGTTCCCCCGGGACTCATCCGGACAATGAAGCGGTGTCTGCAGCGTGACCAGACTCTACGCCCTACGGTGGAAGAACTCCTCAGCCAGAGGGATCCCTTTCTTTACCCCGAGGCTCAGCTTGAAGGCACAGTTCCTGTGAGCCAAGAGATGCTCAGTCGAATATTGACCAACGTTGTTCACCACTGTCGTGCACGCGGTGTGCCAACAGATGAGGAACTGGCTGCTTGGCCAGCTGGGTTCTATGCTAAGATCAAAGCTGCCCTGGAAGATGAACACGCTCATTAAAGTCTTACGAACGAGTTTCCTTTGTTATTATTACATTTTTGGAGTTTTGGCAACTTACCCACCGTTTAATACCTGGGTCATTGGCAACGATCGGTTTTCGATACACATATGTTCTTTGGTTTCCTCGTCCCATGACGTTTTCTGGGACCCATTTCAGGATGGAGTTCGGTAGGCTCTGCCTTTCTGCCGCGTTCAAGCATTATACGATTTTCATGTATTCGACATGAGTTCTGCACTTGGGTCAGGTTCTGGGTCTGTGGTCGTATATTGGATTCGACTTTAACATAATTTCTTTCTGGTTAATTCTTCAATATACTTACTTTCCTCATTGTGGGTTAGATTTAGTTCGAAGTTCTTACCCTCGTTGTTGTCTAATCCGTACATTCAAATGCACCATATCATATAGCAGTGCAGATGGCGGCTTTCGCCCGGAGAATAAATTATTCTCTGTCTCTGCACGTGCTCGAGTGCTCAAGTGGTGCCACAGCCGTGAATTTGTTAGACAGGATTATCTTGATTTTCATCCATACCATCGGCACATGTCTCCTATTTAATGTGGAATTTGGACCCGATTACCTAGCAACGGCTTCTAATGCATGCTACCAGCACGAGGCTGAGGGCTGCAACATCACCTTCTCTCGTATACTATATACGATTTTCCTTAAGTCTTCGCAGATGTTTTGCCACTTGGGAATGCCGATTTTACCGTATAATCCTCTTGACCTACATTCGCAATCAGGGTAGGGTCGTTGTGGAATATTCCAAAAGAAGCGAATTCATGTTTAGGTAACTTCCAGCTCGCTTTGTTTCAATCAATTGGAAAATTGGCCTGACAGTCTAACCTCATCGTCTCTATAGGCCGTCACTAATCATTTGCTTTTGCCCAAATGAAAGGTTCGAAAGCTCATGACATTGTGGCGTTTCGTTGCATCGAGTCGATTCCGGCCCCCAGACAAAAGCAGATCTCGGTTCCACTGGATGAAGTTCCCACACAATTGGGTTCGAGCAGTCAAAGATCGCAAAGCGATGACCCACATTTAAGGCGTGAACTCCTCGAGGGATCGCAGAGCTTACTCTCAGCCTGTCAGGCATTGGTATCCCGCGTCTCCAGACAAGGACCACCCATAATCGCCGTTTCCGGCCAGGATCGCCAGAGGAAACTTCAGCCGGTGGACAAACATAGAATTATGGAGGATGGGCCAGCCGGATCACAGGGCTGGTCTCATCCGCCGAAGTAGAGTTATGGCCCAGCCAAAGGGTTCGTTGTATATGTATGTAAAGGTACCCCCGCGCGATGCCGCTCCTTGAAAAAGAAAAAGGACACCCCTTGCGACAACGATGAGGCAGTAGCAGTCTGCCCGAGCATGTCTGCAAATGGTCTGCAGCAAGATGTCGATATCAGTTGGCGCATCTGGGTCGGAACAATTACCACAGTGGTGCCGGCCACGTTTGCGGTGGTTTTGCGGTTCACTGCACGTTACGTTGCGAGCGCTGGACTCTGGTGGGACGACTGGACGATTTTAGCCTCCCTGGTATGGTGACCCTTCAAGTAGACAGGCCTCAATATCAATCCCTGACACCGTTGGCAGGCTGTCAACTGGGCGATGGCAGCGATACGATGGGTTCAGGTGTTGCATTATGGTTATGGTCGCCATGCCGCATTCCTTGCCGCCGACAAAGTTCAGTCATTCCAGAAGGTAAAGCATCTCTTTCATGAGTGACGTGAAATAGCCGCTTTTCCACGTAACTGATGTAGCTATGCAGAGCTTTCTTGCAGTTCAAGTCACCTATTTCACCAATGCGGTCACTACGAAAGCCTCTCTGTTGCTTCTATATTATCGAATTTTTGGGATTATCAGGGGATTCTGCTACGCTCTCTGGGTATCAGGGGGGATTATTGTCAGCTATTTCATAGCCTGCATGATCGTCTGTATTGCGGGCTGCCAGCCGGTATCATATTTCTGGAACAAACATCAGCCTGGCAAATGTATAGACGAAGTCAACTTCTTCCGTTGGAATGGGTTCACCAATATGCTGCTGGACTTTTTGGTCCTCTGCCTGCCCCTTTCAATGACATGGCAGATCAGAGCGAGCTGGAGGCAAAAGTTCGTCATTAGTGGTATCTTTCTTCTCGGTGGATTGTAAGTGGATCTATTTTTCTGGCTTCAATTCCATGATGATCGTTAACAAAAACCAACAGTGTCTGTGTCGTCTCTATCCTACGCATCATTGCATTCAATAAATCCAATCCAAAAGATCCTACTTACACCACAATTAATACAGCAATGTGGTCCTCTATCGAACAGTCCGTTGGAATCGTCTGTACTTGTCTTCCAACGTTAAGACCTCTGGTGCGACGAATCTATGAAACCTCCAAAACTACCGCGACAGAAAGTTCTACTGGCTCTCAATCTCGGATACGGTCAACTAACATCCACCTATCTAACCTGGGATCGACCCAAACTACTAGTTCCGCCGGATTTATTGGACTTGGAGACGATGACTCCCTGGACGAGCACAGCGGTATCTACTCGGGGCCCAAGGGCCGTATGAAATCAAAGGTTAGTGTGGGACAGGATGGCACTGGACGACCGGTCGAGCCTGTCCCCTCAGGAATCCGACTGGAAAGGGAGATCCATCAAACAACGAGTTCTATATGAATAACTACTTACAATAATAACGATGTATATACGTGAAATGATGTACAGTACGGACTTTATCGGCTATCTGCATGGCAACATAGCTTGGGACTAGGGAGCTGGTACACTGGATGGGGTTTTGGCGCAGGAATTATAGGACATGGTTTTGTATAGTTTCAGTGAATCGCTGGGTGTACACGAATCCAAATTTTGTAAAGATAGAAGTTTCAGAAATAATAATAGTTCCAGGGGTCCCTAGGCCTCTCAAAACCCACCTCGACCTACCTGGACGATCGCCGTAGTATAACCATAATAATAACTATGTAGTACGGAGTATGTCTTTGGATATGATCAGCTTGCCCTGACAACAAATAAGAAAGTACCTGCCACACTATAGAGATAACGAATTTGCTGAATACGGCCAGATGTGAATAACTTGCTCGCTTGTAGATAACATCTACATAGTACTTACTAGTTATGAACTATTGCTGGATTTCTGATTGAATACGTAATGCTGAAGCCTTAACCCGCTTACCACATACTCATATTGCCCACCTTTCTAAGTACGTATAGGAGTTCCCGCATAAATCTTTATTTTCTATATTCTTCTGCCCTTTCCCACCCCTGGTCGTTCGGAAGCGCCGATGGCTGGGTTTCTTTTCTCCACCGAAAGATCGAGGATCGGCATCATCCCGATCGACCCACCGTTTCTGATAAATCTTTCTAGTTCCAACGATCCAAGTCTGCCACTGGCCCAGTGTTTTGCTTTTCCTTGGAGCTTCGACATGGGGGTTTCCGTCCCATTCCTCCCTGATTGGATATGTGATACTGAACTTGTTCTCAGCCTCGGACTGAAACTCGGCGCGGCGCCATCGATAGACATACCCATGCAGATGGAGTAATTGGGGCTGGCTGATCTTGGCAACAATATCAATGACGAGGTGGAAAAAAGAACCTCGTCATTGATATTCTTGCCAAGAGGTCTGTAGGGAAACTCTCTAAGGCAAGCAATCTTTCCTTAGTACTTACCCATCTAGGGAGTGCGGATCGATCGGCGACAAAATGGAATCGTTCCAGAGTGTTCCTGGACCCCTATCGAGAGTGAACCGCCCACTTGGGGCCAATTGATTAGATCTTTGACGGGATATTAAATCCATGCCTGTGACACGGTCCCCGTCGGATCTTTCCGCCAGACCGCGTGGTTCAAGGATGGTACATACATAGGCTAAACCTTCGACCATGTGGATATGCTGCACAGACTGCAAGTACCGCACCCGCCCTTGTTGTGTTCAGTTCTAAGGAACTTTTTACCGGGCTGGAAGGAGTTCAGATAAACTTCCTATGAGAGGAAAGTTGACTGGTTGATTGATATGGTTCGTCGCGTCGTCGGCACAATATCTCCCGCGAGGGGCGGTGCTCTCTTGAGCCGGAAGTGGAATTTGGCATAGCAGATCTCTCCGCAGCTCGAGGTCCATTCCAAAGTCTCTTTTATATATTCCAGGTTGCAGCTCCCCACGTCTGGGCACGATGTTTTTTCAAGCTTGTGATCCCTGGCGTCTTCCCCGCGGTGACTCTTGCGTGGGAACAATTTCGAAACGCCCAAGCATTGTGGTGATTTCGTCGAAGCCGTGGTCTGGGTCCTAGACGCGGTGCAGCGAACACTATGAGGGGAATCTCACAATTATGTCTACTGTCTGCGGCGACGGTGGTATCAGCGCAGTTGAACCTCAATCTACTCGACTATGGCCAACTAGGACCCCTTCTGGGCAGCTCCTTTGGGCTCCCCGGCACGAACGCAACCTTTGACTATGTCGTCGTTGGAGGAGGTAATGCTGGGTTGACCATAGCCTCGCGGTTGGCCATGAATGGCTCAGCCAGTGTCGCTGTTGTCGAGGCAGGCGGTTTCTATGAGCTTGATAATAGCAATTTGACTGTTATCCCGGGCTCGGCAACTTATTTTACTGGATCGGATCCTAACAATTTCCAACCGCTCATTGACTGGGGATTCAACACTGTACCGCAGAAGTACTCTGCAAATAGAGTTGTTCATTATGCGCGCGGAAAGACACTGGGTGGTTCATCCGCCAGAAACTATATGCTCTATCAGCGTGCTACGGTGGATAGCTTGCAGAGATGGGCGGATGAGGTGGACGACCAGAGCTACACCTTCGATAACCTGCTTCCATATTATAAGAAATCCTGCCATTACACGGGTCCAAACAAGGCCCTGTATTATAATTCCTCAAACACTCAAGATCCGGATGCCTTCAGCTCGTCTGGTGGTCCACTCGAGGTTTCATTTAGTAACTTTGTGGATCCGTTTGGCACATGGGCACGAAAGGCATTCATCAACGTCGGCATGAAGCAAATCGATGGCTTCAACAGTGGGAAGCTACTCGGGTCCGCCTATGCAACGCTGACTATCAAGCCAGAGAATGCACACCGGTCAACTTCAGAGTCCAGCTTCTTACAAGAAGCGCTCAATGCCGGAGCCAACATCAATGTGTATAAGAATACCATGGCGCAAAAGATCTTATTCGACTCTAACAAAACGGCCACAGGTGTGCATGTCATGACTGCCGGTACTTTCGGTACTCCGTCTGTGAACTTCACGCTCAGTGCGCGCAAGGAAGTCATCGTTTCAGCAGGAGCTTTCCAGTCTCCTCAATTGCTGATGGTTTCTGGTATTGGACCCTGCAACAATCTTTCTGAATTCGGTATCTCCTGTATCAGTGACCTCCCGGGCGTTGGCCAGAATATGCAAGATCATCCAATCTTTGGAATTGCCCACCGTGTTGGTGTGAACACGGCATCTGCGAGCATCAACAATAAAACCCTGGCTGCACAAAGTGTCCAGCTCTACCTCAATAATGCGACTGGGCCGCTGTCCATCTTTGGGCCGGGTTACTACGGATGGGAGAAACTTCCCCAGCCCTACCGCTCATACATGTCCAACGGCTCTATCAAAGCTCTCTCGACCTTTCCTGCAGACTGGCCAGAGATCGAATGGCTCCCGGTAGCTGCGTATAATGGATACAACCTCAATAAACAAACAGCTGACCCTCACGACGGCCATAACTACGCCACCGTCAATACTGCCCTTGTTGCACCTTTATCTCGTGGAACAGTCACACTCGCCGGTCCTGATATGAACACACCCCCAATAATCGACCCGAAATGGCTCTCTCATCCCGCAGACCTCGACCTCGCAGTCCAGTCCTTCAAGCGCCAGCGCCAAGTCTGGGATGAGCTGGCCAAGCTCGGCATTGCTGATCCTGAAGAGGCCTTCCCTGGCTCGAACTACACCACCGATGCGCAGATCAAGGACATCATCGGCCAAAGCATGACGACCGTCTACCACGCATCGTGCACGTGCAAAATGGGTTCGAAGAACGACACGAATGCAGTGCTAGATAGCTCTGCTCGTGTTTATGGCGTGCAGAACTTGCGCGTTGTTGATGCGAGTAGTTTTCCGTTCTTGCCTCCGGGACATCCCCAGTCATTGATCTACGGACTTGCAGAGAAGATTGCTGAGGATATTCTGAGTGGGTAGAGTAAATAGTAAATATGTCTCTGGTATTGCATATATTATGCATGTATAGGTGTAGATGCATCTGCTATGTTTTGACGATGTTATGCTACGCTCTGTATATAGGAATATCTAACTTTCCACTTATCAACCGATCTCGTATAGTCGTGTACTCATTTGCTCGACATATAGGTTACAGATCTTTAAAGACGAGAAAAATTATTCTCGAAAGGCACGATGGATAATGTCTGCATATGGATATGATTGCGGTGGATGGATCATAATAGTTTAAAATACACCCTGATAAGGACGATATCTATTTGTACAGTACACAAGCCCATGCCTGGATGGTAGACCCCCGAGTCTTCCGACATGACGCGAATAAATGGGAAAGTAGACAGAAGTCGAAGCAGATCGTTTCTCCATGCACTGATGGTAATTTTGACCGATAGTTCTCTTTTCGTTTTCAATTTATGCCTTAGACTCCATGGTTGCAGAAGCGAGATCACCTTCCTCAACCACTTCGGCGCCTTCCTCCAGCAGCTCCTCCACGCTCTTGACCTTCACATCCATCACACGCATGAGAGTATACTTGTGCTTGCTCCGGATGTGCTGAGTGTGTCTCTGTCGTCTCTTCGTCTTCTCCTTGATTCGCATCGGCTCCGCATCAACACCTAGCACCCGCACCCGACATTCGAACATGCGCTCATCGATATAGGGGGCTCCCTTGAGCGTGAAATCTCGGGAACCAATAACAGAAGCACGGTTGAAACGCAGAATGTCACCAGGCTTGACTTTCGGCATGTGGAAGGGCAGACGGAGGTGGTCACCAGCCGTGAGGAGGTAAGGTCGCGCATGGAGGTGTGCGACGATGTAGTGTGGGGATTGCGTAGTGAGATGGGGGAGAGTGCTGACGAGGGACTTGGTCATTTTGAGAGGAGCAGTGAACGTCGGCTGAATGGGCAGCTTCTCTGGAGGGATGTGGTTGCGTGTCACTGGGACAAAACGCGCGCCGCTCTCGGATGGTACTCGGTGCTCCGGTAGATGCTCTGGTTGAGAGGTCTGCGCTCGCGGCGTGGCGCTCAATGGGCTCGAGGGGTTCACTGGAGACTTGTGTGGATGGATCTCAGATGAGACCGTCGAAGACGCAGCTTGATGGAGGCCTGCTCGTTGTGGTAGAATCGGAGCAAAACTTAAGGATGGGAGAACGCTGGGCGTCCATCGCACTTCGAATGCGCTCCGAAGAGCGGTTCTGGAGAACATGACGATGTGAATTCCTCCCTGTCGAGACCAGATTGAAAGAGGCGGAGGAAGTGGTAGAAGCGGCGATGCTCCCCAGCCGTAGAATCAACTTCAATGCTCTCGATCGATCTGCTTGTCTGGATTTCCGGATGTCGAGAAAATCGACCGGACTGCGCGAGTGGCCGCCCCGCCGGCCGAAGAGATCACGTGGTGTCTATCAGCGCTGGGGATTTTGACAGCTATCAACTGTATATCGTAAAATATGAGTGCTTGAAATCTCAATTAGTGGCTGACAGTAGCTTTTAAGAGAAGCTTGTTCGAATTGAATAGTGCAGCACTGTCCAGCCGTCGAAGAAACTCATAGCAGTCGCCAATGCGGCACAGTAGATCTGAACCACGTGACTTTATCGATGCCAAGATTTCGCCCGCAAAGACGATTTTTCTAATCATCAACGCCATCTCAGCAGAGAGAGATCATCAACCCATTCCAGCTGACGGTACATTTCGTTCAGCATGGTAAGTCTTAATGCCTTGTTATATGAGTCTGGATAGTAGTGCTAATGAATCTCTTCGTGAAAATTACAGCCTCAGAACGAGTTCGTCAACCCAATATTCTCCGCCTGAAACATGGGGCAAAGGACTGATATTGGTACAGGTATATCGAACGCTGGCAGAAGCAGCACGGGAAGCGGTACGTTCCATATTTTCATGATTCTAGGGTTTGCGTTATTATGTAGAGATGGCAATCGAAGTCTGACTAAACAAAAAGCCTCGACCACGAGGAACGCACCCGAAAGCGCATCGCCCGTGAATCCCACAAGCAATCTCAGGATGCCCAGAATCTCCGCGGATTGAGAGCTAAGCTCTACCAGCAGAAGCGCCATGCAGAGAAGATCCAGATGAAGAAGCGCATCCGTGCGCAGGAGGAGAAGAACGTCAAATCGTCTGCTCCGGAGGAACCTTCGTCTACGCCACTGCCCAACTACCTGCTCGACCGTTCTCAGGCTACCAATGCCAAGGCTTTGTCGAGTGCGATTAAGGAGAAGCGAAATGAGAAGGCTGCCAAGTTTGCGGTGCCCCTGCCTAAGGTCAAGGGTATCAGTGAGGAGGAGATGTTCAAGGTCGTCACTACCGGAAAGAAGACGCACAAGAAGTCCTGGAAGCGTATGATCACGAAGCCGACTTTCGTTGGTAACGACTTCACTCGTCGCCCCGTCAAGTACGAGCGCTTCATCCGACCTATGGGTCTGCGATACAAGAAGGCCAATGTGACCCGTAAGTGTTTTCCCGCCAGAGTCCATCAGTCGAGTAGCCTGTGCTGACGCATGACAAACGATAGACCCGGAACTGGGAGTTACGGTTCAGCTGCCGATCATCTCCGTCAAGAAGAACCCGCAGAGCCCTATGTACACCCAGCTCGGAGTCTTGACGAAGGGTACCATCATCGAGGTCAACGTCTCCGAACTGGGACTCGTGACGGCAGGTGGAAAGGTCGTTTGGGGAAAGCTGGCCCAGATTTCCAACAACCCCGATATGGAGTAAGTTTTGGCCATTCCATGGCTTTCCTTTCCTTTCAGTAACTAACATTACGTAGCGGTACCGTGAACGCAGTCCTTTTGGTCTAAACGATCACCGTGTCCTCACCGACGACTTTTCCCCTTTGATACCAACTCACCGAAAGAACCTACGTTTCTATCGTTTTTCAGTGCACATTTTGATTGGGTTTCGAATATCATGGCTGGCGTTCGTGGCGACAAATGGCATTCAACGAAAAGTGGAAGACTATTTACTTAGAGCACTTATATTCCTGTCTGCTGAGAAATGTAGACGGGTATCTCGATAGCAATGAGACTCAGGCGGTATTGCCATGTCTTCTTGGATTTATATTTCTAGTAGCCCTTGGACTCTTTGAAAAATGCATAGCAGAAAGTACAACATTGACAAACGCAGCTCCAATTGAACATTAACTTGGGAAATGGATCAACCGCCATTCCCTATCCATGACTGAAACCGATCAAACGATGATAGGGAAGATCAGCCCTCGCGACCAAAGTATGATAAGCGCGATGATGATCAATATGGCCCACCAAGACCGGATATTCGTGCGCTGCCCACTGCAATATTCAGCCCATCCCGGCCCCGAGCGTTGGCATACTGGAAGGTAACGAAGCATTTCCGCGTCCGCGATGGCTCTCGATGCTATATCCGCTGGTAAGTCGGCCGCGTAGGGAGCGTAATACCGGCCTACTATGATATTGAAAAGGCCATCCCGTGCATGCAGTCGTGTAACCATCCTGGATTGTCGGTAGATAGACTTTACTCGACTGTATCGTCGCTGCTGGTATAATCGAAGCAACGAATCAATATCCTCCAGATCTGATGACTTTCTTGGAGTACTAGCCCCATGGTCATTGTTATGAATGACGCTCTCTAGCAGTGATGCAAGTAATGCAGCGTCTTCTATTGCGCAGTTTGCACCTTGGCCGAAATTTGGAGTCATCTGTTTCATTAAACTTAGCAACAATGCAAGTATAGAATGAATATATTACACAGACCTTATGAACGCTATCACCGAGTAATACCATACGATCGAAGTACCAGGTCTCGAAAACATTCTCCTCCAACGGAGTCATTGACACGACTTCCTTTCGGTCCCAGAGATCCTTGACGTAGATGTTTCCCCATATGCGATATTGACCTATGGTAGCAATAACGCGTTCAACGTCCTCAGGAGGGAAGCGTGGTCTATCCGGATATGTGAATTTCTTCTCCATCTTCTTGATCATAAACCAGAAGATACGACCGCCTTTCCCGTGAATTGTGATGATTGTCAGTCCGTCATAGAACGCGTTGACCTGCTCGCCAGCTTTTAAGCCGTCGATAGGTGATGATATCCCGAATATACATGCGTATTCTGTCTTCATACCTAGCAAGAAATTATTCTCAGCTATTGGTCTTAGCTATGAGAAGATAGGGAGGTTTCGAACACAAACCTGTTTTCTCACGATGCGTAATCAACCCAGGATGATTCTTGTCTGCTCGACGCCACATCTCTGCACGGATACGACTATGCACTCCATCGGCCCCGACCACAAGGTTGCCTGTATATGTAGAGCCATCGTTCGTAACAACACAAGCTTCTTGATCAAGAAAGCGCACATCGACAACTTTCTTGTTCAGAAGAATGTTAGATTTATCCGGATACGTACGATACAGTATCTCAAGGAACTTCTGCCGTTCGAGAAAAGCAATTGGATATCCGAACCTTCATTACACAATGAGCCTTATCAGCATTCAGGCTCAGAAACGAGAAATACGATACAGACCTTCCAGCAAGAATCTTGGGATATCTACTACTGAAACTGAATCCATCCGGGTAAATGATATGAGCTACCTCCAGGGGCTCGACCAGTTCCTCAACATGTCTGTATAGACCCAATTGATCAAGGATCCGCGCGCCATTTGGCAGAATGCCTATTGAGGCACCGATCTGAGGAGCAATTTCGTCTCGCTGTTCAAGAACGACATGGTTGATATTTGCTCGTTGGAGACAATGAGCTAGTGTTAGACCGGCGATTGAGGAACCCACGATAATGACGCGGAAGTTGGACTCTGTCATAGCTGAAATAAATTTGTTCTGCGAGGTTCGAGGATATCACTAGAGGTAACCTTGATATGTCTTGTCGTCTTTAGTATGGACTGCCTATATCTAATGGGGCTACGGGAGTTACACATTGGTGATATGGTGTCACGACAGGGTCTTCTGTGAAATGCACACAAGGGTATCCTTTTTGTTGGTGACACTGGTCTACCCTTTAGTACCTGGACGTAGTGCAATGTACTCCATACAAGTTTTGATTGCTCGTGAGATGTAACTTATACTACAAGGGTTCGGCCCGCAGAGGGGCTGCAAGAGGATCCGTTGTATTGAAGAATAGGCGTCAACGTATATTTAACAGGGTACAAATAAGATGGAATATGCATAGAGCACGTGGAAGCATTCAGCAGTTCTTATTTCTTTCAAGTTCTCGGTGGTCAGTGTAACCAGGTCCTGCAGAAGGTTAACAATGTCGTTGGGGTCGATAGTACAAACTCCTGTCAGAAACTAAGTATACCTTGCAGAATCATAAGACCTGTGCAGGCATTTCTCAAAGTTCTTGCTTGATGTGGAAATTCCTAATCTATGTGGATAAACGCTGCTAGATGAGCTTACCGAAGGTGGGAAAGCATGAATGGTGAGGACGTATATGGTTGGAGTCCAACGTTATGACAATGAGATTATAAATGTAAGACATTGCAATAAACTGCTCCAAATATGGACATAAGATCCCGCAAGGTACATAACACTAGATGTGTTTCTGCTTCATCTTCTGCACCGACTCCTCGCGCTTAATATAGTACAAACATACTCCATAAGAACCGTCAACGGCAAAGAAAACCGCCAAACACCACCATACCAGTGGGCTATTAAGCCAAGAGAACGCCTCGTACCAGTAAAAGTATCGAAGCCAACCGAAAACAACAACGCATGCTGAACCTATGAAGCGAGAGAGCCTAGCGATAAATTAGGTAGTTAGCTACCGTTCATGGCTGGAGCCATATCCTAGACTAGACTCACCAAAGAGTATACGATGCGCCGCGCGAACTATTCCGACAGAGTAACTGACAAAGGCCCCCGATGCTCAGCATCATTTGGCATAATGCTGCACCCCATGAGATGGCAAGTGGATACCCGATCTCAGCAGCCAACGCAAGATGGCCAGTAATGCATACTAGAATCCCGACGAAGAAGATCAAGGGCATATTGCGCATCAGCAAGGGGGAGTGAGTCCATTCGTTAGGTGCGAACCGCACCGCGGCATATATTATGGCGAAATTGATGGCCAGGCCTGTGACGCATGCACCTTTCTCAATGAGATCGTTAGAAGGGTAGATTAAGCCGTATACTATCTCCCAGGCGATGTTACAACAGAGAGGGAAAATTGCCATTGAGTATGTTCTGTCGTGGAAAGATTGATAGACCATGCCGACGTAATTGATGATCCAGCCTATGCCCATTCCTGCAACGAAGATGTTGGAGATCCATTCCACTTCGCGGTATTCAGGAGGTGCTTGAGAGACATCGAATCGGTTCATGATTGAGTCAAATGGGCGATGGAGCTATTGAAGCTCTTTAGCGGATATATTGGTGCCAACAAAAATAAAATGTAGATGTTTGATTAGCGAGACGGGAGGAGTCTGCTTGGTTATCAAAAATGAGGAGCTTCCGACAATATAGCTCTAACGATATTTCAGTCCCTATGTGTGCTTGCCTCGAGGGTCGAATACAGACCCAGGTTTCGAGTAATATGCTGTGTGTTACACCATGCAGATCCAAGGTATGACAGGCACAGTCAATCACGAAAAGTGAAGTTTTTGGGATACAAGCTGTTGTTCACTAATGAAAAGAAATTTCCAACGGCAACTTGCATAATCCTAGGATCGAAGCGTTCGTTGTTCAAGGCTATATTGCACGTCGTACAGAATAAAATTAATCGCATGGTCTTTGTGTAAGATGAAATAGACGAAGTTTCAGATACTGCAAGTACTATAAGAACACGCCTTCGAGAACTGACAGTATTCTATGCTTCAACATAAACATTCATCTTAACCATATTATGAGTCAACGATGGATAAACTTCGTGATGCCAACTGTACTCTGTTACCCTGGGGTATTGTGTTTGGTACCATTATTATCTTCGGCATTCACACAGTCCTGGATCGCATGCCACCTATGTGGTTGAATTCCAAGAGATCTTTAATCATCGGTCCAAGAAAACCGCAACGGATAACTTCTGAAGAATGTCCCTACGCTTATATTCGCCAGGCATATGGAAAGCATCACTGGGCACCATTCGTAAAGAAGCTTTCTCCAAACTTGGAAAAAGAGGATCCGGATAAATATGTCGGGGTTCTGGAGATTATGGATGCAATTCACCTGTGTCTAATGTTGGTCGACGATGTGAGAGGCCTTTCATCCTACAAAACTTCTATGATCTCATTGATACCCAAGATTCTCGATGAACTAACGTTTCATCTATCATTATGCTATAGATATCCGACAATAGCAGCTACCGAAAAGGCAAACCAGCCGCCCACCGAATCTACGGTCGTTCCGAAACCGCCAATCGGGCATACTACAGAGTGACTGAAATCCTCAACATGACAGTTCAGCAGTTCCCAACCCTTGCGCCATTTCTCATGCAGAATCTAGAAGACATTCTCCACGGACAAGACATGTCTCTGATTTGGCGGAGGGACGGTCTTTCCAGTCTTCCGTCGCAGAAGGAGGAACGGCTACAGGTGTATCGAGAAATGGCATCCTTGAAGACGGGTAGCTTGTTTCGATTGCTTGGCCAGCTCGTTCTTGAAGACCATTCCGCCGATAAGACAATGACTGCCATCGCGTGAGTTGAATGTGTCTTCTCTCGTTTGACGATGACATGTGGGAATATTTCTGACTTAGCATTTCCGCAGATGGTATTCCCAGCTACAAAATGACTGCAAGAATGTCTACTCTTCAGATTACGCAAAAGCCAAGGGTGCCATTGCTGAAGATTTGCGTAACCAAGAGCTTTCATATCCGATTATACTGTCATTAAGTGCACCCAAAGGGGAGTGGGTGGCTAAGGCATTGGAATGTGGTTCTGCACGGAATATCCGAATGGCTCTGCAGGTTATCCAGAGCGATAATGTACGCGATGCTTGTCTTACCGAGTTGAAAACTGTCGCTTCTTCAATCCAGGATTGGTTAGCGCTCTGGGGAAGGAACGAGAAGATGAACCTTAAGAGCCAGATGGCATGAAAAATTCAGGGATATTTTTGCTAAGATCTAGATGCCGTGGGATGTCTTGTGGAACGATATACATGATGTGCTCAATAACAATGCCATTCAGCTGAAATGGAAATAAATAAATTAGGCCATCAAACGGAAACAATGTATCACAAAGAAAGACTATCATTTTGACTGCGACTAGTGTACAAAGGCCTTCGTTCCACAATTGATTCACAGCAGTTAATGATAATGCAGGCATTCCTTCGATAGCACTTACTACCGAGGGATATGTCGGCGCACAAAGATTCGTGCATGTGATCTCTCATCTCATATCAACTGTTTGCATCAAGTTTCTTGACTGTTTTTACCATCCTGATCACCTAGATCATAAGACAGATCTTACTGAATTGTTATGGATCTATTCCTTGTACGCTTAGGATATAAATATGAGATCCACCTCCCCCCGGATCTAGGGTCGAGCAAACAACCTCCACCAGGAGGTTCAATCTATAGGATGGCTTCCCTGCTATTTCGGATCGTCCCAGCTGATCAGTTAGGTGATCAAATTCTGGGCTAATCTATGGGTTATCAATTTGGTGGCTCTGAAAAGCAGTTGCTGCTGTATCGGAAAAGAATATATACAAATCTGTTCCACAAGACACCAATAAGACGAGAAATCCCATCCATAACTTAAAGCGAAAGAAAAGCAAGCTGGAATATCCACATAGCCCAATCAAATCCGCAATATTCCCCACGAAAAATCATCAACAGAATCACATCTCTTGGTAAGTTTACATTTATCCGGCCTATCTACTCGGGAGGTCTCCCGGCACGGATAATTCGGGGAGTCAAGTCGCGACTCCGCTGCGGCTACTCGGCCGATCTCCGTAGCTGCGGAGGGGAAAGTCACTCTGCGACGGAGCATTGGTATTATAACTTATCTTTCCCACTCTTGCTTCATATTGTACCATATCCTTCCTGCAGTCTTGATATCATTTATTTTATATTTCTGCAATCGCGACAGGAGCGCGAAGGTCCAGAGAAGGATATAATAGCCAAAATGGCAGCTTCTATCAGGGCCAATTGCAGGAAGGTGATGTGCATTGGGAGGAATTATGCGTATGTTCGATCCTTTTTTCTTTTTGTCTTTACCCTTTGCTCTCAATTGGAGCTCTGGAACCGTTGGCAATACTTCTAGATCGCAGATCGAGAGTCTCAATTGAACCTTCTCTCCCTCTCCTTGTTATCCGTCGCAACCAGTCACTAACACCGAACCCACCCACCAGAGACCACGTCACCGAGCTGAACAACACACGTCCCAAGCAACCTTTCTTCTTCCTGAAGCCGCCATCGTCAATTCTCATCCCGGGTCAAGGACCAGTGCTGCGCCCCAAGGGCGTCAGCCTACACTATGAAGTCGAGCTGGGTCTCGTGATCGGAAAGACAGTTCGGGATCTGGATCCTGAGGATCATCAGGGCGCATTGGATGCTATCGATAGTGCGATTCCCCCCTCCCTAGGTTTTAAACATATTGCGAGGGCTCTTTTTGGTTCCCTATATTGTTTTGCAAGGAGACTGATTGTTTTTGTGTGCTATAGGCTATGTCCTTGCCATTGATATGACGGCTCGTAATGTTCAGGATGAGGCTAAGAAGAAGGGTCTCCCCTGGTCGATCGCCAAGGGCTTCGATACCTTCTTGCCTATCTCGGAGCGCATTCCTAAATCTGCGATTCCCGATCCACATGACGCGTTGCTGCGTTTGAGCGTTGGCGACGAGGTGCGACAGTCGGATTCAACTGGATTGATGCTGTTCCGTATTCCTCGTCAATTGGCAGATATCTCGCGGGTCATGACCCTGGAGCCTGGAGACTTGGTCCTGACGGGAACGCCCAAGGGGGTTGGACAAGTGAAGCCTGGCGACATCATGAGGGCCGCCATTGAGGTCAACGGGAAAGAGATTCCCGAGGGCAGAATCGAGGTCGAGGTGAAAGAGCGGGAAGGACGCTATGAATTTAAGGAGACTTGAATTATCCGAAATAGATGAGATGCTAAGTTGATCTTATGTATATACCAGAAGCAGGAGTTGCTACTAGTGTAAGTATGAAAACCTTCACACGTTGAATTAATTGGTCAGGCTAGAACCTCAAAGCATGTGTTTTACGATCATCTCCTTTACAGACCACTCTCGTCCGTTGGCACAAGAGATATACATCTTCGTTTTCTCCTTTTGACTTTGACTCCTTTACCGTCTCTCATCTTTTGTTTAGCCTCCGCCGGTCTATTATCAAAGGCAACCACTATGTCATTTCGCTTTTCGGGCTCCTGCTGAACCGATATCTGCAAGCAGGATTCCCTGAGAATCTCCCATGTCCATCCTTTATCGTCTATTCTTTTCTCGAGAATCGCCTTCAGGTTCTTATCCACAAGGCCATCGAGGAACTTTTCAACTGCAATACTCTCTTGTTCGCGTCGAGGAAGCTGCATGCGAGCTTCCTCTGCAGAAGAAAGGTAGTCTACCAGGCTTCTCTTGTTCTGCTGGAAGGTCGATAATGTTTGCTTGGTATCTTCGTGTAGATGTTTGAACGGTTCCGCGGGATACTCAGGGGCCTGCTCTGCTGCCGTAAGAATAGAATGAGCCGAAGGCATGGAGTCAGGAACTAGAGTGGTATTATCTTCATCAAGCTGTTGTGGCGGCCTTTCCCGCGTGACACATGAAGTGGGGGAGCTGATGGGAGAGTTCTGGAATGCCTGGCATCGTTTCTCGCGGCCTATATGTTCCAATTAACGAAGTTCATTCATCATTGCCAAAACGAAAAAGAGTGATAACTGCTACCACCGATCCATACACGAGAGACATAGTTACATTCTTCCCGTCAAACTATGCAAGAGAACGAATAACAATAAACCATCGATCTGACCTACATACCAGCCTTGACAATATCCAGAATTGCCCCAATGCGCAAATCGACTGCCTCAAACCGCAAATCTATTGTCGTGTGTTGCAGCTCCAGCATTTCCTCAGCCTCTGTCAAAATATCTTTCTTCATATCCCGCAGCACCGTGATCTCTTCCTTGAGCCTATTGGTCCACTTTCGGTCCATCACATCAAGTACGTCGTGGAGCCGTTCGTTATCACGTTCCAAGTTCTCCATTCGTAATTTGATCTCAGTGTTCGCTCGTTCCAGGGTTGCAAGCCGCTCTCGTAACGATCTATTATCGTCCAACAGGCCTTTTGCGGTTGTATGAAGTTGTTCCACGCTGTTCCTTCCTGCAACTGCCGCCTCAACTGTGGAGGATACAAGGGTGGCTAGGTCATCCATCTTGTCCGCTAGATGAGTATTTTCACGACGTATTTGATGGGCCCACAAGATGGAAGGGGGGCTGTTGTCCCTATCGACGGCTGTATCCTGGGAGTCCCGTGATGCCATGATGGCGGCGTGGCTTTGGAGGATTGGGATCTGAAGGGGCGAATTGAGAAGATGAGTTGTATCCAAAGGGAGCGTGTTTCTGGCTGTAGTCTCAGAGGTCTGTCTGGAACATGCTCAATACGTAATAATTCAGGACTGTTGTGCGAGGCAGCAGTGGTGAACCATGGTGGAAGACTATACTTCAGCAACGGACCGCAGCTTGAGAATGCAACCTTGGTTAATTGATTAATTATAAAGTGAGAGGAAATCTATACCGTGAAAAGAAAAAGTAAAGAACAGTCGCAATCCTACCAGTCTTGAGGGGGACAAGATGGAGTAAATCAACACAGGCGACATCCCGCTTCGAAAACGGCAGGAGCCAGTCCCGCGAAAGAAGGAGCGACCCTGCTCCAGGGCTGCCAGCCCAGAGACTTCACCAGCTACAACCCGATTATGTTACACATGGAACAATTGAAAGGATAAATACGTGAAATTGAGTGGTTCTGAATGGGCATTTACCTCTATCTATTGCAATGAAAGCAGGTAGCAACCACCCGTGTCGTCATCATTCATTCGTTCGCCAAACTGCCTCGTCTGTTCATGGGAGAAGACATGAAAAAGCGCCCGAATGAACTAATCGCCTCTTTTGCTCCGGCTCCTCGATTAAGTACGACGGAAATGCTTAACCAAAGAAGCAGAGCCCAGAGAAAGCGAAGGAAAAGACATGCAGCTAAAAACCGTGAAATAGAGCGAATAAACACAAGCGAAGTAGGAAGATCCACACATGCAGTACAAAGGAAACAGATGGCGCTGGCAGACAACATAACGCACCGCGCAGCCCATCCTCAGCAGAAAAATTACATGCCGGACATAGGAAAGCCACTTTTGAATTTCTGCCACAGCCAGCAGCCACGAAGGTCACTGACTCCCCGTCGAGCTCCCCCCACGAGGGCCGAACTCATGAGTGTACTGCGACAGCCTCGGAAGGGAAAGCAAGATGTTTGAAATAGGAAAGGTGTTTAGATGAGATCTGCACGCGATAGTTAGTATCTGACGGGGAATGGCAGAGTAAAGGTCGGTTGAACTTACCAGCAACGTTCATGGGCATCTCCTCGATCTGGGTGCTGTAGAACTGCTCGATCTCACGCATCATGCGGACATCGTCAGCGGTGACGAAGTTGATGGCAACACCCTTACGACCGAAACGACCACCACGACCGATACGGTGGATGTAGTTCTCACGGTTGGCGGGGAGGTCGTAGTTGATGACCAGAGAAACCTGCTGGACATCGATACCACGGGCCAGAAGGTCGGTAGCGATCAGGACACGAGAAGATCCAGAGCGGAACTCCTTCATGATGACATCACGCTGGGCCTGCTCCATATCACCGTGCATGGCGGAGACAGTGAAGTCACGGGCAGTGAGCTTGTCGGTGAGCCAGTCGACCTTCCGGCGGGTGTTGCAGAAGATGACGGCCTGGGTGATGGTGACGGTCTCGTACAAGTCGGAGAGGGTGTCGAGCTTCCACTCCTCTTTCTCGACGGCAATGTAGAACTGCTTGATACCCTCGAGGGTAAGCTCAGCCTTCTTGACCAGGATACGGACGGGGTCGCGCATGAACTTGGTGGTGACCTCGAGGACGTCCTGGGGCATGGTGGCGGACAGCAGGACGACCTGGGTCGACTGAGGCAGCAGCTGGAAGATGTCGTAGATCTGCTCGGTGAAACCACGAGAAAGCATCTCATCGGCCTCGTCGAGGACGAACATCTTCATGTGGTCGGTCTTGAGGACACGGCGCTGGATCATGTCGTGGACACGACCAGGGGTACCGACAACGACCTGGGGACCCTCCTGGAGAGCCTTCATGTCCTCACGGACGTTGGTACCACCGATACAGGCGTGGCACTCAATGCTCATGAAGTCACCGATGGCGACAACGACCTTCTGGATCTGCTGAGCAAGCTCACGAGTAGGGGCCAGAATGAGAGCCTGGCAAGCCTTGAGGTTCTGGTCGATCTTCTGGAGAGCGGAGATCGAGAAGGTAGCAGTCTTTCCGGTACCGGACTGGGCCTGGGCGATAACGTCGGATCCTGAGGCAGTCGTTAGAACATGTTCCTACCCCTCTCTTGTCAAAAGAATTTTTGTCGGGGGAACCTACCCTTGATGACGGGCATGATAGCACGCTGCTGGATAGCAGAGGGACGCTCGAAACCGTAGGCGTAGACACCACGGAGAAGCTCAGGCTTCAGGTTCATGGCGTCGAAGGAGTCGGTGACCTCATCGTAGTTGGACTCGATCTGACCTGTGATCACGCATTGCAGTCAGTCTCCTGTTTTCACATTTTCTTCCATGGCGGTGCGATAACATGACAGAGTGCGCTCTATCGCCACAGGCGCAAAGTGCGAAATGCGACCAGGAAAAAAACAAGAACGAGAAAAGGGAATATTGGGCACATACCTTCGGGGATTTCCTCGAGACCCTTGTCGTTGGAAGCCATGATTGCGGTGTTGCAAAGAGGGGATCACAGGCGATGCGCTGTGATCGTGTTACGGCGGGGTTGGTTTGGAAAGTGAAAAAAAGTTGCGAGCCACAAACGATCCCTCAGGATTTCGCAGCGGCTTCTGTGCGTCGAAGAAGAAGTCTGTGAAAACTAGAACCACGGCCCTCACAGAATGAGAGCACAAAGGGAATCTAGTAAGAGCGTTGTTGTTCAAACGGGGGTTTCAGTTGAAGATGGATGGAGGGAGAAGAAGAGGGAGGAGGAAGTGGTTTTTTACTGAAGCCATGAAATTTTCTATGCTTAGCGCCGTCTGCCGAACCGCCGCATCTGCCAACGCTGCTCATGCCACAAGCCAAGCCAAGCCCCTCGTTGCCTTTTCGCCTCCTGCGCCTCTCGCCATCAGAATCCGTTCTTCTCGAGAAAACTTTTTAATCTGGTCTATCTGGCCCTCTGGTAAGCTGATGTCCATTGGTTTCCAGAGTCTACAGCTGTGCCTCATCTCTCTGGCTCCGTGCAAAACCTGACTTGCTGTGTGTAGGTTTTGCATGCCCGCTGGACACTCAACAGCCAATCAGCCCGGCGCAAGGTCCAGATATTGTTCGTTGATGTTTAGGGCTTGAATCGGGCTCCAGACCGTCAACCTTCCAAACTCCAACTCTCCCCAGAGGGGGTAAGCGGGGAAAGGAAAACAAAAAAGGCCATGACAGTCTGTGTGTCTCTCCCCGGCCACGCAGGCCAGGACGAGCTCGAGCTCTCTTCCTCCTATATCACTAATGGCAGTCAGCTCGTCGGCGCATCTTTGACCAGCCGTGATGCAATTCCCTGTCATCCGCTCGGAGTGAAGCCGAGTGGCAATGGTCTCACGGCCACATGGGATTTGCGGACAGCCATCGGGACATTCAACATATTGCCGGATGAGATACTCCTCATGCTGCTGGAATATCTCGACAGCGCCAGTTTATTGAACATAGGTCGTACTTGTAAAGCCCTGTATGCTTTCACCCGGTCTGAAGACCTGTGGAAGACGCTTTTTGTTCGGTAAGTTTTCCTAGTGGTTAGTGCACTGTTCGCCTTCGATCTACGAGTTTCTACTTTCATGCAACAACAACAATATACTACCCACATTTGGTTGAGATAGCATGTCCTTCTTGCCATGCCATCTGACTACAGTATCGATTTCTTGGATATTTGTTTTTTGTTTAGGATATTTGATATATTTCATGCGTTGGAACTTCCCATCTACAAAAGTAGTAATACATACTGAAGGACATCCAGGGCTTCTCCAAAGACGTTTTCTTGGCAAGGGACATGGCGTGCCACTTATCTAAACCTCACTCCGTCCCAAGTCCCAACAATAGACTGCTCCCAGCTCTTTTCTGATACCCTACATCGCCCGTTTTATTGTGCACATATCTCGCTGGATCCGTATGTGAATAATATTCCAGCACGGAACCAGATCACTCGACTCCCAGACTTATCTCCTGAAGAATTCCAGCAATCATGGACGAATCGACCTTTCATTCTAACTGATCCAGTGAAACAGTGGCCCGTTTTCAAAGACTGGTCTACCGAGGCTCTACTGTCCAAATATGGAGACACGGAGTTTCGAGCAGAGGCCGTTGACTGGCCATTCAAAACTTACGTTGACTATATGAAGAACAACGAGGATGAAAGTCCACTATATCTCTTCGACCGCAGCTTCATCTCCAAGATGGGTCTGAAGGTCGGCCAGCCTGATGTAGAGCCAGACGCAGCATACTGGCCGCCACCGTGCTTTGGAGAGGATTTCTTTTCAGTCCTGGGACGTGACCGTCCGGACAGTGCATGGCTAATCGTCGGACCTGAACGATCAGGGAGCACGTTCCACAAGGACCCCAACGCCACCAGTGCATGGAACGCCGTGATCCGCGGTTCCAAATATTGGATTATGTTCCCCTCTTCGTCGACTTTGCCGCCTCCGCCAGGAGTCTATGTCTCCGCAGACCAGAGCGAGGTGACATCGCCACTGAGTATCGCGGAGTGGCTCCTCGGTTTCCACGCTGAAGCCCGTCGAACTGCAGGCTGCATCGAGGGAATATGTGGCGAAGGAGAAATCCTCCACGTCCCTTCAGGCTGGTGGCATCTGGTTGTCAACATCGAACCTTCTATCGCCATCACACAGAACTTCATCCCGCGCTCACACCTGAGCGCTGCTCTGGACTTCCTCAGTAACAAAGCAGACCAGGTGTCTGGGTTTAGAAAAGACGTGGATGACCCCTACGGCCGTTTCGTGGCAAGGATGAAGGAAGCGCATCCGGAGCTATTGGAGCGAGCGATGCAGGACCTAGAGAAGGGGAAAGAGGGCAAGAAGAGGAAATGGGATGAGATCGTCCACGGAAAGGTCGATGAAGCTGAAGAGGGAGAAGCCGGTGGATTCAGCTTTGGATTTGGAGATGATGGAAGTGACGTAGAAGTTCCTTGATTTATAAAAAAGTAGACTAGAGCGAATTTCTCGATGATGATTATCGAAAATGTATAACAGAGGTCCAAATAGGACAACATCAGAGCAATTTATGAAGGAAATGAAAATGAAACCGAAATTCCCCTTCAACTCCTGTGCTTTCCAAGTACGATGCCCCAAAGGGACGAGGCGGCAAAAACGCGATATACGGGACGATACCTAATGCTTGAGCACGATCTTAATCTCTGAGATATCGAAGACCAGGTCGATGGTGAACGTAATCCAACGATGATGTCGCCCAGCATACTTCAGTGCTTTCCTAGGTATCCTTACGACTTCGCAGCCAGATTAATGACACGCAACAGACTTCGCAGCGGGCGCAGCACCCCCAAACGTAAGGTAACCAACGAAAGCACCAACCGCAACCGCAAGCATAACAAATCCATTATAAGTCATGAAGAGAAGCCTTTTTATTAAACACCATTAGTCATCTTCCCCTCCCATAGACATCTCTAAGACAAAAAAAAAGGACTAGCAGATGAACTCACATGATGAAAAAGCTATAAAACACTTGCACGGCATACAGCGCCGCCATGGTGAGCTTCCCTCTCTGCTCCGCCGCTCTCTTACTATCCCAGCCTACAAGTAGTGAGCGCGTCTCGTTTCTGCGGCCGTTGAGATTGGCACCTGCAACAGGAACAGGTGGGGGGATTGTGCCCGACTCGTCGGCGATCTCATCGTCTTTTGAGGGGACGTCAGAGCTTCAGCGAGCGAGGAACGGCAGGTTCCAAAAGATATGCAGAAAACACATAGACATATATATGTCCCATGAACGATGTGTTTATAGAGAGAACTCTGGGTTTGAGAGTCGATATCCAGAAGAAATGAAACAGTATTACGTACCTGCAGGGTTGATGGGAGCGGAGAACGCTTTCAGGCGCTGCGCATGAGATGCTTCGTATCGGCGGGTAGCTTCACGAAGGCCTTCGTATCCGGCAGTCAAGAGGACGATAGCAACGAGGGAAACGAGGAGAGAAAATGCACCGGTGATGTGCCATTGGGGGAAAATGATACAGAGGTCTTTAGTGGACCAGGTAAACAGCATCTAGAGAGCGATGGACATTAGCTAGGGATTGGATATAGAAGGAAGATATTTCCATGTTAATGGTGTTTCTTACATTCATATTGCACTTGCCACCCATATCCATGTCCCCATGGCCCATATGGCCATGGTCCATGTCCATTCCCGCGTGATGCATCGAGTGGTCCATGTTGTTGTTATCAGGAGACGGGTAGTTGTCCGATGTTAGGGTGGTTTATGTTAGAGTGGTTTATGGAACGATCAACTCAATCCCGTGAGTTGATTGATAGATGAACGATCAAGAATCAATGAGAACAGTAGAATTGCAGTAGACCATCAACAGAACGACAACTTGTTCCTCTGCGTTCTCCCCAAGCTGGATGACGAGGCCATGAAACACCCCTCCGTGATCCCCAGACAGCTAATACTAACACGGCAATGCAAACCGCGCAAACGCCGGTCTCGACTTGCTTTCACCTTGCGGCCTTGCGCGACAGCTCCGCCAGTTGCTGGCCAGTCCTCCCCCGGATTCTCTGGTGGTTTCTGCCCGGTATTTCTTTCTTTCTCCAGTCAATCTTTTTGAGACTCAGTTGGACAGTCATTGTCTAGTCTCTGGAGCAGCACAATGACGGAGAACATCCCCCCCACGACGTCTACGCCTGGCGGCGCCAGTGCAACAGTCACTACAGGACCTGGCGGCGGTGCGGAGCAGAATGCGACAAATCGTGGGTTGCCATATTACGAGAAGTTGAGAAGGGAGCTACGAGATACGCTGCAGAAGAAGAGGTTGATGGATAAGAGCATGGTGAGTCTCACTTAGCGATAGCTCTGACTGTTATCACGTCCTCAATCCTAGCAAAATCACCATCAAGATCCACGGCTTGCTATAACAGAAAAGAAATCCCAACACCATGCTTGCTCTACTATCCTACTGCTATACCAGACACAAGATTAACAATTTCCTCCCCTCAAAGGCCCAACTAGAAGACCAAATCTACCGTTTCGAGCAATCCTACCTCGAAGAAACCACTGCCGGAAACATCATCAAAGGTTTCGATAACTACATCAAGGGCTCCTCCGGCGGCTCAAGCCTCAGCGCAGGTGGTCTCGCCCTCACTGGCGGCGGGGCAGCTGGCGTAGCAGCACGACGAAAATCGCAAGTGTCTGATCAAGATCGAGTATTTTCGCGCAGTTCAGCGAGTTTCATGAGAGTGGGTTTCCAGCTCAATTCCCACGGACGCACTGACTATCATAAAAGCTGAAGTTAATATGTTTTTCACTGTATAGGACTCTCCCGCCCCATCTTCCGCACAAACAACGCCCTCCCACGCTCCAACTCCTACGTCTTCACATAATGGGCCGACTAGTGGTTCTGGGAATAATAAATCTGGAAACGATGGTACTGGATCCGCCAATGCTAGTGTCAAGAGCGGATCTACGGCGTCGAAGAACAAGAAGAAATCCAGCGGTGGAGGTTCTGCGGCGCGGGAGAATGGCAACAAGGACAAAGATAAGAATAACGACGACGATGGTGACGGAGGTGGTGAGGATGGGTCGAAGCCGCCGGCGAAGAGGTTGAAGATCAGTTATGGCCGGGATTGATCCGTCGGGTTTCTGATGTTGTGGATAGGCTGTTTCATTGCTTGAAGGCTTGGTTTTCGAAGACCAAAATTCTGGGACGGGGTCGCGGCAAAACTGGAATAGGCGCAGACGAGGGTAGGTTAGGGGCGTTATGGATGTTCGCTTATTTATTCTTCTTCTGTTGGTTACATGTACCATATACCATGTCTGCTTGGCTTTTTTCTCATTCTGCATATCTTTCTATCTACTTGTATCGCCATACATTTTTAACCTCATGCATTTATAGAATCGTATTAAGAAGTTACCAGTCATTCCTTGAGCCATCACTACCAAATGTAGAATACTATAGCTTTGAATTTGTCAAGCATGTAGAATCCGGTCATCAGACAAAATTTGCCTTTTTATATATATTTTATTCCATTTTATTTCAGCTAGACTACATTTTACTATTAACTCCTCAAAACAGAGATACTTTGCTGTTATTTATAGCGATAGGAACCGATATTCCTTCATGTACTGTAGTACCAAAACTCCGGTTGTGTCTTCATTGAATCCTGTACAGATTCAGACCATGTCGGATCAGATAACTGACGGATCCTTGACAACGGTCTGCATTTCAAGTCCTGACAGCGTCGATGGTGGTCCACTTTCATGGGAAGAGTGCTCTACAGCTGAAGCCTATAGGTGGCGACCTCGAAAGCCCTCAGCTCGATATCAGCACTGAGGGTTCCCTTCTCCGACTCATAGATCTCCAACTCTTCTTGATCGTCTTCTAGAAGGTTGCACTTGTGGATCTTCTTGACGGGGTATTTAGTCTGGATGGTGCCACGCGCCTTTCCACCAAGAGACTCGTAGATGCGAAGGATGATGCTCTTGCCGGTGCGTCTGGGGAATTCGCCGCGGGAGACGTCATCGTCGTCTTCACCACGCTTGATGGTGTCGAGAATAAGTGCCTTCGATCCCGTGAGGGAGACGGACTTGAAGATACCAATGTCCTGACCGTATGTAGACTCGACGGCAAGGGGGTGGTTGAAGTTGTATCCCGCACGGACGGTGCGGTGGTCTAGAGGGCCGGAATGTGGCAGGATGGCGAAGCGGATAACATGATGGCCCATGTCGGCATGAGCATCGGGGGCCTTGGGTGCTCGTAGAAGAGACAGACGCATCAGGTTTCCACAGGTTGCGAAGCCATACTTGGAGTCGTTCAAAACAGAAACACCGTAGCCGTATTCGGAGAGATCTGCCCATTTATGGCAGCAGACTTCAAACTTGGCCATATCCCAGCTGGTATTGATGTTAGTACATATCATTTGCCGTTCTTGTGAGGACAGTAAACATACCTAGTGTTGTAGTGCGTGGGACGTCTCACTATACCGTACTGAGTCTCATACGACGCTTCCGTGTTCTTGATATCTACCGGGAATTCGACCTTGAGGAACTTCATCGTTTCATGCCACTCAACTTCACTCTCAAACTCGACGTAAGCTGGCGTGTCGTCGAGGCTGGCTGAAAGACTGATAGTTGTCTTCATCCAGCTCGCATCACTAATCTTGGTCTTGGTGACGATGCTGGCACGGAGGGGCCCTTCCTCGAGGATCTCGGTTTGGGTCGAAGACAATTCCTTTCGAGACTCAAGGTGGAAGACTTCAACGTCCCAGGCTTGCCAGTAGAGAGGCTTGTCATCAAAGATGACAAACTGTCCAGCCTTACCACCCTTGGCAATGACTTCACGCTGCTCTTGAATATCAAAGAGGGAGGTGATCACACCATCTTGGATGTCAACCTTGAGCTTACTGTTGGCCATACGGAAGACACCGGGCTTGATCTCCGATACGGACACAGATTCTGACTTCGAGATCCGCGGGGGCTGTGCGTGGATCACACCGGTATCACCGCTGACAACGACGTATTGCTGTTCCTGCCGCGTTGAGGAGACTCCCGGGACCTTGCAAATCTCGGAACGAGGCCAAGGAAGCGTGTTTATCGCGGCCAGCTGTTGTTTGCCCTTCTGGCCATCAAACCCAAGAGCCTTGAGGGCTTCCTGCTTGACCTGCGCCCCTGTCTTGAAAATCTTCTCATATAGTTCGTTCGAGTCATCGTAGCACATCTCAATCGAGCTTCCTGGCAAGCAGTCGTGGAACTGACAGAGGAGGACACCCTCCCACATGTCATCAAACTTCTCCTTCGGATATTTGTAGTCACTCTCCGTATTGGCGAGGGATGCTAGCGTGGCCAGAAGTTCCAACTCGCGCAGCAGGAACTCTGATTTGCGGTTGTTTCTCTTGTTGTTTGCCTGAGTCGTGTATGTACCACGGTGAAGTTCGAAATAGAGCTCCCCGTACCAGGTCACAAAGTCTGTACCTGCCGCAGCTTTCTTTTCCAGCCTGGCGAAGAAGTCGTCGACCGAGTCTCCCAACTTAACTCGCGGCAGCAAACCAATCTTGTCACTTAGGCCGCGGCATCGACGCAACTTCTCGATATGCTCAAAGGTAGGGCCACCACCACCGTCTCCCTTTCCGAAGACGAGCAGCGATGTGTTATCTTGGTCCATAGACTTGTGCTGAGTAACACTGCGCTTGACATCACCAAAGTGAGCACTAGCAGTGTATGTCTCGGACGGAGCCATGTGGCACAGAACCTGGCTACCATCGAGAGAAACCCAGTTGAACGTCGTGTGAGGGAAGTTGTTGATGTTGTTCCAGCTGAGCTTCTGCGTAAAGAACCGGCTCATGCCAGCGAGACGGCACAGCTGTGGCAGCTGGCTAGAATAACCGAAGGTGTCTGGTAGCCAGAAGGTGGTACATCTTTCTCCGAAATGGCTCTCGAAGAAACGTTGACCGTACAGGAACTGCCTCACCAGAGACTCTCCACTGGGCATGTTGGTATCATGCTCGACCCAACTGCCACCAATTGGCTGGAAACGTCCCTTCTTCACGTAGCTCTTCACCCGATCGAATACAGAGGGGTAGTACTGCTCCAGCCATTTATACTGCTGTGCCTGGGAACAGGTAAAACGGTGCTCCGGATAGCGATCCAACAAATCGCACTGATTCGACCAGGAACGAGCAACCTTACGCTTTGTCTCTGCCCAGGGCCATAGCCAGCAAGTATCGATGTGGCAGTGTCCGATTGCGTAGACAATAGGTTCCTTGTCGGTCTCATAGACCTCAGATGAGTCGACTTTATCACCCAAGTATTTCTGGGCGATCTGTCTGCCTTTCTTGATGGATTCCTGACTCCCATTGCCCGCAATGAACGTATCCATGATTGCGTTACAAACCATCAGCGCTTCGTGGGACTCCCATGAGTCGCCGGGAAATTCCCTAGCGGCATCTGCAACCTCGTCAGCTGGCTGTTCTACTTCCAGTCTCACACTATCAATCAACTTACCTCCGATAATCCAGAAATCATAATATAGCGCCCGCGCTTCAAGATTGACTGCCGTGATCTGTGCCTTGTGCAGGGTAAAGTACCTATCCGGACTAGGAGGCTGGATACTGTCCGAAGCTGAGTTACCAAACATGCCATTGCACGCCATTTCGATATAAAACACATGTTCTTTCCCATCGCGCCAGGCGTCGGGAATGATCCATTCGACTCGTTCACCGCCACCAGTCAGACCTTGCAGCGGATGTCCGTTTTCCGTCCAGATCAGACCTTCATTATTGGCATCCCAGTGAAATTCAAGACGCTCTTTATCACGCATGTCCTCTGGAATGGTCAATCGGATACGGAACCAATGTGTCGACCAGCTGGGGCCGAAGGAGGCACCGATATGAGTAGGCTTGAACTCATGCTTGACGGCCTCCTCGAACGGCGGACGCTGCAGGTCCGGTACGGAGTACACGGAGAGCTTAACATGGTCTTCATCAGAATTGACAGCTTCGAAGTACTTGCTGTGTTGGACAGATAATCGGTCAGCTTATCGTTCCGTAGTGTCTTATCGAGCTTGCTATCTACATCTTATCGCCAAGCTATGGGGTTCCCCATCCAACAGCATCTCCAAACGAAGGAACGAGTTAACTTACGAAACGAGGTTCTGTCCCTGATACTGTCCACCTGAGGTGAATTGACGGAGACGATCGCGATAGATGTTGGTGATGTGCTGACCGACAGGGCGCTCCGCCAGCTTGGGCAAGGAGCTGGGAGCTCGGGAGACAGCTTCTCCACCCATGGCGACGGGTCTGGAACTCGATAGCTGTAGAAGCTGGCCTGGATCGTTCAGGGCGACGCTATTGAGCGAGGGAGCTGATGGGATTGATGGGGCCACGAGAGAGTAAGACTGCGGATCAGTGGCATCAGGCAGCGTGGAAGAGTAGTTGTGTCGACTGGCGTTGATGGCGCCGATGATGTCTGAAGCAGCGGAGGCCGCGTGTGGAGAGACGCCGTCATGCCGGGAGGCTGGGCCCATGGCGGGGAGAGCGAGTTACCCGATGATCTCCGTCTATCTTTAGCTATCCAACTCACTAAGTATCATACAGCCTCCGTCAGGAATGAGGCAGAAGAGAATGATGTCTCTTCTGTCAGCATCCACAGCCAGACCGCCATGACGGAGACTGGAGAATCTACCAGTTCTCACTGTCTAACGGAACGACCACTCATGATCTCAACCACGTTCGATCGTTCCCGATAAGCAACAAACCATAATCGCCCGTTAACTAGTGCCATCTTATTGGGTTTAAGCACTGTCTCTCCTTGAAGATGCGAGGGATGCTGCGAGGGGTGCGCGGAAGCAGCTCGACAATGAGCCCTGGCTTGGCGTCAAGCAAGTTGGTGCTTAACTGTGTCTGGGAATATCTCCGATGGTTCCTGCAAGGGAGACGCCAGATACGAACACTGCCCTACGCAGGGATAAATACGAGTTCACGAGAAGACTATGTATGCATTGCAGTCGGACATTAACTATCAAACATAACTACAATGTGCCACCGAACCGTGAATACGAGAAAAAAAAGAAATGGAAATTCGCAATTGATCGATATTATCAAGTAAGAAAGAAAAGAAGGAAATGTAAAAGAAAAAAAGATAATCAAAATACTGTAGAATTCTCGAGTAAAGGCTTCCTCCACCCCCCGATCCCATAACCAACTCCCGCTGATTCCATGCAAAGTCCGTAGCGTCGTACATCCATTATACCATCAAAGCCGTAAAGTGAAAATACATTGCAAGATATCCCCAAAAACTCCTCCTACAGGAGATAATTAACCCCTGCGTGTCGCCAAGGGTCCACAGGACCGACCATCTTGATCTGTTTCTTGAGCTCCGCTCGCCTTCGGTCTGCTCTGGTCTCCATGAGTTTCTTCTTTGCCCCATCCAGAGCGGAAATCATCTGACTGGTCCCGCTGTGCAAGGCCTTCACGTACTGCTGCGTTTGTTGTTGCAGCTGTGTAGAACGCGGCTGGGTGAGAGGCGGTGTTGGGTTGATACAGGTGCACTGGCGCATCTCTATCATGGACGATGTGCGCCTAGGATGTCTGGGGACAGTATCATTTGAGCCTTTGCTGTAGCTGGCCCGGCGATAGAGAAGTAGATCCCCACCAGCCTTGAATCCATAGTCCTCATATGATTCGGTTGGATATAGCTGTTGGCGGGATGATTGAGTAACCAACGTCCGGCTCCGTGAGGAACTGAAACTAGAACCGGAGCTGGTGCCAGGAGAAATGGGCAGTGTCCGCATCCGATGATATACATCGGCAAAGTTCTGCTGCAATCCTGATTCGGAGTCGTCATAGAGTGACTTGGAGTCCATCGCATGATACGCACCCCGTTGAGCATAAGGGTGGTTTGACTTCACATTTGGCCTTGGCGTTTTCTGATCATGACTCTTCTTGCGAGACGCTGTCTTCTGCATGCAGGACCGGATTGAATCACGAATTCCATGGCCGAGAAGAAGAGCTTTGTTCTCCGAAGAGAGCCAACGACTGCCGCTCCTACCGAATTCGAGAGAAGCCGGAAGTGATACTGGGGACTTACGTCCCCGAAGACGTCTCTTCAATCCATGAGAGCGCCCAGAGTAGGTCGCTGCCTGCAATCCAGAGGGGGTCGCTAATTCGGGGAAGAAATCGAATTTCTTTTCGCGGAAGTAAGGCCCAGCTTTAATGCGAGCATGTATGTCGCCTCCAAATCGTTCCTGGGTCATGAATGCTTTCAGTGACAGCGAAGAGACCTTGTCTCGGCTCAGTTGACCCAGTGAAGGTCTGGTTGAGAGAGCCCCTGCCGTTGCGGGACGTGTAAGAACCGTGGAGTAGTCGTATGGATCTGACGCAACTGGTATGTGAGAATCATCCGTCGTCTCAGTCGAAGTCCGGTATATGAAAGTTTCAAGTAAGCTGTCCTGGCTAGATAAGCTCGAGCTTCTCTCTGGCGTCTCGGGCAGTGGCTTCGCGGGCAATGGTTTGTTCAAGATATCCACCGAGATATCAGACTGTGAAATGAAGAAAGTTCCCGGCGGCACCACCACCTCCAACCCTTCCAGCGACTTTGACGGTTTCACCGGAGGCGGCTGTCTGTAGTAGGGTTTTGGCGGTGAACGCATGGACACTACCAATTATGCAAGAACAATTGTAACGACGGTAAGCGACTGCTGAATAACGGCCGATGTGCTGCAGTCGAGTTGCGGGGGAGTACCGACTACATAAGATGAGCGAATCCTTTTAAGAAACCACAAAAAAGAAAGTTCGAGATCGGAAAGGAGCGTCCTAGTTTTCTGCTCGTCAGCAGCCACTATCTCAAGCCAGATCTCGCATGGAGTATGGAACAAAGAGGAATCCTCCATGTGTCTGGGTTTCATCTCTTCAGCATGGCGCGAGGCCTACAAATAAAACGTCTAGGAACGAGGCCTAACCCTGCCCGCTTTTTTCTTTTTTACACTAGAACAAAAGAAGCCCAGAGTCCGGAGGGGATGCTGCATGGGATAATCAGAGATTTGCACTATTATTGTGTGGGCAGCGGTAGAATCGCTGGATTAAACGGCTGGATATGACTGACCATTGTCGGTGGTTGGAATGTGGTGACACCTATGCAAGGGGTGGAAATGGCCTATAATACCACGCAGCACGCCACAAGCGCTGAACCCGCAGCTATCGCCATCGAGAACGACAAACAGCATGAAACAAAAATAAATTATCGGGAATGTTTGCTCTATGTTAGTTTGGAAGCTTTCTGCATGGTCTCTCGCGTGAGTTCGTCACCCGGCTTCCTGTCAGAACTCAAGCGACCCATCTTACGCAGCTTGGCAATCATTTCTTCATCACCAAAGTGGCTATTATGTTCAAACTCTGGTTCCTGATCGTATGCAAGCCTAGCAACATCAACTAGGATCCGGGCCGTCATACCCCAGACCCTGTAGCGATTGAGTTGCCCCGACTTTTCCTGCTCCTCGAGCTTGCTAACGGCCAGGTTCTGGTCCCTGCTCCGGGCCCTTGGCTTAGTGACCGATTTCTCCGAAATGGGAACAAAGAAGTGGTGCACTATTTCCTGCGTTAGGCTAACGGCATGTCATCAATGATGGGATCTGTCAACAGTCGAACTCACTCCGCCATTCGGATTCATGCCAGTCCACCCAGGCCCCCTTGTACCAGTCTTCGGGCTTACCGGGAGGGGCTTGACTGCCGTCTGCCACGCGATGTTCATCCCGTAGCATGAGGAAATTATGGAAGGGGGCCGTGAAGACGGCGGCTACTTCCCTGGCGTCAAGTCTCGGGATAAGCGAAACCTCTGGGTCAGCATTCTTCCCTGTCGTCTCGTCATAAGAGTGTAAGAGTGCTACGCAAGGGCGGACGACAAGCTCTGTCCTGGCCAGGTTAGCTGGCAGCTCACACAGGTGTTCCACCCGGAAGGGAGCAGGAAGCCGTTGATCGATATCGGGCAGACCGATCTCTTCATGTGCCTCCCGCCGGGCCGTCTGCCAGGGAGTTTCTTCTAACGAATCGGCCCTCCCTAGATCAGGTTAGTATTATCATAGTCGCACATGCTAGTTATTTGCCGCAGATCTGGATGAACATCTCATTACATACCTCCTGGAAGCGCAGCTTGACCAGCATCTGCTTAAATTATCAGTACCAGTTCCCAATTTAGTGGAGAAACGTAGCCATCTTCTGGAACCGCCTAGCGTCGATGGCTTGATATGACCTCTCGAATCGCCCCAGCAATCCATATAGACAATGCTATGATAGACATGGCATCATTGTAACGAATTCCCACATAGTAAGATGACGCCAAACAAAGGAGAGATAAGAACTTACATGAACTCAACGTCTTCGCACGGATCGTAAGCACAACTCTCAAATCCCCATTCTGATCCGCATAAAGCAGCACCAACACCGCAGCCCTCCTCGACAGTGGGACATCGTAATAATTCGTCTTTGGCGCTACATATGACCTCAATCGCGCAATTGCCGCCTGGATAGTAGGCGCCTCGCCTCGAATCAGTCATCATTGGATACCTCTCGCATACTCTCACATGCTTTCCCACGACAAGGAATTCCAGAAGGAAAAAGAAGCACATCGGAACATTGAAAAAGATTCGCTTCATCCTCCCCGTATCAAGCAAAGAGGAAATATCCAGTAGTAACTCACCTCCGAAGCAGGCGATAGCGGGGCCATATTCCTCTTCCTCTCACCACCCGATGCTGACACCGAAGACGATATAGAACGTAACTGCGAAATCCAACAAGACCTAGATAACAGTACTAACGGCTTGCGCGTGCTGAATAACCGGAAAGTAGATCGGTTCATACTAATGTGATATGGAGTCTGGGGCGGCACAGACACGGAATGCGTCTAACGGTCCCGTTGCTCATCAGTCAGGCGGACTGTTGATGATCGCTTGTAAGAAGATTAGGGAACCGGAGGCTTTACTTAGATGGTTAGTTGGGTAGTTTAGGTAACTAGTAGAGTAGGCTTGCTTACTGGAATGCTAAGAGGTCTGTCCGGGGGTGTCAGCGCTTAACCTTGGATTAGCAGGCACTTGCCGAGGTTAGCGGGATTGCTTGATGATCAGGAAGGCCGAAAGGAAAAGGTTGCAAGTACAGTACAATGTTCCTCGCTATAATGGCATTGTCTAGGTCAATGTGGTTCTCGACGGCTTATTTTATATTTCTATTTATAGGTAAATTGACTGGATTATGGATACTAGTTTCGCTGCGATCTCTTCTCTTATCATTTACTGCGAAGATCGAACTGGGATTCTTGGTCGAATTACTAGAGTTATCATACATTCGGCGCATACCGCTCATTTAACACAGCCAACCCACAGAACGTAGTATAGGAAATCGGGAAAGGCAATATATCTTTAGGGGCAAAAAAAAAATCCAAATTCTAGTATGTGTTAAAAATACATGAAATGCGACATAGCAGATTCCTCGACGAGAGGGGATCGTAGACGTGCCATCCCAGTAACCATAATCTATAAGATAGGAGATTAAAAACGGAAATATTCCGTACGGACTCGACTTAAACCACTGCGACATCTTACCGCTTCTGGTCGATCCACGGGGCACGTCAGAATCTATTTGGTCTCCTTCTGCTCTTTCTCCTGCTCCGCCTTCTCGGTCTGTTTGTCATTCTTCTCGGCTTCCTTGCCGTCCTCCACGGCTTCATTCGCTTCAGCGGCTTGCTTCGCATCAGCCGTGGCTACCTTGGCATCCTCATCGATATCTTCGATATCCTTGGGTGCAGGCACTCCCTTCTCTTCGTTATGGGTGTTTTGCTGGTTCTCCTCCTCAATAAGCTCCTGCTGCTCCTTAATGACCTCCAGACGCTGCTTGTTAGTAGCGGCGCCTTCAGCGTTGTGCACCTCGAGCTCGATCTCATGGAACAGTTCTTCGGGGATACTAGACAGGACAGCCTGCAGAGCGTCGATCTGGGAAGCCATCTCTGATTCCTTGCCGTGCTGGGCATACATGTAGGCATTGCTGAGAACCAGGAGCGTCGAGGGGACACCCTGTTTCAACCGCAAATCGAGCCACATGGACAGATCCTCCCGGAGTCGGGCGGGAGACACCCCATGGGTGCGAAGACCACGCGAAGCACAAGCCATCTGAAGCTCAGGCACCGACAGTGAGTCAACACCCTCGTAGAAGATAGCACGGTCATCGCGCTTAATCTGGCGCATGCGGTGACGGATACTGTAACGGAGCATCGCATCAGTGCCGAAAGAGTTCAGGTTCATGTATTTGCACATGGCGACCAGTTGAGGACGGGACAGGTTGTCGAGAGTCAGATCATCCTTGAAGATCTTGCAGACCTTGACGACATCCTCGGGGGAGGGGGACTCGCCCGTCGTGCGAATCTTTCTGAAGAACTCGGTGAACTCCTCTTTCTTCGCATTGGCAGCGCTCACAGGGAGACCAGTCTCACGGAGAGTGTTCTGGAGGAACGAGGCGACTTCCTTTCGAGTTGATCGCAGGTTCATGGCCTTCTGTTCACGCGACTTCTGTCCTTCGTATGTGCTAGGAAGCATGTTGGGGAAGAGCTTCAAAGCGACGGGAAGCAGGAGTTCAGCAAATGGAACAATAACGAACATCGCGAACGGGACCAGCCGTCCGAGGTCCTTGACAGTTCTTTGAAGCTAGAATATAATCGCGTCAGCGGGTCTCCTGTCAGCAATGTAGAAGAACACTCCGGCTAACCTGTCTGTTCTCACGACGACTCAGCTCATACCCGGCCGCCATCTTCATAGCCAGTTTTGTACTGATCTTGACTTCTGTCGCAAGAAGCTTGGTACCATCCCAGTAGTGTTGGGCCTCCTTCTTGATCTTCTGGCCGATAGTCAACTTCTTCTCCTTCTTGTCCTCGACGACTTTGTCTTTCTTGTCCAAATCAGCACCAGTTTTGGCGGCCTCTGCTTCCGCCGCTTTCTTTTCATCTACCCGCTGTGAATTCGATGATTCCGACTGCGAACCCACGGACTGGCCCTCATTCTTGGGAGACGGGTTCTTTTCGCTCTGCTGCGAGAGCGGCTTCTTGGCCTCTTCTGCATTGAAGCCCGGAGGAGGAAAAGATGACGAGGAATTGGCCGAGTGCGAGGTCTCGGTGGAATAGAAGCGCTGGTGAGGGACAAGAATGGCCAGAGCCTGGATGTGCGAGGGGAGTCGCCCGCCGTTGAATCGGAGATTTGCTGCGGAAGCGGCGGCCAAGGCGCTGGGTACACGACCACGGACTAAGAGAAAGCACATACATTAGTCTTTTGTATATGAGTAGGAATATATCGAGTAAACTTACCGCTCAAATTGGGCCGCTGCACGGATGCGCCGCGAACCAGTCTGGCAGACCTCATTGTGACGGACGTTGCGGAAGTTCAAAGTAATGGCGGCCTGGAGACAGCGAGGAAAATAATCTGACACAACAACGTCGACTAATCCACTTTCTCAAGTGGCCTCAGGCGGCAGGAGGAGGAGAAACTATGCACAGGTTCCCTGTATCAGATTCAGATTACTCGGGAGTGTCTTGCTTGATGGCCATCCAGCTGGTGACGCTTGAGGAAGACCTGGCAGTCGTCACGTGACCGACGGGCTCGGCGTTACTTGCTCCGCGCCGGAGTTACGGGGCGGACACGCAATACTAATTAGTCCGGATTGGGTGATACTATTCCAGCCCTTTTCTTGGGATCAACAGCAATTATCACTAATCGGCCCTTAGTCAGGACCGCGCATAGCGCGGTCCCGCCACCTCAACACGAACACCCAGCTCAACATAAATCTATATAAAATCTATTACTTTCTGAAGCTTTTAACCACATTAAATTCAACTAATCGCCTAGTTAAATACAGTACTATATAGAATAGGATCCCCTTCAGTCAGTCCACGTCTTTAAAGCCACCTTCCGCGGCTTAGTCACCCGCCTGAGCTCAATCATTACTCACTTCCATTTGGGCTTCAACTTCCGTAATATCTCCTTATTACTATCCTCAAAAGTTCGTAATTGAATATAATCTGCATCTCATTTCATCATAACACCTCCGCGTTGTAAAACCCTTTTAGATGCTCTAGCACAGACCTAACGGGCTAGTTATGCCCCAGCTGAAGCCTCAAGCTCCCGTCACATTTAGTCCACAATATAGGACTAAGCAATACTGCCTTTAAGCAGTTTCTGAAGCCCGCTAGTAAAGCGATCTGAATTAGTTTCAAGCTGAAGTAGGCGCTGTTCAAACTGTTCAAATCGCTCGGCAGTCTTTAGCATATTGTCTAGGATAGATGACCTACTAATAGATCGAGGGGTAGCAGGTCTATTATCCGTTTCTTGAAGCTTATCCAATATAACATCTGGGTTATATGGGTAAAGTCCAGTCTTTTCAAACGCGTGTTTAATAGTAGATAATTTAAAGGTCTTTCTTCGCATAAATCCAAGCGCTTGGAGGAACTCGTGCTTGCCGAACCTAGGGTTGCCCATCCTCATATTAAAATCAACGGCTTCGTTATAGTAGTGCTTAAATGCCTGAAAAACACCAACATCTAGTGGTTGGATTAAATAGCTGATATGAGGCACCAGTACAAATAGGAGAATCTTCTTCTTTTCACAGTAGTTGAGGACTTCATATATCAAATAAGAGCCATATCCGTCGCATAGGAGGAGACAGTAAACTCTTTGTTAACGACGAGCTAACTGGCGATCAAAGTATTGTATCCACTGGTAGGCCAAATGGTCATTTATATATCCAGTATCAGATACTCCAATTACGGCATTAATATCTAGGAACTCAAACCATCCTGCTTAGAGTTGCTTGCCGACTAGGATAATAAAAGGAGAAAGCACCAATCTATTAGCACTTATTACCTCAACTATAGTGACTCTCTGGGAATCAGTACAATTACCCATATATAGCTTTTTTTAACGCTCTAAGGTAATAACTTGATTATCCTTCCCTTCTCCTACTTAAAAGCCTGACTCGTCCATGTTATAGAGATCCGCGGGTTATACATCAAGACCGACTAGCATTTATTCATAGCAACAATACCAGTCTCGTATATTATCCGGGCGATGAGCCTTTTTCCTTTCTGCATCAAGAGCTTATTGCCTTCATATATACATCTCAGGATGTCACAAGAGGAACCATTTAAGCTAGTATTCGCCGACTTTTGGCAAAGATATTAAGGGGTCTTGATGAGCTTAAGCTAAGATTGCATTTGCGCAACCAGTCACCATTTTTCGCATTATAGATAATCCAATTATATCTAGGCGTTTAATATACTCACAAATAGCAAGCTCCTGAGCTGGAGAGAATCATCGATTTGTTGGAAGTCTATTAGACCGTAAAACGCGACCGTTATAGCAAGAATGAAGATACAAATAAGGCACCTCAAACTAACGTGCAGCTTGCGCGATATTGGGTTTTGACTAGTCAGATAACATAGCGAGGGCATATTAGATCCTCTTTTCAATATCGCTATATAATTCAGGCATTGTGGTGGATTAGAAATAATATTGGAAGTTGAAATTTAATAAATCTAGACGATTTTTCGTTGAGCTGGGTGTTCGCGTTGAGGTGGCGGGACCGCACTACGCGCGGTCCTGACTAAGGGCCGATTAAACATCATAGCGGGACATTCGGAAAGTCTATGGTAGGCTATGCCCCATAACTGCAATTATTAATATTAATGGTACCATAAAAGTAACGAGGAACAAGCTTTGTTCACATTGAAGGTTAAATTCATTACGGTCATAGAAGACACTAACTCAAGATAATATGATATAGTCATGGTTCGCAGAAAGACAAGGAAAATGCAGACAGCCTTTGCTAAAGGACAAGGGACCTGTACGACTCCCGAAAACCGTCCTCAATATCAATGACTCCCCCAAAAGGTATATATCCCGATATCTAAACCAAAAACCCACATTCTAGATATGACGTTATGCATAAACATGTTGGAATAACGCAAACCGGATTCTAGCGATTCGACGAAAGCTGAAACATAGAAAACTTGAAACTGGTCAAGATTTAGTTCCTCGGTCGCACAGCGTTTGGAGGACTGTCCTCAACGCCGCTCACGATTGGTTTCGCGTCGAGGAGAGGAATGGAGTCAATGCTTGAGCCGGATGTCCCCCTCTCGGAATGTTTGTTCGTATCATCCAGCAGCTGCGCCCCTGTCGTCTGCACCCCGTCCGGGGTAAGTATGGGACTGGTAGTTCCTTCTGGGGAGGCTTGCCACTTGGCGACGTCCCTTCGTAGCTGTTCGAGCTCTTTCTGGAACCGCTTGCCAAAGACATCGATATAGTAGGTCGCGCCATTGTAGATACTCCAGATAAAGACAACACTGAGGAAGGCTGAACTAGCCCACTTATACCAGAACCAGATAGGACACGGAATCATGGTCAGGATGGCATAAAAATACTGAATCAACATGAATGCCGGTTCCTGCAGCACCTCAGGCAGACTCAAGACGATCTTTCCAATCCATGTCTTTGCATAGGATTTGCGCAGCCAGGTGAAGCTAGTGGGCCGTCCCGCAGCGATTTGCTCACGATGTCGGACGGTGATGAGGAAGTGATACGACAGCTGCCAGACAAGGTACGGAACCGTGGCCCATATCACCATATCACCGAGGGAATAGTGCTCTGGCGACGCAGGGTCGCTGTACTTGATGGCGTAAATCGCCGGGAACCTCTCCTTGAGGATTTCCGGGGCTGTCAGATGCGTGAGACAATGCAGGGCTGCTGGAGGCATGATATGGATAAAGACACTGTGTACAAGACGTCAGCAACTCTGCGGACACAGAAAACTGTTTTGACACACTTACCTGACGACTTTATCCATACTGTGGAAGACCATGGAGTTCCGCCACATAGCAATCGCAACAGCGTTATTTCCGTACGCCAAGCAATATGTGCTGATGAACAGTCTCTTCGAGTTCGGGAAGACGAAGAAGCTGAGCATACACATCATGTTGACAAAGTAACAGAGGTCAGCAAGGAAATAGTGGTAACCACGCTTCCGGTAGGTGTAGAACCGGATTGGCATAAAATAGGCCAGCTGACCGCTATACCACAAGTACAAGTATTCCGGGTATGCGCCAATTAAGTAACCGCTGATAAAGATATTCAATATACCGGCGATGAAAAACAACTTCTCTCGCAGAGTGACCGTCGACGTCTTATTCCACTGAGCTCCCAGGCGGTCGACAGATTCTCTCATCCGTCGACGGTATTTGTCTAGCTGTTCATCGGCGGTCGGAACGCGTCTCTTCCACTCTCCCACAACGCGATCCCTGGCCTGTAGTGACGTCGACTTCAATCTCTCGCGTTGTTTTCTGACGCGTTCTCTCTGAGCTGTCAACGTCTGCTGCCATCTCTCCAGCTTCTGATGCAATGCAAGGTTGTCTAAGATGTCGAAAACCGTAAGCTTGTCAAGCGGCGGGAAGGTATCCCAGTCTTCCTGGTACGAGCTGCTGTTTGAGAACGAAGGATTGCGCGACAACGCCCCAGGACTGGGGGGAACTGAAGAGAGTGCATCACTTGGAACTGAGAGCGGTTCCTGCTCGAGAGCCCCCGGGGTCGGGCTGTCGAAGGGATCCTCAGAAGTCAAGGATCCCTCGACTGCTGGCTCGGACCTTCTGCGTTGGGGGACACCGGAGTCGTCCATGAGGAGCTTCTGCTGGAAAGAAAATATTGTCGGTCCGTCGCGACTGTGAAGGGAGTATGACCGACTGATGAAACGGGAGAACGTCAGTATCGCCATGTTTATGCAGCGAGGCCACCGTCCGGGGTTCGATACACGGGTACACGGGACGAGAAGGCATCCAAGAACGTGAAGTCTATAAAAACAACGCGCAACTGCAGACAATACTCGCCCGAGAAACGAAGGGAAAGGACCCTGCGGGACGAGGAGCCATGAGAGATAGATATAGGCACTTACTCACAGTTTAGTTTCTTCAGAGCGGCAGGAGACTCCAGATGAACCGTGGAAACACCGTCCAGTCGTCTTCAGTATCTAACACGCATGACCTGGATGGCGATAAGCCTGTGAGGATGACAATCGGAACGTGCGGGGAGGCCAGGATGGTGAATGCGATGGCGAGAGAGACTCAGAGGGAGTCGTTGTTGCAGGTGCTCAGCAGCGTCATCATGGTTGGTGGACGAGAGCTGCCATGCGGGTGCTGCGCCTGAGGCACTCACGCGTTAGCACCTGGCGTCAAAGCTCGCGCCAACATTGAACATGGTCCATCTTGTCCATCTTGTCAATCTTGTCCATCTCTCGTCCGTGCATCTGCCGCTAAACATTACTCGATCTCAGTCTGGGCTTCATGGTGTAACCGATAACGGAAAATTTCCTGTCAACGCTGTGGATGAAGTGTGGCACATCAAGCACCCGGTATGGAAATCTTCTTCGGGCGATCGGAGTAGATACCAATACTCTACCATACAGAACTGTGTCTATCATTAGTCGATCACTACCCAAGTAGGTGCTAGATAAGTTAACTAATAGGGATTGTGTGCTTGCCGCGCTTCAGTTGGTCAGCGGAGTCCGTCACCGCCGCCTAAGTTACGCCCTCTCTGCTCAGACGATACTGGTGTCCATTTTGAAGTTCCTGCTGGTAGGTGATATTGTGCGGTGGGCCTGGTTTACTCGAGAGCAGTCAGTTAGATGGTGGGGACTACCTATACTAGTAGTAGTAACGCCTACATGTTATTAGTTTTCACACAACGAATGGAAAAAGAACGTACTCTCGGGAAATGGTATTTAGGAGCCTATCAATAATAATACGATACTAAATGGATAAAGAAACAATGCACAGAACAGGTAATCTGACCTCCGCCGTTCCCGTGTTTAACTAGATGCTGGTTCAAGTGACAGTGAGAACTAAAATCGGGCTGGAGGCCCTATTAGAATATATTAGATCTATAGCATCTATACAACCTGGGCTAAATAGAGTTTCATGTACTGTCTTTTCACAATAGGCCTGTTTCCATTATAGATCGTTCAAACCGGGGTTCCCTGGATATTAGAACCCGAGGCTCCACGGGATCCTTATCGTCTGACCCAAAAACCGTAATATAAACACCAGAAACCCTCAAGGGAGGCTAGCAATCCATGGCCACCTGTGCGAGCCTCATGTCCAGCTCCGTTATTCAGCAGACGATATAAGAATCAATCGAGAGTAACAATCAGTATCCATGGGGAAATATCGGTGATGTGTGGCCCGACGGATCCCACAAGGCAGGCTGTGGCGGCCGCCCTGGGGCGATCATTAACGGTTGGGTGAAATAGTTTGGCATGCACGATGGACCGACTTCATGCGGCGAAGCTGGTATACTACAAGAAGGAGCAATACCGAGAGCAAACTCGTGAGTCGCTTGTTTCAGCTGACCGCTGTCGGGGACATAGGGTGAGCAGTGGCTTTCTGGCGTCGAGTGCGGCATGCCGTTCCTCAAGCTGCTTAGGGATGGAAAGCCATCGTGTGGGAGCACCGGTCTCGAGATTTGTTCAGCCGTCACGCTGGGTCTCTTAGTCCCCACGGTCGATGCAGCAGCCGAGGAGCTCTGAGAATCACCGTCGGTATCCTGCTCATATTCAAACTCAATATTTGCGTCGGCCAGGTGGACTTGAGTGACGTAGATGATAGAATCGCCGTCTATAGGTATACGCATTAGCATTTCACGTTTGATGGCGCACTCAGGCGTCAGGTACTGACCGATCTCTCCTCGAAGATACCGTTCTTCCGCACTTCGAACGTTGTAAATTTCATCCAACACCTTTAGGCGTTCTGTCGGTTGAATCTGCCGCCTGACATCTTGCCCGGCATCTCTTAGCTTCTCAGCCGTGATCCCGTGGCTATCCCCGAGCTCACGGAGTATATGGATAAGGAGGCGAATCCGCTCTGACAATCAAGTTAGCCTGGACTGAAAGGACCTTGCCATGGATATTCTTCCTTGCCTGCTTTCAGAAGATGGTCTGGCTCCTTGTGAGTGACACCTTGGGGCCACCATCTTGGCTTTGTCATCTCCGGGTCCAGTCGCTGTTCAGGTGAGGAACCAGAGGCTATTTTCCGTCCATTATAAGGATGGTTCACTTGCTTGCGTGGCTCCACCAGTTTAATGAACGCCTTAGCGATCACCCGGCAGTTCAATTGTTGAAAAGCATCAAATGCCCTCTCGTAGTATTTCAGTATACGACTCTCATCGCCAACCTGCAACGCTGTCCGTCTGAAACTGGGACTAGAAGGAGTCGAGTCAGTCGATCCCCGACGATCTCCTTTCTGATCACGGCGCTTTGGGCTTCGTTTTTGGCGTTTGTTCTGTTGAAACTGCCAATCGCAAGGAATGAGTTCTTGTGATTTGTCGGCGCTGATCTGGTACCAATTGTGATTGTCTTCTAGTGACAACGAACCGCCGAGGCGTCGCTCTTGTATGCCTAACCCTACTCGTAACCATCTGTCAGTTCAATTGTTTCTCGATAATAATGCTACCTACGTCCAGAATACTGACCCGTAAAGGATGGAGATGTGCCTTGACTGTCCAGGGCAGCACATTTCAGAAAGCGCTCTTTGACCTCAGACGTGAAGATAGACTTTCCGCATCCTGCAACTGAAGGTGAAGCTTCTACCTCGAGCTCGCCATTTCCATTGATATACATCAAAGCAAAGTGCCGGTAGGGAATATTGAATGCTTTAGACCGGACAGGCAAGATCCGCTTTGATAGAGTTGGTCAGTCGCTTCACATTGGTTTCTTAGCACATCTATAAATACCTGGGTGTTTGACTGTAGGCCAATTCCATCATAAGGGAGCATCTGGTGGTGTTCCTCACCCCCCAGGGGCTTGCTGGCAGATTCCATCATCGAGCCCGTTAACAGAGCAGTTACTAGTCCGTCCCACTCGGATGACACCTTTGTTCGTGAATTAGACAGGGACAGGAAGGGTCTCCAGGAAAGCCAGTCAACGGTGTTTTATTGCCTTTGGATTGATTCTGGTTCATCCAAGTCTCATACTAGGGGGAAGCAACAGATGTGCGCGGTGATATGTCTATAGTGTGGAACAACCAACGATATATGAAAAGTGAAATCTCATCCAGACATAATAATGCCAGGCGGATAGGGCAGAGTAAATAAAGGGAATTTCCGAGAAGAGAACCAGCCTCGGCTCTAATCAGACTATGAGATCAGGCAGTACGACTACCCTCCCCGCCGATCTGCGACGGATTGTTCCACTCAAGATCTGAATATGGAGACATATGTCAAGCGGGAAGGGTCAAAGACACAAGACATGCGAGCTTCTGACTCGAGCTGGGATCTGATAGGCAGATTTTCAGCTTTGGCGCCCCGGGGAAGTTATCAAGAGCTGGGACGCGGCGTTTTACGGTCCATGGACAGTACAGGCGCTTGTCGCGTGGTGCTGTTCTCGAACCAGGAGGCGCTTCGGGCCGTGCAAGGACTCTAGACCGCTGTCCGAACCAGAGTACAGTAAAACCTGCCTATAACGAATCATTTTTTCCAGGCAGTCTAATTCGTAGTATAGAGGATTCGTTGTATGAAAAGTGGGTCTGTATTAGTAATATACGGATTTTTAGTGAAATTTTCGAATAAATTCCCTTAATTGGTAATTAATGATTAGGTAATCACTGACTAATAAGGTAAATCTGTACTTTTCTATAACGAATTGTATGGGAAAGGTCTGAAAAAATTAACGAATTTCGTAGTAGGAAGGAATAACGAATTTTGTATGGGAATTTGAATTTGACACGGTGTCAAATTCGTTGTGTAGAGGAATTCGTTATATGCGGTATCGTTATAAAAAGGTTTTACTGTATCATCGAGACAGTCTTGGTACCGGATCCGTCATAATAATAGGGCAAGATGGCATGAACATCCGGTCCTGGAGGCCATCGCATGGCCTATGCATTTGGCCATCTCTGCTTGGCCCATGGGGCGGGTTTCTTCGTGGAGTGTCTGAGCACGATTGAATGTGGATAACCTAGGAATGCCTTCAGACCAACAAAATGCTTTGTTTTTAAAAAGAATCAAGGGCCTCAAACTGGTGCCCTGGTTGAAGAGATCGTGTCCGTTCGAATCAGCGGGCCCTGGCAGCGGAGGCTGAAGACATCACAGATGATCGCACACATACCCATGAGTACACCCCAGCAGATCAACACAACCATACACGGTGCGATCGAGCTGCATTGGATCGGCCCTTTCCCGCAGTTCGTCGATTGCTCATGCGTCCACGCAAGAGACCGTGACGCCCTAGTTGTGAGTATAAAGTTTGGTATCATGTCTAGCTAGAGGATCTCCACTAAGTAAGTAGAGATCGAGCAGGATAGATCGCTGCAAGCCCATCCGCCAAGTGGTGACAATAATGACGCCTCGCAGAGCCTGGACAAATTGACAGGACTCCTCGATCCACCGCAAAGACATATGCACTGATATTATTATTATCTCCGCCTGAACTAGGACTGAGAATTGACGCTCAGATCCTTCCATTGGATTGTGCACAGACCTGCGCTGGCGGGGACATCCTTAATAGTCGCTGACGGAAGCACCAAGTCTCGTTCCGGTCGAACAGGATTAAATCCATCATGTTTGTTCCAACTTCCAAGAATCTAGCGTTCGGAGTTGGAAATAAAAATAGTCTGCTTCAAAGTACCTACCCACGAACCCGCTTACTACTGTACAACCCATTTCCGGCACACGATCTCCTTCACTAAACGATCCCACAACCTGGGACGGATCCTGACAGCCGTGTCCTGTGCTCCCTTAAAATGGCGATTATGGTATGATTGTTATTATTATACAGGATGATCCTTGTGGCGTCGCCACAGGAGGGTTCATATTTCCAGGCACCTACTCTAAACTCTTCATTGCTTGGTTCTAGCCCTCTTCCGTGCACTTGGCGACTCAGAGATGGACGCACTCAATGATATGTTAATCTAGAACCCTATTCTGACCGTATCTAGTACCGCCACATTGGGCCATCGCCTTCGTGTCCTGCCTTTGGAAGTGCGAGGCGCCCCTTGCCAAAGATCCGCCCTCCTTCACAGCTCCCCCAAAGCAAGGCATGAAAAGCACACGCGTATGTTGACTCTGTCCCGCTAGTGGCTCGCTTCGAGGTCAACCAGTCGGCTGGCTTTTGTAAATCTTGAGTCCTCCTTATGCAAGGCAATCACAGCACCCAGCCGGTATTCTCCTCCGGTGTTGTGCTCCCAGGTATAATATCGAGAGAGGCTAGAATCTCACAGGCATAGTTTGCAGGTATACGAGCTGGTGAACCCTGCGTAGGGCTTGTACAACCTTTCGTTGATAGCCTTTATTTTCAGCAGAAAAACGTCATCTCGCTTTTTTCAGCGGTGAGGAAATCCCTGATTATGATTCAATACTCCGTAATCCAAAGTGTTGCCGATGCCTTCAATCACAAGGCAAGCCACGTATGCTAAGGACAGGGTTCTTGAACGTTTCCTGCAGTGCATAGGCCTAGAAGCCACATCACCCCGCGGGGTTTGGCAAGAGATGCCTGCTGGATATTATATCCGAGTTCTGATGGTCACCGCCAGCGTCTGGAAGCACCCCCTATTAAGTGTTGACGGACTTCCTCGGAAAAGCTATATGAGGACAGTTAATCATCCCGGGATGTCGATCTTTTGCTATCTCTGTAGCCTTCGGATTGACAAGGGACATCGGTGCCCATCGCCACTTCTTCGTTTGACGGAAAACAATGAAGACAAGTATTGAGATGATAAGAGACTTCTTCAGCTCAACTCTATGATACTGTGCACTTGTAGATATGGCCATTCTCCGCCCCATGCCGTGGTGAGCTGGGAATAGCCTCAACCAATAATGATAAACACGAAGGACCAGGAAGTATTATCCGGGGCTCTAAAGCGATGTAAGTGGTTGAAATGTGGTTATTGGCGGGCCATTTATCTGACTAGCAGTTGCGGTTGCGTCGGCGGAAAAAAAGCAATATAGTGGCAATTTACATTCCCTGCACATGAACTGGAAAGTCAGTGGCATACCTAATCTACAGACAGACAGATTCGTTCTGCAGCACCTTCGATCTGGGTTATGCCAAGAGATACGCCGACTTCCAATCCTGATGGCATATGCACATAGGATCGAAAAATGGGCCCCCTCCGTAGATGCATCTTGGTCTCTATCCCTGTCCCGTGTTGCCATCCATCGCAAGGCGACCTATGTTAGAATTTTATGGAGCTACAGTGATATTACGTGCGTAAGTGTGCTTCATTTCGCCTTGTATATAACCCTCCTCGCCGACAATCATGATCCCTGCAGCCCCCTCGCGATCAAACAGATGGGAATCCTCATCTCACCTCGCATCGTGGTGGGCACCCATGCTTACACGGATAGATTCGGTGCCAATATAGATCAACGTGCAAGGATAGCTTCCAATGGCAGGGGGCGGCTGGGATTGATTGTTGATGGCTTTCTGCCAGTCGACCAAAAAGGAAAACTCCTTGTTGGTCTGTCTGGATCTCTAACAGTTGTTTTACTAATGTCAAGGTCGGTTTAAGATAATACATTTGGGCAGCAAAAGACAATCAAGGCCTTTAAGGAACGAAATGATCGCCCAAGACATGGAATTACGACTCTTATTTGCTACGGAAGAGGCTTCCTGTGACAGTGTCGATCCATACATACACGAGATCTGAGAACAATAAGATATTTCTTTGAGTAATTGAGATGCGTCTTATGAGATAAACCGTCATTATCAGCGGGGAAACTGAGTTGTACTGATTCTACCGCTTGTTCTAGGCTGCGAATATCTAAATAGTCTACGTTACTCGAAAGGGGCAGGATAATGTATTGAGCGAGCACGGAACTGAGGTGAGAAATATAGAATTGTTCATATTTGAGTAAACAAACACAACGTATAATGGCAAAGTCGTTGTATTCAAAGCTACTTCTCGTGAAGACCCACCGATTCCAAGCCAATCGCGAAAGTTGGTCAACCATTTTGCTTTGATAGGAGGTAACCATTGTACCAATAATGTTATTGACCTCATCTACAATTTCTGACTTCACTCCCCTTGTCTCGCTATCTATATTTCGATATGCTCCCATTAATCTCAGGGCTAATACTGAAGAATCTGTCATCCTTTTCCACTAATGCCGGCAATTATCAGCCTGTGCTGAGGACACGAGATAAACATATTGACTCAAATACTCTAAGCTTTGACGCCAATGGAGCTTATTTGAGCCTCGGCACCAACGTGTATGTATGTTGTCGAATCCAAAGCACGGAAGCATGGTATGATTTGAACCACCTAGTTTATATATCTAGGCTGTTTGACTTGCTTACTTGATTCTAGATCGGGGGGATATTAACTCCATATTCAACTCTATAGCATACAGATCATCGAGAACCTAGTGACCTAGTGGGTTTCATCCTATACTTAGGATATTAAAGAACCTGCTGCAAACGGATGATATGACAGACTACCTGGACGTACGTTTTGTGCGCCGACACTATGTACGCACTGCCAAATACAGCTGTTTTCCTATATCAGAACTTTATATAATGGACTAATCCTACAAATATAGAGATCCTGGCCAATGATAATCTTATCTCTTTTCATTATTATTCGTGATACACATATTATTAATCTGCGGCAGTAATATGTATTTCGTGGATGTTTTCCACAATGTTTCTGGTCGCTTTGGGAACCTGCATAGATGGCTTGACGCAAGCGACGGGCTTGTGACACAATATCTTCCTATCATATGTTAAGACCTTCGGTTAATAGTTGCGTCATGAACCACTATGCCATTCTAAAGGTGTCAGTTAGTAATTCCTTACCAACCACGAGAAGAAAGCTAAGAAGTTCGGTCTCTACACTGAGAAGCCGAAGGACCGCAATTGCTGACAGTCATGCAAACATTACGTGATCGAGTTTGACGATATATCACTTGGACTTGTCTTAACCGAGGGGCACTGCTAATAAGTCTCCAGTTGTTGGACTTATTCTGACCCCCGTCGGGCTTTCTCTGATCTTCCTTCCATGCAGTCTCGCGACATCTGCGCCACATGAATAGCGCAGCGGATACATCATTGCTATGCTAGTTATAGGAGCGGTGTGTCTTGACGGCTTCGCTGTATGGGAGAAATACCTCGCCCTATCCGGTACCTTTCGTGGAAGTTTCTGAAGGAGAGGAATATTATCGCTGGATGCCTAGTTTATGGCTTCAAGTTCGTTTCTAATCAGTATGTCTCCTGCTATAATAACCCTTGTTGTTCTGTGCTGGTTGTCTGGGGTTTATTGGGATCTGTTCGTGCCGCCATAAGCGAGACCATCGCCAGTGCATTGTTGACGAAGGCATAACCCAAGCAGCTTTATGAGGATCTTCCTGAAAGCAGCAAGCACCTCGCATCTACTATCTACACATAGATCGTTAACCAGAGGGCGTATTCCATTACAGGTTCCACACGAGAGGTTATTATTGCAGCATAAGGCAGTGTGATAACCAAGATGTTCATTGCCGGGGTATGCTTCGTTTCGCCATTGGTATTGTTAACGCCTTTTCATATTGAGGGATGTCTGTATAAAAAGGCTTGAAAAGACCAGGGGCACACCGTCAAAGGTTAACGTGAGGTGGCTGGTTTTACATGCCTACGGACATTTGTCTCGGCTGAGGGTGCTCTTGTCCCCTCCTGGGATACTTTTGTTTCCTTGACTACAGTTACTATTATAAAAGCTTACTTGATAGAATTGAGTTAGATTTGAAATCATATTCACTCCTTATGCATTTACGACTCTACTCTTGTTCTGCATTACTCTGCAAAGGAGAACTACCCCATAAACACAAAGAGGTTTCTAGAGAATCCATGTTCCTAAGCCAAATGTTCCGGTGTTCAGTATCTGGAGAGATAATGTACTTCCAACGACCATTTCAGTAACAGAATTTTTCACAAGAAGCGCATCTTTCATACTGATGTCAGTCCTTTATACCATATAAGTTCTTAGGACTGGGATCTCTTGATTGACGGTGGATAGGCGGAATCTGGGGTAGTATCCTTCCACGAATCGCTAGAGATTCTGTTGTTTTCCTGTCTCCACCAAATCGATATTAACCGGGTTGGTCAACGCTACAATCGGATTCAACCGACGAAGGCGTCGTCTTAAGGCACGGACATCGATCCCGCTCATTGAATTGGCGGAAAAACTCCCAGCGAGGGCGATTGACCACGGACGGTTCGTATCTCTGTCACGAGCGGCATTCCCCCGCCAAATCTGCGAATGCTTCTCCACGCTTCCCCAGACCCCAGACAAGCCACTCAACAGGTAACAGGTTAGTCAAAGACTCGAAGCTTCTCGAGTGGAGCTCAGGTCCTTAGTATCGTTGTAAAAGCCCAGAATCAGTCCACTGCATTCTGATGGACTGACCCGTTTCAGAAAATCGTGATTCTTGCTCGGGCCTATATATTAGAGATGGCGCCTCTCAAGTTGCAGGGGCTGTCTTTCACTTTTGTACTCCTTGGAGTGGCTTTTCGAGTCATAGTCCTCCATCATGGCGTTCTTCGTGTTCAAGAACTACCGGGTGTACATCCTGACCTTGGTAGCCTATCTGGGCTCCTTGCTTTTCGGTACATGCTGCTTCTGAGTAGGTCTTGATTAAAACCATACTGATTCCTGTTTCTAGGCTATGACACAGGTGTGATGGGCAGTGTCCTTGCTCTTTCGAGCTTTAAAAAGGACTTTGGCCTTCCAACTGGGTCAGACGGTTTCGCGTCCGACAAGAATGCCCAAGTATCATCCAATGTCGTATCATTGTTGACAGCTGGCTGCTTCTTCGGCGCCATTCTCGCTGCTTACATCAATGATCGAGTGGGCCGTCGGTACTCGCTTATGATCTTCTGTGCTGTCTTCCTGGTTGGTGCAGCGGTCCAGGTTGGCTCTCATCATGAGATCGGCATGATCTACGGAGGGCGTGTAGTTGCAGGACTGGGAATTGGAGGCATGTCCAGTATCACTCCTGTGTTTGTCAGTGAGAATGCACCGCCTCAGATTAGGGGTAGAGTCGCTGGTGCGTTCCAGTTTATGCTGGTTATTGGTAGTACTTTTGCCTACTGGCTAGACTACGGCGTTTCCATCCATATCCCTGAAGGCACCAAGCAATGGCGCATCCCAGTAGGGATTCAGCTTATTCCAGGTGGCTTGATGTTCGTTGGGCTATTTTTCCTCAAGGAATCACCGCGCTGGCTTATGAAGCAGGGCCGCAGCGAAGAGGCTCTCAAATCACTTTCCTACATCCGAAACGAGTCTGAGGACAGTGAAATAGTGCGACAGGAACTGGCCGAAATAAAGACAGCGATCGATGAAGAGGTCGCAGCCACAGAGGGTGTCACCTGGAGGGAGTGCCTACGCAAGGGAAACCGCTACAGGCTTTTCCTGGCCTTCGTCCTAATGTTCTGGCAGCAGTTCTCAGGTACCAATTCGATCGGTTATTACGCGCCGCAGATATTCCAGACCGTGGGATTGAGTAAGACTGATTCTTCGTTGTTCGCTACCGGTATCTATGGGACTGTCAAGATCGTGGCCACGGGCATTTTTCTCTTGATTGGTATTGATAAATGGGGACGAAAACCCAGTCTGATTGGTGGAGCTGCCTGGATGGCCGCTATGATGTTTATTATCGGTGCGGTCCTGGCTACACATCCTCCAAATGTGGACGCCACGAATGTTTCTCATGCGTCAATTGCAATGGTGGTAATGATCTACCTTTATGTCATTGGATATTCAGCATCCTGGGGTCCGACACCTTGGGTTTACCTTGGCGAAGTATGTCCAAAGATCTAGTATCTGCTGTCTTATATCTCAAGAATTCGGGCTAACATACTCCGTGTATCTAGATCTTCCCAACCCGTCTCCGCTCGTATGGTGTCGGCCTTGGAGCAGCTACTCAATGGCTTTTTAACTTCGTTATCACCGAAATAACTCCCCATGCCGTCAATAAGATTGGCTGGAGGACGTTCCTCATGTTCGGCATCTTCTGTCTGGCCATGGGTGTCTTTGTGATCATATTCTTCAAAGAAACAAAAGGCCGGACCTTGGAAGAGATGGATCTTATCTTTGGTGCTATCGACGAAGAGCAGAGACGCGCTGATGTTGAGAGTACTCTACATAAGAATGAGGTCATTCATACGGAGCACGTTCAGGAGCCTGTTGCGACGAAGTGATTAGGCGTAAATGAGCTTCGTGAACACTTATGTATGGCTTTTGAGCGTTATATTCGCTATGTATGTTACATGTATTGAAAATGTTTGTGCTTTTCTTTTTCCCTATACTTTAACTTTCCATCTCCAGTCCCAATTTTTAGGGCGCCCATCTTGACATGGTCAGAAAAAAACGAGACCAGTCAATAAGTAGCGGGGCGGAGTAAAACCCAACAAGAACCCTCGATGTAGTTGCTTGAAGCAGCTCTCCACCAACCGCCATGAGCAAAACTCCCAAAGCAGCAACACAGAAAATGGTACCATCCAACCGGCCGTATTCCCCTGTGCGGCAAAGCGTGTCCAGCGCAGACAGAAGCAAGGGCAAGCCATGCTCCGAAGCCAAATCAAAGATTTCGACAGTTAAGAAGGATGGATCGTAGCCAGATACCCAGGCAGCTATATGTCATCAGACAGCTAGTGGCAGAATACATAGATGAGGTATCATACAGTAGGCGATTCCGTAGCAGACATCCCCTTTTCTCCTAACGAAAACGTCCTCGTCGTCAAAAGCTTAATATATAATGGAGTGTAGAAGTCTTTTCTATTCAACAATGCGGGGCAATTACTATCGTCCTCGTATCGAAATTTACCGAGAATTGAATGAATTTACCCCGGTTATCTATACATTACTGCTAATGACAGTAAATAGATATGTTAATTAATCGTGTAAAAGACTCTGATTTCTATCAATAATAAGCCGAAATTGGGTCGATCATGGTCCATCATCAGATTACCAACGACGGAGTGATGCAGGCAGTTATGAACAGGAGAACATGCTGGACAAAACGGAAGGCAACTTTAAGGTTGCGAATTCGAAGTGCGAAGTTGTGAATTTCACGACTGCCTTAACGTCATCATGATCCCAAATAGCAAATTGATAGAGATAGCAAAGAAAAACAAACGGACATCAAGTGTGCTAGTCTGAAATAGTTTTAATTCTTCCAAGATAAAAAATTCCATTCCCATCCTAACTCCCTCCGTTACAATTGGAAGTATAAACCATCAAACAAACAACAATGTCAGATACGCAAGTTGATATCATCACCAGCATACGCGTCACCGTCAAAACAACCACTCCATATGACGCTGTCCTCGACCGACTAAATGTCGAAGTGCAACGAAACTGGCCCGCAACAAAGTCCTCTCTCGACCACATCCTAGAATCCACATCCAAGGCGGATTTTGAGCGCTACTTTCAAATAAATGCCGGTCCTTCCGGCTTCGTTCAGTTTTACAGTATGGAGCACAATAAGTGGCTGAAGCTCTTCGACATCGGTAACGGGCGGAGATGCAGAAGAGTGCTGTTGGGGAATCCGCTGGTTGCGAAAACGATGCTGAAACATGAGTTGGGCGCGGGTCTTTATGTTCCTGTTGAATTACTCCTGTTGGAGACGGAGGATAAGAAGAGTACGGAGGTGATTTATATCTTGCCGAGTAGTTTGATTGCGAGTGTTAATAAAGGGAATGAAGAGCTGAAGAAGGCAGCGAAGGCTCTCGATGATAAGTTCGAGTTTCTTATTAAGAGGATTACTATGCCGTAGTAAAGGTTGAAACAAAAGCCGCTGAAAGATAATAATAATACTTAACTGCTCAACATTATCTGTTGTTTAACAGACCACTAACTACATCATCCAATGAAAAAGTGAACTCAAATTCTTAGAACTGCCGTAATACAGCTCGATTATCCGGTACATACAACATATGTATATAAAAAATGGAGCGGATATATAACTGATCAGTTATCATTATCACTAGTTTGATGTCTATACTGTTCTATCGATTAATGTTATTAACACAAGCGGAACTATGGCAGTCTCCAATGCCAAAAAAGAAACGCCATGCAATGCAAATTCGCTCATGCTATATGTTAACAATTTCGATACCTTATCTGCGCCAACAAAAGCGACAATTATCAACAGGAGAAACAAATAAAGATGTGTGAGATCACTGTGGCTCGTTGAGAGTGTCTATATTGTAGTGAAAATCCGCATTTTGCAGGAGTGAAAATTCCACCTCGTCGATAAACTCCTCGTTAGCGATGAAGTCTTCAATGCCCCCGCGCGAAACCTTCTTTTTCTGCTTCTTTGCACGTTGGAAGCGATCTAACAACCGCATTGATGCCCACCATGCAATGACCAAGAAGATCGTAGTAGAAAACGCCGTTGAAAAGAACACAAGCCATTTGGTGTTGGTGACTTGTATGTCCAAACCGTTAGTGGTGATATTCTGCGATGGGTCCCATTCCACTGATAAAGTCGAACCTAAGGCAATTCCCTTGGCATCCAGAGCGGAAATGCGGATGAACCGATGCACATTGTCAGGCGGAATGGGTATTTCAGTCTCGAATCCTTCCTTGGGCCGGGAGTCGATAGTCAGGTACTCGTCTTCGTCAGCAGCCTTCGAATCTGCACCTTCGAGAACCCAAGTCACAACTTCTGTTGCCCCGTTCCAGCTCACGTAGGTAGTATTGCCCTGGAGAGTAATGTCCGGATCGGTCTTTGGAAATCCAACCCATGAATGCTTGAGGACTCGATATGACGTGACTTCCGAAGTGCCGAAACCGAGCTGAGGACCAAAGTGAACGTCGCACAGCACCTCCCCGTCCACGGAGAATTCAGTCCAAGCAGGATTCGACCCGTAGCCGATGAGAATATTGCCCGAATCGAGCAGTTGTAAGGAGCCCTGAGACTGACTGCTGAGATTGTGCGGATTCCAGTACTCGTGTCGGACGTTGACTGTCATCTTTTCCTGGTCGACGTCCAAATAGAGTCCGCGACTGATATGTTCAGGGTCCGCCGGACCACGGGAGGCGTTGTCAAATAATGTGATAGCCGTTCCGTTATCAGCAAAGCGCGCATGGTGCTGCCAGCGAATGTTCGTTGCAGCACCTCCAGAAAGGTCCTTGAACATGTTTTTCTTCCCTCCTAGCTTCCAGATGACATCTCCCGTCTTCCCATCGATGTACGCTATACAGCTCATATATCGCGACGATATCAAGTAGTTTCCCTTGGAGTCTTTGTCGACACTGTTGATATGGAAGAAGTCCCAGGGTCGATCCTTGCTTCCAGAGCCTACCCGGGCGACATATCCTTCGGTGAAATCGAAATGCTCGGAGGCGCGCCACTGGAAGAGCGCTTCGCCTGTCTCGATATTAAGTTCCTGGAATACGCCATCCCAAATCCATCCTTTTACAGGTCCGTACATCGATGTGAGATTTGCCTGGACGACTTCGTAGATGGTCACAAGGGCCGTTTCATCATGTGTAATGTGAAATTCATGGAGATCGCCGCGTAGTCCATTCGCTGCACCGATCGTGAACGCTTCCTCATACGAGGAGTCCAGCTTCGATGCATCAGACCCAGTTACGAACAAATTCAATGTCTTCAAGTGAATCTTACCATATAATACATCCCCTCGCCATGTCCTATTGCATCATTGCCGGCCCAAAACGTTAGGTAATCCTCTCCCTTGTACGTGTATTTACTCAACCCATAAGGTTGAACATAGTCTTCGGCCCTCCAGACGAGATTTCCTTTGGCATCGAGAATCATGGGTCCCGGAGATGGAACCTGACCACCCCGGAGGGAGAGCATAGTATACTGGCCATCATCGCATCGATTGCTGCGCTGCAGAAAATCTACCACGGGGCCGATAATATGCGACGAGTGGTACGTCTGTTGCGGCCATTCTCCAAATTCTCCGTTCTCGTAGTTATCGGATTGGTAATAGGCTTCCACGTCAGCCAGGACGGGAGATATCAAATCAGCCAGGCAAAAGATAACGATACTAAGGGCAAGATGACCCAGCATAGCGAGACACAGAATAATCGAATGTAAATGTCATATCCCCGGTTTTCATAGGAACTATTTGCCTTTGCTGGAGCCGCGTAGTTGGCCTCAAAATATCAAACGATCGTTGTCTCTTGGTGGGGCTTGGCGTCGTGGACCATAAATCCTTAGTGCAAAAGGCGTTGATGTCCTAGATCATTCATTATTCATTCATTCATTCATTCGTCTGAACGCGATTGAGTTTTGTGACAGACAATCTCTTCACGAACGGCATGCTGACGGAGTCTACGAGCCACTTGCAGGACCCTGATGTTGTTTCTCGTCGTCATCGTCGTTAAGTTGTCAGATGTCAGAACTCGAAAGATCCTATGGATTTACAGGTTTGTCGGGACTCGGCAAATCCCAATGCACGGGCCTGTGTTAAGTATCTCCACTTGGACTCTCGGCCAAAGCAGTGGCTTTCCTGCAACTATCGTATCGGTAGAACAGTCGTAGAATGTTCTCCGCATCGTGTCTTGGGGACATTGTTGATCTGAAGCCTGGTTAGAAATGGCAGTGACATGAGGGTTGTTCAGAAACCATGACCTCAGAAGACAATAGATAAGAATGCCAAATGATCTATCTGTCTACTAAATCCAAATGATCCACCAGGAACCCGACTAAGGCGGCTCATGCCGCAATGGCGGCGTTGCCGGTGACTCTACGAGATTGTACTTCTACGGAGTATTTTAAGTAGATTGTGTTTGATACTGTCATTGTTCTAAACAACTAACTATGCGTATCTACCATTGGATCATTGAGCCAAACTATATGTGCAATAGCCAATAAGTACATTTATAATCTCGTCTAATAGTCCCCAGTTACCTCCCCAAGAGGCCGAACTTCGCCTACCGTAGGCGCCATTTCTTTCTTCATGTCACGGCAGGCAGCTCAAGATGCTCTCCAACTTTTGAAGGACAACAGACTGCTGATCCGCAGTTGCGTCGTTCTTAGTGCTCGCATCTCCCACGCTGACAGACACATAGCATCCATCAGTGTCCACGACAGAGGTTTCAGTCGGCAACGTGTCACTGCCGCAAGTAGAGACGGTGGTTCCACTGGTGCTCAGGATCCGGCTGAGAACGAATTTGAAGTCCGCTGCGGCAGTGCAGCTCGTACCGCTGCCAGCAGAAGGGAAGTTAACATTCAGGTAGGTGCCGTTAGGAAGATACGGCGTTCCAGAAGCTAGTAGGGTGTTGGTCAAGTTTACCGACAGATCGGCGTAGAGAGTGCTGTAATCGGGGGTTGCGACGTCCCAGGCAGTCTGAGAGCCAGTGGTACCGGAGAAAGCAATTGCAGGAATGCCCAGTTGGTTAGAGGCAGCAGAAGCAGCGCCGACCGTTCCAGAAATCTGAACGGTAGACCCGAGGTTCGCTAGAGTAAGAGGTGAGTATTCGACTTTATTTGATCCCAAAGCACAACTAGAAGAGTTGCGACATGGCGCATACCTCCAACGTTAGGTCCCGAGACAACAATGTCCGGGTTACCACTGAAAAAGTTGGGCGCAAATTTCTGCACTCCATACTTCACGCTCGTAACCGGATAAGAGTTTACATAGTTGAGTCTGGTGTCCGAGCTGTTCGAGCCAGTTGCAGGGCTACCGGCTGGACAGCTGCTGAACTCACAGCCGTTAGTCACAGTTGAGGGAGTCGCCTCCGCGGAACCTGATATTCACGAGTCAGACGATTATTTCTATTTCTATTTCAGCAGATGAACTATCAAGGTGACCTTCATACCAGTGCCAGATTCGTTCTCTGCTGGGGCAGAAAGTACAACAGAGTGTCCTGCCTTCGTGAGAGCATTGTAGAGAGTCCTGATGTTGATTTCCGCCCATCCATCATCGTTGGTAGAGACGATGTTTGCGGCCTGGGCCCTCAAAGCCAACAGGGAAAGAAGAACCGAGGGCAGAACGTGCATCATGCGTAGCGTTTCTATAGCGAAGGATCCCCTGCTGTATGCTGATCTAGATCTAGGGAGCATCTAGCTGGTTTATATAGATTTCAAGATGAAATCGAACATGCATTATTTATTCTGACGATGCATAGTGACCCTCTGCGAACAGTAATTATGAGCGCAGATCCGCGAAGTCATTGCTACCCTCGCTCGCAGTCAGCAAGGGCTTTTCCTCGAGTGGTTTGCCCACGTGCCGATGTCTTCGCGTAAGTAACCGGGCAGGACAAAGTTAGTCGAGTCGTCAGCTGCAAGACGCGTCTCGATGATCATGCGAGCTCGCTCGAAAGATCCAGGGTCCATGTCGAGTTTTGTTGTTGCACTCCGGCGGATTGCGTCGGGTCGTTGCCAAGAGATTAAATACTACGGAAGTCCATGGGGAGTCTGGAAATATGAAAGCAAAGCCGGCGTGAAACCAGGTAGATAGGTAAATTTGAATTCGTTGCAAATCCACACATACAGCTGTCCTAGCTATCATGAAGCGTAGCTAGCGAGCGTAACTAGCAAAACACTCTCCCTCCGCTGAAACACCTTTCCCAGAGCCAGAGACCAGACATCTCAACAGCAAAGCGCAAGAAGACTTTAATATACAGAGGAGAGATAAAAAGGAATAACAGATACTTCAAGTGAAGGCCATCGATTTCAATGATATTTTCGTAGCTGGAAGAATCATTAGTCATGATACGTTAAAGACGCGACAGATAATGGGGAACTCACGTCAAGAGTCAAGCCGTTGCTGCTGTTCTCGCTCTGATCTCTGTAAATACCCACAAGCGCTTCACTGTTCTGGAACAGACCCGTCTTCAAACTAATCACGATAAACTGCATACCCGGTGCAGCATGGTCGCGGATGTAATTCGCAATTCTGGAAACGTTGGTGTTGTCGAGAGCCGCGTCGACTTCGTCCAAGACGAAGAATGGCGAAGGCTGGTAGGAGTGCACGGCAAAAAGCAGAGCTAGGGCCGCCATGGTCTTCTCTCCACCAGAGAGATGCTCCATATCCCGGAAACGTTTGAGAGGGGGCATGGCATGATATTTGATGCCATCAAGGTACGGCTCGTCAGAGTCCTCAATGTCGAGGTATCTGTCCACAAGGTCAGTATAACATGTCTCATAGATTTCTTGTCAGGGTACGCACGCTTGGCCTCCCAACGGGTAATTCGCACTCCGCGTCAGCTCGCGATAGATTGGTCCAATCTGCTCTGAGATGTGAGAGAAAGCCTTGTTGAACAGCTCCGAGCGCTTGCGCATTACAGCCTCGAAGTCTTCCTTGGCCTTTCTGGCACGCTTCCTCGCATCTTCAAAATCTTTTTCAGTGCTGCGTAGCTTGTTTTCAACACTCTCGAGGCGCTCCACGGCACGGGTGTTGGGTGCCATCTTGTCGAGTTCAGCGTTGAGGGACCTTATCCTCTCTTGCAGTTCTTCCTCGAGCTTTTCGTCCGCCTCCTATTCAAATGTTAGGGCCGGGAATTCGAGATGCATTCACGTAAGACATACCTCTTTTAAGGTTTCACCTAGAGAGTCGAAGTCGACCTCAATACCATAGTCTTGGACTGTGGGACCTTGGCCTCCAGCGCCATTACCGTCTTCATCGACGTCCATTGCGTCTGGATCGGCATTTTGGACTAAATCGTCGATAGGAAGCTGATCCAAAGGAGCAGAGCTTTCCGTCAGCGGAATGTCGATGTCCTCCAGCTTACAGCGGCGAAGTAAGGCATATCGGCTCGCAGAGTTGCGCTGGATTTCGCCCTCTAAAGCCCCAACTGCTCTCAGTGTTGTTTCCACATTTTTACTACGCTTCTGAAGCTCTCGCCGTTGTTGTGCCAGAACCTCTGCACTTTGAGCGTACAACTCCTTTTGCTCTTCAAGACGTTCGCGGAGGAGGTCAATCTCTGCGCTGAAGACGTCAATTTGATTGCGAATCTTGTCTTGCTCCTCCTTCAGCTCCTCAATCAGAGCCATATCACGCTCGTATTTAGCTTTCACCGCATTGACTCGGTCGTCAGTAGCTTGGAGACGTTGCTTCTCGAAGCTTAGCTGGTTCTCTATCCTGCTCTTTTGAGTGGTAAACTCCAGCTTCTTTTGGGCAGCTTCTTCCTGTAAAGATCCTTGCTGAGCTTCATATTCTCTGATGTTGTCGTATCCGAGGCGTCGGCAGAAATTACCATACACCTCATCTTCAACTCTGCTGACAAGCTCTTGAGATTCCCGGATGGTTTCGTCAAGCTCTTCAAGGGCTTGCTGCTTCTGGAGGAATTTCGGCTTCACTTCAGCGAGCTGACGCTTGGCAAAGTCAACTTCGCTACGCTTGCTCTCAAGGTTCCTTTCGAGGGCCTTGAGCTCCTCCTGGGCGTAGGAAATACGCTGCTCTAGTCCAACAAGGTCACCTTGGAGAGACTCTTCTTCCGTGCCCTTGCGGTGGCCCTTAGGAAGACTTGCCAGATCAGCGAGCAGCTTGTCTTTCAACTTGAAGAGGCCTTCAACTTCGGCATCTTCCCAGCGCTTGGAGTTTTGCTGACCAGGGCCACGACCACCAGTCATCAGACCACCCTTGTGGATAACTGTCCCATCGAGGGTAACAGCTTTGGCATCCAGACCCTTATCATAGCATAGGTACTTTGCGGTCGCGAGATCGTCACAGACGATAGCATTTCCACAGGCGTAGCTGATGGCTCTCGAGACGGAGTTGTCGTAGTCAACCGTCTCGATTGCAGGACGCATTCCACGATGCATTCCCTTCAAGTTGGAGTTGAATGCTTTGACCTGGATGGTCTCCAATGGAATGAAGGTGGCCTGTCCGGCCCTCTGGTCACGAAGGTGCTGGATGCACTCCTTAGCTGTCTTCTCGTTATCGACGACAATAGCATCAAAGTGGCGTCCAAGAACAGTGCTGACGGCTTCAGCATACTTCTTCTGTTTTGGCTTGCACAGATCGCTGACACGACCCTTGACTCCAGGAAAGATGCGTCTCAGAGTGGAGATCAGCTCTTTGGCTCGTAGCTCTTTCTCGCTCTGCTTTTTGCCATCGTCCGCTTCGAGTAGCTTCTTCAGGACGACCTGGAGTTTCTCCTCTAGCTCAGTCCTCATTTGGGACACACGAAGCCGTTCCGAAGTAAGCGCATTCAGATCCTTCTTTTTCTGGTCAATGTCCTTGGATGTGGCTTTGATGGTCTCCGCAATAGCCGACTTGCGCTCGACTAGGGTCTGCATATCGGACTCCAAACTCTTAAGCTGCCATTCTGTATTTTCGAACTTGCTTTTCAGACTGTTGACAGTCTCCGCCTCCGTTTTCTTCTGACGGCGTAGATTGTCGAGTTTGAGCTGCTCAGCAGAAGACTGCTTGTTGACCTCTTCCTTCAACTTGCTGTATTCCTGGAGATCTGCCTCGCTGAGCTGGCCAGCTTCCTTGCTCATACTCTTCTGCCACTCAGCCTCCCACTGTGCCTGCGCTTTCTCGACAATTTTCAGGTCTTTCTCTAGGTGTTTCACGTTGCTAGCCTGGGAGTCGCGCTCCTTCGCAATATCGGAGATGCGGGAAGTATATCTCTCCAGGTTCCTTGACGTGATCTCGATCTTCTCGTTTACGGGCACTAGAGAGTTTGTCATATCCTCGATGTCTTTCTCCTTCTTCGCGATGTCTTTCTCGATTTTAACAACGTCCCTGCCAACCCGCGCATGTTCCTTCTTGGCCCCTTCGAGGTTCTTCTCATACTTCTCAACGCCACGGCGATATTCCTTCAGCTCGTCCTGGTGGCGTTGGATTTCGGCGCTAGATTCGTCAATGAGGCGTTGGAAATGGAACAACTTCCACAGGATGTGCGTGATGATAGCCTGGTCCCGTTCCTCAGCCTTCCTAGCATAGTTATCCGCCTCTCTCTTCTGTTCTTGGTATTGCTTGATCTCGGAGTTGATACCTCGTCGACGGTTCAGCTGAAATGTCTGCTGCTCCGCGGCCTCTTCCTGCTCCGCTTTCAAGCGCTCATATTCTGCTTTATATTCGAGGCTGCCAGATATCTGTTCAATGAGCCGGGTAAGATCTTTGGGCGACTGGGACGCAATCGCTTCAACATCTCCCTGGAAGACAAGGAAGTTGCGCGCTTTAATCAGGATATTCTCCGCCTCCAGGGCCTCGTTGTATTGCTGCGCAGTCACGACCTTGTTATTGATGCGGTACTCGCTCACACCGGAACTCGTGATCGATCGTCGCCATTGCTGCTCCTCGCCCGCGTCGTCTTCATACACTGCCATGACCCATGCGGTCTTGGGGTCGTTGCGATCTCCCGCTTCCTGTCCATCTCCATCTTCAGCATCCGATCCCTGGGCTTGGTTTTCCTCGCCGTCTACTGTAGCTGAGCCATCGCCGTTGATCTTGGAAGTTCGCAGAACACGACCACGATACACGAGATCGCGTAGATTTGTCGACCGTAGATGGGATGACTTGATACCTAAAACAAAGGAGATCGCGTCCATCCTGCGATACGTCAGCTCATATCACTAGATAAAATCCACGTGCAGCCCAAACATACGAGTTTGATTTGCCAGAGCCATTAGGCCCGATGATGGAAGTAAAGTAAGCATCTCCGAAAAGAAGAGTATGATGGCCCTTGTAAGACTTGAAATCTGCGCGCGGTCAGCGACTGTATCTTAGCTTAGGCGTGGATAAGCATCGTATCGTACTATAGAGCTCTAAGCGGATGAGCTTCCCCATGTTGCGCGACTTCCTCCTGGGATGAGGGAAACGGGCCAGATAAATAAATGAGTATCTTGTATTCGCGACGAGCGCGTTGGATTGTGGCGGATTGAACGGAAAACCCCAACCCGACTTTAAAGTCGACCCGATGAACGTGCTGTGGAGGAGGGGATCGCGCGTCTCGAAAGAAAGTACGCGCTGCGGCCGTGATCCAGCTTAGATAATCAGATCCGCGATCTGATGAGTCATCTCAATATCTTGACTGCAGCAACTACATCTACCAGTTAACAATTTAATACCGCCAGGTCATGTCCTAGTATATCGAATCGTGAAGGATCTAACTTTGTATTTAGACTTCACCATCCAGTCAAATATATTCGACAAAAGCAGATCAACCGTTAACATATGATGAGAGATCACAACATATCACGAGAGCAGAACCACCTGACAAGAACTCAGATAGCACCGGTGACCTCACAACGAATAGTCCTGCTTAGCGGAGAGAGCGGAAAGTCCTGGGGAAAAGGGCGCGCATCTACAACGGCAATTACGAAGAGAAGGAAAACAAGAGCCAGAGAAGAAAGAATAGTATTTAAACAGCGGGAGTAAGAGTAAACAAACAAGACTGTTCAATGCCATGATGCTTAACCCCGAGGGGTACGCCCAGCGAACCAGATTATGAAAACTTCACATGGACAGGATTTCCCACCAGGAACAGGTCATTAGAGATAAAGCCCTCTAGATCCATTCTCAAGTCACCTTTTCGGCCCTCTACTTCAATAAGAACGAACCCCTCCTGCGTGAAAAGCCGTCGTACAGAGCAAAATGCCCTCCAGAGGACGAAGCTGATCTTCTTGAATGGAGCTCTGAAGAAGCTCACTTTCGAGACAGCCTCATTCCGTGCTGATCTGTCCGCCGCATCGGGGCCAATGGACTCAGGACTGACCACCACTCGACGTGAAAACACAATCTGGCGAGGCACTGCGTCGAACTCGACGGGTTTCCGGAAAGGGATGAAGTTGCGGACGGTAAACCGAACCATAGTCTTTCCGTTTGAGTTAACGGCGGTGATCGTCTTGACCAGTCGGTTCGTCTTGAAAAGGAAGACCGTTCCCATGATGCTCATGATAATGCATACACCACCAAAGAGCGACTTCTGCCATACGGGCAATGGAACCTTGGGATCTCGAAACGTGATATTCGAGTTATACACAGCATAAGCGAAGCAGAAAGCCGCCATTCCATACGCTCCCAGAATATATGTCCGTTGCGACGGCGCCTTGTAGAGTACAACTTGACCCTCTTTTGCGACCTTTCTCTCCAGCTTTCCGAACCCAGCCGGTCGTCTTCCAGCAAATTTCAGAGTTTCTTCTGTAGACGCTGCAATATTAGGGCGTGTGGCAGGCTTTGGGGCCGAAGGGATGGACGTTGCAGCCCGTCGTGAGGTGTTGGAGAAACATCGCGAGAATGGCGCAGAGGGAAAGCGAGAAAACGAATGCAGTGACGTTCTCGAATGCTGATACGAGAACGTCCGCAGAAGGAGAGGACTAGGGAAAAGCTTTACGCTTGCCTAGGAAGACATTGCATTGTTAGCAAAGTTTCTAGCCTGGGTCTCAGATTTTAAAAGGCTTCAAATGGCGAGACCAATTGCCCAATTTTTTTTTTCTTTTTTGGAACCTCTCAATCTAAGCAATCAAAGCTGAAGTGCAATCGGCAACTGGAATATAATTGAATGAATTTGGGATACCATTGGAGCACTCACCATCTCGTTATGGGCCGTCGCCTTTAAATCTAGCTCGACCGTGAAGCGACGGAGACCAGACATGCTTACCTCCGGGAATATGCGCGGCGGCCGAAAAATGTTCCTGACCCGGTCACCGGTGAAGCTCCCCAACCTCAACCATCAGCAACCAGGCTCCTTTCGCGAGGTTCGATATTCCTTTACCTGCACTATCGCAATTGACCCGGACTCTGTGGTTGATAACGGACCATCGTCAGGCAATTTCTCTGAGTTATATTTTTCGAGAGGACCAACGCGCGCGCCCTTGTTGAAACCTGACGGAGTATCATCATTACTTATCAGCTCCGCTTTCACCCGCGCCCCGTATATAGCTGGTCGCGCGATATCCTTCCGCTCGCCTTCTCATCTTCTTTGACGCATCGGACCAGCAGAGGGTTGAGCTAGCCGCTGTCTATCACTATCTACAATGGCATCCAGCTTCCCCGTGCGTCAGCTCTCTGCTAGGCTTGCCAGACGGCAGCCCAGGGTGTACGCCCCCACTCGACGTAAGTCCTTCTTCTAGATACCGGAGGGCGAGTACTTGACAACCGCGTCTTTTCCTTTATGATATGCCTCGAACTCGACTGACTTCGCCTCGTATGACCAGGATTCCAATCCACAGTCCCTACGCAAACACAGAATCCCGCATACCCTCTATACCCATCCGTCATCACGCTCTGCCACGAGAAAGGCATCCCGGAGTCCGAAATCGCCAAAATCCCCGCTTCAGGCCCCAAGGGCCGTCTCCTGAAGGGTGATGTCTTAGCATACATTGGCTCTATCCCCGCAGACTACCCATCCACAGAGGCGGCGCGAATCGCACACATCCAGCACCTCGACCTGAGCAACATCAAGATCGCCCCTCCACCCAAGCCCGCAGAGCCAACGCCTGCTGTTGTTGAAGAGAGAATTCCTGCACCACCGGCCCTGACTTCGGTTGCGGTATCAGTCTCCCTAGCCGCTGTACTGTCAGTCCAGAAGAAGATCCAAGAGAGTCTGGGGGTCACGATCCCTCTGGCGACCTTCCTTGCGCGAGCAACGGATGTTGCAAACGATGACCTGCCCCGCGCAGCGTCTGAGAAGCCCTCCGCAGATGAGCTGTTCGAGGAATTGCTGGGTGCTAGCCCCATTCAGACTACTCGTGGTGACTATGTCCCAGAGATCAACACCGTTGCGGCACCCACGCCTGCTCCAGCTTCGCCCGTTAAGGAGGACCTCATTGACTTCTTGGCCGGAAAGGTGACCAAGAAGACAACTGCTCTGGGATCGGCTCCTGTGGCACCCGGTGTCGCTGAAAATGTATTCAGCCTGACAGTCCCTGTGGGTGAGGAGAGAAGAGCCAAGGCGTTCCTGGAGCGGATTAAGACGGTGCTGCAGGGTGAGCCTGGAAGGCTGATTCTGTAGTCTTCCCCAAAATGGGAATGGAGGAAGAGAGACTTGCAATGTTTATTCGAGTATAATGCATATAGTGTAGCCCATAATGATTACCCTTGGTTTGATCCCTATGCTATCAGACGTATTTATTCTCTTACTATGTAAGTCCTGGTAAACATAAAGATTATGCATAGAATTATATTCTGTTCCATTACTCTAGCTATAGGCAGCAAAACATCCAGCATTATCATGCTTTAGAATGCCGTGTCCGGCCCAGACAAGACCAAGTCCATCACACAGGCGCCTTAGGCTCAGGAGAAAATAGAAAAATGTAGAGTAGCAGTACAATAGGTCATTTCCTCATAAGGTCGTGAGCGGGTCATGCAGCTCAACGACAAAAAGCAGTCCTAAGGCCAAAGACCAACCGCCCATACCAGCTCCACCCGCAACCGTCCTGTTGACCAGATCCCAACTCCATGAGCGCCCTGGAGTGACATAGATGAGAAAAAACAGAAATAGAAAAGAAAGAATAGTAAAGAGATCGCCAGGAAGATATGCAAGCACCAAGTCAAATACGCTAGAAAAAGGCCGCTTCGCAGAGATTGGCGAGAAAAAGGAATCAGAAATAAAACATATGGTAACTGAAATTCGCAGCAATTCGAAGATGTGTTCACTCGATAGTCGCGCAGTACAATAGGCGGCATACCAGCTGAGATGCAAAAGATATCAAGAGCTTGCACGTGAAAACGCCTTTCGTGTCGATCCGTTGTTCAGATGAATGTCGTCCCATACCGTACCGAGAACGCCAAATCTAATGCATGTCGTAAGCAATAAGAGAAGGCCGAGTCATGCTGAAAAGATAACAACAGCATGATTCGTTTGGCAGAGCACATAACAGTCCCACTAGCGAATGGTACCCCATTCTGCAAGCTTGCTGCCTTCACGGCCGTGATCGCGCCCTGCCCGCTTGTTGAAGATTTTCCAGAACCTAAGTGTCTCATCACCAGCACCAGTCACGACTGTCTGGCCATCTGGACTCATCGCGAGGTAGAGGACACGGTAGGTGTGACCGGTTAACGAGACAATCTGTTCCATACGGGGATATTTCCAGATAACGATTTGATTCTGGCTATATCCATGTGTGCTGATGATTTCGTCCGAGTTCTTTGACCAGCCGAGATTACACACTTGACTGCCGGTGTCGACTTCCTTGATCATCGAACCGGTAGCCGTATTCCAGAATTTGATAGTCCTATCAGCCGTACCACCACCTGAAGCGAGCAGGTGATGCTGATGAGGAGACCAAGCGATCGCCTTGACGGCCGCTGTATGGTCCGAAAATCGAAACAGGGGAGTCTCATTAAGTTTGTCCCACACCATCAATTTGTTGTCGTTACCTCCAGATGCCAGTTGGCCATCTTCCGTGTTCCATTTGAGACCGCAGACCTCCTGTTTATGGCCTGCTAGGCGACGGAGGTATTGATCCGGAGAGCGGACGTCTCGATGATATATGAGACGATCCCGAGAGCCTGATGTGAGGATGTGATCATTCCACGCAAGCGCCCCCACACGGTTAGTATGACCGATCATGGTGCGTAGACGACGACAATGCTCTGCGTCCCAAATCTGGACCAGGCCTTTGCCAGTTCCTATCGAAATGTGCGTTCCCTGTGGAGAATTAATATATATTTCATATAGTGCAACGAGATAAATGCTTACCCGCTGTATCCAGCTCACACTTGTCACGGTGTCATCCTTCAACTCACAAAGCTTGGTCACTCGGCCGGATTGCGAATTCCACATATAGACAGAGTTTCCTAGACCGACGCCCAAGACATTGCTGCTGCCCCAATCGACCAAGTTCAGGTAGAAATCATCTTGAAGATCTGGAGCGTCGAGAACCTTGTACGGCACTTTGTTGACATAGCGAGGCTGTTTCCGTGGTGTCTCGAGGATCCTTTGGCTATCATACCGGATGGGAGACAGGCTGTAGAGTTCTGATCGCACGTTCAGGTTTGGTCCATGCTGACTCCTGGGGGTCTTTGAAGGTGTGGGTTGACCTGAACCAGGACGTGGGGACATGTAACTGAAAAGGTTTTTGTGTGGTGTTGACGGGGTGATGCTAGCAGGAGGTAATGCTGAGATGGCGTGCGTTGGTGGAGTATGAGAACGAGTGGGGTCATGAATAGTGGTATTAAACCCAAGTAGAGGGTCAGGTGAGAGCGAGTCTAGGTCGGCTTGTGGGACAGTGTTTCCAAAGAGCTCACTTCGCAAGACTCTCGAGTACGTCCGGTTAGCTTCTTCGGCTAACACAATGTTAGTTCAACACATCATTTACAGCTTGGGGCCAGCAGGGAGATCTCACTCTTCTGGAAGTGAAGCTCGCCATGAGGAGCACGTCTTTTTGTTTTTGAGGGAGTAGACGGACATCCATCTTCGTGCAACAGACTGTAGGTTGCTTGGAGATCCTGGCCTTCGCGGTTTGGGATGAATCTGGCTCAGCAGAGTCAGCAAGTAATTCCAAAGAGCGGCACCGTAGCTACCAGACAAGGGCCTTCGTATGCGGTCTTGAAACTGCGGGCCTATCTGGACGGTAAGAAGGACACTTACCTATCTCCATAGACTCTCTGTCTTTTCCGGCTTGGACTCGTTCCCGGAGTCCTCTCACGGCGACGTCCGGCTTCCTCGTACTCCTTCAGAGCTTTCGTTAAAGCATCGGCATCGATCGCTTCGGATGCTGCCAGACTCTGTTGTCTGTTGCGCGATGTGTCCGGAAAGAAAAGTGTCCTCTTGGACGGCATGCTAGGCGGGGTCTTTGATCCCGGCGGAGATGCGATATTCAGTCCTCTTGCGCCGGAATTTGCCTCGGAAGCTGGTGCTGATGCGACAGAGCCCTGAGGTCTCTGAGATTCCCGGTTCTTTTCCGCCATAGTTGTTCCTTCTCACGGCCCACGGCCACCGCCGAATTTGACCCGCAGATACTAATAGATAGAGTTGCGACGAGGTCGAGCGCAGATACTGGAGATAAAAGAGATGGTTTCGCACAAAGGAGAAGATACGATCGGATATCGTTAGAAATGGGTGTTGTAATTGGACTGAATGACAGAGAGTTAAGGATTGTTGTGGGTGTGAATAGCTGTCGCCGTGCTCATTCACCGCGCGGATGGACTGACAATAGGAGGGAGACAATCGACAGCGTGAAAACTCTGAGCAGACCAGCGCCAACGTGATGGAAAATCACCAGCTGGCACGACCATCAGAGATTGACATGAGGAGAAAAGCAGAAGCTGGCGGGGAGAGGGAGCGCAGGAGATGCAGGCCGGCCGTGAACTCTCTTGTGATGGAGTCGAAGGGGACTCACATCCCTCCCGGGGGGTCACGCGTCGGGAGCGCTAAGCCTTTCCAGGGGCCGCTAAGCCCGACCGAGACAGCCCATCAACACCGGCACTTCAGGCTTCATTCCTCTTTGAGGGCGGCCCGTTGCCGGTGGCTGGTCAGGATGGGAAGAATGCGATGCCGATGATGGCCAGCTGTCTCTGTGACCATGGTTGTGTCCTTTCAGCGCCGTTGAAAGCCAGCAGGCAGCCAGCAAGATGCTCCCCGGTGGTTGTTATCGTTGTTTACACTGACAAGCCCGCCCCGAGCGCGTCGCTCCTTAGCGCTAAACTCCCTGCAGCAACCAGAACAGAGCGCGCCGAAGGGATGAAGAACAAAACGGCTCAACGCATCACAGTGATTGGGCTGAGTCTGTGTACGCGGTTGTTTTGGCAGACACCAGCTGGTCCCTGATAGACACGAAACACCCGCCTGACGATTCGCTCCCCGCGCAAAGCCCTATGTACTATGTAGAACCATCCTGCTGGACCCTGTCCGATCCTCCGCTGACTTGCGATCTTCAAGTCTGTCAGACGTGGATCCGGAGAGACGCGAAGCTTGGGCCACATACATAGAGCGTAACTTAGCAGGCCGGAAGATCAACCGAAGGAACTCCATTTGACTCGTGTCGTAGCGTGTGGAGCAGGCTGTGTCTGTTGTTCTGGCTTGCAGAATTCGATGTTCCGTCCATGCATAGTGGATAGGACTTAACTCTGCTGCTCGATTCAGGCCCAAGAGGTGAATTGGACGTGGCTGATGATCTCCAAGCACAGCCGGCTGTTCAGTCGCGTAGTCTGCTCTCCCCGAGTGACCGCCGGCGGTACCTTCGTTTCCGCTACCTCATCTCAACGTCTCCCGCTCTCCCCGCCACAGATCTGGTGCTACTCTCCGCGAACAAGGTACTCTAACTACTCCACCATGCCGAAGCTCGACAGCAAGCAAGCCGCCTTGGACTTCTTGTCCTTCGTCAACGCTTCCCCGACCCGTAAAGATCCCCTGTCCCCGTCCCATGATCTACCGGCTCTAACCTTATCGTAGCTTTCCATGCGGTGAAATCTGCCAAAGAGCTCCTGGCGAATGCCGGTTTCAAAGAGATTAAGGTAACTTGCGACGTCTCTTGGCATCGTCTGATCCTTTGTATAATATGTTACTAACTATACATGCAGGAGAAAGACTCCTGGGCCTCAACATGCCAGCCGGGCGGAAAGTACTATCTGACCCGAAACCAGTCGACCATTGTGGCTTTTGCCATTGGCAAGAAATGGACAGTAAGCACATCAGACCACCATATGCATATTCAATGGTTTTCTTTGCAACTCATTTATGTATCACTAGCCCGGAAATCCCATTTCCATGATTGGTGCTCACACGGATTCTCCCGTCCTGAGAATCAAGCCTGTGAGCAAGAAGAAGGGTGAAGGTTTCGTCCAGGTGGGCGTTGAGACCTATGGTGGAGGCATCTGGCACACATGTAAGTGTACGATGGATGATCTATAGCATCTGAAACTAACGCTGTCGACAGGGTTCGACCGTGACCTTGGAGTCGCCGGCCGGGCGATGGTCCGGACCAAGGACGGCTCCATCGTGCAGAAACTCGTTCACATCGATCGTCCCAGTATGTCTGGCTGCTCAGTTTGAGGAGATCGTTGATCTTACTGACTCCATCACAGTTCTCCGCATTCCCACTCTGGCGATTCACCTGGACCGTCAGGAGACCTTCACCTTCAACAAGGAAACTCAACTTTTCCCGATCGCTGGTCTTGTTGCTGCTGAACTGAACCGGGTTGGCAAGGGATCAGAGTCCAAAGAAAGCGAGTCCAACCAGACGGAGAAGGGCGACTTCGCACCCCTCAAGGCAATTACGGAACGTCATCACCCGTACTTGGTCGAGTTGATCGCTTCTGAGCTGGATGCGAAGCCAGAGGACGTGCTTGACTTCGAGATGATCCTATTTGATACTCAGAAAGCCTGCCTCGGTGGTCTGCTCGACGAGTTCATTTTCTCTGCTCGCCTGGACAATCTCAACAGTTCATTCTGTGCCACTAGGGGTCTGATTGACTCCGTCGCCGACCCATCTGCTCTGGATGACGAGTCATCTATCCGTCTGATTGCACTCTTCGACCACGAAGAGATTGGCAGCCGGACCGCTCAGGGAGCTGACTCCAACGCTCTGCCTGCTATCATCCGTCGTCTATCCGTCCTCCCTGCGTCCTCCTTCGAAGAAGCAAGTTCCGAACGCTCCTACGTAAAGGCCGGCGATGTCGATCTCTCCACTGCTTACGAGCAGACCCTTTCGACTTCCTTCCTCGTATCAGCTGACATGGCTCACGCCGTCAACCCCAATTACTCCTTCAAGTACGAACCGGACCACCGCCCCGAGATAAACAAGGGCCCGGTTATCAAGATCAACGCCAATGCTCGCTACGCCACTAACGCCCCCGGCATCGTTCTTCTTCAGGAGGTGGCCCAGAAAGCGGGCGAGAACGGCGAAGACGGCGTCCCTCTGCAGCTGTTCGTTGTCCGCAACGATTCCAGCTGCGGAAGCACCATTGGTCCCATGCTGTCTGCCGCTCTGGGTGCTAGGACGCTCGATCTTGGCAACCCCCAACTGAGCATGCACAGTATCCGAGAGACTGGTGGAACAGAAGATGTCGGACATGCTATCAGGCTCTTCTCCAGCTTCTTCAAGCATTACTCGTCCCTGTCCCGGACGATCTTTGTTGACTAGATAGTCTACCTCTTTTTATAAGGAATAAGAGTCTCCTGCCCTAGCAGGTACATAATACTAAATATAACATTTTATGGATTACACGAAACCGTAATAGTCATTAGCACCTTCTCCTGCTCGACATATAGCTGGCTAGATGTCAGATATCAAGATGCAGCCTCCATCCTGTGTGATCTGTACAGCTGTCGGTATACACGGTGTAAGGTAGACCAGGGTGTCTCGTCCTAAAGTCTGACTGTAATGTTCTTAGGCTTGCTAAAGAGTCAGCTCTATCCTTACAAAATCATTGGTGCAGCAACTCCGGCCACTATTAAGGCGTCTGAATTCAAGTTTGGGTGGGAAGATATTGCAACAACAAACTGATTAAAATTCCGGATAACTCACGGGTAAATTAACTAATCTAACAAGAAAGACACCAATTTTTCCTGAAGGTCAAGTATTTAACCTTGTGATGCAACCAGTAAGCGTCGATGTGGGGTGTGACAGGAAGCGGGGTGGTGTACAGGGGTGTTGGCAAAAATTCCCTATATAAACGCTTCCAGTAGGAAATTGTGCATTATTCAGTTTCTCTTGGCTTTTACTCTATTGATAATTCCTACAATATACCCGGGGAAAATTTCAGACTAGCAACGCGCAAAAGTATTCGTTCCAAGATGAAAACTCCAGTCGATATGGCCCTAAACATCTTGTCACCAAATGCCATGCAGGTGGCTATGACCTTTGGGTTGTCAGGAATAGCATTCCATTCAAGCATCAGGAATATCGAGATCGACAATCGACTCGGGACCTTGTTCGTCGCTTATTTGTTTACATGGGCTTCTCTTGTGGGAATTTATGTGAATTTATTCGATCTAAGCTTGCTACATAGTGTTGCAACAGCTTCGTATGCAGGCTTGTGTTTTAATCTTGCGCTGGCGACCAGTATCGGAGTTTATAGACTGTTCTTTCACCGATTACGAAACTTTCCAGGCCCCTGGGGCGCCAAACTCAGCCGTTTCTACGCGGTGAATCTTGCATCCAAGGGTCTGCAATATCACCTTCAGCTGGAAAAGTTGCACAAACAGCACGGTGACTTTATCCGTACAGGTAAGCTCTGGGAGTATAGGTCTCAATTTTATTATTATTATTATTTTTTTTTTCTGTCCCAGAGGGATAATAATTGGCTGACTGGCATTGATTAGGTCCGCGTGAAATTTCTATAAATCGTCCATCAGCCGCTCAGGCAATCCATGGTCCCAAGTCACCCTGCCATAAGTCTACTTTGTACAGCCATGTCTCAGATGATGCGACCAAGAACTCAGTTCACACAATGCGCGATCCTGAGATCCATCGCCGCCGGCGTCGAGCTTGGGATCGCGGATTCAGCGTCAAAGGTATCTTATGACTAATAATTTAACTGCCAATCACTTTCTCTCGTTGGATACATCAGTATTCTGCTTTTTGCTTTTTCCTTTTATTGACTTCTAACAATCACAGCGATGGCAATGTATGCCCCTCGAGTAAAGTCCAAAGTCGACTTGTTCATTTCCCAGTTACGTACACGGGCTGGTCAGCCAGTTGATATCACCGAATGGACTATGTTCCTCACTTTCGATGTCATGGGCGTGGTTGGACTCGGTAAAGACTTCCAGCAGCTGCAAGAAGCTAAAGAGCATAGTGCTATTAAAGGACTACATGAGCAAATGGCGACGCTAGGGTTATTGGCTCATGTGCCATGGTTCCTGTGCCTGTTGAGCTCAATTCCTGGCTTGACTGGGAGCTATGAGTCGTTCATGGATTATTGTCACAACCATGTTAAGGAAAAGGCAGCTGTATGTTCTTTTCCTTTGTTCGACTTCGTTTCCGATCCTTTCGCGTTTTAGTGCCATCAATCTACAGCCCTGATGACGACTTTCTAGATATGGGAAAAGACAGATTCGCAGGATCCTGCCGACATTATATCTTGGTTGCTTAAGGCCTTCAAAGATAATGATCCATCTGCACCTCCCGGTGAACAGGCTTTGCAAGAAGATGGCCGTGTCATCATCGTTGCAGGAAGGTAGGACACCCTGTGTCATTTGAGTCAAGGGAGACTATTATACTAAAATCAATTTAAGCGATACAACTGGCGCAACACTGGCGAACGTCCTTTATTACCTTACAGTCAATCCGTCTGTCTGCAAAAGACTCCAACGACAGCTCGATAACCTATTTCCCAATGCTAGCGACTCGTTCACTTATGAACAAGTGCGTAACATTCCTTATGTAGATGCCATCATCAACGAAACTCTTCGACTCAAACCGGCTGTGCCTAGTGGCCAACCGCGGGTGACACCTCCTGATGGTCTTTTAATAGACGACGTTTGGATTCCAGGCGACGTTCATGTTATTGTCCCCCAGTATATTCTTCAGCGAGACAATAGGAATTTCGTAGACGGGGACAAATTTATGCCTGAGAGATGGCTAGCTGAAAATAAAGGAGAAATGATTTTACACGAAGAAGCTTACTTTCCTTTCCAAATCGGTAAGTTGTCAGCCTCCTTTCCTCTGACTTCCTAAATACATTTCTTTCTTTTAGTGACTAATGATCTTGATATTTAAACAGGACAATATGGATGTCCTGGAAAACCCCTCGCATATATGACTCTCCGCTTTGCTATTGTCTCTGTCGCATTAAATTTTGACCTTAGCCTCGCTCCGGGGGAGGATGGCGTGAAATTCGATCAAGGAGCTAAAGATACGTTTACTTTGACGTTATCTCCGCTGCAGGTGATATTTAACGAGCGTGTCAAGGCCTGAATCTATGCGGCTAAGTAACGACCACTATGGAGCTATGTTAATATGATGATAAGAAAGGTACATGCAGAGGCTCATTCACTCTTTGAATTTAGCCAATCCTGCTGTACGAGTTTCAATTGAGATGATATTGGATACAAGCTACTTTTCTGTGATTTTACAATCCAAGGCTCCGTATTCATTCCCCGGGCTTGTCTTATCGAATGAGACCATATGAACTCCAAGGCATATCGGAAGGTCCCTTACATCCATCCTCGTTCTCGTGTTCTTCCACATCGCCATGGTTCCCTGTAGTCCTGTCCAAGATGAATTCCGTCTTCTTTCCATTGCTTGAAACAAACATATAGTCTCTATCCCTACTGGCACTAGGAGAAGAGCTAATTTCCTAACGCTTGTCTACCTCTTCTTTCTTCTTTTGACCCTGTTTCCAATGGCAAAGATATGAACACTGGCAAGCAGCACGGGTATATTATAGTATCCAGCGAATAAAACGCTATGCCAGAACGCCACGAAATCACATTTTTCTCCCGTATAATGCATTGTAAGCAAGGAACCGCACTCTCTTTTCAATCGCGAGAAATCCATAGACACGTGTACGTTGAGCAACTGGTTTTCTCCCATTCGGCATACTGAGATAGTGTGCCAGCTGCTCTCCCTACCAGCTTGGAAGTATAGATAAAGAAGATTGATCATCCAGCCTGAGAACACATAAAGTGATGTCTGATTCTCGCGATCGTTGAATGCAGAGTTAAGATAGCTGGATACATAAGTTTGTATCCGGGTCACAGCGATTCGCATAATGGCCCAAGCCAGGCGAAGCAGACAGAGGACAATGACAGCGGCGATGAGCGATTCCGAGGTTATCAAGACCATAATCGAATAGCAATGAATGCCATGCACAGATGGCGGCCCGATGCAGTTGACTGCGGCAACCATTTTGATAGTTTAGACGTGTATAGACTGTCTAAAGATCGCTGTAAAGGTTGATTATCTTTTTCTCAAATATTTCATTCGGTGCAGTGTCCCAGATGAAGTCGTACAAGTGTCTGTGAGAATCCGCATGTAAGTAAACGCAGTATGGTATAGGGGAATGGGAGCACCCTTTAGTTCGATGCAGCCATATACTATTTATATTATATCCTGCAGATGCAGAAATATCAAAGTGAAAATAGTCAGTGGGTTTAATAAATAAGTAAAGGAACGAACTTCCCATAAAATGCATTCATTTTATCCGCGCGATTGATTTCGAAGTGCGTGATATATTCCTGAGGATAGGTGATGGCGAAGGATTTGAATTTCTGGTCTGTTGCCACATTGCCTGAATTTCTCTAGTATTCAATCTCTTGAAAGAATCTGATATAATGACAAACAGTGATGGCTCAATATCTTGTGGTTTTTCGAAAATGATATATCCTGTATAGAACTAGGTAATGTTGGCTTTCTGATAGCCGTGAGGTCGCAGCCTAGACGTTTATATATGGAGTTCCATAAGTCTGATAGGAACTTCCTATCCCTATAAGAGATGATAATACATAGAATTCCTCAATCTCCCAGCTGGAGACGGGTTATTAAAGCGTCTGCCCATTGTTGCGCTGTCTAAGTTGTTAAGCCAGGTATGAGTGTAACAGGCTTCGTGAACTTGTATTTACTCACATCACTGAGTCAAACTCAATGTTTGCTGGTAATCCCAAGATGAAATCAATGGTGATCCTGTAAAATGGGATCATAGGCGTTAGGATAGGTTGCATCGCTCTATAGGGCTAATGATGCTGGGTGCTGTTAAACAAAGTTCACAATGTCGAATGTAGAGTCGTAGCATCTTCGAGAAATGATAAATAGAAAAGCAGTGCAATCATGCTGTAGTTTCGCAATTACCGGATACTCTATGGACAAATACCACATATGCAATATCCTCTAGGAAGTCTGCATATTTTGTGATAAGAGAATTTTCATGCGGGCGTCTAGCATCTGTTAAGTTAGACCTATGCGATGGAAATGCTAGAGGCTATACTAATAACATACCCTGGTTCATAAATGTAATGTATGCTATGCCAGCCTCTATACAAGATGAACTGTTTCAGCGCGCTATTCAGTGTCTCTATATGGAAAGGATAGGGGATAACGTCCTTACTTCTCGCCTGCAATCATCTCGCTCTGGGCAGTGTCCCTTCTGTCGTTGTTTGCGGCTGCTAACGTCAGTATATGCCTCGTATATGCATGACTATCCGCCACAAAAACTGAGATCGGGCCAGGATTAGATCGTTTTATAAACCCGTGTGTAACTGTCGTGATACATTCAATACCATCAGGCAGCCTGATCTTTAAACCCAGTTGCGAGTGTGCGAGTGTGCGATGTAGCTGTCAGGCTCCGAAGGAGTATGCGAAGTCTGGGCAGGCTGGTCAGGATCACTGGGAGTGTGTGGAATCTGCATGGACTTAACAGGAGCCATTTGGACTGCAGCTAGAACGACGAGTGAGGATAGAATGTTCTAAACAGACCTAACAAAGAAAGTAAGAGTAAGGTCTGAGGTAGTATGGCTAACTCAATGCGCCGAAGCTGTAGTATATATAAACCATCATTATCGATGAAGCCCAAATGCTGCAAGGAATCAATCAGCATTATATATCTCGTCGAGTCCTTCATATGCAATGATATAACAGACAGGTACAACCATGGTACTAATATTTTCTTGTAATATTTTGGTGTCTGTGCCTTTATAAAAGGGCAGAGAAGTGAAGGACCCGACAGAGTCCAGAAAAGTGAAAGTGTAGGTCTCTATAAGGACTGGATATATACTTTTCTGACAAACTGGAGTTGCCTGGTGCTTGGAATCTCTAGAAAGTTCAGGCTATTTATCCCTACGGGTGGAGCTCGTTAAGAACGATTTGTGGGCGAGTTCCGCCAGGCTCTCTAGATAGGGAATGACCAGGGTGATCTGTCACTTTGATGTAGGACGTGATTGCTTTTTTACGTGAATACATTATCCCATAATTTTTGACTCAGCTCTTTATGTCTCATGACGTGATATACCAGCAAGCAGATAATCGGATCCACCGTTACTTAGTATATTGAATGTTAAGGACATCACAATATAATTGCTATCTTCACTATCATCAAAGTATTGATAGATCTAGTATACGTCCAAACTTACCATCTTCGGATTCCTTCAGGCCCTTTTCAAGAAGTCAATGCCAGATCAGATTATAACCGCAGCAGCGACCACGGCTGCGGCAGCAGCCCCCGTCACCCACAGGGTTAGGGCTGTTGCTCCGCTGATGGCCTCGGTAGCAATAGGTGTGACGGTAGTTGTGTTGGAAGAACCATTGGTTGCCGGTTTGGTCGCATTCGAGGTCGTATTGTTGAGCGGACTGAATGAGCTGCTACTTGCAACTGCAGCATTGCTTGACGTGGTGCTTGCGCTGGGCGTAGTACTGGGCGTGGTACTGGACGTCGTGCTGGGCGTCGTGCTAGGAGCGGCCATTGATGCGGTAATTTTCGGAGAAAGGCTGATAGCAGAAGAAGTTACTGGCGGTGCGCTGCTTGTGCTTGCTTGACCACCAGCATTGAGTGTTGGAAGAGGGCCATTTGCAGTCAGGCCAGTAGTGAGCGGAACGTGGTAGAAGGAAAAGTCCTCGCCGGAAATGGTATCAACCCAGACTTTCTCATGACCAAGGTCGCTGAAGGTCTGCGTGCTATATAGAAGATATAGATCAGCTAGTTTGTTATTGATGAGGTTAAAGTATGAATTCCTACCACACAGCTGACACCGTGCCCGCAACTGAGCAGTCGATCGAGACGCCATTGTCGCTAGGATTGATAAAAACGATGGTAGAGGGACCCTCGAGTAGAGTCGCACCTGCGGCGACACAAGAGCCTCTGGTGTAGGTGTTATAGGATGAATCGCCAGTACAGATAGGGGGTGTTTCGCCATCACGACCGACTCCGGTAGGCTGCGCGAAGCAGGATATCGAAGTGACAGTTTGAGGACCGCATTCAATGAGATAGGATGTTACACCGGCATTCTGAATGTTTCAGTCGGATGGTTAGCAGAGACACTTGCGGCGCGATGCGCCCATTTCAGGAAGTTACTGAACTTCCATACCTCTCCAACACTCTGAGCGACCAAAGAGTCCGAATATCTTCCATATTCGGGGAGAAAAATGTCGACGGTTTGCGCAGTGACAACGCTAGCGAGGGTTCCAAGTAGAACAGTGGAAGTGGCTGCAATCATTTTGTAAAGCAAAAACGAGCGACTATAGTACAGAATCTAAAGGGCAACTGAGGAAGCAAAACGACGTTCGCACAACATAGCAGACTACGGAGTATATACACTGAGCAAATGCAAAGCGACAGGTATCGGGGAAATCAATAGGGGCACATCCGAGTCGCTAAGGAAATCAACAAGCGTGTGGCGTACATAGCGGCGCGCCTCTGTCTTCTGGATGTAACATTAAGCTCATTTTCGACCAAGATAATTAGATTACCGTACTTCCTCGGAGGCTCAGTACCTACTTAGGGAGTACTTGGCATGCCTTTTCCTTGGCAATATATGACCACCCACGGAGATAAACAATCTGAGCGTACTAGATATTCCAAAATTAGGCGGCTTCGACCTGCATGGATAGGTTTTTGGTAGACTCTAGTTAAGTAGGTAATATATGTCGAATATGTGTATTAAGTATTGAGGCTCGAATCGAGTAGACAATCGCTGGCTCTCGACCACGTGAGCCGATATACTCCGATCTACTCTACTTCGTAGTTTAAGCCTTTCGGTTAAGAAAACCTAATTAGCTACGCCCAGTCGCAGGACGACCAAAGCTAGCACTGTACTATTTACGAATTCGTGATAGTTAACTACCTAGGAGGTCGTAGCACGAGTTATTCGCCCCGCTATCTTCTTCTTGCCCCTCGCTCACCGCTCGGCCAGATCGGGATGAAATCGGGGCAGAATCTTGTGCTCCCCGCGGCAACTGACATCAGGCGATGTCGCGATAGCTAAAATAGACAGCCGGTTGTTGTATTTTGTATAGACCACCGCAGGAATCTTTACTTTTTAGTTTGTTTTGTGGTACTGGCTCTAGTTGCATATTCTATTTCAGTCGCGTCCAACAATTGATACTGCTTCTGACAAAATGAGTGCTATCACACCACGCTATCTGACCGGAAATACAGAGGGCATCAAGGACTTCCTGGATCGCTTCGATGTGGGTATTACCCTCTAGACTATGACCGGAAGTGCTGCACGAAAGTCCTCTCCATTGTTCTATCTAGTCGTCGTTTAATCTCTCATATGCCCTGCAATTGGCTAATTCCTGAGGTCATTTTGTATAGGTCTTCCTCTTCGACTGTGATGGTCCGTTCACCTTAGGCCGCTGGTGTTCAATGATTCCGACATTTCTATGGGAAATTGTATACTGAGAGGATGTGTTTCAAATAGGTGTCCTGTGGTCTGGTGATCATGTCTTCCCCGGTACCGCTGAGACACTAAATATGTTGAGAAGCAAAGGTGGGGTACATTCGAGAGAGCGGAAAAGGCACCAATTGACTCTCTATACCAGGCAAGCGGGTTGTCTTCGTTACAAACAACAGCACGAAGTCGCGGAAAGACTATAAGAAGAAACTGGACGGTCTCCAAATTCCAAGCACTGTGGTGCGTTCGACCTTTAATCTCAGGATACTGTCAATCAAACTAACTGCTGTAACAGGAAGACATCTTCTCCTCTTCATACAGTTCAGCGATATACATCTCCCGTATCCTTCAGCTCCCCGAAAACAAGCGCAAAGTGTTTGTCCTAGGCGAAACTGGTATCGAGCAGGAGCTCGCATCGGAAAATATTCCTTACATCGGTGGCACTGATCCTGCCTATAACCGCGAGTTTAAGCCCGAAGACTATAAACTGATCGCTGCCGGTGACTCATCCCTCATCGACCCTGAAGTGGGAGTCGTGCTGGCTGGACTGGATTTCCACGTCAACTATCTGAAGTTGGCGTTGGCCTATCACTACATACGCCGTGGAGCTGTCTTCCTCGCGACCAACATTGACAGCACCTTACCTAATACCGGTACTCTGTTCCCAGGCGCTGGATCTATCAGCGCGCCCCTTATCATGATGCTGGGCAAAGAGCCAGTGGCACTTGGAAAGCCTAGCCAGGCTATGATGGATGCAATTGAGGGCAAATTCAAATTTGACCGGAAACGCACATGCATGGTCGGAGACCGCGTCAATACGGACATTCGATTTGGAATTGAGGGTAAGCTGGGCGGTACGCTGGGAGTCTTGACCGGCGTCAGCACCAAGGACGACATCTTGACAGGTGAATGCCGTCCCCTAGCTTACGTTGACGCACTGTCGGATCTCCTGGCAGGTAAATAAATGATTTCCCATTGGTGCAACATATCTTTGCATTTCTGCGGATCTGGAATGGCTCACGCTGCTGAATCGTCGCTCCTCCTCGGTCACAAGACATAAAGAGACTAGAGCTACACATAGATCTCCGCTTCCATTTCACATATACCCGATACTGGCAGCTTCGTGATCTAGAATACATTATTCAATGAAAAGTTGCTGTCAATTCTTAATGTACAGTGGCAGACATCAGTCCCGGCTCGGGTGCTGGTTATCGTACATAACGTATCCTTTCAGTTTCCACAACATCAGCATTGGCTCTACGGGAGTAGTTCCACCAGGCCGGAAAAAAAGTGCACTCTCCCGGAACCTAGGATGAAGTCTCCTCAACTCATCCAGGTTCTCTTTGCTCAGGAGTACCGACAGATCGAAAACGGGTACCTTCTTTCCGCGCTGTGGCAGAGTGATATAGTCAGGGAAAGGTGACGCAAATGAGCCAGGTTCTCGAGCTGGCTGAGCATTATTCGAGTGTTCCTCCCCATTACCAGGTCCCAAGACTAATACCCCTCCCCACTCCATATTCTCAAAATCTGGTAGCTGCTTCATACCTTCAACTAACGCCGTCTCTGAGCTATCTGAAAGGCCAAAGGCAGTCCAGACACCATCAGCTGTGTTGATATTCAAATTATGTCTGCAGACTCTTCCCAGCTCCTTCACTGCCTCCTTTCTCATATGTGCCAGCACGAACTCTGGCATATCCTCGCGCCAGACCAGGTTCTTCTCAGACCGACTGTTCAGTGGACCGTGTGGATGTCTCCATCGAAAAGGAATGATGTTGCTGACAGCAGACTTCCTCCTTCTAGATAGACGATCAACAAGGAACTGTCTCGTGGCTTCCTTAAGTAGATGAAAGCGATCGACTATCCGGACGGACGGCATACGTAGAGGATCGAGCTTCGATGCCGTAACAGGATTTTTTTGTTCTTCGGGGCCTGTGCCTCCGGAAGAGGTCTGGTTTTTTGCGGCCACAGCTTTCAGCTCATCCTTCAGAAGACTAACTGGCATGAACCAGAGACTCTCGCTCTCCTCATTTGGGCGCAAAAGTCCATAGTCTCCCAGAAAAGCCTTCGGCAGTCTAGTGCCAGTTGCGATACAGTATCGTGGTGGTGAAGCTAAAGCAACTGCCCACGGATTCCGCCGCAATCTATCAACGTCTTCTGTCGTGGGATCTCTCTTTCGTTTCTTCTGTGACGGGTCTCGGAGCTTCGTCAGAAGCGGGGATTGAGGAAGTGATTGGGATGGACGAAGCGCGGCATTTTCAGTATTAGATAGCGAACCCTGCTGGTCGTGTCCTAAGAGGTTGTCATCGTTCACACCATTGCTTTTTCCATGCGATGGTGGCGCGTTCTGCTGTCGCGCGTCGCTTCGGAGATGAATTGAGCTCGAGAGATTCCGCCGGAAGTTGTATGTCGAATTTGGGATCTCAGACGCCGGTAGGAAAATTCGACGAAAGACCTGTAACCGCCATGCGGCGTAAGAGAGATGTCGATTTGGGCATCCCATGTCCTCTGTGGCTTTTTTTTTATTGTGCTAGCGTTAAGCCTTCAGGGAAGATGAGGGAAGATGAGAGCTTCGCCGCAGAGTTGGCTAAAGCAGCCGATATCGCGCTAGCCATCTACGGACATAAAGTCACAGAGCTGGAGCAACCATGAGAACTCAATGATGAAACTTGTATCTATTCTCTTTGTGCATAATTGTGAATAACACGAATAATCATACCTCGTTCTTGACTTTCTTGCATATACTACTTCAGGTATTCATCACTGGGCATGTTATCGTTCGAAGAGTCCTTAACGCTTCTTCTGCGGAATCAGTTAATATTGGAGATCACTGCTATGTGTGTATTTATCTTCATATTCCCTAGGATCTCTAATAACATATCTCATTCGAGAGCTCAAGAGAAGACTACTATAATTGCCCATTGGCAGTAATAATTTCACCGGCGGCTTCCCGAATCACACTCACAACCGTATCCGGCATGCTGAGCATAGGAGAATGAGCAGCGTTGCATATATGTTTTGTGGCTGCCTCACCAGCAATTGAAGCCATAGCCTGCTGTCCAGCAAAGGGGATAGCCATGTCTTGCTTGCAGAGGAGGTAGGTAGTCGGAAGGTATTTGTACGCTGGATATGTCAAAGGTGTATCGAAGCTTGCTGCAGAGTGGTGGAGCGTTCTTTTGGCATAGGCTTCGCCAATCTCCACAGGGAGGTCGTTGTACATGATTTCAGGCGCACGGTCGAGTGTCGTTTGATTTCCCTAAATGCCCGTTAGTACTCTTTCCCCGATGTTTTACCGTCACTGGTAGTTGTCTGATATGGTTTACATTGAATATGATCCAGTTCTCATAGCCCCCCAGGAAAGAACCCACCGACTGTCCTTCTGGGAGTAAGAATGCAGTCATGTAAACCAAGCCCACTATTCCACCCTTCTTCCCTTCGATTTCTCTTTCCTTCTTGAGAAGGCCTTTTGTACTTTCAGTACCGGGGATTCCGCCGTATGAGTGCATAACCATTAGAACGTCCTTGCCCTCGTTGACCAACGAAGTAGTAGTTTTCCGAATAAAAGCTGCATCATCTGTGGCGGTGACAATGCCCGCTCCCCCAACTGAAGGTAGTAGTAAAGCATGCGTTTCATACTCATGGACCTTCAGTTTGTTGATGACATCGGTGAAATATTCTGGCGTGTGCCAGGCACCGGGGATGAAGACGAGAACTGGTTTTTGAGCATGCATTGTACTATGTGTGTTATATATCGGTTAATATAAGGAGTAAGAAATATACGCAATATGAGAGAACAGACACGATAATTGTATATGGGAGCTAACCTCAGGGCCGCAATTTACGACCTTTAAATACCCCGCATCTCCCCCCGAGGGCTGGATCCCTGACAGTTCTCAGATACCCGTTTCATGGTTATATGACCGCATGAAATGCTTTCCCTAGGATCCAACAGGGCCAGGCCTTACTTCCTTGAGGGTCTAATCGAACACTGCATTGTCAGACCACCTGAGGCTTGTTGCCGTGATTAGGTTTCCGGTCTTGGCTGCGTTAACAGGAAAATATCGTTGGACAAATATCTGTGAGAGATAGGGAAACAGCCATTTGTGGATAGGTTAAATCTTTCAGCCCTGCTAGTAGTAGTAACTGACTGGGGGCCTCACCAATACTAACCATTGCGGGGCTTTAGCCCCCAAATAAGGCCACCACAGAAAAATGTATGTTATTGTCCAATTGGAGCCGGATGATCTACTGTGTGCATGGAGAGTTTGATATTTGTCGTGTGGGTCGAGGAACATTCAGCCTCGTATGTGTAGTTCATACTAGTACCAGAAGGTGAAATCACGCACGCATTGACCTTTGTCGAGCTTTGCCAACTAGCTACTGTACAAGGCCATATTTGATACCATCAAATCTCCACTGAGCACATCCAATCCAGAGACTTACCCATTAGCCACTAGATCTGGCGCCCCTTGTCCGCCTCTTAGCAGCAATTACAAGAGACTCTAGTAACAATGGATATTCCCTCGTCTCCTTCACGAATACAGAAAAGATGCAGAGCTTCAGTAAGACAGCTCCCAATCCAAAGTTCTGCGATACAAATTTATCAATCATTTTTCATGGCTGCAGCCATTGGTGCAGTATCCTAAAATATCAAATAATCAGCCAACTTGGTTCCTTACAATACACCTTTGCAACAACTTACCGTGTAGACCTGCGAGAGCTTCAGACGTGGAGCTCCCTTTCTTACACTCTCATCATCAATGAGAAATCTCGCTGCAAAATCTCCAATGATTTCGTATCCACTTTTCAAGGTGGCCATATTGGTCCCAATCAGCATGAGATCATATCCTTTGTCGTCGCCAATGTAGACTCTGAGAATCTCATGTCGTCGCGAAATAACAGGACTGACGGGCCCTTTAAGGGATGTTCTAATCTCTGGAGCTCGTCAGTTTATCGACTTAATAGTGACGTTCACTTGATATTCACGGAGTATAGGAGAATACAAGAACGAAAAGATGAACGACCACCTTCGGAACCGCAAAACTTCTGAGTAGGGCCTATCATCGTTCCAGTCTCTGTGAAGACTTCATCTGCTAATACATCGCCAGCGTCAGGACCATTGAAATCAGCCAATGTATAATAGCGCTCTATGAGATGCTTGACCGCAGGATCAATCGCCTGTGGAGGCCAGTGGGTCTTCCTGAACGTGTAACTCATAATTCAATTGTTCTTTCGCGAATCTGTGGTTTGTTAAATTGACTGTTTCACGGATTGGTTTTACAATCTATTGATGGGCAGAGTATGAGGTCATTATAAACCACGCGAGGTGTCACGGGACGTTTGCGGCTTCTTTGCCGTTTGTGGAAATGTACATTCCGATAAATCGGACGACATCTTCAAGAAATCCCCTGAGATAAACTGTTTAGTATGTCGATTTCAGTAAATACGATATCGGTGTTGATTTTCCGTCAGACGATTTGGGTGCAAAGTATGTACCTACTTAGGCCGTGTGTTATATTTTACATGGTATAATCCTCGGCAAGACGGCTTTTGGTTTGGAGGGGATACTGCAGAGATACTTCCTGAGTATTGAAAGGGCAGATATGGAAGCGCACAGGTTCCATACTTAAAGAAATAAGAAAGTTGTTGTAGTGATCATGGAAAGAGCAAGCTAACTACCTAAACGGGAGCTCCCTACACAAATCTCCGAGACCGGGAGTCTTGGCAGCCTCGGAGAGCACTCCAGAGACCCCAAACGAGACAGTAGCTGGTTCACTTCTACACAGTCCGTTGCCTGAGCAGCAATTCAGCTCTGGAGCACATCAGCATGAATACAATTAGACCACTCCAGAGCCTAGCAGGCGTCGCTCGCCGGAGTCTCCTCCAGCCAGGGTTGTCGCGAACCTTCTCGAGCTGCGTGCCGTCGCTATCCAGCGTTCTTCCGCCGCGGGGCTGGACACCCACGCCGTTCGTTACTGAGACAGTGGTAGGTTTAAGAGCTCTATCCTCGCTCGATAGCTGATGAATAAATCACTGACTGGTCTCTTTTAGGGAGGTGGCTGGCACACATGTACGCGTCCCGACCGGACTCTTTTCATTTCAGTATCGAAGTAGGAGTCGAAGCAATGCTGACTCGTACCAGATGATATCTTTTCGCGTCTGTTGAAGGTGAGTACAGCTGAATCTTGGCACATTATCGTACTCGATGAAGAGACCTGACTTCTCGGCGTCTTCAGGAGCGCATAATCTGTCTCAATGGCCAAGTCGACGAGACGCTTTCCGCCTCGATCGTAGCGCAGCTCCTGTTCTTGGAAGCTGATAATCCCGAGAAACCGATTCACTTGTACATCAACTCGCCTGGAGGCTCTGTGACAGCTGGTTCGTACAACTCCTATCGCCCGTGGCTACAATGATTCGGATAACTGACGGCTGGCTGCTGGCTGTAGGACTCGCGATTTACGACACAATGACCTACATTGCTTCTCCCGTTAGTACTATCTGCGTCGGACAGGCCGCATCGATGGGTTCTCTTCTCCTCTGCGGTGGCCATCCTGGAAAGCGATACTGTCTTCCTCACTCCTCGATTATGATTCACCAGCCATCGGGCGGATACTTCGGACAGGCGAGCGATATCGCAATCCACGCAAAGGAAATCCTTCGGGTTAGGAGCCAACTGAATAAGATTTACAAACGACACTTGACAGGAAAGAAAGAGCTGTCGCTCGACGAGATCGAGAAGCTGATGGAGCGTGACTACTTCATGGGTGCAAACGAAGCCCTCGAAATGGGTATCGTAGACGAGATCTTAGACCGGAGAATCAAGCCCAAGAATGAAGGTGGAGAAGATGACACGAAGACCCCGGTTTCATAGAAAGTGGTCCGGGACGTGGTGCTTTTTTTCTAGGATGAGGTGAAACCTGTACAATATAATGACCAGTCATGCCTATCAACCCCAGGGGCTGCGATCCTCTATAACCAGATCTAACGTGCTTTCCGGCCTACATAGCCACTTCTTCCTGGCTTGATCAGTATTGAATGCACACAACGAGATAGCTGCCTCGAGAGGTGCTCGTTTATTAGCCGTCCAATTGGCCATTCATCTGCATAATCCGAAGAGACGAACGTAGAGAAGGTTAGATTGCATGTACAAACATCCGTGAGTATTCCCTCCATTTTAAACGCCGTGTATGCGAGAGTCCCAAAAATAAAAAAGTAAAAACAATAGTTACCCGTACACCCGCGCAACGCGCCCATCCGACCCGACTTCGAGGCCGAATCTTTCTCCAAGGAATCTAGTCGACTCAGTGTAAGGCGCGTTCCCAGATGCCCGTGCATACATCAAGGCTGGAGTGTAACGCCATTGGTCCAAGATGGTACTGAAAACGCTCATATCCATGATCACCGCTTCTCCAGACATGAAAGCATCCAAAGGATGATTGTCTTTCAGCTGCTCGCTATAAGGACCTTCAGCAGGGTCCGCTAGTAGTTGTGCCCTTTCTGGACTATCAGCTGTACCATAGCGTGTACCACCAGGACTGGGCTCATAGTCGTTGGGTGATTCTGCAGGCGATTCCGCGGGGTCTTCTACATCGTCACGTCGTAACACCCCTCTCTCCTCCGCATCATGATCCTGACTCCTCCTGGGTTGCCGCTGCGTCGCTCTTTTAGATGCTGTTTTCACACGCTCTAATATGAGACCAAGCATGAGAATATGCAATGCGATGACTAGAAAATCGAATGCCACGAGTCGTAATTTGTACACAGGACCCTTCTGGCCGATGAAGTCGATGAACAGCCCCCCATGTAAATAGCCCCTAGTCGATTCGCCAGCCTCAGGTCGTGCAGAGAGCAGGTGTACTAAAATGCAGAATAGGTTGCTGATGAATATGGCTCCAACGAACGGCTGGTTCCTCGTTGGCTCAAAGGGAGGTGCTTTGGGAGTGAAGAAGATAAGCTGAACAATGGCGCGAACGGCGAACAAAATGATAGAACAACTATATGACGAAAGATGATCTTATCAGCAAAGGCATATGCTCGTACATTTAAGCGCAGATGGATAGACCCACTCCATATAGTATAGAGCGGAAAGCTCGCAATAGATCATGATATCGAGATCGCGCAGCAAGCGGTCGATGAAGGCCACCTTCGCTGTTGCCTGCGCTTTCTTTGTAGCCTCATGACGGGCTGCATTTGCTTGTTGACTGATGAGACCATGGTCAGGACCGTCGCTTTCGTTCGGTACGTTCGAGACGTCAGCGATGTATTCTGCATCTCGGAAGGCATCTGGAGTTGTCATAGAGGGGTCATGGGTGAAGACTAGGAAAAAAACGAAGAGATGAAACGCTCAAGGCCACAATAGCTGGTCTGGTTACAGCTGACAGCAAAACGGTGATAATCGACAGCGACGATGATCGATCTAGCAGCGTCGTGCCTCCGTGTCAGGCGTATTGGTGATCGGCGGATTTTCCTCGGGCCGACACGCCAAGCCCCAGGCTTCCCCGGACTTATCACCAGAAGCATTAACCATCGTCACCAGTGATTGCGGAAACATATTCATTTTCCCGCGCTTCTGGTGGCCTGTCTACCTAGGTATATATTGGCCTTCGTCGTGAACTCTATCCGGTGCTCTCTTGGACCCACAAGCACCCACTCATCCAAGTCATCAAGTTCCATACTTAGTCAACTACTTCCTAAGCGTACAAAGAATCTAGCTAGATACTGGTGATATAGTAGGACTTATCTACTTCCCTAAAAACCATTGCTATATAACGTTTCTATATATCTATTGGTTTACATTTCGTCGTGGGATCCGCCTCTGTCCTGAATCTACAAACTTTCATCGAGCCCAGAAGTACAGCAGAAGGTACCACAAACTACATGACAAGAGTTCCACACTCTCTGTCCTGGTTAGACTATCACATCATTGACTAGCTCGGCCAGTCCTAGAAATCAAGTTATGTATTCTGAAGGTACGTATTTCACATGTGTTTTCTAGTGTGTATTAACACTAATACCTCAACTGGTTAGTCTACAAATCATGCAACTTGAGTAACGAAGGTTAGTTGACTGATGAGCCATTATGTCTTGGGCCCAGAAGACGCATTCTGCACGACTTCGGCCATTGGATGACTGAATACCGGACCAAAGCTGCCGAAGTCAGTAATCTTATGGCCCAAAGAGCTGAGCCAGAAAGAAGAGTCTCCTTGCAAGCCTTCAGAGGGCCTAAGACTGAATGGAAGACAACCGCACAAGCGACAACCATTCTGGAATTATTCCTATCTTGTCCTCCTATCTATCAAGCAGAATCATCTTTCGGTGATATATGGTAGCATTTTAGAGCTCTGGATATTGTTCTGGTGAAACTCTTTCCATCTGTGACTTGGACGAACTCGGATTAAATTCAAGCATGCACACCAAAGCGGCTCCCTCATGCAAATCAAACACCGAATAAGACCTGGTATAGATAGCCTCGATGGAATTGTGGGTGGCCCCTTTGTGGAATCTCACAACAGAGAATATATTGGGGGTGCATCGGTCCAGGCAGGTTCGGGAAGGTATATGCGGTACGCCGATAGTCGGTTGATGAAGATGAAGACGGCAGTGTGGTTGGATTCTTCCAACCTGGTGAAGCAAGGATCAGACTTGGGCGACATGCGCTTGCCTAGATCATCTCGCTGACAGAGAATGGATGGTGGTTTAGACGGAAATGGTATAACAAATCTAGTATCTGAAAATAGCCCCAGTCAAGCTTTCATGAAAGGTGCGATTATGATGTATCTAGCATTTATCATATGATGAGGGATATAAACGGCTACATATTAATCATTAGAGAAACAAGGATATCTACTTCCAATTCATGCGTGTTGCGAGATATTAATTCCGCCATTAATTATTTTTGACCAGTCTGCTCCCTACCAGAACAATAATGAATGCGCCAGGAGACAGCCACTGCCGTTGAAGCTTTGTGGGACGCCAAGCCATCGGGGCTTCTAGTGCTGTTTCTTTTCTTCCGTTCACCGAAGAGCTACAGTACCGATGCATCCCAGCTCGGATCGACGGTAAACCGGAGAAAGTGACTGCCAACTGTATCTGACTATTACTCTGAACCTTGGTACGGAACAAGAATCACGGCACTTTGCATTGACCGGTGGAGAGACCGAGAGACTCAAAGAAAAAGAGGAAAAAAAAAGCGCACCCAGTCGGGACTCATAAGCAAAGCAACGGCATCAAGAGCTTCCCAGGGACCTCGGGAACATCGAGAACCGCCAGACCTGACACCAGCCGGCCGAACCAGGAGTAGAGACCGTCTTATAGAGGAGAGCTTCGCTTGCTTTGCTTTGCTTGCTTTGCTTTCTTGATCCCCCATCCCATTCCTCCACATGTCCGCCGCTGCCAGCTCTGGCTCGATACGATTGGCATTGGCTTTGCGACGAGCTCCCTTGACCCGACCGTGTTGGTTGTCCTCCCGCTGCGTGTCCACCGCCTTCGCTCGCACATCAGCAACGCTGGCTCCCCCCACCACGCCCACCGCTCGCCCCTCCCCCTCCCTCTCCTCCTCTTCTCCCCTCTCTCCCTCCTTCTCTCTCTCTTCAACTCGTAACCGCGCTGCTCTTCTGTCGAGACACTTCGCGTCGTCAGAATCACCCAAAATGTCGTACACCGTCCGCAAGGTTGGCCAGCCGCACACGCTGGACTACCGTGTCTACATCGAGAAGGATGGAGTCCCAGTCTCGCCCTTCCACGACATCCCTCTCTATGCCAACGAGCAGCAGACTGTCCTCAACATGATTGTCGAGATCCCTCGCTGGACCAACGCCAAGCAGGAGGTACGGATTGCCCCGACACGATTCTCCCGCCATGGACGATGCATCGGTGTCCGATGTTTTCCCGGAGTCGAATATGGGTGCTAATAACTCGGTCTAGATCTCCAAGGAGGAGTTCCTCAACCCTATCAAGCAGGACACCAAGAAGGGCAAGCTTCGTTACGTTCGTAACTGCTTCCCCCACAAGGGTTACCTGTGGAACTACGGTGCCTTCCCTCGCGTAAGTGCCCCGCGGTCACTTTTGTTTTTCTTCTTCCTTGTTAATTTTTTTCGACATACAATAAATCCTGTAATGTCTGATACTGATGCTATTTCTTGATAGACCTGGGAAGACCCCAACGTTGTTCACCCTGAGACCAAGGCCAAGGGTGACAACGACCCATTGGACGTCTGTGAGATCGGTGAGTTGGTTGGCTACACCGGTCAGGTCAAGCAGGTCAAGGTCCTCGGTGTCATGGCCCTTCTGGACGAGGAGGAGACCGACTGGAAGATCATCGTCATCGATATCAACGACCCTCTTGCTCCCAAGCTGAACGACGTTGAGGACGTCGAGCGTCACCTCCCCGGTCTGCTCCGTGCCACCAACGAGTGGTTCCGTATCTACAAGATTCCCGACGGAAAGCCCGAGAACCAGTTCGCCTTCTCCGGCGAGTGCAAGAACAAGAAGTTCGTCTTACCATGTCTTCATTTCACCTCCATTACAAGACTAACGGCTATGTTTCCAGGTATGCCACTGAGGTCATCCGCGAATGCGCCGATGCTTGGGAGAAACTCATCACTGGCAAGACCCCCCGCGGCGAGATCAGCCTGTAAGTTGCTTATTGATAGCCAAAACAATCATCGTCATCATGCTAATTTCTACAACAGGGCCAACGTCACCAACGAGAGCTCTCCCGACCGTGTTGACCAGAGCAAGCTTGCCAGCATCCCCAAGGGCGAGAACCTTGCCCCGGCCCCTATTGATGGCAGCGTTGACAAGTGGTTCTTCATCTCTGGTGCTGCCGTCTAAAACATTTCGAAGTTTTGCAAACTCTAAAAAAGCAATACCCATTTCTGATTATCCAAGAAGCCTAGCTCTTTCGTAATCTGTATTTCGTCTATATTGTTCTCCATAGTACATATATGAGTACGAGTTATAGGGCTCGGGAACTTGGGGAGAACGGAGGTGGAAAAAAGATATACCGTAATTGGTCATTGGCCATATGTATTTGGACCGAGTTTCCTTTCACTGTAGAAAGAAATAGGTAAGTCACATTGGTCTAGCGTTGTAATTGGTGCGGGGAATGATAATCATTGGAAGAGCATGATTGTCGATGAAATTGCCGTCAAAAATGCGTCTTTATGGGTTTTTTGGAGTAATCTTTTATTCATGATGCTTGAACGTATAGTACAAATATTGTAGGACATGGTATGTTGTGTTTAATATGGTATCATCCTATCCGCGATACCTTGATTTAGCCACATATTTCATCTTCATCGTTGGAACCCAGGAGTTTCATCTCGAGACCCTTGTTCTCACCGTCTTCTTCTGCGCATGGTATCGGCTTCCTCATACACTCACTGCCATATATAGGTCCCTTCTCTCTCGAAAATCAACAGCGCTTGAACATCCTAGACGCCATATTCAAACCCAACACAAAAGAAGAGGAACTGTAGCTTCAAAGAGAGTCACAATTGACCTACTCAGCCCTTCAGACTCTCCTCTCTCTCCACACCTCTCGCGACACGGGCGATCTCCTCAATCACATCCCCCACCTTCAACTTGCGCTTTCCGACCTCGAGCTTGATCTCCTTTCCGCCCTTGAAGCCTACCGTCATCTCGGGCAGCTGCGTCGAGTTTCGCGGCAGCTGTTTCACTTTGATGTCGATGTGTGAGGCGCTGCTGGCGGGAGCGGTAGTGGGATTCTGAATCAGAGCGAGGAGGAGACGGCACGGCCGGGAGAGAGGGGAGAAGGGGGAAAAGGTCGTGCGGAACGAGGTGATCGTTTGGAGTGGGATGGTCATTGTGATGGTTGATTGTTGGTTGGTGGGATCGATATGGTGGTTATGGGGACTTTCTTAAGAACCTGAGAATGCTTGTTAGAATTGTATATGCCAATTCGTCTAATTTCAGATGTGTTCGTGGTGCCAATCGATGTATGAAGGCCTGATTGAGGAGTGGTGCATATTTACCTCGTAGTCCACCTCAGTAGAATATTTGGTCTGGAGGAAAGTACACTCCCAAGTCGCAATGCGTGCACACGCTATCCAGCTGACGAAGAAAAAGACAGAGGAAACCAAACAATCCAACCTCGTAGGAATAATCTCGACCGTCGCTATCTCTCCGCGGGAGTTCGCGCGGTCCTCCGGGAAACTTTTCGAGATGCGGATTGGGATGTTTGTCGGAGATGCAAACACGTAACTGGCCTGAAACAATACGTGTATTTTTACAGCTCCGAGACCGATGACGCTGTTTAGTTAAGGCCAACTCCGCAGTGCGTGTCTGCGATTACGACTTGTTCGATCCTTGATGGGTCTTTTCTACCCCGTTGACGAGAGAGAACTGTTTATAATACTTATTTAGGAAGAGCAGCTATACCATTTCATACACTTCCTTTCTGCGACAGAAGGTCGTATGCGTCGTACAGTACAGCTCACACATCATGGCTTCTGTATTCGCTCTACAAACACAGCTCAAAGAGCTCTCAGCTGCGGTCAGCCAGGTTCATCCTCTCATCAATCGCTTACGGAATTTCACTGCTGCTATTGGACAAGGAGATGAGGCTCGTCTGGAGCTTGGGGCGGAAATACATGCTCGACTGAAGGTGACGGAGGAAGAGCTGGAGTTATTGAAGGTTGACGTGGATGCGCTGGAGTCTGCCCCGACTAAAAGGAAGGGAGTTGATGTTGGAGATAAAGAGGCGGAGAGGGAGAGGGTGGTCGCTATGACTAAGAGGCTGGATGAGGATCTTAAGAGGTATGGCCATGTCTCTTGATCTTGGAGAGGTGTTTTGCGCAGCAGTGCTAATATTACTGGCCCTTGCACAGGACAAGAGGAGAGTTCCGAGCTGCTCAGTTACAAGCGAAGCGAAATGCGGAGGCTGCACAGCGGAAGGAGAGGGAACTCTTATTAGCGAAGCCGCGTGATGCTGAAGGGCGTAAGAAGCCGACGGAGAAACTTACGCAGGATGACCTGGTTGTGAATGCCTCGAGCGATGTTACATTAGCATTAAGGAGAACATATCAGCTGATGCAGACTGAGTTGTCGAGAAGTCAATTCGCACAGCAAACATTAGGTACGTTCCTTAAAATGGTGTTGAGTTGAGTACCTGCTAACGGTTTGATGATAGAACAATCGACTGCTGCTCTATCATCTCTGTCGGAATCATACACTAATCTCGATACTTTGCTCTCTTCCTCAAGAACTCTCGTGAACTCTCTCCTTCGGTCTCAGAAATCCGACACGTGGTACCTCGAGACTGCATTTTACATCCTGATCGGCACAATTACTTGGCTCGTCTTTCGGCGGTTATTATATGGTCCGCTATGGTGGATCCTATGGCTTCCAATCAAGCTATTTTACAGGCTTACGTTAACGCTTCTGGGAGCTGTTGGCGCATCTAGTGCCGGGGCTCAGCTCTCTTCATCTGCTGCGATAAGCAGTAGTTCGCCCATGGCGATACCCACTGTTGGTTCTGGCCAGGGACAATATGTCACAGCCAGCGTTGGAAATGGAGAGGCTATTTGGGAACAAGGCACTGCTTTTGCAACGCCCTCAAACCCTGATAGTGTCGTTGAGCAAGTCGGCCAGATGGTTGAGGATAGCCAAAAGCAAGCAGAAGAGAAGGAGGAGACGAATGTCGATGACATCTCGCCTGAGGAGAGGAAACGACAAGAAGAGATGCCTCGAAATCCGAAGAAGAGGATGTATGAAGATGCAGAAGCTGCAGAACGACAGGCGAGGAAGGACGAACTATAAACTCCATGCCAGTAATAACTAATGTCTTCTTCATGCTTAGCGAAAAGCATGTTTTGATACCATTGTGTGCTAGTAATATTCCACAGCCTTTGGTGAAACATTTGTCTCATTTGTCCCATTTGTATGATTCTAGTTATTCATAGGATAGAAATGTAGTAGATGAGTGGTCTCATTATTCAAGGTGTCAATGAATCCCATATTGTTTCTAGAGTAGGTACTTCGTAGGCCATCCTCTTGGCGTTGGCGTAAAGTGGTTTCGCGTATCACGTGTAGACGCGTCTTGCGGAGAACTTCTCGGCTTCGAGCTTGCGCGACATTACTCCAGGGTACGTCGCTCCAAAATCCGCCTAGCTTAAGACTTCCTTGTTTCGTCTTCTATTTTCGCGAGATTTGAAGAAGACTGGGTTCGTGGCAATGGCATCTAATTTCTTCAATAACAAGGCTCGGGCTGCAGCTGCGGCGGCGGCGGCGGGCAGCGCGAAGCACAAGCCTGGAGACAAGGAGGATCAGTCGCGTTTACAGCCTTGGGTTGAGAAATAGTAAGTTCTATCTTACATATGAAGAGAATATTCGTCTTGTCGATGTCTAGGGCGTACTGACTTGGATATTCCTCAACAGCCGGCCAAAATCTCTAGATGATGTCGCGGCACAGGATCATACAACAAAAATACTTCAGAGAACGTTGCAAGCTTCAAATGTACCCTATTACCTCATCTGAAGTCATAATTTATAGCCGTACTAAGTGCTGCAGCTTCCACACATGCTCTTCTACGGTCCTCCCGGAACTGGTAAAACATCTACGATCCTTGCCCTCGCGAAATCGCTCTTCGGACCCATCCTATATCGAACGCGTATCCTCGAGCTGAACGCCTCGGATGAACGTGGAATCGGCATCGTACGAGAAAAGATCAAAGATTTCGCACGAACGCAACTATCACATCCCGCAGGAATCGACGAAGAGTACCTCAAACAATACCCCTGCCCTCCATTTAAGCTTATCATTTTGGATGAAGCGGACAGCATGACCCAAGATGCACAATCGGCGCTCCGTCGAACAATGGAAACGTACAGTCGCATTACGCGATTTTGTCTGATATGTAACTACGTGACGCGAATTATTGAGCCGCTCGCTAGTCGATGTAGCAAGTTCCGGTTCAAGGCGCTTGATGGTGGCGCTGCAGGTGACAGATTGACTGAAATCGCCAACGCGGAGAAGCTCAATCTCGAAGATGGGGTTGTTGAGAAGTTGCTCCAATGCAGTGAGGGTGATCTTCGAAGAGCAATTACGTATTTGCAGAGTGCTGCTAGACTGGTTGGGCACACCGGCGGCTCTGGTAAGAAGGATGGGGATGAGGACGCAGAGATGGTAGATGCGGGATCATCGGAACTCATTACTGTCAGAATGGTGGAAGAAATCGCTGGGGTCGTCCCTGAGGGTGTCCTCGACAGGTTGACGCAGGCCATGCAGCCCAAGAAGATGGGATCTGCATACGAAGCAGTCGCTGCTGTTGTCACAGATATTGTGGCTGACGGGTGGAGTGCCACACAGCTTCTCACTCAGGTATGTATATTAATATTTCGTTTGATGCTGTTGGATTTTTGCTGACTAGTCCCAGTTGTACCGCCGGATAGTCTTCAATGATGCTATTCCCGACATCCAGAAGAACAAAATCGTCATGGTCTTTTCAGAAATGGATAAGCGGCTCGTTGACGGCTCGGATGAACAACTTTCAATTCTGGACGTGGCTTTGAGAATATCGGGTATTCTTGGTGGAGCTTAATTGCACGAGGCCCAGGCGAAAAGTGCTTTGCAGGTTGTAATGATATCTCGCAACATTGACGAATCATGACCAGACGTTCTCATTCCTACGCAAATCGTCATATAGCTGCCTTGGCTCTCATGATGAGGGAGATTCTGGGTATATGGTAATCGCGCCTTTTACGGGCGTTGCATTTGCGTCCTTGAAAAAGGGTCTGCATTGAATCTGCTCGACCGACGAAGACAATAGGGAGGATAGATGAGAGATGGCTCGACGATTCTTCACAGGCTATAACCTTGGTGGACCAGCCATTCAACGGTATATAGAGCCGGGTGTCCTCTTGTGGGAATATGAGAACCAATTAAACGAGAAAGGGCGTCTACGACATGGTCATACATGGTCATACATGGTCTTATGGACAGGCTCCTGAGATAGTGTATCCATCAATGTATACTTACCTTGCACTACGACGTGTGCTTTCTGTGATTCAAGCACGCTTCAAGAAAAGTAATGAATTGTCTAATGCAATGCCACCTGTCTATCTACGTCCATGTACACTGTATTTCCATCTAAAGTGGACCTTAAGTATCCTAAGGAAGTTTTTCTGAAGTTGTTTATCTATTATTTCCTAACGCTTTCTTGTAATAAAGGCCCAGCAGGCTAATATTTTCTACCTCCAATTTTCAGTCTAGATACAAGGGCCCTTCCATAAGAATATCAAAAGCAAGATAAGAAAAAGAAGGATCCAGATCTTGGAAGTCCCTAAGTGCAGGAAAGGTATTTGCAAGAAAACATCCCGTGCAGTCTGAGCTTGTCTTGACTTGCTAACAAAGTTGGAATGGAATGCTTGAAGGTTGAAGTGATTTGAGAGAGTGGCATCGTGTCGCCCGCGCGGCAATTTTCCATGCAAAAAGGTGCTTTCGGTCTTTACCTCCATGAGCGGACGAGATAGCCCCTGATCTATGCCTTGAGATCGACTATTACTTGTATGGGGTCTTCGGATTCCAGCTTCACTGATTTGTCGACGAGTCCCTCCATAAATCCTTTCGATACTGGCTCTGGCCCATCTTCCATTTTGGGGACTGTAGAGCTATCAGAAGACTCGATGCTTTCCATTTTTACTTCAGGAAGAGTAGCAGTCGGCTGGTTCTTCTTCGGGTCTGTGGCCGACTCCCCCTTCGTCTCGAGCCTATCCTGGTCGATATCTATAATTGATATCTCGTCTGGCCTTTCATCCGAGTCTTCGACCATTTCCACTTCGTTGGGATTGCCAGCCCAAACCACAGCTTTGGCCCAGACCTTACTCTGTTCCTCACCAACGCTATTGAGCCAGTACGCAGCCACAGCGGGGGTGACGGCCATCCACAAGCGCGCTCCTGGAGCTAGATCTTGCGGGACGGAGCAATGGGCTTGCATGATATTTGAATCTGGCTGAAAGCCTTCCCCAAGTTTTATTGAGCCAAGGAGATGGGGACGGATGTCAAAAGATTGCTTCCAGATGTCAATGCGGAGCTCGTCTGCCTTCTTGAGTAGCGAAATCAACTCTGCCTTCGATTTGCTAACATCTATGTCTTTTCGAATCAGACAGTCGCCCAAGCTGGAAAAGAATCCATGGGCGCTATCTATGTAGAACTTCTGCGAACGCAATGTTCTCTGGTAATCTAAGGACCCGGCTTGTGATGGATAGATCATTTTGAGCGTATGGGAAACCCACTTCGCTGCTCCATAACTGTCGCCTTATGTGTGTTAGTTAACCTCCTGGGATACTAATGCAGGTATCTCATATCTCACTATTTCTGAATTGTCCTGCGAGTTGTTGGAGCATCATGGAGAACTTGGGCGGCCCGGGCGTGTAGTTATCTTCCAATATAGCTCTTCCCTGGATGAGGCTCTTAGACGGGGCAGCAAATGGGTTGAAAATAACACTTTCGTAGAGGAATCTCATGAGCAAAGCGTTCAGAAAAATATTGGAGCCGAACGGAAGGCGAGCCATTTCAACTAGGTCTTCTTCGCGGCAATTCAGCCATTCTGGGTTTGAAAGCAATGCGTATTCCTTCAGATGTCCTACTACTTGTTCAGACACTGGACAATCACATGAGTAATTTCGAGTCCAGCTGTAAGCACCAGTGATGATATCTTCGAATTTGTTCTGTATTGCCTTGTCATCGATGGCATGTTCGTCAGTTGATTTCTCCCGTAAAGCGGCTCGCAATACTCGGACTTCATCCTCCAGCTTTTCTATTTCCTGGTTCTTGGATTTCACATCTTTCCTGGCTTTTATACCCTCTGATCTGAGAATTTCCTTCGTTTTCGTTTTCGTCGTCTTTCTAGGACGACCCTTCTTCCGTGCTGGAGTTTTGCGTTTCGCAGTTCTAGCTTTCTTTGTCGCGTCATTCGAAGGAATGAACTCAGGGTCCGCGAAGTTAGGGTCTGATGAAACTTCATGCTTCTTTTTGGCCATTTTTGTGGAAATTATGTTATATTAAAGCGAGGGCTATGCATGAGGAAGGTCAGTATCGATGGTATTATGATAAGGCTTGGGACGTTGAGTACCTCGAGATATGTATTTCGTAAGGTATGGGGACTTCTAGGAATATGCTGTAATATGTTTGTTGTCTGTATCAACTATGTAGAGACGTAGACTGTTGCAGACTTCTTCCCCTGTGGGTTGTAGATCAGTTTTCGAAGAAAGTCAGAAGGGGAGACCGAGTCCTAAGTTAACATGCGACAGTTCAGGCGGTCGAGTGAGGTCCGTGGGAGGCCATCAAGTTACAGATGAGCTGATGTGAAGTTGGAGGAACACAAATAAAGCTCTCTCCACAGGCAACCACTGTTTCTATTCTTGAAGGATATCCGAAGTCCTAGCTGATTACTTTCAATTCTGCCACCCTCGATCTATCTACACACTGCGATTACACCAGGCCAAAGGTTCAAAGCAGTCCGTGAGTCCTAGTGAGTGGTCTCGGTGGTTACTCGTCGTCGTAAGTAGTTCTTATGTTTCTGTTACCCCCCATATCATATCATTCACTCAACTCCTCTCTCCTTTCACTCTACATCGTTGATGTATCTCACTGTCCTATCACTCCTATCTCGCGCAAAGTTTCTGATCATCCAGTGCTACCCTTCATAGTTATCCATCTCTATAACTAATTCGCCAATACCTCATGTAGCGGCTTGCGACGTCCTCTGTTTTCGCCTTATCTTGCTTTCGGTTCTAACCTGGGCATTTAGCGGATACTTACAAATTGATCATACCCGGAAGATTCAGCATGCCCAGTCTTCAGGTTGGTCTTGATGACCTGGAAGATACCAACCCAAATACACCTAGTAAGTTTCCCTCATAATGGCACATCAGACATGCACATTCTAAGAATACGAAGAAAGCAGCCCGGCAAAGAGAAAGGCAAAGAGTCGCAGCAAGGGCGCGAAAAAGGCTATAAAAGGTAAACTTCCAGAAGAGCTGCAGGAAGCCGCACTGACACTCTTTCTTTCTCTTGCTATAGCAGAAAATAGCGATTCACCCTCCACCAGTGCTCCTAGCTCTTCCACAACAGAACGGACTTCTATGATCGTCGGCGTCGATTTTGGAACAACATTCTCAGGTCAGGGATCTTATTCTAATTATTTGGCTCATTCTACTTACAGTATATATTTGTCTAGGCATTAGCACAGTGAACTCGACAGACGACGTAGGTCTAGTGAAAGTGATGCGTAACTGGCCCGGACTCAGCGAGAACTACGATAAAGTTCCGTCCACTATCTCCTATGACAACGAAACGCCGAACTCGCCTTGTCGCTGGGGATATCAAGTTGGAGGAGAGATGAAATCTTCTACCTGGTTCAAGTTGCTCTTGGTCCAAGATGCAGCCACGGAAGAACATGACGACCCGTTGTTACGCCAATGTGCCGGCAAAGGCCTTATGCGGACCGTTGCGGGCAAACAACCTTCAGAAATTTGTCGGGACTATTTACGTTGTCTCTATAATCATGTTTTAGAGACGCTGAAAATGGAATGCAGTGCGTCGGTACTTGGACTGACGCGACTACATTTTGTCCTAGCAACGCCCGCAGGATGGAAAGATCATGAAAGGGCTAGAATCGAAATCGCAGCCAAATTAGCCGGCTTTGGCACTCGTCCAAATGACAAAATCACACTTGTTACAGAACCAGAGGCAGCTGCTTTAGCAGCATTCGATAATTACCAGAGGAGGTTCGGCTTGAACAGTCCTCTCAAGGTATGGGAGGCCTCGAAGTGATAAAACCCGTGATATTGACTAACAAAATTGGCTCTTTACAGGAAAATACTCATTCAATAGTGGTTGACATGGGTGGAGGCACTGTGGTAAGCACTTTTCTTTCGGTCCTCTAGTCCATGTGGTTGATAGTTCTCTAACATCTATTAATCGATCAAGGACCTTATCACTTACAAGATTACCGATACCAAGCCATTTACAGTCGAAGAGGCCTGCGTCGGGACAAGTATGCGACCATACAAGATTGGAAGGACCCTATAATAATTACTGATACGTATTAGGTGCGAAATGTGGAGGCACCACTATCGACCGCAACTTCCATATGTGGATGGAAACGTCGTTTGGCGACGCTTTTAAAAAAACACCTGCCATGCGGGTTGGACCTGGAAGTCAATTTATGGCAGGATTTGAAAAGCTCAAGAGACAATTCGACGGTGTTAGCGAAGGGCCATTTCGTGTCTGCCTGCATATGAAACACGCAAATTGCCAACGGTATGCACGCGCCTACAACGAAGTGATCATAAGCAGGTATGTAGTGCCTGGTGTACGAAGTAATACGTTTGACGAAACTATTTCTAACCAGCGTCCAGAGATGAGTTCGCTTCGATGTTTCGGCAGGTCATAGACCGTGTTATTGCACTGATCCATGAACAGCATAAGTCCGCTAGTGCAAAGGATAAGAATGTGCCAACCAAGGTAACGTATTTCTTTTTTGCATGACCAATTCTGCCTATACTTGTTGCTGACCTGGTTTGAAAGACAATAATCTTGTGCGGTGGGCTCTCTGAATCTGTCTACGTTTTTAATGAGATCAGAGATGCATGCAAGACACTAGTACCGGGAGCAGAGGTCATAAAACCAGAAAATGCATGGTCTGCGATTAGCCAGGGAGCTGCCCTGAAGATTCTGCAACCACGTGTTGCGTCCCGGCGTAATAGGAGGAGCTACGGAATATGCGTTCATCGTAAATTCATCGAAGGACTGCACAGGGAGCAAGATGCATTTGAGATTCAAGGCATTGGAAAGCGGGTAGGCAAACTGATGCACTGGCACGCTATCAAGGTACCTACTTCCATTTCCCAGCTCTTACGTTTGCTCGGCACTTGTCAACTCACTCTTGTGGAATGGTATGTTAACAAAGAAAACAGGGAGCAGCAACCAAAGCCAACAAGAAGGTTTGGCTCAAGACCCTCGTTGAACTTGGCGGGGTCAATGGGGAGGCGGGCACGGTAGCCATCTATGCCAGCGAGGCTGATGACCCGCCGATTAGGGTGGACGATCCACGTACGCTGAATGAGCTATAGTAGCAATGGACAAGAAATGCTAACATCGCTACAGGCGTGTATAAACTTGGAGATGTGAAGTTGAGTTTCGCCAATATTCCTCACCCCGAGAAAAAGAAGGTCAGGAGCAGGTACTCTTGGGCTGGACGACAGAATCATTATGTGCAGAAAGTCCACATTGGCCAGGTAATCCAGCCAGAGAGTAACACGGTCGAATTCATAGGTCGGGTTGGCAGGAAATGTGTGGGAATTAGGACTTTCAAATATGAGGACACCGGCGGCTCGACCCAAGGACCGTCTACTAGGTCAGATGAGGATGACAATGACGAGGTCACAGGAGATGAGGGCTTGAACGACGACGAACCCATCGAAGATAGCGAGGAATCTGAAGAAGAGCTGTTCCTAAGAAACTGACGTGGCTGTACTCCTATTGATGCGTTTTCATATGGGTACTCGAAAATCGTCACTGAATCGAGCAGGGAATATGCGCTGCGATGCTACCGTTCTAATGTGAGACGACCGGAGATCTGGAACTCGCTCGAAGTGTTTGTGAAATGCTCTGGAAACAGATGATACTTATTGGCGTTCTGGTTTGACTCAGTTCTCTGGTTTTGTGCTTCAGTTGTATCTGGCGATGGCTATGGAGATGCACTTTTCGTTTCTATGCTTGTTTAAATTGGATGCGGGATTCTGGTACTCCTTATCTCTCACCTAGATTTTAGAGACGTCCAGGGTTCTCCGAAAGCTTTCTGAGGTTACTCTCAGCATCTACGCCTTTAGAGAATTATGAATTTTTCACATTCAAGCACATGTATTCGTCTTTTGATGTCAATAAAGTTAATCTTGGAAATTCAAATAGTTGTGTCAATCTTGAGAAGTAGAGATCCTGCATTTACCTTGTCATGCCGGATGTAGGATGTATTCGTCGTTTTCGGTGCGTACTGGATTTATCTGTTAGGAGCCTTGATTCATCTTTGGCCCGCTGTATATTGGCTTTAACTGAATCATGCTAGGACTATAAACATTGTCTTGTATCGTCCGCACATATTTCAATAATAACAAGATGAGGCGCGAAGTTGATAATTTTGATGTCAACAAGTTTACTTATCTCATTGAAAACAGCTTTGTACTGCTCTCTTGATGGTCTCTCCGATCTGCTCCACAGTGGGATATGGTGGCAACAGGACGCTTCCTGTACATATCTCCTCTCCCGAGACAAATGTGACATATGGTATGCTAAGTCGAAGCTTCTCTAATGGAAAATATGTCACAAAATACATGTTGGGATTGAAAATTTACAGCAAGATTCAAAGTGAAGTCTGTAATGGAGTTTGTAGTAGAGTTCGTAAGAAGTAAAAAAAAAAGTATATCTCGGATATTCTATCCGGTCATCGCCACGTGACTCTAACTTTTCCTTCTATTCTCCTCCGTCGCCATCTCTACCAACAATACTCTTAATCACCTTTCAATTCTATCGTTTTAACCATATTGCGACGTCCACCGAAGGACTCTTGCCGTGCAACAACCCATCACTCCCTGATATCCCACAGAGCGTTTCGATTTTGGAGCGCGACCTCGTCATGATATGCTAAGGTTTCTCCGCAACGCAATGGCTTCTCTCACTACACCACCCCGCGTTCCCATCCCCGCCAACGGGGTGGACTATCGTGGCAAGGTCGTCCTAGCCCCGATGGTTCGATCTGGAGAACTGCCATCACGGTTGTTGGCTCTAAAGTATGGCGCAGATCTCGTCTGGGGACCTGAGACGATCGACCGCTCCTTGATCGGTGCAGTGCGACGCATCAACCCGCGCAATTCGACGATCGAGTTCACCCGCATTCCGTCGAATGGAGGCCGCACAGATAAACCGGCCCAGGAGTCGATCATATACCGCATCGATCCTTCTCGAGAGAAGGGAAAGTTAATCTTTCAGATCGGAACTGCCTCGCCGGAACTGGCGGTGCAGGCGGCCAAGGTTGTCGCGGCTGATGTTGCGGGAATTGATGTCAATTCGGGATGTCCAAAGCCATTCAGCACGAGCGGTGGTATGGGAGCGGCGTTGCTGCGCACTCCTGACAAACTGGTCTCGATCCTTGAATCGCTGGTCAATGAGGTTGGAAAACCATACCAGATCGGTATCTCGGTCAAGATCCGTATTCTAGAAACAGCTGAGAAGACGGAGGCGCTGGTGTCACGGCTTGTTAAGACTGGAATCACTGGGTTGACTGTCCACTGCCGTACAACCCCGATGCGACCCAGAGAGCGTGCTATCCGCGAACAACTTCCCATGATCGCCTCTATCTGCAAGAACGCAGGTGTTGCTTGTGTCATGAACGGCGACGTAACGTCTCGCGACCAAGCCCTTGCCTTGATGAAAGAGTACGGTGTCGATGGTGCCATGATCGCCACGGCAGCAGAAGCTAACCCGTCATGCTTCCGTACGGAAGCCGAGGGTGGTCTTCTGCCGTGGAGAGAGGTTGTCCACGAATATATCGATGCCTGTCTGCAGGTCGAAAACCGTTTCGGCAACACAAAGTATCTGATCAACATGCTTGTCCCTGGAAAGAACAAGGAATTCAGGGAGGCAAAGGCGGCCAAGAACTACACCGACATGTGCACTGTCCTCAAATATGACGACCTCCTCCCTACCGCGAGAGAGGTCGACAGAGTCCTGAACCTCTCGCACAAGTCCGCTTTCCCTAATGATGAAGACAATCTGCGAAGCCAAGCAATCCAGAACGCGATGGAGAACAACGAATCTGCACGCGCTGCAGGCGGTGCCTCGCGATCGAAAGCAGCCTCCCCTGCTTCCAGCGGGATTGGTCCCATCCGTACAAGCTCGTTCCCTCCTCCCGCTCATTCGAAGCCCAAGGCAGAGACTCAAGTTGATGTCTCTTCCACTACGATGCCACAAGCTCAGAGCACTGAGGTCACCGTCTAGCTTTGTTACTCGCCTCATTACGTTTATTTTCCGACATGTCACTTAACTGCACAAAATACTCTGCTAGATTTGCATAGCCCGGCGATAGAGGATATTGTCTTGTTGCTCGTTGTACGTGTTTTATTCTGTTCTTTGTACATATTTTTCCTGCATCTCGATCTATAGATTCCCCCTTTTTTTGAATACTCTCAAAAAAGCGCGTTGTGGAGATGTCTTGAGACCTATGTCCGCTTTTGAAGACAACAGGAGTAGCCTGAATTCGACGTTGTAGTCATCATATAGTTAAACAATAAAAATATTAGTCAGTATACAAAAGCGTCTATGACTAGGAAAATACCATCAAATCATAATGGGTACATTATCTCTACTATGTGCATGTCATGACATAATGACAACCATGCTAGAGAATGGGGAAAAGGATAATCAGAATGGATAATCTTGGACAAAGACCGCTGAATTAATAAACAGCAGGAAATAGTTTCTATTGAAACATTAACTTCCGTTCCCAGGTACAACCCCCATAAAAACACCATTAGTCAGAAAACCTTCATGTCTTTTCGGAACATGGGAATACTCTTTTTTTCTTTCCTTTTCTCAGACCGCGTGCCCGCATGACAAACAAATATGTGATCAGTATGCAAGGACATAAAACAGACTCTGAATAATGGAGTCTTGGGCACAATACAGTAAAACAATGTCCACCGTTCAGATAAATCCAGTACAGAACGCTCATGATGCTAGGACAGAGGATTTAAGAAGTAGATTACTCCTTCTGGAGATCTGCCAGGACCATGTCTTCCACGACTTTCATTCCGACCTCTTCGCTCTTCTTCGATTCTGATGGGTCATCACCCGCAACCGCTTGGTCGAGCGCGAGCTTCGTCTGGCCCAGAGCGTAGATCTGCTCCTCGATAGTGTCTTTCGTTACGAGGCGGATGACCTCGACTTCTCTGGTCTGTCCGACACGGTGCGCGCGGTTCTCCGCCTGCACGTCTTCCTGGGGGTTGAAACTCGAATCAAAGATGATGACCTTATTGGCACATGCTAGGTTAATACCAGCTCCACCAGCTTTGGTAGACAGGAGAAAAACTGGTATATCTGTTTGTTCATAGAACGCGTCGAGAATAGACTGGCGATCTTCGACGCTTGTACGACCATCGAGCCTGAAGAATCCCATATGCAATGTCTCGAGAACGTGTTCGAGAATATCCATAACCATAGTGAACTGAGAAAAGATCAAAGACCGGTCACCGTTCTCCTTGAACCTTTTCAGCAGTTCGCAAAGCTTATCCACCTTTCCAGAGTTCATCCACTCGTTGTTTTTCAAGGCAAATTTGCCAAGAGAACCAGGATGATTCAGAGCCATTGTATGACACTCAAAGTCATTATAGGCCTTCAGTTCTTCGAAGATAATATCAGGATCGGACTGCGACCACATTTCTTCCTTCAGACAAGCCTTGGCCATGCGACTCAACGTGCTGTCATCGTAGATGCGGCGGTATAAGAGGGGATGGATAGCCGCTTGGCGTAGCTTCATTAGGATGTTGGCCGACTTGTTACCAGTCTTCTTGCCAGCAGCTCTATCCTCCAGGAGTTTCCGGACTTCGTCTTTTTCGTGGTCATAGATCTCCCTTTGAGTCTCGTTGAGCTCACAGTATTCGACTCGCGCAATTTTAGCTGGCAGATCAATGACCTGATGTTTCTTCCTGCGCAGAACGAACGGCTTCAGCATAGACTTTGCTCGTTCAATACGTTGCGCTGAAAGAAGTGTCGAGTGGGATTCATCTGCAGTCTTCGCCTTATTAGCGAAGACATACTGAAGATCATCCTTTCGTTCCTGGAAGACCTTCGGCAGGATGAAGCCTAGCAAAGACGCCAATTCCTGGAGATTGTTTTGCAGCGGTGTTCCCGTCAAAAGAAGTCGGAATCGAGCACGTATACGAATCAACTTTTCATAGAGAACAGACGTACTGCTCTTGAGCATGTGTCCTTCATCGTAAACACACACCGTGAAGTCTAGAGACCGAAGGAAGTGCGCATCGACCTTGGCCTTCGCGATAGTGTAGGTGGTGATAACAACATTAATGCTGTCGCGATTTTCTTCAATAGTCTCACGGATTTCAGCGCGTGCTGCTTGTCCAGCATAATATGGCATGACATTTAGAGTCGGGCAGAAGTTTTGAAATTCGCGAAGCCAGTTCTCAAGAGTCGATGATGGGACGACGACAAGGTGGGGACCTTGAATACCCTTTTCATACAGGTGTGCAAGGAAGGCGATGACTTGACATGTCTTTCCAAGACCCATATCGTCCGCTAAGATACAACTGAGCTCCTTCTCAAAGAGTAGCGAAAGCCAATTAATACCAACAATCTGGTAGTCTTTCATTTTCAAGTCCTTATTCATGATGCCGGGCTGTCCAATGAATCGACTTTTGCGCGAACCAGTGCCAGCAGGTCCATCGCTGTCCTCGTCCGATCTTTGACTTGAGGGAGTCCCAATCCCAGAGTCGTGGGAGGTCTTGTCCAACGAGACCAGTTCTAGCTCACCGTCACGTTTACCGAAGATGTCGACACCCCATTTCTTCATCTCAGCTGCGACAGGCTTTCCCAATGCTTCACATTGAGTAACAAGGGCGTCGACAGCCTCGTATCCGGTCCACATGTCGATGCACTTGTCCACGATCTTGTCTCCGATGGGCTTGTTTTTGCGACCTTTCCCAGTCTTGCCTTTCCGAGCATCGTCATCAGGAGGGGCTGACACAGCACGAACCTCGTCGAGAGATGAGAAGGGACGATTCGAGACAATGATGTTGGCGGTGTCTTCGGTGATAGCAGCGATGTCTGCCAGTTCTGGTAACGTGCAAGAGTTGAAGAATTTGAGGACTTTCGTCTCCAACTCTTCATCTTCCCCCGCACCGTAATCAGACTCATCAGACCCGTAATCAACTGCCTCTGGGGACTCAGACCGGGCTGGTGATGGCTTTTTGCTCTGCACAAGTCGACCCTTGCTTGGCTGGGCGTCAGAGGGAGCCGGGCTCACGGGAGACGAGACTTTGTTTCTAGGGCCCCTGATCAGACGTCTTCGAGGCTTTGAGTCCTCCGCAACATCCTGCCTCTTCTGGGTAGGGAGAGTCTGCATAGACGACCATTTGTCCTGAATCCTGGTCCGCGCTTTGATTTGCTGCTTGGCAGGAGCCGCAGCCAGAGCCGCAGCAGGAGCAGACTGTTTGCTGTCCATGCTCAATTCATCATCCGAAGAGCCAAAAAGAGAATTTAGTGAGCTGCCCTTCTTCTCCTCGGTGCTGGCAAGGTAATCCAGGGCGTCGTCATAACTTCCACGCTTCAACAAGAGGGCTTCCACACAAGTATGGACAGATCTATCGGGCATCACATTCAGCATCCTTTCCACCTTCAGTCTGATCTGATAATCGTCAATGTCTTCCAGTGATGAGATGTTAACCTCAGGAGCTTGGGCTCTAGAAGGAAGGTCTTGGCGGGGCTTCTTCGCTGGACCATTGGTAGACAATTCGGACTCAGATGCCGTTCGCTTCCCGTTTCCAGGCTTGTAGACAGCTGCCGCCGTTATCTGTTTAAACCTGTCTATAGAATTACTGCCAGAGACAGGAGACTCAGCGACCTTATCAGGACTGCGTGAAGACTTCGTAAAGGTGGACGGTTTGATGTCTGTCGATCTGGCCGTGTCCATGTCATCGTCAGACGAGCCACCACGGTAGACAGGACCATCGTCGTCGAGGTCCATAGCTGGAGCCCGCTTCTCTGGTCTGGGTTGCGGTGGTCGAAACTGCGTCCCCGGGGGAGCCATGACGCTGGATAGCAAACCGCCCCGTTGGACTGGACGGGAAGGAGAAGACATTGGAGCAAGAGGAGAGGATGCTGCAACCTGCACCACGGAGCTCTTATCTGGTGTAGGACGCTCGATAATCTGTGTGGGTTGAGTCAGACGCTGTGAAGAGGGCGTTTGTGTTCCTCCGTGCTGGCTTGGAAGTGGCAGGGTGGCGACCGTCTCATACTCCGGTTCTTCATTCACATTTTCAGATGCGTTCTTGGAGCGAACGGGGGTATCTGGGATTGTATCGTCCATGACTTCCTGTAGACCTCTCCCAGGAAGTTCAGGTTGACAATCCAGGAAGGGGGAGCAGCGGTAGAGCTGGGAGAAAGAACCCTTGACCCAGATATGAAAGCGACCCCAGAAAATTAAATCGACAAGGCCCGCTCCGCGCATTTTGGCGCGATCTCAACGCGCCCGCGAACTGCTCCATCACGTGAACTGCATAGCGTCATTCTGCCGGGCTGTCCTGGACGGTGAGGGAGGCGGTAGACAGCAGTTGCAGTATGAGGAGATTCAAAAGATTCAAATAATGAATAATCTTCACATCTAACTTCAGGTTAAGTTAGCTGCAGTCTGAATAATAATGAGGTAGTTGATGCGTGTGTGATGTCAGTTGGGCTGCTTGGATGAAACTGACCTGCTGGTAAATGTTTTGATGACCCAGAAAAATAAGTCGGGGAAGAGAAGGAAAGCATGTTGTTCAAGTAGAGTTATGGACAACAGTCGAAGATGCATGGGATGGAGCATTCATCAGTCTTATCACTTCATGTAAATTCGGATCAGATTACTTTCATATGATATGGTTAAACCTCTCCTATCAGCATTAATCTTATGATTCTCAGAAACTTGATGTGTTCTTCTCAGACCCAAGAGCCCGCCGGGGCCTAGGAGACATCGATAGAAAACTCTATAGATGTATGTATCACAATACTAACAGGAGCCAAAACGAACATTCTTATTTCCAATCCCATAGTTTTCTGTACTTCGACCAAATAAAATGAATATACAAACGTAGTTGTACATCAACTCGATCAACTCTACCATAAATGCGTCGTCTCCACGTTGTTGGCCAATCATATCCGGTGTCCTGGAAGACGCTTTGACGCGAGCTCATCCACTCCGCTTCCTAACATGCCACCGGGTCCATCTCTAAAGCGCTATCACAAGACAATCAACAATAAAAAAATATATAACCCCATCAACTCCTCTTTACTGATTCAATCCATCGTCGCTGTTTGACTAGGCATTATTGATCCTCTTACCCTTACGGACCGAAGCCTAGAATACCAGGAACAGTTTAACCCGCAGCTCAAAAACATGGCGACTCGCCGAACACAAGGCCAATCGTCCTCGGAGAAAGAGACGTCGCCTATCCCGCAACAGCCTGTCTCTTCGGATGTCAGCCCAGCTGTTCCTGCGTAAGTAGTTCAAATTCTGGCTAGCATCCATGTTAGCCATTATCCCATGTCTGAACTACCCACCTAATCACCTTCCGTACCACGTGCTATTTTATTGATTTGTAGCGCTCATTAAAGGTTGTTCCAAACTGAAGGAATTAAGCCTCGAAACAGCTAATTATAATGCATATTTGTCCATTAGGAATTCTGGAAAGAGCGCTAACCGTGTGTTCATAATACAGAGATGTCATCTACAAGCTCCTTGGGTTCACAGCAGCGATGATCGTCGCGCCAATCGGTATCTACTTCTTAACTGTCGAGTCGATTTTTCGAGGTAAGAATCTAATATCATTTCATGTTTATAAAACACAGAGTTTTCATTTGCATTTATAACCCTTTGGGGATATACCATGTATTTGTCGGGAGGGTTTCATTGTCGACATGAAGAGAAAGATCCTAACATACAGCATAGGGAATTCGACTTGGGCAGCTATCAGCGCTGCGGTCACGGCTAACATCATCCTGGTCGCGTACATCATAGTTGCGTGGAAGGATGATCAGGGAGAAAGGCTCGCGCAAGAAAAGAAGGCGCAGTGATGGATTGGTTGTTTTGTTTTGTTGTTATAGTGCTGTTTCGACATGCCGAAGAGATTAAAAAAAGTGGAGGCATATGGATCTTCGCTTTTTGAGTTTGGTACTGCTAGTTGATCATATTGAGGTCACGTTGTATATTAGTCTATGCTAGTTTCATTCATCTGATAATCCTATCCCAATCTCGACGCTGATGCATGTATTTACAGTTGATGAACATGCTAGGGGACCTGACTGGGCGACCTGGTTCATTTTGGTCAAGTTCCGAAAGACAATTAGTCACTGAAAAATGCAGGAGAGGAGAGCTGCTGAAAGGGTTGAGCCTTCTGATGATATTCCAAAAAAAAATCCAAACTCCGGGATCTGCAACGGTCATACGAAGCGAATGGAGTCTGGTATCTAAGGAAGTGAACAGATGGGAAATTTGTCGCCGAGTCGCTAATTCCCATGATACTTCCGACAACAGTCACGCAAGGAAAAAGATGCAAGAGATTCCGTCAGGCACAAGCATTATGCGGGTCTCCTCTTCACGAATTCCTCCAGATCTCCCTTCGTTGCGACACCAAGGACGAACTTCCGGCTAGCATCCGTCACCACAGCAAACTCCTGCTTCTCACGTTTCTGCCCCGCCGCAGTTTCACCTTCGAAGAAGCGCTCCAGTTCCTCCAGGGGTGTCTCCATGGTAATCACCGTGTAGACATTTTCCCGCTTGCGATTGAATCGTTGCATAGCAGCCGAGACGGGATCGGATTCCTTCACAGTGCCTTCCTTAAGTAGTTCCTTAAGTCGCGGGATGCTGAGGTAGCCGATTAATGAACGGCTTGTCGAGGAAATGACGGTGAGATGTGTGTAGTCGCGCTCGTAGGCGGCGATAAGAGCGGAGGAGATGAGGTCGTCGGGAGAGACGGAGAGGGCTGGGGGAGGATCGAGATCTTCAACTGTGGCCTGTGGGCAGAATTATGGTTAGCTATCACAGTTAAGCCTGGAGTGTACTGTTTGTGGGCGTAAATGTGTGGTATCGGGTCGCTGTAATCGCGGGGTTTGCTTTTTCTAAGAATTCTTCGTGCCTTCAACTTACCCCGCGATATTTGTCCGCCCAAGACGTTTGAGACGGTGAACCGGAGGCTCTTTCTCTAGCAGCGGTCTCCAAAGCATACGCTTCGCCTGCAGATGAATAGGACGCCATATTCGATTGTTCTGAAGAGCTGGTGGTGAAAGAAGCTCAAGCTCTCAGACACGCTGTGGTGGAATCGGTGCGCCGATTCAATTCTGCTGCTGACGGCTTAGCTGGCCTCCCAATTGCGATAAAATCGAAGCGTCGAATTCGTATGGAAGTCGATACTACCGCAAGGTTGGTAAAAGTGCCACTTTGTGTCGTGCTCTTCGCTCTTCAACCGCGGGGAGATTATTTTTATCGATACTCTACTTAGCGTGCCGGGGATTGCTTTAGAGTAGGGCGATCTCAATCGGGACCGGGAGGAGAGCGGGTCGCGCGCCGAAGACGTCACAAGGCTTCGCTTCCTCTGGGGTCTCCACCCTCGATCAGATCTACTTGTATCGTCTTCTTCCTCGCTTGTTCCATCTAGGATTCTTTACTGTCGATTTATTTATGCTATTTTAATTTGGATTGTTGTCTCGTGGCGAGGACTGCAGCAGAGGCAGTGCTGCTCTGGAGAAGAGTCGTACTATTATCTATTATTGGTTACTCTGAAGGATCGATCATCTGTCAGCCCCTACATAAGCAACGTCAGTATCTAGTCATCATTTACCATCACAATATACCATAACCCTCTATTCTTCCTTGCAACAGCAACAAAACGGTTATCGTTTTGAATCCACTGACCGCAGACAGTGATATAGCTGCTCATCACAATGTTGCCCTCTCAGGGAATCATTGCCGGTGTTTTCGCATCCCAACACCCTCTGACACGATCAAAGGCCCAGCCGCAGCCGGAAGCACCGGCATCGATCAAGCGCAACCCATTCCCTGCCTGGAGTGCCATTGATGATGTGAAGAACAAGGCGGAGGCCATTGGAAATGAGGCTTCACGAGAATTCAACAAGGGGAGCAAGCTGGCTCAATCTAAAACTGGTCATATCGAGCCATGGACGCCTAAGTACTATGCAGCATGCACTTTTGGTGGACTGCTAGCTTGCGTAAGTAAAAGAGCTTCATGTTCAGTCCTTGAGCTTCCGATATTCAGGCGTCGATTCTAAACTCTCATGAATTGCGCTGTGCTCAATTTACGAGAACTCTGAGGCTAATTCGTCTACAATTAGGGTCTGACGCACACGGCTGTGACACCTCTGGATCTCGTCAAATGTCGCCGTCAGGTCGACCCTAATCTCTACAAGGGGAATGTGGAAGCCTGGAGCAAGATTCACCGCGCAGAGGGTCTTCGTGGGATCTTCACCGGTTGGGGTCCGACTTTCTTCGGATACAGTGTAGGTTTATGCCTTCGACAAGAGTAGGATCACAGAAAACGTGCTAATATCCTTCCGCAGGCCCAAGGTGCATTCAAATACGGTGGTTATGAATTCTTCAAGAAGTTCTACAGCGACCTTGTCGGAGAAGAACGGGCCGCGCGCTGGAAGACTTCCGTGTACCTGACCGCCAGTGCTTCCGCTGAATTTATTGCGGATATTGCACTCTGTCCATTCGAGGCGGTTAAGGTGCGAATGCAAACTAGCATTCCCCCAGCCTACACTGGAACCTTCAGCGGAATTGCCGATATTACTAGCAAAGAAGGCTGGGCAGGGTAAGCGTGGCTGCCCCGTACGGAACTGGAATATACTGAGACATGGCAGTCTATACAAGGGACTGTACCCCCTGTGGGGTCGACAGATCCCATACACGATGATGAAATTCGCCTCGTTCGAGACCATCGTCGAGCAGATCTACAAGACTCTCCCGAAGAGCAAGCATGAATACGGCAAGGGCGCGCAAACGGCTGTGGCATTCAGCGGTGGTTATCTGGCCGGTATCCTCTGCGCCATCGTGTCTCATCCTGCGGACGTGATGGTGAGCAAGTTGAATGCGAACCGGTTGCCGGGCGAGGCTTTCGGAGCAGCCATGGGCCGAATCTACAAGGAAATCGGCTTCAATGGCTTGTGGAACGGACTGCCTGTCAGAATTGTTATGATTGGAACTCTGGTGAGCAGATTCATTGCAGTTGGGTGGTTTGTGATAGTGGCTAACTTTTTTCTCTTCAGACTGGCCTGCAGTGGATGATGTATGTCCCCGATGCTTATGCTTCCCTCAACATCCCTATGCCTAGTACTGACGGTTACGGACAGCTACGACTCGTTCAAGATCTTCATGGGCCTGCCCACGACTGGAGGTCCCGCCAAGGAGCAGCAGAAGACCTAAACCTGCGCTCACGGTGCCCTGGTTTCCTCCTTATCGTGTGGTGGCTCCACCGGGAGGGAGGGTTGGCGGAACAGAGACAGAGGCCATGTTTGATTAACGACTGCGATCGGTGGATATGTGCTGTTGATAGTAGTAGAGTGATCGTCTATACGAATGAATGTCCTTCTTTCTTGTTAGTATTATCATTAGCTTCTTGGTATCTTGTCGAAGATAAAAGCGCGCCGAGGCCGGTCATCTGATCGCTTGGCCTTCCGTGGTGCTTTTAGTAATGAAGCGGACGGACCAACCAGAGAGCGCGGCGCTGTTCAAGTATCTTATCAGCCCAGCGACATCGACGTCACAGTCATTTGTTCGGGTCATGCTAATTCTGATTAAATGATGCTAACTCTGGTAAGCCACGATAGCCATCAGCCAGCTCGCTTGCACACGCTGCGAATAGAGGCGGAATAGGGCTGGAGCTGGCCATTGTTCGATCCAGTCGTTCTGTGCCTGTGCTACTTACTTAGGGGGGGTATTTTTACCCCAGGCCCTCCCCATGCCTGGATACTTACTGCAACTACCATACAGTACCTACATACAACTTGATTCCACCAGAAAGTTCTGAGAAGTCGTGCGGGTTTATTGAGAGCTCATTCTAGATAATCAGCAGGGTAAGTCATCATTTTCTTGGGCGTTACGTTCTTTTCCTGTTCTGCGATCACGCGATGCGATGCGATGCGATATGATGCGCCCCGAGTTCAACCCACGCCTCCACCATCGATCCAAATGAATACAGCATGCATTCCACGTGCATTACAGTCGCATTACCTTTGCGCCTGTTCACAGAACGACTTTTACCTCTCCTGTCACTTCAATAAATCTCACATACGCCATGCTGCCGCGTCCACGCCCTCTTGCCTGTCGGGCACAGACCTCCTACGGCCAGAGCAAAAGTTCCGGAAACATACAGAAGATCTGGATATACAGTCATTGGCCACGATAGACAGGTCATATCTCTGCGGAATTCGGAAGATGAAGAGATCTTTAGTGCGCGCCATGCCTTCTCATAACAATTGGGCCAGATCCTCTACTGTCAGAGCCTCGTCGCATTCTCGGATATAGCGTGAATCTATCAATACGACCCCGACACTTCTCTCTACTTCACCAAGTAGATCTGTGAGAAGCATATTACCAGCGAAGTAGTACATCCTGGATAAATTGCGAGACCAGGCGCATTGATCCGTGACTCAATCTGCTCTTCAGAACGCTAGATGTCCTCCGCAGCATCTCCAGGAAATCATATCAATTGCTTATATCTATCAAGAACTAAATCGATACGTGCTAATCACAACAACCAGGTTATAGATTCTTTGGAAACCGAAGAAGTATCTCTCAACTCAGTATGAGTGGTGAAACACCTATTGTTTCCCATGGCCGAGGAGGTATTTGCGCTGATGCTCTTTATATAAATTATGAAGCAGTGCATTAACAGTCCATCTGTTCAGGCCACGGAAATATCGGCAAGGATGATACTCCGTAAGTGCCAACTGTCGTCTGTCTGCAGCCGCCAAGAAGCCGCCGTTGCTGACCTGACTTTATAGGTATGCGGACGCCTCCATCGTCCGCGAGGGCCCCGTCGGAGACCAAGGAGACGGCGCCTACTCCGCTGGTGTAAGTGCAATCCCAATATCTGGATACCGCCATCTCCTCATTCCACCAATTCTGACGAACCAACCTTTTTCCCTTTTTTAGCGCGGAGGTGCGGGAAATATCGGGTCTCCTCACATCCCTCCATCCAAAAAAGCCGTTCATGACAACGAAATGATTCCGGAACTTGCTATCCGCAATTCTACCGATGAAAACTATCACACTGGGGTAAGTACATGGGCCCCTCTTGTTTAGGAATTCCATAGTTCCAGACTTCGCGGGGTGATAAGAAAATGAAATCTAATTTTACGTGCAGCGCGGTGGCCAGGGCAATGTCCATCTCGACGAGGCGGCGAAGAAGGGTAAAGAGAAGGAAAGGGAGGAAAAAGAAGAAAAGAAAAAGAATCGCAGGTCCGTTACTAACGACGGTCTTGCCAACTGGTTGAAGGAGAAGCTTCTCAGGAAGTAGATGTTCAGACCAGATCATCGGAAAGATCCTTCGATAAGACTCATCAAAAGGAGCAGAGGCTTCTTAGCGCCATGGCCACGATAGATGGAAGTGGTCTATACCAGGCATTGGGGAAGTTATGTTGTGTTATTTACGGCTGCACCGATTGATTCCCATTCGTTTCTTATTCAATACTGAGCTAGATGACATTAGTTCGAAATTTCTATTTCTACATACATAAAGCCAGCATATACATAATATATAGATATAGATTCCTTATTCAGTATTCAAGATATTTTCTCTCTGTTCGTTACATAGACACATACATATATACCTATCCCTTAAATTAATTCGTATATCCAACATAAATGATATCCCTTTTTTCCCACTTTTCCAAGAACTCGTAAACTCCAAAAACCTATTGCATATGATATGATATCGAATTATACCACCTCTACAGCATCACTATTAACCTTAACCGGCCTCCCATCCATATACGCAATTTGAACCTGCGTCGTCTTCGTAATCCCACTCGGAGCCGACGTAGCGCTACCACTACCACTACTTTCACGCCCGGGATAATCCCTTTCCTCCAGATCAGGATTCCTGACGATCTGCTCCTGGCTCTGTTGCTCAAAGGCCGTGAATCCAGGGACAGTGTACGATGATCCGGATAGATGGGCGCGACGGCGGGATATTGTGTGGAGAACGTAGTGGCTGCTGCCCGTTCGACGGGTGCTCATCCCGCCTCGGACGGAGCCGCGGAAGAGAAAGGGGAAGAGACGAGAGAGGGGGTAGCGTAAGGTTGGGAGACAGGCGCAGATGATTCCGACGTTGGCTTCGACGAGGGTCCAGGTTGAGCGGGGGATGAAGTCCCCTGTATTATTTGAATGTTTGGTTAGTATTGGATGGGGGCACAGGCTGTGTGTCGAGGTGACTTACAGCTTAGATCGAGTTCGCGCGCTGATGTTTGCGACACGGCGACTGTTCTGATGATACTTGCTGTGCAGGCGCTGGTGGAATAGAATATCACGTCAGTGCATGTTCCTTATACATGGACAGTTGCATAATGTCCTGTTCTGCTGTAACTCACAAAGCACCCATAGCAAAAACAGCCAGGAGACCAATCTTCTCTCGTTTATTCAATTGCAACTTCATAGCCGGATAGATAGGAAGGAGAAAAATCGCAAAGTCAGTAACGGTATTAGTTGCCGCAAAGGCATACCAAAAGGCATCCTTGTTGATGCATTTTGGATTCTTAACCGATTTATCCCATGAAGCTTGGATAGGGATGCATTGCAGGATAGTCGCTAGCATAGTGCCGATGGCCCAGAGTGTGATGAGGACGAGGAAGATCTTTCCTATGATCTGGAAGCCTTTCGTGATGAAAATCCGAAGGTAGAGCCATACGATGGAGAATTTGGTGAAGCCGAGGACGAGTTTGTAGAAGATTTGGGCGATGAAGAACCACTAAGCGGTGTCGATTAGATTGTTGTTCATGTATAGATGGTATAGTTCGACAAAGGGAGGGAGATAGGTATAAGGTCCAAGGAATTGACGTACCTCGAAGGCTTTCCTCTTCTGCGATACTGTAAGGTTACTGAGGTGGCGGCCATACCCGCTCACGACGGCTGTTGTCAATCGTTGTTAGTACTAGATGTTATGAATGGAGTTTCTTTCGCGTGGAATGAAAGACATACCCATATTTATTGTCGCAGTTACCAGGACCGAGCAGGCCTATTCGATCAATTAGGCCATTTTTCACTAACAAGTATGCTAGACAATCGGAAGGTCGCGTACCAATGCTGCGATGATGGTGGCATCATCTACTCCCAGACGTCCAGTATAGATCCTCGATCCGATCCGAGCGCCTACGAAGAGAGACGCCACCAGAACCATCACTAGGGCCGTGATGTAGAGGACATATCCTCGATCGGGCACCCCTGGCGTGCTCTGGCCATAGTTGACCATGATCGATGGGAAGGCCTCTTTTGATCCTGGGCCAGATACGTGGTCGAGGGAGAGCGCAGACGAAGCGGACTTTGCTGCGTAGGGGAGACGACCTCCACGAGCAGAGCCTGCTATGGTAGAAAAAACTCCATAGGACAACAGGCTTCGCGTGAGGATGTGAGCGACTCAAGCTCTCTCTATATCAAGCCGACTCAGGTAGGGGCTGTCGCTGGTGGCGTCCAGGGCAAAAACGGATTAAATTCGGGTCTACCACGTCCCAAGAATCAAGCCTTGCTCACTTTCTTTCTGTTCTGAGATAATTTGTATCCACCGGGCAGTTTGATCTACGAGCTCTATTGGGTTTTAGGATCGGATGGAACCGTGGGAGAGAGATCGAGAACTTTAATAGTAAGTGGAAATGGATTCCACTATCCATATCCGGTGATGTTTTTTTTTATTCTTCGGCCCCAATAGTCTGGGCGTTCGGGGTCCGCACAAAGGAGGGATCAGGAAGAGTTATGCACATCATGGTCGCCGGTAAGAAATACTATCCTGGTTGAACATGTTCTAATTATTCTCTGCTCCTGTCTTGTCGTCCGGGACCGCCGGCCGATAGGTATCTGCGGGGTTCCAAGGGATTACATATCGTCCTCCACGAGCATAGAGCCGATCAGATGCCGATCTCGACTGGGTCACAGCGAGCACAGGCCAGGAGAGGGGAAAAGAACACCGAGAACATGGAAGGAATTCATTAGCTTCGCTCAGCCTTTTTTGCCCGCGCGATCTGTTGGACTGTGCGAGACTCCAGCCTCACGAATGGAGCCCATGGAGGCGCCCTAACTTGCCTCTATCATTGGCAAAACAGCGCGACCCCTTCGAAGTTTTTCTCCCTAGCGGACGGTCTAGCCAAGTACTCGAAAAACTTAGAACTGGATGGTTTTTCCCGTTCGATATCATTCCCAAGCCACAGGGTGTTTGTCCGGGAGGTCCTTGATCTACAAAAACTAAGGTCTCCGCTGGCCACGTTGTGAGAGAGCAAATCCGTCGTTGCTGTGTGCCTGGTCGGCCTGCTCGTTGATCAATGCAGCTCCACATTCTGCTGCCCTTTCTGGGCCTCTTCGCTCCTGTCTTGGCCCGGACTGTATCAGAATTCACTGTCTCAACGTCTAATGGACCAATCACTGGCCACAGGGCATCGAAGAGTCCTGACGTGACTGAATATCTGGGGATTCCTTATGCGGCGCCTCCAGTGGGCGATCTGCGGTTTGCTGCACCCCAGAGTTATCAGGGACGGAAACCCTACGTGGCTGCGAACTATGTAAGTTGAAACTGGTAATATTCTGATATGATTTCTATTCCCTGGGCGCAAATAATATTTTTTCTTTCTTTTTTTCCCGTCTGCTAACGCGTTCTACAGGGAGCGTAAGAATTTCCCGACATTATCTAAAATAGGCGAGCTTGATATTGACTATTTGTCACAGTGATTGTCCATACACTCACTCCTCGTTGGTAAATTATCCGAACAAAACTGCCCAGTTCGATCGCATCTTTGAGGCATTCGCTGCGGTCAATAACAACACCCAGAGCGAGGACTGTTTGAGTTTGAACATTTGGACCAAATCAACCAGCTCCCGGAAGCCTAAACCGGTCTTGGTTCATTTCTACGGCGGCAGTAAGTCGATACCCATTTGAACATTCAAGTGTCAAAAACAAAGACTAACCAAGAAAAAAAAAAAAAAAAACAGGATGGACCAGCGGCACCACTGATACATCTTTTTACTATGGAGGGTATCTCGCTGATGCCGAGGATATCATTGTCGTCACCGTCAATTACCGCATGAACATCTTCGGCTTCCCTGGTATCCCTAACCAGCCCTCGAACCTCGGTCTTCTCGACCAGCGCAAGGCCGTCGAGTGGCTGAGAGACAACATCAGGGCTTTTGGCGGTGATCCCACCAAGATCGTCATCTCCGGCCAGTCATGCGGTAGTGCTTCCGTGGGTTACTGGCCCTATGCCTATACCAAGGATCCCATTGTCGCCGGCTTGATCTCTCATTCGGGAACTGTCTTCAGCTTCCCCGTCAACTCGCAGGAGCTGTCAACTCAGAACTGGTACAACGTCTCGAACCTCCTCGGCTGTGGCACTTCGGGCGATGTCCTACCTTGCATGCGACAGAAGAGCGTTGCCGATATCCTAGCAGCTGCAGGCAAGATTAAACCACCACCAGCTACTTCTGTTGCTCGCAAGCAGCCCGTCTTCGAACCGACTGTAGACGGAGTGACTATCTTTGACGACTACGAGACCCGATCTGCCAACGGCAGCTTCGCCCATCTGGTAAATCCTTCCTCCCTCCCCTCCCCAAAGAATCTCAATACATTAGCAAGCATCATCCAGAAAACAAACAAACTAACCTAATAAAACCACCTACCCAGCCCTACCTCGTCGGCCACAACGACAACGAAGCCGGCTTCTACAAAATCGCCGCCTACGCCCAAGGCGCCAACCTCAGCGAAGCAGACTGGACAGACTTCAACATCCAAACCTTCACCTGTCCCACAATGGAAGAAGCAACGAACCACATCCGCGCAGGCGTTCCTACCTGGCGATTCCGCTATTTCGCAGACTGGGACAACACCCGTCTATATTACCCGACTAGCGGCGCGTATCATGGTGTCGATATGAATATGATCTTCGGCAACTCTGCTGATTTTACAGGGATTCCGGAATCGAAGCCCCAGACGCAGTTGAAGAGGGTGATGCAACGCGCTTGGGCTGCGTTTGTGGCGGATCCGCAGAAGGGGTTGGAGAGGCTTGGGTGGCCGGTTTTTAATCCTAGTGGTATGTGCTCGCTGTCTGGTTCATTCCTAGTTCATCCTTCCAGCTATTGTGTGTGAGAGGGGGTCGTTTCTTTTTGGACAGTTATAACTAACATTGACCTTTTATTTCTATTAGCCAACACCCTCATCCGTCTCGGTTACGGAAATATGCCGAATGCATCATTCGTTAACCCGCAGGTATATGATAGCGCTTGTTCCGCGTGAATCTCTAGCATCTAGCTAGCATCTAGCTAGCATCTAGCTAGCTGGCTCTGTCGATCTTCGAGAATCTGTACTGTACATACGCATGTGTGAAATAGAGGTCCCCTTTGTCTTACTAATAGAGTCTGATAGAGTTCAAATGGGAACGTTCCGGCTTTGGTGTCTAGAAATTTCATGTATCGCTAGTGAAAATATATGTTCATTATTCTGCGAATTTGTGACCTGCTGGATATTACTGGACTTCTGTTTGATGTTTACGGGAATGGGAATGGGAACGGGATGACTTCCGAGCTGTGTGCGATAACAAGGCTTGGTCTTGTCTCTACGAGCCAAAGATGCCGCTACAAGGACTCACTTACCTTCAGGCGCATAATACAGTCGGGCTCTTCGAGATACAGTTAGCGGAGTACCAGGCGGGAGAAGGGGAATGGGTTTGTAGACGACCACAGAGCGCAGAAGTCATAGACCCATTTTCCGCTGCTGGCAGAGCCGGTTAGTAACATGGAGTGCTTAACCACTCCTGGGCAACAGCTTAAAGCCCACTAGAGAAGAAAGGGAACAGAGAAGATGAGGAAGTATGAAGCATGTCCTTTCGCTGGTATTATCCAGATCAAGTTCAACGGTATATCTCAGAACGAGTCATGCTAAGCAAGTCTCGAACACCCGTCATGCTGCATACTAGTCTGATACTTACCCTTGCCAAGGTCTGCCCTTTTTTTTTCTCTCCCTGGTATATACTCCTCCTCTTTCTGGCGTAAGGGCTCTCATTAGTATAGTTAGTATTCCACCATCCACACAATCGCTTGTGGCGTCCCAAATAATAAAAATCCGAAAACGAATCTAAACGGCAGCCGCCACGGAAGTAGGTTGGTTCGTTTTCTCCATCTGGGTTTCCTGTATCGTAATCTGCGAACTGGACTCGACCTTGTTCAGATGACCGAACCAATCGTTCTGTGACTTTCTCCACCACTCCTCAATCGCAATCACAGAAACACCACCCATGATCACGATTGCATAGTTGAACAAACCCGAATCTTGGTCAATCTGACTGTCGCTGTACTGCGGCGAACACAGGACAGCGAAGGAAAAACCGTTCCAGAGAAACGTCACAACAGCCAGGATGACTCCAAATCGTCCTAGATCCCAGAAGTTGGGCTGGAACGTCTTCCGCGTCACGAAGGCGCGGCCGAAACCGACCAGTCCATACGCAGCAATAGAACCAGCCGCTGAAGTCGATGTCAGACTGGAGAAAGCGACTTGCGAGGGCAACTGAGTGCATAGCAATAGTGCCGCAATTGTCGAGATGAAGATGACAGCGTTGTGAGGCTGCTTGTCCTTCGAAACTCGACGGAGGACATCGCTGAAGGGGAAGACTGAATCACGTGCAATGGCAAAGACAAGTCGGGAGACCGCGACAATAGAGATGGAAGTATTGAGAATGGCACCTATCATGGCGACGATAGTCATGACCACATGCGCATGCGGACCGAGAGCCATCGCATACATGTTGATAAACGGTTGCGGCGCGCCGGTGTTGTAGAACGTCTCGATGGGCGGCATGCAAAACAGAAAGACGATAATGATTGGGAACCCGCAGAGTGCTGATGAGACGGTTGCCCAGAAAACGCCCTTGGCAGCAGCTTTCTTCGCAGTGACGGTCTCCTCCGCGACGTGGCCAGAGGCGTCTTCACCGACTAGGCAACTCGAGACCATAAACCACGACAGAACCCAGTTCAGACCAGGGCTCGTGCCACCGCCGTTATACGTCGACGTGAAGACGAACTCCGCGCTCTGGAATCCATACGTCTTGGACACCCCAATGGGCAACCAAATGAAGTTCAGCAACATATCGATAATGATAATAATGACGCCTGCACGGAACACCCAAGAGTAGTATCGAGGGTGGAGGAAATTCAGCGAGGTAGCAATAGCCAGGAACAGCAGGGAGAAAGCCCAAGCCACGGCTCGTGCCTTGACGTCGGAAGCGTCATACGGAAAGGTCGTATCCTTATTAAACACGACTACCTCCGAGACCAGGTAGTTGGCGACACCGAAGGAGTCAGATGCCAGGAAGGACGTCCATGCTACCAGTGTCCAAGAGGCGACGAGAAACGAGACAAAACGTCCCAGTCGGCCACCTCCCCAAGATCTGAATGCCCAGTAGTAAATGGACCCCGCCGCGGGGTAGGCTGAGCACGCCTCTGCAAGAGTGGCTGCGGTGATGATCGAGAGGATACTTCCGGAAACCCAAGAACTCCACCTGTTAGTAGTGATGTCCGTTAGCTCATGTACTCTAGATTCGCTCCACTGTCACAAGGTGTCCTACATTGCAGCTGGTCCGCCCGCACTGAGCGATATGTAGAAAAGCACGCGAATACCTCCAATGCAGTACAGAGCCGAGAAGGAACAGGCAAAATTATCGAATGCGCCCCAGCTTCGCTCGAGAACTGACTTGTATCCCAAGTTTCGCAATTGCGCATCGTCGTCATCCGAGACGGATCCTGCATAGTTTCGCAGGTCGTCTTGGTCTTCTTGGCCTTCTAGGCCGTGCTCGGCGATAAGATCTGCAGCCATCGTAAGTGGTCCAGACCGTCAATTTCCGAGTCTGCTTTCAAGCGCAATCCACAAAATGTGACGGAACGCCTGAAGCTTGACGAAGCAGTCTTCTGTGTCTCTGCTGTGAAGAGGGGATCGTGATGAGTTTCGCGATGTGAAGAAATTTGCCTGATTAGGTCAACCAGCAACCAGCCAATCATGTAACTGCAACTTGGGCCACGCGGGAAATTGAGTTCAGGCCCACCGGTGGGCTCGATCGGGTCTAGTCTGAAATATATGTATACACTACACTTAGACTCTAGTAAATAATAACACTAATATAATAATAGGGGCGGCATCGTCGAAGATCACGCAAAGTGGACCAACTACCCGGAAGCTTTCTCCGATACAGCTGTGAATACTCCGTATTCAGAATTCGTATCTTCGAATCTGTTGTGGGACCTTCAATGGCGGGAGGAAAATGCCCGTCAAGGATAGACAATAAGAGTATGGAAACTGGAATGGACCGCACCCAGAATCAACCAGCCAGCCAGCCATGCTATTTCCCAACGCCAATCATCCAACATGATAACTATAGATCAAATCGTGTCCTCACAACCCTCCAATACTCTTCAAGCGAAGATATCCCAATGTCTTTCTGCACAGTCCAGACAACAGTGCCTGGATGACAATCTTAGTCATCCATAAATTGCCCATTGCATTCATTCCATCATCCCATTGTCTCTTGATTACCATGCCGAACCGAGAGCTCTCCAGGTCGGACGGGGAGACCTTGATAGAATCAGGACCATGGCGTATCTCGTAGTAGAGCGGTCCTGAATTGTCGACCCAAACGGGATCAGATCCCTCCAGCTCGTTCCATCCGGGTCGACGCCATCTCTGGAGGACGCCCTTGATGACGCGCCATGTCACTCCGTAGTCGAGGAGCGCGACGACACCTCCGAAGAAGCTCATGAGCTCATCGAAGGATACGCGGATATGCTGCGATTTCGTCCCTACAAGGTAGGTTTCGGCGGTTTCGAATTGAATTCCGAACCTCTATGCGGGGGTTAGCAACGTTGACTCTGATTATCGAGGACAATGAGATGGAAGCAACAGAAGGGGTAGTAAGTCAGGCGATAATGAAGGTGGCCTACTCACTTCAGACATGATGGCCTTTTCCAAGTCTGATGGGGAGATTGCCATAGGCGGAAATGGTATGTCGTAAAGACGGTTTTCAGTTGCTGGAAGTTTGTACTTCACGCCCAGCGTGCTGCTTCGTTCACATGTTGAGCATGTGCTTCAAACCGTGCTGCTTTCAGTAACTGTAAGTCGCAGTTCGCATCAAGAGAGTGTCCTCCCTTCTTCAGGAGACAATCAGATAGAAGATGAAGATACAAGCCTTACCTCCACGGCGACATCGCCGACCAGACCACTGGAGTAACCATAGTAGATCAATAACAGTAATAACAATTCAGCCAGTATAATCCTAGAACCGTTATCCGTTCTCTTTTCGGGGCCAGCTTCTAGAATATATACACACGGATCCATCAAGAGACCACCGGTCCGGAGCCCGGATCATGATGATCCCCCTCCCTTCGTACTCAGCCACGCACGAACAGAAGAGAAAAACTAGCGCGACGAAAATCCTTACCGGGGACCATGTCCTCGGTGCCAGGATCCCGCTGCTCAGGCACAAGTAGGAGGCTCCCGGAAACTCCAAAAAAGAGGTCTACAGTTCCACAGCAGTCCTACGGACGCGGAGATGGTATCCTTGTGGATCCTCATGCGGGAATAAAAACGAGAAATAAGCTACCTAGGTATACGTAAAAGGTACCCTATCTGGGTAAGAGATTGGGTATGGAAGGGGTTGATACAGGTTGATCTGCTAATATTGGGCACCAACCGCACGGTTCGGCTCGTTTTAGAACGGCCCGGCGCGGATCACGTCCGAGGATACTCCGTATGACTATGTAGTATGTATATCTTAGAAAGGAACAAGATAGAAGCACAATTTGACGCAAACTAAAAGGTTTCTGCTTGACCCCCTTATTATTCTTGCTGTTTGGGAGAGAGACAATTCTTCCGGAGATAAAAAGGGGGCCAAACCAGTGAAGCATTTCCATGGACTTGGGCTATCCTGTAACTCGTGCAGGGTTAGACGCTGCACCCCACAGAACGATCCTCTAAAAAAGAAACTATTTTAGAATAAGTCCCGGAGCTTTTTACGACGCGCGCACGTAGGGCGTGGGCGTTCATGCAAGATTATCAAGATCGAAACTTGGTCTCTGCCTTTTGCTTTTCGGAGCATTGTGAAGGGCCTAGACTCTAGTCATTGTCTATAGACCTCCATGTGATCTGTAATTCATCGCTATCTTTTCATCCTTGTCTGAAATAGATGCCTAAGTCATTTCTCCTAAAATCTGCATTGGGAAGTCCTCGATGTTTCAGAATGTCTTGGGTCGAGTTGATGTTAATAATCATCTTCGATAATCGGGACACGGGGTATCTAATAAGTAAGTCCCTTTAAGATTCCTTCCAAGACGCCAACTTATTAGTTAATAGTACTCGGCCGATCATCCCCATGTCATTTGATGCCCAATATTGAAACTGGAAACAGCTAACTAAAGAACGAGAGAAATCAAGCTCCCTTGGCGTTATTAAATCTCCGAGACTAAGTTGATAATCATCCGCGAGGAGTCGTTAACATGCGTCGTATCGAAAGTTATTTAGTTCTGCGCTCTGTAGAGTAGTGCCAGGGGGGTGATATCGCCTGGTTGATCTACGTTCTTTCATCGTTGATGATATATCTATGTGAGGTTATTTCTCATTCTTTACTGCATTGGGGCCCTTTTTATGAAGAAACATGTCGATTTCTAAACGACATAGAAAGCAAAACAGTTATATTTCCAGGAACCATGTAGCAGAATACCTAGTTGATTTCCCGATACTGGATCTAGGGGGGAAGTGTTACCCCCATACAATCATCTCCTACTTACACATAAGTAAAGAATTCTAGGCGCGCGTTCTTTCTGCGTCGATAAAACTGCATACCCATTGAGGCATAATACATCTCCACGTGTAGCACAGTGTGTAAAGCACCGACAGAGTTTCCTTTCTACATTACATCGGATTATCTGTATAGTTACCTAACGTCGATAAAAAGAAGCCATTGTATATATAAAATCGCAGTATATTCTCCAAATCACACAAAAAGAAAGCATAACGTTCCTTCTAAAGAAAATTCCCACCATCTCCGTCATACATAGATACCACAGATCTACCACTAACTCCAACTCACAAGCATGAAGCCAATATAATCAATAAATCCGATCTACCTCGCTTCCCGCAATTTGATTAGAAATTGACATTAGTATACTTATTGCGGGGACCCATAGCGGACCAGCCCCCACTTAGTTCACTCGCGCCATCTAACAAGCAAAAATAAATAATTAATATCAGATAGACCCCTAAATAAAGGGACTTTAGGCAGGTGGGATCGTAAGGAGGGAGATAAGTCGAGTCGAATTAAACTACGATCTGCGCGATGTACAATTCCTGCGGATAGGAGATCGTAATTTCTCTTTTGGTCGAATTGCATTAGTGGGGTTGCTTTTTAGATTGTATAAATAATTACACCGCATATGGGATAGTCAAGGTTAGAGCATTGTCGAAATCATGAGTTAAATGATTCGACGACGCGGATCAAAATGAATGTTCCAGTTTGGGCGACTCAAGAATGTTGGGATTATGCTGCATTAATTTCTCAGACTGGATGCCTTGGTATAGGGGCAATATAGAGACATTAGAAGCAAAAAGTACTGGTTGCATGATTCTCCTCTCAAGGTTATCTAGAGAATCCTGGTTTGCACCCGTTCCATCATACCGCCGTAAGACTGTCGACCGGCGTGCGCATAATTAGTCATGCAAAAGACAGTAGATAATAAAAACTGATCGTGTCCCGCCCATCACCAGAAATAATGTCGTGATCTCATCTATCGTGTCGAGCGCGGGAAAACGATAAGGAGCGACGATAAGAAATAAACCCCGGTCGAGAAACCGATACGCAATGACCTGTGAACTCCACGCGGACAAAAACTGAAAAACAAAACCCAAGCCTCGAATAAAAGGGTATCGATAGATCACTAGTCAAAATCGAAATCATGACTTGCTAAATCGTTTCTTGAACCAGCTCTTCCGCTTCGTGTCGCTCGCGTCAGTGTTCTTTCGCAGTAGCTTGCTGGCAGCCCTAGTCACCGGGGTGCCGCCGACGGGACCTCCGTTGTTCGGGTCAGTCGACACTGCCCCAGTAGCAGCTTTCTGGTCCCCAGACCCTGACGGAACGCCGTGTGGAGGTGGAACTGGTCCAGACTGATTCTCCTTCAAGGACATCCGAAAATTCTGTGGCCCCGGGCCGGACCCATTGAGACCGTAGTTGTCAGGGGCAGGCTTCGTCTGCTGGGCCTGCTGCAAACGATCCATGGAGCTATTCACTGAACTAGGGTCAGTGGAATTCCCCCACTGATCGCTTGCAGAGTTCGAACCTGATCCTGCAGTGACGTTGTCGTACGACCTCTGATATCCTTGCTGCGCATAGACATTGGGAGCGCCATTTCCGTAGTCGGAATACATTCGCTCGGAGTATCTCTGACGCGGTCTGCCGCCGTAGTGGTTACTATAAGGATAATGGGGGCTGTAAGGCTGATTGGGGCCTGCTCCGCCATAATTGTCGACAACGCTATCCGGCCGCGACATGCTCGCGCGGCTCCAGTAGTTGCCGCCTTCACTGTATCTGTTCGAGCCATTGCCGCCAGTGGGTCCTAGAATATGTATGTGTTAACGGGGCGCTGCAGATAATAAAAATAATGGGTCTAATTGCTTCGTACCGAAATAGCTTCCCCGTCTGCTGACACCGCCTGGTGACGGTTCCTCTGTTTGGGTTGTCAGCTAAACCGTTCCTCCGCACGATGTTCAACGACCACATACCGGTCCGTGCATTTGACGCGGTGGACATCCGCCGACTATTCCAGCTTCCTTCGACTGCAGCCTCGAAAGAGCGGATCGTATCGAGAGGGCGCTCGAATCGATAGCGGGTGGGATTCGAGATATCGGGTTCCGCTGTAGGTGGTCAGTATACATACAGAACCGCAACCACGGGACCGAGACACGGGTAAAATCCACTCACTAATTATGTTTCCATACTGGTCTTTGTGCGGCACCTCTCGTAGGGACGCCAGGTTTGATTTCTCGAGAGCAGCCACCATTGCTGTGGGAGAAGAGGGAGTTAGTATATCCCTAGTAGCAAAACGGAAGGTCCTGAACGAGAGCACTCAAACACACCTGGCTGAGCTTCTTGCATGGCAAGGGTGGGATCGGCCTTTGTATGCAAAAGTCGAGAGGCCTTCTCGTCGTGCGATTCGGACAGGGAGATCTTGTGGCCTGAACCGCTGGATCGGTGTGTTTTTTCAGATTTGTTGCTATGGAAGCTGAGGACTCGACCTCGCTTCCCAGCTTCTGGTCGGGCGGCTGCCATCTTTAAGAGAGTCGCTTTGAGCTAGCGTGTGATAAGTGATTGCGCTTTGTTGCGATCAGCTAGGAGCTACGCCGGCCGTAGTGGAGCGCTGCCAAGGTTTCTGATATCGCAAACGTGAACTTATCGCGTAGTTTAGTTCGAGCAATCCGCGTTAATCTGGAGTGGACCAGCTGGGCGGTGGAAACGAACGGCGAGTTTAGTGTAGCTTGAGCAGAGTCGGAAGCGGAATGTGATCGTAGCGCTGCGAACGATGATGCTTTGGGGAGATGAAGGGCTCGAGGGAGCAACAATGCACGCAACGGTCGAATTTTTGTTTTATTCCCGATACCGGTTTTTCTGATCCTCCGGCAGTTTCAGCCAGGAACGTGAGCTCAAGCGTTCTGATGCGGCGTTGGAACTTGGCAAGTGTCTCAGGAAACGAAAGCGCCCGGGAGTGAAGTTGGCCGTCCGCAGCCGATCGACCTTGAAACAAGACGTAGAGTCGATTTAGCACAAGTTTTTAGCAGCAGCGTCGGTCTAGTAATGATTTAATTAACGACGGAGCAGCATTGGCACATGAGGAAATGCGCACGGTGTGGATAGGTGAGATCAGTCGGTCAGCGCTAGAGGCTGCTCTGTCTGTGTGTGTGTGTGTTCTGCCTGGCAGATTTCTTGCTTTTTATGGTTTGAAAAATTTCTTCTTTTTTTCCTTATTATACAGTGCAGGGTAAGAATTGAATTGGAGGGGGCGACGAGGAGACCTAATAATAATTTATGGCTGGCGACGCCTCCGACTTCCAGCGTTACGACAGACGACGCGCAATGGCAGGAGAGGGGCAGCGGATAGAGGGACGAGTGAGACACGGCGATGTGCTTGGGATCGATAAATAATAAATAAGGATGTCCTATCACGGAGCGGATAACGACGAGCCACTCTGGAATCGAAGCTGGTCGAACCAGAGACAAGTTTCCGATTAGAGTACAGCTGTCAGGTTGGATCCGAGGGAGCAATTCTACCCCAACCGTCGCAGTTATTCTTTTTGTTTTTCTGCATACAACATGCCTATCATCGCGATGCAACACCCTATATTCTACTCTAGAGTATCATATCAATTACCCATGGCCTGGGAGGAAGAATAATATGCCTCGACTGTCAAGACTCAACACCAAGAAACGGGAGGCTAAACTATCCACCCAGCCCTGTAAGCCGAACCGGCTTTGGCCTTTCCGGTTGCGACGAAGAGAGCGCTAAGAATAGTTAACTTCAGCCACTCACAATGTCTTGTTTTGGAGTTTTCCCTCCCAGCCTCTTCTCAAGCCCCAGACGTGTTTTTTTTTTAAACCCTTCTCTGCGATCTTGGCCCACGCCCCGGCAACGCATCGTCCACCGGTTCAATCTGATTCCGCGCAGACACCGCCGGAAAAGACCCATGCGGCGCTGCTGGCTATCTATCTGCCAGGGACTGTCTTGCAGTTGCAGTCGGCAGTGATCTGTCCAGAAATCGTATTCAATCACTTTTTTGGGGAGATCCTCCATGTCCACAACTCCGCGTCGATCTCCCCAGTTGACAAGGATACTGTCCTGAACGGGCGTGGCAGTTAGCTGGTGTCCTCCACAGCTTGACCTGGGAAAGCTGAGACGATCCTAGCCTCTCCACCATTATATCATGATCTCCGCGTCGCAACGCTCGATCTTTCACTGCTGCTGATACGGCAGATGCAGCAGGATGATCGATTCTGGTAAAACCTGCCTCGTCCAGCACGCAATCAATCCCCTTTGGTAAGCATTATCCCATTCCGAGCTCCAGAGACTGCCATTTCTGCCACACCTCCACGATTCGAGCACGGCCGCTTCGAAAATCAAGACAGCCAGTCAAGAGGACAAACCGGCATGGATACGGTGCGGTTCTCACACAACCTGGTGACAAGACCAAATCCAGGTCAGAATCATGCTTGAAAGTCGCGCGGCGTTGTTTTCTCGTCTCTCAGCGTACCCGTCGTGTTCCAATTGGTCCGTCGTCCAGGCACACGGCCACTGGAAGAGAAAAGAAACAGGAGCCTCGTGCGAGAACTACTTTTTATCTAAAGTTCTTCCTGGTCTGAGTCATCCAAAAGTCAAAAGTGGAGAATCCCGACAGCACTACTCCGTACTCCAGTAGAATTATGGGGAACAGCCTACTTTACACGAGTAATGCAATACGGAGCATATCTTCGCGACGTCCTCTGGTTAGAAACCCACCCTATGGGATGCATTGAGTGACAACGAAGCTCTCATAATCTTGCAGACTCTATCTAATGTCCAGCATATACTGCGTATGATTCTTTGCTTACTAGATCTCGGGCATTGAAGCCTCCGGTGCGAAGCCATAGCGGGCGTCTCGAGCTCCGACCCGCGAGGAACTACAGTCGATTCTAGACTTTTTGGCCCAGCAACACGTGGGCGTAGACGCTTTCTAGCAGTAACTACTACCTTGTGACAGGTGTCACTAACCCACTCAGCCTGAATGATTATGCAAATTCTCTGATAAGTCTTCGTTCGAACTTGGTAAAAAGCCAATCGGGGAGACCGACCATTACTGCAAATATTGAAAGGACATACTTATGACGGCCTGCGAACAACCCAGGACTTACAAGAGCTTCACAAATATCCAGTATAACATCGATGAACGTATCATTTTCCAGCGAGAGAGCCCACAACATGATATACTATCCCGCGTCTGTCATCGATGGAACAACCCGATCATCCAATCAGTCAATTGATTTGGAAACGAGCTGATCTAGCATTAATCTCGAATCTCGATAGGGCAGCAAGAAACAAGATCAATTCTTGATTATCCCCCAGCCATGCAGCCTTACCCTGCACCTACGTACAAAACTACCATGCCTACCTAGGTACTCCGTACACAAGGTAGCTAACTAAGCCTCCCAACCACTTTATTTTGAAGATGGTAATACCCGGTGATAGTATTGCCCCCGCCCCCGCTACCCCCCCCCCCCCCCCCCTCAGATCAGTGGAGACAGTTACCTGCGCTTAATTGTATCAGCGACTCTAAAATTGTTGTCAGTAGTCTATTATAACTTTGTTGTTTTGTTCTGTGCATATATATATTGACATAGTGTTACTTTGAAACTTCACAATTACAAGAAAAAACCAAACAGGGAAGAAGAGAAAGCCTGAGACCATCTTTCTGGAACGCGGCAGACATGAAAGCATAGTCTGATTTGAATCACTTGTGAATATCTTGCTTGCTTGCTTCTAGTTCTTAAAGAGGGGGGGTTGAACCACATATTTATCTCTACGAGAATCCAAATCTAGTAGGTTTTATCCTATATAATTAGGACATCGAAGAACCTGCTGCAAACAGATGATTGACAGATCACCTGGACGTACGCTTTGTGTGCCGACAGAAAGAAAAAAGAAAAAGAATGGCTATGGCTAATACTGATATGACATCCGTACATGAATATGAAAGCTCATTACATGTATATATAAGGGGGATATGGGAAAGAGAATGAAGAGAGGAATGAATCTGAAGATACACTCTGTCTTACACTCTCGAAGTCTCACGCAAAACAAGGCGGGAAGGGGAATTAATGATTACGGGGTGGGAAGGATACTACATAGTAATAATACTGTCTATCCTACGTAACTTATATATACGTATTACTGCCTGACGGGCATGTGGGGATATAGGACTGATAAGCTTAGCGCTATCAAAGATCTAAGACGCGACTGTTAGACTTTACATAATTGGAATGGAGACACTCGAGAGACAGGGCAGGATGGAATAAACTACTTGTTGACTTATGTGGGGATAAAATGTCCATATCAAGGTCGAGCTTGGGGCGTCGCTGAATCGGAAATGGCATGTGTAATTGCTTTGTAGAGATCATTCGCGGGCGACTGGTGCGGAAAGATTGGGGTGTTTGTCTCTGTGAGCACGTCATATTGATAGGACATCGCATGGGGCCTTGTAGTATCTAGAATTATTGCTGCAAAGAATCGAGGTTGGACGCGTGCAAAGACCCGGGTATAAAGGTTGATATTAAAACTGGACTTTTTTTTCTGAGGTGATATGATGAAGGATATTTCTTGTCTTTGAAGTTGTATGGATTTTGGCACGTAGACCATCAGATACACTTTGGGAGAAAGTGATGCTGCTAGACAAGACATATCATGCTCGTCGAGGTGGAAAATAGAACACCCTCTTCGAACTCCCCGACAGCAGATCCGAGTAACCCTGCGGTAGGAAAGAAAAAGCGTTTTTGTTTGTCGGGATTCGCTCCCAGCCATCCCGCAACCGCCATCACCTCCATCATCGCATCCCTTTTCACCCACTGGTTCCGAAGATATCCTCGACCCGTAACTCCATCGGCTCTACTCACGACCACACATCGAAACTATTATGTCCCTTAGATGTTGGAGGGGTACAGCATGACGCGGACGGTGGCACCGAAGGTCTTCGGCGGGAGGTTGTGTCGGAACTGAGCACGGACGACACCGGAGTTGCCTGCAACATGTCAGTCATGAACTGACGATATATTATACTGCAGTCTGCATATTCGACTGCTTCCATTCTCCCACATACCGTGAGGGCGGGTAACCTTGCCCCAGATCACCCGGATCTTGGAGCCCTGGATCTCTCGCTTTGCCCGGTAGACGAAGGCGACCTTCTTGCCCAGGTAGAAGCTGTGCACAAAAACCGTTTAGCTACTCCCGTTCCTCCCCATTCCGTGGACTGCGTGACTGCTCACCTGGCGGCCTTGGAGTCGTCAACACCCTCAATCTTGATCAGACTGTGATAACATGTCAGAACTTGTTTCCATATCATTCTCCGCAAGGTATGTTATCTAACCTGGTGTTCGGGTTAAGGTTGCGCTTTCCACGCTGGAAGCTCAGGTGGCGGCCCCTGTCGAAAAGATACGTATTAATCCTTTGTTCGTATGATTGAGAGATCTTGCCCGGATCGACGCTTTCATTCCATCTCCACGAATCCGTCCCATGTCCATCGCAATATTGATAGGAAAGTGAGCGCTTACTTAACGTAGACTATAACGAGTGAAAAAAAGAATGTTAGTGCACAGATTCATCAATATCTAATCGCAACCGGCCCATCTCACGGCACGGACGAGCAGCATCGAAAGGACAATGGCATATCGAAGGCAACGCGGGAGAACTCACGTCTGTGACCTTGTTCCGAAGGCATTGTGACGGATTTCTCTGAGCAACAGCGGGCAAAGCAAGGAAGTCGAGAGAAATGACCCGCGAAGTCGGTTGTCGTACGTCGGGTTTGTCGTGGATGTCGTCGCTTCGGTTTGGAGATGAGTCGAGCGGCCGCACAATCTTCAATTTGCAAGTGTGTTTGGTGCGGCTCGCCCTAGCCCCAAACGGGGGCTTAGCGAGCCCGCCGATGCCAGGGCTAAGCGAGAGCCCGTGACTCTGCACGCTATACCTCATTCAGAGGGGCCGACCCCGGGGCCGGAAAAACAGAAGCAGCGGGATCGGGATGGCAGCCACAATCCGCTGCTGTTTCGGTCTCTGTGCCGGACCACAGTCGTCCGAGGCCGACTCAGAGGCCGATGTGCTTTCTTCCGGTTGTTAAGTCCGCCCTTGGCCTAGAGCGTCCGATCTCCGCAGATGACAAAACATGCGCTCTTCTCAATCATGACGACAGCTTTCCATCAGTCAGATCCGTCGCTACAGGGCTCTTGCAGCATCACGAAGCAGATGGATATAGTCAAATCATCAGAATCATTGCTGAAAGTGGATCGGGAGGATCATCTCAGTATGTAGGGTGTGTCATCCTGCGAGTGACAGAAAACACTACTACAAGAGTTAATAATTAACTGACTACTTAATATCCTAGATCTTCTTTATCGCCGGAGATGCTGGTCTGACCGGGAGCACTATTTCGGAAGTCCATCCAAGCTCTTTCCACTGCCCCACTGTTATGTATCAGCAACTGACTAGAGGAGATCTCAAGCGGAAGCCGACTGACCCCATTCCCCGTTACTCGGGTTGTAAAGAATATTTTCATATTGAACGAGCTCGTTTTCAATCGTGAACAGCCGGCACAGTCACTGCAGATCATCTTTCTCGAAGGCTGGGGCACACGGCCGCGGCTAAATAAGGGACAGACAAGCTGGGCGGCGCATGGAGTGATTAGATTGCGGAGAAGGTTCCGCGGAAGGCGTTTTGTCTCTGCCATGACGTGACGGGGTCTCCAGCATACTTTGCTCTAGGGCCGCCCCCCTCGACTGCTTGTAGATGTAGATCGCTCTCAGAGGGCCGAGAATAGGAGTGATTAAGAAAGCTTCAGCCAGCCTTCAGGAGCTTAGTCGTCGACAGGTCCTTCGATGGTATAGTTCCCCTGCAGCAGCCGGTACATGGGCGTGCCTTCTCAATACTATAGCTGTAACTATTATTCTATCTAATGTACTCTCCGTTACTCAGTACCTCATGGCGTTCCAGTTCCCGCTACGATCTATATATTGAGCGCTAATTTGGGGGATCAACAAGCCATGGCTGTTCAACGGTCTACGAAGGGTTAGATAAGAAGCCGCTGTTTTTCCTGAACATGTGCCGTCGACAACAATAATGGCCACTCGTCAAATCTTTAAGGGCAACTGGTTAAAGTGAAACTGGCCGTCACCGAGAAGGAAAAAAGAAAAGCTCCACCCCGGCAAAATCAGTCATCGGGACGACCCACGACCTGCGGAGCACAACAGAAGAAAAACATTAACGGCCAGAGTTCCAGAAAAGGAGACTCTGGACGAGATCATTATGGAAAGACAATTCAGCTCGGGAGTCGCGGACCATATACGCTGCTCCTCGCGAGCATGATTTAGCTGCAGAAAGATCTCCCAGGGGAGGCGGGAGGCACGGAGAGGGAACGGTGGAGTGAGCGGAGGAGTGCAGGCCGGAGGGGTAAGAAGTAGACGCTGCAGTGTCAGGAATCAATAGTCAGCAGGCAGGCCGAATTTTATAAGCAGCAGTTGCTTCGAGATCATATCTCCGTCTTGCTCTGCCGCCGGGTGGCGCTGACAATATTAATGATGGACTGCTGGCGTGCAGTCTGCATGCAGAGAAGGGCAAGGCTTCCTGGGAGCAAACGGCTGGCAGCAGAACAGGCCAGCTGGGTAAAAAGTAAAAAAGCCCGAATGAGGGTGTTCAGCTGGATAAAAGAAGTAGATGATGGACAGCGAAGGCAACTCCCGAGGGGCCAAGCTGACTCCTCGCACGGCAGCGGTAGCATCGACGTAGTGGAAGAAGAAGAGAACAGCCAGGCGTTGCCCCACCATGGCTCACGCCCACCATCTAGCTAGACGGGTCCCCCATTAAAAAGTACCTGTTCCGCCGGGACTGCTGAATGAACTCATTTCTTCTCGACCTTCCCACCAACTCTCCTCGCCTTCGTCCTGCCCTTGATTCATCCTCTCCATCCGGGTCTCGACGTTGTTCACATTCAATTCCACCATGTCGAGCACAATAACCCAGTCTGAGGAACGCCAGAATGCTGGGTAAGGTCCCTCCCCCCCCGCCATATCATCTCTTACATCACTCACCGGGCTGCCCGCTCGACGGCTCTCCCACCACGCGGCCTCAGCTTATGAAGCCCAGCGGAACGAGGGCTGCATGATCGATCTCTCTGAAATTCCACTGCACCGTTATATCTCTGTATCTTCTGGAATTATTCACTACATGCACTCTCTTGTAGCTCCGTGTTCTATACCCGCTCGTTGCGCGGTTCAGTAGAAGCTGGTCAAACGAGCAGACTGCTAACATGGATTGTTCTTCTAGCACCGTCGAGCTCAAGGACAACACCGTCATTGTCGTGCTCGGCGCCTCTGGTGACCTGGCCAAGAAGAAGACTGTAAGTTCTACTCGCTGTGATCATTATGGGAGGACTGCATGTGAAGCTAACAATTTGACAGTTCCCAGCTCTTTTCGGTCTCGTACGTCGCTATCCCAACTTCCCAAATTATCGACAAGCAACTCTGTTAACAATAATTGCAGTACCGCAACAAGTTTCTTCCCAAGGATATCAGAATCGTCGGCTATGCACGGACAAAGATGGACCACACAGAGTTCTTGAAGCGGGTGCGCTCTTACATCAAGGTCCCGACGAAGGAGGTGGAGGAGCAGCTAGACGGCTTCTCCAAGATCTGCTCTTACGTCTCTGGTCAGTATGACCAGGACGAATCGTTCATCGCCCTCAACAAGCACGTGGAGGAGCTCGAGAAGGGCCAGGAGACGCAGAACAGAATCTTCTACATGGCACTGCCTCCCAGCGTTTTCATCACAGTATCTGAGCACCTCAAGAAGAACTGCTACCCCAGGAATGGTATTGCGCGCATCATTGTACGTGGCTACATCTGGAGACATACTCTCTCTTTTCGCAATTGCTGACCGGTGCTTTTTGGCTTATAGGTTGAGAAGCCTTTCGGAAAGGACCTCCAGAGCTCTCGAGAGCTGCAGAAGGCCCTGGAGCCCGACTGGAAGGAGGAGGAGATCTTCCGTATCGACCACTACCTCGGAAAGGAGATGGTGAAGAACATTCTCATTCTGCGATTCGGTAACGAGTTCTTCGGCGCTACGTGGAACCGCCACCACATCGATAACGTTCAGGTAGGAGCTGCAGCCCTGTCAGGTCTGATTGCGTGCTGGTTATCTGATTGGTCTACTAGATTACATTCAAGGAGCCCTTTGGCACGGAAGGCCGAGGAGGTTACTTCGATGAGTTCGGAATCATCCGTGATGTCATGCAGAACCGTATGTTCTTTCAAAATATATCGCGGTCTCGTAGAGCGCTCGCTGACTCCTAGTAGATCTCCTGCAGGTTCTGACCCTGCTCGCTATGGAGCGCCCCATTTCTTTCTCCGCAGAGGATATCCGTGACGAGAAGGTGCGCGTCCTGCGTGCGATCGACGCCATTGAGCCCAAGAACGTCATCATCGGCCAGTACGGACGATCCCTGGACGGCAGCAAGCCTTCGTACAAGGAGGATGACACGGTCCCCAAGGACTCTCGTTGCGCTACCTTCTGCGCCCTGGTCGCATACATCAAGAACGAGCGATGGGACGGCGTTCCCTTTATCCTCAAGGCAGGCAAGGGTACGTTACGACTCCCTTTCCACTTAGCATTGACGCCGCTAACAGAACTGCAGCCCTGAACGAACAGAAGACGGAGATCCGTATCCAGTTCCGCGACGTTACCTCGGGCATCTTCAAGGACATTCCTCGTAACGAGCTCGTCATCCGTGTTCAGCCCAACGAATCCGTCTACATCAAGATGAACTCCAAGCTCCCCGGTCTGTCCATGCAGACCGTCGTCACCGAGCTGGACCTGACCTACCGCCGTCGTTTCTCCGACCTCAAGATCCCCGAGGCGTACGAGTCCCTGATCCTGGATGCCCTGAAGGGTGACCACTCCAACTTCGTCCGTGACGATGAGCTCGACGCTAGCTGGAGAATCTTCACTCCTCTCCTCCACTACCTCGACGACAACAAGGAGATTATCCCGATGGAGTATCCCTATGGTATGTGATTTCGATCTGGCAGTGACGATGAAATTGCCTGTGACTGACAAGCTTCCGCTAGGCTCCCGTGGTCCCGCCGTGCTGGACGACTTCACGGCGTCATTCGGCTACAAATTCAGCGACGCTGCTGGCTACCAGTGGCCCGTGACGTCCATTCCTACCCGGCTGTAGGATTCGACAGTCCACCATGCTGTATAGTGACGCACGATAGAGACAGGTTATGTCGAGAAGGGATGATGGAGGGAAAAGTCTTATTGAGTGGGTCTAGGCGGGAGTCCATGATTTACATGACGGACGGTTCTATTTATACATTACGATACACAAACGACGGCCAAGCGCTGCACCAACGGGAAACGGTTATGATCCAAGGCCAGGGGTTTTCGTTTCCCAGCAGGGATGACATGATCTCGGTGATTTCTTTAGATTGAAGTTAGCATCATTAATTATACCGAGTTAAATCAAGGAGGCCTCCTAGCTGGAATACCTAATGTTCTTGTTCTTTTTCTTCCCTCTGTCGTCCCATTATTGACTCTGCATGCATGTCCTCTCTCCACTCTGTTGTACTCTATAGCGGCATCTGTTAATCTAATTTGTTGGAATAAGACGTCAGGGAGAACAGAGTTAAACGGTCCAGCTTATCTCTTGAGAGTCGAGACAATCCCGTTGATAAATGCCGCGGAGACCATGAAGCTCGGGCCAAGGAGAGAATGCCGACTGTCTCCTGCGCCACGTTTTGTCTGTCTCTCGGGTTGTCCGCTTCGAACATAGCGTTGGGGGATGTGATTGAATTGTCACTCCAAAGATAAGAGGACTATTAGTGGTGTTTTTTACATCTGATTCTCTACGGAGTAATTAATATTACTGTAAGTAGCGAGGATAAATAATGAGCAGTAATAATGGTGGTTGAGGCTTGTGTTCCGGAACGACAGGGACAAGCCACGTGTTTAGTGGACGGTACATTCTTCTTAGTTGTGCTAAATAAAAGCCGATTTCCCCATGTTTGGCGATGGTTGAAAACGGCCTGTGTCACCGATCGGTATGCATGCGTCTAGTTACTTCCATCTTCCATTGAGAAAGAGAATAACTGAATGTGCATGCATCAATAATTTCATGGATTGAATGAATGAATGAATCAATAATTAATTATAATGAATCATGTGTGTATAATTGTTATTATTATTATTCCATCTGTGACGGCCAAGACTGACAGTCGTCGTAAGCGCGCCCGCTTGGCCTCTGCTCTCCCGCCCTGGAATCGGATGGAGCAGGTCGAGACCGGCGATAGTAGTAGTATTCTACTCTACCTACGTGCTTCAGAAGTTCGAGAGCAGACTGATTGTGTGTTCCTTCTCCTGTTGAAGCAGATGTCGCTCGTACGCTCATATGGTACTATCTCCTCATTGCCGTGGAATACGCTTCCTATTATTATTGTGAACAGCCGTTGAGCCAGCAAGCCAGATCGACGTCCCTCCCGCGCGGGTCTGGACGAAAAAAGGACCCCAACGCGGCCCGCCGACGTGCCTGGACGAGGCTCGTTCGCTTGATTTCTTTCTGCGCTGATGGCCAAGAACGCGGAAAAGCGTCCTGGTAATTTCCTCAACCCGGTCTGGATCCTCTCCTTTCCCAGGCTGCTGGGATTTCTCTTTTCTCTTCTTCGCTTTCGCGTTGCGATTTTCTCTCTCTGCCTGGCGAATTACAGAACACCAGACTATCGTATCTTCAGACAACTGGAGAGCTTCACTAATCCGTCGATCGATCGCATTGTTCTTGCTTGAATCGGGACTGGACGCGCACGGCTTTTAGACCGTTTTCTGACGTAGCGAATCGACTACTCTGACCCCGGTTTCCCCGGAGTCTTAAGGCATCGACGACCACGGTTCACACATTCTCTGCGATCGCAGTTAGAAGCAATCACACGCCCATTTACAATAAATTGACGATACTTTGCGCCGGAGCGGGGAGTCGCAACGACTCGGACAACCCCTCGTTGCGACACTAGCCCGGTGCAGATATAGAGGGAAGACGGAGGGGGCAGCCCGCGCGACGATTGTCGCAACAAGGAAAACAATCAGGAGGTAGCATTGAAGCCGATTGAGCTTTGGAAGGGGCAGCAGACCGCATGCTGTCGCCTACATCGCTATCATGCCGCAAGCCGCATCATGGGTCGGTACTCCGTCGATCAAGGGTCGCACGGAGGCGACGCGCATGGCGCTGTTGACCTTCAGTCTGCTTGGATTGCAGTGCGTATTCCCCGTCTAACCGTCTAGTCCACGATGGCTTTGTCTTCTTTGCTTCAATTTCTCGATTGAGGATCTAAGATTAATGCGACCAACTCGCGCTAACGCATGGTCCTGGGCAGATTTACGTGGGGCGTTGAAATGACCTGTATGTTTTGCAGCTTCCATACCTAACACTGAACCGGATCCTGACGTATTCCTCCGGCAACTGTCTGCAGACTGTACGCCTTACCTTCTTCAGCTTGGTTTGACGAAATCACGAACATCTCTCGTATGGATCGCCGGTCCGTTGTCCGGCCTGATTATGCAGCCCGTTGTGGGTGTTATCGCCGACCGCTCGCGCTCAAAATGGGGAAGACGTAGGCCGTTCATGGTCGGTGGTTCACTGGTGGTGGCCGCGTGCTTATTGGTACTGGGCTGGACGTCGGAAATCGTCGGTGCGTTCGTGGCAGACGAAGAGAGGGTATGGTTGCAGATTCCCGCCACAATCGTGGTTCTATCGAGCTTTTTGTTTTGTCTTCTATTCGATCTTGGAAATCAATATATTGGCTGGGAAGTATATTCTAATGGAACGGTTGCGACAACAGAAAAAGACCTTTACAGTTGCGGTTGCGGTTCTGAGCATCTACGCAGTCGACTTCACGATCAATGTTGGTAAGTCTTCATTTCTCGTCCTAAGAGATACAAACTCTTACACACGAATGGCAGTCCAAGCATGCTGTCGAAGCTTAATTGTCGACACACTACCAATCCCGCAACAGCAGACTGGATCCGCGTGGGGTAAGTTGTGTCTTAACAGATCAAGATAAACCTCCGCTGAGACAAGTATAGCCAGCAGAATGGCTGCCGTTGGCCAGCTGATCGGATATACAATCGGTTCCATCGACATCGTCAGCATCTTCGGAACCACTTTCGGCAATACGCAGTTTAAGCAAATGACTGTAATTGCCGGGTTATCAGTGATCTTTTCTGTCGCTGTCACCTCTTACTCGGTCCGCGAGAGAGTCTTGGTCTCTGCTAGGTCAGTAGCTTATGTTTCCTCTTTCTCATATGTCCCTGCTAAATTGAATCATTTAGGGGTTCCGGTGGCAAGTCAGGTGCCATCCAGGTCCTGTCGCAACTTTTCAGGACGGCTCTCGATCTGCCTCCTCGGATCCAGGCCATCTGCTGGGCTCAATTCTGGGCATGGATCGGTATGACGACGGTACTCGTGGAAGTGGCCAGTTAGCTGACATTCACAGGGTGGTTTCCATTCCTATTCTACAGTACGACGTGGGTAGGAGAGACATACTTCCGATACGAAGCGCCCAAGGCAGCAGCTGAATCAAAGGATACTCTGGGTGATGTCGGCCGTCTCGGATCTCTCTCTCTGGTGATATTCTCTGCCATCACTTGTGTCAGCTCAGTGGTACTTCCCTTCTTGGTTCGAGCTCCAGATAACAAGAAATCGGACTTTACGCCGCGGCCTCATCCTGGAATAGCCGCGTTTCTTCGCAAGATCACGAAAGTGCAGCCGGATCTACAGAAAGCATGGCTGATATCGCATCTCATCTTCGCGGCCACCATGATTTTCGCCCCCCTGGCGCGTTCTGTCAAGGTTGCTACTTTCTTGGTCGCCGTGTGTGGCATCCCATGGGCCGTCAGCGGGTGGGCACCGTTCGCTTTCATGGGCGTCGAGATCAATCGCCTCGCAATGGGTCCATCCTACAGCGCACCGCCCAGTACCACGATGATCACCTCCGCGACTTATCGACGAATGAACCCGGACCGTGACGTGGAAATGGACGTTCTCCGTCTCAACCACCGCGAAGCAGATACAGACAGCGACAGCGACGATGAAGGGACCGGCTCCGAAGTTGCGTCCACGGGCGAATTGGCTGGTATCTATCTGGGTGTCCTGAACGTCTACACTACTATGCCGCAATTTGTCGGTACCTTTATCAGTTGGATCGTCTTCAGCATTTTCGAGCCTGGCGTGGCCGATCCCAACATCATCGATAATGCCGCCAAGGAAGCTCAGAGAGCGCCCCAGGAGGCTCGGGACACTAAATGGATGAACCTCAACTCGGACACTCCCAATGGCATCGGTATATGTCTTTTCATCGGGGCCCTGAGCGCTTTGGTGGCAGCAGAAGCCACGAGACGCTTGAGGTATGTGCGGTAGTAGCACTCCTTTTTTTTTTTCTTGATTACAGGGCCAGCACGCGCCCAGCGTTTCATGAGCTCTAGTAATGCCGGCCAGCACTTTGTTTGGGTTTGAGCACCTAGCCCCTTTTTAATCTATACCCATTATGTTTCTCGTCATGTCGCCTACGACTGCAAGCGCATTGATTGCACCGAAATTTCTGTCTCCCCCCCTCCTACTGCATTGGCATATCTCATGTGTGTTCTTATACCTCCATACTTATCTATTTTATTCCTGGCTGCGCGAGCTTTTATAAAATATTCCGCCCCCCACTTACTTACTTTCTCTGTCTTCTACTCCTTCGACTTGCGATGATGTTGGGATGAATCATGGAAAGTTGCAACTCACCGTAGATATGGGACTGTTTGACAACTTGACTTTGGCCGATTTGATGGATTGGGTTCGTGCTATTCTGTTTCTGGATATAAATATTTTCTCAAGCACATACCTCTTTTGAGGTACTTTATACCTTTTTTTCTTTCTAATATTCCCTGTCCCCATAATTCAATTAGTCTCAGCGGCGCTTTTAATTGTATCAAATAGTTACTCTATACAGAAGGGTATTTGAAATTAAAGTTTGCATATGATTCCCGCATGGGGTTCGCAGGTACATACATGCATATATACATAAATAAACTCTGGAGAAGTAAGATGTCTTTTCTACGAATAGATAAATTCTAAATTCGGGCATCGCCACACTGGTGCGTTATTATTATTATTTTTTTTTTTAATAATCAGCTATTCACTCACTGTTCATATCAATAGCCCTTTCTTTTCTTCAAAAAAGTGCCGAATGCAGAAAAATGTCCGCACATGCATGAGGCCCGATCACTGGCCCCTTGCAGGCTTCTGAGAAGGTTTGCATGTTCAGGTACAGACTACGTAACTATCCATTGGCTAATTATCATTAATAATACGACTACCTAGGAGATGCATGCATGCGTATCGGTCCTGACTCGGTTATCGAGTAATTAATTAATCGGTTCCCTTTTCTTTGCACCGTAATAACACCCCCGTCCCTGACTATCCCGCCCGCCGGGAGTGCCGTGTACGAAGAGCATACGATGGATTTAATTTCATTTTTTTTTCGGCGAGAAGATCGATCTAGACCATATGTTCGTCTTCTTTCTTCTTCTTGGCACTTGGCTATAATGCGTCCTTTTTACGATGAGAGGGCTAGGCAGGAGCCAGCCACGCGGGATAGGAACCAGTGAGAGATTCATTCGGTTTCAAGGAATACGCAATTCGTCGTTCACTAAGCCGCCCAAGCGAGGATATTGTAGACTGCCACGTGCGGAATAAGATGGAAGCACGTTCCGTGTCTCGTGTGTTTGATGTTGACTTATGCACGGTTTGGGGGAGTATCGCGACGAGATTATGTCATCTGTCATTCGTGGATCCAGACAGATGGGATGGATGAAGCTGGGTTCCGGATCCGCTTGGTGAGGCTAGCTAACTGGGGATACTAGTACATACCATACCGCATGGCGAATTTATCCACTCTTGGTATTATTCTCGAGAGAGAAATGTGCTTGCGATTCCCGCCGTTTTGGAACGCGTGCCAGGGAGGGTCCCATAGTTTGTCGCTTCAAGTTTCCTATATATAGTAGTTATTGTTGTGGTCACTTAACCTGGTTAAGCAGTTAGCTCCCTCTGTAAGGGTCGCGATGTGGTTCGTGCGTAGTATGTATGTACATACAATCAATGAATCGCGATCTGAATCAATGGAGCTAGGACCATGATCTTGAATTATCTGGATCAGGTCTTATTTTTGCGTTCCTAGAAATTGTTTAGAGGCAACGATCAAACTCTCTTTCAGTAGGGAAAGACCAAGAGAGTTCGGGGTTTGAGTCAATAACCTCAATCAAACTCTCTCCGGTCCGGCCAGAACATATCGGCACGTCTACCGAAGAGAGAGAGTGAAACGCTTATTGACGGTTGCCAGCTCGAGTCAGTCATGAGCCGTCCTCGCGTCAGAACCTGTCAGCAGCTCGAAGCATGTCACTTTGAGATGAGTCTCCGGCCCACAGGAAGTTCTCTGTTCGGGGCGCAGCTCAGCCCTAGGTGCGATAGGATTGACAATGGTTGTCTGCTAGCAGCTAGCAGCAACAAGCACGGGCGTGAAAATGCATAGCGCGTGCACAGTGCCGCAGCCAAAAACGTGGTCGAGATATCAAGAGTCCAATTTTGATTGACATCCGGAGGTCGATAGTAACATGGGGTGGCTTCGGGTCAGTCGGCCTAGGGCCAGTGGGGGTCGCGCTTGTCGAGCGCGCCTGTTAGCCATCCGTTTGCGCACGTTGTCATCGGTGCTTGCCATGCGGAAGCTAATTGCTTCAGTAGTCGGCAAGCCACAATGGTGAATATGCGAAGCTACCCTGAGAGCTTCGGGTCAATTCCATGGGTGCATCACCGCCTACAGCATCCAGAAGTCCTAGATAATAATAGTGAACTGCCTCGGTATGGAAGGCCACTGTTGTTATCATCATTGTTCTCTTCTTGTGGACGGTCTTCGCTGGAGATCTTCAAGGTCGCGGAAATAATTTCCTGCACCACCACGACGACCCTTCGTCTCTGTGTGACCGCGGCCATAACAATGGTGAGGGGCTGCGATGGACGAAGAACATCGCTATGATTCCCCAGATTGGCCTCTTCCTGCTCAACGAAGGGACAGCATCGCTTCGTCCATCGAATCTCAGTCGACCAGCATTCTCTCCTTGACACGATACCTGCCGACACCCAGTCCCGCCACATCGCCGCTCCCCGGGGGTCCTCGAATATCGGTGCAGTCTGCCTCAGATGAAGTGATACGTTTAGAGCTCAACCCCGGCGTCACGGTGTATGTTGGACCCGGTCATGCTGTGAGTGTGGATCAGGATCTGACTGGTTGCGTTCGTGAACAGGTCGTTTTTGCGCGGAGGCCGATTGTTCAAGCTACGGTATGCCTATATCGACATCTGCAAGAGCCTCCGGGGCACCCTGAGGTTTCTGGAGTTGGGAGGGGCCACTGGCCAGCAGAGTGCCTTTACTCATACCTGTGAGTACTTCTCAGACAATGTGGGAGTGGAAGTCTGGTCTGGCTCACATTCGGATGCCTGCAGTCCAAAATACGAAATTGCCCATGCCACACCTGGAACAGCCCAAGCTGGCCGAGGAAAAGACGTATCGAGTCTCGTTCCTCGAGGAGCAGACGGTCCAGAGCAACGCGACGATCTTCACGACACAGCTGTCTTACACGTTCGACACCTGGGACGGTGGGAAGCCCGAGTCGACCTCTGCAGTGGTCCTATGCTGATACCCGTCTTTTTACAGACTGTGTCCGGTTCCAGGAGATTTTACTCGCGTCCGAGCTGGTCTTCATCGCGGGTATTGCGGAAGCCAAATCCAAGGGCCGCGGGGAAGAATGTATCAGTCAGAATCTACGCATCCTGCGCGGCGCCAATGACCGACAGGTGATTCTGTTCTTTGCCAATTCGCAACGCAAAGATCGGAAGCGCTACGTTTCCATACCAGGTGCGTCCAGGGCGTGATGAATCTGGGCCCGGGTTCTGCAGCCAGACTGACAGACGGTGGCCAGTGAACTGTATCGAGTCGGTTGACCCGGGCAAGAAGCCGGGACGACCAGTGGCGTTGCATCTCCATCCAAACTTCGATATCCTGTCGGAGATGAAAGTGCTGCATATTCGATTTCTCGACGATCAAGGCAAGTTTTTTTGCGTCGTTATTATCATCACGGTCGCTGCTGAGACGGTACTAATGAATGGCCCTGTAGACCGGCAGGAGTTCTGCCAACTACTGTCTGAACGACCTCGATAGCGGCGTGTAATTCTGATTGCTACCGTAAAAGGCAATTCTCCGGCGTTCTGGGCGTTTTATCCTCGTGCTAGGGTTCAAGCATGCGTCACGAATGATTCCTCGTGCACGGAGCTCTGTTGTGATCGAGACATGCCATAGATAATACCCCCTCCTCTAGTGTAGCCAATGCGATTCATCCAGTGTCATCATTAATATTGTTGATCCGTAGAACCGTTTTTCGTACCATAAGGCTCGAGCCGCTAAAGAAAGGGACTGCTGCAGGAGTTCATCACGCTCTCCACGGATCGTAGCAGAGGCGCCCCACGTGGTATCGCCGGTATACGCATGGTATTTGCATGCTCTCCTGGGCAAGGGGATCGGTCCACTTGGCAGCGGCAATCCTTGTCATCCTTGGGGGACGAAACATCGCCTGCTGGACTGGCTGCCGAGTCGCATATCCGAGAGGGGGAAGAAAGGAAACGAAGGAAACGAAGGGCAAGAAACGAGATGAGATGAGATGAGATGCGAGTCGGGCAGATCGTGGCCAGTGCAGGGGATGTTTCTCCAACAAGCACGGCACGTGGGTGAATCACTGGCGCGCCGGGCTGGATAGGCCAACCCCGCCGCAGCCTCTAGTGATTCTTAGCCGCAAAATCATCTCTTCGTTGCTTCTCCTTGGCTCGTTCAGTAATAAGAGACAATCATAATTGAAAGTTGCATTCGGTACAACGTTGGACTAGCAGATGGTGTCATGGACATCCCCTCCCAATCGCTCGTTGCTTGTCCACCAGTCCCGTCTTCCCGTGCTGGATGGCGGCCAGACAGAATAAAAAGTCAGGCCAGGTACAGCTCTCAATGTCAGGATGTCTGGTGGCTGCAGCGCGATCACACTAGATCTTAGCAACGACTCCAGATCGTAAGTAGTTGCCATAGTCCCTTCTTCACTCGCTTATTTCTCTTCGTTCTCTTCGCCGCTTCACCTTCGACAAGCATACGATAGTCTAGAATACTACTCTATACTACAGAGTTCAGCCATCTGTTTCATCTCACTATACAGACACGCAACCTCGACTTATTATTTCTTTCCTTTTTGGTCCCTTATGCGCCCATAATGCAATCGGTCATTTCTACGACGCCGGATGGTTATTCTCCGATAAATTAAGCAGGAGATCCGGATCTGAATCCTTCCTGAGATCGGGGAGCTCCCAGACCACAGCGGACCGTCATTGGACATAATCTTTTATTTTTTTTTCCCGATCTATTTATTTATTCTTATATATTTTTTTATCAAGTCTTGGGAAAGATGGGGAGACTTGGGAGCCGATTATACAAGACGGATCGAGCCCGTGATTTCGACCATGAACGGGTACGCAAGTCTCTGTCAAATGATGAAAGAAGCAGTGATGGGAATGCTGACGGGACCACTGTCATGTCATGTAGGATCGGCTTATCCGCGCGCGACAGATCTATGAGACTATCGACCGACAACCATATCAATGGATCGTGGTGTTGGTGGCCGGAGTCGGCTTCTTCCTCGATGGCTACACGGTAAGACAGCTCCTCTTCCCACGTCGAACGAGAAGAGACTCATATCTTGACCAGCTGTTCGCAAGCAACATTGCCCTCCCCATGATTGCTTACACTTACTGGAGAAACGACACCACCTCCCGTGAGATCACCTTCATTAACATTGCCACCTTGGCCGGTACGCTCCTTGGCCAAGTACTGTTTGGTTTCCTGGCCGATAAGAACGGTCGCAAGAGGATGTATGGTGTCGAGCTGACCCTGCTGATCGCCGCCACCTTGGGAGTCGCCATGTCGTCGACAGGCGTTAACGATAGCATGAACATTTTCGCCTGGCTGATCTGGTGGAGGATCATTGTTGGAATCGGGGTGGGCGCGGACTATCCCCTCAGTGCCGTTATAACTTCCGAGTACGGTGACCCTGATTCACTCCCTTTCTTGTTTGGCCTTGCCCGCTGACATCGCACAAGATTCGCCCCCACTAAGCACCGGGCTCGCATGCTGGCATCAGTGTTCTTTATGCAGCCCCTGGGGCAGATTGCAGGCAACATCGTATCGCTGATCGTGGTGGCCGCCACCAAAAGGCAGCACGACGCAGACCTGGGACGCTCCGTCGATATCATGTGGAGATGGGTGATCGGGGTTGGCGTCGTTCCCGGCGTTGTTGCTTTGCTCTTTCGCTTCGCAATTCCTGAGAGCCCTCGTTTTATCCTTGAAATCGAGGATGACCCTGTCCAGGCGGAGTTTGACGCCACCACCTTGTTCGGGGAGCAGCCGCTGAGCCCCAGCATCGAGACCTCCAGTTTCAGCAACTTCCCGTTGCCGAGCCCTACTTTCCCGGGCATGTCTCCAGTCCCGGGAATGTCTCCAGTATCTCAGGATGAGGAGGCATCAACCATCCGGACGGATAACACTATTCATCCCGCTACGTTAAACCATCACTGGCGACTTGCCAAAGCGGACATCATACAATACTTTTGGACAGAAGGCAATTGGCGTACCTTGGCTGGTACCTCTCTGGCGTGGCTCCTTCTGGACTTTGGGTTTTACGGAATCAGTTTGTCCAGCCCACGGTTCCTTGCCAAAACCTGGGGTGATCTCAATATCCACGGCGCCGCACCACCGTGGATGATCGACGACAGCCCCAATGCGAACATCTATGATATGTTTCTGGACACTTCCCTCCATGGGATGGTTATTCTGAACGCGGGCAGTGTCTTTGGCGGTCTCCTGCTGATTCTCGTTGCCCATAAAGTCGATAGACAGGGGCTCCAGAAATACAGTTTCCTCGCCCTTGCTGCTCTCTTCATTGCGATGGGTGTCATGTTCATCACCGTGCAGACAGAGGGCCCACCGGCAGTAATACTGTATATCATCGGACAGATCCTATTCAATCTGGGTATGTTCTCGTCTAACTCCGTTAGCAGTGTCAATGGCATCTCATACTGACTGGACCCGACAGGCCCCAATTCCACAACATACATGATTCCTGCTGAAGTATTCCCCACCCGCTACCGTGGCACCTGCCATGGCATCAGCGCTGGAGCTGGAAAGTTGGGATCCATCCTGGTCCAAATCTTCTCTACTTATTACGACTTTGGTACTGCGCCTGGCGTCGCGCAAACGAAACGATACGGCTGGATTCTCATCGTCTTCAGCGCCGCCATGGTCGTAGGCGCAGCAGTCACTCATATCTGGATTCCATCTGTCCAAAGAGGAGATGGAATTCGGAAATTATGGGGCGGAGACCCCGAGACCCTCGAAACTCTCTCTCTGGGACGACTTGGTCGGAAGAGTCGCTATGCCAGTCGAACACCCACCTTCCGCATCTTCCGGAGATACTCCTGGCGAGTGGAACAGTAAATTATCATTGTTGTTGTTATTTATCTTCATCACGCCCGTCTATGATATAAGGTATGTATATTGATGACGGGAACGGGCCGTACATGGCCGGTATAAAATTCTCTGTATATAAAATTTTTGTACATAATATACCCCAGCAATGAATGCTCGACTCTTTTCTTCGATTCCCATTCACTTGACACTGTCTCTTAGTCAACACCGCAGTCTCATCTTATGACTGCAAGTCAGATTCAGGATCAGTTCTCTCTCTTCCCCTATAGTTACACAAACAAGATACACACATAGACATTCAAGAATAAAATAAAGTCCATGACACGTGACATCTCATTACCGGATGCGGATAGCAGAGCCCTAATTCTGTTAGTTCAACTAAGTTAACCTTGTAGACAGACCACAATTCTCTCTAAAACGTGATTCCAGTGCATACATGCATGTCATTGCTCTTGAACACACTCAAAGAAACATCACATTTCCAAATATATATATTTATCGATTACATACCACGTAGATATAGCATATATACACCCTTGCTTACATGAGAGCTCTGGGAACCCCTTTTCAAAACATTCTCCCGTCCAGATACATAAACTTTCGCTGCGCGTCCTGCTCGGCTCTGAGGGGCCCATGCGTATCCGAATAAGACCCCGTCATGCGCTAGAGGACCCGGGTTGACTTAAGTATGGTCCAGGAAAGACGTTACGTTATAGTTATAGACGATCGTCACTGCTGAGTACTCCGTACATAATAGTTCTTTCAAAACGACAGCTGTCTGCGCGTACAAGGTTGTCGATCAGGGTTAAGCGCTTGTATGTAAGTTAGCGGTGAAGCCTGTTGTGGATTGAATGACATGATAATCATTAGTAAGGTTGTTGGTATCAATGTGGAGTTGGGGATGAAGGTCGTTTCTGGGAGTGAGAGGTTGGATAGATAGCATAGGTCGGGTAGTTTGTGTGGTTGCCTGATTTGGGTTAATGGATTAGATAGGAGATAGATAATAAGAATGAGTGTTGATAGAAGTTCTTCTGGTCTGGTAGAGCATCGTAGCGCTGAGAAGTTGCTTTTCAACTTGTATTCGCGCCATTTGTTCCCTCAGGACGGAGGAGGAGAGTGTCTTAACGTATTCGTTGCCTCCCTCAAGGATCTCCCGACATCCAACTCGAATACTGGAGGAATTGGCTGGAACTTTGCTTCGAAGGCCTACAGCACTTACTCTTACGGATAGTCAGACATGTTTACATTTTCCTCTCCAAGTGCCATCTCCATGACGCGGAGGTTAATGACTGACGGCTTATCAGTCGTATGGCAACGGGTATTCCATTGGATGGTAGTCTTGTGGATCGTCCAATATAGAAGGTCCTCTCGCTTCCTGGATTGGGAATGTCAGTATGCAGGTAGATATAGACAGAGACGAGGCGGATGATGAAGTGCAGGTGGTTCTAGGAGGAGTGCCTGTGAAGAAAGAGAAGGAGTTGGATTTGTATGAGCTCATGTTGGAGATGGTTTATGCGTTGATGAAAGCCGTGGATGTCTCGACGAGGAATGGGGCCATCGTCTGGCTGAGGTGTATCTGCTCGTACGTCACATCTGCAGGATCTGAGGCATTTCCTAATTTAATATTTTAGAAAATCATAATCAAAATAATGGTTGAAAAGCAATATCAGCGGTGATTGGGATAGGTTTATAGGATGATAGGATGGTTTCGATATCATGTCTGAAATGGATTGACGAATAGGTGCTTTCAATGACACCGCCCCTTGTGCTCTGTCGCACATGACGATTCGAAACCGTTTCCTTGATTTCAGGACTTCAGTCATATCTCAATTCTCAGCAAAAACAGAAGGGCATACTGACTAGCTGCGCAGCATGTTAGGTGTGGCCTCAAAAAAAGGCAGAGTTCTCCGACCTAGTCACCTGGTAACCCCCTCAGTGAATACTGAGATGTGTTATTACTCAAGGCGCCCTCTTTCTTCCTCCATAAAGAAAATCCCTCACTGACTCTCCGACTTCAACTACCTCTACCTCTACAAGCAACTCACACACGAGGCATCATGGCTGCAGAACCATCTACAAGCAAAAAACGTCGTCTCGATCCTGAGACTTCTGTCAAGGAGGAGGTGTCTCCAGGAGCCAACCAAGACGCCCCCTCAAGGGACAAACAGACTTCCGGGGGTGAGTTAGAAAAGAGAAGTGACCTTTGGGAACCGTTCAAAAGGTATGAAACTTTGCCGTCCCCTCTGGAGCACTTCCTATTAAGAGCATCAGACTTTTCAACTCCCCAGATCACTCCGATGTGAAAATCTGCGTGCGGGGTTCTGTCGAGTTCTATGGTCATTCACTCGTGTTTAAAATACGTTGCCCCAGTCTCGCAGAGATTCAGGTACCAGCCGCATCGGGCAAAAGTTCAATATCTATCTCCGGAGATGACCGCGCTGTCCTCAGGATGCTAGAATATATTTACACTGGGGATTATTCTGTTGACACTTCTACACTCTTCCAAGGTAAGACAAACATAAACTATCAATTTCTGGTCCCTCAATATTTGCGTTATTAACGTGGCTTTCTTCTAGGTTGGCAGAAATCCGAAGGAAAACTCACCAGACATGCAAGGGTGTATAGTCTTGCTCGCAACTACAAGCTTAGCGACTTACAAGCCCTCTGTTATGATAAGTGCGCAAAAGATTGGAATTGTGGCTCTTTTTGCCAATCTGTCTTTTGTGATCTGGAACCGACAGATAAGGACGAGATCAGCTTTGTGATGGATACCGCCATAGATCACGCTGATGAGCTACTTAAAGATGAGGCATTTGTGAATACGCTGGCAACAGGACGTGGCTTCAATAACCTCAGTGTTACTGCTTTCTTCATTTTGTTTGCGCAGAAACTACTTTTGAAGCAGCGTACGTCAAGCGGATCTAAACCTACATTGTAGCTAGGGATATTTGCAATGACGGGAGAAAGAAGAGCACATCTTACGTGGCAGGGACACTGGTCGGGGAGGCACTGTTCTACATGTATGTAGCAACGAAGCATCGATTTGACAACACGCTTAGAATGCGAACCGCAAATACTATATCCTTCTCTACTTATGAAAGTATTATACGATTAATACAACCCCCAAAAACCTCTGCCAACTCGATTCCTGAGCTTCATTGACTATCTCGGGAAACTTCGCATTGAAGAAAGTCGAAGCTCGCGGAAGACAGCACAATAAGAGCCTCTATTTTTCGGGGCCCTTATCAGATTGCGCTATACACCATTTATGAGTGGTGGATTCGGCCGTATCGTAACCGCAGTGACAATGGAACATATATGGAAACCCCATGATAAGTTGTGTGCCATGACTTTTTATAGACCCTCCGGCTTCCGCGATATATATGTGTGAAGCTTCTTTCCTTCTGTAATCGAAGAGTCGTACTATTGTATTGCAAATATCGTCTGCTCTAAATATATACACTGAAAAGAACACATTTTATCCCTGCACGCCTTGAATAGTGACCATAACAGCTCAAAACCTTCTGTGGGTCATGAGAACCGTACCCAATAACTCCTTTCTCAGCATCCATTCAAGTATTTTCCAATCAAACACGCAGCTACTAAAATGGCCCAAGGGCAATCTCTCCACTATCCCCGGAACCACTATCCCCTCTCCATACCACAGGAATTTCACCCCGACTTTTGAATTGCACTTTCTCTGCATAGTTGGCGATCCCCTTACCACCCCTTGACGCACTCACAACTAGCATTCGATTGTCCAGGTAATCAAATTCTGGTAGCGCTCTCCATCCTCGCATGCGGCTGGCTTCCACAATCACTAGCATTGTAATTATACCCGTGATAATCGCACTGGCAACAATATACCCCCGTGACCCGATGCGGACGGCCGAGACATACACCCGTGCGGGCGCGGAGACCTTGAAACCTCCCACCATCAACTGGGCCGATGCATAGGCCACGAGAATGTCGTCAACTAGGGAGGTAACGGCGTTTTCCAGTCCCTTCAGGACTACTTGTGTCTCTGACAGGGTTTGAGTCGTATTCCCCTCAGCGTTCATGACGGAGGTCCGATAGTCGCTGATACTGGCGTTCAAGGTGTCGCCGAGGATCGAGCGGTAGTATCCTGTCAGGTCATTCGAGATGAGCTCCAGCTGGCGCATAACAACGTGAGTCATGTTGTGGTGAGGGTCGATGCTGGGAGGCGGGGAAGCTGTAGGTACTTTGCTGACGGTGATGTTGCGGCCGTCGATGTCGATGGAGACATTGAACCGCGCCGGGGTGAAGGTGACAGCGCACTGGGTCGCATTCAGGAATGCATAATACTTTCCCGCTGCTATAGCCATGTACCGCATTGCTGTGAACGCGGTGGGAACTGCTGCAACACCGATGGCAACGATCGAGCTGCTGCCTCGGCCTACGTACACGGAGTATTCCCCAGAGGAAGATTTGCTGTCGGGGAGGGGTCCCTCCGCGGCATAAAGATTTGTCTCAGGGAGGTCACTGTCAATTACAAATTGCGAGCTGTCATTATAGATGCAGGTGACAGAGGCGTCGAGACCAACTTCATCATAGCTATAGTTGGTGGCACGGGGGATGTCGAGAACAGAGGCATCGAGGAGACCAACGCTTGCACCCGCCCCGTAAGATCGACCGTGATAGTTATAGCGTGTGTTATCCAGCTTGCCATGGTCACGAATACCGCCATCAACTGGAGATGCCGAGTTGGCTGAGGACAGTAGAGACGTCAGCATGCCCACGCCAACCGAGTAGGTGAAGTAGCCCTTCGTATCACGGATCGTCAAGCCGGTCTGATCGATCTCCGATGGATATTCTCGGATATATGATAAGTTGGACCAGCCTGGAACAAGAGTAGTAGCGTTTTGGACGCTGGTTGTGTCTACTGGGGTCAGAGCACCAGCCCACAGGGCAGAAAACACTGCAGACACATTACTGAATAGAATCGTGATGATAACCATCCAGGCAGGCAGGCTCCAGTTGTATGTGGGAGTGGAGAGCGCCGACCAGAAGCCCAGCATATCGAGTGAAATGGGGGCTTTCGTGAACCAAATTCTAGTCGCCAGGTTGATCAGGCGACAGAGGACGAAAATCTCGATGGCTGCCAGCATAGCAGCGATGACCTGGACCACTGTTTGAACAGAGGTACGATATCGATCAACCAGTGTGCACAAGTAACCAGGCATGTGCCAGTTGCGGATATCGCTAATTATTAGCAGGATGCTTAGGGTCAAGGGGATGAGGTGGAGGCCGAACAAGAGATGCTCGCTCCACGAGACGGTATTAAACGTAGTCGCCGGGCGATCGTAGTCATCCTTAGCAGTTGTTATCGCCAGGCGAAATATGTGCCGTTTCTCATCGGGGGTGTTTCCCTTCTGCATGTTCAGATAAACTCAGACTCGGTAACAATATATACTTCTGTTATAGTGAATGTGGACAGGAAAGACAAATACCGCGTCTGCTCGTCCTTCATGAGGAGAAATACTTGCTATTAGGGGCAGGCAGTTTTACATAGCTGGGCCTCGATGTCGCGACTACGCGCCAGGAGCAGTGGCTGCATAGATCGAACAAATAAGAGCATGCGAGCTGGATAGGGATCTGCTGGTCCATACCTAATTATATTCATGACATGGATATTGATGCATTAGGCAAGTAACCCCAATCGGGGTTTGTGTATAGTTAACTAAGTACATACATCAACTAGATATTAGTTCCGGGACAACGTTGCTCTGTCCATCGAGCTGCACGAACCATGTTTGGCACTAGTTATCAAAAGCAACTGTTTATATAATTGGTGGGATTGTAGCGCCAGGTTCGCAAGTTGTGTTAGTTGTAGGCAATTATTGGTTGATAATAGCAGCCCCCACGGCCAGACGTGGCGATCTCGGTTGCTGATTTGTTTGACGAGTTGAGATCCCTAGCTGCCAAGCAGTTGACCTCCAGTCATGTTGAGCGGATTAAGCGCCGAAGAAAGAACTAGATGTGATGCAGACTCAAATGCTACTGAGCTACGATCTACAGGATACCACTCTAAGTAACGAAAGCGCCGACCGTCTGTCATCTTACAGTAGCCTTGTTTCACGCTCATAACCGGAGCTGGCATGGGCGTTTGAAACACTGGGAAGCGTCATGGTAGTTACTGGGCCCAACTGAATAATCAAGACTGTTGGGTAAATATAGCTAAAATAATATCCAGCGCTATCGCAGTTCTCTGCCTCGCACTCAATGCCGATCGCCAAGGTCGCTACAACTCCTCTAGGTGATTCGTGTACGATAAGCGCCCAGAACTCTGAGCTCGACAGAACATAAACTAGCTTCCAATAGATTAAGTGAGCCGTCTTGCGGATTGGGTTTCATGTTGCGCGCAGCTGAGACCATCTCAAAAATATTATTCAATAATAGGTCAACATAATATGATCTGATAAACCCTGGCATTTCAAACGACTCAAAAGTCCAACAACGCTACCATTTCCGGGGATTGATCGACGCTGGGATCTCATTTAACTATCAATCATATATGCTCTGAATACAAATCCATCATTTACTATAGCAGAAAAGAAAGGAAGTAAGGAACGGAAACAAGAGATTCTGCAATTTCCGTTCTTGACTTATCCTTACATTTCCGATTTCTTCCATGCTCTTATCTAGTTCGATTCCCTCGCCGGTCGTCTGAGATTCGTGATTTTATTCTCCACAAGCTCTGGCTATTCGATACTATGTAGTTCCACAATGGAAAATACTTCTTGGATGGCCTTTGTATGCAAAAAGTACATAGAGCCAATCCACTCTCCCACATGAAATATCCCTTGAATATCAACCCTACTATCACTATTACTAAACCTGAAGTTCCCTAATATGCCTATTGCAGCAACATTCAATCATCGACATCATATCGGTGTTTCTACAAGAAGTGATCGGCTGAGGTGAGGTTGGAACATAGGCAACCGCAAGTGATGTTGCCTAGTGTTATAGTTTTACCACACAACGTCGAGTTTCGACTTCTTCTCTACCTTCAGGCCACTCTGCTATCTCAACCTCATCCTCTCAGTTCAATCCATCTACCCAGCTACGAGCATGTTAGCTAAAAAGCGCCGTCTGAGCACAGAAACTGAAAGTGTTGCTACAATGGCTGACGAGAACGGACAACAAAAGGAAGACTGTTGGAGTGTCTTCAAAGGGTGAGTCTTATCATGGTTCCCTTTCTATCTTATCTCATAATACACGCTTGAAAACATGGCCCTGGAAAGCTGTCTGATATGTATTTCACAGCTATTACGGCTCTTCTGAAGACTCGGATATAACACTTTACCTGGGTCGCAAGAAGGTCCCTTTTCCCGCTCATCGTCTGATCCTTAAGGCTCGCAGCCCCTACTTCCGTGAAGTCGAGAAGGATCAAGGTGGAAAATACGACATCTACATGGAACGTGAACCTCGCATCGGCGGTTTGAAGTTGATGCTGCAGTATATCTATACTGGAGACTACAGCTTCGATGTAAGAACAGCGAATGTCCAGGAAGGTATCGCAACTCCCCTCGCTAAATACGATGATTCTAGAGACTGATTCCATCTATTTCTCTTGTTTGATAGAATTTGAACCTGATGTCGATTCGCTGAACATCCACGCGATTGTCTGTTCAACCGCCATCGATTACGATGTCAAGGGCCTCGAAGATCTCTGTGTGAAAAAGTTCAAGAAGAGTATCGTTACCAACTGGAACGTTCAATCCTTTTGTCGCTGTGCAGAGATGGTTTTCCACTACGCTTGTTTCTTCAACTGTATGGCGCTACGTCCTGTGATTGTTGATACGGCCATCAGCCACGCGGAAGAACTTCGTGAGCGCCCCGAGTTCATCCATGTCATAGATAGGAGTCATGATTTCGCAGAGGATTTGGCGAAGAGATTTCTGTGGGAACATTCTGTGGGAATATTGTGACATGGTTCGCCCTTGGTGAGTGGAATCTTTCCTGGGTGGCTCAAGCATGCAGCCTGGCTCTCTCACTGTGGAATGAGAGGCAGAATTACAAACTTCATCCGTATAATGTCCGTAGGATAGTCAAGTTCAAATACAAGAAATTCCCAAGTTGCACTCTGTTTATCCTATATGACTGAAACGAGTAATCAAATTGCTGGCGCCATTACGAAGAGTACCTAATCTAGCAGCAAAACATACAGACACACAGTTATGAAAATGTGAATACACAAAGCATCCCTGTATGTATACCATGACAAGCGGGATTTCCCAACATAATCCACCATCTGATGGGAGTCCCCGTCACAATATTGTCATGTTTATTCACCTGACGATTGCCCCGCTTCTATCCTGAGGTTCATAAAGGAGCTTCTCTGCATCGCTCCCCTTTGCGATCTCCATCTTCTCTCCCTTTTCATCTGCCCTCCGCAACATCATCGATCTATAGCATCCTTCTTCCTTGTCCCCCCTTCTTCGACGACCGGCCACGGGCACTGGCCAAGTCCAATATGGCTCGCGGAACAATTTTTTCCAGTGCTCGCAGCACTGCTCCTGCGTCCATCTATGGGTGGAGCCCTAGGATCGATGAAGAGTACATGGATGACAGCTGGTAAGATCTGACATGACATGACCTAGTACATACCGAAGACATGAGCTGATATATGATATAATTATGAGTAGGAATCCTGCATCTCAGCGTACTACGAAGCATGAGGCGGCCGACTGGGCTGGGGATCCTTGGGAATGGTAATATTACACTGCAATTTGAAATGTACACATGCATCTACTAACCTGTGCATGCAGCAGTGCGGATACCGCCAGTACGGCTATGCAGACACCCTCCTGGGATTCCGCGCCGAAGGAGGAGAAGGTCGAGGCCATGTCTGTCAGGTAATGCTATATCCTGCCAAGGATACGTTAAAATTCTTTATCTTACATATCAGCAGTGGTGCCTGCGGGTCCGAGACGCCAGAGCCTGAAACCTCTTGCACGGCACCAGACCGGTAAGTATAAGCGTGGCACTTCTTTTGGAATCTGCTTAGTGGTACTGATGAAAATCAATAGCAACCCCGAAGTTGATGAGGAAGACTGGGATATGTCTGATACTCAGAACTTCTGGGCCAAATTTAAAGAGTGAGTATCATCTGATTGCCATTTCAGAGCTTCTGATAATGATATGTTTTGGCTGCTAACAAAATACAGCCTCTGGGGAGATGAAAAGACTTCCGACGTCAGGCTCTATTCGGTTGACGGATACCCGCCGGTCGATGCCCACTGGCTCTTTATCAACATGAGGACCAGCGCCATTGCCGACTTATGGGGTGGCAAGGATGTCAATGGTAAAGATTGGGTCCAAACGGACATTGACGGACGGACTCTCCGTAGAGTCATTCAGTACATTTACACCGGAGACTACGATACTCATGTCGACTATGATCTCGAACATAAGGACGCCGAAGGTAAGAACCTCGAAGGGAGGAGTCTTGTTGGAAAAATGTAATAGAAACTGACTTGTCTCTTTTATATTATCCAGACGAGTACGGCTTCTCGAATTCGCGTTGTCCCGAGGATATCTTCGGGGCTCACGCCCACGTCTATCGCGCTGCGCAGCTGTACCAGATCCGCGGCCTCACCAAGATCTGCGCGGACAAGTTCGAGAATGTCTGTGGAAACAAATGGAACAGCAAGTCGTTCTCCAATGCCGTTGATATCATTTACTTTGACACGACCTTTGGGGTCCCTCCCAAGTCTTTGAAAGACAAGATGAAGCAACTCGCTCTTCAGGCAGCAGTTGATCATGCTGAGGAGCTCCGCCATTGTCCTGACTTCAGGGGACTGTTGAACAATCCGACGAATTATTTTGCGAGTGACCTCGTGTTGGATATGTTCCGGACGAAGTCTGAATCTGAATGGACCTCGCAGGGCGGTTGGTGTTGACGTTTCTTCTTGGACTGAGAAACATATCTTTCGGGGACGCGAGCACATGGTAGTTTTGGGACAAGGTTAGCTCAGATACCTAGTAGATAGCAGATACTTACGACATAGGCGGTAGTAACTATTAGTCGGTATGCTTAATTCACAACTCCAGGCAGTTCCGTAACAATTTTTCCTTCCTATATCGCTTTCACTCTCTCTTTTTTTTTGTCCCCTCCTTCACTTCTCCCCCTCACCATGTCAGACATTCCCCTTTCCACCCCTACTTATGAGCCTGGCTCCTCCATCACGGTAACTTCTACAAATCAGTTCGATAACCAGAGTGATTTCAAAGATTACATTCTCTCCGCACTGCATCAAGTCAAGGAGTATCACGAGTTTGTGTTCATCGACGTGCCTTCCTCTTGGGGAGAGGCCGTTTTACAGCTTATCGATGAGAGTATCCCGTCTCGGTAAATTCTTTAAAGACCTTCTTCTGTAATATCTAATCACCCTTGAAAGTCTTACTTATCCTACCACAGAAAAAGCTACAATACTATAACCCACACATTACGAATAAGAGTGGTGTTCACATGGATCCATGACTGCGTCCAAGGCTGGCTCACAAAGCAACTGGTCGAGTGGCTGTTGAACGGTGACATCACGCGAGAAGAAGAGTTGCTTTTACACCCGGGAGTTGGCACAAGTGGGTTATCCTTATCGTTCACTGTTTGAACAGTAATTCTATTCTTACATATGTATACCTAGCCCTTCATTTCACGACCGGCCCCTACAGTGGCTCCAGGAAAGAGCCGGACCTTTTCTTCCAAGTCAACGATCACATCCTCCCAACTCTTGTCGTAGAGTGTGGCTGGAGTGATTCGAAGGGACGAATTTACGACGACATGAACCTGTTGTTGGTGGGAGGCAATGGCTCTATCAAGATTGTCATCATCGTCAAATGGGCAAAGTTGCGAGGAAGTCGCGTCTCAGGGACTGTCGAGCTCTTCATGAGAGATCGAAACGACATCCCTATCTTGAAACAAATCGAGATACGTATATTCGAGGCTTTTTCATCGATGTTCTACTTACTTATCGCATGGTATTTATATATACAGACTGTCTTCCCACGCCCTACCACTACGAATCTCCAACGACTAGAGATCCGACGAGGTGATCTTTTTGGTGACGCACTGTTAGCCGGTCGCAACCGGAATGATATCCTTTACCTGGATGTTGAGCGATTGCGTGACCATGCTACCAGAAGTCTCAGATTCATGAACCTTGTTCCTGCTTAGGCATATCTTTCAATAATCTGTATCTAATTAGCTGATTCTTGCTGTTCTCGAAGTCACAATTTCTGAGTGCTAGAGACGACTCCAGCGCATTCCGCTTTTTAGTCCACACATAACATGCTTCGTAGCTAGCCAGTGATCAGAATGCCCCTCTGTCTTAGTTAGAGACCAAAATAAGCTCGAGGTCTAGTCTAAAAAACAAAAACAAAAACATCGCATGCAGCAAGTAAATCTCAAGAAACAAGTCTTTTCAGGGATGCGCGCCATATCACAATAGACACATAGCAGTTTTCGGGAAAAGGTTAGCTCAGATACAGAGAGATAGCGATTCTACAATAAATAGTAGAAACTTGGCATGTTCTATATGCAGTCCACTTGCTCAATAGTACGTACTAATCAGTGAGCTCTATGACTGTCCAGGTATCAGCCCAGGCTTCCTTGCCGCCAACCTTCTCCATCACAGCTCTACTAGCAAGATTGTTAGCAGCAACATCCGCATGTCCCCACGCTTCCTCCTTGTCCCCTTGCTGCCGAAAGATCGCGCCTTCCAGCAACCTGGAGCGCATGATTTCCTTGGAGATCTGCACGGCTAATCCACGACCTCGATGTTCAGGCTCGACATGCAACGTGGCGAGGCTTCCATCGAATCCGAGAAACTCCCAGGCGATAGGCATCTCCTCGTCTTCGTCTTCCTCTGTCGAATCTGTAGTATTACCATCATAATAAATAGCTACACCCGCCATCTTGGCCAGAGATGCCCTTGATCGAGGGATGTGCGTTCGGCTACTGACCAGATCAAACTGGTGCGGGAGGACACCATAGCGCCCCTTTCGATCTGTGAACCGGTATCCCTGGGGAAGAGCATTGGTCGTTGGCTCTCCGGATTGATCCAAAGAGGACCTGCCTGTTTCTGGCGGGAAGAGATACTTGATATAGGGTGGATCATCTCGACGGATAATCCGAACACCAGGGATGGTGTTTGGATCTAAATAATCCCCAGATGCCGTGAGCAGAGCTAGGAGGCCCGTATGCATGGCCCCGAAGAGGAACGCTGTAGGCGGCGGAGCGGGAACCTTGGCCAGTGGGGTTGTTGTCGTACTGGCATTGGAGGAAGAAAGCGGATCTATAGTGGATGCTTCCGATGCCAAATACTCCGGAAGCAGATTTGTCTTGACGTACCTCAGTAGCGCAAGAAGTCGGCCCTGCGCTTCAGCTAGCCTTTCTGGAGGAGCCGTGAGCTTAGACACGAAATTCTCCGAGGCTTGAGGCCGGGTAGCTCCATCCTTCTCCAGGCTCGAGTAGATGTATGCCTGGGTCTCCCGGCCGCGGAATAAATCGACGATCAATACTATCCATGGCGATGAGGGAGAGAGGCCCGACACTGTTGGTGACTGGGGCGGAAAGGTTGCGATGACATGCGCCGTCGAGGACGGGTAGGCAAAATTATGTTGAATCCTCCTGAGCACGGCCAGGCTGTAAGGAAGATGAGTGCGCAGGAGCGGTAGGATCGTGGTTTGTGGATCAGGATGATTCCAAATTCCTCGGGTGGCCATGACTTGCATAAGTAGCTCCCAACAGTAGTGGCTCCCTATTAATACCGTTCCCGTGCCTGCGGCTTGTACCTTGCACCGCTAGATTGGCTTTTCGTGAGAGGAAACGAAACGGACCCTGGTAGCTGAGCTGAAGATTGGCAGCTTGGACGATGTTCCAGAATGAGTCTCACGCTCCCTTAACTTATAGATAAGACTGCCATTGATAATGACTCATCCGACGAAAGCTCGTCGTCCGCAAATAACAAAAACAAAGTTAGTGCGCCGGCCCCTGTTGATTTGGTGTCGACTAATAATAACGAGAGACGCTTCGGTGACTCCGACCAAGATCGTGTTAGAAACGGGCCGAGTCGCTGTGGCCGTGCACAGCGCACGGGACGCCGTTGACGACCTTCCTGTTCCGGAGTGGGTCATGTGATGCATACTAGATCTGCTGCGTTAGAAGATTAGAAGACCGCGTGGAATTCCGTGCATTAGGAGTCGACGACGGCTTGCACGATGGCAAAGTGAGCTGTCTTGTTCTAAAGACAATGGCTGCATGATCTTCTCAACGGCTTCAAAGATATGTCCGTAGGTCAAACGTTCTCGAGTTACGTTAGTTAGTATCGAGATTGCTCGTACGGAAGATATACACTTACCCTCAGGTAAAAGTCATATCAGAGTCAAACCCTGTACCTAGCACGTTGCGCCAAGCCTTACCAAAACCTCCAGCACTCCTCGAACCAGGTGGGATCTCTGGGAAACCTGCGCCCATGCGGCATTCATGCCAATATTAGATAAGCGAAGATAGCGTTCCTTTGAAAGTCGCCATGTTCGTCGCATGCGGTAGATGTCTCAAGACTTATTAACCGACAATGGACAGCAGGCTGGTAGACGATGCGTAGAGGATTTATGTGTCGTAGATCAGGCACAAGTTGGCAACTGGTATGATAATACTCTAGTGCCCAATGTCAGCCAGCAGAGCCAAGTTCCATCCAGCCAATGCTGATCACCTTAATTGGGCGGTGATACATCCCTTCAGAGTCCAGACGAGGATCATCGCAGCCAGCTGTATCTCATCACTCGCATCACTCTTCGCATCCCAGTGCTCCCCTTCTTTGCTCTCACCCCAGACAGTTCAGAGAATAAACTCAGTCCGGGCACTGCCGAGTGGGCCCTAACCGAAGCTATTGCCGATCTGCCAAGCGTCCCCATCAGTGACAAATACCTAGTGGTTAGTCTAGCAACTGTGAACTACTACCCGTTCAACAACAAGGAAAAACGTCTTCTCATTCGCTGCCGCGTTAAAGCGTTCAAGCTATGATGGCGTTCGCAGGGGAAGAGGTCCGTGTGTCGGGGGATCTCGCCTGTTCATGGGAACGAAGTCGAACAGCAGAAAGAGCAAGACAGCAGAGACAGCGAAGAACTGGGGATAGTGGTTAATTCAATTCGCAAATCCAGGGAGCAGACGTTGATATAAGAAAATCGATTCAGAGAGATAACAATACGTTAGACATTATTAAAAGACGTTAACACCCGGAGGGGAAGGAGGAAACAGCTAACAGAGACAAGCGCCGCCAGAGGGGGTTGGCCTCGGCTCCACACAAACTCCATACTCCAGAGAACTCCATCCCAATATTCCACTGACGCAGTTGCCTGCCTGCCTCTTTTTACCCGTTTTTTTGAAAAAATGTCCCCGACAATTACTAAGTAGAAAAGGGTTCAGAAGGGACTCCTGGGCCCCACCATCCAGTCTTCCATCGCCAACCATTCGCTCCATCGGGCCTCAGCAGCGCTTATCTCTTCTTCCAGGGGATCACGGATGGGCCGTAAGAATGGTACTTGCTGGTCGGGTAGGATGTCGTACTCTCGCTTCGTAGCAGCCCAACCGCTGCTCTTGGCCGTGAACAGGTAGTTGATGCGTTCCTGGCGATGGATGGGTCCGACCCCCGCGAGCCAGTCACCGCCAAAGAACTCATATAGCACTGACGGGGAGTCTGTTCCGGTGACGATGAGGCGGCGGATGTATGGAATCAAGGAAAAGAATGGCGAACGGCCGGGAGCCGTCGAACCATAATCGGAGCCGTAGTTACTGGGATGTTGATCAGAAGAGCCGCAGATGGGGTCCGTCGGTCTCTGGCAGGGCAGATAGATGTTGAGAAAGGCTGCTAACGACTGCACAAACATGCTGTGCTGGCCGTGGTCCAGGAAATGTCGAGCGCAGCTGCGGTAGCGGGAGTGCCATTCGACGGGGTCCTGTTTAGATGCGGAGAACTGTTGCGAGAGACCCAAGGACTCGGTGATGGCATTTAATCCTGTCCGATGCTGCATGTCCTGATCTTGCTGGACATTTTGAACGTTCTGGACGTTCTGGACGTGGCTGTCGGCACACAAGGTTGGGGTTTGGCGTACATCCCGTCTGTCGAAGTTGGCTTCAGTCTCTAGTAACATCGGGGCTAAGAGGCACCATGAATCTCAGACGAGGGAACATTTAGAGAACTGGACGGGGCCAAGGATATTCATACCTCGATAGAGATGAGCGAAAGGCTCTGCGCAGGGAAAAGGGTCTTCCATCTTTGGCCGTGGAGATTCTGTTGAGTAATCTCTTCCGTAGCCCGGGACGACCTGGTGAGTCCGGATGCGGATTCGACATATGATAACGGAAGAAAGAAGTAGACGGGAAGAATGCGAAGGTCTCTCTCACAGGCCACCCATTAATCCATAGACAATTGAGCTTTTCTGTTGAGTATCAGAACTTGAAACCTGTGGCCCTGAGGCTGGGATATGGCACATCCTTATACCAGCTCGTGCCCCGCCCATCGGTCGTACCACAGTGCCTAGGGATGAAGTCGGTGTGAACTAGACTTTCGCGGGGCTTGGTAGCAGAAGAGCCGATCAGGGTCTGAAACGGAATGTTTGGAACAAGCCATAGCCTAGTACGTGCTGTCATTGCTACGAGAAGAGCGCTTATGGTGGAGCTAAGCGCACGGAACGGTGCCGGGAATTTGAGGCTATTGACCTGCTATCGAGAATTCACGAACGGGTACAGGGGATGGGAGCAAGCCACATGTCTCTAGCCACAGGAGAATGATGAGCCACATTACGTGGCTGATTGATGGTCGTGGCTAGTAAGTGGCAGTGCATTCTCGGGGGGCTTGATCTCCACGGCCTGAGGCCACTAGCGAACCTCGGTCGGATACTCTAGGGTTAGATACGCTTCCACGGATGCTCCGGCCTTTCACCCAAAAGAAAAGTCTAAGAAATTAGACTATGTGTTCGTGCGATCCATGGAATGGATAGCCTCAAAACAATAGTAATACATAATAATATCAGAAGGAAACACAACACAACGACTATTATTATAATATACCGCCTTTTTTTAGGTTGTCGCAGTCCGAACATCAATAGTTACCCAGCATGAATCAGTTGGAATCGGCTCCCGCCCCCCCCCCGGATGTCGGCAACGTGTGTATCTCGGGAGCATGCATGTCCTGAAACGAGGGAAGGCCATCAGCCCTTGCATCGATCATGAGAACACGGTAACGTCAGGATTTGCGCTATGGGGAGATCATCAAGGATGTTCTGAGCAAGATGCGGTGGAGATCGCCCGTGCTTTGGGGATGAGGTCTCCAGCCCAGCGCGACCCTGGAAGGCTGATGGTTCACTTGCGACACTAAAGACACGCTAATGCACCTGAAATCTGCTTTCCACTAGTTGGCGCCCAAACTATCAGATCGACTTAACCAGATCCTGCAGCGGGGCCAAATTCCAAATCTTGCGAGCACTGATATTGGGGGATACACAGACGGAGGGGATCGAGGTTATCGCATTTCCGAATGCGGAAATGTCAGCTCGCCCTTCATCGCAGTCAGCCGTCGTGCTGGTAGCTTAAATAAACACCTTCATGCAGCCATATCTTCTCCCTTGCTCCCACCAAGACATCATCTCACAGCTCCTCCAGAGTCTCACACTCCTTGACTCCATATACATCGGTACCTGCACCCCAGCAGAACTCAAAAACCTTTCGTCGCACTCGATATACTTTGACTCCTGCGAAGTCACTGTCTCATCCCTTCGCACACATACCAACCATCCATCCCATCATCCGTACACCACCATGGCTTACAAGACCAACTACGAGCTCTATGTAAGTTCCTCCTGACAGCCTCATAGGAATGCAAAAAACTCTTTTACTAACATCCATTGTAGAGCGATCGAACTCCCTATATCAATCGCCCGCCTCCATCTCAAGAGCTCCTCAATCCTCTGGGGACATTGTATCCCCATGTGTCAGCTCTCCAGCAGTCTCCGGTTTATCCTCCAGAGTGGTACTCGGGTGAAAATGGCCTCGGTCACTGGGCCGGTGCCTATGCAACTGCAGAGCCTCCCAGCCCAACCAACACCTCCTTCAGCAGCTCTTACCACGACTCGAAAAAGACGCGCCTGATGTCTCGCTTCCGACGAATCCTCAAACGCGATACGCGGAGTACAAACGACCTGAGAAGTCAATATCTCAACAATCTTTAAATCGAATCGAACCTTTTTATCAATCGTTCATTTCTCATTCTTAATCAACCTAATTCTCACCACCATTTCGGACATATCATTACCTCGACTTCCCGTACAATGTTCGCCCATACATACCGCGTCGGACATCTCCTTACTATCTGCGACCGGCGAGACGCACAAATCCCGCCATATTATATTTCCATTATGTCTCTTATCTTGAGTGTCATCACATTTCATTTCACGAAGCGATTTAGCGAGCACGGAGTTGGTTTCTTACATACGGGCGACCCGCGACTATATTTTACACGACATGGATAGTTCTGGAGTTTATATTTTCTTCTTGGTGTTTCACTTGTCTATCGCCGCTCTTCAGCGAATCTCTTTTTTTCTTGTGGACATGGGATTTCTACTCTTTCATACATATCATGTATACCAAATTGTGACGGAATGATCAGAATGATCAAGAAGGAAATTAGATAGATAGAGAATTTGCAAAAAAATGCAAAAGAATCAAGACATTCTTGAGAGAAAATCCTTCTGTGTTGTGCATTATTCTCCTCTTAGTCTTTTTTACTACTAGTACTATCTATCTACACTGAGTTCCGCACCCGGAGTACGTACTCTGCTCTCCATGACGTTCCCCACATAGTAAACCCCGAAAACAACCAGTCCACAACATATTCCACAAGAGACGAGAGAAAAAAAACCAACAAAAAAATGATTGTATCTCACTTGTGTCACCTGCCCTTCAATAGCCTCAAGTAAGGCCCATCTTAATCTCACCAGCCCCCCATGATTTAACCAAACGGTGAAAGAAAGCAAGTTGATCAAATCAAGCCACGACCCGAAAACCCGGATACGAATCCGTACCTAGATCCTAGACCCTTGATCGCCGACTGGGGTGCGATGGAACGAAGTGCGAACTAGTGGTAGCGCCGAACTAAACTCGTTAGTAGTTCTTCCCCATCTTCGATCGATCCTGTGGCGCTGTGGCTATGCCCACCGGTTCCTGCAATCCCAAAAAAGTCGAAAGAGAAATAAGATGTCGGAATGTGGGGACGAGAACCACTAAAATACATATTGAAATTGGGAAAAATCTTTTTTTTTTTTTTTTTTTTTGCTTTTCCGAGATAAGCCACATATCGTGGTTTTGCGCCTCGATTTTGTGTGTTCCGACTCAACTTCCGAGGTACAATACCAGCCACTTTTGAGATTGGTTCGCATTATGCTTTTCGCTGACCATGGGTTGGGTGTTCCACTGTAATTACTATGGTACGAACGAACGAACTATACCACGATAGACCGCTTCGGCTTCGCGACATTGATCCTATTCGGATTTAGTTTTGGCCTGGCTCTTTCTTGCAGGGATTAAATTATAGAGTACCATAGAAGTCATTCCCACGGAAATAACCGACTCACAATAATAATATTAGGGTTCGGTTCAGCAGAGTGTCCGTGCGGATTGGAGCCGAGGCTTTAGAGTAGTAGGGCATTCAGCCAGCCCTCGGAAGCTTTTTTGTCAGACTGTTTTTTCTTCTAAAAATTTTGGCGCCCTTTTTTTTTTGTTCACGAGCCACACAGAAGGTTCTTCGAAGTCCGTGCGATTCGCGTGTCCTTTTGGCTCTTATGTGACATTGTTTTCTAGCGTGATCTAGCACGGAACGTTTTCGTGTCAACTAATCCGGAATAATAAGAATGTTTTCGTGCTATGTACTATACTGCTACTGTGCTTACTGACGGAGTATTCCGGTCAAGCCAACTTGATTTCGCGCAGGAGACCTGATATTATCTCTTTTGCAAATCAAGGACGGATCACGTCGACGAGAGCGATTGATGGTGTCACCTTTCCTGAGCATTGAATCTCATTAGCCTAGATTTGACATGCCGAGGCAACGGCCATGACATTACCATTGCGCTGGTTCTGGAGTAGAAGGACCTTGAACTTGATTGTGATCGACGTGGAGACAGGATAACTACTCCGTACGCTTCGTCTTAGTTGACAAGTTGACAGATTGATCTGCAGGAGATTGTCGATAGGACCTGTGGCTGTGCGTTCGATTAGGGGCTTTCTCGCGGATTACGCCGCTCTGCAGGAATCGATGCTTGGCGCGGACTGTCCGAAAACCAGAGATATGCAATATGAATGTTTTAGCTGCATTTGCTCAATCACCTAATATGATGTGCTGGAGAGAACAGGGATGGAGGTCTGTCCGCGAATCTCCGTGCTGGTCTAGTCTAACAGATGATCCTGGAGCAATAATAATGGGTTTCTTTCTTGATGTTGTCCCGTCTGCGGGGCACTTGGAAGAAAATGTACGCGCGGACGCGATAATAATCCATTCCATGCGGACCAACAAAGCTTCGCGTGACTGTTGCTGTCAGCTACTTAGCTTCATAGTATCATCCGAAATGCCCGTTGACCTGACAAGCAGTGCCAACTATCCAGATTCCACACGGTGTCACCTGCGCCAGGCGAGGACAGTTTGAGTATCAAGCCCATCATCGTCTTGGTTCCTACTTCCTAGCATGGCATCGTCGAAAAAAAAAATGACAAGTCTCAGTGATAGGGCTGACCTGGTAAGGCTTCTGATCCCTGTCTTCTTCTCCTCGGGCTTCAGCCGCAAGGACGACCGGGGTTCTTCGGCTTGGTCTTCAGACTAAGATGGTGATGGTTCCCAATCGTGCGGTTCCATCCGAATCGGCCCCTAATCGACGAAGTAACGGGGACCATGCAGCAGAGTATTCTCCGATTCTGAACAAGCCTCGTCTAACCAGCACCATTGTCTGCACTTACCTAATGCCGTCCAGGCTAACTACGAACTTGAATGATTTACAATCCAGACCAAGCTTTCCCCGCCGTGGTAAAGAGTTCAAGTCAGATAAGACTACCTTTTGGTCTATGCGTTCTATCGGACCAATCGACTCCTGCCATAACCGAGACGCGAGCTCAAACTATTGACCACTAGACACCAAATCAAATCTTGTCCTTGTCAACATAGAACGATCGTCACTGTCCAGGTCCAACCTCTCGGTTTGACAGCTGTCAGGATCCGCTTATGTGAGAAACTGACGGCGCATGTCCCATCTTCCAATAGACCGGATACTGATCTGTGGCTAAGCTGAGCTGCTGAGCAAGGCACATGATAACAAAGCAAAGAGCCATTGCCATCTGTTGGCCCGGGTGTCCTCCGTTAAAATATCTAGCATCATTTGTTCTTTTCAGGCGGTATCTGCGCGTTCCCCTGAGCAAGTATCAGTCAGCCGGGATGTCGTCATGAAAGCAAGGCCCACCACTCACTCAATTAATGATGATAATACCTAGTTACGCGACCAGCAGACTGACAAATTCATCGATCCTGTTTTCGACATGTGGAAGCAGTCCGTCAAGCCCCGCGGTCTTCCTTCTCGCATGCCCCATTCCCTTCTTCCCTGAAACTTGTTGGATCCGACAGAAGTTGCCAGTTAGACAGTTCAAGTATTCCGTACAAGCCCTCAGCCTTGTGAAATGCGTCGACTCCGCGCTGTCTCTTGTTTCACCCTTGAGATATGCGCTACTGCTCTCAGGTTTGGCCATGGCACCAAGCAAGTCCAGCCAGGACACTCATAGATGTGGTTATATTCCATAGACCAGGCAATTCACATGGAGCTTTGAGGTTGTAGTATCTCACTGAAGCTCATTGTGTGTTACATCACTTGAAAGCCCCTCGTCTACGTGCAAAGTAGTCATCACAGATTGGTATTCTCCTTGCTTGTACTGTATATCTACTGTCCTAGCACATTCACTTTCCCGCTCCTGGAGTCCTCCATGTTTGTTGACGCTACAGGAAGCCGAAAAATATCGCCAAAGCTAGGAGTCTATAGGTCTAAGTCGGATCCCCTTTGAAGGTCTAGCACAAGGTTCCTTTCCGATGAGTGTCACATAGGTGTTCAGCTAGTAATACCACAGGCTGTCGCTCTCAGCGTAGCACAAATTTAGTCATCATCATAGTTCTCAAGGTACTTTGGGCTACGGCTGCTCGCGTTCTTTTCAAGTCGCTGGCACTCATCTTGTGAGGTGCTTGCATGATACGCTTGGTGTCTATCTAGTGGCCTAATCAGGTATATATGCATACTTGCAATTTATCTAATGTGTGATTTGGCATAGCCGTCATTATATATATATCAAACAACAGCATGGCTTACTCAATATCACATATTAGGTAGGTATTATGTCTAATCATTTAGCACGGAAGCAAGGTCTGACCTGAAAAACTAGAATCGCTTGTTTACGTTTAGATCTAGAGGAGAGTTGAACCCATATTTATCTCTAAAGGTATACAAAGGATCTAGAGTAATCAAGTAATCTAGCAGGTTCTACGATTCAAAGACAGATCACCTGGCGTTCGCTTTATGCGCTGACATATTTTTATCAACGCAACCACAAAGATTATACGCCAAAAACGACATGAAAGAAAAAAAGTCACGGACCCAAAAAAGCTCACACCCTTCACAACTCTCCTTTATATCAGAGAGCTGTAAAGGATGCTACGAAAAGCCCACCATGCTTTTGGCAGGCAGGATTTTGCATTCTGCGAATCTGCGGATTTTACGACGGTCCTCGGTGATTAGAAGGAAGGGATGAACCTATTCTAATTACCTCGCGTCAACCGACTGATTCGAACAGGGGGCCTTTGTGGTACCAGTAGCTAGAGCAGAGGATCTAACCACTGAGCCATCAAGGCTCCCTGTTGTTGTGGTGAACCTTTGTTTGTTATATATGTGGCGTGGGTGAATGGGAGAGAGCCCTGGGTGAGCTGGCTTTGATAGGCTGCAGGGGTTGCGTCCCGGGGGATAGCTCCGCTTTGTTTGATACTGTTGGAAACAAAGAAAGTGAAATCGTATAATGCTCGATGGAGGATATTATCATTAAGTGGGCCTCTAGAACGAGCGTTGTTGGGTTTCATAGCAAAATGAAGCCCTCAATGGTACTGCCGTTGATTGAGAGACGCAGGTGAATAACTTTTGCGCTCGTGCTAATTCATTTTCTGTGTCGTTTATCATAGCAACTATAGGTATTACCTGAAGGATATAATTGTATCCGCAAGGCTGGTCAGTCTCCGTATCTGCGGCGCGCACGTCCGTTTGGCGACTTGCCTTGAATAGGTATACAAAGGAACAGTGGATTCCACGACAGGAAAGATGCTATGATTTTGATCAAACAAAAGAATACATTTCATCAAAGAGTCACAAAGGACAGCAGTCTAGCATCTCGCGCAAAGAATCAAGTGGATGTACGAGTTAAGAAGCTCCAGTACAATGGAACATTTACTCATCCAGGTAAATAATCGTCCTCGTGCCTCAGAACACCACTTCTTCCAAGAGACAGTCAAAGGTTATTCCACGGCAGATTAGATTCGGATAATACTTATTTCTCCAGATCTATTACCCCAGGTTTATTATAGCCAATGCAGGCTTAGAATATCGTGCATTTATTTTGTTCCCACGATGAGCCATCCCATTGGAGGGATTTTCAAGCATCACGAGCTTCCCCCGCATTCTCCCTTGCAGAATTCAAGAAAACGGCACGCATTCATTAAGCAACTAATCGACTGCAGTATTTAGCCACGAATCTTTTTGAACTTCTTTTACAACCCCAGTGGTCCTGTACTACTGTTCTGAAAAGTGGAGACCCCTTCAATATAGGCTAATTTGAAGAAGATATGATCAGCATTACTCGGACGATAGGAGACAGTAGCGCGTTATTGTCTCAAGGCACATAAAAACCCGCCGTGGACCATGGAGTTCCTATCTAATAATCTGCACTGCGCGCTGTATGGCTAGCGGTTCGTACCATCCGCGGGAGCCATGATGTTGTCAAAGCTCGGTATTCTTGCATGCCTCTTGGGTGCTGCCGTCGGATACCCCAATGGCTCTCGTGGGAATACAAGTACGCTAGCTACCAATGCCAAGACATCACTCACTCTTCTGTATCAGAATAACCTGAATGCTTCTGATGATGTTAATCATGTTGGGGCAATCCTGCTTGATCCTATGAGCAAAGAGCAAGCGACGGATGGATGTGCGGCTGTTGGCGAGTCGCTGTTATCTCGAAGCACTCTACAGGAGCATCAGGATGACTTTGTCAATACTTTATCCTATCTAGAGTATTCTGGAAGGAGTGTTCCTAGCCAGAGGTATTGGATTAAAGAGGGTGCTGTCTCAGTGGAAGAAGGCGTTTCTCATTTGACGTTCTCTGAATCCTCCCCAGATGCTGCCGAGCTGCCTGTACTATGTACACAGTCAAGCAACGAAAATAGTACCACAGGAGGTGCTACGACATCAAATGAAATCCAGATCACTTCAAGCGGAAACACATACATTGGATATCGCAACCAGAAGTCATTTCGCTTCCTAGGCATCCCATACGCCGATCCACCTGAGAGGTTCACTTATCCAAAGCTCTATTCAAAGAAATCTCAGACCATCCAGACCACATCCTACGGATCGCAATGCGCACAAGTGGGCAGCGGAAGCGAAGACTGTCTCTTCCTGAACATCATGACGCCTTACATCCCTAGAGCCAACTCGAAGGAAACGCTGAAGCCCGTCCTGTTCTGGATCCATGGAGGTGGTTTCACAAGTGGTTCAGGGGCAGATCCCGAAACGGACGGAGGCAATTTGGCCTCTCGCGAGGATATTGTTGTTGTTACGATCAACTATCGTTTATCCACGTTGGGATTCCTTGCTATTCCGGGGGCGGGAATCAAGGGGAATTATGGAATCGCTGATCAAATTACGGCATTGCAGGCAAGCCGTATTAAATTTCTTTTATGCTATCGGAACAACAGCTAACAAAGTATATCTATAGTGGACTATCCATAATATTGCCCAATTCGGTGGAGATCCCAATCAGATTACCATTATCGGCGAATCTGCAGGAGCAGGCTCAGTTCGCGTCCTGCTTGGATCCCCCCCAGCCCTGGGAAAGTTCCAGGGAGCCATTGCCATGTCCAACCTTGGCGGCGGTGTTGATCTCGGTTTGACAGGAGACTACGCGACAACATATAGCTCCTACTTGACAATAGCAGAATCCTACACTGCCGCTGGAGAACAGATCTTCTCAGGTGCTGGGTGCAACCAGACCGATCTCACAGCACAGATCGAATGTCTGAAACAAGTTCCAGCCCTATCCCTTGTCGGACTCTCCACCGTCGCGAGATACGTTGTCCAGGACGGCCATTATGTGAATACAGAAGAACTCGACCTCGTCAACAGGAACGGTAGCACCGCCCATGTCCCCGTTATATTCGGCAACTGCGCCAACGACGGCGCATCCTTTTCAACATACCCCCAAACACCCATCAGCTCTGAAGTAGAAGGCATCGCCACCTCTCTAAGCATCAGCACCTCCTATGCCCAAAGCATCATTGACTCTGGCCTCTTCCCCTACTACGACACCGGCAACATCACCCTCGACTCCTTCAACGTCTCCCAACGCATCGCAACAGATAACCAATTCCGCTGCATCGACCAAGCCACCGTCTACGCGGGCATGAAATCCGGCGTCTTCCCATCCTCCTCTACATATTACTATCAAATGGAACGTACATTTGGTGGCTACGACCCCAATAACCTCGGCGGACCCCCATCTACACCAGAATACCCATACGGAGATCCGAACCTGCCTTATTTCCGTCTGCACGGGTCCGACCTCCCATGGGTATTTGGCACGTTGACCACTCTTCGAGACGCAGATGATCTGTCCTCGATGCAGTTGACATCAGGCTACTTTGCGGAATTCGTCAAGTCAGGCCAACCGAATCCGAAGGAGGATTATCTCAAGGTACGAGGGTATGTGAATACCTTGGATGCTGTGAGGGAGACGGGACCATGGAATCCAGTTGAAGGGAGTGAGGGACCGATACGACTGATGGATTATCCGAGTCGGCAGGCGGGGTTTCAGGATTTGGAGCAGTGTCGGTTTTTGAAGTATCCGATTACGTATTATTTGGATGGTGGGAAGTAATGGTTTCTATGTAATTATTGCTTGTGTAGGAGAAGAGAAGATGGCTAAAGCTGGGACATATATATACGAATGTTACGTTACCATCCTACCAGCAGAGGCTTTACATATACATCAACAACCTGCGCTGCTCCAGAGAATGCATGCAGTATATCTATCAATATGTGAAAATGACATGATAACGAGTCAGTGGACTAGTGGTTAAGGACTGCGGGCCCTCTCCCTCGAGAGCGATGTATTTGTAGTGCACAGTTCGATGTTATTGAAGAAGTCAGGTGCCTGAGACCGTGACTACTTCAACAAGGAGATATATGCCTATTACGTATAGTATACTAATAAGAACTACATACACTGTTCTGGTGAGTATAAATCTAGTCCGAATGCAGCTGATGTCCCGAACTCTGTTTAATTTTATTTTCTCTTCACATATACATAATCCATCTATGCTTTTTCGGAAGAGCACCTGGTACGAAGATACCTGCGTCACACATATAAATTCTTCATGCATCAAATAATGAACTTAGAGGAGTCCCTTGAGCACATCAATCTGCTCCCTCACAGCACGCTTGCTGCAGCCACCAATGGCATCCTTCAGCTCAACAGCACGGTCATAGTCAAGACAGGCCATGACGTCCTCGTCAAACCGAGCATCGATCCCCTTCAACTGCTCCAAGGTCAGAGTGTCCATGGGGACATTGTTTTTCTCGGCCAGCGCGACCACACGGCCGGAGATGTGGTGACCCTCGCGGAAAGGCACGCCCTTTCGGACGAGGTAGTCAGCAAACTCGGTGGCGAGCATTTCAGGTGCCAGAGCAGCGATCATCTTCTCTGGGATCGTGGTCAGAGTGGATAGGACACCGGTAGCGATCTGGATGCTATCGGCGACAGTCTTGATGTGGTCGAGAAGAGGCTCCACGCTCTCCTGGAGATCCTTGTTGTATGTGGTGGGCAGACCCTTGATGGTCATCATGAGACCGGCCATGTGGCCAAAGGCACGGCCAGCCTTGCCTCGCAAAAGTTCGAGACTGTCTATGCACGGAGTTAGCTTTCAGTTTGATGAAATAAATTTAAAAAAGAAAAGAAAAGGCTCCCCAAAAAAGATGACTCACCTGCGTTCTTCTTCTGAGGCATCAAGGACGAGCCCGTCGAGTACGCATCTGCCAGACGGACGAAACCGAACTCGAGACTACTGTAGATGATAAGATCCTCCGCCCAGCGAGAGATCTTCAGCATGAACGAACTACCCCACTGCATCGTCTCCATGGCAAAGTCACGGTCCCCAACGGCGTTCATCGAGTTGTACAGCAAGCCCTCGAAGCCCAATTCCTTGGCCATCGCCTCACGGTCAATGTGGAAAGGGTTTCCAGCCAAGGCACCCGTGCCCAGAGGGCTGCGGTTAACACGCTTGGTGACCTCACGGAGACGCTGCAGTTCGGATGCGAATGCAGTGGCGTGGGACAGCAGCCAGTGGCTCCATCGAACAGGCTGAGCTTTCTGCAGGTGAGTGTAACCAGGCATGATGTAGTCGATTTCCTTCTCTGCACGGGCAATGGCGACCTTGATCAGGTCAGACAGGTAGCCGTCCAGCTTGCGGAGCTCATCACGGAGCCAGAGTCTCATGTCTGTCGCAATCTGTTCGTTCCTGGACCGTCCCGTGTGCAGCTTTCCTCCAATTTCCTTCCCGATGATCTCGCTCAGCCTCCGCTCGTTCGCGGTGTGGATATCCTCGTCATTCTCCTTGACGACGAAGGTATTTGTCCGCCATTCCTCTGCGATCTGCTTGAAGCCGCGCTCAATCTCGGCGAATTCGTGCTGGGTGAGGATGCCGGTCTTGCTGTTCGCTCTGGCGAAAGCGATCGATCCAGCAATATCCTGGCTCCAAAGGATCCGGTCGTAGGGCAGAGACTGGTTGTACTGGACCATGAGAGGGTCGAGTCCCTCTAGATTTGTCGGGTTAGCTTCAGTGACTCACACGGTCGGGGAAACAGCAATTGAGTGACCATGACTGACGAGTGAATCGACCCCCCCAAAGCATATTCTCCGCGACCGCTTTCTGTCCGCTCATGATGTCGGTAGGGCTGGTGGATGGTGAGGTAGCGAGATACTCCTATGTATGACACTTTTCTGCGGGGAGCGAGATCGGTGACAAAAAGATAGCGGATGATAGTGATGGCACTAGTCCACATTAGGGCTACTCTCTCCAGACACTCTACGACTCACTTGATAACTACTAGGTACTCTATACACATACAAGACAAGGCCGTTTTCTGCAAAAAGCTTGCTATAGTACGATGAAAGTATACCATGCTCAATTATTTCACTTTCTCCATCTGACTCGCCGCTGACCATGACTCAGCATCATGTCGGTCAACTGAACTTAGACCAGGCACCTTTCCCAGAAGTGAATAACACCTCCCTACAACAACAACAAACACTCTTCTCCTCGCGCAAAAGACCACTGAAATAAAATCCATCCAATAACCCTTCTTCTTCAATTTCAGAGTAACAACATCATGGACCCTTTCAACCGTCTCCCCTGGTTCGCGCTCCGCTATCTCCTCTCCCATCTCCCCGATCTACCTACACTACACACACTCTCCATAGCATCACCCACCATAGCAACCTTCCTCCAAGAAGACAATTCATTCTCCGAAATCGTCGAGAACATAATATCGAACCCAACACGAGAGAAAGGTCTCTATCAACCCGTCAGGACCATAATCAGGACATTAACCCTCATCTGGTGGCGGAAACATACCTATCATTCTTCAGAAGATGATGATCATCATCATCATCATCAAAACCCACTAACTAGATCCTACACTGAACTTATTCGCTCTCTAATACACAATCCGGACTACAAGCCGAAATACCCCTTCGGCTGCATGAGACCTCTACCGAGATACATACCATATGTTATTCTCTATCGACTTCTCGAGTTCAGTACGAAGATCCGCCGAATCACACATGCTTTCTTCCACGCGATGATCAAGAATTGCATGGATCTCACTACGCTAGAGCATTTACCAAGGGGTAAAAGATATCATTGTGATGAAATCGGGCTTGATCGCTCGAAACGCCCGGTTGGAAAACCATTTAAGCCATACGATCTTGGAGCTCCGACATGGTTTGAAGAACAGCGCATACTTTATGCGGTGTTGCGGGTTGTTCTATTTTTTGAACTTCGCGATGCGATCGGTAGTGTTCCTGGCTTTTTCTCCGAGATGGGCGTTGGAGCGTGTTGGGTCTCGCCGGGGGCTAATAATATTCTGAAGTTCTGGAAGAGTGAAGTAATCAATGATATGATTCTGGTGGAGCAATTACGGACTTCTATATCGTGGTTGGCAACAGAGGCTGGTGGGAGAGATAAGATCGAGTCGTGGATGCTTTCCTCCTCCTCCTCTTCTTCTTCTGTTTCTCTTCCAGATAACCTGAGCTATTGCTGTCCCAAATTCAGACCGGTGAAAGAACAGCGATGGACAAGTTTTGGGAAAAATGCAATCTGGCTTCTCTATCCTCGCGGTTATGATTGTATATCTGATTGTGGACGTAGTCCAAACAGCCCGTTGAGAGGTGTAGACTCCTCGTACTACCGACGCTTTGGTGTGGTCTTTTGGGACTCGGCTAGGCTGAATGCTCTGGGTTTAGTGGGACGTCGTCGGAATGTGGAGGCGATGTGGTTTGCTTGGTCGTCTGTTCTAAACGAGTCTGATTGGGAGCTCCTTGGTAGATATAGATAGAATCGAGGCGCTTTCGTGGATGGCGGCTACACATAAGGTAATTAATTGGAAGTGAAAGTATTCATGAAGGGAAAAAAGGAAATTGATTCTCTATAAGGCTTCCTCAAAAGAGGATAGGATTAGCTGCAGTAGATTGCTAACTGCCTAGATCAAAACATTCACTGTCGGGACAAATGAGAGGATATGAAGGGTATAACCTGATTTTGCAAGGAAATCGACGCCCCAACTAAATGCCGCAAATCACGCACCCAAACTGAAGAAACAGCACGATTACCTGCCATGATCGACTCGGGTGTACCAGAGTGTCCCGCCGCCAAACCACCTCAAATGGTCTTAAGTCATCGATGACTGTTGTGCACGAGTCAGAGAACAACTCTTATAAAACAGACAGGACTCCGGAGCCCAAGGATTACAGTAGCTCCAGAGAACGGCAATCACGGATTAAAAAAAGAAAAAGAAAAGAACCAAAAAGAGAACCGCGCGCCAATTGAGATTCATGAACCATAGTGAAGGGTATTCAGGTCCTTTTTCCTTTGCCTCCTCTCCAACCATACCAAAATCGTCAGCATCGTCGTCGTAATATTCGTCACCTCCTTCCATCAATCCGTTGATGTGAGAGCCATAAACACCTTTAGCCGGGCAACTTGAACAGAGAAAAGTCCTACGCGCTGATACCGGGTCCTGCTGCCGCGCTCCATCTGAGCCGCTTCAGCCCACCTTTGACGGCCTCTCTGCCACAGTTAGACGCTCCAGAGCCTGACAAGGCGCCCGCGCCGCCGTCGCCCATCCAAGACCCCTCAGTCCGGCCGACCTCACGGCCAAGAGCATAACCGGCGGAGAAACTGATGGCGGAGAAAAGAACGACGACTCCTGCACTGATGACCCAAGTCACGAGAGTAGGGCTGACATTGGAAACCGAATCCGTGAGATTAGCGCGGCGAGACTTCTTTGATGGGGAAGCGTGGGCAGATGAACGATCCTTGGAGCTCGTTCTCCGCTTTTGCTTCGGGGCTGAAGAAGAGGCATTCGATGATCCCCCCGGAGCGGATCCAGGGCTCTTCTCCAGACGACTGGGCCCAGCAGTCTGATCTTCTGTAGATGGACCAGAAGCACGCGGTTCTTCCGCACTGCTATCCTCGCCCATTGCCACCGACTCCGGGACTAGACGGAAGGTAGAGGGCTGGGCTGCGGCGGGACTACGCTCGTGCGGTTGAGTGTCATTCTTTGGCAGACCCCGCGCTGCTGTGGCATAAGACAGCAGAGTGGATAGACTGGCACGCAACGCAGCGTCGTGGTCGGCCTGGTACGAAGGTGAAATCATGTTGTAAGGGCTGTGCTGATGCTGCTGTCTCCGTGCTGTACGCGTGCTGGAGTACGAATTGTGCCTCGTTGCGGTGCGCCTGCTCGAGCTGGAGATTACGGTTGGACTGGGGAGAGGCACATCCGCTGGCCTGGTCCTGGAAGACGTCTGGGAAACGGGAGGGTGGGTGAACGCATTGGGCTGGGGCACGAACGGCGACGAGCTGACTCGCATTCCCAGGGCAGTGGAATTATCATCATCGTCGTCTTCATCACTGGACGGGGCTGCATCTGAAGCAGTCGGACCAGCTCGCAGGAACAACGGTTCGCGAGGCTGTGCGGTGATGTCCTCGTTGGAACTGGTCATAACCCGGTCCGACTCACTCGAGCTCTCTTCATATTCATCCTGGCTGCTGCTGGCACCACTGGGCTCTCTGGAATAGTGGAGAGGCGGCGCAGTGGCGGCAGCGAGCTGTTCGAGACGCCGGCGTCGACTACGGTGGTTGTGCGGGTTGGGCTGTGGACCCTCGACGCGCAGACCGGTGGTGACGATATCGTCGTTGGTGGCAGCCGAAGAGAGAGATGAGGACGATGGCTGGGATGAGACCTCGATCCAGGAGTCTAGATAATGGCGCAGTGAGTACATGGTTACTGAGTGAGAGCAGGGGTTGTTGCAGGCGTGCGAGGAACGCCGTTCAGGGATTGTTGTTAATGTATAACGGGATATAGTATGTACAAGAGCGCGAGGCATCGGTTACAATGAGTACACATCAAGGATCCAGAAGGAAAAGCAGTCTCAACGGGGCAAGGAGTGCTGGTTTTGGACACGGAGAGGCTGAATACACACCTTCTGATCTGGTGGCCTGGTTACGTGACCGCATGGCTGGTTCTCGAGATGGCTGATGGGCGTCTCGCGTCATCTGCATCGCGGGTCTGGAGTCGGGCGTGCCCTCGCGGACGTGACCCAGGAGAGGATAGTGATTTGGTTGCATCTCTGGCGCAGACAGGCGATGGAGAGGCCCCCCGTTATAAAGGATGAACAGCCAGGAGGGTCTCAACGCATGTGCTCCGTAGTCGGACGACACTCGATCACCACGATCCGGCACGAGCTGGCGGTCAAGGGGGGGGAAGTAGTTTACGAACGGTCGTTGGGGTTTGGTGGGGCCGGGTGGGAACCAGCAGCGATCTGATACTCAAGAGTACGATCTTATCTTCGAGGAGGGGCAAATGGATCAGGGGGAAGCAGTTGAGATACGAAGACGGCGTTGTTGGACGCAGCGGGAGACGTGCATCTCCCCTGGGGAAGTGAACAGAAAGAGGGAGAGAGAGAGAGAGAGAGATCATAGATACAAAGAAGTGATGAGTGATGCCTTGCCGACGAACCCGTGACTGCCTGACTGAGGCTAAACGCGGCAGCTGAGTTGGTCAACACATCACTAACTGGGCGGGGTTGAGCAGTCACTTCGTACTATATACTCGAGTGGGCGATCCATAGATCATTGTCCGCTGGATAATGGACTGACCTGATCCAGTCTTACTGGTTCTGTAAACTAACAACTGAATCAACTCCAGTAGTAACATAGATACTACTACAGTAGTTACTACTGTTATCTGACCTAAGTATGGTACGTGCTCACGAGCGGAGAGGGGTCCGTGCGGATCATCAAAGTTCCCCTCCGGTTCCTACACAATAATGTACCCTACGAATATGTTCTAGTACAACTAAACCACGCTACACAGGATGATCCAGACGGAAAGGCAAGAGATGAACCATGGATAGTCTTCACATTCATATTGAGAGAAATTACGATCGTACACGGAGACAGAAATACAGAGACTTTTGAGGGGTTCCAGATACCCGACCCAGAATGAGAACAACCTCAGCGAGATAGAACAGGAAACCCAGCATAACGGACGCCCGGGGAATAAATACCTACCTTAGCCGTTTATACAGAATGCAGCCCTCTAGAAGGTGGTCTTCTTGCCCTGGAACTCACCAACACCGCCACGGTTGGTGCTGTTGGCACCGGTACCGGGGCCCCGGCCACCACCAAAGCCACCACGGCCTCCACGGCCACCGCGGCCACCGCGACCGCCACGACCGCCGAAACCGCCACGGCCACCACCACGGCCAGAGTCTCCGTTGTTCTGGCGAGGAGTGCTGAAGTCCAGACGCATGCTGCGGCCTTCGAGCTCAGCGCCCTGCAGGTTGTTGAGCGCAGCGCGGGCCTCGTCAACGGACGAGAACTGGATGTAACCGAAGCCCTTGGGACGGCCCGACTCAGGGTCGGTGGGCAGACGGATGCCAAGGATGCTTCCCTGCTCGGCGAAGGTCTGGTTGATGGCGTCTTCGCTGGCGCTGAAGGGGAGGTTGCCGATGAAGAGAGTGTCACTCTCGGGGCTGGTCTGGTCACCGAAAGAACGGGCACGAGCCTGGGCGCGGTCTCTCTGGCCACCCTCGTTGTTGGCAGGGCGAGCATTGGCGTAGTCGAGGTTGATCTTGCGGCCATCGACCTCAGCACCCTTCTTGGCCTCGTAGGCCTTGACGGCGTCGGCCACGTTGACGAACTCAACGTATCCGAAACTGCAGCAAGTTAGCTTAGCCCGGAATCTGCTAACAGTATATAACAGCAAGAGAAACTCACCCTCGGGAACGACCAGTGTCACGCTCAGTCACAATACGGACACCAGAAAGCTCGCCAAATCCGTCAAACTCCTGGCGGAGCCACTCCTCGTCGACGTTCCAGGACAGGTTTCCGACAAAGAGGTTGGCACTCGCGCCGGGGATCTCCTGGGTCTTCGACTTCTTTGCAGCAGGAGCCTCCTGCTCGTCCGCCTTGCGCTTCTTGGGCGACTCCTTGGGCGACTCCTTGGCAGACTCTTCAGTCTCCTCGGAATCAGAGTCAGAGTCAGAGTCAGACTCGGAATCGGAACCAGAGCCGGACTTGTCGGAAGAATCAGACTCCTCACTCTCAGAGGAAGAGTCATCCTGGGATAGTTAGCCAATGTAATATGGCATGATCAAGCGTCGTAACATACCTTCTTCGCGCCGTTGGCCTTCTTGGCAGGCTCGGCCTTCTTGGCCTTAGCAGGAGCCTCGTCCTCACTCTCAGAGGACTCAGAGTCAGACTCAGCCTCGGACTCCGACTCAGACTCAGACTCAGAGTCGTCGCTGTCACTGCTCTCCTTCTTGGGTTCAGCCTTCTTTGGCTCAGCCTTCTTCTTGGTCTCGGTCTTCTTGGGGGCCTCCTCTTCGGAGGACTCCTCAGACTCGGATTCAGAGGAAGACTCAGCAGGCTTAGCCGCTGGCTTGGCAGCCTTCTTGGTCTCCTTCTTGGCAGGCTTCTCGTCTTCGCTCTCGCTCTCGCTCTCGCTGCTGGAGGAGCTGGCGTTCTTCATCTCCTCATCGCTGTCAGACTCCGAGTCGGAGCTGCTAGGGGTGGGAGCCTTCTTCTTGTTCTTCTTGGAAGCCTTCTCCTCCTTGGCAGCGAGCTGGCGAGCGATCTCCTTGCCCTTGGCCTTGGGAGTCTGCGACGCCTTGGTGACACCGGCGTCCTTGACCTTGGTCAAAGTCTTCTCGGTCTTGTCAGCGCCCTTGGCGACCTTGGTAGCCTTGGTCTTCGACATTTTGATTCTATACACACTCGAAGTTAGCATTGAGATTGGTGAAGGAAACTCGAATAGACATACCGATATCCCGCGTGTGACGAGAGATTTAACAGATGGTCTGGAACGAGAAGTGTGAACTTCTCGATGTGCGGCAGAGCCTACTTTCCCACAACACCCGATTTGAAGAAACTAACAAAGCCCTCGAAAAGAATCACTAGTAGTGATCTGATCACAGCCAACAACAGGTCTCACAGGAAGTAGAACTTCTAGAGACTGCAAGTGCAAATACCCACAAGTAAACCCACAACGGACAATGTTCAAGCCCACAGAGACGGACAGGTATGCAACCCACTATTTATGAAGCCCACGAGAAAGCGTCCCACAGAATAGAAGTGCAGTATCCCACAGCCCACAGTGTTATCAGCCCACAGATGTCAAGTTGCAGAGTACTGCAAAGTACGCCCACGCTGCTGTGTCAGTTACAAAAGAATCAAAGACTAGTAGTCAGTGATTCGACAGGGGATTCTTGAAGGTGATTCTTCAAGAATAGGATCTGTAATCAAAGTGTTGATGGGGGTTGAAAAAGGTAGAGAGGAAAAGAGAAAAAAATCTGGGAGGAGAGCTCTGATAAGAAAAAAAAAAAGTCTAGCGGCTGGAGCTACAGGAAATTTTCTCACCGCCTGCCCAGTCTAGACTGCATCGAGCGTTAGTACGGGTGGATTCCAGGAAAATCAGGCATCATTGGCTTAACAGTGGCAGATTGGAGTGACTTGTGGGTACCTCGACTGCCGCGGCGACACATCGCGATCTGCGCGTACTCGCGGGTACCTTTTCACCCTCACTTGTTAGCTGTTGGCTGTTAAGCTGTTAGCCGTTAGCTCTGTACACGATAATCAATACCCGCTCTTTTGCTGCCCACGGCGTCTTCCGGGGTTGTCTATCTATGGGCAAATACCTAGCAGAACAATCCATGGAAACGAATTGATACATCATCTAGCTCACATCTCACAATGGCGAATCCTTCTACGCCTTCGTCCCACCGGCCACGGAAGAAGAGAAATGTGTTCACTACATCACCCACCTCGAACAATGACCTCGTCCAGGACCCGAGCAGCAGCCATCCATCCCCCGCCTTTCCGCTGGTTTCCTTTCTATGGGGTGCTCGTGCAGGAGTTTCACAATGGCTCATTCTGCCTTTGATCCTCATGACTGTGGGTTTGTTCCGGTGGGCAGTGAGCTTGTGGGGATATTCTGGTCAGTTGCAACAATCAGATGCGGCACGAGGAGAGTCTCAAGCTAATTATATGTCCTTTAGGATTCCAAGCACCTCCGATGTACGGTGATTTCGAGGCGCAGCGGCACTGGATGGAATTGACGATTCATCTTCCGACATCGATGTGGTACCTATATGACCTCCAGTACTGGGGCTTGGATTATCCTCCATTGACTGCGTATCACAGCTGGCTACTGGGTAAAGTGTATGTCCTCATCTACCTCAGCTGGCTCAACAAGATTCACTGACCTTTAAGTGGCTCCCTCTTCGATCCAGCATGGTTTGCACTCGACAAGTCCCGCGGCTTCGAGGACCCATCGTTGAAGGTCTATATGCGTGCTACGGTGGTTGTCTCCGAATATCTCGTCTACATCCCGGCCGTTGTCATCTTCCTTCGTCGCTACAGCCGCATGCAGGGAGTGCACGCATGGTCAGCGTCGACTGCGCTCGTGGCCGTTTTGATGCAACCGTCTACCATTCTGATTGACCACGGTCATTTCCAATATAACACCGTCATGTTGGGACTGGTGGTTGCCAGTCTGTCAAGTATCCTTGCCGGACGCTCTCTGTGGGCATGCATTTTCTTTGTAGGCGCACTTACTTTTAAACAGATGGCACTCTACTATGCGCCAATCATGTTTTGCTTTTTGTTGGGATCCTGCATATTCCCCCGGATCAGGATCGTGCGGCTCATCTCTATTGCGGTGGTCACTCTGGCTACTTTTCTCATCATATTCGCGCCGCTAATCGCTGGTGCCCTTTATGATAAGCATCGTGGAATCCCAATTGCCGCACCTGTGCCCTCGTTTTTGCAGTCACTGGACGAGGATTCGTGGATCTATCCTCCGCTTTTCCAGCTTGCTCAAGCAGTTCATCGCATCTTTCCCTTCGCTCGAGGTCTCTTTGAAGACAAAGTCGCCAACGCCTGGTGTGCAGTCCACACCTTTTACAAACTCAACCGCTTCCCTACCACAGTCCTCCAGAAGGTCTCTCTCGGTGCCACGTCAGCCTCCATCTTCATCCCTTGTGTTATTATTCTGCGCCATCCTCGACCCTCGCTTCTCCTTCCAGCGCTTTCCAGCTGTGCGTGGGGTTTCTTCCTATTCTCCTTCCAAGTGCACGAGAAGAGCGTGCTGCTACCGCTTCTCCCGATGACCTTGTTGCTTGGAGGTGAAGGTGGTCTCAGCAAGGAGACTCGGGCCTGGGTTGGCTGGGCGAACTGTCTTGGGGCGTGGACTATGTTCCCTCTACTTAAGCGGGAACAATTGCGCATCCCGTACTTTGTCATCACTCTCCTCTGGGCATATCTGCTGGGTCTGCCACCCACTTCGCTAGATATCTTCCGCAACCACCCTCAAACCAACGCTGCAACGCCCCGTGCCAACCTCCATATCATCACAAAACTCCTACACTTCTCCTTCTACTCTGCCATGATTGCTTGGCATATCCTTGAAGCCTTTGTCACACCTCCGCCCGAAAAGCCTGACTTGTGGGTGGTGCTGAATGTTTTGATCGGTGCCAGTGGTTTCGGTATTGCCTACCTCTGGTGCACGTGGAAACTGATTGCACAGAGCTCGAAACTAAGCCCAAAAGCATCGGACGAAGAGATCAAGAAGAAGAGACAATAGACGCCGTTAAGTTCTCTTTGTGGAAGCCTTAACTTTCCTTTTTTTTCGGGCGTCCTCACAACTCAAAACTCTTTCACTTCTTGTACAGATACCCTTTTTTCCCTGTATTTCAGCTTGAACACATTTTATTATTACCATTTTATTCCATCCATGTAATCAATACTTCATTGTCCTACTCATTCCGTCTGATGTCATGATCCTATCCAGTATTTCTACATCGCTGCAGTGATCACGAATATCTTGCCATCATATAGACCTATCAGCAACAATCAAAAACAGAATAAAAATAAAAAAGACCAAATATTTAAGAGATGAGTTTCATTATACATGCGACATGACCACACTCAACATGCAGCCCGTCATCAATAGTCTAAATAAAGGATATGACCAATCCAGCCAGCATGTCGAAAGGCATAATGGCGCGGTGCGAGTAGTGTAGTGTACATATTTATTTAATGCCAATTGCTCCCCCCCTCCCAATGCAAGACGAAGTCCAACGCCCAGTGTGAAAACCAATCTTAAATATCAGATCTTAGATCTTAAATCCATAACCAGCCATACAGCTCTTGTACTGCTCAACCAGGGGCTTGCAGTCGTTGTTGGCCGGATCGTCGGATTTCGAGAACAGCATGCAGTCGTCTCGGGAAGACTTCTCTTCCTTGCAGACACAGCAGGGCTAAAGCACAGAAGAAATACATTAGTATGAAATTCGAGAATAGAGAGTTCCGGTAACTGAACTGGCTTACCTTGGGCTTGCTGGCTGGTTCTGAGGCTTGGATGTTCACCGCATTAACGGGAGCAGGAGCAGACACTGCAGGAGCTATTCGAGGTAGATATGTTAGCGAGAAGTTGTCAGATCATTTGATATTGATGGTTATAATAGATTTCCAAATGGAAGAAAGCTGATCTGGATTGGCTCTTTCCTGAGTGGAGGGACTGCATGAAGATCTGTCTAGCTCAGACGCATTCGGAGGTTTGCGGAGCCATGCAGGAATTGAGAAGTTTTGAGAAAGAATCCTTACCGTTTGAAGAACCGAAGAGCCACGACATCTTGAAGCGCTTATAGATGGACGCTGAACGCAAGAATTGGGGAAATAACGAAGGTTTAGACGACGGTGGTTGTTTAGGGAATGGAAATATTCCTCTGGCTGATTAATTACTTATGGTATGGCGACATCCGGTGACTTCGGCGGCAGATGAGCGCCGAAGGTGCGCTCAAGGTCGCTGTGGTTCGCCGGAGCGGAGATCGCGCGGAGTGACTTAATACATTATTGTTATTTTCTTTTCAGGGGCGAAAGAGAGTCTAGTCACAACAAAACAAGGCTTCTTTCGGCTGTCTTCAAAGCCACTGGCTCCCACCCCGCTCTTCTAGAGATTCCTTCTTGGTCTCTTCACGGTTGTTTCTCCTTCAAAGGAATCTTTTAGCCGTATTTTCAAGTCGAAAAGGATTATCTTCGCACACAGATACCCCCACTACCCCGCCATGGCCCCTCCAAAGGTCTTCTCCCTCGAGGGCAAAGGACTCAAGCTCGATACTGCTGAGGATATTGAGGCGCATATCAAGCCTCTTCTCGAAAGCAACGACTTCACCGAAGTTCGCCTTGGCGGCAACACTTTCGGTGCCCCGGCCTGCGAGCGTTTGGCGCCTGCCTTGTCTGCGCAGAAGAATCTCGAAGTCGCCGACCTCGCCGACATTTTCACTTCGCGCCTCCTGTCCGAGATCCCACCTGCTCTGACCTCTCTTCTGAACGCTCTTCTCGAAATCAAGACCCTTCACACTGTCAACCTTTCCGACAATGCGTTCGGCCTCAACACCCAAGCGCCCCTTGTGGACTTCCTCTCACGCCACGTTCCTCTGCGCCATCTCATTCTGAACAACAATGGACTGGGCCCTGCTGCTGGAACATTGATCGCCGACGCGCTGACAAAGCTCGCAGAGCGCAAGGAGGCCGCGCGCAAGGAAGCTAAGGAAGGAACCGAGATTCCGCTGCTCGAGACTATTGTCTGTGGACGCAACCGACTCGAGAATGGCTCAATGGCCGCATGGGCGCGTGCCTATGAAGCTCACGCAAAGGGTATCCGTTCAGTGAAGATGACCCAGAACGGAATCAGACAGGAGGGTATCTCCTTGCTACTCAAGGATGGTCTGCGCCACACCAAAGCCATCGAGGTTTTGGATCTGCAGGACAATACCTTCACTGCTACCGGATCCAGTGCACTTGCAGAGGTTGTGACTGGCTGGCCTGCTCTGCGTGAGCTTGGTGTTGGTGACTGTTTGCTCTCTGCGCGAGGAGGTATCAAGGTTGCACAAGCCTTGGCCACAGGCAAGAATGACAAGATTGAAACGCTCCGCCTCCAGTATAACGACATCACTGCTGAAGGTGTCAAGCAGTTCCTACATGCCACGAAGACAGCACTCCCGGTGCTAAAGCGCATTGAGCTGAACGGAAACAAGTTCTTCGAGGATGATGGAAACATCGAGGAGCTGCGTGAGCTTTTGGAGGGACGTAAGGAGAAGCACGGTAAAGACGACGATCCTGAGGACATGTGGGGTATTGACGAACTGGATGAGCTGGAGGAGGACAGTGAGGAGGAAGTGGAGGAAGACGAGGACAAAGAACTCGAAGAGCACAAGGCCGCTAAGACGCTCAAAGAGACCGTCCAGTCTGAAGACGAGGATGTTCCCCAAGAAGATGACAAGGAGGTTGACAAGCTCGCGGAGACGCTTGGAAAGACCGGCCTGTAGACTTACGGTCCAGTGGCAATTTACTATATGCACACTTGACCCGTGCTCACCCAGACAAGGACGTCTGCGACTGCCATTCTCGCAAAATCGACTATTGCGATATGGAATGATCTTCGCGAGTCCCTGACACATGCACCCGGCCCGTCGGCTTGTCCAAGACGGTGTTCTCTCTGTCGTTTCCTGAAAAGCTTAAGAGAGCAAAAATCTATTTTCCTCGACTTCTGAGCAGTTTGAGAGGCTCCTTCGAGGGACATCTCTTATCTGTTGCCGTGCTGGTGATGTTGTGAAGCCTGAGGACCCGAATATTCTGATGCCCCGAGATGTTGGAAACCATACATAAAGCCAGCGTGAACCTGATTTCTGCCCACATTCCCCCGTCGCGATCTGCATGCGTACATAGAGTCAGTCGATTTGACTCGATATCATGCCTGAGACGGTTCCCCACGACTTGAACAGAACCCTCGAGATTCGTCTGCAAAAGACATCTGTGACTAGATATATAGCCAAACACATTTAGTCCTTTTATCAAAAAGCTGGTACCACAGTATGAGCCATATTTCTCGAGCAGAAAGCAACTCCCGCTCGAGAGACTGGTGTATGAGCGGGTTCAGTGCTAATATAGACGTAGCAGAGTCCCATACGTGTAAAGTAGCATCATAGAAGCCATTAATGAGTAATAGCTTTGTTGATATCATGAACGTCAACCTCTTTTCTTCTTTCAAGTTTCCTTCGAGCATGTTCCCAAGGGAGCTCCATTGCCATAGACCCTCGATAAACCGTTCAAGCAAGTCAAGGGTTCTGGCGGACAGGATATATTGACCACATTGAAAACTTTTTCCAAGGTCTGATAGAGATTATCTGTTGGTACATTCATGATCTTCTGTTTTCTTCACTTGCTCTGTTTAGGGTGACAGCCGGCACGTGCGCGCAGAGACGACGCCTTCCCGAACGGGAGACTGCGGGCTTGGCACGAGCGGCGCATCTCGCAAAGTCCCTCCAAGTTCAACTTCTCTACGGGGTATCATCTTTCGCCATCAACACTACCTTCCTTTCCATCTCGCTATCCTGTGATCGGTATTTACCTCCTTGTTCCTTTGTTCTTCCCCCATATTTGCTGTTCGCGCCTCTTTCTCGTGCTACGACGACTCCATTCTATCCACAGCCGGTATCACGTTGACTCCGCGGTCTGGGAATCTGCCACCCTCGACTCTTCGTCTGGTCAACATCATCCTTGCATAGGTGACTCTGAAGATTTGTATGCGCGCCTGATCCTTCTCCGTCACTCTTCAATACGGCGGACCCACCTGTCTTCATGTTCTATTCCCGAGGTTTATGGAATGGACACGTGCGCGAGGGTGTCGACCGATTTGCGCGGAGCTCACATTGCGATCAATATCTGCTCGCGCCAATATCAAAAACCCCGTCGAGCCGCTTGATCCATATCATAAAATCTGAGACCCTACCGCGCGATGGACATGGCTTCTCATTCAATGTCGATAGAGTAATCGCAGCTTGCTGATTCTTGACTCGTATACAGATCATTGCCCACCAGCTCCCGTCGGTCTTCTCACACGGTCACGCACGCCCTGATTACGATCATCTGGTCCGTGTAAAATCTCAATACGCATGATGGATGTCAAAGAGATTGAGTTGAAGTCCAAAGCCCTTACAAAGGCTGCTACGTCAAATGAACCTTCAGCCAACATCATCGCTCTTCTGAAGGACCTACAAAAGGGTGTTCGCCCGACAGAGGATCTGTTGCGATCCACTCGCGTCGGTATTATCGTCAATAAGTTGAAGCAGCACAAGTCACCAGATGTCGCGCGCCTCTCCAGTGAAATCGTCTCCAAATGGAGGAACGAAGTCAACAAGCAGAAAGCCAGTGGATCACCGGCAGCTAGTCAGCGAGCGAGCGGATCTCCCCGGCCGGCTACCAACGGCGCAGCGTCACCTGCTGCTGCTACGCCGAGTGACAAAACCTCGAAGCTTTCTGTGCCTCCCGATAAGAGAACCTGGAAAGCGGACGGTGTCGACATCAATCATACCTCGAATAAGGTCCGCGATAGCTGTATTGGCCTGATGTATGATGGGCTCTGTCTTCACTCGACTGAGACACCGCGTGCAGTCCTTCAAAAAGCGGTGGCGGTCGAGGCTGCGACATACACCTATCTCGGCCCTGAGACCAAAGAGCAGTACCGGACCAAGATTCGCAGTCTCTATCAGAATCTGAAGAACAAGTCGAACCCCACTCTGCGGGTGCGTGTCCTCACGAACGAAGTAACGCCCGATGAATTTGTCCGTCTGAGCCACGATGAGCTTAAGTCGGCGGAACAACGCGAACAGGAACGCAGGATCCAGAAGGAGAACATGGACAAGGCCATGGTTGCGCAGGCGGAGCGCAGCATTAGTACGAGTCTTCAGTGCGGCAAATGTGGACAGCGCAAGGTCACCTACACAGAGGCGCAGACAAGAAGTGCGGATGAACCGATGACGTTGTTCTGTACTTGTATGAACTGCGGAAAGTCATGGAAGCAGTAGAGACTCTTCGTCATCTCGTTACTTTGTTGCTTTCCCTTTCGATTCCATTATTCCAGCTTTAAGCTTTCGAGACTACTGCCATCTCGGATATGATGGAGTTCTTGGGTTTTATTTTCCACGAAATTGTGTTTGTTTTATGCGGTCATTCTTGGCTGTATTGTATGAATCTGCGACGGCGACTGGGGGAGGCTCAGACAGGAAGGGGGTAATAATCATACCAGGCTTACGACCTAATCTCGGCCGCTCAAAAGCGTCTCTATCTCCATGGCGTTGGTAATGGGGTTTCTAATTCCGCGGATAGTCCTTGTGACGTAGGCAAAGCAGTTTTGAAAACTTCTCCTGACGAGAGAAGTGTGAATCCAGTAGGTGTCCAGCACTTAGGTCGTTTAGCTCCTGGATAGCTACTCGGCTCTTGATGCGGCTGCGCAGCTGATAGTCCGATCTGAGAGCTAACGCGCAGTTAGCAATCCATAAAACACCAGAAAGTACTAGGGCACGCTCTCCTATGTTATTGTGAGTCCATGTGGAGGAAGACTTGCCCTGCATAATGACGCTGGGTTTGCAAAACTTGTCGCCTTTAATTTCTTTACTATATGTTTCTGAGAAGACGTGGTATTTCCTGCCTTGGCTGGCATTCTCTTCAACTCTTCTCTGCATATTTAGGGACACCTTAGCTAATGCTAGTCCTGCTCACTCACATACCTAGATGTGCCTTGTTGAGGTGAGGTGGGGTGCAAATCAATGAGTGGCAATCTTTAATGCACCCGTATCTTTAGAGGCAAACATTAAACCACCTTTCCAGTGATAAGTAGAGTATCTATTGACATTCTACAGCTTTACCAATTCCCATATGACACTATTGAGCAGTGACTCTCTCATTTCTATGGTGATGATAGCTGCGCGGTTCTGGCCCTAGCCCTAAGCCCTATGAACTCCCAATATAGGCAGTCCTGGGCCTGGTATGACATCATTCTCTTCTCAGCAGCATACATGGAATGTTCTATCTTGAACGCCTAGTCAACCAGGAAAGATTTTGGTATCAATCCAAAAGATCTCGTGACGATAAGGAAAATCCAACTAGCGATTAAAGGACTACTGTCAGCTTTGAATTGGAGGCCCAAGAATTATTGGCTATCGTCTGCGCTCTAGAGTATCACGAGCTACTTAGTTCTTCCTGCTGGGTAGTTCAATAAGGGCAGTTCTCCCCTCATACTTTTAACATAGAGTAAGTGCCTATGCCACACATGTCTTACAGATACTCGTCAGATTCGCATTATCGAATTCATAAAGCTAACGCATCGAGCAGAAACTGACTTGCAGATAAGCTGGTCACCTACAGAATTGTCCACCATGGTCATCCCCCGTACAACGCTCCTCGAGCCCGCAAGGACTCTCTGTAATGCATTTGCATCCGCTAGCCCCGTATCTGAGCTCGTGAGATGCTTCACATCTGACCCAATGCCCATTGCGCACGAACACGGCCATCCATCCCTAGCCCCGTTCCTTGGACGAACCTTCACAGGCCAGCAGGGGATCACGAAGTACTTCGAGCTGCTAAACGAGCATCTTACATTTGAGAACATGCGATTCGACCCTGAAGATGAATGGGTCGTTGATTCAGAGACACTGGCTGTCTGTCTGAAGGGCCGGGCCCGCTTCATCTGGAGGGCTACGGGCGAGGGCTGGAACGAGACATTCTGCTACCGGTTGGGGCTGGCGGAGGATATCTCCCAGGATGGTAAGGGCGGGTATAAAGTCCAGGAATATCGGGTTTGGGCAGACACTGGAGCTGCATATCTCGCTAGTAAAAAGGAGTTGAGGTTGTTGGAGGGACAGAAAGATCCTAATGGGAATGCGAAGGCGAAGGCAGCGGGGGATAAGTTGGGTTCCGGAATGAATGTGTATGGTAGTTGTGGATAAGAGGACACTTGATTGAGTGTTCTCACGTTTCATGGATTGGTGAAGGAGTTGTTGGAGTCGAGTTAACTAGTGTTCGTGATTATTGGGGGTAAATGGTCTCCGCTATCTCGAGTTGTATATTTTTATTCATCAGTCTGTCGCAAACTTTCATTGCGGCACTACGGTTTTATATTCTCCAATTCTACAAGCAGTCTCCGGCTCTGATATGTGACCGTAACGTCCATAACGTCCACTTTCTCTGGAAATTGCTGAAGGGCGAATTCTACGCTACCATTCAACGATATCCCATCTCTGTATCATCTCCTTCGAGATACTATCTGTATGGATCAAGGCTGATTAATTAGTTTCCATCTCACCGGTGAGAAGACATCAAATCCTCCTCCGTCGTTTCCTTGGACTTCAGACCTGAGATTGGTTCCATCTTCGTACACTCTGTCGGCTTCGTTCTATGCGAGACATCATTATTTTTATAACTCGCCCCTGCTTCGACATTCTCTCTGACTCTTTCAGCTTCATTTTGCATCATCACCATTCAAGAACCAATCTAGCTAGAAAATGGCAAAATCAGACTCTTGTTTTCCAAGGATTTCCCATATCGCATTATCCATATGAAGAGCGCGTGAATCAACAATGAACACACTGTGTCATAAATTGCATTCAATAGTCGATATTTTCCCAGAGGTTCTTGAATTACAATTCGGATAGTGCCATCACAGCAAGCAGCGAATCACATTCGCTTCTCAGCTTATCCGCCTGCATCATTGGTCTAGTGGTAGAATTCGTCGTTGCCATCGACGAGGCCCGTGTTCGATTCACGGATGATGCATCAGCATTTCCTTTTTTGTTACTTCTTGACATGGTTCTCTCTCTCTCTGTTTTTTTTTTTTTTTTTTTTTCCAATGGGGTGATGGTTCTTTATCTTCTTCGTTTGAAGTTGTCCTGGAATATTATTTCTACCAGAGTCAGTATAGATTCGTGAGACGATTCAACTTCATATATATCTACTTCAACTTTGCAACTCTAGCGAAGGTCTCTCGATCTCGAGTAGCCCACGAAGTGTATGGACCATCATTTCTTTCGTCGTATTCACATGCGGTGTCTTTCCGGAAACAAATGTGTGGGATGTGTATTAATCTAGATGTCCGCTCCGCAGCATCAGCTACATTACCATTCAACGGTATATATAGAACCTATGGATATCCTATATGCCTTTGCTATGTTTGGAAATGATGGTTCTAAAGACATGAATTGATGGGTATCATAGGTAAAATAGTAAAACACAAAGTGGGAGTAGAAGCGACAGGGACTTCACACAATACTAAAACGCCCTCATACGGCATGTACAACATTCCCGCAAAGCAGATGGGAAACTAAGACTGCCTCCATCATTCGAATATCCATCTGGACATGGCTGCAAGATCGCCATTGGATTCCATAACTCCGGGGATTCCCCAATGGATATCCGGCTGCGTTAAGAAGCTCTGAATGGAAGGGTCGTCCAAGGCTGTGTGAAGAGCCAATAGCTCTGTGGCCTCATTCTGCGGCAGAGACTCTGTGGCAGCGCCAGCTCCATCCCCATTGCTATTGCCATTATTATTGTCACCCGTCGTCGTCTGGTCCAAACGACCGTGGAATTGCTTCCCGTGCTCCTGGCTAAAATCAAAACACTTGCGGATCTCCAGTAGATGCTGGTAAAAGGCCGCAGCGGGCAGGTTTCCGTCTTCGACCATAGACTGCAGGATATCAGAAGCAGTCTCGATAGCGTCGCGGTCGCTTTCGCTGTTTCGCAGGACAAGGGCCATCATGAGGATTATGGTGGAGGAGAAAAGGTACTGCGAGTCGAAATAACCAAAGGTGGCGATGCCGCCATCGACCCAGAGCTGCGTGAGGAGGCTATTAGAGCTACGTGCGGCGTGAATGCAAGCTTCTGCGAGGGCAGATGTCATCGGTGATGGGATGCGTGACGAGGGATTGCCGTCTGTTGGAGGCTGGAAGCGGGATCTGAAGACGTGGAAGAGAATTGGACGAGTAGTCAGGATCACACACTGACGGGTTTAAGTTAGAACTGTCAGAACCATTTTTGAATTGGGATTAGTTGGGAGCATGGGGCCTGGGCCATTTACCTGGTTAAAACACAGATGCAGCGAGGCAACGTTCCTCGACGCATATCTCACCGGCCTTGTCTGGATCAGCTTGATATTTTCTGGCAACGTCTCTGCCCACGACCGAAGATCCTTCAAGATCATATGCACACTTTGTACGAAGGTCTTGCTCCGCCTGGGTCGGCCATAGATATCACTAATGATGTCTCCCGTGATACGAGCTAGCTTGAGGTGAGCGATAAGATGCTCTGGGGGGGAGAATTCCTCTCGCTCGCTGGGAGAGAGACCCTCCATCGATGGTAAGTCGGCGTCGATGTCTTCATCTCTGACCAAAACTGGGTGGCCTAATTTTGAACTCGATATGCGATCCATCGTGTATACAGACCACCAGACGCGCAACCTGTGTTCTCGCTCGACTGGCGATATCATATATCCTTCTGGGACATTGTGATGGAGTCCCAACGTCAGACTCAGTCTGAGCGCGATCCCTGCGAATGTATACGCGGACTTTGTGCGGTTCAGGGGTAGGCAGAAGAGAGACTATAGACGTCAGCTGCATGTCCTTTTCACTTTAAAGAATTGACTCACCAGAAGGACCAGTATCTCTATGTAAGAGACTGTGGCTTCCTCGTGAAGGTCCTGGAACAAACTCATCGCCTGCATGAAAAACCCTGTGCCCGGAACTTCCGACATCTTTGAGGTTGCTTTCCTGTTTGTATACAGCTCCCCAATGGCAAAAATGGCGAACAGCCTACACAGGAGGATTGGGTCGTCGAAACATTGACCTCGATACAGGGCATCCAGCTTCTCCAACGTGGCCTTCCTCAGCATGAGGTGGTAGTCATTTCCAAGGAACCGAAGTGCGACTTTGATCAGAAGATGGGCATAAGTGCGATTTGGCAGGCGGAATGACGGGTCAGACATCCGCAGAAGCGCCTTATGTTTGACATAGTTCGATTGTGGAAGAGGTGCCATGGGCTCGTCTCCGCTCAAGAATTGCCGTAATCGCGTACCAAACGCATTGCATGCAGCCTCGCCGATATAAACCGGTTGTGTCGATACCTGGTCGCGTACAAACCAGGCACGGTCCTCGATCAATGGGTTTCGGATGTCTCCATCCGGATTAGAAGGGCCACCTTCGCCAGCTTCGTTACTGCCGGGATGGTTTGAACGGCCATGCTGCCGTCGCTGATCTTCTGGGACAGATTTACTCCCTGAAGGTAGATTGGTACTCCCAGGAGAGGCCGATGCCTTCCACAGTTGACTCTCTTCCTCAAGCTTCCTCAGGTAACTGGTCGAAGGAACTTAGTCCACTTAAGTCTCTGACAGACAATTCACAGAAGCACAAACCTTTCTTGCACCAACACCTTTCGGTCACGAGCCGGATAGACGCAGTCAACAGTGCCTTCGGGCTGTTGTCGACAATTATGGCATGGTTGCTCTCCGGAGCACTTGATTTTGTGAGAATGACATCGTCGACAACTGGGTGACCCCAGTCAGTATCACGAGTTAGATGTTCAGACACCGTGGCTAATGTAAAAGAAGCGAGTATTCCTTACGCAACGAAGCTCCGCTTTGGCTTCTTCGTCGGTCTCTCTCCTGTGTCATCGAGAGGAGAATCCAGACGGCTGGATCGATCAGACATTTCTGTTACGGCACAATATAATCGTGAAACCCCACATTCACAACTTCAAATGAATAATATCATAACGTGTCGTAGCCTATGCTAGGGCAAGTATACTCTCGGCTGCTTGCGATCTCAGAGCGATGAGGGCATCTCGGCCTGATAAGATCTGGGGACGCTTGCTCGGCTCGGTTGGTGAGATGCCGGGCCGGCCGGAGGCGCGCCGAGGTCGCACCATCACCAGATCTTATCACGAAGACATGAATAAATTCATGTGGGAAATGACACTGGATATTCGTTTTCAGGGTTTATAGCAGTACTGCTTGTCCGGGTGTATTTGCATCCGTTACTGGTACTATCTAGGTAGCTATAGCATTGATCCATTATCTTAGCAGACTAAATCGGTGCTTACTAGGTAGGCGAGTTTCATAGTATCCTTTCAGTTCCGGAAGACAAGAATATAACTATCGAATCTCCCTGAAGCTGATATAGAGTTCTTGAAACACGCGCCCCTTCTCAGAAGATGCAATGTCCCAATGGATTTATATTCTTTCTATGCACGTCTACAGACACTGAGCGGTTACTTAGAAGCTGCAACGAGGATCGACTCTGGGTTTTATATATTGTATTGCAAATAGTGAGAAATGAGACTCATCCGCATCTGATCTATTTCAACGGTATACTGTCTCCTGCGGTAGCAGACAAAGTGTCGAACCCTTTAGCACGGAAGCAAAGTCTGACCTGAACGACTTGAATTGCTTGCTTGCTTGCCTCTAGGTCTAGGGGATTTAATCTCCTATTTATCTTTAGCATACAAATAATCTAGATCCTAGTAATCTAGTAATCTAGTAGTAATCCAGTGGGTTCTATCCTATAAACAGGATTCAAAGAATCTGCCGCAAACGGATTATTGACAGATCACCTGGCGTTCGCTTTGTACGCCGACACAAGGGTTGATTCAACTTGAAAATAAACGTAACATTCATCTATGAGAAGTTTATCTCAAGACGTAGCTTGCATATGTTGCTTTACAATTGCAGTACAGTATCTTTTACTACTGATCATGAGTTCTCTGACATCTGGCTTTTGTTGTATTTATATAAAGGAACACGATGTCAGGAATAGATGCTACCAGCCGTCCAATTCCATATTTGGCAGTTAAATTAGAAAGAAAAGCGCCTTGGTCACCATACTCAGATAACTAACATACATCAACTACACACTACGCATAGTATAACTATAGGTGTCGTCATGATAACAAATTCCAGTCCATCGGGACGAAAAGCTAAAACAGATATCTGGGGTAGAAAAAGGAAACATCCTCGAACCCATCCTTTTTCTTCCAGATCAGACTATCACCTCCACATCCATTCAGGGAAGCAATCAATCAGCCAACCGTAAGATTCCTCAACACCATGCTTTCTCCGTCGTCTTGGAAACTCCTACATTCCTCGCTACAGAACACCCGCATATTTCAAGTAGAGAGATATCCGGAACAGTTCTCCGCACGTGCTCGATAGTGATGTGACTGACGCCTGGCTTCGGCTCAATCTTTCTTTTATGTCCATGATTAGGTTATCGATTGTCCCATCATTGTATGTAGATTCTGGAATGTCGGTCTTTTGAGCGACAGCATGCCGCATTTCACCCTTTCTTTCCTTGTGTGGGATGAAACTGTGTTAGGTTAGTAAGTATTACCCTATTTATAAACTGAACTTATTACCTTGACTGGACGAACGGCAAGAAAAGCTATATTCGTTAACAATAACATACCGCATGACATTTGTGGGAGACTTGGCGAGGAAATCATACCTTGGGAAGGTATTTTGTTGTGCTACATATACCATACACTACTACGCAAACGTGCACTACGTATGTATGTATGTATGTATGTATGCGTGATGCGACACTCGGCGTTTTCCCCTCCTTTCTGATCTCATGATCTACTTGAGTTTCTTGGCCTCCAGGGCTGGGCTGCCATATTTCGTGGTATGTATTCTAGCTTTCCACAGGCATGGAACAAGGGTAAGGTTGGAGTAATTGCTACCGATCAATTAGCTTTTGCTTTGTGTTACCAGGACCGTTTCTTCCATTCCTGCCTCCCCAAGCCAAGACTGGAGAAGTGTATGTACTGTACAAGGTTTGAATGTTTCTGTTTTCTGGGCAGACGTAAATTGTGCCACTTATTCGTCTTTCCCTGGGGGAGAATGTACTCTGCAGGTTGGTTGCCTGGTGTGGTATGGTGGAGGTACGACGTTGTGTGCAGCTCTGTCTGTCAGCCAAGCCCAGAAGCTGAGAGTTGTGGATTTCAAGATGGGAGCTTTGTAGTCCAATGGAGGAAATGCGTTGTACAGGAATTGGTTATTGATGAGTGTCAACTGACAGGCTGCATTTCTGTATGCGGCTGCAGTCTCGAGTGCGATATAGGCATATACGTAGAATTATAACCAGGCCAATCACAGAAGCACGGCAGGATTGAGCTTTACTAGACACCCGGATGCCCTTAAAAGATTGGATTTCTTGGCTATTTTTACGGAATATCGTATAGATGTCATCGGCTTCGTATAGTAAGAGATTTGGATGCACATTAGAAGCCTAGCTAGCTCTACGGTCTACCAGCGCGATAGCACCACGGATTTGGCATGGTTACCAGTCCCGATTGCATTACACAGGTATATGGCAGGCACGGAGCCGACGAGACATTTTGCAGGACGTATACGAAGGCGATTCAGTCGTTCATTGCAGCAGTTGGACGGTTATTCGTCGTTTTCGAGTTACGACAGAGGCCCGAGTGTTGTCTGCTTTCTCGAGCGGCCAGCTCGACACCGTAGCTATGGCTTGAATACGACGGCGCGCGGCCTGAACGTCTGAGTTGGCCCTCGTGACAGCACATTGAGAAATCGGATCCGTGCGAGCTGTAAGATTATCGTGGACGAAGTCTCGAAACTACCCGAGAGTAAGTTAATTCCATCCACGGCTGAAACGTTATCCCACCGTATGGTCCCCGGTACAATCAACATCAGACACGACAATAACGGCAATAAGTAAACAATGATAATAATAATAGAATAATAATCTTAATTAATGAGGCCTGCGTGGCACAGAGAGCGAGAAATAACGTCACCTGGCGCAGACACAAGCCGACGTCCCGCGGTCCAGAACTCAACAGAATTATGAGGACACGCAAACGGAGCAGCAGAACTTAGAAGATAGGCGGCCTCACTATGCTGGCGTCAATGAGACTCAGGCTAAAGGAAAAAAGGCGGCATTTAGCAGAGGATAGGTTCGTGAGCCGCTACTACGCGGAATCACCGGAGACCAATTATTAACGACTGATGAGAGGGTCGCAGGTACCAAACTCAATTCTCGACGCCCCGAGGCCGGTTCCCAACCCGTAGAGGAAGGTCTTTTCGATCAAGAGAAAACTGCTCTGGATAAATAATACGCGTTCGGGGCGAGTAGTCCGTCGTCCCACCTGCTAGAAGACTGAGGAGATCGACTTGAGAGCTCAACACTGGTTGTGTTCCTGACTAGACGGTGTGGCGTGCAGTCATTGGAGCAGGCGAGGGAAGCTTGTCCTGCAGGTGCGAACGCGAACGCGATCAATAATTAATTAGATAGATATTCGATCACCACGCGCTGTGAGCGAGACGGCACAGAGTCATGCGTCGTCAAGCAGCAGCAGTCCAGCGAAAACAGGATAATGATCTCAGACGCGGCAGATCGGGTTCGCGGTAGCAAGCGTAGCGTAGCTGCGTGCTCCGTTCCTGCGTCGATAGCTTTAGCAAGCACGTCGCCCCAGATCTAGCAAAGTTAGCATGCTGTATCGCGGTGATCTTGATTTCGAGCCATCTCGCCTGACTTGGAGAAGTCCGGCTGAGGGGCAACCTCGTTATCGCGAGGACCCAAGCGCCCTTCCCCTCAGTGAAAGAGAGAGTCGTGAAGAGAGAGGAAAATATCTAGTGTCTTTACGGCAGAGTATAGTTGGAGCCTCCCGAGAAAGAGAGGTTTAACTTTGCAGAACCGTAAGTAGTATTCATCGCGATAGAAAGCTTAACTAATGGATGAATGAGGGGAGGCAACTTATCGGCCGCCGATGCTGGCCACGGCGAAGTGGATGGACGATAGACGATAGAGAGATAAGGCGAGGGGCATATCTTGTCGTTATAGATTTAGACGCGACATCCAAGCTGGTACAGTCGAGATCCTTTTGCTTTGTGGAATTGTAGAGCGCAGTTTGTAGGGGTTTGGTCTGACGCTGGCATAGGTTTCTGAGCTGGTCTCGCATTTCATTGTATGCTGGCCCGCTGGAGGAAGAAATTCGACGTGTTTAAGGCGTAGCGACAGCATCAAGTTCGCAGACGAATTGCAATCAGTAACGAATGTTCACGACATGAATATAGAAATAAGAACAGAGACAATACATCGAAGTATATGAACTTGAATTCCTTGATTTATTTTGCCGCCTTATTGGATAGTGTCTCCATGGAAAGTTGCGATGTAGGGCGTTTGTTTACCTTTCGGTTTCGAATTTGTACATACAACGAACAGCCTGTTAGACATCAAAGCATGATGCTGTATTCTAACCTTCGTCTTTGGTTTCATTTGGCATATCGGTCGTACCTTTTAAGTGTATTTCAGTGCGTCCGGATGTCATATTGAAGGTCATATGGACTATGCTCGACAACAATATATATCTACATATCCAATGCGCATTTATATAGTTGCAACTCACCACCACCACCTACAATCACAAAACGAACATAACAGCGACAACAATAAATCATCCTGAACCAGGAAAACTGCCATGGCTTTTTTCGATCCCGAATAATTAAACCATCGCTATCTACAATACTCATACCCAATTCATACCTCCCACTACCTTTGTTTACCACCCATCCAGTACATCCAACGAAACGCCCAATCACACCACGCACGGCACGAGGGTTACGTTCAGTCCCCCCTGAAGGCCCAGCAAGTACGTCAATCCCGCTCTGCTGTTCCATCGCTTTCCGAAAACCACATCCCCAGCTCAATGTACGCAAGCTCAAAACAACAACGATAACCACCGCCGCCGCATAACGACGATTCCAGTCCAAGCATATCGCGTCGAGCATCCCTTCAATGCTGCTTGCTGCTTTCTTGCTTAATGCACCGCCAAGCCAGCACTGGCATTCCCGACTAGACCGTTGCGAAAAAAAAGTGCCTGGAGGAGATACCGTGGATCGTGCCCATCGCTGAGCTAACCGACTAGTGGACGTCACTAAGGTAGCTAGCCAGCAACACCAAGTCTCTAGTACGATAGACTAATCCTCCCGCAGGTCTAGTCAGGTACGCAAATCCCTTGGCCAACTCGGTAACGATGGACGCTAGCCCAGGAACTATTTGATGAAGTAACCCTTTTTGAGAGTCGTCCGATGAGAGAGAGAGAAGTTCTGCTGCTGTTGTGGGGAGGGACCCCTCCGATATGCAGGACTCTACCATAGACTAACTAAGTTCTTGGCTGAAAAAAAGATACATCGCCAATCGTTGGGCTGGGTGCGCGGTTGAGCTATGTCAGGTTAATCCTTATTCTATATAGTCTATTATGGGACAGACGCAGGTACCGCGTTTGTTTGCCACTGGGTGGACAAGACTAAATCCGCGCGCGCAGGCTAGCTCTGCAGGTACAGTACAGGTTTATGGTACTAAGGTAATCAACGCTAGTTAGTCAACAACACTAACTAACTAGGTAATAGGCGACGATGGGGCCTGGATGAACTGATTTAATTAATGCGCTAGAGTGCGCTTGCTCCTTTTACGTCGCGTCGCGTCCAACTTTGCCCGGAATCAGAATGCGAGGTAGAAGATCCGAAGATAACGCAGGAAGGGCAGAGGAAAAAAAGAGTCTAACCACGCAATCAATTGACACGTCCATGTCCAGCGGAGCCGTTAACCAAGATAGTCCAGTCGAAGGCGTGATCACGGCCATATCGGAAGTCATCAGGTTCAGTGCGACGATAATAATATTCGAAGCCATGAAACCACCTAAGCGCTCTGTCAGGGCGATCAATCGAGATCCAAGATTTTGACAGAGATCGCAAGGACCCCCAATAACAACAACAATAATACTAGACGACTTGAAACCGGCCATTCTCGTAGAGAATTACCTCTTATGCAACATTGACGATAGTTAGATAATGGCAGGGTTGTTAAGAATGCTTGGATCGTCTACCCAGTTAAGGTTATTATCTCCGGATAAGGTATCCATCTTCAGATGAAACGAGCCATCTTTGACGCGGGCCGATATGATCGTATCGCAATCACCCTGAAGTTTGAACGTTGTCGAAACACAATCGAGGGATTCGTTATTACGGAGTAGTTCACGTTTCATTATCCATGGCGTCTACGGTCTGAGTAATAATAGTTAGATAGTCAGAGAGCTATCTATCTACCCCAGCTCTTCACGTCAGATGTAGATAGTTTACTCTAGTTTGTTACTTAGTAGTTAAGCTCAAGCCAACAACCACTGACGCTTTGGTTTCACGTCCCATGACGATTAATTATGCCGCAATAATAATGGATTGGCATAGCATCCAAGTCCATAAGGATAATACCTGCCAAGCAGCCAAGCAGTTTCCTTCAAGTTTGAGAACATCATCCTCGAGACGACAAGAAAAGGGGTGGTATACCAATTCTTGGGCAGAGAGTGTGTGATGTACAGCTTGGCATCCATTCCGACAACACATTCATTCATTCCCCTTTTATGCGCCGAGAATCACAAGACAGCAGCACCTCCAACTAATAATCTGATGTCATAAACGCGGAGAAACGAAGTCGAACAAGCGAACAAAGTAGGAAAAAGATAAACACGCACACTCAAAAAAAAGAAATCCATTAATCACCATCTAGTTAGTTATTCCTACCCGAGTCCATTATTACGTAGCCAGAAAAAAGCAAAAAGAAGGCAACAGCGTCAGATTGAAAAAAGGGGGCGGGGATTCGCTAAACTAATCACTAACTTAGTTAGCCAACCAACCAGCCAGCTGACTAGTCCAGTCCAGTCCAGTCCAGTCCGGGGAAGAGAGAAATGCCAGATGGTCGGAGTCCAGTCTCGGCAGTAATGATCTTCCAATCTATCTAGCTATCTACCGATCTGGGCGTTTCTCTTAGCACTTAAGAGGGCCAAGATCCAGATTTATGTGGATCATAATAATCAGCAGATACCTGTGATAACTAATAGTTAACTAAACGTATGAATAATAGACATATGTCATATTGTCACGCAAGGCCGATTCGAATGCCAATTCCAATAACCACTAGATTGGTAAACCCCGAGGGTCTGTAACTACTTTCTATCTATCTATCTAGCTAACTATTGACACACCGTACCATGGTTCTGAATCAACTCTATTTCCTACATGTAGCCGGAAATATATAAATCAAAACAAACAGGAACCTCAGAAACATAGATTTTAATTTCCGCATGTGTACGGAGTATGCATGCATATATCTAGTAATAAGCAGTAAGGGGGGTGGGGGGTATATGTGTGTGTGGTATATATTTGTTGCGGTAGACAATTCATTCTTGTGGAGAAAGGAAACTTGGCACGTTTGAAGCAGAATAATAATATCAATTTCAATGCAGTAGCTGGCCACAGGGTTCCAGATTAGGATACATCCTCCTAAATTATTGACTAACCAACTAACATACGGAGTACCATCGTGAATGATCATACGGTACCATATACCACATGCAAGAGGAAGATATCAATAGTAACAGAAATGCCAAGGAAACGATGATCTGCGGCGCATTACTCCGTAATTCATGCAATAAGAAATAAATAATCGACACGGCCAAGAAACAGCCAAGAAGATGATCTGACTTCTAACTTCTGGGCATATGCACTATGGAGTATTATTATTATTGCTGCAAGTCAGTCACACGGCCATGAGTAACTACCTCAGTCTGATGGCCATGCCAGTTTCTCGGCGCAACACGAACACGTCGGGCAGGGAGGCTCAGCGAAACTAGAGTGATATGAACGTATGCTCCCAAGATGTAGATCTGATGATCATTTCACGCCAAGGACGTGGGTTTCCCCAATTTCTGGACCCGGTCTAGTATCTACTCTATCTATCTACGGGACGTTTCCAGCTTTGTTTGCCGTAGACCTTTCTCCTAGAGTGAGATGGGGGTCCGTCTCGGAGTGAGATCTCCCAGACAGACAGCAGCAGAGTGGGTGGGCAAGTCTGGGGAATAATGGAAATTTAGCATTAGAGTACTATGGAGCCTCCCCCCTCCCGAGTGAGGTTTACGTTAGTTATCGAGGATGTCTCAGATCAGAGTTCTACTACTGTATGATTTAGGCGCATGTCTGGTTCTTTCTCTTTCTTTCTTTATTTCTTGCTTTCTTCTAGAGGGGTTTCTGCGAGAGAGATTAATCGCAATTCTGCAGGTAGTTATTTACCGTATATGCGCGCTCTGCTTTCCTTCGGAAATTACTCCCGGAAAAAGAAGAACAGAACAAAACACCTCTTTTTTCTTTTTCAGGCAAAAATGAAAGCAACCAAGCAACCAAGCAACCAAGCAAGAACGAAACTTGATCGATCGATTGATTGATTGGTGATCGGCGACCGAGGCCGATGTCGCCGCAATCGCCCTGCCCGTTAGGTAATTACCGAATTGGCCTTAAAGGGAATCAATCAGATAGGTCGATAGATAGGGAAAAAAACGTAAACCAGTTAACTATCGCGCATTGATTATTTTTTCTCTTAAATCAATGATCCATCCCGAGCCGCGGGAATATGCGAATATGTTACCCATAATATTACTCGCTATCGCTACCCGGTTTGTTGGTGGGGCACGTTTTGAGGTCGTTTCGCTCGCCTTCTTTTTGTGTTCTGGCTTTCTTGTCTGGTCCGCTTGAGCCTTGAGGCATTCCCCATCCCACTTGCCGCACTCTGCCCGGAACGTTCGGCATGGGCTGCGAGTATGGCGATTCGACTCTTTTCGAGAAACATGGTCGTGATCGGTCCCGAAACTGCCGATGGACGGGGTATGATAGAGCAGGTAATTAATTAATATTATTCTAGATCCATGCAGGAGGCGTCCGAGGAGAAAAATTGCCTCGACGTTAACTAATGGTGACAGCATGTAATAATAATAATAATAAAACTGTAGTAGATAGTATAGTATAGTAACTATGTGCTCTATGGTAACGGCCGGGTTCGCTGCTTGCCCTATGGACGCACAACACAACAGCGATAATAGTAATAGTAATACTGACAGGTTAACGGGATCGGGAGCTATGTCACGCTTCATCAACGGGGAATTATTATTGCATTAGCTTATCTACCTTACCCTAGATATCCTGGACCAGTTTCATTTTGCCGGCATTCATAATATTATTCGGGAATTCCCATTCCTCCTCATAGGCAATTTTCGGGAGAAACGTGGTCTTGGCAACCGTGGTCGCCACGAAGAAAAAAAAAAAAAGAGAAAAAAAAAATAATCATAATAATAATAATAATAGTAGTACATAGATGAGAAAACGAAAAGGAATTTTTCACAGGCCGTACCATAGTTAGATGCAATCCAGGTCCCCGTCGCCCGTCGTCGGGCTCGGTCCGCGGTCCAGCAGAAGGGGATCGTCCCCGGCAGCAGCAGCCGTGCGGCGTCTGCCGGTCGCGACTCGCTAGATGATTAGTATTATTACCAGGGCGAAGAGCCAGACCAAGATCGCGACAGGAACCGATGGAGACCGACCGTGGATTTGCGCCCACAACCCGACCGTCGACGGGCATGAACACAGACTAAAGCCCGTTCGGGGCTTCGATGGACGTTCGATGGATGCGCAATGTGTTGGTTCCTGTGGAGATGGGCGAAAGTGGGAGAGTAGTGACTACTTAGTAGTATACTGTACTACTTGAGGCTAACCGCCTCGCAAGTGTAGATCTGGAGGGGTCTCTTTTCTTTTCCCCCGTAGTAGTAGTAGTGATGGTGGCATGGACTACTACTACTACTACTGACGAGAGAAGACGAACCAAGCAGAAAAGAAGAAAAAAAAAAAAAAAAAGTCGCGCAGTTTAACTAACCAACTAACTAACTAACTGCACGAAGGCACGGTCATACAGCGCTGAGATGGGCACGATCCCCGTTGGATGGCGCAGGGTCGTAGTGACACGTCTGAGCATCTGCATCACACTTGAGGCGTCGCTTTGATAGCGGCAACGCGATGGGGATCGGCAAGACGCCTCCCCAGACGTAACGCAGCTATTCCTATGTAGTAGTAAGATGATAACGATGAAGACAGAGAGAGAGCGGGGGGACGCGATGGCAAAATAATAATCTTCAGGCCGACTCCAGACTTCAGCACTGCTATGGTACTCCGGGTAGATTACTGGACTAGGCTAGACTAGATAGCTGTCAGAGCAGCAGATGTCGAGTAGTAGTAGTAGTATGTAGTAACTTGACTGAACGTAATGCATAATATACGTATGGTACAGTTCTCGTTCTCGTTCTCGTCAGAGGGAATTTGGAAAACCCCTCCCCGGGGAAGCCGTTGGAGGAGAAAAACGAATCCGAAATCCCCAGAGCTTCTGGAAGGCCGAGCGAACAACCGGCCAGAAGTAGGGCTGAGCGATTAACGCTCTGGAGTGGAAAAGCTCACCGCCAGAATTGGGTCGTCAGCACGCACGATGACCAGCCGGACGAGGATCCGGCTCGGACTGGGAGCCCACTTGCCACCACCGGGTGTGCAGCGCGCGCCAAGTGGCAACCGATCACGTATCTTTTCGACGGGGGGGATGATTTTGATATATATATATCGACATAATTTGATTAATTTATGATATTTATGATATTAATTACTCGTGTGTGTGTGTGTGTGTGGCTGCCGGTGGTGAAGGCGAATCCACCAGGGGGTAACCGACGGTGCTAGCCGTGCCACGTGAGGAATTCCCAGAAACTGCCTACCGTGGTGCCTGTGCTGGAGATTCACGTCGTACAAGAAGAGTATCAACGATGATTATACAGGAGCTAGTTCTAGTCTAGATAAAAGCACGCGATCACGGAGTAACTTAAGTTACAGATCACAGAGAGCAGCCATACTCTACTAACTAAATACCTAGGTAATTAAAGACAAATTAATGAATTAATCCTTCAACTAATTGGAGCTCGACGGAGCTCCTATCGGACATCCCCCGACAGACCAATGAGAACCGTGCTATTGGGACTCAATTGCTATCCGCGGCCACTGTTCCCAATCCAGTCGACCTTCCCATGGCTCTTCTTCCCGGTGGAGAGAGAGAGAGCCAGTTTTTTTTTTCATTCAAGTTTCAGACACGAACATATGATTATTTCCCGAACCACAGAGTGTATCCGGACGGATCAAGGAAAGAGAGAGGGAAAAAAAATGAAAGGAGGAGAGAGAGAGAAAGGAACAAAGGCCGAAACAGTGAAAACGTCAACGGCTTGTGTCCTCGAGTCTATTTTAGGGAACAACTCGGGAATCAAAGATACCAGGAGCGAGAGGAGGAGGAGGAGGTATGGGTAAGTAATACGTACTGGTGTTTTGTCTTGGCCGACGCTAGCAAATAATCATAATAATAATACGAGTAAGAAGAAGACAACGAGAATCCCCGGAATTACTCGTATCATCACCCACTTGTCACTTTGATGATAACTACTAACCTACCTAACAACTCGATTGACAGAAACGACCAGGGTATGGTATGGCCATGCCGTGCACGGCTCGCGTTAGATAATAAATTACTATCTATTATTGTCGGGAGGCCGAACACCGCGGATCCGCCGTGGAGGTTTCGAAACGGCAGGGCGTTGACTGGGCGAGCCAGTCGCCGTGCGCGGTGATCGGCCGGTGGAGCGCGCCACGGCCGAAAACAGCAAAGCCGGGGCCTGGATGGAACCGGCTGGGCCGATAGAGGCCGCGTTCATTATTATTTGAGGGCAAGTCAGTCGAGGTGGGAAAGATCAAGAGAGTTGACCATGCCTAGAAGGCCTTGCGGTGTGTGTATACTCCGTATTATTTAATATTATAGTCCATCAGTATCAAGTAGGTATACTACTAATACTCTCGAGTCGGAATGTCGGATGCTCTTCTTGGGTAATATGGCACTCCGCAATTAGTTATATGGAGTCCCCCGCGTGAGCAGCAGAAAAGTGAAGCGAAACAAGTGAATCGTGGGGGATTGCGTTTACTCTATCTAGAGTCTAGAGTAATTATTATTACGATCGATGGTGCTTGAGTCAGTTTGACTGTGCTTGTTTATGATGGTTTGCATTATTATGATTTCTCTTTCCTCTCTTTCCCCGCGATGGCTGGTGCGCAACGCTGCAAGGGCTGGCCGTGTCTTACCTTACCCCAGGATGGAGAGAATCGAATCGATTGTGACTTGTAACTAGATATCTATCGTAGAACGTAGGTCATCATCGCTCTTCGATCAGCAGGAGTAGTAAGATACCGTAATAAGTTATAATAACCGCAGCAGTGCAAATCAATGGTCGAGTCACTATGACGGATGTTCCTTTTTCCCCTGTCTGCTGCTTATGATTATTATTATGGAAAGAAAAGAAGGGAAAAGAAACCACCGTCGTTGCGGGTTGCAATGGCGAAAAAGGGAGGGGCGAGGATAGACGCGGCCAGGGCGACAGTTTCATGCTACGAGAGATTTAGGGAGATAGTAGTAGTTATCCGTGCAGAGTCAGACAGATCATATGTCATGATTAACTGTTTCTTCTTCCTGTAGAGTAGAGTAGAGTAGGTAATTTATGTGTATCTACTGCTAGTAATAATAATCATAATCATAATAAATCAGGAGTAGGTAAGAGAAAGAGTATGAAGTATACGCAGTCAGTTAGTACGCTACGGAGGGAGTAGTACCATAGTACCATAGCACCATCATATTATTATTATCCATCGGATAGGATGGGACAATCCAGGCTAAATCCAGCTAGGCGAGGCGGATCGAACGATCAGAACAAGTAAGAAGAGCGACGATGGAGTAAAATGCCGCAACAGGCCTTCTCACAGGCTGGTATAGGCGGCTGCTCCCTGATTATTGGCGGGGGGAGGCGAAGTGGGTGTGGATGCTGATTTGCCGACGCTGACCGAAGCCGGGATGCTGCTTGCTGCGTGCAGGCCATTCGATGACGTCCCGTGGGGAGAGGGCCCGTAGGGATCGTCGCAGATGGAGGTAGAGTAGGGCGATCTGATTCTGGACGAGGGAGATAGATGGGAGAGAACTGCATTGGGGATGGTGGTTTGTTATTGTTGTTATTATTATTGTTGTTTGTTATGATGTGATGGCAGGAATTGGTTGTTATGGGGGGAAGAGAGAGAATGACGGGTTGCTGGCCGGGAACAGAGTTGCTGCCATTATTGCCAATTCCCCCCTTGCGTGGATTCTGCTCGTGCTGGTAACAGTGAAGATGATGGTGAAGCTGACCCGGCTAGGACGGCGGGAGGACATCAGGGAAATTGGCTTCTGGGCGTCGCAGCGGCCGGATTGGGTTACTCTGGAGGATTCTAGCGATGACCCGCCAATCGCTCGGAGAAAAGAAAAATCGCGCATCCAAGGCGGGTCCAGGAACAGAAGTTGTGTATTATTGAAGACACAGACAGACAGACAAACAACAGTCCAGTACGAACTAGTCCACCCACAGTCCACACACACACACACAACCCACAACCCCCGGACGGGGAGCGGCGCAACTCGGCACCGCGATGCCGGCCCAGCTTGGACAGTAAGCTAGTGTGAGCCCATGCATTCCCGCCCCAGAAGCAGCAGGCAGTCCAGAGCAGCGATGAAGGGAAAAAAAAGGGAAAGGTAAAAAAAAAAAAAAAAGAGCAAGAAAAATGTGACGGACTTGTCACTGGCTGTTCACGGGCGCAACGGGGCGACGGACCTGATGCGGCTTAGTCCCCCCAATTGCTGCCAAGTGCAGACAGCTGCAGTCCGCTCGATATTAAATAGAACCCTCCCCTCCCCCCCTCCAGCTTGCTCTTCTTTGCTTTCCTCTCCCCCTCAGGATTTCCGACCCTGCCATTCGTGTCATCTTTGCAACTGCTCATATCGTTGGGTTCCGAAGGCTGTGTGAGCCGAAGCAACAATGGCGGAGCGGAGGATCTCCTACGCTCCCGACGTGGAGAACGGTGATAACACTCGCACTGCTCCTGATCTCAATGACGGCGGAAACCTCGATGAGTACACGGCCCTGAACCGGTACATCTCGACCGCCCGCGACAAGCGTCGTGGCTCGACCTCTGAGGCCGGTGGTCTCGACGACGGCAAAGAGAAGAAGAAGCCTTGGTACGCCTTCTGGCAGAAGGACAAGGACACCTCCGAGGGATTCGTCTGCCCCGAGGAATGGCTCGACACCGACATCCGCCAGGGTATCCCCTCCTCGGCCGTTGAGCCTCGCCGCAAGAAGTCTGGCTGGAACGAGCTCGCGACTGAGAAGGAGAACCCCATCCTTCAGTTCATCGGGTACTTCCGTGGTCCTATTCTCTATGGTGAGTAACTTACAATACCTACCGTCCCACTGGGGCCAATGGGAATTGTCTGCTGACAAGGCCCGCAGTTATGGAATTGGCTGTCTGTTTGGCTGCTGGTCTGCGTGACTGGATCGATTTCGGTGTCATTATCGGTATTCTGTGTCTGAACGCTGTCGTCGGTTGGTACCAGGAGAAGCAGGCCGCCGATGTCGTCGCTTCGCTCAAGGGTGATATTGCTATGAAGGCTTGGGTTGTCCGTGACGGCCACGAGGAGGAGATCCGCGCTCGTGAGCTCGTTCCCGGTGACATTGTAAGCTCTTTTCCTTTTCTGCTACTACTACTATAGGCCATCGTGCTAACGACATCTCTTCTAGGTTATTCTCGAGGAAGGTCAAGTCGTCCCTGCTGATGTGCGCCTGATCTGTGACTACGACAAGCCGGAGATGTTCGAGGCCTACAAGGAGTTCCTGACCCAGGCCAACGATGACACTCTCAAGGAGAAGGATGAGGATGAGGACGAGGGCGACCGTGAGCACCACACTGGTAGCTCCATCGTCGCTGTTGACCAGTCCGCCATCACTGGTGAATCTCTCGCTGTCGACAAGTATATGGGCGACACTTGCTACTACACCACTGGTTGCAAGCGTGGCAAGGCCTACGCTATCGTCACTGCTACTGCCAAGCACTCCTTCGTCGGTAGAACCGCTGCTCTGGTCCAGGGTGCCAACGAGGCCGGTCACTTCAAGCAGATCATGGACAACATTGGTTCCACCCTCCTGGTTCTGGTCATGTTCTGGATTCTCGCTGCCTGGATTGGCGGTTTCTTCCACCACCTGAAGATCGCTACCCCCGAGCACAGCTCCGTCAACCTGCTCCACTACGCTCTGATCCTGCTCATCATCGGTGTCCCTGTCGGTCTGCCCGTCGTTACCACCACCACTCTCGCTGTCGGTGCCGCCTACCTGGCCGAGCAGAAGGCTATCGTCCAGAAGCTCACTGCCATTGAGTCCCTCGCTGGTGTTGACGTTCTCTGCTCTGACAAGACTGGTACTCTCACTGCCAACCAGCTCTCCATCCGTGAGCCCTACGTTGCTGAGGGTGTCGACGTCAACTGGATGTTCGCTGTTGCCGCCATCGCCTCCTCCCACAACATCAAGAACCTCGACCCCATCGACAAGGTTACCGTCCTGACCCTCCGCCGCTACCCCAAGGCCCGTGAGATCCTCTCCCGCAACTGGGTTACCGAGAAGTACACTCCCTTCGACCCCGTCTCCAAGCGTATCACCACTGTTGCTACCTGCGATGGTGTCCGCTACACTTGCGCCAAGGGTGCCCCCAAGGCTATCCTGAACCTGTCTGAGTGCTCCGAGCAGGAGGCCAAGCTCTACCGTGACAAGGCTGCCGAGTTCGCTCGCCGTGGTTTCCGTTCCCTCGGTGTCGCCGTCCAGAAGGAGGGTGAGCCCTGGCAGTTGCTGGGCATGTACCCCATGTTCGACCCTCCCCGTGACGACACTGCCCAGACCATCACTGAGGCCCAGGCTCTCGGTCTGTCCGTCAAGATGCTTACTGGTGACGCTATCGCTATCGCTAAGGAGACTTGCAAGATGCTTGCTCTTGGTACCAAGGTCTACAACTCTGAGCGTCTGATCCACGGTGGTCTCGCCGGTTCCGCCCAGCACGACCTCGTCGAGAAGGCTGACGGTTTCGCTGAGGTCTTCCCCGAGCACAAGTACCAGGTCGTCGAGATGCTCCAGCAGCGTGGTCACTTGACTGCCATGACTGGTGACGGTGTCAACGACGCTCCTTCCCTCAAGAAGTCCGACTGTGGTATCGCCGTCGAGGGTGCTACTGAGGCTGCCCAGGCTGCCGCCGATATCGTCTTCCTTGCCCCCGGTCTGTCCACCATCGTCGATGCCATCAAGCTCGCCCGTCAGATCTTCCAGCGTATGAAGGCCTACATCCAGTACCGTATCGCTCTGTGTCTGCACCTGGAGATCTACCTGGTCACCTCCATGATCATCATCAACGAGACCGTCCGCTCTGAGCTGATTGTCTTCATTGCCCTGTTCGCTGACGTCGCCACCATTGCCGTTGCTTACGATAACGCTCACTTCGAGGCCCGTCCCGTCGAGTGGCAGTTGCCTAAGATCTGGGTCATCTCCGTTATCCTTGGTGCTCTCCTCGCTGCTGCTACCTGGGTTGTCCGTGGTACTCTCTTCCTGCCCAACGGTGGTATCATCCAGAACTTCGGTTCTCCCCAGGAAATCCTCTTCCTCGAGATCTCTCTGACTGAGAACTGGCTGATCTTCGTTACCCGTGGTGGTAAGACCTGGCCCTCGTGGCAGCTGGTTGGTGCCATCTTCGTCGTCGATGTCCTGTCCACCCTCTTCTGTGTGTTCGGATGGATCTCTGGCGACTTCGAGCAGACCGACCCTGCTGACCGTGCTGTCTTCTCTATTCACGGTGATGTCGACATTGTCACTGTCGTTGTCATCTGGGCTTACTCCATTGGTGTCACCGTCATCATTGCCGTCGTCTACTACATCCTCACCAACATCCCCGCGCTCGACAACCTCGGCCGTAAGGACCGCTCCAGAGCCGACACCCACCTTGAGAACATCATTGGTCGTCTGTCCAAGCTCGCCGTTGAGCACGAGACTGACAAGAACGGTGTCTCGAGATACACTCTTGCCGCCCGCGCTCCCGAGGAGGAGGATGACGAGTAATCCTAAGACGGGCTACGCTCTTTTACCCGTTAATCTGCTCTGGTATTCCAGGCGCATCCAGCTTAAGCTGTTTCCCGATTCACATATTATAGACTTTTTATTATATATCCGACCTTGGTCATAAAGCTTGAACTTACTTTACATGTATGTATGTCAACTAATATTGGTAAATTTAGTCTCCAAGGATCAGAATTCAAGCTCGTTCTAATTACTTTTTTTCTTTTTCCTCGTATAACATTCGTAGTTTATTTTTTTTTTTTTAGACATAATTTCGTAGCCAACCTTGGTCTGCCAGTCTCTGGGTCAAAGTCTTTGTGTGGCCGCTGGTTCTCTCGGCTGCGCCCGGAGGTTGACCCCAGGAATCGGATAGACAGACAGACGGCTTTACCCGTTCCGGATTCCATTGCTTTCCGACCATCGATGCGCATCGACCAAGTATGACATGTCCTACGAACTCTATCATCCTGCGGTGGCTGTAGCCGGTACTGGAAGGAAGCATCTCTATGGCATGGGAATAGAATGGAATGTCATCGACGCCTGCATTCAGCCAACCAATCTGCAAGTCTACCCTAAATTAGTTGTAGTGGTTGACGTCGATTCTGAATCTGTCGGCTCAACTTGTAAGTATGAAAACCGGGATCGATGAGAGCCAGGGAGGTCAGTGCGATGCGACAGGCCCAGAACGAGTAGAGTAGGGAATGAATGAGCGAATGGATGAAAAGACGATATGATTTAAACGGTAATTCGGATCCGCATGGATGGAAGAAAAGATATGGATTATTCATTCATTCGTTTATTCGTTTATTCGCTCTAGAGGGATTAGTTATTGATATGTGGATAGACGCATACCATCAGGTGAATACCATATGATTGATCCGTTAGACCGATACGATAGGATGGGGATTTTGTTTCTGGAGGAAGGTTTTGGGTTTCTTCTTGCTTGTTTTTTCGCGCGGGGATGAATTAAGTCATGCATACATAACTAGGTAGTTACATGGATATGTACACATCATGCTTGCATGCGTGTGCGTGTGCGGAGAGGAGAGTGAGTGAGTGAGTGAGTGATTTATTTATAGTTCGTGGTGCTCTGTATTCTTCGTATTCGGGATGGATACGGGATACGAGGGGGTTATTTATTGGGTTGCTAGGTAGATAGATATATAGATAGATAGATAGATACGATAGGCAGGTAGGTAGGTAGGTAACTAAGTGATTAATTGGAATATGTACATAACTAATCGGATAATTGGGAGTTTTTGATGAGTATCATCGAGCGGTTCGCTCGTCCTCCTTCCTTCTCAGTGTCGCCTCTGATGAATCTTTTACATCAAGGTCGAAAATCAAAAAGGAAAAAAAAAATGTAGCAGTGATATCAAAAGTATCAACTTCTCTTGCTTTCCCAACGGCTCCGGAATTCATAGGGTGTTGATGAACTTCACCCTTCTTGCGAGAGCGTGTCCGGGACTCTTAGGATGTAGTTCGTCTCGAACTAGATCTTCACTATCATCGAGAATATGTGGATGTGAATTCAATCTTGTCGCCTGTGTTCTGTTGTGGGTTGCTGGCACGAGCTTCTGATCAAGCATCACATCCCATGGATATAAGCGACATCTGCCTGTCGCGGAAAGCCTGGTAGAACACTAGAATACCACTATGCCCCCTGTAGTCGGGCTGATGGGTTCTTCATCGTCGGGGCGCTTCGTGCACCCATCTGTGGGGACCATAGTGGTTCTGGTATTATTCAGATGGCCTGGTATATCTGAACCTGCTTATTTCAAGTCGTGTTCGACAGTGACCAACCACAATGGAACCAAATCTGGAAACTGTTGACTGTAGATAAATCCGACCAAAGCCTGATTGTTCCACGCTTGTATCCGCTATTAGCTTTCCTTGTCTTGGAATCGAGGGTGATGCTTCGATTTGAACTATGAGAGGGAACAAGAGAACCATAATACTTACCATCTTGTATGCATATAGGGGGTATGCATGGATGTCGCATTCGCAATCAAAAGCGCCGCTTCTGCGGAAAGCGTATATATCAGTTCTCTCAAGCCAGATATGTACGAGAGTTCAAAATGTCCACAGTCGCCCTATTGAGCCGCAAGGTATGCCTGCGCCGGGCGCGGGCTTGATTCCTTTTCGTCTCCACCAGTCCAAGGTAAATCATCGATCGGTGCCTGATGGGAAGAATCGATCTGAGAAAGTGGACTGCTCGACGAAAGGTCCATCCAGAGTAAGACGGCCATGTAAATGAGGCCAAAGAAGAGGATCGCCGGCAGAATCATGGACAGTCTGGCTCGGGTAGTTCGATAAGCTTGCCTCTGCGTTAGAGGCCGGATGTCGTTGTACTGAGAGCTCGGAAAGACGACTGGAGGAGCGTCTCCTGGCAGACGATGGCGGGACCAGTGTGCCATTCGGAAGGTTCCGAAAGATCGGTATCGCTCTTGGGAGTAGATAATAATAAAGAGTATGATGTGATATGATATGATATGATATGATATGATATGCGATCAATAAAACCGGCGACGATTATTGACTGTCATTGATTAATGAATTCGGAATCCACGAGAAATGTAGACCGAATATCTTCATCGAACCAAGTGCGTTTTTTTTAAAGAAAGTACGAAGCGAACAACCAAGAGAATGAGCGGTGTTGGCAAAGCGAGGACCGTGGTGTCTCGACTCCGGATTTCGCATGGCAGCCTATAACTAACTATTCGCATCGCATCTGCCTTAAGTAATATCAGGTCATCGGAAACAGAAAACCCCCCAAACGTACGACGTTTTACCATGCGTTTTGGCGGGTGAACTCTTTGCTCCCTGACGGGGGTGGAAATTTCTACCACGCGAGTAAGTAAATAGTATATAATATATTATATCTGGGAAGACGGTCTTAATGTGTTTTTCTAGAGAGTTGAATAAATCAGCCGGGTTCACCCGATGTCCTTACGAGCGCAAGAATCGAGTAACTGGAAAGGTTGATATTCAGGCTGATCCGGATTGAATTGCAGGAGCAATAACCGGTTGTCTCCGAAAGCCCAGAGATCCATTTCGGGGCTTTCAGGATGCTTCTTCCCGACTCTCATACTGAGGCAGAACAATGGATATCTATACCACAGTCATCACTGTAAAAAATCAATGTCGGATCACTAATTAATCTAATATCACCGGCGCCAACACTCGCTGGCCGAGATAAGCTCGGCATGTCGCTTCGGCTGCGTGATGGCCGTGCCGGTCGATAAAGAGCACAACGCTCGGCTTCTGCCGCCAGCCGCCGATAGCGGGACGGATGTTCGGCCGACAGTGGGTTGTTCAGTATCGCAATGGAGGGGTATATATTGCTCAAGAGGGGAAGCAATCTGAAGACGAGAGAGAGAGAGATAGTCGCGGTGCCTGTTGGTGTTCCAGATCACATTCATCATGTCGAGTACAACGAACCCGGGCATCAGAATCGCTATCGATAGAGGAGGCACTTTTTGTGATTTGTATGCACCCATTTTCTTCTTCCAGTGCTATTATCGCGAAAGCGACTCATGCTGACAAGTGATGTTGTAGCTGGGCGAGCATCCCCGGCCGTGAAGATGCCTTGATCTTCAAGCTGCTGTCAAACTCCCCTGGGGAGTATGACGATGCTCCCATCGAAGGAATCCGCCAGATCCTGGAGAAGGCCACAGGGAAGGAAATCCCCAGAGGAACACCTATCGATATCACTCCCGTGGAGTCTATCCGCATGGGAACGACAGTTGCGACCAAGTAAGCTGGCATGAATCTTCTCCAGTCTGACCCTGCTGACCCTTTTCAGTGCACTGCTCGAGAGAAAAGGAGAGCGCGTGGCGCTCGTGATCACCAAGGGCTTCCGTGACTTGCTCATCATTGGAAACCAAGCCCGACCCAGCATCTTCGACCTGTCTGTCTCTAAGCTGGACCGGCTGTATGAGAAGGTGGTCGAGGTGGATGAGCGCGTCACGGTGGAAGGCTTTGCCGAAGACCCCGAGCCCAAACCGATTGATATCAAGTCCGACCCCGATCTCGTCGAAGGTCTCACAGGTGAGGCCATTCGGATCCTCAAGAAGCCAGATCTAGACCAGGTCAAGAAGGACCTCCAGTCCCTGTGGGATGAAGGCTTCCGTACGCTGGCCATTGCCTTCATGCACTCATTCTCTTTCCCGGAGCACGAGGCCGCAGTGGCGTCCATTGCACGAGAGATGGGATTCAATGTCTCCGCCTCTGCAGAGCTCCAACCGATGATCAAGTTGGTGTCTAGAGCCCAGTCCACCACTGCAGATGCCTACCTTTCGCCCGTTATCACTGAATATCTCGAGGGCTTCCGCAAAGGCTTCAAGGGTAACCTGGAAGACGAAAACGCGAAGAAGCTACTCCTCTGTCAGTCGGACGGTGGTCTCACTTCCTTCTCCAGATTCACCGGTCTGCGTGCCATCCTCTCTGGACCTGCTGGAGGTGTGATCGGATGCGCCAGAACCTGCTACGACGATGAAGACGGAACACCCGTCCTTGGTTTCGACATGGGCGGTACTAGCACTGATGTCTCGCGCTATAGCGGTTCTCTAGACCACGTCTTTGAGACGACAGTCTCCCAGGTTGCCATCCAGAGTCCCCAGCTCGATGTACACACCGTCGCGGCCGGAGGCGGTTCCAGACTGTTCTGGAGAAATGGCCTCTTTGTGGTTGGACCCGAGTCGGCCGGAGCCTATCCAGGTCCCGCCTGCTACGGCAAAGGCGGTCCATTGACCATCACTGATGCCAACTTCTTCCTTGGCCGTATTCTGCCGGATTACTTCGCGCGGAAGTTGGATTTTGACGTCGTCCGTGAGAAGTTCCTGCAGTTGACGGAAGTGGTGAATGCCGAGAAGAAGGGCACCGAGAAATTGACCCCTGAGGAGGTGGCAATGGGTTTCCTGATGGTCGCCAATGCTGCCATGACTCGACCGATCAGAACGATAAGTGAAGGCAGAGGTTTTGAGACTGCTTCGCACAACCTCGTCTGCTTCGGAGGAGCTGGTGGACAGCACGCAACAGCCATTGCTCGCGATCTCGGTATCAAGCGTGTCTTGATCCACCGCTTCTCGAGTATCCTCTCCGCTTACGGTATGGCATTGGCCGATGTGGTTGTTGAGACACAGGAACCCGAGGCTACGACTTACGATGAAAACGCCGCTGAACGTATTGCCAAGCGAGCTACTCAGATGAAGCAGCGTGCTGCTCAGCAGCTCGTCTCCGAAGGCTTCACTGAGGAGCGTATTGAGCACGAGACCTTCCTGAACATGCGTTACAAGGGCAGTGACACTTCCCTCATGATTGCCGCTTCAGAGGGCTCTGGAGACTTCGCCGAATCCTTCGTCGCCCGGCATAAGCGTGAATTTGGCTTCACCCAGCCAAGACAGATCCTTGTTGACGATATCCGAATTCGATCCGTGGGCAAGAGCAAGGAGGTGAAGGTTACCAGTCCCTTCAAGCAGCTTCGAGAGATTGAGCGGTCCGCGGCCGCGAACCTGGAGCCGGCTCACATCCGAAAGGTCTACTTCGAGAAGGAAGGATGGGTCGATTCCAAGATTTTCCACCTCAAGGACGTCCCCAAGGGCAGCATTATCCTCGGCCCGGCCATGATCATTGACGAAACCCAGACTATCGTCGTTGACCCGGCAAGTGAAGCGACCGTTCTCCAGGAGCACATCCTCGTCCAGCTCCTGGATGCTGAGGTCAAGAAGGTTTCCGCAGAGGAAGTTGACCCAGTTCAGCTTTCTGTTTTCGGACATCGCTTCATGAGCGTTGCTGAGCAGATGGGTGAGACGCTCAGAAAGACGTCTATTTCCACAAACATCAAAGAACGTCTGGACTATAGTTGCGCCGTCTTTTCGCAGGAGGGAAGACTCGTCGCTAACGCTCCTCATATCCCTGCCCATCTGGGTTCGATGAGTTATGCCATCGCCTACCAAGCAAAGAAATACGGCAAGGATGGACTGAAGCCCGGCGACGTTATCCTGTCTAACCATCCTATTGCTGGAGGCACACACCTTCCCGATCTGACTGTTACTACTCCCGTGTTTGACGAGCAGGACCCTACTCGTATCCTGTTCTTTGTCGCGAACAGAGGTCACCATGCTGACATTGGAGGTATCATTCCCGGATCGATGCCGCCGAATTCCACGGAGTTGTGGCAGGAGGGCGCTGCCATCGAATCATTCAAGCTGGTCAAGGAAGGACACTTCGACGAAGAGGGTCTCAGATACCACCTTATCGACAAGCCTGCCAGCTACCCCGGTTGCAGCGGAACTCGTACCTGGAATGACAATATATCCGACCTCAAGGCTGGTATTGCGGCTAACCACCGGGGAATCCATCTCATCCAAGGTTTGGTCAGAGAGTACAGCTGGCCGGTCGTGCAATTGTACATGGATGCCGTCCAGAAGAACGCCGAAGAGACTGTCCGGTCACTCCTGAAGGATTTCAGCCGACGGTTCCAAGGACGCCCGCTTGAAGCTGTTGACTACTTGGACGACGGAACCCCGCTCGCGTTAAAGATTACCATCAATCCCGAGGATGGTTCTGCAAAGTTCGACTTCACTGGTTCCGGACCGGAAGCTCTGAACAACTTGAACTGCCCTCCGGCTATCATGTACAGTGGAATCATGTACTGCCTGCGTTCCATGATCTCCTCCGACATCCCGCTCAACCAGGGTTGCCTGAACCCAATCGACGTTATCTGCCCGCCAAACTCCATCCTGTCGCCCAGCATGAAGGCAGCAACTGTTGGATCCAACGTCGAGACGTCTCAGCGAGTTGTCGATGTCATCTTCAGAGCCTTCCGAGTTAGTGGCGCCAGCCAGGGCACGTGCAACAACCTGACGTTCGGTTATGGTGGAAAGGATGCCAATGGAAATGTTACCAAGGGCTTTGGATACTATGAGACCATTGCAGGCGGCGCAGGCGCTGGAGCAAACTGGGATGGCCAGAGCGGTGTCCACACGCACATCACCAATACCAGAATGACTGACCCCGAGACCCTGGAGAAGCGCTATCCTGTCATACTGCGCGAGTTTGCCATTCGCAAGGGCAGTGGTGGTGCGGGCAAGCATCGCGGAGGTGATGGGTGCGTGCGTGACATCGAACTCAGACGGCCGATGCAGGTCAGTATCCTGTCGGAACGCCGAGTCAACGCGCCCTATGGAATGGCAGGCGGCGAGGAGGGCCAGCGAGGTGTGAACTTGTGGATTCGCAAAGATCCCGAGGATGGCACCGAGAGAACCATCAGCGTCGGTGGTAGGGCGACCATGCAGATGAATACTGGAGACCGTATCATCATCTTGACTCCTGGCGGTGGTGGCTACGGCGTCCCAGAGGATAAGAAGGAAGCCGTGGAAGTAATTGGCGAATTTACTATTAACAGGCAGGCGTAGATATAGCCATGCCTTCTTACTTTTTTCGTTGGTTATGAGGAACGGTTGTATACTTTGTTGATTATGTTTGCACATTGGGGAAAATCGTTTACATAGCGGGAATTCATATTACGAAATGTTCTTTTCGGTTATAAATAAGAGAGGTTAAACAAGGTCCAGCTCCTGGGAATAGAGTGCTTGAATTAATGGAGTTTATTCTGGCGTAGTCACATATATCTAGACCCCGCTAGAAGTCATCGCGAATCAAACAGTAAACCCACTGATAGCTCCATAGTATACGAAGAGATAAAGCCATAGAAAGCAATTTCAAAATTGTAGCGAAAAGCATATTATTGCCTGCAAAGAAAGAAAGAAATTTTCGGATTCCGGACCAGATAAAAACTTATAGATTTATATACACGCATCAATATCAACAACGCTCAGCACCATGCAAGAAAGAAAGAAATATTATTTGCTATGTCATCAAACGATCGAAAACGACATATCATATCCGGGTTCCGTGCGCATAACCGGCGTCTAGTTCTTGGATGTGCGCTCTCTGAGAGACACCAAGCTCAGACGGCGGTGGCATCTTCGGCTCCGAGTAATAGTTGGCATTCCAATTGAAACCGGGGTATGGTGGTCTTGATAGATCCTGGATCTGTTCCTCTACAGCCTGTCTTTTCTTCCTCCGGAGGCAGAATATGATCGCTCCAGCTATACCTGCTACTGCGGCGGAGCCGACACCGACGCCAACGCCTATTCCGACCGCTGTGGTTTTGCTAGAACCGGAAGATGATGAAGATCCAGCACTTGGAATCTCTGAAGGGTGAGTGATGAACCCGGAACTGGTCGCCTTTGCAGTCACTTCGGGTCTAGTGCTGTTTGCTGTTGCTGTTGCGTTCATCGAAGAGTTTGTCATAGTTGTTGGCAGCGATATAGGCGACGCTGTAGATGTACCGTATACACCAGCGGTGGCAGTAACGGATGGAAGACCCAGTGCGAATTGCTCGTAGCTGGAATTGCTACAGCAGTTATCTGCTGAGCAGCACCATTTATCTACATGGGTGCCGCATTCCATGACCCACTCTCCACCTGTCACGCTCTCTAAGAAAAGACATCATAGTTAGTACTTATATAACAGTCCTTCCCTAGTATTATTTCCAACGATGGGATTGGGGTCTTCAATAATAATAACTCACCAATAATACAATGCGATCCACACTCCGGCGAAGCCCAGGTCTTATCCGTGCATGTCCCACGAATAAACTGGAGAGGATTCCCATTTACCCCATTCCACCAGTTTGCTGGCTGACAGAGGCCGTTGGACGTACAATAGAACCCTTGTTCGCAGCAGACGCTCGCAGGAGCGGTCAGATTGCAAGGTTGATCCGACGTTAGAGTGCCATCGGGAGTGTAGCATAGAGTGGCGGAGACGAAGGTTGTGATGTCGAGTATAAAGGATGAGAGAAGTAGATAAAGGGAATGACGATGATTGTGATGGGTTGATGGATACATCTTTGCCTTTCTTCGTCTCGTTCTTTTGTTCTTTTGGCCCTTTGGTTCCGGACCCTTTATCCGCCTGCGGATTGCTAGCTGCGTGTATTTCTTCTCGAGGGAATGTAATTCGAAATATCGCAGTATGTCCAAAGTATAGGGTTAAATCGACAAGCGAAAAACCAAAATCATTAAACTAAATAAATCATAACGACCCTCGCGGTACAAGGAAGAAGGGAGGGGAAAGAGAAGAGACAGAAACAGAAAAGAGACGAGTCCCCCTGAGCGCGACAGAGAGAGAGAGAGAGACTCACACCATGGTCCAAGCAGTATCATTCATAATGCCATCTCAAAATTGCGGCACAGCGCCCTCCAGGGTGATGGCTGCATATTTTCCGTTTTGAGAAGGGATCCGATACCTTAGCTTGGACACACGGCGCTTAGAAGTCTCGTTGGCAACCAACCACATCACAGAGCCTATTGTTATCGCATTAGCTCGTCACAGAACACACTGCATGGGGGACAAATTTAGTGACACAAGCACTTTGTTTTTTCGACATTGGTTGATCGCCTGCATGCACCAAAGCGCCTGGGGTCAACTTGGCCCGGCGCGTAAGGAGGAGTGGTTGTCCTGGCTGTATCTATAACCTATGCGAGTCACCACTGAGACAGAACTCAGGAAGGAACGGACCTTCTGGAGGAGAGAATGATCAAGCTTTACTCCGTACTTAGAAACTAGTTGATTACAAATATTGACTACTTGACTATATAAACATTCGATAATGTCAACCCAGAAGCGATATACCCCAACCCAAATTATATATGACTCGAGTATATAGAATGGCAGAAGCACAATTTTGTGGATCTCTATGCCATGAAACGTGCAGACGAAACCAAGTAGCATAATACCCAGCGTCATTAAACATGGTGTCTGCAAGAACCAAAGGTCTAATCCCATAGAGCCTTGGATATGACCACTGACCGAGATAGCTTGCCTTCAGATAGCGAAAGTAGATCTCGCTCGTAGCTTCGCACCGTAGAAATATAAGACGAACAGTCCGATCTGGAATCGCTCATTGTTAGTCACATAAATCCTACACGGCCATTTCACAGTTCATAACAACGATAAACAGGCAAAATACTTGGGCACTTACGACACCTAAGACACTCAGCCCGGCTAGAAGACTGATTCCTCTCGCCACACCAAGGTTGATGTACATCGGTCGAGAGAATAAGATCGCGCCGAATGCGAAAGCCGACCGGGCGAAATCATTACCAGCAAATAGCGATGCGGCATACTGCGGATAAGATAGTGGGATGTAGACGAAGATGCACTGGAGAACGATGAATGCCGAAGCGCCATAGATGACGATGCCGATGATACTGACGATCCAGTGAACTGAGGCTCGGGCCGTCCAGCCTGTACATAAGTCAGATATTATTGATTCCACTCTTGTTGATTGTCATGGCATGAGAAAAAGTCAGGTGCAGAATCAGAACATCACCTACCGAATAAGAAAAGCCCAATAACGGGCCCAAACACAGCGAACAGAGCAGGTACAAGACGTGACTCCTGTGCTCGCAGCCCGTTCTTCAAGATATCGGGAATGAGATAAAAGTAAAGATAAGAAATGTAAATCGCAGCAGCAAGTACGCACGCGACGATAATGCACACGAAGGTCGTGCTGGTCAATCCGAGATTGAAACCGTAGATGGGTGGATAGACCAAAGGAAACACCTCGAAGAAGGAATAGTAAATCCCATATATGAGAGATGTGTAGACGTTAGTGAATAATACTGCTGGGTCTTTAACCATGATCTCAATCGGCTTTATCAAAGCGTCGGCAAGGATCGAACTGAACTCGATGCCCTTCCGGTCAATTTCTGTTTGGGAATGGATTTTAGGATTCCCAGTCAGCTTTCGTAGTCGTTTTGCTCTTCGTAGGAGGATATTATTGGCGGAAGTCTCTGGTAGGAAGAAGAACATGATTCCGAAAACAGGACCTGCCATCCAGAGGATCTCCCATAAGGCCCAGCGCCAACTATCATGGTTTTAGTGAAGTGTATATTTCATCCGGGAAGGATATTCTCTTACTTTTCTGCTGTCACTGCGAACGACGATATTAGGGGACCAAGAGCCGGTCCACAGTATGCTGAGGATACCCACGCTGTGAGTAGCATAGGCAAGACAAGCAAGTTGTACTAGCTACAGTCAGTGAGTGATCATGAATTCGAGGATACTAGACCTACCATGTCTTGCATTGAGGCACCTCCAGCGGCTAGACATGGACTGCCAAAGAATCCTTGGAGGAAACGAAGAACCAATAGCCCTGCTAGATTATCCACTAGAGCGGTGGGAATGGAGAGGACTACAAATAGGAAGAATGTCGTAATATAGGGTATGTTTCTGCCGAAGACAGGCACCTCGCTCAAAGGTGACCATATCAGAGGTCCTAGGCCGTCTAGAGTATGTTAGTAGTTTCTTGTCTCAAAGATGGTGGCTACACTCACAAGCAACAACATATAAAGCAAGACCAAGGGAAGCCTTTGTCTGCTGGACGCCGAATCGCTGCATGATCTGTCTGTGTGGTGTTAGCAAAAATCGCAGAGTTTACTGCTTCGTACACATCGGGATGCCTACTGTTCGGCAGGGACATAAATAGAAGAAGCAGTATACACCACGAAGGTATATAAACTATTGCATCAAATCAGCAACAATACCCAGCATCGGCGAAGGAAGTGTCCCTCACCATATCTGCAAAGCAGTAAAGGCCTTCTTCTTCGAAGACCAATTCTGCGGATTTGCAGGATCATCTGTCGTATACCAGTCCACCAGAATTAGACCCTCTTTTGTTCTCTGCGGCGCAACAGACAGACTTGTTCTTTTCTCCAAGGCTGCTTCTTCGTCTAGCGCCAGTCGTTCCTGCGAAAAGGTGGCCGTCTGCGTGCGAGAGCTGACTCGCGATGCCTCGATATCACCATCGACGTCTCCATTTGGCCCGTTCTCTCGCTTTTCGCTGATCGATGGCCGAGACGGTGGCGTGGGATATTCCTCCTCTACTGGAACAGCAGCGTCCGAATTGAGGTATGCTTCTGGAACGACGAACCCTGGAAGCTCTTCTGGATAGAGAAAGACTTTATTCCCTGTTAGCCAACGGAGGAGTTGGGCGAAGGGAGCTTCACGAATTGTATCCATGCTAGCGACTATGAACGACTATGTCCGCCGGAGGTGTCAAGAACGTAAGAGAAGAGAGAGACAAGAGAAAAATGATAGAAAGCTCTCAACAGCTTCATGAGGAAGAAAACAAAATCAGAACCTCGAAAATATCACTGGGAATCCGGGAATTTAACTTGAAATCTAGGTCTTTCGTCCGTCTCTCCATCACGGCACACATGTCGCACCATCCTGCGATAGTAACCGTCATCCATATGATTTCTAATTCCAGCCAGCATCAGCTAGCTGAGTAAAAGGTAATGGTAAATAATCTTCCCGATATAAGCAATGCCCAAAGGATCCGTCCGATAGCGAATCTCGTAGAAGGCTGACATCGGCTCTGAGTCAGAATGAAGAACTTTGCTTTTTGATCCACATATCGATGAAGAAGGGGAATCCTTGTTAGAGAACCATACGTATCTGGTTGTCTGTTTCTCGATAGTCAGCAGCCATGTGGGCAGGTGATTGGACGATTGTTGAGATGCCTTTGTGTATCTCATCTCAGCTGGAAGGGAGATCAATAGATAGGCAAGTAATCGCCGAATTAGTAATAACTTTAATGGTTCTAATTAAATAGCCATATCTACTTGATGATAAATCGGACGGTGTTACGGACGAAAAAGTGCGACAGATCGCCAATCGGTTTTTGCCAGTAATCATCGAATCGGGCGGACACAGTGAGATGCTAAGATGCGCAGCCTCATTTTTTGGCCCCAGTGACCTCTAACAGTAAGATTACAAATTCAAAGACAGAGAAAAATTAGAAAGAAAAATAGGTATAAAGATCCATTGCAAAGCCCTCGAGCAAGCGTTGGACCGAAGGTGTCTTAACATTGGCTTTAAATCCGGCATATGAATAACGCATTAGATATTTCATCTCAGAAGGACCAAAAGTAGTCAATACATGGCCAAAAGTAAACAAAGGCCCATGATGAGTGCATTAGGCAACCTGACGTGCTCTCTTTGGTGTCTCTTAGCTTGAGGTCAAGTCTCTAAATATTTCGAGAGAGTTCGCCAGACAGATATACCTAGCATCTCGTGAAAATCTAGCCATGCTGGGCCCAATGGTCCAGGTAAAAATGACAAGCCATGAGGAATGATCGACATCGACCATATCGAGAATTTGGATACTACGGGCAGAGTGAATTGGCCCGTGAGCAAGAGACTCGAGAAACAATCGAATATCTCCGAAATCTCTTGACTGGAACCGTCTAGCATTGTTGTGCGATATTTTCCGTACTGCTGGGATGGTTTCGAAGCTAATGCTCCCCGAGGACATCTGAAACCTCTGCGGATACCCTCTATCTCGTATTGCGCAAGATTAAATCAAAATTTGATTTTTATGCCTACAGTACATGGGACTAGTCTACCAGGCATCTGCGTTTCAATGATGAATTTGGCTCTCCAACCAGTGCAGTGCCCAGGCAGGAGAACAGCAGGATCGAGCTTCCTGAGATCATTCACTGCACTCTCCATATGTGACTCCTCGCTCGTGGCTAGATGAAACCCACCGACAACAGCGTGTAGTGGCGTAGAGCCATTGAGAAGCGAGAGTGCATGTTTGGAAGAATTTACTACTCCGGCATGGCTACAGCCAGTGAACATGACAATTCCTTTGCCTAGCGAAACCGGCAGATTAGCTTAAAAACCTAACACGTACACAACAATTGACGATCAGATTGTGCATACCTTTCAAGTTACACATCAGGAATCTCTCATCCGCTATCATCTCATCAGAAAACCAGTCTCCATCTTCCTTGTCGAAGCGCATTGCTCCCTTCAGGCCATGCTCATACGGTGTGACCCGCGGTATTTCACCAGAGATCAAAAACATGTCATCTAGGACGGTATGGGCCTCGCTGTGCTTGTTAACAGTGGCCCCAGCTTTTTCGATCTCTTCAAATGTGGGATCAGCCTCTAATGAGATGATATTGTCGCCGATCCCTATACCACGATAGTCTGGTCGCGATGGATGAAGATCGACAACCACGCTCGTATCAGAAAGCTCTTTCTCTTTCTTGGCTTCTCTGATCATTTGAATGGCTTTAAGCATACCACCTACGATATTGTCAGGAGAAGGATGATCTATGAGACCCCGAAATATCTGAGAGATTACAGGGCCTCTGGATAAAGACAAAAGTACTGACCTGAATGATCCCGATGCCAATGTGATAACTGGATCACCTCGACAGATGATAGGTCTACTCGCAATCTCTTTGCATTTCTCTCGAATGCCGCTTCCTCCGGGCCCAAGTCGAAAAGTAAAGAGTGCTTCACATCCCCCCTTGTAGCGGTCTAGACGTACGGGTTAAGTACTTTCTATCTGCGCCTGTAAATAATTCGTAACTTACCACTAGGATAGACAAGCCATGTGCCGAGCAACAAATGTCTTCCATGCGTATCTCCCTTGACGCATCGCCACGGTCATGTAGTTTATGAGGAGACCTTGTTGCCAAATGCTGCATTAGACCCGTTACCTGAACAGTATCTGGCGGAACAGGAGACATCGGATCCAATTCATTGTCGATGATGACCACCGCCTCGAGCGAGTCGACCTCAACCAGAGGCAATGACCCAGACATGAGAACACTGTATTATAGAACAAATAAAACAGACAGAGATCGTTCTATATAGTAATCAGGTCCAACTATAAAAGACTGGATGACTCTGTGGCGCGCTGTTGAATAATGTTGGAAACAAGTAACGGTCTTTGTTGTTGGCCGGAAGGGCGTGACGTATCTCCATCTGTGCGCATCATTGGCTCCGATACGATAAGTTTTCTAATCGTAAGAAGCACGAATTACCCCGCGAAGTCGAGATGCACACAAAGATAACATCAACAGGGGCATTTTTACATGTAATCCTTACATTTCACGGGTAGTATTTGAACTTCATATGCTTGTTCATTCATGCCGCGCAAATCCGCGTGACGGCTCGGCTGTCTACATAGAAAAAAGAGACCTATTTAAAAGAAAAGATATGTAAACACGTCGATAATTTACGCGATATCCTTTTCGACGGCGGAAGAGTTCATAGGCCGTATTAAGAATACCCCAGTCGCTTCATCTCCAAGGCGACTTGCTTCGTTGCCGCCAGCGCTTGCTTGCTCCAAGGCGCCATTTGCAGGAATCCATGACACAGGGTATCGAAATGATGCCAGATAATCTGGTTACCCGCATCTTTAAGGGTCGATGCATATTCAATTCCAACATCACGAAGGCAGTCAAAGCCACAGGTAAAGACGGCAGCTGGTGGGAGTCCCTTCAGTGCCGAAGAAGGCTGCGAACCGGGCGTTATGTAGCGGTGCGAAGGAGCGACAGAGCCTCCACGAGGAAGGTAGTGAGCTGCAAAAGCGAAAATGCCATTGCCTGCATGGTGATTATTAGATTCCCCTCTGACAACCAGTACCGGGAAGGAGGACGGCTTCTAAAAGTACCGATACAGTGCGACAGAGATAGTATATGGGACTTACATTCTAGATACGGTCCGCCAGTATTCTCTGCTGCAGCCGACGTATCAAATGGTAGCCTTGTCTCCGGATATAAGAGAAATTGGGCATGAAGAGGCTTTTTGCCTTGATCCAGTCGTCGCAAACATAAGCTGGCAGTCATATTTCCGCCTGCACTGTCACCGCCGCCCATCACTCTGTCTGGACTGACACCCATTTCTTTTCCGCCCTGACCTTGCAACCAGTCAACCACGAAGTCATATTCATCCAGCTGTGTTGGGTATCTCCATTCAGGAGACAATCTGTATTCGACCGCGTAGACTTGCACGCCGGCCTCTTCGGCCAGAATGCGACAGCCATTCTCGAATTCGTCTACCGTTCCAATAGTATAACCTCCTCCATGGAAATAGACAAGTGCAGCGGCATCGTCAGCGCGTGTTCTGTCCTCCCCAGATTCCGGGTAGAACACGCGAACCGGGATCGTGCCGTAAGGACCGCGGAGGGTGACGAACTCAACGTGTCCTATCGGGGCGCGCTGCTCTTCGGGCAGGGCATGGAAGCCAAATACGCGTGTGTGATGTTGACGCTCGTGGGTGAAGTCTGTTGAACCGAGATGAAGATCGGGGTTCTTTGACAGGAAAGCCTCGATTTCCTTGTCCAGTTGGGTGCGCGTCCCTGTTTTGGGGATCGAACCCATATTAGCAAACAGCTAAGAGGTGAATTCCTGTCTCACACAGCTTGAAGCAAAACCGAAAACGTTTGATGAGTAGGTAAGAGAGCAATGGCCTGCGACATTTTATTATGATGGCTCTTAATGAACATCATGTTCATACAGACGTCATCCGGTCAGTCCAACCATCTCCACCAGAAGAGATGGCACGATCCATCAATTGAATAACTAGTCCAAGTCTTCGACCGGATGCTGTCTGAAGAGCAAGTTAATTATCTCGCAGGAAATGTTTGCGGTCGTCGCGATGTACCCCAGACTCGGCCCCCGGCTTTATTACCCCGCCCGGCAAGCAAGCTACACGAACACATAAAACGGCATAATAAACAAATTGCGCTTGTCGATCGAGGGGACCCGGCGCCAACAGGGTGCGTCTTTAAAGCGCTTCACGCGAACAGCCCCTGAGGAGAGAAATGACTCCTCATTTTTCCAGGGGTGGCGCGGCTGTCACAGAAGCTGTCAACGTCTCGCGAGACGAAACATCAACAAGCATCCCTGATTGACGCGATCGACGAGCTATGCGCTTCTTCTCTTTCTTTTTGATATGTAGCACTGCTCTGCTTCTCTCAGTCCAACCAGCAGGAGCATCCCTTTTAGATATTATTTCTCCCAACTGCATTAGGCTTCTTACGACGATCAACGGCCGCACAGACACGCTATTCTCCGCATACCAGAAGGAGATCTGTTCGAAAGGATGTACGCCCTCCGTATCCGATTGGGATGAATGGACCTACGAAAACGTCTTCCTCCCCACCGTCGAGGCTCTCGTCGTGCAGACAGGCATGACGTCCACAGTACGCGACAGGTTCCTTGAGATGGGCAACGACGTCGCGACCATGGTGAAGAGGGACTGTCGACAGCTGCTACAAGGGAAGCACTTTTGCGCAGAACCAGAAGCGTTGCAAGACTGGGGGAAGTGCTTCAAGACGCGTTTCGTTACGGTCGCCATCAAGAAAGGGGTCAAACTCTTACCCTTCATTACGAACGCGGAGATCTGTCGGAGGGAGTTGCTCTTTTTCGACAGGGATGAGTTGTGGCATGTTATCTTGCCGGGTTATATGCGACTGTATGCGGCAACGTGTCCCAAGGACGAATTGTAGTTGATACCAAATCTTCTTGTGGTATATCCCACGAAGCAAATGGAATGACATACTCTTCTTCCTTTGGCGCCGAGCTGAGATTGATACGGACGGGAGGATAGTGACGCTCCCCTCCTGATGCGGTTGTGCGTTCCGTGAACTCGATTTTTGGCGCGATCATACAGGAGACAGATGATCTCGATCCTGGATAACTTCACAAGCGGACCCGATTTATGTCAGCAATGATATTGCGCAGCTGACTTTGGCGATGATTACGACGGTGAATAATGGTCATATTCCATCCAGTAGACATGTGCTGGGCAACTCAGTCAAGCTGAGTGGCGACGATGTGGATTCATATTGCCCTTGCAATTCAGTGGTCTGCAATAATAATACTACACAAAACGTCTTATCATCCTACAGTTTCCTTTGAAGAAGTAAGCTACGTCAGAAGTCTAGAACTCAGAATCGTGCGCCTGTCAGGCGGTTGAGCTGTCTATAGCGCTTACCTCGCCCATGCGTATGTCTAACTGTCAACTGAACACGGGGGCGCTAGCAGAGCAATCACTTGAGTTGTGGCTTGTCGAGTACCAAGGTGAATATCCATATCATGGTTCGTCGTCCAAAATTCCGACAGTCTGGAATCTTATAGACCGGTTGAGATGTGCGATTACCTATCTGGCAGTGCTTGGTGTACTCCTCCTCCTCCCCCCCCCTCAAAGCGCTGGTAAATTTCCAAGATATAGTGTAGCCCAGAGAGAGACGACTTGACGAGATATTACTTCATCGTAAAAGCAATACATACCATATTGATGAGGTTTGCCGAACCAATCGACATCCCCTGTTATTGATACCCGATATTGATTCTTACATCGGTGAGATTGTCTCTGGTCCGCCTCTTCACCCGGGATACGTAAATTAACTAAATAGGTTCGATCTGTATCGTAAAAGTCCGTGCAAGACTGCAATGATATGCTTATCAACCCCTCTCGGATGTCGGCTCCGATGTAGACCTATCATGATGCATTCAACCGGTATACCTTTTGACGATCCATGGAGCGAGAGACTCCTCATATGCTTTCTCAATGATTAGTCAATGGTTTAATCAGTTCAACACCAAGCCTAACTAACTATATCAATAAATCCTTTGAATCAGGTTCACAAGATCAAGCTGCCAAAATGGTGCAAATATACAAATACCATCTCCCACCCACAAAGCTCATTCCCAACTCTCCACAACCCTTACTCCATTATAAAGGAATATTATCCGACTCTGAACTCCATCCCGAAAATATACACGAGAGATTCCACGAGAACGATTGGAAAACACAATGGATATTCAGATACGGTCCAACACAAGAATCTCACTACCATTCAAGGATCCATGAGTGCATGGTCGTCTTGACTGGGACGGCGACCATTCGGTTTGGGGTCGCTGATACGGACCCTGACCTCCATAAAAGCACTTGGGGTGGCGCCAAAGAGGATGGTGGAGTTGAGATCAATGCAAAGGCCGGTGATGCCTTTGTAATTCCAGCTGGCGTGGCGCACAAGACACATAATACCAGCCCGGCTGCTTCGTTTGCCTTACTTACGCCTGGTAAGGGACGGGGGGTCGAAGCGTCTGATGTGAAAGAGGCGTTGTCGAAGATAGAACTTACGGGGTTCACTATGATGGGAGCATATCCCAAGAATTGCGGTCATTGGGATGTCGCTGTCGGTGGGGATCATGATGTTGGAAACTTTGAAGCTATATGGACTGTTGCGAAGCCAGACAAGGACCCAGTGCTTGGTGACTCTCCGGGTGGTCTAGCTGGGCAATGGAAGGACGTTCTTATTGAACCGTCCACGAGGAGAAAGCCGCAGGCAAGGACCTAATATGTGCTCGGTCTGGAGTTCTTAAAAACAAATGCTGTAGTCGGCTGCTTTGAAGACAGTACAGAATACAACCTTAGCATTATCTAGCAGCCCTTCTATGCACTGCTAATATGCATATTATGACAGGATTCAAGCAGTCCGGCACCAGTGCTCTCTTCCTCCATGCTAGTTCTAAAGAATCGTGCCCTGTCATGAGAGCGGTTCATTGATGGTGATTTCTTGATGCCAGCTCCCGCAGCCTGGCGATAAGAAGATTCGAAGAGGGGCAAATTCTCGCCCGAGCTTAAGTAACTCGGCTTTCCAAACACCACTAATATCAATATTCATCTTTTGCATATCAGCGCGGTTTACTGCCCGTCTACGGGCTGTCAACTTCCGGGGTATAACAAATTGCTGCTTCAGGCTGCGACGTTTAAGATGATGGAATAGCTTATCGCTTAGCCAGACCTCAGACTCGAAAGACCGCCAGAACTATATTCCAAACATGACAGCTCAGACTATTCCGCCAAGAGTACTCCTCATCGGCGCGGGGAGTATCGGAGCAGTTTACTTGTATCAATTGCAGCAAGCAGGATGTGAAGTCACAGCCGTCTGTCGCTCAAACTATGCCCATGTCAAGGAAAACGGCTTCAAACTGTTGAGTGTTCGATATGGAAATGTCACATACCGTCCCAGCAGAACTATTCGCAGTCTTTCTGAATGTGCAGACGAGATCTTCGATTTTATCCTTGTCTGCACCAAGTCCTTTCCGGGCAGCAAGCCTTCCCTACCTGAAATGCTCGCGACAGTCATCCGAAACAAGAGCACGGCGATTGTACTTGCTCAAAATGGCATTATGATTGAGGAAGAAGTGGCTCAGGCGTTTCCGGAAAATCCGATACTCAGTGGAGTCATATACCTTCCTGCTGTGCAGACCGAGCCCGGTACGATTGAGTACCGCGAGACGCTCAACCTTCTTGAGCTCGGCACGTATCCTGCAGATGCTCCTGCAGACCACAAAGCAGCCGCTCTCAATTTTGCAGACTTGATGGTCAAAGGTGGAGGCAATGCCAAGGTCCTAGAGGATATCCAAGTTGCCAGATGGTCTAAATTGTTGTTGAACGCCGCCTGGAACCCAATCTGTGCATTGACGCTGTGCTCGGACGGTGACTTCTTGCTCTCATCTGAATTTGCAGAGGAGTTGGCCTGGGAAGTCATGCTGGAAGTCATCGCCCTAGCAGATAAGGTCGGTATCCCAGGGATCACAGTCGAGGTCGCTGAGAGCAAATTTAGCATCGCGAAAAGGAGAGCAAAGGAGGGCACAGGGCGAGAGATGAGCATGCTTCAGGACATTAGACAAGGGAGGATGTTTGAAGTCGAAGCTATTATCGGGAACGCGGTTCGATTGGGACGGAGACACGGTCTGAAGATGCCACGGCTCGAGACCTTTTATGCACTTCTCAAAGGACGATATGAGGCCCAACTCAAAGAACTACGGCACGGTTCTGCCTTGAAATGAAGAAAACTACCAGAGCCGTTCCGAGAAAACTTATATAGACTTTCCATACCCAAAGACATGGACAACTAAGGTCGCGTCCGTCTGCAAAATAATAGATAGATGTATTCAGCGTATCAACGATCAATGGACATAATTAGACCTCACAAGATCCTCGCTGCTGAAGAATCCAACACTTAACATGAATCAACATCACATCCATATTATCTCGGGGATTGTTGTTGTTGCTCCGAGAACGGAAGCCGAGCGCCGAAAGAAAGAACGGCAGATGACGACAGGCCGACATCTCACGATGAACTTCATCCATCTTCGTTTTATCTCTCACCAACGCTGCAGGTTCGCCATGGACTGGCTTGATCCTGGACACGTTCGTTCTTCCCCAGGCTCTTGAATGGGCTTTTTAATCCCGTCCTATTTCTGCTTAAGACAGCAGCCTACGCCGCAGAACAATGGCTGCTGCGAGGCCAATGCGCTCCAGCTGTCTGCGATGGTCGCATGCTCGACCATGCGCAAATAAAATACAGACATTGCGATTTCCGACACGCAGATACATCCATCCCAATGAATTCCAGCCCTTTGCGCCTCCTGCTCCGAGCTCCTTGGGCAAAGCGACCCCCGCAAAGACATACGATCGCACACGAAAATGGCTACGACGGTTATTCTACTTCACTGTGACTGCGGGCATAATCTACGGCGTCGATAGACAGTTCTATTCGTCGTCCCTGCTTCGAACCTCACGCACCTTTGGCCTGGGTCTGGTGGTCGCTTTGGATTACAAGATCAATTTCCGCCCGAACCCGCCATTCGCCGAAAACATAACGGCTGTACATGCGCGCAATGCGGAACGTCTATCAAGTCTCCTGCGTCACAATGGTGGGCTATACTTGAAGATGGGACAGGCAGTCGCGCTGCAGTCGGCTATTCTGCCGCCGGAATTCCAGAAGATGTTTTCGCGCATGTTCGACGATGCACCGCAGGATGAGTGGAAGGACGTCGAAAAGGTGATCAGGGAAGACTTCGGGAAACCAGTCGAGGAAGTATTTGGCGTTTCATTCAGTGGCGACCCGAAGAAAGGCGTCATGGAGCGGAAAGCTAGAGCGAGTGCCAGCGTGGCTCAGGTACACTGGGCGAGACTGGAAGATGGCCGGGAGGTTGCGATTAAAATCCAGAAGCGAGAGATCGCGCAGCAAGTCAAGTGGGATCTTTGGGCTTTCAAGTATGACCATTGCATGCCATTTCCATGTTTTATCACAGCGCTAACAACTATACAGGGTGGTCGCGTGGATCTACAGCAAGTGGTTCGATCTCCCATTCTATAACCTAGTTCCCTTCGTCAGTGAACGGTTGCTCCTCGAGACAGATTTCGTGAATGAAGCGGATAACTCAGAAAGGATGGCAGAGCTTGTGGCTGGGGAATCACGTCTACGGGACAGGGTATACATCCCCCGGGTTTACCGAGAGCTGAGCTCTAAACGCGTCATGACAACGGAATGGATCGAAGGCGTGCGGTTGTGGGACAAAGAGTCCATCACGAAGCCATGGCAAGGATCCTGGAGACAAGGCAGTCCTGGCAGTCATGGAACGCCACTGGATCCTCCAGGCCGCCAACCCGCCCTCCAGTCCATCGCCAGGAGAACAGGCTTTGATATGATCAAACCGGAGCGCAATCATTGGAAAGGCTGGAAGGAGCGTGGCGGACTGGGCCTATCTGTGAAAGATGTGATGCAAACTATGGTCGATCTCTTTTCCGCGCAGATATTCCTTTGGGGTTGGGTCCATTGCGACCCTCATCCTGGCAACATCTTCGTCCGACGCCAGCCTTCAGGCAAGGCAGAATTAGTGCTCATCGATCACGGACTCTATATCCACATGGACCCCACACTCAGACACCAATATGCTCGCTTCTGGAAGGCTCTCTTGACTTTCGACAACAAAGCTCTTGGTGAGATCACTCGCAGCTGGGGTGTGAACAATCCCGATATCTTCGCTTCCGCAACTTTGATGAAGCCCTACCGCGGCGGAGACCTATCAACAACGAAGAGTCTCGAGGGTCTCAGCAAGAGCGAAAAGGCTCAACGCTTGTATGAAATCCAACAAGCAGCCCGCAAGGGAATCCGCGAGATCATCGGTGACGAGCGGAAATGGCCACAGGAACTCCTCTTCGTCGGCCGTAATCTCCGCATCGTACAAGCCAACAACCAGTTCCTAGGCTCGCCTGTCAACCGCATCAAAATTACTGGAACATGGGCATCCCGTGCACTCGTCGAGTCTCCAGACTTGCCGTTGAATGAGAAAATCGCCAATTTCGGCCGACATATTGTCTTCAAGATGGTCCTGTTCACAACAGACGTCTTCTTCTATTTCACCAAGATCAGGCAGTTCTTCCGCGGGGGAGGTGGTATGGAAGACGATATTGAAGCCCATATGCAGGTAATGGCGAAGGAGATGGGGGTGGAGTTGCAGCAGAACATATTCGAAGGGTGATATATCTCACTGCAAATTTAAGTGATGAAAGAAACTATATATAGAGATCTAGACACGTCGTGGAGGTTTTGTATAATAGAGACAGATAGAAAGATCTAAAGTTGGGTAGAGTAGTCTCCCTTCTCAATTATATTACTTTCATTATATATCAAAAGCAGAATCAATTAAGCATGCAATATTCACAGCTAGTGCCAACCCAAAACCAAATAAAAAAAATTATCATTATTATCTTAGAATCAAATGAGATGGGGGGGTATAATGTATGCGCGCGTAAAGACAATAAACGTCAGATTCTTGGGCCACATGGCTTATCATTAAACACATCTCACATCACACATCTCACACATCACAATTTTTTTTTTTGGTCAGCTACTAAAAAAATCACTAGGTAGGATTAATGATGCTCCCAACGGCCATATCCAGCAGGCTGCCATTCCTGTCCTGGATAAGCAGTACTGGACATGACGATTTCTTCGCTGGAGTCATCTTGGCGAAGAGGGAGCTCAACTGGCTCTGTCGTCCTGTTGATGACGGCACTCTCGTCACGGTGGGGATGGGTAGAGAAAGGTACGACGGCGTTGACGTTTTCCCTTGATGGTCTGGCAACGTCTGATTCTGGTTCGAAGCTGAACCTGCGGGATTCGGTTTCGTTGTCGTGTGCGGTTGCAGCACTAGTTTTGTTAACTGTTGGCGATGGTTTCATCGGTGTCAGATGGTAATGTTGTTGGACTGGTCCCTGGCGGGACTGGTCAGGGCGAGATGTTATTGATTCGGTAGAATAGGGAGGATTCAGTCCGGCGGAGCGCTGGAGTCTGGTCTGATTATGATGCGCAGTGTGACCAGAGCTGTCATTGTCTTGCGTTTCGCCAGGAAGTGTGATATTCCAAGGTGTTTCTTGATCGCCAACACGTTCAGTGTTGGGCACGGACTGGAAAATGCCCAAATTAACCGCAGGATCAGAGTAGTCAATAGACGGTATCGTACTGGTGTCAGGTTGTGGTGAATAGGATATTGGACTCCTCGAACGTATGCGTAACTCGTCAGTATAAGACCAAGCACGCTCTTCTCCCGTAGCATCTCTCATTTGATACGAAGGCGAAAACGTATTCCGAAGGGGCGGAGATTGTGCAGAGATATTTGTTGAGCTTGTTGAAGCGAACTGTTGGTGTTGAGGTCGAGGGTGGTAGAGATGTGGAGATTGGGAAGGCGTATGAGGTTTATTCTGAGCATAATATTGTCCTGCGAGTATATTATGCTCTGAAGTACGTTGCTTTGCCAGTCGGTGACCCCCTAGGAATCCTGCGGGCTCCTGACCACTAGTTATAGTGGGTTGGCCCATGGATTGCCGTGAACCGTTTGAGATATGATATGCATTGCATAGTGGGGAGCCTTGTTCAGGTGGATGCAGAGTAGTTGGATTTCTAGTGTTTAACAGTTCACGCGATTTTCGACGTCCATTTCTCTTGCGCTCGTCCACATCTTGCTGAGCCGGGGAGGATGAACGACCAAAAAAGCCCTGGAATACATGTATCAATTAAACGAGCATTTTGCATTGCAGTCTGGCCAATGTACTTACACTGATCCTAGCAAGAGTTCCTTTCTTAGCTCCTTCTGGGGGTTTCGTATCCGTTACCGGCAAGGACAACCGATGAAGTTTGGCAAGTTTCTTTATCTTAGCCTTGGTTGATTGACCCTTGTCGGCTTTTGGTTCTGGTCCAAAGCTGACAGGAGTTTGCTGCCCTGATAGATCCGCACGGGACATAGCTGCATTTCCTGAAATACTGTTTCGGCTTCTTAGGCTTTCGGAATCCTGCTTGCTGAGTGCGCTGAATATGCTGTTTCTAGTAGAGCTAAGAAAGCTGTGTCTAGTAGGGGGAGCATGTAGATTTATGTCACCCGACTGTCGTCGCTGTTCCGGTAGGCGTCCTACTCCGCTACTAACAGGGCTCGAGCGGTGGTTCGCAGATGGAATCTCTGGCTGCATCTCGGGCATGTCGTTCTGGTTCAGAGCGGGCTCATATCTGGGCGCGAATCGAGGAGAACCGGTATTCACAGAAGACGCAGTGAATAGTCGATCAGTTGCCAGCAGAGAATTGAAGTCGAGAGAGCGAGATCTATAAGCCTCCCGGGCACGCGGCGGGTAGTGTTGCTGTTGCTGTTGGTAATTCGGCAAGTCGCCGGCGGTATCTGGAGAGACGATAGATGGCCTCTGAGAATGAGGCTGGTTGAGAGCGATATGCTGAAGCAAATCATCTGCCGACCGAGCATGAGATCGGAAACGAAGAATGTCTTCGCGGCCTGCCACTGAGCCCCACTCGTGTTCTGTAACCATACGATAGATAGGTCTTGGACGAGGGGTTTCTTCTGATGTATCAGTATGAGAATATGGACCAGCACACCCGTTGAATCCTTGCTTCTCCGGAGGATAATCAGTACCAGAACCAGTCCCAGGGAAAGCAGGAGGGGGCTCATTGGGTACGTCGCGATCTGCCGCTTCCACTCTGGAAGAGTATTCAGGAGGCGTGGCCTCGTCTTTCTCAGCTGAGTCGCCGATATCCCCTTCGAAGTTCTCCTGAGACGAATCATCAGCATTGCCAGCGTCTCCCACGGATGCTGGATTCTCATTTTCTCCGTCTGGCAGCCTAACGTCAGGATCTACATTAAAGTTATCACCGGCCGGCGAAGAATAAGGAGAAAGGGCTTGAGAGTCCGTTGGCCCAAGCCCATTCTCTGAGCTATCATCTAGCTGAGACTCTGGCGGTAAAATAGAGCCAGATTCGTGCAGATTTTCCAGCGCAGCAGTCCAAAGAGCTATGGGGGATTCATCTTCACCAGAGAAAGTAACATATTCAGGCCGTGATTCTTCGGTATCGCTTTCATACTGCTGGAGACCCGGAGTTGTGATGTGGCTTCCTCCATTGGCATCCATGCGGTTCTCCCTAGTACTGACTAAGTTGTCGACCGACCTTCTGCTGGCCGCAGAATCTGTTGGACGAGGTTGCCTGCCCCATAGGCTGCCCGTAGCGTCGAGTGACAGAGATCTCATGCTTCTATCTGGACCCCGGCGTATCTCAGAGGGCGAGCCTCTGTTCACAACGTCCTCAGCAACGAGGGAGAATTGGTTCTCCTGGAATCTAAATGAAGGAAGACGCGGAATAGTGCCCTGTGCTACTGAATCGCGCTGCGAGGAGCGATCATGGGAGGCAGCCGAGTCACTAGCAGGTGCAAATGTCATATGTGGAAGCTGTAGACTTCTGCGATGAGTAAACGACGACGAAGACTGAGAACCCTACACAACCAACAGCGAATTAGACTAGAAAAATCAAACTTCCATGATGAAAGATACGAATACACTGATCTCATCCAGCCGCCACATAGGTCGCCCAAGAACAGAAAACATAGACGATATTACATATCAGTAGTTCAAAATAAAGAAATTAGAGTTCCATGTCCGGGTCAAATGCAATGGGGTATAAAACAATGCCGTACTAAGAAAACGAAAGGAAAAGGGAATACGCGCGTACGGTGCGTATGGTGTTTGATGACGAGATCAATTATCTACCTTGTCGGCTGCGCCACCCAGAAATTTACTTTTGCCCTTAGCAAGAAGCCCCTTTGCTGCACCACCAGCCTTACCGCCAATGGCCCCGGCGCTATGCAGAAATTCTTTCCCTCGTTGCTCCATATGCTGTCGTTTGATCATATTGCCGAGAGGCGCACCAGAGGGGCGCCTGTTATGAGCAGTAGCTCCAGATTGTTGGGAGGCATCCAGATGCGACGAGAGAGCTCCAAGAGAAGGCAATTTCGAAAATTTGGTTCTTGATGGAGACGGCCGCTGAAAGTCTGATGGAAAATTTCCATTTCGATTGACCAAGTCTGAATGTTCGGGCAGGGTATCCGCAGTTCGACGGATCCAATTATCCAGACCGGAATCTAGGGAAGCGAATTGATGTCGAGTCTTCTCAAAGAGGCGTACCCGCTCGGGGGCGGACTGAACGCCGAGTATGTCACGAAAACCCAGTAGTTTGGACTCATCAATTGACACTAGCTTCAGCGTAGTCGGCGGCTCCTGCAGTCCCTGGGAAGGCTGTACACCAGATGGGATCTCGCCAGGCGCATCTTGCTGTGCTTCTGGGTCCACCTGCTGGTCTTCTCTTGCGCTTGGGAGACTAGATGGACTTATAGGCCGAGGGTCTACAGACCGCATATCGGTCAGTGGGAGTTCCCCATCATGTTCAACAGCGTCTTTGGCAGCGTTCGACTCGCTCCAGGCTAATTGCTCAGATCGTGCAAGGTCGGGTCCGCGGGCCGTGGTCTGAGGAGCGACTGGAAGTCCAGCCTCTTCGGAGGAGGATGACTCCCAAGAGAATCGTTTCTTCAATTTAGGTCGCGCACTCGGAGCAGCGGCTGTATCCTCGGAGGTTGGAGCCCCCTCCTGCTGCCGAGTGCCACCTGGAGAAATTGGCGACGCAGTCGGGTGGTCGTTCCAGTAACTCTCATATTCACTCGGGATCAGGCTACTCTGAGTACCCTCTCGCTGTGGCTCCGGCCGAGGCTCGGGTGCTGGCGAGCCCTCAGGGCTTAGTCTCCGCATGATCTCTTTCCTCAAGCGATCACTTTCAGTGTCCTGAGGCGAGGTCTCAGTGCTCATTGATGGAGGAACTTGTGGAGGAACAGTTGCGCCATCCTGAGTGAAGTACTGGCCACTGCGGATTCTAAGTGGCGTAGGTTCCTTATAGTAATGTGCCTGTTCCCCCAGCTGATAGCCACTGTCTTCGTCTTTTCGTATGGCAGAGGCAGGACTATCGACAGTTGACAAGGATGCATTGTGCCTGAGACCCTGAGCAATACTTGTAGCCAATGAATAGTCCAGAGCTCCATCCCTTTGTGCCCCACCTGGGGATGCATCTGGGTGGCCCTCTTCATGGTTAGGTGAGTCTGTAGGAGCTGTTGAAGCTACCTCACCAGCTTCAGCTGCTGTCGAATTGTCCGAGACGATTGGTCTCCTGGCAGGACTATTGTCGGGAGTCGGGGTGCTGATGTCACGACGATGTCCAGGTTGAAACGTAGGAGTTCGCCTCCCATCAGAAGACTCTCCTGGTTCCTCCGTGATAGTCGGTGTCTTCTCGCCCTCCAAACCACGAGTACCCAAGATGGGACTGATAACTGATGTGCTCTCACTTCCTGACCTTACAACGCTACCAACCGTTGAGCTTGGAGTCGGCGGGGCGTCGAAAGCCTGGTTCACAGCTGAACGGAATCCCATTGAAGAGTTATGGTGTAGAGAATGCTCTTGGGTATCGGGTTGGTTTTGAGCATCTGGCTCGCCCGATTTGTCAGGATTCGACATGCTGACGAAGTTATTGCCGTAGCTAGACATCCGTTTGACTTCCGGCAACGAAACAACTGGAGCTTCTTGGGACTTCACAGATGGTGCCGACGGGACAGATTCAGAATTTTGCTCATGCGCGGAATCAAGCGTAGAGTCGCCAGTTGAGCGCTCCACATCTGCAGAGTCCACGCTAGGCTTAGTAGACCCTTCGGACTGCGCTTCTCTCTCCTTCGCTTCCTGCATCTGCTTGTATATGTCTGCAGGACGGATAAAGGGAAGAGGCTTGGAAGAATTAGCATCGGTAGCAGCAACAGGTATTGCTGACTGTGAGGGGTTTGCACTCTGGGATTCGGACTGCTCGGAAGATTGCACCTGCTGTTGTAACTGCGAGGGGTTCGGATTTATAGTGGAAGCTGCATTGTCCGGAGCAAGAGAACGTGACTTGTCATCGAGATTCGGGGATCTCGTACGCTCCTGACCTAGCCCAGGCACATCGGACGGAGCAGAAGACCCCGGGTCCCTAGTGGAACTCCGCGAACGGTCCCTTTGACTCGGTAGCGGAGGGACCGGGGGCTCTTCTTCTTCATCATCATACTCATCATCGGAACCCCAGTCGTCGCCATCATACGAATAGGACTTGGCTTCTACCCAGCGCTTCGACTTGGCTCGATTGACATTCGTCTTGAAGGAGATAGGCTGACCGGCGATAGGACTGGGCGACAGCGGACTTGCTGAACGAGCGATGACCCTGACGCTAGAATGTCAATGATGTGGCACGTCATGAGGATGGGCATTATTACTTACGGTTCCTGCAGGCTCGGCAGCTGTGGATTCTGGAATGGACCGGCCATCACGGAAGCATAGAGCGATCTACACTAATGTGGCAGACAGCATGCACATGTATCGTACACAATTAGGCTATGGCACATATGAAAGCCAGGAGTCGTGACCGATACAGACTGGCAAATGTTGTCTTTCGAGCCTCGAGCCGGCTGTGTATTGAGGCTTTGGAACCATAGAATCAGGATAGCACTGTCGCAATACCGCAATAGCTCTCCAATCCCATACACCAGCGATCGCAGGGCTATATTTGTTGTATTATAAGAAAACAATAGACAAAGAAAGACAGATTGAGGGGAAGTAAGCGAAGAGAGAGCGTGTACGGAGTATTGGGTAATTATTAGCTGTCAACGGCGTCGCAAGGTGGGAGAGCGCGGCTGAACGAGGCTGACGACGAGTGAGCGCTACGCCACATTCGACCGAGGGTATGACCCCTGACGAAGCGCAAAAAGAGTGCAAAGAGAGTATCACAACGGCCTCGTTTCGATAAGAATGAGGCGAAATATCGATAGAGACGTAGACAGTAAATATGGAGGAGAGAAAGATACAACGATGTCGCGACCTGAATGGCAGGCGGTGGCTGATGCGGCGTAGTAATCGTGGCGGTGCCAGTTGTCACGTGGGGTATATCAACGCTATTCCCTTCTTGGATTGCAACGAACGCGGCCAGATTGTCCAGGACAACTGGAAGGCGTCTTGACTGAGTATTGCAATTCTGTCCGGTCCAACTCACAGCTCGTCAAGTCCTGGGACTTTCAGAATTGACCAGTCTCCGGATCTATCGCCTCGCATGGACAGGTAACATATCTTGTCCGCTTTTGACGCCATCAGTGTTGTAGGGAGAGTCGCTCTGTCTCGCCGGACTCCTTATCGATTACACAGCTAGCCCTTCAGTCGCACGATCTATTCCATCCACTCGTTTCTACGCCAGATTTACGTCTACTCTCCATAATATTTTTAATTCCATCATGGCCGGCCCGTCGATACAAGACCGGACCAATGAGTTCAGGTCCATCCTGGGGCAGGTTCAGAAACGCCAGGCCTCCTCCAAGGTCGGCGCACAGCGTCAGGCATTGCTGTCGGACTCCCAGCGCATGCAGGCGAATGGAAGTCCCGATGGCGCTCAAGCTAGCAGGAGAGCTCGATCTGAATTCGCGAGGAAGGCCGCGGAGATCGGACGAGGCATTACCGGTACCACAGCTAAACTGCAAAGATTGGCAGAGTGTAAGTAGCATCCGCAGATATTGAACGCTCATGCCAACAGAGTGTTGTCCATGACACCTGTGCAATCATTTTACGCGGCAGCTAACGGTTTCATAGTGGCCAAGCGAAAGACTCTCTTCGATGACAGACCCGTGGAGATCTCGGAGTTGACCTACGTGATCAAACAGGATCTGGCTTCTCTCAACTCGCAAATCGCAGGCCTCCAGGCGCTGACGCTGGCGCATCACCCGAAATCGACCCGCAATAAGGCGGATCAGGAAGGCGAGCACAATGACAATGTATGTGGATCGGGACAGCAGCTGGTCTGTATTTGCAGCTAACCTGGCACAGGTCGTGGTTATGCTGCAGGGAAAGCTAGCAGACGTTGGAGCCAATTTTAAGGAGGTGCTGGAAGTGCGAACAAAGAACATCCAGGCATCCCGGTCACGCACAGAGAATTTCGTCTCGTCCGTGTCGTCGAAGTCACAGACCGCCTTGGACACTCAGCGCTCAGATTCCCCGTTGTATACCGCCCCCGGAAGAAGTAGGACGCCTCAGCCAGGGTACCAAGGAGGTGCCAACGATCTCCTGACTTTAGAGCCGGCGACATCTTCGCCTTTCTCGCGGCCAGGTGCACAGTCAGATCAGCAGCTTCTCATGATGGAAGAGGCTCAGCCCAACACGTCGTATATCCAAGCTCGAGGGGAAGCCATTGAGGCTATTGAACGTACGATTAATGAGCTTGGCGGAATCTTCGGGCAGCTAGCCACCATGGTTAGCGAACAGTCGGAGATGATCCAGCGGATTGATGCCAATACGGAGGACATTGTCGATAACGTCCAGGGTGCGCAACGTGAATTGATAAAGTATTGGTCCCGAGTGCAGGGCAACAGATGGCTTATTGCCAAGATGTTCGGAGTACTAATGGTAAGTGGACATCTCCGGTTATGGCAGCAGAAGAACTTGCACTGACTCCTCTTCTGTAGATTTTCTTTCTCCTCTGGGTTCTAATATCAGGCTAGTCCTGCGACTGACCCTTTGAACTGTACATTTAATCGGATGTGTTTAATTCCTTCTATTTGGCGCTGAGTTCTAGCACTGGTTTGCTGGGACCTTCGACCTTCTCGCGATATTATCTTCTCGCTTCGTCTTCTTTGCATCAGCTTTGCTGAGAGAGTCGGATTCTCTTTTCATTCATCAATTCAACTTGCTTTTTTGGTCTTTCTGTCTGTTCTCAATACCATCGGAGGAAACGAGCACATTACGGATACCACACGTTGGAATGTATAGACGCAGTCCTTGAAACCGAACCAATGCATCATCAATAAATAACAATTTAGTTCTCTTCTACTGAGACTCCTAATGTTCGAAATCGCACAGCATCTGCCTGCGAACCAAAGCGATGATCCTTACAGTATGCAATCCTATTCGATCGCACCAGAGGGCGATCTCTAGCACTGGCACTCCATTCCTTGACGTAGATTCATCAGTGACTGGCTCGTCGGTAGAGTAACACTAGGATCTTACAAATGATATATACTCCGTATACTAATCCAAAAGAACAAGAATCCAATGGAAAGAGCAAGTCCACGAAAGAAAAAAAAGGAAGAGACAATGGCCCGAGCCGCGATTCGAACGCGGGACCTCTTGCAGTTAGGTGTCTGTTAAGTCATCTTAAGATCTTCAAGCGATCGTGGTGTTAAGGGTGTTAGGTGTATTAGTATAGCCCCCGCCCTATTAGTATGCTTTTTAAGTGCATTATTAGTTATCAGTTCTTCAAGAACTTAAGTGTTATGCAGTATCCCACTAGTGAAGGTAGAGATTAGTTGTTTATTCCTGATTATTAGGGGTTATATCTTCTGGGAACTTAGACATACAAGCAAGAATCATGCCACTAGACCACTCGGGCTGTTGTCGTAGGTGGACAGGGTATTCGTAATTTCACGAAGGCTACGTTAGCTACAGAGCTAACAGGGGGAAAACCAATCGGAGACATAATAATAGTAGTACGAGTCGGCTGTACGAAATGGCGTTCTATATTCAGGAAGATAAGTGCGTCTTCGGGAGATAAGACTATTACATTGTTTTGAAGTCTAGATCTTGCTGACAGCGAGAATTCTCCGTTGATGCTGAAGAGAAACCAGCGGGTACTTATTAGAAGCGAATAGAAATGGAACAAAAAGAATGCTGCTATATTGAACTTTATTAAAGACTTCTCGACGACAAAAGCGGTTTGTTGGAGCGATGGAAATGTCTAAGAAAGTCTGTGTTTATATACAGTCTCAGTCAAGGACCCGTCGTAAATTCCTTATCGTGAGTTAGATCGCATCTAGACTCGCTCACTAGTTAAGTATGTGCGGCAAAACAACAGACTTTGGTGAGTTAGTTGTCCCCGAAGAACACCTAATGCAATAAATAAATAGCACCTGGAGAGCAGGAATGGAAGCAAAACAGAAAAGGCGTAAGATCAATCAACCAGAAGGCAATCTTTACCGTTGAAGCCCGGATTGCAGTACTGCAGAGAGATCAGAAGAGCGCGTACTGTAAGAAGCAGATTCCTAGTTGATCGCCTGCTCGACTTAGTTTCCCTGATGGAGCAGTTAAGCAATTCCCGAGTGTGGGGGAAGTGGATAATAGCTAACTAGTTAGTTAGCTGTAGCGATGGCATTTGTTATGCTGTTGCATTCTTTGTGTTTTTGCCCTTGAAGAAGAGGCTGGAACACTGGCGTGGAATCTTGAACGGATCATCCCGCCCGTGTCAACAACGTCCGCAAGAGTCTCTGCATGGCCTATGGCGTCCTGTTGTTCGCAACAACAATCTTGCAGAAATACCACCGGTGGCTGGAGATTCCGCCAAAGCGCAGGGCTGTTGATGATGAGCCCGCAATCCCCGCTAGGAGCCTAACTAACTCGCTGAAGGAGTTGTCATTTCTCAGGACTGGTGTCTCAGATTGGCCAAGCCACAGTTACAACCACTCTCCATCTTTCAGGGGCTCGACCAGTAGCTCCGCTAGGAGATAGGACCGTGTCGCGGGATGATAGTAACAAGGACGATAGGAATAATAATAACGGGGCCAGTGCCTTGTTCCTTTGTTTCCCTTTCCCTCTCTTCATGCGACTTGCCTGTTCGCCTGTCTCTCCTGTCGTGCTTGTCCTATTTCCCTCGTTAATAACGCCTCTGGATGCAGTAACTTAATCGCGAGTCCAACGTTATCGGGTCCAATTCAGGACCCTTGCTTAACGCGCTCACAGTCCCTCCTTTTTTTCCTGGTGATGCTCGAGCGCGGATGCATTCATCTCAGCGTCTGAAAGCTGAGACTTCCTGAAAAGGGACGAGACACGCGTGATATTACAATTATAACCAGCGATACGAGCCCATATCCAATTGCTTCTTTATTCACTTGCTTCTTCGTGCTCTATGACCCAAGTATTCACAATGGGCCTTGACGTTCGTTCTATACTTTTGCGACGAGATTGTTCTGCTGGCAGTGACAGTCCTGAGTGCGAGAAGCCGGTCAGTAAGCTTTTGATGAACGCCGTACCGACGGCTATCTTGGGATTGTAAGTATATCCTTACTGCATACGCCCCGATCGTCTTTATATTGTCTAAACCGTGCGATAAGAGCTGCTGCTGATCTCTTGTTGCAGTGTCGTCGTAACCGCCCTTGTCGTGCTCGTCGTTCTTTCGAGACGAAGGAAGCAACTGGATGCCCTGGAGGATGTTAAGGCCCGTAATTATGATATTGAGATCGATGATGATTATGACCCCCCAGCACGCCCCGGCGACAAAAAGCAGCCGACAGTCCGCATGGTCCCAGTTTCGTCGCAAGGATGGAGACCTCCTCAGATAACAGTGCCACTCCCAACCGCATCAACAGGCCGGGATCCAGCCCGGACCCCCAGAATGATGGATACCGAGTTCGATAAAAGCCCCTACTATCACGCCAACCTGGATTCAGCGCCCAAACCCGAGCCAGAAATCAGCCCAGAGGCTATCGCGAAGATGGCACAGACAGAGAGACACATGCTATGATGCGGACACTGGAGGAAGCAGTCGTAGGATCCGTGGGCCAGCAGAATGCGCTGGCTCGTTACCTGTCCGGTGCCCCGGAACCTTTCTATATATGTATGCTACAATCGTTACGACTCTGACCTCCGTCTGAGAAATGCCATTCAGCCGTATCTAAATGCAGCCTTTCACCTATTCTTGCTAATATCTGGCGCGACACACGTCCATATTCACATGAAATTAGCTTCCAGAAACTACCAAAGAGTTTCAATCTCGTTGCGTGCTTGGCCACAACCCAATCTCGTTGAGACACTACCAATGCTTATCCAGTCATCCAGTGCAAATGCCAACATAGCAGATACTCTACCGATGACCTCGCCAAGATAGACTATTCCATACATACAAATCAATTCAATCGATTGGGAACCGCCTTTCCATCCAACCAGTGCTCCAAATTGGCTGCCGTTTGCGCATACCACGAACTGATATTGTCTGCTTCACCGTATCCCATATGCGGCGAAAGGAGCACCTCACTACGTCCATCCTCGCCCCATCTCGTCGTCCTCCATTCGCTGTCAACGGGAAGAGGCTCTTTGTTAAAGACATCCAACGCCGCCCCACGGATCCGACCAGCCTTCAGAGTCTCCAAGAGCGCTGCTTCATCGATTAACGGTCCTCGAGATGTGTTGATCAACAAGGCGCTTGGCTTCAGAGCCGCCAGCTCCTCCTTGCCAACTATGCCTCGACTCCGCTCGGATAGCACATAATGCACACTGACGATATCCGCGGTGCGAAAAAGATCCAGCTTTGAGGACGCCACGCGGATCGAACCGACCGGTAAACCGAGACTCTTAGCGGTCTCGTCGGCCTTTTCTTGCGTCAGACTAGACGACCATGCGATCACCTTCAGGTTGAATGCGAGGACGGCAATTCGTGCCGTTGCTGCACCCAGTTTACCCAGGCCCAACAAACCGAGCGTCAGACCAGGCAGACCAAGCGCCAATGTCGGGCCCTGCCACGCGCCACTCTTAACCGCGAGATCATCTCGAGCGATATGTCTCGCCAACCCCAGAATCAGCGCCCACGTATGTTGTGTGGTAGCGTCGGGCCCAGCCTTCGAACGACTCTCCGTCCCCGCGACGATAATGCCGTGCTTCGCAGCCGCGACAGAATCGATGGACGCGTTACGAAGACCTGTCGTAAGGAGTAACTTCAGATTAGGCAGTGCTTTAAGCACATCTTCTGTGAAAACAGTCCGCTCGCGCATCGTCGAAATAACCTCGAACGGCTGCAGTCGCTCAATCAACGCCGTTCTGTCTTTGGGATCGCGAGTGTCCAGCGTTTCGGTGAAGCTAGTCAGCTCGACACGACCAGAAGAGACTAGCGATTCGAATTTGGCTGGTGCTAGATTCTGGTAGTCATCTAGGATGGCGACTTTCACCGGTTTCGACATTTTGCTCGTTGGGGAGAAATAATATCGAATACAGTCGTGGGATTGTTTTCGTTTATGAAATCCTGTGTTGTTTCTCCGATCTCTACAAAACCGATGTGCAGTAGAACGTTCTCAAAGCGAATACTATTCCATTCAATTCATGAGTCAGTCAATGTTAATCGGTCTTGAATGAGCGAAGGAGTACAGCGTCGTAGATGGTAAGTTACTGAGTTGGCTTGTAATCAATCACGCCATATGCCCACTTACTTGATTTCCAATCCCCTTTTCGGACCCCCGATGGAAAATAAGTATCAGAGCGATAGTTACATACTTGGCAGCACAAAAGGTGACTATGCTCCGAAATGCGGGGAATTGTACGGAGAGTACGGAGTAGCGTTGATTTTAGATCGGCTAAAGGATTGGCAGCGGGTTAGGATTCATCCGCTGATAGCAACAACATTCATGGAAGAGGATAATTGTTGTTGCTTGCCCATGTACATAATTAAAGTTGGCTTCATCGTTAGAATCAGATCATAGATAGATTGATCCACCCAAGCCTCAGAGCGGCCGATATTATCACAATCAATCTCTAATCTATGTAAACGCTTCATACATAAAACCGAGGCTTATCGGAATAATTTCTAGCAAGAGTTGTCTAGGAGTTATTCTAGTTTGTAGCTTATTAAGTATTGATCGCCAACAGGAAATTAGACCACCATAACTCCTGACCTGCTAATAGATGCTGGGTTAGAATGGATCAAGCAATATCCCCGGGAACCATAACTGAAACTTAGATCAACAAGATAAAATAAATAAAGACGCTATTATGCCTCAGTTGAGAATCAGATCAGATATCTAGGTAGTTAGGAAAAGAATAGACGGGGTCATGCATGCCGACATTTACTTAGAAAGTTCAAACACACAACCCTTGGTGATCAGTAAGTCAGTATTCTGACATCAACCCCAGCCACGGTTCATAAGTCGCACGGATCATGAGTTATATTGCTCTCTTTCAGGCATTTTCCCTTTCATATCTCGGCGAAGATTTCGTACACTATCTCGTGAGTCCCCATATTGATCCGGACCTCCTGCAGAAGGTTTAAGACGACCACTAGCAGCGAGAACATACTCACGGCCGGCTCTCATGGCACGAACTTTCGGCCCAAAGAGGTCATCGCTTATAAAGGTCTCTTCGGAACGCTGGCGCGGAAGATGGGTTTTTATACTACTCCTCCTACCCGACATACGCAGTGAACCAGACACGCTTCCAAGATCCACTTGACTTAGTCTGCTCGAGTTGGGCGATGGGTCGGTTCTCGTCGAGTGTTCGCTGGGGTTAATATGTCCGTACGGCGTGAGGTGTTTCGGTGAACCCTCACCATGAGACTCGAAGTTTTCATATTCGTAATGACTTCTCGTCTCTTCTATATCATCCTGTGAAATGCCTTCCATATTGTTAAACCCTTCAATAGTGCTATGTATCTCACGAATAGTGTCTTCTGAACCGTAGCTTCCTCTAACATCATAGAGAGCTCTGTCTTCTGGATCGTAACGAGTAGCTGGGAGGTATTCCAGTGGTTCGTCGGGGAGTCGTGAAGCTCTACTATCAGACCAGGCTGCCTCGGAAGAAGATCCGAGTTCTGATAATATGCTTTCCAGCAAAGGTAGAGAATTGACCTTGCGTATAACCAACGGTCTCGGATGAAGACTAGTGATGGAATGGGATCGCGATTCTTGTCTCTCAATGACATTATTAGGGTCGTAGTCCTCACTATGTGGCGTGTCTTGACTGCCTAATCTGTTACCGCTATTGAGCCCAGAGCTAGCTTGCTCAGTACGCTCTTCCCAGCGAGGGTCATTGTTCGCGAATGTACCCCATCCATGCATGGTGGATACATCTCTCGAATGACCGGTATATGACGGAGAAGCCCTGTTTCTCGATCGCAGAGGGAAGACTTGTTCTCCAAACCCGAACCTTCTCTGAAGGTCCCGCTTTCTCGATTCATATTCAGGATCTGTATTTTGATCGGAATAATAGCGAGGGCTATCCTTGCTCCATTCTCCCTGGTCGTTTCTCGTACTATGCTGTTGCTGCTGGCCATTGTCTGCTCGTAACGACGCCATCCGAGGAAACAAAGGTGTGTCACAATCCTCAGTGCGAAGACCAGTACTAGGCGTGAGTGGCGTTACAGGACTCGGTCTTTTCCATCCTGGACTTCCGGAATTGTGAAGCTTGAAGAACAGCGGTTCGCTTCTAGGTCGTTCAACCATCTCCATTCTTGGTGTGCTTGATTCAGGACTGACATATCCCTGTGACCAACGCTCAATCCCCTGACCAGTAGGACTCGCATATTCAAAGCCTTCATGATCAGGAACTTCAGCATAACGATCGATTATAGATTCGATTTCATCATTGGCCCCATTCCCAGACTGGTGATGCCCAGCTTGACCAAAGTCTCCTGCATCACCCGTCTCATCATGCAACTTCAACGGAGCCACACGGTGATGTTTAGAAGGAGTAGCAGGACCATGTGTCTCCTTCAATGGAAACTGTTCGTTCAAAGGACTTGAATTCGGACCATATTTTGCATTATCATCAGGCGGTTGTGGACAGGGACAACCCAAGTCTCTATTTCTGGAAAACATCGAATGCGGTAGAATCCTCTTCACCAGCGAGGTTGGAGAACCATTTCCACCTGAGCTTCGTAAATCTCCCATAGGAACGCGAAGACCAAGACCACCTGCACTGCGAGTCTGTGGTCTATTGATATCGGGTAGACGTTCCTTTCCGCGTTCGCTGTAGAAGCGCTTCCGCTTCTTCCTAAAGTACCAAATGGCAAACAGTAAACAACAGAGAATAACAACCAGTACAGCAATAACGGCTATGATAACCGTAGGGGCTTTGCCCTTTTTCGTGCCGTGGGCCTGGGTTTCTGTTGGAGTGGTAGAAGATGTAGTAGCTGTAGAATTCGAAGAGATAATAGTACTATCAGACTGTGTAGCAGTACCAGTTGGGAATGTCGTGAAGAAAGTGGTGGTATACCATGATGTAGTCTCCCTCGAAGTAGAAGTCGTCTCTGAAGATGTCGTTGGAAAGGGAGGCGGGATCACTGTAGCTAGAGTTTGGGGAATGCTGAAGATCGGCTCTCCTCTTTCACATCTGAACATTGAAGTAGATACTGATCTTGATTCACTGACTTCTTCTATATCAATCTGGGAGTCTCTGGGATGCAGTGTATTCCTGTCGGGGTCCGATAGTCCATGAGTGCTTGTTTGTAGTGCCATGAGAGAGACAAAAACGAGGAACATTTTCAGTCAACAAGCCTCGTAACGATAGATATCTCCGTTTATCCAAGCGGTCGTATCTAAAAATCAAATGGTCCAGGCATTTGGAACACGGTAGGCTTAGAGATTGTAGAATTTCGGACCCCCCGTCACCTTCATAAGGGCGTGCACGAGAGGCTGCCTATAGTGTGAATTCACTACAGGGTCCTCTAATAGTATACCGAGAAGAACCGTCAGATTACTGTGATATGAAAGCACAGCAGTGATAGGCGGCTATTATACTAACTTCTATAACTCATTGTATTTGATAAAAACTATTGCTTTTAAGTGGACACCCAGTTATTTTATCACTGTTGGAAATTCTGAATGTAATTGCACAAACGCCTATACATGCAGCTCTAATAGAAATGCAGCGTGAGAACAGTTGTGATGATGAGCCTCATGTTAATGCACCCTGACAGATGAATAAAGAATGATTGCCAATCGAAAAAAAAAGGAAAACTGCTTGCAAAAAAGGGGCCTCCAATATTGCACACAAACTGTAGAATAGGCATAGAAACAAATATTTGCAACTGAATCCCTGTTAAATTACTTATCCTTTTCTTGCGAGTTTTGCTTGTCGCGTTTAGAATTGCGCTTTTGAGACTGAACCTCATCCCTCTGCCTTTTCAGCTCTCTTTCCAGTCTCTCAGAGAATGCTTCTAGAAGCCATTCAGCCTCCTCTTTGTCACCCATTAAGGGACTCCTGCTACCCATCCAGCTCCATTTTGGTGTCCTTCTCTGGCCTTCGTTGTCCTCCGAAGAGCCCGTCTGCTGGATCGATGTCTCATCGGCGTCAAGCGGCGGAGCCCGGTGATAACTTGCGACTGACTCGTCCGCTCCGAGGAGCTTAAGGTAGTATGCCCACTCTTCGTAGCTGAACCTTTTTGGAGGATCACTATTCACATAACTAAGCAACTTCCGAATCTCACGCATGAGGAGATACTGCTTATGGTGAATGTTTTCAGCCCTAATATCACCCTTTTCACGCGCTTGTTCCTCTTCTTGGAGTTCCTCCTCTTCCATGACACTTTCCGCCTGCTCGACTACCCGTGCCTGCTCCCGATTGGCCTCGTTATTTTCTTGCTGTTGCGCATCTTCAGTGTCGTTAGGGCCCCTGGCTCCGATAGAGAAACGAAGCAGATCTTTAAATCTGTCTGTAAAACTCTGCTCTCCAGGGAGAATGGTTAACTCTCCCAGGTATAGTGTAGCATTGCGGATCCCCCTCACGATAGTGTCTCCCAGGTTCGAAATAAGAATCGTAACAGTTGGCACAGCAAGGAGCGACCAGAAGACAAAGAACGGCTTGGCCCAATTGTTGACAGGGTATATGTCACCGTAGCCTATCGTCAAGAGCGATGTATAGGCGAAATAAAGTGCCTGGAAATACGTCCAGCCTCGGTCTCTCTCTGATCTCCAGAAGGCCACTGCACCAAGTAGCCAGAACATCATCCACACGGTCAAAGAAATAACCAACGAGACCCATTTTTGCTCGATTTCAGCTATTCGCCGCACCTCTCGCATAGCCAGAAACTCTCGTCTTCTCCTTTCCACTTCATCATCACTTCCATCTTCGTTAGCATTTGGCGAGAAACTTCGAGGGTCCTCATAACTGGCTAGGACCCGTTTCAGAAGAGCCCTCCGCGTCTTCTCAGTTATGCGGCCGGCCAGCTTTTTGCTTCCTTTCTGGAGCATAAGTGATCTTATCGATCCAATGATTAGACCAATAATCAACAAGCCGCCCATTGCAAATGGAAACAGCAAGCCTCGGCCCAAATGGGTACGAGGGACAAAGTCGCCAATACCGATAGTCAGCAATGTAAAGTCAGCCCAGTATATGGCATCCAAATAGCGCCACTTTTCGATGTGCGCATAGACGGCAGCTCCGCCTAGGAGATACACTAGAAAAATGATAGTCTGTAACATGAGTGTCCTTTGACTCGTCGTAAGATTAAACTCCTTTGTATAGTGACCTTTGTATGCACCGTAGACGGTAATTAGCAGCAACGAAGAGATAGCGAAGTAGATGGCAGCTGCTAGTATGCCATAATAATAAGCTTGTGTGAGGGTGTGGGCTCTCGTGTCATTATATGACTTGAAGACTGCGAGTAGACATATCAGCATTATGGAGGAAATGTACCATCCAATAATGACGATTGGCTGTGAGATAGAGAAGCGTATCCGTCGAGCCATATTCATCAGCAGCGCGAAGTTTGATATGAGAGCAAACGCAAGAGATACTGCATTGACTGCAATTACCCTGCAACAAGAGTCAGCGTTTCGTATGATACAAGTTGCGAAGTCAATACAGACCATGCTGGATCCGGAATTTCTTGGGGAGAGCCTCCACTTGGAGCCAATTGATAAGTCCAACTCTGAGCTAGACTGCAAATGCTGAAAGCGTTGGCCATTGGGCCCAGAGTTCCCTACATTCTAGTATCAGCCTTAAAATGTTGCAATCCATTTGGTATCCTCAACCATATTCAGTAGCATGTTATCGGCATCAACGTACCGCTACCAACGGAATCGCCGTGGACGCAATCCACCATCTGGCTGGTTTTAGGGCCTCTGCCACATCTCCCTCTCGAACCCTTAGTTCGTCAGCCCAGCCAAGCTCAGGGCGCTCATCATGGTCTGTCCCTAGGTTCGTGGAATGTCTATCAATCTCAGTCGCCTCTTGCGCTATGGTACTGTCCAGACCCGGGTCGTTCATGTTGCCCTGCCTCTAGAGGCGGAAGGCACATTCCAGATTGCAATATCCTAAAAAAAAGGCAAGAATACCTTCTTTACATTCATATCACGAGTCACGCTTGTTTCTCCATGATTTGTTGAAAAGGTGAAATTGTGTTTCCTTTCCCTGACTTCAATCGATCAGTACGCTACAGATGAGTGGAACACTCCTTTAATAAACCCATAGAACGCAAGTGCATTCCAGGGCTAGCCAGCAATTTCATCCAGTGCTTAATGACGCAGTGCTCACCGTCTGCCTCTTGTGGCTATACACATTTTCTCCTTGTCGTTTGATCTGCGAGCTATCTTGGAATTGTTGGTGGTGCCGGCACCCCTGACGTCAGGGTCACACGTGAACCAGGCACTCGAACGGCGATCTCTCATCTTTGCTTAGCCAGTCAGCCTGGAGTTAGCTGCTTCACTTCCTGTCTGTTACAGTAGTAACATGGCTGTTTATTTGATCTGCTACTCTCTGATTTACTATCGAATAAGAGGTTCATAAGATCATCAATGCGAGGTCTCTGCCACCGATTCGCGCATCTGGTAACGCACTCACGATGAACGATTCATAACCAATTTTCATCCCAGGTACAGTACATAGGTACATTTTGGTCTATGATTGATACAATCGCCTCCCAGTAATAGTACACGACACGAACTGCATCCTCAAACCCCAATCCCAAATATCGCCAATAAAACATCCGCTACGGCAACAAATACCACTTTTGATCATCGGCTAGTTATCAACGAAGGGCTTATTAACGAAGGGCCGTCGCGCTATCAACACTATTCTGCAAGGATGCTACGGCCTCCGTCTGCAGTGATTCTGTTGCGTATCTTCATTCTGATGTACCGCGATCCGAGTTCTTTCACTCTCTTTTCGCTTCGACCGGAAACTGGAGATGGTGGTTGCGCTATGGACGGGATGTCTCCAGTCATGTCGACTTCTGAGGCTGATCGGTTCCCGTTAATCTCGCCGGTGTCGTCCGTGGCTACGTCGACAGCCGCGGTGGGGCAGAATAGGAGGGCTTCTCCGGTCTTCAGCTTGACGATCTGGTCAAAAAGATTACCTGAGTCGACTGTTGTCCTTTGCTGTCGCTGTTTCCCAATCAGCGCTGCAGCAAGATGAGCTTCGAGCATCTTGTACCATGCTGGCGAACTGAACCGGTGTACGATCGTTACGTTGCAGAGATCAAGGAGGTCTGGAGATAGTGTAGGTTCTTGAGTTGCGATCACAACTCTGGTGCCCAGATGTCGCTGTTGTCTGATTACCGATAAGAGCGTATCAGTGAACTCGAGGGCTTCATTGGATTTGGTTGACAAAAACTAAAAACCACACATCAGTCCAAGGCTTAACAATTTATCATTCGTGGGTGCATATCACTTACTTTGTGGGCTTCGTCCAGAGCAATGAGGCGACCGCTAGTTCCACGATTCTCCAAGAACAATGACAGACATATATTGAACAGCGCACAAGCATCGTTCTCATCGACGAAGGGGCAGCTCAGGTCTACGATTGTCAATGTGCCCTTTTCGAACTCCCATATATCGGCGGTTTTAGACGACGATTTCGGTGACGTATCCAAGAAAGACTCGAGAAGCTGAAGGCGTAGTCTCAACGGTGCAAGCTGGTCTTTCGAGAATCTCTCCGATTCTAACCTCTGTTTGAAGAGCTTATAGTTCAGGCCTCGCGATCCCTGAGATTCCATAGCCATTCCTCGCAGTACTTGGCTAAGTACCTGGTCAAAGTCAGAGGGGCTTGAACTGGTATGTGTGTACAAAGACTGGATCTACTCACCTCAATGTAGAGCGGAGTGTTGCCCTCGCCTCCTATAGCCATCAACGTCTTCATCATGGTGATGTTCAGATACTCCTCTCGGAAGTACATAGGCACCACCTTTGGTTTTGGCGCATGGGCAGGAAGACCTGGGAGGTTTCGGTATAGCTTCTGCATCGTCATGAAATTGCTTGGTGACACTAGGACGCGCACGGGAACTCCATGAGAGCACAGATATGCAGCTTCACAGAGCTGAGTGGTCGAAAAGTTCGTAAACTTGTCGTAATGAAAGATGATCCCAGCAAGTGGACGATGAAGAGTTCCTGTTTTGGAGGGAGTGAGGAGCATATTTTCAAGCATGCAAGAGAGCGTGTGACTCTTTCCGCTGCCTTGACTGCCACAAATGAAAGTGGACCACGGTGCCGTTATGTTCGCGTACATGAGGTTATTGATCTGCTTTTCCGGCTCTGGCTTCGTTTCTGACTCGTCATTGTCTCCATGAGTTTCCAACCTCAGCCCTATCAGTCCGTGCTGAGGAAACGTCGATGTGTTCTCCCTCGTAAACTTGAAGAGCGTCTCCTTTGCAACATATTTCTTCACCTCAGCGGAGAACAACGGAGCAGTCTTCATCTCGTCCAGGAGAGAACCATTGGAATCCGCATTCGAAACCGAGCCAGCTCCATCTTTTCGATCATGAATGTCGAAGAGACTCAGATGCCTTTCGAACTCTGCATCCTCAACTGTCTTGGAGGCAACTCCAGACGAATGGTCAGTAGTCATATTCGGTTTGAGGCCAGAGAATGACCACGCGAAAGTGCTGGGTTTCCACGGATTCCCAAAACTCGCAGCAGAGGCTCCTCCAGTAAAAATGGAGTTCTGTGAGACACTGAAATTGAACTGATTCTGGCTTGCTTCCTGAGCAGCCATGGTGGTGTACTTATTGGAATTACCAGGACAAAATGTGAAAGGAAAGGATGTCTCCACAGGAAAAAGGAAAGTTCCTCGATGTGTAAAAGAGAGGTGAGGTCAAAGAAAGGCAACGCAGCATAAACAAGTCGTAAAAGACGGTGGATACAAAACAAAACTAGAATGTGAAAGGAAGACGGCGATGCTGATGTGCGCGAATAGAAGTGACGCCAGGAAAGGTTAGACCAGCAGTACCTTTACCTGCAGAGGTTATAGAACATCAAAAAGCCCACCTCACCACAGCGAAGACGGACTTCCATGTCTGGACACTTTCTCATGTGGAACTAACTAAGGTGGTCTGGCAAACATTCAAGCTTCCCCAGCAATCCGGAAGCTAGCGTCTGTCAGGGGAAAAACGCGGATCACTCTCCACATGGCGATAAGATAAGGTTCATGGGCAGGTTTCCTCTGCACTCTAAAAAGACTACCTTTTCAGTCCAAAGAAAGATTGAATAGAATTGTGCTATAAGGACTAGACTAAGATCGCTCCAACGGTGCTTTAAAAGCGCACTAGATGGATGATTGTGATCTTATCCTGAGGAAACTCCGGTATCAGAGCTTCTGCTCAAGTCGCTTGCCACAATGCGATATTAGCTGCTGGACTAATTTCATATCTTACTCGTAAGATGAGGCACCGAGAAATGCTGAAAGCTGACTTCTGCAAGTGTATTATCAGCAACAGCTGGTATTGCTTTGAATCGTTGGGTAACTAGAAACACTGAGCCGGCCCGCACGAGAAACGAAGTAATGATCCACAGAGAAAGAAAACTGAGGGCCCACTGGACACAGTAGAAGGAGAACGCCAAAGCTCGAGACAAAGAGAGATAGCTATGTCCCCAGGCAGACATCATGGAATGAGAAAGGCAAAGGAAAACGACAGGAAGCCCACAAATGTGCGTGCAATGCACTCAAACGCGGGTATGTGAAAGGATGGGATGACCAGGCGGAAGGGCATATCCAGTTCCGATGGGAGTCACAGCATTCGCTGCATAAAGACACAAGATGCGCGCAACCAAGCAGCCATTTCATTCATCACAGCAAGTCTTTTCAAAATCTACAGCCAGACATGCGGATGCAATCATTAATATACAGTGCGGATCAAATGGGAACAAAAAAACTTTAAGGCATAGGGTATCTTCCATCACCACGTAGAGAAGGCAGGGTTGGCATCCGCCCACCGCGATCAATGCCACCACCCCGTCCTCTTCCAGCCCGCAAATTAAAATCAGGGTTGTCTTCAAGTAGAATGTCTTCTCTCCGTTGCTGTACCATGCGGCTTGGAGGTGGCGGTGGGCGCCACCTGGGGTTTATGCCTCGCTCCGATATAGAGGTGAAATGACTGACATCACTGGCGGCAGGCGACCGAGCGCCCTCCGGTATCTCGTCGTAAGAGCCGCTCACTGGAATAATTTCAATGGGGGGCGGTCCCGGAACAAGTGCCGATGGTACCGGATCATTCGAAGCAGGAAGTCGAGGCGCCGCAAATTTGGGCTCGATATCTTCATAATAATTATTTTCGGGGCGTGGAACCGGTTCCGCACGGTTCATAACCTGCCTTTCGTCTACTGGCGGTAAGCGTGGAAGCCGAGGCTCGTTTAAGGGCATCGGATCTGCTGCACGGGGTCCGTTATCAGTCCAACCGTTACGTGGTGGGACATACGGCCTAGAATGTGGGGTTAGCTTGCAGAGTACACAGTAAACGAAGCGCGAATATATCTTACTCTGTCGGGCTGTACACGCTCGTGGGACTCTGGTCTCCCATTTGTCCCACTTGCGCATTTTGTGGTTGCAGCATGTCAGCAGGAGCCTGAGCTTCTGGATAAGGATCTCGCGGTCTGGGACCTGCCGCCTGAGGTGTCATCTCGAAAGCTTCAACTTCACGGTTCCCGTTGTTTGGTGGCATATCCATCCCGACCGCTCCAGGCGGGGGACGTCTCATCGGACCGCCAGGCGATGGGCCACGGGGTCTGTAATCGTACTCTTGAGGGATATCGGGCACATATCCGCCGAAGTTGGGAGGCGGTCGAGGGTCAGGGCCTGGACCGTAAGGACCGAAACCACCTGGTGGACCGCCTCTGGTCTGCGGATAGCCAGGAGGTGGTCCCCGTTGGCCTCTTCCCCTCATCATGCCTGGACCTGGAGGAGCACCACGCATGGGGCCTGTCGGACGACCCCGTCCGTTTGGGGGCGGCCCACGCGGTCCACCATAAGGACCTCCCCGGCCATAACCACCTCTCGGGGGGTAACCACCTCTGCCTCGAGGTCCGGGTCCCTGTGGTGGCCCTCTTCGTGAACCCATACTGCTATCGGAATATTGATTTCGCAGTCTAGGGTCTCCTGCCTCAGGAGGCATACCGGGCCCGGCCGTATAAGGGGGGCCCGGTGGAGGAAGAGGGTTTCCAAACTCATCGCGCGTGAGGTACGGTCGTTGATTACCTGCAGGTGGTCCAGGTGGTCCTGAGGGCCCATAGCGGTCAACGCGGTCGTTTGGCATTGCACCCGTTGGCATATTGTTCGCATTTCGAGAGTTCAAAGGCAGACGATCATCATCGGTTGATCGCCCTGTTACGTCGAATTCAGCGACGGCGGGAGCATTGTCTGAGGATGGCGCACCAGAGATGAGAGGAGCCTTGGTCTCCGTGCTGAGCGGCGGCGGAGAGTCCGCCTTGGCAAAAGAAGCAGCCAAAGCATTCTGGCGATTGTAATAGTTCTCACCACTCATCTCTGCATTTTCTGCAATACGTCTCTTCCTAGCCTTCCGACTCACGAGGGTGCGTCGCATAGCACAAGTGACGACGCCACACGTGACCAATAGAATGGTTGCCGCGAGCACAATCCAACCACCCCATTGTAGATGCGGGACAAAAAGAAGAATATCGACCAAAAAAGCCAACAAACTGACAAGAAGTGTAGGAAGTAGAAGAATAAGAAGGCCCAGTAAGTATCGCGGGGAGTGAGACGGGGCGTGGAAATGGGCTGCGAAGGCCAAGCAAAGACAGACGAAAGTAAGGAATGCCGCAATTGGATGGACCACGAGAATGGAAGAGAGCGACGTGCGCGCGCTGGATGGTAGGTCGAAGTCACTGTCATTGGAGCTGGAACTGAATAGACCCGCTACAGAAGCAAAATATAAAAGTCAGCGCACGGCGCAATTCAGTACTTAAGGAAAGGGGGTCCTGACTTGTGCTGTATCCTATCCTGAGCTCACTGCATCCATCTTGTTTGCAATATCCGAATACCCCAAAGTCCACATTTTCAAAGGTCGCCAGCGGGATGCCTTTTACGATCGGGGTCGAGATCACCGATAGGAGCAGGAGTGCGAAGGCCGCAAGAAGCAGTATTGTGAGCGGCGTAGCGGGCTTGAGAAGCATGGCCGAGTCGTGGCAGGCTCAGTAGCCACCACCAGTCCGATGGACGAGAGATTCGATTATACGGGGAACAACCTGATGGCGACGAGCGCGGTCGAAAGCGATATAAGTCGTCGCGGGATCATGAGGATGGAAGTATCGATTGCGCCGTCCCTGACGGGCTGTAATGGTTGGTGGAAACGAGTGTCGTGCAAGCAGAGCTAGCTCTATTGGACCATGCCCTCCCCAGCCAGAAACAAGCAGACAGTTGAAATCAATTCAACGTCTGTTAAGGATAAAGAAGGCTAAGCTAGGTGCCGAGAAGATGGAAAAAGAGCGTTGGGCTGACCGATTGAGGTTGGAGTTGGAGATTGCGATCAGGAGCAAAGCCGCCCGGGGGGCGAGTGGAGATTCCGTACCTTGGGAGATGATCAAGCGTCACAGCCTGCGTTCCAAGGCTGCGCCTCAGTCTCTGCTCGATCGTTGATGAAGATGATAGTTAAGTTAACCAAGAACAAGATAGCACTAGATACTCCTGACGACGTGAATTCGTGCACCATCTCTCGCGTTCCTCTTTCGCGGGCCCCTATCGCGTTGCGACGTCGTGACATTCGAGTCGAGACTAAGACCAGCCGGCTTCATTATTGCCCCCTCGCGCTATGAGACGGACTCACTAACCCCACTTTACCTTGATTCACGATCATCATCGACACGAAGTCTGGTCCACTCAGTACTAAGTATTCCAACTCTCATCTTTCGAGGCAGTTTATGGTACATTGCTGACTCCAGATAACTTCTGAGACAGACATGCTCAAAGCCATACTTCTGTACCAGCTACGAACCGTATTTCTTGGCGGAGTGTCTCTGCCATAAATCAAACTGTTTCTCTGGTTTCTCTGGATGTTTGGTCGGTCTCTCGAGAGTTTGGAACAATGCGCTACTACCAAGGATAGGTTCCCGACCTGAGGCTCTTCTTGTATCAGCATCGAGCAACTCCACCCAGTTAATTGTATCAACGAAGACCGGATCCCTGGGACCAAATTGCTCGAAGAGGAGACTTGGAATGAAGACATTCATTAACCCTCGAGCTAATCTACAGTGGTTCACCTCCATCAGGTATCATGCGACCATTCCTCGAGAACACGCACCAGCGACAGTCCATAGTCTTATAATTGACTTTGCCGGGCCTTCTGCGTCGAGCGTTGGATAACGGGCTCATCCATGTTCAACACTGCATGCAGTAAGGAACCCGAACCAGGCTCTTCGAAGAGGGGTTGTCTGTTTCGTGTTGCTGCACAATGCTAACGACTCCGATTACTATGGCCTATCATCGGATCACCAGGAGAGAACTGCGGGGGGGCGTGAAAGCATAGCATGTGCGCAGCCTATATCGTTATTCCCAAGTGTTGCGAACCAAAGTCTTTCTCAGGTATCTGGATTGCGCTATGACATGCAAAGCCTCATTCTTCGGTAGCGAAGCCTTCATTATATCTTTCATTCGGTGAATTTTGGGGCATTTTAAGACTTTTCTTCGAAAAAAATTAGTCTATTGCCATGGTATCTCTGGCGGCATCCGATTGCGTACTCAAGCGTTCCTTGGACCGTACCGCCACACCACATGTAGACTGCCGCAATGCGACCAAAGATAGACTCACGGAGAAATGAGCAAGACATCGTACCGAACAGGTCTATGTACTTTATATACCTCAATGATGTTGGTTAGGTAGTCACTGCCAAACCCAGATACTATAACGGAGTATTGTCATGCGTCCCTTGTATTTCACCATCGCTAATTCTTGCCGTGTCTGGTACAAAATCCAGGCTTTTAACACTATTTGGACTACCTAAGGCACATCTGCATTCTAGGATAGGGTCATTTGACGTGCTGGGTGTCTATATGAGCAGTTAATGAGTCCAGCGAAGATGGATAGCCTGTATAGTTTGTCTATAGCACGTGGGTGGGGTTGAATATATATACACGTTCTCGCACCTAAACTTGAAAATAACTCCGGCCAGGAGCCTACATACTTAGTAGAGGTCGAATTGACGATGAGCTGTCAGAATGCCTAGATTTGACCATTTTGATCATCGCACCGGTTCGGTGATCATGCATGATGTTTGACATTTATATGGCGATAACGGACGTGACCTTGGGCGGACAGCTGTGATGATCTCTGTTTTCGAGGTTGACGTGTTCTGATGCACCACTTTCTCCTTAAACTTCGCGACGATAAAGGACGCCGTCGACGCTGCCTCGCATAGAGAAGAATGATCATCAATGCCAGACGTCGCTAGGTAAATGTCGCAATGGAGCTTCGTGACTTATTTGAATATGAAGGTATGAGCAGGGTACCGGACGTTTGTGAAGTGTTTGGATGATTGAGCATTATGTTCTTTGCGATCGTACGCTAGCTAACAGACCTCCAGTGTTTGACCCGCTCCATCCCCGCTCCATCTTTGACCCGCGAGTATACCTAGATAGGTGCAAGGGTGGCAAACGCTTGTCCACAAGTGCCGGGGATATATGAGGCTGTACACAACATATTCTCCGTTCAGTGGGTGATATCCTCCATCACTCCGCACGAACTATTGGCTAACTAGTCTCACTATCAGTGCATACAATTCCAGCTCCTATCAGTGACAGCTGACCGCATATCTGAAGCCCCTCACAAGGCTATAAGGACTTGACCAAAACGGCAATATACTCTTTTTAGAAGACCTGGTGAAGCAGAAATGCAGGATATGCGGGGTGCCCTATAACAATTGGAATTCTACGGGGACCTTATATCTCAAAAAACCTTTTATGAGGATATATCGTCAAAAGGAAGTTTCTAGGGCGACAGAGCCGCTTTCTGGAGCCCCAAGAGTTCCAATATTGCGATAGTGAGGTGCGAGTACCAGACATATGCCATGAATGCACGTCCTACTTGATTTAGATGGCGGGTTCCACGCCCTGGATGGATTTGCAGAACGTGGACTCCAGTTGCCGACTTCTGGAGAAGACACTGGCCGACGAAAGGAACTGAGTACGGTACGATAGCAGCAGAGGAAAGTATGAAAAGTTCTGCAGTAAATTCCTCGCCACGGTGCCGCCTGTCTTCGCTCCGCAGCCAGATAAGCAACAATAATGGGACTGTCTAGTCATGCTCCCTTCCCTTGCAACAGCAACTCTTGCGCATGTCGATATTTGAGGCACTCTGCTACAGCTTCCGGCCAGTGCTCCTGCAGGAGTCCAGCTACACTACTCCGTACAAGCAGATCCTGCTATCATTGCACAAGAAGGCGCTAGCCTAGCCGCGCTCAAGCTGCTTGACGGTATCTCAGCCCTGCAGCTGATGATGGGGGCTCTCGTACACGCGGTTCGCGAGTATCTGGCTGGAGGGAAACGACAACTGAAACTTGCAGAGGCACGGACGCTGGCCTACATCATCGGCAACATCGACGAACTGTCTGCGCTCACTGTTGCTACCGTTCAGATACACGTTCAGGGCACCAAATTTGTCATGGCGATAGGGGAAATAAATGATGCCTTCTGTACAGAACCGCTTCAAGGCGGGGATCGGCTCGACTAAGATGACCCGATAACCTTAGACTCTACAACCACACCTCAAGACCGGCCACCAGAAAATAAAGAAGCACGCAGCATGCATGAGCCGCGTAACCTCTCTTTTGCAGAATAGATTGTGTTTCCAATATTGGATTCGCATCTGAAATTGGAATTCTTGGGTCGCTTACTGTCTACCTTGGACCCCACAAACGCGACCCCATCTCGACACACTTCGTATTAACTATACCCTCAATCGAAGTCAGCATAGACAGTGGATGCCATCGAAACCCAAGTTCTAACTATACATAACTAGTTACTAAATTCTGGGAGGGCCCGATGGGAACTAAGCTTATTTCGTGCCGACCTAGGAACCTATCTCCATGTTCCTGATGATAACCCATGGTTGCCCGACTGGTTTACATCTCATATCAAGCGCCTTTTCTGTTTCACACTGAACTCTAAACATACAAGCACATACTACATAGAAGAATAAGAGCCCTGAGCGTAAGGATACCCACTTCATATCTAGTCGCTGTTGTCCATCATTTGCTGCGTCATACATGGGCGACTCCTTTAGCCAATTGATCGCCAAGGGATTGACGGCACGCTAATGTGTATACATAACACCAGATATGCCTAGCTTAACCAGTAGTAGACCGGGAGCCAGTCGCACCGTCACAGGACTTAATAATAATGGAATCAAGGACCTTCCGGTCGGAGACTAGTAAACACTTCCAGACTCGATCATCCATGCTGACAGCCATGATAAACATCACGTGCAGCAAGGGGTCTCTTCTGGACTGTGTCCATCTCGTCAAACCAAGCTTTTTAGCAGCCCCTTCAGCGTCGTACGCGACAACGACATTCCGCGCTGGATACCGGCCTGCTCTGCGCTGTCCTTCAACGTTGCTGACCCTTCGCTCTTTAACTGGGGCCACATCTTGGAGGACAAGGACAAGAAGACAGCGTCAGCGTACGTGTCTGTCAGCAGGTAGAATGGTTATTTAAACCCTGTCTGGTCCAGTTGCGCGATTGCTCTCAGACGGAGGCTGGGATTTTCACTCGTTTAAACATTTGTCGCTCATTATTACCTCTGTCTTTCTTTTTTCTATTTTCTGGTCGTTTCATTCCCTATCAAGGTCGCCAATATGGTGGGCCCCAAACAGATTTTGTGTTTGTCCGCTCTCTTCTTAAACACGCTTGCAGCAGCGCTCCCTCTCAGTCAAGGCGCAGACGCCTCGGCTAGATTCCCCTCTATCATCACAGACGACCCTCCCTTTGAGTGAGTGACTCCTATTGTATCCAATCGTCTATGTGGTAATACTTATTATTGGTCTAGTATATGGAATGAAACAACTGGGATAAGCTTCTTCAACTCGACGAATTTTACCTTAGGCATTGGTGCCGGTGATGGCCCTGCTAATAACCCCGCTCAATCCGCTAGCTGCTCTAGCCTCACTGCCGGCTCTTCCCAGTTCTGGTATGAGGCAATCACTCATAACGGAGAGTCGTCGTACTTGACTGCAGCGGATAAGGCCAGTTATTCGGTCTTTCGAAATGTAGTCACTAGTTTTGGAGCAGACAATACAGGCGCGAAAGATGCGTCTGCTGCTATCCAGAATGCCATCAATGGTATGTTGCGGTGCACTTGAGAGAAAATTAATTGACCTTGTGCTAATTAAGCACAAGCTGGAGTCACCGGGGCATTTGACCGGACCACAAATTCAACAGGAACGACGACGAAGCCTGCAATAGTTTATCTACCGTCCGGGACGTACTTGATGCAAGCTAGTATCCAACTCTTCGTTGGTACTGTGATTGTGGGAGATCCGATCAATCCTCCCGTTTTGAAGGCGAGCAGTAATTTTCCGGATGATCATATTGTTTATGGCAAGGACCCGAACCTGGGTGGCACGGTCAATTTCTATATTGGTATAAAGAACATTGTCATCGATTCGACTGCCGTAGAGCCATCGCAGTCTCTTGCACTCCTTGACTGGACCGTCAGCCAAGCAACTCAGATCACCAACGTTATGTTCAATATGCCACTTGGTTCCACGGGGCATACTGGTCTCACCACTGATTATGGGTATAACAGCAACACTATCCTGGTACGTAATAGACAAAGATGCCTGTCTCGATATAGAAGCTAATGTCACTGAGTAGGGTGATCTCACGTTCTATGGTGGTAACATTGGTCTGGATCTCAGCGGTCAGCAATGGGTCTTCAAAGGCATCACCTTCAATGGAACAAAGACAGCCGTGATAGCAGGGGCTACGAACATCGTATTTCAAGGATGCACGTTCAACGGTGTCAATATTGGAATTAATGCGAGCAGTACCTCGGGTTCACTGACTGTCATCGACTCGACGGGTATCGTTAGCGACACGCTGATCAGCTCCTACAGCTCTGGCAGCGCGACGAACTCGATTGTCCTTGACAATGTCCAGAACGTTGGAAACACGGTCACCCTTGGAGGAAGCGTAGTCCTTAGCGGGAGCGTGACAGACACGTGGGTACATGGAGATCTGGTGAGGAATATCGCTCTTGTTCGGTCAAGCGTCTTGGGACTAATGCATTCCAGTACACCTCGGGCGACTCCTATCAGCAATACGAATCAGGTCAGACAGTGAATACGCCACGGCCCTCAGCGCTCGTGTCTAGTGGTGATTACTTCACTATGAAGCCCCCAACCTACCAGGAATATGCCGTGGATCAATTCGTAAACATCAAGACAGTCACGGACTACCCCGTCTACGGTGATGGTTACACGGACGATACTGAGAATATAAATGCTATTCTCCAACAATACGCTGGCTGCAAGATTATTTACTTCCCAGCTGGGACATACATTGTGACAGATACGGTTCTCGTGCCGAAAGGCTCTCGTATCTTTGGCGATGCATACGCCTCTGCCATCAGTGCTAGCGGGGCCAATTTTGCGAATGCTCTTACACCGACGGCCATGGTACAGGTTGGGGAGCCCAACGATGTAGGAGTGGCCCAGATCAGCGATATGATGTTCACTGTCTCTGACGTCCTGTCTGGATGCAAAATGGTAAGCTTGCCAGACCTCCTGAATCTGTTTTTTCTTGCACTAACACCATCTTAGGTTGAGGTTAACATTGCAGGTTCTAATCCTGGAGACGTGGGTTTCTGGAACTCTCACTTCCGCGTCGGCGGTGCCAAGGGAACTACCATTGAAGATGTTTGCCTGAATGATCCCGATACCTGCAAAGCCGCATGGGGCATGATGCATCTCACCAACACATCATCCGCTTATCTCGAGAATATGTGGGGTTGGACGGCAGATCATGACCTGGACGGTAACAACAACCAGACGATTGCGACTGGTCGTGGCATCCTGGTCGAAGCAACGAAGGGGACCTGGCTGGTAGGAACGGCATTCGAACACAACACGCTTTACCAGTACAACTTCAATAATGCTTCAAATGTCTTCTCGTCTATGCAACAGAGCGAGACGCCGTACTGGCAGGGTCCTGGAAGCGAATATGCGCCTGCCCCGTGGGCTGGTAGCCTCATCGCCAGCGATCCAGACTTTTCCAACTGCGCCACAGATGATGCTCTCTGCCGCATGGCATTCTTTGAACTAATTCAGGGATCGTCAGAGCTGTTCCTCTATGGTGGCTGCGTGTGGGCTTTCTTCAACGACAACGGTAACTGCAATGCTAGCAATGGCGATTGCCAAACGAACGCCATCAGCACCCAGTCTTCTTCAGCACTCTATTTGTATAACACCAACGTGAAGAGCATAACCAATATTGTATTGGACAATTACACGCCTATTGCGACCGAGGCAGAAAATACTGGTGGATGGGGGGGCGTCGTCGCCGCGTATCTGTACAGTACATAGATGCCGTGCAGACAGTAAGTTGTCGGACGAACATAGCCTACATGTACATATCAGATTTGTCCCTTTTTTTCTTTTCTTTTCTTTTTTTCTTCTTCAATTATATAGACTATGCGAACGTGCTGTTCTTAGTGTTTCTGGGCTAATTCAAACTTAAAAACTTCTCCGGAAACCTTCAACAATACCATCAACTGCAATCGTCCGTAGCGTTTCCTCGACGACAATGTAGATACCATTAGACTCAAAAGTATGCGCCCATGTATTACGAGGCAAATTCCGGATTGTGACCCGGCACCGAGAGAAAATGAACAGGTAATGATCCAGAAAGACTCCGTCTAATATCTGAATCTAGCCATCTGGCTATTCCATGCATAACTAATGCGAAATGCTACATGACACATCATACCGGAAAAATCAACAACAAACCAGCAACACTTACTATCCCTCCCGACGAATCTATAGACCACCCATAATATCCTATTATCTCCAATAACAACAGTTTAGAACCGACTCGAACAAAAATGGCGCCAACGGTGGTGGTGGTGGTGGCCTAGACCGCATACGCATCAAACACATCATCAGCCACACCAAAACAATGGTATGGAACAACTCTCTCTCCTTTCTCACCACTGGAATGATCAAACATCATCACAACTAAAACATGAACCGTGGTACTAATATTCGCGTCTCTTTATTCCCTCCTCTAGCAGTCTCTTTGCCGCAGTTTGCCAGAGGAGAGCGGCGGCGGCCCCGTGATGTCAGTTAGTATCATGTTCGCGACAACATCACCGCCACGATGGGGGATATAAACAGGTCGAGAAATGGTGTCCAGGGAAAAATTTTTTCGGATCAGATTTCATGATTCAGATGATCTCTGCTGATTGATTCGAAACAATCTCTTAAAAACGCATCCTCGCATTTATTTTTTAAAAAAGTGATTTCATATCGCAAAGAAATTTTAAAAAATATCTACAAAAAAAAGCTTCTTTCAAGAACAACAAAATCAATACCTACCAGCCAAAATGACCGACTACACCAACTACGGCGCTAGATGCGGAACCGCCTGCGGAACCGTCTGCGACACCGATAATACCTATACTGGAACCACCTACGACACCGGCACCACGGCGGCAGCCACGTACGATACTACCGCCGCGGGAGCAGGAGCCACGACCTATGACCCGACCACGGGTGCATACGACCAGCATATCGACTACGACACCGACGGCAGCCGTCGCCATCATCGAGAAAGGATGGATGATAGCGGACGATACCTCCATCGAGACGTCGATACGCGACTCGACGGCTCCCAGCGCGTTCATAAGGAATACAGCAATCCGAATACGGGTACTGCCTACCACCGTGACTACGAGCGCTAGATGAGAAACGGAGGGGGAGGATCATTCAGGATCTAGATGGGCGGATTGGAATGATAGGCTTTTCGTGATGGATTTTCTGGTGGATCATTTCATTCATCCTGTATAGAGAGGCTTTGTCTCGAATGAACGGGGCGGATTGTGGGGAGGGACGTTGCCGTTCTTTACTGCGATGCGTGTGTTGATCTGCTTGATTTTCTAGCGTTTGGTCTCTCTTTCTGTTTCATCCTGATGGACCTTGGATGTACTGTAGGAAGTAGAAATGGAAAACCCACGTGATTGCATAAAGTTCGTTCCAGGACCTTGGGTGCGCAATAACCCTAGGAAAAGTAGTTTCATAGGTTCAAAAAGCTTTTGGGGAAACCAGAAGCAGTAGAATTATGTTCCTTCTGTCGATAAGACTATTTAGAGATATTGCCTAGACCCATTCATGCCAGCTCAAGCCATCTCTATATACAAGTGGAGTCTGGGGTCCCTCCGCATCAATGATGTAGCCAGCTTCGCATCGACTGTACGACACCTTCGCCTGTTCATGGTAAAAGGTGTTGTACTTGCTGCTGAGCGCGTCGTGGAGATTCTGAACATCCCCATTTGGATGGAGCACACTCCATGGCTTGACACAGGTAGATCCTTTGCAGGACTTGAGAACTAACAAAAGAGCATCAAGACGGGGTATCACTTGGGAAAGAGGGTAGCCGAGAATACTGTGTTGGCTTGCGTCTTCAATTCGGCCTGTGGGATATAGGTTGTGGAGTTCGTATGGATCGGACTAAAATAGGTTTGTTAGTAGTTGCGCTCTTAGCATCGTGTATATCGGCCTCAATCACATACTCTAAGATCATAGAGCTGGTGTTCGTTGGTACACCAGACAGAGTAGTACAGGTCGTATTCGTCTCCGATAATTCGAAGCGCTTTATACGTGTTGTTGGTGATTATAGCCGGGTTATCAGGCCCTGTATTCTAGGGTTAGCAGGTCTTGCATATCTCATAGCAACACGACGGCCCAAAACATACCGAAATCGTTATATTCGCCCTCGGGGATCGCAAGGCCCCAATATTCTACAGTGACATGCTCATGGCGGAGACCAACGGACTCTTTGCTGAGCGGGATCGGCGTCCCATCAAAATCATCTCTTTGCTCGATTCCCGCAATCTCAAACAAGGTCGGTGCCAAGTCAATATGCGTCGTTACAGCATCTTCAACATGGTTCTCCGGAATTCCTGGTCCGCGGATAAAGAGCGGAACGCGAATATCTTCTTCGAAACCGCACTCCTTTCCAGGCTGCAGTCGGTGCTGGCCGATGTGGTATCCGTTGTCAGAAGTATAGATGATATAGGTGTTGTCAAGTTTGCCACTTTCTTCCAAGCGCTTGACGACGCCATCAACTAGTTCGTCGACTGTCTGGAGTGCACGTAGCCGCTGTCGATAAAAATGATCATTGTAATCGACATTCGACTGATTTTGCTTTGGCAGACGACTGATCCAGTTCACACCGCTAGGCTTTGGTTCATCTTCAGCACTATACAATTTGTCACACTTGACTGAAAAATGGGAGACATACCGTATCCGGGTTAAAATGTTCTGTCCGAGGAACTTTCACATCCTTGAACAGATGCTTATGCCGCTCCGCTGGAATGGGAGCGGTCATTTTCACCGTTCCCTCCTGATCAATATTGGAATGAGGCGTCACCGGTGCAATGGCGACGAAAAAAGGACGGTCTCCCGATATGGCATCGTCGAGGAAACCGAGCGCTTTCTCCTCGATCACATCAGCCGTGTGACGACCTTCATAGCTAACGGGTGGATCATGGTTTCGCTGATACGTCGAGTTTAGATAGCTATAAGTATACGGATCGAGCAGGAAGTCCGAGCCGTTGAACCCAGCTACATGAGGTGCGTTATAGTTATCGATGGTGTGTGCATTGAAGAGCTTTCCGGTGTAATAGGTATCATAGCCAGCTTCCTGGAGCCAAATCGGAAGGAAATTGGAATTGAATCCTTGGGCGACGAATTTCGGATAACCGCCTGATCAGGTATATATCTCTATGAGCTTATGTTACGAAGGAGAGGACGGAAATCATGTCTGCTAACCATATGGTGGATGAACGTCTGTTACGTTGGTATTATGAGCCTGTCTTCCTGTCCATAAACTAACTCGAGACGGACAGCACAGGGCCGTGGTCACGAAATGATTTTTATAGAACGTGCCCCGTTCCTTGAGATGCTTGAGGGTCAATGGCGTGTACTCGATCGAATCCAATTGCAGGTCTTGGTCGTCGCTAATGATAAAGACGATGTTTGGGCGCTCTTTAACAAAGGGAGATTCCTTGTCCAAGGCTGGGTTCAATGGCTGTTGGTTCGCTTGCTCAGGATGCCTGAACGCAAGGACGTCCTGGACCGCGAGCAGCCCCGAACAAAAGGTCAGGAGGCCTGAGAAGCTCTTCATGTTGTATGTCTGCTGTATCTTCGATTCAACATGTCTTTCTAAGCTCACGGTACCGATGATAGTTAACTATCGGGAGCTCGGTCTTAAACTGCAGCCCACGAGCTACACTCTGGCTCGTGCTCCGATGCGCACACTAACCGCAGTGGAGCATCCTCGATCACGTATTGTAGCCGCAGATGATGCCATCCGTGAGATCTTGGCGTGCGAGAGGTTGAACGGCTTTGTAATGTTTATCCGGCAGCTTTTTAGGAGAGAACATGAGTGTCGTTAGGGTATTGCAGTGTAGGTAGTTATTGAGATACTCAAAATACAGGAACGGGTTCAAGTCTTAAGGCAGGTGCGTTTCGGATCTCTCGGTTAGATAGAACTTTGTATAGGAACCATATCGATATCGTTGGATTATCCCATTATTCACTATTATTGTACCTTGTCGGATATTTCCATCGGAACCACGGACTCGTCCAGGCACGCCCTCCATGCTATCTGCCAACGATGGCGTGCTTGGTGGCGGCCATACAGCCACTCATAGATTGTCGTAGATTCTAGCTGTTCGTTCAGGGCAAGTTAAATGCAACCTGCGCTCCCGAAATGGATGACAGCAGACCGACACAGCTCGGTTGGACGGCCACAGGTACTCCTCGAAGGTTTCCTAGTCGGTGTATGACTGTTCGAGGCCAGTGCTAGTTTATATCGTACCTTATCAATTCCACAGCGGACATATTCTGCATATCGATTCTTTTTGACGAGTATGAGTTTCTGGCTGTATTCCTTGACCGTCTGTCGGAATGGTAGCTGTCAATAATGCCCGTGGCGGCCCTAAAGAGGCTGTGGATGAAACCACGCCTCTGCGTATCTCGAAAAATGATGATAATAAAGTACAGAGACAATCGTCATATCAATCCATCCAGCAGTCGTCGAGTTTATCTAGTTCATTTACTTCGGAGAGCTCGGAATCAAGTCGCAGCGATGCAGAAAGCGCATTATTGCCTCGACCGGACAGTGCAGATAACGGAAAGACGCTCACGAATATCATAAGTGTCACTTTAGTCCTTCTTTTGGGTATGCTATTTGATCGAAAATGACTCCAAATTTCCATAGCACTAATCCTGGTCATACCGTTCAGGGGAATTCATCGCCAATGCAGATACTACGCTTCTATATGCCTCGGCGGGCAAGATATCGTCTGAATTTGGCAGCCTTCAAGATGCAAACTGGCTCTCCACGGCATATGGAATGGGCGTATTTGTGGCTCAACCGATGGTAAGTATATATCTTATAGACTTCAGACTGATCTCTGAACATGACTGACGACGCCGATACATCTAGTACGGAAAGCTGTGCGATATATACGGGCGAAAAGCTCTTCTTCTATTCGCCTATTCCTTTTTCGCGGTCGGATGTATTGTGAGGTATGTGACTGATACATGCTTCTACAAGCCCGTGGCATCACTAATGATATGTGTGGACAGTGCTGGAGGATATAGCATGTGGCACATCATCCTTGGGAGAGCCATCAGCGGCATAGGAGGAGCAGGGACACTCACTGTCGCTTCTGTCATCATCACAGGTACAACCCAACAAGATTCACTGCTGTACCCGGAAACTAAACGTTCCATATCTAGATCTCGTCCCGAAAAGAGATATCGCAGCATGGAGGTCCTACATCAACATCGCAATGACTCTCGGCCGCAGTCTCGGAGGACCAACAGGTGGTTGGCTAGCAGACACGATCGGATGGCGATGGTATGCCTCCTAATCCAATACCTCAATCTATTCCATGGACTGTACATGCTAAGAACTTATCAGGATGTTCCTCATTCAAGCCATCCTGTTCTGTCTCGCTGCACTTCTCGTCGCAGCCAAGCTTCGCATCGAGACACCGCATCACGACAACCAAGCAGAAACCGACCCAAACTCATCCTCACGATCAAAGCTGCGCAGAATTGACTTCCTCGGAATCTCATGTCTCACAATATCCATCTCTGCCGGTATTCTCCTGCTCGATCTCGGCGGTCAGAAGTTCCCCTGGCTATCGATCTACACCATCATCCTATCCTTATCCACAATCATCTTCTTCCTCGCCTTCATCTTCGTCGAAGCCTACGTTGCTCGAGAACCCATCTTCTCCCTCCGCATCATCCGCCAACCCAACGTCGCGGCAAGTTACGTCGTGATGGCCCTCCAGATCATGGCTCAAGTCAGCATGATGTTCTGCATCCCGCTCTACTTCCAAGTCACCGCACACGCATCCGCCACTAATGCAGGAGCACATCTCTCCCCAGCTGTAATCGGCAACGCAATCGGCGGCCTCATAGCCGGTGCAATCATCAAACGAACAGGCAGGTACAAACTCCTCATCGTGAGCGCAGGTCTAATCGCATCCGTGACCTACACGCTTCTTTTCTTCCGCTGGAACGGACACACGAACGTCTGGGAATCACTATATATCGTCCCTGGAGGGTTCGGAACTGGAATCGCAGGCGCGGGAGTGTTCGTGAGTATGACATCTATGCTGGAAGCGAAGGATGTGGCTATGGCGACGAGCGGGTTCTTCTTCTTTCTCAATCTGGGTGTCACCGGTGGTGTTACGGCGAGTAATACGGTGCTGGGAATCCAGTTTAAGAAGCAATTGGAGAGGAATCTTAGTGGGCCCGGTGCGAGGAAGGTTAGTGATTATATCCCATCTTTGTCCTGTCCATGTTCGCCTATTCGTATGGAAGGGGCTCATGTTTTGATACACTACTTACTGATGGAGGAAACAGATCATCAAACGAGCCACCTCTGATGTTCACTATATATCCAATCTGACAGGACATCTCAGAGAGGTTGTCATTGCTTGTTACGTCTCTGGCTTGAAGCATACTTATAGTAAGTACCGTCATAACATACGTATCTACTTTGAGAATACCAAACGAACCAGAACTAACAGTACCTGCCTAGTCATGTCTCTATGCTGGTCCCTGCTCGCATCTGCTGTGGCGCTGTTGATTAAGGATCATCAGCTATGAGTATGAGTTATGACCAGGCTTGTATATAGATAGATATGTGCATAGGATACGATTGACGAAGCCATCACTAGAGAGAATAGAAATTTTTATACACTGCGTTTTGTGAGATATATTCTCGTTCATGAAGATCTATCTTACAGCTCTGTGTTGGTATGTACTACTATCTTATTGGAAAAAGCACCAATAACGACCTCCTAATAAAACATAAGAACGAGCATTCGTAAATCTTCGTCCCTCGTGAGTAGTCGTATTCATTAACCCATGAAAACATTACCTAGCATAACAACATCAACATCCAGAGAAGAACATATAAGGGAAATATTCCGAGACCGATATTACCATAGACGCCTGTATGTATGATCTATGTGAAATGGAAAAGAAAACAGCAGGCTATAGACAAATAGAAAAAGAGAGAGGAAATACTGGAAATAGAAAGAAAAAGACATTATGTAAATTAAGCGGGGGTACGTATCCCGGAAAAGCATAATCGTAACCCATTGGTATCGTTACATTGTCGTGAATGCGTTTAGTCGTGAACAAGACGTGGTTGCTTTTCGTAATGTGCGTAAATGCAAATAAGAAGGACGAGATCGTGAACTCGAGGAGGTAGCAATGTGGTGTTGGTAAAACAATGAAGAGACAAAGGTGGGCCGGGATCATTCTTTGTGAACTCTGGCTTGCTTAGAATCCAGTTGAGAGTAACGACGCCCTCTTAGACTTCATAGTCGCGGTCGTTATGAGCATGTCAGGCCTGCCCGGTCTGTGAAGGCGATCGATGCCTAAATGTTCCTTGGAGTTGCTGCGGCCACGGTACACCCCGAATCCATATCGAGGAAGCTCCCTCCCGCCGGGTGGAGAAATGATCAATCGTGTCACCAGGTCGGTTTTGGTCCTGGGTTCACGAAGCAGCTTGTCGCTTAGAAGAGGACTCTGATAAAGAAAACTGAGAAGGTCCGCTAGGCTGCTGATGTCATGTGGCAAGTACCGTTTACGGCCTGGCCAAATAACAAGGAAGGAGACCGTGTATAGAGCACAGAATGCAACGAGGGCATAGAAGGCTGGTAGGCAGGCGGTGATCCGCACCTTGCTTTCTGATGGGTACCACAGAGCTATGAAGATACCGCCGGATAGAACTGGAATAGCCAGAGATGCAACGCTCATGAAGGAGATCCAAGCCACCTTCCAGTGTCTCGCGAGCAACGCAGAAAGTGTTACAGCGAGCGGAAGATCAGCCGGGTAAGACAGTAGTAGACTGTTATCTGCAGTTGCACCTTCGGGAGATGACATTTCCAGAATAGGTTGTAGCGCACGGAAATAGACGTCGATAGGCTGCCATGCAAGAAACAGAAAGGTTCCTATGAATGCCGGTATAAAACTGAAGAGGAAGTTGGACGCCGAAAACCCATCATCAGAAGCCAACGTTGGGAGACGAGGCACGAAGCCGGTCGGGATAGCATCGTTAACGAAGCTGACCACCACAAATGCGATGAATAGGGCAAACACGATGAGAGTCCACGCGATAAGGCTCGAATCCCTGAGAAACCAGACCATCCATCTATATCGAACGGCAGGCGAGTGGAGATTCCCCTGGAAACTATCATTCGACATGCCTCCCTGCTCTTCTAGACCTGGGAGCAGGTCAGGCTGCTTCTCTCTGGACTTGTTCGAGTCATGGAGAGAAGGGTTCCGAATGGGGGCATGTTCCTCGCCAATGCCATAGAATACATCTGTCTTATCAGATGCTCGCCAGTAACCAAGTCTAAGGCACCGAGGAGTCACCACATCTCTGACTGCTCGCGCAGTTTCCGATCGCTCAAAATCATGGAGGATATTGGACCTCTGGATGAGTGGAATGAGGTCAGCCAGGCTGACTGGATCCCACATCAAACCCGTCCAGCTTCGACAGTATCTGAACATGAGCAGTAGTAGCGCTATAGTGACTAACGCATAAACAGCCACCAGCGTCCAGCCCACGGGTTGCACTGAAACCCATCGCCATACACCTCGCCCGCCGATAGTATAGTGCTTAGTCTGAAAAAGACATGACTGTAGGGGTATCGCAAAGAAATTCGTAAGCCAGATGATAAACTGAGAAACTCCTATCAAGAGTTCGCCATTCCTGAAGTGCGAGAAATCAGGAAGCAGGAAGTTCCGTGGTAAGATCGACAGCTTTTGCAAGACACTATCTTGCTGCCGTTCAGTGGCCATCATCGAGAAAGGGATTGTGCGGTATACCGCCGCTTGAATGACGAAGATCCAGATAATGAGCAAAACGGCCAGGAGCTGAGGGAGAAACTGGAACACAAAATATCGTGCAGTTCCCACCCCATCGTAGTCCCACAAGCCATCATGTCGCTGCGACCATGCATTACAGAACGCTACTCCTGTAATCATGAGTAGACAACACAGTATAACTGCAGCCAGTGCCCACGGTCGTAGTACTACTGGCACATAATCGAGAGACGGATATAGGTTGTCGTCCGGTTGTTCTGCTGCAAGAAACAAGTCTCCGATATCCGATCTCTCACTCTGTGAACTCGGAGGCCGTTCTGGGCCAGGGTTTGGTGGTTCTTTCGAGGGCTCAGGAGTGCGGGAAAAGTAGCTCCCATCACCAACGAACGGTTCGCCAGGGTAGTCAGTGCTGACCGTAGAGTTCTGCCTGCCTACCCCGGCGACCTCTTCATCCCTGGTCAGCTGTTCAATTGCGAACCGGATGTACGGTATGTCCTGTGTGCCTGGTGGGCGGATGGCATTATCCGGGCTAGAGCAGGTCTCTGATACTTTGGCGTCACTCAATGCTCCTGAACGTCGAATCTCCGCATCGCGTATTCCTCTCCCAGGTTGCCTGGGCGTCATCTCTTCTTCTTCCTCCGCTGTTGGAGGGAGACTAGGTGACGGCTCCCGCGACCTGTGGGATTGCGGGGTCGCGTATTGGACCACCGTGAGTTTACTCCCACTACTCTTCGTGGATGACTGATCTGAAAACGAGTAGTAATCATCCGACGCTGCGACAGACTGCCGTGACTCTGAATGTGATAATTGAGGTTTGCTTGCTTCGACATTGTCAGCTATCACCACTTCCAGTCAAGCTTTCGACTACTTACAGTTGACGGTTCTCAGACTGGCACCGCCTCGAGTGATCATGGCGTCCGTCAAGACGAGAGGAATGTGGACTCGAACCACGGTACTGTCAATGTCATGATGGACATTCCGGAACAGTGCGTCCGATGGGAGATATTAACTGCTGGGGTCACGTTGTGCGATATCGAGGAGGCTGGCAGGGAGGCTGGAAGACAACAATTCCCAGCCACCCGATAAAGCTGTCTCCCAACTGGCGAACGCAAGGAAACGGGGCAGTGTGCGCCCATGGTTCATTCGACGGGCCGCTCCTAGTCGCTTCATGGAGAAAATAGGCTTCAGTTAGCTGCTATTATTAGTTATATGAAGTTGCGATGCGAAGCCTATCTAGACTCTAGAGCAGGAGTATGAACGCCGAAGTACCAGCTAGTTAGCGGCCTAAGTAAGTATATAATCCGTAGGGCGAGGCGAGCAGCTCCACCATCTCCGCCAGCTAAAACTTGGTTAAAACAACCTTAACTGTATGGGATCGCTTGGGCCCAAAACACCTCTTCTACCAGCCTCCGGCATTTTCGCTGCTCTAAAAGTACTTCCATCCACCCATGCTGTCTCAGAAGATCTCTGTTAAATCAGAATTCGTATTGAATGTATCCCATCCAGTTTCGTGTGATATCATGACAGGAGCTAGTCTCGAGAACTGCTAACTAGGTACCTACCTAGGTACCAACCCTAGCGTTTCTTCAGTCTTGATTCCACATTTATTGACGCTGGGTCTAATGCACTTCCTATCGAGATACTAGTTTCACAAGGAATCGCTCAGCCTCACTTACGATCATTTGGGATTCACAACTGGTGTCTATATTCAAGACATAATTGTTCAGGGCTTCACTGTCTCGACGTGGCATCCTGAGAGGCCATACTTGGATTCGGGCACCGCATACTGCACGGGGCCCGATTGGCGGGGATTTGGCTCACTTGTAGCCTTGGGTATTCACAACATTAACTGCGGCGTCAACCAAAGGGACAATTAATATCCTTGGCCATGATTTGGTCCCGCGCTAATGGATGATATGTTTCTAAGCGCCGTTTCCGCAGCCTATTCTGATCGCATGTTTTCTTCATCTAATAGTAGATCCAGCGCTGGATTTACCTTATCTTTCAGGAAATCTGCTAATAAACTCTTCCAAGATCATTAGCAGACGAGGATACCATGCGATTTAACCTATCTATCCCTTGATTGTTATTATCCTGATCCGTTTGAGATAGACAATCGGGACCACCTTGCTCAATGATGGCGACGTAATATATTGCCTCGCCTCTGCTACCAGGGTCTGATAGACTAGTCCCCAATCTGTCTCTTGCAATTCGTTATACCGGGGATATTAGTACTCTCGACGATTCGGACCCAGTGTCTGGACAGTACCACGCTTCCCTATAGACTATTCGTCTCAGGTCAAGGAAACACAATTTGTTCCTTCAATGGATATAGAATATGTCTATGTTTATGTGAGGTATGAACTCATTTTCCTGTAGAGATTGTCACATGTCAGTATAAATACCTATCAGCGAGGACTCTCTTGGTTCAGACTCTGACCACATTACCTAGGTTTAGTTTCTAACAAAGATATCAACTTCAGTCTACTCTTCATAGAATATCATTATTAAAGAGCAATTTTCCTTTGTATCTGCAAGAATCAGATGTCTGTGTGAAGCTAAATCCCCAATAATAACTTGTGAAAATGGCGCTTAACCCTCTCCTGAAGTCACGGGGTCGTCCGATATTGGACACAACACCATGGAAACAGCAAGAAAATCAACAAAGAAGTGTCCTGGAGCTGACTTCAAGAATCTTGAAGTGTTATGCGACCGTTCAATCTCGTCCCTATCCGCTCAACACCATTTGTGTATCCCCATCATCCCCGTTCTACGTGAGATAGGATATTGAACAAAGCAGATATTGAATGGAAGCATTGTGAAAACAGACAGCAAGACCTCCAGGTCTCTTTTATAAAGCTTAGCTGGCTTATCCTCCCTGACACTGCCGTCTCTACCGTCGATATCGCCTCTAGTACTATCGGACGTGCTTGACGCATCTCAGGGGGTTTCATTCTTATAGGGAACAGAAATAGCTTGCCTACAACGACAGAGCTATATCTCAGTCGATATTTGAAGTAAGGTATCACGACGATTCCTACACAAACTCGACTCTGACATGCTAGATAGGGCTACGCAAGCGGAACTATCTTCTGTCCGAGATATCACGATGTGCCACTGTGTTGGCGAACCCATCCACTCAACGAAGGACCGAATACTCGACCATGCTCTGAAATTCTTTCTCGGTGTCCGGCTAGCCGTCAACCTACGAGGCCCAGAGGTATACCTGCAGCCTCCGTTATCTGTCAGTCGAGAAGCGAGGAGTATCCCCGAGCTGAACGATTCCTTCCCCTTGCGCCTGGCTGATCCGGGCTTCATCGAAAGCCGAGTCTACGAGGACCGTCTCCTAGATGAAGGAAAACGGCTCATCGACCGCTGGGTTAATGCGAAACGAGTCCACGTCGTGAATCTCACTATGCAATACGAGGTGATCAACAATCTCGCACATAAGGTCCCGACACTCGACGACATCAGACAGATGCGGGATTGCATCCACTCTCAGACTCCTAGGGATTTGCACCTGAAATAGAACGTTTTCGATCCATGGCTTTGTTTCCTGTTCAAGTCTTTGGGAGAGGGGGATTCCGAAATGGAGCAGACCATGCTCCGGGAGCTGCACCGGGCGGATTACGGACAGATCTGTGAAATCTATGTTGACTTTGCCAAGGTGAAATATGCTTCCCATAATGATCTCATTGGCCTCTCTGATGGACGCGCTATACTCGGCCCATTCGCTGAGTAGCATGTTGATATGGTGCTGGAGTCCTCTCTGCATGTATTTGGTGATGGGGTTGGCAGTTCCTGTAACATTATGTTTTGGCAGTGATGCTGCAGATGTCGAGCGACGTCAATGAAATAAATATTGATATTGAAGCTTTCCTACACCCCATCTGGTGCATGTAACTATTAGTTAGTAATAATAGTAGTAACTTGATCACTTACAGCCTTAACTCCGCAGAAGATCACGTGCCGAGCTTTCTCCGCGAGCTCCGCTTTCAATAAATATTTCGGGATACGCACTCTCTCTGTTGCCTGGAGATTTAGGGGAAGAATTGAAGCGATTTCGCGACCGTCTTTCGTTTCTTTGTTTTGATTTTCGACAGGGGAGCATCTTATCCGGTGACAGGGGTTGAGCAAGCTTTTTCGCCGAGGAAATACGATTGCAGTGCAACGTCCTTTTACCTACCTATCTACCTACCTAGTCTAACCTCTTTACTCGATCCCCGCCTCGCTCTTTTCTACTGTACAGAACAGAACAGAACAGAACAATCTTCATCGAGACGACACAAACAAAAAAAAAATAATACAAAATGCCATTCCTTGCAGGCTTAATTTCCGATTATTTCGGCATATCCACCGCACCAGCACCACCTTCTTCCTCCGACCAAAATGAACAATCATCCTCCTCCCCGCGCTCCGCCTCCTCCTCACTCGCTCTGACCAACACTTCCCGCGTGCCCAACAACGTCCGAATCCTATTCGGAGGCCTCTCCTTCTTTCTCATATCGACAGTTGTCACGAAGCGGGCTCTCCACCGTCGCTTCTCCGCCATGATACCGCCCTACTACACTAGTTCCGTATACCACAAGCCCGACATCAACGGTGCACTAGAGGCGCTCGACGCGTTCAGTATCGCTACTATTAATGTACTGTCGTTGGGAATGGTGGGGACGGGAATGGTCATGTATGCGCTTGATGTGAACTCGCCGGAGGATCTGAGGAAGTATGTGCGTCGGAATTATGGTGTTGCCGCTGGGACCGTTGCTGGGGTCGGACAAGGGACAACGGATAATGAGACGGATAAGGAGATTGAGACCTGGTTGCAGAATTCTTTGGGTGATGTACTGGGAAAGTACTTGAAGGATGAGGCGGAGAGGAGGGTCGCGAGTGAGAAGGCGAACGTGCAGGAGAAAAAGGAGTAGATGGAGTTGTTCTTTTTATCGGGTTTATGGTTTTTCTAAATACCCTCGAAGGGTTCAGCAGGGGACTCTATCTTGTCCCTTGACACAGATTCTGTGAGGGAGATGGGTACGGCCAGTTTCGGTGATGGTTGACATCGCTGGCAAATACCCACAGTCTTGGGATATTTGACGCCTCCTGGAAATCCGGAGTCTCTCGTCTTCGTAGAGTTTCGTCACTCCCGTTATCATACTGGCCTGCCTTGTGACGCTTTTTTTTTTTTACGAATCCTCGAAGGGACAGTGGAGGGCACATGTCCTACAGGTTCATTTTGCATCTCGATGTACATTATTCCTTTACGTCTGGCCGAGGAGGGAGCGAACCATGTGTGGCGAGAGCAGATACATGCATCAAAGGATCTGCAGGCGTTCAGGTATGGACAGCGGGAAATACTCCTCTCATGATATCATTGAATCAAAGAGCATCTGTTACTATTATACATGGAGAACTCCCAAACACAAGGGATACAAATCTGTCCTTTGCAAACCTAACCCAGCCGTTCATACCGCTCCCTGGCGGTTTCCTTTGTTCGTTCCAAAAACTCATCATACTTATTCCTCGTTTTGCGGTTAGCTTCCTCAGCAGCGTCTCCAAGCTTGCTTCCTTGTGCACCCAGTCCTACGCCTTGCGCATAAACCTCTGTCGCGATAGGGGCAGTGACACCAGTTCCTTGAGCACCGAGTCCGGAACCAGCAGACCAACCCATCTTGCTAAGAAGAGCAGCGCCCTTCGACGGTGCTGGGGCGGGGGCTTCCTCTTCCTCCTTCGGCTGGGGTGCTTTGGCTTTGCTGGGCTGCTTGGAGCGGCCAAACGCTTGCCGTCGTTCCTTGGCGCGGTCTCTGTATTCTGGCGTAGGCTGCTGGATCCCATGCTTCATAAGCTTGCCCATCGCTTTCGTCTTTAGCTCTTCATCCTGGAGATTGTCTCGATGCAGCTGACTCAGACGCTCATGTCTGTTAACTTCGGCAGAATTCTTGAACTGCCGCATGCAAAGATAGCAGCAATTCCTATTCAGATCGGCGTAGGATTGAGCTGGGGGAGCTGAAGCCTCCCCAGGTGATCCGACTTCTGAGGCAGGGTTGGACAAAGCCTCGCCAGTGCCTTTCTCCTCTCCATCCTTTTTCTGGATCCCATGGAGTTCAGCATGACGGTTGCTCCAAAACTGTAAATGTGACGGGACAGCGAGTTTCTTAGCGCCTGTGCTGGCGGCTGTCTCGGCTTTCCTCTTCTTTGCTTTCTCCGCATCTTTAGTAGCCTTTGAGTGACCATCAGTTGAGCGGTCATTTTTGGACTTTCCGCGACCAGTATCTAACTCCGCCGTCGATACCGTAAGCTCAGTGACGTATCCTTCCTCGTCCCAGTAAGCCAGTTTCATGGAAGGGTTAGACAGAGGACTGAACGTAAATCTGTCCGTGCTTGGCGTAGGATTGAGAACCGGGACGAATACTCCAGCGTGAATATAGCTTACGAGGATCGGTTTCGAGGCAATGGTAAATTTCTCAAAAGAATTGTATCTGGTCAAGGCAGCTTGCGCATCCTGCTTTCCAGTCAGTCGTGAATCAATCATGGGATACCAAGCAGAAAACGGTACCTCGACAGTAGCAAATTCCGCAAAGCCATATCGCCAACTTTCGTTGGTTTTACGGTCTCTCACCAGCAGAACACGGCGGATAGAGCCTTCTCGGGCACCTAGGTTGGAGTCGCCAGTTGTCGAGGCAATTTTAGCTCCTTTCTTTTGGCTGGAAGATGCTCCTTGGGAAGTGGTGCTTGGCGGCTTGTACAGTTTCGCGACACCTTTCGCAAACAGCTCTTCCGTAACAGAAGTCTCCAGGCCCCTAAACAAAAGAAACTGCGACGGTTGGTTCTCCGGCGCGGTGTCATTATCGCCGGTGTTGGGGACGGGCTCAGGAGGTGCATCAGGGACAGCTACTGCAGGGAATTCTTGAATACGTCAGTTCCTTTCACCTTGAGCTACTTTTCAGAACACATACCGGGTCGCGGAGCTTGGCAGCGAAAGCACCTCTGGCGGGTTGCATAATTGACAATGGCACACTGGGAAAGGTCAGGATCATCCCACATCATAGCTCAGCTATTTCCATACCATATTACATAGCCAGTCGCCTTCTGCCCTGCCACGGTTGCGATCTTCTCTTTCTCTGCTGTACGCTATTCGGACTCTAGTGCCACGACCATCAGCGTCGGGGTTCGGGCCGTATAGATAGATGGCAGGGAAATTGCGCTCGAGAAATGCTCTTGAATCATCCACGTTATAGAATCGGAGGAAACCCAGCTGTCGTGATATTTCTGTTGTCGGTCAGTACCGAAGGCACTCAAAACAGCATAATTAAGACATACTAGTCTGCCTGTCGCGGATGACTCTGACTTCTTCAAGTCCCTCAATGTGATATTGCTCTGTGAGTTCATTCGAAATCTGTCCAACGCATCGAGCCACATCTCAGCCATTTGCCATCAAGAACGTATTCGGGGGATGAAGCGCAGCTAGTGGTCGCAACGACAGAATGCATAGGCTGTGCAGGGCGAGGGGGAAAGGAGTTGTCCAACGTCTTCTTCCACCATATCCACCGGCAATCCTTCCATTATTACTTCCTTGCTTTCGTGGCCATAGTATGGACGGCTTCGTCGTGGACTGCGGCTCCGACTGTAGCTTCTGCTGCGGCTGTCATAGTCTGGGGAGCGATAGCCTTCGCGGTCGCGATCTCTGTATCCGGCCCTCCCACGGCGAGGTGGGGAGCGTGACGGTCGACGACGGTAGTCATCGCGATCTCGATCTCTGCCTCTGTAGTAGTCCGACCTGGGTTCCCTCTCTCTGGGATAATCACGCCGCCTATCTGCGGCAGGTCCACGGGGCAGAGCCCGGGAGTTGTCTTTGCGACCCAAGCACACGAAATCAGTACCAGCTCGAATTAAGGAGTGTAGCCTCCGAGTATCTCCATATTGGAAACCTGACTGTTACCATGCGGGGAGGAGGGTATACCGCCTGGCGAGCCATATCCACGATCCGCAGCTCGAGGACGGCCGGTGGGAGGAGAGTAAGATCGCGAGCGAGAACGGTCATCATACATGCGACCGTCTCTATCGTCACGACGCGGGTAGGGCCGCTGATCAGGGCCTGGGGGGTATGTATTATCCATATGATGATATTGACGATGTCTGATAAAACAGAAGGTCTAGGAGAATGGAATAATAATTTGAAGCAAGCTGGTGGAGCGTCAGTTTAGCTGCGACGGCGGAAAGACTGGCAGATCCGCCTCGCCGCCTTCGACGCCGCCCGTGGGGATTATCGAGAATGAATTGGATTAGTTTACTGTTTATCCTATTCTCTGCTCGATGATTTCTATTTTCTCGTCTCAGTGGACCCTCACAGATGGAAATACGACATATATATTCATAACGAGGACAATAGAAGCTCACATTTGACAGAATAGCTCTGCAGGTGCCTTGAGTTCTGCCACATGCTTAAAGATTCTCCCTGGCTTTCGACCAGGTATGGGAGCCCATTTGATATCTCAGTTTCCTGAACAGCATTGCAACATTATCTGCTATCAAATGGTCAAGTTGTGTTCGCTCCCCTTTGAGGGCTGCCGGCTACGCAAGATAACATTTCTATCTCGACTGATAGTCTCCTACACCCTAGTGATTGAAGGAAATACTAAGATTGAGCGAACAGCCGTCGATATGACTGCAGATTTACTGCAACTAAGGTATAATTACTGTCTTAGTGTCTGTACAATTCACTTTGATGTTTTCTCCTAGCATACCAGCGCGGGGCACGCCCGAGACCTCGACCACAAGGTATCAACTCTGTCTAGCGAGCTGCAGATATAGACTCCACATAAGCTATCGCACTGAAGAAGCGCATTTGCCTTCGCCAACAATAATCTCTCGCTTCGTCCATTTGAATTTGGAGCAGCAACTATGATCAGATGCGCAGAAGGTTTGCCGTGCCACCTGGCGCGGGCGGAGGTTATGCCCGCAAGTCGTGCAGGAACAGTGGAGTAAAGATGACGGACTGCTTGACGGAACCGAACGCATTGGATAACCAGCCCTGAACGAGGTTCCGCAATGCTGTGATGAGCCGTCTGTGCAGGCGGGGGATAACAAACGTCGCGTTAAATGGGGATTCTGGAATAGGTTATTATCCGAGCCTGCGTATAATTAGAGTCTCCCTCCGCCCCCCGCGTCATCTCCTGTCCACCTCGGGATCACTGTACATGGTCTTCGTCTTCAGCAGAGATCCCAATAATGGCGACCAAACCAGTTGCGAATGTGAAGCCAAACGTGCACCGTGCGTGGTGGAAGGAATGTACCGTCTATCAGGTGTACCCGGCTTCGTTCAAGGACTCCAATAACGATGGCATTGGCGACATCCCCGGAATCATTTCTGAATTGGACTACATAAAAAAGCTGGGAGTTGACATTGTGTGGCTTTGTCCAGCGTACAAGTCACCTCAGGTGGATATGGGCTACGACATAGCGGATTACTACAGTATCGCCCCCGAATACGGCACTGTTGAGGATGTTGAACGCCTAATCGAAGGCTGCCATGAGAGGGGGATGAAGCAGCTCATGGATCTTGTCGTGAATCATACTAGTGACCAACATGAGTGGTTCAAGCAGTCACGGAGCTCGAAGGTTAACCCGTATCGAAACTGGTATATCTGGAAGCCGCCGAAGTATGATGAACAGGGCAACCGCCATCCCCCTAATAACTGGATCTCGCATTTCCAAGGTATGTACTGTACATTTTAAACATTGGCCCCTGGATCGAGAGTAGATACGAACGATAAAATGAACAGGCAGTGCCTGGGAGTACGACGAGCACACGGGGGAGTATTATCTGCACCTGTATGCCAAAGAGCAACCCGACCTCAACTGGGAGCACGAGCCAGTCCGGAAGGCCGTCCACGACATCATGCGCTTCTGGCTCGATAAAGGCGCGGATGGTTTCCGAATGGACGTCATCAATTTCATCAGTAAAGACCAGCGCTTTCTCGATGCCCCGACGAAGGACCCTAGCCAGAGGTGGCAATGGGCAGACTTGTATTACGCCAATGGTCCTCGTCTTCACGAGTATCTGCAAGATCTGGGCAAGATCCTCAAAGAGTATGACGCCTTCAGCGTTGGTGAGATGCCCTTTGTGAGGGACCTTAATGAGGTTTTGCGGGCTGTACGTTACGATCGAAACGAAATCAACATGATCTTCCATTTCGAGCATGTCGACATTGATCACGGAGAGTTTGACAAATTCGTCCCCGGGAAATGGAAACTCACCGACCTAAAGGGAATGCTCGAGTCATGGCAGAGGTTCATGTATGACAACGATGGATGGAATGCCCTGTACTGGGAAAACCATGACCAGCCGCGATCAATTGACAGATACACCAATGCCGGGCCTGAGCATGGAGCTGTCGCGGGGAAGATGCTTGCCAGTACTCTGGCCTTGATGAGTGGAACTCCCTTCATCTATCAAGGTCAGGAACTTGGGATGCGCAATGTGCCCAAGGAGTGGGGAATGGAAGAGTACAAGGACATTGACTGTCTCAATCACTGGAACGAGTATGTGAACCAGACTAACCCATGTCCACATCGTTGAGATTGACACTTTTTTGCAGCCATCTGGTCAAGGATGCAAACAATCCAGCCTTACTTCAGATGTACCGTGAAGAGTACCAAAAGAAGTCCCGAGACAATGCGCGCACACCAGTTCAGTGGTCGTCTGCTCCAAACGCTGGATTTACGGGTCCTAATGTAAAGCCGTGGATGTCCGTTAACCCGAATTACATCACAGTCAATGCAGAAGCTGAAGTTGCTGATCCAACATCGGTATTCAACTACTGGGCGTCCGTGCTCAAGTTGCGCAAGAAGTATCTAGACATCTTCGTCTACGGGAATTTCTGCTCGATTGACCGCGACAGCGAAGAGGTCTTTGCCTACACACGTCAATATGCCGATCAAAAGGCATTGGTGGTCTGTAACTTCACAGACAGCAGCTTACAGTGGGATCCAGTGGCCAACGGAATTGATCGCGTAACGGATGTTCTTCTCAATAACTATGAGAACACAGAGACTGCTTTTACCAAGGTTGCTGGAAAGCAGTGGATCCTACGACCCTACGAAGCGTACGTATTGCTGGTACAGCCATAGTAAGTAGTGTCTTCGCACGTCACTCTGGCAAGATTTAGTATGGGCCCACGTATAGACACGGGGTGTTTTCAATGAGCTTTGAATAGACTATGGTACCTGAATAGATGGGAAATTCTTCTCGAAGATCTTTGGCGATCCTAGGTACTTTCAAAGTATGCTTTTTCAGCCGTTAGTAGTAGAACAGGTGTTTTTCTCACGGAAACACCACTCATCAGACCCGAATGGACAACATTGAAAGTCTAAAACTAAGCCATCCTTATTGATTTGGGGCATCTACCTAGCTGGACCACATCAAATCAGGATAGATGGGTCTCGAGTCGTCATGAAGCGGAGTCGGCTGTACTAAAATGATATAATTAAAGGCACCCCATTACAGTAAACCCTCGCTATAACGAACCTAGCTATAACGAATTTTTCGCTGTAACGAACCGAACAGCGTGTCTAATTCAAACCCCCATACAAAATTCGTTAAATCTGCCCTATAACGAAATTCGGTACAAATCCCTAGCTGGCCGTCATTTTTGTATGGGGGATTCGTTATAACAAGTAACATGTCACGTGTAAAAATCCTTAAATAGCCAATAAAAACCCTTTATTTTCATGTATCTATTACATAATATTGAAAAATTTCTCCCCTTTACCATGATCACATGACGTAAATTACCTTTCCCTAATATTTGATATAACGAATACCACGCTATAACGAATAAAAGTGCCGGTCTGATTCAATTCGTTATAGCTAGGATTTACTGTATTATGTATCGCAGTTGATCTCGGCTCCGCCCGCCGAAATCAAGATTTCCCCGCAAAACGAAACGGCACAATCGTTGGCATTCATCTACTCTACAACTCACGTTCATTCTTCTCCTCGATCCGCCTTTCCCCGTTCATTTTCAGCAAATCAAATAAGATCCTTCTTTTGGATTCTATTTTCCTAATAACTATACATTCATTCCCGTTCGGTCCATTCGTTCTCTATCTACCTACCTAGCATCTGAACTCAACTCCCGCCGATAAGTACCTAAACTAAAGCAAGGAAGGATGTCCGATACGAAGATACTTCCCAACCTCAAAGAAGCCGCGTCGTCTCCCACCACGAAATCACAACGACGCAATAATCCCGACCTAGAATCCCCAGAGATGATCCCAAGAATGGACTCAACAGCAACCGAAGCAACAACAACAACCACCACCACCCCTTATCAACCCATCGACTCCTCCATCTCCTCCTCCATAACATCTACAATAACAACCGAACCCATCCCACCACACCTCGACCCCTCCACCTACCCACGCAGCATCCACCTCCCCAACGACAACATCCATCTCCTCCTCACTTACTCCCCTCTCGACCCTTCCGCCATTCTCTCCGAAGTCAACTCCCCCTCCGCAGGCGCAAATGTTCTCTTCCTCGGCACAACCCGCGACACATTCGAAGACCGCGCCGTCGCGCAACTCAGCTATACATCCTACGCTCCCCTCGCACTGCGCACCCTGGCTACGATCGCTGAGGACGCTGTGTCCAAGTATAAATTGACGGGGATAAGCATCGCGCATAGATTGGGGGTGGTTCCGATTCAGGAGGCGTCGATTGCGATTGCGGTTAGTTCTGGGCATAGACGCGCAGCGTGGAGGGCTGGGGAGGAGGTGTTGGAGCTGTGTAAGGAGAAAGTGGAGATTTGGAAACAAGAGGAGTTTGTTGAGGGGGATGCGGAGTGGAGGGCGAATAGGGATCGGGATGCGGATGGGAAATTGGTCGTGAGGGATGTGTCGACTTTTTCGGATGGGGTATAGTGATCAATATATAGATCAGATAGAGAAAGAAAAAAAAGAGTATATATTGTTGTGGGTAGCTATTTTTGACGAACAGTTAACTACCAATAATGAATTAGTCATGAATCTTTCCGGCGGTTATAACTATAGCTCCTTCTATAATTCGAGACGGGAGGAGCGGTCTTGAAATTGGTTTAATATTTGATGGATTGATTGATTGATTGATTGATTGATAAAACATCAGAGTAGGGTATGTCTAGTGTACATGTACATCACAGTGGTCCCCACTTCTCCATAACTCCGATCAGCAAGGCCGTGTTAATTCTTACAAGTTTTGTTGAGAGTTTTGGGCGTCTGGCTTGGTATCAAGCGGCTTTCCCTCCCTCTTCCAGTCGTTGATATGGTCCATGATGACCTTGGTAGCAGAGGCCGGAGTGTCCTGGCGACCGATACATTCGACGAAGTCTCCCTCGGGATCTGAGAGGACCGTTAGCAAAGACCAAATCCCGGGCCGCAAGAGCGCGAAAGAAAAGTGCGGAAGCACAACTCACCCATCAAATAGAAATAGATACTGTGGTCGACCAAGTAGTCCTCGCCGGGCTTAACGTTCTCCGGTGTAGAAAAGTACACACGGTATTGCTTGCAGACATTCTTGACCTGCTCGTATGTTCCGGTCAAACCGATAATGTCGGGATGGAACTCCTTCAGGTACTTGCGCAGGACCTCAGGAGTGTCTCGGGCTGGGTCACAGGTGATGAAGACCGGACGCATAACATCCTCTCCATTAGCAGACTCGCGGACCTTGTCGATGATAGCTGCCATCTTGTCGAGTTCATCGGGGCAAATATCGGGGCAGTGGGTGAAGCCGAAGTAGACCTGTCATGAGTTCCGCATTGGTCAGCCGCTTCGTTCTGGTAACTAAAGAGATAACATTTGCAGATGATAGTAGATCATTCGATATCCGCCGTATAGTAAAAGATTGTATATAGACAATACATATGCAAAACGCAAGGATACTCACAAAGCTATATTTCCCCTTCAGATTTTGTTCCGTAAACACGTCCCCATTCAGATCCTTCAAAACGAACGGCCCTCCCACTCTCGGCTTTCCCACTCCCTTGCTCATCTCAACGATGCGCTTACGCTCCAATCGCGCCTTCTCGAACTTGAAGTATCCGATCATACCTACACCCGTGATGACAAACAGCAGCGCTGCCTTCCAGGAAAATGGACCGGTGGTGGCGCGCGACTTCAGCTGAGCCATCGTCTTAGCTTTCAAGCGGAGCGGGGTTGTCGAAAATGAACGAGCTGGAACAGCATTGTTCGATACTCGGGATAGGGAGGTTTTCGTGGAGGAAGCGTTGTTTCGACATTGTGTCTGCGGCCTTGTTCGGAGGTACAGAGCGGAGTGTGATGGGACCGTACGCGGGGAAGCGTGCTCGAGGGAGGAGAGGGAGAGACGAGACGTTCTCCCGACGAGCTGTGAGATAGACTGGAATGAGGACGCCATTGCTTTGTGTGGCCGCGCAGTCTCTACGGCGTAAAGTAGAATGGGTTCGTCCTGTGCTTACTGAAGCTCAATTGCGGCCGCTCCGAAATCTCCAGATCTAGATATACTGCGGAACAACGATCCTCCGGAATACAGCTAAAAGTCACATGAACAGCGGTTGGATTACTCAGCCGTTTATTCTGGAAATGAATTCAAAATGCCAAAATGCGACTCGTGAATGCAGTATGTATTTTGATTAGGCTGAGTTCGAAGACTGCCACCGAAAAATATATCCTTAGAATTACAAATTAATTCACATCCCAGCTCGTGCCAGTTGGAATCGAGAGACCGCCTCACTTCGGTATGACAATCATGCAGAAACTGCAAATTGACGACTCCGAGAGCGCTTTATGTATGATGCATGCGCTCCGTCCCCAGAAGGAACATGAAAACTCAGAATGTGCAGGTTGTAAAGAAAAGAGAGATGTACTCTGGGGAATAGAGAGAAAGCAGAAGGAAAGAAAATAATCAAGGGAAAAAGAAAAAGGAACAAAGAAGACAAGGAGACTCGTTACAATAACTCAAAGACACACTTCTAGTCAACAAGAAAGCAAGGAATATCTATGCCATCGACGCAAACTTAGGAATATCGACCACGAAGCGAAATGGTATATGTGTCGTGAAACAGCAAGACATATGACTTGGATGTTGAAACCACCGTTGGATCTGGTACTGTTCATCCCCGGCTGCGGCCTCTACTGCATACCCCTGCTGGCTTGACTTGCACGGCTTGGGCTCGTGCGGCTTCTCTCATCCTCTTCAATGACATCGCTCAGGCGTGTGGGATGCCTGTGTCGGGGAGTGACGGAGTCCCAACCACTTCCCCAGGTGGAACCGCTGTAGTCGACGCCCTGACCATAGCCAGAATGGAGAGGCGCTCCAGTGGTAGCGGCCGGCAAGCTTCCATAGCCAGCTCCGCTGGTATAATCGCCACTGTATTCCTGTTCTTCTTCAGGCTCTCCTTCATACTCCTCACTGCCCTCGGACATGGCACGAGGGTACGTGCGACGACCTTCAGGGTCACGACGATAGCCAGGGTCAGCTCCATACTCTTCTTCGCCCAAGTCGCTTTCAGTACCGACAGTGCTAGGACGGTAAGATTGATCGTCTGGCTCGGAAGTCGGGCGACCAGCGTGAAGGGCAGATCCTTCATGCTGATAGAACCGTCCTGTCTCTTGGCCGTGTGAGTAAGCGCCTGACGACGGGACTTGGCTCTGAGTGGTACTGGGTCGGCCACCCTCGATGAATGGGTCCTCTGTTGGAGAAGAGGGCTGTTCCTCGTAATATTGCTCCTCAGAACCAGATCCCTGGGGTCCCTGGGGTCCCTGGCCTCCCATGCTGGACGGTCCTGGACCGCCTGGATACGGGCCTTCGCGCGTCGGAGGTCGATTTGTTCCACCTTGTCGGCTGGGAACCCCTTGGATCATCGGGACCACCTGCACTCCTCCTACAAGAGTGGGCTCACCGTTGCGAAGAGAAGTTGTGCGGTCACGCTCTTCCTGTTCTCTTCGACCCAATTCTTCCCATGCTCGCCGGGCCTCTTCCTTCGAGATCTGGAGTTCGCGGCGCATCTCTTTCACCAATTGCTCCGCCTTCGCCTTTTCACTCTCAGATTTTTGACTGGAGGCTACCGCTTCAGCACGCTGCTGGCGCTCCACTCGGAGCTGTCGTTCCAACTCAGCCTGCTTTTCTTGAGCGCGTTCTTGCTCTGCCCGTGTGTCGAAGAACCATCGCTGGAACTTGCGCTCGGAAGAGGCCCGCAATCGCTGAAGTTCCACAACCGCATGGAAAAGATTCGCTCCAGCAGCAGACAGATCAGTGACCTGGCGAGCTAACTGCTGACTGATAGGATCACGGCTCAGCTCCTCGTTACTCTGCTCGAGCTTTCTGATCCAATACCCCGTGAGACCCTCCCAGTGAGAAGACAACGTTTCCCACCGTTCGAAAGCATGAGGGAAAGTTGCTCGACGTGGCTGTGATTGGGAGCCTTGAGATGACTGCGGTTGCTGCGGTCCGCTAGCAGCTGGTTGCGGGCCGGTCTGCGATGGCATGCCGGGTGGTCTCGGTTGGAATTGCGACGACTGCTGCGGAGCGTAACCCGCAGAAGTTGCATGTGGAGGTTGTTGCGAATTAGGGGGGACAGGTTTCGGCTGCCCTTGAGCAATGGTCGATGCCCGTGGGCGTTCGGCTGTACCAACATTGCCGGTCTCCTGTCTCTGTGTTGCACCAGGAGCCGATGTTTGTTGAAATCCTGTAGGAGGGACAACGGACACGCTACCACCACCCCGGTCATGTCTGATTCGTGGATCTTGCTGAGGAGCAATTCCGACCTTCTGCGAAGCCGTATCGCCGGCAACGCCAGCAGCAGTATATTGAGTCTGCGCTTGTGTCATCTGTTCCTGTTCCTGCTGCCGTTTCATTTCGGCTTCCTGTTGTTCTCTCTCCTTGGCTTCTTTTTCTGCCTTCTTTCGGGCTTCCCGGTCCCGACGCTGCCTCATGATGTCCGTCGGTGTTCGGACACCGCTGGGAGGTTGCGTGTGCACAGGGACAGGGCCCTGCGCTGAACGAGAGCTGCCATTCTGAGCACGAGGGTTCATTCCCGGAGCAGGCGATCCACCTCCGCTCATGACTTCAGACATGGAAGCGTTCTCTTCGTCCAAGTCTGGTGTAAAGGGGAAAGGCCTCCGTATGGCTTCTTCAAGAACCCAGAAAATCGCCGAGGCGGTTCGTGGAGATACACGACCAGACCTAGGAGGCCAGTATGATTCCAGTAGCCGCGGGTGCGGTGTCTGAGTCGTAGACTCCTCACCCTCGGTTTGTACTTCCGAAAGGGCTGGAGGTAGGTCTGCGATTCCACCAGCTAGACCCGGTGGGTTTTGCGGGGGAACTGCGGAGCCCTGTTCGGCGGGTCTGAGGTCTAGGTTCTGGAGCGCTGTCTCATCTATCGAAACAGCACGTCGATGGATGGCGTGTCGATCTTCAAGTCGAGGAGTGACCCTTCGCAATGAGCGGCCACTGCCAGTAGCGCTTGACGGACGAGGTAGGGGAGATTGAGTAGGGGGAAGAGCAGGATCGTGAGCAGACTGCTGCTGGCGTTGCGGCGAAACGTTCGTGAGCGTGGATGGGTCGTAAATTTCGTAGGTCTCGTCAAGTGCTCTGCGATTTGCAGGAGACACGGTTGAAACGGGTATATGCGACTCGGGGACGTGAGAAGACAACGTGAGATCAAACGAATTAATAAAGAATAACGGATGGAATCGCGCCCCTACAGACTGGGACGACGACGTAAAGTAGCGAAAACTACTCTGGTCGCGATATCGCTGCTATCCAGAGCTTCTTCTGGCAGCTGGCGCAACACGGAGCTGGGAAGGCAGCACTTGGCTGGTATGTGCTCTGTAATTGACAATCTAGAGAAAATGGATCACAACCGCAGACTGAATATCACTCTGGGAGGCGTAGCAAAACTAAATGACCAGAGAGAGGTGAGCAGTTGTGGCTGGTCAAATGGGAGAGGTCGATTAATTCAGATGGCTGGGCGAGTCGCGCCAGCTGCAGCTTGAGCTGCGACGCAGTGCCTGGTGTCGAGTTGAACACCGCAACCACTGCCAGGGCGTCATTGAGCAGCCTATGCGGGCTCAATTGCTGGCGCTCCAGCGCTTGCTGGTCTCAACTCAAGCGTCCGCGCCCTGGTAGTCGCATAAAGTGCCGATGTGATCTTTTGACGGGAGAGAAGAAGGCAGTCTGTACCTACTGGAAGAAGTTCCTTGGCGCGCCGGCCCGCCAGCCGACGAGGCGTTCGCCCTGCAGTGGTCGCTTTCTTTCCTCACCACTTCACACTTCAATTCTGGAGATCCTCGAGTCCCGTTTGTCTGACTTGTCCGGATGCTGATGGCTGAGTCCTGTGGATGGTGCGACGGCCCAGCTGTTCGAAACAGTCACGCACTCGAGCATTGACCCAACGTCCCCAAGCCTACCATGTGGGCTGTCGCACACGCTGGACGGGCAGCGATACAGATTGCTGAAGGAAAATGACGTTGGTCTGTTCGAGACAGGCTGTGCGGTCTATAACAAGGCGCAAAAGGACAATAATCACCGCATGGCCCAGTTCGTCAGGCATCCAGAATTGCGATCCAAGGCTCCACGCTCAGCATCACTCTAATAATAAAGCACAACGCATTCGCAAGGCGGGGGAGCACTGAGTGTCCCCTCTTTGGGCTGCTTAACGAGATCTGGGCGAGCCGCTGGTTGATGAGCTGGCACTGCGTTGATCGTGCCTTGGGATTCTACGGTCAAGGAAGCCGGCATCTACTCCAATCACTGAAGGGCCTCCCTCGTCTGTTATGCGCCTGATTGCCATTTTGAGACTCCCTGGATGTTCCTTATACTTGAAGTTCTTCCGGCTGATCGCAGCCATGGTTCGATCGTTGCCTCGAACCGCGGTTCCCGACTACTTAAATGGGGCGCTTCTCCCTGACCCCACAGAGCTACCTAAGAATAAAAACGCTCCCGTTGTTCTGGTGTCCTCTGGAATGGCGGGGACACATTCTATGGTATGTACTTGGGAATATTCGAGCTGATTGATGGAGTCTTATATCCTGTATGGCCTTGCAGTCTGCAATGAACTTGTAGATTTTTCAAAAGTTTTCCAGTTATTTCGATGGTCGGGTCGCTTCATTCCTCGACGGCAGATATATAAAACGACCATGACCAAGGTTATGATTCGAACCTCCTAGCTATCAGCTAGGTTACTTGTCCGACTCTAGATCTAGGGGAGATAGACCCTATACTGGATTTATCTCCTAATAACAAGTAGTAAATCTAGATCCCAAGAATCCAGCAGGTTCTTTGCCAAGAACCTAATACAAACGAATGATAAAACAGACCATAGATCCCAGACCGTTTTCCCGCGTGGCTCGGGCCATACACCGTTGACCCAATTGTGGCGTATTCGATCGACGCCCAATTGAGACCATGAAACAAATATGACTTTCAACTGATAAAATATGGTTTCTTGTTGCATTGCGAATAATTGGGCACTATGCTATTCAATTTGACCCGGTGAGCACGTCGCCCAGTAAGTAGGTATCGCACTCACAGCGCTAAGCCTGAAGGGAACGGACGTCATACTGTCCCTATCCAGCGATATCGATAGTATGCGCCTTACGTCTTGGCTCAGAGACATGGATACGAAAGTGGTGCCTCCATTGGATTCAAAAGTCGGGATTCATAGTCCCCTTCCATGTCAGCATAATTCGTAATAAGTAACCTAACCCAGTTAGCCAGCATCTGTCTACGCAACACGAGAAGAATAAGTAATGAGAGTCAGAAGAGCATGTTTGATAGTAATGCGTTACTGGTAAAGGAAAAGCTAAGACTGGGACTAAGGGGTAGAGTGAGTAATGATACTCCTCAGAGAAAATACAAAAAGAAAACCCCCGGCGAAACGCCATATTCATATTATATTGAACATTTGCGGGCATTGAAACTGATCTGATGAACATCAACACCAAGGCTAAGGTCAGCGGCCATCTCCCTGATAATGGTGGTCTTGAGAAATCTCTTGGTGGCGCAGAAATCATTGTCGTGACTGCTGGTATCACCCGCAAGCCCGGTATGACGAGAGGTGGAGGGTGACAGACGCGATTGGCCTTGTAGGGCAGAAACCTTAGGCCACATCTGTGACAGTACTTAGTTTCTAGATCTTTTTAAAGCATCGTGGCCTATTGCAGCGCACTTAGAATGTGCGCCACATATAGACAACGCTGTGATATGCCAATTTTCCCCCAGACTAACGCCAGCATCATCCGTGACATCTCCGAAGTTGCTGCGACTTGCCCTAATGCGACCTCTTGCGTGGTGACCAATCCCGTTAACTCGACCATCCCCGTTGCGGCCGAGGCTATGAAGAAGGCTGGTGTATTAGACCCCACGTGGTGTTATGAGCCTCGACGTTGTGCGTGCCTCTACATGCGTTGCGCAAGCTCTCGGTGGGAGTTGGTCCCGGTTATTGGCGGCCACAGCAGAGCCACCATTCTCTCTCTATATAGCCAAGCTCAGCATACTGTCAAGACTGAATTGGGAGAAACCGGGGCCATCAAAAAGTGTTCCCTATTGGTGACTAGTCAGAAAATGAGACGAAACTGCTTGAGGTTGATCTAAGTGACCTTAAGACGAACATTGCCAGTGGCGTTTCTTTTATATCCGCCTGAATTACATTGAGAACGCAGATAGAATTATATAGCACGCGCAGTCAACATGTTGAGCAGGAGTCAAGTGACTACCTTCCTCTTTCGGCCTGCTCATGTTCTGTAGCTGGTTTCCCATACAGATAGCCTCTCTCTCTCCGACTGCGCTCACTGACAGCTATCTCTTCGTTTTCACGACACCATACACTTGAGCTGTGTTCTCTATCCTGGCATACGATGACCAGCACATCATAATTGTTTTCTCTTTTTTTTTGTCAACTGAACTTCGATTATGGGTATATATGAAGAACACCTGACAATACCCGTCAACCCATGCCCTCTAGCAATGACAATAAATACTAAAAATATAAGCGCGCGATGTTGAAAATGAAAGTTACTCCATGTCCAAAAAGATCGTATCGAGCCTCGCATTCGCGTATGACGCCCAGGATATTCGACCACCCATTTTATTGGAAAAAAAAAAGGAAACCCAAAGAATCCAGAACGCAAGAAAACTATTCTTCAGACTTTGTACCCAATAGGATCACCCCATCATGGTACTTTCATCGAGGTCTCGATTCCCATTCGGCTTCCCCCGATGTGGTGATACTCGTTCTCCAGCCTCCAGCGCAGTTAAGTGTCTATATCTCAGCTGTGCCATGTAGTCGAGCTGGTCTTTCCCGGGAGTCGGAAAGCTACCGTTCCCGTCGTCGTTGGCGGAGAACATGCCGAAGACACTGCCTATGATGAGAGTCAAGCCGATCGCTCCGCAGATAACGAGTATAATGACGGCATTTTGACTGAGAGCCATTTTGGGAGGGTTGAAGGATTATTTATTAAGAAATTCGAAACGTGATTGAATGGTTTGAAACGAGTGTGTAGCGCTGTGAGAAGTTAGTCGGGTGACAAAGATCATGTTCATAGGAGGGAATCAAACCTAGAGCGAAAAGCGTCTCTGCGGTTTATTTGTGCGTAATGAGTGTGATAGCGACAGAGTATCTCTGTGATCTGAAAGATAGATACAATCGAGATAACTCCTTTATTCGCTTTAATGATCGTACATGTCTCCTGTGAACGACAGAATAGAGGGAAAGAAAGGAAAGAAAGGACGTCTAAGTCAACAGATAACGAGTGGGATGAACAAAAAGAAGAAAAGGAGACAGAATCGAACAGTTAATTATAATCAACCACTACATTAGGACGGCTCTATGGTACGAAACCTGAAAATGCCTAAAAGGAGTTCGCGGATCTTGGAAGGAAGACATATACCAAAAGGAGTTGGTTGCGGAGAAAGAAACTACAGATCCGGAGATCTAACTGGCCAGGAAAGCCAAGAAAAATTATCTAGCGTCTCCTGTTACAATCAGATTCGACTGGCCTCGACTCCAAATTGTAGACTATATTTTTAGGACGGGCGGCTAACTATCGCGTACGGGGTGTTCAAGAAGCAGTTTTGACACACGAACCTTTCTGGTTCAAGGATGGTGAACAAGCGCTGTCAAGACCTGTGATGTCAGGAACCGAACTGCCCAATGATACAGTGTGTAGCCCCTCTATCCTAACCATTTTCATCTAGTCGACAACAAAACTGAACCATTTGGGGCCACGAGCATGGTCAATGTGTGCTGTTCTCGAAATTATCGGGGGCCCGTCGATGCTGTTTGAATCAGGGAGAAAGGATGTCGCGCTCTTTTGAGGAATTGAACCCCTGGATTTAATGCAGGATCTGTGCGTTTAACTTCCAATCCTAAATTGATCATTAGCTTGTTGCGATATCCATACGAACCAATTCGGCCAGCAGCTTGTTGCGCTCTGTGTGTTCTTCTCAGAGATTATCGATCTTGACAAGTTCCAAGCTTCAAGGCCGTTGCGAGTGTTATAAATAACCTGTCTCTAATCATTAGTTATCACGGATTTCCTCGCCGGATCTCATAAATTAAGGCTTGTTGTAGATTAAGCTAGAGTAACTATCCGTGAAGAGGCCAATCACTAAAATTCATAAGTGGGACCCTTAGAAATATCAGGGGTAGGAGAACGTGTTGAGCCTCTTTCGACATTAAGCGACCGTAATTGCTTATTATTATTTAGTCTACTGTTTGTTTGTTTATTCTTTAGGTCTTCTATTTGCTTCATATGAAAAATTATCCCACATTCTGCATTCGGCCGGGCCTCTATATTTCCCATTCTGGAAATGTTTCTCGGAGGGGCGTGGTTATTGGTGCCATTTTGAATCACCACAATCCCCTCATCCTCCCACTAGTACGACCCTGATTTTTCTTCGATTATTCGCTGTCTCAGCACGGGTGCTTTCTTGTCAGGAACCCCCCCTTTAACGTTCTCTTTTTTCTAGCCACGCGGTTTGCGCGGCTATTCGGTGCTTATAACTGACGGAATAATCGCTCTCCTCTCGAGTCTTCTTGATTCTTGAGTTGTTTTCGTCGATTGCGTCCTCGACACTGTCAGTCATGTCGGCCACGTTTTGTAATCTCTTGCATCTCGCTGCTGTCACGTGGTCCGCATCAGGTGGTCGTTGCGCGCTCAGCCACTGATTCTGTCTGGGAATATAGATGACGATGGGCAGCTAGATAAGGAATCCTCGTATAGTGAGATGGCCGCAGAGAGACTAGTTTGTTCTGTAATGTGGGGGAGGGGCAGATATTATTCATGACGATTGACCACAGACTGCTGAGATTATATATATATATTTAGGAATAGCCTTCACGGGTCAATCGACGGCTTGATGAATAAACCACTAAAAGCGAAAATATAGTCAAATTGAGAATCCTTAGAGAAAACTCAGTTGGCGATTAACTGTTCGGCAATTTTTTAGTATAATCGTGGAAGCACCCTTATTGCTTCCATATACCTAGGTATATACCCCGACGGATACGATACCAACAATATATCTTTTTCCCCCAAACAACACATCACCCATAAAGGATATTCCAATTGCTAGCGCGCAACGAGTCTAATCATCATGATCTATACAATTAGAATGGCAGATGTGAAGCAAGAGACCAAGTCCCAGAGATGACAACGAGCACCATGGCTCAAGGCTGCCACCTACGATGCCACTAAATACATCGTTCCCAGGAAAGCTAGACTGGTAGTAAAAACGGAGCCCTTTTCGACTGCAACCCTCCCTGATCAGATAGACTCTAAAGGGCCATCAATATTGTCCCTCATAGTTGTTTCCTTGGAAGGGTGTCTCTCGCACACGGTCCCCTTATTTCAAGGATGCGCATCGACCCTTGGAGGGGTAGAAGGCCTAGCGGTAACCCTTGAAGTACAGTATATCCCTCTCAACGGGCCGTGTATACTCTAACTCACGTTGTCATGCCACGTTCGACCTCATACACGTTCAAAAGGTGAGCCAGAGATAAATAGTAACTCATCCCTTCGGTTTGAGAACGTCCAGGGGCCACCATAAAAGAGGATGCCCGTATGTATCTACCCCATCCATACTTAGGACGATGGTAGATACCCCAGTCTTCCCTTGAGCATTAAGTCAGAAACCTAGCTTTACACCTTCGTTTTGACATCGTCAAAGTTCAAGGGGGTGAGTACTAGCGGAAGATGGCTGGTCTTTGCTCACTAGACGTTGTCTGCCACCTGCTCTCTGACAACTCTCTTCAGGCCCCATCACTGTCCACAGCTGGCTTCGTAACGAGACATTTGAGCCCCTATCTTTCACAGGTCTTTCCTATTTCTATGATTTGGAATAATAACTACGTTACTATAGCAGCTTGAAGCCCCCGGGGTTCTCTTACCTGACAGCTCGGGAGCCCTAAGCCCTAGCGCCTTAAGTGGTGGCCCGCAGGGTCCAAAACAGGGACTTTGGAGCTTCCGCAGGGAACGGGGGAACATTATTACCTATTCTCTTGAATCTTCATCACCTCACCCGTTTGATGGACATCACACATCGGCGGTCTCGTTTGCTTCTGATATTCTTACCGACCCGCTCGTATATGCTAGAGCAGGGCAGATCTTGATGTACGCATAATACCCCCTGATTCAAAGCAGATTGAGTCGTGACTGCATGGTCGCGTTTGATGACTCTGCAAGCACGGCTGCCAATGATGATTAGCTGGAGCCTCGTCGCTGGTCTAGACTGAGCGAGCATCGTGGGCAGTCCCAGTATAGTATCTCAAATTCGAGGTTTCAGACTCTTGGGAACGGGGATTTTGCGTCCCGCAGTGCTGGGTTCTGAGGACATGTCAGATCTGATCTGGAGAGCGACTCTGCGACGAACAAGGATCACATACTATTTTAACCAGCAACGGGCTCCACGTCTCGCCAAAACTGGCGCTCCCTAGAGTACAGCTGGCCCATTCGCGAGGATAGGATCGATTCCGATTGAGGCGTTTACACTTGACTATTAATGAGATCCGTTTGAAGAACGATTATTCTCTTTTCTGCACCCACATAGTTACCATTTTGGGACTGCGACATCCTGGCTTCTGATCCAGCAGCCTAACTCCTCCAGTCTGCTCTCTTGCTCTCCTGTCCTGACTCGTTCTCCATGTAGATTAACCAGCCTACTGCAGCGGGGGAGCAGAAACGCCGTGCAGGTACCGCCCGCCAATTGGTGTTGGTAGTCGCCGCTGGAAACGCCTTGCTTTGCCGTCTCCACATCCGGAGTCGACATGTCAAGTCAACAACCAAGACCCGAGTCTACGGTCTTCTCACAGCAGCGAAACGAAGCGACTCGGGTCCGCCAAGTACCTGCTGTCGAAGCTGTGTGGAATTTTACTGAACGGAAGAAAAACCATGAAAAAGAAGCCGTCTGCTTTGGTGTACATCTACTTTGTGATAACAATGGTTGGAATGCGGGTTCAAGTGCACGGCAACCATAGTGACTTGCTGAATGCTCAAATGTTACTCTACAGTCTGCTTATGTCAAATGGTCGCTCGTTCCGAGCAGTCATCGAGAGATCGGCAGTTCTGACCCAGCAAGATGTCTGCCAGCATTAGTGGGTGATCGGGAACATCTCCCGTCTGTATAACGCAACGCGTCCTGGCATTCGATTCGTATATCACATTCTGACAATGGATATGGTACTCGAGAGCCACGATCGAGCCACAGATCTCTCTGCACAGCCATCCGATTCTTTTCTTCTCTGCTTCTGACTTGGTCATGCTAATTAGGTGTTCAGGGCGCGTTTTCTGAGCTTCAAAAAGAGTTCCTGGTGATTCACAGTATCTGGTCCGGTCTGTATAACTTTCAAGATCGAAAATTGGCCACTGCTACAAATCACTTAGGACTCGGCGTTTAATCGGCTCTGATGTCTCAATTGTTGTCCATGCAACAGCTGTCAATATTGATCTGTTTTGGTATCGTCTATTCCCCGCAGTCGTCCTACTGGCCAAAAGAGGCGCTCCGGATTGACATCCGGAGTACTCCTTGCTCCGACCCAAAGGGTCGGCTCCCCTGTTCCCATCCCCGTCAATAGGGATGGGACCTAATGTAAGGTCTAATAAGCCCTTACCGTCTGTGCGCTTTCGCGGTGGATCTCTGTTTACACTCTTTTTATGCATCGGCATGCATCTGGCCGCCCGTCAGCCACCAGCTCACTGGCTGCTCCCTTTCCTGTTTCATAGTCTCGACCTACTTTTTTTCTGGTCGGGTACTCTGTGTATAAACATCTCCATCCACCCTGGCAATAGCGTTCCTCGTCCCAATTCCAGAGCCCATTCTTCGCTTGAGAGCTGGCGACCCACGCGTCTCACACTACAGCTTTGATGTGCTTTCCGGATACCTCCCGTATCGTGTGTTGACATTTTTGTGTCCATTGGAATCCGAGCTCATGGCTGGCGGATACTCTCCCTTCCCAAGCACTTTGGACAATTCAGGAAGACCGCGGAGGCGGACACAGACAAAAGAAGACCAGCCACTGCCTCTCTTCCATCCCGGATCGAGGAACACCGGATCGACTGATCTTGGGAACCCCCCGAGACATCCTACGACTATCGAAGACCCCAACCTTGATCCTTTCTATCTGGAGCGTTCACTGGAGAACGTCACGTCTTGGGAATCACAAGAGAAGGAAAGTCGTGATGCTGGCAGCGAACTGTGCCAGAATGGGAAGTTCATGTCCTCGGACTTGAATCTGGACACCGCACCATTCCCTTCGTTTGGCAACAGTCAAGAGCGATTGCCTGCTCTAGCATATCAAACTCCGGAACTGGGAACACACTCCAGTTTTGAACACTCTCGTTATCCTTGCACAACCTCTCACCAATTTCCTTATCACCACTACGGACAACATTCTTTCAGCTCGGTACAGTCCGATGCGAGCGGAAATATACCGGACCTGACTCCAAGTAGTTCATTTTCATCGAACTATTCGGTTTCAAACTGCCCAGAAGCCGTGTTGAACGCGACCAAACAGCTTTGCCTGCACACTAACCGGGCAGAACGAACCGTTTCCGAGCCACCATATTTGTATATCAGCCCTGACCGCTCCTCCACAGGCGATAACGTTGATTCCTACGCTGCCACGGAACCCTCGACGCCTACTGGAACCATCACCCCTTACGACTTTCCTTACAACGACTCCTCAGATACTCTCATTATGCATTTCACTAACCCCGGGGCGCCTTCCGCCTCTTCGCTTCGCTCAAAGCCACTGCCATCACTGCCAAACTTATCGAGGGACTCTAATGGTCAGCATGCGACCAAGAAGGCCCACAGCCCATGTTTGAAGACGCAGATAGATCCCGCCCTTATATCTCCACCCTGCTTGATAGATCCTGTCACGATGGAACCACACGCCACGCCCTATGATCAAGCACTGTTCATTCCAGCAAACGAGTGTCCCAGTCCAGTCCCGAGCCCCGTAGCTTGTTCGCCTCCAATCACTCGTCAAGTGACTGGACACTCTACTAGGGCTCGACCATCTACATCGACATCAGAGGCCCATTGCGAACAGTCTGTATGGGAATCAGACTCGGATTCTGAATCCATAGGGCCGAAGTCACTCTCGCGCAGAAGGCCCATTGACACCCTGCGCAAAGTCCGAAGTCGTGTTCAACTCAAAGTAACCAAATCGACGACGAAGCTTGATGGTGAAGAGAATAGTGGACATGAGTCTGAGCGGTCCTCGGAGGAAGTGCCTCCAATGCCGACTCCCACATATCAACAGTTCCCGGAAGTGAAAACGGCTACCAACCAGAACTGGACACCAGAGCCTGTACGTGGATCAGTTGAACACACGCTTCGTCTTGTTGCGCCCTCTACTACATCACTTCCTCGCCCTTCTTCTTCTCGGGGTACCGGCCAGGAGAGCAACGGAAATGAGAAAATGTCTACTGTAGCGGCTATGCACACGCATCGTCCGCATAGGCTAGAAAGCGAACAGCGTCGTCATTTCCCTACACACGAGGCCATTTACGGCAAATGTCTGGAATCCCAGTCCACAATTGATCTCAATGCCGCGTTGTCATTGAGTCGTCCCGGATTGTTGAGACGCCTTTGCCGGTCATTCCGTGCTCTGAGCTGCCATCACGTCCACGAGGAGGACTGCTATGAAAAGACATTCAGACGATAAGTATCTTCGACTGACGACCTCACTCGATTATCGCAAACGGATGCATACTCTCGCATCCTTTTTATGTTCAGCCACAACGTCTTTCCTTACGATCAGTTCTTTCTCTAATCAATCTTTTTCGATATTCCATGCGCAACGAATAATGTCACCAGTCAAATGACTATGAATGAAGGATGAATCGGACCACCTTTGATGGCAGCGATGTGGAAGCCCATCTGTCCACAAGTGAAGCCGTAATGGTGCATTCGACTCGGCGCTATAAACGATGACACGTACGAACCATTTGATGAAGTCGACGCTGAGAAGACCATTTCACAATTTTCGGTCTCCTAATCTCTCTCTCTCACTCACTCTCTCTCGGTCTTTTATTATACTCTCTCTTATCATTTCCGCTATTGCAGTTAACATGCTGTCAACTTTCATTATTTCCTTCCTTGTCTTCTGTCGTTTTGTCTATTCTTATCTCTGACGATACAATCTTTCGTAACTCAGATCTCATTTCCTATTTTGACCTCTTTTGGAAAGGCGCAGAAGTCCGGTCTCATTTTCTCCTTGTTTTGAACCTCTCTTACTGGATACATGGATAGAGAAAAGCGAAGGTGTGGCATAGTCTAGAGGATCGGCGGTTAGATTGGTCCCACGGTGCCTCCGGCGACGGGACCGGACCTGGACAAATATCACATCTGAAGATAGCCAAACAGGCCCCTGTACGCTGCTTAGCGAAATCAGAAATACAAATCAAATTAATCATTTAAAAGAATTAGCTACGTTCATTTTAGATTGTTTACCTTGTATGTTTTTCTATCTAGATCAAGCACTGCATTGAGCCACTAGGATGCAAGGTCCACGGTTCCCTGATTCACATCGTTTAGTTACAGGGCATTGGCACTGGCGAGAAGGGAAGGGAAGAGAAGAGAAACCCTTACTACGCAAGACGCTAGATATTTCTAATCACTTGGGGTGGTATAATGTAATTTCCCATATTTCACAATCACGGTCCGTTCCGCGTTAGCAGTTATGTGCTTTTTAGACCCGCCTATAATTTGACACGAGCTTTACTTTCTTTCTGGGGTCAATCTCAGAAAAGAAAAGAAAAAAAAAAAAAAACAGAAAATTAACGGTTTCTGCTAGAAACCCGATTTCATTTCATATGTAGACCCTTACGTAGGATACGATTCTGCTCCTTCCATGATCAGCAGGAGCTTGATGTAACTAATAGCTGCAGTTCTCTTGCATGTTTCATGTCCGAGACGGAAGCTCGCTGTGCTGCGAGAAAGGTACATGTACCTTTAGGTTAGGGTCGGGTAGAATGCAGGTTGAAGCCGAGGCTGAAGAAGTAAAATAACGGTGTAAACAAAGCCAGTCCACATTGCTGATTTAAATTACTTGCATGCATTTAGTCTACATCGGATGTGCTCTTCTGTCTGGGATGAGAAGTGTTACTGTTGCCGGTTCTGTAGTTTTCCCTGTTTTTTCTTTTTTCTTTTTCTTTTCTTTTTTTTACTCACAGAGCCTGCAAGAGCGGTGGGAGAAGGGAAAAGAAACGAGATTGAAATGGATTGCATGCATATGTTTCATTATTTCATGCAAGATCTGGTTTAGTCGAGCCGAGGGCCACCGTCTGATCGGGACGCTTTACTTTTCTTTTTCCCTTCTCCGTTTTCTCCAGAAACCTTGGAACTGTCGCCCTGAGCCTAAATGGAGAATAGCTCCAGGATGAGGCGTTGGATAGTTAGCGGAGCTTGCTGCAGGCCCGCCTTGGTTTTTATTTACTTGCTTGTTGGTTATTTCTTTTTCTGGTGAGTAGAGCGGATGCGGAGGTCGGGAACGGGCCTTCTTCCCGCCTCCCCGCGGTGCCCCGTACGTAGGAGTCTCTGCAGACGCGGATTATTGGAGACTAGTTCCTGCAGAGGCACAGGTATGTATGTACATGTACGATGCGGCGCCGGACGCACAGGTTTATCGTTCATCGCTATCCTGCAGAATCATTGCTTTTTTCTTCTCTGGACCTCGTGGCGCTGAGGCTCATAGACGCAGGGTCGTCTGTGGCTGGTTTTTCCCGAGGAATGTGATAGACAGTGAACTGAATCTGGCCGCAGCTGCACGCTGTAACCGTGAGGAGTCCAGACAATCCTTCGGAGGTGATCCGATGAACGGTGAACGAGTTTTCTTCTTTCCTTTGTAAGCAGCTGCCATACTGCCGCACGAATCGCTCCTTGCGAGTGCGGTGAGATATCGAGATACGTAAACACCGCAATTTGGATCGATGTGGACTGTTGCGAATTCTGATTCCGCAGACGCAGATGAATGACTCGGCGTTTCTCTGAGTCAGAGAACCGGTGTGGTGTCGATGCAAGTTGTAGAACAGGAACCCCGGTTTCAGTAGTTCAACTCTGCTCTCCGCGGACCTCTTCTTCCTCCATCTCCAGAGACTCGAGATTTTCCTCCCAATTCGGGACCATGACTCTCTTCTCCCACTTCGAAACAACCGAGTCACCTTTCTTTGCAAGTCGGGTCTCTGGCTTCTCCTTCTCACCTCCTTCTCGGCCTTCATCTGCCTGGAGTCCTCCAAAGACAGCCTGCACGCTGAGTTCCTTGACTGCAGTCATGTAGATCCTCTTAGCCTGCTCTATCTTCTTCTTGCGCGCCTCTTTCTCTTCTTCACTTTCCTCAGAGACCTGTTTCCCAGCGCTGCTGCGTGCAGGCTTCTTCACCGGTCCAGACGACGACGCGCGCGTCTCTAATCCTCGCAGCACCCCTTCGAGTATCCCCAACACCGTTCCTACCCTCATACCTAACTGCGCTCCCACAGGAAACCCAGCATCGAACCCATCCTGAACAAATTGCCCCTTTGCAGCGGATACCCCATCGCGATACCCGGCAGTAACATGCTGACGACGGAGCGAGGGCAGATCAGATGGTTCAGCAGCAGTCGTCGATTCTGTTGTATTGTTTTGCTGTCGTGCATCACTACCATGACTTTCCCCGGGCGGCGAGGAACCGAAAATATCGTCTAGCGAGTTATCAGGCACAATATGCTCCTGCGTCGCTGTTTCTGCGTCGGATTGCGCGGATGTCATCGTCGTCGTTGGAGATGGCGGGGCAGAGTCGCCATCCGTGGGGGAATGCGTGGAGCTAGATGGCGATGCGGGCATTGTCGACTGGGGCTTTGTACGGAACTCTTTTTTTGATATGGGGACAACTCTGCTGTCCGTTTGTACGAAGGAGCGTGTAGGCTGCTCGTAAGGAGGTTTTGCTGAGTGAGCTTGTTTTGGAGAAGTGATAATTTTATCGCTGCGGAGATTACTTTTTTGAGGTGGGGCGAAGATTTTGGTCCGGAACCATTGATCAGTTTTGTATGAACGATGTCTACCCCCAACTAATATATTACACTGATAGAAAGCTGGTAATAGAGTATTCATTCTTGTCCCCATAGGATAAAAGTGAACTAAAATGTTTGTGTTTGGTAAGTAAGTCTGGGATTTTGTAGCTAGTATCTCGAGGGGTCTGTTTCAAGATAGTGTTTCGATATAGATCGATTGGTTTTCGACGGATTTCAACCTTCTTGATATCGCCAGAAAGGGTAAAAAGTTATCTATACTGGGTATTCCCATTATATGAATCATGTTTGCATGTAACCAGTGTTCTCAAGTCATGAGAAGTTACATCCAGCAGCACTTCTATGTCACCAGTTTTGACACTCTACCACCATTGTATACCCAACATTAGGTACCTCGCACCGCGAGGAGTGTGAACGACCTCGATATAACCCTGATAATATTAGTGCGGCTGCTTAACCTTCAGCATTCGCGCTCCATCTAGCTCTAGCCGTCCAGCCGTCTCACTTCTCATCAACCTCCCCAACTCGCCCAGGGAGTTGATCCAAAGCGTCAACTCTGTCCTTGTTGAACTCGATCTAGAAATGTTAGACAAAAATTACGGCGGCGCTCGAACAGGTCGCAGATGTCAGAGAGACCAGTGACTAAATGACGATGAATGGTAACACTGGCCGGTGGAATTCCTCTGAACCCTACTGCCCATGGCGCTGAGATTGTATGGTCGGGCAGAAGGAGAATAACCGGCCAGCTGAAGATTTGGGCAGGAAATACTATCCAACGCCATGATTCAATGCTAGTGTGTACTGGAATGGGAGCATATGCTTCTCTGAAGTCACATACATGCCATACCGTACGAGCACTTTATCCACTGCGAAAGCAACATTTAGTGACTTATTTTTTTTTTATTCTCATCCTACTCTGTCCTAGAACTGAGTGTTGTTTAACAGAAGCTGATACTCGTATCGGGAGCACATGTAGAATTGTTTCATTGAGACACTTGGTATCACTATATCACTAGCTATCTTGGAAATTCAGATTTTTGCAGGCTGGATCGTATACGCATTGGTAGATTGTTGTTGGTTTTCAGGAACTCAGGCCCAGGATAAGAAGAAAGGGGTCAGTTGATAATGAGGTAGTCAACCCTTACCCCGCGCTGTCTCGGATGGAAGCTCCGGCAGGTATAAAGAAGCGAGAACTTTGGAGTTTTGGCACAGATTAGTTTAGTTATATGCTGAACGCTTACGAGAGATCTGTTTCTGATATATTGTTCTCGGAGTTCTCCGCCTCGACAGCAAATAACTAGGTACTGAATTGGCACGGATACTGTACGATTGGGTGAGGTCCTCTGGTATTGATTGTTGATCGTCCCAACTCAACTCGTTGTAACATGGCTTCTTATCGGCCACATCCGCAATGGCTTATCCGGGAACTGATCTGCGTCCGCTAATCCAGAGAAAGTATGGTAATTCAATTCCTGTATCATCCGAATTACCCTTATCTGATCAATCGAAGACTAGAAGTAGAACACGCCCTTGAAAATCAGATTGAAACAGCGCCAACTCACAGTTAACGGAGGGAATCTCAGCTGCAGAGTAACTTCTAGATTACTTAGTGAAACTAGCCGGAGTCCGTTGGTCGAAGAAGCTTAGAAACAACGTGTGATGATTCCAGATGATGCCATTGGGTGATGAACTGTTTTGTCCTTTCCGCTAGACGATGTGAAACTACCCTGTAAGCAGCCAGATCAGGGGAACAAACGATGGACGATGAAACCATATCACGGAAACTAGAACTTAATATGGAAAAGCCTCCATCTTCGATGGATCTACCGACCTGCATCCGCAGAGAGCTATGATCTAGAAGCTTACTACGATGTTCTATCTCCGGCTGGTGCTCTTTGGGAGGTAACATCGCGTTGAATAGCATTAGCCATGAAGTTCTCGCAGGCCGGATTGAGGACCGGTTGTACGAGGTATCCTGGACGCATTTAAGGCCTGTTGCCCTCTCCCGAGTCTTGGTGGTTCGAATCAAGCCAGGAATATACCAGATCATTTCCACATAGCCTTTAATCAGGCCCGCCAGTCGCTAGATCGTTATCTCTTGTCAGACGGATAATAGCCAAAATGCAGCTCACTCAGGTACAGAGGCACCCCTGAGCCAATGCGGCACCCAATCTAGAAGTGTTCTCCATCTAATGCCATTTAGATCCTCTCCGTCGCTGCTTTCCTCATTCCTTCTGTTATCGCCTTCCCCGCGTCCCTCGAAAACCGCGACTCTTGCGTCGACACCTGCGGCAGCACCTGCTACTGGGCCAGCGATATCTCTGCCGCGCAGGACAAGGGTTATCAACTCTACCAGTCCGGCGAGACTCTCGGAGAGGACAAGTACCCGCACAAGTACAACGACTACGAGGGCTTCAGCTTCCCCGTGGACGGCCCCTACTATGAATTCCCCATTTTGAGCTCGTACGAGGTCTACAGTGGCGGTAGCCCTGGTGCTGACCGCGTGGTGTTCAACGGCAACAACCAGTTGGCAGGTCTGATTACCCACACGGGTGCCAGTGGTGATGATTTTGTGCAGTGCCAGTCGGATTAAGCTTGACGGTTTAGTGAACTGCCGAAGGAGAGGACTGGCAGATTCGATAGGAGAATCTAGCAATATGAGCGTTCGTCTTTGGTGGCAGTGTTGGCGTTACGTCCAAAGCATAACCTGGATAGGTTGATTCGTTGATTCTGAAACATTTGCATACACGTTATAAGTCCATAGAAAAATATCAGGAAACTATAAAAAAGAAGCATACCAGCGCCATAGTGTTAGGGAGATTGACGACGCATCATCACATCGGCGCCAACAGTTGATGTTAGATAACCTAGCTGATGTAGAACACTCCGAATCCTTTGTAATCAAGTCGCTGCGACGGCTATAAGGAATGGTCTTATGTATGCGATAAAGAATCTGACTGTTCTCAAGCGTGTTATATGATTGTTTTCGATCTGATCTGATCTGTCTGTCTGTCTGTCTCGCAGATGCTCTAGAACGCAGATTACTAAGCACGAAATGGCCACCTTGCCTGATCTGACGCGAGATCAACTGCGCACGCGCCGGATAGTTACGCGGAGATTCTGGAGAACTGCAAACTTCAGAACATTATCCAGCTGTTGACCAGGAGACCTCCATGAGGATATCTACGGCGTTCAGCAAGCTGACAAGTTTATAAATATCTTGTGGGTTCGTGTTTCGCCTCCTTAGTCAATCGTGGCTAGGTTGATGCTTACAGTATTTGTCTCCAGAGACCGTCCAGTAATTCCTCGCCGTTAAGCCTTAGCCCCCATTAACTATTCCAATTTCCAAGCCTTGGGGTCCCGTTATTCCCCGTTTGAGGCCAACTTGTGCAAAAAGGAAATCTACCATATGGATGCCTTCTATTCGCACTGAATAATATTCCCCCTCTACATCTTCTCGCAACCACCGTGGCTTCTGAACCCCTCCGTGCTCCCACTGCACAGCACGACAATCGTCACGGCACTCGCGAGGAATGTATTGATCAGGAAGCAGTGGAACTTGATACGCTAGGAAGCAAGGGCAGTGGTGGACAAGACCGCGACAGAGATAGCGCGGAAGGAGGAGACACCGAACTCATTGATCCTTCTCGTTTCTCAATCTCCGACGACGAGGACGATCTCGACAGCACCGACGACGTCGAAGAAGCGCTCCTCGACGAGTCTTCAGATCCCAATCGGATACAGATGAAGGCCAAGACGCGCAACCAAACCAAAACTCGCTCCTCACCGAGGCTGACGGTCGCGACGGGCCACAACGGCCAGGCGAACGGCAGCATGGACTCCCATATCGAGTTGCGGAGAAAGGGCTCCGTTGAACCACCTTCGTCCGAAACGCAGAGAGAGCGGTTGATGTCGAGACCCGATTTTAGTCTCGATGATGAACCGCCACGAACACCCCAGACGCCTGGTATGACGAATACCAGTCTTTTTTCACTTCCAGAGCAGGATAGGAGGAATTTCTTGCTATTATGTCTGCTCTACTTCTTGCAGGGTGTGCCAATGGGTCTGGCTTCGGGATCTGTGCCGTTCCTGCTGAAGCCGTATCTGTCCTACGGGCAGATCGGTGTCTTCTCATTAGCATCGTACCCGTATTCCCTCAAGCTCCTTTGGAGTCCGATCGTGGATGCGGTCTGGAGCCCGAAGTTCGGCAGGAGGAAGAGCTGGATTACACCCATTCAGACTGTCTCTGGACTGGCGATGATCTACCTAGGACGACATATTGAGGGTATGATGGCAGCTGCAGGAGCAAATGGCGGAGCTGGGGTCTGGAATTTCACATGGTGGTGGTTCTTTCTGGTCTTCCTCTGTGCGACTCAGGATATCGCTGTGGACGGCTGGGCGATTACCCTGCTCTCCCCACCGAACATTTCTTATGCCTCGACGGCCCAGACTGTTGGTCTTACAGCGGGCCATTTCCTGTCATATACCGTCTTCTTGGCCTTCAATTCGAAGGATTTTGCAAACAGATGGTTCCGGGCTGAACCGCAAGATACGGGCCTGCTGTCCCTTGGTTCTTATCTTACTTTCTGGGGATGGGCATACTTGATTGTGACAGTTGGTCTGGCCATCATGAAGAAGGAAGATAAGACCAAGGATCGCGACGGGATCGTCGAGGTCTACAAGAGCATGTGGAGTGTCCTCAAGCTCAAGAACATTCAGAGTATTATCATCATCCATCTGATTGCCAAAATTGGCTTCCAGGCGAATGATGCAGTGACTAGTCTGAAGTTGCTCGAGAAGGGTTTCGGCCAGGACAACATGGCACTAGTGGTCCTGATTGATTTCCCTTTCGAGATTGGTCTGGGATACTATGCTGGAAAATGGTCGACTGAGTACACTCCCATGAGACTCTGGTGCTGGGCATTTGTGGGGCGACTCATTGCCGCAGTTGTCGCGCAGTTGACTGTCTTGATCTACCCGGCTGGTCCTGATGTTCCATTCTGGTACCTGCTGACGGTTGTTGGCGAGCATGTCTTGTCCACTTTTATGAATACCGTCATGTTCGTGGCGATCTCTGCGTTCCACGCGCGCATCGCCGATCCTATCATTGGAGGAACCTATATGACACTATTAGCAACGTAAGTTACCAGACTGACACAATTTGAAGAGTCCTAAGCTAACTGTTTTTAGCGTCTCAAACCTTGGTGGCACATTCCCCAAGTTCTTCATTCTCAAGCTTGTTGACACGCTCACGAGCGCTACTTGTATTCCTCCGAGTACTGCGCCCTCACCGGACAAGTTGAAGGGTCCGCTTGTTACGACGCCCTTTTCCTGCGTTCTTGAAGCAGACAAGCACCGCTGTCTTGACGGAGGTGGTTCGTGTCATGTTGCTCGGGATGGATATTATATCACCAACATTCTATGTGTGATTATTGGTGCCGTGACTTTCTGGTCATTCATCAAACCTGCAGCCCTCAAGCTGCAGAGCCTTCCTCTCAGAGCCTGGCGATTGTTTCCTTCTCGAGAGTAAACGTCCGAGGCCGATGCCTTTGATTGGCAAGTTTAGAATTCATGCAAGTGTATTATTTGAAAGCTGGTAGCCTAATCCACATGTATCACTATTTTGAAGCTGCACTACCCGCTTTCGATGTTCTTTTGCGGTCCTGGCTTCCCTCAATTCTCTCTTATTAACTGAGAGCCCCTGAGAAAGCTCTCATGTGTGACCTGCTAGTCCTGACACTGGCTTCCAATTCATGCAGTAGACGCCACTGAATCTTCCTTCTTAACCACACCTTCCTCCAACAGCAAATCCACCACCTCCTTAGTCCACTCCGTACACCTTCTCAGCGGCTTCATCTCATCAATCTGCGTCCCATTCAACCGTAACTGCGCCCCCGGAACTTCCACTCTGCGACAAACATCCTCGAGCCTCCCGACTTCATTTTTATCCACTTCACCGATGAACTGCTTCTCAACGAATTCTGGCATGGTCTCTGGCTTGGGATGCGGTTTTGATATGTACTCCATGCCTGTCAGAACGTTTCCCTCGACATTGAAGAATTGACCTGAGCCGCTGGGCGGGGATGTTTCGACGAAGAGGCCGATATGGTTGCGTGGTGCGCCGAGAGTCGTAACTGTGTAGACCTTGAGAGACATGATGGATTTTCGTTGCTTGTCGTTTATTCAGGTGAGGAGTGAGTAATGAAAATATAGTTTCGGAGGATAGTGGTTAGAATTTGGTTGGCTGGCTCGTTGGTCGAGTGTATGTAGCTGAGTGAGATATGGCGGTTGTCTCGTACCTACTTAGAGGGGCGGGCGTGGTGTGTGCTACCTTCACATATGCTACACAATGCAAGTGTTGTACTGTATCGACCAGGGGAGCTTTAACTGCTCAAATGAACCTCGTTGGCAATAATAGATATCGGTAGCCGATCTATTTCAGGCAGATACAATTCAAACTTCCTTTTGTTCCCTGATATTAAAGCAGCTCGAGCCTTGCAAATGCCAAGTATAAATGAGAGTAAGTGTGTTCCTGGCCTTCGCGTCTAATCGCCCAGACGCTTTCTGTTTCTTATTTTCTCATTTACATGCCTCTCTCCTGTGTCTACATACCAGCGAGCTTCGTGATTCTCCATTTGCTTCCGATAGTTTATATGTTTCCGGATACACCACATGTGACTAGGTACCCTAGATTGATCTTCTTTACGAAATAAATTTATGTTATGAAGATCATTCGGTCTCCGTTTGGATACTGGACTGCTTAATGAGTTGAAAAGTACATAATACTGGCACCAGATCAAAAATACAGTAAGCTCTTGGAAAGTTCCCAATGCTATGTGAGACTAACAGTTTCCTTTCAAATGAAATGCAAACTATCCTTATACGCAGCAGGGTGGACGACCGTCCATCGATCCTCCTCCTCCTTCTTATTGTTATCATGGCGAGGCTCCGGATACCTTTTGACGTGCTCGATAGCCCATCTTGTTTGCTCATTCAAGATCGGCGGGTACCTGCCTTCACCACTCAACAACGGCAGACCTGCCAGATGGAACAGCTCATTCAAATACGTAACCGTCTCGCCGTTATCCCATGGGATATCGTGAAACTTCCTCCTTTCTCGACTGACGAGATTCCAGCGCTCTTCTTCCCACCTCGCTTGCTGTTCTCTTGACGGAAGCGCGACGGCATTTCGTCCGGAAAAGACCCGTGCCAGAGCGATAGCTTGATATTCAAAGGATCGGAAAGTTAGCGTTCTTGGGATTCCGACGATCCCTAGCGTCGGGAAGTTCCTCATGAAGATATGGAGATAGTTCCCAATAAGACGATCCTGGCGGTAATCCCATATGGGGCCACCATTGGCGTGGGAGTTCCAGAAAGGAAAAGAAGCTCTGTAGCCGGTACTGTAGATGACTGTATCTATATCTGATAGAACTGTGTCATCGTCAAAGATAATATCGCCGTTCGGAAGATATTCCTTTACGACAGGTTTCCATTCGATTCCAGGCGGTGGCTTGTCGCCATCCCATCGAGAAGGAGATCTTCTGGACTGATAGACTGGATGTTTCGCTGTTTTCACAAGAGCAGTAGTAACGTCATGTCCTGATGCGGCATTTCCAACCACGAGGACTCTTTTATCCCTGAAGTTGAGAGCGGATCGATATGATTTGGAGTGGATGACCCGGCCGGGGAAATTTTGTATATATTCCTCCAAGCCGTCCACTTTGGGCACCTTGTGGAGAACAACGTTAGCATACTGAATGTATGTTAGGTGAGATCGAGTACTGACATATGGCACAGAGTAGTGTCCATTGGCAAATATGACAGCATCAAACTCTTCTTTCCACCACACGTCAACCTGAGCAACAGGATCATATCGTCTTAGAGTGAGCGACCATTTGTCAGCTCCAGTTGAAGTACTGGTAAATTTGGTCACATCTTCAACGGTAGTACTTAGTACCAATAGTGAATCAGTGTGGTGCTTAGAAAAGTAGCTCTCTATGTATTGTTTAACCACCCAATGAGGAATGAATGGCCCATATGCAAATCGAACGTCTGAAAATGACATTGCAATTGAAGGGACATTAGTCCTGGAAAGCTGTATTAGCATGGATATTTGAATTGATTCCAGTATATCACTCACGTGAGTTCTTCATGAATCGGTGTTTTCTCATATCGCTCTTGGGAAGATGGAGGTGTCGTTGTAGGTAGGTCTCTTGGTATCTCTAAAGGAGGATCAATTTCTGTAGGCAGGGCTCCTGGCCGAGGCCTCAGAAGAGGAGTCGGGTCTGGATCATGGATCCTAGGATTCCATCAGATCAGTTGGGGATGTCTAATGGGGGAGTATGTTACACCGTACCATGTGCCTCCGGCTGTTTCGCGTCTCTCGAAAACACGAATCGTATCAAAGTAATTTTCTGCTGCGAATGCAGCAGCAGCCGCAGCACCTATTGGGGAAAGTTAAATCTATCCATTCCATGTGGATCAATGGGTGATAAAGTGTTTGTTACCTGCCGCCCCAGCGCCGATAATAGCCACAGATTTGATCCTTGGGTATGCCATACTGTACTAGCGATCTATCGGTAAAACAGATCTTAGGCTCGATAAATGGTCCACAGAACTATCGATATTCGGAATCTAAGCGCTCGATAACGAAATGCGATCGGATGGTGCGCTGTACTTCGCAATCCGGCATGATATGGCGTGATGCCGTCAACAGGAATATAGATCTGACAGGGATTCCGACGAGTTCGAGTCTAGATATCTATACCCCGCATTTGATGGAGATATGAGAAGAATAATATTGCAGACTATTATTCTGTAGATGGATTGCGGCAAAACTTACATTAAATAGGTCCTCTTGATCTTACTCGTATACCTCTTTCTGTGGCTCGACGAGTGAGATTGTGATTCATGTAGCGTTCTATAAGTGCGGGGTAGCAAACAAAATGAGTCCGTTGCTTTAATTGGATTCCATGGATTAAGATATGCATCAGTCGCTGGCAGTATACCGCTATGCATTCTCGTCCCAACAGAGAAACAGACGTCGGGAAACTATTTCCATGTCATAGGCTCTCTCACTCTCCCTGTGATTATGCACTATGCATCGATGATAACGGCCCAGGTGATCAATCAGCTATCTAATATCTCGATTCTTGGCTGACCCTCATGTTTCAAACATCTGGCGCGGAGAGAGCCCAGATCCCTTGCTTGTCCAATCATTGTTATCATCCAGATTGCATCACAGTCGTTACGATGGTGTCATTTGGTTATAAATATCCCCCCTATGAGGATACAGCAGCGGAAAGACTCCGAAAGTATGAACAGGGGATATGAAGACTCGTGAAGAGATATCAGCTCATCGCTTAAACCTCGGGTTACATACCTGGTCAAGGTTAATACGAGGTACTCCCTATATAAAGGTCTCTTGATACCAAGAGAGCTGTTTAGGATATATTGGGAATAAACTCCAGCACATCTACTCGTATAGAACTCAAGCTCTATCCGCGAACACAATATGTCAGCTACTCTCACTGAAACGGCGCAACTGCCCACTCTAAGTGGTGCTGATTCTGTCAAAAACCCCGAGCAGTATGATTTCAGCCACCTGAAGCCTTATGTCCATCCCCCAGAAACAAAGGAGGACCTGCCATGGGCGGAACTAGTTACCCTTGATCTCAAGGAGTTCGATCGCCTTGGTGGCAAGGAGAGACTAGCCAAGCAGCTGGAGCACGCTGTGCATCATGTCGGGTTCTTCTACGTCAAGAACTTTGGTCTCCCACAGGAACAAGTCGATCGCCAATTCACACTGGCGCGCAACTTTTTCGCACTGCCTGTTGAGGAGAAGCTGAAATATCAAGTCGACTATGCCAATGCGGATTATAATGGCTATCGGCGCGCTGGTCTGAGAAACGTGGGAAAGGTCAAAGACAACACCGAAATGTACAACTTCGCCAAGTTCACAAAGGACTTTGAGGGGAAGTACAATCATCCCGACCTGATTAAAGCCCACCTGCCGGAGATAGAGATATTCGCAAAGGCCCTGCACTCGAATGTCATTCTGCCTCTGCTGCGACTATTCGCTATCGTGCTACAGCTTCCAGATGAGGAATACCTCGTTAAGCAACATACATACGAGAAGAGAAGCGAGGATCATTTCCGTTATATGATCTATAACAAACGTACTCCGGAGGAGCATGAGGCTAGCGGATACGGACAGTCCGGCGGCCACACCGATTTGGGCTCCCTGACGCTTCTATTCCGCCAACCCGTTGCTGGATTGCAGATCCTGGGAGAAGATGGGAAATGGACATACGTGTCAGCGCAGCCCGGAACTATTACGGTTAATCTGGCTGACACACTTTCGCATTTGACTGGTGGCTATCTGAAGAGCTCCATTCATCGTGTGGTGGCTCCTCCCAAGGACCAATGGCAATATGATCGGACAGGTTTGCTATATTTCGCGCGACCTCACAGTGATACCGTCCTGTATCCCATCAATGACTCGCCAGTCCTTCAGAAAGCGGGTGTGAAGCCACGTTTCGATAAGCCAGTTACTATGGCTGAGTGGGTTAAGGCGAAGCAGACTGTTCAGTTGAATCCCGACATCTATGAAAAGAAGAAGAGAGAGGACGGTTCTGTCGAGCTGATTGGTGGTTACAATGATCGCAGATATGAATGAAGTAAAGCAAGATAGCAAATCCTGGCCAAATTGAGAACTGATAACACAGAAAAAGGTCCAGCTAGACAGAATGCAAGAAATGAAGCAGCAGTCTTTGTTGTTACCATTGTTATGTTGGGGTTCTCTCCTGAGGCTACTTAATTATTTGAAGAGCCGAACTTGGTGATTCTCAGATCAAGAGATTTTGGGCCTCATATCCAATATATTTATTCGCCTTTTACTACCTTAAAAGAACTCTGTAGATACCTAAGCTATGAACTATCAAAGTTGAGATCCGGATGCGTTTGACGCCTTGATTTTAGGGTGTCATTGAAGTCACGTGCGGTACCTATGGCCCGTGTTCCTATCTTATCGACCATAACAAATGGGGCGCGTCTGTCGCCGGCGCAAACTGTCGAAAGAGTAGTGTTTCTTTTACTGTTTACCCGCAATTATGGCCTCGAGTCCGCAAAGCGACGCCTCTACAGCGACAGAGGATGCTGAAATAATCGCTATTCGAGAAGAAAGTGAGTTGTTGTAATCCACATTGCGCGACCGCATCCTGACAATGAGTTTAAGTAAGGTCTATGCAGAAGAGACGAAGATTGCTCTCAAACAGTCTCCTTGCCTCTGAATTCGTTCAGAAACATATCCAGAACCACATATCTCCGGCAGACAACCATGAGATCTCCCCGTTGGTGCTAGGCGCAGGAAAACACAGCCAGTCTAACCATCACCGGATCGCGTTCTCAGCCACGACCTTTCCCTTCACCGATCCATCGCCATACGCGGACTCTCGAAATCTGCTGGGGATTAGGATTGATATCTGCAGGCGCGATGGACGATTTTCCAAACCGTACTATGTCCTGCTGAAACGGGATAAGGGTGATGGGAAACGGCTCCGCGTACACCGTCATACAATCCCTGCATTTATTTCGATGGAGAAGCTGGAGCAGAGATATTTACCCGTGGTCCCCAGAGGAGCGGATGGTGAAGTTGACGAGATACGAGCTTCAAAGACGAGGAAACAGAACCTTTCTGCGTTTGTTCGCGACTTAAGGCAGGAACTTGTCGCGTGGCACTTACGCTCGGATGCTATCGACTGGTTGCGAGAACGACTCAAATTGCCGCGTTCTGACCCTTCCCAACCAGTGTCATTCGATGAAGGCGTGCCTACCAACAAACTTGGTATAATCTCGTTGTCTCCCACCTCACTCGAAGCGAGATACGTACGTCTAGAATGGGAAGATGGACGTGTCGGGCGATTCAAGATTTCAAATAACGGCGAAGTGGCTCGTGTTGTCATTATTGGGGATCATGGTAGAGACAAGAGGACCGAGGATGCGATGACCGGCGGCAATAGAAGAATTGAGAGCTTACTCGAAAGACTATCGCAGCCCGAACTATCCACAAGATGACAGACATCGCTAAACTACTTTCCTCACTACGACTATACAAATGAACGAGGCAAGGATCAGGCGACCTTTGACAAGAATTATTGATTGTATTATGGATTTATTGAGCTTCTCGGGTACATACCGCCCTGCCCGTAAATGGCACCCAAATCGACCTCTCAGATTGCTTCTGGAGGCGCATTACACCGAGAAAGGCAATATCTCTTGCTCTTGCTCATTTTCTGTCTAACAATATGCGATCGCGCGGGGTCAACTCGGAATTGATCCGGACCTTGCATCGAAGTGTATGCTCCATTGGTTGCCAGCCTCGGTCTATCGACAGGCGCAAGATAATCATCGTTCTTGCTTGCTCTTCATCAACCTTGCAATCTTCATGCGAAGGCTATCGAGTCTGTCGGAAAACTCAGAGGACGATGTGGAAGCATTGTTATTGTTCGAAGTGACCATGCTTGGCTTAGGACCTGATTTAATAGCGCGGATTGTTTCCTCAAGATCTTGTCGCTTTTTCAGGACGATGTCGTTTGCATTGGTCGCATAGCCTTGCTCAGCAAATTGACCGCCTGACAACCTCAGAGTCGAGGCTTCACAATTGGCAATTCCTCCCACGAACAATCTGGTGAGGTAACGCTGGGACTCTTCAGATACGCCTGCCCCATCCTCATTGAGCTCTTGCTTGTGTATGATTAGGGAATCAAGCCCGGCGCGAGTTTCGTTGTCAAACCGATTTGCTTCCTCGGCGATTATAGTTCTGAGGTCATAGACAGCCTGTTCCAGGGAGTTTGGCGAGATGGTCACGCCATACTTTGCACGGAAGTACTCGATGCAAAACTCTATACTGAACCCTTCGTTCCCCAGAGCGAGGGCTTTCTTCAGCAGTCCGACTGGGACCTCACCAGAATCATAGTGAATGCCTGAAATATCGGACTGTTCGTCGGTGCCCTCTGCTTTAAGGTTTCTATAGTCATCTATCACCTTCTCATCAAACCGGAAATCGTATATCTCAGAAAGATGGCGCGCAATGTCGGAGTTGCTGTAATCATCACCGAGAGTGCACAGCGTCAACTTATTCGCGATGCCGGCACTAATGATAATTGCGCTGTCATCATCTCCGACGCGGACATTGCGTTTCCATTCCATGGATGGTAGTATCCCTTTCAAGGAATCCAGGAGAGACAAAGACCCCCCGAGAACATCACAAAGCCTATCCTGGATGTTGTCGGACATTGTGGAACAAAATGGAGGCAAACCTTTTCGTGGACTTGATTTCTTAGATTTAGTGCAGAGAAGGTGGATAATTTATACCCTCGAATTCATGCGTGAGCAATCGAACTGGTCGTCTCCTACCGATAGATACGTGAATGGCTGTAGGAACATTCCCCAAAAGGCTTCACTGCCATCGTCAATGGAAATATCTTTGTTAAATAATGAGTATGCCGAATATGTGAATCTCCTTTGTTAGCATCCAGCCTCGAAAGTGAAATCATTGAGTATCTCGAATCTTTCAAACTAGAAATGCCTTTGCCTAGCTATTCTTCCCTCTTATTCGTCAGAGAATGTCACTCTGTCAGCAGACAAAGAAGTGAAATATTGATGAGTGAAAGAATTGTATGAACGCTCCACATTCGCAGCAACCACGCCAGAATGTTTAATGGGAATTGACCATATAACAAAGCGCGTAGATCAGAAATTCGGATAGGATCACTTCCTCTAAGTCATTATCATGGCTGGGAATACTTTGACCAAAATTCCAGGAACACACGCGATACCCTAGCTACTAACTGTAAGGATCCGTGGTAACATGCTCGCCTCCCAAGGTTTCTATGTAATTTGTCATTCAACGAATTGTTGTTATTAACATATCGCCTATCTGGAAAACAATAAAGTTCAGTCTATCTGCAGAAAGCCATTGTTTCTGCCATAGATAGGAAAGCGATGCGCAACCTCGATGGGACGTTGCGTGATTTGATCTCCAGATTATTCAACCTCTACATCTTCCCAAACAGTTTTCCTGACTCGGGATTTGATAAGTAGCTTAGTTTCAAACTAGGACCTATTACAGAGAGGGGAACTGTTCTGCACAGCCGAGTCCTTACAGTACGAACCTTCCTGAGTTAAGCATTCACGAAAACGCTGCAGAATGGCGTGATTCAAGTCCGATAATCATCTAGCTGCACATCTGACTCGGTAACCAGCTTAGTGGAAACAATGATTGACAGCAATTACTTCCAATTTCCCGACACTGGGGAACTACCATGGCAACGCTACCACGTAGTTGGCTCTCCATCCCCATCTTGCCGCCCAGGATCGGGGTCTATGAAGATTGAATCCGTGGTATCTACTCTCATTTTTGCGCATCTTATACTATAGACCACATGCTCTAAGGTTTGTAGAGTAGCTTCTCTTCAAACTCTATCTGTCCTTATAGCCTCCATCACAGTACTATCTAACGATTTCTATCCCTATATAGACATATATACGTTTATCTGGATTATGCATAATCAAGATCAGATTGTTGTCCATCATAGAAATCGATAATCTCCGTGAGAGGGACGAAGGAACGATGTTTTCCTCTCGTAGACTACGCATGAAACGCGTCAATAGGCCCATCAGCAAAAGAAGATCTGATGCACTCTTCGTATTACGACATTCTATCCACCACCGATCGCTCGGAACTTTATAGTCACGCCATGAGTTATGGTGTTGACGTTTGGTTTAACATGCGACAGCAAGATGAACTATTTGAAGAAGCACCTTTTCCCAGTAGATTGCCCCTATTCACAAGAGACTGACTGGTTCTGCTCATTCTTTTCCAAGTACATTGTCTAGATAGGAAAGATGTCTCCCAGACTACTCTCCAACTTCGATAATATCATCCTGAATACGGACACCTACAAACATTCGCACTGGAATCTCTATCCTCCGAACACAACGCATGTCTCCAGTTACATAGAGTCGCGCGGAGGCGAATATCCGGCCCATCTATTCGTTGGTCTACAAGCCTTTATCAAAAAGCACTTGCTCCGCCCGATCACGATTGATGATATCGACGAGGCAGAGATTGTCACGCGTCAGCATCAAATTCCATTCAACAGGGAAGGTTGGCTTGGGATCGTCAATGAGCACAACGGCTATCTCCCTGTGGAGATTGAAGCAGTTCCCGAGGGGACGGTCTTACCCATCAAGAACGTCCTCGTTCAGATCGTCAATACAGATCCGAAGTATCCCTGGGTGACGAGCTTCATTGAAACGGCTCTACTTCGATCTGTCTGGTACTCTACTTCTGTTGGAACGACGAGTTGGCTTGCAAAGCAGCTCATCCGCGAAGCACTGGAGAAGACCTCGGATCACCCGGAAATCCTTCGAGACGTCTTGCAAGACTATGGTGCTCGTGGAGTGAGTTCCCAAGAGTCTGCAGCTCTGGGGGGACTGGCGCATCTCGTCAACTTCCGACAGACGAACACCATCTCCGGATCTCTCGCGGCTACTCTCTATTACAACGCTCTCAACCCTGCTATTTCCCAACCTAACTCGGAACACTCGACGGTAACGGCATGGGGAAAGGACCACGAGGTTGACGCCCACGCGAACTTGATAAAACAGTACAAGGGTTGGCCATTCGTTGTGGCTGTATCTGACTCGTACGACTTGGAGAATGCCGTCAAGGAGATATTCGGCACCAAACTCAAGGATGAGGTCATCAACAGTGGTAAGCAACAAATAACGAGGCCTCGCGCCATAGTTACTAGTTAGATATTCTTGCAAATTACTGATCAACTTCGCGTGACCAGGCAGCGTTATCCTAGTGCGACCTGACTCCGGGGATCCACCAACAGTGATTTCCGAGACGATTGAGGGTCTTGTTGAGAAGTTCGGGTCGACGACCAACTCGAAAGGCTACAAAGTCCTTCCAGACTACATTCGAGCTGCACAGGGTGATGGCCTTACCATTCCCTCTCTGAAGCGAATTTACGCCGAGCTTGATCGTCGCGGCCTATCCGCCGACAATATTTACTTGGGCATGGGCGGCGGTCTGCTCCAGTACATCAACCGTGACACGCTTGCCTTCACTCAGAAGGCGAACGCAGTCCAAATAGACGGCGAATGGAGAGATATCTATAAGCAGCCAAAGTCTGATTCTGCGAAGACCTCGAAACGCGGCAGACAAGCACTGGTGATCCGCGATGGCGAATACACTACTGTCCGAAAGGAGGATCTCAAGGAAGGAGAGGAGAATCTACTCCGTCCAGTGTTCCGAAATGGCAAGCTGCTCGTCAACCAGAACTTCGAAGACATTATTGAGCGCAGCGAGCGTCCTGTGCCGCGCTGGTATTATGAGCCCGTGTGGCAGATAAAGGAGGGGGTGAATGGGTTCAAGAATTAATGACAGTCGTGATACTGCTAGTTTATTTTAGAACATTCTCTGACAGCATGTTATCCCGAACTTTGAATTCGCGAAGATACCAATGAATTCTGCTCAACCTATTGTATACGAACATTTCCGCTCTTCTCTCAAATCATTGCAATGGAATCTCTCTAGCGTTAGGTTAGGTTCAAAACTATTCTATTTCTGATCCATGTATTGGATCTGTTGTGACAATGAAGGCACGAGTGATTGCGTGTTTTTAACCTATACTTCCGAATATTTTGGGGCGAAGCTTAACCGGACAAAGATCCTATTGTTTCGATAGTTACCCCACATACTTAGTGGAAGACTAAATCTTTGGCATTATTCTCTCTGAAGTCTGTGCTCTTTGTTACTTTCGTAAGCTACGGCTATTTCCCACCATCCAATGTCCAGCCAAGCTCATTCAGTCTTTCTCCCTTCTGCAGCACCACTTGCTCCATATTCGCTCTGTACTCCTCTATCGCAATGGCATATTTTGGATCAGTGATAGCGAGAATGCGGATCGCAAGCAAGGCTGCATTGGTGGAATTATTAATTCCAACAGTAGCGACTGGAACTCCTCTCTAGACCAAACATCAGCTTCCATCCAAATTTCGCCGCGTGGGGATGATATAATACTTACCGGCATTTGAACAATAGAATGAAGAGAATCGACACCGTCAAGCGTGGGGCCCTTGACGGGAACACCGATAATGGGCAGGTTCGATTCAGATGCTATCATTCCTGGGAGATGGGCAGCGCCTCCAGCACCAGCGATAATGACGCGGACGCCGCGAGAAGCAGCCTCCTTGCAAAAGTCGTTCATGAGCGTTGGGGTACGATGGGCAGAGACGATACGAGTCTCGAATGGCACCTTGAACTGATCTAGGATGCGAGCTGCATCGCGGATACTAGGCAGATCAGAGTCGGAGCCCATTAGCACCGACACGAGCGGCAGCGGATGAGACTTGAGCGGCTTTGGAACAAGAGGGTCATTGTTGAAGGATCCTATGATCTTATGGATGCGATCATTAACGTCCGCATCGGAGGGGCCAACCACAGTAATATGGCCGATCTTACGTCCCTTGGGAGAATCGGCTTTTCCTGGTGCCTCCTTCTTCCCGTATAGGTGCAAAGTGGCCCCAGGAGTCTCAAGAGCCTGCGGACGACGGAACGAACTTCTTCAGCGGTCTCAGGCGTGCTGCGCAGGTTTAACGTTGCGGCCGAGAGAGCCTTCAATTCCGTACTGCCAAGTGGAAGTGAAAGAATGGCACGGAGGTGGTTCTCGTATTGCGATGTCTCGCAGGCTTCGACGGTATAGTGAGCAGAGCTGTGTGGACGAGAGGCGATCTCATGGACAAATAATGCTCCTGCTCATTCCAATGTTAGTATTAATATGATCAGGGGTCGTATGTTCACCTGCCGTCATCTAACAGGAAGAACTCTACACCAAATACGCCGACGGCACCATCAGGCAGTGAACTGATAACTTTCTCTGCTATCGATTGTGCGCGAATGGCTACGTCTTTTCCTCCCTGTCTCAGAGGAGCGCGAACAAGATGGCCAATCTTTCCAGCATGAACATTCTCAACTGCTCCATAGCTTCGAATTTCGCCTTTAGCATTACGCACGAGGACCACGACGACCTCATGGGTAACATTCGTCGCGTAACGTTCAGCAAAGAGCGGAGCCTTGAGTTTGTCCAAGCCAAGCTGAACGTCGTCAAGATCACGGATCAAGAAGTTCCCTCGACCGTCATAAGCTTGCCTGCGAGATTTGAGTAGCAGTGGCAAGCCAAGTGTCTTGGCTGCTTGGGAAACGCTCTCAACGGTTGGATCCGGAAGGTCGATGAAATCAGCAACTGGAATATCTGCTTTCCTCAAGAGCTGCTTCTGAAGCAACTTATCTTGAACAATTGCGATCGTTTCTGGAGACGGGAATATCTCGATGCCTTTTCCTAAGTTACCGCCAGTGGTGGAATATTTGTCACGGATCTGGAAGAGTGCCTGTACGTCCACATGCTCGATCTCGACTGTGAGGACATCGACTCGCTCAGCTAGAGAATGAATGTCGTTTGGATTGGTGTAAGAGCCATCAACATGTGTAAGAGACGAGTTGAGGAGAGATGCGGCGCTGATCTGCTTGGTGGGAGCTGCTGGGGAGGGATCAAGGGCCAGAACGGGTATAGACAGTCGACTCGCGGCTTCGCTGAGCAATCGGCCATATTGACCACCACCTGAACGATACAGTTAGTAATCGTAGAATACAAACGGTGATAGAGAGATTGTCCAAGATGTATGTATGTACAGTACATACCTAGAACACCAACAGCGCGGTCTTCAATTGAACCTTCAATTCGAGCAGCCATTATTATCGACAAGGAACGTGGTAACGAATCTAACTCAGACACACACAACGCATATACAACAGCAGTGGCAAGCAAGTTAAAGAACAGGGGTGTAGACAATACAATAGACAATAGAATGGATTTTCTGACATGACGCCATCAAGAGCGTCGAGCTCGTGATAAAACTCATGAATAACACGAGTCACCTTGCTGCATGATACAATGGACATGAGCAAGCTCGTCATCGAACTTAATCTATGCCAAGAGGAAGATCACCACCCATAAGAACACGGCGGATCTAAAGAGGGGCATATTTGAGATTTTAGACTTGTCGCATTGCGAGGTCAACTGATTTCATTATCTCTATACAAATGTTTTCCTGTAGTATAAATAAACAAAACAAAACAAAAGGAAGCGGCGAACCGACCCGGGTTGATATAAATCATCGTTGAACACGAGGTCCTCAATTACCAATGGCGATTTTTCGATAAGATACGAGGTCTCGAAGGTAGCCTGTGAGAATCAAGAGACATTGTCTCTAGAGGAGTTGCATAACTTCCGGGTTATAGAGACGATGAAGCGAGAACCCCCATCGAAACAATTCCCATTATCCGATGGCCTATGACTGTCAGTCGTATCTCGCACCGACAGCGAGGCGACAACCGCTAAGCCCAATGGCGAAAGCTGTGATAAGGCGAATCCAATCCTCCCGGGAGAGGGATTTGTTTCTAAAAAGGAACTCTGTCAAGACCTGGAGAAACGTGGACTTCTTCACCTGCTTTCTTTGGGCGAGCCTAAGTAAATAGGATTTACGTTCGGTTGGTATAGGCATACTATCTGAGGTTGGGTGGCTACAGCGCTATAGAAGCTCATAAAGGTACATGCTGGAAATATCCTAGCCATCCTCTTAAAAACACAACAGATCCTTGGAGATTGTATATTGGCACCGAGAATTCTGTCATTCGGGATATAGCGTTACTTTTTATGTCGTACTTGATCATTTAATACTCGTCACTCGTTCAGCGACATTGTTCTCTGCATCAAGTGGTACTGGTGATTTACTTCGTGGAAAGGTAAATCTGTAATCAATCGTGAAACCAACGAGGATCTCAGTCACAAGGTCAGCGCCTGGGGTTGGGATTCGAGCTGTGTAGCTCTCCGGCATGCGGCATAATCCCACCCAAATACAGGATATTATCTAAGGGTTCCAGACAGCTTTTCAGGGTCAGGGGTTGTTCTAAAATCCCGAACCAATATAGATAGCATAAAACATAGCAGTCGCCGCAAAAATCTCAACCCTTGCCGGATCCGACAGACAATAAGGCTTCTGCCGCTGTTTACAACCAAAAGAAGTGTTTTTTCTTCCTTTGCAGGGCACTTCCTCTTGACCCGACTATGATGCCGGTTATACTGTTCTGGCCTCCGAACCTTGTCTAATTCTTCGTACTTCTTAAACCATTCGATATCGGTCGGGACAAAGCCTGGGTCGTAAAAATCGTCAAAATTCCGATGGCAAAGGGCACAGAGATGTATGCCAAGTCCTTTTAGTAGAATTAGCTTGTACCAGCTTTGAGGCGCAGTGTCTGTCCCGGAGAATATTGAACCAAATACGCGCTACTGGCTGGACGATCACCCACCTCCCCGGACTCCGGAGGCAGTTAACTTGCCGCAATCTGCTCCGAGCTTCAAGCTTGAACACCACGCAACTGATTGAGGACGAAGCAAAGGCACAGACAGACCGGACTCCCGGAGCGACACCGGTCAACTGCAGTGAAGCCCTTGCAGCTCTTCAACGTCAGCGAGAGGGCCCAAGTAGTTAGTTAGCGAGGTTTTGTTACCTAGTCATCGGCTCTCGGGGTGCCTTTCCTACGGCGGCGCAGCTGAAGCCGTAGATACCAAAGTACTACTAAGTGGTACTAAGTACTCCGTATAGATAAGGTGACGTTTGAAGTGGGACTGGATCACTATTTAGCAAAATCCCAAAAATGAGTACTGGGCACCGCCCTCGTCTTGTGCGATGCCTATACTGTACGCATAATTCCACGCGTTATTGTTGCCTAAGTAGCCATGGTTACTTTTAGTATGGGGGAAATACCTAACCTACAATAACCGCAAGTGGGATAAGCAGAGGTTAACGCTAGATAGATTACTAGGAGCTAGTCGGGGCCCAATGCAGTGTCCATTTTTTTGGTCCTCACCCACACGGACATTATGTGGTGCCTCAATGATGGGAGCCGTCGTGCGATGCTATAATCCAGCAACAACGGGTACAGTCCCCGGTAACTTCTCATCTGTAATCTCCATGATACAGTCGTCTTGGTCGAGCTCATCTCATTAGCATAGCTGTAATTGCTAAAACGCATCAGGCCCAGCCCCAATAGAGAAATGGGATTAGAGCCAAAAATAGAGAACCATTCTCTCGGGTTTCCATTGTTTAACCAATGTGAGTTCTGGATGCAACTAAGTTATCTTAGGTAATATTCCTCAGCTTCATTCAAGTCAGAGATTCCGATACTTTATCGATAGACCACATGCTATTGAATTTGAACCAATTTATAGGCGACAAAACACTCTTTAGATATAGGACCACTGTCCTGATTTCAATAACAAGTATGGCTTACAAGAAATTAGGATTTTAATATTGGATAGAAATACATGACTGATAGGTGAACAAGAACTAGAGTTGCTCATAGAACAGTTGATGCCTTCCATTCAATGTCGTGCTTGACATGGATGCCCCTGTAGCGATCAATTCCATCCTCAGTACTGTATTGTGGTTGAAAGTCACTTCCTTCAATGTTAGTCGTCAACTCTAGTTCATCCTCAGGTCGCAGCTTAGGACCGTTGTGAAGAGGGTAAAAGTCACCACCTTGGTCCCTGCTCCTGGCTGCGGCACCGGCCTCGTAAGTCGGCTTTGAGTCCTGGTGGTTGCTGCGTCCGAAGAATCTGGGAAAGCAGCGGCGAATAAGGGGAAGGAGTGTCGGCAGGCAGGCCGACACGATTCCGATACAGGGCTCGACAGAGGTCCAAATGAAGGTCTGGTTCAGACTCCAGGTCAAGTCCGATGACTTGTTGATCAGTGTGAGAGCGTATAGCCGTACCGTTCCAGCAACGCAAACACTAAATACACAACATGAGTTTGGAAGTTGAGGGCGAGGAGTTAGAATGAATACGTACAAACCACCGAGAGCGAATATACCCAAGACTGATATTTTCTGAGCCACAGGCATCTGTAATCCCCAGACCATTGGAATCGGACAGAACAGAATGAGAAAATCAGTTACCACACTGGCCGCAGCATTGCCGATATAAAACTGGGTTGTATTTATGCATTTTCCTTTTGCCGTCGGATCGGTATACTGCAGCCAAAAATAGCTATAGGGCATGCATTGGAAAATGACCACCAGGAGAATTGCCAACCACCAGCCCATGACCAGAACGGCAAGCCAATTGAGAACCCGTTGGAAGCGCGGCACGTCGAAGACACGGCGGTAAAATAGAATAATCGACAATTTGATAAATGGGATTATGGTGTCATAAAGGAACTCATACGCCCATAGGCACTGTCAACCATATTTGTTAGACTGCTCAACTCAGCTTTGGGTGTTGAACATCTTATACTCACCTGCAAGACCGCGGTCAAGTTTACTTTCGGGCTCCAAATGTGTTTACCAATTCCTTCATAACAACCTAGAAATTTCAATTAGCACATATCGTCTAGCAGTACCTGGTTGTTCGATATATCTCTCGTACCTACGATGGTAAGAGCACAGGTTCCATATGCAAAAACCTGCCTCAAAACAAACTTGTCAGTGTCCCAAAAACCCTAAATATGGCGGAAGCAGGCAAATCACGCACCAGTGCTCCCATAATAAGATAGTCGTCCCATTGTAATTGCAAGTTCGAGACTTTTCTCGAAGCAACTCGTAAAGCCACTGCGGCTGTCGCCAGGATCACAAGAGTAATCACGGGACCCAGAATAGTCCATCTGATGTCTTCATTGAGGTCAACACCCGGAGGCGCATCTGACGAGGCCATGTTCAGTGCTTCTTCACAGGACCAATGACTAAATATCCCTGGTTTCGTTGCAATAAGTAAAGTCCATTGACCTTCTCTTGCGAGTCTGTCTCTCTGATACAAAGACTTTAAGATATGAAGTGTCCGACAGACAGAGCAGACTTCTTTTCATTGTCAACCGATCAACAGGGTTAGTACCAGGGATACACACTATACGGCGTAGTTGTCCACGAGTCATGCCTGCTGCTTAGTCTGTTTCCAGGGGAAAGTTTGGGGTTTTTGGCGGGACCGGAGAAGCCTGGTCATAATTTAGATCATTATGCGGCACTCGACATTGAACTGTAGATAGATCTCTACGCCGCAGAACTGAAGACCAATACGTTTAGTTCACGAGCATAGATACGACGTCTTCGCTCGTGATAGTATCAGTTTCATATGGCGACGGTCTCCAGTCGGACGGACTCTAGAACAACTCTCAACGTTAACCCGAGCCTCCCTTTGGCCCATGTAGTACGGAGACACGTCGTGGAGGCAGAGGCCACCCCTGTTTCTCTAAGCCAATACTTATACAGTATCGCAGGTCAAGACGGACCCAAAAAGCTAAGCCGGAATTTCTGGTCATTGGTGCAGCATCTCACTTCCTCTAGCGGCCACTGATATTGATCAGCATCTTTCGGGTAAGTCCTAGGTAATTGAATCCGGAAACATCGACAGTATTGTGGAGGTCGTATAATAATCCTTTGAGTGGGTACATTCAGCTGTTGACTCTCTGCTGCTACAGGCCCATAGGATATATAGCGCTTAGTAGTACACTAGACAATGGTGGATAGTTAAATGTATGTCAGGACCAGTCATTAGGAGTATTTAGGATTATCTTGATGAACCAAGTTATAAATATATTAAATATCCATTTATTTTCGAGCTCAATTTAGCATGGAGTAATTTGGCTCAGATCAGCAAAATAGCATGTTAGATTTCTTTTTCATGACTGAGCGAGTGTGATTACCGCGCTGGATACAGAAGAAACCCACTGTGCGTCAGCTGGAGAAAAAGTGGACTATACGACCGACGCTGTTGTGGAAGAGTAGACACAGATCGCTAGCTGTTAACGGTGGGGAGCTTACCAGGCACAGGTTCCGGTCTGAACATCTTTATAACTAGTATCTCGTATTAGGGTAATCCACGGATAACCGGGCCTGCGCCGCAATTCAAGCAAAACGGGCGACTCACAACACGTCTTCTCAACAAACCGCCTAAGTGAAATAGTACAGGTTGATTTTAATACTAGACTGGGGTACCTGCATATTAAGGAGAACCAAAATTCAGAAGACAGAGGGCGACTTGACCTGGCACATGACCTGGGTTTAGAGTCGGGAGATTTGCGCAACAAGAGCCCTAAGCTAAAAGTTGAATGTAATGTGTTCAATATTATTGAATAATTAAGTAGATAGCGATACTGCAGCGCACTTCAAATCCGGGGTTGGTGGTATCATATGATTTTGTCTTTGATTCTAAGTACAGCACGCTCATCGAGTCTGCTTAGTATTTCCTTCTGTCACCGCTAACGCTGATCAGACTCAGGCCGTTCGAGGACGGGTTTATGCGGAGTGTTGGATGTACTCTAGTCTCTAGGAAAAAGACTAATGAAAGCTACCACAAGAAACTTCGCATCTATGAATTAGCGTCTACTTCGCTTGCCTTGGGTGAAAGGGCTTGAAATGACTGCATGCTATCAAATTAACTATGCCTGTAGCCGGTTAAGAGATTTTCCTCAAGCCCCATTTCGATTGGTATAAAAGCCTGTGGTGTGCTCTATGGGCTTTTTCCTATGTGATATCCTTTTCCTAACAATCAACCACAGTTGGAAACACTGCTTTAGATTAACTCTCTCTTCTACTCCCTTGCTTCTTTTATCACTTGAGGAAACATAAACATGGCACCCAAACCGACAATTCTCTTCATTCACGGAGCCTGGCACACCCCTGAATACTTCAATCCTGTCATCGATAAACTAGAAAAGCTCGACTACCCATGTTGCACTGTCTCCTTGCCATCAGCAGGTGGAAACGACTCGGCAACGGCGAAGGACGACGCGGCCGTGATTCGGAAGAAGATATCTGAGCTAGTGTCTGATGGAAAGGAGGTCGTACTTTCAATGCACTCCTATGGTGGGATTCCAGGTACCATGAGCGCAGAGGGGTTTCTTCGGCAGGACCGTGAGAAAGAGGGGAATCGCGGTGGAGTTATATCTCTCGTCTATATCGCCGCGTTCCTTCTCCCAGAAGGGTCATCATTGGTGTCAGTTCTCGGCATGCCGCCCTGGATCAAGGTCGAGGTAAGTTACGTATCGACCAGATCATCGTAGGATGATGATTGACTGACCAATACATGTCCAGGGTAATCGTCTGACGCCCACTGACCCCCGAAAGATCTTCTACAACGATGTGCCTCCGCATGTGGCGGATGAGTACATCTCAAACCTTTCGTTCCAGGCCTTGCCCTCCTTTGAGTCGCCATTGACTTATCCGGCATACCAGCATATTCCAGTCAAATATATCGCATGCGAGCTTGACAACTCCATTCCGATCGCCATACAGAAGGAAATGGCAACATCCGGTTGCTCTACTCCGGCAGACATACACTACTTGAAAACGGGTCATTCTCCCATGGTGAACGCGCCGGATGAAGTTGTGAAGATTATCCAAGAAGCTGTCGAAATGGCGGGAAAGTCTTAAGTTGCGGCGGTGCATCTAGTTCTCACCTAACGGCTACAAATGTCCATTATTTACTGGCGCCATCTTCAAGTGTATTGCAGGGATAGTGGGATGGATCTAGCCAACTCGTCTCCTCAATTGTACTTAATATTGTTAGTTAGTTTATTTGTTTTATTCTTTGCTCAGTAAATCTGCAATCAGCAGAAGGGGTAGCCTTCATTTCGTAGGCAAGGTCGAGCATTTCTAATATATAGTTTAAGTATTCAACATCTCAGTCTACTAGGCAGGTAGAGCATGATAAGCGTTTTTAGCAAGAATCTAATAATTTCCAGTAGGCGATTGTATATATCCGTCGCAACATTAGGTCTTTCTCAGAAACGAATTCTCAAGAATTGAGCACGCCCAATATATAACGAGCGACTATAAGCACTCAAGTCTCAATTGCTGGGATTATGTCACACATTTTCTTGTTGCTTTTGCGTTCAATAGCCTCAAGTGACAGAAATAGCAGAGGAAATTGGTGTCTCTGTCACATGCGTTGCCCGGGTATGCCAAAAGCTACTCTTGAATAGTAGCCGCTGTCTCACGAGAAGTACAGAAAGGCATGATGACCGAGGGACCTCTCAAGCATCGACAACAGGGTCGTGTTCTTATACATATATGTGTGAACATACAACAGGATTAGGTTTCATCTTTTGGAATTAGAATTGACATCAGTGGTATCTCGTCGTGATAAGCATTAGGTAGGTACATAAAGCAGATCGCCCGTGGCTCGCTATCCCAATCCCAATCCCTCGTAAAGTAAAAAAGTACCTTAAAAGCATGAGTCGCCATCCTGAACCGATATCACATATCGCCAAAGTAGTTCCTTCCATCCATAGTTTGTCTCTCACTCGAGGAAATAGTCGAATTGCATCTTCACGTCCTTGCCGTATTTGCCCCAGCCGCTTTCTCCTCCGACTTTCAATGTGCGTCCTCGCTCAGGCATCCCGAAGAGTTGACGAACGAGGGACTCGTCAATGATGACTGGCAGATTATATTCGGTGCGGCAGTAATACTCCGCCAGCTCTGCGATGGCTTTGGGTTCGTACCCTATGAACGGTTTCACAGACATGGAATCACGGCGTCTAGAGCGCCTTCGAGGAGTCGGCGGAACCGTATCCACTTCGAGTATCTTTCCACATGCGGAGCGTGTGTAGTTGATCGTCGGAAACCGTGGTCTCTTTGGTGATACGACCTCTTCTGTATTGGCAGCGTCTGTAGCTGTGGAAGAAGATGTACCTCCTTCAGGAATCGTAGCGGGCTTCGAGCTCGAGGCAGATCTTGTAGCGTTAGATGTTGCCGGTGCTTTCATATTTCTCTTCTGGAGAAGTCTCTTCTGTTCCTCACGATCCAGTGCAGACAGGTATTCCTTTCCCTTCGCCATTTCTTTTTCTTTCTTGACTTCGTCGATCTCGAACACAATGCCATTAATGAATAAACCCTCTTCATCATGATGACGGCACTGCAAGATGGCTTCGACGACCTCTCTTTTCACCATCATGTCGTTTATGATCAGGGTACCCGGTTCAGTCGATAACATGACATCGCAGAGTTCATATGGTAGGCGGATCTTCATTCCTGTCACCGTAGATACGTAACTCGCCAGCTGGCGTCCTTTGATCCTATATGGATCGTTATCAGGTGTTCTTCTGGAGGGAGGCCTCCTCATTTCCATGACTTTCGTTATGGTCGCTTCAGCACGAGCTTTGGACATAGGCTTGTTCAATGGCCTCCCCGGAAAGGCTTCTGGGTCCGGCTCAGGAAGTGAGAACTGCCATCGCAAGCGATCACGCAGGTCGATCAGTACTGTGAATATGTGGAATGGGACTCTGAAGTCAAAGATCTCAAGATCCTGCGGTCGCTGTTGAAGTCTGTCGATGAAATCAGAACATAGTCCCCATTCTTCTGGGGCTTCCTCAGCTGTATTAGGTGGCAAATGCGATCGCGATGCGTCAGATTGTTCACTTTCAGAGGGGAGAAAAGGACAAAATTCTGCGAAGAGTCGTTCCATGATTAGAGCACATAAGTTTATGCTTTCTCACAAGAATAGTAGAAAGTAATAAGCTTTCATATCAGTCGTGCTCCAAGAGATCGATAATGCAAATGGGATAACGCGTCTAGACAACCTCACACCCTTTAGCCTAGGCAGTGAAGGGGGGCCGTTGTCATAAGGATATAGCATAAACAGGTATTAGTTATCAAGGAAACAAGGTGGTTCACAGTATTACTCCTGATAAGAGCCACCAAGATAATAAGTCCAGATAGAGGATGAAGAACAAGGAGTGGAAAGTCTTGAGCAGCGTATTAAACAGTTGGAGATCGACCAACACCTTGAAAGCCCATATCTTATCAAAAGCAGGAGGTCGGGGTTCACCGCAGAGTCAGCCATGTGAATACTAACCCTGGAAACAAAGCGGTGACGGATAGACACTAGACTTCCCTTTGCACGCAGCAAAGACTCACCCATAATAGAATCCAAAGTGTCTAGCGACGGAGATAAGAAAAGTATCACCAATAAAGGAGATCCCCTGGGAATTCTAGCAAGACTGGGCATATAAGACAAGCCACCCTTGCGCTCGATCAATGGAGGCATAAAAATATTAATGTTTACAGATTAGAATAGGTGACATATGTGACTCTGTCACATTGACAATTGACCAGTAAGGCCTGTACTGAATGACCAAAACGTGCCTCTAAACACGCTCGGTTCAGGGAACAACATGACATACGAGGAGGGCATTGAAATATACATGGGTGAGTAATAAGAGATAATCCAATGGAAATCAGAGAAAAGGGAAGGGTATCACGTAAACATCAAGTCATAAAACCCAAGAAAGAGAAAAGAAAGGCAACATCGCCTCCCCGCCAGCCAAAATGCCCGAAGCCAACGCCCGTACAAATGCACTTGCTCGATGCTATCATCAGTTTCTGCGTTCGACAGAATTGGATGTCTCATCGACCAGGTCAGAGAAAGATAGTGGGGGAAGAGGTCCATATGGTTGACCGTGCTCCAACTCGAGCTTCCGGCGCAGGATGGCCTGCTCAAGATTCCAACGAGACTTCATCTGGCCCTTCTTCATATCGAGGGCTTGTACAAGCAATTCTTCCTGTTGCCGGTGTTCCTTTTGAAGTTCTTCCAATTCTGTGCTGTGGTGATCAATGAGAGCGTTCAGCTCCCTTTCCATCCGCGCGATTGCGTCCTGGAGCTGGATTTCTTGACGGTCTCTGAGCACTTTGATCTTAGCTTGGTGTAGCCGGTCCATTGAGTCGCGGTCGTGGTACTCCTGGGCCAACTGTTCTTTCTGTTGACGTGTTATCTTCCGAATACGAGCTCGCTCCGCGTCTGAACTGTTGTCGGAACCCGGGGTCGTAGGCGGACTATGGCTGGCGCAGTAGCCTTCCATGTGTTTAATGCGGGTACGGGAATTCATCTTTGCCTTCTCGAATTCCATTTCTTGTTCGATTTCAGCAGCCAGTTGCCGTTCCTCGAGACGGGCAGCATCCACAATATTCTGTAGTTCAGATGTGTTAGGAACAGCGTTGGCTTTCATATGTGGTTATCTTACTTTTTCACGCTTCTCGTTGACCTCACGTTCATGTTCACTTCTCCTTTCTGCCATAGCCTTCTCACGCGAATCAGACAAAGCGTTCAATAGTTCTCTTTGAAACGCGATATGACGCCGCGCCTGCGCCCTATGCGACTCGACCAACCCTTTCAGCTGTGGGTCTTGTATACTCCTCTGTAGCGCAGCATCATCGAAAATAGGCACCTCCACTTTAAACACATGTTCCTGTTCCTTATGATCGGTCGTAGGGGTCCTCTCTCGCTTCGTCTCAATGCAGACTTTGTCAACGTCATTCTCTCCCTTCTTCACGGTAATCTGTGCGCTAGACGGCAGAAGCACCGTTGATTCCCTTCTTTTCTTTCGGAAGGGGAGCTTCCCCATGGCCTGTATGAAACTCGCTCTCTTGCTTTCTCGTGTTGACGGTGATCTCGCGCCGGGAGCTGAGTCGCTGCGTTCAATACGGTGACCTTGACCCCTCTCCCTGGAAGGCCCTCTCCGGCTCTCAACCGAACAGTATGACGTAGGGCGCGTAGAAATAGACGCCGCGGAGCGGGTACTGGGCGAGTGTGCCTTGTCTGATGCGACAGTTGTTGCAGACAAGGATGTGACGAGCTGGTCGATGGAGGTTGCGCGAGAACTGACGACGTCCGATACAGAGTTGCGTTCGAGTGAAGGCCGAGAAGCGGCAGATGATCCGTTGATATCGACCATACCGAAAGCCATTGAGGCTGCCAGAGAAGCTGCAATTTCCACCTCTGGCAATTTGAGATCCAACTCGCGCGCCTCCTCAATGAGCCTTTGTTCCGCGTCGTGCTCCGATTGTTCTGACGGGAATTGGAGCACCTCCTGCCGGTATCGATCCTCATCGAGGCGAGGAATTGAGCGCCCGTCCATCGTCGATATTTCCACTGGTGTGCATGAACCGGGTTGAAGCAGTCTTCAGGGGTAGGGTTCGGATGCGAGCGGGCTCGTCCACGGTACGGGTAGGCACGGTGGACGACGGGGAGCTGTTGCCACGCAGCATCCACGCAGGTCGGTTCGAGGCGACCGAGGCTGATATACCGGGCGGTTGTAAGGGGGGTAAAACAATATGACCTCCAGCAAACCCTTCGCACTGAGGGGGAGGGGGAGAGCAGCGTGCACGATGCGCCTGATAGGGATGGGGCTCATGAATAACCACGGGGCTCATCCGTATCCCGTGCTTGCCTCAGGCCGCCAGCGGGTCATCCTGAACGGGCATGTGATCGGCCAGTTCTATCTGCTTAGGGCTTAGGGCTGCTGGACTCACGGACTCTCGCCATGTGGTTGCGGTCCGTGCCGGGCGGCCGTTTCACTAAAAACAGTTAAATTAATCAATTAACTACCGAGCCATCGGGTCAGGGTCTTCAGGGGCCGGCATTTCTGCTTGAATGCCGGTACGCAGCAGAGGAATTATAGGCGATGGATGTCCAAAGATACATTTTCAAGCCCTCCCTCCACATATCTTGTAAAACGGGCTTATCCAGCAGTTTTGAGCGGCTTGTATTATTGTCTGGTGAAACAGAAAAGAGACGCCAGAAGGAAATGACAGGAGGGGGTTAACATGAGCAACCGTGGAACACTTCGACCCTTACTCGAAAACGGCCACAAACGCTAAACCTATTTGAGCTTCAACATATTTCTACCTACTCCACTTCCACTATGCATTTCTTGCCAAACGGTGAAATTCCCAAGTCTGATTCCATTGTCACGATAATCACTATTTCTTCTAGGCATACCTTGTAAACCTAAGAAGTGTCGAGGGAAGAATGTAAGGTATTAAACCTATAAAGAAGAAAATTATTCCACTACGCCTAACTATTCAAACTGCAATTGACTGTATAACAAGGTAGAGCGCGATCATAGAAATACAGCTCAGAGTTTATAAACACTCTTGGGGTACGCTGCTGGCCACACGCCACTCTTCCCGGGAGCCAGAATTCCTTTTGGGTCAACTGCATTCTTGATTCTCTCATTGAACTTCATGAGGATGTTTTCGTTCCAGTTGTAGGTCTCAGCGATTTGGTCCATCAGGGCCAGATGCGTTCGATACTCGCCCCATCCATGGGCGGCGCAGTCCGCAATTAGGGTCTTGATGAGCTTGTGGGCTCTTTTCTTGGAATCGTCGTCGTTTTTGTCAAAGACAATGCAGACGATATGGTCTGGTTCGATGGCATTGGTTAGTCATTGCAATGCGCAAGAAAAAGGTAACCTCAGCTGATACTCACGCATCTCCCGCAATCCGACAGTGAAGGTACCAATGAAATCAAATCCTGCCTCACTGACTCTCTTCTTCGTGACAGAGTATTGGAGCATTGCGTCATCACCAGTCACTTTGCTAATAGGTGAGAAGAACAGATGGGAGCCGTTTGGGATCCAATCAACCCATTTCAGTTCATCAAACGTCGGGATGCCCTGGAGGGTTTTGTCCCGGACATGGAGTACACAATATTCTTTGATATCCTCCGGGAAGAAAAACTTGACTCCCTTGATGGCAGAAAATGCTTTTTTAATGACGGACCATAAAGCTTTACGAGTTGCTTCCGGGCCCTAGAAGAACGGCAAAACAAGGTTAGTTCGTGCAGATAACAGAAGAGGAATATGAACCATACGTAGAGAGCTCCGTAAAAGTTCCAGCGTCCTAGATTGAGCTTCTTGCAGATGGCATCCAAGCCTGCCTCATCAACTGGACCGTTAGACGACGTGTAATCTTTCTTCCGTCCCACGACTCCTGCATCAAGTAGGATGTGCCGCAGCGTTGGGACATTTTGCAGAACCATTTGCTATACAGCCCCAGGTTAGATATCCGGCCTCAGCCATTCTTCTCAGAGAAACTTACTAGGCGAAGAGGTCGAATAATATCAACAGCTTGACGGAGATCCTCTTCTCTTGGAATCGTAATCAAGTACGATTGGTAGCCACCAGGATTTGGCATCAGCTATGAGTAGTCAATCATCAAGTTAACTGAGAATGAATTGTAAGGATAGTACCCACCCATATCCCCAACTTGGTCACGATACCCAAATTACTTTGCGAGAAAAGTCCGTCATTGTACGGTCCAAAGCCGTACGGAAATAACTGCCAGCACTTGTTTCCTGGCTCCTCATCGGGTCGACCGGAGTATTTACGCCCGTTCTCTGGCGGTTGAGGAAGAGCACCCATGCCGGTTCGCATGAGCTCTCCTGTTGGGAGGACGACTTCCAATCCGCAATGCATCATCCAATGGTCTTATCGTTCAGATTAGGTCAGACATGGTAAAATGCAGCTTTTTGGCACAGAACTAACCTCCATAAGGTGTATAACCTACTCCTCTATCCAAGGTGTTACCAAGAACCGAACCACCTCCAATGTCAGGGACCTGTATGATGTTCAATGTTAGCAATACTCCAGTATACGCCTTTGGACAGGGGAAAGAAATAATATGGAGACGGGTAACCGGAAAGACATACATCTATCCAGAGCTTATCCTGGAGATTATGCTGGACTAGGTAGTCGTACAACCCGGCAAATGTCACTCCGGGTTCAACCAATGCATAAGCGCCTTCCACGCTCACTTCCAGAACTCGGTTCATCTTTGCCCCTAGGTTCAAAACAACACTCCCAGGAAGACGTGGTGCCGCACCACCATATCCAACATTGCGCCCAATAGATGTTGGCCAGAGAGGAATCTGGAACTTTCCTGCGAGACGGACAATGTCCTGCACCTCTGGCACTGACGCTGGGAGGACTATGGCGGAGGCCACCATATAGTCCTTGTCCATCACATGATAAATATCGTGCGAAAAGACTGGATTCTCATATGTCCCGTCTTTCAAGTCCTCTTGGGTTCTGATAACAGTGACATTATCGGGGCCAACAACTTGTACGACTTCATGGATAAATGCTGTAAACGTCTCCTTGGTCGTCCCCGGTGGTAAGACCAAAGGAGCAACAGGCTGGCCGGCGTTGATGGTCATGATGGGCTGGATATCAAAGTAGACGAAGGTTATCTGGAGGCATACGATAACGACCGCTATCCAGGGATGATAACACTTGACTACTTGGATCAGGCGATCTTATATCCCCAACCGAGGACCCATTGAATCCCTGCTAGCCCAAGAACGCTAGCTCTCGGCTTGCGGCGATTTCCCACCCCCTCGTAAGCCGAGCATACCATTAAAAGGCGGTAAAGATCTCCAAAGTTGTGGGAAAGTATTTACTCATGCAACAGTTTGGGACGAATTGACAGAGTCCTAGGCAATTGACTTCTGGAGATGCGAATTCCTACTAAGAGCTAACCTAGGTATCCCCGCATTCATCCCCCACGCCACGAAGAACAAGTAATAAAGAGCGACTGGTTTTAGCGTGATAAAATCGCATTAAAGTTGATACAAACTCCCGACGAGGCGCGTGTGGGTTATTTCCCGCTGCGGGGGTGGGGGAAAGTCCGCGACCCCGTCTGGGGGATCTCCACCAGTGTACTTGTGGTGCTCGTTTTATGAAGGGCATGGTTGTGTCTTGGAGAGCCGCAAAGGTCCGTGGTTGAAATAAAAAGGTAGATATAACATGCACAGTGTGGGATATATTCGTGCGGATGCAGATGAGTCTACCGAATATGGTGATCATGTTCGATTAACCTAAGTTGAAAATTGTAATCACACGATGGGCAACTCCTTAATATCCTCCTCAGGAATTTATTAGGCATAAACAGATCTCGATTTAAGACACAATATCAATATATTACAAGATAACCAACGGCTACTTAGCTACTTAAAGTGGTCATCGGAAGCCGTCTGATAAGTTCGCTTACCTGGCGCATATCTGTCTCATCATATCGACCTGAGACTCCCGACAGTATAATGGAATTTTCTTCCCCTTTAGTTTCAGATCGGAACTTCTCGCACATCACCAAACCCAAGAAACAGTATTCACGACAGTGCCGTATGAACCCAATTTTCTTCCAAGGTTGTTCTTGCTGCAAGTCATATCGTCCTGCGAATTGTTCGTACACTGCATTGGCCATCCAGATCTTGTCCCAGTTCAAGAACCCCTTCTTGATAGATTGGATCAGGTGTGGTGATGAAATCGATGCTCGGAGGGTGAATAGGACAATATGGAGTGCTGTAGAGTCAGCGAAAATGGTAACCAAGCTTCCCTTGTTCATATTGCATACCAGACACGATGCAGAACATATTCAAGACACTCATATGTGAGAAGTCCGTAATGAGCCTGGTACCGAACTCCTCGTGGCACAAAGCTTCGACAGCAGAAGCTATAGATAATCTTGCATTCGGCGGCCTTGATGCGCGTTTGATTGCTTGGAAACACGTGTTCTGACACTCTGCCTGAAAACAGCTCTCAGGGTAGCACAACCCTAATTTGAGCTCACTGATCACGAAGCGTGGGGGTAAATTGTTGAATATTGCAAATGCAGAGTCGATCAGGAATATGTACGACATTGTCCTGCATGTCAGATTCAGTACATCCGCTTCACTATAAAAGTCCCCGGACGTACCGCATCAGTTCCTCTGTGACTACCCACCGTCCCCAGTCGAACTGACCAGGGTCATTCATCTCGAGCTGATCATGTGTAGCGAATTCGAAGCCGATATCCCTAGCGGCCTAAATGCAGGAATGTTATCTCGTGTTGAGAAACAGAAAGTGGATAGAGCGGGATCTTACAGTGACTAGAACAGTGAAACGTTGGTTTCTGATGCGCCTCTTTGCTTTGTCAGATCCATCCCAGTTTTGATATAAACACACGCAGTACGCTCCCTGGAGGGCTTGCAGTTTTTTGCGGCTCACAGGCCTGTTGCAGTCACATGAGTATGATCTGCTGCACTCGAAATCCAACAATGGACTCGTGAACACCAGTTCCTCAACAATATCGAACCAGAAGCCAGCGATTTTCCGATGAGCAATATCTGGAGACGTACATGCACCGAGAACCACCATAGGGCATAAGAGTTCTTCTGGAGCTGTCTCGGCATTAAATGTCGGCTTGTGGATAATGGGACAGTTTGGGTGCCATTGGGACCAAAACAAATTGAGAAAAAGTCGGATTCGAGCAGGCGAAAACAACTTCAGACAAAGTTCTTCTCTCACTGAAGACCATGATTGTGACCTACTGTGGCATTTTCCTGAAACCGTGCGCCTTAGACTGCTGATAATGGTGTGAGTCTTTTCAGATAGGGGGTCGAGTGAGTGGAGATCTGCAGTAGGTATTGGTGTCGATACCAAATTATGCGATTGGAACGCAGAAGAACCTTCCTCATCATATAGTTGTGAGTACCTAGTCGGATAAGGTAGTGTCAACATTAGAGGAGAATAATTACCCTGATCGAAGGTCTCGAAACCCCTCAGAAGTGACTCACAAGGAGGCTGGGGGCATCCTTCAGTATATCCAGCCATGAGGAAAGAGTCGCTATCATTCGTGTAGCCGTCTTGGGAGTAAGCAGACAGATTCATTTCCATAGACACCATGTAGTCAGTGATCGAATCGGATGTCTCTCCGCATTCAAACGCCTCAGCAATTCCGCTTGAGCTGGTGAAGTGCTCCAAGAATCTCAGACTTTGTAGTCTATTGAAGAACCGCGTTGACCCCGTATGATCTCTGTCATCTCCCAGACCTTTTAGATATGGCTCACTCTGAGCTAGTGTGGAACCCACAAAGAGCGTTTGAGATCCAGTTATTGGTTTGTCCAGAGGAAATCCTTCGTTGTTCGATGGATTAGATGAGTTGAAGATGTGGAAAGTCGACAACTCATCAAATAGCTGGAGTTCTTCAAGATCGCCGCCATCTACCATGTCAGTCAAGTTCTCGTACGTGCAAGAGGTCTGGCGCTGGATACAAGTGTCGCATGGAAACCCAAGATTACATGCTCTCTTGGATCTCCTACAACGATCACAAGCCGTTGGCCTCTTCCCGCGAGGTTGTTTTGGTCCTGCAGTTGGGATTCCAACCCCGTTCTTCTTTCGGATTTTGCATGTTGTTAGGTGGCGTGTCAAGGCGTCTCTATTGCTCAAGGTCACTTTCCACTTCGCGGACAAAATCAGGACATAGCTTTTTCCATGCTAGTATTGGGGGCGTCAACGAGATGGGACTTACCGGCGCTTAAAGGACGCGTCGCAAAATGAACACGTATAGGGAAATATATCCCCGTCTAGATTTGCCTATCAGTTAGACTGCTTTCAACGAACGATATACTGCCTTACGAGAAAGTATATGGCGTCGAAGATGCTCGCGACGTCGGAATGACTGGTGACAGATCGAGCAGAGGAAAGAGCGTACTTCTACTTCGGTCATTGTTTGCTGTGCATTGCCTTCTTGTCAGACGCCTTTGTAGGAAGATATTCTTGGGATAAGAAAGAACGTGGATGCCTCCCCTTTGATCTACGAGGTGGATTTTCGTTCTCCCCTTCTCCACCGCAATCCCCGCATTTCTGGGGGACTTCCAGAGCCATGTGCCGAAACTCACTGTATCACTACATCTTAAGGCTCCTGGGGAACAATACGAACTTTAGCGTTTGATCGTGAACTCCAATAGCCGATAGCAATTGCATCCCCTTGCCTAGGATATGCGTCATACACCCATATATTAATGCTACATCAATTCCGGATCTGTATCTGCCAGGGAAACTACATACCATTTGACTTTTGTTCCCTTTAGCATTGATGCGGGGACCCGAATGCCAGCCGTCTAAGATCATCATGATTGTAGGTACATTTTTTTGACTTACATTGTCCTGCCAATAACGTAGATTAAAATGCTATGGTCCATGAGACGATAGCTTGCCTAGACGGAATCAGCCGCAAACTGGCGACTTTCCCGATCGCCCGAAGCGGGAGTCCCGTTCGTCAATTGTCTGCTAACGAAGATCATCCAAAACCACGTTACCAATTTGAAGAGAACTCAAATACATCTAATGTCATCGTCATATGAATTATCTATACCAGAAGCTGATAGTGCTACCCAAGGAGATCGCATTTCCAAGCGACCCAAGCTGCGCAAAGGCACTTTTAGCTGCTGGGAATGCAAGCGTCGCAAGACGCGCTGTGAGTTCAGGCCGAAAGCCAGCTCTATCTGTCTCTCCTGCCAGCGCCGTGACCTGCCATGTATAAGCCAGGAATTTCCCGAACCAGGCGATAATGGGTTCGAAGAAGTCGAAAAACGCATCGTCCATGTTGAGGGCTTAGTGAGCCAGCTCACTCGACAAAGATCAGCCCGCCTTTCTCGAGATCGTCTGTCTCAGCAGCTGACAGGATCGGAAAGATCTGTCCGTGGGGAGACCTCAGGAGGGATATTGACAACAGGCACACTTGGGAACGATTTCCAGCTCTCGAGTGGTGTGAACAATAGACTGCCGCTGTATTCGTCGCCATCGGCCCCTCAGGATGCGCTATCTATATGTCGGTCGCTCAGCGGCTACCTGCACTCGATACTTTCACATGAGAATAGGATTTCGGTCGTCCTTGGTCACAGGAAATCATTTAGTTTATCTTTCCAAGTCCCCAAGGAGACTTCGCAGCAAAGAAACTTGTGTACAACGGACACGCAAGAGTTGGTCCAGCTTTCTCAGCTGCCACCGTTGACATCGCATCCAGTCTTCTTCGCCCGCAAGTTTATACAACTAGCAATCTGTCTGCATCAGCTAGACAGTATCACGTCCACTCAGCTGGGACTGCAATTTAACGAGTCCACATGTGATTCAGCGCGACGCTACATCGAGATTGCGTCCAGCTATGTCACTTCTAAAGATTCGCTGGTGAACTCCGTAGAGGGCGTGGAAACCCTCATCCTAGAAGCACGCTACTATATCGCTGTTGGTGAACTACGCCTGGCGTGGCTTGTGTTCCGTCGTGCTCTGGGAATTGCGCAGCTCATGCGCCTCCCTCAACTGGCCCAGTCGAAGGCTGGACGTGCGGAATTCATGTGGTTCCGCCTTACATACAGCGAGCGCTTTTTATCACTGATGCTTGGCCTTCCACTTACTACTGATGACGACGTTTGGTCAATGAAGCAGTTGCTGGCAGCCCACCCACCATTCGAAAAATTGGAGCGCACGCACTTCCTTATCGCGGGACGCATCATTTCACGAAACTTGCGCATCCAAACTCATTGGGGTAGCCCCAAGGATGGTTCAAATGAGGAATACAAAGAGACACAAGATATTGATCACGAGTTGAAGCATGCCACTCGAATTATGCCAGTGAGCTGGTGGGTAACCCCAGCTCTGAATCCTGGCGTGACAGATGCGGAAGTAATGGAAGTGACCAGCAAGCTCCTTGCGCAAATGCATCAATATTACCTTCTCGTTTTAACGCATCAGCCATACCTTTTGCGTAGCCTTCTTGGGATCTCGATGATGGAGGAGTCAGAGTCTAGTCGCCATTATATCGATTATACATACAGCAAACTTGCCATCCTCTCCGCCAGTCGTGAGATACTTTCTCGTTTCATGCTAGCTCGACATTTTCTCCGTGAAACAGCATTCCGTGGCCTTGATGATAAGGCATACACAGCTTCAGTGGCCCTTCTTTTGACACATCTCGATGGACACCGTTTAGGGCAAGCAAATGTCTTTGAGCACCAGCGATCCCAGGATTTGGGTGTCATTCACAATGTGATTCATTTCATGGATAAGCTATCGCCTGATTCCGACTTTCAATTCAAGGGTCCTTCGATTCAAGTGTTGAAGCGTCTCGTGGATATCGAGGCTGATGCAGCGGACGGGGTAAGCTATATCGCACGTGGTGGACAAGATACCATCCTGCAGGACGATCACACGGACAATGATTATTTCCAGTTATCATTTCCTTACTTTGGAACGATGAGCCTTGTGCGAAAGGAGCAGTTCGATTCTTCTCATTTTAGCCGGGAGACGGATTATGTGCCCATGGCGGTTACTTCTCGCCGGCTAACAAACGCGTACAGCACCGGCTTCAATCGAAATATGGACGCTAATGTCCTAGCTGCAGCTCCTGGTGCTGATACTGAAGCTTTTATCTCTAGCTTTCACTCAGAGCAGCCGTCACTGGCCTATGTGACAGAAAATTTAGACAATGCCCGGGCATCATCCTCATTCCCAGCATCTGACTTTCAAAACATTTCAGATCCCGCCATCTACACTAGTCTGGGTATATCACCATTGGGATATCAAGTGAATGAAGACTACTTCAATATCGAAAATTGATTGAGCTAGGCTCCAATATAGATGACTACATAATGAGTGGGTTCGGCATTTTGGCAAGCATTGCTCTCCTCCGCAAGATCTATCATTCTATCTAGCATTGAAGGTGCACTAGAACGAGAAATAATATGGGATTTCCCTATATTGCACATTTTCTAATCATAAACAACTACAGGGGCGGAGTGTCAGCGAATTCGAAGCCAAACATGGCCTGAACTCGTCCGCCCACAATAGACCCCGCTAGTTGGCGAATCGACTTCTCCTCTGCCTGTGACAAGGGCACCGAAAGACTCCTTAGATTCTCTTCCAAGCGGTCAACTCTCTTCGTCCCTGGAATCGCAAAAATGTCACCCCCCTGCGCGAGCACCCACGCAAGAGCCAACTGTGCTGTGGTAATCCCCTTCGCCTTTGCAATTTCCGAGATCTTGTCGACTATCGCCACGTTCTTCTCCACGTTTTCCTCACGGAGCCAGGGGAGTATGCCGCGCAAATCTCCAGGCTTAGTGACATCCTCGCGCTTTCGGATCGTACCACTGAGGAGGCCATTACCCAACGGACTGTAGGCGACAATAGCAACGCCAAGCTCGCGCGCGGTCTGAAGCAATCCGTTTCGCTCAATGTCCGTGCAGAATATGCTATATTCAACCTGCACGCAAGAGACCGGGTGGACAGCATGCGCACGACGCAGGGAATCTGCACTGCACTCGCTAAGCCCTATATGCTTGATCTTTCCTGCCTTCTTCAGTTCTACCATTGCCTCCATCGTCTTCTCGATTGGTGTAACTTCATCCAGACGGTGGACGTAATATAAATCAACGAAAGGTAAACGGAGTCTGCCTAGAGACTTTTCGATGGCTTGGCGGCAGTACTCCGGCGATGAATCGATATGCAGTCCTCCCTCTGGAGTATGGCCCCTGAAGCCAAACTTCGTGGCAAGGAAAATATGCTCCCGCTTTCCAGGATTCGCAGCGAACCATTTCCCGAGTAGGTCCTCGGAGTCAGCGTACTTGTCGGCTGAAGAGTGAAGATATCAGTACGATGGTCCATATATTGATTTAATCTGTCCTAATCAAGAAGGATAGCGGATAAGTCAACTTACCAGTATCCCAGAAGATTTCACCCCTTTTGTACGCCTCGTCCAGAAAAGCAAAACGCTCATCATCTGGAGGCGAAGGACCGTACATACCGCTAGCACTCATGAGACCTAGACCGAGGCGTGGAAGCTCAGGTCCATTCTTTCCCAGTGGACGGCTATCCAATTTCTTGATCGAGGACATGTTTGATTTGTTTCTTGTGAGAATGATTTCTTGAGTGAGAAGTGTCTGTTTTTTCGAAGATCAGGAAAGATGGATTTGATGCTTCAGCAATAACCAGGTCAATATGCTGCATTTATATCTACAGAATCTTATCAGTCAATCATCCACAAGTCGGACTTTCCGGCGGACGAGAAATTGGTATTAATTATTCGTCCATCATCCAGACTGTCCACGAGACGTGGTTCCTTAAAGGGGCCCTACTACATGCTCTCCAGGACAAGTGCCGCCTTGAAAAGACAACGATTGACAGGATCAGTGTCCATGTTTGTAATTCAGTAATTACTGTTAATAACAAAGGCCAAATCGTCCAGTAAAGTTGCATTTCTCCGTTTCAACGCCTTGCCGGTCACTTGAACTATTTAGTTCCGCCGATGATTTCCGCCGTTATCTCCGCCGATTATCTCCGTCCTATCTAGGCCGGGTTGAGTCGGTATTTGCCTACTCTATAGTACTCTGCTACTGTTCACTTCTTCCAGTGGATAAATCATGAAATAGAAGACAGGGTCATAAAGTCCGTTGGCAACATCCGTTGATAGGTAAAGGAATGGGAAGAACAGCCGGAATGTCTGAAGTGAACACTAGCATAGTAAACGAGTATCATAAACGATACCAGGGCTCGAAGTGTGTTGAATACCTAATAGAATGGCATGGAAGCATAGTCTGATTTGGATCCCCTTGAATTACTTGCTTGATTCTAGTTACAGGGGGATTTGAACCCGCGTTTATATTTGGCATACAAAGAACTGGCAACCCAGTAGGTTCTATCCAATATGTAGGACTCAAAGAACCTGCCGCAAATAGATGATTGATAGATCACCTGGCGTTCGCTTTGTACGCCAACAGAATGAGGGCAAAATGCATTCATGACCAGGTATTCAGGCATTGCCAATCTGTCAGATCCCGCGGCTTCTGTTGGAGCGAGCTGCAAACCTGCTGAGTTCCGCTGCTGCTTCCCTATAACTCCAGCATATGCCTATTAACCTGTTATACAAAACGCTAAATCAAATAGGTCAATATGGTTTGAGCATTTCACATTGGAAGGTTAGATGGGCATATAGCTCGCCGAGCTGATACCCGGGTTAGATTGTAAATCCGAGCATGGTTCAAGCGGGGCTTTTGAAAGGCGGGAAAAAACGGCAGTAGGTACTTATTTCGAACGACGCCGAGCTTTTTTGACCTGCCGCCACTCGGCCAATAAGTAGGACTGACAGATGAGGAATTAAATTCTTTGATGGTCAAATTCTATGATGGTCAAATTCTACTACTACTAATACTACTACTACGCCGAGCTTTTTGGAACCACGATGAGCTTGCGGGCATGTAGGTACCTAACTAGGCAGGCCCTTAGGTTCTGCACTTACACATATCCAACCCTTTTTCTTTCCCGATTATCTTTGTGGTGCCTTCTTCCTTCCTCTTCTTCATTGCTAACTCAGGTAGCGTCAAGAGTTGAACAGCACTACAACTATGGATCAGCCAACACACGTTATCGATCCAGAGGGCGAAGTGATCTTAATACTGCGAAACGCCAATCTTCCTTTTGCAGACTGGTTCTACGGAGCTTTTTCTAAGCTGAAGCTTGATGTCCAGGACAAGAGTCAGGAAACTCTGAAAGAAAAGAGCTTCTGTATCCAGGCGTCCGCAAAGCATTTAGTACTCGCCTCTCCTGTTTTCAAACAGATCCTCACTGGGGGTTGGAAAGAGAGTGTCACTTATCTTCAGAAAGGCTCTGTCGAAATTACCACCGAGGGTTGGGACATTGAAGCACTTCTAATCTTGCTCAGAATTATGCACTGTCAAACCCATCACGTACCCCGAAAATTAACTCTTGAAATGTTTGCTAAAGTCACTGTCCTAGCAGACTATTATGGATGCAAGGAAACTATAGGATTCTTTGCAGATACGTGGATCGAGTCCTTAAAGGAAGTGCCTCCCGCGACTTATTGTCGAGACTTGATCTTATGGTTATGGATTTCGTATTACATGAGGCTCCCTGATGAATTCCAAAAAGTTTCCTCGATAGCAATATCGCAGGGAAATGGTTTGATTGATAATCTCGGGCTTCCGATCCCTCACAAAGTTCTCGGTAGGATGAACACACCCTTGACATTGACTATCCTCTAACGATGTTAGAAAAAATCGATAGCAACAGACAGCAAGCCATCAACAATATTATCATACTGCTTCAAGAGAAACGCGAGGCCCTTCTCAGCGGCAGTCAAAGCTGTTCTTTTGAGTGCAGTTCAATCATGTATGGAGCTCTCACAAAGCAAATGCAGTCAAACGGTCTACTTTCACCGGTCCCAGTGGCTCCTTTTCTCAATTTGAATTACGAAGGACTTGTGTGGAAGTTGCGATCCTTCAAATCACCAGAATGGTATTCTCCAGGCTCGGATTATCCCTATCGCAAACCCACTCTGCACTCCTGTCCGCAGTCCACGTTTAAATCCCTATTTGGCACGTTGAACAATACTGTTGGAGGTCTTAATCTGGATGATTTCTAAAGACATGAAGTATCCAGTTTCTATATCCTAGGAAAGCTCACTGTGTCATTGAAAGGCCGATGTCTTTACCGGCCTTTTCCTACCGAGTGGATATTAGTTCGTGTTTGCGATGCCTGTGTTGTGAAATTTTCCTTACGGAGACCTCAGTTGTTGTATCTTTGACCTAAGGGAATGTTCAATAAGCTCAGCAGATATCAAGCCTACATCAAATATACATTTTCCAACATTTCCGCTCTCGGGAGAAAGCTTTTATTTATTACTAGATTCCAGAAGGCAGGCGCATGAATGTAAAAATCTCTAAGAAGGGACAATATCTTGATCGAATTGATATATCTTTGTCCTCTATCCGCACCAGACGGATATTATTATAGTCGATTTGTCGGCGCTCGCGGCTTCAAAAGAGGCGAGTTGTACCCTAAATAGCACCCCTGAGAACGATACAGAAAATACCCACGGTAGAAAGTCCCTGAGGGATACATATCCTTGTTCGAGTCTATCTGGGGAGTATATCCGTCTTTGCATTCGATCGTTCAATCAAGATTTCGCATAGAACTTCTGACTGGCGAATCAAGAAGTATTAACTAGTTAACTAGTCAAATGTAATCAATTTCCACCTTCTATCTATTGGATAAGTTTTGGAAAGCTACCCTGGGAATATGACGAGGTATAACGATCACTGAGATATCCGAAAGTATCTATATATGTAGTACCAATGTGCTAAAAATATATATATTTTTCCCAAAAATACACACGTCACACGAAATTGACGATTAGGAACGACGGGGAAGGTACACGCTATCAGCACAATTGAGGATTATCATATCGACATCCTCAATTTCAAATCAGCTCACGCGAATATCCATGCCCTGCTGTTCCTATGCTGTTCCGGACTTAGCCTTCTTCTTTATCATTTCAGAGTGCATCCTGACCAATTCAGGGATGATCAGGCTCTCGATTTCCATCTGGTGGTCACCAGGGGCTGTTCCCCCTTCTCTCTGATCCGCATCCGCTCCCGTCCCCTCAGTTTGCACCGGTGGCTCTTCCGTAGCTGCATTGGGTTCCTTTCCCTCTGCCAATCCGACCTGGTTCTCAACACCAGAGATACTCTTACTCCTCTTCGACTTCGGAACGCGAATCCATCGTTCTCGAGGTTCGTCAGGAGTGACGAAGACCACTTCCCACTTCCTGGTGGAGAGAAGGTTACCGATAACAAGGTGGTGCGAGTATCGCTGCAGCGCAGTTCGTGCTTTGTTCACGAGCAGACTCGGGTCTGTCTCCAGCTTAAATGAGACGATCATGCTTCCATCAGGTGCCCAGCCGTCGACAAGGCGGTGGAGGAACTTCGGGACCGGGTCAAGATCAATGACGAGCTTCTTTCCGTTCCTGGATGGCTGGGACTCGTTCTCGCCGGTGTAGATCTGATCTTCAGAAATAACGGGCACCTCAGATGATTGAATCTTGTGTTCTGCCATCCGGTCGCGCGGGATGAAGAAATCGCTGACGGCTGCAGCGAGATAGAAAAGGGCATTTGGGCCCAGTGGCCGCATCAGTATTGCCAGAGAACGCAGCTCAAACAGGTAGTCTGTCACAGTGGTGAAAGGCAGGAGAAGCAGGCGGTTGTTCTGTTTCGCATAACGATACTTGCGCAGAACATCGCGCATCTCATCCTGATACTCGCTGCGCACGACAATGGGACCATTGTTGTTGTCCCCACTGGTAGTTGAAGGCGTCGCCTCTTCCATGAAATCGAGAAAACAGTTCGTTGAGTGACTGTAATGCCTCGAATATGGCAGGAGACTGAACTGCCGGTGAAAGAAGATCACTGCGTAGCCTGCTTCCAGGAAGTACTCTGCTGAGGTTGCTCCTCGAGTACCGGCACTGAAGTTGTCCTGCTCATATCTGTAAGTTGCTGTAGAAATCTTCTTGCAAGTCATCATGATCAATTAATAGCTTACAATAAAGCGGACCGTTTGCGTCTCCAAGGGAACTGTCGTTCCACCAGAGGTCACAAGCACCACTCGTCGATTCGATTCGACATGATACTCAATGAAAGCTCGCGCAAGAGCTTCGTGCTTCTGGAGAGACTTGGGTGGCGGATACTTGCTGAAGTAGGCCGACTCCATCTCAGCGGGAGACTTTTCCTCCACCTGCTGAGGATTGGAGGTCATTGTGGGGTAAAAGTAGATGTATCGGCGATATTTGACTCAACAACCAAGGTAACGATCTCGATCAATTGAGTTCAGGAACCGCACTCTGAAATGCAGGACAGATGCCGGTAAACTGTGGATGCCTTGCAACCCAGGAACGCAGATGGCAGAGAGAGAAAAGAAATGTTGATGCCTGGAAGATCTGTCCCCAATAATTCTCCGTCCAGGATCGGCGATTGATCCTAACCCGCAGATATTTGAAATATGAAGAACCCGATAAGCCGATAAAGCTCCCACTGGATATTCCCCAGGATGCCACAAATTCTATGAAGACAGTATCCGAAAATATATCAAACGATCCCGTTCGGATACGCTAGTGATATAGAGTTGTGGAGGGGCACCTAGATACGGATGGCTGAGACTATCCCGATCATTTTGCTGGATGATGACCTTGGGGAGGGTATAACCGTTTGAAGTAGAGCAATACCAATGAGGGTAGCACGAAGTAATCGATTATAGATCAGGATCGGGAGTCAAGACACATTGAAGCAACCGGAGTAATCAGTCGGCGGGACAATTTGCAAGAGCCGAGGGTGTTTTGCTCTTTTCGGTCATTCTGCTCGGTCGCCGCTTCGGGAATCGCGCGATTCTTGACGTCAGCCGGCGTTTGCCGCGGGATCAGTCACGTGTGAATCTCCGGCTTGTGGCCTCAGGCTGTACATCCTTTGAGCCGAACGCGAACAGAAGACTAGGTACCTAGTTCTACATGTTCAAAAACTCGGTGTATTGGGAGAGGTGTATTCTGCATTATTATCTACTAATTAACTATCATGATATACCAGAAAAAAATAAAGTAAGAATAGATTGTCGCTCTCAAGAGCTGCCATACAAACAGCCTCCTTGTCTAGAGGTAGCGACTTCGTAAGGCTTGGCTGATGGTGCTCATCCGGCTGGCCATGCCACCGTGCTGCATGTTGCTTAGAAGAGCTTCCTCTAAAGCTGACTGTGTGACACTCGCATCTATGTCAAACGTAGTAGTCAGCATCCATATACTCTGCAGAAACAGAGAGTATCGTTCAAGAATATAGGTAACCACTTACCGTCCAAATCGCTGAAACTGCTTCCCATGCTAGGTGTATCACTGGCTTCATTGGCCGCTGCGGCCCGGCGACGAGGACTGAGATGCGCAGCACGCTGAGGACTTAGTGCTCCTAGAGCATAACTTGATCGCCGGCGGCCCTCCTGCGGCATACCAACCGCAACACCCGAGCTAGCAGAGCTAGCGGACGACATCATAGTGGTTTGCTTCGACAGTGGTACATGTTCTGTCGTCTCTCTCCGCTGTGCTCCAGGATGTTGATGTTGCTCTAGGCGCAGAGTTGCATTGAGATCACTCCTCTGTGCTTCTCGAGATCCCGGCTCACTCCCACGCGGAAGAGGCAGGAAAGCGGGGGAATCATCCTCGTCGTCTTCCTCGTCGTCTCTCAGACCGGCCCTGTGGATCGAAAATTTACCAAATCGTTTAAATCCAGGAGCTCTCCTACTTGAGGTCTCGTCATCGGAGTCTGATTCTTCTTCCGAGGACGATGTCAAGCTATCTTCCTCGGGAACAGGCGACTCTCGTGGCGGAGCTCCTGTCCCTTGTTCTCGTCTGGTGTTGGACGGCCCTCTGCCTCCAGATCCCGGCCTTTGTGTCCTGGCTGCAGCTGATAGAGCATCTCGCGGAGACGGCTCCCTAGCCGACTTGACCTGCGTCACAGTGGTCGCTGAGCTTGTCCGAGGAAGAACGGAAACTGCAAACCTGTCAGCAAGGATAATTATCAAGAACATGTAGGATAGAACCCACTCCTATTCCGAGTTGCCGTAACTGGGCTACTCTCAGCTCGTGGGATACTGATATCTTTCGTCTGGACCGCCAATCTGGACGGCACTCGCGATCCTTTTTAAGCAGTTAGTATAGAAACAAGAACACTCCCTACATAGGACAACTGACCACCACTACCAATACGTTTCATCCCTTGTCCTCCCAATGCAGTACTTTCAGACACCGATCCTGGGGCAGGGGAAGATGAAGTCGAATGTGTAGTACCCACTCGTCTCATCTGCGCCCGAACCTGAGACAGCTGCCGATCATACAGCCATGCGGCCTGCTGGAGAAGGAAAGGAAGAGTGACATCAAAACTCTCTGCGCTATAGAGATCATTAGAAACAGTTCACATCCACATCTTCAACCCTAAAACTCAAAAGGGCAGTTAATACAGTGCTTTCCCTATAAAAACCAGTTAGCCACGCCATCACGCAAAAACAATATAAAGAGAACGAGGGCTGTTTACAATCTATATCATCTCCCTTCGATGGCCGAGAAAGGATCTCCCAAAGAGCACGATCCTTGGTAGCATTCCATTCCACCTGAATACAGGATACATTAGTCTCTTCACCCACCTGCTGTGCATACCAGATAGAAGGCCAACCTACAGGTAGAGGATCGACAAAGTCGCCTCTGGGAAAAGGCAGACGAATAAAAACTGTGAAATGGACATCAGGCCCTTTAGTCTGCGGAGACATATTTTGCCAGATCGTATCAAATCAGATCGCAAAGTCAGCGAGCGGCGTTTTGATTAAATAGACAAGATAAAACAATGTAAAGTCGACACGATAGCAAGCGGAGGCCAGGCCGGAAACAGAGACCGCCAGTTACTCGTAAGAGAGTCGAGTCCTCGAGACCAAGGCCAGCCTGGCTTATTGGAGGTATATGCTAGATAGCCAGGTTTGTCCCGAGAGTTGATGAGGAATTACAGTTCTGATTTGACTAGTTCTCTGATCAACATCGCAAACAGAAGGTCCAGGAGTCGAGAGGCTTGGGAGAGGTCTTGACGGGAGCTTCTGTGATCGCCATCCAATAATGCGGAGGCGGGGAATCGGGTGCGTGGCTGTAGTCACTTTATCGTGGCAACGGTCGGGCCAGCCTCTGGCCCTCCAGCTAGTCACCACCCATCGGGTAAATGCCACGCAAAAAGTGAGACACAACCACACACAGCTTGCCGCAGTACTTATCGATACAACTAGCGCCAGTCAACGGTGCCCATAGATATCGAGTTTCCCAGTCCAGTCAAGATTTTAGTGCGACTCCTGACAAGAGAAATAAGCCGTGGACAGTGCGAAACTAGCACGCAACAGAGCTATGCTAGTTATCGATATCAATATCGCTGGCCCAGAAAGACACGATATCGTGATATCAGCAACTAGAACTCTGAGATACATCAGGTCGTCATAATCAAAGGTATACGGAGACAGCATGGTATAAAGAGATCTCGAAATATCTACAGTTGAATTTGTTATAATGATCATGACGCTAATTAGTATACAGGTTCCCCCGAGAACCACGAGGGCCTTCATCTACAACCCCCAGTCGACCTTGCGACATGTACCCATCCTTTTGATGGTGTTGTTGATCCGGTCACTCATCCACGCGGACTGTGCGCCGACACTACTCGTGCCTAGCTTCGGCGTCTTCGACGTGTAGCACCGGTCATCGCGCCAGCTGTACTGGAAGCAGTGCAGGTCTTTCTGACACCGAGTCTTGCAGTTTTCCAAGGAACCCGACGTTGGATGTTCGTCGCCAGACAGATTATCCCAGTCACTACGCGGGTTCGCGAGCTCGATCTGGTAATGTATGACTTCTCTGAAGATATCGCTGTGCAGGAGCAGCGCATCGTTTGTCTAGTGCCAACATTAGTATTGGCTCCGGGATCTACGTGTCTGCGGGTTGGAGGAAACTCACTTTTCGATAGCGATTCTGCTCGAACCGCCACATAAACTCAATCTCCTCAGGAGACATATGGTGATAACCGACCGCAGGGAAACACCAAGGTTTCCTGTAGAAGTCGGTGGTGAGCGTGTCCACTTCGGCCAGCCTCGAATTTTGCAACAACGGCCAGGTAAAGCGCAGTGGGACGCCAGCGTCTGCCAATACCTTGCCTAGCACACAGTCACCCGCCCAGTGGATATTGACGAACTCATCCAGCTCCGCTGCATGTGCTGCGCGTTGTTCGGACGCTCTCCGCATCGCAGGATTAGACAGCATGAATCCAGACCCACCGTGAGCAAAGATCACGTCGGCTATCTGGGTCTCCGTTCCAAGATAGTGCGGCTGTCTCGCATCGAATTTTGACAGCCATTGCATGAGATTGGACCAGAATATGTACGTGTCGGCTTCCATAAACACATACCACTTCGCATCCGGTTTTGCGCTGAGCGCTTCATCGACCATAGGCAAAAACTTCCACTTGTCAAGTTTCCAGCCTGGATTATTGGGCTTGCCCGTTGGTGTGTTGGCATCATCTCTCAGATCGAACGGTCTCAAGCCTTGCCTGCCCTGTTTTTGTAATCTGTTGTATATTTCAAAATCCGGGTTCGTCTGTTTTACGATCGGGTCGACATTGCGTAGCACATCGTGGACATGGACTCCGGCCACGTCTTCCTCGAAATCGGAGAAAATCACGTAGTTGGGAATGCACTTCAGGGTCGTGTTGAAGTGCACCGGCAGCTTCTCCATTGCCTCTGTGACTCCGGTTTTCACGACCACCAAGACATTTTCAATACCCGGTAGAGGTGGGCAGCGGATCTCATCATCGGAGTCGTGGTGACCCTGCTGGTCTAGAACCAGAGTCTGGGAGAAGAAGGCACGCGGAAGCGAACGGATGGCGAAAAGATAGTAGAGGAAAAGGCATCCTAGAAACGGTGAAGCGAGTGGAATCCAACGACGGGAACGGCGCCGTAGGGAGTACATATGTACTTTGTGAAGGACTGACTGGGGAAAAGGGCGTTACGGTTGAGAGAAAAGAGCCGATGACACAGTGAGACAAGCTCTGAGTCCACCGGATATCATCTTCGTTGCATATATGTTTGTCCAGGCGACGCAGCAGGATACCGATCGTCTCGATCGACCGGCCCTCCAATGTATTTAAACCACGCTGTCCCTGATCCGCTGCTCAACGACCGACCCACCATCAATCTACTTAAGACGATCAGTCGGGGGCAAGGGCATCAGAATAGTCGAATTGAAACGCTTCAAGTAACGCGTTCACTGACGTTGCGGACCGCTCGAACCAGGGGGGAGAGTCTACGCCGCCGCGGGCGCTAAGTCCAATGGCGATCCAAAACGAGACACTTTCATCGACATTCCAGCCTACCTGTCTAGGAGTAGAACGCTGTGGGCGGTAATTATCCCAAGGAGTCTCTCGAACCGTATTCGATCAATCACGCCCTGGGTTTGCTCTTTTTCTTCTCTTCTTCTGGTGGGTGTTTTAGGTCCCTTGGATCGCAGCTTCCCTGGGTCTCCGTGAGTATGGACAGCAAATCCGAAAGACGAAGCAAGGGAGCGTTGAGCTTAGCAGTCCACAGCCATAGCCAGAGCAGTTGAAATTTCAACAGGAGATCCGTTCCAAGGTCACCGTCCAGGGCGGCAGAGGCGTGTTTTTGTTTGACAAGCGCCAAGCAAGAGGAATGGGCGGCAGAGGAAGACTAGAAAGATCCTATCCGAGAGCGCGTGGACATGAAACTGGACCGATGATGTGGCCTGCGTTGATACTTCCTCTTTGGATCTCCACGCTAACCCGTCTCTGCGCACGACTGCTCCACCGGTTTTTAAGGAGTCGCATTTCCCCCCGTTCTTTCTCCTGGATCTGTGAGTGAAGTTATCGTCTACAGGCTAACTACCTAAACTAACTAATAATGATTAATTCACTGTCGTCTACGGAGTAGAAGACCCTTGGTCAGCACTACTGGCCGTTCCTGGCCCCTGCAAAAGAGGATCGCTGTTTCTTCGATACTCCAGAACCCTTCGAGTACGGAGTACGGAGTACGGAGTACAGAGTACAGAGTACAGAGTATCTATAATCGAAAAATGGCACCAAGAGCACCGTTATTATTATTGGACACGCCACACCAGCTCCAGCAGTGGTTCTAGACCCAGTTGGTCACGCCATCTTACTGCTCTTCTAAAGGAGTTGCTCTCACTAAAGCGACATCGGGATGTGTATCAACTGAGTGCACTTACAGAAAAGACGCGGATACTAATTATTTACCGGGACGGTACGGAGTACTTGGCAATGATCTATACTTGTGGTCCAAGCGTCCGATATCGAGAGTGTGCAGACAAGGCAATAAAGACACGAACACGAAATAATGATATCTTTGTGGATTTCAACTGTCTCGCCCTCGGTGACAAGGCCACGAGAAGCGGTTTGTCTGGAGAGGGAACAAAACCAACCCGCTAGTTATCCTGTTGATTCTTTCAGCATTCCTTTTCAGTGGCGAGCTCAGCACATTCCAGCGAATAGATATAGTGTACCAAGTATACGGTGGAGTTTTGCTCTACCATACCTTGAGAGATCCACATCCGGTGTAATCCTCAGGCATACGATTTGAACGGACGAGCAATCTGCAGAACGAGGCGTCAACGTAATAATAATATAATCCAGAGAAGTAATTATCCCAAGATAACCGGTGACACTGACGAAGCGAAAATTGTGACTTTGTCCGTATCGTATAGTCTAACGAACATCTAGTTATGATGTTGTTAGTCCGCCAGCAACATCTATCCATGATGAGCCGCGACAGAACCACTCCTGCTCAGACCGCAGTTAAATAATCTCCCCCAGACTCTCTCCAGGTCAGGGAAGCGCTGGGGCATCGGGGTCATCCATGCACTGATCTACTCTCATGATTCTCTTTCCTGTAGCCTTAGCGATACGGATCACCTCTCGAAAATACCCAACCGTCGAAGGACTCAGGTAATGCATCACAACCAGATCCCCGCCTCGACTCACGTCGCGCTTGAAGGCATCCAGCTGTTTCTCCGGTGTATCTGAATCTGCGTACAGCCAATCCTCAATGTCGACGCTCCAATTGACAATGTAGGGGTCAGGAATCAACGCAGCGAGCCTCTGTCGCGTTCTGGATCCGACGGTTCCGAAAGGAGGGCGGAAATAGCGGGCTGTGACTCTCATCCGCGTCAGTGGTAAAACAGATGATTATCTTCGAGTTGAAGAAGACGTACACCTGACACCTAACAAATTTTCTTGAGCGTCTATGCTCTTCAAAATTTCTTCATCGATCTCCTGGATACTCTGCAAGCTCTCCATCCTACCGTAGTTGTCAGCACTTATAGAAAATAGACCGAATTATGCGAGACATACGTACTTTGGATGCGTATATGAATGGAGCGCAATCTGATGACCCCGCCTCAGCATCTCTCTATATACCTCGGTGAAATTGGTGTCTTTGGTCATCAGGCCTGTCCCAACAACGAAAAAGGTCACCAGAATTCCCTCTTCCTCTATGATCTGCATTACCTCTTGAGCAAACTCTGGTTGTCCATCGTCAATCCCAAATGCAAATGAATTTGGTCGTCGGCATCTCAGCACCATGGTACCACTTGGCAGCTTTCGGGGTATCTCAAAATATCGAGGCACTTCGGGGACGATTTCCACTCTGTAGAGGGTCACGTTTTCGCGGGTATAGAATCCATGGAACGACACAGAGAGAGCTTTTGACATGTCGATGGCGAAATGGGACAACGGTACATATATATGACCATCCCTGGCATATCGTGCCGCCTCAACCGTATCCCATGTAGCTGGGTAAGGGCGTACGCGTGGGTCGCACTGATCGTTGTTTTCGTTGAACGAAATACTAAATTTGTCGGTCCCAGAGAAGACAACGTGCAGATACATATTATCGTAGGGTCCCATATCAAAGCAGTAGGATGAAAACTGGGTGTGATAATTTTGGTCGGGATCAGTAGGCGAGAGCTCAACGTAATTGTCCCCATACTGAACAGGCATATGCTCTCCAGTTCCATGCCAAGAATTGAGGTTATTGGAATCTGCTCGACTGAATGTATCCACTACAAACCCATCCGTTTGATGATCCGCTAGGACCTTCAGTAAAATCCAGAAGAAGAGAAGCATAGCAGAACGACTTCTCCTCGCTCCCTGGCGTAAAACTTCCATATTGTCGATAATGATGTAAGTCTGCTGCTCAGAAGGTAATTCATGGAAAACAGCCGTCTATCATTATGGAGAGACCTAGCTATAGAAGTACGGATGTGTACGGTGACTTAGTAGGTTCAATGGACCTTGGCCGACAGTCAAGAAAACAAAAGGGCGACTTCTCACTTTTCATCTAGCAGGCGCGATGCTCAAATATTAGAGAAGGGAAACTGCCTTCCTAGTTCGGTCATAGGACTGAGATACAGGGACGTGCGATCTAAAACTCTTGCGAGTGACAACTACCACTTCATCATATAGCAATGTGTCGAGCTGGAGGCACACAGACTGTCTTCAAGCACTTATATTTCGGACTACGAGGGCATGTATAGAAAGAGAATGTAAGATCTTTTTTTGCTTTTCGTTTAGTTAGACAGGAATGCTGCTCCCGTCGACATCATCTGAACTTTTTTCGACTAACATGAAGTTTTTTGTGGAAACTAGACGGCAGCAATGAGTGGAAACACAACCACAGGAGCAACAGTCCATCCAACCCACAGCGAAGATCTCTGCCTTCCAACATGGTGGAGACTGAGTATCCGAACATAGCGGCCACAAGCAGACGGACTGGCACCATAGTAATGTCTCCTCTCCAAGGCCATCATACAATCGAAATCTCATGGTCAAATAAGACACGACAAATCACAAACTAAACCACCAGAAACCCGTGATATTGAGATTCATGTAGAACAATAGTCAAACTCAAAGACTCACCGAGTCCTCACACCCTGCTCATGTACCCATCGTAAGTTGCATCCTCGAAAAGTTCTTTCACTGTGAATTTGCTCTGCAACTTCCGGGCCAGAGATGCTTCCCTAACCTTGAATTACCAAGCCGCCGAACCAGCATTCCATCCGCCAGAGGCATTGCCCTCAGAGATGTCAGCAACGGGAGCAGCGGATTCAGGACCATCGTTGTTGGCCGCTCCGCTGAAAGAATTAGATGGCCCTTCAGCATGGTCATTCTCCTCGTTTTCTCCTTCATTATCAGTGTCGTCGTCGAAAGTGACAACACCATCCGCAGGCTTGGCATCTTCCAAGAATTCAGGAATGGGTTGTTTACATTCGATAAGAATTTTGACAAGGTCCGGAGCGATGTCGGAATCCTTGTCGTGGTTGTAGAACGAAGTAGCAAGGCCCTCGTTTCCGATACGGGCAGTACGTCCTATTTAGACCAGCAAGTGAGATACTGTTTGCATAATATCAACTAGGTCATCATTCTTACCAATACGATGGATGTACTCGTCAATGCCACCGTAATTGCGGCTGGGAAGATCGAAATTAATGACATGCATGACGTTTTTGATGTCAAGACCGCGAGCAGAGACGCCAGTGGCCACCAGGATGGGCGACTTAGCGGTTTTGAAGGCGCGACTGCCAGATGTTAGCAGGGTCATCGACCAGACGATTGGCGGATACATACAGGGCATCTTCACGCTCGCGCTGAGTGCGGTCAGAGTGGATCGACGTACTGGGAAGACCCATGTTGAATAGGTAGTCGTCCAGAAAGTCGGCTTGGGTCTTGTTGTTGACAAAGACCAAAGTGCGAGATGGCGGCATGGAAATGAGCAGATCATAGAGGCATTGCTTCTTCTTGTTCTCCTCGGAGTAAATAATCTTCAACTGTCAGCAGTGCACTTAATCTTTCGTGTCTAACCAAACATTACCTGCTGCTCGACATTCAGGTGTGCGCTTCCCGCACGACCAATGCGGATACGGACATGGTCATCGGCAAGGTAGTTCCGAGCAAGCTCACGGCACGCCTTATTGAACGTAGCGGAAAACATGAGATAGCGATGGTCTGCATCCTCGTTGGTATCTAGGGGAGTTAGTACCGCATGAGAGCAAATGACGGAAGCAGAGCAACCTACCACCACCGGACATGATCTTCGTAAACTCGGTTTCCCAGTCGGACTGCAGAAGCTCATCAGCTTCGTCGATGATCGTGTATCTTGCAGCAATATTAGCCAGTGTATTGGTCCACAGAGGAGATTCCACTTACTTGACACGCCGAAGAGACAAGATGTGCGGCTTATCCATGAAGTCCAAGAGGCGTCCAGGGGTTCCGATCAAGACATCGCATCCTTTCTGAAGCTCTTCTCTCTGCTCACGGACAGGTGCGCCACCGTAAACAACGCAAGGACGCAGCATGGAACGATAACAGAGGCGACGTGCCTCGTCGAATATCTGGGTCGACAGCTCCCTGGTCGGGGCAACAATCAAGACCAGTGGTTCGGCGCAGACCGCGTCAACGTGCGGATTGAACCCGTTTGCAACATTGGGACGAGGGGCCGCTAGCTTTTTGGCTTTTCCCATAAGCTTGGACAAAACCGGGATCAGAAAAGCTGCTGTTTTACCAGATCCTAGGGCAGTTAGCATTACTTCTCCCAATAGGGATATTCAAGGTACCTACCGGTCTGAGCGACGGCAATGAGGTCGTGACCAGTGAGGACAGCTGGAATCGAATAGGCCTGGATGGGCGTAGGGGTCCTATAACCACAGAGGACGATGTTTTGTAACATGATCGGATGCAATCCCGCGTCGGTGAACTTGAAGTCGTCAGTATATCTGAACTCTTCCCTTAGGACAAAGAGTTTCACTCACGCTCTTGACGGGCTTCGGCTGCTCTCTACTCTCGGCGGTAACTTTGATCTCACGTAGGCTGCTAGTTTGTTAGGGCTCGGTCCATAGGGGGGATGCTGGGACCTACCTCTCGAATCTATGGCCAGCGCGGTTGATGAACTCGCTGTGGAATAGCATCTTCTCGAGTTCTGGGTTAGGAGGTCCGACATCACCGAATTCCTCACTCCATTCATACTTGGCAGCATTCGCAGCCCACTCCGGTTCTTCGACGTTAGGGGCATCAGTGGCCTCAGTGGCATCAGGAGCCTTCTGCTGCGGGGCGGAAGTGTTATACTTCGCGTAGTCATACCCCTGAGGCTCAACCCATCCTTTTTCACGGGCTACAGCAGCAGCTTCTGCGTTCATGTTTGCTTTGCGGTTCGAAACATCGTTGAGCGCGTTGCTCATATCGTTGGTATCGAACGTATCCATATTTCTTTTTCTGGGATACGAAGAGCAAAACGCTCAAGCTGCTCTGGCAGAATGTTGTTAGCAAAGTAGCATTCTTCAACTCAGATCATGGGGGAGCAGTCAACGCGACTGATGAAGATAAAATCGCTCCTGTTAGAAGGGTCTTGACACAGCAACTGAGAGACACCTTTCAGTAGTGCTGTATGCAGCCTTGGTGAAGCAATATCACGCCAGGATGTCACGGAAAGATAAGGGAAGACAGGTAGGGATGATAAGTGTTGGCTATAATCCCAAATGTCAAGGGGCATTTGATGAAGAAATCTTGCTCAACTCAGGGAGATGGACAAGACTCACTTGTGGAATAGATGCCTATGAGGGGATTCGTGATCGAGGGGAGAAGTTATATGAGCACTTACCGTGTCTTGAGACCAGATCTCGAAGTGTACTATCGGAGATGAGGGGAAGGGGAGAGAGTGATGGAGGGTTAGAAGAAGAAGTGAAGGGAAGGAAAAGAGGAGAGAAGGAAAAGAAGAAGTGAAGATGGCAAAATAAACAACCAGAGGGGGGAGGGGGGCTCAAGACGTGTTGTGTTGTGCGGGCACGCCGCCGCATGGGCAGCTGCAGGCACACGAGGCACGGCGGGAGGCCACCTGAAGACAGACACATTTGCCTCAAAGACCATCTTTGCTATTTCACGTCAAGTGAACCCATTGTGATCCTCTTCAAGAACTTTCAGTGCTCATTCACTGCCTTATCTTTGAGCAGGTAAGGAAAGGCCGCCTAAGACTATCTTAAAGAGCAAGATCACAACAGTATCACATCTGACATTATCACATTACTTCGCGCCTGGAATCAGTCTCAAAGCAGTTATGCCAAAATGAACTTAAATAGACTACAATGGCAAATATGAGGAGCAGTGGTCACTGGCTTCTTGTGTGGCCACAAGAAATGGATCGTATCGAGGCTAATGTCATGCTCTATCAATCGAGGAGAACTAATCGAAGCTGCAAAGAAATACATTTAAACAGCCAAAAGAAATAACCATCTAACTGGTGACAAGATCTTGCGAAGTCAATCTTCCATATAATATGCCGTGCTATCGAGAGCAATTGTACTCGGATCATTTGATATGGATATTTCACATACATAATCACCGATCAATGACACCTCCATGGAACGACATGGTCTTCAAAGCTCTCACCTGGCTGCTTCTCCGTTGAATCTGGACGCATCTACTGATACAATGGAAACATTCTTAAAGGATGATCGCTAACTTCGGATCCTGATCTTCAAGAAGTACAATATCACCCCTTAGTCCATCTCTACACAGGCTCCAGAGCTATCTAAATTAGCTATATTGGAATGCTCTTATAAACGGGAACTTGACTTTCTCAGTGTCTCACGGCGGAGATGCAAGGAGCAATATAAATAATTGCTAAAACCTTTGAACTTCTGGCGAATGTAAATCCTATTCATTGGATCCTGAAACAAATTAAAATACTTAGCTACTCTTGTAGTCCCCGCTAGAAGGAATGATCTGTCCATAGTCGTTGTCAAGATCCAGTTCTAAGAGTAGATGGCTACTGTCTCTGGACTTGCAGGAACTATTCGTTCGTTGTACGATTGATTCTGCAACGGAATTCTTGCTTGGACAATCTATTGGCACGTTGAAACAGAGCCACTCGGAACTCAGCTTGGCAGAAGTCTTTCACTATGCCCAGAAAGCTGTCCTTATACGGGGCTGCTCTGGGTCTATTAAATGTGGCCTATTATTATGCGTGGTGAGTATGTAGTTCTCGACTAGATTTTGAGATTCAGGTAATAGCTCATGCTCCAGCCAATAGTTAACTAGTAGCCCGGCACAGAGGTTGGGATTGCTGTTATATATGATAGAAAGCCAAGGCAATATTTAGCACGTACAATGAATATAATAGTCAGCTCAGAAAGGGGGTTTGATATTCCACGATATATCAAGAGATAACTATGAAGAAATCATGACGCTCGACTCCTACAAACGAGTAATTATATGTCTACTCGCTCAAGGAGCAATGAATGGCGTGAGTGGCTGCCGGCTATTGCAACCACAAATGTCGTGATCATCGCCTGGATGCTAAATATCCGTCACAGCTCTACCTCCCACACTGAGGACAACTCAAAACAGCTCAGTTCTGGACAAAGAACTGTAAAATCAACGCTGGAGAGATCACTGCAATAGATTCTCGGGTGAAATATGGGGTTCCCCAACGTTGTATCCTCGGTTCACCCGCCAGAAACGGGCAGAAGGAGATATACGCCGTAAGCGTGGGCACGGCGATCGCAGCCCTCCGCTCAGTCAGACGGCAACACAAAGCTGGCCCGAGATGTTTTGCCCCAAGACGACGACTTCCATGCTACCGACTGAGGGAGGACGACGTGAATATGTCAGTCTCGAACCGCAATTCCGCCGATCTCGACCCTGCGGGACTGAGGCACGCGACCGACATGTCGCACGATGATCGCGTCGGCCGTCTCGAGGACGCAATTTCAAATCCGGGAAGCGTCAAGATCAACGTCGAGGGGGCCTTCATCCTCGATGAGGATTCCTCCTCCAAGAGCCCCATCGAAAGTGAGGGCGTTCACTACGAAAATAAAGACATCAGGCTACCGCATCATACGGGCCTGGTGAGCCATGTTGCGGTGGATGTAAGTTTTCTCTGTTCCCCGCACAACGGATTCTCCCCGCAATCAGCACATTTCTCCATGTGAACTGCAAGAAACTACAGGAACTATGCTGACAATGCGCCTTGGGATTACAGATTGGAGGATCGCTCGCTAAATTGGTCTATTTCACACGGGAGCTGGACTCTGCTGACAATGGCGGTCGCTTGAATTTTATCAATTTCGAAACCGCTCGGATAGACCTCTGCATTGATTTTATCAAGCAGCTCAAAGAGGAACATGAGAAGCTCGATGGATCCGAGGAATTGTGCGTTGTCGCTACAGGTGGAGGGGCATACAAATATTACGATAAGTTGAGAGAGGTATTGAACGTCAACGTTCTTCGGGAAGATGAAATGGAATGCCTTATTACCGGTATGTCGGTTTCGAAAGGCGCATGGTACACGTACTGACTAATGTATAGGTCTTGACTTCTTCATCACTGAAATTCCCAATGAGGTCTTCACCTACAGCGAAACACACCCTATGAAATTTGCGGAAGCGCGACCGGACGTTTATCCATACCTTCTGGTAAATATCGGGTCCGGAGTATCAATGATCAAGGTGTCTGGCCCAAGGCAATTCCAACGTGTCGGTGGAACGCATCTGGGTGGAGGTACATTCTGGGGCATTATGTCTTTGTTGACAGGTGCGAGGTCATTTGATGAGATGTTAGCGATGGCAGACCGAGGGGACAACAGCGGTGTTGATATGCTTGTTGGAGACATATACGGGATGGATTACAACAAGATCGGACTGAAGAGCACCGCGATCGCTAGCACATTCGGAAAGGTCTTCAGAATGAAGAGAGCAGCCGAGCGTGAAGCTGAGGATGGGGAGGGCCTCATCCAAAGTGACGCTGACCCAGGAAATGATCGTGGTGCCAAATTCAGCCACGAGGACATGAGTCGCAGCCTACTTTACGCCATAAGGTATGTCTTCTATTCTCTCCGCTTTCTTGGACGTTCCATGTGACTGACGATTCCCAGTAACAACATTGGTCAGATCTCGTACCTCCAGTCAGAGAAGCACGAAGTCAAGCACATATACTTCGGCGGATCATTCATCCGGGGCCATCCCCAGACGATGAATACCTTGTCATATGCGATAAGATTCTGGTCGAAGGGCGAAAAACAAGCATACTTCTTGCGGCATGAGGGCTACCTGGGCGCTGTAGGAGCGTTCCTTCGAAGACAGCCGATGAACTGGGGCCGTCGGGGCAGCGTTGAAGGCGCACCAATCGCCCATCCGAAAATAAATGAATAACCTCATTGAATGCCAGCTTCACAAATCTTCACCAGCTACTATACGTAAGGACGATTGGCCAGTGTGTTTTATTGTTGCATTCGTCATGTCGATGTTTCCAATACCCATCGAAGCCATTGAAGGAACAGCCTAATGTGTCGTCTGAGCCAGGTGAGGGTGCAGATGATTCTAGCATTTCAATTACTGAGCGCCAGGGCTCTGTTCAGCATTGTGCATTGGCAAATATCTCTGCATTTTCTCCCGGATCTCAAAGTGGGTGATTCAAAATACGATATTACCGCTTTTATGAAGCTACTTCGGGTATCTTATCTTAGCTCTGCCGCATATGATGTAGCGTTGCGTTTATAGATCTCTTACACCAGAGCTTCCCCTGGAGTTACCTATAATATATAGGACAGAATATCAAAAAGCCTCAACAACCATGAACCTTTTCTTTTTGGGCAAGTAGTCTAGGAGGTACCCCTGACATATATTTTATAATGAACATATATCCATACCTAGTGCCTAAGATTCTCAGTGCAGGATTCGGCGTCTCACTGGCCGGAGGGTACGAAATTGTCTATCAACACTTATTCGAGGTCATTCATTTGGAGATTTGTCTGTTATATTTGGTATGTCATTCGAATCAAGCTCGACAAATAGCCCATGCAAGGATATACTTTTCCTCAGAGAATGGCGCCTTTTCCCCCCTCATACAGGAGTTGCACGCTGATTCCGTTGCAAATCCAGCTACCCATAGCCTTTACCACCTCCTCTAGAGCCTCCTTCGACCCTTTTTCTCAATTCGTTTTAGTCCTTACATTCCCTGATGAGAACAATGTACCGCCAAGCATTTAGCAGTAGTCACTTCTGCCGCTGCCACCATCCTTGCAACCGCTGGTGCAGTAGGTCTGGAAGGTAATATCTCCATTTTCTCCACCATTGCAGTGGAAGAGGGACTCATGGATGTGGGCGTCGTCAGTAGGCTGGTGGGCGTTTTCGAGGGCTTCGTTGATCTGGGCTCCGTAATTCCCTAATTGATAAATGTGTCGTCAGAGGAGTCGAGACGGACCAAATGAGAGTTTCACGTACCGATGTTCAAGAGGTTGTAACCACAGTAGTTCAGACCGGTTTTGCAGTTGTTTGCAGCGACAAGGGGAGGAAAAGCAGCCAACGCGGCGAGAGGGAGGATGGCGATCTTGACCATTGTGACGATGATGTATATATATGGATTTGAAATTGAGATAAAGCTCTCGTAATGATATTGATTGCGATGTGAATGGAGACTGATGCTGATGGATTGATGAAGACTCCAGATAGAAGCGGATTCATCCCCCCTTTTATATCCCCGGTCCCTTAGATTTAATCCTAATCAACTTGAGTATTTCTACGATCAATACGTTGCAACGCAGCTCGTTGGACGCCTGATGTCCTCGCCAACACAGCCTCGTAATACCGCAAGAGAAGGGGCATTTGTTGATCACCTCGTATAACTGCTTTCAAAGTTCAGCTTTACGTTTCCAGCTCAGAATCCTTCATGCAGTGTAACTTTTGGAGATATACCGACATGAGTCAGAAAGAATTGCTGTACTAAAGTGAGCAGCGAAGCAGTGTAGTAGTTTTGTAAATTATCCAATTAGTCCTGGAAAAAAGCAGACTCGCCTCACTATTTTCGAATTCAACAAATATTCAGATATTATGCTGTCATTAATGATTTCTATAGCGGCATATGAAGAGATGAGCGTCACTTTTAAATTTCAGGAACTATCTTGAAATTCAGGAACCACTCAACGCTCGACGTCGTCTAAGCACACTAAAACCAGGCGTCCCATAAGAGCGATCTTTACTATAACCATCTAAAACCTTAATTACACCGCAGCTGAACTCGTATTTTCTGGGGCCAATCCTTTTGGTGACGCATACATTGGATTAGGCCTTTAGCTTCTCTTGCTTATTATTTGTAGTGATATCTGTTGCTGCACAGCATGATGAGTGTAACTCGTTATGTCATCGTATTCAAACAAGCAAGGCTTGTATCTGAATGGATACTTAACTACTTTCCGTTACTAATAATGATTTCGTGTAGCATGGGGCCAAAATTCCACTGGTCCTAGTATAGGAAAATGCGGGGAAATTGGGCGTGGCTGAAGTTATGCTTATGCGTGTCGCAGGCAACGGCAGAGAACCATCCGTAAGTGTTAGGAATGTTTATGCTTAAAAATACATATTCGAAACATCATAGCGGACATAATTCTTCCTTACAAAACCAGCAGTTGATACTGCACAATATACCAGATGGCAATAACTCAGCTGCAAACAATACAGATCGGCACCCCTCGGCCTGAATTAGACCTTCCTGAACAAAGCCATTGCGTTGCTGTTTGTACATATATGGCCTGGCTCGTTCTTCGAGATTCTGAAGAGGTTGTCAGCACTTAACGTAGCAGGTTTCAATGTCGTGGCACTATCATTACCTGGATACGAACTTCGTCATACGCACAGAAGAAAGGATTCGATATCCTACAGCATGCGCAGGTCCTCAATAAGCTTACGTTGAAGTTGGGTTATGAGAAGTATGTAGTTCAATGTGGTGATTGGGGCTCATGGATTACACGTAGCCTGGGTTTGCTGTGTCTGCAGCATGTTAGCGCGTTGCATATCAACATGGTGCCACAAATACATTCCAGTCAACTGCAGACGAGGAAAAGTTTACTGACTCAACTTGGTTTAAAATTGAGAAGGTGACCTTCCCAGATTGCAAGGAACCAGAATATTCAGAGTTCGAGAAGAGATCGATCGATTGATTCTATAACGGGTTCCTGAGGACATAATAATTATGGATCAATCCAAGCCACCCACCCACCCACAAACTCTCGGGCATGCTATGCACGATATTTCGGCGCCCCGTAGGGCTACTAGTCTGGGTTATTGACAAACTGATCCTGTGGTCGGATAATTACCCATAGACATACACTGAGCTCATCACCTGGACGTTGATGCACTGCTGGCCTGGTCCGACAGCTCCGTTTATCATGTATACTGAAAACGCTCCACCGGCACCGTCTGTAGGTAATATTTCGGCAGACAAGTACCTCGCAATGCCTGCCGTGCGGCTTCAGTGCATTTCCGAAGGAACTAGAAATCCTACCGCGATCGTGGGCTGAACAAGTTGCGAGTGTGAAATTCTGGAGAGAGCATACTCAAAGTGGCCATTTTGCCATGTGGGAAAGGCCTAGGGATTTAACTGGAGATATGATTAAGTTCTTCCAAGGGGTGTGGCCGGAAGCCTGGTAGGGTATTTGTATCAGCCCAAACCAGAAATTGTTATTTCTTCGGATAGGTTTTGTGAAACACTCTATTATCTATAGGGGACTGTGTATGGCAAGGGGAAATGGTTCCCTGATAGGGGTCTAACATGTTCTAGCGACAGATTATCAATTTACAAGTGCTGAAATAGTCCTAGGTCATAGTGGTCAGCAAATTGCCGTTATCACAGAATTACAATCCAAAAGAAATAGACTTTGGTTTCTACTTTAATACTCTCACATTGTTGTTAGCAGTTTTAGTTATCTGCGAATTCCCGGAATATCTATATTTTATTTTGACCGCTACTCATTCATACTGTAGTTTGACATATTAGCGGGACTACTAGTATCATGCGGATATACTTAGTGGCTGGCTCGTGCGACGCGACGACCAGCCCCTGGATCGAGTCCATTATTGTACTCCGGATACCAGTTACAGGTGCAGTTTCTTTCACTTCTACATGATGAATAATAGATAGCTCACCATTCCGCTCTGATTCACTAGAACTTCAATATGCTCTCCATGTCCTCGATACACCTCGTCTCAACCTTCTGAGCCTTGAGAGGCGAGCATCCGCCGATCGATCTTCATTTGCTATAAGGAGAGCCGAATAACCCCGGTGAAAGCTCATCTTCGTCTCAAATCTCGATTACTATCTATTCGAACGATGTCAGACTCCCAGCCTCTGGGCGCTCACAGCAATGAAAACAACCAAGGGCCTGCGTGTAACGACGAGCCTCCGTCACAGAATGCAGTAGACTGTTGGGCCTCGCGCCATCTTACGACGTCAGCTTATTCTAGTTTACGCACCAATGGACCATCTCCAGCACCGACCCTGAAGGCAAACATTTACAAGGGAGACACACCGCTTGCTAGCGAAGTGAGGTTACAGCTAGAACTGTGGCATCAGAAACATGGTCCCCTACATCCCCCCATCGCGTCGAGCTCCTATGCGAGGGAAACGAGGATGTATGCAGCCTTCGGGCCGCATGGCGAAAACTTCACCCTGAACCCCTATGAGGTGCACTGGGGCCGTGTGAGTTATGGTTTCTGGGTACTGCGAAGGAAAGGGCATCCTGATGCGGCTGTAAAATATCTCGCGTGTTGTCCTGGAAAGGTGTACTATGGGATCTGGCACGGTGATAACAATTTTGAAGATACGCCTTCTGTCGTGCGGATATTCCAAAACCCCAAAACTGGGGACTATCCGTTCGTATTCGAACACCATGCGGCCGCATTTGGTCTTGCAGAAAAGGAGAAGGACAAGACGAGCAATGCTCCTCAGGTATCAACGAGAGGTATACGATGGACACAAGATGTTAAATCTCACTCTGCTAACAGTGGAATAGGAAGCAAGAAAAGAAACCTACGCGCGGAGAGCCCTAGCTCATCCGAAAGTGAATACTACGATATCTCACATTCAGGGACCCACATGCAACACCGAAGAAAGAGGAGAAGCCGACCACGAAAGCACGATGCAAGCCCTCCCAGCTCGAAAGCTATGTCAGAGGGCTTCCCATCCTCCCCGCCCGTACAAAATAGGGAAAACATGGTCGTTGATCCCCAAATTCCAGAAGACTTCTACTTCAGTTTTATCTCATCTGCAAATGAGCGGGTGCGACTACGTTATGTTAAAGATTGTTACACATCAAACTACACAGTGAGGGAACTTTTCGCGGATGCAAGTCAGGTGTTTAGCATCTTCGACAACGTATCAGATGTACGTTGCTTAAGCTTCAAGTTAAAGGACAGTGATACGTGCACGTATTATGTCTTAGATGCCGATGAACGCGACTTCCAAATTTTACTCCATATGATCATGAAAGCTATACAATCAGATAAGGAACAGCCAACTTGGTCAGTTGAGGTTAGATATGTCGACACCACGGGCATATTGCAAAGAAAAGATGGTTCGTCCGCAAATGGTGAAGTTTGTAATGGTCGCACTAGCTAGATTTTACCTATCAGTCTCTATTATAAGAAACACTTTACTACATCTTCACCCAACATCAGCAGAAGGGATAAAATGACGTTTCCATACTATGCTGTATAATCTTCTCAGTACACCATAGAAGGCTCGTGTGTATTGTCACGTACATTGCATTATACTCCATGTACGGAGTAAATAACGTATGCTCAAGTTTCGCGAAACAGTTAGTTTCCCATGCTCGTTTCTAGATACTCGAATTTGGCCTTTGCAGGAAATGATACTTTATAGGACTATTGGAACGCCTCCTTGCTGTTCAAGTAAAGTAACCGGCCTAAACCGAGCTCTTGGTGAATATCTGTTGGTCATGTCATTCACTAGAAGCAGTGAAGCTCAACACTATCTTTTCTTTCTTCCCTTTAATCTCACCTTAATCTTCGAGACATACAACACAACCCCGAGAGGAAAGCAAAACTTTACGCCTCGACGAAGTCTCCAGGAGAACTACGCGAGGAACAGCGAGGTTTGAACTGGTCCTACTGTGAAAAGAACGACCCACGTTTCTATGAGGCAGGAAGGATCTACTGTTCAGGTAAAGTTGCTCAAGCGGTGCCATCGGACGATAAGTAGCGGGACAATCAGCTTATAATAAGCCATTAGTGACTCACTTGAACTTCTAGTCGCAGAGACACACCAGTCATATCGATCCCGAAGATGGAAACAAGAACCGAGATTGGACTGCTCAGTCCATTCTCTCCGATGTTCGGTTTCGCGAAACGTAACGCTGATATCCAAGACAGCAAGGTCAAGGATGAGTTCTCAGAAAGCTCACTGTCATCTATAGACAGTGAGATCTTCTCGACTCCAGAGAACATAAACACCGAGAATATCATCTGGACACAGGAACTATGCTCGGGTTCAATCCGTCAGGGCGCTCAGCCAATTCCTTTGCGGCTCGCCGATAATCTTCTTCTCATGATCAAGGAATGGCATGATGCTTACCCCAAGCATATACCTCCAGCAGCTCTGAGGGTGCGTGATGTTTCTCAGGATTGGAGAGTATTCGACACAAACGGAGAGAAAGCATCTATGAGCGTATTGGAATTCTCCAGTCCGCTTCGTTACAAGATGTTGGTACTCCATGTACCAAGTTCTGCAGACAGATTCGTTGCGGTTGTACACAGACAGAGGAACATGAGTTTTTATAAGGCATGGCTTTATGGTAATACATACGACACCGAGATATGTGCCATAAGAGTCTATGATGGATACTCCGAAAACGTTTTCGGTTCTGCTCCCTTGCGAGAATTACTTTTACTCGCTAGAGAAAAACTACCTACCAGGAATGCTAGTTCATCCGCCGCGGCGCTGCCAAAAGATCTCATAGAAGCTAATACAACGCCACTTCCAGTGAGGATGGGGTCCGAGGAGATCAATCACGTTCTGCAAAGAGACCGAAACGTACGTGACTCCGCTGCCAATGCATTTGACTCCGACCACACATCAGCAAAGCCGCGGAGGTCGACAAGAACGAAAAAGGGAGTCAAAAAGGCTGGTAGCAAACCGTGCGAGACAACAGACGAGGGCTGCTTTCCGACCGGAAAAGTGATTGTGAAACTGGTTGCTCAGAATCCAGAGATCACAAGATGTTTCCCTCTGCATACATGCAGAAACTCGTGTGAGCTATTCGAGAGAGCCACAACGTTTTTTCGCCTTCTGGACAAGAAAGTTCAAGTTGACGTTCTCAGTTGCTCGATCGCGGTCGGGGCTGAGCGTCGCTACCTGTTCAAAGGGGCAAATGAAGAGTTCACCATTTTTGTCGAAGACGTGAAGGATCTCGCGAACAGAAGCACCGAGAAACTGACAATCAGCGTCTTTTGTGTGAGGTGACATGCTGCAGAAATGACATATTCTATTCCTGAGGACGAATGTTTGTTGCTGGATAACAGTGATCGCGTGACCAGACTTTGGTGAAAACGAGATGTTTGTTAAGATGTCTTTGGGTTGTTGGATGGCAAGGGGGGTACGACTGCTTGTGAGAATGACGAATGCTAAATTTCGAAATAGCTGCGACTCGAGAAGGGGATCGAGGTTTGGAAGCTGTGGACCAATGTGTTGTCGTCATGGAAATGTTGAAGTGCATGGTCAGTGTGTGCTTAACATTATAGCACCAGATGGACGGAGAGCATCCAGAAATGATGAACTGTTCTATCTGCACCATTTGTCTTTGTTCCTTCTTACAGCCCCAGATTGTCTATCAGTGATGTTCACCTGTTGCGTCTGAAGTGCAGAAGGCATGGCTGTCAAATAGACAGTAATATCTTTAGCTGATACAGTTAGCTTATGAACTACTGTTAGTAAGAATGAGTCGAGTAATTTCTGGATGCACCAGGATCTAGTAAGTCTCCAATGTGACAATCGCTGCTAAGTGATGTCGCTTCTATCGTTGTTTGAGGTTGTAGTTATCCAAGATCCAAGTGACCGTTGGCCTAGAGTCGGACGCTGCTGACTAAGTACCTAAGTCACCGACCACGTGGTCTGGGGAACGAAGCGACAATTCCAAACCGCTTGGAGCTTCAGCAACAGGAGAACCAGTGCGTCAGAGCATTCAATAGTCAGCCATGCTCCGATTATGAACTGGTCGGTTGTTCAATGGCTCCCCTGCCAAGTACATCACCTCCCCTCCCTCCTCCGGTACCCGTCGAGACTCATCCGAACAGAGCTGGCGGACTGAAACATCAGCGAGCCTTGCCGGATCCTAACCGCCTTGCTCCAGAAGATGCATACTATGCGCATTCTCCTCCCCGATTAAGATCTAGGGTTGGCACCGACCGCGCAAATTACCGTGCTGTTAATGGCGTCGCTGCTAATTCTGGCACATCTGCTACTCTGAGACCACCATCAACGGTTCCCAACGCCGAGGCAGCTAAAGAGCTGAGGTCAGTAAGGGCCTCCAGCAGGCGACGACGTCGGAAGGGAGCATGGAAGAAATTGCTCTGGGTCAAGCAGTCATGTATGCGATTCAGACTGGATCTATCTTCGAGGTTCTCACACTGACCTTATACGAACTAGACCCTGATAACTACACCGATACCGAAACCTTCCTAGATCATCTCCAGCGGAATCCCCGGCTTCGACCCTATGACTTCTGGCCTCTTGTCGCCGATTCCACAGTTATTGTCCAGCATGTCTGCTCGGTAGTAATATTTGTATGCTGCTTCGTGGGTATTGTCCAGGAACGGGTAAGCCCAGTCACCGTTGTCAGTTGGGGCAGTGTCGGGACGGTTTTAGGATGGTTTCTTTGGGACTATTGGGTCTGGAAAGAACAAGAGGAAGCCACATTAGCACACATTGCCGAAGGAAGTTCAGACGGTGAAGACGGTTCCAGCTCTAGCTCTGCAGCCAGCTCTTTGCACCCAGTTGGTGCTGGCTCCCAAGAGAATGGTAGCAAAGAACGAGTGCATGGCCTTGGTTTAAACCTCTCCGTGACAGATGCTGGCCGACGCAATGCGGATCTGAATGGGAACCCCCGCAATGCATCCTCTATCTCGTTGCAATCGCTCTATCCCTCTTTTCCTGCAGGCACGCAAGGAGGGCCCAGTTCTAACGCAAATGTATGCTATGAGATGAGCAAATCATTGCTTATATCCTCACGAAACAGACAGAGGCTGACGACTGTCAAATCGGCCATGCTTATCTACTGTGCACTACTGGGCCTTAGCCCCATACTCAAGTCTCTCACGAAGTCCACCGCTAGCGATTCGATATGGGCAATGAGCTGCTGGTTGATGATTATCAACATTTTCTCCTTCGATTATGGAAGCGGTGAAGGTGCGGGTGCTACGAAATTTCCTGCTTCGCTCTCCACAAATGCAGCTTTGATGGCATCGACGGTGCTGGCTTCCCGCTTGCCATCCACAACTCACGTGTTTAGCCTGACGCTCTTTTCTATAGAGGTGTTCGGTCTCTTCCCGGTATTCCGTCGCCAGCTCCGGCATATCTCATGGACTGGGCACCTGTTCCTGACCTTTATACTGGTGATCGCCGCAGGAGGGGGCGTAGGAGTCACTCTGCGAGGTGGCGGTTGGACTGCTGCCATCGTCGGATCTATCTTAGGGAGCATTTTGACTGCCCTTGCTATGGGTGGATGCAGCTGGTGGCTTATCAGCCTTCAGAAATATAAAAACGTTGTGACTGGGCCGTGGGATCCTGCACGCCCTATTTTACGACGGCACTGGGATTGATGTGGAGCACATGCATAGGCTTCCGGCGTTGGTTCATCTTTACTATACCCCTGGTCGACATAGTACTTTGTGGGATTTCTATGTACATTATCAGTTATCCATCTAGAGAACATACGCGACGGTTGAGTCACATCGTCAATCAGGTCAAGTTCTAGGATCAGCCGCTGCCCCTTCAAGCAATACTCGATTTCAAGTATCTCCTTAGCTGAACTGGATCCCAAACGGCTCAGCATATGCCGAAGCAGCGATGACTACATTCAACACTACCTTTTCGAGGTACTCTCGGACGCTGTTATGCTTTGCCTTTGCCGTCGCGTTGTTTTCTCTCTATGCGCTTTTTATCAGACTAGCCTTGGTGATATTTATGGGACCCGACCTGTCTATATGCTGAATGCTTATATAGAGCTACTGCGCTTGGGCTGCCCCATACGATGTTCATGGTTTGTCATGTTATGCTAAGCTACGTGCTCTGTCTGGGAATAGCCACAAATGATTCTGCCTTTATCTACCAGGAACAAAGCTATTTTGAGATATTTTGTCCGTACATTGTCAGAGGGGACTATTTGTGAAAGTATATCTCCTATAAGAAAGCTCTTCATTAGTCGCAGAAGCTTGTGAAGGAATTTGAGTGATTAAATTGAAGACCTTGCGATAAACGAATATCACTTAGGAAATATGCGCCTGCTAAATAGCATTCAACTTGAATTGTCCGAATCTTCCGCTGGTGGCGATAGAAGATATCTCCATCCGTTTACAATGCCGGATATTGAGTCACCCTTCAAATTAGAAGCGAATATGTTATATGATTACTTCCTGGGTCAGTGCGAGAAGCGGTTCAAACTGTGTTGACTGGAACCCGATCAGGGTGGCCAATGTAAAGTTTCCTCACAAAGGGCCAATTCGAAGAGGCTTTTCTCCACAGATAATAGCTTTTTTTGAGAGATACTTTGGCCGTCTTGACGCGCAATAATTAGCTCAAGCTTATCCACATACTCTGTTGAATATACTTGATGCTAATATGGGATGCTAAGCGTAGGTGCATCCATACTAACATACAGAAGGGGCAATATATTCAGTTCATGATGAATAAAAAAGATAATAAAAGAACCACGTAGTTCCTATTATCGTATAGAAGTTGACCGGCAATTGATTTTTGTAGTGGAGATAATGGTAAGTGGGTGTCTGGGAGGTGCGCGTAGGGCTGGAATGTGGGCGTGGATTGGAATGCGATGGTAAGTGGTATGTGGTCCTACACGCAACTTATTCCAGTCTTCGCCATCAATGAAGCATTAAAAGGCTCTACTCACTCAAGTGATGTCCAGAATAGCAAATAAAAAGATGTGAATTGCTTATATTAGGAGACTCTCTGTGACTGGCCGAGATCCTTTATCTGAAGGTCACAATCCGGACGGAGTTTACCAAGTTGAAGTATCAAGTTTCCGCATGTCTCAAGCTCCCCGCTCTTTTTTCTGGATCCACGGGAGATCTGCAACATAGATATGTTGAAAAAAAAGGTTCCCGAAGTACCACTTATGTCCCCAGGGGGACAGGATAATTGATACCTGAGAATGGACTAACGATAGCAAAATAACCTCGCCAGCCAGCCATCCAGCCAGCCTTGCGAAAATATTGAAGTCACGGGTTTATCTACCAATATGTTATCAAGCGAGTCTTTGTGTCTTTCACTTCATCTTTTCCACAAAGCCTTTGTTTACTTGTTAAGGGAGTCAATTAAGAGTGTCACTTAGAGGAACAGAAAGAGTCATCACACTTCATTTAAAAAGCTATCGTGAGCGTGTGTGTGTGCTTCTCTTCTGTTCCTCAAATTCCCTTACTGTCCTGGAGACATTTTTCGATAAATATCCTCATTTCGGTCATTTTGATACTATATGTCACACTCCAAGATGTTCATATTTCTGGCACTGGGCCTCTTAGTGGGCCAGGCTACGGCTCTGAGATTCGTCATGTATATCGATCAGTAAGTCAATCCAGCATGAAATTTACAAGATATCCAGTCTAATAAATGATTTAGGTACCATGTAACGGACCTCCCCGATAGTTCGCAGACTACAGGCATTACTCATGCAATCATGGGATTTGCCAACTCGACCCTGTTCACAAGCGATCCAGCGGGACAGTATACGCCGTTTCAGTCCGTGTCCTCGATGCGTAGCCGTTTCTCCAAGGATACAAAAATAATGATAGCTATTGGAGGATGGGGTGATACCTCTGGTTTCTCCGCAGGAGCCAAGGATGATGCGTCGAGGACTCTCTATGCAAAGAATGTCGCCGCGATGCTGGAATCCGTCGGGGCAGATGGTGTTGGTATGGCTTCATATGAAAGAATTAAGGTTTTAAAGTCGAAGAGAAAATAGACTGACAAAACGATAGACATCGACTGGGAATACCCTGGCGGTAACGGACAGGATTACAAACAGATTCCTAACTCCGACAAAGTCTCTGAAATCCAGACTTATCCGCTCTTCCTGCAAGCTCTACGCAAAGCGGTTGGAAAGGACAAATTGATTTCTATCGCTGTTCCAGGCCTTCATCGCGATATGATCGCCTTTACGAACGAGACGGGTCCAAAGATCTGGCCATCTGTGGACTTTGTCAATGTGATGAGTTACGACCTGATGAATCGTCGTGACAACGTTACCAAGCATCACACTAGCATCCAAGGATCTCTACAGAGCGTCAACAACTACACGGCCATCGGACTGGATCCCGCGAAGATAAACCTCGGTATCGCGTACTATGCTAAGTGGTTCACCACCGATCCGAGCTCCGACTGCGCGACGCACCCAATTGGATGCAAGGTCGTTTCGCTCGAGAACCCAGATGGAAGTGACAATGGGAAATCAGGAGCTCTCACGTTTGAGAAGGCGAATATGGCACCTCCCCCATCCGGTTTGAAGACGTCTACGGACGGGACTTGTGGGTTTGACAAAGGCACGAAATGTCCTTCCGGCCAGTGTTGCAGTCAGTATGGTTCATGGTGAGCAATTATTCCCGGAGCGGTGAATAGGACTACTGCTAACTTGGTTATCATCTCCAGCGGTACCACTTCTGATTTCTGCAACACTGGATGCATGTCTGATTATGGAGAATGCAAAGGCATCTCTATCACGGATTCTTGGCGACGAGCTCAAGAAAACGGAACAACTGACAAGGTAGCTGGAGGGCAGTACTACTGGGATAGCGAAGTCAACCTTTTCTGGACATGGGACACGCCGGCTCTGATCACTCAGAAATTCTCAGATATCGTGGCCGCGAAGAAGCTGGGCGGGGTGATGGCGTGGAGTCTGGGTGAGGATACTTATGACTGGAGCCATCTTGATGCGATGAGGAAGGGTGTGGCAAACAGCACGAGCAGCACAAACCGCACCTCAGCAAGGATCATGCACTGATGCTGCTGAGCGAGCCTCATCTTTATGTTTCTGCTTGACTCTGGGCCCGGGGAAGACAATCGTCGAAAGATTTCCCTTGGCTAAGCAATTCATCTGTGGCGTTTTAGGCATGTTGATTTTCCAGTTCATGAGATAGCGGCTGGCTGCTTAATCTGAAAGTAATGCTGATGTTGATATGATTATTGTCGCGTATGTAGGACGTCTTCTGGTCGAATCAATCACTCGAGCGAAATTTGTCTAGTCCGTAAAATCCTACTGTATATCCTATTGCTTTTTCGTGTCTGTTTGTTTTCCGGATATATCTCATGGACACTAGCATCTAGCTTTAGGACATCGAACTGAGAAGAGCATTTGCAAGCATCTAGCCCCTTTATGCAGCGCAGAAGGCTCCTAAGGAAATCCTGATTCTCCTGATTTTCCAGTTTAGGACGGGCCAGGACGGACGGAAAGCCAAGCCCACATGGTCCGCTCTCGACGCGGGAGGAGAATGAGATATGGTAGATACTCCGGAATTGGAGAGTTATTTTGATGAAGAAGAAGAAGAAGATGATGATGATGATGGTATAAGCTAGTGAAGACCGCCCAGAACCAGCCTTGACGATGCCAAGTCCGCCGTTGGCAAGGATCGCTCAACCAGTCTCTGGCCGCTCGTCCGCCACGAGTCTCGACCAGAGGATGTGACACGCTCCGGTCCACCACCGCCGCAGAGCCAAAATGCACTTCACAATGTCCAAGATGATCCTCTCCACGCAGAACGTGCCCGGACGGCCAATGGCTTGTGGTATCTCGCTGCAGGACTGGATGTGCCTGTGCTCCACGCAATGCCCCGGATGCAGCGTCCATGGGCTGTCAGATGCTTCGTGAAAGGGACACCAGTCTAACTAGAGTACGGTAATACGCCCAGACTTTGGTTCCTGATATTGTCCCCAAACCCTCTACCCTCCATCTTATATTGGGAAGCAGCTTCTCTCTCTTGACACTTCTCTTTCTTGCGCCATTCGGTCCTTCCCGATGCTGCAGAGGATGTTGGCGTCAATTCGTCTTCCAAGCGTGTCGCCGCAATACTCGAGTTCCTCGCCATAACCTGCAGTCTATCGTCAGTGATCTTATACCAAAGTAACCTTAGCGCCATCGCGCATACCAAGATGAAATCATTCGCTATCTCATGCCTGCTGTTCTATTCGTTGCCTCTGTCGCTAGGTGCACCGATCTCTCATGGTGAGTTCGTGCACACGCGGCATACTACAAAGGACGATTCGATCTCTCCATCTTTGAATCAACAACATGCTGCCTTGACTGGACTATGGAACGCACGAACCCTCGACAAACTTGGGAAGAGAGATGGACGTGGTGGCTACGCGACCGTGCAGAGCTTTGTATCATCCTGGCAGAAGCTCGTGGCAGGCTATCCTGCAGACTATGAGCATGGGATAGGGCACATGGAGGCAGTCCACGTCTTGATGGACTATTTCCTGTATGGAAAGAGAATTTCGCAGAACGAGCACCAGCGTCAACCCAGCTTGACGGTAGAGACCCCGCTGCCGACTACAGAACTCATGCGTCTGAGTGCGGAGCATGAGCGCGCGAAACCGCCTCCCCTTCCGTCTGCACCCACCATTGTTCCCTTGTGGATGGAGGCATTGCAACAAGCAGAGAAGGGCGGAGATGAGGGAACGGCAGGCATCTCACAACCGACTGCTACTGTCGACGGACTCTCGCGTCCATCCCACGGTTACTTCGTGAAGAAAAAGGGCCTTGCAAACGTGTCCAAGGCCACCATGCCAACAATCACCAGGGACCAATTGAATGATGCAGTCTCAACATTCACTTCCAATGTCTCTCTCGATTACTCAATATTGTTGCGGCGCTTTGGACCTGAGATCACGGTCTTGAGTGTCTTCATCCTGGTCCCAATAGCGGTCCTCATCGTCGAGGCCATCGAGGTGGTCTGGAGACGCTGGAGTCCGGAACGTTTCCCACGACGCGGCCGTGGCCGTATACGGCTGGTAGGAGAGGAGAGAAGGTTGCAAGCGTGGTCTGACTGGGAGAGGGAGAAGGCTCTCTCGGAGAAATCGCAATGCTGGTGGAAGCGTTCACGGCGCAACATTGGTCGAAAGCACGCATTCAATTCCTCGAAATAGACCTCTTATTGATACTACCACCGCGTCGTTATTCAAAATATACTTTATTGCACCAACTTTCACTCGACTTACGCGAGAGCTAGGCGGTGCTCTTTGCGATACCTTGGCCTTGCTTTGAGAAGCCATATTGCCAAGGCCTCGAGACATGGATCGTGCTGCGGTGTCGACTATTGAATTTCATCGTTCGCAGTCGGTATCTAGGAGCTTTCTGAATGTTCCAAGTGGCTGCGATCCAGGTGATGAATGGGCATACCGCGCCAACCATTATGATACCCTTTTGCTGTTTATTTCCTACAGACGTTAAAGGCGCTATTTCTCATAGGATACCCTCACTACAGAAATTCACACTTCAACTTGTTACTTGGTTTGTAATGCAGGTGATCCCCCGCTACCATTAGTCGGTGGCCCTTTCCGAGGTTAGAGCTGTAGTTGATATGCACGTGTTCTTCAAATTCGATAGAGAACCGATATGGGGATGGAATGGGCGAACCATGTAGTCAGTCAACAGAAGATCTTGGACAAAGGCGGGGTCTAATGCCTCAGGTCGGACCGAGTTCGATATCCCCGGCAAGTTATGTGGCATTAGGACAAACAGAATTCTCTTCAGGATACATGCAGAACGCGCCAGACGCACTTCTTCGTACTGAGCAGGGGGACGCGCAAAACGGAACTGAAGCTCACTGTTCATGCCACGGCCAAAACGTCAAGACAAGGAAATCCTTACTCGAATCGAGCCGATGATCTGCGGGGTTGCGTCGAACTGAACGGCCTCGGCCCGCCATCTAAAGTGTTTTGAGTCCTGTCAGTTCATGGGATGCGGATTGTCTCCGAACAGTTAAGCTTGGGAAGTATGACAGCCCATTTCTTAGGCCGGATTCGATCGTGAGGGGTTATTTGGTTTGTCTTTCTTGATCCTTTTCGTTATTGTCAGCCAAAGAATTCTTTCAAGAAACCGACCTTACTCCAGAAAAGCGATCAAACATGGCGAAGCAATACAAGGTACCCTTTGAGGTGAGTAATGGCTCTCTGTTCTTGTCTTTATCTCGTTCATCTTTCTGTTGTGGGCATTCGACTTAACCCCGCACTGGTGACCCGAAGGGGCATCGGGCTATTGTCCGACGGATAAGTACATGACAGTTGTCGAAAGACGAACTTGTATAATGATGACCTTGATGCTTTGCTCTGGTATCTTTGGAATTAAGATGCAGTCGTTTTTTAAGTTTGGTCTATGGATCGGTTTGTGATGAATGAGATGAATATTCTTGGATTGACCTGGGGATAATATATATTCCTCATTGTATTTGTTCTAGCTATTCGCGCATCTGCAAGAGTTTTCCAGTCATTGATATCGAGGCCATTCCACTAACCTCTCTAATAATATATACAGCTGGAAGATCCGGACCTCCTAAAATCTGACTCTTTCGTCAACAATCAATGGGTTCAGGCGTCAAAGGGAGCCCGATTTGAGGTGGTCGGTGAGTCTCGCTACATCAATTCATTTACATCTGGGACCAGCGAGCAACTGCTGACAGATGAGAGACCCCGGAACCGATATTGCCTGGGCTAGTTGCCCAACAAACACTACAGAAGATGTTCCTGCTGCAGTTGAGGCTGCTCATGCGGCATTCGAGCAGTATAAGAAAGTCAACCCCCGCCAGCGGGCACAGTGGCTTCTGAAATGGGACCAGCTCATTCGTGCCGCGAGGAGCGATATTGCTAAGATCCTAACGCATGAAACGGGAAAACCGATGGCTGAGTCGTTTGGAGAGATAGACTACGCGACCGGCTTCACTTGGTGGTTTGCCGGGGAAGCTGAGAGAATCCATGGAGGCATCTCGGTCCCTGCTGCTCCAGGAAGGCGAGTCTTCACCGTGAAGCAGCCCATCGGCGTCGCTGCGGCCCTGGTTCCGTGGAACTTCCCTATTGCGATGGTCCTCCGCAAGGCTGGTGCTGCATTGGCTGCAGGCTGCACTATGATTGTGAAGCCTAGCCCTGAGACGCCTCTCAGTGTCCTGGTACTGGCACATCTGGCCCAGAAGGCTGGATTCCCAGCTGGCGTGTTCAATGTCCTCACAACAGACCTGGAAAACACTCCTTCACTTAGTGAAGTACTGTGCAAGCACCCACTCGTTAAAAAGGTCACCTTCACCGGTTCCACGCGTGTAGGAAAGTTGATTGCGTCTCACTGCGCCCAAGGTTTGAAGAAGGTCACCCTCGAACTAGGTGGAAACTGCCCGTTCATCATTTTCGACGATGCCAATCTGGACCAGGCTCTCGAACACCTCATGGCCTTGAAGTGGCGACATGCTGGCCAGGCATGTATCACGGCAAACCGTATCTATGTCCAGTCTGGTGTCTACGACAAATTCGCCCAGTTGCTCAAGGAGCGCACGAGCAAGCTTGTCGTGGGCCATGGTGCGGCAAAAGACACGACGATGGGGCCTGTTACGACCCCGCGTGGTCTAGACAAAGCTGCCAGCCAAGTTGAAGATGCACGCAAACTGGGAGCGAACATCATCCTCGGCGGCAATCGAATCACAGACAAGGGCGGCTACTTTTTCGAGCCAACCATCATCACTGACATGACCAAGGACATGTTGATCTCGCACGAAGAATCCTTTGCGCCAATTGCTGCGCTCTACAAGTTCGAAACGGAGGAAGAAGCAGTCAAACTCGCAAACGATACCAGTATGGGGTTAGCCAGCTATGCATTCACTAAGAATATTGACCGAATGTGGCGGATGTTGGAGAACTTAGAAGCTGGTATGATCGGCATGAACACAGGTGAGTGGATATGACAGTTTCATCTTGTTCCGCGTTTCCCCCAGAGTCTGGCCTTTGGGCTAATGATCAATAGGCAACTCGTCGGCTGCGGAGTCACCATTTGGTGGCATCAAGGAGTCCGGATATGGAAAGGAGAGCGGGAAGGATGTCGCCGTCGCAGAGTATCTTATTACGAAGACCGGAACGCTCACCCTGGAAGGGCACTACTGAAGTAACCAGAAAGGCCATTAGGCGCCATACGTCGCCTAAGACCGCACTTGCCTGGCGTGCCGCAACTTTGTCAAGAGCTTATTTTCTGTGGGTAGGAAATATCAAGCGAATAGAAGAATACGGTACCAAATTGATGTGCAAATTATATACAAGAATGCCTCTTGATCATCGAGAATCAACTTAAGTTCGCCCATGCGTCTGTGCCGCACGGCTACAATGACTTTCATACCTGAATAACTAATGAGCAGGATCTCATTGCATTGATCCGTAAAACGTCCCAGTTGGCAAACGTATGCCGAATTGGTATTTGTTGATGGCTGATATTGCACTTATAGATATCGGAGACCCAGAATACTACCAGTCGCTTGAATAGACTACGAGATAATGCCATAGGCTCGCACCAGGACCCCGCGGAGTAGTCCGTCCGGATAGCCACCGAAAGCAAAGTCTAGATGCACGGTCTTCAGAGAATCATGACTATGCGGCGTGGTTAACCTTACCATACAATCTATTGTTCTCGCCTCTAGTGTTTAAGTTTCCTTGGAGCGGCTCGCTTGGCCTGTACTCGTGGGGTTGTTGCCATGTGCCACATCGGGAATGCCAGATGCTTGTCTGGAATGTACCCAATCCCAGGGGAAAACAGAAGCAACCAGGAACGTGAACCGTCCGAATCTTCCTAGTCCGGCCTCTTAATGAAGATGCTTCGCTCTGCTTCTCCACATTTTATGATCTCTTCTCTTCAGCAGCCGTTGCCGATCTGTTTTGGCCACTTTTGAAAATGGTATAAGAGTATCGTACTCTTTCATTTATTTAGAATGGATACTCCGTTTCTCTAAAGTCCACCTGCCCATCCGTCCCTTGCTGTCTGGTCTCGGGGCTGAGGTTATTGTGTCTTTCTCATTCGTTTCTCTTCCGGTGTATACTCTCTTTGATCACATTTTCCAAGTCTGCTTTTCTGATAGAGAGGCCGTTGTCATCATGCACCGCTTACGCTCGTCGGTTGCATTATGGTGTATATTCCTTCTTTCGTCGTTGGTATCTGCTACACCTGCTGCGGATCTCGGCTTGTTGGCTCGTCGTACCTCTCAGAAGGCGGTTGAATGTGGTGGTAAGTGATAGCTTATGTATCCTGACTGATACTGGATTATTGGGCAATGTCTGCAAGCATATGCTGATTTTATCACAGTGGGTGCTCCGCACGGACGGGAGAAGTGCCCTGCCGGCCAATGCTGCTCGAAATTTGGGTAAATAGCCCATGCTCAAGTCTCTAACCAATTACCCTTGCTAACGAAAACGCGTTCAGATACTGTGGCATTGGCCCCGACCACTGCGGTAAAGGATGCCAGAGTAATTGTATCACTGAGAAGTCGAGTAAGGCGTATGTCGTTCATATTAACTCGTTATTGCCTACTTTGTCGTGGATATCAAACTAACTTGACATGATCAGTACCCAATGCAAGCCCAATAGCAGTGCGGGTCGAACCGTCGGCTACTACGAAAGCTGGGCTAGCACGCGCCCCTGCGACGTATACTTACCGTACAACATCGACGCATCGGCGTGGACACATATCAATTTCGCGTTTGCAGTTCTGAATGATAGTAGCCAGATTGCACCATCGGCTTCCAATGACACCGTCCTCTACAAGCAACTTATGTCTCTGAAGCAGAAGAATAAGAATTTGAAGGTCTACATAGCCGTCGGAGGATATGGCCTCGGCGCAAAGCCTTTCTCGACCATGGTTGCCTCGAAGTCGACCCGGACCGCCTTCATTAACTCTGCTTCCGCATACATGGACAAGTATGGATTCGATGGCATCGATATTGATTGGGAATATCCAGCTGCTACTGATCTGGGTGGTTCCTCCGCCGATACAGCCAATTTTGTGAGCTTGGCCAAGGAGATGAGGGCTTCGTTGAAGAATAAAGGAATTACCATCACAGTGCCGGCTAGTGCTTGTAAGTTGGTCGTGGATGAATCTGTCTCCAACCTTTTGATATACTGACGGGTTATCAGACTATTTGAAAGGTTATGACCTCAAGGCTATGGAGCCCTACCTTGACTGGATCAACTTTATGTCCTATGACCTTCATGGAACGTGGGATAGCCCTCTGCTAGCACAGCCCCATACCAATCTTACTGGTAAGCCTAATCTACCCGTGACCAAGGTTAAAAAGACAAGAGACTAATGATGCATTTCCAGAAATCGACGAAGCACTCGACTTGCTCTGGAACCAGGGCATTAGTCCCGGCAATGTGACTCTCGGGTTGGCCTATTATGGACACACATTCACATTGAGCAGCAGCTCTTGCACGAAGCCCGGATGTGCTGCCTCAGGCGCCGGAACGGCTGGACCATGCTCAAACTCGGCGGGTACGCTGATCAATGCAGAGATCGACACTATCATTTCGCAAAACAACCTCAAGCCCGTGCTAGACAAGACCGCGGCTATCAAGTACATTACTTGGGGCGACAAGCAATGGTATGTTTATCCTTATGAAAAACTCGGGTGATATTACTATAAGAGAAAAGGCTAATAACGACTACAGGGCATCATATGATGATAGTGAGACCTTTGCTTTGAAGAAGGCATATGCCAACAAGGAATGCATTGGTGGTACCATGGCGTGGGCTCTGGATATGGCTTCGCTTAACAAGACCCAAGGTGTCTGCCGGGCCCATCGTCGTTATACAACGCTCTTATCTTGAAATACTCCTGGGTGCGTTTCGGTCGTATCAGGCACGAGATACAGCGCTAGCAACCACGACTTCGAATTTTCGCTTTTCAAGGAACGTCGCTCGGCGATAATTCCACATTGGAAGATACCCACCCCTCGTTATACCCCGATAAAAATTGTGACGCTGGATACCTACTAAGGATAGATGGAATCTTAGAGCGATGGCTAAGAGGAGGAGAGGATATAGTTTTTTTTGCACCTGTATGTAATTAGGTAGTTCACATATCTAAGCGATGCCCTTAACTACCGCTTAGGTAGTTAATTAGTTAAGTACTAGTTAGTTAGTAATCCCACATAATGCAGATTTTACGAATAGCAAATTCAAGAGAGCTTGTCTAAAAGAACCTGGGGAATAAGAGCATATTGGAAGTTCCCGGGAAATAAATCCGGTGCGGGTCTTCTAAGTAGGTATCCCTGTCATATCAGGATTGGAGACTTCACGCACAGCGTTCTGTGAGAACGCGACAAATTAACCGACGCATTGGAATGTGTTATGTGTATTATAGTAATAGATTTTAAGAAAAGTTCTTGCTTAGTTAGATTGGGATATCTAGGGAAATTTATCACTTTTTTCTTTTAATCAGTAATGATTGCGATGAACTATATTGTCATTCTCATGCTTATGCTATGCTATGCTCATTAGGGAATGTCGTGTAGTTGATCTTATAGTACAGGGGCGTATGCCAAAAAAAAGCCACAAATGCAGAACATTAGTAAAAGGAGTGGGATACCGTCCCGCCTTTCTGCTGTGATATGCGGAATATTATTCACAACAGGACAAAGTGGTTCAGTAATATATGATATACAGGAAAGAAACGAGGAGAGAGAAAAAAAAAAAATAAAAATAAAAATAAAAAAGAAAAATAAAAAAGAAAAGAAAAAAACAAAGACCAATTGTAAATTGATCGAGATGAAAAGGTTATGTCCCTTCTTCTGCCTGCGTTATTCCCGGGGATTATCCATCCAGACAATTTCATTCATAATCTAGATATACTCCCAAGCAGCAGCACCAGTGCCAGTCCAAGTCTCAGCGATAGTATCGAAGCCCAGACAGGCGTTAGCATTTCCATTAGGAGCCTGGAGGTTCGGAACATTAGCATACACCTGCCACTGGGTGCTGCTGCCCTCTCCGATCGGACAGGCGACGAAACCATTAGCACCAAGACCTGAGAAGGACCACTTGGCAATGGCACCATCATGCTCATACTCGAAGGGACCAGTAGCAGCGCCGGCGGGGATGCTGGCGGAGTGAGCCTGAGTGAAGCCCAGCTCGCCGGAGGGAGCAGCGTAGATCCGCTGGCCGCCGGGGACAGCGACATCTAGACCGTTGATACCAGCGATGACGGTCTCGTTGCCGGGAGGGCAAGAGGTGATTGTCTCAGGGCAGTAAGTGCCGGGGTTTCCACCGAGCCAGAATTTGCCCTCGCGAGCTTCGAGAGTGAGGTATTGGATGGGAGAGCCGGAGCGGACGGCGACGACGGTGAAGGGAGGTGTGGTGGTGGTGTCTTGTCTCTTCAGGGGACCGGCGGCGGCTAGGAGGGGGAGGAGAGCAGCGATAGTAGTGAAGGCTTTCATTTTGAGTGTGTTGGTATGAAGAAGAGTTGGCACTTGAGAAGGATGATTTTATCAAGAGTTGTGGGAAGATTGAGTGATTGCTGAGTAGATCTGCGTTGTCGTTGTCGTTGATGATGATCCCAAAAGGCAGGGTATCGATGGCCCTTTTATAATTCTCGAGCACTCCTTCGATCCTATGTAACATGGGTCTTTTTGTATACAATGTTGGAATTATCATCGCTGACAGGAGCAAAAATGTGATGTCACGAACAGTTATTCTCCGAATAAAGTATCATATTTTTCTAAGAATACACACACTCCTTGGGACGGGATCCCCAGCCAGTACGGAGCGATGCCAATAGAATTGATGACCAGTTTAACTTGCGGGGGCACTAGCTTTTCCTTAACGAGACCAAGTTGCGAGTTTTCTAGTTTAGGTTGTGTCTTGGACCACATGGAATGGATACCGATTACTAGATGCGGAAATGCAGTCTTCATCGAGGCTGTGGCAGTGGCTTCGTCGAACTCCAACGTGACATCACGCATGGGTTTCTTTTTTGCCTCAGTCGAGGTCGTTTGATGGATCAACTTTTCGAAACACGGTCGAGGGTATCGTCAATTCCTCACCGTTGATATCCCTACGTCAGGATAAAGATTTTTATTGCTGTTCTAGGGAGGTAACCGTCAGTGTACTTGGTAGTATTGCCACGATGCAGATTTCTCCCGATGGCCCAATACATACTACTAGTTAACTAGTCCCTGTGAACTGGACGAACTAATCTCGAAATGAGATACCCAATCGTAGGGATAGGGACATTATTTCATCCCTGCGATTTCAAGCTATGCAGGATCAAAGTTGATTTCCGATTAACTTTTTCCCACTAAATAAGTAAGTATTGTGGCGCCTTTTCCCGCAATGTGGGGGAATCGGTGGCTCAGCCTCAATATACCTACAATATTAAGCTCTTTTTAATCCAATGTTGCTCCTTCTTTCGCCACCCTTTTTGGCCGGTTCGGACATGATCACACAACATTCTCCGCGGCCCTCTGTACGCAGGACAAAAATAGGAAGGTGTCAAATGTCTATTACACCGATTCAATGCAATAATAATAATCACACGGGGGGCTCGGGATCCTACTACTTGTCGGACCTCTCGGTGACCGCTTGACTTCCCGTGAGTCTAAGACATTGATTGAGCCGAATTGTTGGTGTAGACTCGGGTCCGTCGTTGAGCAGCTAAGTACGTAGGGCGTAACTTGCCTTTTCCATACCTGTTAGAGATTAGCACACAAGATCATGTCTTAGAATGGTTCTGTACATCCAAACGATTTCCCTTGCTTCTTAATCGACTATCCACCTCAGTGAAACATCGCAAGAGTACCTACCTAAACGCGGGAAGAATGGTTCGTTCGACTAAGGGAACCGGTGTTCCTTGTTACATTCATTGCATAGGTAGCGCGGCTCAATGCTATCCAAACTTAGGTGGTACTTAGCACCGTCGTGGTTGCATCGTAAACTCGTCCAGAGTGCAAAGTTTACTCGTACGTAGCCAAGTTTCTAGTGGGTTAATTCCGAGGATTGGAACAAGGGAAAGTCGATGAGGAAGCCAACTGTTGCGACTAGGCAGAAACGGCCGGCAGGTCATTGGGTTGTATGTAACTACTGTAACATAGGAATAACCCCCGGGCAGTGCCGTCCACACATCACCATCATCGTGAACGCCCAACGAGACAAATATACTTGACGGGTTTGAGAAGACATTTAGGGAGAGTAGGGGTTATTAGATATTGGAGAAAGAATATGTTGGTTTCTTTGCTAATAAGAGGGATCTGAATTTGGGAGTCATTATAGGAATACCTTTTAGTAGTATGGTGGTATACTATCATATCGTGTTCTATAGTCACATCGTAAACAGCCTTCTGCAACCATCTACCAACATCAAGGAACAATGTGAAGAAAGAATCAACTACAAAGTGTCCTCGCCCTGTGGGTATCCATTTGAGGAAGATAAAAATATATACGTATATCAAGAGACGAGTGTCGAAAGATTGCACGCAAATGGTAAAAGGCCCCCACGTATATGCTCAATGGCTATCATTTCCGAAACCAAGTGATCCGTGTACCTTCAGGGTGCTGGAGAAGGGAAACCTCCCTTCAGCCCCCGTAAACAGATACCCCTGATGAAAAATTCAGTAGAGTCAATGCACCAGAACGCCGCTGATACCATCCCCCCGTATGCTCGTGATATCAACTCATAAAACATCGGCTGATCTACAGCCGGTGCGTAACGTATTATTATGACTTTTTCTCTTGCTCTTTGTCCTCCTCGGAAGACGGGGAGAGCAATCCATCACGTGGCTTCTGCTGCCATTCGTCTAATAGCCGAGAGACTTCTTTGAAAGAAATTGGCTTGGTCAGGAACAGATCCACTCCTGACGATAGTGCTTCGGTCTCGTCGCGAGCACTCGTCAGTCCAGTTAGCGCGATGATCGTGGCAGGGCCACAGCCGTCACGCTCTCTCTCTAGAGCGCGAATCGCTCGTGTCGCTTCGAAACCGTTCATCACAGGCATCGAGATGTCTAAAACACAGTTAGTACTCTGATAAATTTCATACCCAACAAAGAAATGTCCCACTTACCCATAAAGATAATATTGTACCCCTCCTGCATGCGCTCCACGGCATCGACTGCCATCTTGCCATTTTCAGCCGCATCCAAAACGGCGAAGTCTCGTTTCTTCATGAATGTGAGCATCAACCGCAGATTGATTCGGTTGTCATCCACGACAAGGACTCGTGTGGCCCGGTTGGATTCAACGGAGCTACTTCTACCTGACAGAGAAGGCGCAGGTGGGCGAGCAGCAAGAGGGTTTTCTGTATCAATGATGGGGACCGTGGGTAGGGATCTCCTTGCAAACCGTCCTTCCCGAATTTCGAGAGAGCGCTGTGAATCTCCCGATGACGTTGGATAAGACAGATCTGTCACACCAGGCGCAGCCGGTGATGTGATGCCCTCCTGAGGTGAGCTCGTCTGTGATCGCTGCGAAACATCTGAACTCTTCGATCTACCTGCCGTCTTCGGTTGATCGTCTGGCGACAGGCCCGTTGGCCCTGCATTTTCCAACAGCATAGTGCGTTGATCCTGCACTGTCTTGGAAATGGGAAGCGGGGCCCGAGATCGCCCCAGACATCGGACAAGAGCTCTGGACAGTTTATGGGGCCCTGTCGGCCTGTGGATAAAGTCCACGAAAGTCGCAAGGGTTGACCAATCTCTGGTTGTCTTGTTGTAGTTGATCGTATTGCTCCAGAGGATCAGAACACATGGTAGATATGCCGGAACCTGGTGTTTCACATCCTCGACGTTGACATTTTCGTCTGCAAGAAGAACATCGATCGGGCAGGTAGGCGGCCAATTGACAAGATCCAGACCAAACCAATCGGTGACATAGCGCGCAAGAATAGTCAGCCGGTCCGTATCAGCGTGAACAGACTCTGAGTTATACCCATAGATGGCAACTTTCCGACCCTTGTAACTCTCCTGGAGCTGACGGAGTGCGACGCACATATCCTTTGGGCTCCTCTGCAATCGGGGCGTCTCCGGTACAACGTCATCTACTCCTGGTCGCCCTAGGGGCAATGACACTCTGACAGTGGTACCCTCCCCGGGGCGACTGCGAATATGAATGCTGCCACCAAGAGTCTTGACGATGCTCCGTACGATAGACAAGCCCATGCCTGTTCCAACAGCCAAGGTATCTTCTTGAGCAAAAGGCGTGTATAGGCGGCCGCGGAGGAACTCATCTGAGATGCCCTTCCCGGTGTCTGACACGGTCACAACGACAATCTCTTTCTTGTTTGATCCTGTGGGAGTCGTGGGAGAGATATTTCCGATAACTGTTGACTCCAATCGCACTGTGATCAGTCCTTTATCCGTATATTTCATGGCGTTTCCGAAAATATTCATGATGATCCGACGCAGCGCACCCGGCTGAGTCTTATAAGTCCAGTCCCCATTGGCCACATCGAGAATGATCTGGAGGCCAGGACGGTCGCTGGCTTCTCGAAGCTGCGACAGGGATCGACTATCGCGGTCGCCGGGGAGAGCCACGTCGCCTGCCGTGCTGACTCGCCCATACGAGTGACCCAGACAGACACCTTCCACCACTTCTTCCGCTAAGAGCGCCACATCCGTTGCGACGTACGTATCCAAGTAAGCAGAAATATTCTCGGAGCTCTTGATCTCCCGTGGCGTGTCCTTGCTACGTCTCATCAATCGCCAGCTCTTTTCCAGTGCCACAATCTTGCTGAAATCTAGGACCTGATTCATCGTATCCAGCAGCGTCCGTCCGCAGGCATTGATCGTATCCAGTAGGGATTTCTGGAAATCGTTGAGGTGCGTCCCATCGAGGAACTCTGCGGCGGCTAGGATGCCATGAAGAGGGCTTCGTAGCTCATGTGAAATGCTGCCGATGAAATCCCCCTTCTGGCGATCCGCGATCAAAGACTCCACGCGGCTGCATTCTGCCATGATGGACGAGCCAAAGCCCATCACTGAGCTCAGCTCCACTGCAGAGGAGAAAACTTGCGTCTCGACCTTGTTCCAGCAGAAGCACCCGGCGAACCACTGGGAACTGGCAGGGTTCCAGAGAGGGACGAAGAGGATCTGATTAGCACCGGGGAAGTAGGCGTTGAGCATTGCAGTTTCTGTCGATTTCCACTTCTTTTTCTCCCTTGCTTTCATTTCCGGAGCTTTGGTGGTTTTGACAGAGGGTTGAGAGTCCTCCGGCGCATCCTCATGAGATTTTTCATCATCCGACGTGAACAGAGTCCGATCATCGTGGAAGCTCCAGATCTTCCCCTTCGGATAACGCTTCAGCAACTGCTGTAGAAAGCGACGGCTGAAGTTGGCTGCTTCACAGGACGCCGTCGACCCTGGTTCCGGTGCAAATGGCTCGTCGTTGGTGGACACAGCCAGAACAGGTGCTGGGGCGATGGCCTCGGCGAAGTAGTCATCCCTTCCCGAATCGACATCGAGCCAGGGGCTTGAGCTGCTCTCCAAGAAAATCACGCCGCCTTCCTGTCCGATTTCCAGACTCTCCCGAAGCAAATTGGCCGCTCTCCGGAACGCCCACAGATTGCCATGCACCTCCTCCGGCCCGATTTTCGCTTCACCTTTGCCGTTGAGCCATTCGGGCAGCGTTATGTCGGATGAACCCGTTTCCGCCTTCTCTTCCGACACAGTGCTGCACCGTTCCAACTCTGCACCACCGCTGCGTGACCTACCGGCACCACCCTCTCTACTGCTTCCACGGCCGCGTGAGGATAAAGGCGGGGTGTTGGTACACAAGGAATCGGCGCGAGATGTTCCCGCAGAGGTTAACGGAGTTGGCAGCTTGAGAGTCTTGGTCGAAGGCGTATTAACCAGACTGGAGCTCCCCTCAACAAAACAGGCTAGCCCATGGGATAATCGTGCGGCGCGCCGTCCCTCTGATGCTTGCCGGCTGACTCTCAGGTAGTCCATGACCAAGGTGGCGAGCGTCCCCATGGTCGACTTCTCACTATCCGTCAGACCATTTCGCGGTTCCGTGTCTAGCACGAAAAAGGTCCCGATATTTTCCTTCTTCGTCGTTGTCAATGGCGTGCCTGCGTAGAATCGGAAGGGGGACGAGGGGGCGGGCAGTGGCAATTTTTTATATGCATCGTCTTCGTTGAGATCATTGACGATATAGAACGAATACTGGTCGCGATCTGAGGGGGGCAATGCGATAGTAGTCTAGTAGCACTTCTATCAGCAACGGCGGGTTGCATGTCATTTTATTCATCCCTCTTCTATCCTCCATTGAGTGCTCCTCTGTACTCACCTCGCACAACTTGCCTTTCCGGGAGACGGCGGAACATCCAGCCCAGAGGACATCTTCCTCGTTCTCGTACTTGGAGGGGTCGCGGAGATTGAGCGACCTGGTGGCTTCGGCGATAAAATATTGTGTTTCACGGTCCACAACACTGGGAGGGAGGAAATCAACACACAGACACACAAGGAGGAACAGAATCATTTAAAGAATACCTAATCAAGGCGCGCTGGGCATTCAGACGCAACGCTGCCAACTGCGCCAGCGACGTGAGAGTGGCATTGGGACTGGAACGATCCCCCAAGCTGTCGACCAGCACGGAGGCGGCGGCAGTGGCTTCAGTGACCAGATCGTCGGGGTAGATCTCGCAGCCCTCGTTGAGCGCGGCCGGGTTGGAGGGCTGAAAGTAGCGATACAGCTCACGGACCCTGCGCTCATCGGGGTGATTGTCTCCCATCGTCGTTCTGGTGTCCATAATCGCAGGCAAGCCTCACGTCGGACGGACTTGCAACATCGCCTGGCAGGAGAAGAAAGAAAGAAAAAAAGTCGATAAGAGTACTTGGTAGGTCGAGAACGGGGATATCGGCGCGGTTCCAGAATCCTGTCAGTGATGCGAGTGGGGCAGCAATACGGATTAATGCTCTTCAGTGTTCCATGGATGCTTCTGGCCTTGTGGCGGTCCATCGTTTGACTGTGGTAGTATGTATTCGTATTAATATGAATTCATGAATAATAATAAGGTCCATATATCCGAGCACTTCTCCACGATCCATCAGATTGGCGGTGGTGGGTTTGTTGCTCCAAGCGTCATTATTCCCGGCATCTTCACCTGCCTTGGATTGCTAGCTTCCACTCGTTTATGGTTTAAAGCCCACCAGGACTGTGAATCCCCAGCACGAGGTGGGGAGAGCGACGAGCGGCGGTGCCTGACATCAACGTCCAGTGCCATGGATGCTGTGTGGCCGGGTGACCAGCCCGACAGACGAGCTGGCGGTTATGGCGCCCTGTGATTTGCGTGCCAGAAGAAACTCATCAATTAGAAAGCGACTGTTTTGCGCGGTGGAGCCTATACAAAGGTGGACATTGATCAGCGTGCCTTGGTTTGGATCTGGATCGCATACTTAGAATTATTCGGAAAAATAATTATTCATTATTGGGAGCCGAACTGGAATCGGTCTAGCCGCTGAGTCAGCTTATTTTACTTTACTGTCACGGCGTTACAGTACAATAATAGTATAACCATAGAGCAGCTGCGAGTATACTGTCATGTCATGCCACAATACTGATTCAAATAACTATTTACCTTGTTCTACAAAAGTCTCTACTGTGTCAGAGAACAGTCGGATGGCGCATATGCAGGTAGCTAAAAAAAAAAAGAAGAAGAAAAGAAGAAGAAAGAAATTTCTTCAAACAGAAAAGATAATAAAACGGGGAGGGTAGATGGTTACAGAAGATTCTAGCGAGCGTCGAGAATGAAACACCACCATTGTTCTCGACCATTAAACGAGACGACTAATTATATACTCTATCAATCAGTATTGGTGGCTTATTTCGCTCGATCAATCGGTCCACAAGCACTACCAATGGTGCTTCCAGTCCTACACAATTGATTCTTAATACAGACTACTCTATTGTGCTACTTCCGTACGTGTACTGGTATACCTCTGCGGCTGCGCAGACACAGAAAATACATACTTGTAAGGTCAGGTCATAAAGAACATTATTATTACTTGCCTACCATTGCCCGTACATGTACATGTACATGTACATGTGCTGTACAGTAGTGCATCGGGGTTCCTAACCGACATGCCAGTCTGATTGGCGGTGCAACGACCCTGATAGGGCTGGGATGCGACTCGGATCCATGATCTTTCGCTCGGTTTTGCCTCTGCCCTGCCTCTGCCCGCTAGCATATCTACCCGACCCAGCTATTCGATTCTGCTCCAGTTTTATCTACTGCCTAGACTAGACTACCCGTGATTCGTGCAGCTGCCTCCAGCGCGGGCGTTGAACCTGACAATTGAGAGACTGAGTATCTCAACTTCAACATTAATGCCGTGATCGGAGCTAACTAGTAGGTAGTTAGGTAGTTATGTATGACCAAGTTCATCAAGCGTGGTCGGGTAAACCCCGGGATGCTGCAGGATCAGCTATCCCACAAGCCATTCTGGGCCCAGTGGGTTCGCATTGGAGCTCGATCTGGCCAGGCGCTGCACGCTTGCGACGGAGGGCGCATCGGTGGCGGCGGGGGAGGCGAAAAACCGACAGCAGATGGAGTTCTCGGCGGATATCTTACCCACCGCGGTGTTGATTGTGAGGAGAGGGCAATTGTCTCAACTTCTCCAAATTGTCCGATCATTCGCTGGTCAGTTCAGTTCGTCATCTTAAGCTCGTAAGCTCGTACCAACTTCGAGGAATGCACGTGCTTGGCAAAAGCGAGTCAGAGTCCGTGGAGAGAACGAGACACACACACGGCATGTTGATCTTCACGCTTCTGGGTTATGTTGGGACCCCTCGGAACGGCCGACACAGCTCCCCGGCTATGTTGCATTCGAAATCTCCAAGAGTAGTGGTATATTATCAGTACACGACATGTGGCGAAGGAAACAGAACGTCCAAAATAGGATATACGCTCTCCCAAAACACATCATCTCGTCATAAACTCGTAGTCCGTATCGTCATCGCCCAGTCCAGCAGCAAAGCCACCACATGCATCATACCAAGACCGGCTGGAATTCGGAAACACCACGGACAGCAATATCAATATTCTTACAACCGCCAGGTAAATGTAAACAGCAACGAATACGGAAATAAACGCGAGATCTGAATAAAGTGCGGTAATGGTATCTCATGTATCAGAAAAAAGGGGGCTAAAAAAATAAAGTGGGAAAAAAACAAGGCAGAATCAGACCCCGCTATCTAGGTCCATGACCATGCAGGAACACGGCCGCTCGAAAGGGGTATCGCTGCCCAACACACACACCAGCGGTCCGGCACGCAGAGACTACTTTCGAGACGGGGCGATACGGAGTAGACCGACCAGAATAATAATAATTGAAGCTGGTTCATAGTGACTCCATCAATTTCTTCCGGACGGTCCACATCCGAGCACGCTTCCCAAAAATATACATGGGAATCGCGGTCAGCAGGCAAGCAATCTGGATGCCACCTATGGCCAGGAACACGGTTCGCGGTCCGTCCTTTTCCAGCCAGTTGACGAAGAAGAGGGAGAATACAAGCCCATGAAAGACGTCTGCATTATTAGTGACATGAACACACACGGCTGACAGGAAAAAAGAAAACAAGAGGACTACTCACTCTTGCTGAAATTCAACGTCACGAGGGCCTCTCCTGCATACTGTCGGTAACTGTCCAGGCAGAATGTGATCGAGGTCGTGCTGCCCAGGGAGCAACCAAAAGAGATCAGCCCAAAGAATATGGTTGGTACGATCCAGGCGTCTCGCTCCTGTGCACTCCATCCGAAGCCCATCAGGCCTGCCGCAGTCGTCACGGCCACTGGTATGGCCATCACCAGTCGAAATTCTGGCTCGTACACACCGCCGTTGCGTCGGGTCATGAACCGGACAATGATATCCGATACCCTCCCAGCGACTGCTGTTCCGATGACACCACCGATGAAAGGGGAGAGATACACCAACCCCGTGCCCAACGGGGAGAAGTTGTAGTGCTCTTTGCCCTGATATATATGGGCCACGGACTCAGAGAGCACGATCAGCCAACCAATGGAGAGAGAATACACCAATGTAGACCACAAAACTGCTGGGTAAGCGAAGAGGACAAACGGTCGAACAGCGACACGCCACCAACGGTCACGAACGAGCCGACCGTTCCACGGCTTCAGAGTTTGGAGGAAAGGGAGAGGTGGCTGTTCTCGCAGCCGATGCGTATACAAGAAAGTGGTATTCGTAGGTGTTGAGTCTCTGGACGCGTCCCGTGATGGAATTGGAGTCGCTTTAGCAGCCTCGATGTCTCGGTCTCTAGAAAGAGCATCGATGCCCGAACAATCCTGGATCGTCGGATGTGCGCTAGGAGATGGTACCTGAGGGAAACTGCTGTCTGCCGACTTTTCCGCCTCTACTTCAATCGCATCATTGTTGCCTGGATTGTTCGCGCCAGCAGCATCGATGGTCGGTGTGACTTCATCTTCTAATTCCTCTTTCCCGCTCTTCTCGCTCTCAGCAAAACCGACATTTTTCCGCTCTCTTCGTGGCGCGGCAGGAGTTCCATCTTCATTATCAGCTCCCCCCACTGGCTTCTCGCGAGGGTGCCTGCCTCGGAAGCCATGAGTAACCATATCAGATACGCTGCGGTACATGTGCGGTCGCTTTGTGCGTTTGCGGGGACGAGGCCTTCTGTCCCAGAAGGTCTCGGGAACAAACAGAAACAGCAGAACAAGGAAAAAGCCCACAATGATAGCGACGATCCTGGAGAGAATTAGCCTGTTGTTGCGCAAGCAACAATAGAATGCCCTTACCAAAATACCCAACGCCATCCCAGACTCTGGATGATAGCTGCGCTAACAAGTGGTACAAGGTTCTTACCACCCAGGAGAAGAAGAGTGTAAATGCCCACTCGATACGCCCGTTCATGCAAAAAGAAGATCTCGGCAATGGTCGCGGAGGGAAGGCATTCCACCGGACTCACAGCGATACCCTGGAAGATCCGAGCCACGACCAAACTGGCATAGTTAGGAGAAACAGCACACCAAACGGCTGAAACGATGAAGAGAGTGATCCCTAGAAGATACACGGGCCGTTTGCCATAAAGAATGGCGGTTGGAGACATGATGACGGAGCCGATACCCATGCCCAGCATATACAGCCCTGTTGTTAAAGCGACTTGCTGGGTAGTTACACTATAAGTCGCTGCCACCTCGTTGAAACCCGCAGCCAGAATCGGTGTCATTCCACCCCCCATCATGCAGTACAGCCCGAGCGATATCAAAGCAGCATCTCGCCGCCATTGCGGCCAGTTGAGAGGGTCATTCAATGAGTCCTCCGGTTGTGGATCCAACACGATATTGCCATCCGATGTTTTCTTTACGTGTGATGTCGAAGCACCTGTCCGGGAAGATGAACGAGACGGAGGCAAGGGTTCAGGAATGGACGACGCAGAGGTCCGCGCTGGCTGGTGTCTCAAGCCCAGAGGCTCATTCCGATTCGATGAAAGGAGCAGGACGGTGCCTGTGCGAGCAAGAATAGTCAGCTACAGTCGTAGAAGTGAGGTGTGATATCGAGATCCGTAGATACTGAAGACCAGTTGGTGTTCCCTGATGCTGTTTCGTCGCAGGAGAATCCTAGCCAATTTCCACTTACCGGGAACCTCATCTGTCTCTTTATCGTTCAATATACCGAGTGTCCACCTCTCACGGTAACCCTTGAATCCTTCCACAGAATCGGACTCTGTGTCTTTCTTCGATCCCTTGAGGAATCTCTTCCAGCGGACCGTGGTTGACCGTCGCTGCGGCTCACGGCCTGCCGCGGCCTCTGGCACTGTTGGGGCAGCGGCCTCTTCCGCCATCGCCATTACCTTGTCTTTTCGCTACCTGGTACTCCTTCAGCTGTTGTAGCCTAGAAAGCTATCCCAGGAGTCAGTATACACTCCACTCATTCTGATGGCGAACTCGACTCACCTGCAATAGCGAGGTTACCTCCCCAGGGAGCAACAGCTGCTCCGTCACAGACGGCAGCAATAGAAGGAAAAAGAAAAGAAAAAAAGAAGAAGAAGTAGTGAAAAAGGACCTATTGCAACCCACAAAAGTACACCAAGCCCCGATCTAGACAGAAGACAGTCGACCTCCTGGTGTTCGGTACCCGTATCACGTACTTATCACCCACTTCGCGGGGCAAGCTGTGGGAACGACCTCAGCTCAATCACGAAGGCGAATGACAAGCATGATGATGGAGATAGAAGTGCCAGGCATACAGCAGCCGAGAGCATCCCTTTTATGGCAGAGTTGGGCTATCTCAACCGAGAAATTCAAGCCATGGATGAACTGCACCGAAAGGGAGCGGTGTCGAAAGGCCATGTGACGGCGTGGTTGGCTACATCTCGCTACTTCCGCTGGCACAGGTTCTGGGTGGCGGACAAAGTACCTCCATGTACCCCCAAGCTAACGCGGCCCACTGATAAGCCTCGATGCTGTCTGTCAGAGTCTGTGATCTTTTTGTCTACCATTCATCGGCCTTTGTTGGGCTGGAAGCTTTCCCACTTGGAGACTTGGTTTGCAATAATGTGATCTACACGCTTCTCGCGCCATCGAAAGGATAGGGCGTCGCTGAGCGGCTGCACATGGCGTTATTATCATTGGAAAAAGCAGCCCCTTCAAGACCAGACTCCAAACGCTCGATCGATTCCAGATACCCCACTTCCCGTTATCGCATTCTCCTGTCTTTATTTCATGAATAATTGCTTATTGTCCTGGTTCGAGACAGCGAGGAAAACACATAAAGGTCGCGGTCGCGGAACGCGCCTCCAATGCTCTCTGTATGTGCAAATGCCATCGACCGGGTAAGGGCTGAGAATGCCTTGGTATGTCTGACTCGAAGTTTCTCGTCATGTCCCGCGCCGAGAGAGCTTTCCCCGGGTTCGCAGCTAACTAACGCAGTCACAGCCTCACAGGGTCTGGTGATTCGTGCTAGATGATCAGTGCCAAAGTGCCCGGGTAGCCTATCGTATACGATGCAAGTGAAACGCAGCGAGCTGTGTGTCTTCCTTCTGATGTGTGCACGGTTTGGCATGCCGTCATTGCGCAGTGGTGCTATGCGGATCACCGATGCTCGTGAACGAAAGCAGAACAGTAGATGGGTTGCGATCGAGCGAATCTAACACTACTATAGCTACCTACTAGGAAACACTCGTCCTTTCTCGCCCTTGCGCAGCGGGAGAGGCGCATCAGATGAACAATAACCACCGTCCTTTCTCTCTCGGAAATGCAGCTAATGATCCATGGCAAAGAGGCTTGCGGTAAATGCACGCTTACTGAAGTTCTGCCTCTTCAAATCTGCAGATGAGCGTCATCATCAATTGCCCCATGGCAAGGAAAATGAAGGTATGTTCTAGTGAAACAATATTGACCAGTAAATGATAAATCCCCGCATTCCGATAGACATTAAGAGAAACACTTTTTATCAGATTCATTTTGCCAAAATACTCCGAAGTTGGCTGATGCCACCCCGCATACTCCATGCTTCAATTCCCTTGGCCCGCAACACACTCGTGGCCACGCGTGCAGTGTCGCCCTCATAGTCCACCACAACAACCTTCAGCTTGTTTTCTAGTAGGTAATCCAAGGTAATCTGTGGATGCTGTTCTTTTTCTTTGCCTACTCCAAACACCTCAAGACACGGGATCCACTTGGCAAACTTACTCCGGCGTGAGATCTTCCTGCTCTGTGCTGTTGAGGACGGTGCGAAAATGCCGTCTAGTTCCAGCCATTGGTTCTTCAGGAGAGATGAGTCTGCAAATGGCGATGGATCCTTTTCGTGGAGGGAGGAGATGGGAAAGTGGATGCTGCCCGGAAGATTCCACGTTCCAAAGGACGGTTGATTCCGGAGATCCAAGATCACCGTGTCTGGTTTGAGCTGCGCCGAATTGAGGTCAATGCTATTGAACCCACGTGCCCTGTCAAGCGACGCTTCTGAGCTGCCTTCATGTTGAACCTTCTCGGTGACACCTAACTTCTCGTCTTGATAAGTATCAAGGCGGGGTTTCTTGCTAGAGGAATATGCTTTATTGAGGACTTCATCGGGCGTGACTTCCCATGCCTCGTCATAGCGGTACTTGTCGACTCCGACCAGGTTCTGCATGTAACCATCAGCTTTGCTATTCACCTCGGATGCAGGGAACAACATCGACTAACCTCATTAACGATGGGACGGAAATGCTCTTCCCCTAACTTATCGAAGTACTCGTCGACATACTGGTATGGCAAATCACAGCATAGGAACACGCAGTGGATTTCTCCATCTTCGCCCGCCAGTTCGTGAAGATTCCCGTCCTTCTTCCTCTTCTCGATGAACTGGAACAGACCCTGGAGATTGAAGCCTGAGGATGGCCCGCAGAGAAGGCCCTCTCTGATGAGCTCCAGAGAAAGGCGGAAGGAGTCATATGAGCCAACATGCTCAATGGAATCAACAGCCTTGCGCCATGGAAATTCAACCGGCGCCAGCAGTGCGTACGATCTGGGCCCTGGGACCCGATCACCTGCAGCAGTACACACGCTGTTTTGGGAAATCATTAGGAAAAATTCTCATAAGTGCAGCGTCACAAGTACAGACTTACCCGACAGAGTGGATCGATGGCTTTTGACTCTTGAGATATGTGCCCGTTCCTGTCATGGATCCTTTCCCACTCACTGCGTCAGCACGTTGTCTGCAGGAAGGACATTTTCTACTCACCTGATGTCCCCATGCCGGTACAGAACACGTTTATCTGAGGAAGTTGCTTTATGATTTGCGGACCTGTCCAACGGGAGTGCGCATCTGGATTCTATAGGCGATGCCTATGTCAGTCTCCTGAATCTGCGACAAGAGGACTCCAAGCTCGCTCACTCACCAATGGATTCTCGTACTGGTTTGGATTGAAAGCGTCATCGCTTTCCTCTCCTAGAGATTTGGCTTTCTGTATGCCACCTCTGGGGTCAGCTGGTTCTGGTTGAGATGGTCCTCCAAACAACGTTCTAGCATCTGTCAGTGAGAGTCATTAGGCTCAGGCATAGGGCTGCTATACACTTCCAGCCCGAACAGTCGCATTAGTCGGATCTTAGTGGTGCTTGTCTTGTTGCTCAGATAAGCTCTTGTGTCATCGATGCCATGCAGCACCCTTGCTAGCACGGCCATTGAAATGATCGTCGATCCCGAGCTATACTCCACGATGGTTTGTGTGCCCTCTTTGATTCCGTTTCCTTTCTGGAGCAATCGCAGTGCAGGCAAGGATTTGACGTTGTGTATAGGAAGCATAGTCATCATTTTCGCATATATCCGGACGCCATCCTTGCGGTAAGGGTTCAACTTCTCGGGTATCTCAACCAACGGTAGGAACGGCTGGCAGTCTGGGTTATGATAGTCGATCAGAGACTCAGGGCCCGTATAGGTATTGAGAGGGTTGTTTGCCATCCTGTCCTCTGGGGCCACGAACAATCAATGATATGGATACAACAAGAAGTCTCGTTTCCGACTGACAGAAATACGATGTGCGGATATGTGGATATTTATCTGGGCTCTTTCCATCACAGGACCTGCGAAGCTTAATGTGACATCGCGACTAGGCGCAAAGAAATTTCCCGTCTGGTCGACCGGAAGATTCCGTCCAAGACGCTCACAAGGTGGCCCTCATGCCCCTCGTGGGGTGATCCTATGGAGCAATGTCAAAAAAACCGTCCCGGAAGGTACTACATCTCGCTATACTCCGAATCGCACATGCTCCATGACCGATGCGGCCGGGGTCTGAAGAAAGCCCAGCTTTGAAGCTGGGCAAATTTAGCTATTAGTCAAGGATTTTTCTTCACAAGTGCACATCTCGTACTCAATCATCCACTCACAGATCTCGAAGGACGATCGTCTGCTGTCGGGCAAGTTATAGTTGTTGAGTTGAGGACCCCCGGACGACGCTTTACGACTCTTGGCGACTCACAATGTTCTCAATATCCCGCGTTACTGCGTCTTTTCACCCTCGAATGAACGCAGTCAGCACCAGCTCGCACCTCTCGAAGCAGGTTCGATTGTCGATCATCACGGCTGACAATTCACTGCGTGGTCAGGCACAGACAAGTAGAACGGCAGCACTTTGTAGCCATAGGTCTCGGATCCAATAACAGCGGGCTGTTTTCTCCCGGTGTGGATCGATCGACCATAGAAACCTGAGCAAACTCCCTCACGCTAAGCCCGCCAGTGCATACAACATCAACTTCTTGTAGAAGCACAGCGGAGGGATAATACTTCTTTCTTGCGATATCCTGCGTTATCCCCATCAGCCACTGTTGTTGGTCCCATCCTGCCATGTCCACTTTCCTCTGTTCAAGCTACAAAGGTAGCAGGGCTAAGACATTGTCGGGTGCTCTGCGTACTTGGCATCGGTCAAGGTACCCTGTGAAGGGTCCGTAGATCGGAGACGTGGGACGCTCTGTTTCTTCAGAGTCTTCTCTAGCAGCCTTCTTTTCTTAAAAAATTTTACATTGGGTTGTGATTCTTTTCTCCTAGAGGAGAATTATTGCTCTGTTTCCTCAAGACACTTATCAGGTCAGCTGGACTCGAGTATATCGAGCCAAAGCCTCTTGGGCCTATGAAATAACGGAAACTCATCAGGAATCTGTGAACATTGATTTCCAGGGCCCAGTATGGGAGGTTCCTCTGCTGCCCCTCAGGTCGGTGCAGCAAACAATGCCATCACGTTTAACGAGCAAACTCGATATGTGACCAAGGGCAAGATAATCACGGTATGAGATAGATGGATTCAACGTGTCTGCTGCAGGGGTACAGGATGCGCTGACAATGTGCAGATCTTCCTGGCATGCGCCAGTGTCGATCTACTTGCGCTGATGGACCAGACAACATTGGCAGCGAGTTTAGCTATCATCGGATCTGCACTCCGTGCAGGCAGTCAGACATCGTGGATCAGTAACGGCTACTTTATGTCAGTATCAGGGCTCTCAAGTTAGATATGATAAAACGAAATCCAACGTATCGCTGACTGGGTCTAGAACGTCGACGTCCTTCCAACTCCTGTACGGCAGATTCTCAGATATCTGGTCCCGCAAGTTTGTCCTCCTTACCGGTCTATTTATATTCTTTATCGGATCGCTGGCATCATCAGTCTCGAATACGGCTGCGCAGCTGATCGCATTCCGTGCTATAACGGGCGTGGGAGGTGGAGGGTTGATGACCATAGCTCAGATCATTGTGAGCGACGTGGTGTCGTTGCGGGATCGTGGGAAATATCAGGGGATATTGGTCCGTTGACTGATTTGATCCCTCCTACTTTCAGTATGATGTTTCTGACGGGGCTGGAAGTAGGGAGCAGTTGTTGCCTTGGCCAATGGCATTGGTCCTGTCATTGGAGGAGCTCTGGCTTCTATCTCTGAGGATTCATGGCAAGTCAAACCGTCTCTTCGATATTACCTCTGTGCAAGCTAATAAAGTCTGCAGGCGATGGATCTTTAGATTGAACATGCCACTCACTGCTTTCACGACCTTATGTGTTATATTTGTCATGCCGCTGCGGCCTGTCCAGGGGTCGTGGAAGAAAAAGTTAAAGGCGATCGACTTCCTCGGAGTCATTCTGACTCTGTCAGGTTCGACTTTGATTGTGGTACGTACTCTGACATTGCCATTTGTTACATAGACAACAACACTGACGAATATACTCCAACAGCTCGGTCTCACATGGGCTGGTGGTGATTACCAATGGAAGTCGCTGCACGTTATCCTAACGATTGTCATTGGGGGCGTCGTATGGATTTTGTTCTTTCTCTGGGAATGGAAAGGTCACCCGTTACCTCTCATACCGCTCCATATATTCAAGAGTCGGATGGTAAACGGTGCTTGCTTGACTATGTTTGTCAATGGTTGGAACTTTGTTGTCCAGGTAACCTTTTATCTCTATCATGTTGTCTCTGAAGCTGAGAATCCCTGCTGACACGTATCTGTTGACGTAGGTATATTATATCCCAACATTCTACCAGCTGCTCTATGGATACAGCGCAGTCAGATCCGCGACACTTCTGCTTCCTATTACGCTGGTTCAAAGTATGCATTCCGCCCATATCCACCTTTGTATATGACTCGAGTCTTACGGATTCATAGCCTTCAGCAGCACTCTTTCGGGTCTGATCGTCACATGGACTGGTCGCTACCGTGAGAATATCCTCTTCGGATGGGCTTGCTGGGCCGCAGGACTCGGCCTGTACTCCACCTTGGACGCCTCATCCGGCTTGGGCAAGCAGGTCGGCTATGGAGTCTTGACTGGATTTGGAGTTGGGCAAACACTCCAACCAAGTTTGGTTGCTATCCAAGCGGCTGTGCCGAGAAAGGATATGGCTGTAGTAACCGGAGCTCGAAAGTTAGTTGACCCCTGACTTCCTCATGACACTCATCACCACAGAAAAGAAAATAAACTAACATTTAATTGCCTATCACTAGCTTCATACGAAACCTCGGCGGCACAATTGGCCTAGCAATCGCAGGAACAATTATGTATGTCAAATCAAACACAATCCCTCTCTCACCTACCTTTCATATCTAACATATATATCCCCACACCCAGAAACAATTCCCTCCGCTCCGCCTTCTCCGACGTAAACTTCCAAGTCTCCGAAACAGAAGTTAACTCCATAATCAACGATCCTCTCTCCTTCCTATCCACCAAGGACGGTACCGATCAAAACAGCATCGCGATCCGCAATGCCCTTATCCACGGCTACAAACGCGGCTTCCAAGCCATGTTCTGGGTCATGGCCGGATTAGCGGGCCTTGCGTTCTTACTGGCTCTCCTGTTAATGCCGCAAATAACTCTTGATAGAGCTGATGATAAGAAGTTGAAAGAGGAGGCGAAGCAGGAGCTCAAGAAAGAGGCGGAGGATAAAAAGAGTAAAGCAGAGAAAGGGCAGGAGAAAACGGAAGGGGAACCGGCTCCGATGATGAATATAGATGAAGTTACTGAAAAGTAGGAGTTTGTTTCTTATGCTTTGGTATAGATGGAAGGAAAAAGATGAGTGCTTTTTTTTTTAATTTGGACCGGGTCAATAGACGGCATTCTTACTTCTGGACATACTGATGAACGATGATGCGATGGGCCTATCTGGGCAGGCAGATCCTAGAAATTAATGGATAGAATAAGAGATCCTTACGTTACACTATGAAAATTAGCATGGCAATAAATACAAGATCTTCTCGTATTTGCAGGCTACTAGCTAACTAATTAACAGGCAGGAAACATGATGAAAAGAAAAGGTAGTTACATTCTGGAAGCATAAGCTTCAAACAACATCAACAACGCCCCAAGAAGTAATTTCAGACAAAGCCAAGCATAATTGTTGCTGTCCGATTGAGGCGCGAGGGTATCATGATCCAACTCCGAGGATTGCGCCGATCGCATGAAGAAGAAGATGGTCGCTCCTGATACCATAAAAGAACAAGGATAGAGGTGCTAGTGCCGAGAAAATGGAAATACAAAGAAAGGTAGACGGGCAAGTGAGTCGGAAATTCCAACTGAGGTCCGTAGCTTGCCATGTGGTCTTATGCGCGAAGCAAGACTACATAAGCTGGCTGCCGATCACGCGCGTCTCATATCAGAGAGAGACAGGGAAGTGAATGTTTCTTCGTGAATCACACCTCCAGACATGGTGTGCTCTCTGATGTTCTGAGTTGGAGTCTGCGTGCCTGAAGTCTGAGCGGAGGAAGAACGAGGCTGCCAAAGACTCTGCTGCGCAATCGGGATTTTGCGTTCTGGTTCGCGACGAGGAGGTTGCCAGAGACCACCAGTCATGGCCTGATTGTCGTCTCTAGAGGTGGCCCTCTCAGTCGTTGCGTCCTCATCTCCGAAACGTTTCAGACAAAGCAAGATCCGAGCATCTTCTGGATACTCAACACGCGCGTCTTCGTCGACGACGCGATCTTCGATTCCGATATCAGCCCAGGGGTCCGTTTCAACGAGGGTTCCGTTCCCGTTGAAGGTGAAGTAGCGACCCTCAGAGAGGTGCATCCTCCATTTGCTACGGGTGCGTTGGGTGTCGAGATCGGCGTAACGTTTCTGACGTTCTTCAAGACGAGCATAGTGATGCTGGTTGTCGCCAATGAGCCAGGAGAGCAAGAGGGGTAGAGCGTCTGGGTCGTGAGCGGGTGATGGGAGGCAGTACTGCTTGTGCGCAGACAAGTGTTCATGCTGGCATTCGAAAGAACAGTATCTGGTGAAAATATTTGAGTAAGTACAGTCTCATGATTATTTTCGTGGAAGGCTCTGATGCGAAAGCAGGATAGGAATTGTGTTGCAATGTGAAGGTTGGATAGGACATGTGAGAGATAAACATATAAACATACCCAACTTTACGACAGGCAGCACAAGCGAAGTTGGCCTGCGACTTTCGACAGCAGCGACAGTCCTTGAACATCGGCATACCAGGTTGACTGATATCACTGGGGTTGTTGAAGGGCTTCTGCGAGTCGTGCTCGATCTCGCGAGGGCGTTCGATGAGGATGTCCTTGTGCATCATGATTCGTTGTGCGTATTTTTTGGAAAGCTCAATTCCCTCCTGATAGCAGCGTTCTTCACCGTTGTTCGTACAGGCAGGAAGGGAAACGTCGACAACGACGATGCAAGTGTTGCAGATGGAAGGGTCTTTGTTTGTGTTCTCGATGTCAAGGTCAATAGTGTCGTCATCATGGAGGACCTGTCTGCGCAGGAACGCAGTGTGCAAAAAGGTAGATGCAGGGCCAGAACACACCACGCATGACCACTTCCTGTCGGAGACCTTAGTCGAGGCATGCTCATGGAGGATAGCTCTGGCGAAGGCGAAGGTCTCTTCGCAGTATTCGTTCTCATAGACAGGAGTGTTGAAGTTGGACTCGATCTCGAAAACGCTTGCAGAAGGCTCCCGGTCCTTGGCTTCGAAGCGAGATGCTGGAAGAGGAGCCTTGAAAGCGTCCAGCACAAAAGCAACTGGTGCGCCGTCCACCGGGGGAGAAAGACGGTAGGGGACGTACACGCGGAAGGATACGTCCACCGTACTCTCCACGACGTCAGGAGTGGCCAGGTCTTCTATCTTTGATGTCAGCATCCCATTTCTTCACTGCAGGGCGGCTCTGCTTTGGCAGACAAAACCAGTTTAGCAGAGTCTGGGATAGCTTACCTTCAAAGAGCCAGTGTCCCCAACTGCTGGGCTCAGGGGCAGAGGTGGTAGCCATGCTGTTCTGTGGCTGGTTGTGAGCGTGCGTGATGAAGTGCAGGTGTAGGCAGAGGTGGATAGAAGGAGAAAGAAATTTTTTATAAACTGAACAGACACACGCAGATACAAGCAGGCAGCGCAATTCAGAAAGCTGCGGACATTCACGGAATTTGACGACTAAGCGACCCACGATCATGGCATTTGATAATATAGAACGACTAAGCGATGTCACAGAGCTAAGTGCTCCAGAACGTGCAAAGTCCATGGTTCCTGTACCCATAACGGGCATCCGGTGAAGCCCTGGCGCCATGATATATAGAAAATGGTGTATAAGATGCAGGGAACTCAAGAACGGATGCAAGTAGGCAGGCCATGGTTGGCCACAGGCGAAACCTTTCTGAAGGATAATATAGTCAGGAACGCAAGACGGGAGGAGGGAATATCCTCGACAGATCAGATCTCCCTTGAAGGAAATGGAGCTGAGGATGAAAAGGAGAAGTTGAAAAGGTAAATGATTCTTTAGACCCTTTTCTTTCCATCAGCTGGGGCAGGATTGTCTGGTTGAGGCCCCTCCAGCTCCTCCATTATACATGCCGTATTCGCCCTTCATAGCATGCGGGCCCTGTTAAGCCGGCCCTGACAGCTGGATTCATAGCGAGGCCAAATCCGGGAAACCAGTAGTTGCAGATTCTTCTTCAAGGGCGACAGAACAGATATTGGGCCACTTTATGAAAGACAGAGCATAGATAAAAGATAAAAAGTGAGGATTCTCCAAGGAATAAAGGACGAAAGCGGTTTGATTGAGCTGGATAAATATATAGAGGATGATGGTTTGTGTGAATCTCAGAAAAAGAAAATTTTCATTTATATAACTCACCAGCACCTGATTTGGCACAATCTGCGTGTGCCCTATCATTAACAATCCGCTTGTAAGAGATTAACCCCCCGCAGATAATACAAATATGACATGGGGCTGGATGATATGTCCAAATAAGGGTATTGTGAAAGTAAATAAGAACCATTGTCACTAACAATGAAGCGCAATGCCTCACCTTTTGAATCATATCAAGAACGAATATATTTGGCCATGATATACTCGAGTCGATGGTCGAATGAAATTTTCCGACTACTGACATAGAAGTGAGGACCTCATAGTGTCTGCGGCCAAGGCTTCTTAAGTTGGAGCTGGACAACCGCATTTCCTGAGCATGTACCGGAACAGCTTCTGGTGGACGCTTCCTTATCAACTCGCAGTATCAAACCTGTGGCCAGCATTTCGAGGATATACCCATGGCCATGTCATAGAAGATTTGGGACATATAGGGGCGCAACAGAGAATCAGTGGCCCCATTTCGAAGTATCAAGCATGATGCAATCTTTGCACATCGACAGGATACTCAGTCAGCCGACGTTCCTCGTCCAATTTGCTTCGGCCGCGAGAATCTCATCCGAGCCACCGATGCGTTAAGGCCGGCCTGTTCCCCAACTGCGCGGAAATATATCTGGACAAGCGCGCCGTCAGTATGGTATACTAGGTAGTTATCCAGGCTGGACCTAATCATCCTAGTCCCTGTGCGGTGAAGGCCTAACGCCTTGCGAATGGTTTTGGCGTCTCTTTTGATGGCCGTCGTAGTAATCACTTAGTCGCATATGGGCGCCAATCTTTGATAGTTGCTTCCCATAATTTCAGCAAAAGATAATAAATTAAGGAAGTTGACGTCGGACATTTTCTCGCGAAATTTCGCACTGCGGTTAATTGATATCCAACATTCGGTAAATGGGCAAGTCAATTTCTCCCGGTGTAATAATTCCATATCTTGTTCGAGCACTTCGTATCATTCCGGCTCTCTGTGCGCGAACATCCCCCATGGAGCTTATTGTTGTTTTTGTCGCGATGCCACGAGGACTCATTGGCCCCAATTTTGTCCAATGGGTCTTTCTTAATCGATCATTCGGGAGACCTTCGATTCAAAAAGAGTATGTGGTGGAATATACTGTGCATCCAACGGCAGGACAAATTGAGGACAGAGATATGTATTTCCGGAACCAATCTAGAAATATATCGATATCGGGAAAATGCTGCATCCCAGTCTGGAAGGAAACTTTTATAGAATGTCCTAGGCCGGACATACATTCCATCTCCCTGGGGGCAAGCGGAAGACGCACAGCAGTCGAACATGCTGATATCACTATTATGTTTATATTGATGCAACAGGTCGTAGGATGGTTCCTTCAATTTTTCCGTTGCATTGAGACGAGGCCATGTTATGAATCTCTATATTGCTTCCCACGTAAGGATTGAACATCAAACGAGGAAGGGGTGGTCGAAACGCTGCAGGGTATATAGCAGCAATCTGTTCGATGCGGTGCATCCCTTTTCATGACGAAGGCCGTGGCGTACGATTCCAGACGGGAGTGGAATAGGGATCAGTTCAGACGGAGAGAAGAGAGTGCGCGGTTCCCGTGATTTTTTAAAGAGAAAACAAAACAAATGGATATCATATAACGTCACTCGGGAAGCATGGTAGACAATGTTTCGCCGTTACAAACCATGGAATACATAGATATATGTCGAGTATCCCAAAACAATAGTTTTACCCGATGCCTTCCAATATCTACTACTTTGCATATTCATATCGTTGTCCGTGCCATGGATATGCCATTGACAATGCGGATTATGACACAGTTTGTGAGAGAGGGGACAGTAGTACCACATGTTGTGTTCAGGGACAGTTTATCTTGAGCGTGGTCTTCGACATTCCTCATATTCGACGTTGATGCATATATTCTTCTGATCCTCCATATAACCATAGAAGGCTCATCGTATCTTCTGGCCTGTGGTTCCAGTCTGCCTTGGAAAATTAAACTTTGACAGATATCTATCGACATTCTTAGACACCGTATTGTCTCTGGTCCGATAGGCAAGGCAGCCCAACGTTCTCCGTGCCTTGTTGGTTCAAGTGATCATTGCAAACTATTATTGTAAACCCAATAAGTGTTCAGGGATAAGTTGGCAGTTGTATAACCGATGGGACCCAGGAGCCCAGTTCAATGAAAGCGTAGCCGAGGACGATAAATTGCGCAAACACAATGACCTCGTCTCGTATATAATGGATTGGTAACCTTGTCATCAACAGCATGATAGATGCTTTATATAATAGCACACACAGTGCACAATAGGGCACAAAAACGGCCCCGGAGGATGTCGTCCCATTGTCGACGACAATATACCATGGTTTTCTGAAGGATGCCGTTCCGAAGGAATCCATAGATTGCTCGATGCCTCTCAACTTCGGAAACGGAACGGTGTCTCGCGGCCGCAAACAGAGCGGGTACCACAACCATTCAACTCTTCGATGGGAACCCAGATCTTCCCTCCCCAGACGTTACGATTGGCCATTATCACTGAAAAATGGAACGCCTGTGGTAATTGATCCAGACAGCTCTCGTGCATCTTGCTTATAAAGGTCGAAGGTGGGATTATATATCTGCATAGGTTACTTCGTCTGAAACCTCTGGGATCATCTTTATGCCAAGAAAGTGGCCACTGAGCATCAAATTGGCCCTGGCTCTAACTCCAGAAAGAAAAAGAGATTCCTTCCGGATTGAGGTCGACCATTGACAGGGTTGATAAAGCGCATGGGCAAGAAGCGATGATATGAAATAATTATGATGATTTATATAACGGCACCGTAGCTATCACTTGAACGTAGATAGCTTGGTCGATATTCTCTCGCGCTTGTGAGAAAAACTCAGTCTCATAAACAAAGTCCCGGCGGAGGGCAGAACAGAAGACTCCTGTCATTGACCATTCGAGGGCCGCAACTAATGGGCCCTACAAGGATGGGGGGTGTGATATACGACTGCAAGAATTATACAAAAGAAACAATTACGGGATTTTGATTTATGTGGGAGAAAAAGGTTTGGTTGTGTGCGATACAGAGAATGATGCCACTATGGAAAGACTTTAAAAGAGAGCCATGAATAATTTGGCCTAAATATGATTCATGGAGTCCTTGAAGGCAAGGTCTACCGAATAACCAATTCGGTGAAGTCATATGTTGCCTTTTTCCTCAGCGTTCAAAAAAAGATTAATACCATTTTCGTGTTCTCGTCGTCATTCGTATCATCAATGCATTTATCGTTGCAGACATCGTCATCAGAGTCGGGGATCCGTTTCGTCGCGGTCCGAGGAGAATTTTCCACGCTACCAGAAAGACTCATCTCTGTCATCATCGATAGCGGGAAGACGAGGCAGTGGCCGGTTTTGGTAAGCCATTTGCAGGTTAGCCAGGGTAGGACGAGGCAACCGTCGGTTCTGAGATACAGCTTTCAGATCCTCGGTCTGAGGTAGATTAACCAAGGTGGGAGGCTTCTCCAGCAGCAGAGAGGTATCCATGGGCTCCGCACAAGGTGTTGTCCACAGTCCAGGATCAGCCTCCGTATCGTCGCTTTCCGAATCTGAATTATCCCCTGCTCTCCTATACCCGTGTTTCCTGAGGAATTGTCGTTTGATCAGTTCCTGGCTAAAGCACATTTCATGCCAGCGCCGTAGCTTTGTGATTGTCAAAGTGCTATCTTCAGGATTTTCTCCTCTGTCTGCTTTCTCGCTCATGAGACCTTCAGAGCCCATCTTCTGAAGAACCAGCTGTGAGTCGTTACGTGCCCATCCTAACCCATCTCGCAAGCTTGGAAGGTCTGTGTCAGGTTCCAACCCAGGAAACTGCATCTGCAGACTCTCTGGTAAAACAAGTTTGATAAACTCCCGCGCGGCTGTTCTTGCAACATCTTCGCATATGGTTCCTGGTGCACAAATAGGAACGGCAAAGTCGAATATGTGTGCTCTCTTGTTGGACCCGAAGACTAACTCCGTTTCTGGGAAATTCCAGGAGCCCTTCACAAACTGGAACATGGCCATGACAGCCTTCCTGATCGCTTCAGATTGCCAGTGCACTGAAATGGATATGGGATGGTGGAGTAAGCATGTTGCCTTGACGAGCTCAGAACAGATGGCGCATCGGTATTCCGTACTGCGAAGAATGTCTTCTTCAAGCGAAGCAAGAACCCGACAGCAGTCAATGGCCAAATCAGCTTTGTTCTTGAAAGGGTTCGGTAAAGTATCTTTTGGCCAGATGGAAGAGAAAACAAAACAACTAAGGCAGCCACGCGGAGGAGGATCAACGATTTGAAGCCGTGGTCTGCCCACAAGGATAGCTGCGGTGATTTCGCACTCTTCATCTCGAGGTGGATTAGGGGATTCATTTTGGCGTCGAGGAGGCCTGGGACTAGATTTCGTGACGATGTTGGACTGCTCAAGATCCCCTCCTTCGGCGTCGCCATCATTAGGAGAAGACGGTTTTGATATATCACAAGTCTCAGCCAGTCTGGACTCAAAGGCTTCTCGCAGCCTGGTAAACTTGAGCTGACCCTCGCACAGAGATTCGATGTACGCCTTGACGTTCCTCGAGACTAGGTCATGACACTTATTTTTGGGTGCACAGACAGGAGCCGCTATTGCACACAGATAAGGTCTGTCATTCAGGAAATTGCTGGTAGCCCGGTATTTGTCAATAATAGACCCAATATCGGAAGTGTAATAGGCAAAGGACATCATAAGCCTATAGAGAAGGGTGAAGTCTGGAAGTTCAAGATAACCATTCCTTGTGACACAGATAGGACGGTGAACAAAGCTTTGTGCTGGCATATGACAAACTGCGCATCCGTCTTTCTGACGCATGATAATCTGATCGCCATACTTGACTGCGAGTTTTATTATGACGGGGTAGATGGGATATTCTGCACCTGTCCCATTCTGCAGAGCTCGTTGAGGCCTTTCAAGACCGCTAGAGGGTGTCCTTGGCGAAAGGTCACTAACAGGTTGATCTTGGAAGAAGTGATCTGGGACCGATGCGTCGAAATGTACATGGTCGAAAGGTTTCAAGGAAATGCCGGGACAGCCAGAGAAGACACAGAACCAGATAGGGCGGCACCTATTCTTCTGCTTCTGGCATGTGGTACTCGGGCATGTACCGGCATTTGTACTCTTCTGCTGGTCTATGGAAGCCATCCTTGAGTTCTATATATACACGATGTCAGTCAAATCGAAATAAAGGGACACGAGACATACTCAGAACTTATCGCATGATTTGAAAGTGGCAGTAGAAATGAGTGCTATATGAACACTACTGGCGACCGTGAGCAACAGTGAGCAACAGTGACGTTGATACAAAAGTGAACTTGAGGATATCGATATGCTCCATGCAAGACCATTCAAGCCATACAGAAAGGATATATGATCAGGCAGGGAACAAACTACATCGCCCTGACTACAGATCTTTGTAAGTCATACTGCTCAAACGAGACACCAGAAAGAGATGATTGAGGATATGAATGAGGAGAAGTTCTTGATGCTCTGTAATCCTTTATGACCCCCAATAACCATGCTAGGTTTTTACGCTAAGTCAGAACACAGAACGCTGATTGGCGAATGCCTATATGTTGTGAATCTCTGTTGACGGAAATCCGCACTCAAAGAGATTCAATTGCATTGTGAGCAGGTTTTTGTGAAGATAGCCTGTCTATACCCGTCCCTAACCATGCCAGAGCGATGTTATCCGGTTTGGTGATATGATCCTTTTCACCCAATCTGTGCGGAATTCTCCAAAGATTGACGGAGAAAGCCGGCGGTTTCAACCAAAGTGACTCTGGATCTATTCCTATATCGCATGAAGTGATTCTGCTAGCTCCTGGCGGGAAATCCAGGCTAATATAATCTGTATACGTCATTTCCTTCGGCAAAACGATAAGACGTGACCTACCCATTCCATAATATAGTCTTCGCCGTCTGTGCTAGTAGTTGTCTATGTCCTTCGCTTCTTTCTGAAACGGTACTGTACATTTGTGTAAACTCTTTCCTTCGAGTACATGTAGGTTCTCCATATTAGAGGTTTCCTCTGCTATCTACAGACAGAATCAGCTTATTTCTTGATATAGTACAAAGTATCACTCAGCTGAATTAGAGCCAAAGCAGTAGTTATCACGTCCAAAGTATAACTTAGTAGAACCTCGCGTATGTGCACGCATTCTCAATTAATACCTGATCAATGTAGAAACAGTACGCATGGAGAGAAATCTAGTGGTCTAGCAATTATTTCTAATCTGTGCGTTCTCAGAAGCAGAGAGGATATGCTCCATAACCGTAGGATAGTATGGTACAACTTCTAGAAATGCCTTCGAACATGTTGGGATAGAGTTGCTGTTTGGCATTTACTTAGAGCCCTCTGCACCAGGGTGTTAATTAATAATCCTAGACATGTAACTACGCGTCATAAACGCAGTGGGAAGAAGAAATCAGTATATCTCTATTACAGATGCGCAAGATTGGTCTTCTCTGGTCGGTTACAAATTTTTGACAAGTGCAGGTCCAACTTAAACTCGCGCTATATTGTTAAAAATAGTACAGCTATGGCTTCGAGACCGGTGCTTCTTAGCTTGAAACATTTAATTTGCTAGTGATTGAGTGATTGTATGAAATAGAGATCATTTCTGGAGTGATGATGGGAGTATACAGGGAAGACCAGCGGCTTATAGACAAAACAATGGACAACAACCATTCAGCGATGTCGAAAACCGCTGTTGTATACCTGTTGGACGTTATCGTGATCGTGTCCAAGACTCCAAGGAAGATCCATAAAATCAAGCGCGGATTTAGCGGAGACGCCGCGCGGGTCTAGCCGCACTGGACACACGTGATGTGGAGAGACCGGCGAAATCCCTTGGGAGAAAATACTCGAGGATGGAAAAGACAACATCGCCTTTTATCCCCTAATCGGCTGGGCTTCAGACCCTCCAAATGACATTTAGGAATCATTATTGATTATTTTTCTTTTCGATTCGTTCCTTACCTTGGCCGCCCTGGCCGTTCTGTCTTCCTTACTCCGCAATTAGCCACCGTCAAGACCACCTCACGCGCAAAGACACTCGCTCGGTATCTGTACGATTGAACGTCGCCCCTCGTCCACAGCTTCTCTGTCAGCCTTAGTGTGATCAAGAATTTCTGAACCGACGCTTCTAAGCTACCATCCGCCATGAAATTCGCCCGCCTCTCCCCTTCTCTCGCTCTGTTGTTACTGCAGGTCATTCCCGCGGCCATTGCTGAAGCAGTACCGGACAACGGTTTATCAACACCAACTGCCCTAGACCGCCGGGAAGCATCTTCAGCAGATGTACCTCTTTCAGCACCAGAAATCTTAGCTTCACCCAAGGCAGCACCGAAGGGAACGCTGGACGCTCCGATAGATGGTAAGGATGGTCTGCCACACCAAGGTCCATGGGTCGAAACCGGCGCAGAACGAGACCGTAAGAAGGCAAAGGAGACGGATCCCAATGAGGCTTTGATAACGTCGGAAGAGAAGGTGGCTACTGCGGAAAAACTGGCATCGGACGGCAAAGCCATCCCACACTCAAATGACGGTGTGATGGACGATCCGCATAGGTTGGGCCCCAAGGAAGGCACGCGGGGAACAGAGGGTGGTGTATCAGAGAAGAGCAAGACCAGCAAGCTTGTGTCCGACAAGGTGCCGGGAGCACCAAAGGAAGCTCCGCCACTTCCTCCCAGCGAGCAAGTCAAGATCTCGGCGGCGGATGACAGCTCCTCCAAGGATACGAAGACCGGTGATAGTGGAGCGACAATCCTAGAGGTGAGAACAATGGAATGAACCATGATTGATCTTTCTTTTTCTGACCTCGATGATATAGAAGCCAGCAGACCTCCCCGAAAAGCCTCATGATATCCCCCTCCCCAAATCTCCTGCGCCTGTGAAGGGCGATCAACTGGCTGTTGGCACTCCCAAGTCGTCCAAGGGCAAATCTTCCTCGTTGGATGCGACAATCCCAATGGAGGAGAGCAGCGTTATTAGCCCCATTCACTCTCTAATTCTATCTTTTACAATGATAATCTTCTCCGAGATTGGCGACAAGACCTTCCTCGTCGCTGCACTGATGGCCATGCGCCACCCTCGCCTGCTCGTTTTCTCCGCTGCGTTCTCGGCGCTTATTACGATGACTGTCCTGTCCGCAGTGTTAGGACATGCAGTTCCTACGCTGATCCCAAAATCGTTCACCAACTTCCTTGCGGCCATCCTGTTCTTGGTTTTTGGTGCGAAGATGCTGAAGGAAGCTCGCGAGATGTCGCCGGATGAAGGTGTCGGCGAAGAAATGAGAGAAGTAGAGATGGAGCTGGAGGAGAAAGAGCAGCAACAGAGCCAGATGGGTCGACGCCGCTCTTCGATCAGCCCGTATGCCCTGGAGGCTGGGCGGGTAGGCGGACGACGCAAGTCGCGGTCTTCGGCTAACCGTCTGCCATCGCCGCCTGACAGTCCATCATCCTCCTCTTCCCGGAGTTCTTCTCCCGCTCCCAGCGCTAGCTGGCGCAGCGTCCTCATCGGTTTCAACAATTTGTTTTCTTTCCTCCTGACTCCTGCTTGGGTGCAGACGTTTGTCATGACGTTTCTAGGAGAATGGGGAGACCGCAGTCAGATCGCAACCATCGCCATGGCTGCTGGACAAGACTATTGGTGGGTTACGGTCGGAGCTATCAGCGGTCACGGTGTTTGTACTGCGGCTGCAGTCATCGGAGGCCGAGCTATCGCAGGCAAAGTCAGCATGCGTGTCGGTATGTATATCTCATCCCATTTTCTGTCATGTGCTGTTCACATACTGATCTTCATCCAGTGACCTTCGGCGGCGCTATCTCCTTCCTTATCTTCGGACTTATCTACTGTTTCGAAGCGATATACTGAGTTCGCGATGAAGCGATGCTTCTTTACTCAAAAGTGCCTTGGAAGCAGGGTTTAAATATAGACAGGACACGGTATCGGGTCTTTTCAGTTTTGTAGTACTTAGTCTTACTTCGTTTAATAACCGCACGGGTGCTTCTTTGCTCTTTTCTTGGTGTACGTTTTCTCTTTTATTCCCACAGGCATATTCGAACAATTCGTGGTGACTGCTTAATGCGAGGATGGGACAATATAATTATAGACCAACCCTGGGAGGATGGTATCATGACCGAGGCACACAATGGAACTGCGGCATCACAATATAATGAATCAGACAGTACGCAATGTAATTATAACATGACAGATCGTGGCACACAAAATTTAAGGGGGCATCATGTGGTCCCTAGATCTTCGCAGGGTATTTGAAGTTATCCCACCGATCGGATCGGTCTAGTGAAAACTACCCAAATGCCACCAGCCGGAATCGAATTCCAACTACGGTCTCAGGTATATTATTATAATCAGAGCCAGTTTATCTTCGACAGACAGGTCTCAGACAAGTCCTAGACAGGTGATGCAGATGACAACAGGCCTCTGTACGCATTTTGCCCATACTCCTCCGCATACCTAGTCTCTCTTCCTAGGTATCATCGGCCCCGACGACGCCGCCCTGGAGTATGTATACATGTTAAGGCCGTTGGAACCTATGCTGTAGCTTGATGGTTGAGAAATCATATGTCCCTGTTCATTCTCAGTAGCTCTGAGCTCTCTAACAGTCCTCCCCTTCTCTTCATCTCATCGCGTGTCTGATCGCCACAAATACATTCAACTTGGAAGATAGATCAGATGGATCTTGACCATCTTACAGAAGAACAGTCAGGTCGCAACTGCAAGATAGATAAATTGATGCCTCCATTAGCGCAACTTCACGACCTCCAGTGAACTGTAGACACACCGTTGACGCAGTATCAGTATGACCTCCGGCGATCTCTTTCCTAACTGGGTAATTTCAAACCCTAACCCAATAACCCTTGGTGCCTTGTTGCCTGATATATTGTTAGGGTTTAGGATTATGGGTTAGGGTTACGGTTATGGCTAAATTCTGATTGGTCAGAACCCCTGATCCCCACTTTTACTTGGCGTCCAGTGATTAACCTAGGTTAAGAGTAGTTGTCCTCACGCTACAGCATCACCAGAACACAAGTGCGACCGACGATCATCAATAGAAGAACCTCCCCTATCGCTCGCCCCCTTTTTGTTTTCTTTCTCTTGGTATTTTCTCCTGACTACCTTCTCTGTACTGGTTGGTTGGCAGCAGCATACTTTGCCGCGTCGTGGATGTCGGCGTTCATCAACCCACTGGAGAAGTTTCGCCTCCGCTCCTCTCCGCCCGCGATGGCGCGCCCCGCGACGCGTCAATCCTCCGTTGCCAGCGACGGCATCAACATGGCCGCCACGGCAAAACAGGTCGATACTCCAACCTCAAAGAAGTTAAAAAACCGTTCATCGCGTTATAAATCACAGTCTGTCAGTCCTTCAAGGCGGCGAACCACAAGAAGTCAGAGTCGCGAGCTCGAAGCAGTCGGCCTGAAGAGCCATGCTACAGAGATCGGGATCCCGAAAAGTTCGCTTGACAGTCGACATGGCGCACGTGGGAAAGCTGAGAGGATGGCAAAGGGGAAGGGTAAGTTCCTATTGTTGCTTTAGAAATAATCATGTTCTGCCTTCGAACCTCGACAATGTTCTACACATACGCGTTGAAGGCGTCATCGTATAGTGTCATAATTCCCTTAGTGCAAAGTGGCTACCGTCATTGCCCGATCTTGTTGTTATGCTCTCATTCACACAGAGCGTTAATATGCTCCCTGGATGGAACGCTCATTGTCTGATGATTATTCACAGAACTTGCTGTTGTCGAAGAGGAGTCTCCAGTCCACTCTACGCGTCACTCCATGGTGCGTTCAGCGGACAATACCATCGTAGAAGAGCTCCCTGAGGAAACGGTAAACATCTCTGGGACGACCTTCCTCCCGACTGATTCTGATCATGAGTCCGGGGAGATGGATCCATATATGATGGTCGAAGTGCTCCCTGATCTCCAAAGAACGGCATCCAGCGTTCTCGAGTTTCTGTTGCCTGCGGCACAGACTAGTACCGATCTCCTAGATCTGGCAAAGAAGCTGCAGGACCCAAAAAGTCCCCAGAGCAAAAAACTCGACCGTCTTCGATCAAAATTCATAGGGGAAGCAAAGTACTTCGGTAACCAGACATACATCGATGTCGCGAACGTGTCACGGACCTTGCCATCCGTCAAGCCTCGTAGTATCCCCGGGTCAGCCCCAAAGCGATGGCGTCCAGATGGGATCCTATACAAGGCAAACTGCGCCCGACTCGCTCTGGAGGTCCTCACCTCTCGTCGCGCAACGGAGCATGTCCTCTACGATTTGGAAGGCAAATTCCCGATGCCTTTTATGAGCGGTTTGGTATTTCATGGCACCACCAAGGGAAACCCTACAAGTGGCAAGAGTACTACGCACCAACTGACTTCCGACCTGGCTCTGGACCTCAGGACACAGTTCCTTAAGATGAAGCTAGAAGCGCGAAAACTGGATGACTTCAACCCGGAAGGCGTCGTTGAGGACGTCTTTTTTAATGAACCACTTGCAGACGATGACGAATCCGGCGACCTGGAACTACGAGGCTTCAATCTGGCAGAGCTCCAAGATGAGGATGGGTGTCTACCCAAAGACATGAGGAAACAGGTGAAAGCACGCATCCACCATATCAGCCAGTACTTTACTGGCAGTCAACCTCCAGTGGAATATGAAGGCCTAGAGTCGGCATTCCCGTGGTCCGAATTCGTTGTCGCGGTAGGAAGATGGTTGTACAAAAGAAACGAGGAAATAGACAAAGAGCTGAAGGCCCAGCCATCCGTCGAGGATGTCCGTGATGTACTCGAACAGGAAATCACTAGACGGGGTAGTTTCGGCAGTTCTGCAGGGGAATCATCGCAGGAACAAGACGCAGGAACGCCCGTTAGAAAAGATCCTTCAATAGTTCATGAATCCCAGCCCCAGCAGCAACAAGATGTGGAAGGCTCCATCGGGGAACAGTCTTCACCACCTCGTGGATCCCAGCCGCAGCAACTTAGAAAGGAATTGCTGCCTGCCCCCGAGTTTGACTTGGGACGAGCAAAAGGGTGAGTTTTTCGATCAATCCCAAAGACGAGTGAATTCCCCAAGACTGACAGGTTGTTCACGAACAATTAGTTCATGGTTCAAACGCTTCGCAGTTCAATATATTCACCGACAAGAGCCACGACGAGAATCCCTGATTCGCGCCACCTCTGATGCGCCAGAGCCTAGTGACACATCTGATTTTGCAGGGTTCATTTCCCAGCACGCTGCCAAAGCATCTGCCACCAGTGTTGTTCCCGGCCGCAATGTTCTCACGGAAATATCTCTGAGACCACAGTCCAGAGATGGGCCCTCTATGTCGATGTCGCCCGATCCACGCCGCACCTTCCGGGGGCAACCCGCGCCTCAACCTGAACAAATTACTGTTGCTGACTCTCAGTGGGAGATCACTCTAAATGATGATGATGATGACTGGGACCTACGACCTCCTAGTCCTTCTGCCCGCGCTGCTCCAAGAGATCCTAAGCGGCTGGCACCCGGGACTCGTAATGATAATAATAATACTACTACGAGCCAGAGCAGGGCTCGAGAACCTGTGGTGAATATTCCTTCCTCGAAGCAGATATTAGCCGCAGCTATGCAACACAAAGCTTCGTCTGGGAAAGACGAACGAGGCCCTTCTTTTATTGACCGCCAGGCAAATGCCCACAGGGTATCTCCAATAAATATTGGTTCTGAGACCCCTAGTGCTGGACCGAGCAACCCGAGGAAACGCAAACACACTGCTGATCACAGTGATGAATCTGGCGAAGACGAGTTCAGCCAAGATCAGCGAGTTGTTGATGTGCGGCGGAAAAGAACCGAAAAGCCAATTCTCTCTCCGTCAAAGCGTGCAAGGCTTTTTGACTATGATGTGTCTGACAATGATGCTGAGAGGCAACTTCAAAGCACCCTTGATGAGACTGTGCGGCGAACTCCAGAGGTAGCATCCTCTCATCGAAGGCCCAGTCAGGAGAGGACAACGCCTGTTGAAGATCGATCCCACCATCGTTCCCACATACGCAATGTGATGGATCGGTTTTCAGCACTCAGTGGGCAGCCAAGGACCCAGAAACCTCATCAGACATCCGAACCTAAACCTAAACCCGTTGAGAGCCGCCCTGCATATCCAGATTATTCTCGCGCCCGTCGACGATGGAGTAATGAAGAGAATGAGCGACTCATCTACCTGATCGAGAATTATGGCGTTAGTTGGGCAACACTCAAAAGAAAGGATGACGTGATGGAAGATGGGCCCAAGTTAGAGGACAGAGATCAGGTGCAACTGAAAGACCGAGCCAGAAATATCAAGATCGAATATATCAGGTTTGTGCCATCTCCCGTTGTTCTTCCTTTGTCATCTTGCAGTACGTACCTGGGTCGACTTTGTACTAATGAGAATTATCCAGGAACGGTTATGAGCTTCCCAGAAACTTTGACAAGGTCACGCTGAAAAAGACGGATATCGATCGGCTTCGCGCTATCGGGCGAGAAGTTAGTTGAGTTCTTGATCCTGTTGCGTGATGGCTTCGTCCACGTCGCACATAGCTCCAGGCTGGCCATTTGAACTTGACGGAAAGGAGAACAGGTCCACATCGCACTGTTGCTTTGCTTCTTGGTTATCTACGTTGATTTGGTTTACCTTTTGGTCTTGATCTTCGCTGAGATACCCCACATTGCGTCTGCATGCCGTTGCTACTTGTATTTATTTTGCGTCTGTAATAATATTGCGCGCACGTTAGAAGGCTCTCCTAATTAAAATTCCTCTTCGACCAGAGTTCTCCGGTCCCCAGTAACACTGCGGTCGTTTCCATGCATCAGCCAGGAGTATAAGAGTAGCACATCAGTTCGCTATGGTACTTCCGACATTTCGAGTGTCCTGGAACGATTGTGTAGTACCGCGCTTCCGAGACAGTGTTCCAATTGTTCTGGTTCCCAATTCCGGTAGGTAAAAAGGGAAGTAAGTATACGCAGGTGGGTCCACACAAACAAAATTTGGTTATCCGTGAACGCAAAATTGATACTACTCAAGAAGACAAAGAATAGATAGTAATTACCTTCTATTGTTTTGAGCTATTAATCCTACTCTCGCGGAGGATAATTCGTTTGGATCCTTGAATCGTGATTACGCACTCCTAACTTTCAACAGATGCCCGGCTAGCCTAATGGTAAGGCGTTTGACTTCTAATCTCATGAATAGCTAAACAGCTAAAACATGACATATACGATATCAAAAGATTGTGGGTTCGATCCCCACGTCGGGTGGTTCCCTAACCCTCGTGGTTCTATACTTTTTGCGTTCTTTTTTTTTTTTTACTCTGGCTGCGAAGAAGACATAGTTATGCCATAGTCGCGTTCGAAAGACAGAAGCACGTTGGACATTCTCAGGTCATGTATCTTGGCGTGGGTTCTATATCTTGGTAAACGACAGTGATAATATTGACATAGTATAATTTTGGCTATGAACATTGCAGCTTCAAGTTCCCCGATCCAAATTATATCAATTCAGACGACAGCATATTTCGCTTTTCTTCGTTGCCTCATAACATTCATTTCCATCGCAGAGTTTCATTTCCATGTTATCAGAACGAGCGAATGAGATCTGATCAGGAGTTAGTAGAAGGTGATGAGATTGAATGTCTAGATTCACTTACCATAGTAAAGCATCATCGCCTCCAGGTGGACGGCGATATCCAATCTCTCGTCGACAGTGTGGATGTTCAGAGCTCTACCCGTTCTCGATGGACTCCATCGGTAGATATTCCTCGTGAGGTTCCAGTAGAACCTAGTGTCTGTGTTTCCAGTCATGATATCCCCAACTACGACAACAGTTTTCCCCTCGAAAGCGGGAAGAGATTCGAAGACTGAACGAGAAACGCCCGAAAATCGTGCCCAGACTTCATCCGTCTGGGTATCTGTCGGGCTTAATGGAGCCGGGTAAAGCGGTTCGCTAAGAGCGGCCAGGTCGAGATGGTTTATTATTTCGTCAGATGGTGAGTCTTCAAATGCGGTGAAGGTGAGATTGTACTTTTTTGCAATCGGAGTGATGATCTTGAGAGCACGCTCCTTGACGACTTCTGGAGTCTGATGCAGAGCAACACGGTAGTTGACCACCGACGAGATCTTTTCCGGTAGGGCGTTGGTCTTAACTCCACCGCGGAACAGATCCGCGGCCTGTGATGTCTGGAAGGTGTATAGGATCTTTTCACCGCGCGATTCTCCAACGCCTCTCGCGAGAGCGGTATAGTCGTCAGATTCCAGGGCGTCCGCCAGCCATGGTTCAACGTACTCTGGAGAATGGCGGACCTGGCATTCGAGAGACTTCCGAGTAGGATGTTGCTGATTGAGAACAGGGATGAATAGGTCCTGGCGTTCCAGTTCGTAGATGATCTCTGACATGATTCCAATGCCGGTGTGTGGCGGAGGGACTGAACTGTGACCGCCGGTTACATTCAAGGTGAGAACAAGGTCTATGCTACCTTTCTCACCAACGCCAGGCAAAGCATAGACGACGTCACCGAGAACTTCCAAGCCCATACCACCTTCATCCAGGATGAATTCGAAACTGTCTTTGCCCCATTTCTTCTCGAGTTCTTTGGCAATAGATCCAGCTCCGAGCCAGCCATGCGACTCTTCATCAAAACCAAATGCGAGAACGACTGTCCTAGTTGGTTCCCAGTTCTGAGACAGCAGGTCCTCAACAACGGAGAGCAGGCCAATTAGCACATTCTTGCAGTCACTGACACCTCTGCCCCAGATCCATTCTCCATCGAAGTACCCTGAGAAAGGAGGGTACGTCCAGTCACTAGGATCATCGATGGGCACAACATCCTGGTGCGCAGTGAACAAGAGCGGCTTAAGGGAGTCGTCTGTTCCGTTGAGCGTGAAAACCAGGCCGAGGCGGTTAACGTGATCGACACGAGCATACGAGTACCTTGAGCAGGTCAGGAATATCCTTTATAGAGCGTTGAACTGAAAACGGGGCAACAAGTAGGCATACGTTAATGGAAACAGCGATTTCAGGAGCTTATGAAGCTCAAGGAAAGGAGTGAAGACTTCGTCGTACGGATCGGTCGAGAAATCATTAACTGTTGTCGGCACCTGGACAGCCCTGGAGAGACGCTCCACTTGTTTGGTCTTGATCGCTTCGTCTTTAATGAATTCGATAGCTGGGTGCAAGCCATCTTCGGGGGCGACGATCTTCGGCGCAAGCGGACAAATGTCTTTCTTCAAAAATGTATCCAATACTTGCTGCTGCGATGGAATTGTCAGAGCTGCTGCCCCAATGGACAGCAGCCCGAGAGTAGCTGCGCTCAATAGATACATTATTCTTTCCAATTGCAGTGCCCGCCTGAACAGTACAAGGAAGACAAATTCAGAGGAAATTCAGGAACCGGAAGAAGACCTTAAACCCCGCAAATCTTCTATCAATTGACTCTTCTTCCACTGTCTTATCACAAGAGGCGGACGCGCTATCTTATCATCGATCTAAGTCCCACTCGTCGGCTGAGACCGCCTATTAGATAGCCTCAAAATCGCCCAAGACGGAAGGTCGGCGCACAAAGTCACCTCGGAAGTCACATTTTGAGAAGAGTCCATCGCATCGGCAGAAGTCCGAACGCAAGCGCAAAGATCCATTTGGCATTGGTTGCGCGAGCAAGCAGCCAGAAACCTCAAGAAGCCGATCACATCTTCTCAAGGTAGAATTGCGAACGCACATGGAAGTCCTTGGACCCCTCAAAATTTGTAAAGGTCAGGGTGTAGAAGCATGCAGTCTTGTATGACCCTGCGAAGCCTAGCGGCCTTATAAGCAGGTAAAGGTGAGCATGAATGCGCATACTGTCAGTCTATATGTTTACAGAACGTATGTGCATCCTTCGAGCTTTCAATTTCTTTGAACCCGAGCAAGGGTCTGTCTCTGAGTTCGGTTATCGTCTCCACGCGGAACGACCATTGTTCGGATGGTATACTCGCGATACATATCATCACCAGCTCTTGGTGTAGATCAGACACATCCCTGAGTAAAAGTCGCTAGTTACTTCGCATGGTCTAGGTGACCAGTGAGAAGAACCCGCCGCATTATTTGCAGAAATTGACCCTTAAAAGGCCACACCAACATTCTCCTTGGTGATCCGTGTTATGCTTGAGACGCTGGCGGAATTTGCCAGTGGATCGAACCGAACCGCAGTCAAACCGTGGGGTTGATGGGTCCATCAAAACGGGCTTCCGCATAGAACCGAACATCTTATTGTTTCTTCATGTTGGACAAGACATTCACAGCCACAGCGCTGTGCGCCATATATCCCCATTTTGAGCACCTCGGCGTGGCTTCAACAAATCTGAAACAGCCGTCCGCAATGGGAAGTCAACGCCACTGATATCGCGGTAATATGCCTTCAAAGCCACTGGAGGCTGATCCGATGAGATTTTCAGGGCTCTGTCCGGGCCATGCCGTAGTGAGACCGTTAGGCTCGTCAAGGGGCAGAGGCGACCGTAGCACTGGAGTCGGATCCTAGCCAGGGTTGGTAAGGATAGGCTTGCTTTGAGCGATGGATTCCCCTTTTGGGCCATCAAGATCGCTCGTTCACGGCCCTTAATTAGTTGTTCATATTTGAAACAGCGTCCGTCGGTAGTTCGGCTGTGTTTCAACAGCACGCTTTGCGTCACTGTGGATTCTTCTCTTTGTGATCTTCTCAGCAATCATCATGCGGAGTAACATTGGACTTCACCAACGGTGGTACTAGAGCCAGCAATAGGAGGAGACGGTCTGTTGTTAGTGAACGCCGAGGAGCGAAGAGAGTCCGAGCTGTCAGGATGTGTGGGTTGTTTATAACCACATGACAGCGCGCTCTTCAGGTCCATCTCTGTCGAGCAGGTCTGTCCTCCCTTTTTCCGAGTAACTTGCCTAACTTACTTGTCTCTCTTTTTGTTATTTTCCAAATCCAACAACCATGTCTTTCTTTACCAAATCCCTCCTTTCCGTTCTCTCTTTATCTGCGGCGCTCATTCAGCCCGCCACTGCTAGAATTGGGGGATACGAGGGGTGCTTCAACAGCGTTGCCAATTATACTCAGACCGGCTCTTACATCTACCAGAGCGATGGATACTGTGTGTCCACCTGCAAGGGAAAGGGCCTGGCAATTGCTGCCACTCAGGGACAACTCTGTGCCTGCGGCCAGGGTGTTCCTCCAGCAGCGTTGAAAGTCGCCGATACGCAGTGTGGCAATACATGCCCGGGTTACCCGTACGAAAACTGTAAGTACTTCCTTTTGTCTTTGAGGCCAACAGCCATATTGATTTGGTTCCTTCTAGGTGGTGGAGACAATGCCTGGTCCTTGTACAGTGTGGCCCAGTACAACCCCTACGCCGGCGTGAGCGTTGCTCCAGCAGTTATCACAAGTGCTGCTTCTGCAACTCAAATTACTCTCCCCAGCTCGACCCCGACGAGTTTCGCCGTTCAATCGAGCCCTGCCTCTTCTAGCCAGCCAACTGAGATCGTCAAGAAGCCAACAATTCAGACCGCTCAGGCCAACGCGACGAATTCCGCGTCCAACGGGCTTGGTCTCGCGTCCCCTGCCCACGCAATTGCTGCTTCTATCTTGACTTTCACGGCAGCTGTTATTCCGTTCGTTCTCTACATCTAGAGAAGTCATGGACCATAGGTGTCCGCTCTAATTCTATGTCCGCGGGACGGAATTTTCGCATACCCATCCATTCGTCAGCTGTGACCAGTCAATAGTCCAGAAAGCTTTTCTATTTTTGACTTTTCAATTCCTCGTCATTTTCAGGCGATGCCCAGTCCTGCAAAACAAAAGTATTAAGAGCTCCTTATTCCCCGCGAGACTTTCCAGCAGGGGAGACAAATGATACCCCGTAATTCGTCAGTGTATTAATCGATCTGCCTTTTCAAGCCTAAAGCCTACCAAACTTGCAACTTGGTAGCCGAGTTTCTGTGTACCACTCGGTCATCTTCGTGTTCTTTGGATCTCGTATAGATGTTTCAGGCCTCCGAAGTTAATAGACCCAGTAATAAAATTTGTAATTGAGCGACCCCGTACACAACACAAGCCCGCTGAAAAGTATATCATGAAAGCATCCTCAGTAGTCTCACCTGAATAGCTGGGGGAGGCTTAGTAATTTTGATGCGGTTTGTGCGTGAAATCACGTTAATCCGTCTTATGCTCCCGGGGATACATCAGACGGCCAACAAGCAACTATCACCTCTCTATTCCCGTTTGTCTTCTTACAAAACTGCTACAGTTTCATGAATTCGATCAAACAAGTATGCTCCTATGAATTATGATAGGTTAGCGCCGGGAGGGTGCGTATTCTTAGGCGTAAAAGCCCCTTACCTCCATCTTCAGAAACCTGTCGTCATAAAACACCTCAAATCGGCTCGTGATACCAGGACTTACTCCTTCAAAGCCCTGCTTAATAGACGTTTTATAGTTTCTGTATACTGCTCCTAAGAGGGTTGTCATTTCCGCCATCGCTAAGCTGATTTCGATCAGTTCGTGCCCAGGAGAATATAGGCAGGATCAAATGCATAATCAATGGGTTAGAGGCAGACATACTGCATTCCAACGCACATCCTTCCACCACTTGAGAATGCCCACCACCACTTCTTCATCTCATTTAGCTGCTCGCCCTCGCAGAGCCATCTGTGTGGGTCAAATTTCCAAGGATCGCGAAATACATCCGGATTTCTGTGCAGAGCGTACGGCTCCATGCTCACCGTGGTGCCTTTAGGTATCAGGAAGCCATCGATAACAACATCAATCGCGAACGAACGTGGTTCCGACGCGGGCAAGGGGGCATAGAGTCGAAGTGCCTCTTTGATCAAGGCATCCATGTATGGTAATTTGTCGCTAGACTGTGCAGATGGTATACCGTTCCCTACCAACTGAGCGTCCTTGATCAACGAGACCTCTCGAATTAGTTCCTCCTGATACTTCTGATTCTCAGGCAATGATAGAGCCCAGATCAAGAACATAAGCGTGTCGCTAGTAGTGTCAATCCCTGCTAGAAGGTGATCTGCGCATTCCGATGCAATATCCAGATCTTCAAGAATACCTCCCTTCTGGCTGCAATGAAATCGCCAAAGGCACCCAATTACGGTAGTCTCTGCATATTCATCCTTTTCTGTCGCTGGCGCAGTCTTGAAATCGTGCCATGCCTGCAAAGCATGAGTTCGAATACCAGTGTACGTTGCCGGTTTCTGCATAGGCAGAAGACCCAAATTAGAAATCATCCTCTCCATAATCCCACTGCGCGAGTATAACCACTTCGTTAATCTAGGTAGGTGCACCGCGAACCAAGACAGCCTTCTCCTTGCCGGGTCGAGGATATCATTCAACAGAGCTCGATCTTGCGCACACCCCATCAACGCAGCTGTACCACCATGTTTTGGCCCATAAAGGAATTGTGTGATCACATCAAGCGAGAAATAATGCAAATTAGTAAAGATCTCTCCCGCATTCTCAGGTTCGTTTTCCAGAAGTTTCAAAAACTTCATCGCCATCTCCTCGACCATCTGCGCAGTTGGACCTCTCATGATCGTCGACTTTGCATATGCATGATTGAGCAGTCTTTTACGCTCCGCATGCATCTGCCACGGTCCAAACGTGAATAGGTTCTGGCGCCCATAAACGTCGAACATGCGATAGAAGTCTGTTCGTTGGGCTTTGCTACCAGCGCCGTATATGGATCGGAGAGCAGTTGAGCTGTTGAAGGATACTTCATTTGGGGAAATTCGCACGACTGGTCCGTAGATACCGTGTAGTTCGTGGATCTTGCGTGTTCGTGTACCGTTCCAGTCCTCGTAGGCTAGTCGCCAGCCGGTTATGGTGAAGAGGCGTGGGCCAGGAATGCGTCTCAGAGGGTCCGTTATGTACACGTATAATAGATGGCCAAGGAGATAGATTGCCAGTAGTGGAAACACCACTGACAGTTCCAATCCTGCTGCATATATCTCCGCCAGGACCATAGTGTATGTATTATATTCACTATCAGGACGGGTTTCATGCAAGAGCTTCGCACTGCTGCAAGTTGGATCGAAGGCGCGACAGCTTAGTTAATTGAAACAAGAGTTCTACAGTCACAGATGTGCGGAAAAGGTTTATGATAATCAGTTTTCCAGATTGACATCGGGACTACCGCCAGAAGATAGCTTTATGACTGCAGGCTTAAATGTAGATAAGATAAGGATTATCTCCGCCTTTCAAAAGCAGGCGCCGTCGCTCCAAAAGAAACTACTCTAGTTGTAAGTAAGCCTCAAGGTTCAATGATGGAGTATCTCGAGTGTCTATGCGAACTTATTGCCATTCATGGCAAGTCATAAGAATGGATTCAACTCCAAAGCAGAAATTATTCTATACCCGAAATCAAAACAGCCGATCCAGAAAAGTCATCTTCGACTTCGGCCTAGCGATATACTGCTCTTCATACTCATCGATCTCCTTCTTCAGCCCTCCAACCTGCAGATCCGCCATTCCCGGACGAATATAAGTCGTCCGCTGCACAAATTTCCACAGGACGAATGCCAAAACAAAAGCACCAATGATAGTATACGTAAGGAAGAAAGATCGCGTATCCCATCCGCCATTCATGAATAAATAGTATCCAGAGACTAGCATCATGACTACCGTCCCGACCACGGAGACATAGGCTGCATATGGTTGGAACTTTCCCTTATAGGGGAGAGTGTTTCGATCGATACCCTGCTTTTGTAGAGCGGCGTGGAAGTGTAGATAGGTGATACCGACAGACATGTAATTTAGCAGTTGGCAGGCAGTGACGAGGTCGACAAGCCAGCCGAGGACTTTCGCGGAGGAATTGCTAATTTGTAGAAAGCCGAGGAGGCAGAATGCCAATCCAACCATGACTGCATATATGGGGACTCCAAAGCGGGTGCAGCGAGAGAATATCTTGGGCGCTTTTCCTTCGAGAGAGATGCCGTAGAGCGTTCTGGTAGCGGAGTATAGTAGACCGTTTCCGGAGCTGAATACAGAAGTCATAATTAGGGCGTTGACGATGTGAGGGAGACCGCTAATCTTGAGATTCTCCATCGCAATCACGTAGGGGGAGCTAGTAGTCATAAGTTAGCCTGCTTTTGATCTAAATAAAAAGTGGTCTGGAAGCCTTCCATACGCTGCACCAGTACTGCTTCCCTCGTCCAGTCTCAACGCCAGTGTCTTATCATTATACGGGATAACGATTCCCATGCAAAGGGCCGATCCACAGAAGAACGTCAGGATACGCCATACAAATGATCTGAAAGCTCTGGGCAAAACCTTCCGCGGTTGTTCGGTTTCACCGGCGACGATGGCAACGTATTCGGGTCCACATATTCTATTCAAAAATTCAGATTTTCGTCAGTGGAAAATATTTGGAGGTGAACTTACGAGAAAGTTGCCTGGATAATACAAGTCACAACGCCTCAAAACCGACCAGTGTCGCCCGGAGCAAGGTATTCTACAAAACTTCCCTGTCAAGTACCCACGTCAATACATCAGCTGCTCAATTTCAGGAAAAATAGGAGAGACACAAACCGGATCCCTCCAATACCGAAACCCATATCTGTCATGCAGCGGATTTCCGCCCAGCATCGTTATGAACGTGAAGAGTATACAGCCCAGGATGAGAAAGACTTTGAATATCGAGAGGTAGAATTCCGCAATACCGAAATAACGGACGGATATCAGGTTAAGGAGACTATCAGCATCAGTTAACCTCTCTGCTCATGCTGAATTAGTATGGGAGCCGTAATACGCATAGGCCACAATCATAGCCATGACAACCGCTTCGACGGGGACTTTATCCGTCCAGAACGTGAGGAGAATGTTGAAAGCTACTATTTCGAATGGAACCAGGAAAGCTGCGATCTGTTAGGTGAACCCTCGAGAAGAAGTATGCGGTCATCTGTTCGATCTTTACAAGGACTCACCCATATTAAGGAAGAAATTCCATCCCATAGCAAAGCTCAACGCATCATCGACCCAGTGTCCGCCGAGTCTGATGAAGGGAGACGAAATAGGTACGTAGCATACCATCTCAGCTGTTGGAAAGTATTAGATGCGGCGAAGTTGCAGCAATCCTAAAGACAGAGTATGATTCTTACCGAAACACTCGTTAACAGCAACCATGATCGCTCCCCAAATCATAAAGCCAAGGAATAAGCCCGCAGGACCACCTTTCGGAAGCGCACTTCCCATCTGCACGAAGGTAGCTGTGTATGTATCGTTTTAGCACCACCCCCCAAGAAAAAGATGATAAAGATCAAAACTGGTGAAGAGACTCACAAGTCCCAATTGCGCCTCCAATCGCAAAGAGCTGTACCTCCTTACTGCGAAGCTTTCGGTGCAAGTTCTGCGATCCTGCTTTGAGACTCCTGACCTCGCCGACTCCATATGTGGTGCCTTCTGCTGAAATCGTCCCCTCCGATTCCACGGCTGTTTTCTCGACTATTGACTTTGGGCAGGCCATTTTGACCGGTGCGTCCTTGTGCTCTATTCTACCAGAGAAAGCAATGCGCAGACGAGAAGAAGTATCAAAAGATATTTGCAATACAGTAGACTATTCGGGATCTTCTAGTGGTGTACTGAGACTTCCCCCATGGGGAACAAAATCATGTTAACGGTTTAGCAGTTCCAAATCCATCTGAGCGGAGTTGATAAGAGCTGCAGGAGCTCCTATCACTCGCGTCGGAGGGGCCGATACGTTGGGCCTTAGATGTTTTTGATAAGATCTAGAAACCCTGTCCTTTGTTCCAAATGGAATAGATCGCCATGCAGCATGCATATAGGCTCCCTGGCTCTGCTCTCGTAGGTGGGGTTGTCTAATCCCTTACCATACGTGGGGATTTATGTATGTACTTTGACATGGAGGGTACGGATAAGAATATCCATTCTTCGTTATAGTTTCGATTGAACTTGATTCGTCCGCCGCTATTAATCTGCATTATTCGCTATAAGACACAATTGAAAATTCTGTGACTCTGGAAATTCTAAAATTGCGAGTCTAGCACAGTGTCATGAACGTTCATCGATTCGAGGTATAAGACAACGAATCTTAGATGGTATAATAAGCTTCTGTACGTTAATATGTACGAAAAATGCAGTATATACTGGGCGATGCGCATTACGCATTAGATACTAAGATTAGGACGGGAGGGCCAAAAGAGCGAATGCTCCTCCCATGACTGGTCGCGCGACGAATGTGAGTCCTGAAGGATAACTATTCCGAGAGTCAGCATGCATGTATTGTTATTCCCAGACCTGAAATGCGTGGTTAAGACTTACTTCCCGGTGTCCGTGTCATAGAGGTCAGTCAGCGGTCGATTGGTTGGGGTCTCATTGATCCATGTCGCTAGATCCTTGAGGAACATTTGCTGCGTGCTCTTCGATGCGACTGCTGCAGTAAAGAGCTGCCAGTCGGCTATAACATTCATGTTAGCTATGCTTATGACCTCCCGTTTCAAGCATGTGAAGCTTACCCTTCGTGTAGGTGTGTCGAGTGTCGAGAGGCACTCCGTACTTGTTCTCAACGGTCGGATAGAATGTGCTCTGCATGTCGTACACCCAGGACGGAACAAAGTCCAAGCTTAGTTCTTTATCCGCGTACAAGTTGTACAGTAGGCCTGCAAGATGAGTCAGTCTTAATAAGCTTGCTGGACAGACACGATTATCGGATCCTTACCGTAACTGGAATTCGAGCCGTATGCTAGAGTTGAATGTGGCGGGTTCGCATCATGAGCGACACCAAGGGTCTCCCATTCGTTGATGTACTGTTGAGCAATTGACGAATAGTTCTTTGAGTCCGCTTCGTTCCCTGTCAGGGACGAGATGACCGACATGGCCTTGATGGCGATCATGCCTTTCAGGGCCAGATTCGTCTGGTTTCTATATATGGGCAGTCAGCAACTGATCACAACAGTTCTGATTTCTTTTTCGTTTCACTTACGCAAGGGCGCCAGCAAAGTCATCAGTAGAGATCTGGTTTGCCGGGTAGAGCGAGTCATCAAGGAGAAACGAGGTCCACTGCTCCAGCTTGGCGTAATGCTGGCTCAAATAAGCCGTGTCCTTTGACCGGAGAGCATAAGCCAAAGTCATGATGACCATGTCACCGCACTCCTCCAGAGGCATCTCCTCGTCATTGCCCTGAGGGTGGCCCGTGGCGTTGGGATAGTGGGATCCTAGATCGTGCATGGCCCACAAGTTTGGATATTTCCCTGCCTCCTGATTCTCATACAGCGGGTCCAGGAGAAGCTTGAGGAGTGTCGGATTCGTGTAGAGGAAGATTGGATGAGCCGGGAATATTACATCCACCGTGTTCATGTTGCCATCTGAGGAGATCTCCTTGAGGAAAATGTACGTAGTGTTAGGTGTACCACAGAGTTGAGTCGCACCGAACGCCTGCCGCACTGAGAGGGACGCGATGGTGAGGTAGTCCTGGCCTGCGGCGGCTATAGCATCCTGTGAAATTTGATTATCCAAGTCCGTCGACAATTGACTGGAGGTAGAGTAGTCCTTGTGGAAGAACTCGACCTAGGACTCATGGGTCAGCCACGTGTATATCAGTTATGCATGTGCAAGTATGTATACGCACAGCAGCGAGATCACTATCAAAGTAGCTGGTCCACAGAGACGGAACGGGATCATATCCATCGGCACCTTCATATTGAACTGCCTCGTCCTGAGTCAGACCAATCGAGAAGAGCACGCCGCTTCCCCATTCATCGACCGGTCCAAGGTTGATTGCGAACGCAAAGACGGGCCAGTTGTCCGAGATAGCTCGGTAGTTAGTGTCTTGGGAATTAGGCAAACTACCGTTGGCGGCGAAAGTGTTTCGAGCATCTGTAGATGGGCCTGCCTGGTACGTGAGGCCATGAACTTGATCTGTCGACCAATACCAGTAGCCCCATTCACCTTGGTCGTCTACCTCCGAAAACAGCTGCTGGGTCTGTCGGTAGACTCTGTGATACGCAACATCGCCAGCTTGACCATAATCCCATTGAGCGATGTTGCTGCGGTCTCCGGAAATCCACTCTGTCGACAGGGGCAGGTTAGCCAATGAGATAAAATGTTCCGGTTTTGCATATCCTTACCCGCTGTGATATCGGAATACAGCTGTACATCATGCACCTTGCCGTCGACAGATGAGACATCTACATGCAGATAAGAGAATACAAGTGACTGTCTCTTGAGGTCATTCGGTGTGATAGGCGAGAGAAACGTTATGTTCATCTCAACCTTTCCCGCCACGTCCATCGTGAAGATACTCTTAGTGGAGGTGTACTGAAAGGCAGTCTGTGTAACAGCCTGTGGACCAGGGTCTCCCATCCAGGTATAGGTAGTGTCATCTACGCGAATCATGCCCGTCCAAGCTGTGATTTGATTACTGCCAAGGGAAAGTCAGCTCGAGTTCAACTGCCAGCAATTGTTGAAGGCGCACACCTCCAGAAGACGGGCCACTCCCCGGCCAAGTAACCGCCATTGCCGCCATCACTACCAACATTGAGCCAAGTACTTAGATACGGAGCCTTGACAGCCAGTGGGATAGCAGGAGGCCGAGCAGGGGTGAAGGTGGACTGTGCTGCAGCCAAGGCAAGCTGAGAGAGCGCACAAAGGAAGAGATGACACAGCTTCATGGTGAAGGGGAGGGTCACAGTGACCAAGGAATGAATCTGCCAAAAGCCCTAGGACATCCCGAGTAGACCTCGCGGGTCCGGGACCGCTACTTTATAGTAGTTCTGGGTCTCAAACTAAACGGGCAGTTATGCTCCCCGGAATCCATGACGCTTGGCCTCCATGTCCAGCTAGGTAAGATCGCGTGCTGGGTGATAGCCTTGGAAATTTCTCTGTCGTCTGACATTCAGCTGGCCTTTCTGCAATCTTAATGGTCCTCCGCGAGTCTTACAGTATGGCTAAGGCCGGCACCAAAGTCCTTTAGTGCCGTCGCGGGACAGCAGTGGACATACAAATGTCTAGCGTGGTCCTGGCCAGTGCAATACCTCCTCTTCTAAAGTTTAGAGTTAATCCCATTCTGCCGTCTATCAGCGACTACTATCTGCAAGGACGCCAGTCAGTGACTATCTGGTATAAAGAGTACGGCACACCGCCACTGATCGGGTACTAGCGCAGGGGCATCCCAGAGCCGAAAGCCCTGCATTGTTCTCTATCTCGGTCCCTTAAACAACCGGAAGATTTCTGGCTAGGAATGCCGGTAAATTCCGCATGTCCATGGTTAAGTATATTGTGGTCAACAAGCTCGGTAGCAGGCAAGGAGTCCCTCGTTTATTGACGGTGGCACCGCGGGGTTCAGCTAGTATGCAATTAGTTACTTAGACTGCGGGGTCAGGAACCGCTCCGAAGGCGCCCAGATGATCGGCAGACGCTACGAGATCTCTTTTCTGGCGTCACCACATCCTGGAGAAGGTCCGCTGGGCGTCATCCCGCGCCTCTTTCCCCGCGTATCTGAGATTTTAGCGTTGTTCTGGCTTTCGGGCAATGCTTGATCGTATGTCGATCGTGATCCCCAATTGACCACATGCACATATAGCTGTAAATGTAACCTCACGAAGTAGAGAGGCAAAATGCCCGAAAAGTGAGTCTGTTTTCCAGTGCCGAGAAAAGAAAAACGAAAATAATGGCGCTACTATGCGATCCCCGTCAGGAATGAAATGCATGGATTGAGAAACCCCTGCCCGTTCTCAATGGACCAAGTGGGCCGACATAGACTTCTGCCATATCTTCTCCGATGCAAGGGCTGTGGGTTTGAGTATCCCGTCGCCAAATAATGTATCAACTTTTTGCCCTCACCATACCTCGCCGGCCGGGACTGGACGTACTGCCCGATCAAGAATGTGACCAGGCTCTGTGACCCAGCAACGTGAGAAAGCCCGATCGGCTGATTCAAGTAGCGCCGGGTAAGTATGCGCCATCTGAGTGTGCTTATGCTTATGGTAGTTATGCAGTATCATGCCCTTTGGCCTCACGGAAGGCTGGCCTGTCTCCGTCGACAGCCGGCATGAAGTCCCAACGCAGTCTGGAAAATTCCACCAATTCCATGGTCCGTTCTGGCCCGCTCTGGAATCATTGGTAGACACTGATATCCTCCAGTGGATAAAGACTGCAAGAGTCTCACGTCGCGTGCTGCTTCAAAGGTATTGTTAGGCGATTTGAACCATCCGCTATACCGAGGTTGGCTGCGGCTCGGCACATCCTGTCCACGGACAAGATGCTGTTCTGAAAGGGTCGATCTTATTATTGTATTGCGCGTCTGGATTATGATTGAAATGATGAGATGAGAGGATAATGTCAATTCTGCCACACTGGGATCGAGGTAGATCGAATGCAGGAACAACCCTGCTAGTCAACGGCTGGTCGAGAAAGAGCTCACTGTGGCGGGCACGCTATCGATTTCATCGTATCCAATATCCTTTTCATGTCTTCGATATCAGCGTGCACAGCAGTTGGCATTATTATTAAACCAGGTCTGGCATCCCACGAACCAGGGGCTCCAGCAGGACATTGAAGAATGCGAGCTTGCGACAATAGGGATAACATTCGATCAGCCTGGTGTCTGGACTCTGGATGTAGTTCGACGTTGATAAAAACATGATCTCGACTTGTCTAGCGTGTGCGATGAAACTGATGATCAATTAATTCTGCTCAGAATCCCCTCGCTCTCTGCTACCGCTTTCGGGTTCTTCCGGTCTGGACCGCCAGCAGCACTAAGACAAGCACTTTTGACGTCCTCCTAGGCAAGTAGTTAATTATTTAGCTATTAATTACCCACACCCTCTATTCTATATACACCGTTATGGGCCATGTACCGGCATCATCCTTCTGGAGAATTCTCGGTCCAACGGGGAACAGGGTCGTTTATCGCTCTAGCAAGGCCACGCGCAGGTGTATACAGGGTTGCTCAAGCCCCTGCGTACCCAAGTCGACCGAGACGAGCATTCACAGCATCCTGTTTGCAGCTCAATCGGGAAGCCAACTGCTCCTGTATTAATTTCCACGATGGCTGGTCTTGTTTCAGACGGCTCGGGAGAGCGATAGTGGATCGTTATGGCCTGTCGGCTTGCTCCAGTTAGTTACGCGTCAGGAGTGTTGATATTATCTATTAACTATCAGTTCTAAGATTAGATAGAACTGACATTCTCCCACGCTAGACCGTTCACGGGAAAAGACGACTTATTAGCAGTCGCGCTGTCAGAAGTCAAGACAATTCCAGGCAAGGCTTGGGGTGTTTAAATCAAATATGACAGAAAGGGCCGCTTTACCATTGGGAGAGAATATAAAGTCGACAATAATAAAAGGTGGATAGTGACAGTTTCATCTAAAGTATACCATTAGCGGGAAACAAAAGCCCTACTGGTATGTTTTATTGGCTGCCTCGGCAATGATCAGCGAGATGTCACCATTTTTTTTTGAGTCTAGATAGGTTCTTTGTTGGCTCAAGCTGCGAACTAGTTATCGAAAGTACCTATCTAGATTAATCGAAGGCCTGGGACGGGGCTCTTCCAGTTGATCCTCCCCTCTCTCTCTGAGGCCAGTTAGTCTTGCTTTTTATACGTCAGTGCAAGACCGCTGGATAACACACGGGACGACTCATATCGCTCCAAACATCAAAAGCCAAAACAATAATTGCAGTTTAGTTACACCAATGGTTCACCGCTGACTGGAGAAAACCAATGGCAATAAAACGTCCGCAGATTTTCAGCCAGTGACAAGCGTCATAACCTTGCATACAAACTAGATTCAAAAGACAGGGCGGGGACTGCTGTGTTGGCAGTGTTACACTCGAGTCCTTTGTTAAGTACCTAAATATGCCCGAAGAAGCTACAATCACGCAAATGCAGCAGACGTGCTAAGTTACCCTAATCTTGACATGATCTTCGCGCACCAAGACGCTACGGAGAGTGGGATAGGCCTGTATACGATGATCGATCTGTCTCTCTGCCTAGTAGCAGTTACTCTGGAGCGAAACTCACTGACTGAGCTTGAATTCTCTAGCAACTAGCTCAGCCTATTTATCTCTGTGGGTGGAGCTAGAAAGGCGTGGGAGAAACCCGACAGGAGGGAGGCCTGCTTGTAGGCAGGCCTCAACAGTTCCTATGGTGGTCAGCAAAAAGAAAAAAAAAAGAGAATATTGTGCTGTGGACTAATTGGTTCAATAGTTGAAAGTCTGAGCGTATTTACAAAGGGCGCTTCAAATATTTTATGCTCAGACAGCATAAGGCTCGAGTCCCCTCTTTTGCGGTTGAGCTTTTGCGAACACATATAAATCATGCAGTTCTTACAGATGCTCAAGGATAATCCCGAGGACATTCACATCTCTTGAAAAATGTCTTGTCTCCTTCAAACGGGGAGGCGTTTCAAGCGGCTTCCTGAAACATGATCGATCCATTGAACCGTTGGCAGGAAGAGAAGGATTTCGCTTCACCATCAATATGACTAAGTCTTACAACGCAGAATCTCCCATTCCTGGTCCTTGCCATCCGATTGTGGTACTTTCAACGCGTTTATATTTCCCTGCGAAGATACCCAGATATGAGTGCGACGATGATATGGCCCCCACGAGCCAGCCTTCTTCAGCACTGACAGCAAGAGTCTGAACCGCTCATCAACCCGTCGCGCCCAAATAGCCACTGGCTACGACCAATCTGAAGTCCATTAGGCTGCTCGATCGGCAAATATCATCCAGTCACAGTCTGATCTTCATCGTGCAACCAGCATGGCACGCTTGACGCTAGGAAGCTGATTGCAGCACGGCCGACCGTAGGCCGCATGGCCCTGAGGCTCTTAATTCCATTCCGGCGTTTGTTGACTGTGAGATCCAACCACACGACTCGATCGCAGCGCCGATAGAGAGATCGTCGTTCCCGCGGCGCCAACAACTCGATCATTAACTGTTTCCAGCCCCGCCGCAAGCTCAGCTGAGCGCTTGGAGGCGTCGAGCTAGCTCCCAGCTGCTGGGCGGTTCTCGTCGCGCGTTGTGTGCGTTTCTGAAAATCATCTCATCTTTCTTCTTCCTGTAACATACTCATTGCAAGAAGAAGAAGTACAAGAAAGAAAGCATTATCCGCAGCGTGGGCGTTTCTTGTTGTTTATCGATCCCGTCCCCCGCCTTCGAGTCCCCCGCCGAACTTATCGATCTGATGTCGCTCCGCGTTCAGGATCCACGGATACGATCACGGTCCAAGTCTCCCAGTGGTCGCTCTGTGCGGGAGCGTTCCAGGTCCCGCGACAGTCGCGCTCCCTCTCCTGCGCCAGGGAAAGATGCGCGCAGGTCGTATCAGTACGACTCCGATGAGGAGACGCCGAGGTACGTATCAGGTCAACAGAAAGTGAGGAGCAACGGACGCTCCGATGTCGAGCGAGAGAAGTCGCGCCAGACAGAGAGGGACCGCTACTATCACTCAGATTCGGACGGTGATAGCGGACATCATGGATCCAATGGTCGATCGGGGCGGTCTCGTTATGACCCTGACTCCGACGACGGGGACAGGAATTACTATCTCTCCCATGGGAATAGGCCATCTTCTCGATATGAGAGCTATGATGATGCATCACTGCTCGATTCAGACGACGAAGCACTTGTCTACGGCGATGTACCGGCGTCCATAGCTGGAAAGAACTACAAACTGCCTTCTGCGCCTCAACCTCCTTCTCGAGACGATTACTTGAACACTACGAGGAGAGACCATGATCGCCCGTCACGCTCATCATCCCGCGTGCGGTCGCGGGCAAATTCTCACGCTTCAGATCAGGCTCCTGGCGTGCATCCTAGCTATGCCAGACCGGAGCGTTGGAGTTATGCGCAACCAACCCAGTATTCCCATACACAACCAGCAAGCTTGAGTGATCAGCGACATCCCAGCTACAGCAATTCCCAAGCTCCAACCATCCCAGCTGACTGGGCGCCTATACCAGAGTGTGAACTTCCCGGCTTCGTACCACCAGTTTCTCATGTCCACTCTCAGAGTATTCCTGGAGGATTCCCTAGCACTCTGTCAAGTCCGAGTATATACGTTCAACCAGATCCAAAGTTTCCGTCGCACGGAGCGTCGCCGCCAGTATCTCCACGGCCGCAATATGCCAACCTCCCACCCCAGCAGTACGTGCAAGGGCCTTCGACTGCAACCACCGTGCCTCCGGCAGACACACATCACACTACGTCGGTCCCGCAACTACGATATGCAAACCCGGGGCAATTCCAGTATGCGCAACCTGATCCAAACATCAAATACGCATCGAAGTCAAACAAGGTGTCATACACCCAGAGCGACAGCAATCAATTCGTCAAGCCTTACACGCAGAGCGCAGATCCGCAATTCGTTGAGATCAAGCCAGGCGGAGGCAGGGCTGACACTTCTTCTTCTCAGCGCCATCGTCCTCACAGCCTATCTGTATCCTCTGCGAATAACCTATCCGTCACTGGGGCCCATACTGGACGCCCACCAGCCAGTCCGCTGCTAGAAGCGTACAAAGGAACGTATCAGTCCATCTCACCGATGCCGTCTCCGATCATGATGGCTCCGCGGCTAGATGACGATTTCTCCGACATCGAGGCTCTGGATGGAACTACCGATTCTGAGCGGCGGAAAAAGCACAAGAGGAAGTCTTCCAGAGATGACCGACATGATAAGGATAAAAAGAAAGAGAAAGAGAAGGAGAGGGAAAAAGAGAAAGAGAAAGAGAAAGACCGCAAGCGAAGACACGAGAGGCATAACTCCTCCAACGAAGATGTGATCCTGATTTCGCCCACGAGCACTCGCAAAAAGGTCTCTTTCTACGATCCGACAGAACATGCTCTCGCCCTGCGGGAGACCCTTGCTCATCGCAACATCGACTCGAAACCGCTTCTAGACATTCTCCCACACCTGACGAGCGATGAAATCCTTCTCCTTCGTGCAGAGTACAAGAACCACGCCAAGTTACACGGCAAAGGCATCAACATCGCAAAACACATCAAGCTCAAGCTGGGAAACAGCACCTTCGGCAAAGTCTGCTACGCCACGGCCCTAGGACGCTGGGAATCCGAAGCCCACTGGGCCAACTACTACTACCAGGCTGGCACCTCACGTCGTGAACTACTGATTGAATCGCTCATCGGTCGAACTAATTCTGAAATCCGCGAAATTAAAACCTGCTTCCGCGACAGCAGGTACGGCAACAGTCTTGAAAAATGCATGCACGCCGAACTGAAAGCGGATAAGTTCCGCACCGCCATCCTTCTCGCCCTCGAGGAACGTCGTCAGAGCGACCATGAACCGCTGGATCGCAGACTCGTCGAGCGAGATGTGCAGGAGTTGCGTCGTGCCGTCATATCCCGCGAGGGCGGTGAAACTGCAATGATCTACATCATCGTCCTGCGCAGCGATAACCATCTACGTGAAGTTCTTCGTATCTATGATGCGCATTACCAGCAGAACTTCACTCGAGCTCTGATTGCAAAGTCGCAGAACCTCGTCGTAAGTTTCCTTGAACCCCCTGTCCGAAGATAAAGAAAGAAAGGTTCTGACTTAATTCCCAGGGCGAAACACTCGCTCACATCCTCAACGGCGCCATGAACCGCCCTATGCGCGACGCCCTCCTTCTTCATCAAGCGATCAGTGAATCGCGCTCTGGGCGCGAACGATCCGAACTGCTCATCTCCCGCCTCGTCCGTCTACATTGGGAACCAAGACACCTGGAGCGCGTAAAGCATGAGTACCGAAAGCGGTACGGACAGCGATTGGAAGAGTCAATTGCGGAAGAAGTTGGCAGTAGCGATTGGGGCGAGTTCTGTATCGAATTAGCCAATAGTTCGACGGATTTGACTGTGAGGTCTTGAAACGAATGATGAAAAAGAGGAACGAGTGTATCCTAAATGTTTTTGATGTGATTTGCTATGTTCACGGTTTCTGCTTGCACAAGGGTTCATGAATGGAAGCATATGAGTGTACAGACCTTATTTTCCACTTCAATACCCGTCTCTGTTTGGCGTTGGGGTCTGTCCCGTTGGATATCTTACGTTGTTAGAGCTGATATTGACTGACGATACTTGAGCATGATTATGACAGTCTTTTTTCGTTAGCTATGCCGGACACGTACAAGTCTCTGGCTCTTCAAGTCACGCTACGTTTTTTTGCGAAGTGATAATCTACCTCAATCTTCCAGGACCGTGTTAAAAAGTACGATAATTCGATAGCAGAGTTGTACGTACTTAGACTGCTCGCAGACTTAAAAGTGGTATTGAGAAGACAACAAGATGAGAAGAGAAAAGAGGTATAGGAAACATAGGTGTGCTGGCGGGTGTACGCGCAGACGCAGATTTGCGGCGCGACTTTTGAGGGGGGTATGGGTATGAAGATTTTTCGATGCCCTGAAGAAACAAGAATTATCGAGAAATTTCCGATCCAACAGGCGCCAGGCTCAGGCCTAAGCCTTGGAAGACATTCAAGTCGCGAGACAAGCTCGTCGGAACAGCTAGAAAAAGAAAAAAGTAAAGAACAAGAAAAAACAGAAGGGGAATAGAAAAGGTCATGGAGAAACCGAAAATGGAGACAATTGAAGATAAGAGGAAAGAAACTGAAAGGAGTTTGCTTCCACACGAAGAGACGTGAAACAACTCGGATGAAGGGAGTGGGCATAAGGAGTGTCACGAATTGAGAACAGCTTGCGTAGATAAAAATGCGGCCTGGGGGCAATTGGTCCAGATAAAACACTTCTCCAGCACACTGCAAAGGTGCATTACCTAGGTTGGAGTCAGGCATATCCGGCGAGATGTTGCTATACTTTCATCGGGAGGCAGAGATAAGATCTTCGCCGGTAAGCCTTACCCGAGTCAAGTAAGCCTTCAGAGCATCGGACCCAGCAACAAGTAGTAGAATTGAAAAAGATCCCTGACCGGAGGATCAAGGATGACAAGCATTCGAATCGCGGCACACAAATAGAGAAAAATGGCCTTGTCTCCACGAACTTGCGAGAATCGCATCTCTGCAGGAAGACTTGTCCCGCGCCAGGCCTCAGACAAGCAGCCTAAGAAGTGTTTGTTTGCTAGACCCTCCTGCATGAGAAAGCTAGCGCATTGCAGACAAGGGACAAATTTATCGCGATGCAATTCCACCTCTATATCCAGGGCCCTGTCTTCCGCTGTACCCGTTCCCGTTCCGCACGGGAGCCGGGGCACCGTTCACAGACTTGCGGTTGAGACGGTTCGTCCGCCATCCCTCATACCATATTTCACGACTCGCTTCACGGAGTTCGGATCGCCACTCGGTGAATACGGCGTCTTTAAGCTTGACGAAATCACAGTGTTCCGGATTGTATGGGTCAGCAAAGCCCCAAGGGAACTGGCGGCCCACTGGTCCCTTTGTAGGGTCCATTGAGTGAGGGTCTGGAGACAGGATAGAGAGGGGAATCGAAGGAGTTTCAGAATTGGAACTCAAAGATCTCTGACTCCTGTGACTTCTCTGGCTCTTCTGGCTGTGTCTAGAAGGAGAATCTGGGCTAACGTCCCCATCATCCTCAAGCTGAGTCTCTGACTCCGCAGCTTGATCCTCCGAAGGTTCTTTTACAGCTTCAGCTGCGTTCTTCTCCTCCTGGCTCTCCTCGTCCTCTTCGTTCTCGTCAAATCGATCAGCGCTGGCCGAAGAGGAGTAGTCGTCCTGCTCCTCAAGAGTGAGGACTTCCAAGGGGTCGATGTTGGCCATCTTCAAGCTGTCCCAGACAGCCTTTTTCAGATAGGCCATATGGGCAGTCGTCACGGTATCTGCTTTGCTGATGACAGGGACAACGGTAGTTTTACCCAACAGAGTGCGGAGAACCTGGACGTCTAGGTCTTCGTCCAAGGCACCAATCACGCCAGAGTGTCCAGATAGTTTCCCATTCAGTCCGTTGGCGGTTCTCGTTGCAGCAGTAATATTTTGGTCGAGACGTGAAGGATCCAGGATCAGGAAAACGCAGTGGATGTGAGTGTCGCGTACGCCGGGTGAGCGAATCACTTTCATTTCCTCTGCGAAAGTCTCTTCAAATTTGCTTTCAATGAAATGGGTGATCTCACGCAGCTGCAGGTCGACCATGTTCTTCTCTATGCCCTGTGAGTCCCAGAGAGTGAGTCCCACGCGCTCAGCATCGATCTCAGTTTCCAAGTAATGGTAAGTAAATCCTGGGTTCTTGAAATTTGGCTGCTCCACGTCCTCGGGATGCCTTGTGGGGTGTTTATTCGGTGGAAGAGCCAAGGAAGTGCGCAAGAAATCGAGGAAAGACGTCTTTCCAGAATTGCGAGCACCAATGACAAGGATGCTGGACAATGGATTAGTACAGAGGCTAGTAGCAAATAATTCATGAGATAGATCTACTTACTTGTACGGCGTTGGATCCTTACGCCTCCGCAGTCTTCTGGGGCTGTTGACAGAGCTCACAGCACTGCTAGCGTAACTGAATCGTCCACGGTGGGTCATGCTCTCTGCTCTCGCGTAAGGGTCATAGCTCTCTCGTCCTTGACTGCCCGGAAGAGGGGGCACTGGCCCAGCCTGGCGCAGAGATGAAGTTCGGCTATCGACTCTACTTGAGACGGCAGACTCGTCCTCAGATTTGTCCTTTCCTCCAAACGTCTCAAGTTGAGGCGTTGGTGATAAGTCAGGCAAACGAGGTGCATGCCTTGAGATCGCAGCCTCACGCTGACGGCGCTCTTCTTCTCTGGCTTGTTCCTTGAGCATCTTCTTGTTCATCCGACCGCCAGACGCTTTGCGGTCTCCCAGGGGCTCAGTGGATTTGGAGCGGCGGAGGAAGTTTAATGAAGACTTGCGATTTTCTTTTCCATTGATATCTTTCCCATTCTCAGTGATGGATGGGAGCGCCTCTGGGGGAGGAGAACGTCCCTGGACGCGCGGGCTGGAAGTTGCGGTTGCCATGGTGGTGGGAGCTTCGCGGTTGCTCTCTCCTTGTTGACTGATCAGGAGAAGGTCACGGGGTTGTGTTGCTCAACAAGCCAAGATTGGGTGTTTTGTCTGATAAAGATATGAACTCGAAATAGTAGCAAAGCACAATCGAGCTCGGAAAATGGACCAGTCCAAGTTCGTGATTCCTGCGTGATGAAGACATGTCAGTTCAACAGCTCAACAACACATCAGGGGAGCCCTCCACTTCCATCATCCATTGATGACTTTATGAACTCCGCATCTTCTTTTTTGCCCTCGCCCACTCCAGCATTTATCTTGGTGGCCAGACAACGTTTGAATGGAGAAAAAGGAGGCTTATCATTGGTCTATTTACTTACAATACCTGTTGACGCCTTGTGTTGGACTGACAAGTGGGGAGGTCTCGATGTAGATCAGATGGTATCACAAGCACTGTTGAAGATTATTCCCACGCCTTTTCTGGCTAGTCCTTGTTCTTCGTCGGGTTGAAATCACGATCACTCGAAATCCCGAAAAGCTACAAAGAACTTTACGTGGGCACCGAGCTGAGTGAGGTGACTTTTCCAGACGGATTCAGGAGCTATCAATATCCACGGCGCTCTCTTATTTCTTTCCTTCTGTGGGTAATACTGCGGTGACACGGCAAAGCAATTTTATCCAAGGTCGTACGCAGAGGTCGGAAACGGATTGTGGAAGACGCGATACTGCAGATCGAATGAGGGGTTCTGATAATATGGCGATGAAGCAGCAGAGGAAATAATGACATCCACGTGTCCAGCAAGCGATTGTCAGTTGCAATTTCAACCAGCTCCGCAGCTCAGGACAGAGGACCCCAAGAGGCGACAAAGGGAACGAAGGAATCGAAGGCGAATGCGCAAGACGAGGAGATCCTGTTCACGGCGTCCCGCGGATGCGTTGCATCAAGATAAAGGAGAGACGAAAGGGAAACGGTCTGGGAGAAACAAAATCTCGACCAGAATAGAACAGAAGCGATTTTTCTCTTCTGTTTCCTCCGGCTGGTTCTTTTTTAGCTCGTCGCAAACGATAATCCTGACGCTTGACCCTTCTCGTGTTCGTCTGGGCCTCTTTCGATCCTCAATCTCGTCGCGGAGAACCATTTGAAAGCGCATTCAGGGGCATCAGGGGCGAGTATCGGCTCTCCCCACCCACCTTCATCTTCTGCCGCTCAGGCCTGGCCCTGGCTGTCGTTGGTCAAATCGCAATTATCCTGGAGGCGCCAGCAGGCCACTAAACACAGGCGGTTGACGTAGCTTCGTGACGGCTCCGTCCAACCTTACTCTGTCTGGATAGCTGACCGGTAACCGTTAGCCCTACCAATTGTTTCGGAATCGATCTTGGGGCGGCATGGGGGGTGAATAAACGGTCAATCTCGAGCTCTGTGTCGCCCACTGTCCTCTCCATCGCCACCTTTGCCTCTGGGGTTTCTTACGCAGACGTCGCACGCAAGAACAGCAACTCTACCTTCTTCCTATTTGTTTGGTACCTGACTATGTAGATACTTAGTCTAGCCGTCAAGAGAACCATATGTTCGTGCAGCCGAGCGGAGTACCAAGTTACCAACATACGGGGAAGTTTACTGTGGGTACCAGTCAAGTATCTTTACTTGCATAATTGGCGGCTGAGATACCTCGCAGGTACTTGGCGCTAACCGTAGCTACACGTGCCCGGATCCGCTCGGGCTCTTCTCCTTTTCGCGCCCACGGTTCGCGCAGTGTGTTTACCCCTGATATACTGGTCCACTTAGTGGCAGAGTTCAGACCACAGCCTGTTTCGCTAGATATATGGGAATTCATTATTATATATGATGCTTATCGCCTGGCATGTCATTATCATGGATATTGTCGTTATCCACCGTCACTCTGTCCTCCCCATTCATAACGGTCGCGCATTTCACAGCTTCGTTGTTGGATATAAGCTACTATTTCTCCTTCCACGTCCGGAAGGGCAGCACGATGCACGGACTGGAGGGGCAGACCTCTTCCCGAACCAGCTTCTTGAACTTAGGCCCGTTTGGTCCCGCGCTATACTTGACCTGTCCGAAGATCTCCGTCTGGTTGGGCAGCTGGTCATCTCCCCATTGACCGTTGAAATAGAGCCAGTTAACCGGGTAGCTCTCGTCATACGGAGTAAAAGTCTGGGTTGTTGCATCATAGCTATAAGCATATGCGCTCTGGACGGGGTCCCACAGTACACCTTGGTCGGTATAGTCGACGATGAGACCTTCGGGCAGGTTAAAGCCGGGAATGGTGTGGTCATGCTCTCTGAATAAATCGTTCCGGGTAAGTAAGAGACATAGAAGACTTCCAGCTAATAGAGTGCGCATACCCTGCGATAGAATATACAGCATGAGTTCCGTTTCCCGAGTATCCAATCGGCCGTTTCCCCTGCTTTTCGGTCGCATCGTACGTGAAAGCTTGTCCGCTAGAATGTTGACTGTACCAGAGCGCCTGCGGGATACCATTGTCGAATCGGATCATATTATGTTCCCTTGAGTAGTCAGTCCTCGCCTTTGTAGACTTTCCGATATGTTGACCTACCAGTCGCCAACATGGTCGCCGAATTCCATACCCAAGACGGTATCACCTAGGTTGTATCTACAGTATCATTAGCATAGCATGAGCTTTTGATGCTGCCAGATCACTTTACTTACGCATAGAAGTAGAAGTAGAAGGCGTCCACAGTTCCGTTTCCATGCTCATAGACCACGATGGCACAACTGACGGCACCTTCTGTCTTGCCCTGCGCGTTTGGCGTGACCCCTTCAAACCATGCGGGCTGTGGGTTCGCATTGATACCTTCCTTCGATGTCAGGTAAACACTGGTGTTTCCCATGTCATTGAGGATGTCGAGATTATTCAGATTCAATGGTGGAGTATCGATCACCGTCCGGTTGACTTCTGGCACCGTGTGCACAACCTGCTGCCCAATATCGGAGGGTCTGTAGGCGTCCTGGCTGTACAACCAGATGAGAGGGGCTGGAACGACATCAGCTACTTGTATACAAGGCGATATTGTCAAGCAAACTAAGGATTGTATATCATACCATAGTCCAACACGTAACTCGGAACCGATGTGGTAGAGAGTACAGTTTGTGCTATCGCAGCACCTGTAGATGACATGGCCTGTAAGCCAGCAACAGCCAGCATCATTGACGCGAAAGATTTCATCGTCGGCAGCCCAAGTACTGTGTAAAATTCCGTCAACTGACTGTGTCGTCCGTTCTCTTCCTAGAGCACAATAATATGAAGAGCAATAGTGTTCCTGAAAGCCCTATATAATCCTATACAGACAATCTTTGCCTGTCTCTGCTGCTCTAGAGAAGGAGACTATAGGGAGGACTGTTCGGAGAGCAGCTTGCTCCATTGATCGGTATATAAACCTGATAGGAGGGGAAGGGACCAGCAACAACAACATGAGGCAGGTAGGACCGACATATGGCTCTAATAACGGTCTTCTGATGAACGACAAACTCCTCTTATCCATCCATCCGACCCCGTGGGCCACCTCCACTGGAAGGTACGCATCAGCCAGCAGGGAGCTCGTAAAGGAAGCAGTAGAGATCGCATGCACGCTATGTCACCGTGTCAGGCTGAAAATAGGTTAGTTATCGATACCCCCAAGGAAGGGGGTTTCGAAGCCATGCTGTGAGCGCGTTCTCCGATTTGAGGATCATGTCGGTGCATGTGGCTTGTGCAGAGCATGAATGGTCGACCTGACGCTGATCACGGCTTGTCTGGCGTAGTCATTCGGCCGGGATCGACAAATCACACTGTCGGCTGTGACTGGAAAAGAACACCCCACGAGGTTTGGTTCGGGAAGATCATTCATGCTATACAACCTGACAGGCTGATCATCTTTCTTGTTTTCAATCATCATGGAGTGTGAAGTTAGCGTGAGTAATACTAGATACTAGCATCTCATACAAGGAGTAGGACTGTAGAATAGAGTGTGGTGGTAACTAACTAACTATTCAGTCGGTTGTAGATCTTAGTATGAGCTTGTTTGTCTAGGTAACTAGCTACCTCGACCACCTTTATTATTACAAAATCCGCGGGGTTCGCGACTTCGGCCAGATCCTCTTTGCTATTACAGTAGAGCGCCGGCAGTGATAAATTCTCAAGTATACAGTGTACCTAGTGAAAAGTATCCTCTCTATCCGTTTCGAGACGCTCTCTCGACACCTACGCAGAAGAGCCCATACTCATGTCCTACAAGACTTTCAGATGCACTGTCGATCGATCTAATTCTGATCTCTTAATCGAATATAACGTGATATTGATTAATCATTCACCCTGAAAGTACCATCATGACTGCCCAAGAGCTTCCTTTTCCTTTTCCTTCATCTTGTTAAAAAGCGTCAAGTCCAGAGGAATCCTTTCCCCCAACCACGTCGCCTGCTGGGTATGGTTTCTCAACTCTTCGGCTGCCCCAGGAGTTGTGTTCGGATGTATCAACGCGCTCAATGGGCCACGATTAATGACCAGCCATGGAACAAACGCACCGAACTGCGCGGGTGTGAAGATGTTCACTTCGAACATGGCAACGGGATGCGGACCGACAGGACGGTCGAAGAAAGCGTAGATGCGGAGTTCGGGGACTAGATAAGTAGCGTCAGCAAGTGTGTTCTTTAAATTTGACCATCGGGATGGGGAAACGAGGCTTACATTCGCGCCGTATTCGTTCCCAGAGGGCTTTGGCAAATGCGGCTTGTTCGGGATTATTCTATCATTTGAATTCGCATTAGACCAAAGAGAATTCCTTTCTCGTGAGAGTTGGACATCAACGAAATTGAGAAATAATACTTGAAAATGATAAATATGAATATCAAACCCTCCTCTCCGGTCCTTGCACAAGGGGTCCGGAAACTCCTCGTATGCTTTACTCAACACCCCATGCTGTGGGTTTTTGAGTGATTTCCCATCTTCATTTCTTTCTCTGTATGGAAATAGGGCAGTTAGAATACCATGCATATGCAAAACCATGAATATAGATTTGACTACTCACTCCGATAATGGTTCAAGCCCCTCGTACCCCTCCAGCGGCCAGGGATAGGAATAGTCAAATTGAGACGTCATGTTTTCCTTGGGCCTCCCAAGTATCCTTCTTCCTTTTTGTCTCTTCTGCAATGAATCACTCGTTTCAGAATCAGTAGAATCAGAGTTGCTTTTCAGTTGCACTTTTGGAAACTCGTCTGACCACCACAAGAATCTGCGTTTTCGGAGCCGGCAATATTCGTACTATTAGGTACCTCCCCGACTTTTCTTTGCTACTCCCAACTCTAGAGGTAATACGGAATCGATCAATCAAAGGTTACCTAGCTTCAGCAGGAGTCCAAATTAACCTTCTCAGAGATCTTCCTGTGACACGCGACACCGTGATTAATAATTCGGTCTCAATGCCCTAAAAAGCCAGTGGCGTTGAAACCAGCTTGAAGTATGCGGGGAATTAGCGCCAAAAGATCATCGGTATTCGAGGTCTTCTCTCGGCCGCTTACTTACCTAGAAAAGAGCAGGGAAGTCAGAACTGGATTTGCACCAGCTTGTAGGTACCTTTATCGATATTCTGGTAATGTCAAAGCCTAGGTACTCGTGTTATATTCAAATCGATCGAAGTTGGAAATGATGTAATTTACTCTGGAAGTTCCGCGATTGTTGCTCGCCTGACAAAGCAGGGCGGAACGGGCCGCGACATGCCATTTGTGCGGAATTCGAGGTCTTGAATAAACTACGCATTGCTGAATCTCTGAGATAGGGATGGGATCGTGGGGAATGCGGGATTGAGCTGAAGTATTAATTAATTTCTGCTCATTATGCACAATATTTAAAGCTTGTGTCGTGGATAAGAAGTGGGTAGATCAATTGGTAGGTGAACGGAGCTTCCCGTTTAATATATTTCCATTGAAGAGTTCGGATCAATAAAGAATATCACATCAGACTCATTTAGGGCCTGACTTCTGTATGCTATATGATTATATGCCAAGGAAATACATAACCATAATTACTTGTGATAACTTTGGCGATATCCACTAAACGATACTAATGAGGTTATGAGACCACTAACTATCATCTACAGAGCAGGGTATCATATTAAAGAATGCCGTCTCTACCAAGGCGCCTTGAGGTCGACATCTCCATCGTCGGTCAGTACCTTTCCTCGATCCCACTCACGACCCTCTCCCTTCTTCGCCCATTTAAAGTCGTCAATGCTCTTCTCCCTTTCACCGTCACCAAGTCCAGAGAAAGCGGTGTTACCAGCCCACCTCTCAACCATACTATCACCAAACCCAGCTTCACGGAGACGCTCTGCACCTTTCTTCTTCCAGACAGCACGATCGCGCAGTGCTTCTAATGCCATATCCCAATCGTCTTCTTCGGTCATAAGACCTGCGACTGGGCGACGAGTGGATCGACTTGTGGGGCCCGCTTCTTCATCGTCGAGTTGAACATCCAGCGTCGGGTCGTAATTAGATGCAAAGTGCGCATCGATGTTGCTGGTGCCTGTTCTGTATGCTCCTCTACCTCGAGTGCGGATCGTAGGTTCTTTGTTTGAACCGGGAGGAAGAGGGCCAATAATGTCCTCCAGTGGATCTGAATCATCGTCAGAAAGACGATCCTGAGTTGTAGACGTCGCCTGCTCAGGCTTGTCTCGCTGCGTTTCGGGCTTATCACCGGGGCGTGGTGAGAGCGATGACACCTTGTGTCGCTCTCGCGAGCTGTGGCGGCCTTCATGATCTCGAGACCTATACTTTTTGCGCCTTGAAGATTCGGGAGATCGCGAACGGGAACGAGAAGGAGACACGGAAGAACGTGTTCTATGGCGTCGATGGTAAGACGATCGGTCATGTTCTCGTATATGCCGTGAGGAGCGACTAGGAGACTGCGAACGCTCTCTATGCCTTCGTGAACGGTGACGCTCATCATCATCGTCTCGTCGCCGATGCCTCCTCGACGACCTATGATGGTCATCCTCATCGTCACTGTCCCGCCTCCTCCGATGTCTCCGCGAACGATCCTCCTCCGCCAGATCATCGTAATGCCTCGAGCGACGAGAGCTTATCTCTTCATCGCGGTCTGTGACGCGCCTTCTCTTTGCTGCTCGCTCGCGGTCCTCGTCATGTCGGCGGGATCTACCTGACGATGACTTCTCTGCGCGCAAGTTTCGCATTCTCTCTCTCGTCTCTTCTTCCTCCTTTCTCTTTAGCGCGGCATTGTGACTATCTGTATCCCTGAGAATATTTTTCAGGAAACGAGTATTTGGCTTCGGTGCTCCTGTCGTGGGTCTGAGTAATTGTTAGTAAATGCAAACACCATAAGGAGATAAGGAGATCAGTGACAGGAGAACATACCTTCGATGCATATAAGCCTGCATCCCCAGGGCTGAATACTTGAGTGAGCTGTCACGCGCATCTTTCGCAAGCAGTTGTGCAACATAGTCATCGCTGTTCGTAGGGTCGTCGATTGCCTCTCCGAGAGGAGGCATGGTGATAAGATAAATTGCTGGCGGGTGGGAACTGAAGAGCTTCGACGACAGGAATAGTCTATACGATGCGACTTTAAAGACACATGCGCAATGAGATATGACTATTCAAGAAATTCCATTTTACTAAAAGTTCTTTTGTGAATAAGAACGATAGTTGACGGCGCCCACTAACCTCTCCAACTTCGGTGACTTCACCGCCGCAAACAGGACAAACACGCATTTGTTTACCTCCGCGGGGAGCAGGAATTGCGCTTGATATCGAAACCACACCTAACATATTATCTTGTCACGTCAGACCTTTAACGATCAGAAGGATTTTGAAGGCTTGACGACATGGCGCCTATATCTCCGTCTAAAGCATTATCGAAATTGCAACAGCTCCAAAAAGAGCAGGGCGATCCGAAGAAACAGCTCGCCATTCTCCGGATCAGCGAATCCATTCTTGCAACAGATGACGTTCCAAAACCAACTCGCTCTCCATCTAAGCGCAGATCAGACGCATCTATCGATGCACTGGATACGCCTACGCCTTCTTCTTTGGAAGCGGATTTGACACATTATAAAGTGAGTTGTGGTTCATGTTTTGCTGGGCTTAGTTATGTGCAGGTCCGGTTTAATATGAATGAGAAACTGATAATAGGCTCTAGGAACTCTTCTCAAAACTCCGCTTTTCGTATATAGAGCAAGTCACCAAGGAAAAGTTTCTCCGTGCGATTGTAGGCGATCCGCCTCTGGTCGTTGGACACAATGAGAATGTTGAACTCGAGGCGCAGCTTGCGGAGGTGAAAGCAGAGCTCAAGCAGCGCAAGGAGGAAGTTAGAGTCATGGTTGAAGAGATGGAAAAGATGGGGAGAGATCTTGCGAGCCGTGAGTATTTTCCATTCCATTTTGGATGTCCCCATGTCGCAAAATCGATTCAACAACTGCGCTACCACCGGGAAAAGAAATGTCTGCTGAACATTTCCATATCCAGGCTACAAGAATATCCAACTGCAGACGACACAACTTTCGACTCTCCCAGAATCAATTCAGAACCTTGAGTCCACCATCGCGATATTACGTGCGAAACAAATTACCACCACTGATGACGTCTCATCATCACAGAACCTTCCTCTGCCCGCCACTCTCGCATTACTTTCAGAACGTGAGGCTGAGTTAGCCGCCCTGAACCGACAGTTAGCTTCGCTACAGAACACGCTTCCGCGGAAGACAAGAGAGGCCGAAGCTATGGAGCGAGAGCTGGGGGTGTTGGAAAGGAAGAAGGGCGAAGCTGTGGCACAGGCCAAAGAAGCGCAAAGGAGGAAGCGCGAGGGCGAGAGTGACGGACTGGAAGAGATGGGAAGATGGTACAGGGGTACAGAAGAGAGTCTGAAACAATTGCTGGGCGTGGAAGGCTGAAATTGGTCTGCGCCGCGCTTTACGATTATAATGATGGCTACTGGGTTACGGTGTTAATAGGAATATGCTCAAGTTATGAAGCTACACAGTCTTGATTTAGAGGAAATGGAGTATCCTGCAGCAGATCTGCTCAGAAAGGAAGCCAGCTTGATAGCTTGGATTGGTATTGACTTCGTAATCATACACCATGTAACGCTATGCAGCGATGGCCCTGAAATCCCATCCGAAAAAGAGAAATTGTCCGTAGACTTCCTAACTTTTATTGATCTACTCCTCGTCCTCTTCACCCTCCTCGTCACCAGCACCCTCAGCGGCACGGGCCTTCTTGCGGCGAACACGGCCAGGGCGGCCACCACCGAAGGGAGAGGTGAGAGCGAAGTCAATGTGCTTCTGGGAGTCGAGGCGGACCATGTAAGAAGGAACGTTGACGATCTGCTTGCCGACACTAGACAAAATAAGTCAGCATATATAAAGTCCCCTCAATATATCATGGTATGCGTACCGGATGTGGCGCTGCTTGATCAGGACACGGGCGTGGTGGATAGACTTGGCGAGACCAAGCTTGTAGACGCAGGTCTGCAGACGGCGCTCCAAGAAGTCCTCGACCTTAAGGGCCAGGACGTAATCGAGCTTCATGCGAGACTCATCGAGGACACCGACACGGACGAGACGGCGAATCAAGGCGTTACCCTCGAAGAGACGCTTGGGGTCCTTGTCGTCAAGAGTGAGCAGCTCACTAGGTATCCACCGTTAGTACCTTTCCCGTATTTGAAGACCAATTCCCAGTCGCGACGCTATTCGAATCGCGCACGGGACCAAATCTCGAGACATACCGAGCAGCACGACGGATCTTGGACAAGGTCAGCTGGACGCGCCAGACCTCACGCTTGTTGCGCAGACCGTACTCGCCGACGATCTTCAATTCCGAGTCACTATCGATAAGAAGTTAGGGCATTGGAACAACACGACATAAACAACAGCACGCTGCTGCTTAGTGGCCGGGAAGTACTAACAGACGAGCCGACTCGAAAGCTGCATGATAGTTAGCGAATATATTCAATTTCGATATCTTGTTCCAAATCAGGAATACTCACGTCTACGAGGGACCTTGTAGGTCTTGGAGTAGGATCGCCTGTGTAACGCATTTTTGTTAGAATGGCTTTCGATGCGCGCTTCTCATGTGTCGTATACTCACGGGGCCATGGCTGCTGGGCTGCGGTTCCTGGTTGTCGAGGGTTGAAGATAGAACGAACTTCACGAATTTCAGAAGTTTGAAGTCTAAGAGCGGGTGAGTTGAGGCTGGCGCTAAGCGAGCGACGGCGCAGTCTGAATGGGGGCTAGTGCAAGGGTTAGCCCTGAGGCGGCCGAAAGTTGCGCACTAACTCTCCCGCGACCGACGAGCATCGTCAAAGTGCGGCAGAGAGAGGCACTTCTTCGTTGTCGACAACGCTTCATCACACCAGCACCATAACACCGCCGAGATGGGTCACTCTCACGGTTTGAGAAAGGGCACGCGGGTATGTTGTCGAAATAACTGTCAATGCGAAAAAATTGCGATTCGATCGGTACGCTGACTGTCGAATTACAGTATGCCTTCTCGCGCGGCTTCAAGAACCACGGCGTCATCCCTCTGTCCACCTACCTGAAGCAATACCGGTACGAATTCAATGGAAAATAAAGGATATGTGTTACAGAAATCTGATAATTTGATAGGGTTGGTGACATTGTGGACATCAAGGTCAATGGTGCCGTCCAGAAGGGGTCAGTATATTCTTCCCGATCGCTGGATTGAAATGGTCATTTGGCAGTCGTCGACACTGCGATCAGTCGAAATCTCGAAGGAACTTTTGGCTGAGAATTTTTTGCAGTATGCCCTACAAGGTCTACCACGGTAAGACCGGTGTCGTGTACAACGTTACCAAGTCCGCCGTTGGTGTCATCATCTACAAGCGTGTCGGCAACCGCTACCTCGAGAAGCGTATCAACGTCCGCATCGAGCACGTTTCTCACTCCCGCTCTCGTGAGGAGTTCATCCACCGTGTCAAGGAGAACGCCATCAAGAAGCGCCAGGCCAAGGAGCAGGGTATTCACCTGCACCTGAAGCGCCAGCCCGTCATGCCCCGCGACGCCCACGTTGTCAGCTCCGAGAGCAACTTCCCCGAGACTATCACCCCCATCCCCTACGACACCCACATCTAAAGGATCGGTATTCGGATGATGCGGTTGTTTGGTGTTTTCTGGGTTTACCGTGAAAGGATGGACTTTGCATGCTATGAAGCAAAATGGTCGGGGAACTTCTGGCACCCTATAGCCTGTGCATAGATTCCCCTAAATGAGAAAAAAGAATATATCCTCGAGGTTTTCAAAAGCACTCGCGTTCCATATCTCATCCCTCCTTCCGCCAGTTTCCGCCGGTCTTCGGTCTTCCCTGGCTCTTGCAGATTTTGCGACGACACATGGAAACGCACTACTCCATCTAGACTCTGTTTCATTGTCCTACTCTGCCAATACTGGTGGTTCGGGAGCACTATAGCAATGCAGCAGTGAACATAATAGACACTTCCATCCTTTTATGAATATTTTGCCCACTACACTTGCCAGGATACGCCCACGGTCTCAAGTGAGGTCACCAAGCACTGGCCACGCCGTTCACGGTCTATCATAAAAATGTTTTCCATATCAGTAATGTTCGCCTCTGCAGCCATATTTGGTGGTTTCTAAGTAATAAAGAGGAGAGCTTGGTTCAAAAGATACAATTTGTATCCGGAGTAGATGGAAAAAACGCAGCCCGGAGTACCAGTCTCTTCCTTCTTGGATCCAGACATTCTTGCCTGAAATAGACGCTGCTATCATGCAATTGCTATGCAAGTTCCACATCCTCAAGTATGATCTTCTCAGCTAGTTTTCTCTGCTGGTCCAAGTTTAGACAGTGCCCTCTATGTACGAGCAATTGGAGTCTGGATTCATGGCCTTTGCACGGGGTGCAGGATGGCGCCAGCAGGATTCTTCAGTCATGCTGGAGCTACTAACAACCACTTCAACCTTGTATACATTATTTCTACCGACTTCGTCTCTCAGCAATTCATCTCAATCAGTTCTGTCTTCAAGGCGGTCGACAGTGGATCAAGCAGCCGCCGGCTAAGCTCCGTCCGATTGGCTGTGCAGATTTGCAATCGGGGAAGGCAAAGAGGACCGAACTCCGCGAAAAAAAGTTACCAGCGCGGTCAAGAGAGCTGGCCCGACACTTTTGCCTCCGTTGCAACAAAAGACTTTCTACACTTTCCTATTGTTGTCTTTTCAGACATTGTACATTTAGCTATATCATCTAGGAGAGTCCATGTTATAATATCGTCATCTTGGCCTTCGAACCCTGATCCACCGCCGTCGGTCTGATGCGTATCTCGTTACTCGACAGCTAGAGTAAATTACTTGACTCCGACCGTGCCTATGACATACCCGACAACTTCTCACGCCAGCTCTGCGCAGGCGCATCTGGGTGGTGAGAAATATGCTGATTTGCAACCAAATGTTATTCCACAGTCCAGAGAGATGGGGGATGTGGTGCCAGAGTCATCGCTGCCTTCAGTCCAGGATGCGGAGAGCAAGCCCACAGCTAAGCCATTTGCGCATTTCGTCGCTGGAGGGTATGTTGGGAGGATTCGTTTCGCTATTCATCCTCTCTGATACTGATTGCCATGCAGAGTTGGTGGTATGACTGCCGCAACCCTCACGTCGCCGCTCGATGTCCTCAAAACCCGTCTTCAATCAGACTTTTATCAATCACAATTACGAGCCCTCCGCGAAGCACACCCACTTCCCAAGGCAGGCTCACCGCTAGTTACACTTCCACGCATTGCCCTGCTCCATTTCAGCGAGACCTTCCAGATTCTGCGCTCGATACACGTCCATGAAGGGTGGCGCGCTCTGTTTAAGGGCCTGGGACCCAACTTGATCGGCGTCGTCCCCGCGCGTGCTATCAACTTCTATGTTTATGGAAACGGAAAGCGTATACTGAGTGACTATTTTGGCTACGCTGGTGCGAAGGAGACTCCATGGGGTGTCCACCTGGCATCGGCCGCGATGGCGGGGATTGCGACAGGAACGGCCACAAATCCAATTTGGCTTGTCAAGACGCGACTGCAGCTAGACAAGTCGAATGCGGAGCATGGAAGAGGCCGCCAGTATAAGAACAGTTGGGACTGCATCAAGCAGACTGTGCGGCAGGAAGGAATTCGGGGTCTATACAAAGGTCTTTCGGCTTCGTATCTTGGTGTTACGGAGTCGTCCGTCCAATGGGTCATGTACGAACAAGGGAAGATGTTCTTCGCCCGCCGCCAAGCGGCCAAGGAGGCTGACCCAGCACATGTCCACAGTTTCTGGGATGATGTTGAGCTATGGGGTGGAAGAATCACGGCCGCTGGTCTAGCGAAATTGATAGCCGCAGCTGCCACGTACCCGCATGAAGTTGTGCGTACACGACTGAGGCAAGCTCCCACCGTCTCAGTTGGAGATGGTCAGGTCCAGATGAAATACACCGGGCTTGTTCAATGCTTCAAGCTTGTGTGGAAGGAAGAGGGCATGGCAGGATTGTACGGTGGTCTTACGCCTCACCTTCTGCGTGTTGTTCCTTCTGCTGCTATCATGTTTGGAATGTAAGTGCAATCCAACGCATCCTGCAATAACCTAAAATCAGATAGCTAACTACGTCCCAGGTACGAGGCAATCTTACGTCTCATGGGGGCCACTTCATAAGCCAGAGAGCTGGCTTAGGTTTTGCTACCTCCCTCCTCATCTGTATAATACGACCCCCTCTCTTCTCTACCCATAGATTCTATTGCTCAGGGGTGGGGTGATCGACACTTAGCCCTTTTCTAGCCTTGTTTTTCAAGAGGACTGATCGCATTGCCGGCGCATAATGTGGGTTAGCTTTGCTTTGGTCATGTTGCAGCCTGAAGTGCTGTTTTCTTAAGTCACTGATGTTTCGACACGTCCGCCCATGTAATATAAAGAGGAAATTTGGATGATACAACTCGAAGCAAGGCGTCTCATGTAATAAAAGGAAGTTAACTGGTTGTTAGCAAGGAAAATTAAAGTAACTACATTATTATTTACCATCTTATTTCCAGGGTGTAGATATCAGGCCGCGTAACGCTTACTTGGAGGATTGATTTCATACTATATACCACGTGTAGCAGCACTGTAGTGTGCAAACTAGGAGAAATGGTGTGTCTCCAAAGTCTCTTAGAATCCAAACAGGCTTTTAACAGGCTGCGAACGCCCCGCAGAATAGCTGGAAATTATATCCATTGGGGAGCGGGAGCTTTTAAGATTGGCATGAGATTTGTATATCAACGGCGGCCTGAGCACTAATAGTTCCCACAAAGCATCCTACCACAAGGAACCTTGTCAGTTTGCCAAGTCCTAGGATTACAGAAGCAGAAATGGAAGCTAGGTATGTGATTGGGATATGTCTTCTTGGTTGCTTGACTACCTGAAACTACCGAAATTTACGACCTGTTCATGTTCTAAGAAGTGAGTTACAAAGAGCTCGAACGCTGGCTCTGCTACTATGTCATACTCTAGTATTACGGATGCGGAATCCTCTCTTTAACGCGTATGGTGCCTGCTAGTTAATTAGCTGACGATTCCTCATATTCTTTATTTGAAATAGTCGAGACGTGTTGCGCTGGGTTTGCGCACAGTACAGCGGGGTAAGCGTTGACAATATCACAAAGCTAGTTTGCTAATTCCTGCTGTAGGAATTACCAAGGCAACGGAAATTATCCTGACGAAATGAAATGTTTCAATATTTGCTACAGGAGAATCGAGTGGTATATAAGCTTTGATTTTTTCCAAACAAAAGACCCGATCACATATCTCCCACGCAGCTTTTATACCCGTTCCCATTTCAGTTCTTCTGAACCTATTATTCAGGCACTTATTTGCAGACACCCTGGGCCTGGTTGGGCTCTTGCTGTTAATCGATACACGTTAGTTATACGTTCAGAACATATTTCTTTGGAATAGTGAAATACGTACAATGCAGAGTCCAGACTGGCAGATACCCATGCTTCCGTCCTTCTTGCAGGGCTGGCCGGAGGCAATCTGAATATTCGAGTTAGTCTAGAGATTCTGAGAAGAAAAGTGAATAGAGGTCATATCGAACCGTGTTCTGAGCGGCAGCAGCGCCGATGAGGGCAAGAGCAGCGAGGAAAGAGAAACGCATTTTTGCGGGAGACGTCGTGTGGATTTCTTGAGGACGTTGAGAGGATAGATAGAAGGATGTGTTTGATTCTTCTGAGAGTACTGTAGAGCTTGTAGGATTCGAAGGGGTATTTATATGTTTCTTCTGGCAAGCTTACCCGAGGATGACCTGAATCTCTTAGACATTAAACCCTTCCCCCTGTTCCAGTTAATTATAGCAATTGACGTAGATCATTCACAGACAGGGCAAGACGTTTCGGAGAGTTTCTGCGCCGACATCGTGTTATACTCTACAGAGTAGGACAGCTAACTAACTTATGATGCGGATGGACCTTGCTAACCAGTGTATACTACGGGGTAGTGGATCCGGGGGCACTTGCTTTCAACGAACCATATTAACTAGTTTAGGATGGACCCTGGGCCGTCCGATGGAATAAACGATTCGAAGCACTTGATTACTCCAATAGAATGTTATACAGATTAGTCTACGGGGTACGTGTGACTCGATCTCTGGTGCTTTGACCGTGCCTGATTCCTTGATCCTCGTTGGAAAGCTTTCCTTGTCAACCTCTCCACCGTTCCTGGCAGAGACACACGCGTACAGTCGATCCACACCGCATGATAGTTACTGCCGATCTTTCGTAGTCGATGCTGATCTTTATAATCTCCCTTCTCTCAACCTTCTAGAATACACTACTCTATGCAAATGTAGTGCTGTCATTGAAATAATATACGGAGTGCAGGAAAAGTAGAGATTTGTGGTTATATAGATTGAATAAAGTTAGTAGGTAGAGACAGATGCCGGCCGTAAGTAGTAGGCTAGCATGTAAGTATCGCTGCGTGACACTTTTGCGGCGCAACGGCTTACAGTAGAGTCTGCAGATAGTTAAAGCGCTTTGATTATTATTTTACGCCGCATGTCCTCTACACAAAAAGTAAAGTACTAACTATCTATCTAGCAAAAAAAAGAAACCGCTCATCAAAATTCAAGTTCTAGAAATTCAGACCGTCTCCGGAAGCATACGGAGTGGGCCATTCTGAGATCTACGCTATTAAGACAGTGTGCCCCATGGAGCAAAACTCAAAGAAATCAGACCTGCCAGGAACCACATAAACAAACTGGCCAAGACGATGTCCAACTTTCTTGGAAACCTCTCTCGGGTTGTTTCTCCACAACCCGTTCTCCCCTGGTCTGAATGGCGTCTGTTGATGCCTGGGGGTTACGAGTACACTTGGGTCCAGCCGTCGATAGTTGCATCGAGCAAGGTAGTCTACAGTTTAGATTTGGATCTTCCCAAAAGTAGATCCGGGTCGAGTAGACTAGAAGCGGGATTGGTCGTTGTCCTCCTTGGACCTTGATACGTTGGTTTCTATATTCTGACTGTACAGTGCTTTTTCCTTTCTTTTTTTTCCAACCTATAGAATTGATTACGGAATAATTAAAGAAAGACTGCTCACCGCAGAGTATGACAAGCCAACGTTTGTGAGACAGGGCACAAAGAGAAACTACGCCACTGCTGGAAAAGTATATGGAACCGAGAGAGACAAGGGCAGAACGTGGAGCAGCCCCAGAATCAAACGGGGCAGCCGTGTGGAGTAAAAGCTCCATGGTAGCCGAAGGTATCCGATTCCGGTCGGTCCGTAGGCGGTGTTGATCTGGGTGATTAGTATCATCTGGCTAATTTTAGACAACTATCCTCAGATTGTGACAAAGATAAAAATGTGAAGTCTCCTTCGTCGTAATTATAGCCGAGTCATTATTTGATGGGAGTACGCTTTATGCCCATACGTCAGTTGCTCTGCTCTCAATCTGTAAAGTGCAAAAGTACAGAAGTTTTCTGTTTGCCACGCAAGGGAATGTGATAGATACACTGCCAGCACAAGTAGCCGACAACGAGGAACAGTGCAGGGGCATCATGGTTTCTCTCGGAACATTGGGGAGTGGATGAGGATATTATCATTCTAGGCAGCCACGTAGTTGCTCTAGAATGTTGTATCTGGTAGATGCAATGGTGGCAGTCAACTTGAAAAGAGCAGTGGGTGTTCCTATCCTGTTGACTGGTATCGCAGAGAGGAAAAAAGAACGGTTGGGAAGACTCCACTGAAAGGAATGTGAAAGAGGATAAAAGAACCGACATGTGTAACTTCAAGAGCAACTAGAGATTGAGTATCTGAGTACAAAGAACAGATAGAATCCTCATGATCGAGAGGAATTAGAGATTTTTTAGTCCATGGGACCATGGAGGGGAAAGGCAACAGTTTGAAGAAGATCGTCCAGTGAATCGAGAAAATCAGGACGAAGAAATGTGGGAGAGAAGAGCAGACACAAGACACAGTGAGGATTCAGAAGACCGAGAACAGACATTCATAGGGTGCCCCAAATTCTGAACGATAAATCCTAGCAACGATATAATCATATATATTGACATTTTATAGAACTTCAGGGAGCAGTAGTTTCGGTTGCGTTGCGAATATGATGAGCTCAAATCCAACATGGAGCAACTGGTGATGTGATGCTAGCAATTTGCTTGTTAAGAATGCAGCTGCGAAAACGAACAACATCACAGCGGCAAGTATAAGCGACATAGTCCACTGCGTTTGGATTATTAGTTGACGGGAGTCGCGGTCTTTGCTGAGAGCTCGCCTCCTATGTCTGTGTGAGCAACATCCGACAGGGGAGGTTGCAATAAGTTCTCTTCGTTGAGTCTAAGCACTTCTCCGGCGTGACTGGGATGAGGTCGTGAAGATGGCTAGCAATCTGGAAAGAGGTTGCGGTCTCGTCGAAGGTTTTCCTAGCTGCAATAGGTCACTGAAGAAGATGGCAATGTGATGGTCGAAGAATTCGACGCATACTCGTTCTTCTGCACTTTACCCCTCTTCAATGGAGACTCTTATGCCGGGAGATAAACCAGATATGTTACCAGTCAGAGCAGGGCGAGACGACGATGACCCTGCTAGGCATCGAGGGAGAGTTCTGGATATTGACTTCTCTGCGGTCTGATAGCGCCGCGAGGCAGAAACCTCCGTTCTCAACAAGTTCAGCACTCGAGAAGAGAGAAGCGAGAGAGATAGTATGCTAAGGATAAACGCGGTTGTCCGTTATGAATGAGTTCGAATAAAGACAGTGGAGCAACAACGGACCGACGGGATAACCTTAAGTCGTCCCATGGTTCACAATTACTCATACTGAATCATACCGTATCACTCTATATCAATACATTCTATATTGGACAGAATTACCAGCAGACCTGAATGGCTGAGCCGGCCGACCTTAATTCGATTTTATAGTATAAATTACCACCACCGTACTGTTCTGAAGTCACACTGAGTGATACTGTCGAGTACTTTGTGACGCATTGGCCCTGGAAGATTGAGTGCGGATATTATTGATAAAGCAGTCGATCACGCAAGATGGGCGGGGTAACAGATCATCTCCCCGCACCGTTCGCAGATGAAGAGATCTTCTCTCTTCTAGATTCCATCTCTCTTCCCCAACCGATCTCGATCGAGCCGTTAAAAGTTACAGCAGCTTTCCATACGATTTACATCCTTACTTATGCCCCAGAAGCCATTTCGCAGGTGTACCGTGGAACCTCCATAAAGTCTACAACAGAGCCTTTCGATCTCGTCCTCCGTATCGCTGGCGACCATATTCCACACATCAAGACCGAGAATGAAGCCGCGGTACTCAAATGGTTACGACAAAATACGGGCATCCCAGTCCCAGACGTGATTGCATACGATGTCTCGACGCAAAACTCACTACATCGCGAATTCATTATCCTGAACCGATGTCCGGGCGTGCCCATCTCCGATATCTACGATTCGCTCACGCCTGGACAATTAGAGTCTATTTTGAAGCAACTCATGGAGATATTGAAGGAGCTTCATTCTCATCCCTTTGACTCCATCGGAGGACTCACTCATGCTCCTAGTGACCCAGAGACAATCAGACCCGGCCCTATCCTCGACGAGTGGTTCTGGTTTGAGCCAGACATCAAGACTCACTTCCCGCCCAGCGAAACGTATACCACAATAAACATATCGGGCCCCTTCCCATCGTATACGTTTTACATTGCTACACTGGTCGAGAAATACGTACGTATCGCTCGTATGCACCCGTCTCTCGACTTTCTGAGACCACTTCTTCCACGCCTCTCTGCCTTCATCTCAAGACTACCTGCACATGCAGCGACCCTGGATAATGTCCCCATCCGCCTAGCACACAAAGACCTCCACTTCGCCAATATCCTCTACCATCCTACCACAGAACGCATCACTGCCATTCTGGATTGGGAGTTCTCCGGGACGGTTCCGTTTCCGCTCTGGGATCCGCCGCGGGCGTTCCTCTGGAATTGTCGAGACGGAGAGGAATCTTATAATGAGAAGAACAGGCTGAGAGAGCGGTTCGCACAGATGTGTCGCGAAGAGGGAGGGGAGTATCTGGTAAAGGATGCTGAGTTCACGAGCGAAAGTCAAGAGAAGGCGTACAAGGTGGCGAATTTGATGAGATGGTTTACTTCATTTGTCCCGAAGGGGCGATTTGTGGATCGAGTAGACGGGTGGATGGTAGAGTTGGCAAAGGAGTTGGAGGCCTTTGGTGTCTAGGCAGACATCTGTCCTGAATCATGATCAAGCAAATGCATGTATAGTTGTAACGGACTTACCACACGGTACAGGCCAGAGTAATCAGGCAAAGATGTACTGTAAGAAACAAAACCCGTCCGGATATCCACGGATATTTTGTCATTTATCCTGTCAGAACCGCAACAAAGCGAGCGTAAAGACGTCATATTGCCGGGAGTAGCCGCTATGCCTTGATAAGAGCCGTTTCCGCACCATATGTATATCAACTGTGCTCCCCCAATGCCAGGTGAACCTCTGTCGGATGAATTGTGGATGAATTGTTGCCTAAATCTGCTGGTGAGTCAATCCGGAGCTATAGGGGCTTTGGGAAGGGGGATCCGATGGTTGAGAGTTTCTACGACGCGCCAACTCAGCCATAGAAGCCTCATTCTTTCTAACTTGCGTGATTTATCCAGGCCGTGCGTGATCTTTCCAAGCCGTTGCCTAAACGGGGCATTACTCTCAGGACGAGTAGGGTGACCGTTGATTTCTGATGATGAGAACGCTCTCTACCATAAAAGTGGAAACGAGATTGAGGACGGATTGTCTGTGCTGTGCAACAGTGTTCTAGCAAGGCGCAGTCAAATCAAAAGATACTGAACCAGGGACAAGTGCATAGCCCCCCGAGTTCAGTGGTCGAGCCAATAAGTATGCGCTTGAATGGAAGTCAATTGCTCTTCCGTGGTTGCCCGCAGTCTCATTCAGGTGAATGACATTGACTGCAGCGCGGAGTTCGTCCCCACCGTATGGTGAGTATTTAACAGAATTATGTCCAGTCACTTAATCACATTTTCCCAGAGAGATTGACGTGGCTCATGATATCCTGTGTCAAGGCAGTGCAATTGGGGACGTCCCATGTCTGATGGAGCAGGTTGTAGCTCGGCCATCGTCCGCAGACATGCATCGTTCTTGCACTGCCTTCTGTAGAGGTGGTACTTAATGGACAGACAATCGAATCTTGCCCAACTGTAACAACACTGTAGAGATGGTATTCCGACAGCTGAGGAGGGGGGGGTTGGTAGGTACACTCGGCATCGCCAATTACTCCGTAGTTACCATTGAGTTAGTTCCGTCATCAGGGACATCAGGGACAACCGGCGATAGAGGCTCTGCGGGTGTAAGCTCCGGTTGCTGCCCGATGATTTCTTGATCCATGTTCCGATCGCAAATCTCCGGCGTTTTGGCGTCGAGTCTCAACACTTATCGGGTCTATCCATCTTAGGGGACCCCGCGTGAGCGACGTTCTCCCGGACAAGCGCCGTGGTAAGGTACTGTAACGAACCGTCCAGCTGTCTTGTAAGCGTCCGTGTAACTTCTGACGCTTCTCGAACAAAACGAGGATCGGGTTGAAAGTTGCTAACTTTAGCGTTCCAGGAAGATAACTAGAGCTCTCATGGCTCTACTCTAGCATGCTGGATGCGAGTGATTTCCGGACATCCGTAAGGCCTCCCATTGAGACTGCAGTGAACGGAGAGACTACCTGTTCAGACCGGGGCGTGATTCGACCATTGGGCTATTTTTACCGTCTCTCTTCGCGTATGGAGGAGAGTATGCCTCCTGTCTGCTGCATGGCTACTGCTTGTCCCCCGTTTGGGATGAGCAGCGCAGGAGCTGGCACGAGACCCGCGCACAGATTTGGCTAGAGATCGACATCGCACTGAGACAAGAGGTGCGCGTTCGCTGCCAGACATCTCGGCTATTATCGATGGGGACCAGCGAGCATGAGCGCTTCGGAGGGAGAAACTGACTTGATTATTGAGTCTTTCTCACCGCTTTCTGAGAGTTTCTTTTTTTCCCTTTTTCCTTTTTTCGACTATGTACCATCAAAGGCGATTTGCTGAGTCTCAAAGCTGAAACGCTGGCATTTTCAATTGACTTTAGACTTCTCAGCGGTCCATGCGCGGCGGCTGAGAAAAACAACGCTCTGAAGAGCCGAGGTCGTTCAAGTTCGCGATGCGATGCAAAAATGAAAATGACAAGCATGGCCCCTGTACTAGTTATTATTGCATCTTGCTTGCACCGCCACTCGCCCACGTGGAGCATTCTTCTTTGTTTCAGGAACACAAGCAGACTCTGGAGATACCTTCGATAAGCTTAACTATCTAGCCGACAATGGGATAGTAGTATGACCCACGGAGCCTGTGGCGAGCCCTGGAGGTCCCGTCTGGTCAGCAGAACGGGTTAGTTATTATTTCCGAGCAAGCTTTGTACAACAAGACCAAGAGACCAAAACACGGAATCGGAATCCAGTATCCAGCTACCCAAAACGCAGCCTCCATCAGAGGTCACACGCCCATCGTCAGTGAACTCACCGCTCGCTCACCACCTGCTGCTTCGCCCGGAGGATGCCAAGAGGGAGCTCGTCGTCCTTGATAGCCTGGCGCGAAGACATCGAAACCGTCGTCTGAACTACTTTAGGGCAGCTCAAGACGCTACTCGGATGATGTGCAGTTGTTCACACTAGTTGGCTCACGGGAGCCATGATCCGAAAACAATAATACGGAGTAGATATAGATTATAGGGACCAAGCACGTGGCAACGACGCAATCGCCGAGAGAAGCTAAGTTTTGACATCAGTGAGAAACGGCCGATAAGTATTGTCAAGGAAACACCGCCCTATCAGGCGCAGTTATGCGATTGTTTTCCATCCCTAGCCGTAACTGTTACTGCAAGGTTCTTGACCCGAGGGCTTGGTATACGGGTCGCAAGGAATCGTTCTATGGAACACAAGCTGGCGATTAATGCAGAGTCGCATAGGACAGATCGGACTGTTTTTTTCCAAGCCGTAGCGAAGCGTCTCTTGTGCTCTAGCGACTTTCCGCGACTGGATATGCTGGGATGGCCTGCGCGGTAAGTTAGCCAACGGTCTGAGAACGCAACACGACTGAGAAATAAGATTGGCCGAAACAACGGTAATTGCAATCGGGGCTGGCTAAGGCCCCTTCATCTTCTCGCTGTACACGTCACTGGGGAACCGTAAGCCGGAGTGCCTATCTCGGTCTTCACTCTATCTAGTGTCTCGCCAAGGCCGTGTTGCTAATTAGATTGCATGGCAGACAGAGTTGTGTATGTGTTAGAAAGCGCGAAGAAGATCATCATCTAGGATCATTCTTTCAAATTAGGTCCGGAGGTCTTCATCAAATCGGACATGACACTAAGCGATCCTCCTCCCTGGGGTTTCGTCCGAAGAGGCGGACTCCTGATCTCCTAGATCGACATGGAAGACGCAATCCCGATTGCTGCAATGTCAGCGACTAGGGAGCTCTAGGTCCAGTCATAGCCCTCTCTCCGCGTCAGAATCTCGTCTGGATCTGTCTGGGGATAGGTTGCCTTGTCTTTCTTCTTCCGCAGACCGTACCATATACATACTGTATCGTCGTAAATGCGGCTGCATGTATCGTTTCATCCGTAACGAAAGATACGAATCTTCGCTGGAGGCCGGGTGAGCTCTTATCACCCGAACATCTCTGGCCGACAGCGAGAGATAAATCCTGACCTCGCTCACGCAGACGAACTTCCGGAGTATGTCTGGAAGCCCGCTGTTTCCTCTTCTCTGTCGAGCCCGTACATTGTCAATGCCGTGGCCCAAGGGTCATTAATTGATCATATTGAACTCGATACTGTCACTTCTGCACATCTGCATATCCTCTCCGTCTCCATGGCGCATCCTCATAGACGGCCGTCCCTGGGGTCTCATGGCACCATGGGCTCAGCACAGGAGGTCTTAATTCGCGGTAGGGATTATGACGGACAACCCACTATTGCTCTTCCTGACCTCATTCTCCCAGGTCCCGATAGCAATTACATAGTATGAGCTTCATATTCTGTTGTTGTACTGGGTTAATGATCATTCTAGTATTCCGATGTGTCGCACCCTACCCATGTCCCGACATCGACGAGTCCCACAAGTCTAGGCGCATACGAACACCACGATTTCGACCCTATGGATTCTCAGTATGAACAGACTGAGAGCTCTCTGCAAGATCTCACGCAAATAGGATCCGGACTTACCGTCAACGCTGATCCGGCTAGTGTCCTAGAGGGGACAGAGTATCTACAAAATTGGCCAAGTATGTCCACGGCGAGTGATCGAATTCCTCTGGCAGTATGGGGAGACGAATTGGAGCAAAGGCGAATGAATGCAATATGGTCGCTGTGGGGATTTCCAGATGATGGTCCACAGCTCAGCTATGCCGATACGTTGCGACAGCTCGAGAGGTGGGTGCATCTGCAGCAGGGAATGATGTCAATAATACAGTCAGGTTGGGAGGAACCACGACCTGCAAGAACACCCAGACCTGCAGGTATCCAACCACAAAGGCCCGGAGGACGCTACTGTTGTGTTGAATGCAACGACGGACGACTGTTTGCTCACAAGAGCATAATACAGCGTCACATAATAGCTGAGCACACGAAGCATAAATTTTACATATGCCGTCAATGCAATGTCCTCACATACAGACGTGACAAAGTGAATGATCATTATAGAAGTCATTCTCGCAACGGCGCAAATCATTCTCGCCACAGAGCACTGGCAAAAGAACAAATCGACAGTCTCCGGCGGTTAACAGATAGACCTGCTCCCAGACAATGCAGATGGTGTCGCGAGAATGTCGTCAGCTGGGACGGTCTTGTAAATTGCATGATCGAACATGGCCGCCTTCCTGAGCAGTCAGATGATATTTCTGGCAATTCTGTCAACAATGGCAATGGTGGAAACCCTGGAGGGAGACCTGGTGATGGAAACAATCACGGCCCAGGCCCAGCTGGCGGAGGAAGCAGTGGCATGCCACAGCAAGGAAGTTTGAACTACCTGTCAGGTATAGATCGATCCATTGAGTCGAGCCTCTGGAACCTTGGGAGTAGTCGTCGCTCTTCTCAAAGTACCAGTTCGACGGAACCAAAGCCCAAGTTCTCGGAGCGTGACTCGCCTTTCCCAGCTGGATCTGTTATAGATGATGGAGATTCACAGTCCAAGTCTCAGTCAGACTCGATAAGATCTGACGTACTCCAGCGTGCGGTGAAGACCAAGGATCGGAAGTCAAAAAGGTCTCGCCAGGATATACCCCCAAGAGAGTGCAGGAAATGTGGACACATCGTCGGTTCCTACTTTAACTGTCCTCAGGATGGTACTGCGACGTTCGGCTGTCATAAGTGCAACCACGACGGACAGGCTCAACTGCGACCTTTGTGCCTTGTGGGGGGATACGGACAGTACAAAGGAAACGTGCGCAGTCTATCGCTCGACAGAGTCTCCAAGAAACCTTGCATTCATCCAGCAGTGAAGAACATTCACCGTTCCATTAACTCGGTGGTCTACAAGGGCTTGTTATGCTCTATACCCCCCTACGACGAAGCGACGCAAGAAATCACAGGCTCCAGGAAAGTGTTCTCCGACCAATTACCATTGTCGCGGATCTTGATAAGTGTGTATTACCGTTCTGTCTCTCTAACTATTTACCTTTGTATATCGGTCTGATTGTAGAGCCAGGTCTGCGTATATTTGAACCTGGAGCTATGATTGCCACCACGCAAAGGAAATTAGAGCCCCCTCGTCTGACTCGGTCTGACGCCATCCCCTCTTCACTGCACCATCGTGGCGGCGCTTCTATGTATGGAACAGCCAAATCAACCTCGACCACTATTACCATTTCAGGGCCTAAAAGCGATCTCATAAGGGTCCATCATAAGCGACTATCCGCGCTTCGGACAAGACTACGGTCGTCGCTATGCTCCTTGTCCTCCAAGCAACTACTGTCTCCATGCACATGTCTCAGACAGAATCAGAAGACGACAACCTTGAGTATAGCCCAGATTGGGATAGTATATCTCGATCAAACTTCGCTCCCGTAATGGGCAGAATTGTCCATTATATGTTTATTCAGCTGCTACGGTCCCTGCCATGTCAGATGTTGAATGCATGGAAGCAAGTTTGTCAAGTCAATATGACCCCTCCTATGATGGATTTACATGAGGATTCATCTGCGATTATGACCATTTTATCGGTTGCAATAATGAGGCTTCGCGATCTAGCCACATGCTCACCATGGATTGAACCGATTATTGTGATTGACGACGCACATGGCTTTTATATACCACAGGCACTGCAGCAATACCGGACTGGAACTTGGAGAATCACTTGAATGATGCTTCAACCCTGGGGTATTCGAAAAAGACCGTCTTTCATTCGTCTACTCGATTATCAGGACATGCTAGAGAGAGTGTCCGCCTCTCTCCTGTATCACACAGGGCTGATTTGACCACCAACGGGGATAGCAAGGGGTAAAACCCAGACTTTATCAAGCAGATGACGCCAGAGAATTATCCGTGAGACGAAGCGCCAAACATATTGGTGCTGCTGGGGTTCAGAAAATACCTCTTCGTTCCATAGACGAGCATTCAACTTGAAGACTCCATTACATTCAGTTTTTTTTTTTTTTTTTTTTTTTTTTTTTTTTTTTTTTTTCCCTTATAGTTTCGCGATGTCGACAATTGACTATTTGGATTCAAACAAATACACAAGACAATGAGCAGCGACTATCACGTATGTGGAGTTTATTTGGGGGAGATGTATCGCTAGGGGTTAATTGTTTCTATAATGTTGGGTTATTCACTACAATGAGGCGAGCTAATGTGTTCTTCTGTTTTATACTGTTTTCCATTCGTGTTGTTACTTTCTTTGGGTTGATTCATGTTCATTCTGTCTATATATCCCCTTGGATTGATTCTAAACCTATGATGAACACGGGCAAATTGACAAATACGATATACGGCACGGCAGTACGAAGTGGGATTATGTACTGATGATGGTGTGATTTTCCTTTTATATATGTTCCTCTTATATTCCCCCTAAGTTTAGTATTTTCCCTTACTGAAATGAATTTATGACTTCTCTATACCTATAAAATCTCTCGAGAATGGAAGGAATTTTTCCAGTTAACACATACATAGACACCTCATTGAGGTTTATAAACTTCTGCAGTTATATTTTCAACTGGATTAGTAGTAAAACCTATATATATAGCAGAAAGTTACGTATCATACTTATATCTAACACCAGACTTGTTTTGTCTTTGCACGCACGTGTGCTTGTATACTCATAAATTCTTCCCTGAAAGCTAAAAAAGAACACGGTCTATCCTGATCAATTAAAAATAGATGGTTTACTCCAAATAAGTAATTAACAGGCAAAGACTTGTGACAGCCTATCGGCATTATAAGCGGGATTTGCGTCACTTGTCCTTGATAACACAACACCTAATCGCCTTAACCGGCATCCACAACGTAACCGCATTCCTCGGAAAGCTCTAGAAACCAGATACCCGGCAATTATCATCCCAATCTACCATAACTCACGCAATAACGCCTTAAAAAGCCCAGGGATGGTCCTTGAAAGTTTCCATATCGGGTCATGAGACCATATCAGGTCATGAGATGTGTCCAACATCAGGTTCTTGATATGTTCTGAACGATGTATGTATGCGTATATATAGACTCTACGTTCAGTAAAGCCCTGGAAGATGATCACTATGTCATCCATCTTTGCTATCCGTATGAACTCGAACGGGACCCACAGGAGCTGCTGGAGCTGCAGGCTAGAGCTACCCTTGCGGATATGTCGAATGTGGATTCCGGCGGCTAGAGGGTTTGCTGGTGGAGTAGAAAGTTCCTCCTAAGTAATACGGGCCGATCCTATGGTTTGGAGCTCTTGTAAGCTGTGATTGCGCGCACCGTCAGTGTAACTAACATATGCGAGAAAGTAGACACACGCGTCTTGACCGTGAGATATGTTTTGAGATAGCTCTATGACGGCAGTATGATATGGCGGTTCATGTGAACTCCATCTGGCTTATCAGTTTCCGTCTTATATGCCTTTTCATACCGATTGCTTGGCAGAGAGGTTATCCATTCTGGATATGTAGTTGAGACTGGAGAGCGGGGATAGCGGACTAAATAACTAGCAGTCGATGAAAGTTTAGCTACGCTCTTTAAAAACTAGCTTTCTCTGTAGAGAAGCAGTGCAGTTCTGAAACTGGACATGAGTAACGATATCAAAAAATCTCGGTTCCACTGTGAGGGTCCGGCTCCTTGGTACTTAGATATACATGCATGACAGTTGGGATATCGGGACAGGGTTTCTATAGAGTAACTCTAACAACTAACAAAAAAGAAGACAATCTAGGGGTGAAAATCCTAGTGATCGACGTCAAGGAATGTAGGGCTTGGAGTTCTGAGCGACGGATTCTATATCATTGTGGGTCCGCAGACGCCTCCAAGAATGAAGCATCTAGGGGTCCAACTGTATCGAACCAATCAATTATTGTGGAAAAACTCCCAGGTCTATACTGTAGAATTATCTGGGATATAATGCACCGTTGACAGAAGCTTAGGTCAGTGCATCTCTCCACCCGCAGACTCTTGCAGCTTCGTTCTGCATAAGCGCGGAACTACCCATTCGCGGCGCGTACACTTAGAGTATGGAGCTCACATTTTATGAAGCTCCTACTCCATGGGGTGGTTCCGTTATTCCCGAATTATGTCTCTTAACAGGGCAGACGACCAGCGGAGGAATGCTTAGGGTGTCATAGGAGCTTTTTCTTATCTGTGAACACATCAGATGTAACAACGATGAGCGGGGCGATCCACATATATTTCGCGTAGCTGTAGATCTCCTAGTGATCATGTCGAGCAGGACTTTTGGTTTCCTTTTCCAATTTTTTTCCCATTATATATGGTCCAAGGACAGTGCCTTAGGGTAAGTGAAACGGCTACTGGAAAATTTGACAGGGATATATACGGTACGATTTGTTCCAAATTGTTGCGAGTTGTAGCTTTATAGCTATTGGTAAGGCTGGAGGGTACGTGGGACGGTTCCAAGGGACGTGACGCGACGTCTATGCTATTGCCATGGCTCTCAATATAGAATTGCAGACGGGCAAGAACCCTTTCGGTGAGTATTCGTCTTGACAATCAACACATGCTATCGTTGTTCGAAACACTTTGATAGATCTATATGCTGACCTTATTATCAGAATCTTCCAAGGACGACATCAGAATTCACGCCCTACAAGAAAAGCCGTCATTCTCCACCCTTGGTACACCTGGCCCATCTCGCCCTGATACTCCAGTGCAGAATGACCACCAGCATGATGACAATGCAGGCTTGGCGACTGAATTCTCAACGGTATATATAAATGAATATCATTTCTTCATTCGAAGAGAAATTGACTGATACATGTAAACAGGCCAAGAAAGCATTCATTGAAGTTGCCGTGAATCTTGCCAACTTGACAGTTACTCTCGGCGCGTCTCTCCCCAGTGGAGCTGAAGACTCGCTCAACAAAGCTTTCGGCATCACCTCTCAATACCAGTTCACATTGCCTGTGTCTGTGTTCCTGATTGGATATATATTCGGACCTATCCTGTTCGCTCCCCTGTCAGAATCTTGGGGGAGGCGACCTGTCTATCTATCTTCTTTTGCTATATATACGGCTTTTACATTGGGCTGTGCCCTTGCGCCGAATTGGCCTGCATTTTTATTCTTCCGCTTCATGCTTGGTTGCGGGGCTGCAGCACCGCAGACAGTATCGAGCGGGCTGTTTTCAGACATCTATCAAGATCTAGGGCCTAGAGGACGAGCAGTGACGACGTTGGGACTTACAAGTAGCTTGGGCCCGCTGGTCGGGCCAATAATATCGGGATTCACATCAACCGTGCACTGGAAATGGCAGTTTTGGATATTGCTGGCACTCGAAGGTGTCAATTGGCCCTTGTTGATTATGATGCCTGGTGAGTATCCGCGAAGCTGTCGTTCATTCTAGAATTTCTTTGCTGATCATACCGATTATAGAAACACTGGCTACAAAGCGTAAATCTCGCCAAACACATGACAAAGAACAAGCTCGACTCTCGACTTCGAGCAAAAAGCCGGAGAAATTCTCCCTCCTTGTACTCACACGCCCGATTCGAATGCTGGCAGAGCCAATCGTATTCTTCGCTGATATTTTCTTGCTCTATCAATATGTCATTTTCTACTTATACTTCGGAGCATACCCGATTGTCTTTCAGGATACATACGGGTTCTCTCCAGGATTCTCCTCGTTGATGTTTATCCCGACTGGTATTGGTGCCATACTTGGAGTATTTGTCTTCCTTGCCTGGGATGCATATCATAGACGCGCAGTCCAGCAAGGGAAGCAATGGAGTCTCCGGGAAGAATATCGACGACTCCCACTCGCGTGTCTAGGAGGGCCTCTATTTGTGATATCCCAGTTCTGGCTAGGATGGACGGCCCGTCCTGACATCCATTGGATTATACCAGCGCTATCAGGCATCCCACTGGGAACGGGAGTGGATCTCAATGTCCTCGCGCTGAACAACTACCTCGCCGATGCATACGATATGTACAGTTCCTCCGTCTTGGCGTCAAGTGTCTTCCTCCGCAACATTATTGCCTGTCTACTCCTGACATTGGCTACTTACCCACTATACCAGAACTTGGGCACTGCATGGGCTTGTACCCTTCTGGGTTGTCTCTGCATCCTACTAGTTCCTATTCCCTTCGCTTTTATCCGCTGGGGCCCGACTATGCGTGCGCGCAGCACTTTCTGCCAAAAACTAGCGCGCAACAGAGAAGAAATCTCCGACCAAGAGCAGTTGGTGGCGTAAGGAAAAAACAGAAAACGGCTTGTACAAATACAGGTGCGGAGAGCAAGCGAGGAAGGAAAATGGTTATTGCATCTCCGCTGGAATTTGAGGTTGACTATATTACGTTACGCAATTTGTGATTATGATTTGGTTGTATCTTGGAACCCTTGTGAGCTTTCTACTATATTAATATCCCTGCGTGTCACATCTATTGCCAGCTATTGATGATATGGAGTTCGTGCTACATAAATTCTTATACCTACACACATGATGTTTCAATTGGGGATCAGTGAATTGGGGTTTGTACGATAGGAGCAGAATTCACACAAGGTCTTATTATCATCTCTCTAATTAACGGCCTGACAATATAGTAGGTATTGCAGCTATAATGAGCGTCAGAGAACCAGCCTGAAATTACTGTACTAGACTACCGGTATAGAAAGGTTAGCAACCCTTATAAACTATACATCGGAGCACTAAGCTCTTGTTCTATATCCCAAAACGGAAGGTGGACATATGAATCAGAAACACCTTCACGAGATTATTATGAGAATCAACATGAAACTATACTTGTAACGGGCGCTATACTCGTTCAGGCGCGCTTTTAACCACTATCTAGTGAGTCGTTGGGCAAAGAGGTATTCGAATCACACCCGGACTTACAACACGCGACATTTGGGGGGCGGTTAGTGAATTTGACGAGCCCAGAATCGGTCCAAAACGACCTCAATGAAGGAGAAATACAAATATAAAAAAAAAATAAAAACATACAACAGCAGGGATTCGCTGGTGGTCACCCACCCAACTACTAACCTGCCGGCGTGTGGCTTAAGTACGGCTGAGCGGACGGGAAGCCCTGTTTTCCACACCCTATGGTCGTATGTGCTAGTAGAATAGAAAAGGAGGTTTATATGCAGATGATGAGGCCGTTGAGCACTACTTTCCTTCCATCGACGCCTGCATCTTACAGATAACAACCAACCCAGCGCTTGGCATTGGGAGAACACAGCTTCTAGTGGACAAACAAATAGACAAGGAAGTACAGAAATGCCTCTCTTCCACCTCCTGGCTTCTTTCTAGGCGTCTTCTCCCTTCTTACATTTCTCAAGGATTTCGCGCGCTCCTGCAAACTCAAACTCAGCCATTATTTCTTCCCAGAGTGTATCCACAAGGGGCTTTGCTTCTAAGAGATAGACAATTTTTGTGAATCTATATTTCTTTGTCAGCAGCGTTCGTGATCAGAGTCAACCATGATGAAACCTACGGATGGATTTTCCAGTCCATGAGGAAGCAGCCGTGGGACTCTTTACCCTTGACTACTGCTGCGTCGACATATGTCCATGCTCCGTCCTCGGGCTTCCGTCCTGCCAGATATTTGAAAGTGTCCAAAAAGAGAGCAGTGGCACCCTTAGCATCTCTTTGCAGTCCAGTCTCCTTGCACATGCCTGGTTCGACTAGATTGACAATCACATCGTCCCCATTGAGGTACTCGAGCATCCGCACAAAGAACAAGTGCCCCAGGCCTTTTGAGTCAAAATATCTTTCTGTTGGTTCCCAAGGGTGGATTTTGGGGTCGTCGAATGATGCTAGAAATGGTCGTTCGTCCCGGTTTGACAACTTCGCCCACAGTGCTGTACCAGAGCTAACAATCGTAAGCCGGCCAGGCTTACCCTCCGGCGCCTTGTGCTTGCATGTCGGCAACATCAAGATAGCCATGAGGAATGTCGAAAGGTAATTCACCTGGATAACTTTCTCATGACCAGTAGAGCAGGTAGTGAAGTTTGGTTGCATGAGGCCGGCATTGAGGATCGTGATGTCAAGTCTCGAGAGATCAGTCTCCGCCCGTCGACAAAAATTCTGGATGGATTTATATGAGGACATCTCAAGATACCAGACATCAATTTTGGCACCAGGATAGTCGATACGAAGCTTGTCAGCGGCCGATTCGCCCTTCTCTAGCGATCTTACTCCGAGAATGAGATGTGACAACTTGAGGGACAGAAGATGGCGCGCACAATGGAACCCTAGCCCTGCGCTGCCACCTGTAATGATGGCAGCCTGCCCCGATAGATCAGTTTCGGCTGGCGCTCTACGAGGCCTTGTACAAAACTGTGATTTGACGAAGGCGCTCATCATCCCCGTGCTCGCCATATGACCTAATTCCATCGATTTGGAGGCCATGTTGTGTATTTATCGGCGAGGAATAACTGTGAAAGACTTTAGATATCTCCCGAATGTATATGCATTGAAGTTGCAGTTTCTTCGCTCAAACCCTTCCTCGCAGCAGCACGCTTCCACATTTATATACCCTTTGCTGGTCTCCATTAGAGCAAGTGGAGCGACTGCGAGATCCACCGTCCAAAATTACAATTGTTTACCAAGAACAGCATGCAGTAATTCCTTGGCTCTAACGGAAATTCCTCTTGTGACTTGTGACTTGTGACTACTGACTACGCAGTCCAATTGTCAATCCACTCCAGCGTATCGCGGACTCCAACTCACTCTACTCTATATTTGCACCATACTTGCCCAAATAGGCAATCAATCAAGTCTTGGCATATATAATGTGGGCCAGAACCTTATCGAGTCCCGTGACTACGAATACTCTATCTTGCCATCCAGATCAACCGACGGTCTATTCCAAGATGATCGCTTCCTAGAGCAGACGATCCGTCAGGATCTTATTTTCAAATAATCTGCAATGCACGTTGCGCAGTGATTCTCCGTATGAGCGCCGGGGCGCACCAGTCGAAATGGCGGCTCCAGGGGTCTGCACGAAAGCGAAAGCAATCAAGAGCTCTTCATCATATGGCTCTTCTGACCCTTTCATCGTGGCAACGGGCCAGGATAGCATCAAGCCGGATGCAAGCTCGCGGAGATTCATTCGACGCCATGTCATGAAAGGCAAGAATCGCAAGCCCATTGCTTCATCGCAGTTGGCGCTTGGTTCCTGGATAAACAATGCGCACGACCTGAACGCTTTCCAGATGGCTACAACAAGCATGGATTCACTCCATGGTCCCTTCGCAACTCCTGTGGGCCTTCAGCTGAACAGCAGTACTCCTTCTCTATTGGGTTTTGCGGAGATGGAGCCACGCATGCTGCACCTAATTTACGACTGTAAGAATCCTCGTTAACCTATGTTCAACCACTGCAGCTAATATGAAACCCACTCCAGTTGTCACCATTATGAAAAAGATTATGTACCCTGTAGAATGCTGTGTTGATCTCAGAAATGAGGAACAAAACTGGTTCCGGGACCTCAGCCATGATCCCGCTTATGCCCACACCATCTTGTCTACTGCTCGGGCGTATTTTGACTTTGTCGGAAGCCAAACATTCGGTCCCAGAGCCATCATGCATATGAATAAGACCATGTTTCGATTACGAAACAAACTAGCAGAGACTGACCTAGTCATTACGGACTCGACTATCTTTACCGTCCTTGCGCTGGTATTGGTCTCGGAAGCCTTTGACGATCATGAGGCAGCTCAGAAGCACCTGCATGGTCTGCACGAATTGGTAAAACTTCGTGGTGGGATAAGAGGCCTTTCGCAGAAGCCTCTCCTCCAAATAAAATGCTGCAGGTTAGTGTTCTATCTCTCAAAGATGGTGTTATATCCCCGCTGACTGCAATACCCACGCCACAGAATTGATCTCAGTCTGGCTCTTAAAACTGGATCCAAGCCTCTGTTCTTCACTGACGATAGTATTTCGTGGAAACCATATCTTCTTGACTCTCAAAAGGCGTCTACAATAACCCCAGTACACACTGTGTGTGATATGCCTGACATCCGCTTGGTCAATGTATGGCTCGACCTCCGCGAACTCACGACGGGAATCAACCTTGCGCACCAAACCCAATGTAAAGTCTCATCCGGGTTGTTTCAGGAGGCACTGATCTCCGTGCAGTACCGCTTACAACACCTATCCTACAATGTTCATGACAAACAAGAGGTCCTGCGGGTCGCCATGCTCACCCTTTCGATCGTGCTATTGATCGATATTCGGGGCATTTCAATAAGGTACCAGCACCTGGTAGGGAAACTACGAGCAGCACTACAATCGTCAGAACATGACGTCAATGACGAACTGCTGAGGTTGACTCTCTGGTTACTTTTCGTCGGCAGAGTATCACTACTGGACGGCCCAGAAGATGCCTTATGGCTGGGAGCAAAACTGCTTACGATAAGCCAGACTCTTGGAATCACAACTTGGGGCGAAGCCAGACATATTCTAAAGAGTTTTATGTGGGTAGATGGGATCCACGACAAAGCCGGGAAAGACTTTTTCGAAGAACTGAAGGAGTCTTAAAAGACTTCAATGTTGTCTCGCCGCCGCAATTCTCAGGGACTTTCCCAGTTCGAACGGGCGGAAGAAGACCACAAAGCTATTACTCATCTCGTCTCCGCGTTAAACTGCGATGCGAAACGGAGTGGATTTGAACAACTGCTCTTATATCGGTTTCTTTGACGAAACCGCTCATTAGATTAAGGATGTCACTAGTTAACTAGTATACTATATCATATTCTATCTGGATTCTTGTGCGATGTGGTAATTTCGATACTATATAAATATCACCTTTGCATATACCCATCCAAGAACAGACTCGGCCACGTAGGACCTCGAGGAGAAAAGATTAAGTCCTGAAGTTGTCCGAAATTTTAGACAGGCGCAATGCCTGAGATGTCATCTCTAATATCTCCATTCCTCACATGCCACCGTAACCCAAGTCGTAACATAAGTGATCTCAACATCAGTCGGTTGCGCGGCAGCGATATCGTTGCTCATCGAAGTCACAAGCCCAGTGCTGTCCTCGGAGGAGGGGGCTGAAGGCTTCGGAGTCGGAGGGTGCTCGAGCGTCACGGGGCTGGCGTAGCCTGATTTCCAACCAATAGTCTTAGGAACGACTCCCGGTTTGGTATAATGAGAGTGAACAGGGGATGAAGAAGAAGAAGAAGAAGCAGTAGCGGGTGCTTGGGTAGAGGAGTTCTTTGAGGAACCGGTAGGGCTCACCGTAACGTAGACGGTCGTCGCTGCAGGCGCAGCGCAGGTAGAAACCGGCGTGCTGTCAACACAACCGGCCTGAGCGGGAGAAACGCTGAACTTGTTGCTCTGCGCATAGATCACATAGACGTTGGTGCCGTTGATCGCATTGATCTGGTAACCCCAGCTAGCGGGAGTGTCACAGGGGATCTGGACAGAGTAGGAGCCATCCTCAGTGGGGACGTCCAGAGCCAGAGGAACATAAGATGGCGGCCAGTTGACAAAGTTGACAAGATAGATGCCGAAGTTGGAAGGGTCCGTATCAACAGAAGACCACTGGATCAGTGTTTTGGCGCCCGCGGCCACGGTGGAATTTCCATAAGGGCTTATGATTTGAATGGCAGAGGCCATGGTGGCACAAAGGCCAAGCAGGTTCAGGAACATGCGCATGGCGGCTTGCTGATTTCCTTTTCCGGATAGGGGGAGAAGTATACAGAAAGTGGCAGTAGAACGATATCGACGCCAACTTCGAAGGTATAAGTGAGATATTTGAATTAATGAAACAATTGTAACGAGCGGGGGCGACAGAAACGACTGGCTGGTGAAGAAACAATAATAATACACCCTGAGTGAAACAGATAGAAACATGGGGTTACTTATACTGGACCTAAGTAGGACGAAACCTAGCCATCCCCGCAGTGACACTAGAACTTGGAAGACCGGTCCATGCTTTCCTCGAATATTCACTTTTCTGCTTAACTTACCATGGCTTAGGCCAAAGCATTTGTCTTCGTTCAGGTAATTATAGACGAATTCAAAGGGAACTTCCAGGTGCCAAGCACTTTGTTAGCCCTGGTCATGATCATTTGGGTTGCATTTGACACCTGCATCTCTGGTATAGGAGTCAACCTAGTTGGAGTTAAAAGACTGACTTGAATCAATAAGCGAACGGGGCAAATTAGAAGGTGCTTTCTTTGGTGACGGCGGAGCAAATCGGCGTCACGCGTTGTAAAGAGACTCGCTATGGCGCTGTTGCTAGACCAAATCCGGGCGCCAAGGGGCCTAGAAGATATAGAAAGGGGACGCAAAGCGTTAGCACTGCACGATATCCGTGACTGTTAGCTCACCCACTCCTGCCGTCGTGGGTGAGCCCCCCCGTATCTTCAATTCCTACCAATCTTCAAAATTTTTCTTTAGGTACCTTTTGTATGGGAATACCATACAAAAGGTACATAAGGCCAAAAACAGCACATATCCAATTATCTCAACATTTTGGTAGAGGACACCTTTATTTTAACTGATAATATCAAAATATTATTATTGGATAATTTAAATTTAAATTTTTAAAAAGCTCTCATTAAAAATAAGAGATATATTGGTATTTAAAGATTTCTCACCAAAAATTTTTTATATGGGGAAAATAAAAAAGCAAACGCTTGCTTTAATAATTAAGATTTTAATTTCAAATTAAAGCTATAGGTTATTATATTATATTATTTTAGTATTATTAATTAAAATAAAGGTGTTCTCTACTAAAATATTGAGATAAATGGATATATCGTGTTTTTGGCCTTATGTACCTTTTATATGGTATTCCCATACAAAAGGTACCTAAAGAAAAATTTTGAAGATTGGTAGGAATTGAAGATACGGGGGGGCTCACCCACGACCGGAAGGGCGTGGGTGAGCTACAAGTCACGGATAACTGACAGCGCGAACCACAGCAAAGTCAAATTCGAGGTCTCTCCGTAGGTCCGATTGAGCGAGGATAGTAACACAATTAGCTGAGCTTTTCGGATAGTGTTCCGCGAAGCTCGCACACGCTCATTTGCCTGTACACAGATCTTGGAACAGCATGTCCACCTGTCCCATACCTTGGCGATATCTCCTCTGCAGAGACAAAGCCCTTGTGGTATTCAATGTACAGTAGTACCAGAAGTTTTTCTGCAACAGGACATTGATCAGCAGGAAACTCGGCAAGTTCCGTGGGGCCTTATTGAGCTTATTTGGAGAGAGAAGATCTCGCCGGTGGAGATCGACGTGCAACTCGGATATCACCGAAAAGGAGATATAGAAAATAAGCGATCGGGGCAAACTGACCGCGGAAGGATGTCTCGTTCTTTGGTATGAACCGTGAAGATGGCAAAATGTATCCAAGGTCGCCGTCGGCTTGCGGCTCGGAGGCCCGTCCCATTTTGGATAGATAGGGCTTAGGGCCTCGGCAGTTTGAGCTGGATCTCATAGTAGGCATGCAGAGACTATGAAGTCAGCCATAACGAGTTCCCTATGTTTTAGTATTTAATGTGTGTGACAGTAGTATCTCTCGAGAATTACATCTTTATACCTTCTACCAATTATCCTTAGTACCTAACCCCTATGCCTATCGTTGATGTATCCGCTACGTATGACCTATTCAGCTTCCTTTTCAACTGGCCTTTCCTTGTGTCATCCAGATGAGACGTATATAAGTTGTAAATGACAGGAAGGAGTCTAACAGGAGAACACTTACATGGTCTGGTGACCAGCGGGATTGTATCAATCCTAAATTAAAAAACATGGCTCCTACTGCTCTATTGTTGCACTGACTTCGAATATTTGAAGGCCAAATATCATTTAAAACACTTCAAAATCAAGGAACATACAGTGCTCGTCCACCTTTGCTCCTCGTTCGATGGTTGAGCGCCAGATATATGACCTCCTGCACCGCTGCCATAACCAAACCAAAAGCCACCAGCGCAATCATAATGGCCAGGCCCGTGGGGTAAAACGGGCCGTCATCTTTTCGAAATATTTGTGTCCCTGCCATTAGACCGAGAATGGCGCTCATTACCCACATCGCGATAGCAATACTTCTCTCTCTTGTATCTGTGCAATTTAATTGAACCCACGTGTTGTGAATTGGGTGATACCCCACTGCCATCCCATTGATTGCCGTCCAGAGGCCAAATCGACTCCACTTGCCCACATGTGGATGTACGATTCTAGCGACAATTAGCACGATAAGATAGCTGGTGATGGCTGCCATGACGGTTAGGCCCCGCTTGTTAGTCCTGTCGCTAACCCAGGCGAAGAAGAAGACCACCGGGAGCGTAATGAAGCCGCCGATTGCAGCAAGGGCATTCGCCTGAACACGCTGGAAGCCTAGTGCCATGATTATAGTAGGCGTATATGTTGTCAGAGGGCTCCAAGTCGCGAAGACACTGGCGGTGGCAAAGTAGTGTGGCCATCTCCGGTAGTTTAACAATGTCTTCAGGACAATTCTAAGCGGGATGGGCGATCCTCGAGCACCCCCTTTCTTCTCTTCATCGTCTCTCTCCAGCCGTTCGCAGAGAACAAGTTGGTCTTCCTTAGAAAACCGGATTAAGCCCTTCGACAACAGCGGTTTAGGAGTATCGGGGCTCCCAGGGAGCACGAATAGGAGAAGAAGGGACACCGAAATCGTCCATATACCCTCGACTGATTCTGTCAGTGTTTCCTGGGTTTGCAATTGGATTAAGCACTCTGATACGTACTCAGAAATATCCATTGCCACCCAGAAAGTCCTCCTCGGCCATCTAATCGCAATAATCCCGCTCCTAGGAGAGGCGAGATTGCATTTCCACCAAACATGCCAAAGAAGAGAAATGCCACTCTCTTAGCGAGTTCCCGTCTAGTATACCATGTTGATAGAGTGTATACGGAACCCGGGATATAGCCTGCTTCAGCCAACCCCAAAAGGCTGCGGGTAACCAGAAACCCAGCTCTAGACTTCAAGAAGATCTGAAAGGTTGCAATGACACCAAAAACGAAAACCTGTGCTGCGATCCATTTGCGTGGACCAATCTGTATATTTCACCAAGTTAATATACGTTCTGACTCCGGACTTGATCCGCAAAAAGACATGGATATAACGTATCCTCACCTGCTGGAGTAACATATTCGATGGGATCTCCAGAACAACGATCCCGAGGAACATCAATTGATTTCCTAAGTTGATCGTATTTTGGTTCACGTGTATAGCATCCATGAAGCCTCCCGTCAATGCACTAGCCAAATTCATACGGTCGAGCTGGAAGACAGTCATGCCCAAGAACAAGAGTGGTAGCACCGAAAGGTCAGCCCTGTCAAAGCAATATCAGAAAATGGTATTCTCGAGGATCGTCGCCCCAAACAGGGAACTGGGTAGACCCCATGGATGCATCAAGTAAAAAGAGAACCTACTTTGTACGTGCCAATTTCTCTGCTTTGGTATCATGGCTGGGACTGATATCATCTTCGATGTAAGAGACATCTTTTTCTGGAGTTCCACCATTTTTCAATGGAAATTGTCCCTCAGATGTGGATGACATTCTGGGACGAATGCGAGCTCAAGACTCTCCAGCTTGTGTCCGATTAATCTGGGCTCTGTAAAAGCTTCCAGGTATTTGTTTTCGCCTTTCGATCTCGTTCGAGTTTACTCAAATCACTCGCGGATAAAAGAAAAGGGGTGGTGAGACGAGCGCGACGAACATTAGCCCTCTAAGAGAACGATCCAATTTGAGAAAGAAAAAAAAAAGCTACAATGTCAACCGCTATTATTTTTACACACAATTCGCCATAATAACTAAATTGTCTCATGAATTTCCGGGATTTGGGTGCCCTTGGCACATGGCACGGGCCCTACGTTTCATTCTGCAGAATCCATAGCTATCTTCTAAAAAGGACATAAGCCGTTTCCTAATTTTTCTAGAAAGAACTTCATTCGCTGCTATGGAGCAGTTAGGGCGTATCTTTGCGCGGGGGTTGTGTGGGATAACACGTTTATCGTGATAGCTTGATGGTTTAAAAGGTGGATATGATGGCGTGATGCTCATGGTATAAGCTACCTAGAGTCCACGCTTATCTTTTTCCGTCTATCGGTCGTGTGTATTATGGCTAGGGAATAAGGATTTTTCCTACGGGTTTCACGTAGTTATAATATCATGGTTATCAAATTTAGGACAGCTTATACGCGCTTCGAGTTGATAGGTTATCAATTTATTCGTCTGTTAACTAAGGCCAAAATCCAGAGAGAATCTGCCATTTTTATTCAATCCATCAAATATAATCCCCAAGATAACATTCCCGCATGTGTACAATACAGTTGAACTCTCATCGGCCATATTCTAGAGAATAGTACTCTAATAGTAACATCCCTGATATACCCCAAAACTTTGTATATCATCATAGTTTCGAAGCAGCAATCTTCTTCCGTGCTTGCTCATTCTTCCTTCTCCACATCGCTTTCCGTCTTTCATGTCCTGAATTGAAAATCTCTACCCAGCGACGGTCGAATTCCGGTAACCGTCTTCCAGGCTCTCCAGGTTTCGGGTTTCCTGCCAACTTGCGTAGAGTCTCGAAATATTCCTCGAAACGCGGATATATCACTGTGAAGGCAGGTCCGTCGCCCTTCTCTGCAATCCGGTCTCGTTCCCATTTCTGCTGCTCTGAAAGAGGAGGCAGTTGTGCTTTCCCTGCCAGGACACGAGCAGCGAGCACGGCTTGCCATTCAAAGACTTTGAACGTCAGTCCGGCGCCGACCTGTAGTGTGGTGGATTATGTTAGTTTCTTCGTAATCATCTTGAACTGCAAGTAGATATGGCACGTACCGCCCCGACAAAAGTCAATGTTGGATCCTGCTGGTGGAAGACATGGAGATATAGATCAGGGATGCGGTTATTCCGCGTCGGGATATCTGGTAAGAATGGCAAATTCCAAGTAAACCCCGTGCCGAAGATGATGTAGTCTACATTAGAAACAGAGGTACCATCCTCGAAATACACTGTCCGGTTCTCCGGGGAGACGTGGGTGATTGTCGGTTTGCGTTCGATGTTCGGATGCTTGAAAGCTTCATCTCCGAAATAGACGTTGTATTTTCCGCGAACAACAGCATAGACTGGAGGCTGTACAACGTCGACTATACTGACGGCCGTATCGGCGCCCGAGACGGATGCGCCGACAGTGATGACTCTCTGGAACTGCATTAGATGGGATATAGCCTCGGAAGAAAAACTCCAAACATACCTTCCCTCTATACTTCTCTGGATGTCTATATCCCTTTGTATGCTCAATACTTCCCGGATACGCTTCCGCGAATTCTTTCAGACCCTTAATATGCGGAATATAAGGCACACTGTAATGTCCCGAAGCGACCACCAAAGCATCGAACTCCTCTATCCACCAGTAATCCTCCTTTGCGGCCTTTTCGCCCCTTCTTAACGTGAGGACCCATTTATCAGACTTCGGATCCTTCACAGCCTTCTCAACCGTCGTGTTATACTCCACTAGATCCTGATATCCATTGCGGTTTAGGAGATCTTCGACCCATTGTCTGATCACAGTATGGTGTCGAAACGGCGTGTCCGGACCATGCAGGTTGATTGAATTCTTCGTTCGGATTTCCGGTATATCCTCTTGGGAATAGGACATGGCCGCCGCATCCACGTTCGTCTCCAGCGCCGGATACACGGCAGTATCCGTGAATCGGTGACTAGGTGACCGCGACGCATATCCTGGAAGCTTGTCCGGAATGTCAATGGGGCCTCCAGCTGTGCGGTTGGATAATTGATCGAAATCAGAAAGCACCGGTGGTTCTTCTTCATCGTACACCCTGATGAATACCGTCAGCGCTTAATTCCTTCAAGAACAAAATTCCAACCATATCACCTACCAGCACCCTCCAGCCTTTTCCCTCCTCTCAAAGACACGGATCACATCAAATGCCTTTTCCTGCGCGAGAGCATCGACAGCAATAGCTCCCCCAGGCCCCGCACCAATAACGGCGACACTCTTTACCTTTCCCATCGTGGCAAGATAAGGAAATAATCCAGCTTTGTTTTTCTTCCTTTTCGCAACGAAAGAAAAGCAGCTACAGCAAAGCTTCGGATCTTTCACCTATCCAGATTTTTTTTACCAGGTACTTAAATCCGACCTGGAATGTGTCCAAATGATGAAAAGCAGCACAGACTCGGGATCCGCACCCCCGTGAGGAGAATCTAGAGTAAGTTAACTTTCTTTCTCGACTTGCTCAATTGGAGATGCAACGAACGGCGGCGCGGCAGACGATAGCGCCAAAATCACACCATCGCTTTCCCCGCCGGCGTCATCAGGAACGAGACAGAACGCCCAAATTGAGCATTTGCATATAGTAGATGAGGTTGCTTGGTGCGTGCATAGGCTGTTCTGTGGCATGGTATACGCGTACCTCGGTTGTATGCAGTACGCTAAAAAGCAAACACCGTGCCGAATGTCTCCATAGTCCAACCATATGCCCTGGGAGTTTGTATTGGAGCTTTTCCGCGGAGTATAGAGTCAATTTGGGATACTATTAATAGGCCGATGGTTTGGCTCCGCTACTGATGCTTAATCCCTCAAGGATAATATCAACCCTCGACATGTACTCGTACACTCAAGATGTTAAGCCATATAACCGTACGAGGCGGTTTCTAGCATTAAATTCGACATCATAAACACGTATATACACATAGCAACATTGCACACCAGACATGACAGCTGGAGCCTTCTCAGCTCGGGTGAAATACGCATTTATAGAGATATGAAACATCGAAAGGAAACGGTATTTCCAAGAACGTACTAAGTTAGACAATGGTGTAGCATTCATCGCAAACAGATTGACACAAATCGGTTCTCCATGTATGAAATACACACATCTGGTCAAGCTACAAGATATGGGGAATTTCCGCCATCTGCAAGATACATCGCAAAAAGTAACGCAGCCGAGGACAAAGAGACTTTTTAACACATTTGAGGACAGGAAAGGAGAAAAGAAACCCTTTGATTCATCTAATACACCTGAGAATTCCGAAAACACCGTTGAAAATAGAATAATTCCGGTACCCGCGAGCCGATTTGGATAAGTGTTCTGGAGCAAGACAAGAAGAGAAACGGAAAGAGGAGCCAAAGCAACCAAGTCTGGGAGACATCTTTCTGGACGCCCAGATGGCAATAACCGATATGATCGATCTGATAAGAAAAGCAATACCCAGACGGGAAATCATCTACTCCTGTCGGGTCCGTTTAGCACCATGCGGGTTCCAGGAGCCGTCTCCGACGCCCTGGTTCTGAGGGAAGAAACCTGGATTGAAAGGACCATTAGGAGTCTGGAAACCACCTTGAAATAACGGGCGCTTGTTAGCCATCGGTCGACGTTGGGGAATCGTCGCCGGCAATTGACTTACCTTGCATGCCCATGTTTCCACCCATACCACCCATCATAGGGTTCATACCGCCAGCCATGGGATTCATACCCATTCCAGCCATAGGTCCCATATTAGGCATGCCCATCATGTTGGGACCAGCCATACCACCACCTCCACGACCTCGCATCCCCCCAGGTCCGCCACGCATGCCACCCATCATGCCTCCGCGGTTGAATCCACCATAGTTCTGCATGCCGCCCATAGGGGTCTGGAAACCTCCGCCCATAGGACCCTGAAAGCCACCCATGGGGCCGCCGAAGTTCCGGTTGGCATAGCCCATGTTGTTACCCATGCCTCCTCGGTTGAACCCTCCACGACCGCCACGGAACCCTCCACCCATGTTGTTCATGCCAAAGTTCATGTTCTGGTTCGGAGAGTTGAACCCGGATCCTGACCGCGCGCGCTCGTCCTTACGCATGGGGGCGTCCTTTGGCAATGTGCGGAATGGGTTTGTGTGAGGGTTTGCATAGGTAACAGTGTGTTTTCTTCCAGTCTGTCCATTTGCGGCGTAATTCTCGATCTGATGCTTGACAGCTGAAGAGGCCTGAGGAGTATGAAATTCGACGAAGGCTTGTCTGTACAGTTACACGTTTAGCGTCTAAATCTTGCTGTCCTTGCATGAGTTTGTCCTTACCCTTTGCTCTTCCCGTTGACCTTGTGTTCGCTGAAAGTTACATCCTTCAGCTCTTCCTCAGCGCCGGCCTGGTTGACCCATCCTCGAATGTCATCGTCTGTCGTCCACCAGAAGAGATCAGAGATAAACAGAGCTGTGGTAGCGTCATGATCCATGGGCCGCTCGTCTGAACTCTCCTTTCGCTTCTGACCTTGCTGTGGGGTAGGTGTCTGCTGTGGAGGATTGCCTGTGTCTTGATTGATTCCTTCCATGTTTGTGGCATTTCCGTTACCGTTGGCCTGGTTGTCTCCGCTACTGTCTTTGGCGTCTCTAGCGCCTTCTTCGTTTTGGGCACCGCCCTGGTTGTTGGTGGGGGCGTCCAAGATCAGTTCTTGGTCCTCCTGCTTGTAGTCCCCCTGTTCATTGGCATTGTAACTACCTCCGTCACCATAGATATCAATGTCAAAGTTATCATCCTCAGCGGCCATTGTGGTTAGGGGTGGACGTGATTCGCAATGGGAATGATTGATTGCTTGATTGTGTTATACACAGAGACTTTCTTCTTTTTCTTCTTTGTTTCTCGATGATTCAAGGAGAGTACATGTCTGCCGGCACACGCCATCATTAGCACCAGAGAAATTGCGGTGACATCACATAGCTTCAGTTGATATCCAGAGCAGGGGGGGCTAAAAACAATTCATTGCTTTGAAAACCCATGCAAGTCGAATTGTAGAAAGACTTGGGACAGGGAAGAGAGAAAAAAGCAATAGCAAGACGACAAAGACCAGAAAATACGTACAATCCGGACCGAAGGCCCCAAAAGGAACAGACTATACTTCGCCAATCCGCGATGTGATTGCTTTTCTGTAATGGAGATGCGACCCGACTGCCTTTGATGGCAAATACAGGTGGTATTGGAAGTCTTGATGAGACGAAGAGAGAAGATTTATTCCACAAAGATGCGGCACCGCTCGAGCTCTCCTGCCCCTAGGCAGGTAAGGGCGACAGAGTTAAACACACCCGGCTAGAGACCAGTCTGACAAGATTTCTGATGGGATAGTAAAGAAAAAACAACAGGGATGTTAGCAATGAGTCCGATTTCCAGTCTGCGCTTTTCCACCTCCCAAGCGTGCAGAAACTCCGTTCGGAACTGTATCCCCTGATCTGTCCTGCAGCACTGTGACGCAGCGGATGAGAAGATAGCCAGATAGCAGACGACGTGCAGAAGATAAAGACCCGGGGGACAAGAGGCTGAGAAGCAACAAGATGATACAATGGTCTTCCCCAGAAAACGCCTTTGCGACCTGATGGAGATGCAGATGAAGGACGAGAGCTGGAGTCGCGAAGGCAAGCTTGTGGAGCAGCTCCGGAGCGGCGGCACCGTAACTCCGGCCGGCTGCCCCTAAACCCAAATGGTCCATCCCCATCTGGCCAGCTCGTCCTTTACGAGTGCTCGGACGGTCCAACGCCAGATCTCCAGATTTCCAGGCTATCTCTCATTTCTCGTTCTGTTTCTCGCGTCGGGACCTGTCTGCATTTGCTTTCTTTCTTCTCTCTCTCCTTCAGATAAGCTACCTTTTCTGTTCTACGCTCTTAATTCCTTTTCAATCACAACACCGCAGCCATGTCCGACACATTCCAGGAGCTCGCCGATATCCCCAGGGACTTTGTCCGGGATGGCATGCAGTTTGTCCACAGATGCACCAAACGTATGGACTTTCTCTGAGTTGTCAATGAAATAGTGTTCCCATTCTAACATGTATCTCTAGCCGACAAGCGTGAATTCATCAAGATCAGCCAGGTACCACAGTCCCTTTAAAGGAGACATCAACAGAAGACACCCAACTAACGAAAGAATTCCCGGTCAGGCCGTTGGCATGGGCTTCCTCATTATGGTTGGTGTTCTCGATCGTATAATATTCGCGGAATCTCAATCTAACAGTGAAATAGGGCGCGATCGGCTACTTCATCAAGTTGAGTAAGTGACTCAAATCAAACAGTGTCGCGTGGGCTCTGGGACAGGGACTGACGGAGGTTGCCAGTACACATCCCTATCAACAACATCCTCGTCGGAGCTGCATGATTAAATTCGAACGATGAACACGACGGAAAAGAGGGATAATCGGGGGCGCCTACTGGGAGAACAATTGGACTATGGGGCTTCAGGAGCGTTTCGACCGCGGTTGCGCTCTAGAGTGGGAGCGAGGAACATATTTTGCGCCTGGGGAACCTGACGTTAGCCAAACTGCGGCACCAGGACTGGGCTGGCGATCTCGAGGTAGCCGTTATCAGACGGTCGCTCTGGACGACTTGGAGTACACCTTGACTTGTATAGATACCTTATGTTTTATTTTGTCGTTTGCTGAGAAGGATGAAAAACGTCGCGTGATGCATCCATCCGACTTGTATACCTTGATATAATCGGTCTCCTAATTTGAGCGATTTCCTTTCGCAAGCTATTCCAGCCATAGCCGTCAGGTATTACTTGGACATTTCCATGAATTTCGCTATATGCTAGGTATCTCATTCAGAATCCAATTCCCAAAGCCACATACCCCTCCCTCGAATATACGGTACAATTCATATACAGAAATTCAGCCCCATGCTGCATCGAGGTCGTCCATGGGATCATAGTGCGGATCATATCTCGGCTCTCGATGGACTGGACGACTTCTCACACCAGGATTGCGGCTATTTTCGGAGTAGCGATTGAAAGACGGAATACTGTTGAGTCTGCTGTCGTAGCTCTTCCCGGGTGGAGGGTCGCCTTCGTCTTCCGCGGCACCGTCGTTCCAGGAATGCATGGTACAAGTACCGGTCGACATGCCCCAACCGTTCCACGATGTTGCTGTTTGTTGAGTCAGAGGGATATACAGACGGTGAGGGTCATGGAACGGAAGCGAAAACATACCAGCAATCATAGGGGCGGTGGGATGCCAACTTGCGTCTCTCACACAAGTCTTCCAGAGCATCTCACTGTTATGGCCCCGTAGGTCATATGCAGCAGCATAGATATCAGCATCTCGCGGACGCGAGTTGAGCGTGGCTCGACCGACGTCGATTGTTCCAGCCAGGGTTGCATCCAAGTTGTACACGTAGATCTTGCCATCCTCACTACCAGTATATACATATCGGGAATTCGTGCTTCCAGGCGGAGAGAAATGACAGCGGATGAGAGTCTTAAGCACGCGGTGCCCGCGGAACGTCACAACAGAGCAATCGTGCGGATGCGGCTGATAATAGTCTTCCGGATAGGCCATGAACCTATAGTCAAAGCCTGTTGTGTATGCCTCGGGATCAATCTGGTCGAATTTAGACGTGGTCATCATCTTCCTTAAGTCCCAGAGTTTCATCATCTGATCCTTGCCGTTAGACAAGACGTAACGGCCGTCGCCTTTAGTATCAACATAAGTCAGTCCTTCGGTGTGGCCCATGAAGACTCCCGCCTCGCGTCCGTCGCCCATGGAACGTCGATCCCACACCCGCAGCGTGGTGTCATCCGAACCAGAGTAGAGAATATGCGGAGACGAAGAGTCACCAAAACACACAGCGTTGACATCATTTTGGTGATTGTTCAGCCTGAGTGTCGGTTCTCTCCTCTCAATGTCGTAAACAATGACAGATCCGCCGGAAGTACCGGCCACTATCTCACGTCCATCACCTGAGAATCGGATAGACCATATCTATGCAAGCGTGAGCAAATCATCAGTTAGACTGGAAAAGAATACATACACCGAAATGTGAGTCCCCGTAGAAGCCACCAGCTCTTCGTCGAGGATTGGAGAAATCCAGCAGGATAGGGTCGGACTGGTCACCAGGATCTGTAGGTGCTAGACAGACGAGATGGCGGATCGAACTGTATGCCAAGTACTTGTTGTCCGGGCTCAAGCTCGCATCCGTAATCGTCCACTGTCCAAATGGGTAATCCACCGTCTTATAGTACTTCCAGTCGAAGATGTTGGACGTATCGTACATCCGAACCTTAAAGTCTTGCGAGCAGCAAAAGAAGAAGTTGCCATCGTCAGAAAACTGTCCTGAATAAGACCGCGAATCGAAGTGTATGATCTTGTCTGTGACGGTTCCCGGGATCATGTCCTACACTCGATGTAAGCGTCGAGCCTTTCGCATGGGAGGTGAGACAACCGACCTGGAATATCGACTGAGTTGTTCGCCTCTGGGCACGACCAGGCTCAATGCCGAGCTCCCTCCACATCAGCTTTGTTGCTAACCTCTTCTTGCGTTTCTTCAGGTCATCAACGTAATCCGGATTGTTTCCATAATGGCCAGACATCATGAGCTCTCTGCCCACCTCGCTAGGGACCTTCGGATACACCTCCTCCGGAGGGCCTTGCCTGCGCCTTCTCCGACGCCCAAAACCAAAACCGTAATGCATTTGCACTCCATACTCGTCGTCGTCGTCATCTTCATCATCAATTCCAGGTCCGAGAAGGCCGTGGCTCTGTAAAATTCGTCGGAGACCATTCGCACCCAGCACCTGCAGAATCTGCGCCGACGTGACTATCAATCATCAGCGTCAGCGTTCGACGTGCTAGACTCTACCTGCGGGATATCGCCTACCTCTGGTCCCCCGCTGTGTGCCCTCCTGGCCCTCTCCTTCATGCTCAGAATCATCCATGGTGAACTCGATCTGGATATTACTCAAGCCGCCACCGTCGTCATCATCTAGATATATGTTCATCGGTTGTCAGCTTGATACATTGTACAGTTCAGAATCCGTCTTCCGGGATCTGCGTACCGAATAGGCCCTGTCTAATAGCTTCGTCGCCTTCGTGGCTCTCTGCGTCGTCAAAATATTCTATGTCTTCCGAGCGCTCTGATTCAGGCTCATAGTCCATGTCCTCATCCTCGTCTCGGTCTGGCTCGCTGCTACCCGGGTATCCATCCGGGTTATCATCCCATGTCGATCGCTGTCCGGAGCCTGGGGCGGGGGAACTCATAATGTTTTAAGTGGGAAGCCTGATACGGGGAACGCCTGCGACAGTTGTCTGGCCTAGTCTCCGGGGTTGCGTCCGACCGGCAGATAGGGAAGAGGATGGTCGAGGCGTGGTGGAGCTTCAATTGGCTGGCAGAGATGGCGGTTGAAAGCTCTCCAGTTACCATAATAATACTTGCTTATCGATAGTTAAGTTAGTTAAGAGTAGTTCAGTTAACTTAACCAACTCAGTTAACTAACTCCGAGGCGCCTTATGTCATCTCGTTGCGGTTCCGGCTTTATCTCCTATCCCCGGCACAGCGGATGTTTACGGACTGATTACTCAACTCAGCCACTGGCAGAATTAATTATAACAAATGTGTTTTCTAAATTACTGGTCCTATAGTTTTCATGGTGGTGATACTCTAGTGATGGAGGAGAATAATATCTACTCCTCAGAGCCCAAAACAGCAACCACAAGGGACATGGTCAGTAAAACGTCGATCATCTTACACCGCTCCTGAGAGCGAGCTAAGCCCGTGGAACCTCGGTCGAAATTTATATATTATTGCTGCCAGGGCGCGACAACATTTCTATCACACAGGACTATCGTGCTTAGTACGGGCTCAAATGAGATCCCAATCTACTATTACTTGGCATTTATATCGTAGTTTCCTGGAGAGTGGTAGTAACGACGTTTTTCTCTGGCTAGTCGGAGGAGACATATATCAAGTGGCTTCCAGCTGCTGCGTTTCCCCAGTTTTCCATCACCCGCCAAGACTATTACTCCAGTTTCCTTAAGCATAAGCGCTAGACATCTCATTTAAAAAGATCATTGTATGTATGTATCTAGTCTTGATTTGATATTCCACTATCCGCATTCAAAGGTCGATGACATGGAATTGTGAGTCCCTAGCCGCTCTCTTTCTGACATTCTCTCTTGCACATGTATGTATGTACATACCAAAAACCATGAGAAAACCGATTCCGTATTATAAACTAAATCATTCCTATAATCACGTCCCTCGCAGCAATCCAGAGGATTATAGAGTCTCACACAGCAACTTCATACCCGCAGGATCGCGATAAGAGAGCAATCTCCGGAACAACAATCCGCCGGCGGACCTCCGAAGACCCCACGGCGGAATCGCAGAGCGTCAAGTCGATTGAAGATCATGGAACTTGCTCAGATGACCACCTAGATTGCTCCTCTCCAATCTATCTACTCCAGCTGCAATTCCACTTCAGTCGCCTAACATAATAATACACGAGCTGTGGCGTACTGTGGCCCTCGAAACGCGCGATCCATACCACCAAAAACAACCTCGCGTGCCCCAGGAACCAAAGCTGCCCCGCTTCATCGCATCGTCAGCTACATTACCTACCTGCGAAGTATCCGGGATCGCAAACTACACACCGGCAAGGAAACCGCAATTGTAGAGAAGAGACAGACACATAAAGTCACCATGCAGGCCATTCCAGAACCTCGTCAGCAAACCTTCGAGGAGATCTATGCCCCACCGGAGAACTTCCTCGAGATCGAGGTGCGTACTCCCACTTCTCTCCCATTGCTTCGATTCGTATATCCCGGATTCCTCGTTTTCTGTCTCTTTCCCACGTTTTTCTGCCATTCTATGTCCAATGGGGGGGGATCCGTTGTATATCACTCTATGTACTCTATAGACCAAGCTAAATCATCAATCATGAACAGGTCCGCAACCCCCAGACTCATGGCACTTCCCGCAACATGTACACCTCCTACGAGATCGTCTGCCGCACCAACATTCCCGCCTTCAAGCTCAAGCACTCTGTCGTCCGCCGCCGCTACTCTGACTTCGAGCACTTCCGGGACATCCTCGAGCGGGAAAGCGCGCGGGTGACCATTCCTCCTCTGCCTGGCAAGGTGTTCACCAACCGGTTCAGCGACGATGTGATCGAACACAGACGCGAGGGACTGCAGCGCTTCTTGCAGATTGTTGTTGGACACCCTTTGCTACAGACAGGGAGCAAAGTACTGGCTAGTTTCGTGCAGGGTACGTGTGTTCTACTTGGTTTCTATGATTTTGGCTTCCGCGTCTCTACAAAGAGGGATGATGGCTGACAGATATGATAGACCCGAACTGGGACCGCAACGCATGGTGATGAGTTACGTCAACCCTGCACCGGCATCTCCGACTAATGACCTTGTCCATTCCTTACCCAGTTGATGAATCAAGTCTTCAAACTTTCGATTGTTGCATGAACTCCAAAAGGCGTCGGCTACATTAATGAGTTGAGACCCTATGCTCGCTTTTTTGCTCTGCTTGCCTTTTCTGTAATCTTTTGCAGCTTTCAGATTCCACATCATGCGGCTTTTGGCTTTTGGCTTTTGTTTTTTCCTGAGCGAGTTGGCATTAATGATTGCTTGTCGTTAGCCTAGCTGTTCATGTTACTCATACTCCGTTTATTGTATTTTGTTTTTTTCTTGATTCCACCTGGTGTAGGGATTTCACGTGATAATTTTAGACAAAAGTCGCTTCCAAGATCTATCTGAAGCCCCTTCCTATGTTCCGTAGTCATGTGGAATGTGGTCTACTGTGTGTCCTTGTCTTGCAGAGAAATGTAAAAAGAATGTAATTCTAAGATTCCCTATACCCAGCATGAAAACGCCGGGATAGTAAAGATTGAAAGAAGAATAGCCAAGAAAATGGGGTGGTGAGAAGTGAAGTTTTTCTATAGAAATCAGTGCCGACGTGTGCTGCGGGGTATAGGTCAACCAAACAGATAACGTTAGTTTTCTGGCACACGAAGAGCCCGAAAAAAACGAAAGCAAAAAGAAAAAAAAGAAAAAGGTAAGGTCCCTGGAGGAGTGGGTGTTTTTCAAAGGTGAATGGGAAGAAGAGGAAGAACAGAGGCCAGAAGCGAAGGAGCGCCTCGCCTGGGAAAGTTGAACTTCACGGGAGCTCATCCCAGACCAAGGGTGGCAGCGTGTTGTCCTCCCAGGGAGTCTCGCTGTTTGAGGCGCCCGATGTGTTCTCGTCCAGCGGGAACGGGAAAGCATTTGGATGGGGGACATTTGTTTGAGCCTCAGGTAGGCCTAGAGGTGGAGCTGGCGGTAGCAAGGCTGGATCTATAGGCCCCAGCATGTTGCCGTTGTCAATAGCACTCGGTTTGCGATTTCTGTCAGTGAGATTGGAGTTTGCGGAATTGGGCACTGGAGGTTGTCTAGGCACGGGCTGGAAATCCTTCCCCGGTTCACCGAGATTAGTAGATGGAGCGGCTCTTGCTTGGGTGTTGAAGGTCTTTCCACTGACGGAACCGCCCTCACGATAAGCATTGGGAAATTTGGTTCTGAAACGGTCACGCAAATCGGTGGCCTTCCGGTGGCTCAGATTCAAATGTTTATCTTGCTGGATCAGAGTCCACTGGAAGCCATGCACAGCATATCCCTTTAGCAAGGCCTCATCCTCTGCAGGAGTAAAGGGTCTGCGCGACCGCCTCTTCGACTTAATCGTGAAGTAAGGCTCAGGGATTCCAAGAGACACAAGCGTTGATTTAGATTTGTTGGAAAGAGTAGGGGTCGCTTTGAAGGTCGGCGGGTATTTGGTACGAAACTTGAAGCCTGCTGCATCTACCTCGGGAGTCGAAGGACCGCTAGGAGACGTTGTTATGTTGACTGATGGGCCTCCAGCAGACGTAGTTGAATCAGCCCCGGCCTTGGATGGTCGTGGATCTGGAAGGAGAATCTTCCCAGCAGTACCATCCTTGCCCTGGGACTCGGCCTTGAGGAGGGCGTTCGCGAGAGTGGTTTGAAGCTGCTTAGTTGCTTCATTTGGATCGGCAGCGCTGCGAAAGGTTAGCTGCTGGTATCACAGAAATGGATAATATAGACCAACCCGTACGCCCAGGGACAACAGACACGAAACCTATACAAAACTTTAGTCGAAATGCTCAAGCATGCTGATTTTCGAATGTCTGTACCTGTCTTTCAAATTGGCCGCAGACCTTTTGTTGAACTTCAACTCAGGCTGCGCCAATATGGTAGTCCAGTTGCCAATGCCACATTTGACCACACCTCTTAGCAGGTCATTCGTTTCTTGTTCTGTCCATTTGCGCAGCTTTTTCCGCGAACGACCTCTGGTCTTGGGCGACATGGGCTCATCACTATCATCGGCAGGTTTCTCGGAATTCTCGGTGCTGGTTTCTTTGTTTTCTTGGTTTCTATTTTCTCCATCTTCTGCGCGCTTCTCGGATGTCGGGTTCGTATTCCTGTATCTTACTCCCTCGTCGATGCTCACCCTAGAATCGAGAATCTCTTCCAGTCTGCCCTCTCTCCTTCCCTCTTGATGTTTTTGACTGTCGATCTGCGGATGAGTATTGGCTGTGTCAGATTGGAGACCGTGATTCGTGGGCTTCGTCAGAATCTGCGATATGGATCCAGGTTCGATCGGAGGAAAGAGGGCGGCATTTGGCGGAGGCTCGTTCAGTCCATTTAGGATAGCGAACGGACCAAACGGAGGTGGTTTCTTCTCGTTTTGGGCATGAGGAATCGGCAGTTGAAGGTGGTCGACAAACATCTCCCCTTGGACATCGAGACGAGGACGTTTACGAGAACCATCTTCATCGAAGGCAGGAGGATACGGAAGTCTTTCCACAGTGCGAAGGTTGATGAAAGCAGGCAAGATAGTCTTTGGGGGAGGCTCCAGGCTAGAAATTGAATCAAAAGAAGTATCAACGAGTGTATTAGTGCGGGCAGCGTTCAAAAACTCCTCCAGGGTCGGAAGTTTGGCCGGTGGATTCCCACTGGAATTGGCCTTGGATATATTGGGTTCGCGAATTCCACCGGCGCTGGGTTCAAGCGGAGAGGGTACGCTTAGCGTACGAGAAGAGACTGGCTGTCGAAGGGGAGCGATACGAAGACTGGATAGCTGGGGTAAATCACGGATCTGGGGCAGGGCATCATCGAGAGGAGGAACGGGCGTGCCGCCGGAGTCCATATTTGAGAGATCAAGAATCCATCATCTAAAGGCCCCCAGCATCTGGTCGACTATCGATAGCCGGGATTGACAGACACCAGTGAGATTGGCAAAAGATCAGTCCCGCTGTGCCATCCTTCAACGGAAGTGGAGGAGCCCGGATTATCAATCTCGAGTCGAGTTGAAAGATTCGAAGGACTTAAAATCCAATTACGGCCCGCCGGACGGCGCATTGTGCAGTTTTGACGCGGGGTCTCTACACGTTTACGAGCCAGAAGCGTCCAAGAGCTGTCCCCTGCTGAACAAGAATCCCGTAAGCTGAATCTGAGCAGCATGAGGAGTCTGTATTTATCTGGGCGTTCAATCTGGTGGGACAGCTGGTGCTCTAAGCTGGATGGACTGAGTGCAACTCGGAGAGCAATGTGAAACGCGTTAAAGCTCTTAAGTAACCACCTCACTCCAGTCTTAACTACCCGCAACATCAACCCCAAGACCTTGATACTGTTCCTGTTCTTGTCAAAATCACGCTAGCTCCCTCATTAAGGATCATATGAATCTGCAACGAAACTCGTCCAAATCCCAAATCACAACCCAGTCCTCGCAATGTCTACCATATTCCCAACATGGCCGCATGCCCTCTTCGCAGTCATTGAGCCGATTTCACTGTAAGCGCCTTAATAATAACAACCATGCATACTGTCTTCTAGTGTGGACTCATCTCATCGATAATCAGTGTCGCGGGCTACCTGGCCCCAATAATAGACCTGCAAGGTTTCATCGCTGGCCAAACACCGCATATCGCGGCTCCCACGTCCATTCACCCCAGCAGCGTCGCGCTCGCGTACCAGTTGGGAAACCTATACGGTCTTCTGCTTCTACTGGGAATTGCTGTTATTTATGGCACATCTGAGCCCAAAGTATTGCGGAACTACCTGATCGCACTGGCAATTGCAGATCTTGGGCATATCTATGCTACGTATCTCGCAATGGGCTGGGAAGCTTTTGTGGATGTTTCAACCTGGAATGCTCTTACATGGGGAAATATCGGAGCATCTGCCTTCCTATTTGTGAATAGGATAGCGTATTTCTTAGGATTCTTTGGATATGCAAAGGGGCCAAAAGGCGCTGAGAAAAAGGCCTGAATTAGCTATCCAGGACGGAAAGGGAGACCGGCGAGAAGACGGACTAGGGCGCATGCTACTTGATGGACTAACAGTCCATATGAATCCGGTCGTCATCTAAGGGAAACTAGTTTGGAATGGCCTGTGTAGGGTATTCTAGAATAGTCTGCACTCCAATATCTTGTAAGGTGAAGCCTGGAAGATATTATTGCTTTGGTTGCCCCTGATGCCAATTAATTTGATATTCAGCCTTTCTTTTCTGCTCACTACCAAGCGGTCTCCCTTTACATCTCGCATCAGATAATGGATGATGACTGGGTGCTTCTATAAAAACGACATCGCCGCCCGTGCGCGCAGGATTTGCAAGATTTGAAAGGATCTCAACGAGTCCCGTGCATGACTCGGCAGTTTCACAGCTTATCTGCCATTATCCCCTCGCGATCGAAGTCAAATCACACAGCACTAGCGTGTATTTCCCGGGCAGGAGATTCAATCAGTAGTGTACGAAACAGACCGCAGCAATGGTAATGATGGTTACAATGCAATGCAGGATAAGATTTGGGAACTTGAAGCTATCAGACAAGACGGCTTGCTAGCTGGGATTAAATGTGAGTTTTGATATCGTCGCAGGGCCGCTTCGTGACCGTGCGCAAGAGAAGGTGTAGGCACCGATAGTAGGAATGGACAGAGCACATTCCGAGGAGAGGCCTAAACTCCGGCCAGTGTCCTTAGATCCTGAGATTCGGGCCTGAGACGGAGACTACAATTTTCTAGGCGCTTCGTTAGTATTTCTTCTATTCGTTGAGGTCTACTGTAGTCTGTAGCTCAGTCTGTGCCCGTTCGTGCCCTGCGGAGGAACCATGGCGAACACACTCTCTCCAAAATAACCACTGGCTCGGTTAGAAAGGTTGAATCATATATTAACTATGGCGCAAGTATAATCTTGTTTCAGATAAGGCTGGCTTTCTATCTCTCACGTGGTAGCAGTTGGCATATGATCGAACACGCCTTAGTCTGATTGCTTATATGACTCTGGAAAGTGGTAGCGATCCCAATGGCAAAGGTGTACTAAAAGTTGTTACGTCGTAAGCTAATCCGCAGTGGTGAAGATGCTAAATCTTAGTCGATGGCAGCCGGAGCCTTGCATTCATAGAACCTCCATCGCCTGCCATATTCTGCGTGGAAGAGCCGATGTGACGATAATGTTGTCGATTGATGCTAAAGAAACTAGAGCACTTCATCTTCTATACCACAGAAGCACCAGATGCTCTGTCCGTGGGATGAGGCTCGACACGAAGTGAGGCTTATTAGCCCTGCCGATTCCAGCCGGCGAATATGGCCTAGCGCTTGGCAAACACGGAGGGGACAGTATGATCTTTGGAATGGCAAGCAAGATCATGTCGGCCGGGTTTAACGCTCGAATGGTCTTTGGTTTACCTCTGCTCCTTTTTCACCTGTATTCGTATAAGGGACGTACCAATATCCCACACTAAGTACAAAGACAACAGTAGAGGGCGAGACCCGTGTCTTTCTGCAAAAGGAATCAGCAAGTAAACTGTTCAGTGAGGACGTTCGCCTTTTGCATCTGCGCCCTCGGGTCCATCCGTGAAGAACCTTGGAACTCAGAGTGGAACGTGAGGAAGCTTGTTCTGGGGCAGTGAAAAGGAGACCACCCATTCGTTTGGCAACTTGCAAATCACAAGATGTGCGCTGAGCAGAAGCCAGTAATGGCGCTTAGAAATATAGGTGGAAATACTAGATTAACCGGCACCCGCTAAACCTGTTCCTGTATTGTCCATCTTTGGCCCTTGAGCTTAGATGGTGATGGTGGTCATGATCATTATTATCGTCCCCCAGGCGATCGTCCATTCGCCCGGGGACGATATCAGAGCACTCTTTGCTAAGGCTGAAAGATTCCTCGGACGAGTGACCCGCTTTTTAAGATAATTGATAGATCAATAATGACAGTAATGATGCCAGATGGGAATTATAAAGTCAATAATGTTTTAAGGTTGCCGAGGTCCGATCCGTCGAAGGTTGATCCCCGCAGTTCTGTGTTCTTAGGGATGGAGATAGAAGAATAATAATATTGTAGTAAAGTAGCCCTAGGAAATGAGGTCACCGTCGTCATGAAAGGCAGTCAACTCCGTATTACTTATTGTTCTGTTACCCCGTACTCCGTATGAGACGTCAATCCGCCCTCGCAGGGGCTCACCAAGTGACTCCAGCTCAGACAGGAAAGGCAGAAACAAGATAGAACGTACCATGACGACAGAGATTCGTCAAGCCCAAGCCCAGGCCGTGTCAAGCTTTCTGGATAGCAGACCTCATTCTTTTTTTCTCTGTTAATGTCGTTGGGAGAAGAGATGGGAGGTTTGGCAGGACGGGAGTGCTGTGCAAGTAGGGGGGAAGAGTGATATCAAGAAGTCTAGGTTCCTCTAATGCTAAAGATGTCGCTATATATATAAGGTCATATAACCTATATTATATGCCTCTATACCAGATCTGGTATAGCAGGGTCCCTCCCCAGAGAAGACTTATCCCAGGGCTTAGTAATAATATAATAAATCTTAATATAAGAAAATACTAATATAAATATTAGAATATTAATACAAGAACTATTCCTCTTTAATAAGTGCTTAGTAAATCTCCTTTAAAACCTATATAATCTTATTATCTAAAGCTGTATTTATCGCGTCTATTAAGTTAAATATTTCTAAAAAAATCAATATTAATATACGGCAGGCTATATTATCTACTATTACTAATAATTAATATACCTAACCTTTTAAGTTATTAATACGCCGCTGGTAATAGATCTCTATATCTTATATTATATCTAATATAAGAAAGTTATTATTTCTTATATTAATACTTTAATTAAGTAATATAAAGTAATATTATACTTAACTACCCCTTAATAATATAGTCTTCTTAATAATTGCTGCGGGTTTTATAAGAAGCTTTTTTAAAGTTCTTATACTTACTATACTCTATTTTATTCTTATATCTATAGATATTTACTATTATATTATTATATTTATAGTTATTGCGCTATCCTTAGATATATAATTACTAATTATAGTAGTTGTATTATTACTACCCCTATTATTATCTATCTCTATATTATTATTCTATACCTAATATTATAGCGGTAGCGTAATATACTCTCTGGCTGGCATTTTATAATTAGCTAATATATCTTAATTAATCCTAGGTCTAACACTATAGTGATTATATCATTTATTATCTTATTCTATTTAATATTATATAGGGTCGCCCGGCTAGTATATATACTTATTACTTATCTTTAAAATAAATAGCAGTTTATATATTAAAGTTAGTATCTCTTGCCGCGCTTTATAGGGGACCTTATATTTATTAAATTAAAAGGTTAACATTTCTTAAGTTATATAAGTACCCTTATTTATTATTTATAGGCTATAATAATATAAAAAAGAGCCGCAGAATATATAATAGTAACTATACTTAAGATAATATATCTTATTATTATATTAAAGCTATATTATAAGACTTATTAATATATAAGAATAGCAGATATATTCTTAAGCATTAAAATCTGCTAGCTATTTTACTGCCCTTTTTATTATAAAGACTGTTTTAATAATTATATAGACCTAGGCATTATATAACTTTATATACTGCAATAAATAGTTATATATATCTAGGTCCTAAACTATATTAACTAGGCTCTATATATTAAATATTGCTATATCTATATATCCTGGCTTTAGATGCAGTTTCTCTCTAGATCTATCTTTATTTTACTATATATTAGGAATAATAATGCCTTTCGCTATACTTAGTATATTAGGTTATTAGATAAATATATTATAGCAATTAATACTGGTAATATTAATAATTAATTATAGAATACAATATGTTAAAGAGATAGAGTATAAGTTAAGGTATAAATTAAAAAAATAAAATTATAATATATAAAAAAGTATAATTATAATATAATATATAAGTTAAAAAAGTAAGGCATAGGCTAAAGATATTAATATTTAAGATAAAATAATTAGTATTAATTATATAAGATTAATAATACTTAGAGCTATACCTTAAAAGATAGAGTTATTGCAGAAATTAGTAAAGTATAAGTATAATAGCTATCTTACTTAAGTAATAGCTTAAATAGGCAGATCTATTAGTTCTTAAAGCAGTTTTACCTTATTTTTAGATATAATTTATCTAATATTTATTTTATACTGCCTGCTGAAATCTCTATAATAATTCTAGAATATCCTTCTTAAGATTAATAATAAATTCCTATATCTTATTACTATCTTTCTATTTTACTAAATACTAGTCTTCTATTTAATAAAGAATATAATAAATTTTATATTTTTTATAACCTTATATTATAATTAGAGCTAGTAACTATATTATCCTTTAATAGGCATTAGTATAGGCTTGCTCTAAATAGATAACTAATATTATAGAATAAATATCTTAATCTTTTAAAAGATCTAACTTATAAGCTAATTATCTAATATAGTATTTAATCTTAAATAGACCCTTTATTACTAGCGACAACTTTAACAATTATAATATTATATACCCTATCTTTCTAAGATATCTAGTTAGGTAAATATAAATATTATCATATAATAATAGCGGCTTATAGGTAGTATTAAATATTAAGGCTATTCTTATTTATATAAGATCTATAGCATCTAATATAGTAATATAAATCTATTCTTATATAGTAATAAAGTTATTATTAATATTAATTAGACCTAGTAGAATATAAAGATAAATATTATATAGGATCTTAAATAGTAATATTCTAATAGACTTATTAAGCAATACATTATTAGCCTATTTAATATCGGGTAGTATTATAGCCTAAGCCGCCTTATATTACTTAACTAAAAGATAGTATAATATTGTCTCTATTATAGTATTAGTTCTTTTTAACTAATTATTAGCGCTGGGATAATATGCTGCAGTTATTTTAAGCTTTATATAATATGTCCTAAATATCTCTTACTAAA